TGTAGCCCCACTCCTCATGCGGTTCCAAGCTGATGCCGGATGTCCTAGACCTGAGATCGCCGTTTGTAAACCGTAGCTCGCGTGATTTTGAAGCCACCAGAATAAAAATTATCTCGGAAGGATCAGCCTCCCTTGAGTCGCAGGTGTAGAAACGGCCTGAAAACAGTGCGCACACATCTTCTAGATTGAAAAATTCTGTTATGGGTTCCCCTCCTGTGTTCTTTCCATAAAGGTGTCCTTGCGGGAGAATGACCTTTTCCGCAATCGGAAGCGGAATGGGCGAAGATACTAGCGTGTCGGATTCGAGACCCGTGAATCTCAGTACCTGGGCAATCAAAATTATCGAACAAAGACACATGGAACGCCTGCAAACTTTGATAAGACTGAAGAAGAAGTCTTCGTCCGACATTCCATAGTCGACTGTGATGTGCTTTCCCTCCACAGCGAGACTCAGAAGTGAGTATACTCTATCTCGACGAATCGCGCATGCTTGAACTGGGAGAGCTACGAGAAGTGAGATCAGTGACGATTTCCGAGAACTCTGCGTTCTGAGCTTGAGCTCTAAATTTGAGCGGAGTTTGTGATCGTGCCATTTCGAGATTTTGGCCATGTTATGAAGCTCATAAAGCCGAGAAGAATCAAATACAGTGTCGACAGCCAAAAGACAGCAATTTCGTGACAATACAAGTTCTTGGGTTATCCAAGCTCGTGTCCAGTACTTGTGAGCTGCTAGCAGTCGCCAACCTGATTCGATTTCGCGCAGTTCGCGAACGACGTCAACACTGAGTGGATCAACGGCGGCCAAAGACTGGAAAAATTCGGCTAATGGTTTACTGTCACCAAGCCAGACCACAGTTTGTCTAGCCGCCGAGTAAATTTCTCCCATCTGTCCGACCTGGTGGTTGCGTTCCTTCACACTATCCTGATCGATGCACAGAGCATCAATCCATAGCGCCTCCTGTGGGTACTTGCATATAGCAACGTTTAGAAACGCCCACAGGTTCTCTCGAATGGCGAATTTCTTTCCGTTGATGACGATCCATCTTGACGGGGGATCGACTCCCCACACGTACGAAAGACATGTATACATGCTCGAAGCGATCTCTTTGTTGTTCGTCAACTGGCATTGCAGAAGTCCGCCTGCAGAAAAGGTAGGCAGGACATATAGAAGGCGTATGAACGGCTTGCTATGATCGAGAGGTTGATGCTTGAAGTCTGGAATATCAGATTCGCCTTCATTCTGTTGCCTGCTAATGAAGGCATGTTGATGAGTCGTAACTTCAAAGTCGACTATTGACTTGCCCGTGCGTTTTCGACGAATTTTATTCGAGTTTGGCTTGTGTTGAGACCTCTTCCTGCTGGGTTTGGTAACTTTCATCTCGAGTCTCGGATTGTCATCGATTGACCTCGTGCGAGGCCCTGACTGGTTGAAATGGATGGTCGGGAAGAAGTGGTAATGCTATCCGTGTAGTATGTTGGAAATGGCGCTAGGCAACAGCTGGGAAGCAACGCTTCGCCTCGTTCAGCTGCGGGGTTTTGAATCTCGTATTCGTAGTCGCATGCGATCAATCACGGCATTTGAGGGTAATGAACAGCATGGTCATCCACAAATGATGTGCTTTGCTACCTACGTAGGAGTGGAGAGTGATAAAATGCTATGTCATGATTTATGGCTCTCACCCTGTTGAACACCTCGCCTACTCTTGCTTGGTTGCCTACTCACCGGTCGATGAGCACTAGACCTATCTAGGACTAGCGATATTTGCGTTCGTGCTTTTACACCTTCTGTAGCTTCTGTCAGTATTACCTCAGTTAAAACCCACAACCTTTTCCACTGAATATTGTCCGCTCTGCTGACCGCGACAATATTACACTGCCGAGCCTTACAGCATTGAGGCTAACGCTAACTTAGGGGCAGCACTGGCATCAATCTTTCTGCCTTACAGACGTCGCTGCTTGAATTACGCGGCACCTTGATTATCCATTTTACTAGCTACCATCCATATTTGTTAGCAGTCAAACATGGTTTACTGTTAATCCGATGCCCTTGATTAGTAGATTTAGCGGAACAAGTGGTGAGTGATGCTTGAAAATTAGTTCTCCTCCCTCCTAAGACCTTGTGCACCGTTAATAGCATATTCTTTTACAACATTAGGGAGGGCGGTGCGTCTGCTATATGTTAGGTACACTTGCTACCTTTAGCTGCAACCATCGCATAATAACCTTTAAATCATTGAAGTCATCGCTCCCTTCCGAATGATCGCTATGCACGAGATAGCGACGTCAACATCTCTATTTGAGCCGCAGCTCGCGCAGCTCACGACTGCGAAAGACCGTGGGCCGTTACTTGAGCGGCGTTAGGAGAATGCTAACACTAGGGGCATCCAAATTGTACGCAAAAGTCCTGAACAACTGGATGTAAGCCAAGCGATCTTAACTCAGAGCTCAGTCTGTGAGCACTTGGATCGATATGGGACACAGGGGCCGAAAATCAGCGGTACATGCATTGCCCGGGAATGCTCCACAAATAACATCATAAGTCACTGAGTCGCAACGAAGCATTATTTTCATCACTAAACACAAGAAACGTTGCCCAAAGCAGTGCCATCGCTGAGAACAGCTTAATCACTGTCACTGTCACTGCTACTGGTACTGCTATCTTTGTGAACATGTTCCTCCCATACATGTTCCTCGATGTCATTGTCAGATTCGTAGCCACAGTCGCCTACGAAGCATTTATTATGATAATATTCCCGAGCATGATCGTAGACGTCATCGTAGGAGAAGCACTCCCTATGTTTTTTTGCATCCCTGGCTCTTCTTCTTGCCATGGCGGTCCCAGGCTCTAGTTGACCGGAACCACTTTTTGCAAATCCCACACCTTCTGCGCGCAGAGTTTCCACTGTTGGTTCCAACCGAAGAGCAACCTTCGCTGTCGCTGTATGTCATCTTGAGTAGGACAATGGCTTATAACATGTTAGTGCCAAAGAAAGAGCCGGCGGGAAATACGCACAGTGAGAACGAACAGCACTACACTTTACAAGGCTTAGATATTGAGGTTGAAAATGCAGACAGATAAGCGAAGGAGCACTAAATACTGCGCTGATAATTTGATTGATGTGGTGGTGATATCGAGTATCGTAAAACTTCTGTGGTCCAATTCTTGGGATAAATAATAAGATATGACTGACCTGTGGAGGGAAAGAATCAGCCGTGATTCGAGGTGGGGACCATGGAAAGATTATAGTTATAGGCCTTGCCCCCTGCTAAATCAAACGTGGCCAGCGGAGCCCTGCGCTCCAGTAAAGCATGGCGGCCTGGTGGAAAAAGCAAAATACCCTAAGTATAGTCAGTTAGATTAGGAAAGTCCTACAGCAGCCTCCTGCTAGAAAGTTAATACCGCATATTTCGTATCTACGCGACTTATTTCCGAAATCCTCAAGCTGCAAAACGCTAGATTGACAGGATAACAGCTAAGTCTTAAACGTTAGATATGGTCCCGCAGCATGAAGTAGCTTTTATAAGAGATAAGAGCCCAAATGTTCGACTTTAGACTTCGCTAAACCGCATACGCAATGTAGTGGCTGGACTCCAATCAATCAGTGCTCGCTGGATCACTCGTCATGCCGCCTCTCACTCGAATTTCAAGCCCGTTTCCAGAATCTTGTCTCAGTAACCTATGTCAATTTTGCCCTTTGCGGTTTTCACACTACTGGCCGACCTCTAGGTGCGCCTTTGTCGTACGACCTCATGCAATGTGCGCACCGTATTCGTAGCGCCGTGGCTGACGCCACTAACTAATAGGCACCAACTAATAGGCACCAATCATCCTTTCTTATGGTTGCCGCCGCCTTCGCCCGGACATACTTGTGTTGCAGGTTTCCGTATATAGTTATTCGCTTCGTATATTGACCGTATACTGATCTTGGTATGGTAAAGAAGCGGACCTTTCTGGCATGTCCACGTCAATAAGGATTCAACCTAGGCTACAGCCTTGTCTACTCTGCCACTGGCCCAATAGGTAGCTAAGTCGTTCGATATAATGATGTTGACCATCGGGTCCCTGGCATGTCCTGGGCTCGGGAGGCTAGAGGGCGCTCGTGCGTGAAAGAACCGGGCAGTCATCGACGGAACTGGAACCTTGTCAGTACTTGGACCATCAAGAAGCACAAGAATGTGTCTGTCAGAGTTTTGTAGATCAACTCAGCTATGTCATAATTTCAATGATGCTCGATACAGTAAGAGCTATAATCAAATTACGGAAAAGGACGCGATTCTGTGATCCAAGGACGCTACCTCATCAGCACATCTCACAGTAAGGATCCTTTGATGCATTTGAAAGTCCTCGAATTTACATGCGTCATGGTCTGCGACCGAAAGACGTGGAAGCAGTACTGTACTCAAATTTCCACCTTCGGTCCTTTGTAAGTCTTTCTCGCTCTCAATCCCCACCAACCCATTGCGATGAACATGACTCCGAAATATACAGCCAAGGACCAGTTGAACGTGCTTGCGGAGAGTTCTGCTACCGGTGGCCAGAATGAAAAGAACCAACCGATGAAACTGTACATCATCGCGAAAATGGTCACGGGGACTCCAAATTTTCCCAACCGGAATGGACCCCATGCCATATCTACAGAAGCGGTTGTCAAACGACGATGAAGCATGACGCCTCCAGCGACCATGAAAGCAGAATAAAAGCCTGCGACGGTCAAACCGGTGAGAGCGTTGAACGTGACTACAGACCCCATATTGACGAGAGCAAGGCTGAGGGAGATGAATGCTGTGATGCTAATGGCGAAAAGCGGAAGAGATGTACGACACTCAACCTGAATCAAACATCAGTGAAGGATCTCGGAGCATGGTCAGGACATACGAACTCTGGATATATAGTTCGACATCGGGACTCCATCTTCGCGAGCGAATGCCCAAAGCATACGTGAAGCCGTTCCGAGCAACCCAATCGAACCGCAGATACCCATGACCAAGATGATGCAAGTCTATGAAGGCACGATAAGTACTTGCCGAGGAGGTGCACGAGAGCCGGTGGGCATACTGACCAATGCTGAAGCTCCCGGGACTGATTGTGTGACGGAATAGAACATGGAGACGAATGCGACACCACCAGACATCTCCATAATGCCGTCAATGCTGCCCATACAAAAGAACACGACAACCAAAGCTGCCCATCCTATTGCTCCGTTGATCAATACCGTGATGATCAGCGCTCGGGGAATCACGATGGAAGCGTCCTCGATCTCTTCGGCCATGTGTGTCGCACCATCCACGCCTAACAATGTCAGCAAGCCCTGTACTGGAATGTTTGTATGAAAGAACTACCATTGAACATGTACATAATGGTAACAGAGCCCAGTAAAGCTGACTGAACATTTGTAAGGCCTCCTAGGTTCATGAAGTTGTCGAACACCAACGTAGGCGAGGATTTTGGTGCTAAGTAGATCAGTACGATCATGATCGCGAAGAAGCCTACAACGTGGACGATGAATGCAACCGCCTCGAGCCACGGAAACAATCGTCCTAGGTATGTGTTGATCAACAAGGCGAGTGCAACCACAGCGTAGAAGATCAATGTGCCGTGCCAGGCTTTAGTTTCATAATCCGGATAGTTGATTTGTACCAGTCCTAAAACGATGGTGGAGTTGATCCATGCCACAGATGCACAAGCACCTTGCCATGCTATTACAAGAACTAATTGTGAGGGTTAGCATGTTCAGCCATACGAGTTGCATATTGCGCACCCCAACCGGTAATGTATGATAGGAAGTTTGAAAGCTTCTTCGGTGCGAGAATAGCGACCCAATTGTATTCGCCTCCAGACAAAGGTATCCTATCGCTGATAAGCTGGGAACTTGTGTGTTGGTCAGATGAACTCACATTGATGCCATTTCTGCCATGACAAGAACCTGTGCCAGAACACCCAAAGTGACGATGGGAAAGGCTACGAAAGCCCCTGTTGGGCCACCGTTAAGTAAGAACGACTGAAGAAACACGAAGGAACCTTCCCAAGTGAGCACTACAAGTGTATTGTTAGTATAATACTCCTTGCTGACCTTGTGCTTACTTACTCAAAGTGCATCCCAATCCGAGGCAAGAGATGAGACTGAAGGTACGCTGTTATTGGGTTAGTAGCTGCGCCGATTTCATGGGGAACACATTATATCACCTTTAACTGTTGTCTTTTGCCAAAGTGTGCAAGGATCTGTTCCTCACTTCTGATGCTTCGTAGCTCGCCCTCAGAGACCTGGCTCTGGCTTTGAATATCGTGCGAAGTCTTCGGCATTTCGTGAGAGCTTTGGGATACTGTGATGGATCTCATGATGATCATGAACAAACTCCTGACTTCCTTGAAATGTGCAAGAGGTGCAGACCTTTCAGGAGCTCAGAAGCTTACTTTGAATCGGGACGGTAGAAGGTTGGAATTAATCCCGCTATAAGAATCACAGATTAAGGAACTCACACGAATAGACTCGGTCAATGCGCGGGCTGATGCGGGCATTGACCGCTGCAGGCGTAGGTAACACCAATGGACATGGGTATCCCCAGAAAGGGTCATAGCTTTATTGCTGCATTCCTCTTGACTGTGCCACCGGATCTCACCCACCCTGACGGGGTTCTTTATGAAGGCGTGAACCCTGCTGATTCGGAAAGAAGGCAGATGATAACATTTACTGGGGCCGTAGCATTCTCGGCCCGCTCCGTAGGACCTCCCGTACTTTCATCAAACCCCGCTAGATATAGATACAAGCTCCTATGTCTTTCGATCTACTACCAACGCTATAGCGGCGACTTATTCGTACTTGACCCCATCTCTTACAACATGTCTTCCTCCGGTAATACCATTAGTGAGGGCCACTTTGGGCCTGCTATCGATATCACAGTATGGCTATGTTTCACGATCACAGGACTTGCTGTGTTCGCAAAGATCTTGGGAAAGTTATGGCGGCGAGATGCGATGCCGCTTGGTTCTGACGAGCTCGTCATGTTCGTCACACTCGTAAGTACCCTTTCCAAACCAAAGTGATCTTGGAAATGCTAAATCACGAAGATCGCTGCTTTGTCGCATTCTCTAGCTGTGTCAAGACAGGTTACGGCTGGGTTGGGCACTAATCCTGAGCAAATACCGGAGTCGCAGCAAAGATCGTATGAGATGTTGGGGTACGCAGCGCAGTTCCTCTATGTGTTGACATTAGGCTCTGCGAAGGTCGCCACCTTTCTCTTCGCCCTCAAACTCGGCGCATCGCGTCATCTTCCACGAATAACCTACGTGGGAATGTTAGCCACTGGTGTGTGGTTCATGTGAGTCCTTCACCGGCTTTGCGAGAGATCGTACCTTCCTGACATCGACACCAGAACCTCTGTGCTACTTATCGCCTTCCAGTGTCAGGGCCCCTCTTTCTGGAAGATCTACTCTGGGCGATGCATTAGTCAAGTACGATTCGAACAAGAAATGAAGATGATAGCACGCTGACCTATTGTGCTAGTCTGGGTTCTGGACCTATGTTGAGATTTTTAATACCAGCATCGACGTCAACTTTGTCATCGCCCTAAATTTCCTTGTACGCGACATACTGGTGGCACATACAAGATATGTCCTATATGCTGTTTTCTCCCTCCGACTTCTGTAAGTCGTCCTGGACGATTCTAGTTACTATTCTCACTGTGTGTTCAGGACTATTCCAGCAGTGGTCATGCGACTGTTTTATTTGTATCGACACGAACTTATGACCGCAAGCCATGAAGAAGCTCGTATTGCTATTGCTACAGCCGCAGCGATGAATGTGAGCGTTCTGGTCACATGCATACCTTTCTTGAAACCGTTCATGGAACAGCTTCAGCCCGGCTGGTCAACAAGCGATATACGTCGCGGGGTCGGATACACGACGTCTCAAGGAAAACAAAGTAGAAGCATTGTTGTCTCCTTTTCTGATCGCTTTCCTATGGGCTCGGTGGTGGCATCCAATGCTAGCTGAAGCAAGACATGCAAGCGGTTATGGTGTCTAAGCAGATCTAAGTCAGCGAATAAAACTAAAATGTTTCGAGTATACCTTGAAGGGGGACACGATAAAGAAGTCATTTCCTGGAACATTTTCACTACCTTTTCTGTATCCATCCCACATGGAATCGTAATGATAATGGGTATAATCTGGAACCTACGACATTGGGAATCATGACTCTTCCGACGCTACGTAGCTTCCTATCAAGGAGAATGAACCTCTCAGGTGAGTGCGCCTATTCACCGGTCTTCAAGGCAATTGGCAATTGGCCCACAGGACGTCATCGTACAACCACACACCGGTATTAGGGCCTAATGCCTTATCGCAGAGATCCTCCAGATGATCTAGGATTGAGTGGGGTAAATCTGGAATGTAATATAGTTTCGGGGAGTACAGTCTGGGCCACCACATCGCCCCAGCCCAGAATGCGGGCTTCTTTGCCTATCGAGCACTTTAGGGAGGGTGCAGCAAGTCCTAATTCGATATTAGCCATATTTCAGAGCCCTGCCTGCTTATCGGGAAGAGTGATCTTGTTTTGGAAGTCCGTGTCCGTTGCCTCACGGGCCTCGAAGCTGATTGGCAAACCAAAAGTTGAGCCACGCCGCAACTGTACAGAGCGCCCCAAACCCTCGGTACACTGTGGCAAGATTCGCTTGCCTACATTTGCCTTACATTAGATGATGCTGACATCGCATCCAGTCCTCAAGGGCTCAGCTCTGGTTTGCTTCATCTAAAGAATGTTCGTGAATCATCTACACCCTTGTTCACTACGTCTGTGCCTTTGCGCAGGAACGCACGAGTTATTGATTATGCACTGCGCCACTTCTGTGTTCTTGTTTTCAATAAAAGTTGACATGCACTTGGTTTTGATCAGGCGGCATATGGGACATTAGCAAGTCGAGCCGATTTGCATGCTATCAACTACTGCGTATTTTTCCCGGCCCCAACGCGAAGTGTTGAAACGTTCAAATTTTGATCATATCTGGTCTCGACGTGCCCCATCGATTTTTCTCCTACTCAAGTGTCTCTTCCCTATGACCTCGATTATATCAAGAAATTGTACATTCACAATGTCACTTCAGCTTTCTTTGGTCACTGATGATGCGGACTTTTACAAATTTGCGCCCCTGATGTTTGAGGCGATTCACCCTAATGGGTTCGTTGCCGCTTGCTGGCCCAGAAATTTGACTCCAGAAGCGCAGACTCTCCATGCTAGTGGGTTCATTGCCCACAAAGGCTTCGATCCCACTGTGCAATGGGTCAAGGTCACAGACACAGGCACTGGGGAAATCATTGGCGTCGCTCAGTGGCTTATCATTAAAGATGAGAAGCCGCCAGAATTCGACTTTGATGGACCCCCTGGTACATGGAAAGACGAGAAAGAAAAACTATACGCCCAAGACATTTATCGCTCCTTCGTGCGTTATAGACGCGATGTGATTCGCAACAATGATCTGCCGATTGTTGGTGAGTAAAGTCCTGTAGGTTCGTTGTTTGGCGTCTAGAGCTGATAGCTGTCTGATAGCTCTGAGCATCATGACGGTGCACCCGAACCATCAATTCCGCGGGGCAGGTACCATGATGATGAAGTGGGGTACTGAGCTCGCTGACAAAACAAATGCGTTGGTATGTAGTTCACGAACTTCAATTTTGCTGGCTTGAGGAATCTAATGCTAACATTGGGAAGTCTGTTGTAGAAGCCACCACTGCCGGTCGCTGGCTGTACGAAAAGTCGGGATTCGAGACTAAGCACCACTTTGCTGTCGAAGCGTCTGGAGAGGCGAATCGAAAGGTTGTGCAGAGGCTTTTCTTTATGGTCAGGCCCAGGGCCTCGGGATCGAACGCTAACAATGTTTAAATACGATAGGCCATGAATTCTGCGTTTCTGAAGAGAGTCTGCATAGTGATTCATCAGTTCTGTATTGGACCCTTTCCCATCTCAAAAGAACTTTTCTAAATATTTGTGATATTTGACCCAGAAATCGCTTGCATCTGAATGCACAATGTTCTCCATATCGTAAGGTTATGAGATACTAGAACTCATTCACAGACATCGGTGAAGCTTTCCAAAGCCCAACGGCGGCGGATGGCCTAGACGAAAATATCGGACGTGTGATTTGTGGTCTAACGAAGAAGCATTACCGACCTCCAGTTTGAACATCGAGCGTCCTGGTTACACTCATGTGATGAAATATGAGAACGATCAGATGTGAAGTGCGGAGACATGATGAGTACATTTCATGATCAGACTCCTATACAAATCAAGCGAGTGGATGGCTATGTCTGCGCTTTCCATGCACTTGCCCACCAGATTATAGCACATCAGAAACAATCAGCTACCATCTCCACCGCGTGAACACTTCCTTGTGGACAGTTCAATGCCTCGGCTTCACCATTCGTGATGGCTCCATCATCCTGGCTTTTGACTTCTTTGCGGTATGAGCAAACTGATGCAGCTTGTTAAATGGACAGAATTACCTTCTATCGGCAAAGCAACAGCGATTGTCGCAATGAGCAGCACAAGAATGCCAATGAGAGAGCGCATATTCTTGGTATGACCTAAAGTACGGTCTGTTTGACGTGGAGAGCTTGGATTATGTCGATGTAGAAGGGATCGCGGACCTGATCAGGTGTCAGCGTTAAAGAGTGCAGGAATGCTTTATATAGGCAGTCGTCACCGTATTCTTTACGTAGTACGTAGACATAACTCACCGAAGGAATATTGGATATGCAAGTATCATGGTCTGGCCCTGCACTGTATACGAGAGCTGAAACAATCAGAGGGAGTCGATAAGAGTCCAGACGTTTCTCAGAGGCGCGTATGACCCTATTGAGATTTGAAATCCTTCGGAGAACGAGCACATTTACCGTAAACAACACGGAGCAGAAGTGATGGATGCTGTACGACATTGAGGCGGGATGCATACCGCGGCTTACATTGGTTCGCAATTGCTTCCAAAATCCCTTGCTTTGCCTCACTAGAAAATGAGAGAACATGCTAAGAGCTAAGTGATTTCTTCAAAATACGTGGAGCCTCGATTGAGCGCAAGTGAAAAAGCTCTTTAATTACACAGTGTATCCTGTTTCTGATGCTGATGCCAAAGCCGTCAAGCAACTCTCAGCATCTCAGGTTGTAGACAGGTTATTTTGCAATGCATTTGGTAAGGGCGTACAATCACACCGTACGTGATCTAAAATAAGGCAACTCGGCCTCGACGGGGCTCAACGCACCTATTGCAAGGATTACAGCGGGTGGGCTCCATTCCTCGCCCGATTATGCGGCCCAGTTTCGCCTTGCTATCGGGGGTGATACACGCTCTTACCCCGGTAACCGGTTCGGGTAGTCGACTAGCTCCTCGTTATCAGGACTAGAATTATCTAGATTCAGCACACCTCCGCATGTTCGTAGTCTTAACTATCACAGTCTTCCTATCTCTCTCTCTTGGCCCATTACAACGATGTCGTATGTCCAAGTCGAGCAAGAGAGTCTGCTGGATGGAAAGAACAGTCATGAGAGCTACGACAATACTGACCTACAGACCAAATGGCTTCCCGTTTCCCGTTCGTCAAAATATTCCCTCTCGCCTATCGTAGCATATACATTATCTCTATATGCGGTCATCTCAACCTCGTTGCTGGTATGGACGTCTTGGAGCTTGTTACATTCGAGAGTAAGACCGTATTGTGCGATTATCACTTTCGTGTCTATATCAACTTATCACTGACTCGTCGACAGCACCGGCGAATTTATTTGTCCATGAAGATGTCCAGAACGTTCACGCGGATATGGGTACTCTGTTTTCCCAAGAGCCGTCGCCAGCTCACAACAAAGTTTGGGAAGATTTACTTGCACGTAGGTACACCTCAAGGGCATCCACCGCAGGACACTGATCATGAAGCCATGCACTTGTGGGCGACAAGACACGAGCTCGAAGAATCAAATGACAGCCCCGATGATCGCTTAGTTCTAGTGAAGACAGTTCCCGGCGGAGTAGGTGATGGTCGCTGGACCAACGGGGATTATCTCGCTACCTTGGGCGTATACCACGAGCTGCACTGTCTTGTAAGTGGTTGTTGTCCTATTACGATTGTGAACAGAAATCGGGCTAACGACTATGCGTCAGAGACGAATCTACTGGCACTTCTACCCCGATGTATACTTTGTGAACATGACAAGCGAGGCAAAAGAGGAAGAGAGAGCACACGCAAGTAAGCAACCAGATACAGCATCAGTAGCGAGGACTTTGCTCACAGATAGCTCACAGGACACTGTATTGATACTGTCCGCCAATCTCTTATGTGCGCTCCAAACCTTGGGCTGTACTCTTTCAAGTGGATGGGTGACAATATCAAACCTGCACTGAAAACGGGTGCGCAAAGAACATGTATTAAATGGAATCCTATTCAGGAATGGGCAAACTCTAGAGCCACTGGGTGGAATCCACTAGTGTGGAAACCAAAGAATGTAACCAAGTAGGCTGAGGCTGGAATTAGGTGCGGGTGTGGCTGCGGGCCTTGCGGGAGCGGCTTCGGGCCTTGCGGGAGCAGTTTGGCGGCGCAGTGTCGGTATGTGTTCCCTTTTGGGGTCGCGTTTAGGGAAATTCGAATCTGCACCCTGGTAATTAATGCTCGATACTGATGCGTGAGATTTAAATTATACGAGCAGTAGAAGTGAGGCACAATATGCGGGCTGACCCGTATTGGTTATCCTTCCCGCAATATGTACAGATCCCCGCATTTGTGCGAGCAGCTTATCCTGACCGTGCCGCAAACCCAGCTGAACTTTCAGCCTTTCGGCGGTCTACGTCCCGGGCTTCTTTCTTCCTCATCCATATCGCACAATCTGTTCGCCGACTCACTAACAGTAGTCTTTTTTTACAATCACTATGGGTTTCGAGCTACTGCCAGCTACTAAAGAGGACTTTAAGTTCTTCATTCCTCCGTTGTTTAAGGCTATGGGCCTTGCCCACTTCGTTGCAACCCTATGGCCCGATAACCAAACCGAGCAAGGTCAACAGCGTGCAATTGAAAGATTCATGGCGGAGATGTGAGAGCTAAAATGAACATATTGTCGAACGCCGCTAATCGTCCGGGTAGGGACGGCCATCCAGGTATCAGGTGGATCAAAGCTGTTGATACCACAGCTACCGAAGCAGACGGTAGCCCAAAGATTGTAGGCGTTGCGCAGTGGGCCGTTTTCGAGGCCAGCAAAACCTACCGAGAGGTCCCTTATTACGCGCCTGATGATATTTGGCCCAATGAACTAGAGAAGGACTATGCGATCCACCTCTGGGAGAGTTATATTCAACCGAGGCGAAAAGTACTGCGGGAAGATACTCTTCCAGTTGCCAGTAAGCAACTCGTGTTAGCGAAGCTTTTTACGATAGTTTACTTAGTGGTCCTAGACTTGCAAATTCTTTGCGTATGGCCTGAGTATCGTAAACGCGGTGCTGGAGGTCAGCTAGTGGACTGGGGCAATAGAATGGCTGATGAGTTGAATGCCGTGTGTGTGGTCGAGGCATCGGGGATGGGCCAGCCACTCTATGAGAAATTTGGATATGAGGTGCAGGAACTAGTAGGACTCAAGGATGATGCAAGGTTTAATCATAGAATGGATGGCACGATCCATCGCTTCATGATGAGAGCAAGGCAAGTAGCTGCCCAGTCTTCGCAATAGAGGCGAAACGAGACGGTCGTCGTGCGACGTTGGATTCGGCTTTCGATAATGATACTGGCAGAGTCGAGGTACTGTACGTTTTCACATAATTATCATGAAGTGGGCTTCGATGATCCCCGAGGGGAAAATACAAGGACATTATTCCGCGCACATATAGATACGGTTATTGGTGCCCAATGTTGGGTTAAGGGCGCGGCGCAGTTTGTTACACACGATTGGTGCTTGATGTAAGAAACATATCGTTTACCCCGCCAGTAACCCACCCTTCTGTATCCACCACGCAACAACTAACACCTCCATCTAGTTCGCAGTTGCCTGGGGTTACTCATCCCAGTTGATACCCCCCGAATACTCATACGCCTCCAAATGTACAATCACGCCTTCTCTCTTTCCTTCCGCAACGATCTTATTGCACTGTTGTTTGTAGGTATTGTCCGCTTCCTGTTTACAGGCTATATGTAGCTCTTGGAGGTTCGGTAGCTGGGATCGGCGAACCGCACGAAAGCGACCGAACAAGGCATCAAGACCTTTGTCATAAGGACCGAGTCCCTCTGATTTTATCGATAGATGTCTGACTGAGGTGGGGATCAAGTCGCGTATGAACGGGTCCGATGCGATGAGGCGCTGCAACGAGGTAGCTATGTTTCCTGTGACGCCTGCGGCATTCAAGTTGCACGTGACAACTTTCAGAGGAAGTTCAAACTTCTTTAACTTCTTGAAACCACGTGTCGATGCCTTGCCGGGGAGAATAGAGCCGCCGGATTCATGAAGCGTTACCGAAAATTCCTCAAGATGACTTCCAGCCTTGCGCGCTACTGCATTGATAAACTTGCAGATATCCCAGTCTCGAGGATGATACCGATAGCCATGTTGTGTGCTATGGGAGTAATGTAACATCTTTAAGCGCGGTGTACAAGTGAGAAAAGCGGCTATGCCTGCGTCGTCGAAGCAACAGGCACCTAGAACAGCTACTTCAAGTGTTCTTGCGATATAAGGCGAGCCGCGAAACACCATACACTTAGAAATCCTTCTGATCGCTAAGCCATTAGGACTGCTATACGACTTTAAGTGCGGTAGAGCGAGGAAGGGGCAATGCCAACCCATACCCCAATCGTTAGTCTCGGATGTCGAGTATTCACCGTGGAAAGCAGTTAATCGCCGAAGACCGGGAGAGGAGGGCTGAAAGTTGGGTTTCCTAGCCTCCATGACAATGACATCTAGCAGCCGAGTCGTCGTGGCATTCTGTTTCCATGAACCCGGTATGGTGAGGTTCTCGGTGTAACCTAGCAGGGTCAAAAGAAATACACTGCCGTGCTGCGAATAGCGCATTTCTCTGACGTCCTCCGCGAACGTGGTATAGTGTTCCCTCCAGTCAAGCCGAGCTCGCTGGAGATACGTGGAGTTGGCAAATAGTTGGACAATTGCTCCCCCACCCTCGATGCTTGGTACTGACTTTGGTGGTTTACCGCGGGCACGTGCATGCCGGAGGAACTTGCTGTCGTGGACAAGGTTTGCGGTATGAATATACTGCGCGACGATAGGATCAGCAGCGATAAGGCTGATAAGGTCGGAAGCGGCCACAAGGCTGTCACGCTCGTAGTCGTAGTAAAAATCTTGGAAGCGGTAGCGCAACTCGTTGTGGCGCTTGATAAATGGTGTGCATCGCGCATAGATTCGCTTGCAGGTCGTTGCCAAGTTCTCGAAGCTTGATGGTAGAGAGTATACAATGATTATGTCGAGAAGCTCACAGGGGAGGGCCGCCAGAGCCATGATGAGCTAGTTCGTCTCTTTTCGAGGTTGTTGACTGTGTGTCTCGAGTCTCTGATCGCAATGAGTGATGATGTTTTGGCTAGGCAACCATGTGGCTTCCAGATGGGACCCCGTCAGCTGCAAGCGAAAGCTTGTGTAACTATTCGATGGCTGTGCCAGTGCCTCAGCCTTGCTGCTGCGCAATTTCGACGTTTACCCCGCCTTCTTCTGGAACGTTGATTTCTACTAAACAACCCTTCTGTATTTACCACTCAACAACACTATTGTTGAACCACTTCATTCCCCAAAGGCGTTGCGTAACTGCACCTGCATCATCATCAAGCGACAAGAGAGCCTTCTTTCTAATGATAGCCACTCCATAGAGGGGGTTTGACGTCCGCGCCGATTGCTCCTCTCGAAAGCAGTAAAGCGATAGCCTGCAGATGCGCTGCACATCAACAGACGTCTTCTCACAATGAGGCTCATCAATTGTACTACCTACGAACTGAAAGAGTTCGTTGGTAGCAAATTCCCAGCCTATGCGATACTCAGTCACACCTGGGCAGAGGAAGAAGTCACATACGACGATTTTACATCGCCTTCAGGAGGATGGCGTAAGAAGGAGTGTGGAGAGAAAATCACGAAAACATGTGAATTAGCTTGCTCTCAGGGGTTGGAATGGGCTTGGGTGAGTGAGATTGCGTTTACAAGGCGCGTAGGCTAACTAAGTACCTAGGTTGACACGTGCTGTATTAATGTATGTTCATACAGTCCCAGTTTGGGGTTTTGACGTCTAAGTTTTGTTCTCTAGAAATCAAGCAGCGCAGAATTATCCGAAGCCATCAATTCCATGTTCACATGGTACAGACGAGCTAAAATTTGTTACATCTGGCTAAGCGACTTCCACTTTGCTCAGGATGCAAGCTTAGATTCAATGTCTGCGTGCAAATGGTTCACTAGAGGCTGGACATTGCAGGAACTTATTGCGCCTCGCATCCGCAAATTCTATGATCAAAATTGGAATTACTTTGGCGCGTCGATTCGCGGACGATTCAACGAGAGCAAATACAAGAGAAACCTGACTAGCGAGCTGTCGAAGCTCACACGAATCCCGAGTGACGTTTTAGCGAACGATACCAAAAGTCTAAATCTTACTTTGAGAACATATGCGGTCTGCCAGATAATGAGTTGGGCCGCGCATCGGAAGACGACTCGAGAAGAAGACGTGGCTTACTGCCTCCTAGGTAGGCCGCCTTCGGTGAATTATTATCCTGACGTATGGAATTGGATGCTCATTAGCCTCGCAGGTCTTTTCAGAATCAGCACGCCTCTAATTTATGGCGAAGAAGGTCAGGCTTTCAGGCGTCTGCAGTATGAGATAATCAAAGAGTACTGCGACCTCACCATCCTTGCCTGGACGGATGATTTTTCTTCCAATATTGTTCTTGCACGTTCGCCAAAATCTTTCGCCAGATCCGGTGACATCGTGCTTGCCCCAGGGCAGGCGCCAGAGTTTGCCGTAACAAACAGAGGTTTGAAGATCCAGCTAACACCAACACGACACGACGACGGATGCGTTTTCCCGTTGTTCTGCCACAAAACGTCCGATCCAGCAAGGAACTGTGCTATCCGTTTAGTATTACTTGCAGAACACAACGTATACGTTAGAGTTAGGACAAACAGACTGGAAATGTTGCAGGATCCAGCTTCGACGCCCTCGCCAACGGGGCTCCATGTTCCCTACATATACCTGATCACGAGCTACAGTCAGATAACCGAAAAGCTCAAATGAAGTCGTTCAAAAATATCTGGATAGCTCTTACATCGCGGTGCATGTAACCTTTCGATGTCAATAAGAATGAGTGAAGAATTCGAAGATCTCCCAGTGACAAAAAGCATATCGTACATCAAGCTCTACTACAGTCCAAACACCACATCCAGCAGCATGCATCCAGAACTCGAACACATCTGTTCCTTTTCAATCAGACAGTGAACTCCCTCCAACCACCATCCTAAGCGCCCCTGCGCCCGCATGCCCATACCGCGCGTTCTTGCCCCCTCTCTAGCTTCCCACTTTACATCCCCACTCTCTGCAAATCTTCCCCGGCTACGCACTCCCAACCCCAACCACATGTTGCGTCATGAACATCACCACAATGGATTCCTTGTTTGATCCCTCTTCACACATCATCCTTTAGATACCCAGATAGCGTGAAGAACAAGTTCCTAGCCCGGAACACAAAATGTGCACACCATACGCTTTAATGACTGCCGTCTGGAAGGCACAAGAGTAAGGCGAAATTATGAGAAATGAAAGGTGTATGAGGCCTCTCACAACCGTGACGTGCAGAATCTCGCTTTTCATCTCATAAATTAAATTTGACTATTGTAAAAATATCTACACACGAACACAAACTCCCCTCCCAGCTCCCCTCAAACCCGACAAAGCCTCCCATCCTGCGTCGGAACCCCCGATCCCCATCCTCAACCACCCACTCATCACTCCCCACCCCATGATGCACATAGAACAAACCCGTCGGATCCCACTTCTTCTTCAACTCCGCCAGACGCGCGTAGTTCGCGCCCCAGAAATCAGCTTTAAAGTTGGGATTCCACGGATCTGCTTCGTTGCCATACTCGCCACCTGTAGGCGTAACGGCGCGCAGCGGACCCATGATCTTGTTCGCGAAGTCGTCCTCGGCTTGCTTTAAGCCCGCTGCTGTGGAGGGGTCGGCAATGCCGTTGATCATAAGGACCATGGCTTCTTCCTTGCGAAACGCGGGGTTGACGCTGTTGATGATCTTGGCGGGGTTGTTGGGTCTCTGGTTGTAAATAGTGATTACGGGGGCGGTGTCGATGGCGCCGCGGATGGCGGTCCAGGTCTTGTTGCGGATAGCCTCGGTGGCCCAGTTCTCGGTGGGGACAAGGCGAACGCCAGGGGTTCCGGCGGTGCTGCCGATATGGAAGTCGCTGTCTGCCCAGCTGGCTTGGTAGGCTGGGTAGAAGGTGTCGTAGTGGGTGACGTTGAGCTCGTAGGGGATGCCCAGTTCGGTCAGTTTGTCGAAGTAAGGTTTCAAAAGAGTGTTGAATTCTGCGACTGTCTTCTTGGTTGCGAAGAAAGGTGCCATTGTGTACAAGTAGCCCACACCAGCATTGATAATGGTGCCGTACGAGTACGTTTTGTTGCTGTTGTAGTTGGGGATCTCGTCCCAGAAGAACTTGAGAGCCTTCCAGAACGGCTCGGGGCCGCTAACAAAGGAGTTGAAGCTCCATTGGGCGACGGTAACGGGTACCTTTTCGTGAACTTTGACAACAGCTGAGGTGACTATACCAAAGGTTCCACCACCTCCACCCAACAATGCCCAATACAAGTCACTGTTGACGGTGGGTGTCGCAGTGAGAAAGAGACCACTGGCAGTGACAACTTCGAGAGCAAGAACCTGGTCGGAACCCATTCCGAAAAGCTGCATCAGTGGGGAGTGACCTCCATTGGCGGAGTAGCCGCCGAAGACTCCGACGGTAGGGCAAATTCCGCCAACTGCAGAGACGCCATACTTGTCGGCAGCCTGGTAGAGCTCGTACCCCTGCACACCTGCTCCTACCTTAAAGACAGGGCCGTTGTAGGTGGAGCTCTTGTAGTTCTGGATGTACTGAATCCCCTTCAAGTTGTGCGTCCAAAGGCTCAATGCACCTTTTCCGGTCGACCTTCCATTGTAGTCATGGCCAGTGTTCTTGATGACAAGACGGAGATTTGAAGTACGTGCGAAGTTGACAGCCAACTGGATTTGGGCCACGTTTGTAACATGGACGGAGTACGAAGAATATCCGCCCTGAGTACAGTTGCCGTGTGACGCGGCATCGCCGGGAAGCAGGCAAGTGGGCCCTGTGTACAACGGCCACATAATCGAGCCGGGGTCGTTGTAACTGCAGAGGTCAGACCTGAAAGATGGAGGCTCTAGGGAATGTCTCACTGAAGCTCGCCGGTTGTCCAACCAGCAGTGACAGCAGCGCACTTGTCGGCATTGTAATTATCGAACTCGGAATCCTTGTAGCAGTAGGAGGCAAGCGGGACAATTGGCTCCAATGCACCACCAAGCAGGAGATCGAAGATACCCCATACGAGTTTTACGGGGTAAAGCAGATCTCCAGGTGCCGACTTGCATTTCAATAGGCGGCGCTGGCGTTTAGCGCGCTCAGACAGTTGCGTGGTCGTGTTCTCGAAAGCAAAGAGATGGGCATAGTCAGCGATTTCCGGTGTGTTGACGATGTCAGTGACGACCGCATCCGTCAATTGAGTCGTCTCCGCCTCAAACAATTGAACACCTGCTTCGGTGGAGTCTGCAGGCACCTCTGTCGCGGCAGGAGCGACTGCTGAGGAGATGGAAGCAGGGACAGAGGGCACAGGTTCTTGAGCTCTTACGAGCACGGCTGCTAGAGAAAGAACGAGTGGTGCCAGCATGCTGAAGGACGGTCTGCTGGAAGTGCTGCTGAGGCAAGGACGGACCTGTACTTGGCAGTTGGTGGCTTCATCGTTGCGGCTCGGAGACTATTTAAAAGATGCTGGCAAATGCAGGCATGCAATGGCATGAGCGCAATCATGTTGCCGGCCATCGCGACATGTTCGGCACTTGCGCGTCCACTGGGCCAGTGGTCCAGAAGGAATCGCAGAGCGAGTCAGTACGGTATCGAGTGGCAAAGCCACGCCGTGCACCCAGAGTTGTAGGCAGATGGGCACCGACACCGTGGGTAGGCAGTGCCTGGACCGATAACGTAAGCTGAACGCGGCTCGGGCCTCGCGTTCCCATTTGTGGATTCGCACGTGCAGGACCCGGAGGGTCGGTCGTCCTGTTGTGCAACCGAAGTGAGCAATATATATTCCTTCAGGTACTCCACTGGTTTTCTATTTATCCTGCGGCGTGGTAGATCGATCTGAGACATTTACTTGTTCACCAGATCTCGTACGGAGCGCCCACATCAGCGGGTTCAACGAGTCTTCAGAGTTTGGAAGCGAAAGCAACACCTTCCATCCGGATTCGACCGACTGCCGTAAAGGAACGTATGGGGCGGATCGAGGGAACCCCACGGAACTAGTGGCATCTGTCAACATGTCACTTTTCGTGCGCCATTCCCCGGTCGTGCTAGCGCATCCAATAACCCATCTCGCTTACAGGACGGCCTGGACGACATCCTCGTTATGGAACACCCAATGATAGGGATGCAGTCATGCAGCCCTAGGCGAGACCCTCCATTCGAATGTTCCAAAATCCAAAAGCAGCTCCAGGTACCGACTCGACCGGAAGCTATCCGCGTGCTACCAAGAAGCAGAAGCGGACCGGGAGGGCCGATCCATAACGAGAAAATGGTTCTCCTGCTAGACTTAGTGCATGAGATCGTGGGAAAGCGCATGAAGAGCTTCACTACCTGTGATCCTGTCATCCGGGTCCACTTGAAGAGCTCGCCGGATATGGCACGTCAGAGTGTTAGCAAGTACACACGTGTCATGCGACAGGAGTATCTTCCAACCGTGCGCGCTTCTTGCTGACTCCATATTCCTATTAAGGCACTGGAAGTCTTGGGCATGCTGCAGACCACTTATCTCAAGCAGCTGCTGTCTTTCGGGGAAATGCTCGCCCGTATCGAGTGGCAAGGGCCGACTAAGTATCATGTAGAAGATGGCCCATCCTATAGACTTCACCATATCATGCCGACCTGCGGCGTAGCAGCTCGTCCCGAGCTTCACTGCTTTTCCACTGGCCTGCCTGACCTCTACTGAGGCGGTTCTGCCGGTGGCTAGTCTCCTCGCGTGACTGACAGCATGGCTAGGCGATACACTAACTCTCCATGGCGTCAACGTCCCGTCCCTAGACCAAACTTTAACCATCAAATGGCACAGTTTTTGCTTCAAGAAGCGTAGTTCCTACCTCATCAACGCAATGCCAGGAGGCTAGCACTCGTGTTCTGCTTCGCTTCCTCCGGAGGATCGGTCTTGCGCTTCGCGAAGGTCAACAACACGTTTCGCCTGCGTCTCCCGCAGGAGGTGGCTGAACCTTCGAATCTTGTTCCTGCAGAGAGTGTTGGAAGGGCTCCGGAATCGTATGCAGTATGCGAGCGGCGGACGGGACACATCGACATAGATGATGCACGTGCCCTGTGTTCGCTGGGAGGCTGTATACATGGGCTGGGTACCCCATTTCGAGGGTTGCACGACAGATACCCAGCATGTCGGCCCCATTGACGCCGGGCGACATGCCTGGCGGCGTGCCTACGTTCAATCCCAACCCTAGCAAAGGACTTCAACCGCTACTCATCGCGTTACTATACTTGTTTCCTGGGATCGCAGGGCTGATTGTAGCGGTGAGGATCGTCAAGAAGCGGGTAGATCGCACCCTGGGGGGAGGTACGTTTTTTGCCGATCTTTGCTGGAGCTGGAGTTGACGATTCGCAGACGACGCTTTGATAGTAATCGGGTGGGTGCTGGCGTTAGGGAACAGTATCATTGTGCATTTGTGTAAGGGGATCTTCAAAATGTGAAAATTGCAAGACTGACCAAGCCTAGACGTGCTGGAGATGCGCTCCGGATACCACGACGAAGATGTGAATTTCCTTGCCATCGACTGGGTGCGCGCAAACAAGGTCCGTCCAACAACACTCACTGCACACAAACCTAACGCGTCTAACAATTCGCAGTTACAATTCGCCCTCGGCGCCGAATACAACCCCGTCGTCTGCCTCGTAAAGATGTCCTTCCTCTGGTCCCTCCAAAAACTCCGCTCCCCAAACAAATGGATCAAGCGCTCCCTCTGGGCCATCCAAATCATAAACGTCATCTACATGATCGTCTCAACCACCATCGCCCTCGTCCCCTGCCTCCCCCTCCGCAAAAAATGGCACCCCGACATCGCAGGCCACTGCATGGACGGCCCCAAATACATCCTCGGCAACGTCACCGTCGTGCTCATCACCGACGCGCTCGTCCTGCTTATGCCCTCGTGGATAATCTGGGACCTTCAAATGCCGCTGAAACGCAAGATCATGACCATTTCCTTCCTCTCCTTCGGACTGGTCTTGATAGCCGTCGGCATCGCCCGCATGATCTGGCTGTACAACGCCTTCCTCGGAAAATCAAAGTCCTACTCCGTTGAACCCGCGTACTCAGCTATCGAATCCAGCATCGCTATAGTAGGCGCTTGCGGCCCGACTATGAAGTACATTCTCGGGCTTTGTGTCCCGTCACTCAAGTCTGCGTCGGCGAACAGCAAGCGCCCAGGATACGGTAGCAGCTCGCATCAGCTGAGCGTGACGAAGCGAAGTGGGACGGGACGGTCGAGAAAACCGACGGATGGGTACGATGATTTGGATACTTTTGAGGCGAATGCGGAGCGCTATGAGATGAAGAGCGAGTGGAAGTGGGGGAGCAAGAATGACGAGGATGCGAGGAGCGATGAGCAGGAGATTACAAGGGATGTGAACGATGCGCATGGTGGGATTGTGAAGAGTGTTGAGTGGTCGGTCTCTTCGAGGGGCGAGGGTGATGAGAGGCGAGACGAGAGGAGACGAAGCAATAAGAGTCGGACGGATGTTCGTGCAGCTGTCGAGCCTACGGATGTTGTTTAGCGTAGGGTGGCTTTTTCTTTTGAGCATCAGCGTGGGGGTTTGTTCGAAAAGTCAGTATAGACAAAAGGCGTCAGGAAAACTTGCTGTTTGGCGAGGTCGATAAAAGCGACATTGATGGTGTTCTGGAAGGTCTGAGCATGGCAGTGCTGCTGACCGCCGGATCCATGGAATATGAAATGACTCTTAAAGACAATTATTCTTCACCACTATGTTATCCAGACGCCCTCAAACAATTGAACAGTTTACCATCCTAAAATGACACTCGGCCAGAACAAACGTGCACTTGGAATTGAATTACGAGACTTGAGCGCAAGCGCACATGTTGCATTGACACTCAAAATAGTCATCGTCGGCATTTACATTTCGAAATTGGTCTTCTTAAACCGTGCTATCCGACCGCACAAACTGACCGCTGATGTCTCCATCCAAAGCGCCGCCCATGCTCCGTACCCGAGCGCACCGAATGGCGCGTGAATCGCAAGCCCATGAGGCTCGACGGGCAACATATGTGTACATAGTCGTGATACAAAACCCCTCCATAACACTTTCCTCACGCAGGAGCCATAACGCTCTCCTCACGCAGGAGGTTGCACCTCCGCTACTCCGTTCGTCTCTTCTTTCTTCACCTCAACTCCCTCAACCTCCTGCAGAATCTCCGGCTTCCACACCTTCAACAGCGCCCCGCACTTTGGCTTCGCGCGATCATTCTCCCTCCACAGCTCCGCGGTGATGCTGACCACGATTTCCTTGACAGGCGGCCGGAACATGTACAGATACTGCAGCACCTGCGTAGCGAGACCAACGCGCTCCGGGTCTTGCGCCATCGTCTTCAACCTGGACAACATCTCATAGTCGAGGGTGGGGAGTTCGGAATACAACCGAATAAGGCCCTTATCCGAGGGCGCGACGTACGGGAGAATGCCGTCGATGAGGCGGAGAGCATTCGGGCGGTAGTTGCCTTTTGGTGGACCGACTCCGTTTGTTTTCGAATTTGGCGAGGGCTTTGCGGATTGAGCTAGTATCATGTCGTTGTACCATTCCTCGTTGAGCCAGGACATGGCGACGTCGATGCGTTTCTTCCAGTCGCGGATGACGTAGTCGTGTAGAAGATCTCGAATCGTGTCGCTGATTGAAAGACTGCCCTCCACGTTCTTTACAGCGTACTCGTCTTTGATGCCATCATCCGGCTCATCGAGACCAGCGCTCGCCCGTGTTGCAAGCCTGGCTGCGATGGTGATCCATGCGTCCCTTCCGAAGTCACTTGCTGCGAGGCGATTGAATCCACCCTTTGTGCCCTTTGCTTTGTCTTCGAGCTCCCCTATCAACGCGAACGTGCGCCGTATCGCGAGCTCACCGTGTTGCTGGAGTTCTCCTGGTGTCAGTTGCGGAACCTCGGGCAGTTTGAAGGCTGCTGGTGCAACGTGTGTGATGTCGCCGGTGCTGTCAAGCCTGTTTGCTACCTGTTCAGCGTCCTCAGGCTCATAGTCGTCCGGCTCGTACTCGTCCTCATCGACTGCAGCTGCGGAAGGTTGTTGTTTCGCCATGGCTTGGCTGAGCGAAAGGTATCGGCTGCGAACGATCTGCAGGAAACACAGTATTAGCAACTTTCAGACAGCGTATAACGCAAGATTGACGTGTGAGAGTGGTCGGGTTGCAGAGGGAAGAGCAGCTGAGTTGCGAGTATAAGAGCAGCTGCGTTTTCAGGTTGGTGAAAGTGAACACGGTCACGTGAGACCGCGTTCGAACCCAAACTCTGCACCCACGCTGGGGACCATGCCGTGATTTACGCACGCAACAGGAATATCACGTACATTGGTAGCTTCCAGAAGTTTCTTCTCGTCAATGGACTGCAGAATTGGGATGAGGATCTGCTGGACAAGCGCAGGGTCCTGGAACATCTTCACGTCAAAGTTCGCTGCAGCGTTCTCAGGATCTATGGTGTACAGTTGACGATAGCTCACTGGACCAGGAGGAAGAGGGGCTACTGCTGGTACAGCGGGCGATGGGACATCGGCTCCCAAACGCTGTCGCTTTGCAGGGTCTAAACCGTCAGTAGGCTCAACAGGAGCAGGCCGCTTGCGGCTGGTCTCCTCCATTATATCCTGACGCATACGATGCATACGTTCCAGGAAATGCTGCATTCGACCATTGTTAGGGTCGTTTGGCCGCTCAGTGGTATTCCTACTTCGGTGAGTTTCGTGAGATAAGCGCTGTGGCGGTGAGCATACCTCTTCAGGATGTTTACAAGCAGAGCTCGTGTCGTCCGTTCTATAGCCTTCATGCTGACCTTGTTTTTAGGTGTCATGGGCGAATTCGCTAACTTTAGGGGATTGAAGTTCAGCACGCTGTTCAGGATTTTATTGGCGGCGATTGGCCGTCGATAAATCAAGACACCTAAGCTGTTGAGCACAGAGGTAACCAACAGAGCATCACTGTATCCTGTCAGATATGTCCCGCCATCCGATGCCATGCTATCTGACCTATGATCTCCATGTATGATATCTAGTAATCGATCTAGCAATCCGTGCCCTTCAGCTTCGAGGTGTACGTAGGTCAACAACGGATGATCGCGGGGCACGAGTGCGAGCGAGACGTCGCTGTGGTCGGGTCGCTGTATTGCGTGAGTGGACTGCGTATGGCAGCGGGATACGGACATAATCACCCTAGGATCTATCACGCCAGGTGTTTGCACGAGCACCACCTGCTGTACGAACTTGACGCAGCATATCCGGACGCCTGGAGGGGCAGTATCCATTCGATTTAATATATTAGACTTGATGTCGGTCATGGTCTTCCAGTGCTGCTTGTCGTTGGGATCGGAGATTCTGCAAGTGGGTTCAAGCATAAGAAAGTGTTCTCAAGCGCTACGATTACGAGGAGCACCGGGGGTCCAGCATTGTCGCGCATTCCTCCGCTTGTTCCGCATAGTCTTGTGTCTATCTAGCATAAGGGGTCCACTTACGTGTGCCTGTAAACCAACGGATAGACGGAAGCTGCCGCCTGCACTGCGCCTTTGGTGACGCCTCGGTCGTGCACCTGCTCCAAGTAGTACTTGAGCGTGTCGAGCACCAGCAATGCTATGGGTTGTTTCGCTTCTGCAGACCACATTGGCGAAGCAAACATCTCAGCTAAAAAGTCGGCACCGAAGCGCTGCACCTCAAGCGAGGCATTTGAGTTTGGGCCGATGAGCGGCAGCACACCGGGCATCAAGCTGGGGTAATATTTGCTGTCGGTGAGCGCAAGGGAGCGCGCATGCTCTAGGTGAGTGTTCGCCATGGTCGAGGTAGAGTGGGCAACAGTGCACGATGCGACGGGCTTTGTTTTTGCGACAAAGGTAGGTGTTGAACACGCGCCGGTGCTGCTGTGGGTGCAGACTGCGGGCGCGCGCGACTAAGCCCTGATATCCTCCGCTTGGGGTAGTCTCATCACCAGCCGCATCTGCGATTAAAGAAGGTTGAAGGAGCGCGAGAAGGGAAGTGGTGCATCTGCGACGTCAGCGAAGGTGAAGGGACACTGCAGGTCGTCGGCGCGTGCTCGGGATAGAGCAAAGGACGGTCGGGTGCCAAGGCGGTCTGTGCACCGAGCCTCAACTCATTGATGGCGAGACATCCAACGTTTCCCCGCAAAAAGTTAATCGCATCAATAACGAGCAGCCACGATGCCTTAGTGAGTGTACTACAGTGCGTACTACATGTGGTGCTAACGATGGCAGCAAACCGTTCCAGTCAACCTACTACGACGAGCGCATGCGGGCATCGCCTGCTCTGCTGCGTGCCCGAGCCCCGTACCTGATCAAGAACACTATCACTGGCTTCGCTATCTGCTCGCTGGTCATTGGCATCTGTATGCTCTGAGTACCACACAATTGCGCCCATCCTCACAATCTGCAGACACGTACACTATCAACGTCATCTCCCAGGATGAGTTCGACGACGTCGTTGTTCCCGACGAGCCCGCGAAGCGATCCATTGCCCAGATGCAGCCGAACTCCCCTCCGAGCACTACCCAGAGCGTACAGCAGGCCGTTGCGGCGCGCAAGCAGTAGAGTAAAAGAGCATCGTGAACACTGAAGGGACATCAAATTTGGTCGCTACAGAGTGCTGTTGGAAGGCACCTGCAGCTGTAAACTGTGTACAAAATACATATGCATTGTATGGCGTTAGGAGACACATCAGGAGGGAATATCACTTTGTTTTGTCTCGCGTCTTGCGAACTATCTGCGAAATACAATTCTCCACCTTTCGATCAAGCATGTGGGAGCCGTATGTTCTGCCCTCGCTGACAGGCTGCAGCAGAGCCCGTCCCGCAAAAAGTCAAGATATAAAAGAACGAATCAGGACGATACGCAGATGTTGATCTCGGCTTCTACAATACGGAAGGATTGTGCCGGTCATGCGAGCTCGAAGAATTCAAATATTGCAATTCCCATGTGTCGAAACCTCCGCACAAAAGGCCAAGCGATTACGCATCCATACCAAACGCGAACAGGACCTACAGGAGGAGAGGAATGGCTCAAACACTGGCTCGTGACACTGCATAAACTTCCAGGATCTTGAAGCTTTGGAACTATTGACCGCAACAGTAGCCTATCTCAGGCTATGATGAGCCTCCAAAGTCGCGACCTGACACTGTATGACCGGCGTTTGCATTGCCGCGAGAGCATGTGCGCTCAGTAACACCTGGGCATGTACAAAGAGCGAATGCGCGAAGAACACGGCCAGGGTCCAGGCGCCACTTCCGTCTCGGTTCAAGCGTCCTTGAGCCTTCCTCCGACCTCACTCCAACATCAGACCTTCGCCGCTAGTAATCTCCGTTCGTTCTGCTATTTCTTGTGTAATCATGAACTCCGTCTTCAAGCTTGCTAGCTAACGAGTCGTCGCCAAGTCAAATTTAGGATTGTGTCCCCTTGGGTGACTCGCTCCACGATGTGCGTCCAGAGTTGTGACCTGATACTGTATGCACGGTTTACGCGAAAGTCTATGCAATACTACATATGTACGCTGCTAATCCGCCCGATCCGCTCTCGTGTTTCGGGCGTCAAGAAGCTAACAACCGCAGGATGAGCCAGCGAGCGAACCTTTGAATGTTAAGTTGAAGCGCTCTGCTGCGCCTTCGCCCACCTGCACTTCCACGGGCCTCCACGGTAGCGATGCGCTTATAACCTTGCACGGACATCCTGGAAGATTCGGATCGACATACAAATGCTATTCTCGCAAACTGCTGCGCCGACAGTATCCGGTGTGGAGGTTGCCAACGGTCGCCAAGATCTTATTTATCCTGCAATATCGATCATGCACCTTCCCAGTTAAGCAGGAGAGGTAACTTCTCTCTTCCCCGCCCAAACAGTTGTTTGTGGATTTCACGATGGAACCCACCACAATCGATCATGTTACAAATGCTCGAGAATGATTTGCACCGCAGACGCCACGTTGACTTCCGACTTACGTTCAACGACTCCAAACCAACGAATCCGGGGATACAGATTCGAGATCTACTTCCGCCTTACGCCAAGCGATCTTGCAATACGCCAAGTGATTGTTGTGCCCAGCCAGAAGCTTGATCCAGATAATCTCACTTGAGGTTGCCATCTAGAGGCACCGAGCACCGTACCACCTTCCGCTTGAAGACCGTTTATAGTGCTGCAGTATGGCTTCCCCTAGCTACTACGGAGTCTTGGTAAGTCTAGAGCGAGTCATTGTGGTGCTCTACCGATAAGTCGCAATCGGTATAGATTCAATCGCCACAATAGAAGGCTTGTATAAATAACACAAGCACTGCGCGCATATGAGCAGGTTTCAGCGGCTCAAGTCCTACCCCGATACCTGGTAACCGATCCATCATGAAGTATGCTGCAGCAATCGCGGCCCTTGCGGCGGTGGCTTTCGCCAAAGAGATCCCCAAGGACCCGGAACGAGCCGCTGAGCTCTATGACTCGGGTGTCATGCATGAGAGAATCATGTCCGACAAGAACGCTCAGTGGGATATGCAGGAGCGGATGGGTGTCTTGAACGCGCTCGATGGCCCTCAATTCCCTGAGCTTCCATTCGCTCAGTGCAAGGACGGCTTGGCTGCCCCGTTGGACCCTTTCCACAGCAACAACGCCAGCACCAAGTTCCGTTGCAATAACGTATGTCACATTATCTTATGAATTCTAGACAGGCACTCACAATGTACAGATCAATCTTCACCACTTCCTTTCCCACACTGACCTTGGCTCTTCCATTGGCAAGGGCTCAAGCTCTTGGGGATGGGTTAGTGATGACGGACGTGAGTTCGCCATCATTGCCCAGGGTGATGGTGCTGCTTTCGCGGAGATCACCACCGCTGGAAAGCTCCGATACCTCGGTCGTCTTCCCCAGACCACCGGTGTCGCTCCCAGCCAATGGCGCGAGATCCGCACATTCAAGCACTACATCGTTGTTGGTAGCGAGGAGCCCGGCCATGGCATTCAGATCTTCGACCTGAAGAAGCTCTTGGACATTGACTACAAGAAGGGTCCCGTGACCTTCAGCCCGGACACCGACCTCACAGGGTACTGGAACGACCTTCCTCTTGGACGTGTGCACAACGTCCTCGCCAACTCTGCCAGCAATTTTGCATTTGTTGTTGGTGCTCAGCCCCGCAACAGCAGCTGCCTCAGCGGTCTCATCTTCCTTGATCTGACGGACCCCTCCAGCCCTAAGAACCCAGGATGCGCCAGGGACGACGGCTACGTCCACGATGCCCAATGTGTCATCTACAAGGGACCCCATACCAAATACCTTGGCCGTGAGATCTGCTATGCATACAACGAGGACTCGATCACCATCTGTAAGTCCAGTCACGTTCCACATTCCAACGCACGCTAACACACACATAGACGACGTTACCGACAAGAAATTCCCCGAGACCATCTCAATCACCTCGTACGAGGGCGCGACTTATACGCATCAAGGTTGGTTGCTTGACGTAGAGAACCAAGAATGGCTCATCTCCGACGACGAATACGACGAGGTCGAGGGCCGCGGCGTCGCCGCCAACGGCCGTCCCGTGACTTTCATCTGGGACATCCGCGACCTCGAGAACCCCAAGCAGACGGGCTACTACCAGGGCCCCCGCAAGACGATCGATCACAACCAGTACATCTTCGGAAAGTACTCGTACCAGAGCATGTACACCTCTGGTCTGAGCATCCTCGACATCTCGTCTATTCCTACGGACCCCACCGGCCGTGGTGTCAGGGAGGTTGGGTGGTTTGACACGTACCCTGAGGATGATGATATGGAGGATGGAGGCTCGTTGAAGTTCAGCGGCAGCTGGAGTAACTGGGGCGGATTCCCAAGTGGGTTCATCCTCATTAACACGATGGACCGTGGTGCGTTTGTCGTAAAGACACAGAAGCCTCTGCCTTAGATGGTATGAGCTAGTAAAATATTAATCTTATCGTGAAATACGATTGCACGAATAAAGATATCACAGTGACTGAGATCAATATCGAGGGGACATCCGCTCTTTTCTTCTACTATATACGTCTGTCTATATTATCGACCTGCCGCCCGCATCTACTCAACCTTAATTTCCCGTCCTCCCCGTCCATCCGCCCTCTCCCATCAGCTCCACAAATCCCTTACAAACTATCCACAAACTTCACAACCTCCCCATACATATCCTTCGCATTCAGCGCAAAATTCTGTCCGTGCCCACTCCCCTCCTGGAAATAAACCTCCGTATTATTATTCGGGAACGCCCTCCCCTGCACACCCCGTGCATATGTATCCTTGCAGTCTCCCGCGCAGAAGAACAAATCCCTCTCCGCCGGCGCAAACAGTACTTTACCTTCAAACTTGTCCGCCACAGTCATCTGCGCAAACGCAGAGAGGAAGTCGACGGCGGAGTACGGCTGCGCGATCTTGAACGAGTACTCAGCCGCGGGAACTTCGTAGTCTTCGCCGCCGAGGAAAGACTCTGTGAAGGCGAATTTGTCGACGAAGGAGAGCCATCCGTCGTCGAAAGTGTTTGCGAATTGCGGCTTGGAGGAAGGCGGGAGTGTGGAAACGATACGCGAGCCGAACACAGACAAGCCTAGCCCGCTGGTATAAAATGCTGGATCTTCCATACTAGGAAACGCATAGCCCGTTAGAATAGCTGCGTCCGCGAGGTCGGGATATCGGCCTAGAATATTGTTTGAGATAGCGGAGCCGAAGGAGTGGCCTATGAGGACGAGCTTGGAGGGCTTGATGTCCTGGGTATAATGTCCGAAGCGAAGAGAGCGGAGGATAGAAGCCAGCAGCTCGATTTGTGGACCTGCTTCCACTTCGTAGCCTGAGAGGCGGGAGGAGTGGCCTACGCCTAGGCGGTCGTAGTAGAAGATGGAGTACCCGGCGGCGAGAGCGTATTGTGCGAAATTATAGTCTTCTGGCTTGTAGGAGGAGGCCCAGTAGCTTTTGCAGGTTAGCTTTGCACAGACACTCATCGTGTGGAAGCGGAAGATAGAGAGCTCTCTTACCGTCGATCAAAGCCCGCGCCGTGCGTAGCCACTAGCACCGTGTCCTCCTTACCGTCTTTCAGCACCTTCGGCTTGCAGAACGTGCCTGCGGTTTGGAATGTCATTGTCACATTCTTAGAGCCGGAGAAGGCGCTGAATGGGACTTTGCCCTGCTCAGCGATTTTTGCCAGCACGGCGACGACTTCGAAGTTGTTCTTATAGATGGTTTGATTCCATTGAAGTTGAGGCCAGGTTACGGTGCTGTTGACAATGTAATCTTTGCAGTCGCCGTTCGAGGGGTGGACGAAATCTGGGTAGGTGGTGGAGGCGGCGAAGGGGGTGAGAGCAAGCGCTGATAGCGCGATGGAGACTTTTGGGTGAAGCATTGCTTGAGGGTGGTATACTGCGAGGTGATTGATGAGTGAAGAAGTGATGCGGTATTGAATTAGATCGAATCTTGTGCTCTTTATACATCTTCTATACCTGCCTGTGCCTGTGCCTGCGCCTTCGCCCCACTGATGCTGATGTTGGAAGCTGAATTGAGAATTGCGCTTGAACAAGTGATCCGAAGGGCACTGCTAGAATTGAATGCCAGAGAGAAGTCGAGAGAGGCGAGACAGCTCCACCATTTGTGTATACCTCGCACAGAACAGACTCTGATTGGACATCTTCTCGAGGATGTAGTCCTCACGCTACGTGCGGCTTACAACCACTAGCGTGGAGCTACGCCAAACAGGACATGCGAAGCTTACTACTCCGGCAGAGCCGCGATGAACTTGACAAATAATTGTATGAGGACCGAATTGTGGACAGAATTTCAAATGTCATTGATTCCCACCGGCAGACTCTTTACGTCGGAGTTCAGACCTTGTAATCTCGGAAGGCTTTCGCTTCGTCCCCACCAACGACCGAAGTCTGCATGTACTCCGCGCCAGTAATACCAGCCATGGAAGCATCGTCTGAGAGTGAGACCACGCCAAGCTTGCGTGCTTCTGCTTCGGTAAATGTGCCATATACATCAACTTCGTCGATCTGGTCCATGTCGGGTATGGGAAACGCGAGATTAAGGAGGTAAAATACCACCGCACTGATGAAGAAACCTAATACGATCAATATCTCACTGATCACAAAGCGTAAACAAATACTCACCGATAAGAAAGGCCATGTAATATAATTGTACCAACGGTCTCGAGGGATTCGGGTCCATGCGAACTGTCACAATGAGCCCACCGATAGTAGGTGCCCATCCACATATCCACGCAGGAATCGCGCGCCAGTTGATCCCTTTCCAGAAGTAGTAGGATGAATCTTCGGTCCGGTACAGATGGCTAAGTCGCACTCTACGTTTGCGAAGTAGATAGTAGTCACAAGCCATTATGCCTATCATAGGCGCAAGAAACACCGAGAAAGACGAGAGCACAGTGATGAACGTGGTCGCACGGTTGATCAGTTGCCACGGCTGCACAATCCACGCGGCCAGAAAGGTGATGATGGCTCCCCGCCGGATATCAATATAGCGAGGGAAAAGACCAGCCAAGTCAATGCCACCTGCAATGGCGTTGCCACAGATGTTCTCAAACATGGCAGTGAACGCAAAGCCAGCGGAGAGAAAGAATACCGCAGCACGTGATTTCGAGGATCCGTTACCATTGTCCATCATGACCATAAGCAAGTCCGGAGGATTCCAGTAGACTTCGCCGTAGATTTTCTGCGCAGCTGAAGCGGTGACCAATCCGATCAGCGACACCAGAACGCCAGTGACTAGGCAGCTGGAAATGGTGCCAATGAGGTAGTGCCTTCGAGAAGACGCATAACGTGAAAAGTCCGAACCGTTCGTAATCCCGGCTGCTAGACCTCCGATGGACTGATTAATTCCAGCCATGATGAGCCATGAGGAAGACCAACGCGATCCTGCGGGTAATTGTTGGCCCGTGTTCCAAAGAGGACCGACGCCCTTTGCGACAGCCAATGCCCAGATCATCCACGCCAACATTCCAACGGAACACCAGGTACATACGATGAGAAACGGAATCTTGAACTTTTCTGGTCTGATCCAGAGAAATGGCGTTGAGAGGAACCAGAAGACGACAAAACCGACAAATTCGTAGGTAGTTGTTGGCATGTCTGGGCCGAATGTGTTCTCGATACGCGCAAATGAAGGCCAAATCGCGGTGATGCAGACAGCGCAAAGCCGCCCACCGTTCCAACCTAGACCACTGTCAATTATCAACTTGAAGGTCGAAAGGTTGCTTCATACATTGTACCGCATTCCATATGAAGTTTAGCAGGATACGTTGCGTAAGTGGGATGTAGCTAGCTCTCATACCCCACGAATACCTGTTCTGCACCGTGAAGCCAATGTGCCATTTAAGGCCAGCCCAAGCAACCAATGTCGAGAACATAGAGATAAGTATTCGGCCCACGACGATAATGAGCATGGCCTGGCGAACTGAGAGGCCCATTGCTGCGTCTGATCAATATGGACAAAAGCCTCGTCCTTATCATGTGAACCTACTAAGGTACGTATTCGGCGTCTGCCAGTTGGAGAGATTCAAAGAAGCTATGCTCCAGAAACCAAAGAAGTTGAACCAGCCCCATGTTCTCCGTGAAGGTGGCAGCGGAATAAGATCGCGGTTGCTCCAGGCGTCGGTCTGCTCATGCTTTGCTGTATCGCCCTGTAGGCGAATGCTATCGTCGAAGGCTGCGAAACGCTGGCGGATAGCCATATTACCTGAGATTTAGAAAAAGCAACCGTAGAATCTGACGCGAAAATCGTTTGTGGCACAATATTGTATATGATTGAAACGCATGATAAGCAATCAAGCAAGTCAGGCGAGGGCATGTTGCGCTTGCCAGAGATGTACAGATCGGCAGAGGTAGCAACTGCAGTCGTGATACGAGCGAAGTGCGAGTGCGGGGTTCCATCTAATCAGATTGATAAAGCACCTGGTAGTGAATGCTACCACTGGCCGAATGAGAGTCGAGATATACCATGCAATGCAGCGGGTTGAGATCGACTTTAGGTAAGGTGGAGTTGGGTAACCACTCGTAACAACCCCACCTTCGGAGTTTTACCGTCCGATGTTCGGCTGCGACGTCTCTTATCTGATCATGCAGCTGCTACACCCCACGCAAATTGCTACTTCCCCTCTTCTCCCGGCTGTCTCTTCTAGGCACCTGTATCAACTATGGGTTCTGCAGCTGGGCAAAGGAATCTGCGCATAGGTGTAGATGTGGGCGGGTAAGCTATCACGATGGCGATACTCACAAGGCGAATAACACCTTGTTAGCACGAACACCGATGGAGTAATCATTGACCCTACAAGGTCAAAGGAGGCTGACAGGGGGTATTGTCGCGTGGTGAGTAGGATGCGAGCAGCGACACGTGACTACATGTTCACTTGTATGCTACGGAATATCAGCAGCAGAACAGCTTTCAGACGATGAATTACTTACAAATATCATAGGCACAAAGCACCGACAACGACAGACCCCAGCCATGGCATCGCAGCGGCAATCACCACGATGTTCAAATCTGCATCGATTGAGCCATCATCGGTAGCAAGCGTCACCATCGGAACGACCCATTTTGTCAATGCAGTGATAACACGGGATCATACGCGCCTCTCCCGCGTTGCTGTCATCCGACTCGGCGCCCCCTTCAGCAAGCATGCTCCACCCTGTATCGACTGGCCCGCTCCACTGCGCAACCTGATCCTTGGCCATCACGCCCTGCTAAAAGGCGGTCTCGAAGTAGACGGCAGTCTCATCTCCGAAATTCGTGAGGCTGAGATCGTGGAACAATGCAAGATCATCAAAGAGAAGGGCATCAAGAGTATAGTCATCAACGGTATCTTTTCACCGATTGATACGGTAGAGAAGCAAGAAGAGCGCGCAGCTGAGATCGTCATAAGGGAATTAGGAAATGTAGATGTCGTGTTGAGCAAGACAGTGGCGAACTTGGGCTTCTTGGAAAGGGAAAATGCAGCGATATTGAATGCCTCTGTGTTGTCGTTTGCGCGGCGGACGATAGCTTCGTTTCAGGAACCCATCAAGAAGCTCGGGCTGGACTGTCCTGTGTTCATAACACAGAATGACGGCACGATCCTTTCTGGAGATGCGGCTGCGCGCCTGCCTATCCGTACATTCAGTTCAGGCCCGACGAATAGCATGCGCGGTGCTGCTTTCCTCGTCGGCAAGCAAGATCATGGCGAGGCAATGATGGTAGTCGATGTCGGCGGCACCACCACGGACGTAGGATTGCTCCTTGCGAATGGCTTCCCGAGACAACAAGCTGCATATTCGGAGCTTTCGGGCGTTCGGATGAACTTCTCCTATCCTGACGTGAAGAGCATTGGCCTCGGTGGTGGTTCCCTTGTACGCAGGATTGATGGGAAGATGCATGTTGGACCAGAGTCGGTCGGCTATAAGCTTCCCGAGAAGGCATTGGTATTTGGGGGAGATGTGCCAACTGCGACTGACTATATAGTCGCAGCAGCTAAGGATCTTGCGATTGGCGACTCAAGCAAGGTCCAAGGAAAACTGGCTGAGGAAGACATCGATGCTTTCAAGACGGAAACGAAACGCATGCTAGAAGAAATCATTGACACTATGAAGACCTCGCCGGAGGACCTACCCGTTCTGCTCGTTGGTGGAGGCGCTGTTGTCGCGCCCGACGAGCTCAAAGGTGCAAGCCGCGTCATCAAACCTGAGTGGTCTGGCGTAGCCAACGCAATTGGCGCTGCGATGGCAAGAGTAAGCGCCGTCATCGATACCGTGAAGTCGACCGAGAAGACCAGTGCGAAAGAGTTGCAGGCCGAGATAGAAGAAGAGGCAAAGCAAAAAACCATCGAGGCAGGCGCATCGGCAGAATCGGTCGAGGTCGTTGAGGTAGAATCACTGCCCTTGGCGTACATAGCGCACAAGTCTCGCTTCATCGTGAGAGCAGCGGGAGACTTCGACTACACGCGGTCAGCCGACTTTGCGACGATGCGTATCGAGTCTAGTCACGAAGAAGAAACAGCAGAGCCGAGCGGCCCGTCAAACAACAGTACTCCTCCATCAACCGAAGCAAACGACGTTGAAGAGGACCCAGCTGTGGATATAGACTTCTCAAGCTACAGGCCTAAAGTAGTGAACCGGGAATGGCATATATCAGAAACCGACCTACAGTGGATAACAATCGGATGCTACATTCTCGGAACGGGTGGAGGTGGCTCGCCTTACTCTACCATGCTGCGGGTGCGCCAAATGCTGCGAAACGGTCAGACCATACTTGTCATGAATCCAGATGACCTGAAAGACGACGACCGCGTCGGAAGCGGAGGTGGCGCAGGAAGTCCAACAGTGGGCATCGAGAAGCTGTCCGGGGACGAGTAAGTCTCAAAGTGCCTCATCATCAACATATGTGTGCGAATGGCGTTGCTAATTGCACTTGCAGGATGATGGACGCTCAAGTGCACATGTACAAACTCTTCCCAGGCGGACGCGCAACACACATCATACCTTTAGAGATCGGCGGCTCAAATGGACTGCAAGGTCTTGTACTAGGCGCATCGTCCAACATGAACATCCCATGCGTTGACGGCGATTGGATGGGCCGTGCGTATCCGACAAAATGGCAAACAACTCCCGTTGTATTCGGAGAAAGGCCGATAGTTTTCGCACCTGTCTCCGTAGCCGACGGCAATGGCAACATCCTGTATATGCCGACTGCGACCAGTGACTTGAAAGTCGAGCAAGTGATTAGAGCTGCGCTAAGCCAGATGGGAAGCCATGTAGGCACTGCGGATGGCCCGGTGACAGGGTCAGAGACGCGGAGATGGGCAGTGGAGCACACAATTTCGCTATCGTGGAGAATTGGCCGAGAAGTTGCTCGCGCGCGAAAGGAGAATCGCATCGACAATGTCGCTGAATCGATTATCGACGCTGTTGGAGGACCGGAAACTGGACGTGTCCTGTTCAAGGGTAAGATTGTCGGCGTAGAACGCAAGCTCTGGATGGGCCACATCTACGGTGAAGTCATAGTCGAGGGTACCGAAGGCACACAGTTCGCGGGCAAGATCAAGATCCCCTTCAAGAACGAGAACATCGCTGCGATTCGATTGCATGAGGGTGTGGAGACCGAAACCGGTGAAGAGAAGAACGAGGATGTACTAGCTATTGTACCGGACTTAATCTCGGTCATTGATGCCCAGAATGGCGAGGCCATCGGAACGCCGGAGTACCGCTATGGGTTACTGGTGTTAGTGATTGGCATAACGGCAAGTGAGCGATGGACCACTCCCAAAGGCATTGAGATAGGAGGACCGAAGGGCTTCGGGTTGGACCACCTGGAATACAAACCAATGGGCAAGTTTGTGAAGCCAATCAGTGTAATTGACGAGTACGATGGGAAGTCGTAAGATGGAACCTCGAATAGCGTGAAGGGGAATAAACACATTATGCGGTACTATGCAGCTTCTGAAACCACTTTGTGCTTCGCACCCGAGTACAGTGGCTCAATTATCTTCACCGCAGCCTCGTAGCTTGTGAACAAAATCCCTCCACTAAACACGGTTCTACCCAATCTCATTGTTGTGCCTTTCCAAAATCCTCGAATCCCATAGTCTAGTAATACACTCTTTACGGCCTCCACTGTGCTTGCGCCACGCGCAGACTGACTTCTGGTCTTTATGACATCGAAGGGCTGGGTGGCTAATGTAGTCACAACACCGGCAACAGAACCGTTAGCGAAGTTGATCAGGGTATTTTGTTGAATGTCCCTCTTCTTTTCGTAGTCTTTCAGGATGTTGTACGTCCCCATGCGGAACGCGGTCGCAGAGGCCTGCTTCAGCGTTGTCCCAGCAAACCCACGGTACAAGCCTAGAATTCCATGCTCTTGCCAGATGACGCGAGTCGCGTGTAATCCGGATCTAAAACGCTTCTCGTTACGAGCATCGTCGATGAGAGCTGTCTTTATGCGCTCCGTGGGTGTGACTGCTGTGATACTTGCTACTACGCCTGCTGTCATGCCAGCCAGCAAGTTGCGGCCGGGTGAAAGTGTGCCCGTCTCCTTATCGGCGAATGCATGTTTGATCTGGTCGAAGAACAGAAAACGCACACCATCTTTTGCTATGGATCCCTAGAGCGTAGGTTGGCAATTGAGTCTTGTTCGTAACTCGGATTTTCCCGGAAAGGCAATTCCGACACAACGCGACATGATAAGAAAGAAAACATGTTATAAAATCAAGAACATGAGGATTGAGGAGAACTTGAGTAGAGAACGATCACTTACGACTACAAGTGCAGCGCAGCCTTTATATAAAGCTCTCAAACCTTCCCTCTGGTAGACTTGTGTAACTACCCGGAACGGGTTCCGTGGTGTCGGGATGCCCTTCTGCTGGCGCAATTGCACCCTTGTCTTCGCAAATTCCAAAGGATACTATATAGAAAATGTCAGTACGGATAAATCGCTTATCGCCAATCAATGCTAAATCTTACAGAGGTAAATGCTTCAATGCCGCCCGCTACACCGCCGGCGGCCAGTGAGACTAACGGCGGTGTCTGTGCATCCTATGAGCCCAATGTCAGCAGTACCATAAGTATGATTACTGGGATGCCGTACATTTGTGCCGGACACCATTGGAATATGGTTTCGGGTTGTTGAGTAAAGTGTAGATGTCGAGTAGCTGAAGCTATCGGAAAGTTGCAGGCATTTGCTGGTAACCGAGAGCCGAATCAGGGGTTAGTGCAGGATTATTTCGTCATGTCACGTGGACTCGCGTTCCCGGCCTTGGCGCCGGCTTCTTGAGGGCTATGGCTCCAATTCATCGTCGCAGTATCGATGTCTGAGCTACCGTGTGGGATACTGTCTCGTTAGGCTGTACGAAAGGCGGCAGTCCGCGATATAATATCCGCGCCCCCTCCGCAACCAACAGTCCATGATATCTCTTCTTTGTATTGAGCAACTCTGTGGCTTCTCTAATTCCCTTCTCACTCACCTCGAGATTCTCTGTCTAGGGTTTCACGTCATGTGCTGCATCGAACGCAAGCTTCTCGTCGTTCTTCGCTCGCGAGGCGACCAATGAGGAGCGAACGTACAGTCGAAAAAAGAGCTGAAAGGCATCTTCCTCAATAGCTGGATGAATTCTTCAGGCGTCAAATACCTACGGCAAATCCATCAATCCTAATTCTCACCCTAATTTTAAACTAATGGTGGAGGTCAATACACAACAGCGCCAGTGAAGCGCGTGGGTGTTCGGGAGGCATGACGCTCGCACAATTTGAATACTCTGGCAATACAGATATATACCTATGACTACTTAACAACTCAAAAGTCGTCACATTCCTCCGGTTATGCAGAACACTAATCAGCCTCTTTCTAGAAGTTTCCCCGAAAATCGAGTAACTGTAAGCTCGCACTTAGGGCTTTATACAACTGCGGCCTCGGCCCATCTCCGAGGTATTCTACTCCGATGCCATACGCGAAGAGATCGTCCGGTAGCGTACCCAAGTCAGAGACACTCGACGTCTTCCGGCTACCGAACGACTCAAGAACATAACTCAGCACCTGCACAATCATCCGCCTTTGCACCCTCATTTCTTCCTCGGTAATCAGAACGGCTTCCACTCGTTCATAATTCCAGACATGAAAGTATTCTCGAACATCTGTCCAGTAGATACCAAAGCTGACGTTCCGGGCGTAGAGCTCAGCTAGTAGCCACCACAGTCCGGGGTGCACTGCAACAGAAACGCCGTGCCTGTTAATCGAGAATGAACTCTTAAACAAACCCAGAGGCTCGTCCTCACGATGCGGCTGTACAAAGTTGTTGATGGCACAAGGCCAGTCCAATCCGACTTTCATATGTTTCATGGAAGGCAGGCGGTCCAATAGTTTCCTATATTGAAGCTCGAAGATCCGGTTGCTTATGCCTACGTCGACTCGCCAGCGCGAGGTTTGCCGAAAATGGGCATCGAAGTTGACCCACTGCAAAGCATCGACATCGTGGGAGAGGAGATGAGGAATGATTATCTCCTTTATGAATTCGACGTTCATCTTGCCGATCCGGTCGCAGAACTTCTGGAGTACTAAGTTATGAGGTTAGCGAAAGCCACCAACATAACCGCAGGGTCGTCTGTGAACGTTCGGCAGCCAACGGCTACCTTATGGCGACACAGCGCACTTGTAAACTATGCCAGAACACTGTTACCTTGATTTTACTTACTGCTGTAACTCGAAGGAGCCAGATCACTGAGCGAGAAGGCGAACATGCCGAAGATATAGTCCAGTAGTTCGTTCGAGATAGACTTGCTCACGCGAATGGCCCCGGCGACGTTCTCGAGCGACTCAGACCTAAACTGTGTGTCGTTTAGGGCGACCTTGATCACTTTTTCGCTGCCGTTGTCTACCAGCATATGATGGTAGACTAATTGACGGAGTTCGAGCGGTAGCTCTGCGAAGGTTGACGATGGAGGTTCCGGTGTAGCAGGCGCTTGAGGTGAGGGGCGTTTCGAGCTCTCGCGGGCGTTGTTGAGCGCACTGGGCTCTGTCGCCATCCTTGGGAGCTCGTAGACTGGATGTTCGCGGACTGAGCGGAGCGATACAATCTTCTGTTAAAAGGTACGCGCTTTCTATACACGATCGTGTTAAAAATGTGGCGGTGCGTGTGTGCAGGTGAGAGACGCCATTTTCCATGCTGCACCAGAGGCTGGGACATACGTCATCCACTGAATTTGGTCAGGGCGAAGTGTCACTGCAAGTGGTAAGTGCAGGGGATTGATACTGGACCGCGCCTGCTCTTGCTTCCGGTATGGTGACTTGCGCATTTGGTGGAACCTTCACCAAGGCGCTTTCACCTTCATTTCACTAAAATCTGCTGCGTTCGCATCGAAGCCTATGCAGTCTACAAACATAACAGCCCGCAAACGCAATGACTAGCCACATCCCTAGTCACCTTCGCTCCTGGCGGGTCGCAGTCAACACGATTTTCGAACTTGTCAAACGACAGGATACAGGAATGCTGCCCATTATACCGACTATATTAGTTCTCGGTGTTTCTGTGAGCGGTAAGCATTCACCCTTGTCAAAGTCAAAACGATTGGTGCCGCACGAGTTGCAGAATAGTACCTTTCATTCAACTTTGAGGGTTCCGTCTATGATACCCTGCGCTGATAATTATCTTAGCCGCCTACCTCTTCTTCAAAAAGATTAACCCCAGCGCGAGCACTACTGACAGCAAGAAAATCCCGGGCGACAGCGAGTTCATTGCTAGCATCATCGAGAAACGCGAGCGAACAGCACGGGAAGCAGCTAATAAGCTAAACAAGCTCAAGTCTGTGGAAACTGAAGCGGATGACGAATTCGAGGATCTTCCAGACTCACACAAGGATCGAAGAGCGAGGAACGTATGGGCTGGGAAGAAGTACAGTCATTGGGCGGGCCAAGCCAGGACGAGAAGGAAGCTGGCTGCTGCGAGGAGGAGGGTGGAGGCTTTAGATAAGGAGCGGGAGATACGGATGGGCTCAGAGGCTGGGGCAAGCGTGGAGCTGGAAAAAGCGCTTGACTGAGGGGTCCTAGGTCCGCAAAGGTTTCAGAATTATTGGCTTGTCGTTGCATCTTTTGAGCTAGCATGCACGAATATCGGCCAGACTTCCGCATATGATTACAGCATCATGTCTTTTGATATATGGGTGTCGAAGACATCGATGCGCTCCTTGATAGGAGTTCCGCCGTAGATCTACCAATCTATGCCCGCAACATACTGCAAATCATCCACATTCAATCGGTCCACACCTGCATCCACAATCTGCTGCCAACTGTCCTTCCCCGGAATATCCCAATACCTCACCTTAAACCCCTTAGAATGCGCTTCGTCCAGCTTCGTCTTCGCATCTCCCGAGATCGGCAGCCCATTCGGCACTGCATCGCTCCACTTCGCGCTAGCAAAGTACGCATTCGATGAGTCGAAGTGCGACATATCTTTGTGAACAACAGCATCGACGAAGATCGCACGCTGAGGATTCGTTGCGTCAGAGAGCGCCTTCGCAATGGGCGATGGCGCAGATGAGGAACCGTCTTTGATGGCGTTGCCGGAGGCTACGACGGTGATGAGGCCTTGTTTGAAGGTGCCGTCGTAGTGGCTGAGGTAGCCTGCGTCTCGGAGGGGCTGGAGGTCGGCGACGAGCTGGTCCCATGCTTTGTCTGCGTCTGAGCCGCTGTTTTTGAAGTCAATTAATAGGTCAAGCGGTTGGTCGGTCTTCGCGGGGAAGATGGCTTTCCGCTCGTCTATGAGCTTCTTCAGGGGGTTGACGTAGAGGTTGACGAAGGTCTGGCCGTTGGATCCGGGGTCGGTGTGGCCAACGACGAGCTTGGTGTCGTGGATCCAGATATCGGCTTCTACTGAGATACAGCCGGCACTTAGAGCGGAGTACAGCGCCTTGTCGCGAGTGTAGTCGTTGTGTGAGTGGCATGCGAAAGGCGCAACGTCATTAAACGCGTAGGTTGGGAAAGGGTCAAGTGTGTTACCCTTGCCGCCGTCGCCCAAGTTTGAAATGGCGCCAGTCTGCGTGACGACCTTGTCCACGGAATCGGCTGATGGGGGAAACTTGTTCGCCAGCGCATGGTAGGAAACGGCGTCATTCCCAACCTGCCATGTTCCTCCTTTTGTGTCCTTGTTTGACGGTCCGTAGCACGAATTACCACTAGTGTCTTCAGAGAGCTTCTTCAAGTATTGTTTGCAGCTCGCAGCTTGTTGCAATGTCAGTGATTTGAAACGTGTGCGTTGGACTCGTAGTCTTACCATCTACTACATGGTCGCTGTTCTGTTTGTTATGGATTTCAAAATATACCCAACCATTTAACCCAGTTGTCTCCGGATTGCTGCCGTAGTCAAGCCAGACTCGGGTTGCCATAGACATGTAAGCACCTGCGCCCACCTTGATACCCCCAGCCTTGTCGCAGAAAGAATCCACCGCAGTGTTATACCCAACTCGCTGCACAGCTCCATGATTGGTCTTCACATCATTGACAGCCATCCAATCTGGGCCACATGACGATATGTAATCGGACTTTGCTTGAGCCGCGGGAAGAGCGAGGGCGCTCTATAAAGGGAGAACTTAGAGGCTTGCAGAAATCAACGGACTGGATACATACAGGAATTAGTAAAGCGAGACAGAGCTGATCGGTATACATCGTGCCAACGCAAAGCACAAAGCGCAGTAAATACAAGCTGGTACAGCGATTTACGTGCTACTGTGCTAGAAAGTTTGGAAATGCTACTGAGGGAACAATAGTTGCTTTACTCAGTGCAACTTCAAGTACTTGAGTGTCGACTCGGAGTGGGTATGAGTACACGTACGAAAAGATCGACCCACAGACTGCTGATCAGTAAGGCGACCATGGCTTCTTAAAACGAAACAAAAGTACGATCGACAGCGCAAGGCTGTGTCGAGGCTGAAGACGGACATCGAGGGGCGTCGTGTTACCATAAGAGCCCGTTGACTGTCATATTGAGATGCATCCATGCTCCTAATTTAGGTGTATTTATTAAAGGTGCGTGCGTCAAGTAACTATTACGCTCGAATCGTGCCACAATATAGTGGTTTTCGCCAATCGTTGCTCGCTATTCCGTACGAGAGAGGCGATGCGAGCTTTTCGTAACGATGTTTCTTCCATTTCGAGGCCGGCGGAGATTGGCAGGCTACGCCTGCTGGGGGCCGTAAATGCGCAACCATGCAAAACCACACGTGGTAGCTCCTATCGCGAGGACAGGATCTACGAGATCGGCGCGGGCGCCAGGGGCCAAGATGGTTTGGGAAGGAGAGCTGTGAGGCTGCTCTATGACGAAGTTTACTTCGATGTTTAGAACCGTTTTCATACTCGCGGCCACGAAGGTGCCCTCTATCGTATTGCTGATACGAATTTTACATCCAAGAAGTAGGCGTTCATCGATCAGGTTGCACTCATGTTGTTGTGGTTGCGAAATGTAGTCTGGTTTCAATACTGTCCACCTCGATGGTTCTGTCCCCGAGATGCAGTACTCGGCATGCGCCGACGTACGCAGACTGTGGATGGCATATTGCAATTTCTATACCCCTATTGGTTTTTGTAAAGACTTGCTTTCACGATGGCGTTTGTAATTGAAGTAGCGCTGGCTCCTGGTGCGAGTTCGTAGTGCGTGGTACCTACTGTCTCTCGGCGACGTAGGAATGGACAGCCGCGGTAGGACCCGGCCTGCGATCAGCCAGCCCGTGCCAGCTGGTCAGAATGCCATCGCATTGACCATCTGAGGACCAGATTCCCATAGTCTTTCGCTAGTGCGAAAGAAAGCAAGATTTAAAAAGGAGGTTCTGTGTACGCCATCGGTGCGGCTATCAGGCAAATCTGGCCCCACTGATTGGCTCTTTCCGCGCCCCCGCCGATTACCAACATGCGCGGCTGCAGGAGAGATTGTCACGCAGTCAGAAATCAACACCGAAGAAATGACATCGTCGTCCACCGACTTCAAACCGAAGTGCGCGTGCTACTGTGCAGTGCGTGAACGTAGCGTCAGGCAAGGATGAGTCAACCGCAGCGGCGCGATGACGGCGCCAGACCAACGTCAACGACCGTCTCCTCTACTACCACCACCCATGGCCCGACCATAACAACGACAACTTACAGCGGTACCGGCCCTCGAACGACTGTCACAACGAACGCTCCGCATCCGTCCACGATCGTATCCCCAACCGTGACGACTACGCATCGGACACCCTACCAGCAAACGCCTCGAACTTTTGGTCCATCGCAAGCACCGCAGGCATCGCAGGCATCGCAGGCATCGCGAATCGAGCGACAGCCTTCAATTCGCATTCGTCATGCGGGATCAGATCAAAATTTGCAGGGCGACCATGTGGAAGCGCAGGAAAATCGTAGGCGCAGCTTTTCCGAGCCGGACAGACCACAGCCAGCACTCCTGAAGGAGATAGACGACTTGGAAATCCGGCGACATGCATCAGCCACGCCAGGGCCGTTGCAGACGCTTCATGAGGAGGGCTCGGGATACTCAGTGCCACAAGTCGGCTACTATACGCCAGCAGCAGTACCGGAAAGAAACCCTCGACGACCAGGATTCGGTAGGCAGGCATCTGCCATCAATCTGCGCCACGCGCGCAATCTACCGGTTGGCGAATATGACACTGATGTGGTGGACCTGCTTGATGTTATAGGTATGCATGTTCCACCACCATGAGGCGATTGCACTAACATTTCGTATAGATCCCGAAGTGTCGACGCTCACAACTCTCAACAACGTTCAGAACTCATTATTCATACCCAACTTCGGACGATTCTACAACCGTCGGCCTACATATGAGCTCTCGCAATCTCAATCCACGAGCGACGAAGAAATGGCAGAGACACAACCAGCTGGGCAGCAGCATGCGGAGGAAGAGAACATTATTGAGAAAGAGACACAAGAATCCACTGGACATCTGCGTCCGCCTGAAGCGGGCCGGCTAACGAGGACAAACACCATTTCTTCGGTCCTTACTAGCGTTTCCGAAGGTCATAATTATGCTGTGCTTCCACATGGTGCGTCACTACCAGGATGGACAGCGGAGGAGAAGGCGTTGCTCAACGATCGTGTGCGCCATCTGTTACACTCTCGACGAGCAAGATTCCGGCGTAGTATGCGCGGATTCGGGAGATACGTGCGCCAGCCGGTTGGGTTCCTCATCACCTTGTACGCCTTTCTTTTGACCTTCTGGGGCGCTGCCTGGGTCCTTTTCCTCATCGGTTGGATTAGTGTTCGTGGTCGACAAGCGTATTTCATCGAGATATGTGACCAGATTCTCACAGCGCTGTTCTGTGTGGTTGGTATCGGTCTGGCGCCTTGGAGGGCAGTTGACACTTATCACATGGCGTATGTGGCCAAATACGCGCACAAGACATGGAGACTAAGGAAAGAGCGTGGGCTTCCTGCACTGAGAAACCATAACGAGCTCCCGACGCTTCCAGACACACCTGCATGGGAGGTTGACCAAGACCACGACGGCGAAGCCGAACAACCTGTTCTCACGACTGCCGAGCAGCAAAAGCTAGAACATCATCAAAACAAGCTCGCCAACTCACACACGTTTTACAAGCCTCACGAAACCACCACGCATCACGCCTTCTCTGTTCGCCTCCTCATAGCTATTGTCGTGCTCCTGGACTGCCACTCCTTATTTCAAATGGCTCTAGGCGGCACCACATGGGGCATATACTACAAGGAGCGTCCTAAAGCTCTCACGGCGGTCATCCTGACGTGCAGTATTAGCTGCAACATCTCGGCTGGAATTACCATCAGCGTGGGAGATAAACGCAGCCGGAAGAAGCTCATTGTAGAGCAGATGTTCCGACAAGGGTTGACGGAGGAAGCATTGCACGCATTGAGAAAGGAGCGAGGATTAGTGGCAGATGGCATTAAGAGGAAGGCCTCGAAGAAGGCAAAGGGCAAGAAGAAGAGCGAGGTGATCGCCGAAGTGAACTGAGCTTGTAATACCTATCACATCATTCATATACCATAGCGCTTAGCACCACCATCCATACCTTAATAGAACGCAATACCCACCCTCTTATGCTCTCCGTAGTTGACAATGTCTGGTTCGCCCCTATTCGAAAGGCAGCGTGCTAGCCGGCTCAAATACTTCTCAGACCCCGCCTTGAGCCAGACCACCTCCAGATTGGGGAAGTCCGCGGTGAGTGCTGGCTCGCGATCGCGAAAGCATATGATTAACGGAATGTGGTGATTTAGTCCCGTGAACTTCAGCTCGCGGATGGACGCGCGCTGCGCTGGGATCAACGCGCTGATGAAGCGCGGTAACAGCTCATATCGTTCACGCCGGTCAGAATAACCATAGGGGTTCGAAGAACCATAGGGGTTGAGGGCGAGGGGAAGGGGTTCGAGGGCAAAGATGTTGTTCTCGAAAACCAGCGTTGCTGTCTCGCTGTAGATCTGGCGGCTTACCTGGGGGAGGTACATGCCGATGCGTCGTAGGTCGGTGGTGTTACGCCCAGAGAGGTCGTCAATGGAGACCTTGCGTCCATGACCCTGGTTAACAGGTTCGATCACGAATTCGGTGCCGCTTGTCGCGTACTGGAAGATGTTGGACCGGATCTCTGCGGGCAGACGGAGGAGAGGGGACTTGGTGGCGTTGTGCTGGACACTGTGTTGCGTTAGTCTGTGTGTGTCATCGAGTAGGGGGTTACTTACGTTGGTATGAGGTGGTCTGGCGTCTTCGACAAGTCGAGTAGGCCGTTTGGTAAGAGGGGGACGGTCATGGCTGTTGGGTTGTTCGCCTTGCTGGCTGAGATGGGGGGTAGTTGGTCGGTTGAGGGTAAGCTGGCAGGGTTGGGGGTGAAGGTCGAAGTGGAAGTCGGGCTTCATAAAGAGAGAAGAGTGAAAAAGGTCCAGTGCACCGATCAATGCCAAGATTTCCTGGCGGAAGGTTGGTGAAAAGGAGCTATGTGAAAAAGGAGAGTTGGATGGGAGAGCATCGTAAGTTCAGCGTTGGTGATTAGGACGAGAACCACGTCATTACTACAAAAATTCGATATGAATCGGGGCGAAATTTTACTGACCCTTAACTTAGAAGAATGTGGTACATCAAAGATGATCGGCTCGTATGTGGACAAGGGTGTGGAAGATGTAGGAGAATAGAAGTGAGGTAGGCGATGCAGTCCTGGATTTGACAAGAGATTTTGTTTAAAAGTTATATTTGAAGAAATGGGTTTCTTGGGTGACTACGCTCTTAGTGCTATCAAGGAGCTCTATACCGTACCATGGTTCTATCTTAGGTATCACTACTTAATAGCACACTACCCTCCAGTCACATTAAAGCTATTCCCACGAACGTTACCTAACAGCACTTGATAAAAAGTGCCTGAAAGAGAACAGGATCTCATGGAAGACTCTCTCCTGCAGTCACTAATTAAAAGCAGGAGTCTTTTTTGCTTAAGTCACAGTTTTTGCTGTCAAGCTCAAGGGATTTCGGTCTTGCACAATGCATTTTGGAAGCGTAACACTTAAAGGACAATGATGGGCGATTCCAATGCTACCTAGTTAGAACTCGATACCACCAACACCGTCAGGAACACATACACGCCCCACCAGGCCAGACCGCTTCAAATATCGATCCTGCTCCATATTCCAATCCATAGCAAGCATCCCGCATGTTCCATGCTACTGTCGCCTCACTTTACACATCATGACTTCGACGGTCCTACCGCCCTCCCCAGTGCCCATATCCTCGAAACTCGTCAGCCGAAGCGGTGTCTCTAGCCAGGAGGGCACGCAATCATCCTGAGCTCTAAGTCGCCACCGGATGAAGATCTTCTGCATCGCAGGGAACGTAGAAGTCATACGCCTGCGGCGAGTCAACAGGTCGAACAGCTCCAGTAGCACAGCTCTACCGTTGTTCTTCAAGAGTATGGATTGGAAAGCCGCGATTTGTGCGGGCTTCAACGCGGTCATAAACTCAGAGAGCCAGAGGCCGACACCGCCTGGGACATCGGCGTTAGGATCAACGCCTCGTACGGTCAGATCCAAGACGAGTGTTATATACATAGGGGAGCAATGCCGTCTCACAGTACACTTGACGGCTGACGAGGGCGAGATTCAGGCCCGTGTGAGAGAGGGTCAAAGGATGATCGGTGACCTGCTCGAAGACTTTGGCGTAGAGAAATGCCGGTTCATTCGCGTCCAGAAGCGGAGGTGGTGTCTCAGACGATACCGCGCGGAGCGGACGCCGCGTGATGTGGATCTCGCAGCCACCTGATGCGAATCGGAAGATGCGATTCCGCATTTCTGCTGGGAGGCGAAGGAGAGGAGACTCTGTCGCATTTTTGGTGACACTGTAGACTCAATGTCTATTCTTCAGAATTAATGGAGGACGCAGATTACTTACATGGCTACCAGATGGTCTGGGGCTTTGGACAACTCGAGGAGGCCGTTGGGCGATCGAGAAAGAGACATTGTGGATTGCTGCGAGGTTGACCGGTCGATGAACTGATCGGAAGGGGCAGTGTTTGGATTTGGAGTACTTCTGGAACATCAGTGGAAGGTTTATATTGACCCTAGAGTAGCCTTCTCAGCGCGGCGAGGCCAATGCGTAGAATCTGATTTAGTGAAATTCTGGCACGGATGCACCTGAAAATGCACGAATCTCGTCACATGAGCAGATCTATGTACGTGAGGGTGCAATATTTATGTAAATTAAACCAACTCATCATCCGAAGAGTGTTGCAGGTGGCTGTAGAGCGATCGAATTGTATATATTAGGTATAGTAGTCATGATCTTCGTAAGCGGCAGTCATCACCGTGTAATTAATGTTGGATCTAGTCGATGGAGAACATATGAAGGCATCCTGAGCCATTCATATATGCGAAAAGCAGATGTTTGCCTATGATTGCTGAAGTATGATTAAGCAATCCAACAACCAATCCCCTAAACAGAACAAATATGTACAATAGACTTAAACCGCTATGTATGTGCATCTTTGTACCCGCATCATTAGATGCATCATTTCTTGGTTGTCGTCTTCGTTGTCGTCTTGCTGTTGTCGTCGGATTTCTTCGTAGAAGTTAGCTTCGCTGATGAAGTGATTGTCGAAGTCGCAGCCTTAGTCGTCACCGACGGAGTAGTAGATGCTGAAGGGGTGGTAGAGCTGGCCTTAACGGTGCTCGTGGCGAGGGTAGTCTTTGGCGGACCATTGGCGTAGTACGACTCAAGCGCTATCTCAACGTCATCGACCTTGTCGTACGCATCCAACATGTAAAATTGGCTGAGCCGATCCTGGATAGCTTGCTCAGTGAAGGCCGAGTCATCGTAGTCACGCGATCTCCATCGTTCTTCCATGGGGTCGATGAACTTCGTAGTCTCAGGGTAGCCGAAATCAGCCAAGCTCGTGACGTTGAATGCAGCCATCATGTCGTGATCCTCGTGGATAAGGTTGTGGCAGTGGAACATGTAGACACCATCCCATGGAGCATAGCGCGCAATGACTTGGACAGTTTCCGAGGTGCCAAGAAGGACGACGTCTTTCAGTGCTTCCTTCTCATAGTTGAGAACAGGACGTTTGCCTGAGCGAGAGATGATCTGGAAGTCGACCAAGTGGATGTGTACAGGGTGAGACCAACCGCCACCGCCATTTTCGAGCTCCCAGATCTCGATGGCGCCGCGCGGAGGCTTAGCCAGGATGCGGTTGTTGACGTCTGCGAAAGTGACGCCATTGACCTTCCATTCTCCGCCCTGGCGCTCGAACTTGAACTTCCGGTCGACACCAGTTTTGCTTGGTGGGAAAGGGACGTTGCGGAGTGACCCAGGGAGATTACCGTTGCCATGATCGCTCGTGACGGTGTCGCCTACCACAAATTGCATCACCTTGTCTGTACTGTTGTAATCCTCATCGGCCTGGACATCGCGAGCATTCTTCAGTGTCACGTTCTGACCCTTGTATTGGCTAAAGTCGATGACAACCTCCCAGCGCTCGGCCATAGAGATCTCCAAGTTATCTGATTGTACGGGCTTGGTGAGTAGACCGGCATCAGAAGCGATGACATCAAATGGAAGCTTCTTCGCCTTCAAATCCTCGAATGTGAGTTTGAATGCCCGGCTGATGGACGTATCCAAAAATCGAAGCCTGTACTTGCGTGGCTCTACTTTCTTGTATGGCCATGGCTGGCCATTGACATGGATGACATCGCCGTAGAGAGAGACTGTCTCATCTGCAGGACTGAAGAGCGTGCCATCAGAGTTGTACTGCTTCGCTGCCAAGGATAGAGGCAAGTCATAATCTCCAGCAGGGAGATTGATCTTGTCTTCTTCTGGGTCATGCAGGATATAGAACCCAGCCATTCCAAAATAGGCATTCTCAGCCGTATGATGAATTGCATGATCATGGTACCAGAGAGTGCGGGCGGCCTGTCTGTTCGGATAATCTGGTGCAGCGTCAGTATTAGGGCACATACCAACGATAACTCAAGTACTCACAATAATCTTTGTATTGGTTCTTCTTGGTCACGTCCTCAGCCCAACCATCGAACGGTGCTCGACTGTAAGAGCCGTGCAGATGTACGGAGATGTCCATCTCGCCATGGTTGACGAACCGCACAATAGCTTCGCGGCCCTTCTCCATGCGGAACGTTGGACCAGGTGAAATACCATCTATGACTCGTCAGTCATGTATGTCATACTTCCACACTGATAGCATATACATACCATACCCGACGAGCTGGGCCGGCTTCAAGCCCTTGTAGACTTGTTGCTCGAATGGCTTGATATCGACCTCGTAGTAATCGATGTAGCGATTTGTGGTCGAGTTGTAGTACGAGTATTTCTTCTCCTTGGTTGGTGGGGTTGGTAGCTCATTCTGGAATATCTCTTTGTACACCGGGCTCAGCCACTGGTCATCGCCAGCCAAAGCTTGGCCAGCGAAGAGGGAAGCCACAGCAATCGGAAGGTAGTATCTCATGATGAAGGCTTAGTGGTTGACCAAGAAACCCACGAGCAGGTTTGAGAAACTTGTTGGATAAGCAGATTTGGAGAGACATTTGTCATATACTTTATACTGCGAGGACGACCCAAATACGAGAGTTTTGGATGTTCCTCCATAACTCTAAATCCATGTGTCCGAACCCCGCGCAGCAAAGGCCTAGATTCATTGTATGGTTGCTTCCGCCTCTCACCATACTAGGGAATGCTCTACTGCAAGGATCCTTTAGTGCGTACGGCCCATTCTATGCTCGCTTAGATGCATGACTGTGAGCAAGCAGCGATGTGGCTCGAAAAATTTCTCGTATACGCCTGAGCTGTTGCCAATATGTGGCCCTATGTGTGGGCGATACTTATGAAGCTTGAACGTTCGTCTAAGCTTTGGTGCAATTACCACGTGCGCCACCAAGACAATAGACCAAGCTTGGCCAGGGGTATCCGATAGACAGTGCGTAGGAAGGTATGAGAACCCTGTCGAATGTTGATACGTGACGGCCGCCTCTTTTGGAACCTATTCAGCTGTGTGGGGCTCTTCGGACCACTCACGCTACGTGCCAAGCTGGTCTATGGTCAGTCCAGCGATCATACGAACTGAGTGAGGTCTCAATCTAGCCAGGCCGTGCGTGTGGTGTCGCGAGCCCTATGATGACCACAATGCTCTGTCAGAACCTGCGACCAATCAAGCGCAATGGGTGCCTTATATTCGATAGGTACATCGAAAGTGAACCAACTCATGTACCTGCCGTTACCTGAGCAGGATCGTGCCCACGGTTACCTGATCTTGCGGCCTCGTCCAGTGTTCTGTATTCTGCCCCATGATGGAATCGATCTACAAAGCTATAATGCCAGACGCTCATATTCCTAGGCAGCCCGGTAAATCTGGTCTTGCGGCCATATTCTTCGTTCTCTGCAACATTCGAGATGTTTGGCTTGGCAACGCACCTGTAAAGCCAGCCAAGTACACGGACACCTGTGGTCTATTAGAAGCCTTGGTTCAAGACAGAGCAAAAGCGGTAATACAAGGCGAGGTTCTTCTACGAAACCAATGGCAACATCTCTACGGTATCTTGGCAACTTCAGCCACAGCTGAGGTGTGACAAAACATGGCAGTAAACGCGACAGGCGATCTGCTCGCTGACTAGTTGTAGCCTCATGCAATGTAGGCTTTTTCACCGCAAGGTGACTGTATGCATGGCGGACGCTTGCTGTAGGTTGGACTCGGTGCAGCGTGTCTGTGGCCTTCCAGCTCAGAGTTACGAGTTTAAAATAGATGCCATGCGAGTAGCCAAGAACCTGACGGGGCGCCAAGTGCCACAAGCCCTATGCATAGTGTGAGGCGCGATGATACACGCATAACAAGCGAGTTGGGGGAAAACAGAGTGTGAGGGTGATCGATTGAGGACGGAGTCTGGAACGGAGTCGATGGCTTTGAGATGTGACTATGCCGTAAATGGTTCGTTGCACTCACGTGACCATCCAACTCCGCCAAATAAGCGATTAGATCTGGAAGCCGCTTTCTCATCTCCAACACTTCAGCCGCTGCCTTGAGGTGGCGGCCAGAACCGCGCTGTTACCCAAGGGTATCCCGAGCACACGCACATATGCAGTTGTGAGGCAACACGGTGTACGCTGTCCGTTCGCCTGCGGGGAGGCATACTTCGCTGACTCAAGAAGACTGAAGCTATTCCAGGCGGTAGCATCTGCTCTTTTCTGTTGGCAATCCTGTAGTCTAGTCACTCTGCAGATAATCCAAGCGAAACACTTCGGAGAAAAGGCTGCTATGGAAGCCCATCCCCTCGGCATCAGAAAGAAACTTCGACCGGGTCTCTGGGCCGGACCCTGGTCTTGTCATATTCTGCATGAAACCGATATCCTTGTAAATTCTCGTATTGGTGTGTCGCCACGTGATAGATCTCTCTGAAAGGATCCGCAGGGTGGCAGCATGGCGGCGATCAGCCGCACGTCCCAAGCTATCGGGAGTCCGGACGGTGAGCAATCGTCATTGACGCCGAATCCAACAGTGAGAATCCAGGGCTGGTGAATCCACTGCTGTCTTCGATACTTCTTGCTTCTCGGCCGCAATCTCCGATTTGCGAGGACTTTTCCGTTCAACAATCCCACTCGAACCTCGTCTTTGTTTCAATCCCGTGTACATTAGTATGCTACCAAAGCATGCGTTTGGGTCCGGTATCTACTTCGATCCCGTAAGCGCCTTGGATGGGCTGCAGAGGAAAGCGAATCATGAAGTGAAAAGTCATTTCATCAATATTGGCTTGCAGCATGCCAAGGAACCCTCACACTGAAGCTTAAGCTTCACGCAATTCTGACTGTAGCGCTAAACCCACCTTGGAAGCATGAGACAGTATGAGTCCTGCATTCCATCTACCTGCATCTGTCAGTCCCATTGAGATGGAGATAGGGCTCGAATACCTCGTATCTGTTCCACTACGGTTCTTGGCTAACGCTAGGATAGGTTTTCCCAATTCAAATTATGCAGGAGTTAGGTCTGATTTGCAAGCACTCCTCCGTAGTATATGAACGCGGAAAGGAATTTCTGGCACGATCGTGAACTGGCGTTCTCGCCAACGTTTGTACTGACTAGTAGCCGCCTCGGACCAATCTTCCACCACTCAAACAGGACGATATTAGACAGAACATAGACCTTTCTGGGCTATATCAAGGTCACTAGCTAGATATGGCAGTCATCGAGAGAGCCTTACAGCGGCACGACGCGAGTCTAAACGAGCCGGCACCGCCGAATATGGCAGCCTGGGATACGAGTGAACGCCTTATGGCTTCGGCTATGGTGCGCCCTGGTAGCTGTTGTTACAGATCATGCCACAGGCGGCATTAGTGTCTCAGTGGCCGCGTAAACTTCAGCTCCCACCCTGACCGCCATACATCAAGCTTAAACCATGGCACTCTCAGCAATGCTTTGTCACTTGACACGACTGCTAACTGCGACTTTATTGGACTTGCACATTGCTCAAGGCTGTCACAGGGCGGCTTATTGTTGGAATGCACATGGCAGTTTCGCCCGTTTGAAAACTCCATCTTTCTCGGACTGTGTATATAACTTCATAACAGTCGCTTCTGATCGAGTCGGATTTTCCTCCGGACACACCACCATCGCAGTTGTCTTGGCATGAGCCAAAGACGGCATCGCAAATATTTTAGCAAGTGTCTAGTGAATTGGTTTATATAGAATATGCGACCATAGAGCGCTTGTCAATAACCCCAGATATCAGACTGGCCTCGATTACTCTAGAGGCTTGGCGAAGCACTGCGAATCATGCTTCCCCACGATTACGATGTCCCACTTCCCCATGCCCCAGTGTTGCAGAGTATATCCATTTCAGGCTTATTGGCCCATGAAATTCGCCGGTCGTCGTTGGCCACCTTACTGTAGCGAACTAGGCTTCGTCCGGACCATTCTAGATTACAAGCACCGAGCTTCCAAGCATACACCGTTCGCCGACTTGTTCAATGACTTGGAATCACGACATGCACCAGCATTGACGAGTAAGAATTGACATCGTCCCTACGGCAAGCTCGGGCAGGGCGCTCTGCTAGTTCATGCTCGTACAAACATTGCACTTGATCGAATGCATTCACCGTTCTTAACCCTACCACATGAGTCTCTCGTATCCAAATAAAGGCCGGCTATGTGTGGGAAGTGAGTTAGCCTAGGGTATCTGACGGTGTAGTGCATCTTCACAATTGCGACCTAATACCATATGCCCGTGATACGTTGACGCAAGGGCTGTTTCAATTTCTGTCGTGTCAGCTATTGTGTTCAATCTCACTGTGAGCCGAGTCGCTTCAGCATGCAGCATAAACTACACCCCCGCCTGCCTTTTTCCTTAACTCTACATATACGCCTTCGTGATATCCCAACAGACCTCGTACAGCTTCTCCGCCTTGCCTTCGCCCCCATTTTCGTTCTTCTCAATAGCTTTCTCTATGGCCACATTGTACGTCCCAATCCGTCCCCACGGCAGCACATAGCACCCATTCTTCTCTTTAGTGACTTCTGGCGACCATCCTGAGAATAGCTCGGTATAGGCTCCGAATTTGGTCGGATACAAGACAGGCTTCAACGCCATTCTTTGAATCCAGCCCGCATGCCGTGTAAGCTCCGAGTACAGGTTGCCAGGGTTGAAGCTCTACTTCCAGTCAGTCCGGCCATCCCACAGCATCAATTTGGGGGGAACTTACGGTATGGATGATACCATCTGCGCCATCCCTCCTCGCCCCTTCAACACCAAGCATTACGTTTGCGCACTTACTCATGCCGTACGTCGGGATCTTATCTAATCCCTCCTTCACCCTCTCCTCTCCACCTTTCGTCTCGAAAAGCACGGATCCAGGAGGCGCAGCCCACCTAAGACGCAGGTACAAAGTCAGCGTAAGTCGAAAACTCGGGGATAGGTACAATAATCACGCACTCTATTCCAATCGAGCCCGCCCAACACACCCTCACTTTCCCCTCTGCACTCCTCTTTGCCGTCTCGACAAGCATTGGACGAAGCAGATGCGTCAAAAGAAACGGACCGTATACGTTTGTGCCGATTTGCAGATCGTGCCCCTGCGCGCTTTTACTCCCGTCGGGCGGCCACATTACCCCCGCGTTATTCATTAGGACATCTAACCTCTCCTCTTTCTTCATGAACTCTTCGACAGCGGGCTTGATGGTGGAGAGGTCCGCAAGATCCACGTGTAGAAAGTGAAGCTTGCCTTTTGATTCCGGGTGCGCTTGCTGAATCTCCTGGATGGCCCGGGTCGCCTTTTCTTGTGATCGCCCAGCGACATAGATGGTCGCATTGGCGCCGTATAGGATGTGCGCCAGCTGCAGTCCGATTCCGGCGTAGCCGCCTGTGAGGATGGTGACCTGGTGTCGCGGGTTAGGAACTGCTCAGTTTCACAGGCGGTGCCCTTGCAGCTCGGCCACATGTCAATGAAAACCTCGCAGCGATCAATTCGGATTTCACGGATGCTACCTGCATCACGTGGCATTACCGGATGGTCGCGCAAGTTGTCAGTGAAGTGTACGTACCGTCCCAGATAAATCACCCAGCTCTTTCTCCGTAAATGCTGGCTTGGGCAGGAAGAACGTCTGCTGTAGACCGAGTACTAGGGAGGATCTTTGTCCCATATTGTGTTAACTATACCCAAGATACAGTTGATTTGTGTTTGCTTGGCCGTTAGTGTTCTTATACACACGGCATGGCACCTAGGTATCGATAGCTGCACATGCATGTGATGTGCACTAGGATACGTAGGGGTCGGAATTAACCCCTTTGGGAAGATGGATGCAGATCTGTCACAATTACTCGCCAACTTGTACTCGCTCAGATCATCCTTAGACCATCCTTCCCGTACAGCGCATTCACTGTACTGCATGGAGATTGCAAATCGCCGACACTGGAATCGTACGTTGTACCATCACACTGCGGCACCAACACCTATTTCTTAAGTTATTATATTATAGCAATAGATACCTAATCACAGGTATATACAGCAAACTAATATGTCCTTCACAACCATAAGTCACCCAGGACAGCAATATGCACTATCCAAAAGTCCACCGACCTTATATGCAAGAATGCACCTGTTGCAGTATCGTCTGCAGACGCCCAACACCGTAACCAAGGGAGAAACGCCAGAAACAGTAATGTCGACACCGACCCAAAATGCCCGCTGAACATGCGATCATAAACAATAGTAGTATCCACAAGGGTACGTATCCGATAATCAACTGTAGTAACGTCGGAGCGTTACATAAAGGTCATCTTCAGCTCCTTCTCCTTTCCGAAATCGTCATCGAACTCGTCCGCCCACGCGTTGTAGGCAGGCGCCAGATGCGCGCCCTGGGTAGAGGGGTCGGTCGTGGAGGACCGTAACGGTGGACGCTCTACCGGACTTTCTTTCCGACTCGGGGTATCCCAAGCTGACGAGGGTGGCTGAGGAGACTCGTACACAGACGGGAGCGGTGATCTCGCTGGTGATCTTGAGGCCGGCGATTCCTTGAACGATGTTTCGAAAGTCATGCTAATCCCACCATCAGCCGCCTCGTCGTACTCCTCGAGACTCTTCTTCCGGTCGCCGTTCTGGTACGGTGTCGAAGCGCCCGAGTACGTGGAAAGGTTGCTGGAACTACCAGCGGGATTCTGCGATGCAACGGCGAGACTGTCGTTGTAGCTCTTCGTCTCCCTAAGCGCAGAGTACGGATTCGGCGAAGTCTGCGACATATCGATCTTCATGGGCGGCAGCGTGCTCTTGATCTCCTTGATTTCCAAGCCCTCTATATCGTACATGGCGTCGTAGGACAATGCTGCGACCTCTGCACGGATAGCATCGATGTCGAACATGATCGGGTTCTCCGCTAGCTTCGCCGGATCCTGCTCCTTAACGATTGCGTTCTGCGATTTCTCGTCGTAGACCTCCCAGTCTTTCTTCTGCACCTTTTTCTTCCGCCAGAAATTGAAACCCCCCTTCTTTTCTTCCTTCTTTCCCATCTCTTTTCGAGCTTCCTCTATCTCACTGATGAGCTCGCGTTGACGCTTCTCGTGGTTTTCGGGATCCGGGTCCTCAATTTCGCTAAATTCATCGCTTTCGACTTGCCAGCCGACTTCGCGGAGGAGCCTCGGCATGGCCGCTCGGTAGGCCATATGACCGTGTACGAATTCAGTGACGTCGAAGTTTTCGACACCGGGCACGTCTACTTTGGCGAGGCCAGCAACTTGCATGATGCCTCCACTGGTTGCTCGGAACAAATATCCTAGATCTCCTGTTAGGAAACGCAATGTCAATGTGAATTTTGACTCATACCAAGAATCCAATCGTTATTTGCATATCCGTTGACACATCGCCCAGGTACGATGGCCCTCACTTTGGTGTATTCTTCTTTCTTGGCCACCACCGGCGTTCCAAACATGTATGCGTTTTGTACTAGACCCACAGCTCCTCGATTGGCAAGCTCTTTCAAGCAAGCGAAAATGACCCTGGCACCCAGTGAGAAGCCGACTAACGTGATAGGACGAGCACCAAGATTGCGGTCGATGAGTGAATCAGCAAGAATGAGACCAGCCATGTCTGCACGGGCTTGGGAGACGGCCCAAGGATTATCAATAAGGTAGGATAGCTTCGTCAAGGCGAGAGGTAGTGTTAGCGCTGACATGAGAGCACCTAGAATTGTAGCTCCAAGCACTTGTTGTAGACCTTGAGTGAGAGCCTAGGCAAAGTCAGTTGTGGTCTTGATGCACTTTCGCCACACTCACCTCTGTAGCCAGAATATTAATGGTGTCACCCATGCTCCGAAGCATTTCAGGCTCCCAATGAACGGAGTAGATATCTCCCATGATGGGATCGACCGTACTGAAAGGCAAACGAACGTCATCAAGCTTGCCGTTCATCCAACCGGCTACTGTAACGATGAGGTTGACCCGTTTGTTGTTATGAAGCGGGCGGTACTCAAAAGTCTTGACGGCACCCGTCCGTCTGTTTGCAGCTCTTACACCGATTGTGCCGCCCGTAACCACGCCGGTAGTTGTAACAATAGCAGCTCCTCCTGCGCCGGCGAGAAACCCTCCGGTACCAGCAACACCAATCGTTGTGAATCCAGCGGCAAGACCAGCACCAAGAAGCGGAGCTAGTAAGCCGGCTGAAAGGCCAATGACAAGACTGCCACCGACTGTTGCAAGACCCATGAGAGCTAGACGCCTATTGCGCGCCTTTTTTCGGCGGCTTTCCATGTGCTCGTCTTCGTTCCAGTTCTCTTTGTTGGCTTCTTCTTCCATTTCAAGCGCTTCGGTAACCCTTTTCTCAAACCGACATATTTCTAGCCAGTCCACGCTAAGATACTCGCCGACGGTCTCTAATAAATGTCTTGATCGTGCATCGTACACAGAGTCAGCAATGAGAACCAGAAACAAGTCGCAAAGGATAGTCCAGCGAAGGTCGATATCCAAGCTTGAGGTTGTGGGTAATTGCGAGGGCGTCCGAACCGCCGGTAGGTCATCTCCAGAATGATTTGCATATGGAGGCGGGGGAGGGCTGTTCATGTAGTCGTCGTCTTCCAGGTCGAGACTTGAATTCGACTTGCCCTTCTCCGATGCAGAACCTAAAGGAGGCGAAGATATAGATGGCCTAGCTGAGTCGGCGTCCTTCGCGGAATCGGAACTTTCGGCAGCAGGGTTCTTCACACGAGCGTTCTGCATCAAGGCCGGAGTTAAGTCAGCAGACACCACACCGTGCTGCGACAGCTGCTCGATCATCATCTGCTCAGACTCGTTGACTTCCATGTGTGAGTATAACCGAACCATCATTTTCTGCGACCACATCTGGGTGGTTTCTTGTGCCATATCCAGAATTTTCTTGGTGTTCCTATTGCGCTCGAGCTTGGTGAAGCGCTTGGCCGTATCTACGATGGCTAACCGGACCAGACCAACATAGGCGATGCGTTGCCCCTCAGTCAAAAGGCTCTTGGTGGTTTGCATCTGAGCAAGCGGGTCACGAGCAGCCTCATCTTCATCGTCCAGCATTGTGCTTCTCTCTTTGAAGAGATACGCAGTGTTATCGTCCATGCTTGTTACTGACTCGACGTCGTCATCCATTATAACGCGTGTGTAGCCCTTGGCTGCACCGCCAACATTGCCATAGCCATGCATGTCCTCGAGCTCCTCCGCATTTTCCCTGGCGATGAGCCTGTTGTCATCGTCGTACATGTCGTAGCGCGCATACGCGGGCATGGTCTGCCATTCGCCATCGTCTTCTTTGACCTCTTCTGACGCTCGCGGCGCAGCCTGCATATGCGAGTATTCGGATATGCCCGCGGGGTTGTGTGCTTGAACAATACTGCTGCGCTTGTCTGCCGCAGACTTGGTGGAAAGTGTACGTGCATGTGCACTCGAGGCCTGCTCGCCGTTCTGGGTGGCTTCTGCCTTTGGTGGCCCTGCTTCGACATGCCCATTGTTGCCCGCAACATCCGGCTTGGTCTTGGTCTTGAGCTCCTCCAGGTTCTCTTCTGCTGGCGCAGGCTTCAGGGCCTCCTTCTCATGCTGGGCGGGCTGCTCCGTAGACGTCGGCTCGGACGCTGCATCCTTGAACTCCTCCTTCTTCTGGTCTCTTTCGTCTTCCTCGCTCTCGGGCAGCGGCGGTGCCCGGGGTTTCTTGATGGGTAGCCCAAAGTCGTCGTATTCGACTTCAGGCTTCGGCTCAGCCTTAGGTGAGTTCGTGTGCGGTGCGCTGTCAGGCTGTTGCTTGTCGTCGGGTGTAGGGGTGTCTTCTGCGTTCACGGATGGCATGGTGTCGTTGTGTCGCACACATTCGAGAGACCTCGTTCGGCAATGTCGAGGAGTCGGGGCCGCACGTTCGCTTCGCTCGAGAGCGCGGGGACTAATTATGTTTCAGCACAGTCAGCGGAACCCCCTTCGAACATGTTTTCGGTGTCTGTAGGCACTGCCAGTCCTGGATGCGGCACCTGTGGGGCCTTTGACGAATGCTTAATTCCGCGACCCACGCTAGCGCCAAACGGTCCCGCCAAAAAAGTTGGCCGACTTCCTGCAAACGAACATTCCTCTCTACCACGCGCAACCGATAACCACGCGCAACACGTGCTGAGGCTCTGACACTCCGCAAAGCCTCGATCCATGGTACGAGAACGAACGCGCACATCATCATCGTCATCCCTACTACGCAGCGTCTTTGGCGCATCAAGCGGTATTTTGGCAACACCTACAAGAACAACTCCTCTGCGAATTAGTACTCGAAAGATCCTCCGTGTAGGAATCACGCAATACCGGCAACATGAAGCTCAAACGCGCCAAAGCATACCGGAAGCTTATGCACCAATACGAAGTGACCTTTGGCTTCCGCAGTCCATATCAGATTCTGGTCGACCACCAAATCCTCGAAGACTGCTGGCGCGGGAAAATCCAACTACTCGAACGGCTCGAAGGCTGTCTTCAAGGGGCAATAAAACCTATGATTACCCAATGCTGCATGAGGGCGCTATATACGGCGAAAGATAAGGTTTGATACTCTATCCAGATCTGGGGAACTTTGATTAACAAGACCAGAATGACAAACTCATATCATGGTGCAAAGAGAACCTGGAGCGGCGCCGCTGTGGGCATCATGAACTTGATGAACCACTCTCCGCATTGGAATGTATCTCGAACGTTATCGACCCGAAGGAAAACCACACGAATAAACATAGGTTATGCGTTGCCTCACAGGATCGGAAGGTGCGGGCGCACGTAAGTACCTGCTTCGCGCCCCCCACACATACCCATCTAACAGAGTTACAGCTACGCACTATCCCTGGTGTACCCTTGATTTACCTGGAGAGATCCGTCATGATCATGGAAGTAAGTCAAATTTCTGGATACAGTAAATGTGTTCTCTAGAAAGCGACGGCAATGCTGCTTTTTCCTTTGCCCAAGACACAAGAAAAGAACATGTCCTTCTCGTAGCTCAGACGCAAACAAAGTACCCGCACTGACTTCGTACGGCAGCCCATGAACACCGCCTCTGAAGAGCAACGCGATCGAGAGGAAAAAAGCAAATTCCGCCAGGGACTAAAAGGCCAGCGCAACCCCGACCAACTTCCCAAGAGGAAGCGCGAGGACGAGGAGGATGCTGGCGATGATAATGTTGAGGGCCAAGCTACGGAAGAAGCTCGACTGCAGAAAAAGAAGAAGCGGAAGGGGCCGAAAGAGCCTAATCCGCTCAGTATGAAGAAGGCCAAAAAGGATACGCCTGCCGGCAATGCTACCAAGCCCAAGTCTACCGAACCGAAACCACCGCGATCAGAAGCAGGCTCAGTTGAAGCTACTGCAGCAGATGGTGAAGGCTCTGGGCCTCGTAAGAGGAGGCGGAAGCACAAACCCAAAGGCGATGGAGATTCTGTTGCCAACGTCGATGGTGAAGCGACTGCGGCATGATCCAGGAATTCGACTGTCATATCCTGATCGCGATTCAATATCCACAGGCTTCGTGGGAGGACGCTCGGCGCATGATGTGGTCCACTCACAACGTTCGATGTGGTAGATACAGGCGGTAGCTTGCATCTGCAGCACGACAGACCTTATGAAGAGCACGAAGCTGGGATATCAACGGGCCATGCCTTGACATCCGACGGCGATGGCGAAGAGCAAATAAGAGAGGCGTCTGACAAGCACCGCTCACACTTTCTTGCCTTGTGCGAGGAGATCCGATATCTTGGGCGGTAGTATTAGCGTACTACGATCGTTACGCTTGACGAACTCGACCACCACTTCGGCCGTCTTTTCAGGTAGATCCTCTTGGAGGAAGTGTCCGGCTGCCGGAAACACTTGCAGCTGGAATTTGCCTGGGATGTGTTAAGATACCACACCAAAATATGAATACAGCAGAGCTTACCCTGCATCTGCCCGATCATAAGTTCCTTATCCAACCTGTCCGTTCCCGCGAGTATCAGAAGCTTCGCGCCCTTCCCACCCAGAAATTTCGCACTCATGCCATTAAACCAGTTCTCCCAATATGCCTCCGTACTGCCCAGCTCCGTCCGCCACGCCCACTTCCCGTCCGGAGTCTGCAGCAGTAGACTAGGAACGCTCGCTCTCGCCGACTGCGGATTCCGTAGTGTTCTCGACCGTATATGCCACTCAATCGCCGCCGGCAAACTAGGAAACGTCTTCGGCCGACTCGCCAAATAACTCTGCATATGTTTCAGCGCCTCCATCGCGCTCCCCTCAACCACGTCCAGCACCGCATACCCCAGCAGCTTATTGCCCAGCAGCCCCTTGTTCGCAACATGCGTGACTACCGCTCCGCCCAGACTGTGTCCGATGAGCACCACAGTGGGCAAATCTACCCAGGCCATCTTGCTCTGTGTGAGGTGAACCATGTCGACGAGGTCTTGTCCGAGCACATCCACGGATAAATCGTTGTCGACGTGGCCGTCTGCGTCCCACACCACGCTCCCATGCTCTCTCGCCTCGACGGCTAGTATTCCGATATCTGGCATCAACTTCCTGACCTCCTTCGCCATCAATGCGAAGCTCAGCGCTGAGCTCCCCGCGCCATGGTGCAGGACCAGGAGATTCGCTTTCGGCGACGTAGGCGGGGTGAGGTAGACGTGGAATTTGGCATGCGAGCCTGTTGGCGAGGCAGGTCGCTCGAGGTAGAACTCTTGAGCGAAGTAGTCTGACCAGTGCAGGACAGGTGCCGGCCGTTGGTTGTTTGTGGGTATGACCGTGCCGGTGGAGCTCATGGAGCTTGCGGAGGAGCTATCATCTTCGTAGACATCTGTGGATTCCTCGGTGAGGGGTTCAGGCGGAGGGAGTGACGATAGTTTAGTTTTTGCAAAGGAGCGCGCGAGGTCGGACATTCTGGATGGGTGTAAATGGCGGGCTGTCAGCTGAAAAGCTTGTATCACGTGTGAACGGTGTCAATTGAGGATGGCAATGTGAGATCGAAACATTGCAGCATGCGAGGTGGGGGTGGTGCCACTGCAGGGTTCGGCGGGCGCCAGGGTAAGCGAGGAAGTGCATCTTGCGTCACTGATCTGATTGTTGTTGTAGGAGAATCCTTCAAGAAAGTCCAGATCCACTTCACTGTAGTACATTGATCGCTAGACACAACAGGGTCACGGTGATATTCGCGAGGCAGCAGCCTTGCGCCGCGGGCCTAGACAATGATGCGCATTAGCCGCGTACTATGCAGTGCTATGGTAGTTGACAAGCCCTGGTCAACCGCATTCGAGAACCATGACGTCGATCCGTTCCCTAGCGCCATTTGAGCTCCAGACCGTCGCCGCCGACGCCATTTTCAAAGCGCGCGAAGGTTATCTTTGCTGGGCGCATAACCTGTTTGCCCTTCTCATTGCTTCGTCTTTCAGATCTCTCTCCTCGAGACCTTTTTTCTCGGTGTGAGGAAGCTTCGTGATCGGAACCGGAGCTCTCTGAGCTCGCAGTACTTGACATGTGGGGATTAAAGAAAGGTCACGAAGACGACGGCGAGTCCACGCCACGAGAAGACGCAGCTTCGATGGATGCCCCGCGAAGCACAAGGAGTGTGCGTTCGGCACAGAGAAATAATCATGATTCTCGAGAGCCTACTGAAAGGACGAGACTGCTTGACGATGGACGTCGGCCTCCTAACGCGGATGGCTACTTGGATCCTGACGACCCAGCGGTTTGTATACCTTCTTTCTGGAGTCTTCGTAATTGCTAACTGTATGTCAGGTCTCGCCGTACAACCTCTGGTCCGTCCGGTTCCTCCGCTACTTTACGATACTGTTCTTCATGATCTCGTGCCTTTGGTGGACACTCCTCCTCATTTCTATCTTCATCAGTCCGCCTGGGATGCATTCACGCGGCAGCGGATTCTTCGATTTCGCGTTTACTTGCCTTACCATTGGAAACCTCTTAGTCGCCATCATCTTCTTCGCCGCGCCTGCTAAAGCTCTGCGCGTCACTACAGCTATTATTGCCGCCTTCCTTGTCATCGACATGATCTTGATTCTGGCAGTCCCCAGGATACGGCTTGAAGAAGGCTGGGTAGGTATTGCATCCGTCGTCTGGGCAGTGTTCATCGCGATATGGTGCATCATCACAGATAGGGTCGTTGCATGGGGCAAGAAGGAGGAAGAAGAACGTCTCACCGGACGCCCGGAGACCCGTCGCACGCTGAAGGAATGGCTTGCCGTCCTGGTAGCCACCATCCTCACCATCGCTTTCATCGTCGTCGCCATCCTCATGACCGGCACGCTGAGCATCCGCGCGCGAGACTCCACGCTGAAAATGCAGGGAGACCGCATCCTCGTCGACGGAGACAAGTACGCCGTCCACCTAGCTTGCATCGGCAACGTGACCTACACCGACGACAAGCGCGACCCCACCATCCTCCTCGAAGCCGGCGAGGAGCCTTCCGAATACGACTTCGAGCACTGGGCCTACAACGCCGTGCAAAATGGCACCATCAACCGCTACTGCTACTGGGACCGCCCCGGCTACGCCTGGTCCGACAACGCGCCCTCTCCCCACAGCGCAGGCATGTCCGCCGACGCACTATCAGAAGCCCTCGCCAAAGCCGGCGAAGAAGGCCCCTGGGTCCTCGTGTCTGCCGGCACCGGCAGCATCGTCTCCCGCATCTTCAGCTCCCGCCATCTGAAGCAGGTAACTGGCCTCATGCTCATCGACCCCATGCACGAGGACCTCCTACACCGCATCGGCAACCCCGGCCGCGGCTTCGTCCTCTGGGGCTGGGGCATTATCTCCCCGCTCGGCATAACCCGTCTCGCGGGCGCCATTTTCAAAGGTCGCACGAGGCAGGACCGTGTGTACGGGCGCAACGCATACCAAGGTGGAAAGTTCATCAAGGCGGAACTACAAGAGAATCTCGTTGCGGACTCGCTCAGTAAGAATGAGGTTTCGTCCGCGAGGAACATCCAGTCTGCGGACACGCCGTTGGTGGTGGTCAGCAGTGCGATCAAGTGCCGCAGCGATGGCGAGTGGGAGAGGAAGCAGAGGGATTCGACCAAGTTGACGGAGAATCTCGTCGGCTGGGATGTGGTTAACAAGGCGCCGCATCAGGTGTGGAGGACGTTTGAGGGGAGGCAAGTTATGGAGAAGAGGTTAAAGGAGTTGGTTAAGGCCTCGAGGAAGGTCAATGGGACGACGATCGAGGAGTGAGCCGTGGCCATTCAATCAACGAGGAATGGGTGGGGGCAGGAGTAACTTTCGTTGGTATATATGTTTTGCTCTTGAGGCTTGTAGGTCGCGCGGGAAGCAGGAAGTTGCGCAGGGGCTGTTGGAAAATTGTATGAGCATTTAGCACTGCGGAAGTCATCTGTACACGTAATTCTAATGACGAGATATGCCCACTCAACGTCTGCTTCATATCGGTACAATATCTACAGCATCGTACAATCTGCTGCACTCTCCGCAGCTCTTCTATTTCGATGTACAAATTCCAGAGTCCTTCAATCCTACATGTTCCACCTCCATGCCTACTAATCAAGAGCGTACGCCCGGAGGTCCATCCCATGTCCGAGGACAACGACGGAACCTTGATGCCAGTACTTTGTGAGGCGTCGTCTAACCCATCGCCTTCAAGAAATTCCTCTCCTTGATCCCCGCCCTCCTCTTATCCCTCATCGCCTTCGTCAACTCTCCTCTCGCCTCGCCCGCCTGGACCGCACCTTCTACCGTGCCATCTCCCGAGGGAAGGTCGATCGTCTGCTCATATATAGGCACCTTCGGAACGAGCATCCCCGGGTTCGCAAGCTGTTCCTTGCGGAGGCGCTTCGCAGCCAACCGACGCTGTTTCTTCGATTTCGCTATTCACTCAAGCATTAGCCACCGCAATCCACAATATAACCCTTCTCTAAGACCCGAATCGTGAGGGGTTCCGGGAACGTATCCAGGATGGCTTACAGAACAAATCTCCCGCCGCACCGCTCTCCCCCTTCTTCTCCTGCCTCTCTAGTATACTCCACAACCACTCCGGGTACTCCTCGTCCGCCATCGCAACAGGATCCTGTCTGTCTTTCAGGAAGTTCAACCCCTTGAGCGGCGTCCCTGCTGCCACGGAGCTGCGCACTAGCGGCGCCTTCTTCTCTGCTGGCGGCGCGGCATCTTTCTTCGCCGCAGGCGTTATAGGTTCGCTGAAAGGCTGCGCGGCGGAGGTAGATGTGGCCGCAGGGGGGGTGTGCGATGATGCGGAGGAGCCTTGTCGGGGTGCGGGCGTGCTTGCGGCGGAGACGGGGGTCGCGTTGCGGAGGGTTGCGGCGGAGGAGAAGGCGCGTGTAGATGGCGGGGGCGGTATTCGTGCGCGGGAGGCTGCGCGGAGGCAGGTTCGGCAGATCATTGTGTGTGGGTTGCGGGTGCAATGCGTGTTTGGATGGGGGTGTTGATTGATGCGCTCTTCGAACTTTTGGGCGGAGGATAGTTTCGCCGGGCCGAGGAGTTGCGGCTTCCTGGTCGATCGTCTGCTTGTAACTTAGAATGTACGATCGCGCTGTTGCGCATATATTTGAGTTTCTAGCAAGCTTTGTTTAGCGTTCTGTTCATCCATTGATTTGAGCTGATGGTCGCTACTGCGTCTGCCGAACGATTTCTGCCGAACAGCATCTGCTTCAGCCATGAAAGCGTCACGTGATGCTTGACCTCCCGTCCTGAGGTCCTCTGGCAGGTACATGGATCATCCCTCGAACACGAGTCCTGTGTCACCAGAAATTCACCCGAGAAGACTGTAAATGACGCACAGTGACATGGTGTAGAGTTGTATTTCTCTAATGTATCAAACCAGACCACAAGAGCTCACCTTTCGTGAGCGATTCATCATAGAGACAAAGTCTGCGGAAGAACTTCACCACATCGGATGCTGATCTACAAGATGTGAATGAGACGATAAGCTGAACCCACTGCACAAGTCAGGCTAGACCAGGATGGACAACACTTCGGCCACTGACCCCCGGTTCATCCATTCACTCCCATGCAGGCGTATCCTCGATACTCTTCGCCGGGATCCTCCCTCTCAGAGCTCCCAGCACTTTCTCCTCCAATTCCCCACGCTTCTGAGGCTGATTATAAAGCCACTCCATGCCTCGGGCTGCTACACCGCAACCGGGTTTGCGAATCCAACGTACCCTGATCTGCATGTCTCCAATCTTTGGGTCTACGTGTCTCGTCAGTATGTTGCCCCAAAGTTATTCAAGTTCTGAGTTTGCTCACAGTTGCGGAGACATTCCAGCACTCGAAAGATCGGGAGCAAGTGGCAATTTTTCATGGGCTTAGTACGGTCGGTAACGCGGAGAAAGAATTCGGCTAGATGCAGTTCAATGTCAAGTTGACGAATGCGAGGGAACACGAGCTGCAGAAGAGACATGCCGGCAACAGCGTTCGTGCGATCGGCTTGTTCATAGTAGTCCATCAGACTCTGCCAGTATCCACTGAACAGTGTGAAGTTGGGCAAACACACTCGTGTAATCCTACGGCGAAAGGTATCCGGCAACCGCCGAAGGGACTGGTAGAGCGCACGGCGCGGTTCGCCTATGTGTTCCTAGTCAGTATTGGCTCCAGGCGCCGGGAAAAGGACGAACTTACGGTCGCTGTAGAAGATGAAACGGGAGGCGCCATCCCGAATCAAATAGGTCGCTGCATCCTCAAACACAGCCTCGTCCCAGGCCTGGACCTTCTGCAGCATCTCAAGATTGCCGTCATTCGCTTCTGCGTGGAAGATGAGGTCTTGATGCTCTCTTACCAGGAGCAGGTCGAATACCATGAACTTCAGTTCAAGAGGGAGGCGATGGAACAAGTTCTCTCCTTGGTCCGCATCGGGCGGTGCCATGCTGGCGCGCAAGCTTTCACGAGGGGGATTGTGATGTGAGAATCTGGAAGTAGCACCTATCGAGACTTTCAAGGCATTGAGCATGTGCTAGACGGGGCGAAGACCGTACTAATACAACTTAATGGCCACTAGATCGATGGCGCCCCGTGAGGCCAGTTCGCTAAGCGGCGGTGGTTCGATTTTGCCTGCGGAGAGACGACTCGAATTTGGGTGGCCGGTTGACTGTGGAGAGTGTGAGACAAGTACTGATATGCATGGGTGCTGTCTGCAGTGTTTATATTGACTATTACCTTTACGACCAGTAGGCTCAGCCTTTTTCACGTTAGGGTGCTGCGTTGGCCAGGGACAATTGAATGGCTGATGCACTACACCGGACGGCTAGGTTGATAAATGGCACTCTCTATGGCCAAAACTTGACCCAGCCACCATGGACTATCCGGGCGCCATGGAGGTGATTGAGACTTCGAAGAAAGCGACTAGTGTGCCCATAATCAAGCGTATAAGTTATATTTCATGGTATTTGGGCGGGGGTGCATGTAGTATGTTCGTATTTTTTGTAGTTGTGTTCTCTGCTGTAGACTTGTTGAGCTGAGCATTAGTTGTATAAGAGGCTCATAACTTGTCGAATATAAAGAAGTAAACTGGCTATTTCGTGATCTATGTACATGAGGTAGACTATAGATATTGTTTGTAGGAGTCATGTGATGGGCTTGCATCAACACCCGCCCGTCTACGATTGCCACAGAGTACCTGATCTCACACTATCTTCAAGTTCATCATGTCCGGAGGTTTCTAGTGACTTCCTTGATTTCAATTTTGCCTGTTCCGGCGCCAATACTGGCTCATATAATAGTTTAGCAATAACATCGTGTCTACCCAGAACTAAGAAAGGAACCCCTCTGGGATGAGTTGTACTGAGTAGTCAAGCTCTACAGGCACCTATTATACGCATTACGTTGATCGTAGGAAACTAAACTATCTATAAGCTCATGACAGTACAAATTTTCTTTGATGCTTCTGAGGACGGAAACTTAGTCGACAAGCAGCCTGACAAACAGCCTGAAAACTCTAAGCACAAGCTCAAGAATCCAGCAACGCTGGGCAGCACGATGCCAGCGATGAGTTCAATGACTTCGGTGATAATGAGCCCACCGACACTGGCTGTTACACATCCACCGTCTCAACCATCTCTAGCCTTTCCATTCAATTCGGCTTCTTGGTTACGCTTTTATTTTCAGCGTACGCATGTATAGCGAAGCTCGAAGCAAGATCCACATAGCACAGGTCACCACGTAAGAATAATAGAGACTACGAGTTGGCCTATGAATTAATTCCTTGACGATATCATTAAAACAAAACTAGACAGGCATTCTGATTTCACCAACAGTGAACACTTGCCCGACCTTGGCTACCATTGTCTCAAAAGAGAACTCTAGTAGCACTCAGGGGCTGGGCTGTGCACTACGTTATCTATCCGCTCTTAGACCATTTTCCGTCGCTTCCCTTCTTCCAGCTTCCGCTGTCGTCCGAGTCATCTTTCTCCCATTTGTCGGTCGATTCATCTTTGTGCCATCCCTGCCTATATCTTGTGTCAGTCACTACATATCGACTTCTTATTGCGTCGTCACATACCCAGTCGAGTCTTTATACCACGTCTTGTCCGAATCGTCGTCCTTGTCGTCCTTGTCCCAGCTTGAGCCGGTATCGTATGAATCCTTCGAGTCCTTGCCCCAGCTTGACTTGTCATCATCTGTATCCATTTTACCCCAGCTTGACTTGTCATCATCCGTATCCGTTTTACCCCAGCTTGAGGTGTCATCCTCATCATCCTTGTCCCACTTTCCCATGGAGTCTTTGTGCCTGAAAAGGTCAGTGTAAACCAGAATATTTAAGTTAGGTACGAGGTATCTCATTACAAGACATATCGATCTCGTACCGCGGCGTTACTCACCAGCCTTGGCCAGTGCTGTCCTGGTACCAGTCGCTGTTATCATCGTCGCTGTCGTCCTTGCCCCAGTAGTCTTTCTTATACCCATCGTTTTTAAACCAGTCGTTGACTGGCCAAATCGAGTTAGTGTGAGTCCAGCAGTGGGAATCCATACCTCGTGGGTAATCCGAAGCAGCGAGGAGAGTTTTCTCTGCTAGATAGACGTCCACATTATATCCAGGAGTTGCTTACAGTCCATGCCCGAGCGATTCCAGTCGTTGTCATTGTTACCGCCGATCTTGCGCCACCACTGGTACCTGAATCGTCATGTCAGTGTGTGCATTCGGGGTGGTTGTGGACTCGCGTATGCGTATATCTCGGCCAGGCCCAAAGGACACATCCTATTCGCATCCGGACAGTTCTTACCCATTCTTGTTCCTGTAATATATTCAGTCAAGGTGCCAGCGCAGGGTATGTCGAGAAGCTTACCACCAGTCATCCCAAGAACTGTAGCCCTGATCTTCCCAGGGGCAGTACTAGAAATCATCAGCAAGGATGTCTTGTAACAACAACAAACTCCCTCGACGACTTGCCTTCTCAGCCCACGACTTCCAGTCGCTGCGGAACGTCAGTAATTATCACAGTTACGGGGAATGGGGACAAGATTGTCTCAGCTGGCTACTATGTCTGCGGATATCAGACATTCACAACAGCATAAACGCCCATCGTCTGCCCTGCATCATGTTACGCACCCGTAATCTTTCCATCCACCCTTGTTCTTCCAATCGTCGTAGTTCTGGTAGCCCCAATCATTCCAGTCCATGCCGCCCATGCCGCTGGTTTTCGCAGTATCGCGAGCGGCGACGCCTTGATCGGAACGCATAGGGGCAGCAAGCACGGCCGAAACCATGATGCCGAAGGCGGCGAGTGCGTAGCGCATGTTGAAGTATTGTTTAATCAGTGCTTAATATTGGTGGACGGAATCGAGCGATGTGGCTTGAGAAGAGGCGGTGCTGATGGAATTTGTCCACAGCTGAACTCGTGCTCTATGACGGTCATGGCCACTTATATACTACCTCTCCACTGAAGGGCATAATGCTACGGAAGAAGGAGATGAAATCCTTGGCTTCGAACACGCGCCTGAGCCTAGCCATTTCGTAGGCCAATTTGCGAGTGCATCCACACGATAAGGCCACCTGAGACCCCAAAGGCCAACCGGACCTATCGCCGCTTGATCCATGCACTGAAGACCGTGAGCATGTTTACTCTGTGACAGCAGAAACGTAGTGGAAACGCCTGTCCAGGTCTAGTGTCTTTGAATTCCTGGCAAGAGAGGTTGGGAAGTCATGTGTGCGACCCCTTTCTGCCCATGATAAGTTCTCGGAATGAGGGATCTTGTCCAGTAGGGATAGCGTAACACAGAGCGTGTATACCTTTGCCAACGACAACAATATGAACCTAATCATCACCCAGCGGTGCTGCGTCGACCGACTTGATTAGTAGTCGGGGATGCAGGCTGAGCGGAAGAAGATTTGAGTACTTTTCGAACTCTTGCGACGAATGACCGAGTACGTTCGGAAAATTTAATGACTGTTTACCTGCGTATGTAGACGAGAAGGGTCTGTGAGAGTGACGATGCATTCCAACAACATCGTGATCAACAAAAACTTGAAACCGCCACAGGGAGGCTGCCGTCGCGTGGCATCAGCCTCACATAATACGGCTCCGCACTACGCTAATATCGAAGGCACTCATGACTTCCGATCATTACTTACCAGAGACTATCAGCCCTGGAGACTAGAGATCACATGATTGATGCGTCTCACGATCGAGCAAATGAACACTGTATCCAAGGGAGACCCGTCCACAGCCCGTATGCAGTTGGTTGAAAGCTTGCAGAGGCAAGGTTCCTACTCTGCTCCAATATCTCCCTTGCTAGAGGCCGCTTGATCCTGTGCGCACATGCACACACACAGGTCACCGGAGACTGTCGCCTGCAGCACGTTTACGTCAAAGAATGGACCCATTTCATAATCATGAATCCTTGCAGTAGCTACGTGCCACGCGCTGGTGGTTGCAACTTGGCAGTCACCGCTGAGACACTCGCCCTCGTGATGCGTATATCATATGTTCCACTGTTGATTCCACGTGTATACCAGCTCTCACAGGGAAATGTCTACCCATGCGTTGCGGAATGGTTTGCCTCTTCCACTAGGTCAGGACATTCCGATATTTGGGTGCCCGAACAACCATCACTGAGACCGCTGTTGGTCAAAGTCGCTTCGGAAATCCACGAAGGATCGATGCATTCCACGGTTAGGTCGATCTGCGAATCGAAGGCCGGCGAGGATCCGACATCCACCATGGTTCTCGCAACGTGAACCTTTCCACAATGTGGAATGAAGATATGAAGTGAGTTCCCGCAGTCACTGACGTGACCGTTGCTCTCGTGGTCTTCAGAATGACCTTCAGCAGTGAAGACTGCGTTGATTGTAGTGCCGAATCTGCTAGCGGCTTCCATCATCATCAGAGGCCGAAGTAGACTGGCAAGCTTGCAGGCGACCGCGTCATCGCTGCTACGGGCTGTCCGATCCATATGCTCAAGTGTCTTCTCTACCAATCCACGATCACTGACGCGCTGGTGAGTGAGATAATAGAAGGCCTTGCTTCCATCGCCATCCCCAACGGAAGTCCGTAGTCCACGGCTGCCGGAAATGTGCGCCAGACATAGTGCTGTACTGGCAAAGAATGCGATGAACTCAATTCCGCGACAGTAGGACGTCACCGTTGGGCCGCTGCGGAAAGCTACGAAACGAATGAGTATGTCCCGGCTTGCATTGACCGCTGTGATCTTGCTGTACGTATACAAGTGGCTGTCCGAACAGTACAGGAGATATGGGAAATGCAGCTGCATCACCAGAAAGTAATATGTGAGCTGCATCATGATGTTACTTGTCCACATGGAACTATGGATGTTCCGTAGTGAGGTGTCAGGCGCTACCCACCATTGTGGTGGCATGCAAGTAGACGCGCATTGTAGAAGCTGGTCAATCTCTTGCGTTACCATGAGATCCTGCAAATCCCTTTCGTTACGCTCTATGATGCGCCCGCCGATAATGACAAGTAGCCGCTCCAATTGCTCCATAGGTGAACAGAGCCTCAACTCTTTTTTATCCAGAAACCTGTTGTCACTCGAGGCTTGCGGTACACCCAACATAAGCGAAAGGTAGCGGTCCGATTCGACCAGGCGAAACCAGATGTAGTCAAAATCGATTCGCGTCAGTGTTTGTGGTTCAATGACCTTCGTTGATGGCGAATGGGCTTTTCGATGCAGTCTCAGTAGTTGAGCTATAACCATGGCCTTCCGGAATGAAAGCAGCGCCCGAGTCAGGTTCCCACGGTAGTTGTGAATCATGCTTTCGAGTGCAACACATTCGACCGCTTCAACGGACTGAAGTAGTTCGTCATTCGTTGTCACCAGGGTAGTGGCTGTATGCAGAAGGTGGTCAGCCATGTCTCCGAAAACCGGGGTACCACTGGAGTCGACAGGAGGAAACCGCTGAACGAATGCACTCAGCAGCAGAACCTTTCGAGCAATGACCACAGGATGTGCCCCATACGGAGGTAGTTGCAGTACTTCGCGCGGTGATACATTATGTTGACCTATCACATCGGAATGCGGACTGTACAGCGGGCCATGAAGTATACTGAAATCGTCACTTGTAACGCCATGGATCAATCCCAGATCTCGATCGCATGGCCAGACCTCAGCAAGCGCGCAGTACAGGTTATGATATGTTTTCGACAGTGCAACGGGTTCCGTTGAAACGAATTCAAATAAAGATCCTGGCCCAGTTGGCTTTGACGCAATCCTTCGTTCTTTTTCTGGACGATGTTGCGGAGAGCCTGTCGCTACTGATGCCATCCGTTTGGGCTTCATTACCTTCTTTCGAGTTGCCGACAGCTCTTCATCGAACTCCTGACCAACACAATCTAATCCTCGACTTATACAGCCCACGCAGATAGAGTCGACGGGGGCAGCGAAGATACATCTTGTCTTGCGTCGCTTGCACTCCCAGCAGCTTTGAGTACCTTTGCGAATCTTCCGTTTCCCCGGGAGATTGGTCAGCAACCCACCATTGGTATCCATGGAACTTCAGGTGTAGCTTGTCAGAGCTTGTAAAATCTAGCTTGGGGTGATGGAGTGGTGCCTTGTTGGGACGACGAGGGGTCTACTTCCTTCCGCCGCGGCGGAAGCAAGTTTTAGACTAACCCCATTCGGACGTCATCATGCCTTTCCCTTCCTCAAGTTCGCCGCGGTGGAAGCAAGTCACAATAACAATTCGATTGATCAAGTGTATTTAAGTCACCACATCCGCAGAATATCCGAAGAGACCCTCATGCGTCCTCATCACGACAAGTGTGCCAGAGTTACATTCCTCCCAAGCACTTGACAGGAACAAGACATGGTTACAATCGCCATAGCTGGAGGCAGTGGCCGTATGTCATCCATTCACATACGCGAGCTCCGGACTGACATCATCCAGAGGTCGCCCAAGAAGTTATCGACGCACTCGTTGCAACAAACAAACATGAAATCATCCTTCTAACTCGAAGCGTAAGCAATGTAACTTACATTTAATCGTTCCGTCGCTGACATACACCTAGGCTCCCAAGGAGAACATCGGAACCAGCATCACGCAGCGTGTGGTGGACTACAACAACACGGACGATTTAGTCAACGCTCTGCGCGGGGTGCACACCGTACTGTCTTTCATCCAGGTCCTCTTAGACGTCGATCAGAAGTCCCAGAAAAACCTCATCGACGCGGCGGTTTTAGCTGGGGTGAAGCGTTTCGCTCCTAGTGAGTACGGGAGGTAAGCAACGAGCGCTTGAAACCTGCGCAAATAGAAGCTGACTGTCGAATAGCGCTGGGACGATGCACATGCCGTGGTGGGACGGGAAACAGAAGATACGGCAATATCTCAAGGAACTGAATGAACCATGCAAGGTACAGAGATTCTAGCTACATCATTGTCATCAGAAATCGTGGGCACGTCGTAGGTTGAGTGGTTTCGAGATCAGAGCTAACAACACACCCAGGTCCTCGAATACTGTCTCTTCCAGCCAGGTCTCTTCCTGAACTACTTGGCGTATCCACACAAGACAAGCAAGCATCTCAGTCCCCTCGGAACAGTTTTCGACTTTCAGAATAGCCGTGCTATAACCGTCGACGGATACGAAACTGCTGCCCTTACACTGACAACAGTGACCGACTTCGCCACCCTTGTCGCAAAGACAATCGAGTATGAAGGCGAATGGCCCGCGGTCGGAGGGTTACAAGGGAATAAACTCACAGTGAAGCAGATCATTGAAGTGGGAGAGAAACTCCGAGGTACAGAAACTGCCTTCCCTTTTAGTCAGCTTGGCTAACACAACGACAGGCCGTCCGTTCGCCGTAGAGAAGGTCACTTTAGAAGACCTCGAGAAAGGCATTCTGACATCGTCGTGGTGCTTGGAAGTGCCTCACAAGGCTGTTTCTGCAGAAGCGGCTGAGCAGATGTTGAAACAGGTTACTATCGGCATGTTGCTGAGCACGGCCAAGGGCGCGTGGGAAGGCTCGGACGAAATCAACCAGTTGTTTCCTGATTATTTGTTTACTCGTATCGAGGATTTCCTTGCTGGGGTTTGGCACGAGGCCAGCGCGTGAAGAGCGGTTGTACGTAAAGGCGGCGAATAAGATGAGAAGATGAGATCTTGGCGAGAGACTCCCCGGTAGTTTTGTAGATCTGTCAGTTCTTGTTTCGTGCGAAGCTCAATTATGCGATGCTGGCTTGATGTCAGTTGCGGCATTGGTTGTGCGAAAGTATCCGAGGGTGCCAGTCTGAGAAATGCGCATCTGTTCTGATGGCTGCGCGACGCTCATTGCGCGTCGCCTGGCGGGTTATTACCCCATGGTACAGTGCAGCCCTACCCTAGCCATCCGTATGCTCGGTTCCGGGGATATCTATCCTGAGTCGAGACGGATGAAGTGGAACGCCTCCAGAGCACAAGATTCTTATATCCTCATCATTCCCTTCGCTCCACGCGCGTCGCCCGGCGGTTTGTTACCCCATGGCACAGCACGGCCATATCCTAGCCATCCGTATGCTCAGTTCTGGGGATATCTATCTTGAGTCCGAGACAGATCAAGTGGAACGCCTCCAGAGCACAAGATTCTTATATCCTCGTCATTCCCTTCGCTGCAGCCAGCGTTCCACAAGCGGCCACATCCGCATCGCACAGCCAAGAGCACCTCGAGCTGGAACACGTCGTCGAACCATCATCATCTCCCTAATGGTCCGCGGGCGTTTTGTAGTGAAAGATGCTCGTTTATGGTAAACTATACACTTCCCAAGGCTCTTGGTCCGCTATTAAGGCTGGTCTATTACGTTATTAGATCCACTGCTAACGGCAGCACAACCACTTCAATGCTTGGCCCTACGTCAAGGAATATGAAATTTCAGCTTCATGGAAAGTCGTCGTCGCCTGCGCCAAGGGGCAAGATGTGAACTCGTAGTTCCTTAGTCGTACTTATGTTACGTCGCGTTCGCCTTCCTTCAGCTCTGCTACGGCTCCGGCACGCACCTTCGAGATCTGGCGCAGCATTCCCTTCTTCAAGACGTATACGCGAAGATATCCAGCTAAAGTCTTACCAAGCCGGATTTTCCTCGTTCGCAGCAAAGATGGCACCGAAGGAGGCGCGCGTGATTGCGTCAGAGCACCCTGACAAAGTTCGCATGCTAGTTCTCGAGGTATGAAATTCGCGACGGAAAGAGTCATACCCGCTAAATCCTGGTAGACAGATGATCCGCATCCTGACACCAAGGGAGAGAGAGGATCCTTTGGTGAAGTGCTGAATGATATTCTCGTAGACGCAGGGGAGCAACATGACCCAAAGCTCGCTATCGAGACTATGATACACTACGCCGTCGAGCCACGAGGTGGCCGGATACCAGAGCCTTCGGAAATCACCGATGAGATCCACGCGATTCTGATCACAGGAAGCGTATACGATGCGCATAGCAATGACGCGTGGGTGTTGAAGCTTTTGAACTTAATCAAGCGTACGTAGGGACGCGGTTTATCGTTTGGAGAATGCTGACATCGCCAGACTTGTGGATACATCGACCTGACATCAAGTTTACTGGAATCTGTTTCGGTCATCAAATACTGTGTCGCGCTCTAGGCTCAACTGTCGAACCGGAAGAAAATGGCAAGTGGGAACTCTCGCATACCCGGGTCGCACTCAGTGATGTTGGGCGCTGGCTCTTCAGACTCGATCCATCAGAAAAACACATCCGTCTTCATCAGATGCATGTCGACCTTGTGGTAGATCCGCCCTCGCCTGCCAAAACGGATTTGCTGGATCCGAGCACAGATGTGCACGTATGGGGAACCAGTGATCATACTGGCGTGCAAGGAGTGTATATCCCTAGGAGACTCTTCACCACCCAAGGGCATATGGAATTCGACGAGAAGATGGTCAAAAGACAGCTCGAGATGAGGGTAGAGAGTGGCGCTGTGGAAAAGAGCGATGCCGAAGAAGCAACAGAGAGGGCTGAGTGGATGCACGATGGGCTTCTGGTCGCAAAAGCCGTGTTGAGGTTCTTCCATGGTGACGATGACAAAGCGCGGTAAGGTGGGAGTGGGGTCGGAGTTGGGCCGGAGCACACGCAGTGCGTACATGTACTCCGATAGCTTCGAATATCATCCGTCGATCGACAACGCCGTAAACGAATTCGCTGCATGCTGGTGACAGACGGACGCAAGTTCAAGAATCCTCGCGTGACATGAGTAGGGACGGAAACGAAGTTCCTTTTCCGGTATGGTGACGTATGACAACACCACCTGCGACTTCGGGAAAGCGCTCACGAGTCTGCGGGAATAAAAAAGTCGAACGAGCCGCTCCTTCAACGTTTCGCAACCTTCTATCCAAGTTTGCCTCCTTTCCGCCAAAGTCCTACCATGAGTCTTGGACGAACCTATGAATCTGCGCTTTTCCGTTGTCCGCACACCATCCTAGTACATTCGCGGTCGCAGAGGCATACACCCACCCACAGACGCACGGAAATATCGGCAATGCGGAGTGGCCCACGACACCAGCACCTTTTGGGATTAAAAGTGGTCACTAGACACAGTCCGTCAACGAGATAAAGATGCCCGTCCTCGACTCGTAAACGTCCTCCTCGAGCTCTTTTCCTGAGCGCAACACGCAAAACATGGGGAAACCGGTAAACATCCCAATGGTCAACCCGGGAGAGATACAGAAACTGGAAGCTGTCACCAAAGATGTCGAGAAAGGGACTGAGAAGCCCGCGTTGCAACGACAAGGCTCAGGCCCGCCTTATTCGATATTCACTCCCCGGATGAAGATATGGATCATCTTCCTTGTGAGCGTGTCGGCTTTGATATCGCCCTTTGGCGCAACGCTGTTCTACCCAGTGCTGAACGTCCTCTCTGACGTGCTGCATGTAACGCCCACGATGACGAACGTGGCCATCACGACTTATATGGTAGTTAATCCATCCGAGGACTTCTATTATTGCAGTCTAACACGAATAGATCGCCCAAGCCATTGCTCCTGCCATTATCGCGGGCATGTCGGACGGAAGTGGGCGCAGGCTCTCCTTCATAATATGTTTTATCATCTTCATTTGTGCCAACCTTGGTTTAGCCCTCGAAACAAATTACGTCGCGCTTCTCCTGCTACGTTGTTTGCAGGCCTCTGGGTGTAGTGCTGCCATAGCGCTATCAATCGCTGTGGTGGCTGACATATCCACTTCGGCAGAGCGAGGCAAATACATGGGATATGCCACTGCCGGTATCTTGTTCGGTCCAGCTTTTGGCCCGACTATCGGTATGTTCACTGTTTCTCATGGAGCTTGCATCGCCTGACGTGCTAATTCGCTATAGGGGGCATTCTTGCTCAGTATCTAGGATGGCGGAGCACCTTCTGGTTCCTAGCTATCTTTGCTGGCGTCCTGCTTGTTATATTTATCTTCTTCTTTCCCGAGACATGTCGGTCTGTGGTGGGTAACGGATCGATACCTCCAACTGGCGTCAATCGGTCTTTCTTCAGCTACCTGCAGGAGCGGAAAGAGCGACGTGAGGCCGTGCCTGGTGAGGAACAGTTACCGCCACCCGAGAAACGCAAATTTACGTTCCCCAACCCACTCAAGACACTTCGCATCTTAGGCGAGAAAGAGTCGTGCATCCTTCTTCTGTACAACGGGCTCTTCTTCACCGGAATGATGGTCGTTTCAGCCGCCCTGCCAGATCTATTCAAAGATGCATATGGCCTGGACGAACTCAAGATCGGCCTGTGCTACATAGCCGTCGGAACAGGCTGCCTAGTCTCCTCATTAACCATGGGCCACGTCGTAGACTGGAACTTCAGGCGCCATGCCGCGTTGAACAACCTCACAATCACCAAAGGCAAACAGCAAGATCTTCAAAACTTTCCCATAGAGAAAGTCCGACTGCAAGTTGCCGCGCCTGGCCACATGATTGGGACTGCAGCATTGATCGCGTTCGGATGGATGGTGAAGTACAAGACACATATTGCGGGACCGGAGATAGCCCTTTTTTTTATGGGCTTTGGAACCTCGACGGCTTTCAATCAGACGAATACGCTGCTGATTGATCTTCATCGCCACCAAGCCGCCACTGCAACTGCGGCTATCAACTTTGTACGATGCTTGATGAGCGCGGCTGGATGCGCGGCGATTATCCCCATGTGTCATGCGATGAATCCGGGCTGGGCATTCACATTACTGGGATTGGTATATGCAGTTCTGATAAGCGTAGTCTTTTGGATCATGAGGAACGGTATGAAGTGGAGGCTCGAGCAGGAAGAGAAGAAGCGTGATGCCGGGGCTGAAAATTGAGCAGCAGCAAGGATTGAACTTCCAGATGGAAGTACGAGCAGTCAGGCTTGTTTCAACTAGCTTGTGAGATGACCGTCATGACCACTAAATATGATACCCAATCGAGCGTTCACATTTCCAGAGCGATGCAGTGGGTACACCCTTGATTTAGACTGCCTACGTACAAGCCAGGCACATATCATGCCGCAGCAACGCCCCCCTTCAACATCGTATAATTCTTCTTCGTGTTCCAAACCCTCCACTCCCCAGCATTAACAGCCTCATACTTCTTCACCTCCCCTTCCCCCTTCACAATCGGCTCAATCACCGCCTCCGCATCCGGATGAATAAAGAACGGAATCGAGTATCTCGAGGGCAGAATCTCCCCAGCAACACTAGGGCTCACAACCCGATGAACCGTACTGCGACACCGATCGTTGGTCAACCGCTGCAGCAGATCCGCAATGTTAATGAGGACGGTGCCCCGCTTCGGAACCGCAGGCTTGAAGTCCCCCGTGTGAAAGGGATCGACTTCCAGCCCGCCTACCTCGTCCTGGAAGAGCAGCGTGCAGAGGCCGAAGTCTGTGTGCGGGATGATCCTCGCGTGGCCTTCTTGCTCTAGGATCTTACGCGAGATGGAGGGGTAGTGGAGGAGGCGGAGCTGCGGGTCTGCGCGGCGGGTGATGTTGTCGAAGAAAGTGTCGCCTAGGTGCATGGCCATGGCTAGGCATTTCAGCACGTTCAATGCGAGGGTAAGGCATTGGCTATAGAAGTCGTCGAGTGTTTCTTTGAAGCGCGGTAGGTCGCTTGACGACGGGCATTGAGGATTCGAAAAGCGGCGGTGTTCGTAGCACTCTTTGTGGTCGATGCCGCCGTTTGCTTCGTCCCCGTCGGCGGTGTAGCCTTGGTTTACTTCTGCGTCTTTGAGGCGCCATGCGAGCTTTTGGTGGAGGGGAAGGTCGAAGAAGGACTTGGCCTAGTCACTGTGAGTGTTTGTATACTTGAGTTGGTGTTGAGGGCGCGTACAAGGTCGAACACTTCATCTACACGTGATTGTGGGATGCCGTGGTCGGATATGTATACCCATCCCACAGTGCTGAATGCGTCGTAGACTTCCTTGGCTACCGCTTGCCTGTCCGCGTCACTGCCGTTAATGAAGCGGTCAAACGAGACGACGGCAATGTCCGCAGCCTCAACCATTTTTGCGGCGACTCTATGGCGACAAAACTTTAGGTTCAAGTTAGCACTGGCGGTTATCTTATGCCTCAAACCTGGTTGCTAAACATCCAAGAGTGAAGGTGCAAATTACGTCGGCAAGGCGGCTGCGATTTCTCACTCCGACATGTTATCTGTGAAAGATTCGAGTAGGATGCTGGTAATCAACTTCCTCGAAATCACTTGCCACCAGAAGTGGGACCCAGTTCGGCCGCAACGAGGTTGGAGATCCCCGCACCAGTTTTACGCTAGTACCCCATTTTTTAACTTGGCGTGAGTCCTTCCTCTCCAAGACACGTGATGCTGTGATTGTGCATCTCACGGTGTTCGTATCAGCATTTTCGTCGCTGTAGGGGGGGTCGAAGCGAATGCCGATAGGCAGCTCGATTGTGCAGAACGAGACGCGGCTTCCGGCCTGGATCAACAATCACTTTCCTCCTAGAGCCGCACCACGCGAAACGATAATCTTATCCGGACGATAATCTGCTAGAATCTATCCGTGCGATAGCGCGAGGCGAGTTAGTAGTCGCTTCTGCATTTGCAGGGCACAGGGTTCTGGTAAGGTGGGGAAGACAACTTGAAGTCTAGAAAGTCCTCCATTACGCCCATCTTGTTACCAAATTGTCAAGTCTCATCGCTGTTCGCATCTTCTCAGACGGTGTTGAAGATGACTGAAAGAAAGATATCAAGGCTGGTGCCTCGCAATCAGAAAGTGCTGCTGGCATGTATCATTGCGACCTCGGCTGTTGACTCGGTGGTGAGTACCATGCGACCCTTCGGAGAGTTTTGTAGCTTATACTTTGGCAGCTGGTCGGATACGACTCTTCTCTCATGGGGTCATTCAATGTGATGCCCTCGTATAGCAACTACTTCACGCTTACCACCGCGACGAAGTCACTGAACACTGGTATCAGCTATATGGGCGGCGCACTCATGTCTCTTTTCGCCGGTTCACTGGTTGACTGGCGAGGGCGCAAAGAGTGCATCTTCTGGTCTGCAGTCATCACCATGATTGGGGGCATCATTCAAGGCGCTGCTCAGAACATTGGCATGTTCATCGCTGGTCGCTTTATCGTGGGGTTCGGACTGGGTCTTGCGCAGGTGTCGACTCCGACCTTGGTAGCCGAGACAGCACCTGTGCAGTGGAGAGGCTTCGCGTTGGGTATGTATTATGCCTGCTGGGGCGTGGGCACACTTCTTGCCAGTGGGGTCTGCTACGGTGTAAGCATGCTCGTGCTCCGAAAGGTATAGACACTCACGCGACGCAGACCCAAAATATGTCATCGACATGGGCATGGCGCATCCCTTCTGTGCTTCAAGCTGGCCCCTCGGTCTGCTGTATGATTATCCTACTCTTCATCCCAGAGTCGCCACGTTGGCTAGTCAGCCGCGGCAGGCATGAAGAAGCTCTGGAAATCCTCGCCATCGCTAACACAGGCGGCGACGTTGCCTCGCCTATTGTGCAAGTCCAGTTCAAAGAAATCGAAGACACGCTCCGCTGGGAGAAAGAGCGCGAACTCTCCGTTTGGAAAGCACTGGCGCAGCCCGCTAACCGGAGACGTCTCCTCATCACATCAACTTTCTCAATCATGGTCATGCTGCCTGGCACGAACATCGTTATCTTCTATTTCGGCGACATGCTGTCTAGTGCGGGTATAAAGGATCCAACGACGCAGTTGCAGATCAACATCATCCTTACTTCGTGGACGCTGGTGGTTGCCATCGTTGCATCGTTCTATGCGGACAAGATAGGGCGTAAGACACTGTGTGCGTCGTCGCTCACCGCCGGCCTCGTCACTTTGTATGTCCTCGCTGGATTGACCGCCAGATACGGCACGTCTGGGTATGCACCCGGCGTGTATGGTACCATCGCTATGATATTCATCTACAACGCAACGTATGCGTGGGGCATCACACCCCTGACAGTGCTGTACCCACCCGAGGTCCTTTCTTTCGACATCCGTGCAGTGGGTATGGGCATCTACACCTTCACTACTAAGCTTTGCGGATTGTTTGTCACATTGGTCGTTCCATTCGGGCTCGCGGCGATTGGATGGAAGGTCTATATCATCAATGCGTCGGTCGATATTTTGATGGTGATTTTCGTGCTTTTGTTCTGGGTTGAGACCCGTGGTCTTACGCTTGAAGAGGTGGATAAGATATTTGACGGTGTGAAGCATTCTGATGTGCCGGATCTGGAGGCTGTCAAAGAGGGCAAGATTGTGGATCTTGACGTAGGCGATGTGGCGTCGGTGACGCAGCAGCAAGTTGAGCTTGACGAGAAGAAGTCTTGAGCAAGAACGCCACTTCTGTGGAGGGGTCCGTGGAAAGCGATTTGCCATTCAGTAATGCTGACATATGTTTCCCGTAAGAGCCGCTGGGGAAGAGAGCTAAGAGATACCCGTATATATTACAACTCTACCGAACACGCTCCCATCTATTGTACCATGGTATATACACCCTTCAGCCTCACACGTTTTCTACTCCTCCGCGCCCCCGTCAACGCTCTTCACCAAATCCTCAAAGATCCCACTAAAAGAGTGATAATACTCATCCTTCACCCTAACATCTGTCAAAAACACCCAATCCGCCGCCTCTTGCACCTGTTCTACTACAAAGTCCAACACCCTCTTGCTCAAGTCCGGCAGACTGTGCAATATAACTGCGAGTTTCGATCTTCGAACACTGTGCGCTTGCAACGCGTCGAAGTTCGCCCGATTCAGCCACTTGTCGAAGGTCTCCTCGAACACGACGGTTATGTCGGAGATGTTGATGTAGGATTGTTGCGTGAATGTGGGCGAGGCAAGAAGAGAGGGCTCTATGAGGCCGGGGTTGTGGACTGCGAGTGTAGTGTTAGTAACCTGGGAGCAGTAGACGGAGATGTGACACGCACCGACGAATCTATCGCGAAATCGGGTGCCGTTCTTGACTGCTTGGCTCGCTCGGCTGAGGTAGTCGTACTTAAAGGTGTCGTATGTGCTCGGCGTCTCGTCGAAGAAGATGCCATCCACCCTTAACTTGGTGTTGTTGGATACCTTCGGCCATGTGGCATACGTATCGATCTCCTTTAGCACGTCGTCGAGCGGCTTGGTGGTGTAGTTCGTAGCTACGTATCCCAATGTGCGAATGTTGTTGTAAGCTCTTAGCTGAGGGATTGCGCTGAGGTAGTATTGATCTGGAAGAGAGCCAATGCAAGGACCAGAACAGGGATTGATGACCACCGTGAAGTCTACATCAGGATGTTGTTTTGCACTGGCTACATGTGAGTACAGCCTATTGGAGAAGGAGACGGTCGACTAACGCTGTGAACAGTGGATCCCATGCGCCTGCCCAAGGGTACACATAGAGCGGTAATAGTATCGACATCTTCTCAAAGATAAAGCCGCGCTAAAATTATCGCAACGAAATCTTGTCGAACAAATGGAGAAATTCGAAAAGCGCCATCAGGCTCGGCGCAGAATATGTATCTGGCGTCGGCCTGCTGGCAGCCTTGATCGATGTCGTACATTCACTCTGGCGCAAATGAAATTGTCTTGACCGACGCGCGGCGAGATGCAAAATAGCATGGGCTTGGATGGGTTTAGCCGGGTTAACAGACGTGGCATATAGTGGTTATGATGCAAAGTACCGAGCGTAATATCGGCTTCAACATGCACGCAACAATAACCGGAGCACTCCGAAGTCTCGAAGCGATGACAACCGTAAACTCGTGTTCGGCTGGCCATCTCCCACGAATCAAAATCAGATAAAGTATCGTGGTTCTAGCGTCCCGTTCCTTTGCATATGCACATCGAAAATACTCGGGCAGGGATTACACCACGTGCTTGCGTGTGCGGTTGATGTGCTAGGTTTAGCTGTGGCAACACAGTTCTATTTTCCATACCAATGTCTGCCACCCACCGTATGTACCGTATCTGAAGACAACTTCTAGGAATCCCAAATGTATGTAAGCCAAAGAAAACAGCCATGACCTAATTTGACTAAGTGAAGAACCTCCACATCTCACTCTTTTCTCCATCACCCAGCATCTCAGTCGGTACCTCCTCTGGCTTGATCCTAACGCCTTGCTCCCTGTCCCGCCGTCGATTCTCCATTTTCATCCAGACCCCAAGCCCTGCAGTCACCGTAATGCACACGACATTGCAGGCCGCTGTAGCAGCCAAAGTAGGAATGTACTTAGGGGAGTACTCCTGCCTGAAGGTCGCCGCACTGACAATACCGCCGAGGTTACCTAGGCCGACGAGCAAACCCGTTGTAGCCGCACGAGACGATTCATTGAGGTTATTGTTGTTATGCCATGAGTGGACAAGACAAGAAGGGATGTACGCGCCGGCGCAGAGCATGAAGCAAGCGAAGTACGCGACACCTTTGTTGGCGAGGACGTCAATCGTCGCAAGGATGATGAGGCCGACGAGCGAGACCGACAGTGCGAAGATGATGTGAAATGTGCGCTCGCGGAAATGGTCACTGCTATAGGTGACAGCCAGCAGGAATACGAAGCCAACAGCGTTTGGTGCCACGGTCCAGAGATTGGTCTTGACTACACTATAACCTAGACGTTGAACGATCTGCGGTAGGAAGTTGGATGTTGTAGAGAAGGCGACGGGGTACGTGAATGCGATGATACACCAGGGTATCATTTTCCAGTTCTTCCAGCTACGGAAGCAGTCGTGCAGGTTAAAGTCCGAGTGGGCGGTGCTTGACAGATCGCGGAGGGTGCGGCGTTCAGCAAGCTGCTTCTCGGCTTCATTGAGGAACCACGCGTTTGCTGGCGATGCAGGAAGCCAGAAGTACGCGATGAGAGCAAGGATGACGGTCATGGCGCCTGCTTGGGATTAATGCTTGCTTTTGGTGAAGCCGGATTGGGTATCTTACCTTCGATGATGAACAGCCACTTCCATCCCGGAATCGAATGCTGAATCTGGAAAACACCATACGAGATCAACCCACTGAAGGCCGCCGCAAGCAGCGCACTTCCGAAGAAGATCGAGATGCGAAATCCAAGTTCACCACGTGTGTAGAATAACGTCAAGTAGAACACGACTCCCGCAAAGAATCCCGCCTCAAAGGCTCCAATGAGCAATCTCAGCGGAAGCATCCCGCCAAAGCTCTTCGCTGCGCATTGCAATAGTGCCATAGCGCCCCAGAGCAGCATCAGAGAAGGCAGCATGACCTTCCCGCTCCACTTCTTCGTCATCATATTCAAGGGTAAGTCGCACAGGCCGTTTGGAACGTAGAACAGCAGAATCAATAGGCTGTACTGTTCGCCTGTGAAGCCAAGATCTTTATCCATGCCATCGGTCTTTGCGTTGCCGAGATTGCTTCGGTCAACTGAGTTGAAGAAGTACATGAGGGAGAGGAAGGGCAGGAGGTAGAGATCGATCTTGCGGACTATTGAAATGTTAGGACACTAAAGCTGCGAACCAAGGAAAGTGTACGTACCGTACGCGCGTTCAGCAGCTTTGTCGACGATCGCATAGGTCACACCAATCTCATGGTTCTTGGCCATCGTCTCGGACGGTTGGTACTTTTCGGTATCCATGGCCGCGAAAGTATCGTTGGCTGTCATCGTACTGCCCAAGCGATGAAGTCAAGGAAAGCTTGATCGTCAAACCAAGGCGTCGGTACCGGGGATATAGATGGGCAGACTTCTGCAATGCAGAGCGACAGCGCATCGCCCCAAAACACTCACCCATCTAAATAGCTTCCAGCCCGATGCCACCCCTCGCGTTGTAAGCCTCCCACCTATCAACCTACCAATCATCGTAGAACTGCGCGATTCTGCGTAACTGTGCACAAGCTAGCGCCTTCATCCGCATCAACTGCAAGCAGTATCTCAACTAGGTAGAGCGCTCTGTACTGTTGAGTTACACCTGCTGATTGAGCCATGATACCTAGGAGTGGAGGTTTCTTGATAAGAGTGGGGAGTGGGGAAACAACCTAGCTCACAGGCTAAGCTGGTTATGATGGAGAAGCGGAGCTTGTTATGCTTAGCTTAGCAGCATTGCGATAGCAGGATGAGCACCAAAGACATCGTAGTAACGTATGCATGCGGTGGCAGCTGTGTAGCAGGCAAGTTGAACAGTACTCGGCTCAGATGCTACCCCACTTCGATTTCCGTGAACAATCAGCTACAATGAGTGGCTGCACTTGTGTCTGAGTACGGATCGATAAGGCCGTGATCATGAAAGAAAGAAATCGTTATAATGATTATGTGGTATATGTGTTCCGCCATCCAATCTATCCTCAATGCTTCCAGTTGACAGCGACGAATGGCTGTATACATCCTACCAACGCCGATACTATGCAATATAGATAACAAGTTTTCCAGTCATATTCATGAGTCTCGTAAGAAATGCGAATAGTAATCGTCCATCCAAGCCACAGCGTTCGTCCCACTTTCGAAGCCACCATCTGCAAAACGCCTGACAGTGCCAACGTAGCCGTCGGGTCGGACATTCGCAACGACTACTTCGCCGTCGTCGAGGCCATCAAGCCACTTGTCCATGACTGTCTGTTTTCGCGTATCTAGATGCGGAACATCATCCAAATAGAACGACCAACGTGAGTCCTGAAGCATGCGAGGGAGTTGTGCTATTTCGATATCGGCGCGGTTCATGTCCGTCACTATTGCGTATGTGAAGATGCCACTGACAGGCGTGTATCTCTCCGGACATACGAATTGATCGTGTGGAGCTGCGAGAGGTGGCTGCATGGTGTATGATGCGTTTCCTGCCATGGTCACGCGGCCAACGTAAGAGGAATGGGACTGATGAGCCTTGCTAAGGACATCGAGGAATGGCATGGCTGCATGTAAATCTCTTGCAAAGATGTAGATTCGGAATTGGCCAAGAGCTGGGATGTCGGTCTGGAGGTCTACTGGGTTCGCGTCGATGAAGCGAGTAACTTTAGCAGGGGGTAAAAGGAAGCCTGGAGTGAGGTTGCCGCGCGTGTAGCCCTTAGCCTTCATGTTCAGGACATTCGGCTCATAGCTGACGCCATAGCCGGAAATGAATGCAACGTTTTTGTTGAAGTTGTCCGCAAGAGCTTGAGGGTCGCCTGCGGAGAAGGCGTTGGCGTGCTCGAAGTCAAATTCTATTAGATCTTGGGCAATCTTCTTGCGCTCTTGCTCGTATGTTTCGATCAGCGCGGGCTTGGCCAAGTTGCGGACTGCGAAGTTCATCTTCCACGCAAGATTCCAGGCATCATGCATGGAAGTGTTCATTCCCTGTGCAGCCTTGGGCGAGTGAGTGTGACTGGCGTCACCGGCGATGAAAACACGTCGCTCATCGTCCGAGAACCGACCTGCGACCCTCTGGCCAATCTGATAGCGTCCAAACCACTCCACGTTTCTCCACTCGAGCCGATACGGTCGCATGATTTCTTGGGCGCGTTTTTGCACGAATTCTTGGGTCTGGCGTTCCTTTGGAGGAGTCGTGGTTCCTGAGGCAGGCTTCAATTCGATGTACAAGCGGGTCAAATTCCGCTCGCGAGGGATCATTAGAACGGAGCCATGCTCTTCGGAGTGCACTGCGACCTTGCTCCAAATGTCCGGAAAGTCGGTGTCTAGCACACCATCGATCACGCCCCATACAGCATCCGACGAAGCTCCCTTCGGCGTAGCACCCGGTATACACTTACGCACCGCTGAATGGGCTCCGTCGCAGCCCACAATGTAGCGCGTGGCAAGCTTCCTACTGCTCTGTGAGACATCCTGCCTGCAGTGGACCGTGAGTGGTCGTATGCGCTCCGGTGTGTATTCGAAGTCGGCAAAGGCTGTATTGCGGAGCACCTCAACCCCGCGCTCGGACAGATCGTTGATGAAGGTGTCCTCCACCATGCCTTGGTGCACCAGGAGAATGTAAGGGTCTAGAACGTCGACGACTGGCGGGTAGTGAATCTCGCGGCCGGTACGGTGCATGGGTTTCTCGGGGGTTGACCTCCAGAAGGAAATGTCGAAGACCTTAACACCCTTTCGCAGCAATGGGTCGGCGACACGCATCTGCCTTAGCGTCTCGATTGTCTTGGGCTGCAAACCGTCGGCACGGCCAGTGGACGTTCGGTCGGGTCGGTTGTCAACGATCTGTGTCTTGATGCCGTACCTCACGAGGTTGTTCCTGCACATCCGTTTAGCCATGGAATACACCTGCCACGGGAAGGCACATACGCAAGCATTAGACCTGCCGGCCCTGCACCAACCACCAATACATCGCTCAGAAAGGTATCATATCCAGTTGACCAGCCATTGGCGGAACTGGCGGCCGTCGATCTATGGGTCTCGAAGCTGGTCGCGGTGGAGGGGATGGATTCTGTAGTGAGGCCTGGTGCCATCTTGACAACCTTGGAATGGACAGAAGGAGTGGAGCTGTTGCTGGTACTGGACGACGGTGAGCGCTTCATGAAGGACCACATTGACGGAGCCATCCTATAAGGCTTGCTATACAGCTGCACGATCGCCTAAGATGTAGAATGGGGGTGGGTGGAGGGGCAAACGTTCGACCGTCTGCCCATTTCCTGCGTCCTCCAGACTGCTTTTGCAGAGATGGGATGCGCCATGTTTGATCCGAGCATGCGGTGCTTGCAAAATTCTGCAACAGATGGGGTGACATCACCCAGGTTCGCTTTGGGCGCCATTGTACAGCTGCGGAACGCGACGAAAGCGTACGGGTGCCAGAGCGGAGAGTGCTTCCGAGCTCCCTGGCTCGTGCGCTCCCCCACTGTTCATCTCACTACCGTTCAGGCCATCCGTCCCGGCATCTTGTTTACCATGCCTGCCGTGAGAGCAACGGCGGCTAACTGATAATTGACATTGTGTCGCGTGCATACCTAGGTAGTAATTGGCATGGCCCTCTTCTGGTTGTGTCGCCAGGCAGCGTGGTTCCTCCTACCTCGTCAGTGAGCAACATGACAGCTTCAACCACACCCCAGTGGCTGCAGAAAGTCAACAAGAAGCGCAGCATCCGTGACGAGTCTATTCAGGCTATTCAAAGATTTTTTGATGTAGAGGACGCCGCATCCAGAGTAGGGCTCCTCTTTGGCCCATGCGAAGAGCTGCACTGACAGTTCCTCAGACCCTGCACGCAAACGGACCTAGAAATGGCACGGCAGACGACGCCACGTCACAGGAGACGAGCTTCAACAGCATTGCAGATCTTCTCGGAGCCATTTCTGCTGGGACTCTGACCGCTTCCGAGCTTTGTGCTGCGTATATCAAACGGTGAGCTAAGATCGCTCCGCGGACCACACAAAATCGTCCCATACTCACGCCATATCCGTATCCGCAGAGCCATCGCAGCTCACAACAAAGTAACGAGCTCCACCCCACGAAAATCTCGTTCATTTTGCTGATGATGCTAGACGAACTGGTACGTCAATACGACAATACGCGAGCCCCCTAGATGAAAATTCACTGATTCTGCCAGTCTCACCGAAATCCTCTTTAAGGATGCGCTGAAACAAGCCAATGAGCTCGATTGCTTTTTCAAAGAGAATGGACGCCTTGTGGGGCCTCTACATGGAGTGCCCATGACGCTGAAAGACCAATTCGACGTCCAAGGCTACGACAGTACGCTCGGGTATGTGGGGCGAGCATTCAAGCCTGCGGAGCAGGACTGTGTTCTGGTTGCGCTCCTGCGGCAAATGGGCGCCATCATTATCGCCAAGTCCAACCTTCCACAGAGCATCATGGTGAGTAAATGACCTCGGTATTCCACAGTCGGCGCGAGGTAAACACGCAAGTAGGCAAAAAGTTCCGACTATACCCTGCATCCACTCTGCCCCGCCTCCTTCGCTCTCGTATTGACCCACGGCAGTGGTGTGAAACTGAAAACCCCTTATTTGGACTTACCACGCATCCGAAAGATGCCGGATTTACCCCTGGAGGCTCCACAGGCGGAGAAGGTACACTACTCGCCCTACGGGGCACAATGGTAGGCTGGGGCACAGACATTGGCGGAAGCATACGAATACCTGCTCACATGCTAGGGCTGTATGGCCTTAAGCCCAGTGTAAGCCGAACCGCTCCCATGTGTGTGTACCACGGCCTAGGCTGCAGGTACTTGTCATCGGAGAAGGATTTTCCACGTGGAATCCAACCACAGCGCTGGAGTCGTCGCTGATATGTATGCAGAGTACGCGGCTCCCCTATCAAGGCGTTTCGGTATCGACCGAGGGGCAAGAGCATGTGCCTTCTGTAATAGGACCGATGAGCCGGAGTATCGACTCACTCATCGATGTCACGAAAGCCGTCATTGATAGTCAACCATGGAACGAAGATCCGAAATGTTGTCCACTAACTTGGCGAGACGAGATGTTCAGAGATGCCCAGACAAGACCGCTGGTCATTGCGGTCATGCGGGACGATGGAGTTGCCAGGCTGCACCCGCCTGTAGCGCGAGCACTAGATGAAGTGGCTCGAAAACTTGCAGATTCAGGCCATGATATTGTGCCGTGGAAACCCGGAACGTTGCATCAAGAATGCATTGACATCATGGTACGCTGAACGTAACCTCCAACCATGATCTTTGCTTCTAAGACTGCCCAGGATCAATACTACACCGCCGATGGCGGTGAAGACATTAAACGCGACATCGCAGCTGGGGGAGAACCTTATATTCCTCACGTGGAAACGCTCGTCAATAAGGGAAAACCCATCTCCGTGTACGAGTATTGGCAGCTCAACAAGCAAAAGCTCGCTGCACAGAAGCGCTACCTCGACCTGTGGAACTCGACCAAATCCACGACTTCGGGGAAGCCAATAGACATCTTGTTATGCCCAGTCATGCCTCATTCGGCGGTGCCTCATCGGAAATGTCGCTGGGTGGGCTATACAAAGGTGTTCAACTTTGTAGATTACCCTTCGGTAGTATTGCCAGCTGGCGAGGTGTCGATAAAGCTTGATGGTGCAGCCGCCGCAGACATGGCTGCTTACGAGCCCAGGAACGCTCTCGATGAGTGGAATTGGAACTTGTTTGACCTGGATAGTATGAATGGCATGCCCATTGGCGTTCAGATAGTGGCGCGGAGGCTACAAGAGGAGAAAGCACTTGGAGCAGCAAAAGCGGTTGATAATATCTTGAAGGGCGCTAATATACCATAGATAAAGATTACATTAGAGGACGATGTAGACTCCTCGCGAAATCGTCCGAGGAACGATTAACTATAGAATTGCATGCTAATTGATCCTTCCCTTCCCTGAATTTCCCAATATGCGGGATCCTTTCCATCCCTGTGTTCTCACATAAGACCATTGTGATGATGCATCGCTTTGAAGCCTTATGAGTGCACTCAATTCAAGGCTTCAAACATGGTAACGCGAATCATTTCTCTCTAAGACATACTATCATCCTAATGACCATTGATGCCGTCGGTAGTGGCCTGTATGTTAGCTGGCAGAAGGACGTTCGTCAGTGGTCGAGTGCAAGTGGAGCGGTAGTCATGCATGATAGACGCCACAGGTCACGGTACGCGATCCCCCACCTTGGAGCTCCCGACGCGCCTTCCCTGTGTCACGCGTATCAAGGATCCAAGAGAGGGGTAGCTCTTGCTATCGCCAGCTACTTTGTTTACCCTTCTGGATTTGACTTCTTCACTTCGGTTTTCTATGCATCTGCAGGCGATTGAGCGACTGAGGCCACAGATTCAAGCTTCATCGATTAAATCGAGCTACAACTACATCGAAACCAAAATATCATGGGCAAGAAGCGCGTTCTCGTGTGCTATGGCGTCGATATCGACGCTGTCGCCGGTTGGCTAGGATCATATGGAGGCGAAGATTCTACCAGCGACATCAGCAGAGGTGAAGCGCTCGCCCGTTACATACTTGCAATGACTTACATAGCACAGGTCTCTGGGCCGGAACAGAAGGCACGCGCCGCCTCCTCAAACTCTTCGATAAATACAAGATCAAAGCAACATGGTTCATCCCCGGCCACACCCTCGACACCTTTCCCGAAGACTGCGCAGCCGTGCGCGACGCAGGCCACGAAATCGGTCTCCACGGCTACTCGCACGAGAACCCTACAGACATGACCTTCGAGCAGCAGCGCGACGTGCTCGACAAGACGTACAAGCAGCTCACCAAGTTCTGTGGCAAGCCTCCGCGAGGAAGCGTCACGCCATGGTGGGAGACTTCGAAGGAGGGATGCGATTTGCTGCTTAGCTATGGCATTGAGTACGATCACTCCATGTCGCATGAGGATCACAAGTGCTACTGGCTACGGACGGGCGATACGTGGACGAAGATTGATTACTCCAAGAAAGCTGAGGAGTGGATGAAACCGCTTGTCAAGGGCGAAGACACAGGCCTGGTAGAGATACCAGGTAGCTGGTACATTGACGATCTCCCGCCTATGATGTTCATGAAGAAGGCGGCGAACAGCCATGGATGGGTAAATCCGAGGGACGTCGAAGCCATTTGGATGGATCACTTTGACTACTTTTACCGCGAGTACGATGAGTTTGTGTTTCCGATGACTATTCATCCTGATGTCTCGGGACGACCACATGTTCTCCTCATGCATGAGAGGTAAGCACTTCGGCCCTAGATTAGTGGTGTAGCTAACATCCTCAGAATCATCGAGCATATAAACAAGCATGAGGGTGTTGAATGGGTCACAATGGAACAAATGTGCGATGACTTCAAGGCGCGCAACAAGGTGCCGGAAGGCGCAAAGATGCCTGCACCACCGGGGGAGATCTTGAAGAAGCAGGCGTCGGGAGAGGCATATAACCCGGGTTTCTGAGCGTTTAAGATTTCATAGCCATGAATGAGTCTTAGCAATGATCTCACCTCCCGTCGTAATGAGTTTTTTCCTTTATCACACCATTCCGAAGTCGTCGGAACCATTCCGTAAGCCCCGTCCTTATCGATTACATACCCCTCCCGCTCGCATCGGGTTGCCTCCCCCACTCTTCACCTCGCGTGCCTATTTCCCCAGCGTAGGACATGTGTGCCTCCACCTTTGCATCTGTGACCAATCGAAGTCCATTACGAAGTCCCCCATTTTCCCCGCCCGCAGCGCAATGATTTGAGGGAAGGAGTCTGTCATTCGTCTGGCCAGATAGGCAGCGGACAAGCTCCGTGGAAGGAGGATGCAGCTGCAGATGGCTGTATTGGGTGGAGGACTCTGGAATGGGTTGGGTCGGCCTAAGATGGCGGCAATTAGGATGACCCTCACTCTTGAGGTATTATGTAGGCGTCTTGTACAACCGTCTGTGAGGGTTGCTTCGGTTGACTCCAATCCATAAAACCAGTTTACTAATTAAACTCTTTCTGAACTCCCAGTCGAGTTGTACGATCAATTCTTTCCCATCTGATAGTGGTTGAGATTATCGCCTTGAAGCAGTGACACAATGGGTCGGTCAAAGCCGGAGGTCATACAGCAACAGCACAGAGACGCCGCCACCAGGCTCGATGTAAGCTTTCGCAATCCATAAGAAGACGTTATATCTGAGTACCACAGGTCATAGTCATCGGCGCTGGTCTCGGCGGCCTCGGAGCCGCCATCTCCATTGCCCTCACGGGGCACAACGTCCACATCCTTGAAGCCGCGTCAGAGATAGGAGAGATTGGTGCCGGGATCCAAGTCCTGCCCAATTCATCACGTGTGCTCTTCTCATGGGGTATGGAGGAGCAACTCACCCGACATGCTACTCGGCCCAGGCAATGCAACTACCTCCACTGGAAGGGCGCAAAGCTTGCGCATATGGATTTCCATGAGTATGCGGAAGAGCTGGGGACGCCATTTTGGGATTTTCATCGCGCGAATTTGCATCTTGAGCTTTTGAACCGCGCGACGGAGCTGGGTGCGACGATGGAGACGAACTCTAAGGTTGCGAACATCGAGTATGAGTATCCGGAAGAAGGGCGTACTATCGCGGTTGCGGTGTTGGAGGATGGGAGCAAGAGGAAGGCGGATCTCATAGTCGGCGCAGACGGCATCAACAGTAGATGCAGAGAGATTTTGCTGGGTCGTACAGATCCTCCCGTTCTGACGGGCGATCTTGCGTATCGGTTGCTGCTGAATACCGAGGATATGATGAAGGACCCTGAATTAAAGTCGTTCATCGAGAACCCCCAGGTCAACTACTGGATGGGTCCTGATGCACACGCTGGTTCGTTCATACCCACCACGTCATATCTAACAGGCGCTGATCTTCACCACAGTCAACTACGTCCTCCGCGGCGGCAAGCTCTTCAACATGGTTCTGCTCGTCCCCGACGATATGCCAGCTGGTGCCAACACAGTCGCCGGCAACGTCGAGGAGATGTGCGCTCTCTACAAAGACTGGGACCCGCGAATCCCGAAGTTGCTCGCCCTCTGCGAGTCAGTCTTCAAGTGGCGCCTTTGCATCCGGCCAAACCTCAATCCGACCTGGTCCCACGAAAGCGGTGCTTTTACCATCCTGGGTGACGCTGCGCACGCGACGCTGCCCTACCTTGCGTCCGGCGCCGGGATGTCTCTCGAGGATGGCCACGTCCTAGGTCTCTGCCTCGGTCGTCTTTCAGGGAAGTCCGATGCTGAGAAGAAGAAGGCGCTCAAAGTGTACGAGCGGTGTCGACGCGAGCGCACCGAGAAGGTTGTGGCGCGCGGAAACTTGCAGCAGCACCTATACCACGTACACGACGGTCCCGAGCAGCAGGAGCGTGACCGCCTTCTGAAGGAGTTTTCCGTGTTCGATGGCAGAGGAAAGCCAGCAAGCGATCAGGAGCTGCAGGAAAAGGGCTTGAAGGACAATTCGGATCCGTTCCCATGGCGATGGCATGGCGTGGGGAAGTGGCTACTCACGTATCAGTGTGAGCCGGACGTTGAGTTGCGGTGGGCTGAGGTGGAGAATGAGGCTGCGAGTGTGGGGTCGAGAAGAAGGGCAAGTGCAGAGGTAAGGGCGCAGTTGTAGGAGGCTAGGTTGCGTATATGTAAGGACTTAGCATGGGACGGAGTTTAGTTGCGATGTATCTATCCATTGTGCATGTTTATTGCTATTGCTTGTTCAGGTATAGAGAGCTCCTTCCTCACCGTGGAATGTTCCCTGCCTTGTGGGGGCTGACGTTCGGCGCCTGAGCGAACGTCAGCCTTCTCTCAGCCTGCCAACCTGAACACTTACATCACTTGCTAACTCAGGATTATTCGCAGGCACCTGTCGCACCTACTGAACTGTACGATCTAGCTTCATTCTCAACCTGAGCTATACTTGCAGCCGTCAGTATGCGCCTTCTCCATTCGAAAACTCTCGAGTTTGCTACCTTCTACGGCGATGCAACCCCGCCTTACACGATTCTCAGCCATACCTGGGGCGATGAAGAAGTCACGTTCGAAGATATGCGCTTCATACAGAAAAGAAAATCACTCCCGGAAGATTTGCGGAGAAGTCCAGAGTTTATGCTCGCATTCGACGCCGCCGCCAGGCTGTTGTTTCCGCCCAATCGCGATCCAGAGAAACTCGCAGGCTACGAAAAGATACGAAAAACTGCCGAAATTGCCAATAGAAGAGGACATAGGTATTTCTGGATCGATACATGCTGTATCGACAAGAGTAGTAGTAGTGAGCTTCAAGAAGCCATCAATTCAATGTACAGCTGGTATAAGAAGTCGGCTATATGTATCGTCTACCTGGAAGATGTTGATATATCTTTCCCGGCAGGAACTTGGGAACTCGCACCGGGACATCTAACGCGTTTCGCGGCCTCTCTTAAGAGCTCCAGATGGATCACTCGGGGTTGGACTTTGCAAGAATTGATTGCTCCGGGTCGGCTAACTTTCTATAACAAGGACTGGGAGCCCATGATCTCAAAATACGTAGCTGCTGCGGCTATAAGCAGTGCAACAAAGATCCCCCCTTACGTCTTGGCTACTGGTCAACTTCATCGGGCGTCTGTTGCACAGAAGATGTCTTGGGCAGCGAAACGGGAAACAACGCGAACCGAGGACATGGCTTATTGTCTTCTTGGTCTGTTTCAAGTGCATATGCCCATGCTATACGGAGAAGGCCAACATGCTTTCCTACGACTTCAACATGAGATCCTCCAGAATTCTGATGACAATACCATCTTTGCCTGGGAGCCGCTATCTTCACCTATGCTTCCTTCCATCTATCGTGGCCTCTTAGCTAGAAGCCCTGAAGCGTTCTCTTCAACATCGAAACATCAAGTTGAGAGAAGTTACTTCACCACCGAAGCAAAAGAGGGAATCAGAGTTGACTTAGAAAAAGCCCCTCTTGTACTTCCCTCCGGCGAAGTTTACTACGTGGCAATACTCGGCTCTGCAAATGGGACCAAGCTTTCCTTCGGCGACATTCATCATTTGAAGCAATTTTATATGTTTCTAAAGCAATTGGATGAACCTAATAATGGCCGCCGCAAACAGTATGTGAGAGTCATGGGCATTCCCAATAACGCTCAACACCAAGTGCAACACAACATTCTGATCTTCCACGCCGAGACAATATGTGTCCGTCAACAACCAATCATTCCATTGAATTTTGAGACCACTGAATTCAGTCGGTTTGTACTCAGGCCGGACACATATTCTGCGACTGGTCTACCGGATATACAAGCAATGACAGTGTGGCCGCTGGGACTTATTTCCGAAAAGAAGGAGATTATGATTCCGAGTCACAGTAAGGACTTCACCGCCTTAGTCTGGCTTCAGGAGCACTTTAACTCCAGTGTATCGAACGTTCAGGTCTTGCTGAAGTTTACTCGCTTCCCTCGTGTAGGATATTGGTGCGATATTATCACAGGGAAACAGTGGCCGAAGGATCGTGACTCCGTAGATGAATGGAGAAAAGCGATCGAAAGGAACCATTCGGTCAAAGAGCTAGCCCAGCGCAAGAGATACCGCATAGGCACTAGATCGGAAATTCGCACAGTGTCTATCGAGCCAGGAATACACGCAGATCAGATATGCCTTTTCGTAAACATTGATGGACTGATAATATGATCATAGTTGAATGAAGGCGCATGTTTTAGACGTTCCCTGTGTGTAGCATTGGAGCTCTTAGTATTCTATTACACATTCGAGAATTGCGGTAGATTTCGTCGATTTACATATCATAAGCACACCGGAGCACAATCTTTTGGCGTATCGCGCTTCTGCCTACTTACCACAGCCCGGTCCCTGCAAACGCGGGACGCTCATTACTGTGATCATGGGCTCAAAAACAATGCTGGAGACACTGCTCGACAAGCAACTTTCCTTCGAACCAGGAGAACCCTTCTACACATTCCACAATGGAGTTCGGTCGCCTTCCACACACAACCTTACCCCAAATACACATACAGACGGTCTACCATCTCTCATCTTGGTCACATGGGATATCGACTTCATGGCACCTGAGCCCTAGGCGCGCATGGCCTCCGCTCTATATTACCTTGAACACTTATACTCTACCATACCCTCATCATCAGCTGGACCTCATCTTCCGCCAGGAAATTATGGAAACACCCGCCTACCCTGACGCCGCAAATGACCTCAGCCAAACCGCATCCGCACTCTGGGCACGCACCCGCTTCCACACCACAGACCTGGACACAACGAACTAGAATTCCCACTACGGGCAGATCACCCTCATCGACTGCCGGCGCTGGAGAAGATTGGGATCGGGGCAGAGGTGGAAAATGCGTTGACGAGGAGGATATCGGAGAAGGAGGGGTGGTCGACGTTTGTGGCAGATCATTATGGGCTGATGGGTGTGTATGATGTGGAAGGTGGATTTGTTCACGTTGACGTGTAAAAGGGAAGACTAGACGGGTAAGTCACGACTGTACATTCAACACATGATTTTATTTGTCCTGCTAGCATCTCTCCACGACACGGGTAGATATCTATGCTATTCTTAATCCGCACCAGCGCCGGCAATGCAATTGAGCACAAGTACGCGCATCCTATAGCTTTGAACTCAGTCACGCCGCGGTCGTTGCCTGCTCGTAGAAGGGATAATCTGTATAGCCCTTGCTCGGCGGATCGGCGCCGTAGAAGGTAGTGCGGTCATATGGGTTTAGCTCCAAGCCCTCTGCCAATCGCTTGGGCAGATCAGGGTTGGCGATGAAGTGACGACCGAAGATGATGAGGTCGGCATCGCCTGCGTCTAGTTTGGGCACAGCATTGTCACGGTTGAAATTACCGGCTGCGATGAACCGGACGTTACCCTTTGCTAGAATCTCGCGGAAGCGAGTGAGGTTGTTAGTCTTCGGCTTGATGGTAGCTTCCGCTTCGACGCCTTCATTAGGGTTGGAAGTGTAGGTAGAGAGAGCGTCAAGTTTGGCCTGCTCATCGAGGACTTCGTCAAAGCGGGGTTCGACCCTACTTGGATGTTAGCATTGGAGATGTAAGTAGATGGTTGTTGGACTTACATGTGTACGTATGCAGGTCGCTCATTTTCGGGCAGTGCAGCGATCTTCTCACAAAGGTACTCCCAGTGCTCATTGGGCTTGCTGTCCTTGGTGTCTTGGAAGTAGTTGTACGGTGATAACCGGATACCGACACGGTCAGCACCAATAGCCTTGCAGCACTCCTTGATGACCTCAAGGGGAAACCGGATCCGGTCCTCGATGGAGCCGCCATACTCGTCGGTCCTGTTGTTGACGTTGTCGTGCAGGAACTGCTCAAGCAAGTATCCATTCGCGCCATGTATCTCGATGCCATCGAAGCCGGCCTCGCGCGCTTTCTTTGCTGCCTCTCCCCACTTCTTTGTGATGTCGTGGATTTCGTCTACGCTCAATGCTCGCGGTGGGTTCTCCTCGCAAGAAACGCCATCGAGCCATTTACCGGTCATGGGAACTGTGCCCGAGCTTACGGTTTGCTGACCATTACGGAAGGAAGGTGGTGAGGCGCGACCGGTGTGCCAAAGCTGAGAGAATATGTAGCCACCCTTTGCGTGAACGGCGTCAGTGACCTTCTTCCAGGCGGCCACTTGCGAGTCCGTGAAGCACCCTGGTGCTCCGGGATAATTTCCGGCCTACATTGTTAGCAGTTGCCACAGTCTTAGCATTGCGATTCTAGCTTTACATATTTGAAGATGTCGGTGGCCTCAGTCAACTGTAAGCCGCCCTTGGTCGCCCTCTGGCTATAGTATTCCTTTACCAAGTCGTTTGGCACTGTGACACCATCGCTTTCTTTGGTTGAGCGCATACGCGTCAAAGGCGCTTGTACTATCCTGTGTTCAAGGGCGATCGCGCCCAGTTTAAAGGGCGTGAACAAGCTCGTGTCCTTGAGGGGTCTGAACCCCGGCGGCGTATCTGCTTTAGGCATGTTTGTAACTCGTGCGAGAGTAGACTGTAAGCGTGTGACGAATGTCACGGAAGGTAAACACAACGGTTTGGAACACAAAAGTATGAAAGAATAAACAGTTAGCATTTTCGAGCCGGGGATCTATATTGTACCTACGCTACTCCAGCCATCGCGCGACACGCATGACCCAATCCCATGTTCGGGAGTGGTGTGGCAGGAATGGGGGATGAGCAGGAACATTAGATGGCGCCCCATGCGGAGCCGACTACAGTAAACGAGGGAGGTTTCCGAAGATCTTGTGCTACATGTACTTCGTGCGCTGTCACATTCATAGGATTACTCCAGGGATGTCTACATATGTACAGTCTTGAGGAAGTAGTGCAGTATTTCGACGTAAAGATTAGGTTGGTGGCCTACGTACCGATGCCGCATAACCTGGAAAATAACGGCACGACTCGGATGGCGAGGGTCTCCCAAAATTTGTTTGCTATTGCCTAGCTGCGATTCGCGACTCTAGACGGCGCGCCAAGTGGAGCGGATCACAAGTGGAACATAGTGTAGCAAGGGACAAGAGTGGGGTGGATGATAGGTACCAACAATGGTGGAAGGGCGGGCCGAGGCGGGGTAGGACTTGAAGGGCGTTACCAACAAACGGGCCAATGAATTCGACCAATGACTTCAGCGTTATATGTGAGCTGGGCGTTAGCTGACATTCACCATTTGAAGAGCTGTACGTTGCGGTCAATGTTGGTGAACCTTTCGGCTCCCTTTGAATCAGCACTGGAGAGTTGAAACCCAGACCCGAGCTCTGCTTTGAGCAACAAGTCAGTTCACAGGGTTCCATCTATCATGGCTCTTCCAACGCCACCCAAGACAGCTGCTAATCCGCCGCGCGCTGCCTCTGCCGCTGAAGCGCTCACACCGTTGATCCAGTCAACATACAAATCGCCGGACATTCATTGCTACATCAATGGAAAGAAGACGATTATCAGCAATGCGAATCCTCACTGGACTCTGTTGGACTATATCCGCGCTCAACCTAATCTCAAGGGCACAAAGCTAGGATGCGGCGAGGGAGGATGCGGTGCGTGTACAGTCGTGTTGCAGGTCCCAGATACTTCGTCAGAAAGAAGGAGGATAAAGCACTTGGCTGTCAATGCCTGCTTGTTCCCGTTAGTGGGCGTCGATGGCAAGCATGTCATCACCGTCGAAGGAATCGGCAGAGTGGAAAAGCCCCATCCATTGCAAGAACGAATCGCGAAGATGCATGGTAGCCAATGTGGTTTCTGCACGCCTGGAATAGTTATGAGTCTGTATGCCATGGTCAGGAACTCGTACGATCCAGAGACGAAAAGGTTCACTCTCAGCGAGCGGGACATCGAGATGGAGGGTCACCTCGATGGAAATCTGTGCCGATGCACAGGCTACAAGCCGATTCTGAACGCAGCGAAGACCTTCATTGTCGAAGATCTCCAGGGTCAGCTCAGCGAGATACCCAGCATTGCAAATGCGGACGATGGCAAGGCCGAAAAAGAGGTTGCTGACCTGGTGCGAAACGGTTGCGGTGGTCCGTCGAAGGGGTCTTGTGGAAGACCGGGAGGTTGCTGCCGCGACCAGCCTACCGTGCCTTCCGATAGCAGCTCCAACGGAAGTAAATCCCGAGCATCGACGCCACCCACAGAGCCAGTAGATTCGCCTGTGGAGGAGCACATTCCTGCAATTGTGAGCGTCACAGAAGACCCAGAGCATGATCCTGCTGTCAGTGGAGCTAGCTATGCAAAGCCGTTGAAGAGCAAAGAGAAGAATAGTGCAGGCAAAGAAACAAAGACAGCGACTTCTCTTGAGACTGAGATTTCTAGTACCAAGAAGGGAGTTCCGGTAGTCCAATTTCAGGAATATGTTCCCGATACCGAGCTGATCTTCCCTTCGGCTCTCTGGAAATATGAGCCGCAACCTTTGTGCTACGGCAATGACAAGAAAATATGGTTCAGACCAACGAATCTTGACCAGTTATTGGAACTGAAGGACGCATACCCGTCGGCAAAGTTGGTTGGTGGTGCTAGCGAAGTCCAAGTCGAGGTGCGCTTCAAGAACTCCGATTTTGCGGTCTCGGTCTACGTTTCGGACATCCCTGAGTTGAGGCATACAAAGCTTCCACTCGAGGCTGAGCTCGAAACCGCTAAGGAGCTGGTAGTGTCTGCCAACACTTCACTCACTGAACTTGAGGCGATCTGTAAGGATGTCTATGCCAAGCTGGGGAAGCGTGCAATGGTTCTTGAAGCTTTGCGCAAGCAGCTTCGTTACTTCGCTGGACGACAAATTCGGAACGTTGCTTCACTCGCTGGCAACATTGCGACTGCCTCACCCATCTCGGACGCAAACCCTGTACTCCTAGCTGCTGGCGCGACGCTGGAGGCTGTCAATAAGTCACAAGGGACCATTGAATTGCCAATGAATAAGTTCTTCGTCGCATATCGAACCACTACTCTACCACCGGATGCGGCTCTGAGTCGTATCCGGATACCATTACCTGAACCTGGTGCGCGGGAAGTGTTGAAAGCGTATAAGCAAGCCAAGAGAAAGGATGACGATATTGCGATCGTGACAGCTGCCTTCCGGGTAAAGCTCGATAGCGAAAATAACGTCGAAGAAGTTTCAATTGTATATGGCGGTATGGCTCCCACGACCAAAGACTCCCCAAAGACCCAAGAAGCGTTACGAGGCAAGCGTTGGTTCCACTCAGAAACATTAGACATCGCCTTAGCTGGTCTACTCGAAGACTACAACCTTCCCTATAGTGTTCCTGGAGGTATGGCCGACTATCGTAAAACATTGACGCTGTCGCTATTCTTCCGATTCTGGCACGAGTCTGCTGCTGAACTTGGGCTTGGTGATGTTGATACGGAAGTCATAGACGAGATTCACCGTGCAATTTCAACCGGCGCGCGAGACGATGTGAACCCATATGAGCAACGCGTCGTTGGCAAGCAGATTGCGCATCTCTCTGCACTCAAGCAGTGTACTGGAGAGGCAGAGTACATCGATGATATGCCTCGCTTCGAACGCGAGCTGTACGGCGGCTTGGTTCTCTCCTCAAAAGCACACGCAAAGCTGCTCAGCGTTGATTGGGAGCCAGCTCTCGCTATGCCCGGCGTGGTCGGGTACCTTGATAAGAACTGCCTTCCCAAAGATGAGAACATCTGGGGGTCCATCAAGAAGGACGAGCCATTCTTCGCTGACGAAGAGGTCAGACATCACGGCCAGGTCATTGGCATGGTGTATGCTGAAACCGCACTCGAAGCTCAAGCCGCCGCAAAAGCGGTCAAGGTAGACTACGAGCCCTTGCCAGCAATCTTGACCATCGACGAGGCCATCGAAGCGAACAGCTACTTCCCACATGGCAAGGTGCTGCGGAAAGGCCTCGCCCTCCAACATAAGATGGATGAAGCTTTCGCGAAGTGCGATAGAATTTTCGAAGGACAGACCCGCATGGGAGGACAGGTAAGCTTTTCTGAATTTGTCCCAAGAACGGAACTAATTGGATGGTAGGAACACTTTTACCTGGAAACTAATGCTGCGCTTGTGGTTCCTTCTGGTGAAGACGGCTGCATGGAGGTTTGGTCATCAACGCAAAACACTATGGAGACGCAAGAGTTCGTCTCCGCCGTTACAGGCGTACCCAGCAACCGCATCAATGTACGGGTAAAGCGCATGGGCGGAGGTTTTGGTGGTAAGGAATCACGCAGTGTTCCTTTCGCTTGCTACCTCGCCATCGCAGCCAAGAAGGAGAAACGACCGATGCGATTGATGCTCAACCGTGACGAAGACATGCTTCTCAGCGGACAGAGGCATCCTGTTCAAGCCCGCTGGAAAGTCGGTGTGTCGCATGAGGGCATGCTGCTGGCGATGGATGCAGATGTATATGACAATGCGGGCTTCTCGCAGGATATGTCCGGCGCTGTCATGGACCGATGCATTACTCACTTCGACAATTCCTACGAGTGTCCAAACGTATTCCTTCGAGGTCACGTGTGCAAGACGAACATTCACAGCAATACAGCCTACCGTGGATTCGGTGCGCCGCAGGGCATGTACTTCTCCGAGACAATCATGTACAATGTTGCGGAAGGCCTAGGAATGGATATCGACGAACTGCGGCTGAAGAACCTCTACAAGATCGGAGAGCACACTCCATTCCTACAGCACATCGACGAAGATTGGCATGTCCCATTGCTCCTAGAGCAGTTACGGCGTTCTGCCGATTATGAAAAGCGAAAGAAGGTAGTTGAGGAATTTAACGCAAAGAACCGCTGGAAGAAGCGCGGGCTTTGTCTTGTCCCTACCAAATTTGGTCTCAGCTTTGCCACTGCCCTACATCTCAACCAGGCTGGTGCATACATCAAGATCTATCACGATGGCAGTGTACTGCTGCACCATGGCGGAACCGAGATGGGTCAAGGGCTCTATACGAAAATGTGTCAGATCGCTGCGCAAGAGCTTGGTACGCCTCTCGATGCAATTTTCACTCAAGACAGTTCGACATACCAGATTGCGAATGCTTCGCCCACAGCTGCATCTTCAGGGTCTGACTTGAACGGCATGGCTGTCAAGAACGCATGCGATCAGCTCAACGAACGCCTGAGACCGTATCGCGAGAAGCTAGGCAAAGATGCACCACTGAAAGAGATTGTGCACGCAGCCTACCTAGACCGCGTCAATCTTGCAGCCAACGGCTTCTGGAAAATGCCGCGCATTGGCTACAAATGGGGTGATTTCGACATCAACACAGTCAAGCCCATGTACTATTACTTCACGCAGGGCGCGGGCTGCTCAGAAGTCGAGGTTGACTTGCTCACCGGGGATTCGACCGTGTTGAGGACCGACTTAATGATGGTAAGCCCTATCAATCTTCGCATGCGATACACACTAACTCTACCCAGGACGTCGGAAACTCCATCAACCCCGCAATCGATTACGGTCAGATAGAAGGTGCCTTTGTCCAAGGTCAAGGCCTCTTCACAATGGAAGAATCCCTTTGGACGCGCAACGGCGAACTCTTCACGAAGGGCCCGGGCACATACAAGATCCCTGGTTTTAGCGACATACCGCAGGTGTTCAATGTGAGCATGCTGCGGACAGACAATGATGGCAAGCCACTCTCATGGAATCACCTGCGTACTGTGCAAAGCAGCAAAGGCATAGGTGAGCCACCGTTGTTCTTGGGCTGCACTGTCTTCTTCGCGTTGAGAGAGGCGATCAAGGCGGCAAGGAAGATGAACGGGCAGAGTATCCTAGGTGGAGTTGGGAAAGATGCGTGGAAGCTCGATAGTCCCGCCACGGTGGAGAGGTTGCGCTTGGCGGTAGGAGATGATTTGGTCAAGAGGGCGGAAGTGAAGAGAAAGGAGGGGGAGACCAATTTCTTCGTGGCAGTGGCGTAGTGGTTTTCATGGCGTGGGTTTACATTTTCCTCTTATGCATGCTTAGCATTTGTTGTAAACGTGATACGACTAGAGATTGATACACAAGAATGAACTGTAATGTCTTCTTTGAGACTCTATTTCATCGCCGCTAGTGCCTCTTTTGTATATTCGGGTGGTATCAATAAAGATTAGCAACAACTTCATGGATGGTTCTGCTGAGAACTTGTGGTTCCAAACACTGCCCTGAGTCACGACTTTTTCTTTTACGAACACAACATTCTCCTCCATAGGTTGGTGATCAATCGAACTTTCACGCACGCTTGATAACATAAAGTGTCTCCACACACATCTAATATCACGACAATGATCCGTATCTCTTCGCTCTATCGCACTCCGGATTGTTTGCCGTGGCATATGGCTCTTGTGTAAGCGCGCCGGCGGCGATGTGTCAAAGGACCCTGGCTGATGCCACGATACAGGCGGGCCGCAAGTACCTATGGTATCAGCCCCTGGGGTGTTCATGCGCAATCATAGCGGCGCTGGGCGCAAACTACGATGATTGTGGCAAGGACATGACCCCACTCCTTATCTTCTCCTGCCCCACTTTTGCCATTCACGTACTGGACCTTCGGCTAGCTTGCTCAACCCCGCATCCGGAATGCTCGCTTGTGCGCTACCGAACAGGGGCGACTTATTTACTCCGAGTACACGCTTATCTCGGCCGACGACAATCTTCCCAGCTTGTACAGTAGGGGACCGGAATTGCCATTTTGGACCTTTTCCGACCCCCATTATACCATCCCCGGTTCCCCCAACCTTCAACGTTCTACCAACACGTGTATCGGTTTGAGCTTGAGGGCTGAGATTCGATTATGGCTACGGCGGTTTCCACAATGCCTCGAGCACGAAGGAGAAAAGACTTGAGCAAGAACGCAGAGAAAAGATTTGTATGTCAGAATGACGGATGTGGGAGAAGTTTCACCAGGGCAGAGCATCTGCAAAGGCATCTGCTCAATCATTCTACGGGTGAATTCACTTGCTCGAGATGTAGGGCACATTTCAAGAGAAGAGACTTGCTCGGTAAGGAATCACGTCCCTTTTTCTCATGAGTGGGAACCCTGAATGGACATCGAACCAACCCTTGCGTCCACTTTTCCACTTTGGTCATCATGCAAGAGTGGATGGCGTGCGCACTCAGTTTTCTTTCTTACCTCACTTGCCGTAGGGCCCATGCGTTTGATGTCGGGAAGGTGTTGACACCATGCAGACCGCCATATGGCAAGACACCGCCAGAAAGACGAAGAAGCTGGTGCCGACGGTCAGGGTGTACTAAACACACGTAAGCGTATGTGGAAGGATGCCGAGGGGAATATTGTGACGAAAAGGCCTGCATTGGATTCTTCAGTCGAAGAGCATTCCGACTCTGCACCTCAACAACCACAGCATCACGAGGATTCACTTCAGTCACTATCCGACCTCACCCAGTTCCAGTCTCACGAACACGGCGCGCCGATATCTCCACTTTCAAGTGATCCTTCACTCTGCCGCTCCACATTCGATGATCACGACTCTGGCATCTCAAGCGGCTACCATCCTTCCAACCTTGACGTTACCGCACTGTCGGGAACGGAATCCCTCTCCCCCATCGACCGACAGTTTTGGTCAACCAACCTTCTTCAACCTCAGCCTGAGCCCCTTGCGCCCCTCGCGTTCAACGATGCTCCTTTTGACGACATCTTTAACCCGGATACGGCAAGCTCATTCAACAACCCATTCACTACAATGAACAATTATACCTGGCTTTTCGGTAAGCAGATCCTTTGCCCACAGATGAAATGCGCTAATTTTTCATAGATCTAAAATTTCCTGCAGAGGCAAGTCCCCATGTCTTGTATACTATCTTTCTTTCGCAATGCATGCGTTTTTTTTATACCCAATCCTTGTACCCAATGCATGGCTGTACGTCCAAAACAAGAGAGATCTGTTATGCATTCTTTCAGGCTTCTCCATCGTATCGCAAGACGCAAATTCAGAGCCAGTATCGCCTTCCTCCTCGCTTTTGCAGCCTTGGCGGCACCTTCCTCCTTCCTCCATGAACCCATCCTACCAATCACAATCTCGTACAGTCTTGTTCATCACTTTTCTCAGTCATTTTTACAATTTCTTTGGTACATTACTCCTTTCTCCGTGCTGACGTGTATGACGATGCAGAGCCAGATGCAGCCAGTTTTTGATGACCCATTTCCGTCGTTTCAATTCAACAATTCGGTCTCCCAACCTAGCCATGATTTCGACCTGCAACTCGACCATCTAGTGGTGCACAAACCCATGTCGACTGCGGCACAGTATGGGTCCGGTCCTTCGCTGAGAACAGACTCTCCACAACAGATGTCGCCTCCGGCTGCACTGATAACCCCACCGCTGACCGAGGATGCACGAACAAGCCACAAGACTTCTGAGCAAGGAGAGACCACGGGGAGCCACAATATGAATCCCCTTTCAACGGTCTTCTCACACCAGCCAGATACCCCTCAGAACCCCCTGAATCTCGAGCGACCGATGTCGCTGCTGCAGCCTTCAAGATGCTTACCTATTATCGACGAGCTTGCACGCGCTCAAGTACTGGATCTTATCGACATCGCACAGCCCACGGCCCCGGATGGCAGTCTAGTCATGCGCGACAACCCGCTCCTATCACTTTCGTGCTTGCAGACTTACTGCGATCTCTTCTTCACCCGATTCAACACAACTTATCCTTTGATTCACATGTCCACGTTTGATCCATCTAACGTTGATACCTTACTGCTCGCGTCGGTATTGCTGCTTGGAGCCACATACGGCGAGAAAGATGCCCACCAACTTGCTGTAAGTCTTCAATGTGTATAGCTCGCTGGATATTCGGACATTATTAGTGGATCCTGGGACGACACAGGTCAAACAAACAGTCAAACATCGAACTGCTGAAAATGTAGCTTGATTTCACATGGTAAAGGTTGCTAACCAGTGCTAGGTGTGTATCCACGATGTCCTACGACCGCAAATCTTCGCAAACGCAGGCTTCTCTGCGAAGCCGGATCTCTGGGTCCTGCAAACCATCTTGCTAGTCGAATGCTTCGGCAAAAGCAGAGCCGGTCAGAAACAGCACGACATGAGCCACTTGTTCCATGGATTGCTTATCAACCTCATCCGACGCAGTGACTGCCAGTCAATCCGGCCTCCGACGCTCGAAGACGCGACCGACGATCTCGAGGATGACTGGCGGACGTGGGTGGATGCCGAGCAGAAGAAGAGACTGGCTTTCCTTTGCTTCATGTGGGACACACAGCACGCCGTTCTTTTCTGCCAGTCTCTTTGTATGTCGGCATTCGAACTCCGGTCTAATCTGCCATGTGACCAATCTCTCTGGGAAGCGGACTCGGCGGAGAGCTGGCACCAGCTTCGTCAGAAGCAACCCGCAAGCCCTCTATTCCTATCTTGCGTGAAGATGTACCTCAATCCTTCCGCTTCAAATTCGGTCCCCAAGAACCTCAATGCACTATCGCGAGCTTTACTGCTTCATGGTCTCATGTCCATTGCCTGGGATATGCAGAGGCGAGACCAAACGTCCCTCGGTGTCGTCGACACCAATCCGCTTGGCAACTGGCAAACCCGCCTTGCAGCGTCATATAAGGCTTGGAACCATGACTTCGAAGCCTTCTGCTCATCTTATCAATCACGCCTACCCTCACCATCCCACAACCTCGCCAAAGAATTTCAGGCCTTCCAAACAGCCGTCTCCTCCCTCTACCACTCCGCACACATCCTACTCCATACCCCATTTCTCGACCTCCAGATCTACGCTGGCGCAAGACACATTCTAGGGCGCCCCGTGGCACGGTTAGATTACGCCCGCAGCCAGAAGGTCGTCAAGAAATGGGTTGCCGATAACCTCAAAGAAGCGGGCAGAGCTGTATGGCACGCCGCAGCTCTCGTGGAGCAAGGCGCCTCCATCCTCGACACTGAGTCATCTTCCAGCGACCTTGGCGGGAGCCGCCTCTGGCACCTCCCATGGGCTGTGTACTTGGGTACGCTGACTATTTGGGGCGTGTGGTATGCGCGACCTGTGCTGCCGCGTTCGTCTGGTCTTCACGATGACGACGAGGATGAGATCATTTGGGATCCGCAGGCGGAAATGGATAGCTTGCTAGAGACTGTGTTGAAAAGCGATGCGGACCGGTTGCTGGAAATTGGGTATGAGAAGGGGATTGCGGGTGGCTTGGGCAAGAGGGGGACAAACGGGTTGGCTGCTGTGGTGAGCCGGTGTTTGGGGAAGGTGAGGTGGGCGGTTGTACACGACGGGATGATGGTGCTTAGAGGGCTGGTTCAGTGGAGATTGGTGGGCGGTGGAGGAATGTCGTGATTGGACGTCAGAACGATTTATGCAATTACGGCACGGGTATGGCGTTAGGCGTCTGAGCATTTGGGATGAATACTTGGTGCACACTTTCTGTGCAGTAGACAATATGATGTGAAGGTACTTGCACTTCAAGGGAATCACCAACGCTGTCCTTTTCGGACTCATGACTGTTTCTGAGTCAAATACACGCCTTCGAAAGGAACCGCAACGATAGCTGCGCTAGCGTGATGGCGAGAGGGAGTGGCGACACCTGGGGGTTGCAGTCGAATCATAGTTTTGCCCGGTAGGTTGGTTGGATGAAAAGTTTGTAAAATGTTGAATGTTTTCCGTGGCTTGCTGGTGGAAAGGTTAATTTGTGTACATGTACGTTTCAGAGAAACGATACCATATCGAACATACCCTTCAATCTGCCACACTCTATTGGATTTGACGACATTTGACAATTCAAATACACTCACGATGGTTCATAAAAGCTGCGGTTAAGCAAATCACATTGCTTCAATGCGATTGGGCCTGAGCCTTTGAGGGCTGATGAAGCAATCCACAGACCGCTTATAGAATACATCTCACAATCACGTGTGGAGTCCTATTCGGTACATCAACGCATCGTGTCGCTTGAAATAGCTATAGTTCGCAGGTCCCGAAGCTGAGGACCAATGACTTTGGTGTCGAATGGAGGCTACCGGACGCTGAGTGGCCGGGGGGACGTGCAGGACCGAACACGCTTTGCACCTTAAAGAATACACAAGTACTGAAGGTGTTTGATGTCTTCGACTTCTGGCTATTGTTTTGATGGTCCCTGGGTATGACTCGCAACATGATGGAGTTTTCGTCCTACCAAGGCAAGTGCACACGCGACACAGCAGAATGACGTCATTCTTGCAGACCTTGACTTCCACTACAACGAATGTCTCAACTCCTGCGAGGAAAGGTCTTACGTTTTTTTCGTCGTGTGTTTTCGTTATGACAACCGGTGTGTCCTTTCGCGCTCTTCTATGCGCGATCTTGCTCATTGCAATTGTTCGAGCATTCGCGCCACAATACGATGATGGAGCGCAGCAACCCCTGCGACCTTTCGAGTCCACAATCGACGATGTGGACTTCATCTCCCATCATTGGGGGCAATTATCAACTTACAGGTACAACACTCCAGAACTTTTCAAGGTAAAGAACGTTGGCTTGCCCAATGGCTGCCAAATTGAGCAGGTCCATCTACTGCAGCGACACGCGGAGCGTTTTCCCCATCCTGGAGACGCGCAGGATGGACTCAACATTGAAAGGTTCACATCCAAAGTCATGAAAGCTTTCGAAGAAGGAAAACACTTCAAAGGTCCTCTGGCTTTCTTGAACTCATGGCGAAACACTCTTGGTGGCGAGTACCTGACTGGAATTGGTGCTATGGCTGAGATCGCATCCGGCGTTCAGTTCTGGAACGTGTACGGTAGAATGCTGTATAATGCTTCGGAAGGGCAGCTCGGATACCAGCCCGAGGATGTGGATAAGAGGCCACTATTGCGAACTCCCTCGCAAAGTAGGATGCACAACAGCATGACGAATTGGGCTCTGGGATTCTTTGGACCTAGCTACCGGGAATCAGCTCAGTTTTCTGCCAACTGGACGGAAGCTTTTCGCACACTTATCATACCTGAGGTAGAACCTGGACCATGGAACAACACGCTAGCTGGTAAGTACACAGTTATATTGACGTACATCTGATCCCTTCCTGACTATGGCAGCACAACATTGTTGCAACAACTCTGAAGCGCATGGTATTGGTACCATCGGAGATGACCAAATGTGGAATTACGCAGGCCTTTACCTGCCTCACGCCACAAAGCGTCTGTCAAAGTACACACCGAAGCACTTCGATCTGCAAATCAAAGACACATATGCTATGCAGCTTCTCTGCGCGTACGAAACGCAATTCCTTGGAGTTTCGGAATTCTGCGACCTCTTCACCCGGGACGAGTGGCGGGGTTTCGAACAGAGCTTGGACATCCGCTTCTTCTACAAGCACTCCTTTGGGAATCCGACAGCGCGATCTCAAGGCATCGGCTACGTGGAAGAGTTGGTCGCACGGCTGCAGGGGAAGCTCATCAAAAAAAGCGATACCAGCGTCAATAGCAGTCTTACAGATAACGAAGACACGTTCCCGTTAGGCATGAAGTTCTATGCGGATTTCACACACGACAAGATGATACTGGCTGCCATCACCGCACTCAGTGTGGACTACTTCAGGGAGGTACCCGACTTGAAGAAGTATCCGCCAAAGGAAGGCCGCCTCTTCCACGTCGCGCATATGGTCCCTTTCACTGCGCGACTGGTCACAGAAGTCATCGGGTGTGACTCGGCCCACCCAAAGCCCGAAAAGAAGGAGCGTGTCCGCTATTACGCATCGCAGTATGGTTATGAGAGCGGCGATGAGTCAAAGAGCTCGAAGCACAAGTTCGTGCGGATGAGGCTCAATGGCGGCATACTGCCACTGTCTTCGATCAGAGGCGGGGCCTGCAAGGGACGCTCAGATGAAATGTGTCCGCTCGAACAGTTCGTCGAGTCCCAAGCGAAGGCAAAAGAACGAGCAAACTATGCGAAGGCTTGCTTTGGCGATTACAAGGTGTTGAACGATGGGCGGGATGTAGATGGCACAGTACCGAGATGAAAAGACTCGCCTTGGGTGGAGGTACACTAGTAGATGAATTGCCACGACGAGATACTCAAGGAGGGTAACTTCGGCGTCTCTGCAACAGTGGAGACGCCGAGTATCGAGCCACATTGGGCGACGAATGGTCTGAGAGACCCCGCACTGCTTGCGAAACGCTGTTTTAGCCTGCATACCATTGTTTACAGAGCAGATGCATGTCGATATACGACCCGGGTCTTGGAGGTGCTTGGACACTACAGAGTAATAGACGATATGATAGAGATATGCCAGTGACACACAAAATCCATCGCCATTGGCTCACCCATGTGTGCTGCACTAACAGCTGCCACCGGGTATGAAGCGATCATTTCAGCAACCGGAAAGTGATTATAGAAAGCACATGCGTACGTGACCTCGAGTTTTACTTGGCACGTGACCATGTGAAACCAGTGGACGCAGGTGGGCGCCGCTTGCTACTTCCTGTCGCGTCGGCTAAACTTTCTCTATATGTATCCCCACTCTCCGACACCATAACCTTTCTGGAACCTTGCCTCTTGCGCAATCACCATGGAGCCTTCGGATACCCGCGTACAGAACGCCTTTGGATCATTACCGGTGGAGCTGTTCTTGAATGTCTTAGACCAATTGGTGGGCACGCGCGACGGCCGAGTACCTGTTGCCTACTCACCATCACATTCGGCAACCAAGGCGCTGCGCGCCCTAACACTGGTGTCGAGGACCGTTTACCTATGCGCATCACGATATCTATACGCGAGTTGTCTGTACTTGAACGACGTCACGAGGCATTCTTACTTCCGCAGAACGCTGGGCCTGGATCTGGGAAATCACCCACTAGCTCTTGAATATGGCCAGGCTGGGCGCAACGAAGAATTATTCCGCGAAGCCGACATCCAGCGACATCTGGTCTCTCTATTCATCTCACCTGCTAGATCAGAGAGGTGCGGAAGGACGCCTCCGATTCGCTTGCCTCAGGTCATAGATGTGTGTCTTACCGTGGGGTCTACGTTAAAGCGGCTCGCCATCGACCTCAACCCAGTCTACGTGCCAGCCTCAGAGCAGATGGTTATGAAGCCCTATTGCAGCAGTCACAATATATTCCTGCATATGCCGAACCTGGAGGAACTCATATGCAGCTATGACACGTCGGACTATTTCCGATATCCGCCGCCCAATCTCAAGCGTTTGGCCATGACTGCGAACGACATAGAACCGGCTCATCTCGACTTCTACTTCATGGTGTCCTCTTTAGAGACGCTGTTCATTCTTCGTCCAAAAATACTCCTTGCCAGACATATCGACGAGCTGTTTAACAGGTACAATGGCAGGCACATTGACATTGTGTTTGTGGATGTGAACGACAATCATCTCACGCCAAAGTACACCCGGGACTGGACACCCGAGGATCGCGTCACGATATGGGAGGCTGATGTGCCGAAGAGCTTTTATGGCGACGACGATGATCTGATCTTGTGCGACAACTGGATATGGGAGCATGGAGTGTACGGCGGTCTATGGGATCAGGATAAAAGAAGGATGCGGAGTTGGAGCGAGATTGAGAGGACGCTGGCGGAGCCGGCGCTGTAATAACTTCTTCACCACGACACTTTACGACATGACGACTCTCAATCTCGGGCATACGTTCTCATAACAGATTCCTTTGGTCCTGGTGCTACGTCTATTCCACTGTATGATCTACAATTACTCGAATTTCCGATCGGGCTGTTGTTGCTGGTTTTGGCCTGTTTCTATATGATCGCCAGCCGCCCGATGGAAAAGCCATTTCAACATCACCGGCTTCGGCTTTCTTGTACTTTTGGAATCTTCATTCAGATCCTTCTTCCTCAGTTATACGATTGAACCTCCTTCCTTTAGATACCTCAAGTCTACACAAAATTACTATTCGAGTTGATATACAGCAGTCAAAAACCTCCTGTGCAAATTCTTCAATGCACATCAAGGCCATGTCGCACCTCTGAAAGGTGTAAGACGCACGAACAAGGGTGATAACTAAGTCTCAAATAGGTCACACAACAGTCCTTAGTCCCATGAGCGCAGTAATGGGTGGGAAACATGATCAGACCATCAGATCCGAACTCGATTTCATGCCCATTCGACCCCAACATAACCTCGTAAGCATGTTGTCCTGGCGCAGCGCTCTGTCTCTGCCACTATCAATCGATAGACAAAGGTGGGGGTGAAACACTGCTCCCGTTGGAGGCAGCCCGGCCGCATGTCATACTACCACCACGAACCCCACCACTGTATACGTCGCGTGAGAGGGGTAGCCGCGGGGTCGAAGTGATAGCAATAACGTTCGAACGCATAAAAACGCTTCAAGAAACAAGCAGGCGTGGCAATCACGGTCAAACCATCACGAGCATCGCACCCTCCTTAGTTGTCACGCTAGCTAGCTTATCCCCGATATCTCCGTCAGAATGGTTGGTGTCGGTGACGCTCCCCCGATCCTCGACTTCTCAGGTACACATCCAACATACTTCAGGACGCGATGGCATTGAGCGCTGACCCTGGTTGAAGCGTTCTACACCGGTGACACGGCTGCAAAGAAGAAGCTCGTAGACGACGTGCGCAGCTGCTGCCTCCACAATGGCTTCTTCCAGATCACCGGGCACAACGTTCCTCTGGAGCTGCAACAAGGCATCATGGACTGGAACAAGAAGTTCTTCGACCTGTCGCTGGAGCAGAAATTGGAAGTGAGCAAAGGTGCGATCATCTCTCCTTCTACGCCGTCCACTTTACTGATCGTACTGCAGACACATCAAACACCTGGAACCGCGGCTACGAGCTCCTCAAGTCGCAAATCCTCGAAGAAGGCACCCTCCCCGAGCTCAAAGAAGGCTTATACATCGGCGACGAGATCTCCAAATCGCACCCCTACTTCATAAACAAGAAACTCAACTCTGGCCCTAACATGTGGCCCTCCACCACGACGCTCCCCGACGTCGAAGACTTCTCGAAAACCGCGATGGCATACTACTACAAGGTCGTCGACCTCGCAAAGGATATACTCAAGGTCCTTGCGCAGACACTAGACCTCGAGGAAAGCTACTTCGATGAGTTTGCAGAGGGCGCAGTCGCGACGATGCGTCTGCTGCATTACCCGAGTCAGCCCCCAGACAGTCCGCAGAAGCTCACGCGGGGCATCGGCGCACACACCGACTTCGGCACCATCACGATACTGCTGCAGGATAAGGTTGCAGGGCTACAAGTTCTGGACAACCAGACGAAAGAATGGCTAGATGTGGCGCCCACGCCTGGCGCGTTCGTCGTCAACCTGGGCAACTTGATGATGCGGTGGAGCAACGACAAGTACATCTCGAATACGCACAGGGTAATCAACCAGAGCGGGCAAGAGAGGTACTCTATTCCGGTATTCTTCTCTGGGAATCCGGATTTTGTGGTGGAGTGTTTGCCGAATTGTAGGGCAGAGGGCGAGGAGGCGAAGTATAAGCCTATTACGGTGGAGCAGGCGGTTTTGGGAGGGTATGCGGATAGTTATGGGAGGGCGGAGAGGTTTAAGAAGGATGCGGCTGCGAAGGCGAGTAAGGGGCTGGTGGCGAAGGGGGTGGCTGTTGCTTAGAAGTATGGATAGTAGCAAATTGAATCGTTACAGTCTTGATGATCGTCCACGCAGCGTTCACAGGTATGATGTTTTGTATTACCGGCATGAGTGTACTTCAAGCTAGATCTGTCTTAACGAAGAATCTTCGCAAGAGGTGAAGCGCTCGAGCACGAACTTGAAGAAGCCCATATATTTCATCGCATGAAAGAAACCTGAGCACCCTGGACGCCGACGCCAACATTTACCTCATAACCCGCCAAGTAAATAAGCTGTATATGCGTGTTAGTCCAAATGCCGCTCACATGAGCACACTGTGCAAATTCCCATGCTCATCGAAATCCTCGACATCCTGATCCTCATCCGTCCCAATCCCAGGATACCAGTACTCATCCTCTTCTTCGTCGTCCTCTTCCTCCTCCTCCTCACCTTCTTCACTGTCAAGATCCAGATTCTTATCAGATATCTTCCAGAATGCTGTCGGCCCCGCAGGCCCATGCGGGTCCATATCCTTATCGAACCACGTTCCGATGACGCCGCGCTGTGATCGTACACCGCCAACCTGAATGCCTTCACTGCGCCATCGCTCCTCTCCGCTGTCACACGTCAGTAATACTCTGCTCAGTAGAACTCGATGATCGAAATCTACTTACCCGTAAAACACCGAGATGGTACGCCATCGCACCTCCCCCTCAGGCGTGAGGCGTACCGATCCACGAATCCTAGAATTCGCATTCGGATCCCAAGATGCGTCGACCGAGCGGGACGTCCCCACAAACTTCACAACAGGCAGAGCCTGATTATCGAACTCGCGTGGTGCCAGGACCTCCGTAACCTTCAGGTCCATGATAATATGTCTAATAGCTTCTTCCGTATTGATAGGCTCCCTCAGCTTATCTGAGGGCACTCTCATTGCCTCAGTGTTAAAGTTGTAATTGTACAGATCGTTGTAATCCATGAAGCACACGATGCGCGACCACACGCCCGACACATTATACGGGTCTTTTAGCTGGAGGGGGATGTCTGGCTCCATGTAAAGCTTCGGCGGGTACTCAGGTAGTATCTTTGCGCGCTCGGGGAGCACGCCTTCGAGGGGCTCGGTCCAGGGTGGGCGAAACCGGTGGAGGAAGCGCCGGCAGCAGAGACCGGAATTGTAGCCTAGGACGATCATCAGGCTTTCGATCATTTCCCAGTCTACTCTCATGCTGCCGTCGTCGCGGAAGGGGCCCCATATGGTTTTGTCCGTGTAGTTGCGTAAGTCGTAGACGCGTGATCGCGCATAGGGGTGCGTGGAAAGAACTTTTCGCCCGATGTTGCTGGAGGGGATGCCGAAGAGGCAGTGTAACTTTGCGCTTAGCTGCCGGTCTTCTTCGTCCTCGGCTTGCTTTTGGTTCGAGCTGCCGCACCGGCCGTAGAGAGATGAACGACACAGGAATGCATCGTAGTTCTGGAAGATGGGTTGGAAGAGCTCGGTTGTTAGTTGCTGGTTGTAAGATACGCCGGCTTCATCTGTTGAGCCGGTGGCGATGAGGCTCTCGAGTGTTGAGGCGATGAACCTGAACTCGTCGCGCTGTGCTTTTTAGTGTTTGTCTTCGACGCAAACGAGTGCTTGTACCTTCAAATCAGTGTTTGCGGACTCGAGCATTTTCTTGCACCTCACGAGCCGTTGCAGCTGTGGTATCCATGCTGGTTCTGGATCGGTTGGTCGTCTCCGTGGGTCATCCTGCACGCTATCAGATACGTACAGTATTACTATCGCGACACTCAACACATACAAAGTTCCTGAGATATTGTGCTTTGTATAATGCAGTATTGCTCTTGATAAAGTCATTGAAGCCGTGCGATGTCTGAGCAACGCGGCCTACATCCTCGGGGTCTATCTCTTCCAGAATGCGGATCAGAACATCATAGCATAGATCGAGGAGTTCCGTCATGCTTGCAGCCTGTCGGTCTTGTTACCAGTCAATGGAAGATGCAGCTGTGTGCATGTCCGCGCTCAATGTCGTTATGTACAGTAATCTAGTGGGGTTAAGCCCGTTCCGTTCATTGGCTCCGGCGATAAGGACGTATAGCCGAATGCGATTTGACCGTTAAACGACCATCGATTTATGCTTCGTTATCCATTTCCGAACTTCACGCATGGGCAGAGAGGTAATTTTGAGTGGTCACAGCGAGTTCATTGTACTGGATTCATCGGAACATTGAGACTCCAACAACCTCGGTATCAAAGGTGGACTTTGTCCCTGGACTGGAAGAACTGAAGCTTCACGCAACATAATGGAAAAGAAATGGGTAACTCTTCTTAGTGAACCATGGCTCGTGCATCGTTATGGTGAGTCGCTTTGTCGGCGAGGCACTTCAGACCAGACACGCAGCCTCCCACCCAACAGTAAGCGCCTTGTTCTCCAACCCATCAAGAGAGTACTTGGGACGGTCTACGTAGCATTCCCCAAGCAGTTTGAATGATCGACAACCTATACTTTGCTGCATTGGCCTCAACACAAATGGCACTTTTGCGCCGTAAATGAGGCACACGTGGTCCCCGATCCGGACATGACTCGAGCAAACAATCCACGAGCTGGGAGTAAATATGCGCGTTCGTCCGACGCAGAACGTTGTGAGTTGCTTGAATGTGCAACCGCGAGGCCGACTGGGAAAACTATTTTTACCGTACTGTAGGAGCCAATCGCTAATGGCATGTGTCAACATGGCATCATGGGTAATGGTGTCTTCGAAATCGTGTTGGTCCTTCTGTACCTTAGTCCGGTCGACGATCTCGACGGTTATCAATCTAATATTGAGTGCTGGGCCAGCGTGGTCAATGTGAGGACAGACTGTAGCCAGCGGAGCAGTCCAATGCGATGCCTTGGACTGCACTTGCGATAGAGATGAAAGACGTTGTGGAGAATCTAATTGCGGCAGCCATGACGGCTGCGAGGATTCTGTCTGCTCTTGTTCGTTGGAGGGTGCAGGATAACTGTGAAGCCCCCTGCTGATGACCCCAAGGTTTCCATCATGCCAGTAGTTAGGTCCGGGTTCGGCTAAGTCTCGAGTAAGCTTTCTGAGGTTGGTAAGTTCAGATTCCAATTCCCTGCCAAGGAAACAAAGCACCTCAAGGTTTCCGTACGCGGATACCATAGCAAGAAGGAAATCGACGTAGAGTGCCAGCACTGACTTTCCGTAGTCCGCCACGATGCCACATGGCGCGGAAGTGTCAAGAAGTCCCAGAAGCGCGTAGATCTTATCCCTGGGATCTGACGAATTGCAGCTCCGCGCGGTGTGAATGAGGGATACGAAATCGGGCAGTGCTTTCCTATTCCCGGAAAATAGCAGCACCGGTGGTACTTCGCCTAGGGCGTTTCTTGGCTTGATATATCTAGCGTTAAGATGCGCAACTGTGAACAGATCCCATTCGAGCGTTGCAGAGCCGCACATAAGAAAGGCTTTTCTGGCAACGGCGACCTCTTGGAGGACCCAGACTCGAGTCCACCAAGGATTCGAGAGAAATTTCGAGACATCGTTCTGTTGGACGCAATGTCGGGGGGAAGCACGTCGGCCATGACCTTGGCAGTATCGGCAGTGCCCATTGAAACAGTGGAAGAGCTTTTCGGAGTGTGTGCTGGATTCGGGACCAAAGTAAATCATAACTTGATCTGCTGCTGCATAAATTTTGTCCATGACTGGAACTTGGTGATTCTTCTCTGCATTATCAAGCTGGTTGATGCAGATTGCATCGATCCAGAGAACGCGGTCCCTGTGTTCGTAGCGAAGGTCCAGCAGTGCGGCGAAACAGTTCGCAGTCACTCGCAAGCAGCCTTCTGGGGTATACAGCGATCTAGTAAGGCTGTTTTCACCCCAAGTGTATGATAGTGCCTCAAAAGACTCGTGATGATCCAAGTTGGAGTGGAATACGCAACATTGTAGATCTTCATGGCGACCTCCAGCGCCCAAACGGACGAGCCTAAATGATTTGGATGATTGGAGTGGTCCGTATTGATACCCTGCATTCACTCGCCATGCGCTTTGCGGTGCATCAACGTCGGCGTGGAAAGATCCACAACTCAGACAGCAAATGCCGCCAGAGACTCTTTCAATGGCGGGTCGCTTGCAGTCGCATAAAACCATTAGGAACGTTCTTTCGACCGACATCGTAATTTAATTTCCAGTGTTGATTATTGCAGAGGTGGGATATTTCGTAATTAATCAACGATCCGTGTATAGGATATGGGACATCTCAACGTTGAGAAGGTGATTGTGAGATCCAGCGAATCCGGATAAGACACGAGTGATCTAGAAGTTTCGGGCCTAGCAGTGGCTTAAGTAGAATCGTGAGCTGAGTGGCTGCGTTGGTTACACAGTCTCAGCATAGCAGGAAGGACGAATAGTGCCTGTTAACTCGAGCAGGCTGGCGGGGCGCAGCATGTTGTCCAAGGCTGAAGACCCCAACTGATGCTCAAAGTGTGCCTACAAAATCGTTGCAACGAAACTGCTGGACAATCACCTCTAAGTTTCCGAGTCGGGATTTACATGTTCCCACATCTAATGAGGAGAAAGTTGAGGGCCTAGGATTGCGTAACTTGCCCGCGGGTGCAAGAGGCTGCAGCCTTGCACGCGGCCTGACCGGTGAGCGCATACGTGTGCCACTTTAACTCTTGTAAACTTATCATCTCGTACCGCAAGACATTCCTGGCTAATTGTAGAAGTAGGTTCGAAGGTTAGCGCAACGTATACACAGTAAAGCTGCGTTTAGATATCAGTAGTCGCGCGTCCTCTGAAGCCAAGGACAACAGATTGAGATTTTCAGGTTCCAACGCAGAGAATCGCTGAATGATTGTTGTACTCTAGGCTTATCAAATGATACTTGTGCACGTGACACAGGGCTTCCATTCACTCTCAACAGCACATTCGTTCCACCATTGTTTCAGTAATTCGTTTCGTTGACGCTTCAACATATCCAGGCCCGAAAATTGTTCTGGACTATACGATAAGCCTCGTGTTCAGCATCTAAAGTTCTCGCTTCCACCTTGCGTCATATTTGCTTTTCCTTCGGTTGGCGTCCCTTCGTTGACTTGTGTATGGACAACATGCTCCCCTAAAGCGGGGTTCAGCCTAACAGCCATGCAGTGGTTGTCTCCCATGCAAGTAATACCAATAGCTGGCTGGCCAATATAATGCGATGTAGGGCTACGTCCCTTCCGTAACACTCGGCCTCCCACCTCAGCTAAGTATCATTGCTTATCGCGCACGATTGCCCACACTGAGGGGAGTATGACCATGGGCACGAGTTCGCAGCTCACTGTCATTATCTGCGCGACACTTTCTGGCTTTTGCTTCGCAGAGACCTACACCAACGCAGCATGCAACGCCGTTCTTCCCACCATGAGCTCATGCGCATCGCGCTGGGACAGTATCCGCACTGAGTGTACCAAATCCGTAACTTCAAACTACATCTGGCCAGGACCTTGTGAATGCTCGTACTACGCGAATGATCTCCCTTGCTTTGATGAGCAAGCCTTGTGTGCTGCGCAGGTGTGGACGCAGGTACCGCAATGGTTCCGCGATGGAGTGACGAGCTGCTTGATGAAGGATAAGAGCTACACGATCCGTGCTCAACTAGGCAATGAAAAGAACCCATTCCTAGTCAATGGTTTAGCAGGAGCGATGCTCACGAGTTCTTCTGAGGTTGTGTTGTCTACAGTGACAGGCGCGAAAACAGGCGGAACTGCATCGAAACCTACTACGGTAAGGTCCAAAAGTATTACGGGTGATATTGCTCTAACATCCAGTGGCTAGCCCAACAACACGGCCTCAAGCGCAACCGCACCCGCAACAGATACTGAACAGCCATCTTCGAGAACCGGCAGTACTTCTGCTCGCCTATCCGTAGCAGCGAAGGCAGGGCTCGGTGTTGGTGTGTCCCTCAGTGTCATTATCGTTGGCCTTGTAGTTATCTTATTGCTACGGCGAAGAGGGCGAAGGCAGGACTACCAACAACCGATCGAGACGGAAGATAAGACCGTGGCCGAGCTGCACGGTCAAGACGCAAAGATTCACGAAGTATCGTCTACAATGGTCCGCCCAACACTCGAGTTAAGCGGAGATCCTCATCGCGATAACCTTAAACTCAACCGGACTTGTTGGCTATGAACGCATCAGCAAACAGTTCTGGGACTAAAATGAATGGAAAACTTCATCATGCACAAGAATTGGAGGCGTAGATACCCCGCTTGAGGACGAGTATCTATCAAGGAGAATGCGCTCAATCCATGGCCGGTTGATCATGCATATTGGACAGTTCTAGCTATAGCAGTACGCTTGGGGTGACAATGGGGCAGTGTAATGATATTTGTGCTCGAATCTGGAACGGCTAGCCCCACCTTCAAGCTTCCGAGAGACTTGCACTAAAAGTCGCACGTGACGTCCGCTTACCGAAGGCAAGTGCCATTCGTGTCTGCTTGGTCAGGATTGTCAAAGCAAAACGGCCGCCAAGCTTCTTCCAATCATCGCTGCTTTCTAACGTCTTACACAAGCCCTCATCATGGCGCCAACTTCTTCGACTATTTCTAGCTCCTCATTCGAATCTTCTCGACGGCACCCCCGCTACAAGTATAAGTAGACCTCGCGCGATCGATGAAGACATTCTTCTCTATACTTTTCGCCATCGCTGCAGTTGCAATCGCACTCTACAACAACGAGTATATGCTTTCACGCTTTACCCAACTATCAAAACACATCCGGCCAGTTCTGAATACTACGAGCACCACACGCACGATGACGGCCAATGCTACAACGAACTTCAAGGGATTGCCCGTAATCCCCGACGAGCCCCTCACCACGACTGCCCCGCGCAAGATCCAAAAGTCGTTTCTGGCTAGCGAACAGTCTGAAGGCGCAGGTGCACGAGTACGGAGATCTATTGGGACTCCGCAACTCCGCAACTTCTCGCCATTCCTCATGCTCGACCATTTCGCCATTCCGCCAGGCGCTGGGTTCCCTGACCACCCTCATCGGGGCCAGGAGACGATCACATATTTGTTGTCTGGCGCAGTCGACCACGAAGACTTTGCAGGAAACGCAGGCACGATTGAAGCAGGCGATCTGCAGTTCATGACTGCTGGACGAGGCATCGTTCACGCTGAGATGCCGCGACAGAACGAAGACGGATCGCCCAACGTGGGCATGCAACTATGGGTCGATCTACCGAAGGAATTGAAGTCCTGCGAACCGCGCTACCGAGACCTGAGGGCTAAGGAGATACCTGAAGCTACCGGCGATAATGGCAAAGTGAAGGTCAAGATCATCAGTGGACGCGCATACGACACGGATTCGCTCAAAGAGTTGGCATACACCCCTGTCTGGCTGCTCGACTTCACAGTGCAGCCGGGCGGCACCGTGAAGCAGGCATTGCCTAAGGGCTGGAACGCTTTCGCATACACGCTCAACGGCACCACGATTTTCTCCTCGGCGGGTGTATCGCGGCCGATCCCCCAATACCACAACGTTGTCTTCGACAAGAACGGAGACAGCATTGAAGCTGCCGTAGAGGAGGGTGCTGAATCTGAGTCGCGATTTATCCTCGTCGCTGGGCTTCCACTAGACCAGCCTATAGTCCAGTATGGTCCCTTCGTCGTTACAAGTCGTGATGAGGTCATTCAGGCTATGACGGATTATCAAACACACTCGAACGGCTTCGAGCGCGCCAACAACTGGGAATCTGAGATCGGAAAGAGCATGGTTCACTGATCACGCTTTATGATGTTTTGAAATGTTTTCTGTACATAGAGTTTAGATACCTGAGCTGTTCACGTTCAGCCTCTTCCATATAAGAAGTGAATTTTCGTTTGAATATCTGCCATTGTCTCTTACAACATGCGTATCCTCATAGTAGAATGAAGTGAGTTCACCTAAGCTGATCCGTCACACCCATAACACTTCTGCATCACGACCACAACTCCCTACGTCCTTCCCAAACTACTATTATTACAGTATACGAAGCAACGAACCCTTCCCCCAAAACAACATAATCCACATCATCCACACCACCATTACCATCCCCCAACTATGCCTCCCCCTCCCTCTCCGATCTCACCCTCCATCTTCTCTCCCACCGGCACTCCCTCCTCTCCCACCTCCTCTACACCTCCCCCACGGCGGCCCCATCCGCACGCTCCCCTCATCCTCTCATCAGGAACTCGCTTCTACGAACTGCACATCCCCTGCCTTTTACTCTACGACCGCTTCAGCAAGCCCACGCTGACGACGACAGCGATGACGCGCGCGGAGTGGAATGTTCTGCATGAGTTTGTAAAGGAGGAGGGCGTGTTGAAGGTAGTACTTAGTCCGGATGGAGGGGTGACGGATGTTCTGGGGAGGTTGACGGCGGAAGGTAATGAGGAGGGGGTGGAGAGGAGGAGTGGGCGTGAGGTTTTGGTGGCGGGAGAAGGAGGGAGGTGGGAAGGTGAGGATGAGAGTGAAGAGGGGGTTAGATTGGTGGAAGGGAATAGTCGGTAGCTGAGGGCGTAGGGTGCAGGTCATACTTGTGCAAAGGAAAGACTGTAACAAGGCGCACAGGGACACAAACAAATCCAGAGAGTCCAAAGTGTTTCTTCTTGCCTACATCAATTGACTCCTAGCACACACTCGTGAGCAAAAGTACAAAGTCACAGTTCAGGTTCACGCCAAAGCTGTTGGCATCAAAAATACAACACATTGGGAGGATAGCTTCGGTAAGGTCGCTATCTCTACAATGATTTGCGTACCGCGGCTTCGTACTAGGCATCACCAATTAACCGCGAAACAACAAATCGGAACATAGCTATCCTCACAAACATGACCTAGCAGTACATGCTAAAGTGCCGAAAGAGAACATGCACGAGGCTACGGATGACTGACCCTTCACGTAGGAAAGTTCGATGCGAACAGCCACACCAACGTCCTTGCTTACGATACCCTGTACGTAACATTGCGCCAATTGGAGATTCGAGTGAACGCTAAAGCGTGAACAGCAGCCTCGATCAGGTCTGGCAGTCGCCGCCTCCTACAGTCAATCTAGGCCTCTTAGACGTCGGCTCAGACACCCACGGTAAAATTCTGGGAAAATGCCAGAAAACGGCTGAAGAGATCTCTAGCAACTCTGAAAATCTGATTGAACGGGTGGCAGATGTGCTGAAGAAGCACAACGTGAGCAATATGAGTTTTGTAATTTTCAAGCAGTGTGAGAATTTGTGTAAAGATGGAACAGTAGTCGAATTGCTGTTGATGCCGGTGGCGCGGCTGAGAGACGAGATCAAGTGGCGGTACTATGATAATATCGTATGAGAAGAATTTCCGTACACTCCATAGGTCCGAAAGAAATTCATAAGTCGTAGCGAAAGAAAATACAGGCATCACAGCTTGTAGAACCCTGTCCCTGTTCTTTTCTTTGGTGCTGGTTCTAACTTTTGGTCTGGGCGATCACTTTGCAACCACCTGCGGAAGGGCACGGTCCATTGGGCTGCGTCGTCCAACGCTGAGTCCAAAGTCCACGTGATGATGAGCGTCAAACCAACGACGCTCAGTGCGCAGACCCAATAAACCCAAAAGCTTCCTTTGTTCGGTGCGTAATCATCCTGCATGCTGAACAAACTAGACGTGTATGCCAACGGCACGAACAATAATGCGAGTAGATTCAAGCGCTTCACGCGCTTCGCCTCTTCCAAATTCTGCCGGTTGCCAGCAATGCTCGCTAGACCTGTCATTGACTGCATAAGAGTGTCCGCACGCTCTTTGAGAACCTTGAGCCGGAAGTAAATGTACTGGAAGTCTTTCCGGCAATCTTTCCAGCCTAAGCCGCGCCCATTATCTAGAACGTCGATGGGGTACCCGAGACTTAGCAGCGTATCCTCAACATCATCTCGATAGTTACCACAACGGCGAGAGATCGTTTGAAGCGACTTCCATTGATCTTGCTCTTCGACCCAGGCGGTGGTCAAACGTAGTTCGAGGGAAGGCAACATGGCCTTGATGTAATCGACGAGCTGCAAATAATGTGCAGCCACGATCTTCTTAACGAAGATGGACGATTGGGTCGGTTCGGCCCAATCGTCTATAGAAAATAAATCGGCGTGGTTCTTGTAGTAGTGGATCAGGTCTCGAAGCATAGAGCTATGGGGATGCTTCGGCTTGTTGGCAGCGACGAGAGAAGAGGCAGGTGGTATGAAATCGACATAACCATCCTGGAACGGCGAATTCTTCAGCTCCTCTGATGGCTTCAAAGATCTGTAAGTGCCGCTAGGTATGATGTATTCTCTTGGCTGCACATCCAGCTTTTCGAGCTGAGGGTCGCAGAGGATGACCACTTGTATAGAGTCAGTATGCACGATAATTTGAATCATTGTGACTTACCATCCCAACCGCCAAGCGACGTTTTTCTGCACCACCAAGATATCTTCCTTCTCAGGATGCCGGTCGTGGTATCCTCTTTGTGACGCGGTGGCGTCATACCTACATGTCGTCTCGTTCGGTTGCAGAAGTAAGGCTTGTTTTCGATTGCCTTGGTGAACTGCCTCAGTTCACAGTACTGGAGATGAAAGCTGTTGTCCGGATTGAGCAGGGTGGGATGTGGCAATGCGTCGGAGACAGGAGTAAAGTCGTTGCTCCAAACGCAGGTTCTTTCTTGTCTCTGAAAAAAGGACGGATCCATCATGAAGTGGCCGCCTAGAATGGAGATATATTTCTTGGCCAAGCCTTCCATGATATATATCCGTCGTCGATCATGATTCTCGGCGGACGGCGAGACCTCTTCAAAATGGGTGGCGAGGTCTTGATGACTTTTGAATTCTGTTTTCTCGAATTCGACTTTCCCATTTGAGGGTGCTTCAAGTAACACTACTAGAGCATTGTTGTCCGTCAAGGGATATCTTTTATTGTTTGGATCCGGTTTCCTGAGCCCAGGGTTGGAACCACTGAGTGCAGCGATGTATTTCTGATAATCGGAACCTGATACGGTAAGCGAGGACTTCAGAGGTGTCATGAAACGTTATACCCTCTTCACATAACCAACTGCCAATCGATTCTTCGCTGGACCGTTGCAGATCTGGACTGGGAGCCACAGGTCTGTTGTTCGCTCTCGCACCTGCGAATCCGCTCTGCAGGTTTCGCATTGGCGACATGATGATTTTAGATAGGAGGGAAGACCCAGCAAGAAGATGCAAATCCCTGCAATTAAATTCTTTTGATCAACGTCAAACCTGCTCGCGATAGGTCTGTCGTTATGCTTGCAACGGACGGAGATCGGGCCGAACGGGAAGAAATCTGGGGTAGGATGAGTTGGCAGCGCTTCGGAGGGATCGAGTCGACTCTTGAGTTTTCAAGTTCATGCGGCTCCGGGAGGCGCAGTCTGGGGCTGATTTCGTACTGCAGCTCGCAGCGCCACGTCATCCGTGCACCATTCTCGCTTCGAACATGCGTCGGATGGTGTTTGATCCCATCGTCGCCGCAGGACTCTGCGCGATAACAGGCAGCTGTTGGAAGGCTGCAAGATGTTGCGCCGGTCAATAATGGTCTGAGGCAGAAGCAGGGCTGAGCCTTGCTATACGAAGGAGGCAGAACGGCGATGTTGACCGCAGAGGAGGCGAAGCGAGCTAATATATGCACAACATCGCATTGGGGATGATTGGCGGTATCGCCTGCAGACATGCGCGCCAACGTGCAGAGTGAAGTTAATGAAACCAGATCTCTTCGCTCGGTTTGAGATCGAATTAACGAGATTTCGAGAGTGGACCGTAAATGCGAAAGGGGGAGAGGATTCCTGGAGGAGGTGCGGCGTGCTTGGTGTCCGGTCGGACGTCGTACGCTAGCTCGATTGCCGAGCTTTCATTAAGACATATATTATAGTCGCTGGTTCGATTGATGGCATGAGAGTGCATGAAGCGACGTGAATTCATGAAGTGCGATGTGGTGGTCAGTTTGGTTCCGACGTTAAGCACTGCAGGAAGGTGCGGCCCGAGACCGCTAGCGCACCAAACATCTGAACGCAGCATCTACCAATAAATCGCCGCTGTAGACTCGTGCACAATGCCTACAACCACGATGCTTCCACGTTGCTATGAATGAGAAGGAACCGCCAGATATCATGTTTGCAAGTCCGCAGTGCTCTTCGTCTACTTCCTTCCTAGATACACTATGTCTGCCCGTTTGTACTCTTTTCACCCACCCCATAGTTGACCGCAACCGCTTGGGATCTCGTCAAAGCGAGGTCCTCACTCATACCTTCAACTATCCTTTCCGCGGCTGGCGATAGAACAGATCCTTGGATCTCCGCAAACTTTCTCTGGACGGAGTTGATCAATTGGCCATGCCTCTTCGCATCAACCATCAGAATCGCCGCCGAGTTGGAGTAACCGTCTTGAAACTCCACATCACACATCTTGCATCAATCGCGCCGAGGCATAAGTTGATGCATCACCATATGCTGCCTCAGCACCACAAACAATGAATGTGTTAAAGAAAAAAGTATGTTTTGCTCATCTCCAATCCATGGCAGATGTGGGTAGGTCTGCAAAGAATAAAGCCTCCACGAATGGGGACTTTCCGTATCCTTTGCAACATCAACAGTGCACAACAGCAGGAATGGAGCTGGAGGCACATACAAAAATCACCACGGTCCGGTGTCCACTTGCAACTTACCCTGTGGTGATGATGAGTAGCACCGTCGTAGAAGCGGTTCGTCGCGACCAGACACATTGTGTGGTTCCCAAAAATTTCGCAACAGGACAGGCAGCACGCACACCATGGCTGCGCGATCAATCTTTTTAAGTCTTCCGCGTTTCCACATCGCCAGTTCCATTCCTAATTTCTCGACCCAGAGAAGAGGGCAGAGGGCACACCATGTGTTCTCAATGTGCATGTTTTTGTCCTCCACTCCTCCACATGAACAGCTTGCAGCGTAAGTTTGAAAGTAGCCGCGTGGCAATGAGTGCACTCCCTCTGGGTCTCAAGGCCCTCATGGGACGAGGGTATTGGAGTTTTTGGTCCCCATCTGATCGAAGCTTTCGAACTTTTAGTCACTCTATAGCTGAGCAGTGTGTGAAGAATAAGAGTTCCCCACTGGAGGCTTTTATACTCCTTGAAAGCCCCTTAGTGCACGGCCTCGCGCAATGACGTAGCTAGGAGTACATCAGGTGGCATTAACCAATCTCCTCTCAAGTTTAAGAGCATATTCTCATGGGATCTTCGCTCCGGGAAAGGTCATGGTGTATTGTCTCAAAGCCTGCGACGAGGAGAACCCATAAGGCGATAATCAGCAACTTTTAGCTTTCTGCCCGGCAAGAACGTCTATCCTAGTGTGGAGACGAGGAGAACCTCGCATAGTACCGTCGCTTGGAGTATTGGAGACCAGAATCCAAGAACATGGTGTCCGCTTATTGGTCTTATGATGTTTCCTCGAACTTGATTCTTTCAAGACAGCAGCAAAGCACATGAAAGTATGTGACGCAGGTTTTGAGTCCACGAATCCTCCGCCACATGACTTTCGTGCTTTGAACTAGAGTCGACCAACTCCCTGCCCATTTGGGAAAGGCACTGTACTTTTGGTTCTCATCGGCATGCTGTTGGTGGGCTTTCGTAGCCTTCAATCGGAGAGGGGGTGTGTAAGAAACATACTAGGATATGGAAAAGACTTTATACTTCGCTCATCGAGGCGTACATTCAAAGCTTTCGACAGCGAGTGAAAGGCATGAAGCGGAATGCTCTGTATTTGGGTCCATATGTCAGCTTCACAGAATCTTTAGTTGCCGTCCAACTGCTGCCATGGTTTTCTCGCGCTGGACTTCTTTTGAGTTTACCAGATCTCCACTCCCACATGCTCATTATCATTCTCACTTTCACTCCCCATGAACTCGAATGGGGTTGCTTTTAGTCACCCTCAAGCAGAGCAAAGCTGTAAGAAGTAGTCCGGCAGAGATCCACCCCGCCTTGACTTCCCCCTCGTGCCAAATGTGGTTCCTCGGGCGCAACGAGAAAAAGCCCATAGCATCTGGAGCAGGGGCTTTTGAGTCCACGACTCCTCCGCCAAATATCAAGGTCGACAATTGTCCTTTGAGTCCACCAGATCTCCTCCTCCACATCGGTTGTTGTGTGAACTCATTTTCGGTCCCCATGAAATCGTATTCGAAAGATTTTAGTCATCCTCAAGCAGAGCAAAGCTGTGAGGAGCAGTCCAGCAGAGATCCACCGCGCTCTTATATCTTCCCCATGCCGAACATGGCTTATTGGTGTCTCATGTTCGAGACAGAAAGCAAAAGCGCATAACGAAGAGATAGTAGGAGTTTGAGTCCACGACTCCTCCGCCACATTTTATGGACAACAATGCTATTTGAGTCCACTTCTCTTCCACCACATCAATTCTTCGACATGCTGCTTCTAGGCCCCCATGCGCTTGAATTGTCGTATTTTCAGTGATTTTAAAAAGAGCAGAGCTGTGTAAGGCTCAGATTTTTTAACAACTCCTGGGCCTTAATACTACTCCCTTGGCGAGTGACTATCCGGCGAGACGAACCAAGCTCATGTCTTTCCCGGGTTGGCATTAGTAGTCCAGGACTCCTCCACCACATCGTATGGCCCATAGATGTTTTGAGTCCACCTCTCCTCCACCACATAGAGTTGCTACGATGCTGCTTCTAGTCCCCCATCGCCTCTGCACTGCGTAATTTAGGCACCTAAAGCGGAGTAGAGCTTTCCTCGGCTCAGAGTTTTAAACAACTCCTGGGCCTTTATACTCCTCCCTCGTCGAGTGACTATCCGGCCAGAGAGCGAACGAAGCCCATGAGTTTTGACCTTGGTATTTTTGAGTCCGGCAACACCTCCGCCACATAGTCTCGTGAGTAGTACATTTGTATATTGTCCTTTTTGAGTTCCCCATCCGCCTCCAAACATCGGAATTCGTTGGCCTTGATTTAGACTCCATCAGCTCTCCCTTTCGTACTTTCAGTCCATTGAAAGCAGAGAGAAGCTTTTTGAAGAGCGAAGCGAAGCTGTGTGGAGAACAGATGCTTAAAGGTATACCGGGTTTTTATACTTCCCCAACCTCAGTGCCGTCACGTGATGCAGTAGAGAATACGGGCAGAGCACATCGCGGCGGTGCGTGTAGATTTTGAGCCACGGGTCCTCCACCACATATCTCGGCGGTAGGTCGCTTTTAGACACGCCTCCTTCCACATTTCGTGAAAGAAAAAGACTTCGGTTCCCATATTATGCCATCGTCGTCTTTCTAGTCCACGAAACGTGAAGCAGGTTGTGTGAAGAACCGAACAGCGAAGACCCATGGATACTTTTGCTCGCTTGTCGTACACACATCTCCCTCCGACAGCGACGTCCGCCCCATGCTCCAACACCACGTCTAGTTTGAGTCCACCACACCTCCTCCTCCACATAACAACCTTTTCTCCACGCTTTCAGTCAGTCCTCCACCACTCCTCCGCCATCACGTTGTGTCGTGGCAAATTTTAGTCTCCACAAGGGAAAGCATCACTGTCCTCCACCAACTTTTAGGAGAGACGTCCTGTCCAGCACACATGATGCAGAACCCAAACGTTTTTTGCACAGGCCAATGTCGAGGTTAAAGACAGCGAGGGAGAGCGTAAGGAGCTTTAAGGTGGGTTTTGAGTCCACGGCCTCCGCCACATACACTCGCTCAGGAATGGTTTTGGCCCCCGGACTCCTCCACATGCCTAGGTGGACTGTGATTTTTGGTTCCCATAAAACCCATTGTTCCCAGTTTTCGTTGCCCCTGCCCAATCTTTCTCCCAGGAAGAGCGCATAACAGCATTTCCCCAGCCTTTTCAAACGTCTCCCACATCTCACAAATCTCTCTCCAAGACAGCGAACAAGCACGCATGTGCCCGAATCACACTTTTTTTTTCTACGTCCATACACCACCACATTATCTCGACGAGCGAGCTTTTTTCAATTCCCACTCCACAGCTCCGCCATGCTTTCGGTGCCACTACTCTTTTGCTTCCCAAAGTCTCATGCATTCTCGATATCATCATTTTAGTCGCCCCTAGGCAACGCATTTGTTTAACCACTCCTGCTTTTTAGAGATCCAGCAGTCCTCCGACATTTGTTCTCACGGAGGTTCATTTTGGCGAGGACAGCCACCGAAGCCCATAACATGTTGTGCTGTATATTTGAGTCCGCCGCCATGCGTCCGCGCCATGCTTTCGCTAGAGCTACTCTTCGCTTCTCATGCTGTTGTGAGTGCTGCTGTTTTAGTCGCCCTCGAGCAAGGCATGTATTGGACGAAAAGAGATCTCTTTTCAGAGATCCAGCAGCCTTCCAACATAAGCTTGCAGAGGTCTTCATTTTGGCGAGGACGCCGACCGAAGCCCATAGCACGGTGCACGCTCTGTTTGAGGCCGCCGCCATGCTTTTGTTGAGTTACTCTTTTGTTTCCCAAAGTCTCATGCCATTGTAATTGCTGCCGTTTTGGTCGGCCCCAGGCAAGGCATTAGCCTCATTAGTATTCTTTTGGTAGATCCAGCAGCCTGCCGATATTAATTGTCCATTTCTATTATTATGGCGAGGACAGCGCCCAAATCCCATCGCAATGCGCAGTCTTGATTTGAGTCGGCCGTCATGCCTTCACCGGAGCTTCTTCTCTTCCCATGTTATCCTTCAGCATCTCGTTTTCGTAGCCCTCAGGCCAGGCATGATTCGAATTTTCTTTTTCTTTTCAAGATCCAGCAGTCTCCAACATTTATTCTTAACGACTTTCATTGTGGCGAAACCGCGGACGAAGCCCCTCCCATCAGTAGTATAGGGTTGGATTTGAGTCCGCGCCATAACTTCCTGCAGAGCTCTTTTTGTTCCCCAGGTCTCATGGCACCGTCATCTTAGGTGTTGTAGGCGCCCTCAGGCCAGACATGCATCGTGAGGTTGAGCTTCTTCTCAGAGATCCGACAGTCTTCCAACATAGCTTTACAGCGTCGATCATTTTGACGAGGACAGCGACCGAAGCCCATGTGACAGGAGTGGTTGTTTTTGAGTCCGGTAGTCCTCCTCTCTCTCCGCCACATGGGGCGCTGCGAGTTGGACTTTTGAACAGCCACCAGTCCACCTCCACCATAGCGTGTATCGGAGGTGTGCTTTAGTCCCCATAGGTCGTAGACGTATGTCTTTTAGTCGCTCACAGCGCACCAAGTCCTGTGCAGAACAAGTCCGCAGAGAATCCCCGCCCTTTTATACTTCCCCCCAGGACCCCGGGGCCATCAAGGTATCATATCACGTGCACCATCACCGCCACCACCAACGCGCAACGATGAACATTACCAATTCTATTTTCTGCCTACACAACCGCACCACAGCACAGCACATCCCCTATCTCATCCCCGCTCAAGCCAAGCCAAGCCAAGCCAAGCCAATTGGAAAACCGCCCTTCCGAGCAGCACGCACACATAACAATGCAGAGCTGACCGATCGACATGTGAAAAGTGCCCGCCCGTCTGTCTGTCTATAGAAAAGAGGTGAGAAGAAAGAGAAAGAGGAATACCAAGGGCATGCCAGAAAGACAAATGAACAGGTTTCGTGTGTGTGCCCAGACAAGTCATGGAAAGCCGTGCCTGAACACCTTCGAATGCAAACTCCCTCTGTCGTCTCGTCGCGGGGCTCGACTCTCAACGCCGCTGCCCTTCATACCACGTGTACGTATGCCAATGCTGCGCTTCGTGCCCGCATCCCGTACATGTCCTTCGTTATGTCATCTCATCGTCGCCGCGCTGCTCCGTCGTTTACTGTGACGCGCACTGGACGCGCTCAGCACCGGGGTGCATCTCGTCGTCGTCGTCCTCTGCGCCCGCCATGCCACGCGCGCGGCCACCTTCCCGTGCAGCGTCCACGGTCTCGAGTGTGAAGTCTTCGACCATGGCGTCAGTCGGCGGTGGGGCGGAAGCTGCTGTGCGGGGCGGCAGGACCGATTCGAGAGCCTTGATCTGCTCTTCCGACATGGGTGCGCCTTCCTCACCGCCGAGGTGCTCGGGGAACTTGACGTCGAACTGGATGTAGAGGTTTCCGTAGTCGTGGTGACGGTATGATGGCATGCCCTGGCCGCGGATGACCTTGACCTCACCTTGTTTGAGTTAGTTGCAGGTCTTGTGAAACTACAGACAAATTGGAAACACGTACCTGGGCTGATGCACTCGCCAGGGATGATGTCGACTGTTAACCACCGCTCGTCAAGGTGCTCAATGTGGATCTTGCCACCCGCAAGGGCAGTGAGCAGGTCGATCTCGGCGTGGTAGAAGAGGTCGTCGTCTTTTCGCTGAAATCGCGGGTGCGGCTTCTGCTCGATCTCGAAAACGACATCTCCGGGCTCGACACCGGGCAGCTGGTCGCCCTCGCCACGGAACTCAATTCGGTGGCCGGACTTGACACCGCGGTCGACGTGGACGTGGAGGACCTTGCGCTCAATGATCGTCTTCTTACCGTTGCACTGCTTGCAACGATCACGGTCGCGGATGATCTCTCCCTCTCCCTGGCAGTCAGGGCAGACGGTCTGGAAGCGCTGGATCATGGGACCCATCTGGCGCATCATGTGCTTCATTCCTCGGCCGTCACAGCCAGCACACTTCTTCACTGCGCCCTCCTTACCACCGCGGCCGTCACACTTGGGGCAGATTACTGACTTCTGCAGAGCCAGCTTGGAAACCTTGCCACGATAGATATCCTCGAGCGAAACCTTGTGGACGTGGGAAATTGTGCGCGCCTTCTTAGGGCCCTGCTCCCTCATGCCACCGCCAAACATGCCGCCAAACGGACCTCCGCCGCCGCCGAAGAACTGAGCGAAGAGGTCCTCAGCGGCCATGCCACCGCCGGCACCGCCCTGCTCGAGACCCTCCTCGCCATACTGGTCGTATATTTGTCGCTTCTCGGGGTCGGAGAGAACTTCATATGCGTGTGAGAGGTCTTTGAACTTTTCCGCAGCTTCGGGGTTGTGTGCGTTCTTGTCTGCGGCGCGTCAGCAAAGATGTAATCGCTTACGCCGCAATGGCGAAAAACGTACCTGGGTGGTGCTTCAGTGCGCCCTTCTTGTAGGCCGACTTCAGCTGTGCTTCGGTGGCATCGGGCGACACCCCCAGGATGTCGTAGAACTTCTGGTCTTTGACCATGTTTGCGACTGCAGGGGTCGAGTCCGAGGCGTGGAGGGGCTAGTGGGGGTGGTTGAGGTTCGAGTTTTCGAGGGTCGAGGATCGTCGAACAGGCAGAGGTGCTCTATATGGCAGGGAAGCGCGTTAGTGTGGTTCCGTGGTTCAGGCAGCTGCGACCCTCGTGTGCCTGACGGGCGCGCGCAGTGGCCGCGGTGTCCCTTTCAGATCAGGCTGAGGCTGCAACGACGGTACGTACGGTTCGCAATCGGGGTTTCACAGATTCAGTGGGTCTGTGAAGAGTCGAGAATCGTACTCGAAGAAGTCAAAGAACCTCGCAAGTGTTCACAGTGGAATATTTGAGTGGAGGGCGGAAGGCTTGGGATTTAAAAGTAGTCAACCGGGATCTCGCAGATGCACCGACTGCGCCGAGCGAGAGAAGTTTCGGTGCGATTCCACGCCTTTCCACGTCTAATCCTGCGGCCTGCCCGCCTGTCACGGTGTCGCTAGTGCCTGGAAACTGTAGCGACAACTGCAACGAAGCCACGCATTCAACCCAAGAAAACGAATATGCGTCTTGGGCACGAGCGTGTGCGGATATGGCAATGGTTCACTCTCCCAAGGAACCGCGATTCGAATGCGCTAGGGCCACCAGCCTCAATTCAGCCACTCCTCAGCCAATGACGATCTGCAGGGTCCAATCGCGCGTTTGCCGTCCGTTATCGCCGCCCGATTGGCGAGCCGAGGGCAATTGTGAAGTCATGCGAGACATCATTTGTGGTTTTCGTCAAGCTATTGCTCTTTGCAGCAAACGTTCAGGGCATCTCCATGTTAATATTCGGATGAGAAATTGAACAGTTGACGTACGAAGTCACCCCAGGAACACAATGTTAGAATCCCGCTAGTTCCCCACGTGACCAGATAGCCACTATATACTATACCACAAGCTGTCTCTAGATAGTACAATCAACCTATTCCACACCCCTATTATTGTCCCCTGAGGGAGCTTGCTTCAACACACAATAAGACTTTCCAATAACGACATTCGCCATGTCTGAATCAGATATTGGCTTCAAGGCTGCCTTCGACGAAGCCCAGAAGGGCCATGTTGAAGGAGGCATTCCGATAGGCGCTGCCTTCGTCAGCGCCGACGGTAAAGTCCTCGGCTCAGGCCACAATATGCGCGTACAGGCTGGCAGCGCTACACTTCATGTCAGTTGCTCAACAATGCCTTTCTACCTTTCAGCCCCCCTGAGTGTGTTACGTTTACTCAGGCCGAAATATCTGCCCTCGAAAACGCCGGCCGTCTCCCCGCGTCTCTCTACCATGGCGCCACCATGTATACCACCCTCTCCCCCTGCGACATGTGCACGGGAGCCTGTGTCATGTACAAGGTAAAGCGCGTCGTCATTGGCGAGAATAAGAATTTTCTGGGGGGAGAGGAGTATTTGAAGAGTAAGGGAATTGAGGTGGTGGTGCTGCATAATAAGGAGTTGCAGACACTGATGAAGAAGTTTATCAAGGAGCATCCTGAGGAATGGTAAATGATCCGATGAGAGGGCGACAAGGGGATGGGGGATCAGCGCTGACATTGGACAGGTATGAGGATATTGGGGAGGAGAACAAGTGATGTAATGATGGTAGTAGGTCGCAGTGAAGGAGATAGAATCGACCCGGATAAGGAGATACCCGTAACATCAAAACTACGCTCTTTCCACACCCATCTACGCTTACATCGCCCCACCATCATCGTTCACAACTTCTCCAGCAACGGAGGAGGAAGCGAAGCGGACAGTGTACACCCTTGAGCACCGTAGTGTAAGGGCGCCATAACACGATTTCGAAAATTGTTATTCATAATAGTCTCATTGCGATGGTGTACAACGTAGTCTTGATGATCAACTTTTGAACGTCTTGCCTAGGACATACGTTTATTGCAATTGCCCATCCTGAGGTAACATACGGTACCAAGACTTCGGACAAGGCTTTCCAGTACTGCTTTCTTTCAATATAAACTGGCGCACCTTTTTCGCAGTGGCTCGAGAACCGACCATATTGCTGAACATGACGCTAGATTCCGTGAAGCAGATTCTTGTTTGACTCTCCTCGCATAGCCATATCTCGGGTAGAAGGCTCTTCTGTTGCTTCTTCACCCGCTGCCTGACTGGACGCAGCATGCTTGTGGATCTCCTCGAAGAAGAATTTGAGATCATCGGGCTTCACGAATGGTGTGATACCTATTTCCTGTCAGCTTGCACAGCACCACCGTGCAGTAAAACATACCGTGACCAAGATTGGCTATCCAGCCCTGCTTTCCTCCGCCGAAGCCGGCGACCATTTCCTTGACAACAGCCGTAATGGCTTCCCGCCCGCCATACAACACCCCGGGATCTGCGTTGCCTTGCAGAACCTTCCCATATGAGCGGGCAATCTTGTACGCCTCAGCCGGGTCGTGCAGCCAGTCTAGCCCAATAGTGTTGTAGCTAGTCTTGCATAAGTCCTCCAATGCGTACCACGCGCCTTTCGCGAAGACGGTCATCGGAACGCGTTCCAGGCCGAGCTCCGCAAGTCGCTTCGGCACGTTGTCGGCAATATATGTAAGGTATGGTAAGGAGAAGCTCTTGAAAGATGTGGGAGAGAGCTCGCCAGCCCACGAATCGAATACTTGAAGCATCTGTGTCCTGTCAGCGAATGTCTCTGTGCAGAAATTATGATCATACCTGCGCACCAGCTTGCACTTGCAAGGCCAAGTACTCAACGCAAAGCTCCGCAATCTTCTGCAACAGCGCCTTACTCTCTTCTCCGTGCCTGAAAACCCAAGTCTTTGACTGGATGAACAGCTTCGTTCCTCCACCTTCGACCATGTAGCACAACAGCGTCCACGGAGCTCCGCAAAAACCTATTAACGGTACCCGGCCCGCCAACTTTTGTCTCGTAAGAGTGATGGCCTTGTAAACGTAGTCCAGCGACTCTTTTACGTCCACCTCACGCTCCATGACCTCCTGGTACTGCTTGTCGTCGGGCCCTGACAGCGGTTCCGGGAAGTGCGGTCCCTTCTTATCCACCATTATTACCTCCATTCCCATTGCTTGTGGTATCACCAGGATATCCGAAAATATGATGGCAGCATCAATGAGCCCCGCAAACCGTTCGATGGGCTGGAGGGTGAGCGTCGAGGCGATCTCGGGCGACCGACAGCACTCGAAGAAGTCATGGGTACCTTTGGCTTCGTGGTATTCGGGGAGGTATCGTCCGGCTACACATGTCAGCATTACCATTCCGCAGTAGCTACCACGGTGCTCACCTTGACGCATCACCCACATGGGCGGGCGCTCGACCTTCTCGCCTGCGCAATTGATTAGCTGACAGTCAACCAAGCAAAGAAGGCGCGGAGCATATACCTCTCGCCGTCCGCAAGATCAAATCATTCTTCAAGGGCTCGAATTGGGGTGTCATATTTGCAATGTAGACAGACAGACGCTGCAAGCTCAAGCTTTCTGGGATGCGACTGCCCCGCGTTCCGCGCTCCGAGGCTGGCTAACTGCTTTTGGGGCATATGCTCGCAGGGACCAGGAGCAGCAAACAGCAAACAGCAGGGGCATAAATGCATCGCAACTTCTATATGCATTTGTTCATCTCATTTTCCGGTTGATGAGGATGATGCTTGCAGGCAATACAACGCCTGTCACTCGCTGCGTCATATCAAGCCTGTCAGCCTCTCTGAAGCCATCTCATCGCCGAGCATATGCGAGCTCATCCCTTTCCTTAAGTTCGACGCGCCCGCGACACGCTTCACGTGCTCGTTCCATCCCACTCCAATGGCATTGCATCACGCACGCCCGAGGGGCGAAGAGGAAAGCCACCGTCAGTGTGAATGATATTCCACAGGGCGCCATTGATGGTCCTCCACTTCCGCCTCAAGATGATGAACCAGATTACCCACCGTTGCTGCAGCAGGTGCGCAACAATGCGCTCAAATTCAGTCATTGCGTGTTGTTGACGAGAGTGGGTGGATTCTACGAAGTAAGTACAATCTTGTTTTGCCGAGTTGTAGCTAAGTCGCCCAGTTGTACTTCGAGCAAGCCGACGAGTTTGCACCCCTCTTGAACATCAAGAAAACAAAAAGAAAGACTTCTAAAGGAAGTAAGAAACCGGCTGTTTCAATGGTGAGTTCCGTCCGCAGCTGTCTCGTTAATGTTTACTGACTTCAAAGGCCGGGTTTCCTGCCTACCAACTGGAGCGCTACCTCAAGGTCTTAGTACAAGACCTAGGCAAGCATGTCGCAATATGTGACGAGTTCCTCAACGATGCACCCACCAAAGCCAAAGGTGAGCCTCAGTACACGAGGCGTGTTTCTCGAATTGTAACTCCTGGAACGCTTATCGACGAGCATTTCATGGATCCGTGGGAGAACAACTACCTGTTGAGCATTCATGTCAGCCCGGAGGCCTTGAAAGAGAAGACCGTGAAGGTCAGTCCTGGAAGCTCCAAGGTTTCCTCGGTACTCAATCTACCCCGTACTGAAGTCGGGCTTGCGTGGATCGACTTATCGAGTGGGGACTTTGTCACTCAAAGCACAGACATTGCTTCTCTTCCTTCTGCAGTTGCGCGTATAAGGCCCCGCGAGATCCTCCTAGATTATGTCTTTGCAGAGGAACAAAACTCACAGATAGTATCGATTTTGAAGGAGGATGGCCACATGATCACCTTCCAAGAGTCTACTGCGCAACCTCTGAGCGTTGCTGATTGGATACCAATGATGGAAGACGTAGTCGAAGACTTCGATTCCGCAAACTTCAGTGCCGCGGAAGTAGCTGCAGGAGGGTCTTTACTTCATTATGTTAAGCATCAACTGCTTGGTGCAAGGACACGGTTGCAAGCTCCAGTCCGACATCAAGCGGAGGATCACATGAGTATTGACAAGAACAGCTTGAGAGCTCTCGAGATCAGAAGCACAATACGCGATGGCTCGCATCAAGGTAGCTTGTTGCATTCACTCAAAGAGACAGTGACGAAGAGCGGCACCCGACTTCTGACCCAACGACTATGTAAGTAACACCCCTGTATGAGCTCATGCTATGCTGATTCAAGCAGCGGCTCCCTCAATGTCTCTATCCACGATCAACGAGAGATTGGATCTCGTCGAGGAAATGATTGATTATCCTCAGCTTCGACAAGATGTGATGACATTGCTCGGGCAGACGTTCGATTCACTTCGCCTCGTGACCAAGTTCACCGTTGGTCGCGGTGACGCTGACGATCTCATGGAGCTGTCGAAGACTGTAACGACCACAGCCGACATTGCCAAGATGCTGCAGGAGCACATTGCATCAAGAAATTCGATTTTGATTGATCCGGAAGACCAAACTGTGGAAACGCGAAGAAGACAATGTATTCCAGCATTGCTAAATCGCTTCGACCTGACACAGCCTCTCGAATTGGCGGAGCGTATCCAGGATACCATTGACGAGGAAGGACTGTCAGAATATCACCGAATTGAGCAAGATCAGGCCGCCGAAGTAGAGGAGCTTGCCCAAGATGTCCTGGGGCGAGAAGCTGGTGAAGAAGACCTGAAAGAAATGCCCAAACGCATCCAGCCCAGACCGCACATGATCGCGCCAAGCTTCAAAAGCGCAACGGATGGTCGCGATGACATTTGGATAATGAAGAGAAAGGCCAGCAAGGCTCTGGCGAGATTGCACAGCAACCTAGACGAACTGGTCTTACGTAAGGACATGCTGGAACGAGAATTGCGCGTGGAAATGGGCGCGACGAGTCTTTGCCTCAAATGGACACCTAACCTGGCGCACATTGCACACGTCAGAGGCAAAGATGTCAGCCGTGTTATTGCGCAATACCCCAGAAGTTTGAGCAGCAGCAAATCTACCCGATCCTTCCAAGTGCCAGAATGGACACGACTAGGTACTCAGATGGACGAAACCCGGTTCCGTATTCGTAACGAGGAACAGCGCGTTCTGAGCGAGCTTCGCGAGGGTGTGGTACGTAATCTGGTCAAGCTGCGACGAAATGCAGCCGTACTTGATGAGCTTGATGTAGCCTGCGCCTTTGCCATATTAGCAGTCGACAAGAATCTCGTTCGTCCGGTACTTAATGCTGGCACTGCCCATCATGTCGTTGGTGGTCGTCATCCGGTTGTTGAAGCTGGACTGGGCGAACAGGGACGGAAGTTTGCACCAAACGATTGTCTACTTGGCTGGGATGAGCGAATATGGCTCATTACAGGACCAAACATGGCCGGGAAGAGTACGTATCTACGGCAGAACGCATTGATTTCAATCCTTGCTCAAACAGGGTCCTTTGTGCCTGCAGAGTATGCTGAAGTTGGGCTTGTGGACAAGATCTTCAGTCGTGTGGGCTCTGCCGACAACTTATACCAAGACCAATCCACTTTCATGGTGGAGATGCTCGAAACGGCACAGATTCTTAAGGAAGCCACACCCCGCTCCTTCGTCATTATGGACGAAGTTGGTAGGGGAACGACGCCTGAGGATGGTATCGCCGTAGGTTACGCCTGCCTTCACCACCTCTACCACATCAACCAGTCTCGGACACTGTTCGCCACCCACTTCCACGCGCTTACCGATATGACGAAGGACTTCGAGAAGCTGGGCTGCTATTGTAATGATGTGGCCGAAGAGGCAGATGGGAGATTTTCTTATGTGCATCGACTACGGAAGGGAGTAAACCGACAAAGCCATGCTTTGAAGGTTGCCAGAGTTGCAGGCATACCTGAAGAGGCAATCTCGATCGCGGCGCAAGTGCTGCAAACACTAAAGCCCCAACTCACGAAGGCTGAGGCAGGAGCGGACGAACAAACCGCGCTACGACAAGCTGCAACAGCGTAGTGCTTTTCAACCATCAGCGTCAATGATACTGCTATCCCATCGCTATCGTACATATCCATTATGCGCTTCCCTCCAGCTGTCACATTCTCAGTCGCTAGGTCTGTTCGCTTCGAGATGAGGCATCCGCTCGTGCTTCGCGGTGGTGCAGGCGAAAAGGAGGATTCCAACCGTCCACCGTCTCGAAATGCTAGACCGCGCCCGTTGCCGATTCGTGGACTCATACAAAGCCTTCGCTCCATGCCTCAGTCACAACCGACACCGCTGCGCAGGACGAAGTCAATCACGATTGGTCCGCGTCTGTGAACATGTTCTGGCATATTGCGCTGTAGCAAGGCTAATGACGGCCCCTGTAGAACTTAACATCTATCAAAATCGTCGCAGTCTCACCACACTCACCAAAATAGTTAACAACATGCCGTTTACGTTGTCAACTTCGAATTTGAAGAAAATTGCGGACATCAGATTACTGCAGCCTGTTGCTCCCGGTCCACGCTTCGAAACGATTGCCGATCTCTATTCTCTGTCATCGTACGTCAAGATGTACTTCCCACCTTCGAAACACTGTCCCACGGGCATGTTTCTCACTGCGGAAATCATGTTCGTTAGCCAAGCCGTGAACCTCGCGGAGCAAGCAGCTGTAAAGCAAACTTTGGCAAATACTATAAGAAAAGGCCGCGCTCGCATCAAAGAACTCAACGATTCTCTTCAGGAAACGCATCAACGTCTTCGACACCTCGAAAATCAAAACCAAAACCAAAACCAAAACCCTCAAGCTGTGAGGCCTCCAAGCCTGCCCTGGGACCTCCCCTCCTACCGCTCGCTCAACGATCCCGGCCCTTGCATCCTCTGCTGGACTCACTGGTCTTGTCTAGGCGAGCCAGGCATTCTCCCGTACAAAAGTAACCACGGCATGGGCACCACACCTGATCCAGCGAAGGACCCTGCAATACGCCCTGTTGGCCACAACCATGGGCAAGGTCCCGACCGACTCTGCATCGTGTGTTTGAACAAGGGCTGCGAGCTTTGCAAATCGGTTTTGCCACCATCCCATCACAGATGTAGGGAGCAGCGCAGACATGCGACGGCGACGTGGAATGGACAGCATATGGACAAGGAATCGTGGGAGAGATGCGAGGCATGGGTGTTGAGTTTTGAGGAGGAAACGCTTTTGGACGCTGTTGAGAGTGCGCCTTAATTTGGTTGGTTGGGGTTTGTGGAATAGGGACATGAGACGATAAAAAGGCGAATTTGGAGGTGGTTGTGGACTGTACGGAATACCAGGATATTGGCTGTGTGAGTCGTATCCATCTAGTAGCGATCCTGTGATTGTATCTTGTCCAGTGATATTCAGCGTTCGAAAGCATAAGTATACAGTATTTTACTTTCAAGATCTGGGCTATGGAACGATCATGCTGTCAAATGCTGTTCCCTATGTTCTACAGGACTGATTAGATCTTGAACACGCGCTGTCAACTCCTTAGCACGGTCCACCTTCGTCTTAGTCTTATGTCTCGAATGAACCGTTCCAATAGTGCTGATTAGGTTCCTTGAGCCTGTTCACGGCCAGCTTTCCATTCTCGAGATCTGCTGTGTCTTCACCGCCCCGTCGCTCTCAACGCTCTAGTCTCGGCCTCCGTCTGTGCCTTCCTCCCCAGTCACCTCGTTCCGAGCAGCTCCTCCACGTTCCTCCTCTCTTCTCCTCACCCTCTCCCACGCCGCGTCAAACTCCACCTCAAACTCTGCCTGATCCATCGGCATCTCCGTTACATCCCTCCCCGCCATCAATTCCGCCAGAATCTTGTCCCGGTTCGCCTCAACGTCTTTCTCCGCCGCTGCAAGTTGCTCATCCAGCAATTCCATCTGCTCCACTGTCAGCTCCTCTTCCTCCACTTCCCCCTCCGCGAGTTGCTTCTCCAGCAATTCCTTCTGCTCCGCCGCCACCTCCTCCTCCTTAGTCGCTGATTTTTTCCTCCTCTCCATCAACTCCTTCTCTGCCGCCTTCTTCAAGTCCACCAGCAGCCTCGCAAGTTCCTTCGGTCCCTTCCGAACGACATTCTTCCTGCACTCTTCACACGCTCCATTCTTCACGAGAAAGTCATCTACCTGCTTCGCCACCATAGCTGTGATTTGGTTGAGCTTGAGCTTGAGCCACGTCATGTTGAGGTAGTAGGAGCCATCGGCCCACGCTATGACGAGGAGTGAATGATGGGGAAGCCTGTTGGTGCAGAGCAGGCTGAGGAGAGTGAAAGCAGAGATGCTGGCGAACGTTCCATGACGGGGTGGAGTGGGGATCCTAGGAAGGCGAGTGAGAAGGGAGGATGCCATGACTTTGGAGCGGTTGAAACGTTTCCGTTTTTTTTCGACAGATGAGTATGTGAGAGGCGCACACCAAAGGATTGGGTGGTGATGGTAGTGTATGCGGTGAAGGGTTTATCGAGGCATGAAAAGTGCAGGGCAGACAGTGGGTGATCCAGGGGCAATGTTCTGAGTTTCCTGAGTTTTGTTTGTGATAGAGTGAGACACTGCTGGTTGCCGGTGGCGTGAAGGCGCGTGCGACGAACAACGCTAACCTGATGGAGCGTCGTGCATGAATGCGACCGCTCGTCGCTGACGGAGGGCAGGTGTATCAAGAAATATGTCTACACGAGAAAGATAGTCTGTTGATTGAATCGACAGACGGTACATGACAACGTTCACCAAGTGAACCAAAGAGACAATTATCTGTTATAGATCAGAATATCAGATTTCGCCCGTGCCGAGCAGACATCACCTACATTTGTAGAACAGACACTGGAAACGTGCAGCAACGCCATCTACAAAAGACTTGAGCCCACGCTTTCCCAGAGTTCGAAATCAAGGCTATCTACTGGTCTGCCTTCCGCCGGATCTTGTTAGCGGCTGCACTCGACTCTGGTGACTTCTTACCCTACACTTGCAGATATCCATACAGAACTTAAGACTGGCGATTCGCGTAAAGGCAGACAGGTTGCATCGTCTATCAATCTCTCGCCGCCTCCGCTACTCGGTGAAACCCTCCGTTTGACATGTTCAGCCAGGTATCTGCGTCGTAGCAGCTATAATATTGACAAACTCGAAGAATTTCGATGAGTATCTGATTGCGATACTCAAGGCACAACCGGATGTTGTCCGGAGTGCTCTCTCAATGAACCCCTACTGTATTGAAAGAAGATCACTCCCTTCAACCGGACATCTATCTCAAAATTGAGCAAAGCTTTTTTCTACATGCTATCTAGCAAGATTCTATACGTCAGTAAATCTACCCCCACACTCGCTCCACGTCATCAGAAGCCTGCTCTTTACCCGCTAGGCAACACCGCGGATGCATTCTATCCGCTCGACAATGGCTACACTTGCGCAGCATTTTATTCGAGACAAAGGCCACCATTGCCATCGACCACGCTGGAGGCCGTACATCACCCGGATCGCAGGGGCTCTTTCTAGCCTTACGGGCTTTTACAGCGTTGGAGTTTTCGATATCGTCTTCCGCTTTTTCAAGCTCAACCAAACACCTCCCTTCGACAGTGGATATGTTTCCGAACTTCCGTCTTTCATTGACCGTGGCGCCGGTTATGCTGGATTTGTTGCCAGTCAGATTTAGAAGGGTGAAAAACGTTCCGACTCATCTGTTCCTGGAAGGACGGCTTGATTCCTCTGTCCTGGCAGGCGCACATCTGCTTCATGAACCCAGAATGCCAAAACGTCCAATAACTCGTCTTTCAATATCTCGTTCCTTCGTAATTCGTTTCTAATCATCCATAAAACCGCTGTCGTCGTCGATTTCGTCTTCGATACAACCACGAGCTGCTGGGATCATGGGACTGTCGATCGGCTTCTCGATGGATTTGGTGTTCGGACCATTGACGATGGCAGGCGCAATTGGAATCATTGGACTACAAACCGTTAGTATGGGTTGCGTTCGTCCGTGCACATTGTTCTTACTATAAATCATCCACTGTTTTCACAAGGTCTGTTTGACGCTCCATGCATTCTTTCAGGATTTGAATCAGGCCAATAACTTTTTCGGCTCGGATCTCGAAGTCGTCGCAGTCGCAGTATATGAGCTCCTTCTCTGTGTTAGCGGTTGATCTTACCCATATATATATGGTGACTTACATCGACTTCCTCCGGTTGCATTGCAGAATACAACTTCTCCATGGTCTCGCTGTGCCGGCAGACAGCGAGTAGGACATTGCCGCAAGTTTGGGAAAGTATCGCCGCTTTCGCCTCGGGTGCGCTCACGCTCACTGGCTCATACGTCTTCTCCTACTCATCGTTAATACCGCTTGGGGCAACATACAAGATATTCTTACCATTACCATCGGTACTTCCACCTCACCATGATTCAGACTCATCGCAGCCTGCCTCATCCTTTCGCCCATACCATCCAACTCATCGATAATCCCCACCACACGCTCCATATGCGCCGTAATCGTCTTCCCGGGATCCATCACATTCTGCGCCGGTCGCTCCTCCCGGTCTCGACTCCGCACCTGCACATAGCGAAAGACCTCAAGCACCACGAAGACAAACGACGGCAGCAGAACCAATAGCGCGCACAACGTTGTCCCCGCCACAAGTGCGAAGTCATCCACGACCTTCATGGCCTTCACCACCGGACGGACGCTGGACACCCGCTCCCCCACTCTCTCCAAAACGCACTGCAGCGCGATCCACGCCGCGAGCACCTCCAGCACGACCACCGACGCCGCCGCGAGGCCCATGCTGGACTATCCGCGTGGGCGCGTGCGTGCGCGCCGCGAAGCAACCGAACAGAACAACGAAACGAAACGGAACCACGAACAAACGAACGAGGGACAACCTGCGAAGCGCAGATGCAGGGTTCAGTGGCAGAAGAACGGTGGTACATACAGCAGGCGTTCCGTAGGAGTTTTGGCAGTTTGGAAGGCGCGCCCCGCCACCCAATTAAAAAGGCGGTGTGGTGCGTTAGGTTAACGCTGTTGCGGTGCTGTTTTGGGAGAAGCGGACTCGCGTATGCGAGGTTCGCTGTACAAAATGCAGGAATTGTGGGGAACGGGCGGGCCGGTGCAGGGCGGAAGGCTTTGTGTTAAGAGCGGTGGGGGAGCGGTTTGCGATATAAGGATGAAGGTGTGGTTTGTGTCGTGGGCGGAAGAATGTTCTTGCAACATGGAAATATGTTTGCAAAGGTTGGGTGATGTACCGCGGTTGATGCAAACCCATCCTAGCATCTCAAGTATCCGAAGAAAACTTCTATGTGTCTCGGAAGAGATCAGACAGGCAACTTAACTGAAAGACGGATCCAAATTGGTACGGTAATCTCGATCTTACGGATACTAGCAAACAGTGGCACTCATCAAGTATTGCTCTCGCAAATAGCAGGCGCTCTTAGATGTCGACCGTATTCTCATTCTCGCACTACAAACACATGGGGTATATCGTAACAAGTACAGGCAACAACGACTGATGAAACGCGCAGTCTACGATACGTTCTACTCCAAACATCTCGATGGACCTATCCGCGCTTCCGCTGAACAGTAACCAGCAACACAAAAGCAATGACGCGATATACAACTCCAAGCGCGACGAGGACCCTACGATCCGTTAGTTACCGATACGGAGATAGGAAGGAACGACTTACCCCATATCCAAACTATACTTCCCAAGATTGAATCCCGTCGCCGTCGTCGCCAAATCCAGCATATACAAATAATCCAGCGGCTGCAAGCACTGACTGAAATACGACTCAGTGAACCACACACCAGGGCTCAATCTCCACAGAAACTCGATGTTCCACTCCTTAACCTTGCTCAGCGGCGGCGCGACACCGCCCAGGATCCCGATGATCAGACTCGCCATGACGGCAAGCAGCGGTCCGTCCTCGCGCTTCACGACCATCCCGATGCACGAGGCGAGCCCGTACACGCAGAAGAAGTAGAGCAGGTTCGCGAGGAACATGTCGGGCCAGCTCATGATGGGCGTGGCTAGGATACCCATGAAGACGCTAAAATGGAGGCTCGCGATGAATAACCTGGGCAGCACGGAGACCATTTTGCCGAAGTAGTACGCGCTCATACTGTGGCCTGACGACGCCTCGCGGTTGAACACGAGCTTTTCTTCGCCGAAGACCTTGACTGCCGGAGCCGAAGCAGCTAGACCGATGGCCATGGCGCCGAGGAGACCCAGCTGCGGCGCAGACGTGTAGTTCACGGCGTGAGACACGATGGAGAAAGTATCCTTGTAGATGCCCTTGAAGAGCTGGCCTTCTGCGGTGAAAGCACTGAGACCGATAATGCCGCCTGCGAAGGCGCCGGTGCCGATTTCAAAGAAGAAACTGTTCTTGAGGCGCACTTGTTGGGTGATGCTGCGCTTGCAGCAGTAGTAGACTTGTGCGTACCAGGAGGCTCCGCGCTTCTTCATTGTTCGCTTCAACTCGGCTTCTTGGTCTGCGGTGGAGATCATCGAGGTAGGACGGGGACGTTTCGGGGCGTTCAATACATCTTGATAGGACTGCTCGGGTGGGTCGTAAGCAGGCGTGTTGTAAGCATCTTCAGGAAGCAGATGCTGCGGTTGCGCGGGGCTACTGGATCGATGTTCGCGTTGGTGACGAGTGCGCCAGTTTTCGATAAGCCTTGCGACTGGGGTTTCCGACGTTGCGTGATCCTGTCTGTATGCGTATCCTTCACCGTTGATGATGTCCATGATGATGTCGGCGGGGTTTGCACGCGATGGGAACGTGAAACCGAGGGAATCAAAATAGACAGGAGCCTCGATAGTAGGTCCTGCGTAGATTTCGCTGCCTGAACCGAGCAGCAAGATATTGTCGAAACCGTTGAAGATATCCTCGCGAGGTTGGTGAATGATCGTAATGGTGGTAACACCAAGTTTCGTAATCGCTTTTAGCAGCCTCATAATCGACGACGCAGAAGTTGCGTCGAGACCGGATGTCGGCTCATCGAGGAAAATACACATAGGGGCGGCTGCCAGCTCCATGCCGATACTGACACGCTTGCGTTGTCCACCAGAAACCACAGGCTTATTAGCGTCGCCGACGAGCGAATGCTGGACGTGGCTCAGACCGATACAGGAGATAAGCGCATCGACGTATGCCTGGATATCTCTGTCTTTCCACGTCATTGGTAATCTGCATCGTGCGGAGTGCAAGATGTTCTCGCGAACAGTAAGTTCGGGAAGAACAATATCGTCTTGGGGAACAAAACCGATCAACTTCTTGTACTTTGCCATATCCTTCGGGTGGCCGTTAACTTTGATCACTCCTGCAGTGTGGCGAGTCTTCCCCATGAGCACATTGAAGAACGTCGACTTTCCGGCACCAGAACCACCCATAACAGCCCACATAGAGCCGCTCTGGATGAGTCCACTGACACCCTTCAAGATTTTCTTTCCGGGCTTAGGCTCGAACTCCAAGCCTTCGAAATCGAACGAAAGACCGACATCCTTCGTCTTGATAAGCCGTGCAATGTACCGCATGAAGACCTGGAAATCCGGATTCGCGCTCAAATCATCGTGGTCTTCGGCGGCATCTTTGTTTTCCTTTGTGATCAACTCGATACCGTCGTCGTCCACATCTTTTTCAGGGTTAGGCAGAGCAGCATAGTTCTTCTTCCTGCCTTTTCTCCACGCGGAGATGAAGAAGCCCAAGCCGACGACAAGTCCGAGCACGATGTCGAAAGCAATCATGAAGCCGAACGGCACCGTGACGATCTGGCGCTGCGATTTCGCCGGACATATTGCGCCCATTGCACACGGCCATGGCTCGAAACTCCCAATCGGGCAATAGCTACCTACACATAGAGTTTAGCGTCGGTTATCTTGAGGCTCGTTCATCGCATACCTTTTGGGCATTCTATTCGCTCCTTCCCTCCCTTGGGGCAATAGTATCCACCGTCACAAATGACAGGTTCAAGGAGTCCCTGCGGTGGGCAGTCCCTTCCCATCATTCTTTGAGCTTGACATTCGAAAGATGGCGGGCAGTACCTGTTCCTGTTAGGTTCGCCTTGGGTACGCTGCTTTCTTGGTGTCTTACTGTGGCGGCGCATTATCAGTGGTGTTGGGGCAGAAGAATCCTAGGTTGCATAAGTCCTTTTCCGCGAGAAGTATGGGCATCGATCCATTTTCCGCGTAACAACCAGTCGTCGAGCTGTTCAACGTGCGATACGATCCGGCGGACTCGAGAGTGGAGAAGTTGGTATAGTATTTGCCATTTGGCATAAGGATTCCTTCTGCAGGAATCTCTGTCGGTGCTGCTGACGCTTCTGCAGAGTTGATAGAAGTAGGTACCGATTCCGACGGTATAGCCGTGGTAGCGTCCTTAGGGTCGTCCTTGCGGGAACTCATGATGAAGCTGCAGAGACACACAGGCGTGCTCCAACGTGAGAAATCTCGCGCGACGCGCAGATATAAGACGATTGAACCTCATTTTAAGGACGGCCCCTCTGACTTGACTGCGTACCCTTGCGAGCTGATGAGTAGGGCTTATGGTCTAACTGATCGCCGTTGAGGCTGGCGTCCACGGGTGGGTCGCGACTCGGGCGTAACCCGCGAAAGGTTCGCAGGATTGACATGACATTCTGGGCGGTGCACTAGCATCGTCATATGCCGTGCAGTCTCACTTCCGTTGATGGATATACGGAGCTGGGCTCAACGCTAACAATTCTAGAAAATCATAGCTGTTCAGATCGTGTACGTTGTAGGAGAATGCTGCTGGTCTGAAGCATCCAATTGCAACTCAAGGGTGTTTAGATTCGGTGTCGCGCGAAAGGTCGTTAGACCAACCGACTAAAAATACCGTCAAAGCTTGGCCAATGATCCCTGCATGCTCATATCGCAATAAAAATCCGGTACCAGAGGTTTGGCCAACACACATCGCATCTGAAGACTGAGTGTCGCAATGCTTCCCATGGAGAAGTATTTACACCCGAGCACGGCGGTGACGTTGACTTACACTCTTGTCGTAGGCTTCGTGCCATGTAATTGCATATGGATTGCCAGATAAAGGTGAAGATTAGCAGTCACGCAGTCTGACCAACGCAGTGCATAAGGCCCCCTGGCCGGCACGCCGTGGCCTCGGGTAGGCGAGCCAGCTGGAGTCTACGAAGCCACTAGGCGAGCTATCGTACGGCTGTGCTGCGTGTGCAGTGCAGTTTAATCGCGTTAGAAAATTGCGAGACTTTCCCTCCATGGGGAAAGGCGCGTAGGGGCCAAAAGCGGCGCAGCGGCACGGGTTGGATTACATCCATTCGTTCAGTGGATACTTACGTTGACTGGACGGCCAACGACCGTGCTAGTTCTTGAGCATTGTTTAACATCTGGTTATGCCGCCAAGAGTATGTCAGACACGGGAAAATGTATCCGTCTTCCTTAGACCCAGATACGCGACGATATTTCGGTCCCTGCTGTGTCATGGAGTAAGCCTTGCCAGTAAATGATGGGCAGAACATTTGAGTTGTATTGAATTCTCTACTCGTTCCAGACCACAGCAGCGAGGCCGTCTTCCTCGCCAGCACGTCCCGGTGTCGCAACCACAACACTTGCAACCAAGCTTCCCAGCTTTCCTGTGCTAGGGTCTCGGTTGATGATGGCAACGTTTGAACTAGTCTGTCCGCCCACCGCTACAAGTGTACCCGCTTTGTTGATCTGGAACGTACGAGGGTAGTAGGAGTACGAGTTCGCTGCCTCCAGCCAGGTGATCTTTCCGGTCGCAGGATCGATCGTATATGTAGCGATGGAGTCTTTCTGACTGCCGAACGTCTGATCCGCACGGTTCGTCGCATATAGGAAGTTTCCAAATACGCGGATTTCAGCTGCTTTGGTCGTCGGTCCTCCCTTGGTGCCGGGGGCGTACGTCGAGAGCGTCTGCAACTTGGTGAGCGAGATGCAGCCTCCAGCAGCGCTAGGATATGTGATGGTCCAGGAAGAGACGGAATTTCCAAGTTCGTTGACGGTGTACATTATTTGGGGTTGGGCCGAGTCTTTGTTCGTCCAGAAGAACTGGCCATGTCGAGGTCCATCTCCAGGGTCTGTCTTGCCTGTTCCGCACGAGGTGAGTTTGCCGCTGCTAGCATCGATGCTGAAGATGCGAATGAGATCGGCACCTAGGTCTGGCACGAGCATAAACTTCCCAGTCGGGTCGAGCAAAGCTTCGTGGGGATGAGGGACATCTTGACGCGAATTGGGGCCTTTTTGTGCCATAGTAAATTTCTCCGTTGTCAATGCCTTGGTGCTGCTAGAAAGCGGCAGCTTGAAGGTTGTGAGTGTAGAAGGCGAACTACTTTATGTGAGCATGTACCAGTATGAAGAAGTGGAGCAACTTACTATTCTACAGTAGCGGCAAAGCCCTTTCCATCCGATCCTCCGTACAAAATTCCATGTACAGAATTTCCAGGTGTCTTGGCCGACGACTTGAGCGTCAGCTTCCCGTCACTGCCGACAGAGTACACCGCGTTGCTGCCACTTCCGTTCCACGATTCGTCGAAGCAGTAGAGGGTTTGGTCGCTGGGGTACAGTTCGAGCCATGCCGGCGTGGTACCGCATCCTGTTACTGGAGAGCCAACAGTAAGAGTTCCAGTGGTCCCAGTAGAAGTGAAACTCAGGGTATACAACTTTCCAGTGTAGTGAGCAGCAAGCAATGTTGCTGAGGAAGCTGTGGGCGCCGAGATCGAAGTTGGCACGAAGCTGAGGCCTGCCAACAGGGACAAAGATGCTCGATACATGATGGATTGCTGATAGTTAGAGATTCGCCTGTGGCTCCGGCCTCACCATGTGGGGGCTGTGCGATCTTTATGTGGCTGCTACCGCTACACGACGGAGTTGCGGGGTCAATTCCATGGTGATTGACATGATTTATCGTATTAACCGACACTTTGGATTACTATTATATGCTGGACTTTAATCTCGCACATAAGGATCGCGCGTAGGACGGTCGGCAGAGCTGAGATTCACATATATTGTGAATCTGCAAGGATGTCGTAACACGGACGCTCCAGCATTGATGGCAATTGAGCGAAAGTGGCTAAACATGAGCCCGTGACGACCGAAATATGGATCTCAAAACGTGGCAGCTGGGATTCCGGGTATGCAGGCTAATTGCAGGGCGACGCTCTGTGTAGGATCGACGAACACGAAGTCAGCGGACCGCGCATCCGCGAATGAGAGCGGAGTGTTAGAAATGACCCATATTCTTCAATTGACATGCACAGTTGGGGTCATTCAGCAGAGTAGGAGAGATGTCGAGGTTGAAGTCTGCAAGCCGAGTGCGGCTCTGAAGAGACGTGGGTCTAATCGACGCTAAGCCATTCGTAGCATGGCTATCCACTGCGGCGGGGACGTATCGTTCACGTCAACAAGAACCTCGGCCATACAATATCAGGTCACTATTCTGGACACTCATCGGCAATCGAGTTACTCTAGGACACACGATTTGATAAGAGAATTGCCAACGCTTCGTTAGCGGCCGAGCCCATAGCCGACCTTCTTCATCTTCAAGTGTTGACGTGCGAGGCAGGATAGTCTCCACGGGTTATTCAAACCTTTGATACTTGCAACCTTATGGCTCCAGCCAAGCCCAAGAACAAGATTCTCGTCGCCTGGTCCATCGACTTTGACGCGATCTCCGGCTGGCTGGGCACAGGACAACACCCCTCCACCACAACCTCCGACTACAGCAGCGGCTACTTCTCCGCCAACGTCGGCGTCCCCCGCCTCCTCACTCTCTTCAAGCACCTCAACATCTCCGAAAAAGTCACCTGGTGCCTCCCGGGCCACAGCATAGAAACCTTCCCCACCCAAACCCGCGCCATCATCTCCTCCGGCGCAGAAATCGCCCTCCACGGCTACGCCCACGAAGCAGCCTCCCGGCTCACGGCAGAGCAGGAAAGAGATGTCCTGAAGAAATGTATTGACTTGGTGACAGAGCTAACGGGCTCCCGGCCCAAAGGCTACCGCGCTCCCTTGTACCAATTGAAAGAACGCACCATCTCGTTACTGCAAGAACACGATTTCCTCTGGGACTCTTCCCTCGCGCACCATGATAGCGCGCCTTACTTCCTCCCTTTGAACCCCGCGCCTATAAAACCTATCGACTTCAAGCCGGAAGTCAGGGCGGAAGAATGGATGAAGCCGACGCCGTCCTTTCTGACGCAAGAGAAGAGTCAGCTGGTGGAGATTCCGTGTAATTGGTATGCGGAGGATATGACGCCTTTGCAGTTCTTTCCCAATGTACCTAATTCAGCTGGGTATGTGGACGTGAGGGTTGTGGAGCGGATGTGGATGGATCGGTTTGAGTGGTTGGTGAAGGAGATAGAGCAGGGGAGGGACGATATGGTGGTGTACAGTATGGTGATACATCCGGATACGAGTGGGATGGCACACGTGATAGGCATGGTGGAGAGGTTCTTGAAGTGGGTGTTGAGTTTTGGGGAGGACGTGGTGGAATTCAGGACGTATGAGAGTATTGCGGAGGAGTTTAGGAGGCGGGAAAGGGAAAGGGAGAAGGTGAGTAAGTGGGATTGACTTGATGACCATGTGTGAGGTTTTACGAGCACAGCAACACCATCCCATCGTAATGTTCCATGATGCATTTCGGACATGTTGTCCATACCAGCACGCAAGCTCATACCCCGTATCTCATTTTACTTCACTTTCACACCATGATCGTCGACCAATGTTAGCTCGCTCCACTCGTCCTTAAACGACTGTAACGAATAGCGGGATGACTGGATGATCCAATCATGTGCGCATCGAGGCGATCTGTATTCCACTGAGGTTACATATCATGCTCGCGATGCGACGCTCTCTGTGGGCGCTGACAATGCAGACTGACACCAGATGGGAATGAATGAGCAGGACCACGTCGGCTTATCTAACTAGTGACTGAGAACCTTCAGTGTGGATTTTAAAGGCGGTAACGCGGAATACATAAGCTCGCAGCATACAGAACACAAAACACCTCAATGCATTCATACCACATCACATCGTGATCTATACCAGCCAACCCAAACAGAACCTTTTAGTCATCCACATCCCCAACCGCCGAATCCTCATCATCCTCCCCAAACTCAACACCATACTCGCCGCAGATATCCCACCGGTCGCCCTTCGCCGCTTTGCTAACGTACTTCGTAAACCGCAGCACGCCTCTATCCCTCAGCACAATCGCAAGATTGTTCCACGCAGCAGGCTGACTAAAGAGGATACCATCGTCATCCTCATCCGCCGCGCTCTTATATACGGCTGGGTCGGCCTTGGCTTTGCGACGCTGGCCCGCGCCCGTGGAAGTAGACGGCTCGGGGGCGCCAGCGTCGGTGCCCTCGTCTTCTTCGCCCGCCATGTACATTTCGTAGCCGCCGACTTCTTCTTCTGGCTTTGCGGCGGCTTTTCCGTTGGTCTTGCTAGAGGACCCATTTTGCTGTGCCTCTTCCTCGGTATCTTCTTCGTCGTCGCCCCAGCCCTTGGACGGCGTGATGCCCAGGCAGACTTCGAGCTGGGGGTCTTCTTCTTCGTAGGCGGTTGCAAGCGTGTAATCGAGGCCTTGGCGGAAGCGGCGGGCGAGGATGTTGCTCTTGGTGAGGGTGATGCCTGTAACGAGGGAGAGCCACTTTGTGAAGGCGGGGTGGGGGAAGAGCACGTCGACGAGGTCGTCGTAGGGGGTTAAGGTGGCGTTATCGGGATAGCTGGTTTGGATCGGTTGGACTGCTTTGCGGTAGAGGAAGCGGTGCTTATGGGGTGGTCGTGCGACGCCGACTTCGGACTGCGCCGTGAAGAAGGGGTTTGCGGGGAGGCTGGGGTTTGCCTCGTGGTCTTTTGATTCTAGGTATTCGCGGAGGCGGGCGCAGAACTTGGGCGACAGGAACTCTGCTAGCCGTACAGAGGATTCGTCTGAGAACAGGCGTGTGATGTCTTCGACGGTATCCGGGACGAGGTAATTAGGGTTCATGTATTTGAGCAAGAAGTCCAGCTCGTCGCCAGTCATCTGGTCGTCTTGCGCTTTTGCTTGTGCTTCCCAGTGCGGGTTCTCGACCCAGTTTGACTGCGGTTCGTCAAAGACGTCGGCTTTTCCACCCTGCAGCTGGGCAAGAGAACTTTTCTCAGCAAGCTTCTCTTCCATGCCTTCTTCGTACCCCTCCTCGCCTTCCTGGGGAATGTGGAACCAACCGCTAATAGCCATGCGTATGCGACCACCATCCTCCTCTTCCGTACCACCTCCACCACGCTTGTATACCTCCTCGACGTCGTGAAAGCTCTCGCCTGGCTGCACGGTAAAGAAGGATAACTGGTTCCACGCTGGTGGTATGACCTCTGTGAATTCGGGCTGTGGCACCTTGACATCGTCTCCCTCGGCAGTCTCCAGGTTTTTGGTTGGGTACAGGCGCAGTGCACCACCCCACTCTGGTTTCCAGGGTATGTCCGGGTCCAGCAGGTACAGGATCCAGCTCACACGGCGGCTACCAATGACGTCGTCGTGGCAGAGGAGATGGCACCCGGGGGTGTACACATTCTACTTTTGTAAACATATAGTCACTCAAGATATAGGCTTGCGCAACGTACCACTGCCATATCTGTCTTCACCCCGCTCAGTGGCCCAGAGCCAGTTATCGAAGAGAGGTATTTGCGGAACGCGGAAGAGTAGAGCGAGTCGCGGAGAGTCAGGAGCGAGGGCAGGCGCTTGAGGGCAGCATCGTCGAGGCCGTCGAGGTTGGCAAGATCACCGGACTGGTGGATCTTGTAGATGTCCGTCTCTTTCGGCGTGAAGGAGATGTGCTCGCGAATTTCGTTGCGCACATTGCGGAGAAGCTGGTCGTCGATGAGGTTCTGGATCACGGCGTGCTTGTATCTGCGTAAAGTTTTGGCGGAGCTCAATTGCGCGGAGAAGAAACGTACGGTTGCGATCCGGCATAGTAGTTGGTGTAGTCGGCGAGGACGTTGCTGTCGAACAGGCCTTTACGGAAATTGCCATGCGCCTCGTCGTCAGAGATGGCGCGCTTCTTGGACTTGCCATTGGGCGGTGCTTCGTTCTTGCGCTTCATTGTGCTCTGCAGTCGGTGGAGAGAGAAAAGGCGGCAGCTTTAAGAATTTTGAGGCGACCGAGGGAGCTTGACCTCAGACCACAAATGCAGGTGGGCCGACACGAGCAGAGGGGCGCACACGCACACGCCCTGCTTCCCCGCAGCCCTGAACCGTGGCCTTGGATAAGATGCTGCTCCTTACGAAAGGTTATCGGACCAGACACTCTATCTTGATCAGTGTGTGGACCGTTTGAAGGAGTGATTAGCATCACGAGCAAGCCCGCTGAGTTGTCCGCGCTGAGAACGCACTCCGGTTGGCTGACGTCTCGGCTGAACACCTCCATTACGTGCGTAGGTCTGGATGCTCACAGCTCAACCACATGAACAGATGACGAAGCTAATCGCCTCAATTTCACTTCCTGCTATGTACAATGTCCATCAGTGGGGATCAAACTTTGGATACGAGCTTTCCCGACACCAACTCGTGCCGACCAGATGCCGATCAGATGCCGCCTCACATTTATTCGGCCCGTCGTCCATCCTCCAGCATCAACATGCCGGCTATGGCTCTCTCATACGTCCACATGGTCACCGAAGCTGCCGGCGCCGCCTTTAGCAAGCTCACTGTCAGCCCCCGATACAATCCTCGCATTCCTTCGCGCTTCGATATGGTCACCAGTGTGCTGATAACGCCCGAGTACATGGGTATGTTGCGGTGGACGAATTTAGATCGCATCGGGCCCTGGACTTGTAGTCGCTTTCGTGTAGTGTCGAGTGGGTAGACGGCGGTTTTGGCAAACACGCTGGCGATGATCCCGGAAAGACCATCCGAGCCTCCGAACGGAAGGGCAAGGGGCGAGTTCGCCATGACAGGCTTCAAGCCTTCGTAGCTGGCGAAGAAGAGACCCATGTAGGGCACGATCTGGCTGACGCCAGCGCCCAGTCCGCGGAAGAAGCCCTTGGGACCTTCGTGTTGTGCAATGTGCCTTATCGACGCAGCGAGAGACGTGTAGACGCGCTCTGTTCCCTGCGCTGCAAATCGCGTCCGTAGCAGGTCGAGGGGGTATGTCGCCGTGGTCGCGCATGCGCCCGCCGTTGCTCCGCTGATGAAGGAGACTGCTGAGCCATGGAGCTCATAAGGGGCTGGAATGGACTCAAGGAGAGTCGAACTGTACTTGTAGGCAGAGAACTGTATGCCGCCATAGCAGAGGTACATGAGCTCTGCCGGAACGTTGCCCTTCCATAGCCCCGTGAGTCCTTCCTCGCGGAGGATGTATTTAAGCGTTCCGAGGGTTCCTTTATATGTAGGTCCTTGAACACCGCGGGTGCTCAGAGGGTCGGACAGCGAGTGGACCTGGAGCTGGAGGCGGATCTTGATGACGTCGAGAGGTGCGATCACGAAGCTGTGAAGCGCATCAGTTTACAGAGCTCGTGGAGAGACAGAATAACAAGGCATACCGTGAGACGAGGCCCGCAATAGCGCCCGCGGCCACGACTTGCAGCTGTGAGCCCTACACCAGTATCAGTCTTGTTGCAGCTTCGAAGCAGTCGAGCAGCTTTTCATACCTCATGCTTGAGCTGAGCGACCTCCCCAGACATGCGCCCAGGCCTCCGTCAGGAGGTTATCACACCACAACGAGCCAGCGCTAAACACACGCAGTCTCGTACCGCAAATAATCGGGACTTGGGCGATTGTGGACAGGCGGAAAAAGAGCGGAAGTGGATGCTGTTTGTTACCTCGGGTCAAAGGCCGCCCGCCATCATGAAAAGGCGCGCTCGGCCGCCCTGGCTCTGGATTGACCAACAGCAGCCCTCGTCATTCCGTCATGTCCGTAAACATCACTACGACCCGGCTGACGGTCAGATGTGCATCTCAACACGTTCGTGCTGGCACGCCCACTTGCAAGCGAAGATCTTTTTGGAATACCGTCTTCAGCAAGCCGGCAGCGGTCAAGAGGCGCGCGAGACGTGAGGAAGAGAGCCCCGCGCTGCCTACGCCTACGCGAGAGTACCACCCCACACCTATACCCCACGAGACGATTGTCCACAGTCCTGCCAATGCCGGCCAGCTCGATGCATATTCCGCAAAGACCATCGCCGTAAGCATAGACGATACTCCTCGGACCTTCGATACTGTATTTCTGCGCGACAGTTGCACGTGCCCAAGATGCGTCGATCCAGATAGTAGGCAGAAGCTCTTCCAAACCTCAGACATTCCGCAAGAGATCGAGGGAAAAGCCCGGACTGTGCAAGACGAGAACAAGAGCTGGGTGATTGAGGTAGAATGGCAAAATGATGTGCCTGGCTATGGCGCAGAACACCGCACAAGGCATTCGCTGAACTGGCTGCGGCGAGCGCTAAACACGGAGGTGGAGCTTAGAGGAGGCGTGCGCTACGATGACAGAGTCCTCTGGGACAGAGACACCATCACCAAGAACAACAAATGGATCGACTACAAAGACTGGACAGGCGACGACTCCGTTCTCTTCGACGCCCTCACCCACCTCAACAAATACGGCCTGCTCTTTCTCAAAAACGTCCCTGAGTCGGAAGAATCAGTCGTAAACATCGCCGGACGAATAGGAACCCTGAAAGACACCTTCTACGGCCGCACCTGGGATGTCCGCTCCAAGCCCAAAGCCGAAAACATCGCCTACACCCCCCAGTTCCTAGGCCTCCACATGGACCTCCTCTACACCTCGAACCCCCCCTACCTCCAGCTGCTCCACTCCCTGCGCGCCCGCACCCCAGGCGGCGAGTCCTTCTTCAGTGACTCCTTCCATGCAGCTCAGAAGTTGGAGGAGGCGAGCAAAACACACTTCAGGACGCTGTGCACGTTCCCAGTTACGTATCACTATCACCACCCTACATATCATTACCACTACACCCGCCCAACCATAGAACTCCATCCCTACCCCAAGTACAGCGAACCCACGAACCTCGCGCTCCACCGCGTAAACTGGTCGCCGCCTTTCCAAGGGCCTTTCGAAGCGCGCATCGGGGGCGAAAGCCAGACTGCGCTGAGGAACTATCTTGCCGCCAGTCATGCGTATGAGAAGATATTGAGTGCGGAGGAGAGCTTGTTTGAATACAGGTTGAACGAGGGGGAGTGTGTGATATTCGATAATAGGAGGGTGTTGCATGCGAGGAGGGCATTTGATGCGACGAAGGGGGAGAGGTGGCTCAAGGGGGCGTATGTGGATGATGATGTTTTCTTTTCGAAGTTGAGGGTGCTGGAGGAGAGGTTTAGGGGAGGTGGGTTGCGGATGGGGTTGTGAGGCCTGTTGTGGGGTCGTTGTTTGAGAGGGCTTAGGAAATGGTGTTTGTGGGTTGGGAAGTTAAGGGTGGGTGCATAGCGGGTGGTAGACTTGGCGTCGTATTGGATTTAAAGTATCGCATCGAATAGATGAAGTTCATGATTTCACCAAGTGTTCCCTCGCTGAAGTTTGCGGCTAAGAGTCGCTGACGACCACCTGCTTCTAGTTTCGCTTTCCTACTTGCCCAAAGCTTCTTCGACGAGTCTTATGTCGCAATTTTGACACGCATGGTAGAGTCAAATAGCCTGGGGTATGCTTCCTAGCGAAGTTACAGCCGACATTATTTTCAGTGCGAGAGAGTCCGAACCTATGCTTCGGCCTCATGGAAGATATGGGCAGGGGTATGAGAGTGTGAGGGCGGACGATCATTTAGTGTTAAATTCGATTGTCTTAATCTCAGAAGGCTACAACCGAGGGATCACAAGTCTAGTACGTGATTCCAAAAGCTATGAAAACCATTCGGGCTCTGGCTCGGGGGGAAGATCTCTGTCGTCAACTATCTCCGCACAAACTTCCACAGACCAGAACTCATTGCGGCAGATATTGCTATCATACTGCAATCGCGTTTTGAGCGAAATAATAAGTGTGCGATCGTTATCTGGTCCTTTATACCGTAGCTCAGACGTCTTTGGGATCCGGAGGCTTTTGAGATAATCCGTCGCTACTCGACTATCAGTGTTCCAGCGTTCAAGTTGTTCCTGAAAACGTTTGACAGGTGATCCATATAAGGTATCATAGGTATAATCGATGATCGTGCAATCCAAGCGCTCGCTAGACCAGCCGGTCGCATACAACCCAAACTGCAAGTGCCTTTCGGAGCCTTCGCCGGATGAACCTTTTGGCAAGGTGTAGGATAGGTCCGCGCTTGCAAAATCTTCGTGATCATCGCTTGTGGTGAAGAATAGGTCGCCTTCATGATCGTATCTCGTTTCAGGCCACACCCTGCCGGTAATTCCAAGGGCAAGTTGAAGCGCGAGGACGTGGCGACGTGATTCCCTCAGGACGTCGAGCATATTGACCGTTGGAACTCGGTCTCTCGTTAGTGCAGTCTCTGTGTATGAGTCTGCAGGGATCAAGGTTTTAATATCCGCTCGAAGATATGTCGCGTCCTGACGGCGATAAGGAGCGAACATATAACGGAGCGCCTCAGGCTCCACTTCCAATAAACTAGAAGGATCCTCTCGAAGGAACTGGCTAGGGCCGACTTTGCGGAGACGTACGATCAAAACTTTTCCGGTCTCTTTCCGCTGACAGCCGGTGAGTTGCGCGTAGCCTGCACTCATGCCAGGAATTGTCAAAAATTGAACTTGCGACCTGATCCCCTGACTTGTCAGAGTGAAGTCGGAGAATGAGGTATCGGCTTCCCAAGACAATTGTCCACATCGAAGAAACGCGGCAGATGATGTTGCTAAGACACCGCAGAGAAATCTACCGTTGATCTTGCGGGTCGGCGGGAGCTGCCAGGCAAAGATGCTCCGATCGAATGTGGTCCTGATAATCTCCTCTTGAAGTCTGCGGAAAGCCTTTTCTTCTTCTCCGTACAACAGAGGTAAATTTACATCGAATATTCCTAACAGACAGTACGCTGAATCCTCAATACGCGTGGTTTGACGATGCGCCGCCCAGGACATTTTCTCGGCGATTGCGATAGTTCTCAAGACGTATTTTCCAAGTATTAGGCCCAACCTGATGCCGGTGATCCCTTCAAGCACAGACGCAAACTCAAGTTTATTGCCTCGAGCGGTCCAATGTTGATCGAAGAAAATCAATTTCCTCGGTGCAATCAATTCTTGCAGCGTCCACCCACGTGTACTAGAATTGATTCAACATTCAGATGCTCCCTGGAAAGTCGCACTGTAGTTACTCACAACCAGCGACATTTTGGTAGGGTCTCCTCGAGATCTGCTGAGCTGGGAAGATCGCTGAGGTATGCATAACATATTTTGGACCTTCGATACCATCGGAACATAGAATTGATGGCTTCGGTCAATTCTGCACTGCTAGACTTGTCGATACCTTATGGAGCGCAAAGTCAGCCAAATGCACAGCCTCAACACATATTTTCAAACAATGACGACCGCGGCTGGAAAGAGCAACAAGCCTCATCAGGCTCCTGTATAACGAAATGCACACTCACAGCAAGTGTCCACCCAAGCCCAGTCGAGGTCTTCGCTAGCAGCAATCCGACATGTCATCTCAATCTTGGTAAAACCCTTCATTGTCTTGTGCCTGTTCTCGATCACGTCTTTGTAGGTGACCTCTTCGTCCTCCCATGTATGGGACAATATCGCATATTCGGGAATCTGACTGCCGATAAATTCTTTGAAAGACCCGTCTCTAACATTGATGAGACGCATAGCTACTGTCTATTGTTGCGATGAGCACGGCAAGGCTGAAAGATGAACGGGCGTACCTAGGGTATTTTGGCAGGTGTTAGGATAGGTTGAGTGCGGCGCGCGAGCGTTAGATCTGATTCTCGGAGCTTGAGCTATTACTTGTGGCTTGAATCATTATAATAGGCTGGGGAACGAGAAGGTGAGAAACCGAAGCATGCAGTGTAGCCTGCGATGGCTTGCGATCTAACTTGAAAGAGTTAGCGAATATCTCCGCGTTATACGTACCATGCTTGCCCGCGGCACCCCTTTCCACATCTACAACACGCAACAACCAGCGAGAAACCTCAATCTTCGAAAGACACAGCCCGGAGCAGCATTACCAATACGAACACCTTCAGGGATTCGCGCTGTTCTATGCACCGAACAAAATTCGACAAACCCCAACTTACTGCATATCCGATCCACTGCAGTCATGAAGCCACGAACAGCTAAGAAAATCCGCCCTTCCCCATACGCCAAACGTGGTTGATGTAAATCGAGGAAGAACAACGGTACTGAAAGCGTTACCCAGGTTCAAGCTGCAGCTACATGGGAGAGACGCGCACCCAAGTTAGTCAAAGGTCTACTTAGTCCCGAGATCCGGGTAGCTCAATTAGAAACGTGAGAAGCACCACTGAGCACCCTACAGAACGTGAGCAGTTCATATGAACTACTCTTGGTACGTTCATCTACGTGGTCACCTTATGTGCATCCAAAGAGCACGCTCCAGCAATAACGGACAAGTCAATGGCATGTCAATTGATTTTAGATCACGCGTGACTAAGGTTACCTGCGATGCTATCTACCCCCAATATTTGGAACTGACGTCGCTGTAGTTGTCGACGAAACTCTACTGAGTCCTCACTACTGCGCCTTCCGATGCAAATACTCGACCAGATCTTTTCCTACGTTGTGGAGCCACAATATGTCCACAACATATCTCGGTCGAAACAGCAACAATGGTGGAGTCCACAGCTCAATAGAATGCTGTCTAAATTAGCCTGGAAGGCCTCCGGCGATCCATCCACCTTCCTGTTCGCTTTCAACCTTCCGCTCGTGTGTCAACAAATATGCCACGCGGTAGTTCTCCTTCTATATCAACGCTTTGTTTTCGATTTCTTGCGATGTCCGGGCGACGAATACATGGATGGTATGGAGCGTTCCCGCCCAATGTGAAGTGTTTCGGGTAATAGAGCCCCATTCGCAGTGGATTGAAGACGTTGTGGCTGGAATTAAGAAACCGTTCTCTAAGACATTCGTCCGCTTGGAGCTACTCATCATTCATCTCAAGCTAAGAGAAATATTTAAGCAAAATCTAGCCAAGAAGGAGAGGGAAGACCTTGTCATTGACTTCAAACAAGCGCATATCATCTTCAAGACATTAGTATGAACCCGAATTTGAACCTGTTATAAGGTTCCCCAGATCTGGAGGGAAATTTGGTGGTCTTTCTTGGGCATAGGGTGCAGAAGTATTAGCATTTGCCCTCACTACAGACGTGTGATCATCTGGTCACTATTTATCTAATTCTCACCCTCACTTTCACCGAGGTGACTAATCGATTCTGCTCACGCCTTTGCCTCCCCAGCTATTTAAACCTTTACCGACACTTGAAAAACCTCTCACTTGCCAACCCAACAACCACTCCACCCTGACCGAACAGCCATGGCGCCTGTGTCCCCCACCGTCGCCCGCAAGTCAAGCAAGGCTCGAGCTATCGGCGATGACCGTGCTCGTGTCACGAAGCAGAAGTCTGTGAAGCAAGCTCGCAAACCGAAGAACGGCTTGCTCGATGCTTCAATCCCTCACAATGCGACGCATCTTATGGAACTGTGAGTCTGCTTCGTACCCACATTCATAGACCATATTACTAAGCGAAGACCTCAGTGCGCAGCGTAACTCTACGCAGTCACCTCTCCTGCGTCTCGCTCCTGAGATTCGCAACACGATCTGGGAGTACGCAATCGGCGGATCCCGGATCCGAGTCTTCAGTGCCACTTACTTCGATCGTCCCAGTAAGCTTTCGTACTGGCCGTTTGATCCTTCCGGAGAACCCATCATGAAATCCGCTTTCCAATTGCACAAAGTGTGCCGGCAGGTCTACGCGGAGACGGCACCGCTCCTATACACTCTTAATATGTTCAGCTTCTACCATGTGAGTGACATGGACCGTTGGATCAAGCTTCGCCCGATTGGTCAGCTTCAGCTGATGACCTCCATCGAGGTCCCATTCCAATACTTTTCTTTGTACGATAGGGGCCTTCGGACGAAGTTTCGCAAGAAGTTTCCAAACATCAAGCGCATTAGTATTCAAGGGACCTATACTACTATCGAAAGTCGCAGGGAGGAAAGCAAGAAACGAGTCGTCAATATGGTCAAGCAGCGCGAGGGCGAGGACGTCGAGGTGCATGTGGTGTGGTATGTTCCCCCAGGACAGACGAATATTCCAGAATCATACACTAACAGACATTGCCATCTCCAGGCGGTAAGGCATGAGCAGTCCACTACTCTCCATCCATGGGAGCCTCTCTTTGCAATTCGTTTTTGTCTTGCAAGGTATAACAGCTGCAATTCGCGAAGATATGTCATGCATTGCGCTTGATCTAGTCCGACATTCGAAGGTGGATCATTTGAGGACTTATTGGATTGTACTTTTCCGTTACAAGACGTTGTCTGGTGTTATGAATTTGTTTTTACTTGAGAGTATAATTCGTCACTCCAAAGACGAGGATATGCATCAATGCCAGCTCTCTGCCAACGGGGCGTTGATGGAGAAGTCCTTCACCACGGGGCTGGAAATTGGTCTTGCGGAATTATTTGCAATAGAAAAGTGTTCTCATGTCATTTTTTTTTACCAATCTTACTTCTTTGTTACGTGGTGAATCTGACTCCAGAGTTCAATAGCCGCGGCACGGACACTGCAGGCCCGAAGGCGCATACTATGCTTGCAGTCTGCACGAGCAATTTCAAGGTGAGCCCCCGAATATCATCAAGCATGCTTTAAGTTGGTCCGGTTGGTGTTTTAGTCTAATGCCGCCGTGCTTTTACCTTCTCCGGCCCATTGTGCGCGCTATGTATAGTATACGTTCAGCCAGGGTCAGGTTCAACTTTGGTAGCAGCGGGACTGCTGATTATAAAGATTGAGGCCTAAGTAGTGAATTTAGGAGGTAGCATGTTGGGAGAGAATCTGATGGTGGGGTTTCACAAGTGTTAATATTCGGCTCACTGTTTGGGTACTTAGCGTGCCTGCCTTCCCAACAACGTCGACTAACATCCGCCCCTCACTTCTACAACTCTACTCACTCTGAACTCCAAACTACACCCCAGTGACGGCTCGACTACCGTCGACACGTCCTTCGTGGCCACGCTAGGTCTGCGGTTCGTGACACGGCTCTTGCGCCACTATGTCTGTGTCCCGCCGAGGCACGCCGCTAGAAAGCGAGACGACAGAGACTGGTTATGAAACTATGGTCGGGAAGGACGATGGCAAGATTACAACGCAGGACCTTCGTGGAAGTGGACCGACCGAGCTAGACATATCAGTAGTCAAGGAATCCAATGGCCTTCTGGATCCCACGCCACGGGGTCGCTATGTCGAAATGTAAGTAAATTCGGCGGATATTGAGAATTGAGCAAGGGATTAACAACAGCAGTGCTCAACGTAATCAAGAGACCTCCCCATTCCTTCGCCTCCCGCCTGAATTGCGGACAATAATCTATCGCCTTGTATGCGACGATTTCGAAGTCCGCGTGATGCGTGACGAGCGTCTCAGACAGGGCGCCCGTGCAGCATGGAGAATCGATTTCGACCCCTTCGACCCCGTCCATCAGTCCATCAGTTTCCTTCGCGTCTGCAGAGCTATATACGCTGAAGCACGTCTCATTCCATACGCTGAAGCACAATTCAGTTTAACATATAGCAACTCACAAGACCCGGTAGTACAGCATGTGCATCAGCGGTACGCGCTCCGACATTCGACGTTGCGTCGCTCTGCTGGCACTTTCGTCTTCCGTGGGGGTCCGCGGGAGCGTCTACCGGCGAGGATACTCCCTGTTCAGACCAACGCGATCACGACTGTCCAACTTGTCAATTCGATCAGGCCGACGCTTCGAACGTTGATGGAAGAGGTGGCGTGTCTGCCTGCCCTTAGGCAAATCAATTGGGTCGCTCGATGGGCGTACTTCACGTTCCTAGCGGACATGAAGCAGATCACTGCCATTCAAGAATCAGTAGGCAATTCGATCCAAGTTGTGATCAAGGTCACTCCAACACTGGAAGCAGGACTCCGCGACGGACTCGATGATCAACAGTGGGGGGTGGAAAAGAAGATCTCGGAACAACGTGCTGGTACTGTGCACATTGACTAGCCCTGAAAGTCAGTAGACCCGTTCGAGTGAGTGGCATCGATGCTACCGAACAATCAATACTGACGATCTATCGCAGTTCCTGGAAAAGCCACTATACATGAGAGAACCGTTGAGGGATATGGCATTTTGGGGTTACACTCGGAATACAGCGCTCCGAACTATTGGAGGTTCCAGCTACCTACAGTTGTTGTTTCCTGCAATCTGTGGCATGCATAGTCCCAAGGATGAAGGGAAGTCGAACAGTTCGAGACTACTCTAGCTTGTAGACTAGTGAATTGCAGGATCCTTTTTCAATGCGCAATGTGAGGAACTGAGTGAATAAGTGAACGCACGGATTATTTGTTGGCCCGGCAGCGGTTGCCGAAGTTCAACTGATTCACTTCCCTAACGTCTTCGCTTTCTTTGGCGTATATAAACCCCGCTCCCCTCACTCACGCTCCGCTCTACCACAGCTAGTGTTGTCTGTACTTGCCTTCATCTCTGCGTGACGAGTCGACAACATGGCGGGCTCTCATATTCAGCCGCAATGGCCTGTTAGTGAGTCCGAAGCAAGCCACCAACACTCCGAGCACGGATATGAGAGACTCAAGCTGGCCAGCGATGGCATGCTCGATCCAACGCCGCAGGGAAAATACGTGAGCCGGTAAGTACCGCAACATTGACTAGATATATGTTTCTAAGGCGATAGCAGCACGAAGCAAAACATGACCAAGTCGCCGCTCTTGCGCCTACCGCCCGAATTGCGCGCCACGATCTATCGATACGTCTTCACCGGTTGCTACGTCCAAGACCCCGATGGCAAGCGCTTTACGTCGAAGGACGTGGCACATCCGTCATTCCTTTCTGTATGCCGCAGCTTCTACGCTGAAGCCCGCTTCCTCCCTTTCACCAACGCTCGCTTTATCTTCGTGCCCTGGCACATCGGGTCTGCAGTCAAAGGAGTGCCCTACCAGCGGAACGGAGACAGATCGTATGATGTGTTCTTTAGAATGTTTATCGAGCAGCACGCACGTGAGGCACGCGTCTTCAAATACTCCGCTCAATCCGACAAGATTGCGACCTTGCAGATGCGCACCAGCCGAGTACCTTGTCTGGTTTCTTCAGGATTCGTGAAGGAGCTCAAATTCCTTCCCGGTCTCGAACAGATCATCCTGCGTCCAATTCGCCCGAGGAGTCAAATACCTTACAAGTTACTCCTCATTTTCGACGAACGGAAGTTTAGTGAGGTCCGGGGTGCCCTTGGGAGCTCAGTTCGAGTGGAATATGAAGGAGATGACTTACTAGAGTACGAGCTTCTGGATTGGGACCTTAAAGCCTGATATCTCTTTCGCGTCCCTGAGTCGGTTCGTAAAGAATGCATGCATAGGTAGATCACGGTCATGTGCTGTCATTCCTGACAGAAAGCTTTCAAAATGATGGAAGAGTCGGTCTTGATGATATAAATCAATGGTTTGGGTTCATACATGGTCGGTTGTTGAGGAGGAAGTCAATAGTGGACCAAAGCTACTTCTGATACTGCGCTTACTAGCAGTGCAAGACCTCTTCAGGTCGGTATACCATTATACACGTGCCAATGTCATAAGAAAAACAATGAAATATGGGAGTCGACAATCCTTCTGTGAGACATTCAATGCGAGAAACTGAACTCGCTTCATTGCGAGTGCTACTATCACGTGCTGTTGTGTGTCGGGAGCTGCGCGAACCATGGTTGGAGAGAACAAGCAGTCCGCGGTCTCCGAGCTACCTTTTTCAAGTCATAATCCCACCGGAATAACCTTCTCCTCGAACGCAGCCGCAACAAAGTTTGCGCCACACAGCAGGCAGGGATCATAGCGCCTGACTTATCTAATATGACTAGCGTGATCAGATTGATGCCGACAAAATGCGGACTTTGTTCCGCTCCACCACCTAATATTCCCGTAGACATGAGCCAGTTCTTTCTAACAGCCTGCTATTTTCCTTTAGCAGCTCTTTGAATTCATTTCGGCTGCCCTGCTTAGGCAAAAGCCTTATTGAATGTAAGGCAAAGACTGCAGGTGAGTCTGACTGACCCATATAGAGATCTCAGCTCTACTAACCATCGATTTCAGCGAGTATGGCTTCCTATCATTGCCAGATATGTGCAATGCCCATGTCTATTGCGCGAATTCGAACTCTGAACGACCCTCCAGATGCGGCCTGGAACTATGAAGGTCACAGTTATGTGGGCTTTGAGACGTTCCAAGACATCCATGGAAATCCTTTCTCAGATCAACATTGCGAGCAATGTACCACCCTAGATCGAACTCCAGCTACCTTGGACGTAGACATCAAGAACGCAGTCTCTGGCGGCCCTCTATGGCCAGATGAAGATGATGAAGATGGCGAGTGGCTACCGGAAGATGATTCGGACACGAGAAGCGAGATGCTAGAGTATGACACCGAAGCCAATTCTGACGTAGAACCATTGGACACACCACAATGCGATGACAAGGATGCAGATGGCGAGGACATTGATACTAACATACACAACGCCTTGCGTGAGCTGCATGCCCCTCCACAGCCGAGGCACCTTCCGCACGGTACCTTGCGCAACGGCTACATTTATAACAGAGGAAGAGGGGGGCCGCAATACCTTCGAGGTGTTCTAGAAAAACAAGCCTGCGGCTCGTACAGACTACCGTTAGAGCATATAGCGGCGCCTTCTTGCCAAAGCCTCCAGGGCATCAACGGTCATGTGCTAACCGCAGAACAAATGAAAGGTTGCCGTAACCACAGATTTCTACTAGCAAGACCCCTACATTGGCAAGGCGATGAAAGCGATAGCATCTTCGAAGATGGCAGTTTGTTCGTCTTGTCGGGCGAATCAAACGGGTCTTACATATCGCCTGTGGCTCCTTACGTCTATCCACCACGTTATGGTGTAGACCACGTATCCTGCTGGACACTGTATGTGAACGACGGATGTAACGTATGTGGGACACGCTTTGAGGCTATCTGTTTGCTGCGAGTGTTGACACCAGTCTAGGATTCTGATGGATGGCGACCGCTGCCGGTCCATTCATATTGTCTTGATATGTTTGCAAAAGTATCATATTGCCGACTTGGGAGAGTCGACTTGGATGGGGTCTGGCATTGGCGAGAGATGCAGTGCTCACCAGAGTCCTACAGTCTTACCAAGGATGATGTGCTGCCCTGTCCAGAGGTAGCTCGAGGGCGACAGGATTATGGCGGTCTGTGGTGCCATCAGCCGGGCGATGAGTGGCTGGTTGCAAATCCTGTAGAGGTTCCGGAGTCCTGCAGTTTGCTAGGAAGCTGCTTTACCTCTGTCGCCCTTGAGTGTACCACTCAGCATTCCCAAGCGCGCCTTCTTGGGCTACCAGCCGAGCTTATCGACCATGTTATATCCTTCCTTAAGGAAAGCGAGTTGAACGCAGTAGCAGCTACTTGCCGCAGGCTTCGCCTCCATACATATTCTTTTTTCAAAGCTCTTGCCGTTGAACATCTGGGCTGGTTGTGGGAGGTATTCGAAACAGAGCGATACCCAAGTTCACCAGATTGGCCAGTAACATGGGACCCCTGCAACCCCCCTGGCCTCGTTGTCCCAGACCTACCGTACGATCTTGCAAGCGAGGAGCAAGAGAACGCGCTCTGGGCACAGATTGTAAAAGATTACCCAGATATGGAAAGTGTTGGGAATGATGTGAAAGCATCCAATTCATCGCGCCGCGAGGCTATCCTTGACCCGTATCGGGCAAAGGTAGAGCAGTCGCTTCAAAAGTGGCGAGACTTTCGTGGGGGCGTAGCAGTCTGGATCTGCCGTCAACCTCGGGGCGAGGATCGAGTAGCACATGGTCTGGACTGGGCACGTTTGTGGCGTCTATTCAATCCTGATACAACCACAATGCCGGGTATACGCAACCGTGCGCGGATCTGGAAGGACTGCGAACGTATCCTAGACCACAATGTTCGCTTACGCGAGCCAGGTGCAATGGATGCTAAACGCGAAGAAGTGCGTGAGGTGCTATCTTATAATAGGGAGCAATGGTGGCATCATGCAATAGAAGCAAGGCATGACCCTCTCCACAATGGATTTTTGAGGCGAGTGTGGCAAAACGACTAAATTCTGCCTCAGGATCAAATGGCATGATATCCCATAAGGGTGGACGGGCCTTCTTATGGGGACGTTGTAGACCATCGGGCGCACTTGCAATGAGCGTGATCTTCTGACAAGACACCACGAAGGGGTCTTCCCCGTTGAGGATCGGCTCGAGATCACGCGCCTATTTCGTCCGAATTCGAGCAAGACCAGGGAAGAGATGCACTACGCTCTTGACTGGTCCGATCAAGCACACAAGAATCACAGGTATCGGCTATCATACGATAAAAGACATTCTAAGTAGTATATCCTCGACAGGATCGTGAGCAAATTCTGAACATATCGAATTTCATGTAGCCTTACATTTCAACCAGGCATTCACCGCAAAAAGATTTCTCACGATCATGCATGACCGGTCAGGATCTAAACAAGCTAGGCTGTTGATAGAATTCGTCGATCGTTACAGCTTGGACACACTCTCCAAGTTATGGTTTCATTTGTTTACATTCAGTCAACCTGCCACGCGCCTGCCTTCACCCCGGGGCCGTCCCCACTAGCGTGATGGTCACCTTCACCTACCTATAAAGCCAACTTGTGTTATCTCCACACCTTCCATTTTCTGCGCACCGCACCCTCAACACCATGGCGCACCCGCCTGCCGAAGTCGACGAAGGCGGAACATATGATGAGGATCGCGCGTCGCTCATAGTTACTCTCAAAGTTCGCACTGTCGTCAAAGAGAGTAACGGACTCCTTGACCCTACCCCGCGCGGCTACTGCAAAGCGATGTGAGCAAGACGCAGGATTTGGAGTATAGTCAACTAACGTTGAGCAGAACTCAACGAAACCACGAGAAATCTCCCCTGCTCAAACTTCCGCCGGAACTTCGCAATCGGATCTACGCGTACGTCTTCTGTAGCACAGATGTCAGGTACTATCGCTTCCACAGGAGCATCCACCATTGCGAAGTCGACTTTCTCCGCGCCTGTAGAAGCGTCTATGCGGAAGCAAGACTGATACCTTTTGTTGCTGGCCGATTCGATCTCTACTACCGCGATTTCTGGCCGTATAGGTTACCAGGAGTGCCCCTTCCGGTACCAACTACGAACCAGCTGCTCTCCGTTCAGCTCGAACGCATTACGGTTATACAAATACCCTTTCGTAATGCTCAGCCTGCAGATCTTATTAAAGACCTGAAACCCTTCGCTGGCCTCGAGAGGTGCATCCTCGAATTCCCCAGCCATTTCTCCGATTCGATCAAGTCGCTGGTCGAGGATCTTCAACAACGTGTTGGCGAGTCTGTCGAAGTGGTAGTTGAAGGTGGCGACGCACGATTGCAGTATCTCGAGAAAGTGGTACACGATGATTCAGAATGGTGGATGTAACCAATGACGATATCTAACTCGATGGTGCGGCATGAGGAGCCATAGAAGGCGTCAACGGAATCGAGAATGAAGCGCAGGGAACATGTACATGGTGAACCTTCACGGCGAAGCTAGATAGTCAACAACGGACTCGGCTCTGTCCGAACAGTATCTGCTTATTCATTGTCCGAATGAGCCAGGGAAATCCACACATGTGCTGCTCCTTACACCTCACGACATGTAGAAGAAAAATGCGATCTGTAAACCAATCTGTATGACCGTGCCATCCAGTAGGCATTACTCTGCTGCTATGTTACAAGTGACGCAAATTTCGCCGTTCAATTGATCAGCACCTCGTGCTTGCTTCGACGAGAGCAACTGCCTCTCACTTACCCTCGTACAGCCCGGGCACCTCTCACTCGAGCACGGGCAACCACGTCTGCCGCACCTGCTAGAAGTATTTAAACTAAACCCCACACCCCGCGATCTCCAAGCAACACCAACAAACAAACTTAAGCCTGACTCCACCGCCATGGCTGACCCTCACGCCGACGCACCCACGCCTGAGCTACGCGACTGCGACAACATGTCATCTGTTACCGGACATACAGCTGATGTGGCCACCGTGGTCAAGGAGAGCAACGGCTTGCTGGATCCAACACCCCGCGGCGAGTGTATTGCGATGTAAGTGAAGCAAGCAGACCTTCATACTGTATGGGTAGTTGCTCACACATCGTAGCTTCCAGCGTAACCACCAGAAGTCGCCCTTCCTTCGGCTTTCTGGTGAGATACGCAACATGATCTACGGTTACGTGTTCGACGATGTCTACGTCAATATCAAAATGGACATGATGGGCCAGACCTGGTGTTGGGCAGAGCTTGGCGTCATCATCAAGGGACATGAAGGCAAGTATTTGGACCTTCTCAGGTCCTGTCGCACGATATATGCCGAAACACGACTCATGCCTTTCGCTGGCGGTCTTCTCTGCTATGATGATCAAAAACCCAAATACGCTGAGATGTCTCGATTCGTAACCATGCTTCCTATCCAGCGGGATGCCATTTCCATGGTGGTAATATATTACGACGAGCCAACCCTGAGGAATGAGAATGACAAGGCGTTGGCATTCCTCGAAAAACATGCGAAATCTTTACCTGGGCTCAAGCGGATCGTTGTGAATTTGTTGGAGCCGAATTTCACGGACGAAGGTCTGGATACGGACAGGATAAGAGAGGTTGGCGAAGAGGCAGTCGGTCTGGTCCGCGAGGTCGTGGGCGACTCCTTCCAGATCCGATACCGATGTTTATTCTCTTGTTTTGAGAGTGATTTTTGAGAGTGATATAGCTTGGCATGATGACAGATAGGATGGATAAAAGTCTCAACACGCATCTGTGTTTGCGGCTGTAAAGTCCACGGACGACCAAAGAGGGACAGAAAAGAGAAGGCCTGCTCTACCTCGGGCAGAATCGATGAGTTCAAGGATGGTCCATGAGCGCGTTTTTCCCATAGCTGGCTTGATTTACGAGGAACACAAGTCAGCTTGTTCTGTCATCACGATTCATGGATGAAAAGAAATGCATTTGGTATCTATAATTTTCGCACTCATGCAAACAGCAGTACTCATGCCCTCGTGTGTCCCATCAGCCATTTCCATCATGGCGACTCAGCTTTTGCCCCCTAACGCCTTTCACGCTCAGTCATAATTCATGCATACGCCATCTCTCTTTTCTTGCACCCGTTCAAACACTGCCATTACCATTGCTAGCAAGCGCGTTGGTAATCTTAGGCCCAACAACCGCCTTCTCCAGCGCTTGCAGCACATCAGCCACAAGATCGGCCTCGTCCTCAATACCGCAGCTAACGCGGACGAGATCGTCAAATACGCCCGCGGCCTCGCGTTGCTCGCGCGGGATGCCGCCGTGCGTCATCGCACTCGGCACCTCAACGAGGGACTCGATGCCGCCCAGCGACTCAGCAAGCGTGTAGATCTTGGTAGCCTGGCAAAATCGCTCTGCCGCCTCGTGGCCGCCACGGATGCGGAACGAGAGCATGCCGCCGCCCATGCCATCGCGGTGCTGCTTCTGTGTCACAGCGTATTGCGGGTGCGAGGGAAGGCCGGGGTAATTGACTGCGATGATGTTCGGGGAGTTCTTGAGCGCGTTTGCGACGCCGGTCGCGTTCTTGGTGGCTTCGCGCGCGCGGAGATGCAGGGTCTTGAGACCGCGGTGGGCGAGCCAGCAGTCGAATGCTGAGGGGACGGCACCGAGGGCATTCTGGAGGAAGGAGAGGCGGTCGTAGACGTCTTGCGAGTTGAATGCCGCGGCGCCCATAACCACATCGGAGTGGCCGTTGATGTACTTTGTCACGGAGTGTACCACGATGTCTGCGCCATGGTCGAGCGGGTTCTGCACATAGGGCGAGAGGAAGGTGTTGTCCACCACCACAAGAATGCCATGCTGATGCGCGATTGTGGCGACCTTCCTAATGTCCACAAGCGTCAGGGTGGGGTTGGAGGGTGACTCGATCCAAATCAATTTCGTCTCGGGGGTGATGAGCTGGGCGATGTCGATTTCGATGCTGGGACTGAAGGTGACTTTGACGTCGTGGGTGAGCGCGACCTTGGTGAAGTAGCGGTGCGTGCCACCGTAGACATCTGAGACTGAAATAACGTGGGAGCCAGCGGCGAGAGACTGGAGGATGTTCGCTGTGGTCGCAGAGCCGGAAGAAAAGGCGAGGGCAAAACGAGCATGTTCAAGAGCGGCAATCGCACGTTCGAAGTTGTCCCTGACTTTAGTGTCAGCCTTCGCAGCTCAAGAAGTTCAATATTCAAAGCATACCTGTTCGGATTCGAAGATCTTGAGTACTCATACTGACCAACTGGCTTTCCTACGCTGGTCTGCGCAAATGTGGTGGAAAGTGAGATCTGCTGAGATTAGCGAATGTCGCAATATTCTATATCGGGGACAGTAGATCTGGAGTTCGTATTCTAAGCGTAGCGAACCGGATCAATCACGTGAATGTTCCTATCGTCCGCGTACAGAAATTGACACCAATCTTGCTGCCCAAGGTGTACGCACCGGCTCAATGACTGCGCCCGTCACTGGATCATGCGGACTCCCAGCATGTACGGCCAAAGTTCCAAACCTGTGCACGGGAGAGGGTGCCCGCGGTGGAGTTTCGATCGGGTGTTCGGCAAGCGTCATGATTACGGTGATCGTCTCTGGGGTTGCTGATTGCTTCGAAATGCTCAAGAAAAACTCAACAAGGAGTTGAGTTCACGACGTACAGTATATCAGAAAAGTACGAGCTCGGCGTAGATACTGACGTCTATCGATAAGTAGTCGGAGCGCTAGTATCTTCGGACCGTTCCCTTTGTTGCGACGATGGCGCGAATCTACGACGGCGTGCTCGTTGATGCTGGAGAAGCGGGAACGTACGGAGTATGACTCCATGACGCTGGCTTTTAACGCCTCTTATATAAGACTTCGTATGGGCGTACGGCATCTGTGCGGCCTGAATGTGTAATGGTATGCTGAGCAATTCCATAGAGGATGCGCTGCACGGTTTCGCCGTCTTGCCGCAGACCCATCGGAGCTTAGCTCGGATGGTGCCATTTAATTCTCCGACGCCTTGCAGCGGCTTTGGTGATCAACGGCTCGTTGCGCCGAGGCACAAGCGCCCTTCGAGAAGCCTCTCTTGTCTCGTTTGGTATTGGTGCTATCGTGTGTAATGGAGTTACATGGCACGGCATCTTTGCTGTTGTGAGCGGCTTACAAAACAATGCACAGAGAGAGCTTCGGTGATCATTGGAACAGTCATTACTTCCTAACTTCTGTAGCTACAATGGAATCATGATGGTGCCGAAAGTCTCTGTCTATAGTATGCTCTCTAAAAACGTAGTGTGGTATCTTAACACACCGACTACGCCGACTACACCGACAATGCTTGCGTCTTCACGGCCCGGGCATGCATGTGCTTTTATACCCAAGATGTTTTGCAAATCCGAAGTGTTTGCGCCTTCCTGAATGAGATTTCAGTGCATTTCACTCCGGCGCCGGCTTCTTTGCTGGCTCCTCACTGCGACTCTTGACCCTAGTCCAGCCGTTTACTCCCCTCTTGCGCTCATCGCCCGCCTCAGCTTCCGCGATAGTTGACAGATTCTCCACGATGCTCTTTCCATCACCTTCGCGATGTCGCTTTCCAACCATGACCGGATCATCTTTGATTGCGTTCTCCATGTCTGCCCACTCTTTCGGGTCCAGGTTATCCCAGTCCTTGGTCTGTTCCTCCGCGTACAAGAAGCTTTTCAGCTGGTCGTTCAGCTTCCACGGAGTTACTTTCCAATCTCCAAGTCGATCTACGTTCTCACCATCAAGAGCGAATGAATGGGACGTTGAGCAGGAGACTTCGCCAAGTCCTACAGGCGTCTTTTTCGATGCATTCGAGCTGGACTTCGACTGTGGTATATCTTTGTCAAGTGGATTTTCCGGGCGTTGAGGATTCCAAGTCACTCGTTGCTTGAGTAAACGGTGAAGGTTTTTGCCCATATCGCACGCACCCTCCCATGTCGCAATCTCATCTTTCATACCCTGTGATCGACAAAGCCAGGCGACATTGTAGCCAAGATGAGCGACGGCTTCTATGAAAGTTGCATAGGCCGCTTTATCTTCTTCGCGCAGGTGAGGGAGCGACCGATCAAGATAGAGCACCATGGCCCTCGGCATAGGTGCACCATCTAAAGTACGAGAGGCTTCCGGGCTGTTGCTGGACGAGTGTGACGGGGTCAGGCCTGGAAAAGGAGCTTTCTTGCCTTCCCATGATTCCTCAGGGCTGGTTATGGTGGGATGTGGATAGTCTTTGTGCGGAAGTGTGATTTCGGACGGCAGACGGAGACCGAGATAGGCCGTGACGCGGATGAGGAGTTGCGTGACAGCAAGTAGAGATGCTGAAACTTCATCCGGCGGAGCGTCTGAGCGAAGTCAGTAGACAGTCTTGGAATAGTATCACAATGTAGCTTAGCCTTACCGTTGAGCTCCAGCAAGTCCCAGATCCTAACATGTCTACCTGATTTTGATAACGTTCGATGTCGATCTATATCAGGGCCCATGTAGAATGTCTCCTTGATCTCACCGTCCTTCGTTCTACGCTTTATCGACTTCAGCCCCGCAATATCAGCCGCCGAGTTGACAAGATAGGATCGCATTTCCATCGTGGATGCGTGAACCTTGTCGGACTCATATCCCAGGCGCTTGATACTCTGCTGTATCTTGTCACGTTCGTTGGCTCGGCGCACGTCTACGTCGTGAGTGGCGGAAGAGATATCAGATCTTCGTAAGGCCGTCTGCCGGCGCTTTTCCGCAAGCTTCTTCCGTGCATCATCAATCTGCCGTCGAAGCAGCTCAGCCTGCTCGTTGATCAAAGCGGTTCGCTCTTCGATTTCCGCGGTTTCAGCTCGGGTTCGCTGTATCTCGATGTGGTTGGTGCATTCTTGACGGTCCACGAGCAAGCCGCCCTTCGAGTCCTGAAGCGAAACGTACCTAGAGGTGGCCACCCGTTAGCATCATACACCAACTGTGGGAAGCTCGAGACGCGCTGCTTAGATACAGTAGCGCAAGGGATGTCTACTTACTGGCTCTCTTTGTCTTCCAAACCCTCAACAACGGCTCTGACATGCTTCGCATATGTGTCGCCAACAACCAGTTCCTGTGCGAGTTCGCCGCGGGCTTTCTCTAGGAAGGTGCGGGCACAAGTAACACAGTGCAGTGCACCCTCCCTGCCACAGATATCACACTCCATGGTGTTGTGTTTTATGTTATGTTCCCACCTCTCGATCTCTCGGGTTCTTGTGGGTCCGGTACGCAGTTGAGGATCATGTTGAGCGGGTACGCGCCGTAGGAGGTACTATATAGGCAGACAGGTCGCCTCAGGAATGCGCTAATCTGGATGGTGTTTGTTGAGGCCAACGCGCGGAGCCAACATGAGGCTCAGAAAGATGTAGAGTCCAAGGTGGTGAATGTCGGAAAGGCACCGGAAGACGACGAGATGTCAGGCACCCGCGAGGTGTGACGCAACTGGACGCACCTGCCCGCTACACATCGCGCTAAGTGCTTACAGCATAGCGTCACACGTGAACCATTCCAGGTCGCTCCTACTCATTCACGATTTCTCTGTGAGTAGAATATTTCACTTAGCCGACGCTTCAAAGATGTACAACGCGTCACAAGCATCTGTCTACTCAGAAGGTTGACTACCGTAAACGGCACACCGACCAATGCTACCTCTAGAATCTGAGTCCTCCATCCCACTACCAGGCGTGCAACAACACTCTCCCTTCTTCACCTCCGTCATTTCCGTCCTCTGATTTCAGCTTCCTGTTCGATATGCCAGATGCAAAAGGTGACGAAACTCTCGAGGCCAAGCCGGCTGAAAACGCGCATACCGCAGAAGAGACGCGTGCCCCCAGCATACCCAAGGGCTCTACTGAAGAGGCACGCCCGCCTTCCGCCCAACACGCTCAGCAAACTCCAGAAGTAGACAACCTCGAGTCCAGCGACATTGAAGAGGAAGAGAGTGACGTCGATCCTGCAGATGAAATTGAGGCTTTCGACTGGGATGAGCTTCACGAGCGCTACCACCGGGCCATAGGCACCGCGACGGAGCAAGAACAGGAGTTGCTGCACGAGTTCGCTCAGCTTATGGATGTACCGTAGACACAGACTTGCAAGACTATCCAAGGAGCTAACAACGACCGTAGTTCTTCAAGGTCTGGGCCGACGCTGGCGCCAACCAAGAGTCTGATCGCACTTTCCTTCGGTATGCAAACGCTCCGTTACTTGTGGCTTCTAGATCCGTGAAGCTTACAATCACCCTAGCCTCCGCACACGCATGACCTATGTTCAGAACTCCGAGCAGAAGCTAGAAAAAACGCGGCAACACTGTAAGGTCCTGATGCAGCCTTCTCTGTGCATGATTTAACGTGAGCAGACGTCGGGGTCGTTCAAGCATTCGAGAGTGCGCTTGATCTCCTTCGAAGCTCTGGCTTTGGCGGTTGATGCTCATCAACCCAGGAGCCATTTTCCTCAATCATCAATCGACTTTCCGATCAGACCCGACGAGCAACGCTTCGCAGGGACGATCATTGTTGGCATCCCCACATTCGGCGCGAGCACGCGTAATGAGGGAGGCCTCGCCCTTGAATTGTGGGAGGCATCTTATGCGATGCAACATCATGTAGGGAAATGCTGGGCCTGCCCAGCCCGATATCGGAGATGCTTCGGGACATGTCTTCGGATCGAATACAGATACCCGAACACATATCGAATGCAGATCAGATTAGCATAATCTAAAACATATGACCCATCACTTTTAGTACAAGCGTAGTGACGCGATTCACGACCAGCAGCGAGGAACCCGAACTTCATTCGCATCGTCCCATTGATTGCTCTACTTTCACCCATGTCTATCCCATATGTCACCAATGTCGGCGAGCCGTCAACGCAAGGCTGCAGCCATATAAGCTAAAAACCATCTATCTTCGCACCAATATAGAAAACATATTCACAAACCACCACATGTGATGCCGATGCAAGCTAACGGAGTAGTTGAGTGTTGAGGGCGAGCGGAAACATGCACGCTGAGATGCAGGACGTAATGCAGAGATTGTCTACAAGAGCGGGTTGGAGCGGTACTCGGGGACGACGCCGTTGGTCTGCGACTTCTCGGCCTGGTTCTCGGTCTCGAGCTCGTTGTCGACCGAGTCATCTTGCTCGGCGAGCCACTTTTCGGCTTCGAGGGCGGCGATGCAGCCGGAGCCTAGTTTCGAATTAGCCAACATCCATGTAGTTTCCGATTTCATAGAGTAGTAACTGACCTGCGCTCGTGATAGCTTGCCTATATCGCTTGTCCTGGACATCGCCGGCCGCGAAAACACCCTCTACACTAGTGGTACAGCGTCCAGGCTCAGTGATCAGATAGCCGTCCTCGTCCATATCAAGTTGGTCCTTGAAGAGTGCAGTCGCAGGATCGTGGCCAACGGCGTAGAACAATCCCTTGGCTTCGATGGTCTGCTCCTCTTTGGTGACGTTGTTCTTGATGACGAGCTGCGTCATGAGACCATTCTTTTTCTCCTCGCCCTGGATCTCCACCCCGCTGGTGTTGTACTTGATGTCGATCTTCGGGTGCGTTGTCAGTCGTCGCGCGTTGGTCCTGCTCGCCCGCAGCTTGTCTCTTCGCACCAACACGGTGACCTTCTTCGCCTTCTTGGTGAGGTAAAGTGCCTCCTCTACCGCAGAGTCACCACCGCCGATAACGACGAGAGGTTGGTCGCGGAACATAGGCAAGGAGCCGTCGCAGACTGCGCAGGCGGACACGCCATTGCCCCAGAATTTTGACTCGCCAGGGAGGTCCAGTCTGCGAGCCTTTGCGCCGGTTGCGATGATGAGGGGAATCGGCCGTGTGCTCCTCCTCTTCGATTTCCTCATCGTCACCCATAGGGTGTAACCAGTACTTGAAGGGTTTCGCCTTGAGGTCGACTTTCGCAACGGTTTGGGAGATGATCTCGGTGCCGCAGGCTTCGGACTGCTCGCGCATTTGGTCCTGGGTTATGTCAGCGGGGTAACTCTAAAGTCGCACGGCAACAATACACACCATGAGCTTCCCACCCTGGATCATCTTGAAGCCAGGGAAGTTCTCTACTTCATCGGTGGTGGTCAATTGACCACCAGCTGCAATTCCGAGCGCGAGGAAGCCCTCGTACATGACGGCTGGTGCATGTTAGCAGGTTTCATAAAGCATAGTTGGGCTAGAATTACGCTTTAGGTCGGCTCGCGCAGCATAGATGGCTGCAGTGTGGCCCGCAGGGCCCGAGCTACATGCAAGTCAGCAATGGCGCCTGTACAATATCATCCTGACTGGGTTGTAGTGGGGCACGCGAGAGCGCGGAAGTGAGAACGAGACAACGAGGCGCGTCGGACTTACCCAATGACTGCAAATCGCGTTAGCAAAGCTCAGGTATTGTGCACAAGGGTAAAACTTACTGACTACTCTCGAATGCATCCTCCGCACGTCTACCTGAGTTGTTGAGCTCTGCTTTGAAGCAGAAGATAGCCCCGCGGTGGGTGTCGCGCGCTGGTTCGACGCGGCGGCGGCGATGGGCACGGAGAAGAGGTTTAGGAAACGGGTAGAGGTCGCGCGGCGGAAAGCGGAGGCGAACACTTTGGCGGTCGTGGTGTTTTCGGCGCGGGCGTATGGGAGTGAGAAGGTCTCGGCCTTTAGATGTAGGCTTGCAAGCGGCGTTGGCGGCGGCGCAAAGGCTTAAGAAGGACGACTGGCGCAGAAAGCACTGGAACAAGATATTTCAGCGGGAGCTATGCTATCGGCGAAGTTCTGGTCGAGATTCGGATGTGTGATTTCGGATGACAGGTCGTCTGGCGGAGGGGCGCAACGACTGGGTCTTAATACCGATTGATTAATATAGCGTGTGCCGGCGAGATGGTATGACGGAAGAGTAATAGAATCTCCTCACACACAGGTACTTCTAGAGGTACAGCGCAAGCACGGAGTGTAGATGATGGCAGAAGTTGAAAATGTGCTAAGCTAGAGCGCGACCGGAGTCGGGCAGGGCAGGGCCGCACGCGATTGCGATTTGCGAGCAAGTCCAGGGTTCATCAGATTTCTAAGACCTTGCAGCCGAGACTCACCACCCGGCCCACAGCAACCCACCACCGGCCGCGTCGCCTGCCTTGCTGCGGATAACGTTTGCAATGTGTACTCGCCTGTTGCGGCTGTTTGAAAAGCTACGGACATCATGTGTCACGCCGCGGACACCGCAATGACTGCTCAGACTTCGTAACGACATCTAGAGTCTTACAAAGACAAAATGCGCACGTCCTGCGTCATGCCTCGGCAGACCGATCCTCGCCGCATTGCCTAATCCTCCGCGCCTGGACGCTTCCTCAAGTTTTCAATGCCGTACAGGAGGTCTCGAAGTGCTTTTGCTTTGTCGTCGGCTGTACCTCGAATTTCTTCACCCGCAGTACTCAAATCCTGCTCTTCATCTGGGACGGTCTGGCCGAACCCTTCGAGCGCCTCTGCTAGGGTCCTGTCGTGCTCCCACTCTCCTGAGTTGTTGCGACACAGGTACTGTAGCCGTGACGTCCCCTACGATTGATTAGCTATGTTCGAACCAAAAAGTGCATGCTCTTGCTTACCGGCTCCTGGCGAACTTCTTGCGTGGAACCTGGCTTGTGCACATGATCGATCGAGACTGCCGCTGTGACACGGCCTCCATCCACTTCAATGAATGACAGATCGAGCACATTACCGTCTAAGGGCAGCACCTTTCCTGCTCCTGAAGAACCACCAAGCTTGAAGCTCAGGAGCGCTGGAACGCCCTCGCAGGCTACTAGGACCTCATCGACCTGTGATGCATTAAAATTTGTGTAGCGAATGAAGACGTGGAGCTGCACACCTCTTGCGCACTATTTGGAACCGACCATATGCGAGATACAGCAACCTTGAAGTCCGTAGCTCCAGCTTGAAATGGGTGTCCTTTGTAGTGCTCGAGTATGGGTCCTTGGAGAGGTAGCTTTTCTAAAAGGCGGAATGACAGCCAGTCCCAGACGTACAGGTACGGGCCTCCACCACCGGAGACTAGACGTCCTGCTTTTGCGAAGCAGACGCGGCTGACGAACTCCTCGTGGCCCTGGCAGAATCCTTCAATAATGTGGGCCTGCGGTATTCCACGAGACACACGAATATGCTCGTCTCGATCTGCAGTGAGTATGTAGCTACGAGAGCCAACCTTGGTACATGCGATGTCTGTGAGCATAGAGACGTGGCCTATTATAAGTTGATGCTTGAACTTTGGCGTTTCTTTCACCTGCTTTTTTCCTTTCTCGGCTTGTTTCAGCTGTTCTTCTAAGGCTTTGCGGTTCCTCCCAGAGTGCACTGTGAGAACACTGGCAGAGGGTGCGAACTTCTTCTGCTCGTCGTTAGGCTCTAAGATAACCCCCTGTTCGTCTTCAGGAGATGGCAATAGAGGCAGAGAATAAACATCCCCGAACTTGTCCGCGCACAGAATTGTAGTATCATCTGCGGTCAATGTAATCGAGGAAGGGCGTTTCGCCATGCATCTGGGAGAGTCAGTTGTCTGGCACTGCTAGAGGCAATGTGCCCACCTACCTCTGACTCAATTGCTCCAAACGGCATTGATCATCAATCTGAAAGACTCGAATACACTTGTCCTCCGCAGTCACCGCAACAAGATGTTGGCCGTCTTGTGTGGTCTTCAAATGTGATATATTTGGTTTGGGTTCTGTCACGGGCGTGAGTTTGACCCGTTTTCCAGGCGGGCCTTCGTGTTCACCCTCAAGGGCAGGTTCCTGACTGGTTTAGTTCCCAGAGTTGACTTTAAAGATGTAAAATGAAACTAGGAATACAAAAACTTTATGGAGACGCTCATAACGCACCTTCACTTCAGGCGTGGGAATTTCCGGGCTCCAATGTGATGCAGCGCCAGTAGAAGATTGCACTACGAGTTCCGAGCCAGTCGCACCGAAGAGCAGCCACCCATTACCAACAGCCGCAGATCGCGTACACGCCGCAAGGCATTGGTATGGTAACGTCATTTTCGTTAATCCTCTACAGTCACCAACGGTGCTCGAAGAAGTTCTCAGATATCAGTCTAGCTGCATGCAGCGTTAGGGCCCTCGCCTAGATGCACGGGCCTCGCTCCCACGCCGATTTTTGTTTCCTCACTCGCGACTTCCTTCGACCTCATCAAACCACGAAATCGCAATAAGTCCTTAAAGATCCTATTGTGTCAACTCGATCATAATGGGGGGCAAGAAAGAAAACAAGGTCGCTTACTTCGAAAAGCTCAAGGACCTCCTCGAGGAATACAAGAGCATCTTCATCGTCACCGTCGACAATGTCTCTTCCCAGCAGATGCACGAGATCCGCCAGTCGCTCCGTGGCGAGGGTGTCGTCCTTATGGGCAAGAACACCATGGTCCGCCGCGCTCTGAAGGGCTTCATCAACGACTTCCCCGAGTACGAGCGTCTCCTCCCGCACGTCAAGGGTCCGTATTCTCCGCAAGTCTATTTGCGCGCTTCCGCAACTAACGCATTGCAGGCAACGTTGGCTTCGTCTTCACCAACTGCGACCTCAAGGAGATCCGTGAGAAGATCCTCTCCAACCGTGTCGCCGCCCCCGCCCGTGCCGGTGCCCTCGCTCCCGGTGATGTCTTCGTTCCTGCCGGAAACACGTAAGGATAATGTCCCGAAGCGCACAATGTAGATACTGACATCGCGTAGCGGTATGGAGCCCGGTAAGACCTCTTTCTTCCAGGCCCTCGGTGTCCCCACCAAGATTGCCCGTGGTACCATCGAAATTACCACCGACCTCAAGCTCATTGAGGCTGGTAACAAGGTCGGTGCCTCCGAGGCTACCCTCCTTAACTTGTTGAACATCTCTCCCTTCACCTACGGTATGGGTATTTCGCAGATCTACGACAACGGCCAGACTTTCGATAGCTCCGTCTTGGACATTGAGGAGTCCCAGCTGCTCAAGGCTTTCTCTTCTGCCATCAGCACCATTGCCTCTATCTCCCTGGCTGTCAACTACCCCACTCTGCCCTCCGTCATGCACTCCGTTGTCAACTCCTACAAGAAGGTCATCTCTGTTGCCATTGAGACCGAGTACGAGTGGGAGGAGATCAAGGAGCTCAAGGACCGCATTGCCAACCCTGACGCATACGCCGCCGCTGCCCCTGCCGCTGGCGGTGCCGCCGGTGGTGACGATGCCGCCCCGGCCGCCGAGGAGAAGAAGGAGGAGGAAGATGAGGAGGACTCTGACGCTGACATGGGCTTCGGCCTGTTCGACTAAGCTATCGCTTTCGACGATGGCGCTGCTTGATAGATACCAACGTGACCACTGCATGTGGCATACGGCTTTATGAGCTAGGACAGTCAACGATAACATGAAAAGATGAAACCTCGAAGTAGCAGTCTAGCATTGGGTGGTGCTTACAATCACAGGCACAGCGATACATCACTCCGTCCAATGTAAGCATATCTCCCTTTCTTCTGCTCCATTCGCGATGATTATACATTTTTAACCCTGAGATCTTCCGATGAAGATTAAAAAACGCAACACTCTAATTTTTTCATGAGCCCTTTGTCATACTTTATTTCACGAGAAGCCTCTACCATTTCAAAGCTAACAATGGTTTCAGATATCAACACCGCCCTATGCCCCGCATACCTTAACTTTCCAACACCATGCTTTGCCTTATGCTCTTGAGCCAGTCCCCTTTCCGATGTCTATCCTGACCCATAATATCTTCACCGAAGGTTTTCCGCCCAAACTCCTACACACGCTCTCACTCTGCACATTCCCCAGATAAACGTCCGCGTGTGCCCAAGCATCCCCTACCTCGTCAACAGCAAGCCCAGGCGCATGCTCCATGAAAATCTTCACGGCCACTGCTTTGGCAATACCCTTCCCTCTCCACTCAGGCTCCGTGTGCAGCGTTGTCAGTGACCCGTCCAATCCTAGAAATGTCCATGCCACGGGTCTATCCGTAGATCTTTCAAAAACACCCACACTTTTCAGACTCATCAATGTTCGCGTTGTCCGCGGTATGGACGTGCGTGTCTGCACAATTGCCATATCCGTTTCGCGCATCTCGCCCCAGCGCAGTTCCTCGGGCAAGTCTTTCGTACGTGGTAAATCAGATACTTTGAACCAGAATTTATTCAATTCCGCTTCAGGCCCTGGGAACTCTTTACACAGTATGCCCGCTTCCGCCAACACTTTGACAACTTGCTGGTGGCAGGCACCCAGCGTGACGACAGTCGGAATGAGCAGATGTCGCATGTACAGCCCCGGGCCTGGTGGATATTTTGCATCTGGTCCTCGTTGCGGAAACTCTTGCTCATGCTGCCTTGCCAGCTCGAGCGCAGGCTCGCTCTCCGGGTGCAAAGGCGGAATCGGTAGACGACTCATATAGTCTATCAACGACAACACTGCTTTTCTACACTCCGGGCAGAATTCTTGGTCTCCCTTCTTCTGATCTGGTGACGTATAGTGCTCGGGAATCTCTCCAGTAGTGAAGATCCAGAGTTCTGTTTCGGGGCGCATGGACCGGTCGAAGTAAGCTGCGGCCCAGCATCGTGGTAGATTTTCGGTGGTGGTGTTGGGAGGGAAGGAAGCAAGTACGTGAGCATCTTTCGTGCGGTTCGGGTGTTTGGTGCGGTAGGAGAGGCTTATGCTGTGGGGAAGGGTGGATTTTAGAGCAGCTTGGAGGGTGGAGGATGCGGGGTGTTCGTAGACTTGCATCTTGTGTTCGACTGGATCTAGTCAAGCGAAGTCATGTACCGATACTGATTCTTTAGAAGAAAACAGAAATCGAAAAGACCTGAGAATTCGACGATATGTTGTTGAGTCACGTTGCAAAGCTCTTTCCTATTTGAGTTTAGGAAGGTGAGATGACTAATGATCACTTGTCTTCTGTGTGCTGTCTCTCTTCCGCTTCATCTTTCACATTGGGAGGTGACATTGCCTCCCGTTCTTTCATGTATGCTTTACCCGTTGCTTGCAGGGTATAACTAATTAATATACTCAACGCTGTTCTTCATGAGTGCAGATGTGACCGGACCAACCTTATCATCACCGGGGGATGACTTGAATCTCGGTGACGATCCCAACGGAATAAGATATATACACCACCGCTAAAGCTTCAATTGAAAGCAGCTAAACAGGTTTGTGAGCACAGGTCTTGAATGACGGGCCACAGGTAGCAATGCATCGTCGACGTGAAAGTTTCACACAATATCGTGAGGACCATATACGACGACTTCGTAGCCATTGCTTCCATCAAATGGTGCTAGACTACGGAAAAGGAACCGATGATAGTATCCCATGCGCTATCTCATGGCAGCTTGGCCTCGGGTCGTCAGCCTACTGGCCGGTCAATTCGTGGGTTTTCAGTGCCGCCGCCTACCTAAAAAGCTCAGCTACTTGGGTTGTTCTTACGGTTTCAGAGTCCTAGAAGAAGCAAGCTAAACATGGGTTCCTGGCCGTCTTACCCTCGAGGGGGCTTGTATGTCAGGTTGTTCATTTGCTCGCTCTCATCTTGGCGCTGCACCTCGAACCCTGCGCTGAGTATGCCTGCTAGTAGACATCTGACAGGTTGAGGCTGAACAGAACGGCATCATTTCCCTACTCGGGTCCAGGCAGGTTTTACTTAGGCAACGTGCCTGTTTTGCGCCAAAGCGTTGAGTGTAGCTTCCGGACATCTATCACGCCATCCGTTCGTATTCTCGCATGTGAGCTGAAACCTTTCACACCACACGACAGGTTCAAACGGAATTCGATGTTACTCTGCGGCACCGCCTTTAGCGTTTGTTCGGGTGCAGGATAACTATGGTAGCGCAGGGCCCACTAGCCACAAGATCTCCGTCATGGATCCCCGCAACCCGTCAATTTCCCCGCTGCATTCCTGATCGACCACTTCCACTTCATGTGGCTGGTAGGAAACGCAGTATGTACTACAATAATTGGTGCTATGTACCAAACAGTTTCAAACTCAACACGGACTTGCTGGACATCTTTCAATTACGTTTCCCTAACATCACATGATTCATACACCAATACCTCAATGCATCCGCGTGCTTGTCTTGAAGAGGCTGGTCAACTGCACGCAATCTTAGGTCATGCAGGGCTATCTATGAAAAACGCATACGGTGATTGGCCACGTCAGCACTTGAGAAGCATCGCCTGACGACTACCACCAATCACAACCTTGTCCATACCTCCGGCGTCGCCCACAGCAATTCTCCTACCACCCCAAATGAGTACAAACGAATACACAATCGGAGCTCGGAGCGCGACGCTCTTTCGGATCCCCGATGAGCCCGCTGGTAACACCATAGACTATGAGGTCCCCTTAATAGGCTGCCTTGTTCACGCGAGCCAGGCTTGCAAACGCTCTTATAGTTCTTCGCGAAGGAGAAAAAGGTCTATACACTCGCTGATACTGAGCAAGGTCGGGAAACATGGCACAGCCAGGCGCCCCCTTGTTGCCTTCATGGTTTAAACCATCACTTCTTCCGCTTGCGCTTGTAGTCGCCGTCGTGCTGAGAGTACGTATCTCGATTTCCATTGGACGGCTTGTACTTACTTATGCAGTTTGCCTACGTTGCTGCAACTTCCCCAACACGGAGTCTTCCAGGTCCGTGGCATACACGATTTACCCACCTGCGCCTCAAGCGCGCTGTCATGACTGGCCAGCGATCGTTCTACATCCACTCTTTACACGAGAAGTACGGACCCATGGTTCGTATCTCCCCAACGGAAGTCGCAGTAGCAGACCTCGACGCGTTTCGTGAGATCCACAAGATCGGTACCAAGTATCTCAAGAGCGAATGGTATCAGCAACTTGCAAATTTCCCGAAGGCAGGAATCTTCACTATGATCGACCCACGTGAACACGGCCCCAGAAGGAAGCTTTTGTCGCGTTCCTTCAGCCGGTCTTATCTTCTCGAGCATTGGGAATCGACTGTACGTGAAAAGGTTGTCCTTTGCGTCTCACAAATCAAGAAAGATGCTACTAAGGATGTTGCCGATGTGTACCACTGGTGGATGCTACTGGCTTCAGATGTCACTGCTCATCTCGCTTTTGGCGAATCCTTCAACATGTTGCAGACCGGCCAAGTATGTATTTCCAATGCAACGTGCATCAAGGAAGACTGACGTTATATCTAGGCCAACGAGTTCATACGGGTATTGAAGAAGCTCATCATGGCCGCTGGCATTATGGTTGAGGCCCCAATCCTTCGCCTCTTCCGTTTCGTTCCTATTCCCGCAGTCCAAGAGATTTTCAACTGCAATGAATACATCTTCAGAGGAGCCGACCGCGCCGTGGAACTCGCCCGCTCTCGCTCGGGCGAGAAGAACGTCTTTGCCAAAGTTATAGAAGACAGCGAGAAAGAAGGCGAAGGCACGATCGACGACATGGATGTCAGAATCGAAGCCAGTAATGTCATCATAGCCGGAACTGATACGACAGGTGTAACCATGACTTATCTCACCTGGGCTGTGCTTCAACGGCCAGGGCTGCAGAAGGCTCTGGAAGAGGAGGTTGCACAACTTCCTGAAAGATTCACAGAAAATGACCTCCTCGACCTCCCGCTTTTGAACGCGGTTATCGAGGAAACACACCGCTTGTACGGTGCTGCACCTAGTAGTTTGCCTCGTATTGTTCCGCAGGGCGGGAGCCAACTAGGAGGCTACTACATTCCGCAAGGGACGACAGTCAGCACGCAAGCATACACTTTCCATCGCGATGGCAAAATATGGTCCGACCCACTCACGTAAGTCTACTACCGCTTCATAATCATCTCCCCACCATCTCCTCCCGCCATACTAATACCCACCCAGCTTCAACCCCTACCGCTGGATCGCTTCCAAAGAGGGTGGGCCCGCGGAAGCCAATTCTCCTGATGCCAAACTTGCCTTCCACCCCTTCGGCGTGGGCGCCCGGTCGTGCGTTGGCATCCACCTCGCACGCATGGAACTGCGGTACGCAACTGCGTTCTTTTTCCGCGAGTGTAAGGGAATCAAGCTGGGTGCGAGGACGACACCCGAGACGATGGAGTTTGAGAATTTCTTTTTGGTGACACCGAAGAGTCATCGTTGTGAGATTACTTACAGGAAGGACCAGATGCTGGGGCAGTAGAACAATTAGGATCATTTCTTGGGGTTGGAAGGGTACTGCCACGATGCATGGGGAAAGGGGTTTGAGGGCCGTGCCTTAATAATTATATCCATTGATGAGGAATAGTGTGATTGATTGACTGTTTTCGTGCTATTTGTCTTCAAATGTTTGCACATGAAGGATGCTGCAACAATACATGTGGCGAACCGCGACAACAAGTTGAAAGTGATACAGTTTGGTACACTGTGTAATCTTAGGATGAGCCATGTAGTACACACCATTGTGACAGTCGTATATTGTGCGGCGAAGCCACGCCTTTACCGTCAACACCTGGACTGTATTGCCTCAAGCTAAGATCCCGTCGCGACCTGTGGAATGCCACCCTCAATCATTGGTCTGACATTGGAATAGAAATTTCGAGTACCTCTTTCTGTTTTCAAGAAGAAGTCGTCCGGAATCTGGCCAGGTGGCCGTGACAGCGTGGGAGCTTTGAGACAGGTTCTTGTAGCAACTAGTCTGTTAGGCTAATCTCCGCAGTGCCGGGCCACTACAGCAGCATCTACAGGATAATGAGAGCAGATGGATGAAGTCTTTGACAAAGTAATGGTGGCATCGGCACGAGGTTTGAGTGAAAGAACACGGCATGGCAGGAGCGGACGGGGGCGGCGCCAAGGTAAGTGGGCCCCTCCGGCCCGTTCGTGACGCCGACGGCTCAAGCTCTCCTCCGCAACTTGAGACTTCGAAGCGCGACGCATCGCGCGCCCGAACGTCAAAGACAACGCACGCAACGCAGCAGGGCCGCCTGTAACCGCCGCACGCCATGGACGAAGGCGTCGACGACCCCGCGCTCGCCAGCGCCTTTACCGTCGAAAGCCAGCGCCTGGAGTTCGACATCAGCTTCCGTCCGCGCCTTCTGAAAGCGAAGACGCAGATTACCATCCAACCGCAGTCGCCTAAGCTCAAAGAGATCCACCTGAGCTGTCGCCAGCTCAAACCGACCCGCGTGCGCCTATCAAGCCGCAACGTCCACCTCGAATACCATGACCAGTATGACCATCTGGGTCTGCCCCCGCAACACACCATCCACCAGTACCACTTCTTACGCAACCGCGTGGGGCGCCATGAGATCGGTGTCGAGGAGGAGCTGAAAGTGCCTCTGCCGCCGGACTTCAAGATTCCGACGCGGCGGATGCAGGGTTCGCAGGAAGTTGTCTGCGATCCGTTGGTGGTGGAGATCGAATACAAGTTGGACGACTTTCGCGATGGCCTGCATTTCGTCGGCACCGGCGAGGGCGACTCGCGCTATCCTCACGTATACACGCGCAACACAGGTTTCCCGGGCTTCGCTTCCTCCTTGTTCCCTTGTGTCGACGATGGAAACACACGAATACCCTTCGAGCTGTCCGTCCGATATCCACGTACTGTGGCAGATGCGCTTGGCAAGGGTCCCGCGTCCGACAGCCGACCCCAGACAAACGGCGCACAGAAGGCAGATAGCGTCTTAGACGGGTACGACGAGGATAATGAGTTGACCGAGGAGGAACGAGCGTTGGAGATGCGGGCTGTTTGCTCCGGTGAGCTGACTGATACTGTAAGGCCTCATCTTCTCGTACTGGCAGTCAAGCTAATGTTGATAGATTGTCGACCCTACAGATCCTACCCGAACTACGTCAAGCTTTCGGATAGACCCTATCACCGGAGGAGGTGTCCTCCCACAGCACGTGGGCATTACGATAGGCCCTTTTCAGGAGGTGGATCTTTCGCGATTTCGTACCGAGTCTGAAGGCGACCGTCTACAAGATCAAGCCGTCCGGGTGCACGCCTTCTGTTTGCCGGGGAGGGAGGACGAGCTCAGCAACAGCGCTATGATGATACCGAAGACGCTGGATAGCTTTGTCGACTGTTACCAGACATATCGACTGGGAAAGTCATATGAGCTTGTGTTCGTGGACGATCTGCCGCACGATACTGCCCATACCATGGCCCTCACCATCTGCAGCTCTCGATTGCTGTATCCAGAGAGCGTATGGGAACCACTAGAACATACTACACGGACTTTAGTGCACGCTGTGGCCAGCCAATGGATTGGCGTAGATGTTATCGCACAAGAACCCCGCGATCACTGGATCATAGCAGGCGCATCATGGTTCATGACGGAATATTACCTGCGTGATCTGTTTGGACGCAATGACCATCGATTCCGGCAAAAGGCAGCCATGGATAAGCTCTTGCGAATGGATGTGCGGAGGCCTTCATTGTATGAGCTAGGCCGGTACATTCATCTAGATCCTGGCGCACAAGAGTTCATGGATCTCAAAGCTTTGGCTGTTCTTTCTATACTCCATAACCGCCTTGTGAAGACGAGCGGAAAGAATGGTGTGGATCGATGCCTATACAGACTGTTGCTGAATAGAGCTGGTGGCTCCCTCAACAACGGTGCCATCTCTACGGACGCCTTCCTCTTACTATGTGAGAAGGTCGGCCACCAGAAGCTCGACAGCTTCTTCAAGCAATGGGTGTATCAAGCTGGCTATCCCATATTCGAATGCCATCCGACCTTCAACAAGAAGAGGCAGACTGTGAATTTGACTATCAGACAATCACAAAGTGGGCTAATACATGATGAACCGCTCAGCTCCTCTGCTTTTATGAGGGAAGCTAAGGAGCGAAGTCGATCATTCGTTCCCAGCTCAGATTTTCCTGCCTTTGTCGGGCCCATGACCATTCGGATACACGAAGCGGATGGAACACCATACGAGCACATCATCGAAATCAACTCATCGAACGTGAGGGCCGAGATTCCCTATAACACAAAGTACAAGCGCATCAAGCGTAACAAGCTCAACAAAGAACGACAAGCTCAGGCGCAAGGAGGTGATGCAACTGGGGAACAAGATGAAGTCACTATCTATTCCCTGGGTGATTTGTTCTTGAACTCAGAAGAAGTGGAAGAATGGAAAATCCAGGATTGGTCAACTGAAGACGAGCAGAAGATGGAGAATGAAGCGTACGAGTACATCCGCGTGGATGCGGACTTTGAATGGCTCGCGCGCATTTCGATCACCGACATGCCATCCTACATGTTTGTGTCGCAGCTGCAACAAGACAAGGATGTTGTTGCACAGGCGGAATCCATCCAGTACTTGGCTCGGAAACAAGGCCACGGCATCATCTCTAGTTTCCTTGTCAAGACGCTTATGGACGCCCGGTACTTCCATGGTATTCGAACGATGGCGGCTGAGGTCCTGGCGAACCAATTTCATGTCGATGGCCCGGTCGAGCTTATTGGGCTATACCATCTTAAAAAGGCTTTCCAAAAGCTTTTCTACGTTTCGAACTCAGATATGACACGACCCAACGATTTTACCGACCGAGCTCTATACAACGTTCAGTGTGCTATTCCTCGGGCTATTGCCAAGGTGAAGGGGCGTGACGGTAGAACGCCTGCAGAGGTTAAGCAGTTCCTGCTAGACATCATTCGCCACAACGACAATCGGGGCAACGAATACAGTGATGACTTTTATCTTGCCACGCTCATGCGGGGGCTAGCTGAATGTCTCGCCGATCCAATATTGGACGATTCTTCTATCGATTTCATGGCGCAATCAGTAGAGGTTGAGTTCAGGAAGAAGGCAATGGGCGAGATTGATCGCCACAAGCGCCTTGATGAATGGATTCCATCGTACAACAACGTGTTCACCACGACCGCACTTGATTGCGATGTTCGGTTAATGATGAACCGTCTGAAGCCGCTTAAAATTTCGGAATTCTTGTTCTACAGCCAAACGGGCAACGCAGAGAACGTCCGGTTGAAGGCATGGGAGTGTCTTGTTCGTCTTGGCGCATTTTGCACCAAGGACAACATCACGAAGTATTTGATCCATGAGCTCTATGCGGACCCGTCTCCGTACTTTAGAACTCAGCTGCTCCGGATAATGGGCTTAGCGATCGGCCAAATTGCAGTTGGCGACGCGATCATATTGAATGATTTGAGGAAGCGCGAGGCAAATGATGGTCTTGTCCTCGGTAACGAGGACGACGAAGGCCAAAGCCGTAAAGATAAACAAGATCGCGCTAAGCTGGACGGTGCCCTCCGTGCACTGAGGATTAGCTTGGGCAAGAATCTGGCCTTCAAAGAGGCACTAGAGGAAGCGCTCAAGGCTAATGGATCATCATTGCAGATCGTGTCTGAGCTGCTGGATATCTGCGACATGTTTGTTGACCAGATCAACAGAATGGTCGTGGTGTTGAAGTACCCGCGCTATTGGAAAGTGGCGCGTCTCGACCCTCCGCGAGCAAGCAAACTTCGCATGCACTTCTCTCGAGGAAATATTCGAACCAAAATGCTGCGCCCGCCCAAGCCTATTCCGCCGGCTGTGGTTGAAGAGGCAGCAAAGCCGCCGCCGAAGATAGCGATCAAGTTTGGCATTGGCAAGAGCACTACAGAGGATCAAGCACCAGATGGATTGCCCACGAGCGTCAAAACATCTCTTACGGCCCAATCACGTCCGGCGTCAGAATCTGCGCCGGGTACTCCGATACGAGTAACTACCCCAGCCGCATCACAGGACAACCGAAAGCTGCCTGTTGCTGAAGTGCAATCTTCAGTTACCTTGACCGGTACTCCAGACGGGTCGAAAGCATCCACGCCTGCGCCCTCGCAAGTACAAGCTCCTTCTCCAGCATCGACACAGGCTCCTGATATATCGACACCTATGGAAGGTGTCGAAATAACCTCAGTACCTGCCAAGCCCCGACCTCAGCCTCCGGTCAAAGCTTCGACTCCCGCTCCTGCACCCTCCCCAGCTCCAGCTACTGTCCCCGCACCGGCGTCTGCAAAACCCACACCTACCCCTACCCCCACACCCACCGCAGAAACGCCCAAGCCGCCAAAGCTCAAACTGAAGACCAAGAACCCGCTCAAGGCGCCCAAGCCATCTTCCTCCCTGCCCAAGGCGAAGAGCAAGCGCATCGTCCTCCGTCTCCCACCAGAGAAGCTAGCCACGCTCGGAAAGCGAAAGGCCCAGACGGACATCGATCCCCGGCCCGCGAAGCGCACGCCCACCGCGTCGCCGTACCTGAACGGCGGCACATCCACGCCCACTCGCAAACTAGTCACCGTGGAGAAGAAGACGGGCGAGCGGCCGCGCCTGCTGGTGAAGATGAAGGTGGGCAGTGCGAATTTGGCGCGTCTCGTGCGCTGAGTGAACCAAATTATGGCTTTGCACCTCTCCTTGTACTGTACATTTTACAGAGTTGCATTTTACGGCGTTTAGTGATTATCGCACGGTATCGATATGGGATAAATTTGTCGCTTTTTTTATGTAGGGGTGCATGGGAGGATTACGTGGCATTGTTTGCATCAGCGGTGGCGTTTGGGCTGGCGATTTATGGTGGGTCGATGGTGGATATACCCTTTTAGCTGACGACCGGGCAGAGTAGCTGCGCGGGAGTGTGATTGAGAATGAGTGTGGTATTCTATCGAGAATGAGTGTGGTGTTCTTGCTGTTCTGATGTGCGTGGAGGTGACTGTTTGGAAGTGAGTGTGACTGCGTGTTGTGCGTCGGTGTGCATGTTGGCAAGTGCGTGTCAGTGGAAGTGGAAGTGTGAGTGTTGGTCATAGTAAGAGCCTTAGGGTACTAATAGAGTAGCTATATTCTACGTAAAAGTAAGCTTAACGAATAAAAACCAAAAGAAGTCCCTTTCTGTCTCTCACGCTCGAGGGTCCGCTCTACTGTAGACAGTCACCAGGCTTGATCCTACCACGTTTGTCCTTGTAATGCAGATGACAACTACCCACGATTTCCTCCATCTTAGACCATGCGTCAGCCGGATATACAAGTTTTGCGCTGCATGTCAGCCCGGTTCCTTGGACCCTAGTTTGCTCGAGCAGGTTCTTGGGATGCTAAAATTCCAATCGGATTTCCTTGTTTTTGTGACTGGCGTCTCTGCGGGTGTGGGGGGTTGTCTGGTGCAGACATGCCGGAGTGTTCCCGGAAGGATGATTGAGCGCCGGCCCAGCACTCCAAGAGACAAGACAATAGATGGCAAAGTAGGGGAAGAATGCTAGTGTGATGCACGCGGGTATCTAGCACGCAAACGGTGGCGATGCGCTCCACAGCTCACAAAGAGCAACAGCAAGCGCGCCCAGACATTCTGGGTTCCCCACATCATGTGACTTGAGGCCATCCCGGTTCAGACGGCGCCGCGCCTGTGCGGGCCGCGCGTGCATGGCTGTCACTTGCGTCATAGATCATGTCCATCAGTGTTGTCAGTCATGTCGCGGAGCGCTGGCCGACATGTAAAGCCATCACAAGTGCTTGCGATGCCAACGTGACTACGTGGTCCCCGGGGCCGCAGCCGGACAGTATGCGTGTCCGGGTATCACCATGGGAGCAACTGGAAGAGTCCCTGCAGGACAAGGTACAGTAATTTGTGGGTGTACAAACAGCCCCTGTCCTGTCCTGCCTGGATGCGTCTGCCCCATGCTGGCAGCTGAGCCGCGCTGGCTGCTGTTGTGTACGTTTTTCCTATCCCGGCCTGCTCGCGACAGCACAGCCTCAACACCATCGGCGCCAGGACGCGCCGTCTCGCCTGGCAGCAGAGCGTTCAGGTGGTTGGGGGTGAAGAGCCAAGCGGCTCTGTAAGCGGCGCGGTCCCACCGCGTGCCGTGGTCGTATACAGTAACAGTCGCCCAAGCCAGCCTCGAAAGCTAGTTAGCTCCAATATTGCAGACCCATTCAAGGCTGAATACGTGAGCAAAGAAAGACACGGTTGCCGGCGCATCCGCAGCCGGCGCACTCGGGGCTCCAATGCGAAGGACGAGCAACAGGACGACGCGTAGCGCGAGCAGCCTTTCTTCTCCACAGCCCATGTCATCGTCGCCCACTCGTCAATGACGCCCGCCCAGAATTTCTGAGCTCCACTTGCTTGCTTGGTCCATGGTCCATAGCTCCGCGCTGCCCGGGAGCTCAACTGTCTACGTCCGCTCACCGCACACCGTCTCTCCAGACGCTGTCCTACACCTCCCTCTACCTCCCTTGCCGCTTCCTCTACAGCGCCCATTGCTGCTTCCACTCGCTTCCGCGCGCTTGCCATTGCATCGCATTCCTGCCCACGTGCCTCGGTTGCCCTGGCCTACCGCCTTCGTCCGCGTCCGCCGACCCAGAAACCCAGGAAGTGAAGACCACGCGCCTCAACCAAGCTTGGCTACCACGCCTGCGCATACGTCTGCCCTCCAGCGCGCTGCTCGTGCGGCCAGTTACCCCGAGCCACCATGGCCCGTCCAAAGAGAGGTGCGTGTGCCCCGCTGTCCTTCGTTTGCGAGCTGCCTTCACCTGCGACTGTCACTGACTGCTTGCAGTTCTCTCTTTCATGTCAGAATGGGGGTACGTACCTACATATAGCCGCGCGCCTCGCAGACCTGCCTTAGCTGACTCCATTCTTCCGCCGTTAGTGGCAATAGACTTCATCGGCGCAACACCTCGGCCGCCTCGATGCCTGCCTCTCCGGCGCCCGCATCTCCTACCGTCGCGACCGCACCGCCCAAAGAACCGAACGCGTCCTCATTCTCCGTTACATCCGCGAGCTTTGACAACCAAGAACACTCGCAGGCGCTCCCAGAGCAGCGGGCATCCTCCCGCCCAATGTCCATGATACAGACATACCAGCCGCCCGTCATGGAGGTCGGCCAGGACACTCTCCCAGAGCTGCAACGTATCTTCATGTTCCTAAACAGCCATTCCAATAAGCTGTACCAGGAAGGCTACTTCCTCAAGTTCCACGACACGGATACGCGTACGTCAATCTTTGTTATCATGCATGCTTGTGGAATTAACAGCTGCAGGCGGCCGCCCCGCTCCAGACCGTGTCTGGCAAGAGTGCTTTGCCCAACTGGCCGGCACCATTCTGTCTCTATGGGACGCGAGCGAACTAGACAAGGTCAATCCGGACCAGTCTACTAATGATGCAGAAGTGGTACCGACGTTTATCAACCTGACAGATGCTGCCATTTCCATGGTGCGTTAGAGAACACCCTTTGTTGCGAACTCCCACTGACCGTAGTAGATGCCCTCGATGACGCTCACGGACGACAAGAAACTCGACAACATCCTAAGCATATCTACCGCTGCGAGCAACAAGTACTTGTTTCACTTCAACTCCTTCAACTCGCTCACCCAGTGGACTGCTGGTATTCGACTCGCTGTGTACGAGCACACCTCGCTACAGGAGGCATACACCGGAGCACTCATCGCCGGTAAGGGGAAGCAACTAAACAACATCCGCACACTTTTGGACCGACAGCGTACAAAGTACGAAGACTGGGTGCGCGTGAGATTTGGCGCAGGAACGCCGTGGCGACGGTGCTGGTGTGTTGTAAGCCCACCAGACGAGAAGGAATTCGCCAAACTACAGAAAACAGAAAAGAAAAAGGACGTCTACAACCGAACCCCTACTACCCTTAAAGGCGACGTCAAATTTTACGACTCGAGAAAGGTCGGCAAGAAGACACGACCAATTGCAACAGTCACGGACGCCTATTCGTGCTATTCCATTTATCCGCAGTCAAAGCAACTCATTGATCAGTCAACTCTGGTCAAATTGGAGGGAAAGATTACCGTACACTCAAAGCCCGAGCAGACAACCGAGGGATTCGTTTTTGTCATGCCAGAATCACGCCCCGCAATCACTGGATTCGAGATCATGCTCCAATTCCTCTTCCCCGTCTTCGACACCTTCGCTTTGTACGGACGCCCAAACAAGCTCGTTGCAGATGTATTGGATTCTCGTGGTCTCATGTTTGCCATGCCACCAGACAGGCGCTACGGTTATTTGGAAATGTGGGACGTTGTATCTCTGATTCACACCGAGGGCAGTGACAGCTGGACGGAACGACAATGGCGCCGAGAGCTGAAGGATCTGACATCCAAACGTATGGCAACAATGCCTCGCACACGCAGCAGGGCTGGAACCGTGGGCACACGAAGGAACACGTTGCAAGGCCGGACGTACCTTCCACCTTCGCGCAGTGGAAGTGTGAGATTCGAGGAGCCAGGCTCCGTAAGTTCGCAACCTTCTACGCGCCAGCCATCTCCGACTTTGGTAGAAGGTGTCGAACCAGAGGCGCAGCGACGAGTCGACTCGGCACCGCCAACTGGCGCATTTGCGACCCCTCGTCATCAACGATCTGTATCAGAACAGGTCAACGGGTACAAACAGTCACCATCTCGTCTGGCACAACTCGAAAGCGTCAATGACTACAGCGCTATGGCTCCCTCTCTGTCAAACGGTCAGGTCAACGGTACATCCAGATCTGTTGATGAACCCGAGATCTCGGACCCTCCAAGCCCGGACTCAGCTGACTCGCCATTGGAACCTCGCGACCTTCCTCAAGTTCAAGTTGCACCCACTGCTCCGCCACAGGGTCCTGTAGCGTCTCCTCCTAGTTTCGCTCACGCTCCGGGCCAGAAGCCTCCCGTACATGTGCAGCACCCAGGCACGAAGCCTGATGCCCACATGGACCCAGCAACGTTGCATCAACTGGCTGACGCAACGAATACGCCTATACCCCCGGGAATCGCTGTCGCTGGTGCCGCTGCTGCATGGAAGGGTCAGGATGGCTCGAGTGGTTTGAGAAACGGTAATGCTGGAAACGAGATGTATCAAAATGACGATACCAATCATCTCTACGCCCAAGGTGCGTACAACAGCCATTCCGGTTATTCCGGTAACCGTCTTTCTACTATTCCTGCGTCACCATACGTCGAGCAAGATCAATTCGTAGGATCACCTGCCACGTACCAGCCTTCCGGCCCTCCTGTTCCTGAGCATGTTGAGCTACCGCAACAACAAGGTAACGACGACTATACTCAAAATGCATATCCTGGTAGCGGAGGGGGCCAACTTCAGCGCAAACCAGTACCAGGTCGGTCATTGCCCCTACGAGGGGACGACACCCGCTCAACTCGCTCAACAACAAGCTCAAATCTAGACAGTTTACGAAACGTTGTAATCGACCCCGAAGCTCTCGACCGCCTAGAGTACACCGACCCTGCGTTGTTGAGGCACGCAAGTCAGTCAAGCAGTCGCTATAGCCGTGATGATGCCATGTCTACATCCACGCCGGATTATGCTAGCACGATAAGCGAAGAAGCACAGCCCCAGCAGCCAAACAGGCGAATGCCAGATCGACCGCGAAGCGGTATGCTTAAGTTCGTGGGAAATCCCGATCTGAACCCCAAAACGGAGGTGGTGGTTGGTGATACGCACTACAAGCCAAGCGACAAGCCGCTTCAGGCGACATCGGACATTCCAACCATTGACTTTGGTCCTACATATCTCATGGACCCAAATGCCAAACGCCCCGGAACCAGTGGTACCATGACACAAGGTATGCATAATGGCACTTTCTCAGAGGCAAAGGAAAATCTAGCGCTATCTGGCGAGCAAAAACGGCAGTCATATACCGGAAGAACCACCCCAACCATGCACATGCGTACCACATCGGGCTCACCGCAGATCTTGGACAATCGTAGCGTGGCATGGTCACCCGGTATGGTGTCCCAGCCCCAATCAAACAGCCAGAAATTGGAGGCTGAGGATTGGGTAGCTCAACGTGCTGCCGTCCCTAACCAAACTATGACGCCTTCAGCAAACGCTCATTCTAGAAGCATGTCCCACACACCGCCTATAAGTCGAACGCAGTCGGGCGATTGGTCACATTACTTTGGCGCAGAGAACAGTCCTGCACGGTCACCAAGCCGTCCGCTCAGCCGACCTTTGTCAAGAGGTGCCGGTCAGCTACTTGAGCAGCGCCCAATGTCTACACTCATTGACCAACGTCCGACATCGCTTAGTGCTCGCGAACAAGAACAAGTCGCTAGGATCACAAATACACCTCTTCTCGACCTGTCCAAAAAGAACAAGAAGGAGCAGAAGCCGTCTTCTGCAGGTTTGACTGCATATATCGATTATAGGGAGAAAGAGAAGGCCGCCGCCAAGTCCAATCGTGGTACATCGGCGGCTATGCAGACTGAGATTGATCGACGTATGATGGCTGCGCAACAACGCCAGATGATGGAGATGCAGCATATGGGACAGCAAGCACAAATCGGTCAGCCAATGGCCATGACTCCAAGCGGCTATGCTACGCCAAACATGATGGCCACACCGCAAGGATACCCCCAAGCATACGCGTACTCGACGCCCCAGCAGATGCAGCAAATGTACCAACAGCAAGGTTACTTTCCCCAGCAGATGACTCCGATGCCAGGCCCGATGCCAGGCGGCTGGGGTACGCCGAGCCCGCAGTCGATGCCCCCGCAGTATTTCATGCAGCAGCCTCAGCAGCAGCAGCAGCAGTACCAGCAACAGCCTGCTACGCAGCCGTACGGCGCAAGCTTCGACCAGGCGCAGGCGGCGGCGCGATATGCGCACCAGCAGGGACAGCAAAGAAGGCAGTACTAATCGGAGCGAGAGAGGGCTTCAGACGGGATCGAAAGATTTACAATTAAACGAGGAACGATTTTACGAGTGAGATTCATGTTTTGATACGATTGCATAGTTTTTTTTTTTTTTTTTTTTTTTTTGGGGTTGGATTGGGGATTGGTTGGGGGAACAGGATTGTATGTTTTATTTAATGTGCATATGCATTCGCTTCTGGTGGCATAGTTTTACATGAGGAAAAGGGGTTTTTGTGCATTTTTGGTGTTTTGGGTGTATTAGGTGGGGATGTCATATGGAGAAAGGGGGATGGGATGGGAAGGAGAGGGAAGGAAGGAGAGGAAGCAGAGGAAGGAGAGGAGAGGAGAGAAACGGTAGATAGATAGATGTAATCACTGAATGGGAGGTGTTTGGGGTGGTGATTTGATGATTGTTTATTTATGTGTATATGTGTGTGGTATGTGATGCGTGTCTCTACTTGTGTGGCATGTCTTTTCTTTTCTGGGAAGTGTGCAGCTTGGTTGGTACTGAGCTGAGATGCTGGCTGGTGTTTTGGCCTGGTTTACCTACTAAATTTGGTTGGTGGGCGTGTGGGCGGGGAGGAATCATTCGGTCTTGTCTTGGATATACTCCGATGCGCTCGCTGAGAGGATGGCTGGCTGGTGGAGAGCGCGGAACAGGTTTGGTTTGGATGTTTTAGCTGGGCTTCCGGGAAAGTCGAGTGTTGTGATGATGAGCAACTTGCGAGGCTGTGATGTACTTTGTGGTGCGCTAGGCGGGGTTTCCATCCTGTGGGTGCGGTGCATGGGTGTCACCAGTGCTTGTGCGATTGTATCGTAGTCTTACCTGTGCTAGATTTGTTTCTGGGTCGCGGTAGATCGAAGGGGAAGGAATGGTTACCTCAAGTAATGGATAAGGAGGTCCGTGAGCATATCTATCCGATGTGTGAAAAGAACTTTGGAGTGAACGCTTCCGGCTGACGGGATTCTACGTTGATGCTGGCCAGTCGACCGCGCATATTTGGGAGGTGCGTGCTGGCTTGTCCAGTAATGCTGTGCACCCGTATTTGGTACTTCTGCAGCGTCAATGACGTTGGTTGGAAATTCTTAAACGGCCCGGATAGATATTAGTTGCACTATGCTGCACTCAATACGCCATGGCACTTTTGCTTTTATGTTTCAAGCCAAAGGCAGAATATTCAGCCATGATCAGAAGTTTAATTGTAATGTCAGATCGATATGCATATATCACCGCTAGAGACAACTTTTATAGCAATCGTAGCAGCCTAAAAAACGATTACTTGCGCTCTTGTGATTCGTGGGCCTGACAAAACACCAATTTTCGAGTATGGAGTATTTAGAAGTTGATACACCGCTTCATGGGTACGATCGTCTAGTAATAATCCATTGCAATAGTAGTCTCCCACTTGCTAAAAGCCGGGTGGGATCAGCTCATCACCTCTCATTACTCTCACAAACATGTCACGTGATCTCACGTGTGCAGGTGAAGAAGATATAATGACACCATATAGTGTGATCGTTTGCCAGCTCTAATGGAATTTGGATGTCCTCCTTACATAGGTTTGATGAAGTTCACGTGCACAAGTACATTATGACATGCTGGGCGCATGCAGCCAAGCATTGAGCCGGTGTAACTCTCCAAAGGAGCCAGATCCCGAGACACGTGACTGTATCCTGCTCATCAGCCTGGCCGCTGGTGGCCTTTCTGCCAACTTCTCCGATCGGCCTACTCACTTACTCTCGTACTGGTCTGAATATAGCCAGAGCAACCGTTACATTCCAACTGCCCTCTCCCTTGTTGCACTTTATCTTCATCTGTTCGCTCCTCATACCTACTCCTTATGCGTCTTTTGCGGCTGGAAAACGAGGACGAGCTCAGCTTCGCGGAGTTTGTCCGAGAAAACCCTCCATACGCAATTCTTTCGCATACATGGGGAGAAGACGAAGTGTCATATAGAGACCTCTGCGATTTACACACGGGTAGAGCCCCGGATAGAGCCAAGGACCGCCAGGGTTATGCAAAGATCCTCTTCTGTGCACAGCAGGCCAAGCGTGATCGGCTAGACTACTTCTGGGTGGACACCTGCTGCATCGATAAATCGAGTAGCGCAGAGCTTCAGGAAGCGATCAATTCTATGTTTCGATGGTACCAGGACGCAGCGAGGTGTTATGTTTACTTATCTGACCTCTCCATTGACATGTTCAACCTGAACAAACAGTCTTTCCAGCGATGTAGATGGTTTTCTCGGACATGGACCTTGCAAGAACTTCTTGCCCCAACATCAGTCGAATTCTTCTCCTGGGAAGGTGAAAGAATAGGGGACAAGCGTTCAATGGTCAAGGAAATTCATAGAGTTACAGGTATACCTGTCTCGGCGCTCGAAGGAGCACCACTGTCAGGCTTCGCTGTCAATGAGCGGCTGTTATGGGCAAAAGGACGCCACGCAACGCGTGTGGAAGATGAGGCATATTCTTTGATGGGTATACTCGAAGTTCACATGCCTATGTTATATGGGGAGGGCTCTAACGCATACGATCGCCTGCTGAGTGAGGTCAGAAAGATGTACAAAGACCCCTCACACCCAGCCTTGGAAAGAAGCGTGGATCCCCCGCTCGGTAGCCCAAACCGCGTCGAAGACCCAGAGCTAAATTTCACAAAGTCGCATTTTGGAGCCATACCAAGCGGCGTGGATCCCCTGCTCGTTGTATCGAAGCGCGTCGATGACCTGATGCTGGATCTTGAGGTACCTGATACCGGCATTTCCACATACGAGCGAAGCGCAGTGCTGGACTCGGATTCCGATTCAGAGAGCGAAGTCGCCAGTATCTTCTCTTATGGTGCCATGTCTACCTCGTCAGCATCCACTGCCAGCCTAAACTCAGTTCAATCAGTCGGAATTCGTGAGGTCTCCCAAGCGCTGTTGAGCAAGGAAGATCTGAAAGCTATTTACGCTCTAGTAGTCACCAACATCGATCGACGGAAGGCACATTCGCATATTCGAGGTTTCCTTAAGGAATACGGTCTGGATCTTGTTAAAGAAGCTTCCAACAGGACTCTGGAATTACAGGCCGCCAACTTCATAAGAGATTTAGCCGGTCGCATCGCAGACGAAATTGCCTGGAAGATCGCCGGATTTGAGGAAGAAACCAGGTCACCGAAGAGTTCATCAGATAAGAATAACTTGGAGACCTGGCTATCGTCCCTGCGGCTTCCGGGTTCAGGCGCCGAAGAGGAGCCAAATTCCCCAAGGACAGGAGCGAATGTTGAGGAGCTATTTGAAAACGAAAATTCTGATGACGAGCTTAGCGACGACCTCATATTTCCCAATATTGATAAGGTCAAGGATTTTCTTTTGACGTCTGAGGCTATCCAAGTACACGTTTCAGCAATGCGAAAATGGATGAAAATGGACTCTGTCGAACAGGGCGATATGGAAGGACCAGTCGAGGACCTTCCAGACCGCATTGCGCTTAATGCAACAACTAAGAGCACATCTCAAACCCCAGATGCGCAGAAGACACCTCAAGTGCTTGAAGAGACAGAACCATTTTCGCAACAGGATACAGCACAAGAGTCAAGGCCGAATTATCGGTCTATACAATCCAACCACCTCGTTGATCTGATTTCTGGCATCTTAGAATTCGACCTGTTCACCCCCCGCATTCGACCTGGCTATAGGAGATTGCGATGGCGCTGTGTGAGTCTCAACGCTAGCATACCCATATGTCGTGAGCTTACTGAAACTTGCTGACCATTCCAGTCATGCAACACTCTCCTTTGGGGAGACTTCCTTGCTAACAACGATACCGCGTTTCATCGACTAAAGGAGGATCTGTTGCGTTACAGAGAGCCTCTACATCGACAACCAGCCCCAGGTGATGTACCAATGATTCACTCAAACGCGAGATCCAACGCTGGCAGCTTTGATTCCACACGAACTCGCCGTTCGGAGGCAGCGAGACAACCTTCAACGCAAGCAGGCCAATTACCTAATGGGCCACGTCCCGAAATTAATTCCAATGCTTCGCCTCCCGAATCAGATCATGTGGTAGACATTTCCTTTCCAATTGAATATCTGGAGGTTTGTGTGAGCACAAGCAACTATGCTATCGACCATCATGAGATAGATATCTCACGAGTGACATCAGACGGTGAGCTCTTCGAAATGATATGGGATAAGTACAATATCAGCCGCGGCTTTGGCCTGCGGCGACTCTTTCTCCGACCGAAGGATATCAACTTTGTTTTGGTGAGCGTTTATGGTTTGTTGATGTTTTTACTATACGCTAAATCCCTTAGTTCTCTGTCAGTCGGCGTAGCCGGTATGGAGCTGGAATCCACAAGAAGCCCGATGAGTTCCCACCTCAACAAGAGCTTGACGAGAACCGCTACCGTTACTATTGTCCTCCAATCAGGATGCCGGCCAATATTTTCCTTCATTATTTACATCGAGCTAGATGGAATATCTGGGGAGAGCATAGGGAGAATACTTGGCTGCAGCGTCTCCCCAAGAAGCTAGAGCAGAGTTTGCTCGTGGAAACACGGCAAGATAATGTGGGAAACCAGCAGGGCATAGATGCTCTGAGAGACCCAGATCTTGCATTCGGATGGGGAGTTCATATTATCAATGGACCAAACCACGCTGCACTCAGTCTGTTGCTAGCTATTGGAATTGCTGTTTCATTCGTGGTTTCCGCAATGGTCGTTGGATTTGCAAAAACGCAAGAACAAGGCTTCGGGATCGGCAATTTTCTCCTTGCAATCCTTGCCAGTGGGATGGCCGCAGTATACTTTAAATTTCAAGACCAATGAAGGAAATTTGTGGCCTAAAGAGCTAGGCATCGACTTTCGAATCTTACTCAAATCTAGCCTTATTCGTTGTGTTTTATCAGCCAGTCATTGCAGCACAAAATGTACGTTGCTAATAGCCAAGTAGCCTCTTCTGCGAAAGTCCTTTTTTCAGGGTATTCACGGCTAAGAATTCCAGTTAAATATGTCGCAGCCTTGCTCCGGAACTTAGCGGGCTAATCATTACTGGGTTACTTTCCAAAACTAGCTGTAAGAGTGGATGGCTATGTAAGCTTTGTTGATGAAAGTTGATTGAATTTGCTATGGATTTATTTGACTGTAAGGTCCTCTATATACGAGTACGATTACTAACGATGACTCGCTGATTGGTGGTAAAGTGTTTGGAAAGTAATTTCTTTCGAGAATCGCGATGGCCTATACATCCACGGTCCATAAAGATTTCCCCCAAACCTGGAGCTTCTATATATAGACGAAATCTGGTAATCCCATACACCTGTGAAGAGTACTGCCAAGTTCAACCTCAACCTCCGTTTTCGATGTCTCTCTCTAGCTGCGCCTGTGCCTGTTCCCTTGTCACTCTAACCCTCTGCATTAACGACACGCTGGTCCATTTCCTCTTGGCCTCCCCAGTTGGCCTAGCAAATGTCCGAATAGGTCCAGCCTCATCAATGATGAATAAGACTGCAAGAATATCGTACAGCCCTACTATCACCATGGCAAAGATGATTCCGATGTGGGAATGTTTCCAGGGTCGGGACAGCTCGCGAGCCGCAATGTAAGTGCCCGCGTAGCAGGCAACAAAGAGGAAAGGCAAATATACATAAGTATGCAACAAGTCGCGCAATCTGTCGCTAATGCCGGTCGCTGCTGTCCAAGGCAGCCACTTTATCACCCAGTCGTCAAAACAGTCGATAATGATCAGTCCATCGATGATGGACAATGCGAACAACGTGATGACGAGAGGGATCTGAGACTTTCCCCATGGCTTGTAAAGCTCAGATGCGCAGAAGTAGGTACCGAAGAAGGCGTCAGAGATCCCACAGAACAAGAAGAAGCGCGTGTACAGTTCAAACCAATCAATAGACGCAATTCCACGAGGTTTTGGCGCAGGCGCAGGCGCCGCGGCTGGGACCACTGCCTGAGCTGGTGGGAGAGCGGATGCTGGCGCAGACATATGTGTTCAATGAGATGTGGAGCGCAGAGTTGATTGTGGAGAGAGAGTTGTGCGTGGCCAATGTAGTTTGAGATTAATCGGTCCAGTGGTTGCGTCAGTCTCGAAAGCGATGTAAGGTTGTCAATATTCGAATGACAACAAAGAACTGTTCTCATTAACAGTCCTAGATCGATCTGGCTCGGGCGAAGCCAACAGACGCGGGGGTTACACCAATCACCTCATCAGTGACCCACCTTCACGCACGTGCAGGTTGCTTGGGCAGCAAACCAGCTAGTCAAGGCAACTGTCAGTAAGCACATGAAATATCCTTCTGAGCGAAGTGATAGAACGAGGGAAACAGACAGGAAACAAGTATAGCCAGCATAACCAACAGCAAAGAACGTGCGTCGAAGCGAGTGACTACAGCACACGATTTGGGGAACTGAGTGATAAAGCAAATTATTATTGGTGCCCTCCAAAAGTTCCTCCTCGAAGTTCTGATAGCATCTCTGATTAAAAATTGTTCTTCAAATACTTGGATAGCTTGTATCCCTACTGCAAATTATACTGTAACTTGAATACATGAATCTTACCTGTCTAATTTGATTAGGAAGAGAAGAAGTTGATTAGGAGGTCGTTAGCATGCAAAAAGGTATCTAGAACCATAGGGAAATGGGAGAGGAACTATTACAATTGATTATACCGTATGCATTCCACCTCTATTCGTCTTCATAAGCTTGAACCTTTTTGACGGCAGCAAAAAGTACTGAACGAAACATCTCGCGATCCTTCCAATCATGTCAATTAGAGCCTCCTTTCGGTCGCTTTCATTCAATTCCTTCCGATATCCGTTTCTCAGCTTTACTCTCCGCTGGACGAAATGCCTCAAACAACATTTCCAATATCCCTCTCCAACCCCTCTTGTGCTTGTGCCCTTGTCACTCTAGGCCTCTGTGCCAACGTCGCCCCACCCAATTCATCAACGCCAGTTGAGTGGGCCTATAATATCCGCGACCACCACTGATCATATCAAGGATGCCACACATTATCCAAGGAATCATGAACATGTCCATAATAACTAGAGGTATCATAGCTATGATGATTCCAAGGTGATGAGTATCCCAAGGTTGCGAGACCTCGCGAGCCGCGAAATAGTTGCCTATAAATAAGCAAGCGGTGGAAGAGGCGCCAAACAAGCGCATACGCATCTTGTCGAATGTCTGATATTCTGCGCTTTGCGTTATGGCGGTCCACTTGGTCGATACTTTGCCGGGCATGTGAGGGATCAAACTCAGTCCACTCGATAAGCTGGGTTATATTGAGAATGCACAGCGGAACGAGGGCAACCACGACCGGAATGTGGGATTTCTGCCCCATGGCTCCGAGAGCTCACATGCGCAGAAGTAGGTACCGGTGAAGATAGCGGCAGCGAAAATGACTCGAATGCAAGTCCAGAACACCTCGGAGCTTGTGCTAGGCAGATTCGTGAGTTGGACTGCAGCTCCAGGAGCAGGAGCTGGTGCTGGTGCGAGAGCTGGTAACAGGACCAGAGGCACGACGGGACCGAGAGTCGGCGCTGGCGCAGACATGATGTATGATCAAGGCGGGTTGAGGTGAATTGGAGGTGCGCAGGTCGCGTCGTGAGGGAGCGGTGTGATATATATGGACAAAACGATGCTCCAGAGACACAGTCTCATTGGCAGCTTGAGCTCGGTCCTGGTGAAAGAACTAGTCAACGAGCACGTGGCACCCTACGTGCAGTGATAAGTATCTGGATGAAAACATCAATCTTCAATCGATCACCAGGGACGATAACAAGTATGGTCTTGAATAAGCACAGCAAATGATTCGCAGCTCGTTAATAAGGCCCAATTGAGCAGGCCATTATTATCGTTTCCTTCAAATTTTTGGTCACTTTACCAAGGAACAAAATGTGGAAAAGTGGGCATAGTCTAGATGATATTAGCTCTTCGGGTTTAGTAGATGTATTGTGGTTATAGGAACCTGTCAACCAACGTTGGAGAATTAATTCATGCGATAGAAAGTAACAAGGACATTCTCCACATTTTGTTCCTCGGTAAGGTGGCCGTAGAACTTTTCGAAAAGAAAACGATAAGGGATGCGCTCTAGTGTACTACAGTCACTGCCTTTCAATGGTGCTATCTCAGACAAGTATGATTAGACGCATATTCATATCGTGATCTTCTTTCATCATGCCATCGTTTCCCTAAAAAACTGCCAAGATGTTGAAACCACTGCTTTCTTCGATTTGCCACTTCACTCCATCGCATTCCGTCATGAAAACATCCGAGCCTGAAACCATGCGGAAACCCGACATCGTCTCTGTTCAAACAGCATGGGGGTCCTTCAACACTGCCTCTACCCCCGCTCCCCCCCCGGGGACATGCTTCGAAACCTCCCGATCATACCACGCCTTGTACTCCGCCCAGCACCACGAAATCAGCAGGTAGGTCGGGCAAAGAAAGAACCCCATGATAGCCAAGCTAACCGTAGCATCGGACAGAGAACGCTCGTATAGGAGCTCCCACAACGCCAAACAGGCGAAGGTAAAGCTCTCCGCCAGGCAGCCCATGGCAACGAAGAACTTGAAGCACAATCTACACGGTGGCGAGTGACCATGGTCGATGGCGGATCGAAGGCTTGCTCCGGATGGAAAGCGCATCGAAGATAAAGACTGTGGAAGAGGGACGGTTGCTGCTCCATAGAGGAGCGCGCTTGTGGTCAGGGCGATGAAGATGAGTAAGATGGTCGACATGATCTAGTAAGACGCCAGTTGTTGTTATGCTGGTGGTGGGTGGTTGAGGTTCCGAGAATGGCTGAGGGGAGATAAAGCAGGCGACAGTAGCAGAAGCTTTAAGTAGCATATCGAAGGCAAACATAGGTTTCACTCTTCGAGGAATGTCCATTAACCGTGGGTCGAGCCAAGCGTTTGCAACTTTCACTTGGAAAGAGTTAAAGATGTCTAATGGGCACAAACATCAACAAGCCTTCACGTGTTCGGCATATTGTTCAAGGTGGATAGAACGGTCAAGCACAGCAATGCTCTGATCACTGCATGATTATTGACGAGACCCCGAACTTGACCGAAGCGCATTGCAATATCGTAACCTTTTCTTAACAAAAGACAATCATCACCAGAATAGATAGCATCGAATTGTCACAAGATGCAAGGAAGAACGGAAACGCATTACAGATACAATAAGGGCATTGGCAATGGCAGATGGAACGATTGACCTGACGAGATCGTAATACCACACCGCTACAAACCCGTCTATGTCCTTTTGCGAATTCTAAAGAGCCTGATATCATTTCAGCGTTATTCACGAGGCCCGGTTTGATGTATGCTAACAGGGTAAGTTTGTGACTACATTGGACATCACACAAAATAGAAATTGTAGTTAAAAAGTTCGGCATTGCAAGAGCAAATCATAAGAATGTCAATTATTGCGGCATCAGAATTAGTGGCTCCTACACAAGCGTGAGAAGACTCTTTTCATGGTCAACCTAAAATCAAACTTGAGCCAAAGCCAAGGACAGCGGTAGCTAATATGCTGCTTCGCTGCATCATACGGCAAAAGAAAGGGCTCTATCGCTTCGCATTGATCTATACAAAGCTGCAGAGGTATGGCTGCGCTGTATGGTGACATACCCATATTCCAGGCGCAGGGTTTCAGTATGCCGCCCAAGTAAAGCTTTCTCGGAGAAGACCTGTGGTCTCGTCGACTTTACGATGCTGGCACGTTGTATCGCATGGCTAGGAACCACAACTCGTAAAATCTTCCGCAAGTGTTATGAGTCGCCACAAAATATTCTGGGGTCATCGTCGGCGCACGAGGATTGAGCTGGGAGGAAGTTATACACCCTGAGTAGGCCATAGGTGAAACTAAAACCTGTTATACTTTGGTTGTGCGGAGTGCCCAGTGCCTCAGGAAATTGTGAAGGTAGTCTTCACGCAGATGAGCCACGGTCTGCAATGGCCTGGGATACGTCACTATCTTTGAGTTCCATGGCTCTTGACAGTCATGCCAGGAGCCTTCATCTGGTTTGATGACACACAGTTTGCTAACGTGGGGGATGATCAGGTCACGCACTGCTCTGTCGATCAGCAAGGACGCTCAACATGATACTGAGATGCGGTAGTATAATGCAGTGAGCATCATAAGAAGACATTGCAAAAGAGAAGATAAATCAGCAGGCACACCAAATCCTGCCATTGCAAAGGGGCCCTCTCGTTGAGCTTGCTAGCGCAATTTCCCCCACTACACGTTAAGGAAGGAGCGATTGACCCACGTACGAATTCTCAACATTTGATCGTCAGCGCTGGTCGTGTATCGTCATTCAAGGGGAGGCGAGGGTTATTCCCGTGTATGTAGCTGTAACGCACTTGTCATGGTGAAAGTCGACATCGAAAGTGCATGACACGCGAATTCGGATGGAAAAGGCAGCTGCGGGACGACGTGGAGGTTATGTGAATGAGGAAGGAGCACGTGGCGTAGTAGATAGGCACTTCACAAGTGGTGTTCTAGAGTATGCATGGAACACATGCAGAAGGTCTATAGCAGGCGTAGAAAACGTGCAGAAGATAACACTTGCAGCGCTAATATGGGCTTGATGTTCCTTCCGTTTCCGGCAGGTGCTGTGGTCGAGTCATCGCAGCACGATGGGAGCCGGTGGTGGGAGTGTGTATGAGGTTTATGATGGAATTTTGGTGGATGAGAATACAGCTGCCAGATTCATCGAGTTCAGTGTTGCATGGCTGCGATGCTGCTGCGGATGGTCTGGGATCATCCGCAGGTTACGAGGTTGGCAGGCCAATTGACTAGACTACTAAGCGATGCATCGCTTTGCTTTGTCGGCTACTGCAACGGCTATGAAGATATGTAGTCTAAAGTCCAATGGCAGTTGCAATGCACTACTGACATGTAGTAAAGCCAAGCAACAGACAGTCGGATGTCGGATGTCGGTCATCATCACGTGAGGTCGTTCAGCCTTGTCCTGGCACTGTCGGCTAAACACGAAACCTTATTCCAACCACTGGCCCTCGAGACGAATACCTGCCGCTCGTACCTGCCGCTCGAAGCGATTGCCCGCTGTTTTTTGTCAATATTAGGACCTGGTCGCATATTAGGTGTTGTATGCAGTAGGTTGTTGAGGGTGCGAGGATCGCCGCAGGGACAAGCGAATATGCAGGCTGCGCGGGTGTGCGACCGACCGGGGATTTAGCCATAACCGTTGAAGGCTATGTTGGAGGTCGAAGCACAGACGCCGAGGTGTTCCTACACGAAGGGTCCATGTGATGAATATTGACTATATCGTTGTGGCGTGCTGAACTTGCGTGAAGAAGGCAAAAGTCGAAAATATTGGTTGACCAAAGCTTCATTGTCCAAGCCCACCGGAACGGAGAAATTGCCCCGAGAAACACGTTAGGAAAGCAGATCGATGGCGATCAATAAAAGCGAAGGCGGGACTTTCGTCATTCCAGGTACCAACCACGTGTCCCGCGCGTGTACTACCCGGTCGAATATTCGGCGGGCGGCTCGTATACAACGGCGATAAACACCTTCCAGAAAAGCACGGATCGTTGCGGACATGTCGCTGCTGGTTATCGCGCAGTAGTGCACATGCCCCATATGCCGGTAACGCATTGGTACGCGATTACTCGCAAGTAGAAAGCATTTTTCTCAGCACACCCATCAACGTCCCGTTCTCTAGCGCAGCTGCTACCCTTTCCTTGTCACCTAGCTGCTTGTTGACGGCTTCATCCGTGCTGTGGGTGCCTTTCTTGATGCGGACATCGACTCTAAAGCGCGGTGGCAAAGCCTGTTCAAGTCGCACACGTACTCCTAGTCCAATAACGGTCGCCAAAGAGCAGTGCGTGATGGTGGGCGTAATTTCCACAAGGACGGTGCTGATAGACGAGTGGGGGGAGCTCGGGGGTTGGATGTGAATATCAGGCAGGTTCACAACAGCGAGGGAGCCAAGTGAGAGAGGGTGTTCGGGGTCAGATATGGACGAGATCAGGTCTGCATAGTGACATGGTCAGCGATTGCACATGGAAAGAAAGACTCTTGAGCCTTCGACCGCTGGCTCTCGCTGGGGCTTTGAAACGCACCGTAGACCTCTTGCTCATCGATGTCCTCAACCGAGCCATCATCAGAGTCGCTGGATGATAGCGGCTGCTCGAACGGGTCGTTTAGATAGCTGTACTGGGGTATCAGGTCGTCAAAGAGCCCTGTGGCGCCGTCATCCCGCCGCTTGACGTTGGATTCCCTGCGGCGGGAGGGCAGGTCCGACAGGCTTAGGATTGTTGGGTTCGCATTTTGCTTGTCGTCCATGGTGCCGCGACACGTCAATCAGTGACCAGGTACGGTTACGGGTCCTATACTGCGGCGGCGGGAAAGGAACCTTAGGGCAGACTGCAGGCTTGATGTTGCATCTGTGGTGGCGTAGATCGTAAATCTGTTCGCCAAGCCCCGCTCTGCAGCGACCCCACCAACATCAACACGGCACATAATTACTGGGGACGAGGCCCGCTTACTGAGCATCAGAGCACTCGAATGGCCGCCGGCCCCGCTAAGACTTTCTCTTACCACATGCGAGGATATCGCTCAAGTGAACTAGGCCGCAACCGGGAGCGCGTTTTGCGGGGTTCGCACGTTGGGCCTTCGGACAAAAGTTGACTGACAAGGACCAGGTGCATGCGGGCCATTGCTGAGCGAGCGGCCGTTCCACCGCGCTGTCATGGTCGGCGACTACCGGCGCCTCCAAGTCCAAGCTACAGGCGCAAACACCCAGGGCGATTCGAATGGCGACGGATCGGGCAAGTTTGCTATGCGGCTTGATCTAGCGGCTGACGCGGGATCTGACAGGCAGGCGGTTGCAAAGTGCGAGCCACGACTGTTTGGCCTGGAGCGCCGTCAGCGCCCCCTTCGTTGCTAGCTGCTCCAGAGCGTGGAATCTGTAACGGCGTGATGCGGGCAGTTCAATCAAGTGGGCCGCGGCGTGAATGCCTCAGGGTTTGCCCACCGTGTGGATCCACCGAATATGCTTTCACCGATTTTCCAGAAACGAGCCATAGCTTCCACGGCACCAGAGATATCGTCAACCGCGCATCTCAAGACTCTCAGCGTGGGACCACCGTGTTGATCATCTCCCACAGCCCGCCCCTGTCAGGCACCAAGCGGCGTCACCGAGGCACCCTTGCAACCTTGTACATATCGAACCGGGGAATTGGGCCTGTGGCCAGTGACGTGGTTGGCCAGATATCCACTCTCCCGGCACTGTGAGGTCTGCGACTTCTACCTTCCCGCAGAACATCCGATAAAACTTGCGGGTGCATCACAGTACACACACCCTCCACTTGCCGAACCCACAGTACCTCCTGACGTCTTGACATTGTAGCACTTGAAACCGCTGCTGGCCTCTAAGCCTTATGGTACCTTGGCCGGATTGACTTCGGGTCTGCTCAGTCCATGTTGATGCCACTATTGAGAGACAATTTATCGAGTTTGTCTATCCAATCCTACCGACTTGGCAGGATGACGTTCTTCCTTAAAGCATTGCCCTGGAATAGTTTCGTGGCACGGTCTCACGAACTAATCCCGGAGCCGTGGATTTGCGAATGCTGTGCTTCCCATGCAAATGAACCTCGTGTGTCCTTTATGCGCTGGGTCAATCTGCAATCTTAGGGGCGTCCGGCGTTTTCACATTTTGTGCAGACTTTGATCAGTAAAGCAGGCGGCGAAAGATGGCGTTGGTCCACACACTGTAGCCAGAGACCAGCGTCCAATTGCCCCGATTTGTGCCGCCGAGGCATCTTACGCGGCAAGGGTGTGCTGATGCACCGGCGCAAGTACGGATCGTCTCAAGGCAAACCTGGCGTCAAAAGGTGCAAACCACTGTGGTCCTTATTGAGTCGGATATCGAATCCGCGCTCTCGGAGCCGGTGCCGGTCGAATGCCTGATCCGCAATACACGAAGCTGAGGCAATCTACCGCAAGTCTACTTACGTGCGTGGCTGTCGCATACACGACACATGAGTCTAGGCGTAGACTACTGAGCAACAATGTACGAGTTGTATAATGGGAGACAGAGACATTGTTTCTCTCCTTTTCCGCCATGTTTGATGAGGCGACTCCAAGATCGGATCTGCCAGGGGTTCGCATTGAAGAGTCGTCATGGTGGCTGGGCTGGCAATCTCCAACGGTGCTGGCCCAGGTAAGCACCGTGGAGGCTTCATTGAAGTCGACTATAGATGGCTCAAGGGAAGGGGCACACGCGGTCAATGCAGGGGAAGTTGCAGGTAGACTGACGGCGCAGTACATATGATCAGGGGCCCTAGCCGGCCGCCTATGGTCCACATCCACAGTAGCCGTGGCAGACAGCGACGTCGCGTGTGTCGAAGGATTAACGGACTAGCGGGCGCAGTGGCTCCTGATTTGCCTTTGCAGGACACCATCAACGACTCGCTTTCTTCGACGTTCGGCGCACTGACAAGCTGTATTACACGACGCTTCTGAATCTATGCGCTGCGGGCAGCTGCTCGTGCGACCGAGGACGGTGGGCGAGGCCTAGCGGAGCACAGTGGCAGCAAGCTCGAATTCGCCCCAAACCCATGTTTAATAGGCGCCAGGTCGCCATCGCGGGAGTCCAGGTAAGCTGCAAGGTAGCACTCGTGCACACGCTCTATCGACACCAGGACTTGGAGCATACCCCTGCCCTGCCATCCGGCCTCGTCACCCCCACAGTACAACGGGGACTGCCGCCCGCTGCAACTCTCTGCGTGCGCTTGCCGACTTGGGTGCGCCTGTGTGAAAGCGCGCGCTGCCGGATTCGAGAAGTGCGTCCCAGGCCTTGCGGCAGGATTTTGGCACACGGCCCGCTTACCTTCACCCCCCTCGACCCCTTCGCGCCGCAGAGCAGCAAGCCCAAGAGAAGAAGGCCCTGCTCGCGCCACCATCTGCGCGCGGGAGCCACACTGCGCGCCTGCATTCTCGAAACCCCCGGCATGCCATACGTCGTCTCCACTAGCCTCTATGCGTCCTGATCTACTGTCCCGTATAATACTACCGTATAACCTAAATATCACCCGGCGTTGCGGAGATTTCTGGCCCGCAGAAGAACCGTACCTTATTACCAACCTCCGCGCCCTCGCGCCGTCTTGCAAGCAGCTTTCTGGACCGGATACTGACGTGCTGCCGGCCAGAGCGCCGTTCGAAGCGCCCCTTTGATTGGCTGCCATCCAACCGGCCAGGCGCGACCGACGACCGACCCCGCTGCCGTTTCGACACCACCCACACCAAGCTCGCCAGCAGTGAGCGCACACATTCATAACGCCAGCCATGCCCGGAGATTCTGGTGGACGGCCGTTACTGCCCCAGACTGCCCAGATGCAGAGCTTCACTTTTGCCCCGCCGACTCTGGCGCCGCGCGAGAACCAGCGCAGTGAGTCTGATGCTCGCATGGTCCGATGCGCCCGGACAATGGCTGACATATCGTCTGCAGATTACGTCTTTGTGGACGAGCATAACAGGCACAAGCGCCTGAAAGGTGCGGCGCAGCAGTCTCGCGGGGCCCCGCTGGACAGAGAACATCATTGCTAACAGACATAGTCATGAGAGCCTGCGAAGGCTGCCGGAGGCGCAAGATCAAGTGCGATGCCGCGACCACGAATGCATGGCCTTGTGCTGCGTGCATTCGTCTGAAGCTCAACTGTGTACCCCCAACCGTCAGCTATGATAAGGACTACAACGTAAACACCCAGACCTACGAACTCGAGGAGAAGCCGCTAGAATACGCTACTGCGCCTAATCCGCAGCACAGCTTCCAACGCCCGCCGGTGATGCCTGGGTCTCAGGGACTGCCACCACACCTGACCAGCACCATGGCGAGCTCGGTCACTGCACCCTACCAGGACGGGATGCGCATGTACCAGAATCCCCAGTATGACGAGCATTCGCCTCATGATCACATCCAGTATGCGTCTCTGCCGCAGCAACAAGTCGTGCAGCAGAATCTGAATTATGCTCCGCAAATGTACTCGGAAGCACCACCGGCTGGCCCAACAATGACTATGACTCCGCCCGAATCCGAAGGTCAATGGAAGCAAGACGCTTCATCCAACCTAGCTGACGCGCTAGGCGAGCTCAAGATTGACCACACGGCAGTTGGTGAGGCAGTCTCCTTCTCTCTAATTTCAAGTGTTGACAGAAACAGCCCCTTGGATCACCAGTCAAAGGAAGAATCTCGCCGAGACACCTGCCTTGGAAGAGTATGAGGTCCAATTACCGCCGTTGACAACATTGGACAACACTGTGCGGATACCACCAGAAATGATGCCTTCCGAAGAGCAAGCATTGCACTACTTTGACTATTATTTCGACAATATTCACCCGTATTTTCCCGTGGTCAACAAGACATCGTTCTATCAGCAGTGGCAGGGAGCACGAGAATCATTGTCACCTCTTATGTTGGAAGCCATCTTTGCCTGTGCGTCTCTAATGCTAGGAGAAGACGCCGAAGGCCACAGATGGTTGGCACTTGCAGCGAGTGAGTACATTAGTTCCCGCGCGATGGGCAACCAACTAATAACTTCTAGAACACGAGGAAAGCTTCAAAGACGTCCCAAGGCTAAGCACAATGCAAGCTATGCTCCTCCTGTTGAAGGCGCGTGAAGCGTCTCCCAAGAGAGGCTATTTTTGGCGCTCATGGATGACGGTGGTCAATCTTGTTGCCATGGGCAAGGGATTGGAACTGGATGAACATTACGAGAACCACCAGATCGGAAAGTCATGCGGTTCCAATATCCATGACTGCATTACCAAGACTCGTGTATGGCATATGCTGTTCATACTGGAGGTGATGGTTGGAGGACCGCAAGGTGAGTTCAGCGCTCGTCTAACGAACCGAATGCTTACGCGCACTAGGACGGACCAACTTCCAGGTCGAATTAGATTCCATCGATTTTGATATGCCGCGACCCATACCGGGCTTGGATCCCTTCGAGCTTCAGATCTCTCGCCAATTCACCCAGTACGTTCGGGCTTTGAAAAACGTGCATTTTACAACTGTAATGCACGGAAAATTGAGGAAGAAGACGCCTGATTGGGCCCTGGATCCTATCTTTGTTGGTCACAACGCAGATTTTCCCATGTGGTTGAGAGAACTGCCTGAAGACATGCAGATCTCTTATCCGCCCGATGGCTCCGCTCCATGGATTCCGTCTCATTTCATCGCTAACATGCATTCTTACCACTATCTGGGTATCATCATGCACATGCGGCCCCAGCTACACGCCATATCAGATCCATACGACGGAATGTGGAAGCAGCATATGCTGGCGTGTTATTCAGCGGCGAAGAACTTGTGCAAACTCCAAGAAGCAATCTTGAAGACTTACGGTCTTCCCGGTCTGTTGTGCATGATCAGAGGCATCAGCTTCACCGTTTACGCTGTCCTCACTTGCACAATGTTGCACCTAGTAAGTATTACTTGCGGTAAATTCATCATCAAGCTAATTGTTCCAGGTCGCCATTACTTGTCCAGACCCAGACTTGAACAACGACGCACGCGAATTCTTCGTTCGCCACATGCGCATATTGGAAGAGTGCGCTCCGGCCTGGCCTATGCCTGAAATGCAGCAGCAAGTGAACAACCTCCGGCAGGCATTCTCCGCAGATGTGACAAAGCCTTTTGAGCTCAAGCCGACTTTTCCATTTGGAAGCCCCCAAGTGCATACACAATCGAGCCCTCCAAGCAACCCAGGCTCATTCCGGTCTCGTCTTCCAAGCCAGCAGTCACCACTGGATCAACCAGGTCAGGTTAACTACCATGCACACCCCATCTCTCCACCAATTTCGGCGTCCGATCACGACACCACGGCTGACTCTCCCGTAGCTCAGTCCCTGGTCATGATGGCGTCTGGACAACGTGCCCCTCAACCGACAACGGGAATGCAAATGCAAGAGACCGTTCCGTGGAATCCGCAACGTATCTTTGAGTAGGTCTTAGTACTTCTCCTGTCTGTCAAAAAACTAACGTGTGCCCAGTCAATGGAATGTCGCATTCGGTACGCCGCCTCCAAGTTCGGCAACACAATCCTCCCCACCGCTAAGACCGCCCCCCACAGGCACAGGCAACAACTACGAATTACGAACTCCGCAGGATGGTACTCAGTCAAATTACCAAATGCCTCATGCATCTCCACAAGCGAGCGGCCTCTCTAGCGCCCAGTCCCAAATACCGCCCACGACGACTTTCGCTACTCCTACCGCGACGTATGTCACGCCGACAATGTGGCAAGAGGTAGTGGCCAGCTCGTTCCAAGATGGCTTGAAGCGTCGATGGGATCATGGGCAAGCTCCGATGATCGATCAATCCATGTACAAGAGAGCGCGATGATCCCGGCTGCAGCATGAGATTCAGGCCCATTAGCCATTTCAACATGCCGTCTCGACATGTTACCACGCCAACCTGGCCAGAATAGAGACGCCCCAGACAAGCGCAGTAGCACACTCTGCCTCTCCATGAGAAAGCCGAGCCAAGTTGGACCTCCTTCGACCACTCTCGGACCGAGCATTCACAGATGTCAACGAATCCCCATTACAAAGAGGAGCGCAGGGCCATACAAGAGCTGACCGGTCAGGTTCAGGCCATCCGTCCGGATCAGCGGATTCTTACCTTCGCATCCAACCAACCTTCTCACGTTACGTGAACGAATCGCTTAGATAATACTTCCCTTTGTTGGCATATACCCAGGGTGGCCTCGTGCCGAAGGAAAAGCGTTCCGGTTTTGCCCACTAGTTTGGTTGGCTAACTATGTTGTATACTATTGCTACTCTGCAGACGGCTCTGGTGTTGTAAGAGGTCATCAGGACTTTGAGCACCGCCAAGCACCAATGATATGCCGCTGGGCAGCGGCCTTAGTCGTCATCCTATCTGTACCTTCCATTTTCATCCAACGGCCATGTGTATCTGCATAACACCATCAGGCAGCGTCCACAAGGCAGCTCAGCACGAATGTTCTATCTTCCTTCGTACAACGGGCGCCGCCGAGATTGTTCCGCGTGTTGTCGACATTCCTACCAGTGTTCAACATGCCTATTCCGACCAAGAACGATTGCAGGCGGCCGCGTCCGCGAAAAGCGCCCAATGGCGGTTCGGATTTTAGGCAAATTCATTGCAGCGGATATGCATGATCATCTGCAGAGCTAAGATTTCTACCTTCCTGTACGCGATACGTGGAAGGACTAGAGGGGTGCGCACTGACACCGAATCGTCTGGGTGTCGCCAACAAGCCACAACATGGCCAACGGCGTCAAGTTCACCCGACTTCTGTCCGCTCTAGCCCCATCCGTGGAACGTGCAACCATTGGCGTGGAATCTATCAAACCAGGGTCCAGCGTTCGTGCATTTATTCGGTCTAATTGTGACGATGCCGCTTCAACATGAATCGTCGTCTATTTAAAAAGGCCGTGGTTTATTTGGGACGATGTTGCATTCTACGTCACCGGGCAGCGAAGATCGTTGCTTGCATGCGTAACACAACCGGGTTATGTACGAGGCACTACAAGACCCGCGGAAGGCTAATCATCCCACGTTCCGTAATGGAAAAGGCACAACCTCACAGGGCTGCTCGGCAATCGTGGCACTATCTCGAGACGACAACTCTTGTCCCGAGGTGCAGCGCCCGGCTGACTCTTGACATGTGAAGTCTCTGGGTGTCTAGCGGTAAGGCGCAAGGCACGCGCTGGTGGCCAAGGATGCGGGGGGCGCATTGGGGGACTGTGCGTGGCGAGAAGACAGGGACCAGGCCAGTGAGGACTCGTAAGCTCGTCTTGGCGCTGGGACTTGGTGCGTGCCTTTTTGTTTGCTTCTTCCCTACTCACGCACATTGGTCCCCCGAGCCTCATCATTCGAGCACGCCCGTCCACCCACCCACCCGGAAGTCGTTCGCCGCGCTTCGCTTCGCTTGCCCTTCCCTTCAATCTCGAAGAAGGCCCGAGCACGCTCGTGGCGTTTTGACAGGCGTTTGCCGGATCGCGAGCGGTGTTCTAGAGTTCTAGAGCTTGTCGCACGATTGTCTGCCATGAGATGAGAAGGCATCAAGGCAGTGGCATCGCAGCCTGACGGTGCGCGCTTAATGCCCTTCGGAGCAATGGCCCCGACTTCCTTTGACATTGACAGGTTGTTGGATCGCGGCTACCGGTCCGTGAGGCTCATGGACCCTATGAAGGTCCGCCTCTCTTGCTTGCTTGACCGTTCGAATCCTAGCTCCAGGCTCTCCAGGTCGCGTGCCTTGCGCGCGGATCGCCTTCGCGCTGTTGGGTCGGAGTCGGCCCTCTGCCGCCCAGGCGACTGGCTGGCTGCCTGCAAATAGTACCACAACGTTACGTCAGCATCTTGATTATGGATGCAATTCAATAGGGAAAGAGGTGGTGTATAGGTGGTGCACATGATGATCCACGCGGCCTTCACAGTGTTGGGTAAGCACATTACCATTCCTATGGAAGGCATGGTACTGCAGGAGATTACTCTTCACCGGTCGCAACACGCTTGCATCGCCTGTGCCTGTACCTGAAGACGTGCGTGAAGCACTTGAGATGAGCTTGCAGATTGTAGTTGTCATGTCAGGTTTCATCTAGGCTAGCCTGTGTGGACACGTGGTGGGGACTCTGGTAGTCTTCACCTGCCTGCCGCACTCGTGGTGGTGGGGACCGGAGACAATCGGCATCGGGCAGTACCGCTGTCGCTTGCGCTGTGCGAGAAAGGTTTAAGACCTTCTTCATTATTATAACGCCTTTCGTATAGACTAGACGCCAGCTCGTCATTTATGCCAAGTGCGAGCGGAGAATTACGGAGGATTGTTGACCTTCCGCGTTGGGAGCTGGTCGCCTTGCATTGCAGCTGTCTGCGAGTGTGCGTGTTAGTGTTTTGGTTTAAGATCTGGGATCATGCGTTGGAAGCGCGTACGCAGGGACTTGCTTAAGGTGCGTGAGTTTGTAACGTCGCGGCAGATATTCGGAGGATCCCTGGCTTGTAAGGAAGGGTTTTACCGCTTTACTTACTCGTACGGTATTGGAGCTGTCCATTTTTTTTATTGGTCTTTTATTGATCTTCGTTCACAATGGTACAGTGCGGGATGATCGTTCTAAAAATGTTCGAACGAGCTGTCTATTCGGATACTATGACTCCTTGCTGTGTAGTGGTAGCTTGGACCATGACATGCGCTCGTCGAGAAACCCAAACCGGCAAGCTGCGATCTCAAGGTATACGCAAGCCTGTCTCAAGCGTGAACCCTACTTCCCGACGACCACCTGTTCTAAAACCGTAACGAGCCCTTTATCAGACGAGCTATATGATGGCATTACCTTCCTTCTTTCGGATAATCCTCCAGAAGAAACGCAGATCTTGTCCTGTGCTGAATCTACCACCCTTCAGTCTGCCAGCCATCCAAGAGCATGAAGTCACGCACGCAGGATCTAGGATGACTGAACCGTAGCCACGTAGTCGAACTTGATTGAGTCGACCCCTTACAACGACCAATTTAACTAACCTTAAGGAAAGAGTGCAGATAGATCATGGGCAGCGTCTACATAGTAGCATCACGTTTCCCGTGTACACAGCGCGTAAACAGTACCAACCCCAACCTCGCCATACCCCACCCTATCTCAGACCTCCTACAGCACTAACGTGGGCTCTTCGCATATTTGCAGGCCACGGCACGGTAGCACTCGATCTTGTTGATAGTCTTGGATACATCTGCAGTGACAAGCCCAGAAAACCAGTACCACTTGTACTAATCACAAACACAATCACGATGCTCGTCCGCACAAGAGCAGTAGATCCGTTCGCGGACTCACTCAATTGCCTTATCGAAGACGTGAATGAATACAATACTCAAGTCTCCCTATCTTCCATGCACATTCCTTTCAAACAACGATATAAAAGCCGGTGAAAGAGCACGTGAGGAGCTTCGCGATAGGCTAGACAATGTGTAATTGGTCTGTCGACGTTTCTACAATCTACTTTGGAAGAGCTCAGCTCATGTCCTGGAACCTCGCTGCTTCGATTTATGTTCTAGGAGAGCATGGCGATACTGCAGGAGACTTTGTCCCGTGAGAGATCTGTTCTCTAGTTGGAAAAGACACGCTGCTATTACGAGCCTATTTCTCAAGCTCGCGAATAGGCTGCTTACTGATTCATCGAAGCATAGGCGTGGATCGTGGACATAGGCCAGCGATTTCATTTTCTCCGCCATCGTTCGTGCTCAGAGCTAGCTCCTTTTTCACAAGGCAAGGAATAGGACTGACGTAACACTGCGACACCACAACCACAACCACAACATATAAATATCAAGCTTTCTTATAGGTAGAAGCTAGACGTACAGCCTTCGCTATCATCTCGTCTAGTTAGAAATATCTAGTATAGTGGTAGACGGTTGATAGTACGTTGCGTTAGGCCAAGTTGTTGGCGTGCGTTCCTCGTGGAAAAGAAGCTCTTCATTTGATAGGTTGCAATATTATCGTTTGCGAATAGAATGCCCCCACCCTACTATAGTACAGATCCTCAATTTCTGTCAATTGTATCATATATTCACTCTATTACTAACTAGATCTTATTAAAGGCTAGCTAGATCTTGTTAAACAGCTAAATTTAGTTGGGGTAGACGTTAAAATAGGGTACCTAGCCGTTAGAATAGGCGTACTAACGTATTTAAACTAATAGTAGAGTAGATATTTAAAATACTTATAAAAAGGGGAAGCCGTACCATAGTAGGGCTGGGGCATTCCTTTCGCAAAGCACCGATAGTAGCGGGCGGACTTTTCTGGGAGCACTCAACTCCTTCCAAGATACTTGCGTGGGAATGGGCTTGAGCTGTCTGTAGTACAATGATATCACTTTCGCGTCTGTTTCCTTAGACTTCGGCGGGGGCGGCTTCTCTGAGTATACCGTTCGGATCGGTCTGGACATTCTGATGTGCGCACTTGCCAGGTCTGACGGTCGACTTGCAATACTGAGGCTCATCGCGGACAACTGGTTGACGGCGTCGGGAGTTATCCCCCATGCGAATTGGTCTCAAGAACGATGATGACCTTGGAAGGCTTGCACCTACGAACGGGCTCCCAATTGTTGCACGAAGGGCCGCGCAGTCCTATGATTCTAGTCACTCGGTCGATGTTTCCCAGGATGCTCGTAGCCAGGGTAGCAGTACGTGGGTGGCAGTCATCTTTCCATGTCATATAAAGTGTCCTCATTCTCAAGGTCTAGCTGGGGGGCGTCTTCTGCGCTCTTTCCCTGATCTTGAGCTTGTTGGCGCTATGTCTTCCGAATTGAGTAGCCAGTCGCTTTCAGCATATAAGCCTGTGGCCGATACTTCGATTAATATTTGCTATTTCGCTCTAGCCCAGTTGTCTGGTTGCAAACGTAGCTACGCCTTCACCCCTTTCTGCTTGTTGGGCTCCACATTTTCGATAATTGGCTGTGCGACCATAATAAATTTCTTCTATGCATCCATCTTTTCCTTGAGTGCCACGTAGAAAGCGACATCCCAAAGGGCGTCCCTTTTCCATTACCGCCGCGGTCGTACATGACAGGCCTGGACAATCTCAGTGCGCAAGCATATCAAGACATTGGGCTTACTGAGTGTGAACTCTGGGTTTGGCTCTATCAATACAGTGTAGCGCGCCTCGGGATGGGGAATTACGGATCTGACTACTGGGCCACTCTCCTTCGTTGCATCGAGAAAATCCACCCTGGTACGCTTACGGAATACCACAGCCACGACGAGATGGAACGACAGTGGGACGGACGAATTTGCAACGTTGGATATCCGTTTGCTCTTAGAGCGGCAACAAACGGTCATTTTCAGCGCTGATGGAGATCTTTTCCGAGACAATACTAGGAGACGCAGCTGAGAGGTGGCTATAAGAAGGGAATTAAGCACGTTTTATTCCCGAAGGCTTGTTTTGAACATCCCCTTGAGCAGGGTTCATAAGAGAACGTGGAGGCTTGTGACCCCTTCTCCAGCGTTTTTCTCTCTGGCACCCTCTTATGTTTGCATGAGCACGATGTTTAACAATCATGCTTCTGTCTTATAATGCAGCAGTAAGTTGAGGACGACACTGTGGCAGACACAGTAGTTGTGCCAAAGTGGAGGCGGTTTGGTAGCTATCCGCCCATCATGCACATAGATAAAGCAGAAGAAGCAGAGGGTAAGACAAAAGAATGGTATCATTAACCCGCTAAAGGCGATCTCCATATTACATTACCGTATCATCCTCGCCATATCCATATTACAACGTTACCACGTCATCCTCACGATACTGCATTACCACCTCCACCACCTTCACCCCCCATGTCCAAGTACAGAGGTCCGTAGCTGTCGCTAGTGTTGACGTTCACCCTTGCACCGAATCAACAGTGTACCATCGACAAGCACGTTAACGTTCCAACGATCTTCTTTAGACCGTAGCAGGTGCAGCGCCCTCCGCAGGAGCAGCAGCGTGCTTATCAGCCTCAGAAACGTGCGCCGCCGTCACGCGCTGAACATCCCAAAGCCTAGCCTCAGCGAAGAAGCCCACAAGACTCGTGAAGCTACATCACATTAGTACAACCTTCTCACATATAGGTTGAAGGGAACGATGGCACTTACAAAGCAATAAAGGCAAAGGCCTCCAGCGTCCTCTTTAGTCCGGGCTTGTCCACGCCCGCCGGCGAATTGAACATCTGTCCACCGTTGTAGTCGTAGTCTTGGCTGGCAAAGACAAAGGCGATGAGCCACAGGTAGCTCAAGGTGAGGGCCAGGGGTGCGAGGTAGCCTTTGTAGGTCTTGACGAGGGGCAGGAAGAGGGAGGGGAGGTAGAAGAAGGTGTCTACGGCGGCTACACCGATCCAGTAGCGGAGGTGGGTGTTGGCATCGAACTTGGCGATGAAGTAGCCGGAGATGCCAAGGACAATGACGGAGGATGCGAAGTGTAGCGCATGGTTCGCAAGGAGGAGAGGACGAAGTGTGCGGTCTGCACGGGCGGGGCCAGGTGTTCCGTAGTCGTTTGTTGTGAAGCGGGCCATTGCAACTTGGTGGTCGTGAAGTGTGAATTGAAGTGGAGGGCTAAAGTGGTGGTTGGGTGATATTGCAAGTTGTTGCTGGATAAAATATGATGGTTCATACGTTCATTCGGCAAGGCTACTCTTATACTGTATAACTCTGGTCATCTGATATGTGACGATGACGATCTCAAGACATATCTTCGTGGTGTTGGTCCAAGGAAAGTTCTCGCACTGGACAGGGATGCCATGATTTCATCTTGACCAGAGACGTGCTGCCAGCTAACGATACCTCACCTTATCCATCAGGCCAGACAAGATCGCCCATTCCGCCTCGTTCCGGAGACCGCAGTGTTTGGCTAGAAGTGACCCGCCATTGCATGACTTCGACCGGACACCATGTCAAGGTGTTGCCATGTATGCAGCGCGCAACATCCAAGCCAGTCAAGGTGAAGAGTCATCAGCTTGCGGTGTGAGGAGCCTATTGCATCGTATGCAAGTCGTCACACAAGAGTCGTCACACTTTGCAAGATAGCTTTATCCTAGTATCTGCGGTTGAACATGCAATCGGAAGTCGGAGGTCGTGCATGTGGGATCGGCCTGCAAATCCAGCCTAGACTGGTGAACAGATCAGATGCAGGGATAATGCGAAGTCTTTTTTGTTGACAATTGATGAACCTTCTGGTGATCGTGGATGTGATGGCAGGGGTTTTGATTGGAGTTTCGAGACGGACGTTGTCAATGCCCCACTTGTGACGCCACAGCTAAATCGCATAAAACCTCACCTGACCGTAAGTTTCGAGAAGCACACCGAAAGTTCATCGGGTTTCGCAGGGACTCACGTTTGAGCCATGGTTACAATGATTCCGAGAAAAGCCCGCAGCGGGGTATCTGTCATCTGACTAAATCGGAGATCAGCATCTCCGGTTTGGATTGTAACAAATCATGTGAAGCCAATTCTACTGTGTACTCTTCAAAGTCTCCTCATAAGGGAGATTTTAGAAAGCAAGCAATGTACTACCTTTACGCCCTTAACGATGAGCTGTCGGCTCCATGTGTCAGCAAATATGTTGCTTGTCTCATACATCTTCTCAAGTTCTTAAAGCATCATGATCGTGTATGCCCTCATGCACCCGTCCACAAATTCCAAGCACACCTTGTTTCATTATTCATACGGATCCTTCTCGCAAGTACGGAACTCCCGGAAATTCGACTGTCAAAGACCAAGAAGTGAGGTACAGGGCCAAGCTGCTCGTGTCCGACACCGTAACATGAATGAGCAGCTATTGTACCCGTACTTCTCTCTACGGTTGCGATGTACGGCCACCAATTCCACCTTCATGTAACTTTCTTTCGTCGACCATGCTATACGTAGTAGATGTAGGCGCAACTCACATATGGTAATTGAGGGTCACGCCATCAGTCTTGGGTCGTGAGTTCTCGTGCGTAGTTTCATCGGTTCTCCAGTCGAACTTGAGCACATCGCTCGTCTTCACATCTTCCAAGATCTGCACGTCTACCCACGCCCTGAAATAAGGCATCATGCGGCTTGCATGCACTTTGGAGTTCGCGGTGAGGTCAAGCAAGTCTAGGCCGAACATCTTCTTGAAGAGTTGGTTCTTACGGCGAGTAAAAGTCTCCTGTCAATGCGTCAGTACTGGATCAGCAGGTGCATGTCGTTGTATGTGTTACCTCGTCATTCTTTGCAAACGCATCGAATGTGCTGACAAAGTCGTCACCCTCTTGCCAATTTCGAACCCTTAGCCCACCGCCAACGATGTATTCATGGAGACGTGGGCCAAAAGCCATATACGATTGAAACATCACCACGCCTTCGGGTCCCACGCCCAGGAGGAACGAGTGACTAAACGGCACAAGGTCTTGCAGTTCTATGCTCATCAGATTGAGCGCCCTAACAAAAGATTCGTTCTGTTCGCAGTATGACTGGATGACGTCGATAAGTTTCACCCGGAGGAGGGTTGTCTTCTGGGACTCGAGTGCAGCACGCTTTGCATATTTATAGGATTCTAGGAGGGATGCTGAGGGAATAAGTTCCACCTGAAAGCCGGGGTTATAAAGACCTCCAGCTAGCAGAGGGTTCTCATTGCCTAGAGTGGATTCCATGACAATGGCTCTCAGGTCATGCACAGGTGCCGCGAGCGTGAAGATGCACATGCTGGTGACGTCGCACGAGTGCCATGGAAGTTGGCATGCCATTTCATGCATGAAGTCGCTCGCTCGCGTGTTCTTGAGCCTGATTGGTACTCTCATACCTGCGATAGTGCTGCCCATCGTACCAATCGTCGAGCGGTAATGCTCGAGCAGAAATCCCGTTACCTCGGTGTCCTCAGAGACAAGAGTCGTGAGATACTTGCAGATCATTTTCAATGGAGAGTCTTCCGGAGACAAACAGTTTAGGCTGGCGACAACCCTTTGCACAGGCTTTTCATCGACGTCGACGTCGCGAAAGAATGCGACAGGCTGGATCCTCACTTTGGAGAGAACAAGTCCGCATTCACAGAGTCCATGTGAGTCCTGGTCGCGACCTTTTTCCAGAAACATGGTTGTACTCTTCACAGCAACGGGCGATAGGGACAACTGAGATTCGCCATCGTTAGCGGGTCCTGTCTGCCGAGCTATCATCGATTTGGTGGCATAGAAACGGTGCACCACGAGGGCCACTGCGTGGAAGTTGGCTTCAATGTTTCGATGGTGGACTTCGGCAGTGGGATTGGCATCAACATGCCGTTGCAAGAGAGTGAGCTGATTAGAATCCAGGTGTGCGACCCATCGCTCAACGAACTGCTTGCTCGTCTCTGGGATCGCGGGGTTCTCCTGGGCGATGCTATGGGTAATCTGGCAGAGCCATGGGACAGACTCCAGCTTGGACATCATGTCTTTCGATGACTGTGAAGTCATTCTACTCCAGGCTACTGGTTAGAATGTAGTTGGCATACGCGGTGCAGTTGGCTCACCTTGTCCTCGGATGCGCAGGCACAGTCTCAGTAGTGCAATCGGTTCTTGACCGCGAGTTGTCTTCGATTAATGTAGTTGTTGTGGTTAGAATAACGGGCCACAAATGGAGCAGGAGCTAAAATTCAGAGGATGACTCTAGCAGGTTCCCGGGTGAAGGCAGAAGCCAAGTTGCTTCAGCAGCGACTCTCAGGTGAAGGTGAGAGTGACCACAGGGATCTATCGACACTGTCTTTCTACTAGGGATTTTTGACCCAATCGTCGTTAAGATTCGACTGTTGCTCTTGCGTGGATGCTGGACACCGTAGGACCGACTGGCCTTTTTGCCCTCGTTTCCTCGATCATACTCTCAGTCGAAACCTCTTCTTCTTTCAAACTGGCTCGCTGTATCTGAACGAATCCATGGCGGCTTCATCAGCAGGCTGCGTGTATACTTTCACGGGCCAAGGTGGTTCGTCCGCGGATTCCACAACAGCGAGACCGTTCGGCGACATCTCAGAAACGCAATTGAACTTGTCTGCCTGCTCATAGAAGCGATCAATTTTGGCAGGGATTGCTCGAAATGCGTCGCGATCTACCGTGTACTTATCCACGCTACCGTGAGACAAGTTTCCGCCATACGTGTGCTCCATTGCATCCTTTTACAAGGAAGTAGGTCTGAGACCTAGCGTTCGATAGAACCTCTGTCAAAGTTTGGGACCGTCGAGTCTTTGACGGCAGTGCTCGAATAGAGCCTGTCAATGACCTCTTGATTGACCATTTGGGTCAAAGATGCAGTAGAACTCGGTTCTGAACGAGTGAGTAGTTGAACGACAGAGAAAATACGGTCTGTAGATAACTCACGTCAGAGTTAGGCGGTGGACCTGAGTAGTTCGTCGCGGTCTTGTGGTCGGCCAACATCAGCGTGGTTGGAGTCGTTACGTTCTCCCTCCTGTTCACTTTTCGGAAAGCTCAATCCCCCAGTCTCATCTTCCATGTTCTGCCTCATGAATCAGCCTCTTTCCTTCTCTTCCCATATGAAGTTCACGAAATCCACCATCCGGTCCCGCCGCTCTCCACATCTCGCGTCCTCGCCTCGATGCTTCGCAACCTCTCTTCAATCCAATACATATCGAGAATCTTTGAGCCCATGTGCTACATCCACGTATCATATAGCAGCCTCCTTCCTCCTCTTTCCACCCTTCACAAACTCCACCGCCCGATGCCTCCTCTCCTCAAACCCCGCGCTCTCACCCCGATGCCCCTCCATCCAGCAATTTCTGCAGTACAAATCCCCATCACATCCCAGACACCTCAAGGTAGCATCGTCGCTACAGATGACACACCACGTCTCGACTTCATCATCAAGATTCTTCGCAAAACTGGACTGAACGGTGGGTGCCTTCTTCGTCGGGGCGAATGACGGTGCCGAGGGCAAACCGAGGGAATCTGTTTGAGAAGGAGATGGGGAGGAGAGTGCTGCAAGGCGAGCGGTGAGGGCGTCTTCGATGGCTTGCGTGCGGTCGAAGTCGTCTTGTGGGAGGGATGTTGGCGCTGAGGGGAGGGAGAGTTCGTTGTTGCTCTCGTCCTCGCCATGGGTTGTTGACTTCTCCTTCTGCTTCTCTGTCTTTTGGTCCCCCGAATCTGAGTCTTTGGCGTCTTCAGAAGGCGGGGAAGGCGGGTCGTACTTCCTGCTTATTTCCAACTCGGCCATAACTCGTGCAATGATATCGTCTGCCTCACTATCCTCGCTCTTCTTCTTGCCTGTCTCGCCGTCCTCACTCTGTTCTTCGGGATGCTCTTCTCTTTCAACGTTGACGCCGTTTGATCCGATATCGACTTCCACATTCTCCCAATCTGTCAAGCCCTCCTTCTCTTCCTGCTCTTGCTTTCGGCTTTTTTGTACCTCCGGTAGTATAGTCTTGATATCCCTCAATAGCTTCCCTACATCTTTCTCATCTTTCTGATTTATATCCCACTCCTCCCTCGGACCTAGCTCACCCAGCAACTCCTCCAGGCTTCTCTCATCTTCGATGTTAGCTTCGGTTCCGGCTCCGCCAACACCCTCTGCTATTCCTTCGAGATAGCTCGGTGCACCCGGGGCTATGACAGGCGCTCCCTGTGTCTTCTCCTCCGACGAAGTCGTTGAGCGTGAAGGTCTCGGCGAGCTCGACGGGCTTGCAGACCCTAGGCGGGCAAATCGGGCCGCGAGATCGTCTGACGCATTTGCGTTCGCGGTCGAAGGTGCTATGGAGCTGGAGAATGTATTATCTAAGCTGACGCTGGATTTCTTGAGGGCGTTGAGGCGAGCTAATAGGGCGTCGTCGCCGGTTGGAGGGTCGGGCATTGCTGGGTAGGACGCGGGGAGCTATGCGGGAAGCGAGGAATCGTGTTCACGGTCTGGGTACGGTAGAGACAGTGGTCGGAAGCATGCAGTCACAAACTCAAAAGACTGAAAGCGGAAATCTTTGGGGGGTAAAGGAGCCGAAGGCAGGTTCCGGAAGCTGGAGTTCGAGGTAAGAGTTACGGAGCTGTCAAGCTTCCGCGAGCTTAGGTTACGCGGCCGAGGCCCAATTGTGGGGGAGGGGCACGCAGCTCCATGATCTACGCCACCCATGATACAAAGCTTGTTGGTCTTTAATTCAATCATAGACATATACGCCGTATGTAATGCTACAGGAAGCCCTTTGCTTTCCCAGTCGTCCAAAAACGCCAATATGCTTTCCGAACCCGTTTACCACCTCGCAATCAGCCAGAAGTACCAAGTCAACACTAGCAATGCGACACTGCCCAGACTTCTCCCAAACTCTGCCCAGAACAGTGACATACCCGTCTTCTTGCCTGAGCTCTTCTTCGTGCTAACATTTCCCCATGCTCTAGCCTGCGCCTCCCGTCTCTTCTCCTGATCAGCGCTCTGTGAGGGTTCGAAGTAGCCCGCATGCTGGACAAGCGGGTACGAGAATTTTGAAGACTGTGGAGCTGAGTTTGCGGGAAGACCGTAGCCGCCCACAGGTGAGACGCTGCGAGTGCGAGCTTGAGTGTTGCGAACTTGGAGATTGTTGCTGTTTGAGGAAGTTGAGGAATTGGAGGAATCCGAGGGATTAGGGGCGAAATCTTGCGAATGAAGGGCAGCTTTCTCGTGTTCGGCGGATGAGCTGTTTGTAGGGAGCAGAGGGGTCTCTACAGGTTGTTGCGGTTTGATGACACCGCGTACGACGAGTGCCGCTCGGACGGCAAGTACGAATAGGGTGAGGCCAAATAGACCTGCGTACCGTATGAAGATACCGAGCTGGTCAGGCATCAGACATAAGTGCGTCTGAAGCGTTTTCGAAGCGTCGCCGGAGAGCGGTTTTCCGCGCTCATCGACAGGATTCCACATGCTCACCATGAGCATGCCAGGATGTCGAACGCCCATGGCCCATGACAGCGACTTCACCGTGATCTCTTTGATACCTCCACCACCAGAAGTATACGCATGATGAAGAACCTCGCAATAATCGTGATCGTCGCCCGAGAACGCATATCGAATGTCGCCTATTTTGTCCGCAATGTCCACGGTAATCTCCTCATGGAGCACATTCTGATACTGGTAACCTCCGCTCAATGAGATTGCATTTCGATGGTCTTTTTCGAGCGGTTCTTCTCCCTTCCCGACCGGTGTTGGCGGGTACTTTTCTCTCATGGGCCCGCAAGGCGTACCGGGCGGCCGAAAAAGCGGTACATGGGAGAGCAAGACGGTGGGAAACTCGGTAACGTCGTCATCCGAGTGTGGTATCTCTGCCTTCGCGAGCTCTTCTCGCTCCAGAACTTTGTGCTCAAACCCGGGGTATGGTTGTAATTCCTGCTGTATCCTAAGCTCCCTCTGTATCAGCCTCCTCTTCTGTTTCTTCGCATTGTCCAGAAAATCGGTCGTAGGCTTCCAGAGATGCTGCACGGCCTGTGGGTTCGCCAGTCCCTTCGCTTCCAAGGAGACGCTGTCGATCGAAACAAAAGTGTGATTTCCGACGATATCGATCCTGTTGCTGTCCCCAAAGTATGCATTAAACCTGTCGCGCACGCTTGTATCCACACCACGTGCGAACCCTAGGTCGTGGTTTCCCGGCAGACTACTTATGAGCTTGCGTCCAGGTTGACCAGGCCTTCCTTCTAGCCCTCCGTCTCCCCAATGGCTAAAGAATATGCGCCCAAAGCGACGATACTCGTTCATCCAAAAGTCGTCGCCGTACTGTTGCCATTGCTTATCTGGATTCTTGTGTGTGTGCGTCGACCATTCCCTCCCTCCATCGAAGAGGTCTCCCAAGAAGAAGACAGTGTCCGGGTATAAAACCTCCTGTATGCGCGAATATGTTCGACGGAGGTATTGATCCACGTATCGAATGGTAAGATCGTTCAACGGCCACGGGCGGCCAGGGTAGGTATGCGGATCTATGAGCTGGGGATCTGCGACGAAGACGAGTCTGTGTGGGTTTGCGCCGTCTCCCTATGTTTTGTTAGCTTCGGAACAGTTTGAGGACCAGGTTGAGTGATTTCGCGCACCCATTGCTCCCAATTCTCCCAGCGACACGCGTCAACGGCATTCCGAATAGCGCTCCGCTCTCCGAAGTAAACGGCAACCCACCACACCACGACCAGCACCCATGCCGCACTAAATAGCCGCCTCAAGCTCCAGTTGCCTCTCCTTATGCCGATCCACCTCTTGTCCATCTCTGGTTTGACTCGGTATAGTGCGAAGGCACGAGCGACTCGCCATACCTGGTGCGGCAGGCTTTCCGGCTCGGAATATGCGCCGACGGGCATGCCATAATCGTCGTACGCCGTCATGATATCTTGGGCGGGAGAGTGTATTGTAGAAATAGCATTTTAGGCAATGAAAGACATGTCGGTGCCTATTGCGCGGTCAGTGACGGTGTGCGAGCGTAAGCGCAAAGGGGTGCATGCGTTGACGGTGGTTTCGTCTGGGGTGCATGCGTGCGATCGCCGCTAGTACCCGTTATACAACGCGCACGTGTCTACCTCGGTATGGAGCTACTGTTTCGGGACAGCCCAATTCAGTAAGCATGTGGTCGTGATGATCATTCAAATGCTGCATTACACAAGATACTGGTACATGCTAATTCCAAAATGTAACGCCCTTTTGTCCCAGCTCTAGTACTCCAGAGTGATCTCTTGGCCCTTCACCCTGCCGATGACGACTTCGGGTGCGTACTTAGGAATAACCTCATCGTCGTGCAACATCTCGAACTCCTCCGACGCGTCCTTGCCCATGTGGCTGAAAAGCGCCTGAGGTCCTCCAGGGTGTTCGTCTGTCCAGTTTGTTAGGTCCATGACGACACCTTTTACTGCAATCCAAAGATCATCCTTCTTGTTGTGCTTTGCGACCTCCTCGAGGGTGTACTCCTTAGCAGGGACCTCAAACTTCTTAGGCTCGTTGGGTTTTGACACCTTGCCGGGGTCTTTCGAATCAGCATCCGACTTAAGCACGGGGCCTGCTGACTGTTGCTTCTGCTGCGCGATTTTAGAGCCGTCCGACGATGAGGAAGCAGAGGCGTCGGTACCGTTACCCCAGTCAACCGTGACCCTGCCAGGCTGTGAAGGATCGATGTGTAGTGAGATCTGGCCGAGACGAGAAACGGCTGAGCCGCCTGCGCTGTTGAGCGCCTGCTGGAAAAGGTACTTCGACGCCGACTCTCCTGCTACGCGACCGTAGACAACGCAGCCAAGCAGCGACGATCCACCGAGACGGTTAGCACCGTGGACACCACCAGCCAATTCACCGCAGACAAATAGTCCATCGAAGGGCTTGCCGTCGGCATTCAAGCACTCGGCCTGGTCATTGATCTCGATACCACCCATGGTGAAGTGAAGCACGGGCTCCATGAGGGCGACGTGGAAAGTGTCGTTAATGTCGAAGGGCACGTTGTGGAAGTACTTCTTGCCCCACTGATCCTTCTTGTCGCCCTTGGCGATGGCATTGTAGCTTTGGAATTCCTCTTGGAGCTCCTTGTCACTGACACCAATTTCCTTTGCCAACTCCTTACCGCTCATCTTCTTCATCAGGCCACGGCCAGAGTAATGCCTAGTGTGGAAGTCGAGAACATTGGATGCTTTGGAGTTGAGGACCAGTCGGATGGGCCACAGGTCCTTCTTCTTCTCCTCCCACATCATGCCGGAGACGTAGTCACGGTGTCCGAGGTCGTCGCAGAATCTCTTGCCCTTGCTGTTGAGAAGGATACCACCCTCACCACGGAGAGCTGGAAAAGTCAGTCAATGCCCTCAATTGTCAAGAGCAGATTCTACACACCTTCTGCGGCCAAGAACTTGGTCTTAGCCGTGGGGTCCTTGGGGTCAACCAAACCAGTTGGGTGAACCTGGACCTTGTCCATGTCAATGCCCTGGGCACCGACAGACATCAACATCTTGTGACCGTCACCAGTAGCGTGTGCGCCGTTGGTGGTGGAGAGGTCGTAGGTGTCTGGCCTCCACTTCTTCAGCAGAGAGGTCTCTGTGAAATCAGCGGCGTAACCACCAGTCGCAAGTACGACTGGGCCTTCGAGTGTTGTCTCTTCGCCGTTGAAGACGTATGTAACACCGGAGGCGGTGTTGCCGTTCATGTTGACCTTCTTCACGTTCGCCTTCTTGATGAGCTGGACGCGCTCCGGCTCGGCCTCGGCAAGCTCCTCAAACCGCTGCATGAGGGCGTATGTGATGGCCATGCCGGGGAACTTGGCATCGTGGCCACGGTGCGTTCTCGGATGCGAGTGACCACTAACAAAGTCAGTTCATGGTTTTGTTTGATCGAATGATGCTGAACTTACCCTAGTCGGGAAACGAGAGTCAGGTCGAGGTTGAAAACATCCATCAGCCACTCAACGGCAGCGGCAGACTTGTAAGTCAGGACCTTGATGAGGTCTGGCCGCGCCTTGTCTCGGGCGGACTTGAGGGTATCATCGTAGAACTGCTTAACGCTGTCCGGAATCTTGTGGTCCACCTGTGTCCGGGTGAGGGCACCATTTATTCCCGAGGTAGCCTTTGTGGAGTTGCCTCCCATGAAGTCTGGCGCGTGTAAGGAACCGCTTGTCTAGTATGCATGGTTTCAGACTCACTGTTCTTATCGAGGAGCACTACATTGCCACCAGACAAGTAGATGGTGTGAGCAGCGCTCAAGCCGGACACTATTGCTTATTAGCAGCCGCATCGTGGTAGTTCGGGCGGAGGAATGCACGTACAGCCAGCACCAACAACGATGACTCTCTCAGGCATTGTGATTGGTGATGAAGCAAGGGTATAATGCGGAGGAGAGGAAAGCGTGGAGAAAGCGGGAAACAGCGCAGAGTCTGGGTCTTTGTACGGGAACTGATGACGGGCTCGATGCACGCTCCGCTCGGCCTCAAACTAAGCGTGAGATGGGAAATGCCTCGGCACTGACAAAGGTCTAGCGTAGTCACGCGACGAATCAACCCGCTCCTGTTTGTACGCGGCCCACGGTGAACCAACTGCCTGTCCTGCGCACCGAGCAACTTATACACCCAGCGTGGCGTCTTCGCACATGTGAAGCCGCCAACGCTGTCATGTGGGCACACGCCGACGCCTGCTGAGCCGCCGAAACAATCTCCTGGTCACTCGCCGCTGACCTCGGAAGGAAGGCCGAGCTGGGGAATCTGGGGCAGCGCAAGCGCCATCTTTCTCTGGCATGTGAACGTCGGTCAAATGCCATATCAGACTGCGCGGTCCCCCGACGCCAGACCACTGCTGGAGACTGTCTCTCGCCGTTTCTTTCACTCCATGCTTCGATTTTGCGACAGAAAGTGAACAGAATCGAACCCATGTTCTACACCTAGCAACTATCCCCGCTCACGCTACCCTTAGCTTTCTCAAACGCCGCGGCGTCTGCTCCGAGCGCGCCTCCACCGGAGACAACAGCGCGGGGAGAATTGCCATATTTCAAGCTTTTTGAGCATTGAAGTCCGAACTCTGGAGTTCTCCCCTGGTGCACTTCAAATCAATTGTTCGACCACGTTTTGAAGACTTCCTCGTCATCCGATATTGGAATCTTTTCTGTGTTGTGCTTCAAGCCCTGGCTTAAAAAGCTGGTCGGGCGATCTTGCGCCGAGGTGTGAGCCGCAGTTGTGTGGGGAATCAGACCATGGCGTAGCTCACGCCGACCTGCGCCCAAGGTTGTCGAATAAAATATTCTGGAATTAGTCGACGCGACCCAGAAAGCAATGCAGCGTGGATCCTACGATGAGTGCACGAAAAGCTGCGTATACTCAAGGAACGATGAGTCGTGTGATTCTACGTCAAAACCTAGATTTCACCGATTTCACCACGAAACTTTCTTTAGATCTATCCGTTCGTCCCTAGCCGTTGTTGTTGTAACTCTGTATTTACCTGCAGAAATTATAAAGCCCCGCGCCGCCATATCCGCATAAGCCGTATGCTGGGCGAATAACGCTGGTATTGCAGCATTCGCATCGATCCGAAACCATCGGTTGAAATATCTTACACTGACTACGTGGATTACTCGCATTTGGTTCACTCCAACATATAGCGAAGCTCGCAAAGATCTCCAGGCCAGCCTCTAGACGTGCATCTTTTGATTTGTTTCTATTTGATCGACGACAAGTGATTGCTAGGCGGAGGTCGGATGCTACTCGCTGCATATGCGTTCTGCACCAGATTACCTAGGGAAGTATTGTGTACGGGCTCATCATCTGATATTGTCTTCACGCGTGAGCATTAAAACGTGGGACCTGTTACTATGTGGTGCCTCCTTAGTATTGAATTACGGTAAAGGTCATAGGCACGGAAGTTATCATTTCGTCTTCCTTTTTAGATTGAGTGGGACATATGTGCCTTCCCAAAATAGACGAACTTTTACTCCGCTTAATTATATACCGCAGCAATTCACAACGATAACCATCTTCCTTTGCACACGGGTAAACAATCTCTACAGCACAAAACGGAGAGATAGCTTGACTTCCACTTATCGTAACATGGGGTAGAATGCAACACGACAACAGTCCGTTCGTGAAAGCATGCGCCTCCCCATTGATCTGGCTTAGCCAATTATAGATATACTCGTAACATCTTGCCTCCCTCGTTCGAACAAAATGCTGCCAAATACAGTCAACAACATCAGGCACAGTGACCCCGATGAGCGTACAACCCCAAGCCACAGACGATAGGACCAAAGGTGGCAGCAATGACCACCTTCGCTTCATGCAATATTACAACTTCCCCTTCAGATCCTCATCAACAAGCGTATGATACTCCGCCAACGGCTTCGTCCCACTAAACGGCGTATTCGTATACCACTCATCCAGCTTCTTAATCCTCCCCCCTTCAACCACCAAATCGATGACACCTCTAAACTCAAACCTCTTCCCGGTAGCCTTGTGCTTCCCAAGATCATTTTTGAACGTGCCTACACGAATCCCTCGTCAGTGACACCCCTCCCTCAAGACAACGCGTAGAACGAATAGAGAAGAGGGAAGGAGATGAGTGTACAGTTGCCTGCTTCTCATGCGGGCAACGAGAACAGAGGGGAAATGTACCTCTATTAATCGTCCTGAAACTCACCCTCCCGTTGCCCTCTCCGTCCAAATCGTACCACACCGGCATACCCTCTGCGACGCTCATGACAAAGTCCGGATTTGCGGTACGCCAGAGGCTCCAATGTCGGGCTAGCGTTTTGTGCCCGGTTCGACGGATGAGAAAGGCATGGTCGATATACGTTCCGTCGGGCGTGAAGAGGTCGATCCATGCTTTTTGTGTCGAGTCGGAGGACCAAGCTGTTGTCCAGCGGGTGGGGAGGGTTTTTGGATCCATGATCTGGGGTGTTATGTGGGGGAGAGAGGAGCCGAGGGTTTCTGGTCTGCCACGTCGTAATGCTGGGTGTTGCTAAATAGCTTGCAATCAGCTTACGCCTATGCACACTACAGGTGCTTCCGGTCACATGCAGGCGTCATCACCCGTTAGGGTTGTAGAAGCCACAGTAAAAGCCACGTCTCCAGAGAGCGCAGGCTATGCGAAGAGCGGCATGCGAACGCGTAAGAGGAGAATGTCCAGAGCAATGGCCGCTTTGGGATCGTATTTAGCAATAAAGTTTCCGTGGTCGCCGAACGCAGTTTTTCCGGAACATAGCCTGAGGAAGAGCTTCTATAGACCTTATACAAGCCTCATCGACTGGTGTGGGAGGTTCAATAAGTTCAATGTCAAGGGTTGAAACAATCTCAACGGAAATTGTTCAGATCGCATCAGAGGCGACAGATTGAACAGAGAAATTGAGATTGCTAGATACAGTTCGAACGCACTCGCTCGGAACAAAGAAAACGGTAGTACTAGAGGAGCAAAAGGTATTTTGATGTTTCGGAGACGCCATCTGACCATTTCAAAAGAGATTTCCTATTGAGACAGCTGATGGCGAGGACGCATCTTCTATTATACATCTAATCTCAGAAACCGATCAGCACATTTTACCCCGCAAGATCCCAAAGAGAGTACCCACTCCTTAGATCTTCCTTTATGTGAAAGACTTGGTGAAGCTTGTGGCGACGTCCTTGAGCTTGGCCTCGAGGTCCTTGCTGAGCGCACCTTCCCGGTCGATCTGAGCAAGGAGCTCAGACTCGTTTGATCGGAGGTGGGCAAGGAAGTCAGCCTCCCACTGAAGGACCTTGCTGACGGGCACGCTATCGAGGATACCGTTGACACCGGAGTAGATCAAGGGAACCATCTCGTTAACGGCCATGGGGGAGTACTGCTTCTGCTTGAGGAGCTCGGTCAAACGCTCACCACGGCTGAGGGTCTGCTTGGTGGCAGCATCCAAATCGGAACCGAACTGGGCGAAAGCAGCGACCTCACGGTACTGTGCCAAGAAAAGCTTGAGCGAACCAGCGACTTGCTTCATGGCCTTGAGCTGGGCAGCAGAACCGACACGGGACACGGAAAGACCGACGTTAATGGCGGGACGGATACCCTTGTAGAAGAGCTCAGCCTCCAAGAAGATCTGACCGTCGGTGATGGAAATGACGTTGGTAGGAATGTACGCGGACACATCACCACCCTGGGTCTCAATGATGGGAAGGGCAGTGAGGGAACCACCACCGAGCTTGTCGTTCATCTTGGCGGCACGCTCGAGCAGACGAGAGTGGAGGTAGAAAACGTCACCGGGGTAAGCCTCACGGCCAGGGGGACGACGGAGCAGGAGGGACATTTGACGGTAGGCGACGGCCTGCTTGGACAGATCATCGTAGATGATCAAAGCGTGCTTGCCGTTGTCACGGAACCTGAGCAAAATTAGCGCGAGTTACAATAGAGCTTGACTGGACTTGACATGCCATTCACCCATCGAACAGCCTGTGAAAGGAGCTATGAAGCTGTCAGTAAGTGCATATGTTTAGTATCACGGAAATCTTACCGATGTACTGTAGGGGCGCAGCCTCAGAGGCGGTGGCAGCGACGATAATGCTATACTTCATAGCATCGTTCTCCTCGAGGGTCTTGACGAGCTGAGCGACGGTGGAACGCTTCTGACCGACGGCGACGTAGACGCAGTAAAGCTTCTTGGTCTCGTCGTTGGCGTTGTTCCATCGCTTTTGGTTCAGCATGGTATCGAGAGCGACGGCAGTCTTTCCAGTCTGACGGTCACCAATGATAAGCTCACGCTGTCCACGGCCAATGGGCACCATAGCATCGACGGACTTGAGACCAGTCTGTACGGGCTGGTTGACGGATTGACGGGGCAGGATACCGGGGGCCTTGAGCTGGGCACGGCGCTTCTCGGAGGACTTGATGGGACCCTTTCCATCGATGGGGTTACCGAGGGCATCGACAACACGACCGAGAAGACCCTCGCCGACAGGGACATCGACCTGACATTATTAGCTGCGTAATCCGTACTGCGACCGATGACTACTCACAATCTCTCCCGTACGCTTGACAGTCTCACCCTCCTTGACCAATCGATCGGAACCGAAAAGCACAACACCGACCTGGCCAGCTTCCAAGTTCATGCACATGCCCTTAACACCGGAGGCGAACCTGCATTATCGTCAGTGATTGCCTCCCTGGGCCTGGGGTGCTGGTTAAACGTACTCGACGAGCTCCTCAGCCTGGACGTTGTTCATGCCGTGTACACGCGCAATACCGTCACTAGACACCTAATGTCAGACTCTGAACTTGCTTTTGATGATGGCTGCAGCTGTCGTAGCTTGCGAGTTGGCATACCCGACGGAGAGAACACGTCCAGTCTCGGCGAGACCGGCCTCCTCCTGGACACCACGGATCCTCTGCTCGAGGATGGAGGACACCTCGGTCGGCGAGGCCTTCGCGTCGGACGCATAGCTGCGGACAGCGCTGTTGTAGAGAGGTGCCGTTGCGCGGGCCTGAAAATTCGTCAGTACTCGGCTCAACGGGAGCTTCCACGGAACCAGCGCGGCAACACCAACCCATCAACCAAGCTCCAATGCAGCGCCAATGGCATCGAGAATCGTTTCCGGAAGCTGGCGGCGATGGCGAGATGGATTGCGGGCGCAATTGCGGCTGGCGTCGATGGACTTACAGAGGAGATCTGTGCCCGGGCAGACACCGCCGCGAGGCGGCTCGACTGTCGGAGAGCTCGCGAGAACATTGTGGATACCTCAAGAGGTTATTGAGGCGGTTCTGCGATCAATTGCTGATGCAGAAGGAGGATGAGCGGAGATGGGTTGGAAGAGATGGAGCTCTGAGGTTGAGGGTGAGAAAAGCCCTTAGGGAAGGAACGCTTGGACCGGTTAGCGGCTGCGACTTTTCCCGATGTATTCCCTGAGCAACCGCGGCGTCCTCACCAAGCTCCAACTACACTCGAATGCATCGTAACTCGCAATATAATGTAGAAGATCTATCGTTCAAGAAACCTTTGGCCTATTGCGCATTGTATTGCACCTTTACGTCCACGATCATGTGCAAACTGCCCCCCTTTCTGATTACCAACGTCGCAGCTATCTAGAGCTTGCATGAGGTCTACATAGAGCTTCGTCCTTAGTCGATCTGTATGCAAAACAAATTAGAGGTACTTTTTTGGGTCATGAGCATAGTGTAGAGAACGGGAATTGATAGAAAATTGGTGCCAATGGAATTGGAACGTCAAATGCTCATTGAGCAAAGGCTTACAAGGCTGGTGAGGAAGTATTGTGGCATTGCATTCTAAGTGACCAGGCTGATGTGGGACAGCAACTATCATGTAGAAGAGGCAAATGAAGAAGGGTTCCGAGGTGAGGAAGTAGAGCTGAAGTCGAGGAATTGTAGCTAGTAGGCATAGTAGCGCCCACTGTAGCAGGTCAGTACCCGGGAGTTTCGAGCCATTATTGCAAATCTTCTAAACGAAGCGTATAACGCGAGAATGTTCCTTGTTCAAACAGACCGCTGTTCTAGCAGGCCATCCAACCTTGGAATCGGTTTCAACGCCAGCATAGAGACCTTGGTCACAAGCAATCCAAGAACGCCAAGTAAGCATCCGTGTTTGGGTGTTGTATTGGGTAGCCTGAGTTGACTTGACGTGCGATGCAAGTGTAGCTGTTGTCGCATGGGCGAAAGGTTGGCGCATACGGAAGTATTCGTACATATTACGTTCCCTTCAACAAAAATTATACATTTGTGGCTCAAACTCCAGGCTTGAAAACCGAGACCCTGACACGACTCGATACACATCGCGACGGCCAATGTTCCCTCGCATCTTTAACTATTACACCCAGCAATGCACATTGGTATCCTACCATCCGCTCAAATGCAGATACATCTCTTACGAATCTCTGGACAGATCCCTGCTATAGCAACCATATTCAAGTTATTCCTAGAAGTCTCTCGAACGCGTTCCCATCACGGTACTCTAATTATTCCCTCTCGCCAATTCGGGTGATCGTGCTCCTCAGAGCAGGTCCCATGTGTCGATCAATAGATCGTTCTGTGGGCGCTCTAGTGTTTGTCCTAGCATCTTGGTAGACGGGTTTACGATGTCATGGTTCCGTTCGCGCTTCCATTCGCCGTCTGTCCTTTCTTTACTTTGAATTGGCGAATGTCCTCTTCCACGGCCTTGTCTACCCGCTTCTTCAAGTCGGGTCGATATCCAAGCGTGAACAGGATCTCGAACCAGACGAAGAACGGAGCGAGAAGGAAGGCTTGCACGATGTTGTCAAGCAGTGCGGGAGCTCTCCCTTCAAACTTGCCGTGCCCTATGAATTGTGCAACCCAGGAAGCAATGAATAAACCTCCAGCCCATTTGTTCGCATTTGCGCCGTACGTCGAGGTAAGATGGTTCCCATAAACGGTAACACCAATCAGTATAGGCGCGAGCATGGCTCCTGCTACAGGCTCCATGAGCATATATGTTGTCGTGTACAAGACAAGGAAGCCAGCCGCAAAGTTGAGGGGCAGGTGGGGAACGGTAAGCCACGGTGGCAGCGGTATTTCGGGGGTGTTCGTGAGCTGTAGTTGATCAGGCCTTTTCCTTTTCACGTGCTTGGTTTAACCTACGAGAACAACGCTCGCGAAGAGGATGAGGGGCACGCAGACAGTGTGTATGCCGATATTTACCTGGGGTGGGCGGTGTGAGTGGGAGCGAGCACTTCGCAGGTCACTTTGACGACCCTACCTTATTGTGGTGGTATGCACCATACTGTCTTGTAGTTAGGGTTTTGATAGTACACACAAAGAACGCAGTGACGTACAAAGCGCAGCTGTTTCTCAAGGTTGAGAGCCATGGTGCCGGATGTGGTTGGAGTTTGATCGGTTATCGGTGTAGCAGGGCTAACGACATAGCTTTTGTGAAGTAGAGATCAGGCTCGAGCCACTGGTTCTATTGCACCCGCGGGACGGACAGCAGCGGCTTGTGGAGCGAGATGGTGTGGGTGAGACGGAACAGGACATTCTTCACGTGCCATGGCGAGTATTATGTAAGCTGCGACAGGCGCAATGGATCAGCGTTGCTCGCGCTTCTGCTTCAAAGGCAGCTGTCGAACTCCAGCCGCACCCCAATCTGTCCACGAGGCCCCGCGAGACCCCCTCGACGGACGATAGAACATTGATACACGCGCGATTTGGAGGAAGGGTGCATGGAACGGGTCTGTCCTTGATATCCAGGTCGCGGTCGTCTCTTTGAGACTTTTGCGCGAGCCTCTGCCGCTCTTTCACGGGTCGTCGCGCGAATAATAAGAATACAATACCACTGTCGCCTCAGCTAGCGCAAGCTGCCTTTCTCTCATACCCACGCTCGCCGTCTCGACCGACGCGTCAACGCCGCTTGCCCCCACAAGAGCTCAACCCGCAACGAACCTACGTGGTCGCAATCAAAATGTTCTTCATAAAGGAGCTCGAAAAGACTATCACACTGCACCCATCGTACTTCGGGCCGATGATACGGGCGCATCTACACAGGGAGCTTCTTTCGAAGGAAGAGGGCTCAAATACGGGGTCCTTCACCATTGTGTGCATTTTGGACTCGTTCGATATCTCTGACGGACAAGTCGTACCTGGGTCCGGCTCCGCTGAGTACACAGTGCACTACAAGGCTATCGTTTGGAGGCCGTACAAGGGAGAGGTCGTATGTGATGCCCGTGAAATGTGTGCCTCGCAAGCAGGACTGACAACTGCTAGATGGACGGTATCGTGACCTCTGTCGTCCGGTCCGGCTTCTTTGTCAGCTGTGGCTCCTTGGAGGCATTCGTGAGTCGCGCGGTATATCTACCCTCGACGATGCTTTACCTTTCATTTGCTAAACCAGCTAGATGATCCCGTCTGAGATCAGGTATGATGCCAACGCAACGCCGCCGCATTGGACGGACAACGCCGACCAGGTCATCGAGAAGGGTACCAACGTACGCATCAAGATCAAGGGTGTGCGTTCTGAGGTCGACAGACAGTTCGCCATCGGAACTATGAAAGAGGTATGTTCAAAGGAAACCACTGTTCCAGAGTGCAGTTCAGCGTACAGATTATTGGCTGTGCAATGTACTCTGGAACGGTTCGAGCCGCAATGTATATCCACTGTAGGTACATGGGCTGACTATTTGGTAGGACTACCTTGGCCCTCTACAGCAATGAGATGCTGAGCCTAGGCGACGTCTCATGATCGCGCTTGGCAGCCAACTGCAAGTTTTGCAAAAACGTATCTTCGGGGATTGGAATGGGCTTCGTGACGGGGACAGAAACGATACCAAACTTAACAGTGGTGCGTGTGGCGACACTGAAGCCAGAGTATGGCTGCAGCATTTCTCGTATTCCATCACAGAAACGCACACTACATGGTAGTGCCGGGCAGAAAACATGTGGACTGACACATGTGCCCAAAGACCTTCCCCTCACATTTTGCAAGTCTGCTGTTTCCTGACCTATCTGGCAATGCTGCGACAAGTTTCTGGAACTATACATGAGTTTTGCACTCGGGGTGTATCAAAGCAGTGGAGAAGCGAGGCCAATTCCAGACTCTTGACGGAGTAGCTAGTGACTTGGCTCTTGGTCTTTGTTCAGATAGTATGCTACATTCGGACTTGAATGAGACGGTTCAATGAATTATTGAAGTTGGTGGCGTGCCCGTAAAGCTGCTGGTAGCCTCGACTGTGGCTGCGGTATGCTTGTCTCGGACCTCCGCCCCCCTCCGCCGCTTTGTCCAGCTGTGCCTCGTAGCCGCCCTCTGGCCACAACCTTCGAGCTTCTCCACACATGTTGCTCGTATGAACGTCTGATACGCTGCGTTCTAGACCATCAGGTCGTGATTCCTATAATTCTTGTTTATGATGATAAGATAATACAGCACACTCGCGCCTCCCTACAACAGCCACCATGAGCCCTCGTGAGCGCGCCGTGAACGACGAAGAGACGGAGCCTCTTACCCGCGCCGATATACCCTCTCGTGACTCCGCAGAAGGCTCCGGAAGCTCCGTGTCCTCGGTCTCGACGACGTCACTGGTGTTGGAACACATTCACGACAATGCGACAAATGGCGCATCGCGTGCGACATTCGGGGAGAAGTACAGGGACGACGATAACGGGGAGCCTCAGCGCAGGCGCGAGCGCTTCGATGTCGAGGATGGGCTATCACAGGGTCTCAAGCCCGTCCAAGGGGTAGACAGGAAGACACGACGTCTGCTCTGGATCATTGGTACCATATGCGTAGCTGGTTGGGGGCTCGCGTTGTTCTCATTCCTCTTTAAAGGCGACTACAAACACGCTTCTACCCGACCGCATGATCCCCTCGCAACTTCCACAAAGGGCTCGGGAAAGAAAGTCACTCTGGACAGTGTACTGAGCGGACAATGGTACGGGGACAGGCAGAGTGTATCTTGGATTGCAGGGCCGCAAGGCGAAGATGGCCTATTGCTCGAAAGAGGCGTTTCCGAGGGCGGGTACTTGGTGGTAGAGAACATCAGGGATCAAGGCACGGCACAGGTTGCCGCGAGTAGGACCCTACTCATGAAGACTCGCAACTTCAGAATCAATGGACAGTTCGTCTACCCGAACAACTTTTGGCCAAGCAAGGACTTCAAGAAAGTGCTCATCATCGCGGACGAACAAAAGAACTGGAGGCACTCTTTCACGGGAAAATACTACATCTTCGATGTCGCGACCCAGACGGGGGAACCGCTGGACCCAGCGAACCCAGACGGTATCGTTCAGCTAGCGTCCTGGTCGCCACAATCTGATGCGGTTGTTTTCACGAGGAACAACAACATGTATCTCCGCAAGCTAGATTCCGATACGGTTGTACCCATTACAAAAGATGGAGGCACTGAAGTGTTTTACGGCGTTCCGGACTGGGTGTACGAAGAGGAGGTGTTCGCGGGCAACAGCGCGACCTGGTGGTCGACAGACGGAAAATATATCGCCTTCCTTCGTACGAACGAGTCTACCGTCCCTACATTCCCTGTTCAGTATTTCGTCTCTCGACCGAGCGGAAAGAAGCCTAGGCCTGGAGAAGAGAACTACCCTGAGGTTCGGGACATCAAGTACCCTAAGGCAGGCGCGCCCAACCCTATCGTGGACCTACAGTTCTACGATGTAGACTTGGGCGAGGTGTTCAACGTAAACATCGAGAATGACTTCGCTGACCATGACCGTCTCATTACCGAAATCACCTGGGCAAGGAACAAGCAGGTTCTCGTCCGTGAGACGAACCGAGAAAGTGATGTGTTGAAGATGATCTTGATGGACGTGGGCAAGCGAACAGGCAAGACTGTACGTACCGACGACGTGCAGGCTTTGGACGGCGGGTGGATGGAAGTGTCTCACACAACTACCTTTGTGCCGGCCGATCCTCAAAAGGGACGCAACGAAGATGGATACGTTGATACCATAATCCACGACGGTTATGATCATATCGGTTACTTCACTCCGCTGGACAGCACAAAGCCTGTACTGCTTACCCAGGGCGAGTGGGAGGTAGTCGATGCACCATCACGAGTCGATCTGAATAATAACCTGGTCTATTACATCTCGACCGAGCGCGGCTCTATGGAACGTCATCCTTATGTTGTCAAGCTCGACGGCACAGGAAAGAAGGAGGTCATGGACAACGCTGCAGCTGGATTTTACGACGCTTCCTTCTCCACTGGCGGTGGCTACGCTCTGGTTACCCACGAAGGCCCTAGCATCCCATGGCAAAAGATCATCAGCACACCGTCCACTTCCTCAAAGTTCGAGAAAACGATTGAAGAGAATAAGAAGTTGGCGAAGCTCGCCGGACAACATGAGCTTCCTATCCTCAACTATCAGATGGTAGATGTCGATGGCTTCAAACTCAATGTCGTCGAACGCCGCCCTCCACACTTCAACGAGAAGCGGAAGTATCCTGTGCTCTTCTTCCAGTACAGCGGCCCCGGTTCGCAATCGGTAGATAAGAAGTTCTCGGTCAATTTCCAGTCGTACGTCGCATCCAGCCTGGGCTACATTGTTGTCACCGTCGATGGTCGAGGTACCGGTTATCTAGGTCGCAAATTGCGTTGCATCACGCGCGGCAACATCGGAGGCTACGAAGCGCACGACCAGATCGCCGTAGCCAAAATGTGGGCGAAGAAGAAGTACGTCGATGAAGAGCGGCTAGCAATCTGGGGCTGGAGTTACGGAGGTTTCACAACGCTCAAAACTTTAGAACTAGATGCTGGTCAGACCTTCAAGTACGGTATGGCTGTGGCTCCTGTAACAGACTGGAGGTTTTATGGTGAGCACTCTATTCCCCCTCTCATCGCATTACCATGCTCATATTTCTTGCAGACTCCATATACACCGAACGCTACATGCACACGCCGCAGAACAACCCCGGCGGCTACGACAACTCCAGCATCCACGACGTCAAAGCCCTGTCCCAGAACGTTCGCTTCTTAGTCATGCACGGCATAGCAGACGACAATGTACACATGCAGAACACGGCCACGCTTCTTGACAAGCTGGATCTCGGAGGAGTGGAGAACTACGACGTGCATTTCTTCCCAGACTCGGATCATAGCATATACTTCCACAATGCGAACAAGATTGTCTACGACAGTAAGCACCACCCCTTCCTTCCTCAGAAATCATCTGCTAATGTTGCAATTAGAACTAAGCTCATGGCTCGTCAACGCGTTCAACGGCGAATGGCTACGGTTACAAAATGTTAAACCGAAAGCGCAAGAGAAAGAGCGGTAGCGTGGCTTTTTCGCGACAGATCTAGGGGCATACTGAGCGCATGGCGTTGGGTGGAGTTAGGAAGGCAATGTTACGCAATTGTACCAATACTAGTGGTCGCGCTCCTCATCATGCCTGATTTCATAATAGATCATTCATACGTGAGGTTTCCTGTGTATACTCGAATGTGGATGAGTGTCTTGCCAGGTTACGATCAGGCACGAGTTCGTCATCATCGAAACGCAAAAGTGCCGCAGGGAAAAGTTACACAGTGTATAGTGAAAGTGACCCATCAGTTCATTGGCGGTCGCTCGTTGGGTCAACGGAGAGTGGCTTAAGAGTGCCGTGGTAGGTTACATTGTGAAGTGATAAACACACATAGACACAAAGCACACATTCACAACTGCAAGAGGAACAATCATAGTATGTCCAGACTCTCCTTGATGAGCAGTCTGAAGTGCCTGGCTCTTACGTCGCAGGTCTTGTGTGATTGGGTATCTATTGAAGCAGATCCTTGATAACTCCATCCCATGCAAACGCTATGCTGCCATATCAAAACAAAAACCTCCATGATTGTACACTTCCATAACGTTCCGTATCAGCACTGGCATTCTGGATTGATGCGGTTGTACTCAAGACAATAATCCGAACGGGGCTGTACTCAAATCAATAACCCGAACGTTTTTCGCTAACATGCCCGGACGCCCTCCATCCTCTAGCTGTTGAAGGAGTCAGGCCCGAGAGTATCCTTAGTGGCGAGGAAGAGCTGCCCAGCGGCGTTGATATCCCACTTCCCGGCTTCCAGGCACTGGAGAGCCATCTCGCGCTTGAGATTGGTCTGCTCCATGACGTAGACGACCATTTGCTCTTGCTCAGGGGTAAGGCCAGAGACTGGGACTGCCGGAACTGTCGGTGTAGGTACTAGATCGGTTGCCGGCGCTGCCGGGACTGCTGGGCCGGCGGCGGCGGGTGCGGCTGGCACAGGATCAGGGCGAACCTGCTGGCCATTGAGGATGCGGAGCTTGGGAAACCACGAGATGAGTTCCTCTTCCCAGCCCGGCTCGGTGATCTCGACGATGAGATGTTCGAGTGAACGGAACCTATTCTTCCACGGCTTGAGCACGCGGACACTGGCAAACTTATTGCCGGATAGGTCGAGGTTCAGAATGTGAGGTAGTGTCGTCGAAAGGTTGCGCACGACATCCAAGTTTGGTAGATTATTGCCTGCGAGCGTTACGCTGTGGATCATTTCGCGCTTCTGATCTTCCGATTTGAGAGTCTGGTCGCAAATAACCATCAAGGCGGGGAAAAACTTCTGCTGAGTCCGCGCATCGTTGAACATGCCTGACTTCGCCACCTCTTCGTCGTCGGCAATCTTTGACAGATTGAGCAGCTTCTCCTCTGCTTGGTAGCGGCGGAAAAGGAAGCCTTTGAGCATTTCGATGGTCTCCGACGTTTCTGGTTTGTCGGTGCTCTTGTCTTTGTCGCCAGACGTTGTGTCCATGGCATTTGGGGACTTGCTGCGGATTCCGGGGCCGGTGATGGTAAGTTTCTGAGTACCATGCGCGGAGTTGAAAGTGAAGCCATTGATTTTGCCGAAGGCTGGGACATCGTCGGGACGGACGAAGATCTTGAGGAGAGTGCCAGCTGCTGAATGTCGCTTGACCATCTTTGGTGGTACGCTACCCTTTGTGGTCTTCTGGCTGCGTCGTGCAGCATGGCGCTCGAGGAAATTGAGGATCTTGGCCACCTCTTTGTCATCGGTCCAACCGGTCACCTTGAGCTCGGTGAAAGGAGCCGTGTGTGATTCTCGAGTCCTCGGCTTGGAACCCGAACCCCGCGCAGCCGTAGCAACTCGAGGTGCTGCACCCATGACCAGGTCACCGTCTCGGTCGCGCTTCTGGCGCTGTTTGCGGATGCCGCCGCCGCGCGGACGGGAGATAGCAGAGCCAGTCATGGCGACGTGGAGCTGGTTGCGGGGGTACTTGTTTGAGGAAGTAGAGCGCCTCTGAAGCACCGAAAAGCTGCGGAAGGGTTAATTTGGGTTGTTGTCGCATGTCTCGTGGGAAATACCGACCCGAAAGTGGCAGGAACGACCGTAAAGGACTTCGAGGTGTGCGCTTTACTCGAGCGCGGAGGATTTCTAGTGCGTCTGGCGGGGAGTGAGCTGTTCCGGGTAAGTGAGCGCGAGCGGCGGGGTTGTCTTCGAGAGACAATAGGCAGCAGAAAGGTCTGTTATATGCGCAGAGGCACGAGAGGGCAAACTTTGGGACCACGATAGCGCACAGACAGTCTTGGCAGTCGCAGAGCCGCAGACACACTAGCGGCTTCGGTGTACCCGTTGAAGTTTCCCGTTTCTTTGCTACACAACCATGCCAACACACTCATGCCAACAATTCCCTGCTTCTACCGAGTTCTTCGACGCTTGATCACAGGCGGTAATGTACCTTTTCTACGACCGATTATATCGTTGGGTGTATTAAGGCTACAAGGCATCTGCCAGGCAACAGCCAGGCTATGGTCAGGCGCGACAGGTGAAAGAGAGTTGCTGCTACCAAACGCTACTACCTTAGTCAGCTGTGCTTTCAGTTAACAGAGCCCGGGCCGTTTTCCGTTAAAATATGTCTGAGTTCTGGTGAATTAGTCACAACATACCACAGGTGCCAATTCACTAGACTTCGCGTCGAAGATGGCCATGAATGATCAGGTCACAACTTTACAAACGTTCTACAGATGGAGTTGCCCTAGGCTGCATAATAAGCTAATTGACTTCTTATAGCCTTGTTAGCTGACAAGCTTGACACCAAGGTCTGGTATTAGTAGCGTCTGGCGTCCAATGGTTCAGTTCTCTATGTCTATCCTAGGAGCGGGGATGATGCGCTGCACCACCTAAATGATCAACATATCTAAATGAGCATTCAAGGGACTTGGATAGCCCAACCTAATACAGTAGCCCGAGGCATTTGCTGAAATCGAGTCGCACTTCAATCTTTTAATGTAACGATATTGAAGAATGCCTTAGGAATACGCAAAAAAGTATTACAACAGGATTGCGAATGTACTCCTCCGACTAATACTGAGTAGGTGTATCTGTACTAAGTGAATCAACTGTACGAATGCGCGAACCCTTGAAGATCCCTGCACAGCTACCTACCCCGCCATGCCCCGCCACACGTTCACAGAGCACGCGTGTGCGCCCGACGGCTCCCTACATCAACACCACGGCTCATACCAAACACTCGAGTCAACGCGTCTCGCTTCACATTGACAGCCATGGCTACCGAATCGTATCCAAGGACAGTACTCTACTGCGGAGGTCAGTACTATTGTTCCCCCCCCGCACACGTTCTCAGATAGCTGATCTTTTCTCAGTATGCACGCTCCCGCCTGAAGTAGGTACGATCCTGCCCTGCGTCTAACGGCCAGACATCCTGACGAATAATCCCAGTATTGCGAATTCGGCGGTACCACAAGAAAGTGTGAGGAATGGCTTGAGGAGAACAAGCCGGAACTGCACAAGAAGTTGTACTCACAAGGTACGCCGCCCAACTACACCAGGTCCCATAACAGTCTGAGACTCGTCGAAAGAGTCTCAGTTGTACCAGAGATGGCCAAGCTAACTTTCCAACAGAAGCCCTCGAGCAAAACCTCTCCGCCCTCTCCCTCGACGCCCAAAAACGCGCCGAAAAAGACTCCCAGAAGAAAGCCGCCAAAGCCGCCGCCGCCGAAGCCCGCGACGCCGAAACGCGCGCCTCCTCCAAGATTTTGATTAAGCGCATCGAGCGCAACAAGCGCAAGTACGTCACCGCCGTACAAGGTCTCGAGGCCTTTGGCCTGGACATCAAGAAGGTGGCCAAGGACTTCGGCAAGAAGTTTGCGACGGGTAGTAGCGTGACGAAGGTGCCGGGCGGCGGGGAGGAGATCACTGTGCAGGGAGACTTGAGTGAAGATATCCAGGAGTATATCGAGGAGAACTATAAGAACGTGCCGGACGATAATATTGAGTTGATTGAGGATAAGAAGAAGAAGAAGGCGGAGCAGCAGGCGGTATGAGTTGGGTGAGCGGGACGTGGAGAGTACGAGTGAAGTGTTGCAGGAGCAGGGAAGACATGAGCAGAGATCCATCATGCGGAGCCGGCTGTGGAGTCGAAAAAGACCACAGCGTCTCAGACCCCAGCGGGTTATAGCGCGTGCGTGTTGTGCACCTACATCACTGGTCAGGGAAATAGATTGGGACAATGAAATCGAACCACGACTTCAATCGAAGATATGACAATGATGCATCCTGACTTTGTGGCCTCATAGCCAATGCCATTGTATAGGTCTTCGCCTAACAGCTACATATGGCCCTCTGAGTAGAGCCGTTGATTTTCCAATATGCGGATCTTAGGCTCCATGCGCACCTCTGCCCAATAGCCCCTCAGAAGCTGATATCTAATCAGACCTTCCGCCGTACGCCATAACCGCGCAATTCTCGTTGACCAGTTTTCACGAGCGTTATCCCCTCTGTCCACCACATCAAGCGGTTCGACCGGCGATCCGCTCTCTTCATTGGGCTTCAACACTCGCACCCCACCAAAAGCATAAACCACGTGCACCGTGCTCCATGCCCCGATAATCTTCGCGGGATTCTCGGCCAGTACGTAGTGAAACTTATTCCAGAACCTTGGGTCCAGCAAAACCTCCGGATCTTCCGTCTTGTCGTAGGTCCACTTCCTTTTACCAACCAAGTCTTGTGCTTCTAGGACATCAAGAATGGTTTGCGGTCCTTCGTGATTTTCCAAAAATCGGGTGACGCCGGTCTGGCACGCAAGGTTGTCGAAGTAGACATTAGTGTGGTCCCAGTGAACACCGAAAGCGCCATTGATGTTGTTGTGGAGATGTTCGATAGCCTCGCCGCCAGGATAGTTCAGGCTTGAAATAGCCAGCAGAGCTGTTGATGCTACGAAGGAGACCAGCACCGAGGCTACTAATGTTAGACTGAGCACCGCATAGATGGCCGTCTTGCCTCGTCGCGTCCAGATCCAGGAAGCTCCAACAGCGGCGACACCGGTCAAGGCAGGAATGATATAGATGACGAAGCGCCATTCTTTGTGTGGTAGAAAGCTGAACAGACCGACGAATGCTAATGTCGGAATCAAGAGATCGAGACTTCTTCCACGGGTGGCAGCAGGCAGGAGTGCAGCAGGTATGCAGAGGAGATACGTAATGGGGTTCAACATCAACCGCGGCAGCGCATTGACAAAGTAGAAGTACCATGGAGAGACACCCCAATCGGCGGAGTGTCCTTGGACAGTGTTGTAGTAGAATGCCACCCACTCGGGCCACAGTGGCTTCGATTGCCAGAAAAACGAATCAACCGAGATAGTCGTAAGAAGTCCGATCGCGGCTCCGGCGAGTCCAGCAGGAATGATCACGCCAATGATCGAGATCCTCCCAGAGACGAACAGATAGAGTGTAGTTGTGGCGACCAATATGGCAAGCTCGGAGCGGAAGACCACGCCAGCAAAGGTCAGAAGATACAAAGAGAGCCTGTAGCTTCGAGACATGCTTCTAGCGTCCCATGGCGTGGTATAAGCATTGAGCAGGCTTCGCAATGCTATGTTTGCTAGGAGGTGTCAGCGAATTGCATGGGAAGATCGAGAGGGAGACTTACTAAATATGAAAGCGAACATATTGGGCAACGTTCGAGATGCATAGTAGATGACATGAAACTGGCTAGCTTGAAAGAGTGCGAACCATATACCAGCACTCTTGCCAAATACCCTTGCAATACTTCTCCCGAAAGCTACAAGGGCTGCGGCGTTCAGTAATCCCAAGATACCGCGAACTGATCCAAGCAGTTAGGAAAGGTACATAAGCGATTTTGACGGGGGACTGACCGAGGAATTGCAACTGCGTCGGGGAACTGAGCAACCACACGAATGGCCTCGATAAACCACTTAGAATCAGCGCACCCACAAAGGTTCTAGGCACGCTCCCGGGAAAGGAGAAGTGGTCGTAGTTCGCTGTGAAGAACTGATCTGCATTTTCGCTCGGTATGCCGTGTATCAAGATGTCGTGAATCGCCTGCACATTGAATGATTCCTCGACTTTAGTATACGGCGAAACCCAGAGGTGGAGCAAAATGAAAGTCGGAACGAGGGCGTAGAACGCCCATTCTATCCCTGCCATAGCATCAATCACGACTCTCGAGCTACCAAAGAGCTCGCAAATAGATACAGAAGGTGATGATGACGGATGGTTGAATGTAGTAGGCTCGCTCGGCTGCAGCTTACGTGTCGGAATTCACGTGCCCAGGCGTTGCGCTAAACCCCTGCACCTCATCCGACCGCACCACAGTCAAAACCCGCGATGGGGATCACTTCCCTCAACCAAATTGCAGTACCCGGTGTCTATCTTTTGATTTTCTTTCTCGGGTATCCGTCGCAAATTTTGTTTTATTACCTTGATCCGGCGCCGTTGACGAAGAATGAGCTCTACATTAGTAACGTAGTGCTTGTGATCATCTTCATCACATATACCAAGTCTGTTTTCGTAGACCCCGGGACGATACCTAAGTCTCATGGCGAGGATAATGAAAAAGAGCATGGAGCAGATAGAGAAAGGCGAAGAGATGGAGTGAAGAGGACGAAATGGTGCCGAAAATGCGACGCTGCAAAGCCGCCGAGGGCTCATCATTGTAAGGAGTGCAAAAGGTATCTTGTTCTGCTTCTTCGAAAGACAGCATTCAATGTTTTAATCGGTTATCAAACGCGCAATTCCACGAGCATTGGCTGACAACACCCCAGATGTGTCCCGAAAATGGACCACCATTGCCCCTGGACCGCCAACTGCGTCTCCCACACCACCTTTCCCCACTTTCTCCGCTTCTTATTCTACACTTCTGCCGGACTCTCATGGCTAGAATACCTCCTCTGGATACGCATCTCCTACCTCTGGGAAAACCGCAACATGCCCGCCTACCTTGGTCCCAACCCCTTTCTAGTAGCACATCTCTTCGCCACGACCGTAATCAACTCCATCACCCTCTTCGCTCTTGGTGTTTTGTTCATAAGAAACATTTGGTGTCTCGTCGTCAACACAACAACGATCGAGGGTTGGGAAATAGAGCGCCACAAAACCCTCTTACGACGCGCTCGGCACTTCGGAGGCGTCCTGCAGAGTCCGGACGGAAGCAAAGTGCCCATCAGGAGACAGGAGTTCCCGTACGACATCGGCATATGGGAGAACATCAAGCAGGGTATGGGATCCGGAAATGTAGGTATCCACCCTCCTTCCTGTCCTGACTACTGCTTCCCATCCTCAAGACTAACACCGCCCAGCCCCTTTCCTGGTTCAACCCTCTCGCCTCAAGCCCATCCGTCGCCACAGGCCTGAATTTCTCCACCAACGGCTTCGAAGACTCCTCCGTCTCCTGGCCTCCGCCAGACCCGGACCGCTCCTACCGTCGCCCACCCCCCTCAGCTGACACCTCAGGTTTCACATACGTCGAGTCCACGCTCTCACCTCAAGACTCGCTCGCCGCCTTCCGCGAGCGCCAACTCGCCGACGCCGTACGCCGCCGTAAGCCATTCGTTCAGCGCGTAGAAGCGCAGCTTGCTCGAGACAGAGACGGGGACGGCCTCGGAGACGCGTACGGCGATGGTTTGAGCGAGGGCGAGATGAGTGACTCAGACGATGTGCAAGGGGGAGGCAAGCCAGGGGACGCAGACGGCGAGGGCGAGGAAGCGTGGCGCAATTCCGAGGGCGAGAGACTAAAGGACTTTGGCGTGGACGAGGACGTCGAATTCTACGATGAGCAGGAGGACGACGACGTACCCTTGGGCGAGCTGCTGGCGCGCAAGAGGGCCGCTTTGGGAACGGCGAATCCATGAAAGGTGGGGGAAGTCAGAAGTGCAGTCAAGAAAGAGCATTTAGAGGGACGAGGTTTCGCCCGATTTGTATATTCGATATCTACACATAGATCTGCATGACTTGGCGCGTAGCCGCGCTCGGCGATGTACATGTTACACATCAACAGCAAGCAGTCAGGTGGTACGTCGCCACCACCAACCGTGTCACCCAGTCGGAAACTTCTGCCCGGTGCGGACCAATCAGCCCAAATCCACGCACCAATCATTCCAAGTCCACGGATCAAGCATGACATGGCCGCGTGTTTGGACGGGAAGATGCAGGTACATCGGGCTTGTACCTTGCAACAGGTACAGTGGCGCGTCCGTCATGTACATCAGGTTAGGGTACATATGTACATGTACATCCGCACGTGGGCCGCAGACTAACGTCCCAGGATCTGCAATCGTGACTAGAGTACTACTAGAATAGGCTATAATGAGTGGGTAGTGTACTACAGGGGATTGCGTGAGCAATGGAGAAGTCTATTCCAAAAATGTCAAAGAGGGATAGGTGCCTGATGTGCCATCGCCCGACCTTCCCGTGTCCAAGACAACCGTTACGTCCAACCAAAACCCCTGACAATGCTATGCCCCGATAGTTTGCCGGAAAGAAATCGCTTTCGACCTTCATACAAGATCAACCATGGAAAGCCTCCATAATCCTCGCGACCTCAAAATGAATCGTACAGTCTGATCCGCCATTGCTACTCATCGTCCACGTAACCGCCTTCTTTTCCGGTGACCAAGATGCCGTCCCAAGACGAGGTGTGAGTGCGGATTTGATATGCAGCTCTCGCTCACGTCTCTTCTCCGCGGCTCGGCGTTTAGAACTCGGCGGCGCCGTTTCCGTTGTGGACGGTGTAGCCAAAGGCGGTGTTGTCGTTGTCGGCCATCTCCGTGTCGCCGCTCAGAACGTTCGGGTGTTGGGCACTCTCTGCGCCGGGATTGCCACCTGCAGCGGACCCTGCTGCATTGAACTGGTTGGCCCCAGCAGGTTTGTTCTGATTTGCGAGGAGGGTCTCGAGCCACCAATCAATAAAGAGTTCAGAACGTGTCTTCGCCAAGTGGAGGCAAGGGGGCGAAGGAGAGTCTAGTAGCTTACCTCGCGGTACCTTGATAGATAGATCTTGAGCGCTTCCGAGTAGTTCTCGAAGCCCAAGGAGGTCATGGCGAACAATATGTCCTCGCCGTTGACCGTCTTGCGCTTCTCCTGCTGGCACTTTTCGCTGGCTGTGCACAAGGTCAGCGGGCACGCACGCGTGCTTGCTCAACGGGGGACTCACCCTCGCTCGTGATGAAGGAGATGAACTCGCTGACGCATTCCTGCATGCATTCCTTGGCTTCCTTTGCAATCTTTGCGTTCTCGGGTAGGGCCATCTTCATGATGCGGGCGACTGGAGCAAAATTGCGTATGTTAGCATCTGCAGCAGCAGAGTTTGCGGGCTTGGGCGTCGTCTGTGGCGGCGAGGAGCTGCTCTGCGGGGAAGCGGACGACATGGCGCGTCTGCAGGGCGGCCGTTTGCTGGTACACTCGAGTGGCAGGCGGTGATTCGGCGGGCAGACGAGGCAGACGCGCGATTGACGGGTATGCGGGCATCCAGCAACGCCAGACGTGGGCAAACGGTCGACGTGCAGACAACGCGCAAATCAGAGGGCAGAGGGGAGACGTGAAATAGACGCACCATTGGCGATTGGAAGCCATCGGTCCTGTTCCTTGACTTCAAACTCGTACCCGAGTCCCTGCGCTTGTGTTTCCTGAGCTTCTCTGTCCATATGCGGCTCCGAATCGTCAGGCGACTGCGGTGCTTGTTCCACGCCGTCATTCTTGGGCGGGGTGGACGACATGTTTATTCGGCCTGTTGCAGGCCCTAGCACGGCTTGCGAGAGCCTGTGTGCGCTGGCTATTCGCTGGCGTCCACGTCACTGGGAGGATGCAGCGCAGCACACTTCGTGGGTGCGACGCCTGGGGGGTTAGCGTGCATGCGGGCGGCCAGAGGCACAGGAAGGCGCGGGCAGGGAGGGAAAGGGCAGCGCAGGGCGGAGGGCAGGCGCAAGGGGCAGGTTGCAGTGGAGGAGCGGTGCGGTGCCGTGGGACGCCCGTTGAGACGGCCTCGACGACCGCGGGCGTGATTGGGCTTACACACGACGGGGCTTGCTGTTGCTGCGTCCTGGCTCTTGTCGTTCTACCGTGGCAGATGTCACTCTCCACCGTGTGCGACGTCTGGGGCGCGCCGCGGGCTGGGGCACGATGGCGGGCGGTGGGGACGGGCGGGCAGGCTATGCGCGAGTGGTCGCAGGAGCGGCCGCAGGGGGCGCGTGCTGCTGCTGGCGGTCTGTCTGCGGAGCGTGAGCGGTGGCTGCACACGATGTCGGTCGTTGCGGTTCATTCAACAGCTCACAGGAGCTTGCGCGCGACACCACAGCGGCCGGGCACGCTAGCCTGCGCGCCGGATGCGGACTCACCAGGATATGCGCCGAGCTTGGACGCGTGAGCGACGTGTGCGAGCGCAGCCAGTCGGAGTGCGCTGGCGGTCAGAAATCCGGGCGAAGAGCGAATCGAACGAGGTGAGCCGCCGTCGAAATGTGCGCAGAGCTCCACTCATAACCCGAGGAATTTAGGCTCCCCGGCCCCTTCAGCTCCCCGCTGCGGCCCGCCCGCTGCTTTCCCCTCAGACAGAGACAGCCTTGTTCTCGCGGCCGGCCCTCATTTCATCCACCCGAGACCGTTTCAACATGCTACAGCGACTGCTTCCCAAGCCATCCGCCCTCTACAGCGTGTTTGTTGGCGCTGACACGGGCGAAAATACGAGCCCCTCACGCCATGCTCGAGCGAGCCAGCCCAGCGCAGGCGGCCGTTCAAGAGGCCCGCCGATCATGCATATGCGGGTGATCGTGGTGTCAGCTCTCATTCGACTGCCCTGTGAGCTCTAGCAACGCGCTTGCTTTTTCTCCTACTGGGTCGCTTGCTTCTATTCGAACGTCGTCTGTAGCACTACAGTGAGCACAGCAGGACCGCTGTTTCTCCGAATAGCTTTTCTTTTGTTGAAACGTCCGGCTAGCGACTACGTCCCCCGCTGTGAAGGATGACGCTCGTGCCCCCGCCATCGGGCCTGCAGACCTGCCTGGCGATCCGCGGTTCGCTGTCACTGCAGCTCGGCCGCGAACGCTGCGTTGGCCGGCACGGGCGAGGCTGTATCCCGGCTCAGACCTACGTGGTCGCGCCGAAGAAAAAGTGCCTAGGATGTGTCTTCTCAACCACTTTACCGTCATCAGTTCGCGTGTACACCTCGCATCTGAGGTGGTGTTCTGCCTGGTCCACTCACCGACTGTTCCGTCTGATCCCAACGCTGCAGAGCTTATTATGATGGTATCCTATAGATGATCCATCCATGCAGACGGGTCGACGCCGCAGAAGAGGGCGTCGATCTGCTGAGCTTAAAGGCCAACTCATCGCGCAGCAGCCATTGATGAGCCGTGCCGTCTCAGCCTTGTCGAGTCCGGCGGGACGGAAACCGCGACAGTCGTCCACTGGAAACACGGTTCACGAGGATGCAGACAGATCCTTGATACAGATGACGATTTTTTCATTACTGTGCTAGTCGTGTCCCATGTCATGAACAACTCATTGCTCGATTCGCACCATTCGACCCATGTTCGAACCTGTCAGCATTCAGGGTCGAACAAATCAGCCAACGCATATTGACTTGACCCGAACCTGCGGCTGTACAATGATGCTTGGGCGTAAGATGAGGGCCTCATGCCCTAGGCGTGGGGGTGAAGGCTTGGACCAGCTATGCAGAGTGATGTCGAAGCAAGTGAGAACGCTCAAGCTGCAGACATCGTTCCGGGTCCGAGAAAATTTCTTCGGTGTCTCGTGCCCAGCCCCATGCATCATCTGTCATAGACCACGGCATGCGTACGCCGGTCTTCATGTTCCACTGCTCTCACTACTGCCCTGGCTGTTGGACGACCTGGACGTTATTCTTCTTCTGTTAGGTGACGCAGTCAGCAAAGTTCTCTAGCACAAGCTGACGTTCAACCACTCCTTGGGAGCACATCCAGCTGCATGTGTCTATGGGCAACACAGCAAGCACATGACTTGACGGAACTCACCTTCCACTTCTCCATCTCCTCCTGTTTCAACTTGTACTGCTTGACAAGCTCCTCGAGCGCCTTCTTCAACCCGTCCGAATTCGTCTTCAAGATCGGCACTACTTCCTTCACTGTCCGTTCAGTCAGGACGCCGTTAATCATGCGGAAGCATTTCCGGTCGCCCGGTAGCGGCTCTAGAGTCTCCAGTACAAGCCTGCATAGATTTAGTCTGCAGATCTATTCGGGAGGGAATATAGCGGTGAGCAGCGGGAATGGAAGGCAGTGTCAGGTTGCCTAGTGCAGAGGTGACTGGAGGAGAAGAGCGGTGTATGATGCAGGGGTAAAGTTTGAAGCTTGATGATGGAGAGGGGCATGAGAGGCATACTTGTGCTCCTCGGTCTCTTGCTCGATATCACCGATCTTTGAGGCTATTGTTTGGAGCGTGCTTTTGTAATTTTGGTATGTGGTTTGCAGGTCTGATATCACGTTAATTTTGTGCCCTTCCCAACACCAAACCATTAAAATTTCAAGCACTTACCCTGCTGCTTCTTCAACGCAGCTTGAGAAGCCATGATGTTTTCGACTTCCAAGTTTCGGCCGTGAAGATGTTGTTTCTACCGACGCTGCGGGGGAGCGCTGCGCGAAAAGGTAAGAGCGCACGGGCCGCGTTCACGAAATCTTGTGACTTCCCGATCCGACCATCTTCAACCTCAGAGCTGTTCACGCCACGCCACCGTAAACCGTCGCGCACCACCAATAGCCCCTCTTCCTCTCCTACAATCCTAGTACCACGTCTCACCATGCATCCCCATCTCCACACCGAGGAGGTCCAAAAGAGTAAGCTTAGATACACAGCTGTGGGAGCGGAGACGGCTAACGATCCCAGACTGCGCCGACGTGGTCGCCATGCTCGATGAATGCCACGCCCGCGGCTTCATGCACAAAGTTTTCGGTGGCTGCACCGACGCGAAGTACAAAGTCAACATGTGTCTTCGCGCACAGCGACTCGAGCGCACACGACAGAATCGCGAAGAGGCGAGGGAGAAGCGGGAGCATATTAAAAAGGTGTGGGCGGAGATCGATGCGAACTCATAGTTGTTGGGTGCAAGACAATAGAGAAAGAGAGGAGGATCAGCATGCATTTTCAGGAGTCCGGATTGGAGTTCACGCTCGGTTGGCGCTTTGTACACTATCGTGGAGTTGTCGGGAGTGGTGGTATACCAACGTTGTAACAACAAGCATGTACAAAGCGCGAAAGCGCGGGATATCAGTTGGTGGCATTGATACTATCTACTCTCCATCTGAAGCACTCGAACCCGTGTCCATTGGCGTGGTCCCAAGAGGTGTTGTACCCAGACTATCGAGGCCTCTCTCCGCGATCAATTTGTTCCCAGTACTCGAAGGTAGTGCTGGTAGACCCTCCTCTTGTCGAAACTTCTCAAACTTTTCCGCAGTTTCTTGTAGTTGTTGTTGAAGATACTGCTTTCGCTCGGCGACACGGACCTTGTCCTCCTTCAACTCCTCCAGCTTCCGGCGAATTAGCTCTTGTCTTTGCTGCTTTGCGTCTATGTCTGATTGTAGACTTGATAGGATATCTCCAAGATCAGGCAATGGTGTGATCCGCGGCGGCGTTCTGGCCCCGTCTTCTTCGTCCTGGTCCTTTTGTCCATATCTGCCCGAGCGAGCTTGCGCTGCAGCAAATGCTGCGTTGCGCTCTTCCTCTGAGTCGTCTGAACTATCATCTCCCAATCCACCTTCAGCATCATTGATCAATTCAGCCATTTCAGCTCGCCGTCTTCGCTGTACCTCGCGTTCTGCTTTCCGTCCCATCGCTATCTTTCCGTCCTCGACAAAATCATCGAAGCCTTCCGCGATGTCTTCGTCATCACGAACGAGGCGAGTTTCACCCCACTTGTCCTTCGGTCGCAGAGAGATCTCGTTCTTGTGTGTGCGGAACTCGTCATCGTCATCTGAAGCCCACGGTCTGTCCTCATCCTCGTCGTAGGCCTTTTCCTCTTGCGCCAATCGTCTCCGTCTGGCTTTCTTCTCCAAGATCTCCGCCTGTGTAGGAATGGCAGACGTCTCAGGTTCGAGAGATATGGGCGCCGCAGATCCGAACTTAGAAGCAATATCAAGCGCTCGCTGCTCATCTTCCTCTTCTGCTGACGGTCTGAGATCTTTCGGCTTCGAAGGGGTAGAGTTGCGCAGTTCCGCGAGGTGGTCTTTGCTATAGCTCGGCCTATCCTCGTCTGTGCTGGGCCGCGATGCCTCTTGCACGAGGGGTGATCTTGCCCTGAGTTGTGCGCTTTTCTCGAGAGCTATTCGGCTAAGATTAGACTTCTTGGGTGTGAAAACGCCGGCATCGCTTGATTCGTCGCCATCGTTCGCATCTGAATCGCCAGGGCCGAAAGAGACGCGCAAGGATGAGCGCTTCTTGCTTTTCCCGAAAGTTGGTCTTCTGACTACAGTTTCTACCCCGTGAGTTAGCACGGCTCTCCTATGAAGGTCAGAAACAGAAGCTTGCGAAAATGACGCGCAAAACGTACCTGGCTGGCTTTGCGCCTCGTTCTGCGAGCTATTCGCGCTGTCTGCAGAGCTGTCCTCGTATGCGCCAATCTTTCGCGCTACACGTCCAGAGCCTGATCGCTTCATTGTTGTGTTTGATATGGTCGAAGATGTGAGGTTGGAGTGAGAGAGTCGCGAAAAGACCCAGTGACTTCGTGCCTAGTACACGCCAAGACCTCCGAGTGTCGAATTGCGGGATAGCTTTTCGATCTGCGCAACTCGATAACTCCACCACACGGCAACGCCAATACGATACACCTCCAAACGCTCTCTTCCCTCAAGGCTCCGGTCAAATCTCAGTATCGCATTTCCTAGCACACTTGCACCGAAGCGACTGCGCGACCATACGTACACTTCACACCGCCGCCATACTCCAAGATGCCTCAAGCACAGCCTGAGCTCAAGAAGGTGAGACATGCAGTAATTATTCCTTGACGGGGTATGCTAATCCGCGGCAGTATCTGGAAAAGCGCATTCTCGTGTCGCTTAATGGCAGCCGCAAAGTCCAGGGTACCCTACGAGGTTACGATGTCTACCTAAACGTTGTGCTGGACGAAGCTTTGGAGGAGAAGAAAGATGGCAGCAAAGAGAGACTCGGTATGGTCGTCATTCGAGGAAATGCTGTCGTTCTGCTCGAGGTCCGTACAGCTGCATATCCTTTCGGCATCGCAAGATCACTAACAAAGGGTCAGGCGCTCGACCGCATCAACACAGATGACCACAGGGGTGGAGGAGGAAGACATTGAGCGAGGGACATCACAAACGAGCGCTGCGTACTATCCATGAGTTGGGGTCTATGAATGATGGGACGAGTGGAAGGCGTTTTGGGAAAAGCTTGTGGGTACGTACCCAGTTACTTCACATCGAACCTCTCTGAGACAGGTACATGTGTTGACAGAGCCAAACTACAGGCCAGCAAGAACATGATACCATTTTGCACTTTGCAATTTATGACATATTGAGATCATCGGCTATGCAGAACAGTGAGTGAATGTATCCTGCAGTGCATGTGCGAGAGGCTGTGACTTGCTCGGATGGCACATGTAAGCTTGGAGTAAATCAAGTTGAGCTCGTGTGACCTTCAAGCACCCAAGTAGCATTCAAATCTATGTCAGCGTCAGGATTTAATGGCAAGTCAATGGGCAAGATTAAGCATTTATTCACCACCTTGTTCTCCTACCAGATCTTGCTCGCAGTGATAGGAACGTAGTCGACAATGGTTAATGGTCAGACCCACCCTCAGGACATTGTGTTCTCCGAGAGGGTTTTCGCTGAGGCTATGGGGGGCGAAACTTATCCTTTCCCCGGATGATGCTTCTACAAGTCCGACGACATCCGAGGGTTTCCCAGGCGAACTCGTGTATGGAAAGTCTTTTGAAGCATGAGTGAATAATACTTCTTCGGTTGTATACATTCACAAGAGCCATAGCAGTAATCAGGCAGAGTTCTGGGGAAACCTGTGTCGCTAAACATGGACTTGTTATATTTACACTATAGCCTTGCTTTCTCGTGTGATCTCTTATAATCCTGCACCAAATCCCACGCGGCCTCAGCAAACGGCTTCATCAATAAAGCGTACTCGTGAGCCTGTGCACTACTCGCTTGACGCAGCGCATACCGCGCCGCAATGCCCTGCATGATGATCGCCGACCTGTACGTCGAAAACGCATGTCCCCAAGTCAAATCTGGTCTGGGATCCCACCCAGCAACTTCTGAGTACCACGCAACGAGCTGGTCTTCTGATGGAAGGCCTGGCGTCTTGCCAGGTAGAAATGCCTCGTTCGCGCGGCTGCCCAGTGCTTTCTTTTTATCGGCCCACAGATATGGCGCGAATACGTTGTTCAAGTCGCTCAAGGGGTGTCCTATTGTCGACATTTCCCAGTCGAGAATACCGATAACTCTAGGCTCGGTCTTGTGGAAGACTACATTGTCGATCTTGTAATCGCCATGCACAAAGCTACTTCTGTCTTTTGGTTGCGTCTTGGGGTCGCTGAAGAAAGCTACCATATCATCTTGATGCGGAATCTTTCCGACTGGTATCCCCGTCTCTTTATCCTTTGCTGCTGCTTGTGATTTCGAGATTGTGTTGAATGTAGAGATTTGACGATTGTAGAAGCCGGACGGTTTCCCATAGCTCTCGAGGCCGACGGCTTTAGGAACAACGCGGTGGAATTTGGCCAGAGTTGTAATTGCGGAGTGCCACCTGCAACCATGAGTCAATTTAAGCTTATCTACATGGAATGGGACTTACATCTTCGTGCGCTCCTCCGGTGTAACTTCAGGAATCGCTGGATCCTCAAAGATGCGACCATCGAGAAACTCCATGATGTAGAAGTCAGATCCTAGAACTTTCTCGTCCTGGCACAAGGCATAAGCTTTCGGTACAGGGACATCGGTCTTCTCTAGAGCGTGAATTATCCGGTATTCGCGGTCGACTTTATGCGCTGTCTACTATGTTCAGCCCGCGGTTGACCACAGCTCTCTTCGTTATCCATACCTTCGAAAGAAGTGTCCCCGGCGGCTTCTTCCGCATGACATACTTCTTGCCAGTTTTATCTGTCAACTGGTATGTAGGGTTGCTCTGGCCATAGCCAAACTGCTTTACATCGATCGGAACCGCGATTTCCGGGACATTGGCGGAGATATAGCGCTCGAGGGACGCGACGTCTATGGGCTGTCTGACTGCGCCAGCCATCGTGTAGATACTGTGGGGAATCCGGGGTGGAAACCTGGAGAAAGAGGCATGGCTCTTGTGTTTTGTAGACGCGGCGTAAGATGGGAGCGGCAATCGTTAGCAGATCTCCGAGCCGAGGCAATTGGCGGAGGGGTCGCTGTTGCCGACTCGGGATAGCTGCAGAAGAGCATCTCGCTTGGGAACAACTTTTGAACATACTTCGAGTCAACATACAATGATTGAGTCTCATTGGCAACATACTATGTAATCGCTTGAAATGCCTGCTCTTAGAACAATGCCATGGTTTCAGATGGTCGCATCGACCTTGTCGACTGCCCATACGACCATGTCACTTATGACACTGCCTCTAACTCTAGGGAACCTAGCCTTCAGCGAAACGCTGGAACTTACTCTGTTTCCACGTGATAACGTGTCTCAGCCTTCGAAAAGCATACACGTACAGACTCGTATAGACTTTACTGGACTTACCTAGTTTGTCGGCTTCAACAATGCCAATTTATAAAGATACTTATGGTGTAGCATGCTACCGTAGTATTGCCCAGCTACAAAACCGTTCGCTGAGAAAATTGGCTACCCCTGAAGGTATGTGTCTCATACCCATCTTCCAACGCCGTTCACTGAGATATCTACCTATTCCATCCGATCCTGCTGATTAGAACGCGTTACCCTATGAGACAGCAAGATCACCTCCGAGACTTTGGCAACTCCGCTATGTCACTTACCTAGTATGTTCACTTGTGTCAATTGTATGTCTCACAAAATCGAGTGGTAGCCCCGCGCAACAGTAGATTTCTAGTGTTGCCGTAGCACGAAACTGCAAGTGTCCGTCTTGACACCGGGCCCACACACACTATGGGAACTAAGGTCGCACCTGCATGTGCTAAAGTATGCTGCAAGATCTTTCTTCCCATGCGAGATCACTCATCACATCCATTCCAGCGTAAGAAACAATATCTGTAATGCGAGGAGGACAGCCCGGAGATTGCTGTTGTAAGCGGCACTAGATCAAAGGGCGCAAGATGAGTCTCGTAGACCGATTCACAGGCTGACATGGAATTTTGTACGACTCCACGGCGGCGTGCAATTGATATGGCGATTCAAACTTTGTCCTCGCATGGCGCACGACTGGTCTCCTTTGGGGTGGTGGATGATTTTCATTGGCGTGGGGCGGGCCCATGCGACCGCGTTGTGGCTTAACAACCGTCTCTTCTCTTATGACCCTAGTCAACAATAACATTACACTCCCGGGCGGGCTACACCCAGGATGTCCTTACAAACGCCCGGGACGCCGCGACGGCTTGGTCCGCCGCGTCCCTCTCACACGCTCGCAAGCGTCGCTTCTTCACCTAATTTATCGCTTGCGCAGTCTACAGCAGTCGCCAGGAAGGCGAGTCTGAACGCTCTCGTTGGCAAACCCACCACCCCCACCAGCAAAATGGGCGGCGACGGCCGCGAACTCGAAATTGGCGACCTCGTGGACGTGCCTGGGTCTATGACCGGTGTTGTCAAGTTCGTCGGCAGCGTGCGCGGCAAGCCTGGTGTTTTCGCCGGTGTTGAACTTAGCAGACAGTATGCTTCGCGCGGGAAGAACGACGGCGACGTGGATGGGTACGTGAATTAATGTTCGATAACAGCACACGAGTATTGACTGGCGCATAGTACGAGCTATTTTAACACCTCCATCCCCGGCTCTGGGATATTCTTACCAGTTCACCGAGCAAAGAAGCGATCACCTTCCGGCTCCGACCTGCCCCCAACCCCTACGACCCCTTCGTACGGTAGCAAGTTCAGCGCCTCCTCTCGCGAAAGACCAAACTTCAGCGCATCGACACGCGCAAGACAAGACTTCAGCGCCTCCACTCGCGAGAGACCAGACCATAGCCCTGATACGCCCTCGATACCCAAATTCTCTCAGTCCCTCGGTCCTGGTGCCCGGGCATCGAGCCCACAGTTCAAACAACCAGGCAGACCCTCCCTACCGCGACCCGAGTCCCCTTTTCGCAAGCAGCCCAATCTTGCGCCCACACCTAGTAGAGCTGGCTCGATCACACCATCGGGTTTCTCCAAGAGTATCGGCGCTCCCAGGTTCAATAGCCCTGGACCTAAGACTTCGGCCTTCCAGAAGCCGCGGACACCAGGTCCACCTCGGCCATATTCGCGCAATAATTCGCGTCTGGGTCATCACGATACCATTGACGAAGATGCAGAGACTACACCAACAGCCAACAGAGTCAGCAATAATTCAATGGCAAGCTCTACTCGCCGAAGACCTGGCTCGAGTCAGTCCGATGAGGAGGTGACGCGTCTGAGCAAACTCCTCGAGGAACGTGACAAGCAACTCAAAGAGCAAGCTGCATCGCTTGCGGAGATGGAGTCTAGTCTGGCAGAAATCCAAAGCATGCTACCAGAGGACGGTATGAGTTTCGGGTCATCCTCCCACAGGAACAGTGGCGACGAATCGAACGATGTGGCACAGTTACGGTCGCTGCTTCGCGAGAAGAACGAGAAGATCGCTATGCTTACGGCTGAGTTCGACGCACACCGAGCGGACTTCCGAAGTACTATCGATACTCTTGAGCTGGCTAGCACGGAGACTGAACGTGTATACGAACGGAAAGTGGAAGAGTTGCAGGAAGAACTGCGGGAGCTACATTCGAGAGGCGAAGATGTTGCAACTGTAGCCATGCAGTTGAAACAGCTTGAAGAACTTGTGCAAGAGCTCGAGGAAGGTCTAGAGGATGCTAGGAGAGGCGAAGCTGAAGCTCGTGGCGAAGTTGAGTTCCTCCGCGGTGAAGTCGAGCGCGGCCGGTCCGAACTGCGTCGAGAGCGGGAGAAGGCTGCAGCAGCCTTGAAGGGCGCAAAAGCGATCGAGGATGGTCCTGCGAGCCCTGGCGCGCGTGATCTGGAGCAGCGAGACGATGAAATCCGCGGTTTGAAAGCTATCATTCATTCATTAAGCTCTGGTCCTGCCGAGGAGCACGGCCGTTCACCATTATCACGTCATGGATCCTCCGTGAACCCTGAAGAGCTTCATACTGCAAATGCAAGAGTGGAGGCAGTAGAGCGAGAGAAAGAGGAGCTTCGTGGGCTTGTCGAGCGCAAAGCATTCAGGGAGGAGGAGCTTGAGCGGGAGATTGAGCGACTGAAAGAGCAACTCAATGCCAATGCCCAACGCGAGAGTTTCATTAGCAATGGCGTCTCGGAGCATACCGCCAAGGAAGAAAAGCGGTCCTCCGGACGCGATTCGAAAGGGACTGTAGTGAGCTGGAGAGGTTCTCCTCAAGCCACCCGCCGCGACGCTCCACCGCTACCACTCGTACCCATGACTGAATCCGCTGATGGCCTCTCCTCCGGCGATGGCGACAACATGTGGTGTGGCTTCTGCGAAGGCGGCGGTCACGACATCCTCAACTGTCCATCTATGGGCGGGGCAGAAATCTCAAAGGCACCAAGCGGTGCTCGCAACGGCAAAGATGCGGTCATCGAGGGCCTACGAAACCTTTCTGTATCTTCCAACGGGCTACGTCCCTCAGCAGTAACTCCAACAAAAGCGCCGGGCAATGCTCCAACTGGTGAGCTACCTCCGCCGCCACCGCCGGCATTTAGCCCCAGCTCTCCGAGCGCAGGCCTCGTCCCTCCCAAGGGCGAATCAGCACCTGACCCAGATAAGTGGTGTGCTCTTTGCGAAAACGAGGGCCACGATGTTACGGCCTGTCCTAATGAAGATGCGTTTTAGGGGGCGCTCTTTGGGGGCTGTAGCCCATGTCGTCATTCTTTTGCAAGATATCCATGATCATTTCGAGCTAGGTTCTTTAGGATACGACCCGGTATATACGCTTAATACCATTGCTATTTTCCATCGTTGAAGTCGTTATTTGTTCCCGATCTCGAAATTCTGAGGCGCCACTGATCCAGAGCACGGGCTACACGAAAGCTCATAGACAAATTAACACGAGTTGATTGAAGTAATTTCATGTTAATTCGTACTCTTGCTCTCAGGCCTTTGGTGAAAAGGCTACGATAAGCAGGGTAACAACAATACACAATAGCTAACAGTACTCGTATCCAGGACTCAATCCAGCCAAGAGAAACGACTATCGCCCAACAAACAGCATATACTCGAAGGATATCAAAACTTCGCGACGAGAACGCATATATAGCATCAAACCGTCATGTGTACGTGAATAAAAGAAAGCGAAACTCAAGCAAAAACGCCAGCAACATGCATCGCAAAAGCACACCTGGGCCATCCCAGCTCTTGGGGCGGTCCCAGCCCAATCGACCAAACGGCCTACCCATCAAACGATTCGTATAAAGAAGCATACCCAAACGCCGATTCCATGCTTGTATATCCGAACTTGAGATCAACGGAAGAGATTAAAGAGGAAGAAAGAGATAGGAGTATACAACCCTACTAGGTTCTATACGCGTCGAAGTCAAAGTCGTCACTACTCTGTTGCTGTGCCTGCGCCGCATACATCAACTGCGCGTTGTACAGCGATGCGGCAGACGCTTCGTTCAAGTTCATGTCCACGCCGTTGTACGCCGCGAAGTCGACGTACGGGCTGGGTTCTATCGACGCGATGGAAACGTCGGTCTGCAGCGGGGGGTACGCGAGCTCCATGTCGTACGCGGCGTCGGCGTCGTGCTCGGGCGCGCTGTCTGACGAGCTCGCCGGCGATGCAGATGCGTGGCTGTCCTTGCGACTCTTCATCTTGTTCTCGACCTCCATCTCGCGGATCCAGTGCTGCTTGAGGTAGTCCATGGGCGGGTCGTCGCCGCCGCCGATACCGCCGCGCTTCTCGTCGTTCTTGCCCTTCCGGCCGCGCTTACGCGGGTGGAAATGGGCACGGCGCAGATGCGCAGCGGCGTTGTAGTAGGCGCCGTAGACCTTCTTGTTGCGGCAGTGCTTGCAGCCGCTGAGGAAGTTCTTGTCGAAGGCGGGCGCCACGCAGATGTAGCCCTTGCGGACGGCGGTGTGAGCGCGCGCAACGTGGCGGTCGAGCTCGTGCGTGCCGCGGAAGCCCTCGGGGCGCTCGCTGCAGTGGGGGCACAGGATCTTGGGATGTTGGGGACGTACATACGGCGCTTTGCTGATGACGCCGACGTGTCGCGAGGTGCCGTCTTCAGACTCGATCCGCATCATTTGAGCATTGGGTGATGCAGACCTCGTCTGGGGAGCGCTGGGAACGGCCTTGGGCGCGATCCTGCAGCTGCCGGCTTGCGCGATGATTTCGCGCTCGCGGCGAACATGGCGGTTGTGAGTGCGAGGCGCAGAAGCGTAGCTGGCGTCGCTCTCATTCGCCGACATTGATGATTCTGAAGCCGACCTCCGCATATCCTCCACCAGGCACGGCTCACTCTCTTGACGTTGTGCAGCAAGTGCATGAACACTTGCAGAAGAAACATTTGCAACAGGCGAAAGAAACGAAGTTTCACTGGGCAGGCCAGTGAAACCGGTAGAAGCAGATAGGAAAGGAAGATTATCAGCGTGACCGCTGATATTCTTCTGTACAAGATTGACATCGGATGGAAAAGAAATAGTCCCATCTTCAGAGAGGATGGGGTACATTTGAGAATCTGAGCGCAACATTGGAACGTCACCAACGAAATGAGGATTGAAGCTGCTCTGACGGCTCATTGAGTCACTTGATAGAGTAACCGGCGTCATGAGAGCAGTTGATGGTGTACTAGGCGATGTAGAAACGTCTAATGACGGCATCCACTGGTTGTTCGGTGTTAGTTGCAGTTGGGGGTGGTGATGGGGCTGGGAAAGGGGGTTGGGCATTGTCTGAAGTCTCGATGAAGTTGACATAGTCGTCTGGTGAGTATTCAGCAATGTTGTCATTGGTGAAGGTCGTCTCGTGGATGGGTTGCAGAACTTGTTGTCTCGACATTGATGCATCAGAGAATACATATGCGTTGGACTGGCCGTCGAATGATGACTGCCAGTTAGACATGTTTGAAGTGGACCGCTCGAGGCTGTTGTCGTTTGATAGGGACATGGAGTGTTCCATGGCTGGTGCAACTGGGGTGGATTGGACACGGCCCATGTTACCATAGCTGTTGACCTGGGTCGTGTTAAAGAGGGTAGCGGACACCAAAGTATAAGACTTCATACGAGTAGTTGCGTCATGTTGGCAGCTGAACTGGACATTGAGCGCGGGACATGTTGTGCTTGTGATTGCAGTCGAGGGCTGCTAGGCAGCTGGGCGACATGCTGTAGCCATAGTTGCTGGCGCTCCTGCTCTGGGAGATGAGAGTACTCATTACAAAACATTTGTTTGATGTGCTCGATACTACTCGAGAAGGCCGTAGCCATGGTGTGCAATGTGGGTGGGTGTCGGGAAGGCGAGGCGTCGAAGCAAACTGATGTTGGCGATGATCAGTGACACTGGACTGTCTGTGCGAAACTCTCTGGACTGTGATGGGCGTTGATGGCAGCGATAGACGCGAATAGATGGGTTCAGAATGACAAGGCGATCGTAAGTGAGGAGTAAGTGTGGAGGATGGGCAGGACGGGGGCTTTTAGAACGATAGACGAGAGCGACCCGCAATCGATGCGCTGGCTCGTGTCGGAGAGGACGTCTGACGAGCGCCCCGGAAAGCGGGACTATCGAAGTGTGCACGGCCAAGGAAAGCCAGGCCGAACAGGGCAACCCAGCTGCGATCCCTCGTGCGGCGTCAGGGGGTTGATTGGAGTCGTGTCTGCCACCGCGTCGCAGATTCGTCGCCTCGCTTTGCGGCGTGGAGGGATCGTCCCTATCGCACTCTGGAGGGCGTCGTCTCCTGCGCGCCGACCATTTTGGCACCTCCTGGCATCATCGCGGCAGCGCATCCTCGTCCTCCACAAACCGCCGGCCAGTCTCGCCCAGCCATTGCCCCCACTGTGACAGGGCATACATGAAGAGCTGCGCCCACAAGGGCAACATGTTGGATGGTGGTGACCGATGCAGTCGCAACGCCCTGTCGTGAGCGCCTGGCCAACGACGCCCTCGTACAGGGGACTCCTCACCGGAAGGCAAAGCGAGCACCCGCAGCGGCTTGCTTGTCACCAAGGCCACCGCGTCATTCCACGATATGAACCCCCTGCTCTTCATTCCTCATCAGTCACTCCTTTATTGGCCATCCGACATCGCGTCAGGCCTCCCGAGATCGACCCGCACAGATCGTCACTGCTTCAACAAAAAACATGCAATTTGTCCTTTTTCGTATTCTCAGCAATTTCAATTTCCTGTTTCGAGCTATTTCAAAACCGCCCTTCGTCAACGCGCGGACGTGCTGCGTTGTCGCCTTGTCACCCAGGTGCTTCCCGGTAATTACAGCTCTCGCCATCTCAACTAGACTTTCGGCTGGAGTTAAACAGCTGTCGCAGCAGAGGTTTGCGACGACCAGCTGTTCCAGAAGATGGTGTACATCCTTCGTCGTCTCGCAATGCCTTCTGCGACCGAAATATCCCCTCCAAGGTAGTCGCTATGCTACCTGACGGCGGCGAAGCAATAGGTGGCCGAAGCATAGATGGCATAGCAGACGCACCCTTTCGTGCGCTCTTTGCGCTTGGACCTGAGCCCGAGTAACTGTTTGCCCTGTTGCGCAGCCAATACCTGTCCAAACATGCCTCTGATGCTTCTGAGCAAACTCCAAGCGCCTCAAAGTACATTGTGATCCCGTCTAGTGCCACCAGGTCAGAGAACCGGTTGGCTTGCGGTACTCTTCCATCGTCAAATCGTTCCAAGTTAGCAACTGAATTCCGTCGAGGCGTCACAGAGAACTTCTCTTCCAGTTGGATAGGTCCTGGCATGTACACCGGTATCCTTTCTCTTGGTACGGGGGTCGTGTTTCGCGGAGTACTGTCCACGACTATCGATCTCCTCCATGGAACGCACTGAGCAACGGGACTCAATGGCAACGAGAAATGCTTCGCTCTAGTTGACAGTGTCCCACTTCTCGAAGTTCCAACACTCCTAACTGAGCTTGACGGCGAAGTATCTGCCGGCGCTGTACCATCCCTCAACGGTGACGAACATCTGGGCGTTTCACTTCTCGATGACGTACCCCTCAGAGGCGTAAGGCTTCTCGCAGGGGTCGGCGGAGTCTTCGTTCTCACGCTGGCAGGCCTTCTATAATACATAATCGGCGTAAGGACTATCGATGATGCAGGCGACAAAGGCAATCCAATCGGCTCATCACAGCCCATACGGTTGACCTTGATCATTTCTACTTTCTTCAATTTCAGCCTCTCCTTCACTCTGTCCCTCTCCGAAAAGGACCGCTTCAGCTCTGGAGGGAGCTCAAACACCTTCGGTGGCGACGACATCCTCCAAACGAGAGGCTTCGACTTCAATCCCATTCTACCTCCCGAATTCCTTTTACTCTTTCTCTTACTGACGAGCGACCTCGACGCTTTTCTTTCAAGCTTCGCCAGCTCGGTTGGCGTCAGTGTGAGTGTTTTTGATGGTCTGCGTCGGTCTCTACTGCCAGACCTCGAGAAAGCCTTTGCCGTGGTCGAACTGACGGCTCGCCTCGGCAGCTCCGGCTTGAACTGCGGTTTAGCAGCAGGAAACATCTGCAATGTTCCTGAAGGTGCAGTGTTCACGTTGCGTCTCATTTTTGGTCTTTCTGTGATAGGTTTGGCAGTTATCTCGCTGCTTTGACGCTTGCACTCAGAGAACATGGTGAACGTGGATATCCCTGGAGGAGTCACCACAAACCCTGGACTTTCCGATCGCGATGTTAAGCCTGGTGTGACATCGTTGTCATTTACGGTGTCGATGACAAGTGATTGTATATCTTCAGTTATGTCCATGGCGGAAACGCGCCGGCTCACGAGTTGGCGATGTGTCCCTGATGGTACGGGGGCTACAACTTCACCCCAGATAACCATTTTGGAAGGTTTGATTTTGAGTAGGGCCTGATATTACCTTGAAGCTGGAGCGCGCGGATATTAAGCGACATGCGTTTGTCTTCCACATGGGACCATTCTGGACTACTTCAACTCCAGCCATCCGGAACAAAGGGAAGTTTCGCCATCTGCGCTGTCATGTGCTTCTTTCACAGGTTGGTCATCCAAGTACAAGATATGTCAGTCCAAATCCGTTGCGCGGCTTCAACAATCGCCGCTTTAGAAACCCACATTTCGGAACAGCATGGAGTCTTGTCATAAGGAGTCTCTGGACATGATAGTCGACCCTTTGAAGATGTCTTGAATTATGGGCTCTTCATCGCTTCCATCGTTCGTCGGACTGGAATGGCTGTGTCGCTGCATGCCTGGTCTAAAAGTGAATAGCACAGCCCTACAAAGCTCACATCACTAACGCACTACGATAGCAAAGTAAACACCCATCCAGATACGGTCAAAGACGGTCGTACGAGCCTCTACGACGCAGTAAGCATTCTGTATACCAAAGTGTACTAACTGCAATCGCATTACGGTCCAACCCGGATCCCTGTAGTAATACCATGTCTTGGCTGAATTTCCAAAATTCTGCACGATTATTACCATATCCATGTTTTACCAACATTCCCATGAAGGGCGTACGAACGTTGGAAAATGTTCCTCTGATCCACGGCCCCACAGCTCGGGTAAGCTCCAATTCCTCTGCCCCGCGAGCTACCCCTCTCTGTACTTCTCTCCAACTCAAGTCGTAATGCGCGGCTTCCGATCCTGTCGTCTGCCTAGTTCTCCGATGCCAATCAAGCTAGTGGAAATACCACTGGTAGGCGGGGTATTTGCAATGCCATACGGGCCCCGATGGTGTCGCAATTACGTAGGATCGAAGGAGCCGGATGAGACTCAAGATATATAACCATTGCGCCCCGCGATGTGCTACCTTGATAGGCACTGACACTGTGTATGGTTCGGGCTCTGACTATGACTTCGATTGATCTAATTAACCAGGCTCCGGCTGGTACTAAGCTATGGATCCTCCACGTAGGAAACCTCGAGGCCGATGAAGGCTGGTTCAAGCGCGCGGGCAACACTTCAACCGCCTCGAACAAGAACCCCGAGAAGCTGCGCCGCAAGCTGGTCATGCTGTCCATACTCATCGAGCACCCGACCGAAGGCCTCATCCTCTACGAAACCGGCGCTGGAGATAACTACCCCGAAGTCGTAGGCTCTCCCATCAACGACATCTTCGCCCGCGTAGACCATGACAAATCGATGGAACTATCCGCACAGATCGAGAAGACAGGGCACGATATCAAAGACGTGAAAGCCGTTATTATCGGCCATCTGCACCTCGACCATGCAGGCGGACTTGATCCGTTCAGAAATACCGGGATTCCGATTTACGCCCACGAACTCGAGCTGAAATATGCATTCTACGCCGTCGCTACAAAGTCCGACCTAGGCGTCTACCTTCCTCACTACCTCACCTTCGACCTGAACTGGGTGCCTTTCCATGGCTCTTTCCTCGAGATTGCTCCCGGGATTAACTTGCACCATTCGCCGGGCCACACGCCGGGATTGTCCGTCATGCAGGTCAATTTGAAGGAAAGCGGAACCTGGATATTCACTAGTGATCAGTACCATGTCAAGGAGAATTATCAGGATGATGTGCCGCAAGGCTGGCTTGCGAGAGACCATGAAAGTTGGTGTAGATCTCACCAGATGATAAAGGGATTGGCGAGGAGAACGGGGGGAAAGGTGGTGCTTGGGCATTGTTGGGATACAATTAAAGATTTGGGGTTGGAGTTTGCGCCGAAAGTTTATGAGTGAGGCGTAGTAAAGAAATGAGAGAGTAGATTTTGTAATCATAATTTGGATTTCGTATTCGTGTTACTTTCATGATCTACTGCATACATGCTATTATACGTGTTAGGCTTCTAGCCCAGCGAGAAGGTGCGACACCTTACTTGCTCTCCTTCTCACCAACGACGTTTAAGAACGCCTGGTGCACATGCTCGGTCAAATCGCCAGCCTGCAGACTCCTGCCTTTCTCCGCAAATGCCAATCTCGAGCATTCCCTCGTGATCGCTGAGCCACCGTATGCCGCCAATGCCAGCGTCTCAGCAGGCTCCATGTCACCCTCATGATCCCAGATCTTGTCGTGGTATGCCTTCCTGTACGCCAACAGCGTCGCCAAGCTACCCGTAAGCGTGTCGCCCTGTCCGCCAGAGCGCTTCAAACCGCCCTCGCCCTCAGAGACAAGCGTGTGCTTGCCGTTCGAGATATAATCCTTCGCGCCCTTTTGTATGATCGTCACGCCACCGAACGCCTTTGCCAACTTAGAGCACAGCTCCGACGGATCACCCTCGTCAACCTTCACTCCCTTCGCCTTCGCCAGCCGGCCAAATTCTACAACGTTGGGAGTGAGTATGCACTCAGTGCAGCCCTCGACTAGCTCCGGCCGCGTCTGTGCAAGGTACAAACCATCTGCGTCCAGCACAAACGGTATGCCCTGTTTCCGCGCTTCCTGAATGACCTTCGCGCACGTATCTTGCATGAGCTGATCGCGACCGAGACCGGGACCGATGACGATAACGTGCAGACGTGAAAGCATGCCGACGACCTCAGAGGAGACGCTGTCGACGGACTCGGAGGAGGAGAGATTCTTGGATTGCCGCATGTAGGGGTGAACCATGAGGTTGGGGGAGTAGGTTTTAATGACGGCGCCGGCGCCAGGTTCGCATATTACGTGGGACTAGATAAGGTTAGGCGATATAGAGAGGTTTGGAGGAGGATAAGTACCATGTCGCAACCCAGTTTCGCGGAGGCCATTGCGGAGAAGTAAGGCGCACCTGTGTAGTCTTCGCTGCCACCGATGACTGCTACACGACCCAATTGACCTAAATGAGCGTTAGAAATGCGACTTCTTGAGAACGTCAGGAGAAAGCACCTTTGTGGAAGCTTTCGAGCATAGGTGGGATCATCTTGTAGACCTTGCCTATGATCTCTTTTCTTGATGCGCTCGCCATTTTGAAGGTAGTTAAAGCTGTAGAATGTGGGATCAAAGAAATTCAATGGATTGCACCAGGCTTTGCAAGGGTTGTTGTGGAAGATTCGTGGTGGGCTTTTGCGGGTTTTGATGTAGAGCTCCCACTTCGGTGAGGTCATAACCTGGTCATATCAAAATGCGGGGACAAGCCACAACGCCACGATGTTATCGCGTGAACACAGTATTCATGAATTTTACATAGCTATTAATGTATCATGGATTTAAGTTGCTCTTATGGCTAAGTCCTTCTAATATAGTGCATCTTGTGCTAAAATAATGTCGGGCGTAAGCTCAATTTTGGACCAGTTTGGGCCTTTGATAAATAATAAATACTAGTCAGTCAACTTAGACTACACATGCGACTATCAGAATTTTGACGTGACCCCGCATGGCCGAAGAATACATTTATGGAAGAGTGTGTCTAAGAGGACATCATTTCCAAGATACTTTATATGTTACTTTTGACGTGTCAGAAAAAAGGAGCACACGTGGGTGAAGGGTGTAGAATTCAATTCAAAAGTACAATGCAAGGGTATCATGCGTCTACTAACACGGATTGCCGACCTCGGAGAAACTCCATCATAGTATGTGCAGAGCCGTCATCATCAGTCACGACTGCAGGTGGGCTCCCCTTATCAATCTGCGCGTGTAATGTCTCTCTAACCAGCTCGCCCGTCACTGGATTCAGTCACTCTCCGTGGGACTGCCAATGCTTGCCAGGACTCGAATCCAGTTCGCGGTCGCGCCTGCTCTTCGGTACTCAAGCGACCCTCTCCGTCCCTCATCCACACATCCTCCTGGCTAACCGGACGGTCACCCTCATTGATCACCATAGCCTCTCTTCTCCGCCTCCTCAAGTCCCTTTCCTCGATATCTCCATCCAACCCAAGCCTTGTCGGCCCTTCCCTCAACCACTCCCTTCTCGTTGCGCGATGCGTCTGTGGAGTAGCAGGTGTGGGTGGCGGCACCCCATACTGATGCGCCACGTAGCCGTACTCTTCGAGCAAACTGAACGCTATGTACGCAGCATGCTTGCACTCTTCGTTCCGGGAGCTCGCATCGCGGACTAGGTGTTTGTATGCGGAAGGGTGCGCAATGAAGCGGTCAAGTAAGATCTTGGTGGCTGCCTTGCGTATCTCTACATTTTCGCACGTCGCTAGGGTCGCAAGTGACGAGGATTTGATAGCGTCTTCGGTGCGGTTTGGTGGGATTGGGGGAGGCGATTTGTGGACTTCTGTGAGAGCAACGATGCGGCGGAGGCCGTGGGCTACGCCTTTGACTGCGAAGAAGGTGAAGACGCCTGGTGATGATCAGTTGTATCTGGTTAGTCGGGTGAAGTCGAATTACCTAAGCCCAGCCAGAGCCAGCGATCTTCTATGTGATGCGCCATGTCCCGTAGGCACTCATCATTGTATGGGTGTTGTTGGCTCGCGCATCGATTTGCGACGCGATGATGTCGGCGCCCGTCGGTGTTCGGCGGGCGGGCACCACTTAAATTCTAAAACGGAAGGCGGTGTATGCACGCCAAGATTTCGACCGTGAAATTTACGCGGAAAGCAGATCTCAAAGTTACAACACACGAAAGCGAGTCGCGCTTTTGATGCCTGCTGATCTTCAAGAAGCGGTCAAAAGACTCAAATCAGCTCCGCCATGCCGCCCTCCCAGTTGAAGCGGCTCAAAGCCTCTCTCCGCGAACAAGGCCTTACCGGACCGCAAAAGTCGAAGAAGCAGAAAAAGCTGCAACCGAAGAACGCAGATCAAGCAGCAAAGAAAGCCGCCGCCCTCGCTGCTCTTCGCGAGTCTTTCAATCCGTTCGACGTCAAGCACCTTTCACGACCGAAGAAACACGAGTATGTCTCGAATATCCCACAAGATGCGAAGAGCAAGATCTTGGGAAGGCCGGGTGTCACAAAGAGCCAAGGCGAAGAGACACGTCGGAAAACGCTGTTGCCGGAAATGAGTAAAAAGAACAAGACGGGCGGCATCATGGATCGCAGAATTGGCGAGGATGATCTCACTATGAGTCTGGAGGACAAGATGATGGCGAGATTTGAGAGAGAGCAGCAGAGGAAGCGAGGCGGCAACACATTTGACTTGGAAGATGATGGAGATGATGTTGAGCTCACGCACGGTGGCAAGTCATTGCGATTCGACGAGAAAGATCTGGGGACAGAAGACTACGATGCTGCCAGTGTGAGCGGCGGCTCTAGTGATGGCGATGAGGATGGCTTCTTGAAGAGGAAGAGGCGGAGAGATTCTGAGGGTGAGGAAGACGAAGAAGACGAGACAGCTGAAGATCAACCGGAGAGGAAGAAGAGCAAAGCGGAAGTGATGAAGGAGGTCATTGCAAAGTCAAAGCAGCACAAATACGAACGACAGCAGTTGAAAGAAGACGACGATGAGCTGCGCGAAGAGTTGGACGCGGATTTCAACGACGTGCTTGCCGCTCTACGAGGACACATGAGCGGGAAACCACCCGTAAAGGAGCCTCCCAAAAACGATGTGAAGCCAGACTTTGGCATCAACCCTGATCGTGCTGCTCTTCTTGCTGGAATGGATCGCGATCAAGCGGATAAGGACTACGATGCGCGAGTGCGTCAGATGCTGTACGACCAGCGCTCAAAGCCTACGGAGCGCACCAAGACAGAGGAAGAGAAGGCGAAGGAAGAAGCTGAAAAATTGAAGGCGCTCGAGAACAAGCGCATGCGAAGGATGAGAGGCGAGCCGACAAGTGACGATGACGAACCGCAAGACAAGGGCAAAGAGAACGAAGACATCGACGAGGACGCTGAGAGCGTCAATGATGATGCTGCAGAATTTGGCCTTGGTGCGCCTCTGCCCCAGAAAAGCCGACCAGACGGCGTGGATGATGAAGATGACTTTTTGCTCGAAGACGATCTCATTGCTAGTGATTCGGAAGCCGATATCTCGGATGAAGGTTCTGACGAGGAATTCGATGCGGATGATACCATGGCTGCAGACGAGGACGACGACTTCCTCAAGGATGTTCTACCTGAAAAGACGCAACCGACCAAGGCAAAGAACGGTGTCCTCTCGCTCGTCCCTGATTCGACGTCAAAGCTGGCCTATACTTACGCATGTCCCCGATCGCACGAAGAGCTTTTGAAGGTCTTCGAGAATGTTAGTGTTGACGATACGCCTACAGTTGTCCAACGTATCCGAGCACTATACCACGCCGGACTGCACGCCGACAACAAAGACAAGCTGGCTGATTTCGGTTGTGCTCTTGTTGATCACATATCGTATCTCTCCAGCCAGACGCCACCGGCTCCTCTCCAGGTCATTGAGTCTATTATTCGACACATCCACTCTTTGTCCCGTTCGTACCCAGTGGTCATTGCTACCCGCTTCCGAGAACACCTCAAGCAGCTGCACGCATCGAATGATCCCAGCCAGGGAGATCTCACGATCCTCACGGCAATTGGCTCGATATACCCCACCTCAGACCATTTCCACCAAGTCGTCACTCCAGCAATTACCTTGATTGCCCGTTTCTTCGGCCTCCAAACTCCCAACTCCACCAAAGACGTCGCAACGGGTGCCTACCTAGGCGCGCTTTGCCTCCACTACCAACGCCTCAGCAAGCGCTACATTCCCGAATTCATCCGCTACACAATCCTCTGCCTCAAATCCCCCGACATGACCCCCGCCCTCCTCACCGCACACACCCAAAATATCCTCACCGCCACCGAAACCTGGTCCAAAACCCCCGCCTTCACCGAGATCTTCACACCTCTCCTAGCCCCTCTCAAATTCGCGAAACCCACCCAAACCACCGCCATCCACCGTCTCACCATCGCCCTGCAAAACGCGCGTCTCCATCGCCGCCCGCAGCTCCTACACAACCACCGCCCCCTCCCCATCAAATCCAGCATCCCCAAGTTCGAAGAAGACTTCGACCCCACCAAGCACTACGACCCTGACAAGGAGCGCGCGGAGCAAGCACGCCTGCGCAAGGAGTACAAGCGGGAGAGGAAAGGAGCGATGCGCGAGCTGCGCAAGGATGCGAATTTCATTGCGCGGGAGAAGCTCAAGGATAAGAGGGAGAAGGATCGGGCGCATGCGGATCGGGAGAGGAGGCTTATTGCGGAGATCCAGGGGGAGGAGGGGAAGGAGAAGAAGGAGTATGAGAGGGAGGCTAGGAAGAGGAAGGGAGGGAGGTAGATCGTTGGATTTACGTAGTGGGGGTTGTACATATCACAAATCAATTTGCATTGATGTTCAACGTAGTACGGTGTTCACATCGTTGTTTTGCATAAAGGTGACCTCGGCGTGCTCCAGCGACGTGTTATGCGTTCTACATCTCGATTCTTTCTATTTTACATTTTTCTATGGTATAACCCTACGTTGAGGGTCTGCGGGTATGATTCTAAGGTTCAAGTGCCATGCGAGCCTAGAAGCCCTTTCTATTTAGACAAAGTAAAGAAGTGTGTGTAGTACGTCGCGCTCGCGCTTACTCCTTCTTGGCGGCCTCTTCCTTAGCCTCCTTCTTCTCAGCAGCCTCTTGCTCCGTAGCCCGCTGGTCCTGCTCTGCACGCTCCGAGCTACCCATGCTAGTCGCAGAGTCTCCAGTGCTGGCCTCCATCTCGTTGCTCCCTTCAGCCTTTGCGGCCTGCTTCGGCTTATCATCTTCATCAATGTTCTCCCTATCCTGAGGGGTTTGCTTCTCATTGCCCTGGTTCTGCTCGTTCTCCTCATCAATGAGCTCTTGCTGCTCCTTGAGCACTTCAAGACGCTGTTTGTTAGTCGCGGCGCCCTCAGCGGTGTGCACCTCGAGTTCGATCTCGTGGTAGAGCTCCTCTGGGATACTGGATAGCACGGCCTGGAGAGCGTCGATTTGGGAGGTGGCGTCCGAGTCCTTGCCTTGGGCGTACACGAAAGCGTTAGAGAGGACGAGGAGCGTCGAAGGCACGCCGCTCTTGAGACGGAGGTCGAGCCAAGTCTGAAGGTCATCGCGTAACCGGGCGGGCGACACGCCGTAGGTGCGGAGACCGCGGCTTGCGCAGGCGGATTGAAGTTCAGGGACAGAAAGCGAGCTTACGCCCTCAAAGGCGATGGCGCGGTCGTCGCGCTTGATTTGGCGCATACGGACGCGGATTTGGTAGCGGAGGAAGTTGTCAGTACCGAACGATGTCAAGTTCAAGTAGCGGCAGATGGCCACGAGCTGGGGTCGCGAAAGATTGTCGAGGGTGAGATCATCCTTGAAGATCTTGCAAACCTTGACAATCTCCTCTGTTGAGGGCGCTTCTCCAGTTGTGCGGACCTGCGAAAGTCTGTCAGTGTGATGTTTGAGAGGTCACTCATGTGTCTATTGCAACGTACCTTACGGAAGAATTCGGCGAACTCCTCTCGCTGCGCATTCTCCGTAGATATCGGCAAGCCGGTCTCTTTCAATGTCGAGCGAAGGAAACCGCTGACTTCTTTCCGAGTGGTTCGCAGCGTCTTGGCCTTTGCGTCCTTGGACGACTGGCCCTCGTATGTGCTAGGAAGGAGGTTGGGGAAAAGTTTGAGAGCTACGGGGAGAAGCAGCTCCGCAAAGGGAACGATGAGGAAGACCGAAAAGGGTACGAGACGGCCGAGATCCTGGACAGTTCTTTGGAGCTATTATGTGTCAGTGGGGTTCTGTATTTGCGGCATGTGGAGAAGCTACCTGTCGGTGCTCTCGTCGAGTAAGCTCATAGCCAGCAGCCATTTTCAGCGCCAGCTTTGAGCTGATCCTGACCTCGGTGACCAACAATTTCGTTCCGTCCCAGTAGTGCGCCGCCTCCTTCTTGACCTTCTGCCACATAGTGAGCTTCTGCTTCTCTTCTTCCTTCTTGGCTACCATTTTCTCTTGTTTTGCTTTCTCCGACTTCTCGGTGGCTAACTCCGACAATGTCCGAGCCTCTTGAGCTTCATGCTTTGGCAACGCGGTGGGCTCATCTTTTGGTATCGATACATTGGGACCCTTTTCTTGCGACTTTGACTGTTCCTCTTTTGACAGCGGCTTCTTTGCTTGCTCGGTGTTGAAGCCTGGGGGCGGGAAATTGCCGTTCTGGTTTGATGAAGTCTCGGTGGAAACGGCGCGATGTGGGATCAATATGGCAATAGCGGGCATATGCTTGGGGAGCTGTCGCGACGGTCGGGCAGCGGTTCTGATGCCGGCTCTGAAGACTGCGGGAGCTGCCCGAGTGGCAGCTCTACTGACGTACATTGCACCGAGTACGGTTGCGGAAGGTAAGGAGCGACGAGGAGTGAGACAATTCGATTCAGGGATAGGAAATAAGATTCAAGGCACAGCCAGGGCACAATCACTGATGACTGGGTTGTTGGGATGGGTGTGTGGAAAGTTGTCGAGTGATGCAAGAAATTGGTAAGATGGCCGCCAGGAACGTCCGTCGCCGATCTGCGTCAGTAAAGCTTGGCTTTCTGCTTCCGATCCCCGCCGCATAACGCGTGTTCTCGCATGGCCACACGCGCATGGCCGCTCGCGGAACGTTGGGCCTGTATTAGAAGCCAGGCACGTGAATTCAAGCCATCCTCCCACAGCCTGCCACGCTTTCGGCAACCAAACACTGTCGGCGTGGTCTCGGGGCTGTCGTGGCCACTCCCGGCGCAGCCAGTTGAGCTTCCCGCGGGTTCGTTGCCGCACCCCCTCAACTCCTCTAGCGGATCCTCCGCATCTCCCAGGAATAAAGCTACCCTGTCCGACTTCCTCGGCCTACGTCTGTCACATCCTCTCCGCCGTGCCACGCCTGTGCACCACATCCACCACACTCTCCACCTATCTTTTGCCAACATGAACTTCCTCTAGGAGTCCGAGCACTTCGCGGGAGCCGGTTGGCCTCCATTCCACCGCTTCGACTTGTGTACATAATTGCGACTATCATTTTAACTCTCTCATTTTCACTGTACGATAACCAATATGGCGCTCGCGCGGGCAGCCAGGATCATTCTGGTCGGCGCACCAGGTGTCGGAAAGGGCACGCAGACTGAGCGCTTGATCAAACGCTTCCCAGAATTGTCATCAATTAGTTCTGGTGACTTACTGAGGAAGAATGTGAGGGAACGGACCCCTCTCGGTACGTGTCGCGCATGCTCATGTTCCCACGTTTCTAACGGCATGCAGGTATCCAGGCCGAGGCCAAGATGAAAACTGGCGAACTTGTTCCGGATGCTATGATCCTGCGACTCATCGTCAACGAGCTCACCACGCGAGGATGGATACAGGACAACACCCTTCGACCGTACTCGGTTTATTCGAGTTCAACGGGCATGGATGAGGACCCAACCGTCGATTCAGTACTCATCCCCTCTCAATTCCGCGCTGCAAAATATCAGATCACTGATGACCCGTCCGCGTCCTTCATACTGGACGGCTTCCCGCGGACAGCAACTCAAGCTGTGCAGCTTGACGGAATAGTGCCCATAAATCTCGTCGTCAACATTCAGACCCCGCCAGAGGTCATCATTGAGCGGATATGCAATCGCTGGGTCCACGAGCCGTCAGGGAGGGTATATAACACGACGTTCAACCCACCTAAGGTCGAGGGCAAGGATGACGTGACAGGTGAAGCCCTCACAAGACGCGCAGACGATGATCCAGAAGTGTGGAAGGCGCGGTTGAGACGCTTCAAAGAGACGAACGAAAATCTATTGGAACATTACGATAAACACGGCGTGTTGTGGACCGTGAATGGCAACAGCAGCGACGAGATTTCACCGCAGCTGTTCAGTGAGTTTGGCAAGCGGTTTGGCGCTGTGGGCAACTAGGTCGATATCCATGTTCCTTTTGTACGTGTACGCTATGTATGGGCTCAACTATGGACAGTGAGCCCGGTCTAGCTGGCTTTGCGGCTTGTGCGCTCGAGTCTCTTCTTCGCTCTGTACAGTTCAACTTTTGGCACCTAACTGGTAGCTGCACCCAATCCTCAATGAAATCTTTCTCGAGCAGCCCTTTCAGTTTTTCCGTTGTCGCGAGCGTCCAAAAATTGCTTTACCCATGCTCCTCAATTGATCCACTGGATAACGAACCCTTTCTACTTCTACCAACATAGCTATAGCTGTAGACGAGTTTCAAAGAATGTACGATGCGATCAGGGTTAAAACGGTCCAAGCGCCTGCGCCCCGCTACCAGGAGCTCTCTCCAGCTCCGATGCGACGTCAGTGTCTAGCGACTCGGCAGGCATCGCTAACCTCAACGACACCACCTTCTCCAACGCCCACGCCCGACGCCTCGCTCTACCACTGGTCTCACGTGCTCTGGATATCACCAGCTCCGGAACATCGCGCCATCATCCAGGAAATTGCTCCCAAGCCCGATTCCCCCTCGAAGGCACCACAACCAACGGCCTCGATGGCTGAGGACTTCAGCGAAGGACGCCTGGAGACGTTCGTCGGCACGCCGCAGAAAGAGCTTCCAGGGACAAAGGATGCATACGTATCCTATCTCGTCACCACAAAGGTCGGTATTTGACACCGTAGCCTGAGATCTCTCAGTACATATGCTCACGCGCATGCCAGTCCGACTTCCAATCATTCCAGCGCCCCGAGTTCAGCGTCCGCCGCCGCTTCACAGACTTTGTTTTCCTCTGGAAACAGTTGACCAAAGAGTACCCGCAATGCGCCGTCCCACCGCTGCCCGACAAACACAAGATGGAGTACGTGCGCGGTGACCGGTTTGGTCCGGACTTCACGCACCGCCGAGCTCACTCGCTGCATCGCTTTTTGAAGCGCATAACGTTGCATCCAGTGCTACGGCGCGCAATGCTGCTCATTAGCTTTCTGGAGAGCCAGGATTGGAATCAGCATATGAAGGGCCGGTCATCGAGGGCAGCTAGTGGATCAGATGCGGGAGGAGGCGGCTTCATGGATGCCGTTGCAGAGAGCTTTGTGAACACTTTCACCAAAGTACACAAGCCAGACAAGCGATTCATCGAAGTTAGCGAGCGAGCTACAAAGTTGACAGAAGACCTGTCAAATGTGGAGAAGGTGGTTGTGCGTGTCGCAAGGCGGCAAGGCGATCTCGACTCAGACTACAGTGACCTCGCAACGCAATGTCAGAAGCTCATCACCTTGGAACCTGGTGTTGAAGGTCCGTTAACATCGTTTGCTACCTCCGTACAAACAACTTCGAAAGGGTTCAAAGACTTGAGAGACAACACGGACCAGGACTACCTCACTTCCCTCCGCGACATGGACGCCTACGTAATAGCATTGAAGCAGCTTCTCCGCGCCCGAGAAGCCAAACAGCTCGACTTCGAAGCTCTCTCCGACCTCCTCGCAAGGAACGCTTCCGACCGTGACTCGCTCGCCAGCCAACACGGCGCTGGTATGGGAGCATCCGGCTTCCTCCGCCAGAAGGTCGAAGACTTCCGTGGCATCGACCACGAACAAGCGCGTCGCAACCGCGTCCGGAAGCTCGAGATCGACATAGAACGTTTAACGGGCGAAGTCGAAAGCGCAAAGAAAGCCACGGAAGCCTTTGACGAGCACACGGTTAAGGAAGTCGCAGACTTTGAACGCATCAAGGCCTTTGAGTTCAAGGACACGATGGGCGACATGGCAGATGCGCATATCAATTTCTTCAAGGGCACGATTGACACGTGGGAAAGATTTCTGGAGGACATGCGTAAGGAGGAGGATGAAAGGAAAAGGGCGGAGGAGCAAGAGACACAATAGGATACGGCCTCCCAGAGGTGGAGGAGTATATCTGTTGACTCCTGGGATGTGCCGTTGGCGCAGCGATACCCTGAAGCTGTGAAGGGAAAGGGCTCAAAGCCATGTGATTAACTCGGCCTGAGGCTGATTATGATAAGAGCGAGCTTCATGATGACGTATTTTACAGTTATTGATACTGCAGTAAAGATAATCATTTGCACGTACTCCTTCTTAAGCACAATTTGTCCTGAGGTGACTTGACCTCGGTTGCTGATGTAGTACGTATACTTCTACACTGCGCGCGTTTGATGGTAGTAAAGACAATTATTTGCACGTACTCCTTCTCAGGCATTAATCCACGATGTGTCGTGAGGTGACTTGGACTCTATTACTAATATAGTACGTATACTTCTACACTATGCGCGTTCAACATTTAACGTCGTATGTCTTGAGACCTCTCCACCTCGAACTCGAACTCAACCGTAACCCCTGAAAGCGGGACGCGTTTACATCTATCCCACGCTCCTCCTTTATTCACTGTTCTCCCTCAACATGTGATTGATTAGCTGCCTTACTACTCCTCTACGTACCCGTTTACCTTTCCCGTGAACGTCCCCTCCTACGTAATATCCCCCCTCCCACGCAAACGTTAAGCGACTCCAGCTAACTATACTCGGGATCCTCTCCGACTTCACTTCATCTCCGCCTCACCACTCCGCAGCGTGACCGTCCCCTCACGTAACCTTCTCCTCCCACGCAAACGTTAAGCGATTCTACTTGACTACTTCGAGTATACGCTCCGACATTACCTCCGCTCTACTCCGCTATCACCTCCACTCTCTCTCACTGCAGACGTTCATCACCAATACCCCTCGAGCCCTCGAGAGGCCTATATAAACCCCCTCTGCGCCCCCTTCCTCCTTCTTCTCTACACTCTACTTCTCTCCATCATGGCTCTCATGGTGGAGGGGATTGAAATCCAACTCCCCTTACCGTCATGGTTGGGGAGGGGAGGATTAAAACTCGACAAGGCTCTGGACCATGTGCGCGTGCTGTGGGGAGTGTGGTGAATAAAAACTCTGGATGTCTGCGGTCATGCGCGCGTGTGCTGTGAGGTCCTTCGTAAATAAAAGTTCACGATATCGACATCTATGTGCGTGCGTGGTGCGTGGGGAGGGAGTACCTTCGAGTCTCGAGTGCATGCGACCATGAGTGCGTAAGGGAAAGTGGTTAAAAGCTGTATTGCGCGCTGAGTCTACCCAGGGTGGATTATATCCTCCTCGCCGAAGATGTAGTCACGAGTACACAGGATGAGCTGAGGCCATGCATTATGTACTCGATATCATGTGTCGAGTCTACCCAGGGTGGATCACAGTGACCCTGATGCAAAGGTGATCACGAGCACGCAGGACGAGTTAAGGCCATGTAGTATGTCCTCTGAAATATATGTCGAGTCCACCCAGGATAGCTACGTTCTGGGACAAGTATCCAAGCCTAGAATCGCATCAAACTTGCGTCAAGTTATACCCAGCTAGCTATGTACACCTTCCAACCCATTTCTATATCTTACTCTTCTCCGTCTCCCTCACCGCCTGCCTTAACACCTCCCTATTTAATTCCTCGCCCTTCCTCCTAATCTCACTCATCCGCCCCACCTTCAATAACCTCCCAATCATCTCCTCATCCCCAAAATGGCTATTATGCTCAAATAGCGGTTCCTCCCCATATGCCACCCTCGATGCATCAACCAGGATCCTCGCCGTCATACCGAACACCCTGAAATTCTGGAGATCCTCAAAGGGCGTGGGCTCGGGCCGGGGATCGTCGCCTTCCGGCATGCCTTGAGACTTCTGTGTGTGTTGGGAATAGACAGAGGTGTTGCGCCGGAGCGTGGTGGGGGAGGAGGGAGGCTTGGGGATGTAGAAGTTGTGCATGCGCCAGCGGGACTCGTGCCAGTCCGTCCAGGTGCCGCGGTACCAGCTGTGCGGTTTTCCAGCGCTGTTCTGCGGTCCGAGTTCTTTCCTTGTCCAGTCTTTTTGTAGGAACTGTGCGAAGGGCGCGGTGAAGACGGCGGCGACTTCTTTGGGGTCGAGGCGCGGGATCATCTTCTCTTCGACGTCGCCTGCGTCTTGCCCTTCTGATGATGTGGAGGAGGTTGTAGACGGGCATAGAAATGCTACACATGGTCTGACGCCTAGCTCTGTCCTTGCGAGATTGGTGGGCAATTCGCAGAGATGTTCGACACGGAAGCCCGGCGGGAGCTTGGTGTCTGTGGTGGGGAGGCCTATTTCTTCGTATGCTTCTCTGCGCGCGGTCTCGAAGGGCTTTTCGTCGAGCGTATCGGCTTTACCGCCTGGGAGTGCGGCCTGTCCTGCGTAGTTGCGCAGTGTGCTGGCTTCGGTGTCAGCATATTGTATGTCGCAATTCGATTGCGGGTGTCAGGCCTTACGCGGCGCGCATCGTAAGTACGACTTTAAGGTCGCCATGACGATCTGGGAAGAGGAGAATAAGGACAGCGGCACGGCGCGTAAGTGGGAGTTTATAGTAGTTCGTGGGTGGAGGTGTGTATGCACGGAGGCGCGCAAGCGCTTGCTGTTGGATGGTCAATCTTGTGCCAATCGCGGATTGTAGTGCTGGATATTACAGCTGAAGCATGCGAAAGCATACTGGGAATCTAAGACAGGCGTTGCGTCTGCCATCGTGTTGGCCGTAGATGGTGGTTATTCGCGGGAGCTGACTTGTGGAGGGGCTGTCGTCAGGACCGAGGCAATCCAAACAGCAGGAGGATTTGCGTGCCGAAGAGATGTGCACCACCAACGTCACGTAGTAGAGATTTGTAGAGTTTCTTTTGTAGTATATTGCATTTGCAACTGCATCTATCATAAGAGACCATTCATTACTGTCATCAATGGCTCGCGCAGCCATGGAAAGGGTATCCCATCGCACTCGCGGGCCATGATAGCCAACAAACTCGCAGCAGATACAGATGGCGGAAGAGCCGATGTAAGGAACATTTTGGGAAATCCACGCACTGAACTTCCTCCACACTTTTCTATACCCGCAAAACTTCCAAGTACGTCTTTGGACATGAATGGACAAACGCCGATATGCCTCGAATGTAGATAGGAAGACACCACCTCTCATCCCCAAGCGCTTTTTAAGAAACGTAACACCGGACCGAAGCCTGTCCGAGCAGGCAGTATCCGAATTAGTGTAGCACCAACTGAACCAAAATCTCCGGAACAAACAGGATATGGCTCAGCGATGCAGGCGAAATGGAGAGTCGTCTAGATGAGGTCGGCAACGTTCATGGGCATCTCCTCAATCTGGGTGCTGTAGAACTGCTCGATCTCACGCATCATGCGGACATCATCGGCAGTGACGAAGTTGATAGCCACACCCTTACGTCCGAAACGTCCACCACGACCGATACGATGGATGTAGTTCTCGCGGTTAGCGGGAAGGTCGTAGTTGATGACCAAAGAGACCTGCTGGACATCGATACCACGGGCGAGAAGGTCAGTGGCGATGAGCACACGGGACGAGCCGGAGCGGAACTCCTTCATAATGACGTCACGCTGGCCCTGGTCCATGTCGCCGTGCATGGCGGAGACGGTGAAGTCACGAGCAGTGAGCTTGTCGGTGAGCCAGTCGACCTTCCTGCGGGTGTTGCAGAAGATGACGGCCTGGGTGATGGTGACGGTCTCGTACAAGTCGGAAAGGGTGTCGAGCTTCCAGTCCTCCTTCTCAACAGCAATGTAGAACTGCTTGATACCTTCGAGGGTGAGCTCGTCCTTCTTGACGAGAATGCGGACGGGGTCACGCATGAACTTGGTGGTGACCTCGAGGACATCCTGGGGCATGGTGGCGGAGAGCAGGACAACCTGGGTGGACTGGGGCAGAAGCTGGAAGATGTCGTAGATCTGCTCAGTGAAACCGCGGGACAACATCTCGTCGGCCTCGTCAAGGACGAACATCTTCATGTGGTCGGTCTTGAGGACACGGCGCTGGATCATGTCCTGGACACGTCCGGGGGTGCCAACAACGACCTGGGGGCCTTCCTGGAGAGCCTTCATGTCATCACGGACGCTGGTGCCGCCAATGCAGGCGTGGCACTCAACGTTCATGAAGTCACCGATGGCGACAACAACCTTCTGGATCTGCTGGGCAAGCTCACGGGTGGGGGCGAGGATGAGAGCCTGGCAGGCCTTGATGTTGGGATCGAGCTTCTGGAGGACGGAGATGGAGAAAGTAGCCGTTTTACCGGTACCAGACTGAGCCTGCGCAATCACATCGTGGCCTGTATATACGTCAGTCGGTGTCACGCTACGCTGGCGGAAGCGGCGGTTGGCACTCACCCTTGATGACGGGCATGATGGCGCGCTGCTGGATGGCGGAGGGGCGCTCGAAACCGTAGGCGTAGACTCCGCGGAGGAGCTCAGCCTTGAGTTGCATAGCATCGAAGGAGTCGGTCGTCTCATCGTAGTTGGACTCGATCTGGCCTGCGCGGGGTGTTAGACTTGAAGCTGGCGACGAAGTTTTCCGCATGCGCTGGCCCCGCCTTCGCATGGCGGGCACACGCTGCGCGGCGCGCGGGAAGAGACTCACCCTCGGGCACATCCTCAAGACCTTTGTCAGCCATGATTGTGAGTGTGGAAACTCGGGACTACAGGCGCTGCGCTGTAGTCGAGGGGTCGCTTGTAGCGGGGTTGTGGGCGGTGGAGATCCTGAGGATACCGCCGCTGTAGTTTTTGAGTTGCTGAAAAGCTAGATACCAGATCCTCGCGCAGAGAATCAAAGGGGTATCTAGGGTAGTGTGTGTCTGTTGTGTGGTGAAGTTTGGTGAAAAATGAAGCGATAAGTGGGAGGCTCGGCCGTGTTTTATGTAGTACCGTGAGAATTTTTGGGCGGCGGGCGCCACGCTAGTCAAGCGAGCTCTGGTTGGAGAGATTCACTGCGAGAACCTCTCCACATGTGTTTCGCCTTCACGCACCGCCCGAGCTTCAATCGCTGACTCCGCGCTCCCCAGGATTCGTGCGTTTGCGCCGTGGCAACTGTTTGGCAGGTGCGCCCTGTGATTGTTTGGCCAGCATTGTATCTTCTCGTCCTTCCAACATGGCTCCCGGACTTGTAGAAGCAAGCCGCGTTTCCACCGACTTGCCGCCACGCAAGAAATTCAAGCTCTCATCGGTGGCGGATGTCCAGGCCGACGACATTCTCGACGCGGAGACTGCAGCGGCTACTGTCCCTCCCCATCCGCTGGGAATCAGACCAGCAGGCAATGCGTACACAGCCACCGAAAACATCAAGGCCAACTGCGGTTCATTCGCACGGCTTCCAGACGAGCTGTTGAATCACATCTTTGAGTCATTCGACGCCGAAACGCTGAGACGCCTGGGAGGCACCTGTAGAGCGTTGTACGCCTTCACTCGGCTCGATGAGCTGTGGAGGGCCTTGTTTGTCAGGTAGGTGACTGTTTTACTTGTCTCAGGCCACTCACGGGCGCACAACACTAAGCTCGAGGTTAATGCATTTCCATTTATGGACGAGCACCAAAAGACCTCCCGAAATGACCTCCATGACTCTTCTCCGTACAGCCATCAAACGAAAGGCACAGTTATGCGCTGTCCGTATTTGAGCTGTGCAATATGGGTCGACTCAGATCAGAAGCTGTTATCAGACAGTGCGTGTTTGGCTATGTCTTCCATCGTGCCGTCCGCTTGTGACTCATACATCAGCCCGGACTGCCGTCATCGCAATCCATCATGCTGAGTCCTACAAACTAACAAATCCCACAGTGCACCGCCCGAGGACTTCGTGTGGCGCGGGACCTGGCGCGCAACCTATCTAGGCATCCCTCAAGAACATGTTGCCTCCATCCCCTGCCGGAACCTCTTCTCAGACGTGCTCTACCGGCCTTTCCAATGCGCACACATCTCCCTGGCTCCTTTCACCTCCAATATCCCCGTGCACAATGAGATCGACCGACTCCCCAACCTCACCTACGAGGAGTACGCCTCCAAATGGACCAACAAACCCTTCATCCTGACCGAGCCCGTAAAACAGTGGCCCGTCTACGGAAAATGGACACCAGAGTATCTCCATCGTGAGTACCCAGACGTAAAGTTCCGCGCCGAGGCCGTCGACTGGCCCATGGTGAAGTACATGTCCTACATGTCTGCCAATGCCGACGAAAGCCCCCTGTACCTCTTCGACCGCGCCTTCGTCGAGAAGACCGGCATAGCAGTCGGTCGAGACGCCCCCAGCGCAGCCTACTGGCCTCCCGACTGCTTCGGAGAGGACCTCTTCGAAGTCCTGGGCGACCAACGGCCAGACTGCCGCTGGATGATCATGGGCCCGAAGCGCAGCGGGAGTACCTTCCACAAAGATCCCAATGCGACGAATGCATGGAACGCCGTGTTGACGGGCGCAAAGTATTGGCTTATGTTCCCGTCGAGCAGCAACCTGCCGCCGCCGCCGGGTGTCATACTGTCGGATGATCACTCTGAGATCACGTCCCCGCTGTCTATCGCGGAGTACCTCCTCACGTTCCACGCGCTCGCCCGCGAGACGCCCGGCTGCAGGGAGGGCATCTGCCACGCTGGCGAGGTTTTACACGTGCCTTCTGGCTGGTTCCACCTTGTGCTCAATCTTGAAGATGGCCTTGCGTTGACGCAGAACTTCGTGCCGAAAAAAAAGTTGGCTGATGTGCTTGGCTTCTTGAGAGACCAACGGGACCAGGTAAGTGGCTTCAGGGAGGAGGTCTGTGATCAGGCGTATGAGCTATTTGTCGAGCGGCTGCGGGAAAAGCATCCGGAGGTGCTGGAGGAGGGACTCGCGGAGCTGGAGAAGAGGAATAAAGGAGGGAGGGGCAAATGGGAGGAGCTGACCAAGGGTGATGATGAGGGAGAGAGTGGTGGATTCAGCTTTGGGTTCGGCGGGGACGATGATGAAGACGCAGAGATCCCGTAGACGTAGACATCAAGCAAGAATGTGGTCACAATTATCAGAGAAGAAACAGATAATAATGCATATTAATAAGCAGTCTCAGCAGTGTCATGCCAGACCCCTATTTACCGCATCCGAACCCAATGCAAGAGCAATATCCCACCATAAGCAAAACAAGTCCATCGTGATTAGCCTCCTCCACGGAAGACGCCAACCCGCCATCAGTATCAACGGCGAAGTTACTCAGCCAACACTGACCTCAACATACTCAAAAAGGTCGGATGTAGCTTCAGCAACTCCTCGATAGGCGGCTTCGCCGGCTCACCCGCCTTCCTTCTCAATTGTTCCGCAGCCCTAGCTCTCCGCTTCCGCTCCGCAGCAATGGGATCCGCCATATCCTCGTCATCCATGTCGCTTTCCTCGTCATCATCATCCGCATCATCGTCGAGTTCAAGATCCTGGAGATCGAGCTGCTCACTGTCAGTACCCTTTAGAAAAGACAAAGGAGGGTAGACTTACCTCGTTGAGTCCAAAATCCGACGTTTTGAACCCACCCATACCACTCAGGATCTTGTCGCTGCCTTCGTCACCTCCACTCGCCATCTTCTGCCTCGTCTTATCCTGATGCCACTTCTTCCTCGCCGTCTGCCATCTGATCAAGCTGTTGATCTCCTTGATCGCCTTCACCCTATCAATACTCCCCGAATCCATGCTCCCTTGAAACAGCGCATTCATATCGAGCTTTCCACCACTTCCAGGTCCATGTCTGAGGAAGTCGAGGATGCCTTCCAGCCAGCCCATGAGCTTCTCGAAGAGCCCGTTATCGTGGATATGCACCTCGTGGACGAACTTGTAGAAGTTGTCCTCGTGGCGGGCGCACAGGTCGATGAAGGCTTGGACGGTTTGATTGGGGTCTGCGGAGATGTCCTGGCGTTGGCAGGCTTCGATTGTGCGGATGGTGTCGTCGACAAAGAGGGCGAAGTCCGTGATACTGTTGTAGACGTTGGCGGATTTGTAGACGCGGACGAGGGGCTCGTAGAAGATGGTGAAGAGGTCGCGGAAGAGTTGGAGGGTGGTGGGTTCTTCAATGAGCTCGAGCATCATTTGCTTGTCTCGTTGTCGAAGACAGAGTTTAAGGTACTGCTTCAGGTGGGCGAACAGCTCGGCGCCTTGCCGCAGGTCTTTGTCAAGTTGGATCGGACCGTTAGTCTTGTCCACCGTCTTCGTGCTGTATGAGCTAGACTTCCGGCTGAGTTTTCCGCGTCCTGAGCTCTCCACTGCGCTATTCCAGGCGACATACGCATTGAAGATCTTCTCAACTTGTTCGGACGTTAGTTCGGGCACCAACAGTTCCGAACGAAGGATTGTGACAACAATATCGACATTCTCTTTCGCGGCTTCCTCTCGTAATATGTCCTGGACGTCCTCGTCGGCTTCGACGAAAGCCTTGAGCTTCGCACATAAGACCTCGTCCTTGATCTTCGTTGAGCCGAGAGCGTCTATTGACTTCTGCACTGACTTGACGCCATCGTTGATGGCCATGCCGAACATCCGCTGTAGCAACGACCGAGCGCCGAAAGGCTGTGCAAGGAAAAGATCTAGTACGCCAGCCATGACAGCCGCAGGATTTGCATATTTGATGACCTGTTTCAGTACGCTGTACGGGACCAGAGAGTGGATGCGCTTCGCTTGTGCGAAAAGCTCCGGTGAGTTGTCTTCGGCGAGGAACAGATGGTAAATGGTGGCCGCGACTTCTATTCGCAACCACTCGGCGAATTTTTGATATTCGGGTTTGAGATCCGCAATCTTGTTCTTGACCTTGATCTCCTGGAAAAGGTGCGAAAGACCATTGCTCTCCACGATCTCGCGCCGGAACTTCTCCATATGGATGTCTAGCTCGGCTGCTCGCTGCCGTGCCACCTCGTAGAATTGTCTTTGCTCTTCGATACGCTTCTCGTCCATTATCTTTCGCTTCTCAATGTCCTCCATCTCTTCCTCGTTCACCTCAATAGGATCACGGGTCAGAAACTCGGCCATTGCGCTAGACTGTGCAATAACCTCGTTCGATAGGAAATTTCGGAGAAAAGCTCGGAGAGATACACGCTGCTCTTCCCGATAGAGTACGCGCGGTTGCTGAAAAGCTAAATGTTCGCCAGATGCCCTAGGTGAGCGGGTTTTCGGTGTCCCTAACGAGGTAGTTGAGCTGTTTCGTTTGTGACTCCCATATAACCAGCCTCGCAGGCCGCCTCCCCCACTGCTCTCATGCTGCTCTGGTTCTGGGCCTTGGGTGGATATGGAAGATATTGAACTGGCATCATCATCCGCGGATGTAAGAAGAGAATCTTTTTTGTTCTTCCGGGGAAGTGGAGGGAGTACCTTTCCAGGTAGCTCTAATCGTATTCGTTTGTGTAACTGTACAAAATCCGCAAACCGACGACCGATGTAAAAGTCGTGGGAGCCGGATTGTTTGACTCTGATGAGATACTCCTATAGAACCGTTAGTCCTTCGCTTGTCGCTCTTCACCAGTGGTGGGGCACCTACAGCGTGAGTATGGTACCGAAGATGCTTCTTAACAGACGTCGTCCGCACTCCAGCGACGTTGATGTCCCAACCATTTATGAAGTGTCCGCTCGGCGCATTCAGCTTTAGGCCATTATCGTTGGCGCCCCGGTCGACGATTTCCATCTCCGAAAATCGTATTCTCTCCTCATAGCCAGATGCAGTAGGTATGCCGGAGACCATCATAAGCTCCACCAGCTTCTCTGTCTTCAATGCGAGCTTCCTACGCTTTGTTTCTTCCAATCGATCTTCGGATGAGGATATGTTCTTGTTCGCAAACGATTCTAGAAACTGACGCACATCCCAAGATCAGCTTGTAGTCTTCGCCACGATGTCACAGCAGAACATACCACTTGCAGTTTGTCTTGCCAAAACTCTTTCTCTTTCGCTTTGTCTAGAAATGGAAAGTTGCGAACATGGTGTACGAATATGTAGCGAAGAATAGGTAGTTCGGAATCTTCTGGCGCAACCTCACCGGCATCTGACCGAAAGGGTGCGCCGAAGCGCTGGAGGGCTGTGGGGGAAGAAAGCTCGGAGATCTCGAATTGGGTCTGCTGTGATATGAGTTCGCGTTTGAGGTCTGTTTGCGCATTAGTTTGGCCCATGTATATAGAAGTGTGCGCGTGCTGCTTACAGTGCTCTTGCTTGCCCGTCAGAATAGACCCCTCTGGAGGGACCGACATCATGGAGAACTTGGAGTAGGTCGTGTCATTTCGGGCTGGTGCACCGGGGCGCGACGTGGACGACACCGGTTCTCCAAAAGCCGGAGCAGAGGGAGTATTGTCTGCTGCTGGTTGTGCCATGGTCATAGGTTCAACTGAGCCGTTGAGCTGAAGGGAAGGAAGGTCGTCAGAAGCCATGATATAATCGCACACAAGCAAACGCTAAAGGGACGTGGGTGAGGCGAGTCGAGACCGGGCGGTCGTAGCCGTCGTGGCTAGGTAGTCTTCGATGCCGGTTCCGGCAGCTCTTGGTCACTTGGTGGGCGAAGTTCGACGCGTGGTGTATGACACCAATGACGATAGTGGGGCTGTTGTGGCTGAAGCTGCGAGCCAAGGTTACACTTGCATTTTTAGTCAAGAATCCACGAATAGCCCGAAAGTGCTCCGCGAAGCAAGATTTGTTGTTGGGCATTCACGTCGTGGTAGGTGAGCAGGTGCGTGTCAGACATGCACAGAAGCGCGTGTTGAGCCTGCTGGTTGCGTCACAGGGACATGGCTGAGCACACAAAGCGCTGATTGCCAGCATCGACAGCGCGCCGCCATCTGCGCTCCAGGGCTTCAAGGAACGCACGGCAAACTCGTCCTTGGCTTCAGCCGCTTCACTAGCCGTGCCCCAGATTCACTGCGCAAGAGTGGCTGAAAATGAGCCACCCCTCGCGCTTGGCGACTCCCTATATATCGCTTGCGGGTATGCTTTTGGAATAGCTACAAGTATTGCCGCCATCGGTGAACGACTCAACAATCAAATGAGTGTCTAACGCTCAAAACCCGAAGTCGGCATGTCTTCACATTGCAGATCTTCACACAGCATGAGCTTCACTTGCATCATGATTTTATTCTACATGGGTTCAGCTAGTCCTGCCTAAGTCAGGCATGCCAGCTGCACACGGTGGGTGAAACAAGACTGTCTTCTTCTTGAACCGTGACCCAGTCTCCGGCAAGCCACCGAGTACCCACACGACCCTAGCCTATCAAAAAGGCAGAGGCGTAAAGAAACATAGCTTGGTATGACAGTGTCCACATGCTCCTTAACGCCGGTACTATGGACAAGCATACTATACACCCGCTTCAAATGTGTTGCCTCGAAGAAATCCATACACTTACACTAAACAGTCTGTGCTCCATCTCGTCAATGCAGGGGCTCAGTAGTTGAGCTCGCCAGTGCCGCCCGAACCGACAGCGTCCAGGTCATCGTAACTCTTAATGGACCGTCCTTGAGTCGACTGCATAGGACCCGGTCCGCCTTCACCGAAGCGAGGGCCTCCTCGGCCGTTGCGGGGAGGGGGCGTCAAGCGGCCATTGCCACGGTTGCGACCGTCGCGATTTTGCCTGTCGTAGGGGCCTGATCGGTTGTTGAATCGGTGTCCACCACGTCGCGCAGGGCCTGCTTGGTGTCCGTCGGAGGAAAAGTTCGGATCCCAGTTGCTCATCGCAGGATTGAAGAGTCCTTGAAAGTTGGCCCCCGGGTTCGCTAGGTTGATGTTCATATTAGCCAAGTTGAATCCACGAGGTGTTCCGGTGGCGGCAACGTGATTACCCATTGGAAAATGTCCGTTGCTGTTCGCATCACTACGCGAGGGTGCGATATGCGCAGGGTCCATAACATAGGTATTGACCAATTGAAGCTGCGCGATGATTAGCTCGTCTGTTCAGGTCTTAGGAAATATGGCTTACATCGGTGTGCAACTTCTCAACCCACTCTGCGTGCCTCTTCTCGATATGCTTACGCCAGAAGTTCTGTCCCTTAAACAACTTCGTGCACTCTGGAACTTTGCAACGCCACTTTGACTCATCTTCTTGCTTGACATACTTAGCCAACTCGTCCTCGACAGCTTCCTCGAGGGGTTTTCCGCCCAGCTTTCGAATGTCGATATTCTCGGGCTCGAGCAGCTGCAGCAATTTCTCTTCATACGTCTTGACCCAGTTGAAGGCTCTCTGCAATTGCTGCTGTGTCTTACCGCTCAGCTTTGGCGTCTGCTTGACCTCGACAGGACTACCTTCGCCCTCACCCTCTCCCGTAGACTCTTGCTTCTTATAAGGGAAAGGCTGTCCGTTGGCTGTTGCCCTCGCCGTGGCTTTGGCAGCCGTTGTCAGGCTTGCGCGGGGTCGGCGAAGATGACCTCCAGCGCATTTTCGGATCAATTCGTGTACAGAGTCGCTCTCGAAGACGCAGAAGAAGCAGAAGTTGTAGACCCGACGAAGGTACTCGATGAGGAGATCGAGCTTCTTCTTTTTAGCTAGAAGCTCCTCATCGTCGACCTCATCATCAACGACACCCTCTTCGTCATCGTCCATCGTCTCATCCTCGCCTTCTTCGAGATCTTCAGGGTCTCGCTCCTTCTTGACGACAGTTGGAGCATTGGCTGGAGGCTGGAGCCAGCCTTTGGAGCGCAGGTCTTCCACGCGTTGTTCGATTTTGGCAACACCAGCGACTTCACCGAGCTCCTCTTCATGACCCTCCCTCATCTCGGCATCGAGTTTGTTCGCCAAGCGCTCGGCGAGCTCCAGATCACGCTCAATTCTCTCGGGTGCCGAGAACAAATCCCAAAGCGCCTTTTTACGAGGTGCAGCAGGTGGCTCGTGAACTCCTACATGGCAAGTGAAGTTTCCGCGTTGATCATCAATGACTGTCTTGCCATTGAGGGCTTCAAGGGCCTTTTGTGCGGTTCCAAGGGGTGACACGTTTGGTTTTTCATCAACGGCACGGTCTTCGCCCTCTTCCTCTACTCGACCATCACCACGATCATCGATGATCATAGACTGTTCGTCACTAGGATGAAGAATAACCCATCCGATGCGATGGCACTTCTTAAGCGGATTAGGGTCACTCATGCTCAGCCACTTGAAACCACCAGCACCTTCACCAAGGTGTTCTTTGCAGAAGTCCTCGACCTTGTCCCTGTTAACAGTCGGCGCAATGGTCTTGATCAGCAATGTGGGTTGCAGAGCAGCCTCGTCACGCAACTCTCCGCCTTTGCAAGGCAAGAGGTCACCTACACCAAGAACTTCGTTCGCTGCGGTAGTTTCTCCTTCCTCTTTCTCAACAAGACCACCGGCACCATTGGACTCATTCTTATAGATACCTTCGAGCGTGAACTCGTCAAAGTATCCATCGTCGACTTGGCGCGTCCAATCCTGGTAAATGGCATGTCGATAGCCTCGCAGTTTCTCGCGGAACGCTTGTCGGTAATCCGAGTCGTAGCGTTCTTTGAACCACTCTTCGCCTTTATGTTTGTCCACGAAGGTTTTGGCCATCTGCACTTGCAGCTTTTCCTTGTACTCATCGTAGGCCGCCTGTATCAGCTCACGCTCTTTACCACGTTCCTCCCGAGCCTCACGCTCGCCCTTAAGGCCTGGCTTCCTTCCACCGTTCTTCGCACGCTCCTTCTCTTCCTTGATGATCTGTTCTACACGCCACCATTCTGCAAAGAAATTGAACCCGACCTGATATTCGAGTGTCATAGGATTGGGCATTGGATTGCTTGTAAAAGTCGGAGTGAAGCTGTCCTGGCCGGGAACGTATCTATCGATACCAGCCTGAACAGGCGGTGGGGACGATCGGCGCCGGCCGCCCTCGCGAGGGCGATAGTCATAGTCGCGGTTCCGGTCGGGCTGGTAACGATCGATGTTCTGAGGTGAACGCGATCGTCCCCGACTCTGCCGATTGCGTCGGTCCCCGGAACCTTTCAAAGATATCAGTAAGCCTGGTGCTATACATATCGAATGTGCGCAGGTACCCACCGGGACCGGGAGACCGTCGTCGGTACGTGTCCGTGTCTTGCGAACTACAATCCCAAATTAGCGCCGATGTGTATGAATGTGACTGCAATGAACCCACGTGTAAGAATCCATGCTTGCAGGTCGATTGCGCTAAGTGGAGCTATGTGTCCAGAGAGAGTGCGAGCTCGGGTTGTCGCAAGCTACGGTTATCAGAGACGGTGGAAAGAGCGTCGTTAGCTGGTCATTGGTTATGGCGGCAGAAGCGTTTGCTGTCAAGTAGGCGACAGCTCGCCCGGCAATGAAAGTGGCAGGAGCCGGTGCGCAATCGCGGATCTCGGACTGTTTGCCATGACGGCCTCGCGTTAGAGTAGAACCACAAGTGAACAGATTACGAGAGACGCGGCGAAGAGGAAGGTGAGGCAATGCAGAGCTAAACAAGAAGGGAGCTGCGTCCGATGCAATGAATGCAGACGCGCAGCGCTGTACAAAGAGAGGTGAGGAGAGAGGTGTAGCTGAGCGGACACGCAGGCGCCGCCGACAAAGGTCAGGGAGAGCTATGAAAATAGCTGTACAAGCGTGATGATGGACTGACAAGGGGATATGTGAACAAGAGAGCTGCACTCACGATGTGCTGGAGATCCCGGTGCGAAAGAATACCGAGGGTTGGAGGAACTGGAGCGCAGCGCGCGAGAGCTGTCGACGTGAGGAGAAGCGGCCCCGGGGCCGGCTAACCTGAAATGAGGCTAGCAGAGTTTCGTTCGGAGGCAGGCGCGAACCTCCACGAAACAGGAAAGGGCAGCGGCACGTGACATGCCGAGGCATCATTGGTCGCGATCTGCTTTACCTTGTCGTGGAACACGCCATCGCCAGTTCAACTATAAAACACATTTCGTCGAATTGTGTCGACAAACACGTTAATTACACCATGACTACCTACATCCCGTCTTTGACGCTTCCTAGCTTCGTGTTCGACAATGCTGCTGTGTCCATTCTCCTACCTGTTGTTGCCGGCGCCGCTGTTGGTTACTCGACTAGACGTAGGTTCTGCACTATCCCAGAGTCCAATTTTCCATATTTGGTACCGCATAAACCATAAACCATTGCCACGCGGAGATAGTTATGTCTACGTTGCTCTTGCAATGAATTGGCGTCAATATATCATACGCTCTGATAGCTGGTTTGGTTTTCTTGGAGTATGTGAACGAGTTTAGAGAATGCGTTTTGCTGACTCTCCTATAGCGAGCGAAACTCAGAAACTCTACCTAGCCCTTAAGCAGCCTCCGCTCAACCCTCCAGGATGGGTTTTCGGTCCTGTCTGGACGGCGCTCTACGCAACAATGGGCTACGTAGCTCACCGCGCCTGGACGGTAGGGACAACATCTGTCAATCCCTCTACTGTTAGCCTCGCCAAACAAGGTGGTAAGTCATCACAGGCCCAATAATCTCTGCATATATTGGCGATTGTGCATCAGGCTGAGTTTACCCCCGCTCGCGTCACTTTTACTGATGCTATGCCTCAAAGCAACGCTCTACACTATTCAGCTAGGTCTCAACCTTGTCTGGATGCCACTGTTCTTCGGCTTCAACCGACCCATTGCTGCGACAGTTGATATCCTTGCTTTGGGAAGTACGGTCAGCTATCTGGCGTACATATGGGGGCAGGTTGACGAAACATCTGGATGGTTGCTCGCCCCGTATCTGGGCTGGTTGAGCTTCGCAACTTATCTTTGCGTAAGTCGAGCATCGTGTGGTGTTGTGTGGGTGCTACTAACGCTTCACTAGGTCGGTGCAGGTTACCTCAACAACTGGGACTTCACTTCAAGTGCCAAGAAGCGAGAGTAAGAGATGCTATAGGACGGAAGCAGCATGTGTACGTATGTGTATACTAGGATCAGTTATTCGTGAAACGGAGATAGGCATATATCAATCCTGTACTGGAAGCACGTCTTCCAACCTTTGCCGTGTAACACCTTGCGTTTATTTGTGAGTTTGTGGCTGTGAGATGTGATTCGAGCCATGCTAATATGATCTAGAATAGCTACGCGGCCAAATCTAGTAAGCATGCAAGTCCAACTCTTTTCCTGACAGATACGCTATGATGGGTGCATCGTACGAAGGCACACGTTTATTGCAATGTGCTCACGTTTTGAACCACCCACGCGCACATGGATGCACGGTAAGGGGCACCTCCCCGCTCGCGAACAATGAATTGCGCTGAAGTCCTCGTGCAAGAACATTGGATTTCACGCATTAGCCGGCTTTGACTGCGAGCCGGATGCTGCGGGGGTAAGCTGATTCAGTGCGGAACGATTGGTTTTGCAGACCGGTGACAATGCAGGTCATGGTTCAAGGCCACTTCGTGCCCCTCCTTCTCCACACCATCCCTGTATCACAGCTTTCCGCTTCTAGACTAATACAGCACCGCATCATCATCTGTACCACCACGTGTACGAAATAGCGTTGAGCGGCTACTACTTGCATCTGCGGCATGCATTTGGGCGTGTCCGGGTCACCCCACGCGTTATCTCCCATGCCCACCTCAAGTACTGTCTTCCTCGCTGCATCACAGCACCTTCTCTTATCTAGCTTGTACCCACATACACTGTCGGCATTGAAAAGCGCAAAGTAGTACCGAACAACTACCATGGGCGAAGCAGTCCGCCCCGAGGCTCCTGGAGCCATCAACATTCCCAGTGCCCCTCTACAAGAGCTGTCCCCGCATCTAACTTTACAGCCGCCACTCTCCCGACGCGGCTCTGGGCCGGGCCTCATTCTGGTCGTGGATCATTATGCACAACTAGAAGTTAGTGAAAAGTCCCTCGATCCACCGCCATTGCAGAAATGGGCAGAAGAGGGTTTCGCCGTTGTTCAGATAAAGGTGCCCGGGAAGGTAGAGGATGGAGGCGAGTTTCCGTTGAAGCGCGCAATCGAAGCGTTGAAGGCATGCGAACAATGCATATGGGGTGATGGTGTTGGTCTTATCTGTGAGTCGGTATTTCTCAAGCATGCTATTCTCCATGAGCACCGAAGGGGTACAGCAGGAACCTGGGCATCTGCGCCTGCACGTGCACCGCCAGTCAACCACGGTACCGTCCTCAACAACTGTTTGCACCTGCATAAAATCTCACCTCTTTCACCGCACCTGCATCTGCAACAGATACTTTCAAAATACGCTACCCACGAGAAGAGCTTCCTCCGTCCTCCACCATACGTCACTCACCGATATGGCTCCCCCAGACGACAACATACCGCAACCTCAGGAGAGTCCTCTCCTATCACCATTCCAGATCAGCTACGCCATCGTAATCTGCCTCGCACTCTTTGTCTTGTTGGTTGGCATGATCGCGGTCGCGAGTTGGATTACCACCAGCTTGCTACGCAAGTAAGCAACGATATGGACACGACCTGGTGCATGCAATGGGTCGGCTATGAGAAACTCGCCAGTGCGGTCAGCAACGCCGGCGGCCTAGGAATAGCACTCTGTTCGCATCTCTCTGCATTGCACGACCAGCTGGCAAAGGGATACGGCAAGACTGACTGTTTGACAGCTTACGTCACTCGGATTCCCTTCTATGTCGAAGAAGCTGCTTACCTCTCGCCACATATCAAAGCGCTTATATCGTACGGCGGTCGAAAGTTCACATCAATCTCGTCACCTACGCATGCCAGTGCTAGCTTGCCACCTCAACTAGTCCATATTTCTGGCCCTGAGACGCCTCGCCGAGAGTCAGTGTCAATCGTGCAAGATGCCGAAACCTCCTCCGCTACTACACCATCAGAGGGCCCTGTCAAAAGTTTCCGCTACGTCAACGCAAAGTCAGAGTCAAAGTGGGTTCTCCCCGCCGAGGAAGACTACCACAGCACATCAGCCGGCATAGCGCACACACGCAGTCTCGCATTCCTCAAACCCCTTCTCAATGGTCCCTACTTCGATCTTGAGGCCATCTGGGATGAACACTGCCGGTACGAATTCGGTGAGCGCGATGTGGCCCGCACAATGGCCACCATGGTCGCCCAGCCATACGTCAACCACATTCCCACATTGACCGGAGGCATCGGGCAACAGCGCCTGACGGCCTTCTACACCAACCATTTCGTTCATGCCAATCCAGATGATACGGAGCTTGAGATGGTCAGTCGTACTGTCGGAATAGACCGCGTCGTCGATGAGTTCGTCTTCAAACTCACGCACGACCGACAGGTTGACTGGTTGCTGCCGGGAATTCCACCAACAGGAAAATACCTCGAGATCCCATTTACAGGTATTATCGGCATGCGGGGAGACCGCTTATGCCACGAACATATCCATTGGGATCAGGGGACAGCAATGAGGCAAGCAGGCTTGCTACCAGATTGGGTGGGTTTCCCTTACCCTATCGAAGGGAAAGAAGCGGGATCCGGAAAGAGGTATGAAGTAAGAGTGCCGACTGCTGGTGTTGAGACTGTAAGAAAATTGGTCGACGAGGGAGCGTTGGAGAGTAATAGCTTAATGGACGCAAAGTGGAGAGAGGTGGATGATGCGTAATGATTGATCTACTGGAAGGCAGCGCTGATACTGAGGTACTTTCTCTTTTTAACAATCGGCAGACAGTTCGCTTGTTGAAGAATGGTAGAAGCCGTTAACACCAAAGTCTTCGCTCGTGTAGACTGGTTGTTCGATCGAATGAGCTTTTGCTTATTACTTTATGCAGCGTGCAGTAATCTGTACCGGGACTATGTGTTTTGAAACGCATTCACTCACATTTCGCAACATGCCAATCGACGTTGGGCCGAATCGCTCTGTGCATGGTCGCAGCGGCCGATACTAAAGACTGACATGGCTCTCGCGCCAATGTGAGAGACGACCATCCAGTATTAGATAGCAGCTTAAAACACGTACTATAGCGCAAGTTACCCTACGCTACATAATTGCAACGACGGAAGCACGCATCCGAGCCATCTTCGGATCCTCAACCATCAAAACCACGTCAACCCGTTGTCTCATATTGTCTCGCTAACTATATGACCATATCTGGAGCAGAGCCCGACCAGATGAGCTCGAGGACATTCGCTTCCCACGACAAGCGCATGACATTGTCCTTGAAACTAAGTTCGAGATTCCCCAGGCACATACACGGACCGCGTGTGAAACACAGCGCTATCGATCCACCAATTGGGTCCACCCGGCCAAGACTCGGTCTATGCCAGAGTGGGCAAATATATATTGCCAGTGCCGACTATTCCTTACTATGCTAATCCTGACAGATGTTAGGCGATGTGTTACGGCCACGGAGAGCTACACAACAGGTATAGCCTTATGGCGTGGGTAGTTCGGGGCGCATACCTATAGATTGACGCCTGTATAACGATGCTAGACGTCGATCAGGGACAAAACCATAGCTCACGATGTAAGTATATGTATAGGATGATGTCCGTTTTGTTCCTTTCCCAGGCCTACGGATCGATATCTGTGCCTAGTCATTCGTTCATCTTTTCACCCCGTCGTGGGTAGTCACTCATTTTCAATATGCGCTTCCTCGCAACTCTCTATACCTTCTTGCTAGCTCCTGCAGCTGTGTTTGCGGCCTGGGGCTACACCGATGACGGCAAAAACTATGTCATTGACACGAACGCGAACCTTGTCGTCAGTGTCAGCAAGACTAATGGCGACATGAACTCCATCAAATACCGCGGCGTCGAATACTCTGGACAGAACGGGAAGTACTCGCACGTCGAGTCAGGCCTAGGCGCATCCACTGTTACCATCAAGCAGTACACTTCTCCTGCAAACATCATCAAGGTCACCGTCAAGTATGGGACGCTGCTCCACACGCTCGTCTTCCGTTACGGCAACCCGAACGTCTACATCTTCATGAACAAAGCCGATACCAGCGTCACCGTCTCGCGCTACATTCTCCGCATCCCGCCCAACATCTTCACTAACGACCCCAACGAGGACACCGACTGGATCCCTGCTGACGCTTCTGTCATCGAATCTGGAGATATCGACGGCAAATCGGGCCAGACATGGTCGAAGCACTACTCTGGAAAGAAATACGGCAGGACTATGGACTACGATTATGTTGGTTACACGAACAAGAACGTGGGCATGTACCTAGTTCGCTCAAACCACGAGAAGGCATCCGGTGGCCCGTTTTTCAGGAGCTTGATCCGTCGTGGTGGGCCTGGTGGTCCGGATCTTTACGATATCTACCACTACAACATGGGTATGTTTCCGCTTTGCCCAAGTCTCGATTGCATACTGACTTGGTATAGGACACACTGATGTCATGCGTTTTGGCCTCCAAGGTCCTTCCGTCCTTACCTTCACCGACAACGGCGCCGCTCCCAATGCCAACCTTTTCGCCCGCAAAGCGGACAACTCTTGGTTCGACAGCCTCGAGATCGCGGGCTGGGTGCCGAACTCTAAGCGTGGTGCCGTTTCCGGTGTAGGCTTCTCAAACGTGAAGTCTAATTACCAGTACGTTGTGGGTCTGAAAAACGATGCTGCGCAGTACTGGACCACTGCTGGGACCGGAGCTTGGAAGATCTCCGGTGTCCTCCCCGGAACATATACATTGACGGTGTACAAGAGCGAGCTTGAAGTACATACCTCTTCCGTCACTGTCACGGCTGGTGGCACGGTGACGAAGAACACGATTACTTGCGTCGACCCACAGGACACGACTGCCATCTGGCGCATCGGAGACTGGGATGGTAAGTAACTCTCAAAACACACAGCCACACGATCCTAACCTTTTCCCCCTCACACAGGCACGCCAAAAGGCTTCCTCAACTTCCTCGACACCCCCATGAAGCCAACCTACATGCACCCCTCCGACTCCCGCCTCTCCAAATGGGACGCCTCCAACTTCATCATCGGTAACTCCCAAGCCTCGAACTTCCCGGGCTACATCTGGAAAGACGTCAACAACGACCACCTCGTGTACTTCAAGCTCACCGCCGCCCAGCTAGCCAAGGGCGCAAAGATCCGTTTCGGCGTCACCGAAGGTATGGCTGGTGGCCGTCCCGCCATCGCCGTGAACAGCTGGAGCGCGGCGCTCCAAGCTGACAAGGGCCAGGGAGACACGAGGTCGCTGACCGTGGGCACGTACCGTGGGAACAACTACATCTATGAGTACACTGTGCCGCAGTCTGCCTGGACACAGAAGACGTCGGAATACCAGGTGCTGAAGATTAGTGTTATTTCGGGCAAGGCTGCGACGGGGTATTTGAGCCCTGGTATTTCCGTTGATGCTATCGATATGATCGCTGTTTAGCGGGGAGAAGAGAGAGATGGTTGTCTGCATGTCCTCGGTAGTGTTTAGCTTGTAATGCAGTTCAGAACACCCAACATCGAACATCAATTAGACCACAGTGGCCGAAGGTAAAAGTCGGTCTTCTGGAGGTAGCATCTTATGCGAGTGAACACCGACGATACGGTATTAGATTAAAACTTTAGACACTCGTTGTAGATTGAGTTACCCTGAGGTATATGATCTTATGTGGCACTTACTGACCTTCTTGGTGACTAGCTGACCTGTGATCCTCAGAGAAAGTCAGGGTCCTCACGGTCGATTCTCCAAGCGGACCCATACAGGAAATAACTCCATTAAAAAGTGTAATCTACTCAAAATATATGTATAACAGAATTTAAGCAGGTCCTCCGACCATGTAACCCGGCAACCTCCCCTCCAAGTCACTATCACTCTGTTCGAACCTCTCCTCCGATTTGACATACCCTGCCTGAGCGACGCCCGGGTCTGTCGGCCCCAACACCTTGATACTCCTCTTCAACCTGTCCTGCCTTGCCTCGGTGAGACGCCGTCTGCGAGCCTCTCTCGCCTTCTCGATGAATTTCGGCGTGTACCGATGTTCTACATTCTTGTCCTTTTCTTGACTTCGGAAGCGATTCAACGTTTCCGGCGAAAGCGGTGGTGATAGGGGTAGCGGGGAGGGGATGACCGGCGGTGGTGACGGAGGCAGCGGCGGCGATGCTTCCAAGACGAGCGGGTGGCCGGTGCCAGAGTGGTGAGAGGAGGACGAGCCTCCCGACAAGCGGTACGCACTGTGCATAGCGATGGGAACGTTCGCCATCGACGGCGATTCGTTGCTATGGTAGGAGTTTGAGGTTGTATGGGAGTAATCGCTGCCATACCGAGAGCTCCCACGCGTATGCGTGGACGTAGGCGACTTGTCACTTACTACGTCTGATCTTGGAGCAGGAGAGGGTGGTTGGGTCCGTACCACAGCAAGGCCTCCTGGTAAGCGTATCAGGGGACTTGCTTGGGGCGGCGAAGATGGGGCCGAGGACGCTTTAGCAGCGGAAGTCTTCTTTTGCTTCTTGCCAAGTTTGATGGGCCTGTTGGAATGGAAGAACTTCGAGAATCGCAAATCGTCTTCCAGAGCTTTGTCTTCCTGGTTCTCGAGTTTGTGCTTTGACTTTGCGGTCCGACGTTCTTTCTTCGCAGTTTCTTCCTTACTAGATTCGAGGGTACCTAGGTGATGATTGAAGAATGAAGACAACCTTCTGTGCTTACTCTTCTGTCCAGGACTTGGTGGCTGCTCTGCGGCTCCATCACGAGAGTGGTTGCGAGGTGTGGATGGAGCTGGGCTTTTGCGCCATGACAAGGGCGGAGGGACGGCATCACGTTCCTCTAGAGGGAGACTCGACATTGATTCCACATAATTAGCCTCGTGGATTTGCTGTTCGTACACCTGCTGGGCTCCTCCGGAGTTAAGAACCTCCTCTTTGCGTACGCTCAGTTCCTGATACTGATCGGCAAGAAGGTCGTGATAGTCCTGCGAAAAGCTCAACTTTCTTGCTCTATCGTCCATGTATTCGTCTTCCCAGCTGTCATCAACCAAAGGGCTGCCTTTGTGCAAAGCACGGATTTTCTTGCCGCGCAAGTACTCTCGATCGGTACGACTTGACTTCGACGGTGAATCAATGCCAAGGGAAGCATATGCTTTCGCCTTAGTGGAGTCACTCCGCGAAATCGCTTGTGAGCACGCATCGGTTCCTACCACTTTCCTACTTGGTGAACTATTTGCTCTCCGGTGTGCTGGTGGTGGAGTGTTTTCGATGAGTCGGTTCTTGAGCGGCGGAGTGGCAGGCAAAGGCGAGCTCGGGGGGCTTCCGGGTGGTCCCAAGTCTGGAGAGCCGCCCCCACGCTCGTATATTGGCAAAAGTCGCCTCGCAGGAGGAGAGCTCGAAGTTGGCCAGGCTTTTTGTTGTGCCATGCCGACCAAGTCTGGGGATGGTTCGGGGAGGAGTGGAGAGAAGATTCTTGGCACAGAAGACGGAGGCGTTAGACCTGGCGACGGAGTATGCGTAGACTTCCCGCTCGCGCTGTCGTTGTACCACTCTGCTGGCGCTTTCCAAGAGGCTATGCTTGTGGTTCTTTCCCTTGAAAGTGGTGAGAAGTCTGCAGATGGTGGGGTTGGGGTCCGTTCTCGATCCGAGTCAGCTCGATTCCAAGGCGCTGGAGTGCGTGGGAGAGCCTTGTCTGTCTCCGTGGGATTCGGTGGGGCAGTCTGGATGAACGATTTAAAGGAGCGAACAGGACGTTCCATTCCCTCAAGGGAAGTTGACGAGATATTCCTCTGCTTGAAGTGCGCCCGCATGTGGCCTTCTTGGCTTCCGTTCATGCCTTTCGGTTCCCACGCAGTGTAGGACGGAATCGACATACTTCATCGCGAAGGTCTTCTAGCGGATCGATGCACACAAAGAAAAGGAAGGCGCACGTGCTAATGGTCACAAGCAGCGATGGCTGCAGCATGCCTGTGGCTGAACAAAGGCCGGATGGGGTACTTTTCTTTCAGGAATGTTGAGTACGCAAGCAGTGTCAACTGGCCGCGGATGGAGGACGTACGAAACACCACTATCTAGATAGTCAGTGAGTGTGATGGAACGCTGAGTGAAAATGTACAAGCAGCGCTATGCTGCTGGTTCGTGATGTGGAGAAACATGGTGTTGACGCGCGTCTGGATGATGTATTCATGATAGCGTCTAGCGAGGCTGCAGCCTTTTGCATCTATTCGTTGGAGGAATGATTTCTGCTGACTGTATGATGCGGTTGGGATTGCGCAGACGATACCAATAGGAAACATGCACCGGGGTAATCTTATCGAGGGGCATTGCCCAGTGCCCGGATTGCCCGTATATCAAGGCCTGAGGAAACACGTCACACCGGACAGATACCATAGGCAGGTAGTGGCCTCGGTTCGTGTCTTCTTGTTGTTGCGTTTGCTGCCTGCGCTGCATTGTAAGAAGACATGTACACAGGAGAGCTGAGACAAGATTGCATAGACTGCATCACAAATGGTGTTGGCGGGCAGTCAGTCTCGTTTGTCCGCTTTCAGCGACGCCAAGCAGCGACAAAACCGAGAACCACGGGCAGAAGGCGCGATCGAGAAAGCCGAACTACCAGCCAAAATCATCGACATCTTGTCTCATCGCACGGGTACAGCCGGCGGCATGATTAATACTCCAGACGGTATCCTCCGTTCGACTGCTTTTGCCAATCTACGGCAGAAACGCATGTGATTCAGCTAGACGGACAGTCCCAAGATGCTTCTCAGTGGCCAGACATATCTTACTTCTTCAGACTGTTGCCTGCTCTCGAAATTCGCATTGCGAAAAAAGAGAGATGACTTACTCCCCACGTGTGTGCATTGCGATCTATTGTGTCGGTGAACGGAGCAAGATATCGTCGGTGAAGCGGTTTACGGCCGCTGTGTCTTAGTCGGCCTAACAACCCTCCGCTCAGCCTTACGGCCTCAACTAATCCACCACTGCACAGAGTTACCCCGTTCCCGGTTCCAACTTGCCTGACTAACACGATATTTGCCATTTTCTCGTCTGTTTGCTCGACGGACACAGAGACTACCCCTGTTGAGGCTGGCCTACTCGTCTTTAGCCCTGCATGGGACCCTCCGTGAAGCGGGTTCCTACCCGAAGGGGCGGACAAAATGCGAAAATGTACCCTGCGGTGAATTCGGCTATCTGGTCGCAAGTGCTCGGGCCTAACGTTGAGGACTGTGAAAAGTTGGACCGAGTCGACGATGTGGCTTGTTGGCATAGTCATCGATAAGATTGATGGCTTCATGTCGTGAATATATCTAGGCAGTGCGTTCGCCTTCATCAATCCGGATCATCACAACCTCAACGTCCAACCAAACAAGCAACACACTTAGCCAGCCCTTGGAATTACATTGACAACATATCGACATTAGCTATCTTGTACTACCAAAAACAAACTTCGACTAAGCCTACCGGCGACATCGACAGAGATGTCGGCCCCTAACGACAATGGCGTTCTAGCCAATGAGCCCAAAGAAATCCTACCATCAACGCCTAGCGAACACTCAATATCCCACAAAACGGAACCATCCACAGACCCAGAGGCATTCAATCCAGGATGGAGATTTGTCGCTGCCTTCGGTAGCCTGTGTGTCATTGTCCTAATGGCTGCACTAGACGCGACCTCACTTTCCGTCGCCCTTCCAGTACGTTCCTCCAATGTTATGCCCGGCCACAACACTAACATGGTCAGGTTATGGCACGAGCCCTCGGCGGCTCCGCCATCGAAGCTTTCTGGAGCGGAACATCGTTTCTTTTGACCTCGACCGTCTTCCAGCCAGTCATTGGCTCCTTCTCGCACATCTTCGGCCGCAAGCCACTCATCTATCTGAGCTTGGTTTTCTTCACTGCGGGAGCTATCGTTGCGGCCGTGGCTAACAACTTCACCGTCATTCTGGTTGGGAGGAGTATCCAGGGTGTCGGCGGTGGAGGCATCATTTGCTTGACTGAGATTGTAGTTACTGATATGGTGCCTTTGCGGGAACGAGGCAAATGGTTCTCCATGTTCAGTGCCATGTGGTCTATTGGCACGGTTGCCGGTCCTCTGCTTGGTGGTGGCTTCTCGCAGAATGTTTCATGGCGTTGGGTCTTCTGGATTAACCTTCCATTTATCGGTATGTTATCCAACCCACATTTGATGGAGGGAAAACCTAACAAGATCCATAGGCGTGGGAGCTGTCCTCATCACCATCTTCCTTCAGCTCAACTACAAGACTAGTTCCTTCTTGGCCAAGCTTCGACGCGTGGACTGGTTTGGCATGTTCTTGTTCCTCAGCTCGACGACTGGTTTCTTGATCCCCATCACCTGGGGCGGTGTGCAGTACCCCTGGGACAACTGGAGGACTCTAGTGCCATTGATCCTCTGCGCCTTCGGCATGACCGGCTTCATCGTCCACCAAGAGTACTTCGCTGCAGAGCCTCTTATCCGCACTAGTGTCTTCAAGAACCGCACTGCCGCTATCACTTACCTTTCCGCCGTCGTTCACGGCATCATCCTCTGGTCGGTCCTCTATTACCTGCCGCTCTACTTTCAAGCCGTCAAGGGAATGAGTCCGATCATGAGTGGTATCGCCATCTTCCCCTGGACGTTCACAGTCGCGCCTGCCGCTGGCATTGCTGGTTTCTTGATCGCAAAGACCGGGAACTACCGTACCATCACATGGGTCGGATGGTTCCTTGCGACTTTCGGAAACGGACTGCTCATCTACCTCAAGACTGATACCAAGACGGTAGCCTGGATATTTTTGAACTTGGTCGGCGGCACAGGGGCAGGTATGCTTTTTGCAAGCATGGCAATTGCTGTGCAGGCGTCTGCCACCAATGAGGATCAGGCCTATGCTGCCAACATGTTCTCCTTCCTGCGCGCTTTCGGCCAGACACTTGGCGTTGCCATCGGTGGCGTCATCTTCCAGAATCAGGCCAAGAGGAAGATGCTCACATTCCCTCTGCTCGCGGATAAAGCAGCTGAGTACAGCAAGGACGCTGCTGGGCTTGTAGAGATCATCAAGTCTCTTCCTTCCGACTCGCCGATGAAGCTGCAACTTCGTGAGTCGTACACTGAGGGACTCAGGTACGTGTGGATTGTCATGACGGTCTTCGCCTTTGTGGCATTCGTCGCAAACTTCTGGATCAAGGCGTACTCGCTGGACACCGCGTTGGAGACAGAGCAGGGATTCAAGGAGAAGAGGAAGAGCAAGGACATGGAGCAGGAGCCTCAGGCGTAGTAAGACGTACCGTGGTTGCGTGAGAAGTCCCTGTCGGTCACCTGACGAGGCTGGTGCCTGACCCCAAATATGTAAACTACATTTACCCATGTAAAACTCTGTCACAACAACCTAATTTTTGAATCCTAATTACTCATCATTTCATCTTCTCAGGTGATGGCCGTATAGTACCCTCACGCCGCAGCACACATTCTCGTACCTCCGCCACTTCAGACGGAAATGACGGAGACATATTATACACCCGACCGCGATTTCTTGATTCGCAAATTCCGAGACAACCCTGAATACACCTTACATACCGCCTTAGTCCACGGCAACCTCCCCCAGATCCGAGAGCTACTGACAGCCGACTACGACATTGACAAGCTCCACGATTACGAGGGGTCATCTAAAGGCTGGGGCACACCACTACATGTAGCAATATGGAGCAACCAGCCCGCCGCCTTCGAGCTTCTCATCATCCGGGGCGCCGACATCGACCTCGTGGATGCTGGAGATGAGATGCGCTTTCCAGATACACCCATTCGTGTGGCCGTACGCCTTGGCCGTCGCGCCATGTTCAAGCGACTCTGGGACTTGGGCGCAGAGCGCAACAAATATCCTTCCAATATGCGTACCCGCCACTCACTCGTCGAAGCTGCTGCGTGCGATGGGCAAGCACACGTCCTTCGAGATCTACTTCACTGGGACGAAAGCTGGACCGAGGACCAACGGATTCGAGCGTTGATGATGGCGTGTAATCAAGGCCATGTCCTTGTGATAACGACTCTACTTATCGAATGCGCGTACAGCATGACCGTCTTAGAGAATGCAATAAGTGCCGCGATGGACGCTGAATTTCCTTTGGATACCAGGTGCAAAGCCTCGGAGCATGAAAAAAAGCTTAAGCAGCAAGAACGCTCGATGCGCCGGGCGGCGACTGTAATGCACTTGCTGGATGAGCATAACCGCGTCGGAAGCGCAGATGGTACTCAGACATACGACTGTTCCGCACTCTGAATCAACTGGTGTATAGAGCGGCCGCATCACAAGGCTATGTCGATGTGCTGAGGCTCGTGCTTGCTAAAGGGGCGGATCCGAATGTAGTGGGTAGAGAGGGAAATACCCCGCTACATAAGGCGATGACCCGAGGCGGTCATGGTATGGGGGATTACAATGAGAAAGGGGTTGTAGTGCTTTTGGAGCATGGTGCAAAGGTGGATGTACGGAATGAGAAGGGAGAGACGGCGGGAGATATCGCGAATAGAGAAAGGAAATATAAGGAAAGATGGGTTAGAGGTTGATGCAGAATGGGTAATCTGGGTCGACGATGGAGCTTTAGGCAGAGGGTCTGGTAACTTACCGCTGCAACCACAGTATACTTGACCCGAAGAGGCGAGTCGGGCGAGGACCGAAGTCAATGTTGCTTTTCTTACTGTCCTGCATTAGCGCGGCGTTGGCATAGATTGGTCGCATACACGAAGACTTGTAGAGCTGTTGTCTTATTAGCTAGTACGACCTCATTCACAGCAACGACTGTGCCATAATGTAATCCACGATCTCTCCACTAAGTCTCTGTGTAACGCTGCCAGCCGCCTGTGTCTGTATCACACCAGCCGCTGCGAGGCTCAAGACTCCAGTGTATCGTAGGCTAGACCACGTTAGGGTGCCGGACTATCTGCACGACACCAGCCATTTCCCGGCGCGGGAGGTTCTCGTCAGCTGTACCGCGACTCCGCACACGATCACTTCAATGGTTCGCGCTTTCGACATGTTCGAATTTGATATTCCGAATTTAGAAGCAACGCGATGACGCAGGCAGAGAGGGGCTCATGCGCTGTCAATTGACTCGATTGCTACCCTTCACGATTTGCAGTTGCGAAGACGAATGGGATGCGAGCGCAATGTGGGAAGCGGGCTCGTTCGGGCCTAGCACTGTCTCAAGTTGTGCTTGTCAGAACGGGCAGGGGCTGTGAAACCGCCGTCGGAGGTGTTGTGCAGGGGGTTCGCAGGAACCCCTGTGGGCGGGTGACGCATGGTGTTGTCGAGAGGCGATGAGCAGATCGCGATGGCCAGACTAACGATGTCCATAATGGAGATCATATGGAGGTGATGATGTAGCTGAGCATATCGAAGACAACAAATCCTGAGATTGACAGCAGGAGGCATATGTCATCGTGAGGAGGAGTGGCGGAGGTGACCCGATGCCGAGGCCTCCGGAAACGACGAGGGCGCCGCAAATGTGAGTTGGGGAAGGAGGTGGGAGGTGCTCGTGGATTGTCTCGTGTGAACGCCTCGAGAGACGGGACGGCCCAGAGGCGCAAAATCGTGCCTCAGAGACAAATGATTCAGGCCTCGTGTGACTCCCAGATGGACTTTGCGAGACAGCTGGCTGTCTTTGTTTAGTTCCACTGCCACAGCATTAGGCGGTCAACGTGATGGCAGCGTGCTGGCAGGCCAGGCGGTGAGAAGGCCAGGATCGCTGGACGCAAGGAAACAACAACGATGAGACGACGATGAAAGCGAGGGTCTCCGTCGTCATGGCGTTGGATCTTGGTGTCACCCCAGCCACGGCGAGGGTTCTTCTTGTCGCAGGCGAGGTCAATTGGCTGCGAGCTCGCGTGGGTGAATGAGGTCGACTAGCGACCGCGACCAGCATCGCCAGCCAACCGTGTGCGACAGAGGTGTTGAAATGAGAAAACCTCCACGACGCGCCTGTTGTTGCTCCTCTACATGACCGAACTGCGACGGGGCCTGCGTGCGTCGAGAATTGAATTGCACTGCGTCTCCGTTGGCGTGTTGCACGCGAGACAAGCTTTTTAGCGTATTCTCGCTGCGGCGCAGAGGCGACTGCGCGCATTCCATTGGTCGCTGTAGCAATCGCGGGCTCCGCTCAATTTCTACAGACAGAGACCACAGCCCGACGCGCACCCCCAGTAGCGCCGGCAAGCAGCTCCTGCGTCTGGCCCTGCTCCTGCTCGACGCCAGTCGCGCTCCCTCATCGTTCCCTCCAGCATCAATTCTCACCCACAGTCACTCGTTACTCGTTTCAGACACCGCCACGGGCGTGCAATCGCCCATAATCTTCAGGCAGCGCCGCGCATCCGCTTGACGTCGCCGGCTCGCTTTGGCCCGCTCAAGCAGGCACTCGTACGCCAATCGGGAGGAGCCCACCGCACCCGTCCAGGGCAGGAGCTGCCTCAGCACACCAATCCCGACTATCCTCCCCTCGGCCATGGTCGTCGCCATCTGCGCTTGCTGACCGCGCTCTCTCCTCCAACACACCACCCGTTATTCTTTCGACACGCTCGAACCCGAGCTGTCGCCGCTCGCTGGCCATGAGGGACCCGTTCTCCTCACTGCTGGCGTCGCGCGCCGGCAAGCTCGCCCTCTCGCTACTCCTGGCCTCGCCAGACCTAATATCTCGAACCAACGCTTTCACTTTCAACCCCATACCCTCCCCTAATATCGACATCCAAAGATTGGGCCGCGTCGCCCTTGCCGGCGACTTCGACTCAATATCGCTCTACGAATACGAAGGACAGAACCAGGACGCCGCGACCAATGGTCTCTACTCTCGATTTCCAAATGGCTTGTTTGCGAAAATACAAAAGACTGATGGTGAGGTCAGGGCCATGTGCAGGTATACCAATGACGATCTGGACGCAATCGTCGTAGGAGGCAACTTCACTAGCGTCGACGGCGAGTCTACCCCAGGAGGCATTGCTCTCATCGACGTAAATACGGGAAATGTGACAGCCACAACCGGATTGACTGGGCAGGTCAACGCTCTCTACTGCGACGCTACCCGCCAACAAGTCTATGTCGGAGGCATTATCGATGGCGGCAATTCCACCAATGCCATAATATGGAAGGCAGACAACAGTTGGGCGAATCTACCGTTCAAAGGTTTCGATGGGACGGTCCATTCTATCGTTCAGGGTCCAAACAACACCATCGTCTTTGGAGGACAGTTTCAAAATCTGAATGGAATCAATCTGTCCGGAAACGGCACCGCAGAAAACAATACCCAGTCTTTGCCGATCGGATCTGCGACTATAACGGCTCAGACCAGCTCAGGACAAGCAGGCTTCACCGATCCCAAGGCCATCGTCTGCAAGGACGATACCAAGATCCAAGGTTCCGGCTCCACATGGCTCCTGGCAGACAACAGTGCCGGGTTCTGGAAGGCGGAGTTCGGTTTCGGATTTCAGCCCACTCAACTCCAACTGCACAATACCAATTTCGAGGGTCGCGGTACCAAGGAATTCCGTTTCACTGCCCTTCCGGATGGTGGCATCATGAACTTGACCTACAGCGATCCTAGCACCGGAGAGCGCAAGTTCTGTGACGCCACCTGCCCCCTACCGCAAGGAAACACGAGTGCTCAAGTGTTTGACTTCGTGAACGTTGTGGGCATGAATACATTTCGCATTGACATCTCTCAGTGGTATGGCGATGGTGGAGGTCTTAATGGGATCGAACTTTTCCAGACCGGTACGTGTTGAATCGTTTTCCGCAAGAACCTTTCTTCTAACCATGATAGACGTTTACGCCTATGCCATTCAAGAATTCAACGCGCCGAAATGTGGAGGTGCTACAAGCGGTGGTCAAGCGACTGCCGTGGGCAACTGGCAGTCTACCCCTTCTCATGACAGCAACTCAAAATACCTCACTGCGACCCTCGACACTGCTGACTACTCACCAAATTCCACCTATGTTGTCTTTCGACCGGACGTTCCACAGTCCGGTAATTACACCATCAAGATGTACACTCCTGGCTGCCAGGGTGATGGGACATGTGGTACTCGTGGCCGAGTCAACGTGACTGGCTTCATGGAATCCGGCTCTGGCCCGACCAGCGTTATATTGGCCCAAACAAACGATTTTGACAAGTACGACGAAGTTTACAACGGCCATGTCGACGTTACCAACGGTTTCCGTCCTGAAGTCACCCTGGCTCCTGTTGCTGGCCAAAACCCCGGCACAAATGTGTTGACAGTAGTCGCCCAGAGAGTGCGCTTCGAGATCCGCACGGCACAGGACAATGGCACAGAGATCAATGGCCTGTTCGAATATGATCCCGACCAGCAGATTACCAGTACGAACTTCACTGCTACCACCATCGACAAAGCTGGCGCAAGCCTCAATCCGCAAAGCTCGGCCATTGTCAACACCCTGGTAACATCGGACAGTCGACTGTACGTTGGGGGAAACTTCACGAATGGAGACGGGCTCAACTACATATTTGCCGTAGCTGACAGTGGACCTACCAAGCTCAGCGGCAATGGTCTCAACGACCAAGTCGTCACCATATACCAAAGCGGATCGACCCTCTACGTTGGTGGCAACTTCACTAATACCCAGGACAATAGCAATGGCGACCTGGGTCGTGTTGCTGCTTATTCTGACGATAAGTGGCAAGCACTCGGCGCTGGTGTCGATGGCCTGGTCACTTCCATTGTCCCTATTTCGAATTTGACCGGCAATGCGACTGAGGATGTTCTAGCCATCACCGGTGATTTCGAGAATGTGCGTGCTTTTGGCGACAACCCTTCCTTTTCCGCGGATGGATTCGCTATATGGGTACCATCTCAAAACAACTGGTTGCAAAACCTGGACCTTACAACAATTGCAATCTCAGGCAGTATCACGACGTTCGCCCAAATGAATGATACCGATCGCTTCTACGCAGGCAGCATCAGCTCGCAAGGTTTAGGCGCAAGCGGAGCTGCTGTGCTGAACAGTAACAACACTTTGAGCAGCCTCGGGATCAACGTTGACCTTGAGCAACAGCAGCAAGCGTCGCTACGCAAGCGAGCGTTGACCGCAGGCCAGAATGTTACAAACACTGGGATCTCCACTGCTATCTTCCACAAGAATGGTGACAATATCGACAAGACGGTCCTTGCAGGTCACTTCGCTGTCACAGACAAAGATGGTCAGAACATCACTAATGTCGTCATTATTGACAGCAACAACGCGATCACCGGTTTTGGCGATGGGGTAGACTCGAATTCGACTTTCGGCGCTCTTGGTCTGCTTGGTGATGTCCTTTTCGCTGGTGGCCTAGTCACTGGCAAGGTCGGAGACAGCAGTGTAGCCGGGGTGGTTGCGTACGATCTCGCCAACAATAAGTTTCAAGACAGCCAGCCCCCTGCCCTCCAGGGCACCAACGTCACGGTCAACGTCATCGCCCCAAGACGCAACTCTCAAGACGTCTTTGTGGGAGGTCAATTCGACTCAGGCGGAGCACTGAGCTGTCCAGCTCTCTGCGTTTGGGACAACGAACGTAAACAGTGGAACACTCCTGGCGCAGACATCTCTGGTGTTGTCACCAACCTGCTATGGGTCTCGGATACCAAGGCATTGATTGCAGGTGACCTCACCGTTGGCACCAACAAGACCAAAGTCTCCACGTATGATTCTACAAACAGTCAGTTCCAGGAAGTTGCAGGAGCTGGCGCCCTCCCCGGGACAGTGGACGCTCTTTGCCCCGCCAACCTGGATGGCTCTCAGATGTGGGCTGCTGGTAAAACGAGTGATGGTAGTACCTTCCTGCAGCGTTTCGATGGGGGCAAATGGAATGCGGTGGATGATAAGTTGCTAGGCCCCGGCACTAACATCCAGGGTCTACAATCTCTGCCTCTGAGCCAGGACCACCAGAAGTCGGACCTGCTGGATCAAAACCAAGCTCTGCTGATACTAGGACAAGTCAACATCACCGGCTTCGGTGTCGCATCGGCAGCTCTGTTCAATGGTACTACCTTGACACCCTTTCTTTTGTCTTCTGCAAAGGGAGGCTCATCTGGTAGCCTGTCGAAGGTAGTGGCGGAACACGAGGATTTCTTCAGTGGAGGAGGTAAGATGATCATCTTCTATTTTCCGCATTGCGACTAACATAATACAGGCAACGGTCTGGCTCTTGGCTTCATCGTCCTCATTGCGCTCGCCATAGCGCTCGCTCTTACCTTCCTACTGGTAGTTGCCGGTATCCTGATCGAATGGTACCGCAAGAGGGCAGCGGGCTATTCCCCAGCTCCCACGTCATTCACGGATCGCGTCGGCAACCAAAGTCGGATACCGCCTCAAGAGCTTTTCGGCACTCTCCGGGGACCCCAGGCGCCCACGATATGAGTGATCCCTATTCGATACCCAACGATGTCAGAGCATATCGTACAAGTCTACTAGCATCGGACGTCAAGACTATCATCTGCAGCAACTTCAGCGGCCAAACGACTGTCTAAAGATCACAGCACTACCCTGTGATCACCTTTTCGCTTCTTGTCGATCCTTCCTTCCGGATTGGTATGTTGATATGACAACGACTTTTCCGACACATCACTTTAACATGGCAACTCTTTACTTTGCATGGCCGGCGTTGATAGTTCATCCGATATGCATCCGCTCCATAGAGCCATTATCAGGAAAGCATTGCTCGCGGATACCCCTGCCCTTTCCGACACCTGGATCTGGCTTGGTCAACGGCAAGGAATTACTGGCGGCAGAAGTGGTAGTGCAGCGGGCGTAAAGCTGCAGTTCTTTTTCTTCTGGGATTTTTTGTTACTTGATACCACTACCGCTATACATAGCGGTTAAGTTTCTTTTTTTTTTCTACACTACTGCCTCTCTTTCTTTTTTCGTTTGACGTGCCGGAAGTGTAGTGCTTCGCGGCTGTACAGCTAATGTGTACATCTAAGTGAAGGAGTGAGTAATGGGCGTGGGGAGGCGGGGTGAACGCCGCGTTTGTGGATGCGTGCGTAGAGAGGAGCGGTGGTGAAGGTGAAGGTGAAGCGGAAGGTGGAGGGGAAGTGTGTACATTTAGGTGGGCTGTATCTAGTGAAGGTGAGACTGAGTGTCCACTGGATTTAGTGAATAAGATCAGTATGTAGTGCACTTGCCTGCTTTTCCTTTTTGTGTCCTTCCGTCCCATCAACCATGAGCCACATACTATGAGATGAAAGGTCACTTGTCCAGGCACAAGGTCTAGAATGAGATAGTGACAGAAACATTCAACTCGCATCGCTATATGAAACACTCTGCCTGCACTCCCCTATCACACCACATCGTTGATGCTACAACCATTCATCGCAAAAACTCTCCTCGACGACCAAAGACACCCCATCCGGCCAGCACCTCTCGTTCGCCCCAAAATACCCACTCCTCTCCTTCTCCGCCTACTTTCCCTAATCCTTCTCTCTGCCGACTGTACCCCAGCTCTCCCCACCGCATAACCAGATTCCCGTCCAACACACCTCCCTTGCCTCCCTCACCCACGTCCCCAGCGCCCACACGCCACGCTTTGGGGTTCAGTCCGCACGGCGAGTCGAGCGTGTTGGCGAGGTAGGTAGTCAAGCTAGCGAGGCGACGGTACGTAGATTCGCCGAGGGGCGTGAGCAGCGCCAACGTGCCCGATTGGGTCGTGTGTAGAATCTGATGTGTTGTCGTGGCGCCCTGTTCCGGCTCTGCAGCGTCGAAAGTCGAGCTGGGGGCGGCGGGGATGGCCAAGCTGGAGGTGAGCAGGTGCGTTGTGGAGGGGAAGTGGCCTGTGTGGAAGGTGCCTCTATGCAGAAGGCGGATGCCGCTGAGAGACTTCGGATTGTCTGGGTCGAAGGCGAGGATTTGGAGGTTCATGTCTGCGTCTGCGACGACGAGGGAGAGGGATTTGGAGGGGGTGCGGAAGGAAGTCGCCGGTGAGGGCTTCGAGGTGGTTTTTGGAGCGCCCGAAGAGGAGCATTTTGTAGGGCTCTTCCTGGGGGTTGTTAGGTGACGGGGGAGGAGGGATAGGTGGAGAACTTACAGTGTATCCTGTGAACCAAAGGCCTTTGAAAGCGTCGCCCATCATGAGCATGCCTGTGCCTGGGAGCGTCTTCAAAAAGGTGACGTAGCACTGCATGTCCATGAAAGCTACCGGCAGCAACGTGCCATCTTCCTTGAGGCCGCGGACCATGCACTTCTGGCCCTGTGCCATGATGAGGAAGCCTTGTGACCCGAGCTCGGAAACGGCAGACACGGCGCCTTTGACTTCGTCTTTGACGATGAGGCGTAATCGCCTGTTCGTCTCCGGTCGGTCTGGCTCAGGAACCACGGTGATGACTTCAAAGATGCGGATGCAGCCTTTGGTAGCCAGGTCTTCGCCATGCACGGTAGATGTGCCGACTGCAATCAGTTGCTTGCGCTCATGTGTGGTCTCGGAGACCTCGAGATTGAGTGTCTTGATGCAGAGAACTACTTCCTGGGGATCAAGAACGTGCGTGTCGATAACGGACCAAGTCTGTTCGTCGATAACTTTGAGGACGCCCGTCTCGACGTGCGGTTTGAAAGTTATATCTTCACGTTTGTTAGCTCGTCTTCCATTGGAATGTATGCATGCACACCTTCTGGCTTCCACTCGTAGTGGTATGTATCGTCTTGTAGCATGTACTCTTCTTGCTGGCCGGTACCGACGACGTACAAGCCTCTAGGATGGTAAGAGAATGCATGTATTTCGGAGCCCAGGGGCATCTTGCGTGCCGCCCATCCGAGATGCCCGTAGTGGGTCTGAGCGGGAAGCTGCGAGATCCTCAAGGTGTCCTGGCGCTCGTTAGCAGTGCCGGGCCGCTAGGTGTTTGATCTCTTACATCAGCGTCGAGATACGCGAGACCTTTCTGGCACGCAGAGGTGTTGAATCGCGTCAATCCTTTGACAGCTTTACCGTGCAAGCCAATGACGCGTGGTGCACTAGAAGCCTCCTTGAGGATGAATGCAGGAGATGTGCCCTTCTGGAACACCGTGCTGTATCCGCAGACATCATCCAGCGCTACCAGAGTACTTCTCAATCCAACTTCAGCGTCTGTCGAGTCTAGTTCGTCTGTATATTTGGGTAGATGCTGCTGCGATAGCTTTATCCACCTCAGGTTCGTGGTCCAAGGATCAGATGCTGATCTTGCAGGGTAGTGGAAAGCTTTGTATATGATAAGATCGTCGGTAGAATTGCGAACCTAGTGCCCCAATCAGTATGTGGGTAATTTGTAGGCCAAAATCATCTTACAATTAGGTGTGGCGAACGCGATGTCGAGTCACCAATGTCCGCCGCGATGATCTCGGTGATGGTCGCTTTGGACGTACTCCGTTTCGGGTAGTAGTCTGCGGTAAGGAATGGAGGCAGGAAAGCTAAGCCTTCAGCGACATATATAGGTTTGCTCATGTCGGACGTTGCAAAAACCTGTTTATGTAAGCCTTCGTTTTTGGCATCGTGAGTTGACTCGTACATGGAGGCCACCCTGATGTGTCAAGAGAAATGCATAGATCTCACTGGACGCCGAGGACTTGTAGAGAGACGCAGACAACCATTGGGTCGAAACAAGCCCGCTGGCCTCGACTTCTTCCACTTCGCCATCACCGCTGGCTTGGTACAACTTGACGCTAGAATTTTCTCTCAAGATGAGCATGTACGGATCGGCGAACGTGGCATTCAGTATGTGGAGCCCGTCGTTACCCTCGTCGTCCTCCATGGTAATGATTTGCTCCATGTTCAAATCTGCTTATGGATTAGATGCAATACCAAGCAACACCAGGAGCATTCGACCTACCGGAGTCATAAGTTCTGGCCTCGCTCTGCATGATCTGAACGATCTTAGTTCCCTTCGCAAGCGTTCCGACACTCAAGGTTGAGCCTTCTTCTCGTTCAAAGTCGCCTTTGCTGGTCTCTTCCAGTTCTTTCCCGCTGACTTCGTAAACGACCGTACTCTCACTACCATCTTCGTCTATTTTGCTAACGACTAAATACTGGTCATAGTCGGCGTCCGCAGACATGTTCGCTTCCGCATCTTCGCCAAAATCAGCTGTGATCCCACCAGGGGCTTGTTGCCTGGCGTGCACAGCCCATAAACCCTTCGCAGATGGTAGGTCGATCTGAGCAAGATTGGTGGGGTGAATTTCGCGATTGAGTGCAGTGATATTTCCAGCAGCACCTCGTCCGCAGGCGACCATGATTTCCCCAGTGGTGGGGTATTGTGCCGCTGCATCTGTGTGTAGTATGGTGTCCTTTATCGGAGCAATACTAGGCAGGGTATCGTGTATTCTGAACGTGTAGCTGCCTGGAGCTGTAGGTTCAGCAGCAGCAGCAGTGATCTTTTTCACTGCCGGTGCTGTGTCGTTATAGAGGTCATCGTCGAGGTCGTCAACCTCTTCGTCCTCTTCAACATCCATATCGTCATCCGTCCCGACTTCCGATGCCTTCCTAGCCAGCGATCCGGTTTTACCTGCGGCTTGCCAGCCTAGCAGAACAGAGTCACCATCTTCGCTGCCCACGAAAATTCTCCCGCGTCCCAAGTTCGACAAGCATGATGCTGCCGAGCTCAAAATTTCACCGCCATGATCTGCAGTAACGCGCTGTACAGTCATCGCCGACACAGTCCGACCGTCGAGCGTGAAGGTCAAAGTGAGTATTTTGCCATTGTTCAAGACGATGAGTACATCGCCTGTGTCTGCTGACAAGAGCTCGATGTTGCAGCCTTCGAGATGCAGAGCAAGGTCCGTCTGGTCTTTCAGGGAGAACGCCGTGCTTGACTTGGCGAACTCGTTCACGGCCACTCCTGTTGTCTTTCCTGCCACATCCACATGTATGATCTCATTGCTTCCGAGGAGTAATGCTCCACCAATTGGCGATGGTAGGGGTATAACCCGCGTAAGGTCGTAAGGCAATCCATGTACGCTGTGGAGTATTGTGGACGACTTGTCTCCGAGGTCGAGAGAAAAGACAGTGTACGTGAGGTGGTCTTTCCGCTCGGGGAGCAGAGACGGTGCTGTGGCTTTCGACGAGGCGATTATACCAAAGGTGGGTTCGCGGGACTCGTGCAAGAAGGCGAGGTGCACAGGATGGGTCAAGGTAGGGTCGAGAGATGTGAGAGGTAGCACAAAGGAGGCAGAGTAGGGTGTCTTTTGCTCGGACTCAGTGCCATTCGCATCTCGCATTTTGGCGTCTTTCTGAGCGTCCATGTCAAAGTCATCTTCCTCCTCGAACACATCCCGCTGCCTAAAGGGCAAGATAGCAAGATTGTGCACGCCGAACTTGAGAGCAGCGCATCGGTTGCTCGGGTCTGCCGTCAAGAAGTTATACGTGTCTTTGAGCTCAGTGGACCAAGGCGATATCCCAGGCAAGTCTGGATTCTCATAGTAGTGTATTGATATGGTATGGAGGTTGTACGTCTCCGGGTCCCATTCCACTAAGCTGAGCTTTGCGTCTCGAAATGCCACCAGCAACGCCTCCGCCTTTGACTTCGCGTTGAGCACTTTCACCCTCGCCAGCGATATTACGGTGCCGGCCAGGGGATATTCGCCCACCAGCACCAACTTCGTCGTGTTCTCTGTCCGCTGCAGGGGCAGATCCACCGCCTCGGTGTCTAGCAGCGGGCCTGCATTCTCCGTCGCATCGTCACTCGAGGCTGCGCCAGTCACAGTGGACTTGAGCTCGAAGATCTGCAGTAACGAATTCCTCGCGACGACCAGATTGTTCGCCCTCGATGCGAGGAAAGGAAGGTTGACAGCATGGCTAACGGCGGTCGGTGGCGCGATTTCAGTGTAACACTGCATGGTGAGGTGGTGTCGCAGTCCCGCTGCTCGTCATATCGTGGGTATATGGGCGAGGTATTCGGTTGTTAGCAGCAATTCACGTTTCGTTGTCCATCAATTCTCTCGCGTTCAATGAAAGCTCCACGCCAAGCCGCGTAGCGTGCCACTGTGCGTTCGTGCAAAGGAGCTTGGACCATGTTCGTGTTTGCGGCGCTGTCGATCAACAACGTCATCCGCGATATGTGGTTGCCTTGTTTCGCATCATCCTTCGTCGAGCTTCGACTCACGGATCTGCCGTTATACCAAAAAGGTGAGCTTCCAGAGCGTTGCAGAAGCTTTATTTGAGCACTGAGCCCTGACTTCCCAGCAAAGTGTTCCAACGTACAGCTACCGGATCTCCGCCATCATGGCGCTCATACAGACCAGCTTGATCTGGGTCGCATACGCCGTCGCAGTCGCCATTCTACTCGCAATCGCTGCAATCTTCGTATTCCTATACCAGACGCCCCGCGACCGTGCGGCGTCCGTCACTACGATATGCATCTTCACGACCAGCGCTCTCTTAGCCACGGTGCTGCTCGTACCCGTCGACATTGCCCTCGTCTCGTCCACATCGCTCTCTAGTCAAGGTCGCAAGAAGGACTGGGCCACGCCAGAGCGTGTTGATAACATTCTTTACACGCTTAAGATCGTCTATTATACATTGTATTCGCTGGATGCAGTGCTGTGCTTGCTCGTGGTACCCTTCACTTACTTTTGGTATGAGGAATATGATGAGGACGCTGCTGAACATGGCGAGCAAACCGCTGGACAGAGGTTCTGGGGTGCCTTCAAATATACGATCGCCTTTATCGTCTTTGTGGTCATCATCTTCCTTATTGGATTCTTCGTTCCGTTCGCAAAGCAAGCCAAGGACGATGATCGTCTGGATCTCGACTACTTCAAGCATCTCCTGGCTGAGAACCGTAAGTCAGCATTACACGCATTTCTATGCCTGACTGACCAATGTTAGATGGCGAACGCGCCTTGTCATTTGCACTGGGTCTTCTGATGCTGATTGGAACCGTTCTCTACGTGCTGTACACGGGCGCTGGCCTCGCGCTCCTCCCGGTTGCCATGATCAAGTCGGCTCCTTCCGTTAGCGCACCAATGCTGGCCGCGAATACTGCTTCCCAACTCGAATCCAACCGCGAACGCCAGAGGCAGCTCGAGGGTCGCAGTGAAGGTCGCCATGGCGGTTTGGATCCACGGGACCGACGCGAACTTGAAGCCTTGGTCCGCGAGGAGCGCACACTCATCCGTCGCGAACGCCTGGCTGCCGAATCCAGTGGGGAGGACCGTCACTGGCTTGTCAAGGCCTGGATCAAGATTGAGGCCGTCTTCCGTCCTTTGAAGTTTATTGGAGGTTTTCTCCTGATGGTGCTGGCACTTCTCATATTCGCCAGTATGCTTATTACTGGCATTGACAAGGCCAAGAACTCCATCTGCAAGTCTCACTGCGGATACATTCTGGGTCACATCAACATCTTCCAGCCGCTGAACTGGATCCTGGTCAAGTCTTCCAAGGTCTTCCCCATTGACTACATCCTGTTCTTGTTACTTGTACTATTCTTCTTCTGCTCTTCCGTTGTTGGCATCGCAACTGTCGGTATCCGCTTCCTCTGGCTCACCCTCTTCAAGATCCGCAAGGGCCACACCTCCCCACAAGCCCTGCTTCTGGCAACCGCCCTGCTTAACCTCATCGTTCTCGCCATCAACTACTCCGTCGCCATGGTCGTAGCCCCTCAATACGCCACCTTCGGTCCTCAAACCTTCTGCGACCGCGAACCGCGTCACCCGGGCGAACAACCCAGTTGCAAAGATCACAAGGCTGATATCAAGCCGTGCACAGAGATAGCTACCAACCACTACGCCAAGGATGTGTGCACACCCAGTGTTCTTAGCACCTTCATCAACCGTGTAACCATCAACTTCCCGTTCTTCGGTGTCGTGCTATTCTGGGCACAGTTCGCCTTCCTGGGTGTTTACCTTATTGTGTTCCTCACCACGTTGTTCAGGACCCCCAAGTTGAACCAGGAGCAGATCGACCGTGATTTGGAGGAGGACGAGGAAGAAGGCTTGCTCGCGAGCACAGGACGAAGATTCAATGCTACTTGGCAGGACATCACCGGAAGGGCGAAGAGGAGCTATGGAACCACAGAAAACAATGGAGAGAGGAGTTAAATATGACATCGTAAGATGTGAGTGGTATGCCTACTACATGGACGCGGAGGAATATGAAAAGTTTGTGACAGTGAGTTGTACACCCTGTAACATACACCAGGCTGGCATTTATTTGGCTTTGGCTTTGGGATGGGATACCTGCATATGTCGGCGCTCGGCGTTCTGTAACCTGAGATACTCAAATTGATGTGTTGAATTCAAGCATGGTCTGGTGTGCTCTGTCTACTGCTTCTAACAATCCATCGTAGTTGCACGCAGGTGAGCGTCCACAGTGGCCGAACGTATAAGTCGGACTTCATGGCGGTAGCGCCTCCTGTTTGTGAACGCCCACGCTATATTTGTACGTCTCAGCTTCGAATACACCTCGTAGAATAAGTTGTCCCAATGTCGCTTGCCAACCTTTCGCTACATCGCCGACCTCAATCCTAACGAGCGAGCGCCTGGAAGAGTTATTTCCTCGGCCTCTGACATCGAAAAGTGGACATAGAGGCGCTGACTGGCACAGCCATGTACTCGAAGAGTGTTTGTGCATAATGAGTCGCACCTTCCCCACGAAGCAAGTGCTCGCTTCAATGCCTCTCTCCCGACTGATCACGCCTTCCTCGATCTCGCCAAACTGACATATGCCTCAAAGGTATTGCCTCTTCCATGTGTAATGCCATCACCTTGTTTTTACATGATCTCGGGTCCGTATACCAACTCCATCTCGCCCATAGTATGTCTCGACACGTGTCTTGTTCCCTTTGCAATTCGGCTTGCTGATATCACCGACCTCCCTTTTTGGTAGGACCTACTTCGTTTCCTTCTGTTGTCTTGCAGCGGCGTGCATATGTACGCGCCCGTTCGCTGGCGTTATCGAGTATGTCTCAACCGTCTCCGGTCCACTGTTGGGCTCACCGACTCCGGCTCGAGCTTTTGGTCCTTCTACACGTGGCAGAACATTGGGCACCCACCACGGACAGAGCCCTACAGCCGTGAGTCTACTGTGCTCAGTTGCCTGGTGAACTAGGCACGAGCCACGGTGAGGTAAGCTGTTTTCAGTGCTCCATCGAACAAAACGCGCCCTTCACTTTTGCTCGAGTATCAAACACTGTTGCTCAAAACATCTGCGGCGCCAACAGACTGGCGAATTACACTCCGAATGTCATCAAACAACATGAAGGAATCCGACGTCCGCAGTGGCGATATGGGAACAATGTCAAGGTTCACGAAAAAGTAGGTTGAAATGCTGTTTTGAGCGAGTGTTTTGAGCGAGTGTTTTGAACGATCATACCATCCAGGACACGACTAATATCGCAGTTCGGACTGTTCGACTGCGTCCACTACTCCCACAGGAAGACTGACCCAGGTTTACGCGGCCTCCATGAATCCGCAGGCATGCCTCGTTGCACTGCCGAATGAGCTTCTCGTTGAAATTGCGAAGCACCTCAAACGAAAAGATCTGTTTAACCTCGGTATGGTGAACCGGAGTCTCTCGAACATCGCAATGCCTTTGATCTACGCTGAAGGCATCGATCCAAGCATGTCTCTGAAGTCTCGCGCAGCATTCGCCTGTCGTATCGACGAAGATCCCACGCTGGCCAAGCTAGTGAAGAAGGTTCATTTCAGATACGCTTTCACTAAACCTATGAAGTACCAGAGAGGCGTCGGCCCCAACGGCGAGCTCCCAGGTACTTTGGTATTGAACGAGCATCTCACAGCTATCCACGATAGGGCGACTGATCGAGAGCTCCAGATTCTGTCGACATCTGTCGCTGCCGCCATGTGGGTGGAAGAACTTGTCATCGAGGATACATCTTTCCGAGCTGTGGACGAGCATCGTACAGACACCATGTACTGGGCTCACCTGGTATACAACGGCGCTACGGCCTTGCCATCCTGGACACAGCCATTTAGCCATCTAAAGTCCCTCAAAGTCCGCTTTCCTCGAGAGGTAGCAGGATGGGTACGTCTGGAAAATTTCCTGCCCGTTATTGGGCTTCCATGCATCGAAGAGCTTCATCTCCAAGGTTTTGTCGAAACTCAGCCCCCCCAGAGCTGGGACTACAAGCCTAGATCTTCCAACGTCAAGGTTCTCATTCTTCAAGGTGCTTTCCTTCACTGGCAGATTGTTTCCTATCTCGTGGAATCATGCAAAGCTCTCGAATACTTCCACTACACATACACAGCTCTTATGTCCGCTCGACCTGGCTTCAATCCTCCCGGCTTCCATCCCAATAAGAATTGGGCTCCACACTCGTGGGCCGGAATCGGGCACGCACTTCAGACTCAGAAAGACTCTCTTCGTGGACTTGAGATCCTCTACGTGGTGGATTATGTGCGATTGGCGAGGGCGGCTGTGTTCCATCCTGTCTACGCCTGGCAAATTGGCACCCTGGGCTCTTTCGCTGACTTTGACAATCTGGTGCACCTCCGTGTACCTGTTGACGCCCTCATCCCCGCTTTCATTGTACCTGGTGCTGGATCGACATATCTCGCCGAGCGTCTTCCCGTTGGGCTTGAAACCTTGACCATGCGGTACGACAGAAACACGGAGCTGGCTGAGCTGCAGTGCATCCAGAGCATTATGGCAGTAATCGCAAGCAACAAGGGACGGAAGCTACGTCGATTACATCTGATCCTCGCCGATGATGTACCGTTCCAAAAGTACTCCATTGGCGGGTGTAAGGAGGCAGACATTCAGTTTGTCATCACGAGGACTCGTTCGCATTGGAGCGTGGGGAGGGTCGTGTACTGCACTGGGTGAGTTCCTTGATTTTTCTTCCCTACTTTTTCCTTCGGCGTGTTTGGATTTGGATAAGGGAGGTCTTCACAGTCGAGGAATAGCCTGGCCAAGGTGGAACCATGGAATGATGACGGGGAGGAACCGAATGGGTGTACAAGGGCTCGACGAGAAGTTGCACGAAGGCCACGAAACAGGATGGAAGACGGAGGTAATACTTGTTGAGGCGATTGGAGAGTTTTCCAACACTTCGTGAAGGGTTAGGAAAGGGAACGAACATATGGTGACTACGAAGAGAGAATGCAACTGTGCTCATACCGACCACACGCCAAGCTTGAACAATGCCACTACCAAAGTGATTGTGTACTCTTATTCTTCCGTAACGATGTCTTCACCAAAGCCTTCTCGGTCTCACATCTGTCGCCACCCTATCATTCCCCACCTCTCACACCTAGCGGAATTGATGACAGTGGAATTTGTGTTTGTATGTGTGCCTGCGACTTCAACTCCGATCTAAGTACATAGCATTAGGTTTGTGGGTCCCTCTAAATCCAGATGATAGAGATTGGTAACGCTGATCGACTCCTATCACGTAAGTGTGATGCAATTGAGGAGCAGCTTAGGTCAAGCCATTGTCTCACACATGGAATGACTGAGGTCACGATCGCAGTGTCGGCTACAGCTGCATGGAGAGCAGTAGCGGCATTCCCATGGAAGGACGGCGTTCGAGACAACGGAGGGATCGGCACAACGTAGGCGACGATGAGGTCGATCGATGGAAAGGGAGATGGTGGTGCTGCCACTTGTTGTTGATTAGACGCACTGCAAGCTGGACGTTAGTCAATTGATTTGAAGAAAGGCTCATGATGATGCTATGCAGTGATTATTGATTATGTTGCAGAAGTCCGCGCGATCGATTTCGATTACAAGTACCCGGCAGATGGTAGGATCTGCTGCACGATGTACAGCGGCCTATCGCCGTCCTCGGTAGCTGCTGTAACACATACATGCGCGGGAATGCGTCTTTAGAATTCGATGTCACAAGCTCTCAATGTCGCCTGCCCATGCCCAGTCTAGGGGCACTCATTTCCAAGTTCCAGCCATCTGGCCAGCTCCACTACCCACCGTGGAGGCGCCACCGCCAAGCCATGTGCTTGCGTGCTCTATAGCCAGCTTGACGTGCTCGTCTGGCTAGAACGTGAAACTTTCGAGGCTTCGCTTGGCCCTGACTAGAGAAAAGCAAAAGCAAGATTGGGCTGTTCTGCAAAGTAGATCTCGTAATGACATTATGCTTGAACTTGTGGGGGTGGAAGCTTGTTGTGAGTGGCGTAAACCGAGTAGACGCGACTGTCTGGCCTTGAGAATGTGTACGTAAGTAGCGCGTTAGGGCGGTGATTGAGGCTCTTCAGAAAGATTGAGAGGCTTGCGTAGACCTGGACGGGCCTGTCTGAACGTGAAGCTCCGCGGTACCGAAATGAAGGTATGCCCAACTGAAACATAATTCTTATTGGACCTAGGGATATGCTCATCGTAACTGAGGCTTCTAATTTTACGCCAAGCTCAGGGGTTCCAAACGAGCCCCGATACGTTTAGAGAGATCTGGAAAGTGGCCAAAGATAAAACTGTTGAAAGAGTACACTCACGGTCCAGCCGGAGTCTGATGAATTGTAATAAAACTGATACAGATAATGCCGCAAGCTTTGAGTAGGCGTGGACTCTTCATACAACAGCTATATGCTGAGATATCCTTTTGGGATCGTTCGTGACTTCGTTACTTCATACTCTTCAGGCATAACCTGGCCCCTCATTCTGGCTTTTTTACATTTTCGTGACTCATTTGGCATGGTTTACGATCTCCTCGTACATGTCTTCGGGTATCTTGCTGGTGAACCCCGTAGCCAGTGGGATAATCGCGCCGGCGTTCAACGCAGGGAAACTTCGCAGTTTTTGATTCGGGCTATGAGGCAGATTAGTGACACTTCAGTAGATTCCAAATAAGCTGTGACGAACCTTGAGCTGTTCAGAAGATCGTTACGCATCAGAACAAGCTGAGCGACTATGCATAGGATGTTCAGATGTGGGCCGTAGGCGAACAAGAAGTCCCATAATTTGAGGACTTCCGGTAGAGGGGATGTGCATGCGCACATGGTTAGGACGGAAGCGAAGGCGTATATCTTGGCTTCCATGTGGTAGCTCATCAGATGGGCGTACAGCTTCTCGTCGACGACCTCAAGAACCCGGTCCACCAGAGCCACCCCCTTATGCACGCCTTCCATAGATCCTCGCACGTAGCCTGGGCATTCCTGAGTGATGAGTCTTTCGAAGCCAGTGAAGGCCTCAACCTCGCTCCGTGCAGCGTACAGAAATGGACCGCACAGCACGTTCATGCCTTGCACGTAGCCAATCTGCTCAGCGTCGTTGGTAGTCGAAGCATCCGTCCGTATGCTGGCGGCAAGCGAGTGGCGGGACATCATGGCTGTATCAGGACTGCCTCCGAACTCAGACAATGTCGGCGGTGACTGCCACCCATTTACGCGGGCTTCATGCGCATCGTTGAGCCTCCACGCGACGGCGTTGAGCACACGCGTAATGCTATTCTGCGTGACGCGCCGACGGAAGAGTGGATCGCCCTGAAAGGTACGGAAAGTATCGTTTTGAATCTTGGTGTGCGCAGGCGACGCGCCTTGTCGGACGAGGTCAAGGTAGACGTCGGTTTTCAAAGGCGGCGTATTGAGTAGTATGAGCCATATGTACATGCGCAGTTCAGACTGTCATGGTGTATAGTTAGTGAGAAACACATGTATAGCGTAATTGTTTGAACGGTAGCGACCCCTCATTCTGGCTGAGGGGCATGCAATGGTAGTGGAGACGAACCATGCCCTCGCTGTTTGCGGGTATGCCGTCGGCCAGTATGGCGAAGCGCAGTTCATTGAGACCCTCCTCGACGCCCGGGGCAGGCCCCTTCAGCAAGAGCATATCAAGGTTCGGCATGGCGCTCAATGCCGAGATCAGATGTCGTCGGATGTTTGTTTGGAGTTTACTGTGGAGAGGTCTTCGGGACGTCGCAGCATGTGCGCGGGCTTGGCACGGCTCGTCGCTCGCAGCCTTCCATACATACAACGGTTCCCCGCAGACTGCAGCTGATTCTAAAACGACTTCCCTCATGTCCAAATCAAAAATCCTGCCGAAAAAAAGAGCTGGGGAAATGTGCCGTTCATGGGCGTACAGATCCGACGCCCACCCACCATCAGTGTGAGTTGGACTCTTACACAGTAGGGCACAGAACCAAAAACGGAAAAAGACATGGGCAGCTGCAGGCTTCACTCAAACACACACATTCGCTGGTTAGGTCTCGTAAGCACGCAAAGACATCGCACAAGGAGCCCTCCCATAGCCGACAGACACATCTTCGTCGCCTCGGACCCCACGTGCATGAATGCACGCCGCACAGCTGCTCGCCGTCTCGCTGCACGTCGCTCAATGCGACCCTAGGCTCAATACCGACTATTTGAGATGGCGACGGGTTTACAATCTATCGACGCGTTGTACGCAGTGTTTTCACGCCAGTAGCGCTGGGGCGCTGGGGCGCTGGGCGCTGTGGAAGTGCGTTCTTTCAGGTTTGATCTTTTCTGCGGCAGGCGACGTCACCATGGCCTCGCAAAAGGCGTCGTGGACTACTATGGCTTGCCCGAAGCGGCCTCAGCGTGTGCACGGCGCCTGGCGTGCCCGGCATGGAGAAAACGACATCGATGGGACCAAGCACGCAATTGCCATGACCCGAGGTGGTGATTGGCTGACAGCCCGGTCGTGTTTGCGCCAACCCTGTCGTCCCGCGCGCAGATCCTGGTAGCTTCATCGATCCGTGTGCGCGGCGCAGACATCAGCGCCCACCAAACCCACAAGCCAGGCCTGTCTTACCGATCTTCGCAGCGTCTTCGGGCAATTTCGTCACAGAGGAGTGCCGCTACTGGACGCGTCGAGATGGAAGGGACTTCCCTCTTTACCACCCTCCCCTTCACACGCACCCTCTACGCTACCAGATCAGATAGCGACGCTGTTGGCTAGATCTGCAGTCTTTGGGAAGCTGCGAGTGCCACTGTTCCTTCTTTTCTTGCCCCAGCGGCTTCGTTCGTAAATTACGCCCGTCACGCAATCCCACCTTCGTATCAGTCAATCCTGAACCGCGCATCCCAGAGCTAGGGTCAACCCTCTTCCAATTTGTGGCTTTTGAAGGCTGGTCTTCCACAGGATCCAGAGCTCGTCAGTTCGCACAAAAGCAACGCCAGGCCTTGGGTGCGCCGGCCGCTATATAGCCCAGCCGCCGAGTCCGTGTCTGTGGGATATTGTTGAAGCTTGCCACGCTTGTCGTGCTATAACAGAGCAATAGCAGCCCGCCCTGCTCCCTCGTTTTCTTAACCTGGTTTATTCCAAGACACCAAGCTGGTTGTCCTTGTTACTCCCGCCATGGCTACCACGAGCACCAAGGTTGGCCACGGGCTGGCCAAGGTTCTTGGTATCGACCTGCATTACCGCCATGAGACAGGCTCCGAACGCGTGACCCGCGGCGAGAGCGCCTTCACCATTGATTCTGCGGATACATATGTTGAACAAGAACCAACCGCCTGGGAATGGCTTCGCGACGTAACGCCAAACGGCCAAGACATCAAGCAATACTGCATCAATCTATTCCCGTTCTTGAAGTGGATTACTCGCTACAACGCGCAATGGCTCATGGGCGATCTGGTAGCAGGTACGTTACCCCTCAACTTAAACCTGGACATCTTTCTCTAATGTTTTCCAAGGTATCACCGTTGGCGCCGTCGTTGTTCCCCAGAGTATGGCATACGCAAAGCTTGCTCAACTTGCTCCTGAATTTGGCATGTACTCTTCGTTCATGGGTGTGCTCCTCTACTGGTTTTTTGCAACGTCCAAGGATATCACGATCGGCCCTGTGGCCGTGCTCTCAACTGTTACTGGAAATGTCGTCACCAAAGCTCAGGACAAGATCCCCGACGTTCCCGCCGATATCATAGCCTCGTCGCTCGCCATTATTGCAGGATCGATCGTGCTGTTCTTGGGACTCGCTCGTCTTGGTTGGTTGGTAGAGTTTATCACACTTCCGGCCATTTCAGCCTTCATGACGGGTTCTGCCCTGAATATCGCTGTCGGACAGGTACCTACGATGATGGGAATCACCGGGTTCTCAACGCGCGAAGCTACCTACAAAGTCGTCATCAACACCTTGAAACACTTGGGCCGATCCAACCTGAACGCCGCCATTGGATTGACTGCCTTGACGATGCTATATTTGATACGGTTCGTTTGTGGGCAGCTTGCCAAGCGGTACCCGAGCAGAGCGAAGACTATTTTCTTCATCCAAACTCTACGAACGGCGTTCGTTCTGCTCCTCTACATTGCCATTAGCTATGGTGTCAACCGCAACCACCGAGAGAAGCCGTTAATATCTGTTCTTAACGACGTTCCGCGAGGCTTCAAGCACGCTCGAGTGCCCCACATCACGACGGACATTATCTCGGCATTTGCTTCTGAGCTTCCATCGACCGTCATTGTGCTTCTAATCGAACACATTTCTATCTCGAAGTCGTTTGGTCGTGTAAATAACTACAAGATCGATCCCTCTCAGGAGCTTGTCGCCATCGGTGTCACTAACGTGCTTGGTCCTTTCCTTGGGGCTTACCCCGCTACTGGTTCGTTCTCACGTACCGCCATCAAGGCCAAGGCTGGTGTCCGTACTCCATTCGCTGGCGTAATCACCGCTCTGGTCGTGTTGCTGGCCATCTATGCGCTTCCTGCCATGTTCTGGTACATTCCAAATGCCGCTCTTGCGGCTGTCATCATCCATGCAGTAGGCGACCTCATCACTCCTCCGAACACGGTGTACCAATTCTGGCGGATTTCGCCGTTGGAAGTCATCATCTTCTTTGCAGGTGTCTTCGTCACTGTTTTCAGCAGCATCGAGAACGGTATCTACACCACTATCTCCATTTCAGCAGCCATCTGGGCCTTCAGAGCTTTCAAGGCCCATGGTCGGTTCCTTGGTAAAGCTAGGGTTCACTCCGTGATCGGCGACCATCTTCTTGATCCCATTGAAGAACAAAGCAAAGAGTTTGGTAACAGGCCTGAGCGCCGGGTCCCAGCTGAGAACGAAGACTCCGTTCGCGATATCTATCTCCCAATCGATCACAAAGATGGCAGCAACCCTGAGATATCGCTCGAAGATCCGTACCCTGGTATCTTCATCTACAGATTTTCGGAAGGTTACAACTATCCTAACGCCAACCATTACTTGGACGAACTTACGGATCACATCTTCAAGAGCACCCGCCGTACCAACCCCCATAGCTACCCGAGACAAGGTGTAAGTACACTTTATCAATTATGCGAGGCACAAGAAGAACTTTAGCTAACATTTGCAGGACCGTCCTTGGAATGACCCTGGGCCACGTCGCGGCAAGAAAGAAGATTCGACCGACCATCGTCCTACTCTCAAGGCTATTATTCTCGACTTCTCGTCAGTCAATAATGTCGATCTTACTTCGATGCAGAACTTGATCGATGTGCGAAACCAGCTTGACCGATATGCCGCACCTGATACTGTCGACTGGCATTTCTGCAACGTCAACAACCGCTGGACCAAGCGAGCGCTCGCAGCTGCTGGATTCGGATACTACACGCCAGAGCCAGAGGGCTCGGTTGTTGGCCGGTGGAAACCCATTTTCAGTGTCGCCGAACTTGGCGGCAGCCATAGCGTCGCAGCAGAGTTAGAAGCGAAGGAACGCAGGAGAGCTTTGAAAGAAGCCGCAAAACTACAGGGACAAGCCGACGACGACATTGCGGAGCGCCAAGGTTCTTCATCTGATGAGGATTCATTGGGCAAGCAGCTCAGCAATACCAAGGCGTATGGTCAATCAAACTCAAAGCCGTCTAAAGTTGCGGTGGTGCAGGGTCTGAACAGGCCGTTGTTCCATGTCGATATCACGGCCGCCTTGAACAGTGCAGTCGCAAATGCGAACAGGAAAAGTCATTGAGATACCCCAGGTTTAACGATGCTACCAAGTGTTGGTAGTGATGTAGAAGTTGCAGCCGCTTTCGTGTATATATTTGAAGATAGCGGTCATTTAATGCAACACGCGACGATGCTCAGCGCATTGATATTTCTACTAAATTTCTCCTCAATCGTTCATGTCATGTTGTGAAAGTGTGAACGTGAATAGAGACCCCACAGCCGTGCCCCATTGAGTCTAGCCGTCAGCACGGACAGCGGTGCGCGTACATCGACTCGGAGCTAAAACACCATCGCATAGTTGTCCTTTATTCAGCCGAGCCTCGCCCATTACTTTCGCAGCTTCCACCCAGAGCTGTCCTTCTCTTCTGGTCTGTAACATGATACAGTGGCCTTAGCACTTGTAGTGCCTATTCATTCCTTTCCTTACGAACTTCAATTCGTCTTGCGCCGGTGAAACGCCGCGCCGGCAATTGTCTAAAGCGTCCAAGACTCTCGTACCACGCACACCTATCCGCACGAGCATCCACCCTCGGCCATCGTACCACCTTCTCTCCGCAAACGATTCTTCACCGAACCGGTCTCTGTAAAGGGCAGTTTAGACCACAATGTCAGCCAAAGCCCGATTTGGGCGCCTTGATGCGTTCACCAAGACGGTGGAGGATGCGCGCGTGCGCACAACGAGCGGTGGCATTGTGACGATTGGGAGTTTGCTGGTCATTTTGTGGTTGGCTTGGGGAGAGTGGGCAGACTATAGGAGAGTCAGCGTGCGTCCGGAGCTGGTGGTGGACAAGGGACGAGGTATGCGAACCGCAACAGCTTATGAAAGCTGAGGAAGTAGCCATACTGACTCGATGGTAGGAGAGAAGATGGAGATCTCGATGAACATAACCTTCCCCCGCATGCCGTGCGAGTTACTCACACTCGATGTTATGGACGTCTCTGGCGAGTTACAGATGGGCGTATCACACGGTGTCAATAAGGTGCGGTTATCGCCTGAGAGCGAAGGAAGCCACGCGATTGAGATGAAAGCCCTCGACCTGTAAGCCTTTACTTGCCGCAACCTTCGCGATGCACCGGCTCATGACTTCCTAGGCACAAAGACGAAGCTTCTCACCTCGATCCCAACTACTGCGGTGAATGCTACGGTGCTCCTTCCCCTACTGACGCCCAGAAGCCCGGCTGCTGCAACACCTGCGACGACGTACGAAACGCCTACGCTTCTATCTCCTGGTCCTTCGGTCGCGGCGAGGGCGTCGAACAGTGCGAGCGCGAGCACTACGCCGAGCATCTAGATGCGCAGCGCAAGGAAGGGTGCCGTCTTGAGGGCAGCATCAAAGTGAACAAGGTTATTGGCAACTTCCACATCGCCCCCGGAAAGTCCTTCTCCAATGGCAACATGCACGTTCACGACCTGGAGAACTACTTCAAGGACGAGACGCACACTTTCACCCACAAAGTTCATCACTTGCGCTTCGGTCCACAGCTAAGCGACGCCGTCATCGCAGATATGCAGCAAAAGCACGCGAACACCGGACCCGGAGGCTGGACGAACCACCACATTAACCCGCTTGATAACACGGAGCAGCACACCACTGAGAAGGCTTTCAACTTTATGTACTTCGTCAAAGTCGTGTCGACTGCGTATCTTCCGCTCGGGTGGGAGAACATCTCCGGACGTGGCAAGCACGATGAAGTCCTTGGTGCTACTATTGAGTCCAACTACAAGGGCAGCATCGAGACACACCAGTACTCTGTCACGAGCCACAAGAGGAACTTGGCAGGTGGACCGGATGAGGAAGAAGGTCACAAGGAGCGAATCCACGCTAGGGGTGGCATTCCCGGTGTTTTCTTCTCATATGTAAGTCTACGGTTCCTGGCTGCGTTGACAAGGGCCATTCTAAAAATTGCGATAGGACATCTCCCCAATGAAGGTCATCAACCGCGAAGAGCGCGCTAAGTCATTCTCCGGCTTCCTCGTCGGTCTCTGCGCCGTTATTGGTGGTACTCTCACGGTTGCTGCGGCTGTTGACCGCATGGTCTACGAGGGTGCGAACAGGATCAAGAAGATGCACTCCAGCTAGTGCACCAGAAACAATACCCACCATGTCCTGTAACATCTTCTCTGAAACGTATGCATTGCAAGGCGATCGTGTATGGCGTTTGGCGTACGGCTGCCTTTGGGCTGCTTGATTATGGATTCTATATTGGCTATTTGCAGGTGTGTGTTCTGGGTGAATGGGATGAGCGATTGTGGCTCTGTGGATAGGTGAATGTACAGTTGATAGAGATACGAAGGCGTTCGACATAGTTTGAGGCATGTGGTAGATCTAAAATCTATATGAATACTGAATCTCGGGTGAGTTTTCAGTGTCAAGGCATGTCATTCTCACAGGTTTTTGCACCTAGAAAAGGGCGAAGAGACATCAGTCAACGCCGTGGATGCAAGGAGACCTACATCACCGAAAGCCGTTAGGGCCCTTTCCTTGAGTAGAGCTATCAACGGGGCATCGGCTATCGGTCGCTACAATGATGGATACCGACAGGCGTTCGGCGCCATGTTCGGGCTAACGCCCGTCATCCCACTCCACCTCGAGTATCCTCACAGGTGCTGCCTCTCTGATTCCCTGACTTTCGGTTTGTACCCCGCGTGTGTGGAGCAATGGATGACTTCGGGCCTTCGCTCCTCCGATTGGGGAATACAGGTCCTATATATCTTAACGTTGTATCCGCGCGAAATGTCTCGAGGCTTCTTCTGCTTCCCCCAAAACTAGTTCAAATCAAGCACAACTGATCCAAGAGTCCACCCAACCTTGAATAACTACTTTAATTGCGACACAACTCCAGGATGGCGCCCTCTCGGCCGAACATCGTCTTCATAATGGCTGACGACCACGCCGCGAAGTCCATATCTTGCTACGGCGCCGGGATAAACCACACGCCTAACCTTGATCGCCTAGCCAAAGAGGGAATGCGATTCAATCACTGCTATGTCACGAACAGCATTTGCACGCCTTCCCGGGCTGCTATTCTGACAGGCCAGCACAGTAAGTAGTTTCGTGGTGTAGAGTGAGTTTAGTGGGAGAAGAAAACAGACTGCCCAAGGTATTAAATTACCTCGTGCTTTCACGAGCGAGCATTCACTGACGAACTATACAGACCACGTCAATGGCGTGTTGACCCTAGATTCCAAGATCAACACCCGGCAGCCACACGTCGCGAAGCAGCTCCACGCAGGCGGCTACCAGACTGCCATGGTAGGAAAGTGGCACCTCGGCGAAGGGAAGGCGCATGAGCCCAGCGGCTTCGATTACTGGAGTATTGTGCCTGGACAAGGCGAATACTACGACCCTCTGTTTATTGATCCTACTGGCACCCATCGCGAGGACGGATACGCCACGGATATCATCACCGACAAGACCATAAATTTCATTAAGAATCGAGACACTTCAAGACCGTTCTTTGCCATGTGCCATCACAAAGCGCCGCATCGCAGCTGGGAGTGCGATCCCAAGCACAAGCATCTGTATAAGGAACCTGTGCGGTTGCCGGATACATTTACGGATGATTACAAGAATCGTGCGAGGGCGGCAAAGGTCGCGAAAATGAGGGTCGCGGATGATTTGACGTATCACGATTTGGGGCTCGTGCAGCCAGACGGAGGCAGAGAAGTGGGTGAGAAGATGATTGACATCGCGATCTGGAGTGAGCTTCCCACCCGCAAATCCCTCTGTCCGTCACATACTGAAACTCCGCAGATGACCGCAAAATCCCCGCCCCTCAGGATGTAACAAAGATGCGCCTGATGGACAAAGACGACGGCACAGTCTTCACCTTCCGCACGCCTTCCGAACTCGCAGAATTTAAATTCCAACGCTACATGCAGCGCTACCTGCGCACCATCCAGTCCATCGACGACAACACCGGCCGCCTCCTCGACTTCCTCGACGCCGAAGGCCTCGCAGAAAACACCATCGTCATATATACTTCCGACCAGGGCTTCTTCCTCGGCGAGCACGGCTGGTTTGATAAGCGCTTCATGTATGAAGAGTCCTTCCAGATGCCCTTCCTTATCCGGTACCCTCCTGCCATCGCGTCCGGCTCTATATGCGATGACATTATATGTAATGTAGACTTTGCGCCAACGTTCCTTGATTTCGCGGGGATCAGGACTCCAAGTTATATGCAAGGCGTATCGTTCCGTCAGCTGCTGCAGGGCAAGACGCCCACAGATTGGCAGCAAGTCGCTTACCATCGGTACTGGATGCACAACGACATCATTCACAATGCGTACGCGCATTATGGGGTTAGGGATCAGAGGTATAAACTGATTTACTGGTATAATGAAGATTTTGGGCTTGAGGGGGCGAGGCCTGGGGATGCGGATCATAAAGAGTGGGAGCTGTTTGATTGTGAGGAGGATCCTTTGGAGCTGTTCAATGTTTACGGGGAGCCGAAGTATAAGGAGGTGAGGCAGAGGATGACAAAGATGCTGGAGGATAAGATGCTGGAGATTGGGGATGAGGTGGTGCATGAGAGGGCTGTGCTGGAGAAGGGGAGATCGATGCTGTGAACATAGGATAGACCAGTAGCTAATGATAAGGAAGAATACTTACTGTTCTGTATGAACCCGGCTCATCAGATACACCTATTGGTACGTCAGAAGCTTTCTCAGTGTAAAATCATTCGATTGCTCGAGGTCAACTCAGGCTATAAACAGTCGGCAAAATTGTGACCTAATCCTGTAGTTTGTTACCTTCACGTTAACGGGAGAGAAGGGGTACGATTGATGTTCCTCAATGGCCAATAGGAGTAGGTGCGCGCCGACAGCCGCTCCTATACGCTTCTCTCGTCATCCTCTCTCCGTCCAACTAACACCCACTCAAACAAAAATTCAACTTCTGTATTCAGCTAAAGAAGTGCTGCAGGAACGCGTCTTTCCTGACGTAATAAGGCTAACAGTGTTGCAGGTGGCGCGCGACTCCGCGGAGGCTATCGCAAGAGGCGGCATAGAATTCAAAAAGAAGCAACCACACGGTACCTTCTTCTAATGCGCGAAACTAGGTTTGTGGCACGCAGAGTTGACTCTAGGAGAATGCGCGTCCTATGAGAACAGTTGAAAGACCGAGGGCACGAACTGCAGGCCTAGATGTACTCGTCATACCTAGGTGTCTTTCCAGTCGGCCCGCTAAAGAGACCTCGATCCACGATGGCTTCAAGACCCTCACCATTCAGACGCCTTAGGTAACGAAGGCGCTCGTATATAGTGAGTTACCCTTGGCTACCCTAGGAGTAGCGAGGGTGGTGGCTTACGAAATACGAGCTCCTTCGCATAGCTTAAGATGGAAGAATTTCAGATGACGACGATCTGCTTTTTTCATCCATCTGTTCTCCAACAAACCATATCCTGAGCTTTGGTGATATCGAACGTCTGCGATTTCTCCCACCACAAAATATGCCATCATCGACGATTCCCATCACCATCAGCCACCTCGGCTCCCTAAACGTTGGCTACCGCCTCTCCAACAATGCAATCGACCCATCAAAGCCAACATTAGTCTGCATAAACTCCATGTGCATGACTACCGCACTCTTCTCTCCCCAGTTTGAATCACCAGAACTCAATTCCGCACTCAACATCCTCGCCATCGAGCCCCTTGGTCACGGCTCAACGTCTTTTCCCACCAAGGCCCGCCACTTCACGTACTGGGACTCCGCCGCCGTAGCTCTGGAAGTCATGACCGCGCTCGGTGTCAACAAAGCCTTCGTTTTAGGCACCAGCCAGGGCGGGTGGATGGTAGTTCGTATGGCTTTGCTCGCGCCCGAACGCATTCTCGGCGTGCTTCCTCTGGGGACGAGTATGGACGCTGAAACGGCTGAGTCGAGAAAAAAAGGATGCTGGGACCCTGTTCCGCTTTTGCATCCGTTCGCTGCGAAGTGGGCAAGTGCGACTCCAACGCCGGAATTTGAGATTGACGACACGTGGTGCGGCATGGTTGCGAGCTTCGGATTTGGCGCGCATGCGACGAAAGAAACGACTGAATTCTGGACGCAGGTGCTGAAGGAGACGTATGCTGGAGATGAGGGGAGGCGGAAGGCGAGAATGGCGGTGCTGTGTCTCATGACGAGAGATTCGTTAAACCTCAGGCTCGCTGATATTACTTGTCCGGTGCATTGGCTCCAGGGTACAGAAGATACACCGTATGGGTGCAAAGTGCAGAAAGAGCAACTTGAGCTGTTTACCGGAAGCACTGACAAGAGGTTGAGCATTGTGGAGGGAGGTGCGCATTATCTGAATGCAACGAATGCAAAAGAGGTGAACGAGGCGGTTTTGGCGATGGTGAATAGCCATCTAAGACGCACGACGAGGTATCTAGTCGTATCGAGCAAATTGTAGCCCAATGAGATCGGCACAAGGAATGTAATTTGAGTCCGGCTAACTTGCACCATGCCAGAGCTCAGTATCCTTTACAGCGTCGACTATTCTGACTCGACTTTAAGTTGCAGATCATCGCAAGGAACCACAGCAACAACACCACAAACTTAGCACAACTGGGCTCTGTATTCTTCATTCGAAGGCGAGCGATGCGGGGGAGACGGCGCAGGGCACATCGTGGTTGCACAGCCTCCAGTTTTGTCGGCGCTTTTGGTTGATCTTGTGGAAATCCTGCCTGTAAACGTGCAGCTGTCGAACTCAGATTATCCTAGAGCTGACGAGCTGAAGGCATTGTTTGATGTGACTCATTGGAGGGCGTATCCCTGCGCGCGTAGCGCCGTCTCTAGGCAACAACAACTAAAGTACATAAAAAATATGCTGACATGTCTTTTTAATTGAGATATCAGTCTTGCAGTCATCGCAACTCCAACATCGAAATAGCGTGCGTTACCTAAAATGTCATCGCAACTCTCGCCGGAACAACAAAAAGGCCTCATCCACCACGTCAAATATGGCGCGCCATCACGTCGGGCCCAGGCGGTCCAGATTCGCGCCGCACCCAGATCCGAATCCGAAATGAAACCCTTCAGCAGACCAAAGCAGGCGGCATGGGACATGAATCTCAATGCGGAACAGATACGTCGCTTGCTGATGGGCTTCAAACCACAGGATATGGACGACAAGTGGATGATCTATTCCAAGGGCCCTTTGCGCAAGGAGAACTTGGAAGGGCGCGATGATCCAAATGCATCTGTGTATATGTACAGGAGTTGGACCGGAACTCTGTGTTTCAAGGTCGATCTGGTGGTTGAGGACGTCGCGGATACCTTGTCCCGACTCGAAGCCCCAGTGGAACTCCAGGAGGGATTGGAGGCAAGCGCTGAGCAATCCGACACGGACGCCGAGGGATCTGAGACTAGCGAGAAAGAGGACGAGACGGCCAAAGAACAAATCGCAGGCCGGATTGTGGGGCTTACGTGGGAAACTGATGAAGAAATGGCGAGATTGGGCGACGAGCAGAAGGCTAAAGAATACGCGGGTAATGTCTGCAAATATGTCCTACGGGTCTAGCTGCCAACTGGTTCGCCTATCAATACCGACCGTGAAAGCGACGGTCTGATACGGACTTAGAACCAGATCAAGGGTAGGGCATGTGGAGTGGAGGGCCAAAAAGAGCCGTCAAAGTACACAGAAAGGCTCTCGGCCAATTCCAAAGACTCTTCACGTTGACCACACGGAGAACTCCTATTGATTCGAGTTGCCTCGGATCTGGCTGATATATGCGGATGCGATGCATCACGCAAAACAGGTAGACTCGCTCAGGCTTGCGAGACTAGCTGCATACAAATAGTCCGCTTTCTGATCAAACCAAGACCAAAGCTGAGCCAGAAAGGTCGGATTAAAACTCGTGTGAAGATTCCATGTTAGCCCTGTTCACACAATTGCAAGAAAAGCTCGATTCTCGAGAAATGAATTCATTACTCGCCACCTCTAAGTCTAAGCGGCCGATCCACACCGCGAACAATGTACAAAAGAACCATCACCAAATGCCACATTCCCCAAACCCTACAATACTCGCATGTATCCAGTGCATGTGTGCTCTATCCCCTAGACCCGCAGAGCGTCACCTGTTGCTAACGATTAGCCTTTGAAAGGAAGTGATTGGTGAGGAAGAGAACATACCTTTTCAGGTTCTTGTCTGCGTTTAGATCTGGATCTCAGCAGCCTCGACGGGAGCCTCGACAGCAGGCTGGCGGGTGCGGAGCCACTCGCGGGCCTTGGCGGTGAAGCCGACGGAGCTGACATCGCGCCTGTAACTGTTAGCCATATTGCTCTCGATCATTCTCATCATGGAGACGGAATTGCGTACTGGCACAAGGCTCCGTTGATACCGCAGGTTTGGGCCGTAGCGGCGGCAGCGAAGATGGCAACGAGGACGGCGGAGAACTGCATTTTGACTGGTTGGTTGGTTGGTTGGGTTGTTGGGAAGAAAGTGGAGAAAGTGGATGAAGTGATGGTAAACTCGCTGGGAGTGAAGTGAAGTGTTGAAAGAGTGTTTGAAGCTGTAGAAGGAAGGTGTTGGAAGTGAATGTGGATGGGGACTCAAAACTGGCCGGCAACAAGGTGCGCTTTATACTAAAGTGCGGTGGTGCGTGTTGCAGTGTGGATGCTATGCTCGGTGTACGCAGTGCCTGGTGAGCTTAATGGGTTGGAGTCCTAACGCTGTGTAGGGAGTAGTATTTTTCCTAGAATAGATGCCCGAATATCTTGAGACTGTCGTCGTCCGTTGCATTTCCGTTAAAGGTGAGGAAAAATTGTGGGGTATGGTCTGTGGTTTGCGGCGGTGCATATCCTTACATGCTCTCGAATGCATTAGCTTCTACGTTGTCACGTCTCTAGGCATCTTCCTTCCTAGAGACAGCAAGCTAGGGCGACGCCGGTTTTGATTCCGGACGTTCCGCTCTACAAGCCCTTCTCTATGCTTGCAATGACTTGTCGCTCAACAAAGAAACAACCTGCTATCCTAGGTATGCTAAACACCCTCCGCGTAGCTTGTCGAGGCATAAGGATAATCCGCGCGCATGGATCTGTACAATCTGGACTATGGTCAAGCGCTGTCCATGGCGCACGAGTAGGTTACTGAATTGGGTCGTGTTGGCCCCATGCCCAGGTGAAACGGAACGTCGGAGCGGGCAGTGTTCTTGTAATATGCATAAACCAGCCGCCCAATCACAACGCTTTCCAAACGGCCCGCCAAGGGTGTGCCTAGCCGGAGAATTTCCATCTCCTACCAGGTCTATTCCTGAAACAGCAGAGTGAGATTTCGCTTCGACCCCATTCTGCTAATGGCAGTCATACAGGTGCTCGGCAATTGCGTGGCATGCCCGATGAATAAGTCCTAGCGGGGGCCTTGCGACAACCATGCCCATTACTTCGTACGCACCCCAGTCTTCTTGACGAACTCCGAGCGTTTCGCACAGACTGAACCAATGGAGAGAGGCAGTTTACTAGAATGAGAAAACATTACGTGCATACGCCCCGAACGGAGAGAGAGGTAGTCTACCATAACTGGAAAGCAGCCCTGCCTGATCGGTATCGGCGCGTGAGACGCTTCTGTACCCATGCACACTTTCCACAACCACGATTAGCTCTTTCAAACTTTGACTGCCTACACTCTACGGTGATTTGATCATATCCTACCAAGAAGTGCGGACAAGACGACTCGTGTGTAGGCACGTAATGCTAAGAACACCCTATCAGCGGAGGGGTCGAGTCTCCTGACCGCGTTCTAATGGATAGTCGCAAGCTATGCTCACCTAGGCAAGCCGAGATGTCACTGACGGACTTTCTCGCGGAGAGACGACAAAGCGCGCACGTAATTTCATCATACCATCCGCGTTGAGCAGCGGACATTGTATTGAAAGCTCCATGGCACTTCGAAACACTCCGATGAAGCCGTTCAGGGTAGCGCCTCGTTGGACGCGTCGGAGAAATTTGAGGTAAAAATGATCTCTCGGTAACATGATGTTTGCCCCATAGTCTTCCTATCTGCTGTTCAACTGCTTTGCATTAGTTCTGCGTTCACGGCCTTGTTCGCCCATAGGGCTGTATCCTTATCCGTTCATGTTGTTTGTTGGAGGCCGTTTCCATCCATTCTCTTCACCCCTTTATTCTCATCCACTCTCAGACCTCTCTGTTTTCATTCACTCTTTCTGATCTTCTTGTTTGATTCTCATACGCTCTTTTGGCCCTTTTCATTCGATTGAGTGACCCCTTTCCCCCATGGCTAGCCATGCGGGCGAGTGGACCCTCTCGAAGGGTGCCCTCCCTATCTTCCTATCCATAATGTGGCCTTTCACATGTCTTGTTGTAGTCTCGTTTCCCAGCTACATCAACCGATGGATGGGCGTCTCGATGGTACTGGCTGCCGGACTTGCCTCATGGAGAACGGCTACTAATCTTTCTCCTGACGGCACACTCAATGAGATGTATGTACGATACATCTTGATCGGCGGATCACATGCTCTTGCAATGGCATACAAGAATCCCTTGACAAAAGAGGTCCCCAATGCTGTAAGTAATTATTCACGACAGGCTGATGGAAAGAATGAGGACCCGACCGCAGTGTCGGACCAGAAGACACGACGCTCGGAAACCCTGTCTCTAGGCTTTGGGAAAGAAAAAAATTAGGCTAACAAGTTGAACAGCTCGAACCGCGATATGTAAAAGCATCGTGGAATCCCTGGTACAGAGGCTGGAAAACCGTCTTTAACGTCCGCGGCATCGGAACGGAGTGGGAGAACCCATACCTCTGGCCAGGCATCAAGCACACCTGGCAAGCCCAGAAGCCTTCGACGAAAGTCAAAGACCCTGATACCAAACTCCTCACCACTCGACACAACCTCACAGCGCGAGGCAGATGGTCAGGCATCGCCATCCGATGCGCATACCTGCTGCTGAACTTCTTTCTCTTAGCAGCATACTACGAGTTCATGGATGCTCAAAAGCTGCTCAGTGTTCCGCCATCGATGTCAGACTACACCCGCGACAAGGAAGGCGTCATACGCCGCCTATTGCAAACTTACCTGACGAGCAGCGGTCCCGCAACGCCGGTGACGACTCGCGAGTTCCAGCTTCGCGCCCTCGAGGCATTTGACAAAGTCGTCGGCGACTTCCTCCTCATTTCTCTCTACCACGATACATGCGCCGTGGTCTGGATGGCCGTCGGTCTAGACGAATCATGGGAGTGGCCTCCGGTCTATGGCAGAATCCGCGAGGCATACACCATGCGCAGGTTTTGGACAATGTATTGGCATAGGACGTTCTACAAGTCGTCTAACAGCCATGCTGCGCTCATATCGACTCACATACTCGGCATCAAGAAGCGTACGATATTCACCAGGGTTCTGAACGCATTTCTGGTTTTCGGGATCAGTGGATTTATGCATTCGATGGTGGAGGCGAGGCTTGGACATCCTTGTGCGTGGGGAAGGAATATGTGGTATTGGGCGCTGCAGCCTGTTGCGTTTGTGCTTGAGGGTGTGGTTCAGTTCTTCTGGGGGAAGTTAAGGAGGAGGATCGAGGGCCCTGGTGATGCTTGGGCGTTGAACGCGTTTGAAAGATTGGCGGGGTATTCGTGGGTGTGCGCTTGGTTGATATGGGAGGCGCCGAAGCACTCTTTCCCACTTATAACATGCTCGTAGCACCTTCAGAAACGAATGAAGCATTTTGTAGTTCTCGCCTCACACGTTCAAATGTGAGTATCGACTATGGCGACTCAGCATAGCATCACCCAAGGATCTACTGCCAAGTAGCCGGTCGTGGAACCTTCAATGTCTGGGCAAGCTTCTGGCTGACGTTCACAATGACATGAATTCTCTTGCACATCGAACATTATCAATTATTCACAATTCGTCACTTAGCGACTCCGAATCCAAAGATGGGTATCTTCCGCAATAAACAGCGCTCAGAGCATGAACACTGCCGCAAGCGCGCCGCCAATTGCAAACCCACCCATCTTGACGTTCGACGCAGCTCCAGTGTTCGATGGCGACGCTGCGCTTCCCGTAGGTGAGCCGGATCCGCTACCCGTTGCCTCAGCGTCGCCAGTCTGCGACAGCTTATCCGCACCCGCCGTGATCGCAACTTTAAAGAACGCGGTCTCAAGATCCTGCTCGTTCAACTCAGTAGTCGACGCAAACGCCGTCATTTGGACACCCATTGAGCTCAATAAGGACGGATCGACCGATCCGGTGACGCTGGCGGCGTTCGAGTAAGTACACTTGGCCGTGGTGGTGCCACCGATACTGCACTCCCATTCGTAGGTTACAACAACGGGGTCCGATTCCTGGGCAAAGACAGTGGACATCACAGCCGTTGAAGGGCCCTGGGTGACCTCCATGCCTCCAAGCGGCATGCCGCAATCGTTGCTGTCGGTGCCGGGTGCACATTCAACGTTGAGCGTCGTCAGGGCGGACTTCACAGCGATAACGGAGCCCACAAGGGTCTGATTGTCGGCGCCGGGGAGGAGAACGGAAACGATGGGGCCAGTGGCCTTTGCGGCGGCGGAGCTGGGAGTGGTGGTTTGCGCGGACGCAGTGAGGAAAGCGCCGAAGAGGGCGGCGATGGAGGTCTTGGAGTACATGTTTGCGCGGTGTGGTATTATTAACGAAGGACTCTGGTGTAAATATTAAAGCGAGTGTATGGTTTCAACGACTGCAGGTGCGTAAATGAACGACTAAATGTACGACGGTGCGAAGAAGAGCGACAGCGAGATGAGAGGGGACATCGTGCGCTTTTGAGCGCTTAGAGGAGGATTTGGTGGTGCCTTGCTGTCGTCGCGCTAGCCGTGAAGTAGTTCATGCAACCTTGAATAGGGACCTGACTAGACTACATCGGCTTTAACCGAGGTGATAAGCCAATGACGATGTTGCCGGTAACCGGGATTCGTCTCGCCTTCTTGATCAGACAAGCTTTGTCTTCCTTCCAGTGAATGGGGGCCAACGGTCTAGAACCCGCACGTCTGGACTTTGTCTTCGTATCCGAGGCAGTATTTTGTGGGATGGAACTACGGCAAATATTTAAATATATCCACTATTGCCTACTTCGAGAATCTGTCATCATCAGGACATCCAAGAGACTAAGTTTGAGGAAGAGTTCACAGTTCCCAGAAAACTATGGACACAGCAAGTGGCTGTCTAGGCCCGATCTCGTAGAACCTCGTGTCAAGCTAGCTGTTCAAATCAACTAGCCGCATCACCAAGCTTTGGGAGATACCTTAAGCATACTCTATTAGTGGGAACATTTGGTTCGTCTTGTAATCTGAATTTCCCCAGGACCACATGAATGTCTGACCGCTTCTTGAGGGTTCCCTCAGTTTCTGCTTTCTGAAACCATTTCATGTCTCATATTATCTGAGACAAGCATTTTCGAGCACCGACATATGTTTGTATGATACACGACGACGTCCTCGAATGACTGAACCCTGTACGACAAATATGGGTAGCAATTCAATGCAACATGTGCGTGCATTAATTTGTTTTGATTTATTGCTTGAGCCGTTTTTTCGCACGAAGAATAGTAACCTTTCTTCGCTACATGATTCTCGCACGGCACTACGTCTAAGAGTGTCCGCGCTATCAAGGAGCACAAGCTCACGGAATCCAACATTGCAGATGCGGCAGTGATACCTTCGACCGAGCCCGACGTAGAGGATGAAGAAGTCTTATCGCTAAAAAGCGCGATAATCGAACCATATCATTGTCCGAGCAAGGGTGGACCGTCGGTATAGATCCACACCGCCTTGAACGCGAGTTTACGGGGCTTTGGCCACACCCAGCCTCAGTTCATGCAACCGAAGAACATCCACTCTGGACTAGAATCTTCAATACCATGGGTAGCATGAAGATGCGCACAATGACGGACTACTTCGCACAGAGCTTTGTGTACCGGTATTCGCTGACGAAAAGATGTATCAGGCGGAAGCTCGCTGTGGCAGCTATGAACACACCTGAGCGGAAGATCCCGGATATGCAAGGTCACAAATGTTCATTTTTGGAACGAAACAGGCCGTGATATATAAGCCCGAGACTAATGAAGATATGTAGGCTCAGTGGGCATCTACGATGAAGGCAGAACAGGAAGCTGCTGAAGCCGCCGAAGGTTCTGCTTTGGACAGTGCAGATAGATGGAACTGATCGAGGGCGGAGGGCGATGTACTGTTCCCTCCAATTCGAATTGCGCGCAGTCTTGCCGATGATTCTTTCACATGCTGCCTGTTGTTGTCAGGCTGCACCTAATGTGTTAGCACTGCATTAGTAATGATCGGAATACAATTCTGTTTCCCAACAATTATTTGGACATTCTCCTTACGCAAAGTGATCAAGGACCTGATAACACGAGTTAGGGAGCATGCCGGATAGGTGGGCGGTCTTACTTACCCACAACATGGTTTGTGGAAGATGCTATCGATATCTTCTTAAGGAAACCCAGTTCTTTCTAGGTGCCTGTCGACCTCCATGTTCTCAATTGTAGGGTGTACTAGGCTTCGAATGTCCCGCACGAACTCAGCGTTGTATTACGCATCAAGTTGCCCCAGGATACACTCATCGTGGTGCAAGCCATCAGGTCAAGTTTGAGGTCAAGTTCGATAGCAAGTTAGTCAGCAAGTCATATCATATCCCCACAATCAAGAACATTTCGGGCAGATGTATGCCTGTATCAAGTCAGTGTGCGCCTATCTGTGAATGCACTCATAATCGAATCCGTCCTTACACAACTTAGGTTCGCACCCTCTTCATGAGAAGGACCCACTCCTCCAGCTTCAACTCCACTTCCCCATCTGCCGTCTCAAACTAATAAGCCACATAGAATACCCAGACAATCCCTAAAGTGCGGCGTTTTCACATTCATTGCCCAGCGTCGCACCGCATCCAGTTGCCCGTTTTACTTCGTCCAGCGTGCCCCGCTTTTTCTCCCGCTTCTCATTGGCTCTCCCATAAACAAGCACTCAAACTCTCCCAGCCATCGGTACGACCAACATCGTTCGGCCCGTTGATCGGTAGCGTGCAATGATCCCTCCGCAGCCCCGACTTGGAGCGACGAAACCTTCGAAGAGCCCCCGGGCTGGCGGTGCGCACGTGCCCCGATGCCAGATCAGGCACCTCGTTGATGTCACGACGACGCACTTGCAACAAAGTCCCAAACAACGTTGGTCCGACGTAAGCAGGATGTAAGGGGCTGGTAGATGTGATGATGATGAGATTATTATAGCGGTTTGAGGGGGGCTTGCGCAGGTACGGTACGTCAGTGGAATTCTGGGGTACATATGTAGATGTCCGTAGTTGTCGGGTCCAGTATTAGGACACATGTACCGTATAGCAAGACTTATGAAGTGCGCTTTGCCTTACACAACCTATACTTGCCTGCCACTACCTGTCGTGACACGAAGAGCTTTGTCGCGTGCACTAGCTGTCAAGATGCCGTCTAAGGATGATAAATACACGGATCCTGAGCTGAGGAACGAGGTTAAAGAAGAGATTCAGGCGAGTGATAAGGGTGGTGCACCAGGTCAATGGTCGGCGCGGAAGGTGTGTGGTAGATGTATGCGCAATCTCCTGGAGTATTGAGCTGACAGTCTCTAGGCCCAGATGATGGCTTCTGAATACAAGAAGCGCGGAGGCGGCTATACGACCGACAAGAAAGATGACAAGGCAAAGCACCTTGACAATTGGACGAAGGAAGAGTGGCAGACTAAAGAGGGGAGCGGCAGCGCTAAACAGGAAGATGGTACTGAGAAGCGATATTTGCCGAAGAAGGCATGGGAGCAGATGAGCGACAAGGAGAAGAAAGAAACGGACGAGAAGAAGCAAGAGGCAAGCAAGGAGGGCAAGCAATATGTTGCCAACACTTCGAAGGCGAAGAGCGCAAGAAAGGAGGCGAGCATAGACGGTGAAGACGCAGAAGCGGAGCCAAAACGCCAAAACGATAGGAAGGATGCCAAAGACTGCATTCACCACTGGGAAGACGAACAGCATATGAAAATTGGTCAGAAGGCGTACCAAGACTTCAAGAAACAGAATGGACACAACGAGGCTGCATCGGAGGAAGGCCAAGCTCATTCGGGCTCGGCGCATAGTGATGATCAAGAGCATCCGACTCCCAAGAAACGCGGAAGCGGGGCGAACGCATCAGGATCCAATAAGAAACCGAAGAAGGGCGGGAGCTCGAGTGAGCCAAACGGCACAGCAGGCGACAAGACCCGTGTGCCGAAAGTAGGCCAGAAAGTGCAATGGAAAGCCCTCCCAGGTTTAATCGACGGGGAAGTAGTTGAGGTCGTGTATGAAGAGAAGACGGTCGAAGGGAAGCCAGTCAAGGGCAGCAAAGAAGACCCGCGCATCGTGCTCAAGAGCAGCTCGTCTGGGAAGATAGCCGTTCATAAGCCGGAAGCTGTGCACTTCGACTAGGTGCGCTCTGGGAGGGTTGAATGTGGCTGCACGTTTTCGTCCGGGTAGACTCAGAAACATGCGGAAGCCGGTAAAGTGCATCCGGTGTCTACCAACGTGCGGTAGTGTGCCGCGGCGTCCTGTCGTGGCTTTCTGTATGCAAGTGTCATAGGATGATCGCTTCAATAAAGCTTACCAAATTTTCTGCGTGTAGTGTGCCTTCTCGTGCAGCGTGGCGATTATCTACAGGCACGAGCAGGTCGTCTGACGGTGTTTTGTAGCGTAGTGGGAATAAGAGTGGCCGTTGGACGGCCGACGGCGAGGAGGAGTAGCAGGGAGGGTGTCCACGAGGATTGAGTGGTCTCGCCAGCTTCCCGCAGGCCATTCCCCAGGCCATGGCAGCCGAATAGGATAGGATGGCCGCGGAGGAGTGATAGGGCCCCACCGCGCCATGTAGGATGACCACAAGGTGGTGCATTAGCGGATCTTGTGGATTACAACTACAGCCGACGGCCAAGCTAGACATCATTGCTGCAGCAGGAGTGTCGAGGAAACTGTTGTACAGGGTAACTGGATACTACGTGCAGAGTGGTAGTCATGTCGTGCAACGTATAGCAAGAATAGCAGGAGTGTCCATGATCGAGGCACCGATGGCGGCAGACTAGGGACGAGGTATCAATTGGCCAGTACATGGCAAGGTCACCCAAGGTCGGACAGCAAGTGGTGGTGGTATAGGTTTGAAACGTTACGGAGCGGTGGGAAAGGGAACGGCAGCAGCCGTCGCTCTGTTGAGCACATGTCGATGCAGCCCTGAGCTGATGAGCCCGCGGCGGCGGATTGTCTAGCAATCGAGATGGTGTTGGTTTGGGACAATCCCAGACACTTCGTGCAGGCGGCGTCTGGGTCATGCGGGGGCTCGAAGAATGCTGATGGTGAGCTGGGGGACGGTAAGACGCCTAAAAGCCAACGCGACGGGGCATTCCCCACGTCGAGATCGCATCTGGGCAACGGAAAGCGAACAGATGCGGTGGCCAGCAGCAGCGTGAAACAGTGGAATGTGGTCGCGAGGAATATAGGCGAGCAGGGCAGCGTCAAGGCCGCGCTGTGTCTTCCGTGTGACGCGCCCGTGGGTGGATCCTCCTAGCAGCAGGGCTAAAGGCCAATCAGCGCCGACACTGCATCGCCTACGCTTTGTGTTCGAGCAACCCCTCTCGTCGTCCTGTCTCTCTGCTTTTCTACCACGCCCAAATTTTCAAGACGCGGGACGGCCGCTCGCACCGCTCACTGCACAACGCCTCAATCGCTACGCCGGCACGCGATGCGGCTCCTCTAGCTGTCTGTCTGCCGCGGACACGCCCGAATCTGCAGCGAGTACCCCAGTCTGCCAGCGTTGCCGACCCACGCTTCGCGAGAGAAAACACGCAGCCCTCGCCGCATTCATCCACCATGGTCCTGGCCGCCGTACTCATATAGCCCACTCACCACGAGCCTGCGGGCAGACGTCACGTCTCGTCACGTCACGCCAACCACCACCGGAGCCTACGTTCAGAGAAGGCTGCAATGGCCGACGAAGCAAAGCCTGCCATCCTGGCCCCGCCAGCTGTCACGGCGCTCAAGAAGGAAGCCGCGGCCAACCTTATGCAACGCGTCCAGATGGAACGAACCGTCAGTGAGGACATGCGGAACGAGCGCGAGGACCTCAAGGAGGCTGCCGAGCACAGCATGAACGTGATCATGGACCTGGGCTTGGACGGGAAGATACGCTATGTCAGCGCCTCATGGAAGGATATAGTTGGCACGACTCCACAAGAAGTTGTAGGAAAGCCCGTGTCCGAACTGCTGCTCGACAATCCCAATCAATTCGCCGAGACAGTGGAGTCGATCAAGCAGGACGACTCCCGCAGCCACATCACCCGCTTCTCCATGCGTCTGGGGCCGCTCTCAGTGTTGAGACGGAAGCGATCGAAGCAATCCGAGTCAGATCAGCAGCAAGAGTGCGCCCTTGAAACGCCACCAAGCGAGGAGGAGGAAGAGCAGATTATCAATCTCGAGGCTCAGGGCATCATGGTCTATGACCGGACGACTGGCGAGGAGAGCCATGTAGGTCACATCTAATAATTCTAGTCCCACTATGGCTAACTTGTCTAGACCATGTGGATGATTCGTCCTGCGGTTATCCGCGAGGTGACCATCGACCTGCCAGAGGTGCTGGTGGAATCGCTCGGTGTTGGCGCTGAGATGCTCGCTCATTATCTGACTGGTCTGGCTGAAACGGCTGCCCACGATCCCGGTAATCACCCACCGCCTCTGCCTGCACTTTGCCGTATCTGTGAGCGTCAGATCACCCCATGGTGGTTCGAGAAGCACACCGACTTGTGCCTGCAAGAACATCGCGCAGAGATGGACGTGCAGATGGCGCAGGAGGCTCTCACCGAACATCGGAACAACATTGTCAAGGTGCTAGATGCTTTGGAAGCGCAGTCGCGGCCTCCAAGGGCGACTTCCACTGAACTAGTCCAGCCACCGCAGCCTCCGGAGTACAAGGGCGCCATCATCCAGCCGACTTCGACGCCTTCTTCAGGGACACCATCAGGACGAAATTCTCCAGCCTCTCCACCCTCCAGGTCCCGAGAACGGCCCAGTGGGTTCGGTCACCATCGTGCACGGTCATTCGCTGTACGTCGTCCACTAGCCCGTATTGTGGAGCTCGTGCTCGACCTGTGCGACACTGCCGTCGAGATCAACACTCCTGCTATCAAAGACAGCGCCCGGTCACAGTCTGTTGCTGAGATTCGTACTCAATCGCCCCAATCCGAGAACCGCATATCACAGGTGCTCCAATGGCAATCACCCACAGCCGGGTCGACGGATCACTGCGAGGGCCTGAAGATGCTCTGTGAAGATACGAGCAAGCTAGCAAGAGCGAAGATCGATGCCATCTTTCGTCATCGTCGTATCTTAGAGTACTCCGAGCGCCTCCGGGTTGAATTCGATCTTCTCGTTCAAGAGTGCATTGAAGCTGCTATGGACAAGGCTGCTCGTATAGCCGCAGGTGAGGATAGTTCTTCGGAAGACGAACAACGGCAGGACGACGACCCTCCCCCTCAAACACCAGATTTTCCCACGGGCGAGGAAGGAATATTCCCCGGGTCGTTCGATGCTCCCTCAGCAATGGCCACAGCTCTTCGCAATGCTTCCGAGGCCTCTTTGACCGCTCGGGTCAGTCGGAGAGAGTCGTCAGTGGCAGGTTCAACCCGGTCAAGCAGCCCTCACACAGGTACCCAAACTCCACGTTCGCATGCTGGAGCGATCACTATTCCCAACCAGAACAAGAGACAATCCATGCATTTCGAAAGCGATGCAGGTGGAGAAAGTGACAGCAGTATGAGATCGTCGGTATTGTCAGGCCCCAGACGCGCAGAGTCCCCTTCGTCTGAACTCGGTCTGAGTAGGATCGCAAGCTCGAGAGAGCGAAAACGCAAGAGCCTTATCCTGCCCTCGGTCTTGTCGAACAGCCGGCAGCACTCCCCAGCACGGCCTCTGGTGACTCCTTCATCACCGCTCCGCATGAACAAACCGCGCATACCTAGTGGGGTGGAAGCCTTGCAGTCCCCGATAACGTCGCCTGTGTTGACTACAACGGAGTTCTCTTCGCCTGCTATAGCACCAATCCATCACCATCGTCGACAATCATCCACTGCTGGGTCGGACGGTCCCCGGCCAAACTCACCCCGACTAGCACCCGTTAGCCAGCCACAGCCGCGTGCAGTGCCGCCTTCAATCAAGGACTTCGAGATCATCAAACCTATCAGCAAAGGAGCCTTCGGCAGCGTCTACCTGGCCAAGAAGAAATCCACTGGAGAGTATTATGCAATCAAGGTTCTGAAGAAGGCTGATATGGTTGCCAAGAATCAGGTCACTAACGTCAAGGCGGAAAGGGCCATCATGATGTGGCAGGGCGAGAGTGATTTCGTTGCCAAACTTTACTGGACATTTTCAAGCAAGGACTATTTGTACCTTGTCATGGAGTATCTCAATGGCGGCGATTGTGCTTCATTGATCAAGGTGCTTGGGTCGCTTCCCGAGGATTGGGCGAAGAAGTATTTGGCTGAAGTCGTGCTTGGCGTTGAGCACCTGCACAGTCGTAGTATTGTTCATCGCGACTTGAAGCCAGATAACCTCCTCATTGACCAGAAGGGCCACCTAAAGCTTACGGATTTTGGACTCTCGCGCATGGGTCTGATAGGTCGTCAGAAGAGAGCTCTCAACAACAAGTCTGCTGAGCCGGTTCCAGATCTACTGAAGTCTGGACCTTTCCATCGTGCTGTGTCTATCGGATCTTCACGTTCTGCATCTTTCGATCTAAACCCATCTCCATCGCAGACACCAAGCATGACACCAGCGCTAACAGGAGATCTCGGCCAGCCATCGTATTTCAGCTTGAACCGCGAGACTGCAACCCGCGATCCATCCAGAAGGACATCGGGGAACCGGAGCGATAGCGGAGATAGCGACGCGTTGCAGGCCATGTTCCGCCGCTTTTCCATTATGGAAGACCACGGCCAGGCGCGACGGTCTCCGATCGAAGAAGAAGGATACAGCGACGAAGGTTCTCCAGATCTGTTCCCCCTGGCTCCCACGATCAGCCAATCGACTGCTGCTCAGAATAGTACGCCACCGCTTTCTTCGGCTATGCCACCTCCGCCCATGGCGCTCTTCGACCCTGAGGACAACAACCGTCGATTTGTTGGTACTCCTGACTATCTGGCGCCTGAGACGATCGCAGGTAGTGGCCAAGATGAAGTCAGTGATTGGTGGTCTTTGGGTTGCATACTGTTCGAGTGTCTTTATGGCTACCCTCCGTTCCATGCCGATACTCCTGATGAAGTCTTCCAGAATATTTTAGAGCGCAGGATTGACTGGCCGGAAAACGACGAGGACTATGGGTTATCTGACGAAGCCAAAGATCTCATAAATCGTCTTTTATGTCTCGACCCAGCTAAGCGACTTGGCGCCAACATGGAAGACAAGTTTGCCAGTGGTGGAGAGGAGATTCGCAGCCACCCTTGGTTTGCAGATGTCAACTGGGAAAGTCTCCGCGATGACGAAGCATCGTTCATCCCAGCACCCGAGAACCCCGAAGACACTGAATATTTCGACACCAGAGGGGCTGCTATGGCTAACTTTGCACCGGAGTTCGAAGATACCAGCACTTCTACAGCCGTTACGCCCAGCCAGGACTATCCTGACCGACCTCACGATGCTCTGTCCCGCGTTCGCTCGCAGGTCAGTGTCACCACGATGAAACGTGGCCTTATACCGTTACATATACCGGCCCATGTCCGCGAAGGTAGATCGAGAAGGCTTAGTGAGCCGATGGCTACTGATGACTTTGGCAACTTCAGCTATAAGAACCTTCCAGTGCTTGAAAAGGCGAACAAGGACGTCATTCAGAAGCTACGCGCGGAAGCAATGCAGTCACAGAGCAAGCCAAGCTCTGCGGTGCAATCCCCGAGCGTGACTTCTCCATCTCCATCTCTAGAGTCGAGTCCAATGATCCCCGGCCAACTGAAACGTACACTGTCGACCACCAAGCCCACAGGCCGTCCTTCATCCCCATCCATTAGCGGGCCTAATTCGTCCCCTAGCCGGGGCTCTCAGCCTTCGTCGCCGCTTCTAGTCCAGTTCAGCACTGGCCAGCATCATGAACGACGTAAAACATCAGCCAGCAGTTCATCAACCTTATCGCATGCAATTAGCAGTCCCGCTTCCCTCCAGCCTGGCAGCTTTTTCGAAGGACCACGTTTGTCATCCGGCTTACGCCCCTCTCCCTCTCCCGATGCTATATCGCCTATCAAGCTAGTCAAAACACCTTCTGCCATGTCAGCCTCATTCTCTGAGAAAGGCAATCCCAGTCAGCGTCAAAGCTCATTTGGGCAGACAAGCGTACCGTCTCGCACACGATCACAGACAATCGGTTCCCAAGAAGGAGATGTTGTTACCAACCTACTTCCTAGCCACCACAAGCGCAGAAGTCAAGTCCTCGATATCTCGCCTTCCTCATCCGATACAGAAGATACTCGCGCCAAAGCACTCCTTCGAGTGCAACGGCGAAGACAAAGCTCTCGGCGTCTGTCCCAGATATCGCTTGCAGATGGGCCGATGTTCCGACCTTTAGATGTACTGGTATGTGAAGACCATCCTGTCTCACGCTTGGTCATGGAGAAACTACTAGAAAAATTGCGCTGTCGTACTCTCACTGTCACGAACGGGTCGGAAGCTGTCCGCTATGCTATGGGCGAGGTCAAATTTGATATCATCATGATGGAATTCAAGCTGCCTCAAGTCAATGGTGCAGACGTGGCACGAATGATTAGGGATACGAAAAACGCCAACTCCAACACCCCTATCGTCGCAGTGACCGGTTACCTCAAAGAACTATCAGCTCCACACCACTTCGACGCGCTCATTCAGAAGCCTCCTACGATTGCGAAGCTGTCAGACACACTGGGTAAACTGTGTCAGTGGAAGCCTCCCCCACCGAATTGGACTTCAGCATCCAGCATGTACCCATCAATGATGCCGTCTAGCCTGCGCCAAGAATCATCTCGACAAGATGGCAGTCCTACCTCAAATTCCTCGAGCTTTCCAACAGTTCCTTCGGGCAGCTACCGCGGGTCTAGTCGAGAAGACTCAATCAGCTCGAGCTTCTTCGGTGACAACGACAGTCGAACCGGAGATGATGTGCCTGTCGTAATTGCGCGTCATAATACCGACGATTGGCGTGAGCGGGATCTAGCTCGAGAGATGAGTGGCTTGGGTATTTCCGAAGATGCAGCCAATGTCGATCCCCTGGCGGGGCAGAAACTGGCTGTTCCGCATGACCCAGTATCTGCACCACCTGCCATGGAAGATCCGACGATCCGACGTCAACCTTCTGCTGAGTTGGTAGGAGCCAAACGGCGCGTTATGGGCACACGCAAGCACGAGTCCGCTGAGTCAGGCGACGACGAAGACGACGAGCTAGGCAACGCCAACGTCCGCGCGAGAAGCCCGAAAACACGGCCAAAATCATCTTCGAAGCTCGGTATCGAGATGATGCGAACGAACAGCAGGGGCAGTGTCATCTCCGTGGAAAACATCCCAGTGGACGACTCTATACTGCCTTCTTCCCCGCCCCCTGCTATTTCAGAAGACCGCACTGCCGAAGAGCTTGAGGACGCGTATCAAGTCCCTACAGCCACGCTTACACCGCCCGAGATCTTCCCTCGCGCGCCTGGACATAAAGTTGAAGAGATAGAGGTCGACATGGAGACACCGAAGGCGAACCAGAAGGCAGCCGAGGAGCGAGACCCTGATCCCACTCCGCGGGCCAACACGTCGCCTAGCACATAGTCGCTCTCCACCTCCGATCTTCTGTCTCCGATAAATTGTTGTATCTGTTGTGTACCTTCCTTACCCAATTTGTTTCCTAATTAGTCACCTTCCTATTCTGAGCGCGGTGTTGGGGGGTGTTCCCAAAGGTAGTGCACCTAGGAAACATGTTCTGACTTTTGCTTTTGTTCCATCCTGTTTGCGCTGTTTGGCGTCTGGGCTCGGCGCTTTTGCATTACACTGAAGCGCTCACCAAGCGAGTTGTTCGTTCGGCACGTGCATAAGATGCGTCTCCAGACGTCGATCTGGATCTCAAACTGTGCGCTGTGCTTTTCCTACTTGCGCCCTTACCTTCAAGGCCTGGCGGCTTGTGATATATTGTTCCGAACTTCTTACCTTTCCTATGTACGTGCGGGATTTTCTTTGTCAGCGGATGGTTGGTGGATCGGATGGATGGTAGGTCAGAATTGTCATTCGCTCTTGTGTTTTTGCTTGCTTGCTGTATACCCGATGGAATTGGGCGGTTGAACGCTCGTCGGGTTGCATCAGACTGTCACTCGCTCCTCTCTGTTTTTCTTTGGCATCGTCTGCGACATCACCACTCTTTACCAAATTGGACGGTTGGCTGGTCCTCTTCTTTGATGTTCTGGTGGAAGCAGAAGTTCTAGAATGGACTGGAGCTCGGATGGGGTTGGATAGGAATGAAGATATTTCGCACCGCGAGATTGTGTACTCTTGTGTGAATGCGAGACTCGTGAGATGATTTGGGTGACGGGCGGTTGTAAAGGTCGCTCTTCTAATGGTGAAACAGGAAAATGTTCTCCCAGTGATACTACCATGAAGACGTTGGCTTAAGCACCTGACTCACACCCTACGATGCGAAGGCACTGGCCGGCCGGCCGTTACATGGTGTCACAAAAGTGCTGAAAACCCCGCTTGCCGGCTCCGGACGATGTGGAATTTTGCCATGAGTGCAAGGCGAACAAAATCAGCTTTTGGGATCATCTAGAACGAACACAATGACGACGGTCGAGGCCGGAACCCTTGATAATCACGCCTGGAAAAGTGCTGCCGACGACATTGCCGTTCATACACGTTACTGAAGCAGATAAGACTCGAATGTGAGCGCAACAAGATAAGGGCGGAGCTAGGAGAGAGCGCGAGGCAGACATGTCGTTTCAGTCTTCCCTGACACCGGAGGCGGTTGGCAGACGAGCTGGGACCGAGGCCTTCTGCTGTGTTTCTGAAGTTTTCTAGTAGAAGAGCTACATACTAAGATGCACTTGTTCGAAAGAGTAACCATTCTACAGTAGAACGGCAAGGACGAAGTGCAATCATACCGTACTTGTGCAGACGCCGTATCTAGTATGTCCAAAACCTAGTTATTTCTCCATTACTCCAATTCCAATGCTCGAATAATACATAATTCGTACACGTTACGCTCATGGCGCCAACGTTCAGGTGCAATGCTCACCGCAACGCCAATGCCGCTAATACAATCATCCAAACCCTCCATCCACAATCGTACATTGAGTCTGCCTGTGCTCAAGGACCACCCATTGGGTGCTGCTTATACTGCGTCATGGTCCGCAACTTCGCATTCAGCATGACGTATTTCGCAGCATTCGGATCGTATACTGCGGTCACATCCAAGGTCGCCTTTGCCTTTTCACCGATGATTTCCACTAAGCCAGATACGACGAACGTTCCCCGTGGTGGCTCGATGTTCATGGGTTTGCGGTTTTTCATTAGCATCAGGCGAAAGTATGCGAGGTTCATGGTCGGAACTTGGTTTGGATCTGGAAGCGAGATTCCCAACTTGTCTAGAGCTGGATTTGTAGGTGACGATACCGATGGAGGTTGGACCTGCTTCTCAGCGTCTGCTGGAGCAGGTGTTGCTGGCGTGGAAGGCGCAGTCGGGGTTTGCTTCGGTGATATAGGTGTGATGGGAGAAGGAGGTATCCCTCTAAACATATTCTGCACTGTCGATTCCTTTACTTCGAATCCTGCGTACTTCCTCAAATCTAGCCACGAGCTGTACATCCGCCTCTTCATATCGGAGTATACTGAATTCGCAACGGTTGTCGGCATGAGTACGTTCGCTAATTTCTTATGATGCAGCGGATCAACTAGTTGTGTGGCTCTTCTGAAGGTGAGTTCTTCCGTGAGTTCGAAGCCAGGTCGCTCGTACTCTAAAGGCGGCCCGTCCGGGAATTTGAACTCTATCCAGATGGCGCCCTTCGTAGGGTCGACCTTACCGAGAAACAAGGCAGTACGAGGATTCTTAACAGCGAAGTCTCGCACCAGTGTGACCAGTTCACCCCTGATCTTCTCCATTCGCTCTCGGTCTGGTGCTAATCGAGTGAATGTCTGCCATTCTGGGTCGGAGCCTCTGTAGAACGTCCTTGGTCTAGGTCGTGAGAACCCGGTCGGGAAAAATAGTACAGCATTGTTTTCTTCTTCGTCCTCTTCATCCTCGTCCTCCCATTCGTCCTCTTCCTCGTCCGTTATCTCGCGTCCGCCGTTGTCGTTCTCGTTCACGCCCTGCCCTGGTATAGGTCGCCGTCGCACGCGCCGATGTTGCTGTAGCTCTTCATCATCTTCTACTTCTACTGGTTCATTGAGCCAATCAACAAGCTTCCAGATTCCTACAGTGACCACTGCGAAGCCCACGAGACGTCTGCGTAGAAATCAGAACAGTGCAGGCGCAAGCCACAGTATCAAACTCACGATGTGGAGAAGAAGCGCTTTTGGATGCGCACTCTCTGTATCCTTATCGCGTCATTTCCATTGTGAGCGGCCGACTTGACTACTGCAGACGTCGGAGCGCGTCTGAAAAGTGAGAAGCTTCTCCGAAACACTTGCGGCTTGAACATGAGCGGAGGCGACGCGGGGAGTATGGCTACCGCAAGTTACTGAGAGTGACGTTGCGTCCGAACATGAGGTGGGTGGTTGCGAGAGAGTAGTACCAAGAGTGCCGTTGGCGTGCAGTAGTGATAGCGAAAAGCTACGTTGGTTTGTCGATATAGGCGCAAATGGTAATTGTCGTACAAGTCGGAAGATCTGCCAAGTCCCGCGGGCGAGGGCCGTAGCTTCCTCGACTACTGACGTCTGCCCTCACTCCACAAGCTCAAGCACGCCCACTTCCATCACTCCCGCCACCATGAAGCTGTTCCGGAGCTTCATTGTATCCTCGCTGTACTGCGCCGCATCCGCTGCGCATGATGCCCATGTCTATGTATTCGACCCGGTACCTAGGACGTCGCCACAGGCAGCCACGACCGTCGACGCAACCACAGCTCGATTGATCCTTGCACAGCGGTTGGGCCTGTCGCGGTTTCATTCGATAGAAAAGACGCGCAGCGAAGAGAGTCTGAAGCAGATCAATGCATTTGGAGGCAGGCAACAGAAGCTGTTTGGTGGAGAGGACGCAGATCGGACACAGGCGCACGCACTGGTGTGGATAGAAGGCGTGGAAGCCGCCGAGGGTACGCACGTCGCAGGCTTACAATGTGCAGAAGCTGATTTATTTTACAGCCATCGTTCAGGACTCTGGACTCTGGTCATCTAAGTTCACGATAGCGAACCCCCCTTCCGCGTCCGATAACAAGCACCTGATCGAGGACATGATCCTGCAAGCCGAGTCTCTTCCTAAGAAGTCAGATCCCAAGGGCGCAACATACCACTCAAATCAGTACATCGATCACCAATTGTCTGAGCTCCGACAGCCCCAACTCTTCAACGACTACCTCACCATTCTCCACATCGACCTGAAAGCGAAGGACAAGATGGCCAAACCCAGCCTCGATAGACTCGGTGACATTATCTCTTCTCTTCAGGTGGCGGCTCCTAAGGAAAACCGTTTCGCAGTCACATTGGTGGTTATGCCACCATCATCCTCGAACTCTAAGCGTGCTGCAAGCCCCTACGGCAGCTACGATAGACCTAACTTGGAGGCTCGCCGCGAAATGACCGAGGCGCCCATGTCTCTGTCTACTTCCGAGCCTTCTACATCACCCAATAGTGCGCTCCCGAGCGATCTAGAGGACTTCCCTGTCATTACGCAGGCTGAAGGCAACGACACTACCCCGCCTCTCGGCATCCTTCCACGCTGCTTTGCGTCGGAATCCGCCTGTACTACGTCCACAAATGGATGCTCCGGTCACGGTTCATGCGGGATCCTCCACAAGGGCAAAAAGGGAGAACGCGCTGACTGCTACGGCTGCGTCTGTAGGCCTACCGTTGTGGACAGGGGTGACACCGGCATGGAGCAACACAAGAAGACTACCTACTGGGGCGGTCCGGCATGTCAGAAGAAGGATGTTTCGGTTCCTTTCTGGCTGTTCGTTACTAGCGGTGTTCTCTTTGCTTTCCTCATCTCCGGTGGAATCGGACTGTTGTACTCCGTTGGCAGCGAAGAGTTACCCAGTGTCATTGGTGCCGGTGTTAGTGGGCCGGTGCGGAAGTAAGACCATGGTAAAAAGTAAAGGATAGTAAGAATGGCATCGGGATTGTGGAGGATTGTATATCCGGTGTACGACAAGATTTCTTATTGTCAACGCGACAGCGTGTATCATACTGGCTGTGGGTCCATGTGGGTTCGTGGCGTTATAGCATTGCAGTTCAATCAAGTAAATGATCCAAAGCACGTTTTCAGATCTAGAGCTATACTGTCGTAAGTGGGGCGCAATGTGATACGAGTGGAGGATTGAATGTATCCATTCAAAGACAGAGTTCTAAAGCGCCTCTTGGATCACGCCGTATCCGTCGCAACACCTCAACGCCGGCAATGCAATATCCGAATAATCGAGACCCTCGTATTTACCGATCTTCAAGCATCTAATCCACCTATGTGCTTTCAAGGTTTCAAAAGCTTCTCCTCTGAACTCGCGCCCTTAACATCAAACAACTCAGTGCTTCCCCTTCTTCTTCTTGCCTTTGCCAGTCTTCTCCGCAGGACCGCCACTCTCGACCAACACTGCATCATCATCGCTGGCTGTCTTCGTGCCCCTGAAACTACCCGCTACGCTACCAGCCACGCTACCTTCCTTCGGGCTCTTCGTCTTGTCCTGATCTAGCTCTCCTAACAACTCGGATTGGATCTGCGATCGGCGCGTGTCCCACCATTGCCGCTCAGAGTCAGCGGTGGACAGGATCTCATCGAGGCGCTGGCGGAGTAGGTTGTTCTGTGAGAGTTCGGATGCGGATTGGAAAATAGTCTGGCCCCAGTTGGGCGCGAATGCGTTTGCCTGTGGATCGTTAGTTGGTTCAGGGCGGAATTGGGGAGTGTAGATGGTCGCATACCTCTTGCACAACGTCCCGAAGCTCATCCTCGATCTCCTTCTCCGCGCGCTGGAATCGTTGCCACAGATCATCACCCACACTGCCCCTCTGCAGCAACACCTGCAGCGCCTGCTTCTGGCTCCGGACCTGGATGATCCTGGAAATATCTTCGGTCGCGCGGCGCAACAGCGCTGCCTTGAGGATAGAGTCGGGAACCTTGGGGTCTTCTTGGTGGAGGAGGGAGAGGTAGATATCGCGCTGAAGGTGCTGCGGGAACCAGGGCTCAAGCGAGGCGGCGCGGTAGGCTTTGCGCTTGCGGTAGATGCTGCTGAAAGTGTAGAGCGAACCGACGAGGATGAAGAGGTAGGCGATGGGGATGCTGAGCATCACCCAGTCGACGGCATCGAACGGCCACATATTCGCGGTGGTGCGCAGTTGAACCGGCTACGTTTCGGTGCGTTGGGCGCAAGCCGGTGTTGGTTTTAGTATATCCTGGGGTGACACAGGTGTAGTTACGGCGTGGAAGGAGGATGAAATGAGCGGCAATGGCATGCGAAGGAAGCACTTAGGGAAAGTGGAAACTGTGGTTGTTGTCGCTGCTGCGCGCCCGACAAGTCAAACTGTCGGCTTTGTGGTCAATATCTGTCCTTATTGTCCGTGTCCCCGCCGAAACTCTCTAGCACGCACCCCTGCAACCCGAGCGCGTCATCATAGGTTCGGCGGCCTTCTACGGGCGCCTCTACCTTTACCTAGCATACAAGCATTCACCAACACGCCTCCACAGCTGCCTGCCGCCTCTCTCGTTTACCTGCGCGTCGTTGCCTTGATTCATGTACCGACGCTTCGCCGCCCTTTCCTCAACTCTGTCCAACACCTCAGCGCAGTGAACACAGCCATGATCCTCCGGTTTGTGAGTAAAGAGGGCCAGTTTCGGCTCACTGTCGACGCCGCGACCGCGTTTCCCGATATCATACCCCAGCTTGCAGAGAAGCTGCCCGCCAACGTCGACATCTCCAGCATTACCGTCAGCAACAAACCGCATGGTGGTGATGCACGCCAGATAAACACCCTGCGGGGCGTCACCTTCAAGCAAGTCGGCCTGAAGTAAATATTAGCTTGTATCACTTTGCCTCTGAAGCTGACGATGTTCCCAGACATGGCGACCAGCTCTTCCTCGACTTTCAGGAGCAGTCCAACATCTCGAACGGCCACTCCGCAGCTCCCACCGGTGTTGCCCGCTTGAATGGCAAACCCGTCGATTCTTCAGAAGTACCTTCCGTTCCTCTCGGCTCGCCTACACAATTGATCAAAAATCCCTGGGAGGTGGTCAAGCAGTCGCCGCTCGATGATAGATTAGACAAGCTCGATGGCAAGATACCGCGCAAATTAGACCAAAAAATGTGCCGGCACGGACCCAAGGGCATGTGCGACTACTGTATGCCACTGGAGCCGTACGCGGTGGAGTACCTGGCGGACAAGAAGATCAAACACCTCTCGTTCCACTCATATCTCCGAAAAATCAACGCAGGGAAGAATAAGCCGGAGAGCGGAACTTCGTATATGCCGCCGTTGACCGAGCCGTATTATCGCGTGCGGCCAGATTGCCCGTCAGGTCACAAGCCGTTTCCTGAAGGTATCTGCACAAAGTGCCAGCCCAGTGCCATCTCGCTGCAGCCTCAGGAGTTCCGTATGGTAGACCACGTCGAGTTCGCGTCGTTTGATTTAGTGAACGATCTGCTCAACTACTGGAGGACCACCGGATGTCAGCGGTTAGGCTATCTGTACGGACGGTACGAGGAGTATCCCGAGGTGCCACTGGGAACAAAGGCTGTAGTGGAGACTATCTATGAGCCACCTCAGGTCAACGAAGCCGACGGAATCTCATTAGGCGAATGGGATAACGAGAAGGATGTTGATGAGTTGGCACGGCAATGTGGGCTGCAGAGGGTGGGCGTCATTTTCACTGATCTGATTGATGCTGGAGAAGGCGATGGCAGTGTCATCTGCAAGCGCCACATTGACTCCTACTTTCTATCATCTCTCGAGATCGTCTTCGCGGCACGTTATCAGGCGAAATATCCTCGGCCCACCAAATGGAGCGAAACGGGCAAGTTCGGATCGAACTTCGTGACTTGCGTGGTGAGCGGTGATGCCGAGGGACAGATCGGGATCGCAGCGTATCAAGCTTCAAATTCAGCTGTCGAGATGGTCAAGGCAGACATCATCGAGCCGTCTGCAGAGCCTTCAGTCATGCTCGTGCAATCAGAAGACGACAACGAGGCGCTCAACCGCGCACGATATATTCCGGAGGTGTTTTATCGAAAGAAGAATGAGTATGGAGCAAACGTGCAGGAAAACGCGAAACCTGCTTTCCCCGTTGACTACCTTCTCGTCACTTTAACACACGGTTTCCCCAACCAACCCAACCCTCTTTTCACAGGACCCAACTTCCCTATCGAGAACCGAGAAGCTATGGGCGAGGCACAAGAATTTGGATCGTTATCGAAGGCGCTCAACGCGAAAGCAAACGGGCTGGCACTTAATACCACCAGTGGGCTGAAAGCCGTCTCGAATTTCCACCTCCTCTCCTACATACATGGCCTAGGCATCCTCGCAAAAGTATAACCCAACCCCCTCTTATCATCCGCTATCCGCTAACAAAGAAACCAATAGGACGAAGAAGCTCTCTTGGCCAAGGTCGCCTCAGAGCACGATCTGTCAGACGGGCTACAGCTGCAGCACTCAGGTGGCTGGGCGACATTATTGACAATCCTCAAGGAAGCTGGTGAGCGCCCCCCGAAACGCCTCCTCGGGCGGAGGTCATCGAATGGCTCCGACTCCGAATCAAGTAACTTAGCTAAGAGGGTCAAGGGGGTTAGCCTGAAAGGAGGATAGTATCTTCCTGAAGTAGCTCCTTAGGTTCGCCGTCCTCGCTTGCGTTCGATCGATCATGTATTTGCCCTGCTCTATCCGAGGGAAGAAAAGCTAGTCCAGTGATGAAGGTGTGGTGCTGAAGCGTGGGCGTGAGGCGTAGATAGTGTTGGGGTGTATGGAACATGGCCTCATGACTGGAAAGCGTGGGAATGCATACTCAAACTTATGGTGGGAGCAGAGAGTTGATACCTCACTTGCAATATATTTGACATACATCATGACCGCTTCCCCTAGTGATACAATGTTCGGGAAGAAGCCGAATAGCATATGCCGTTTCGAAGGAGCATTTAGAATACGTCAAACCCCCACTCTGCAGGTTGTGAATGCTGGTCGATGTTGGCAGGTGGGCGCACAGACCGCTAACACGCGCGAACGCGATGGCCTTTTCGTACGCGTCGCGCGTTCCACTTTAGCATCATACTCCGCATCCTCTTATTCACGAGCACCGCCCCCACTCACAAGACGTACCGAACATGGCGGACTTCTTCAACCTCAAAGCGCGACAAGCGGCAGCTGCGCAGGCCAGTTCATCGAAGGCTCCCACAACCAAGTCGGACTCAACCCGATTACAGCCATGGGTGGAGAAATAGTAGGACCTGCCTCAAGCTACGCAAGATGCAAACATCAATGCTAACAGATTACATAGCCGTCCGAAGACCCTTTCCGAAGTTACAGCACAAGACAATACGATCCAAATCCTTTCCCGCACCCTCCAATCCGCCAACCTCCCCCACATGCTCTTCTATGGCCCACCCGGCACCGGAAAGACCTCCACCATCCTCGCCCTCGCAAAACAGCTCTACGGCCCCGAACTCATGAAATCGCGCGTGCTCGAGCTCAATGCCTCCGACGAACGTGGAATCTCCATCGTTCGGGCGAAAGTGAAGGACTTCGCGAGGCAACAGCTCTCCGCTGCGCCGACGCATAACATCATGGTGGAGGATGAAAATGCGGAAAGCGGCGTCAAGCAGGTGAGGTATAGGGATAGATATCCGTGCCCGCCGTTCAAGATTATTGTGCTGGATGAGGCGGATAGCATGACGCAGGATGCGCAGAGCGCGCTGAGGAGGACGATGGAGACATACAGTAAGATGACGAGGTTCTGCTTGGTGTGTAATTATGTAACGAGGATTATTGATCCGTTGGCGTCGAGGTGCAGCAAGTTCCGATTCAAGAGCTTAGATCAGGGCAATGCGGTCAAGCGTGTAGAGGATATCGCGAAGCTTGAGGGTGTTAACCTTGATCAAGGTGTGAGCGAGGAGCTCGTGAGGGTTGCAGAGGGGGATTTGAGGAAAGCTATCACGTTTCTGCAATCTGCGGCACGGCTCGTTGGCGCAGCTCAGAAAGAGGGTGCTGCAACAGGAAAGCGGAAGGCGCGCGCCGTTGTTGATGAAGACGAAATGGATATTGACCCAGCGGCTCCCTCCGTCACAAAAACCCACATCGCGGAGATTGCCGGTGTTATCCCCGAAACGACCCTCGAATCGCTCACATCTGCCATCTTCCCCGGTTCGCAATCACAATTACAGTATACTAAGATTGCGAAGGTGGTCGAGGATATGATAGCGGAGGGTTGGAGTGCGGCACAGACAGTTGGGCAGCTGTACGAAAAAGTACTTTATGATGAGCGTGTGGGCGATCTGCAGAAGATGAGGATTACAGGTCTGTTTAGCGAGGTGGATAAGAGGTTAGGAGATGGAGGAGATGAGCATCTGGCTGTGTTAGATCTGGGATTGCGGATTAGTGGTGTGCTATGCCAGGGTTAGGGAGGATAATGAGAGTGAACAAGGCATCATGAAGGCGCAATGGCGTTTAAAGGAAATCGAACAGCATCGAATATCCAGCACTATGTCGAATTTAGTATGAGCTCTAATTGGTCCGTATCTGTCATCTGCATCTCTCGTTCCCGCACGCCGCTTCGTAGCATGTGTTCACTCGACATCCTGCCAATGCAGAATACCGTCCCTTCTACAGCCAATGATCCCGCAGAGTCTCACTCCACATCCTCGGCCCAAGACATTAACGTTTAATCCAATATCTACGCGAAGGCGCAGATCAAGGTTGCAGGGATCCCCGCGGAATCCGCGACGGAGCTGTCCTAGAACGGCAGTACCTAGGCACACATGTGAAGCGTACCGCGGAATATAAACCCGCTAACACTACGTCGCATTGGCTCCTGTATCGTCTGCTCTACTGCATTGTTAAAGCATACTACAAAGCGTAATCCGTTGTGATATTCGTGCTTGAGAGATCGTGAAGAAGGGGAAAGGGTTACCCCGCATTGCGAACCACTTCCTCCACAGACGGTACATATCATTAGAAAGAGTTTACAATATGGCAGCCCCCGCAAACAAAAACATCAAGGATCTCAATGGTAAATGGGTCATTGTACGTCCTACGTCCCGGCTCCAGCCACTCCTTTCCGTCGACCCGAAGGAACATCAACTTCATGTAAAGGAGATACTGTCCCTATTCACACACTGACTCCACATAGAACAAAACACATAGCGACTCCACGGAACCCGTCCTCGCCCTCCAAGGCATCGGTTGGATGACCCGCAAAGCCCTAGGTCTCGCCACGGTTACCCTCCACACTAAACAGTACCTCAAAACCCCCGACGACAACCCCTCCGCTGGCGAAGTCATCCACATCGACATTGACCAGTTCGCTACCGGCGGCGTCAAAGGCACCTCCGAGCACCGCGCCCTCGATTGGAAGTACCGCCCGCACTCGGATTGGCTGTTCGGCGACTTGCAGGGCCGCTCGAGACTGACGACTCTGGAAGCTGTGCGCAAGGAGGCGAAGGAGACGGGGGGTACGACGGAGAAGGATGCGGAGTATGTGACGGAGGGTTTTTTGGAGGAGACGGAGAAAGGGGAGACAATTGAAAGTTTTGTTGATAACGATGGGAAGAAGTGGACAGGGTGGTAAGTTGGCGATTCTTTGCTCACTTGAGCCTTGCGTATAGCATACACTGACAGTCACTGTAGGCAAATCTGGGGCTTTGCCACGGTCAATGGGGAGAGGTGGCTTGTGAGGAAGTTTGCGATTAGGAGGAAGGACAAGGATGAGGTTGTCAGGGTGAGATTGTGCTATGAGTGGGCGGGAGAGCTGGATTCGTGAGCTTGAGGTTATGGGGGCATGTTGATAGAACGGCCAATACGACGCTTTTTGCATTTGAAAGCTATTCACCTTGGAACAAATTATTTGATCTGAGACAGGCAGGTGGATTTGCCTTTCCTGTTAGATGTCAGAAACAGGAGGTGGGCTCAGCAGCTTCCAATTGGCCATCTTGACTTCCGCTGAGCTGAACAATAGCGAAAGCGTGGTTTCTATATGAACTTTTGCACCGTGCAATAGAAGGAAGCATTATAGATACGACGAAAGCTCGAGTCTAGGCAGGCCATCGTAGCTCTGCTCTACCATGCTTCCGCTGAATGAGGGTACAGGTGGTCGAGATCTTGGACCATGAGGTGGATCTTCTTATGGGCTATCACTGCTCATATCGTTCGTATTGAGGACGGGTTTCATCGGTTGACCACGAGCGCGTGCAGTTTTCGACATAGCCCAGGCAGTGTCACTCGGACCATGAGATGCGCCCAATCCTCTGTCTTAGCTCTGCACCACCGTATAGAGAATATTGGTGATGCCACGCAGGGGCGTACCACGCGTAGAATGGTCACCTTGGCGAACGTGCTGGATATGCACGGCAGGCTTGTACGACACGGAGTGACAATGACGAGAGCATATCTACAAAGCGGTTGTGCTAGCGCCTGGAGGCTCAATTCTCAATTCAGGCATAATCTTTCAGTTACTTCAATGTGGAATGGAGAATAAAATCATAAAGGGGTATGTTTCATTTTGTTCGCTGCCACGTAAACGACCGTCCTTGCAGTCGAATACCATCGTACCAGCATCGGTTAGGCCACAACACCAAGCAACAACATCGTGACATGCTGTGACCGACCCTGCGTTTGATTGCCTCATCCCAGGGGAGCCTATCGCATCGGCAGGCCGCAGCTATGCCACGAGCACTCGTTGCACTGCGTCGCACAGGCAACCAACCAGCGGCTCAAGACAAGGCAGGAGCCAGACTACAATCAACAATGCCCAGGTCTAATTTCTCAGGTGAATGGCACCTTTGTGGGCGTTTGCGCTCGCTTCACGGGCCGCTTTGTAAGGCGTTAGTCGCCGTTGTCCCGTTGTCTCTTTATCAACACGCCCCCGCGACCTCTTTCGTAACCTACGCACTCGACTCTCGTTTCAGATTCAATCCAGTCTTTCTTTGACGACAGTCGCTCACACTCCCTTCTCTTCTTTGTCTCTACCTTCAATTGCGATACCGCAGCCTCTTATACCACCTTTTCAATCGTCACTCCCTCAGCGTCTTCCATTGCAGCGATGAAGCCCGCCACTCTCTTTGTCGTTGCCGGCCAGCTCGCCCTCGCCATGGCGTACGCCAATTCCACTAGGTCAGTCTACTCACGGTCTTGCGTACCGCATGGTTCTGCCAGGCGCAAACAGCGCTGGTCGCGGGTGACCTCGGTCGCCTCCCGCGACGTTGCGGCGCCGGTTTGGTAGAAAGCGCTCCCTATCAAGGCCAAAAGCAGTCAAAATTCGAGATCCTGGCTAACAGTGTCGAAGCAGCGTCGCAGAGACCACCGCCTGCTTTACGACCACCATCTTCACCACCACGACGGTGACGGTGACGGGCCATCCGGGCGCGGTAAGTGACCTACAGCTCGCAAGATCACGACCACGAAGGTCTCACTGACATGAACATATAGTCCTCTTCTCCGCCCCCGGCGCCCCCGATCCTTTCTTCCTCGTCTGTGGTGTCCAAGTCGTCCTCGGTCTCGTTGATCCCGGAGCCCCTTAGGCCCAGCTCCGCTCCGTCCGTCCCCAACGTGACCGTCACGCACCAGCCAACCCCGCCGCCAGTGACCTTCACCTTGACCTCTGAGTACGTGCTATCCTCTTTCTGTTTGTGAATGTAAAGAGCTCACCCATATCACAGGTCTGCCCCGTACCCGACCGCCAACGCCACCACGCCCGCCACCGGCTCCGTCACGGCGCCGCACTCGTCTGGCACAGGTGTCACCACGGGTACTTCGACGGCTCCTATCCCGCCACAATTCACCAGCGGTCAAGGCAAGATCGCCATCAACGGTCTCGCTCTGGCCATGGTGGCTGTCGGCGGCGCCTTCCTCTCCTTGTAGATGTCGGCGGTCTCGGATCAGGCAAAAACCACTAATGTGATCTGCATGGCAAATGCAGATATCGAGGCTCAGGAACAGACACGTTTCCCTTCCTCTGCCGGTTCTTCGACAGGCGAATCATTTGGGTAGCCGTGGATTGGAATGGAGTATGGTTTCCTTAGTGCTGAATACCCGTCCACGTTGTTGGGCTCCTCCGTAGTAATGTCAACCCCTTGCGAATCCTGGAATTGAAACATATCCTCGCCACGATATGCATGACGAGATCTGAATGCGTCAGCATTACGTATAGTGCCTTCCGCATCTCAGTCACCTCCCGTGTGGACGCTCTAGAAGGAAATAGAGTGCAGACACCCTTGAGTGCATGTTTTTTTACTCGTTACAATACATCTCGGCGCCCGTCCGCGCTGTCTTTTCCACACGTGCTCAACGTTTGCAAGCGGCTGAACGCCACCACGAAGCCAACGCCACTGCATCCCTCTCCGCGGAGACTCTGATTCTCGAACGTTCCATACAAGACACGAGAATGCATGTGTAGACACGGTCGTTCAGGCCAAGAACGTCACGAAGCTTCGCGCCGAATCTGGGTCAGTGCGTTTTGAAACCTCATTCGCTCGGTATTATTTCCCACCATCATCAGTCCCGATCTGTAATTTCTGGTTTTAGCTTCCTCGCCATCGGGCAGGCACATCTACTCACAAACCCCGCTCCCAAGATTTGTCCATGCAAGAACTTTTTCCTAAAATCGCACTGAATTGCGCGCGCCATCGACGTTCTCCGACCGATCGACACGGACGCAGATGGACTACGGGCAGGGCAGGTCCTTAGCTCCACGCCCTCTCGGCCCGCCCCCACTGCTTGAGCCTCCTCCAGATGAAAATAAGAAGAGAAAGCGCGCGGCTATTGCTTGCAAGCCATGCCGTGAACGAAAGTCGGCGGTATGTAGACCATTTCGCTAATTTTTGCTGATGTTCACTTGCCTGATGTCTGTCTGTTCAGTGCAATAGCGTCCGACCTGTCTGCGCTGCCTGCGAAGCCCGACAAACGGAATGCTACTACCTTACCAAAGATGAATCCGAGACGAAGCTGCAAGCCCTCAGGCGCGAGAACAATACTCTGAACGAATTAATAAACCATCTGCGTACCATGCCGGTTGACGCAGCGCAATCGATCCTGCAGGGACTCAGGAACTCAGCAAATCCACAGTCGATCCTGAAAGATATTAGAGATGGGAAGCTTTCGACAGTCCAGCCTTCACAGACAGAGACCGCGCTTGCTGCGTTGCCACATGTGTACTCGGAAACGGAGTTCCATCTCATGATGGACCACCCGACAGCTTACCCTGCCCTGGATCTGACGCACGATGCTATGCTATCAAAGAGCACACTGCTAGAGTCAATAAGAGTATTGGCAGAAGATCGATCTCCTGAATCAGCTTCCGGGATGCCCGCTGCATCAGCTGTGAGCTCACGCACGTTGAGTGACGATCCACAGGACATTCTTAGCGCGCAAGCTGAGCCAAACGTTTTGACCGATGGCTTATTCCCCGGTGATATTGATCCGACCTTGGAAGATTTAAGGATCCAATATTGGACTACAGTCGACGTGACCGACGAATTCGCCGCGAGCGCCATATCTCAATACTTAGAAAATGATCATCCTACGCTAGGCTTGTTCGATGCTCAACTGTTTGTGAGGGATCTGGTGCAGCGTCGGCACGAATGCTGTTCGTCCTTTCTCGTCACTGCTCTACTCGGATTTGCCTGCGTGAGTGGAGTTAGCCGTGGATTTCGTACCTGAACTCGCTAACTCGTGCTAGCAAGCGTACACGTCGAAAAACCCCGATGCGGCGGCAAAGAGCTACGAGTTTGAGAAGGAGGCAGATGTGCTTTGGCGGGCAGAAAAGGAGGACTCCGTGTTGACAACTGCCGGGCTCTCGCTCTTGTTCTTGTCTCATGGCGGCCATGGCTCCGGTAGGGAATTGGAGCTCCTCCACGAAGCTTCCGATATGGCTAAGCGCCTCAAGTTGTTTGGCGTGAAGACCGTACTTGATGATGAGCAGATCTCATCGCTTTCTCCCGCAGCTCAACGGGCGTTGTCCCATACAGCTTGGGGCGTATTCAATCTACATATGTGAGCTGTCAGCCAGCCCATTCCATTCGTCAGGCGCCTAACTCACGATACGTAGCTTACAAGCGCAGTATTACCTCACGTTGTCGACGGAATACGAGCCAAAGGTCCCTATTCCGCGAGAATCAGGTAACAGCGACTCCGAGGGCCTCCCACAGCTCAAGATGCTTCACAGCCACGACTCAGGCCAGGTGTTCCACTATTTATGCAGGCTATCGGTACTTGCTTCAGGGATTTTTCTGGTAGTGCGAGATACAACGGGCTCGAAAACGCCGCCGCCGCTAGCCTTTGCCATGCAGCAGTATCGTCAGCTACTCGAATTTGTTGACAGCTTGCCTCCTGGAATGCAAAGGAAAGCAGGCGCAGACTATGCTCCAGTACTTGATTTCCAGTGAGTATTCACCGAAGCGTGTGTGCACCTGTTGACAGATTGTAAGCATCGCACTTCACAGCCTCATCACGGACCTTTTTCGGCCCTTCGTCACTCGCGAGAGGGATGATGGCTTCCGCGAATTTTACGAAAAGCATAACTCACCGGAAGCTATCTTTTCTGCCTCGGTGCACCGTAAGTCATATCTCAGACCACAGAGCCGCCACTAAGCCGTCCAGAACTCAAAGGCATCGTTGTCGAATACACGTCCCAACACCCTTCAGCAGCGCACCACATCTACTGGGCAACGGCCCTTCTGTACGTCTTCAACACCATCGTGAAAGACCGATCGGATCCGTTTTGGCGTTTCTACTTTTGGTTGTGTATTCACTGCTACTCTCAGCTGTTCGTCTGCTACCCAGTCGTGGAAGGTGTCGTACAGTCGCTCCTGGCCATTGCCGTGAAATATGGCGCAATTACGAGGAAGGACGCAACGAGGGTCATGCAAGAAGGGTTTTATAAAGACGGTGCCGGCAAGCGTGCGCGAAGTCGGCTTGGCGGACCACAGGAGAAGTATCCAGGATCATACAAGTTCGATCTCGATCTTGCTGTGCGTGATCGAGATGCGGCTGATGTCAGCACTCTCGTGGCAAGATTCGAGGATATGGACATGTTCGACGAGTTCACGAGGCTGGGTGAATCGGAATCGAGTGAGGACGGGAATGACGGGCGTAAAGAATCCCAGGCCGGTGGGTAGCACCTTCTACCAAGCATTTGAGACTTCGTCCCTGATGTCATTGGCCTTAGTCAGCAGAACAGGTCCAGTCGCATGTCTTCTCTACAACGTACAACTACAGTATACAATTAACCGCATAGATATTAAGATAAACTCCTCTTTTAATGAATCAAAATCCATTATCAAAGAGCTGTGCAGTTCTTTTTGCCACTTCTCCTACGTAGCTCGTGAGCCTTCCTCGCCCCACCTCTTCTTTCACACGCACCTCCCTCGTTCACACTACCATGGATGTTTACCATCATTTCGTTCATTATACCATAACTATAAGTTATTTACTTCGCCATTCAGAGCCCCCGCGTTCATGCGCTTTGGGCACCAGAAGTGTGCGCACGCATACTCTTCAACGATCATCGAGACCAGGGTCATAATCCCTATAGTCATACAATCTCGATCTTTCAGCCTCATCCGCATCCTCACGACGCCGCCACATCTTCGTCTCAAACCGATTCATCCACGGTTTTGCCCTCCGTCGACTATCATAGTTCGCTCCCATGACTGCCTTTTCGTACTTCATCTCATCCTTATCGTACGCCCACCTTAGTCGAGGATGAAATTGCCAGGGATAGCCTGGGGTATGCTTCTTCACGCGCCGCAGATACACGAAGAAGTCCTTCAACCCTTCGAGTCTGCATAAGGGCTGGAGAATCCTGTCGTATAGTGCACCATCCGCGGCATGCCGTCGCGGCCAGCAAAAATTGTCCAACTCCCAGTCCTGGTATGGGTACTCGGTTCGGAGGTCTACGACGAGGGTGAGCAGTGGAAGATTCATTGAATGCGCCATCAGTTCGATGGTGTCGAGATAGTCCAGATAGGCAGATTTCGGCGCGGTCGTGTAGTTCTCAAATTGTGGCAGGAGCCACTCCAGATAACGGATGTGTTGGAGAGCATTCCGAGCGAGCGAAGAAAGAAAGAGCGATAACTCTACTCGATGCATGGGAATGACGATGCGACGCCGGTAATCTGGAGGCGGGACACCCATATATGGATCGTACAGTTGAGGTCGGTAGCCGTAAATGTCGCCGGGCGGCAACACAAGGAACCGGTTGCGTTGGAAGAAGATAGGTACGGCATCGTGATGAACTTGTTTGCTGACCAAAAACAGGGGATGAGGACCGTCTCTTAGTCCCAGCATAAGGCTGGATGAGCATGCAGAGTGTTTACAGTTGTATATACACTCGCAAGATCCAGTGCGCGTCATCTTGCAGTGGGAACGGAAGCGTTCACCGCAACAGTGTTCTGGACTGTTTTCAGTTTGCCAGTCATCCATGGCTTGTAGTTCGGTTGCGTCAATGTCTGAGGTGGTGCAATCTGGGAAATGTACACCCACGTCGATCGTTTCTCGGCCAACATACTGTATGCAGCTACAGAATGGACGCGGCACTCTTCCAAGACTGGAAGGGGGCGGTTTCCACTCAAGGGCATTGTCGTATACCAAATCAGAGTACTCCAGTATTCTCCACCTAACCTCGATCGGCAAATCAGGATATTTGAATGGTTGCTCGGTATGGGCAGATTTTTTTAGACGCTTGACAGTTTCCTGCGCAAGCATGCTGAGCTCGGGAACATGTTCCTTGTTGAGCCAAAGGCCGCAATCTTTGAGCCTAGGCAGCTGGTAGAGGGGTTTCAGAACGGCTTGTGCAGTTGCAGCGTCCTTGACGTTGACTATGAGATATAAAGTAAGGTAATCTGGTCGTATGCACTCTGCTAGCCGTTGGACCAATCTCTCCCACTCTTTTAGTCCGTACTTTCCAAATCGACTGTCGAGATTCAATGGCAGAAGCTGATCGAGTCTCTCCCAGCAGTGGCCGACCTCAATGGATTCAACGGGTTCTCCGTCAAGACGTACTGTCAGCGTGCCTAGATCGCGCAACATGTCGCTCGAGATGTCAAAGAATGGCGCAAATCCATATGGACTACTCCGGCAAATTCGGAAATGATTTGAACCCAGTATTATCTTCAACGGTTCGGGGGCTTCTTTTTTGGATCCGTACTTGCCATTGAGCCAATCTGTGATAGATGGCGCACCGCGGCAACCGTATCTGCTACATTCGTGCGAGTGATAGCCCCTCGTTTCGTATTGGTCCCAATCACATGTCCAATATTCCGTCAAGGTATGGTATTCCTCACGATGAGTGATGTCGAACCACCCGTCGTGAAAGCAAAACATCTTTTCCACACGCTCTTTATCGGGATATGTTTCTTGCGGGAATATGACTAGCTGGTTGTAGTTGAGGTCGACGGTGCAGTCTGACCAGCCCAAATAATGGTAGACAAGTTTTCGTGCCTTCAGAGGCAGATCGTAGAAGGTGAGGGGCCTTATCATGCTTGCCGGAGTTATGAGTGAAGGGTTGAGGAAGGCAGTCGTAGCCTTTCGTTGTGCATTGCCTGGTCTAAGCGCTGCATGAAGGCTAGTCTACTTAAAGACAGCCTCTCGTGTTCGCATAGAGGTTGACTTCAAGCTTCCTCGATACAACACTCATACGTAGGATGTACGTTCAATGCTTACAGTGGTGCGTACTGTTACGGGACTCTAGAATTTCAACCTATATGTCCAACGGTCAATCAGGCGCGAGAGGTAGCCTTCTGATCGAAACCAGTTATACTACGTTTTTTCAGCTACAGTCTCCCTCTAAGCTCCGTCACTACGTTCGAAGGTAGTCACACCACATTCTTCTCCAGCCACTCCTCCCACTGTTCTTTTGTCCAACTACTCGAGATGTCATTGTTCACGACACCATCAAACACGACCGTCTAATGTATTGTTAGCATCTCAAACATTCGCACACAGCGCCTGTTGAACAGCACGAAACTGCTAAGGCAAGATTGAGAGACGGTTGACCTACCGGCGTAACATGCACTCCTACCAATCTATTCGCCTTAACCTGCAACTTCACCGCATCTGTAACCCCGTTCCCGCTATTCAAGCTCCCGTCCTCTCCCGGCTTGTCGCTAATCTTCAACAACTCGAAAACCTTTGCCTCATCCACACCGACCTCGCCCGCAATCTTCGCCAACCTCTTATACGTGTTATTCCTCGTCTCATTCACAACACTAACATCAAAGAACTCCTTCTGCCGCTCGAACAGCTTCTCCGAGAACTCGTAGAACTTGTCGGGCGAAAGTTTGAGTACGGCGTACCCGGCTTCGTGCGTGAGCGTGGAGGATGGGTGCCAGGGCTGGATTTGCTGGCGAAATATGGTGACAACGTGGTCGCCGTATTTCTTAAGTAGCGTGTCGCGGAGGGGAGAGGAGTAGACGGTTTTGAAGAGCTTTGCGCTAAAGGGACAGACGTAGTCGAGGTCTATTTGCATATGTTAGTGAGACACAATCGCGGGCTTGAGAGAGGACTCACACAGCTCTAGCGTGTGCACAGCTTTGGGTTGGATCGAGCTGGAAGCCAGCTTCTGGCCTGCGAAACGTGGTGCCAGCGCCATAGTATGATATTACAGGAACGTGGGGAAGGCGAGGAGATTACAGAGGTAAGAGAATATTATAGCAAATTCAATTGCGCAATTAAGAGCGTCAAAGGTGAGACTCGGACTGGAGCATCGAGAACATTGGAGGGGTAGCTTCGCGAGTGGGGAACAGGCATCTATGACGGCAGCGGGGTCTACGTTCACGTGCTCGTGGGGCAGGCGTGCGAGAGCCGGATGCACATAAATATAGACCTGTTAGTGCTCATAAAAAAAGGCACCTACAACCTACCACACAATTACAGGACATTGATTCTATCAAGATCGCAGAACGACGCCTATTGGACGGGGCTCTCATCATGAAGTATGTGCTTGCTTGGAGGATCATTACCCATGATCGTTCATTTTGGAAGGAAATATGTAGAACCGTGAGTGGATATAAAAAAGTCAGGTGTATCAAAAGAGCGCAACGACCACCAAGCCTTGACCAAAACCCGCAAGTCGTTGTATGCTCTCCGCGCCGTACCCCAGTCCATTCGCAGGTGCTGTGCATACAGTATAGGGACCCAACTTTCAATGACATTAACGCCATATCAATTGTAGCAAATAAGACCCTCCAATTCCAAGAGCTGATCGGTCCGATACAATTGGTCCGATACAATTCCACAAAACATCGTACGCGCATCTACGAATCGGCCATCTCCACGTCCTCCGCCTTCTGAGGCTCATCTAGATCCTTCCTGAACTTGGCCTTGTTCTTGTCGACCTCATCACGGTCAAGGTTCTTCATCCACTCATTGTTCCGCACAAAGAACTCCTGGGCGCGCTCCTTGTGAGATTCAACGAGCGCCTCGTAGTCCTCCTTTGTACCAACACCGGAACGAGTCTCTTCGGGTTGGACGAAGTATTGGACGCCTCCAGTCCCGAGCGGCTCGCTTGCGATGAACTTCATCGTGTACGTCTCCGGAATGATCGAGACGGTGATCTTATCTTCCGACTTAAGGGCATCGAAGCGGTCGTCCTCGTTCACATCCTCAATTTTCGCTAGGCGCTTGCTCAGGTATGGATGCCGAAGCTTGTTGAATTCGAGAGTCTCGGTTGGCTCGACAGCCATGTAGGATGCGACATAAGCTCGCCAGCGCCGGACTTTGTCAAGCTGGTTGAACTCGAACGTAGGATCGTCCTTTTTGAAAAGTCGCACGTATGCCTCCATTTTACTTGGGTCCTAATACATATTAATGATCATACTTTTAGAATGAAAATTATAACTTACAAAGGCAATGCGATAAGTGTCAGCGTCCTTGGTGTACTTTTCTACCTGCTTCCTGTAGGTGATCTCCGCGCTATGAGTAGTCGTATCGTTGACCCGATCTTTTCTAAACAGATTGTAGATATCAAGGCTCTTGTCTTTGCTGTCGTTGTTGACGACATTGCCGCATGCTCTAACGAGTGAACCGAGCAACCTATCAAAGGAATACAGCTGCCATCCGACTTGCAGATAGTATCGGCGAAGCGTCTCTTCAATCTGGCCCATATCGACTTCCCCGCCGATCTGGTCTTGAAGCATTTCGAGCACTTGCTGATAATAATTGGCGCCTTCGGAAGTATCCTTGAAGAAGTCTGACGGCATCTTGTCAACCATTTTGAGTTCGTGCGCCGGCTTGGGTATCTGGGCGCGAGCAACGATCCTGCGTACTTCATCCTCCCTCTCCTTGAGCTTCAAGAGTCGTTCGTAGAGGAAGACGAACATGCGGAAGAAGTTGTATATCGACGAATTCGCATACATATTGTACTCGCTACGGCGGTAAGGTTCCTCAGGATCAGGGTCTCGGTTGCCGAGTTGCTCAGTAGTATGGGAAACCCACGTTATGGAGGGCCGCTCGTCTCGACTCGTCGAGTTTGAGCTCTGCGCGGCCGCATCCTCCTCTCCCGCAGATGTCACGCCAGGGGAGCTGTCACGACTAACAGACGCAGTGCTGTCCTCTTTGTCTTTGCGTGACTTGCCACGAGGGTCAAGTACATCGCGGCGCAAGTCGCCCTTCTTGTGTTTCTGTGCGCGCTGGGAAACATCTTCGTCGGCGCTGGGCGTGTCCTCACCCGACCCGTTGGTGGAAGACTCACGTGCGAAAACCTGAACATGTTGCTCAAACTTCGCGCTGTCGATGCCGAAGAACAATGGCACAAACTCTTTGATGAAGGGAGTAACCTTTGAATAGTCACCGGGGAGGTTTTCCGCGAAAGTCAAGATGAGGTGTGCGACGTCGTACAGCACGTCTTCATCCGGGAAGGAGAACTTGAACTGATAATCAGGTTGAGAGATTTCTTGGATTTCTTGAAGGCGTTTTTGTTCCTCGTATCGGACTTGAATCTCGTTCTGCAATGTCTTTGGCTGGAACTGACGCTTGTCGTTTGCTTTGACAGTCAGGCTCTGATGGTCGAGTGACTTCCAGAAGATCTTCTGCGTCTGATCTCGCCAAACCTTTTCCCACTCGCGCTGAGCTGCCTTCCAGTCCTCGAGTTTTGCTTTCAGCCTATGAAGGAGAACCGGGACAACGCTCCAGGGCATTTGGAAGAGCTCACGAATGACCTCGGCGCCTCGCTCGCGGCCGTAGATCTTCATAATAACTTTCTTATAGATGGTCTCGCTCTGACCACCAAGACCAGAAGGAAGGACGAAATTGGCTCGATCTTCGGGCTTCATCGTAAGAAGCTGGCCTGCGATCGGCTCAAGTTGTTGAATTGTTCGACTGCACGCCTCGATATTTGTGTCGTAGTCGTGACGTTCCTCTTCGATCCTATGAAGTCCTTCTTCGAATTGGTTCTTGCGATGAGCAACGAAACCGGAGTCTTCAGACGCCCAGGTGGGGTGCGATGCCCACTCGTCGTTCAAGACGGACCGACAAAGCTCATCGCGGCCACTGCAAAGCCGCTCACGCTCCCGCTTAGGTAGCAATCGGTAGCTTGGACCGAAGCTGCGGCAATTGGACAGCGATACGCGAGAGTTCACAGTTCTCGGGTGCGTCGATGATTGCTCATCCTCCTCGCCAAGGAATTTCTTGAACCATGCATAAAGCTCTTGATTGCCACCAATGAAAGACTGAGCGCGGTATAAAAGCAAGTTCTTGTCGATCAAATCCTGAGAGAAAAGGTTGCAGAGCTTCAGAAACTCATTCATAGTGTTCTTGTTGCCAATGAATTTCTTGACTCGATCGAAGAAGGCCAAGTCTTCCTGGGACGGATTCGAGGTCGTAGTCGGAGGCATTGGCGCCGGCGGTGCTGGAATCAGTGTAGGGGACAATGGCGTAGCATCCACGACAACAGGTTGCTTGGCATGACCTGTTTTGGTACGCTTTTTGGAGTCAGTCCCGTCGCTAGTAGAAGTGTGGCCCCGCTTCAATAACTGGGTTCCTGGGGTAGACATCATGGCGGAAAGAGAGTAAAGAGAAGACTGAGGGGGGAAAAGGCGTTGATATCAGAAAAGCAGGTTCGCTGGGTTGAAAGCAACGAGTGAGAGAATCTTGAACGCCCGTGCAAACGCATGAGGCATGCCGCTTCTGGTAGAAGCTTTTGAAAAGTTGAAAAATGGGAAAACAAACAACGTACCTTATTAGCGTTCCCTTGCCCATATGTACTACGCATGCCGGATTGCTGAACGTCTTGTGCCATAGGCGTGGGCGCAGCTGCCGTGGCGGCACCAGCACCCTGGCGTTCACCACGCTTTCTCTTGTTGTCGCGGTTTGCTGTGGGAGTGGGTGCAAAATTACCCATGGGTGGCAAACGCGAAGTATCTGCGCGAGGAGTTTGCTGATGATTTGGTGCTTGACCGTACGCTGCATCTCCCCGCGAATTGCTCAGCAGGGCAGCTTCCTCGTTGTGGCGCGCGGCTTGCTGAGCTCGATGTTGAGCAGCTGATTCGGGCAGAAATTGCTTGAAATCTTCTAGCAGATCCGGTGCGGCACCGAAGAGATTAGTCACCTGCGCATAGACATCCTGGATTGGCTTCGACTCGCGCTGGTATGTTTGGAGGATCTCGAGGAACTGTTTGTAAATGTCCGGCTGAGACGCAAATCGATTCTGAAAAGATTGTCAGTAAAATTGTATCTACAACGGGCCTTTTAGAGCTCACCTTGATCTTGTTCACATAGCTAATAGCGTGATTGAATTCGACCGGGCCACGCTTCTCAGCGCCAACACCTCCTTGGGCGACCTGAGCGACACCATTCAGCGTCTGCCCCGCCAATGGCGTCGATATGTCGCCGCTGGGGGATAGGATCGAACGTCCAGCAGCCGCGGAGACAGCATTTTGCAACTGGGACACACCACGTTGCTCCTGCTGATGCACGAGGGTGGCAGCCGTAGCAGCGACATCTGGATGAGGACGAGCCGTAGCCTCTGGAGAGTGGGGCGCCGGTCCAGCTTGGCCTTGTTGCGGCCCAAAGAGCGCCTGTCCCAAATTACGAGTGTTGGGAGAGAATGCAGGATCCTGCGCCTCTGCAGCTTGGGGAGGACGTAAGTCTCGAATATTCTGCGCCCATCGTCCTTGACCTTCGTAGAAGGTAGAATCGGCAGGCGGTGCATTACCGTTCACAGCTGCGTTTCGAGGTGGAGAGAGCGGGCGCGGAGCGGGCATGGTCGAAACCATCGTACCCATTGGTGTAGTAACACGAATAGCATTGGGATCGCCATTAGTACCGCATTCAATCTTGTAGCCAGGAGGCAAAAATGTGTTGAACCCCTGGATAAGATTTGGGTTGCCGGCAAAGAGCGTCGACACACGCTCGATTACACCTGGAGTGTCAATCGCACCGCTCTTGAAGTCCTTCATGATATCCAAGAACCTATTGTACACATCGGGGTGGTCCGCAAATTGGACCTTAACTTGGTCAAGGTAACTTAGGGCATCGTTCAGAATAGGCTGCTGTCCTTGACCCATCGCCATTGCTGCAGCGGCACCTGGCGGGCCAGTAAAAGGCATGAGCATTGAGGGCTGCGGCGGAGCTTGCTGGACAGCGTGTTGCATCCTCGGAGTGGTATCGCCTTGCTGAACAGGTTGAACAGCTGCGCCCCCAAAGATGTTGTTTGGAGCGTTCTGAGCGGGGGTCGCTGGCCCGCCCAAAGGACCTGATTGACCCAAGAGTCCATTTGGACCATGGACTGTCCGGGTCGAAGGCGCGACTGCCACAGGCTGGTGTATTTGAATAGGCGCAGAGTGGTTCTCGTGTGTCACCTGCTCCTGCTGTTGTCGCTCGCGTTCCCGCTGGTCAAGTTCCCGCTTGATCATCTCCTCTTGCTGCGCTGCGTGTTGCTGAGCAGCATGTGACTCCATCATCTCCCGCTCCCTCGTCTCGCGCTCGCGGAGTTCCCGCTCACGGTCCGCGTTTGCCTGGCCGGGTGCTGGCCCGTGTTGCTGTTGCAAAGTCTGCGAGAGGCCTGGCAACGAGTAGGGTGGTCCCTGAGGGGCTGCTTGAGTATTTTGTGCGGTCGGCGCTGACTCTGAGGATGGTGGACGCTGTGTGGTCATGTGCGGAGACACTTGTGGCGGCTGTCCAGTAAGACCAGCCAAGCCAGGAAGGCTCTGGTTGTGTTGCGGAGCGCCGTTGGACGGGTAGAAGGGCCCTCCTGGACCACTATTAGTACTGAACAGACAGCATCCGTTGCCATTAGTTACTTACCTGAAGGAGGAGGGAGCACAGGCGCGGGGCCTTGGGCCGGTGAAGTGTGGGACTGAGGCTGTTGGGTTGCATTCGCGGGACTGTCATGTCACACATAGTCAGTGAATTTACAATCGAGTGGTGGTTTGCAAACGGGCTGAATGTGGCCCCCGTCCATCGTGGGCTGCGACAGCGAGCGAACATGGAGATAGTAAGAAGTACGCACCCAAAAGAGCCCAGTGGCCGCGGCGGCTGGGCCTGGCCTTGCTCTGTTTGTTGTGGCCCGGCTCCTGACGCCGATGTCTGCGTCGGCGGCCACCCGTCGCGATGCGCTGGATTCATCTCGGCGTTACAGTTGGTTGCCGGCTTTAAGGGTAGCGGCGTCAAGAGGTGGAAAGACGCGTTGGTGAATCGAAGGTGGCTATCACCAATGGAAACAGCGCATGTAGAGGTTCGAGAAGGGCGTGTGGTGACAGGTACGCGGTGAAGTTCCGATTGTCGGAAAAGGGCAGCTCTCGCGGGCCCAGGGTCAACTGGTGATTAGGAGGGACCGAAGCAGCTGATAGCCACTGTGACCGCCTTCGGGCGCGGGCTGCGCCAAAACAACCGAAAAGGGGAGAAGCAAAGACGCGCGACCAAGCTGAAGCCGTGCGCCGGGGGGTATCTTGAAGAGTTGGTGATGGCAATGAGGTCAAGGTTGTAGGAGCGACAGCAAAAGCGCCGCCCCAGGTATCGGTGTGAGAGATACTCCGGTTCCGAAGCTAACAGCTAACGGCTTAGCGTTTGGGTGCGCCCACCTGCACCTGGGGTGACATTCACGTGTCACAGCCGTGTTGAGCCATACTAGTCATAGTCATTCGGTTCAGGGAAGTCTATGGAGTGTATCGATGGTATGCTGTGTCGCGCAATAGCGATAACATTGGAATAACCGGGTACAGTTTACCGTGCCACGGAGTGCTTGACATGATCCTACATTACATCCAGCTATACAGACCTGAGACAAAGAAAGTCGGAGTAAGTGATGACTTCCACTCGATGAGTAAGTGATGTTGTAGTGTGGAAGAGCATATGTCCGCAAGCGTACGGCAAGAGTTACCAGGGTGAGCTAGCCTACCGGTACCAGATAAGTAGGCAGCCAACCCAAACCAACGATTCGTCACTTCTTACATTCAAATTTGCTTCTTTGCATGACAATGTACCTTGTGCAGCAGCCTAGACACTATCCTCATAGGAACACGCGTTTCCGAGTCGCACAGCAGAGGCATAGACTTCAGCCATATTAACTTCAGAAACTCTAAAGGAGAAGATATGTAGAGATTTAGGAAGCATCAAGTACAGCGACAACTTTCTGGGATGCCCAATGATAGATGCTTAAGATGCGTATCAATCGGGTCAGTAACGCGAGCCGAACCGCAGCATGCCGGCCCCCACGCAAAAGAGAATCACTGGGAAAGGCCAAGACAAGCGGCTACGAGCAACTCGTATTCGCGCTCGGCACGAACATGGGATGCTCAATCTCGCTATTGTTGTTCAGACACTTTCGCTTACTTTCTCTACGATGTCTTTTCATTTCGATCGCTTGACCTTGTCGACCGCTACTACGCCTCGTTGCACGCAGGGCTCCTCCTCTTAGGATGAACTCTACGTTCTGGCATCGAGTTGGAGCCGACAAGACTTTGTGAAACGCCACTCGGTTCGTCGTGAATATGATTGGCCTGTCGTCACAACTTCAGGGGCCGAGCGTTCCTTGAGCGCTTCCCAGAGGCTGTGTGGTGCAATCACGAGGCTGAGATAACTGAGTCCCGAAGAGGTGGGTATCTATACGAAGGTCTATAATTGTAGTCTGGGTCGACGGGCTCTGCGAAGATCGCATATACATGTGCAAAGCTACCTTAGTTGTGAATTTTTACATCCTAACGCCTCGTATATTTTGGCTCCCTTTGTCACATCTTCATATTGTAGATTTGATCGTACAACGATGGTGTGGACGACACTTCTGCCGTTCACCTTACCCCTTTCCATAGCGACCTCGCAGCTGTCTTCACGAGGAGTGTGTAACACAAGTACCGAATGGCAGGCCACAGCCACCGCTTACCTAGGTGCAAACACTGATACCAAACTGCGCGACTGGTGGGCGGAAATATCAGCGCGTCAGCATTCCGCTTTCACCACCGAGTTAGGGAAGGCATTTGGATCACATGTCCCGTACCAATGTGGCTTGACGGACGACAGTGGTTGTATCTACGCAGGATGTAGTGGTATGTGTAGACGGGAGATTGGCGCAACAGTACTAACACTACTTAGATTTCGAAGATAATGGCGATCCGGTTTGGGCATATATGTCGCAAATCTCTATGGTCAACTTGCACATTCTGTTTAAAGCTATTGAGGTAACCTACGAAGTGTTGGATCGAGAGACAGTGTGCTAAATATTTTCCAGGAAGGTATAACAAAAGGCCAATTAGACTTCACCGATCGAGTGGATAAGATGGTCTTGACATTCTTCCCATGGGAAGAACCCGACTTCGTTCCCGAAGATGCTCTGATATGGATGACGGGTATCGTTGGCCTTGCTGGGGCGGTCGCACCCATCTTGGCTGCTTCATCCATGGCTGCAAAGAGGGGTGAGGCTGCAGTTGCTGCCGGGGCTGGAGGTTTCGCGGCTCTCGCTGGTGCTGGACTCAGCCAGATAAGCAACGAGATTAAGCCTGAGTAAGTTGGGATCACCCATCTACCATCGACTCTGCTAACTCCTGAGAAGCTCCATTACAGGATTTGCCAGCATTGCCACGTTCAAAGATTTCGCAGCTGATTATGGCGAAGCGTTGCGCTCTACCCTCGACAGCTGGTCAAACACCACATTTAACGGCGACAGAGACGCGTCGAACTACACGTTCCTGTAAGCTATCACTCCACGCTACTCCCAGAGCGATGCTTACCACCCCCGTAGTGATTACTTTAGAGGTGGTGCCATGGTCGACCACTCCTTCCTCCCCTCCGCCTCCCAAATCGAATCCTTCTACAGGAAACAACTCTTCTCCATTATCATCAACGCTCAATGGCGCAAGCGGAAAATCTGGACAACCTTCCACGCGACCAACGATACGGTCGACGCCTCCGGCCCGAACGCCACGCGGTATTACTCTCCCTCCGACGGAGGCGTCTACTACACCTACTCCTACCACGAATCCGGCATCCTCAAAGGGAACCTTGAAAGCCCCTCTGGTCTCGAACACCTCAACGATACACCTTGGGACATCTCCGGCATAGACATATCGAAGTCCTCCGCCGCCTCCTTCCAAACTGCACGCTTCAACTTCACAGAAGCAATGGCGCATGACGCCCTCGCCGATGCAATTGCATCGAACGGCACGCTGTCCCCCTGGTCCGACGGCGCAGGCTGGGTTGGCACATGGACGCTCCCCGTGTGCCGCTTTCCTGCAGGATACAATTGGAATAGCCAGTACCTGAACACCTCCTCGCGGTACGGCATGCTACCTTGCTGTTGCGGCACCAATTGCTCCGACACAAAAGACTTTGTGAAAGCTGCGAACCTCGTGGGCTTTCAGACGCTGCTGTACGGATGCGAGCAGCAGCTCAAGGGAACGGATATCGATTTTAAAAGCATAGACTATGGATACGGGAAGAAGAAGGGACCGGCTAGTTTGCCGTTTTTTTGGGCCACGCTGGGTATGGGGGCGCAGGCGGGGTTGGCGATTGGAATCATCGTTGGGGGGTTGGTGGTGATGGTTTTGCTTCTCTTGTGTCTTTGCTCGTGTTGTGGGTGAGTTCACGGGGGTTTGAGGAGAGAACGTGTGGTTGTTTTTGTTCGCGGATACCCACTGTAGCAGCGTCGTTACCTATAGTTGTTAATTTCTTCGATTGCATCCTTATGTATCTGTCTTGTATCTTTAAGAGAAGAAGGAGGGATGCTACACGGGATCAATCTCCTGATATCACGATGCCGAATAATCGGGGTGAGAACAAGATAGCGTACCGCTCTTCTAAACGTACTCAGAGTTTCTGCCAGCAAATTGTGTTGTCCAAAACGGCCAAATCACGAACGCGTATTGTTGACGGTTTCCAGATCCAACAGAGCAGGTTTGGATCATGCCTCACTGTGCATATATTGACACAGTAAAGAAAGCAAAGGGGGTTGGCTACTCTGTAATTGAGGAGGATTCCATGTTATGTGATAGCGGGTGTGATTGACCAGAGTTATGTCGTAGAAGATGTATACAAAAGTAGACTAGTACATGAGTAAGTTGCCCTAGCGTTGAGGAAGGAACGTTGCCGAACATAGTGAGCAAAGAAGCGTATTTTGCCTGGTCTGTGGTAGCTTTGATGTCGCCCTTCAGTGACGCAGTCCACGATACACAATCATCGTCTCTGCTACAACAGAGCCGTACAAATATGCCGCACGGCTTGATGACGCTGCTTTCCATGCATCCATGGTCGATGTCTCGCTATCGTACCCGAGATTGCTACGTGCTTTCATTGCGATTTCATTACGTTGCCACTGTCTTTGGCCACTTTCTCATGACAACAGCGCCGGTAGTGATGCGCTATCGTTCTACCGTACCGTCTGCCACAATGTTTCTTTATTTCTAAAGCGTACTACGTCCTCACCAAACTGTCTCAATACTTGCGGGTCGTAAGCTTCTCCGGTATGCGTACGCTTTCACCTCCCCACGCGCGGGTACCTCGATTTCGTATGCGAGGCTGACGCGAGCGGAACGGACGTCGGTCTGCAGTCGATGCGCGCTCAACCGAATATTAGGAGGTATATGATCATTACAGTATTGATGAACAAGAGAGGTACTGTATTCACGTCAGCTCGTTCTTTTTCGCCGGTTGCCCAGTGTATTGTTGCCCACGATGTCACCTGCACCACTTGTATGACCGTAAACCAAAAGTATAGGATGGCAAGGTCTTGTAATAATGGCAGAGTGCGGCACTGCGTGCAGCTGTACATAATTATAGGGTTCGGCGGCCGATGTGAAGTTGGGGATACGTACTTCGCATCAGTGTTCGAACTGAAGATACAAGATTGACCAGCCGTGCTTTTATGCTATCGTCGCGTTGGCCGCCGAAACCAGGGTCCGCCGAAGAAGCCCAACCAACTAATGACGCTGTGTCAGCTATTGCCCGCATGGTATTTGGTGTATCATGTCGCGTGTGGGGGATCTTGCGCAAGCGAGAAAACATGGGAGGGATGCTGTGGTATGGAGCGCAAGCGATTCGGAGGAGCGGTGATGCAGGCGAGGTGAACGAACGTACTGCGCGCGAGGAAGCGGTCTTCCGAGAGGATTGCAATTGCGTTTATGAGGAGGGCGGAGACTGTGAGGGGTTAGTCTTCGAGATAAGATGCAATAGAATCGCAGCGTGGAATACCGTAGAGGAGGCCACCGAGACCGAAGAAAACCATTTTTGCGAACTCACGTCGGCAGGAGGTGTTGTGGAATCGAGTATGCGTGGGTCGTGGGTGTAACTTGGCTTGGCACTTGCCCAGAGGATTGATGTTGCCTGGCGGAGTTGCCAGCTGTAGTCGTGACGAGCCCTGGAGAACTCGTGTCCACGGGTTCTGAGCAGTCACGTGACCGAACTCAACGTGGACCCTTCCGATCTCTACCAGGGTACCTTGCTATCTTGCACAGGTACGCATGTGCAGTACAAGAATATTTACGGAATAACCAAATGGCCGTACATCGCTCGAACATGGAACATGTGGAACATGAAGCATCAGTTGGAAGTTTCCCAAGTCACATTTCTATGTTCGTTTTGGCTAGAATGGCCTGATTTCTGCAGGTGAGCGAGCCTTGGCGATCGTTGAATACACAGAACAAGGGTGTCGAAATCACTGTTTCATCAATCCGTTTTTGCAAGATTTGGAACGAATGGACTGCAGAACCCCACAAAAGATGTGCACTATCGTGTTCCCTATGCAGAGCTGGATCGAAATGCCTCTTTTTGCGCATGGACATCTCCACAGGAGGAGCTTTGATCTGCCGCACATTGTGAGAGCTTCATTAAGGTCGTGGGATCGACAGTAGGGGTCGCGCACCCTCACAAGCGCATCGTAAAATTCTCGTCTGTTGGCCCTGGATTGCCGCGAGCACAACTAGTCACCACTGGAGATGGCTCCAGCACCCATAGCTCGCCCTTCATCGGGCACCGTTTCTCAACCGGGAGCGATTAGCTCAGCCGTTGTGGGAGCGACGTCATACGGCGGCGTTCGTCCTCGCCGCAACGGTCTCGATTCTCCATCAAATGCTTCCGGAAGACTCACTGCCACGCTTAGTTTTCTTCGCACATTCAAAGCGCCGCTGCCTTGAGTCTCCTCTGCATCTCTCTTCTCTTCAGCTTCACGCTCCTAAAACCCTTGTAGCCGTTGGATCGCGGTATTCAACTTCCATGCGAACATCTGCGAAGCGACGAGTCTAGATCCTCCCCGGCCCGACGATCTACGCCTAATTCCAGACCTCAGGTATCTCCGCTGGGCCCGACGCAGATCGGTCAAGCCAGTACAACAATACTCCACGCCCCGCTCTTGCGGTTGCACTCATCTGGCCTCTTTCTTTTCGCGGTTGTGTATGTTTCTGGAGGTCATCGTTTTGATTTAGATCTATGGTTTCGACATAGCGATTTCCCTACCGGAGTGGTGGCGTTTTTGTTGATCTAATGAGTACCTAGCAGTTGCTACCGGACAACTGATACAACAGCTGGGAATTGCTTCTAATAAAGATGATGGAGAGCCACCTTGTCGAAGACGGTTACTTTGGTGTGCAGGGTAGCCTGCAGAGCGGTCCCGATGCCCACACCCCAGGCTCTGTGCAAAGCGTTGGCGCCGTGTCAATCGAACTACCCTCGCATCCGTCATCGACCATGGTAGCATTAACTACACTACAATACCTACCAATTCCGCTCCTCGTATTGTCGGCAGATGCAACTGTCACGCTCGCCAACGAAGCAATGGGCCGTCTTTTAGGGATCGATTGGTCAGCAGCAGCAGCAGAAGGAATGACTGTAGCGGAGGCGTTAATGGGAAAGAGCATAGCTGAGCTCGGAATAGATATTCTCCAGAATGGTTCGCCCATACTGGTCTCCTGGCAGGTCGGCCGCACCATCGAACGAACTAAGCGTACTAGGTGGCTGACAGTGGACTAGGACTTCCTGAGATCGGTGGTTGAGGATGCTGCCGTTGAACGGAAAGATCGTCTGGCCGCTGAAGACGGCCGACTAGACAGCGGCGGCAGTACGCCCACAGCTACTCCTTACGGCAAGGCATTCGCTGACTCACCGCCCAAATTACCACGGCTCAGTAGTCAAAACCTCACAGGAGCCACAGTGCACGACGTGTCAGTAGATGTTATCGTTGCCCCCACGAATCGTGTTGGTGGTCGTTGCGCATCACGAAACTCCGCATTCTCTCCAGACGAGAACACACTTCAAGCCACCATGATCATCTCAGTGTGGAGTATTGAAGACGTCAATTACTACACGCTGACGTTTACGAGTGCTCAACCTGTTGACGTGAAACATAGCTCACGGCCATCAAGCCGCATAGTGACCAGAACAACAACAGCTTTTCAACTCACCAAGTCACATAGCTCGACTTCTAGTTCATCTTCTGGTCAGAGGTCTGGACCAAGCCCCAAAGCCCTCACGCCGACATTCTCGTCATTTGACTTTCCGCCGCGTGGCCCACCACTGAAGGCTAGAAACGACCTATCCATATCTGCCAGCATCTTTCAGAAAGCTTCACAGATGAAGGACGCGATCTTGAACTCGATTAGTATGCCAGCGTACGCCATGTGGCAGGACGAAGGATTTGGAATACCGAACAAAGCGATGCTCCGACTGCTGCCTGAAGATGCCGTATACAACCCTTCTGATCAAAGAGCCTTCCTCAGTCAGTTCAGCTTGTGGACAGAGGATTTTGCGCGCAAGCTTGACGTTGATGAGCTTCCTATAATGGAGCTATGCCGCAGCCAGCAACCTTTCGACAACCGTCGTGTAGCAATGCGTCATCCAAGTACCGGGGTATCGATGGCTTTTGAGGTGGCAGGCGAGCCAATAGTTCACGACATGACAGGCGAGTTTCTAGGCGGGATTGTAATCTTCAAAGACGTTACCTCATATACTAATCAGATCGCGGCACAAGTTCACGAGAATGAACGGCAATTTGAGTAAGTCGCCGTCATATAATCCCGCAGCACTGTGCCAAAAGCCCAAACATGCTCTCTCTTACCACGGGGATGCAATAAAGAGGCCTTTAGCACTTTCATGCCTGTTCGATATTCGGTCTAAGCTAACATTACTTGTACAGGTTTATTACGAACTTCATGCCCGTGATGGTCTGGACAACGACACCTGACGGTACGCACGACTGGTACTCGCAACGTTGGTACGATTACACTGGCCAGACCGTCGAGGAGTCCCTAGGGGAGGGTTGGAGAGATGCATTTCATCCAGAGGATATGCCGACAACTGCTGAGCGCTGGTCTCGATCCCTTCGAACTGGCGAAGAGTACATCACGGAGTACAGGGCAAAGCGACGCGACGGGGTTTGGCGCTGGATGCTTGGGAGAGCGGTTCCTTCTTATGACGATGATGGCAACATCAAAAGGTGGTTCGGTACCTGCACGGATATTCATGATCTCGTGGAAGCTCGACAAGCGGCACGGCAGACGAAAGCGCAACTCCAGCGGGTTATTGAACATGCGAAGGTTACGCTTTGGGTCGTCAATAGGAAAGCTGAGATAATCATGATGGAGGGAGACATGGTTGGAGTTGGGAACGCGAAGGTGGATGAACAGGCTATTGGAAAGAACATCTACGACTATTTTGGCGACCTCGACCGGTGGCGGAGACCAATTCAGGAACTCCTACAGGGCAAAGCGCAGGATGAGATCATGGAAAGGGTCAAGGATGATCGATACTACCGTACAAGATTGGTGCCCTTATACAAACGGTCAAGGGCTGGTGGCAAAGAGGGGGACGCATATATCGACGGGGTCATTGGGATTTCGATGGACGTCTCTGACGTACAAATCAGAGAAAACAAGCTCAAAGAGCAAGGACAAGAAAACAGTAGACTGTTAGCTAACGCAGCCGCAGCGAAGGAGGCAAGTCGGATGAAGAGCCAATTTCTTGCGAACATGTCGCACGAAATCAGGACACCCATCGCAGGAGTTATAGGGATGAGTGATCTTCTGCTGGACATGAACCTGGACGAGGAGCAGAAAGAGTGTGCCGAGAATATTCAACGATCCGCAAACGGGCTACTGGCCGTAATCAACGACATCTTGGATTTCAGCAAAGTTGAATCAGGACGCCTGGACATTGAGGAAGTGCAATTCAGTCTGTCAGTCGTGCTGCGAGATGTCAACAAGATGATGTCCTTTGCAGCACAGCGAAAGAACATCGCGTATGAAAGCGCTGTGCACCCAGAAATTGATAGAGATCTGAGAGTGATGGGAGACCCGGGGCGCTTAAGGCAGATTCTGACGAATGTATTGACGAATTCCATCAAGTTCACGAGCGAGGGGCATGTCCGTCTCATAGCCTCAATTACCGCCGAGACAAAGGAGACGGTCACTGTACGATTCGCCGTCGAAGATACGGGAATCGGCATAGAAGAAGACGTCCGAAAGCGACTTTTCCAACCCTTCAGCCAGGCCGATTCCTCAACCGCGCGACGTTTTGGTGGGACAGGATTGGGATTGACGATTAGCAAGAACCTTGTGCAGCTAATGCGGGGAGACATTGGCCTGGAATCGGTACTCGGGCAAGGTACCACCGCAACGTTCTGGATTCCCTTCAGCAAAGCGCCATACCAGGACGACGGATCGCCGCTGATCGATCTTTCATCAATCCCGGATCGCCTGCAGTCGGATGTGTCAGTGTCTTGCGGAAGTTCTGAAGATCTCACTCCGCCACAGACTCCCAAGCTGCATAACGGGTCTATCAAGACGCATGGTCGGGGAGAATCGACGCCGTCGGTGCTTAGTTCATCCATCCCCGATCATTTGATTACTCTACCTGAGAGCGAGAGGAAGAAGGTACAGGTTCTAGTCGTTGAGGACAACCACATCAATCAGCAGATCGCTCTGAAAACCATCAGAAAACTACATTTCAGTGTAACGGCAGTCTGGAACGGAAAGGAGGCATTGGATTATCTCGCGAATTCTAACAATCCTCGACCGGACATCATCCTCATGTAAGTGACGCCCGGCTACCAAGTCGCGTTGTCTGGCATCAACAGGCGAAGAAGAAATCCTTCTTTGTGTGCTCAAGGCGCTCATCAGGTGCCAACCTCTAGACATGTGGCTGATGCTGACTTCGTGTTTGCAATTCTAGGGATGTTCAAATGCCTATCATGGATGGGGTAAGTTCTCCAAAGACTTCCTTTTGTGACTCGGGATCTCATCTGCCCCTTACACACACATTCGTTGCCTACGCAACGCGCCTACAAAGGCTTTGCTGATTTGCATGTAAAAAGTATTCGGCAACCGCCCGCATCAGGACGGACTTCGAGACATCCGATGTTCGGAATGTTCCTATCATTGCCATGACGGCCTCGGCGATTCAAGGTGACAAGGAGAAATGCCAAAAGGCTGGCATGGACGTGAGTGGTCGCCCCTATCTTGAGTCCGGAGTTGCTGAAGGTTGCAGGATTATTTAGCGAAACCTGTCAAAGGCAAGCTGCTCGAAAAGATGCTTGTGAAATGGGCGATCGAGGGAAGGCGCGAGGTAGCCAAGCCGTCGCTATCCAGGAATGTTAAAGATCGACGCGCCTCCGCACTGACCCCCCCTCCAAAATCGCACCCTAACATCCCGACCGATCAATCGCAAATCTCCCAACGCCCTGCCGCATCTGAAACGACGGCGCGAGACCCATCTTTGACGGCTGAGCTTGACCGCCTCGACTACGAGAGCAATGCCGCCTTGGCTAAATCCTCCGAGACCGCTGATGACCGTGCGATGCGTCGCATTCACGCTGAAGAGAAAGCATCCAGTCTACGGGATGACAAACTCCTTTCTCTCACGGGCACGAAGGGGCATGGCCAGGGTAGCTATCAGGGGAAGGAACAATCCCAGTTGCCTCTGACACAGGAGAACATGCAGAGATTGGAGCAGGAGGCGGAACCAGCCGTCTTTCGACGACAGTCGCGCGAGCTCGACAGGCATTCCAGCGGAGACATGGAAGTTGAGCGTCAAAGCCGAAGTGACAGCACAACGAGAGGTTCAGGCAGTCTGAGACCATCACTGAAGGCGACCCAGAAAGCAAGCGAACAGACCGTTACCGCCAATGCTCCAAGATGATGTCCAGATATCGGACACTTTGGATGTAAGAATTATAGGTTGGCGTTTGGACAGAGTTGCTGCCGCGTGGCCCAAATGGACCTTCACCGCTTTCCGCCCCTTTGCGCCGCTTTTGTGCCAATCCTAGTACATTGCAGCACTGTACTGTACATGGAAAGGTACTCTACGACGGAGTTGCTTTCCGACGGTCACGAGGTAGACTTGTCCTGTCAGCATGCTGCGAGGTATTCCAGTAGAGCTCCGACATTGCGGTTGAAGCTATAGAAACACGGTTGAGGTCGGCGACCACACAGCCTCATTTTCATTGGACTGGCTGGTCATGTTAGCGCATGTTGCCAGACATCTGAATTGGATGGACTACAACAGGAAGGACCGGAAGCAGCAAAGACCTCTTTCGAAAAGGGGAACGCAAGTGCGCATGTGTGTGTGTGCTTTTTGTGCGATAGCCGCATGCTGGACAAATGGGACAGGCTTTGGCGTGACAAAGAGCGGGAAATGAAGTTGAGGGCGACGAATCACGAACGATCTCATCAGAAGCTTAGCGCGACCGAGTCGACAGGAAAGAAAATTCATCGACCCCGCATACTCCTCTTCAGGCTTCCTGTGGGATCCGTTTTGGGTTACGGGGGTGATGAGGTTCAACGGTTTCGCGCTGGCCAGGTTAGCGGGGAGTGCAGGCGAAAGGTTAATTGAGATCGACACCACGCGCTGCGTGACAGAGGCAAACCTCGAAAAGATTGGAAGGTTGGCCATGCACATTCAGCGTGGCGGGCCGTGATCTGCCATGTAAAGGAGGCTCAATCTGGTCCCTGCAGACGCTGCAGCACGTGGTGCTTAGACATTTCATGTGGCACTAAAAGCTCAGATGAAAGATAAGCATAGTGCTAATACAAACGTTACCAGTGCACATTGTACTGCGCTGGTCCCTGCAAGATGGATTCAATCGGCCCTGTGAGAAAGACAAGCTGCAAGAGCAGTGTAGACACGCGCAGGGACCAATGGATAGGCATCGGTACCTGCCCCGAGATACTTGAGGTAATTTGTCGCACGTAGAGACGCTTAGGTGAGGGGTTGCGCAGTGGGAGGCCGAGTCGTGCTTGCCAGAGTAGAGTAAACTAGCGAGCCTCTTGCCGGAAATAATGGCACCATCCTGGAGCGAACAAAACTCAAACCAAACCACGACAACACGCAAGCTCACTCATCCGAACAGCAAACAACGTCAAACTCTATCTCGCGATCTCATTACCCGCCCACAATGCTGGTTCGCAGTAAGCCCCCTAGGGCAATATCTCGGTGATCAGACGGCGACACTTTGGAAAGCCGTCCACTTCTCCACACTCGAATCGAAGTCACGCACAGAGCATGTCCGCTTTGGGCAGTAGTGCGGGAATAAGGTGGCTAGTGTATCTCGCCTGAGTTGCCCGACCTCAGGCCTGTCGCAGAAGCAACGGCTAATCTCAGTTCACTCTAGGACTTGCGAATGCAGGGTCCACACAGTGGAGTGCCGAGCGCATTAACCCTGGGATTGGCGAAGTCAGTGGACATCGTGGTGGGCGGCCACGGCAGCTCTGGTTGGAGGAGGGACGTCCCGCGAGCCGCGAGGTGCACACACTTGTCCAAGTCACTTGAACGTTGTAGCGCTGGAGACGGCTTCGACGCTATGGCGGCACGCGCAAAGTGACAAGTGCACGTCGGCGACTGTTGAGAGCGGCACACGATGGCTACGACTCGCGCTCAAGCAGGAGATATGTCTCTGACTGACGTAGTGAGGGTTTCCAGCGTGGCCCGAGAGGCGATGTCATGGCATGGCGAACAATCATATTCTTCCACAGTACAACGCTACCTTCTATAGCACAATGCTTCAAGCGAGCAAAAACAACAGGAAAATGGATTGACGATTGGCGGCCCTGCATACGATGGCAGTGAGGGGCTCCAGGGACAGCGCACGGTGCCCGGAGGTCAGCCACTCAGGCCGTTGCAACTACTGGATAGCGGTGAGGGCATCTTCCGCGAGAAACCGCCACCGGCGGAGTCAGATTCATCACAGCGCGCCTGCATCCGCTGGCATATTCAAAGTATAAAGCATGCATTGGAGGTACGCCACGCTGCAGGTGTAGCGACGAAGCACAACTTTGCTCACAGCAGGCGGCCCTGATTCGAGGGGAGGCTTGCCATGGCTTGCAAATGTCGAGCTGCCTAACTCGAGCAGGGGTGGAGGAGCGGGAGATGCACGATGACGAGGATCTTTACCGGCGCAGCGGTTGGGCCCGCAGCGCCAGCAACTTGGCGTGCGGTGCTCGTCCAATGAGAAGCTGGTCAGACTCGAAGGAGGCGCCAAGTCCTCCGCCGGCAGAAGTGGGAGGGATGCCAGTGACGACATCTGCAACCTTCGGCCAATGCTGTCAGCAAGCAACGGGCACTCTCGAACAAGCGCGGACTCGATCTGAGTGAGAGAAACCGGAGACATGTTTACCACCATCATCGATGAGCAGGTTGCCATGGGGCGAAAGCACCTCGAATCGATAGTACAGACGTTACGGAAGTACATTTACCGGTGTTAGCTGAGCTTACCAGCAACGCTTACCGCGGCCTCGCAGTCCGCTTGCACGACTTGTTTACAAATTACAGAGCGGGTTGACATCATGTTGTTTAGGGGGTCCAGCGGAATCTGTACCAGGTGGAGCCAAGCAAGTTTGGAGCGGAATGCTGTTTCGAGAGCAGGCGTGGGTACCGCGACAGCCTCTGGGCGTTGGCGCAGGCACCACACTGGCTCCTGCTCCAAGGACGCCTGGCAATGCCCCGACTCGCTCGTGACCAGCTGTAGGGCCACAATGTGGTTGAGCTAAGCTGCATGGCTTCGAAAAGCAAAATGGACGGCGATCAAACGCATGCCCATTGCTTGACGGCGCACAGGGCCAGTGTTCAGGGGAGGGCTAATTTGAACGGGGGCCGAGGGCCAACGGCTCCAAGTGCAAGTCGCCTTTACGCAATTCACAGGTCGCGGACGGACCGATTGCACCCCCAAATGCGCAGCCTCACATCCCTGAGCAAGCCCCTATCGGGAGCTGCTCGTTCAAACGCGTGTTGCACGCACACCACACCGTGGCCGGCTGCCTGCTAGCGGAGGATCAGACAGCAAGCACGGTCTGCATCCAAGCCGCCTGCTGCGAGGCCGGAGAATTACGGCTCGCTCACATGCCCTTGGCCATTACCCATCCGCCCGCTTTGGGGAATGCGGCGGCCTCTGCAACCCGTATCTAGGTTCACGAGCTAGGCCGCATGGGCTACCATCGTATTCTTCAGCGAGCGTAAGCGGAAAGGCGCGCGCAGGGTCCGACGAGCAGCCGGCTCTTGCTGATGGCGGCACGCCAAAACAAAGGCATCCCGCTCGCCCTCTGCCTGATTGGCGGCCGGGAGACGCCCTCCCGTGCGATGATGATGATGCTGGTGTCGGCGGCGGAAAGACAGCACCGAGGGCTGTCCGTCGTTGTTCACGACTCGCAGGCTCGCCCACGGCGCTGCACTAGGACAGCAGACGGCCGTGGTGAGCTTGCTTGCGCGCTCCAGGGCCGCCATGGTCGTTGGCCCGCGCTGCGGAACAAGCAGCAGCCCGCCTCTGCACCAGCGTCAGTGTCAGCGCACAGCGGGCGTTGCTCCCCACACTGTCAGAGGCACCCTGCCCCTCCCAAGCACACCCTAAAAGCAGCCTCGAGAAATGTCGAGCTAGCGGCGCCAGCGTCTACCCTGCACGCACTGTCCGGGGTCCGTGGTGGCGCTTGAACCAGCCTGCTACCTCTTGCCTTGGCTGCCAGCCTATGATGAAGTGCTGTGATCCACACGACGTAAACCAAAGCAGCCGAATTTAACACTCAGCATTCTCCCAATTGCTTGCCCGCTGATCACCATCACTGCTCCCCAAGGCTCACTCAATTATAAACCGTCTCTGACTACTGCGCCGCCGTCAGTCAATCGATACTCAATCAGTCCTCGCACACTGAATATCCTTTCTTCTTTGCTGCTGGTGTCCTTGTCGCTACCCGGCAACCTCATTCACCTTCTTCGCGCGACCTTCGGTCCGTCCCTGCGCCAGCAGTCGTCTGCTTCTCCACACTCTGCGCTGCACCTGAAACGCGCGTGCGCCTGCCATCCCGTCACGACATCCGCCAGGCCCAATCTTCGTGGCCCACAGCCACGGCACCTAACTGTCGACCGGTCCTGCGATCGGCATACCAAAGCGTCTATCATTACTCCTCCCGGCAGGCCTCTACACGGGTGCCCCCAGTGTCAGACCAAGTTCAAAAGGTCCGCAGATCCCACCACTGCGTGCCAGTGATCGTCTCTCCCCACGTTGCTTGACCCTCGAACCATCTTGTTTCAGCTGCTGGACTCTCTGGGCTGCGTGCGTTCACGATAGCCTCTTTGTCTGTTTGTACCTCCTTCACACCTCACCCTCAACCAACATCGTCCTCATCATGGCAATGGCAGTCGACAGTCGCCAACAGTCCCAACTCAACGGGATGAGCTACGACCCTCTGCGGTACCCGCAACCGCATTTCACCAACCCGTGGGTGTCTGCAGCGGGCCCCTCGCAGCAGCAGCTGTATCAGACCTCGATCGCACCCAATGTGTCAACTGGCCTTGAAAACCACGCATCGTCGCAGGCTCAAGCCATGCCACGCCCCACCAGCATTGCGATTCCGTATCACGGTCTCCCCTGTCTCAGCACCATCATTAGGATCAGGTATTGCTCTCCCGGATGGCTCGCTTTCAGCAGAAAACTTACTAGACATGTCGCAAGATCTACTATCGCGGAGTTACAATGGTGGCTATGGCACGACCACATCTGCACCCACAAATACGTACGCACCCACCTCGGCTCCTTACTCTCAAGTCGATTATGGAAGCACCGAAAGAGGCCCCTATGCATTCTCACAGGACACTTCCCGTCGTTCCTCTCATCCGTCAGTACCCTCAGCACCGTATATTGACAGCGCCATGGAATTGCAACGTCAACGCCAGAGTTCGTTAGTTGACTTTAGCAGTTTAAGCTCCCAACCGCCACGCAACAGCTTCAGCGATGCCCTCGACGCCAGTCGGGGTATGGTTTCCTTGAGCCAGTCTGATATCACCCCGAGGAATATCTACGGCACCCAAGGTTCCAGCCGGAGCTCAACCGACTCGTACGGCTTCCCGTCGACACACTCGGCGCATTCGTCCATCTCTGGAGCCAGCTATAATGGCACCAACTACTATGGCGGCGAGGGGTCTGTCACCGACTACAGCTCCGCCTCAGAGTCCGTCGACTTGACCCACTCACGAACACTACCGCGACCGAGCGCTCTCATGGGAGCAAACATCCCTCCGGCACCGCAATCTATGATGGGTCAGTTCAGCTCCAAGGTCTCGTCGAGCTCGCAGAAGAAGCACAAGTGCAAGATTTGCGATAAGAGGTTCACTCGCCCGAGCTCTCTGCAGACCCATATGTACAGCCACACTGGAGAGAAGCGTGAGTTTAATTGCCAGGAAAACATTATGCCTTAGGCTAACAGAAGGTAGCATTCGCCTGTGAAGTCGACGGCTGCGGTCGCCATTTTTCAGTCGTCTCGAACTTGAGGCGGCACCGCAAGGTACATAAAGGCGAGGCGCAAGATCATCCCTCACCCGATGACGCTTGAACCTGTCGATCACCAAATGATTGACACGCTGGTCCCGAGCGTAACACCATCTGGACCCTTTCAAGTTTTACATCACTGTTTGTTGATCTCTTCGTTTGCTCTGTGCATTTGAGATATCCACTGTCGCGATTTGGACAGCGCATCTGAGTTTCCTTCGGTTGGATGCTAGACGGGAGCTCTTCACGACAAAAGAGACGAATTTCTTCTACCAGTCGCTTTACCACCCGGTTCGAGTCATCTATTACCCCGACCTCCTCTGGCACTTGTCCAAGGAGGTCCTCGCGGCGTTCATCACGGAGTTTTGGTTTGCGCGATTACCCCTTAGTGAGCGATTTTCATCGTTCTCTTGTAAGAGTATGTGGTTTTGGGGGTTGGTTGTGTCTGCTTTTCCATGTTGTCGTTTCCTACATTTTCGGCTGCCATGTTGGCGTGGACTTATGGTCCGTCGCATGCGCCACGATCATTCACTACATACACTTTTAATGTTTTAGACTCTCGCTCGCACCGCCTCATCTATGTCATGAGGCGGTTGCATGACCATTGTACAGTACTACGGCTTGGGGAACATCGGAAACTATCAAGGACCTGCCATTAGGGAGTCCGCCTCGGAGGAGAGGCTTGTTGGAGGCTCTGTTTACAAGAGGGGGGATGCCCGCACTCGTTTCAGGCGAGCGAAAGCAGCGAGCAAAATGACGCAGTGTCCCCGGGGATACGGACAGAATAGAATGGTTTGGCACACGTTAGCCGCTCCTCTGGAATGTGAACACCAGTGACAGCATTGTGTCTCGGGCGGGTTGCGAGCGCCCACGCGCAGCGTCATCGTCATCGTCTGTCGCGTGCAGCGACCACCGGACAGCCCTCGCGAAAGCAAAGACAGCGCAACAATAACAAGACAGAGTGCCTGAGCGTCATTCGTCGAGGACGTCCTGGGATCCCGTCCGGCTGACGTAGGAGGCGTCGCTGGGCTTGGACCCTGGATCTGTCCAGCTAAACTCTCTTAGGCAATGTGCCGGGGTGCGGGTGGGGAGACGTTGGTCCGGTGCAACATGGCTTTCGCAGGGCCATGTTGCGATGTTACGTGCTGCGACGTCCGCTCCGGTGTCTGTCTCGAGAGACCAGAGATTGCCTACGGGAATGGAGGGTGAAGCATGCCGCCATGTCCAGTCGTCGGACAGCGCGTCTTACGCACTACGTCGGCTCGCCTTGCACAGCATCACAGCGCAACTTTTTCGGGAAGGGCTTGCGCGCGCTTACGTTTGTCCCCGTGCGACTGCTTAACCCTCGAGGTACACCGACCTGCATGTCGGACCGCAGTGCATCTGTCGGCGGGCCTAAGGAGCCATGTAAGCCAACGGCGCCCTGCTATTAGCAGCCATGGCGGGGTCCCTGATTCAGGCGGCGGAAGGCTGGCTGCTGTGCGAGATATGACGATGCACCGATGCTGTCATCGCTTCACCGCGCTTTCAACCACGAATACGCAGTGCGCTCCGCCGCTTTTGCCACTCCTCTCCACGCTCACTATACAATGCCCATTCATGTCCATAATACTCAAATACAAACAGTAGTATATTCAGGCAAGAGGGATGCAATCAGATCCCCGAGCAGCCCACCTCGCCACCTCGTTTACAGTACAACGGCACCGTCATCCAATTCAGCTGCCTCATCAATGCTCATGCTGCAATATGCGAGGATGCGAAGTTGCGATACCGTTACGGGGGTCCGACTCCCAACTCCTTTGGTTCGTCTCGTCTCGCATGCGCGCTTCGTTGGCTCAGCCAGCGCATCCGCACGTACCTTCCTCACCGGCTGCCGCTTGCATGCGCCCGGCGTCTCAGCTTGACGACCTGCGCAATATCGGACCCTGAATAATCTTCGTAACGCAGCCTGCCGTCCTGGCGGAGGCACATGGGCGTGCATGGCGTGTGGAAGCGAGCGTGATGCTTCTGGAAGAGAGGGGGTTGATTGGATCGCGGATTCATGTACTCGGTACTTCGACGCCAGGAGGTATCCTCTTCACGTCTTCACGTGAATGTGCAGTGCAGTGCAGTGCAGTACATGAAGTGAGGCAAATCAAATGTAGCACAGCAATGCGTTGCACTAAGCAAATCAAGTTGCTGGTAACTTTGCCCTAGACTTCCACTTTCACGTGGAGTGGAGCGTGTGGAGGGGCACGCGTAAACACCCCCACCGCCCACACACCTGACAAGACAACCCACCCACCCGCGCTTCATGCACGCTCTCCAACTCAAATAATCCCACCAGTCGACCTCAAAATAAGTCTTCCAAGACGCTGAGACCCCACCTTCGAAAAAACGGGGCGCATTGCACCGGACTGCCAACTTTATCTCGCATCGAGATGCTGTGACAATTATACCCCGCCATAGTGGAGTCGATCTTATCTCGCGTGCAGCTCGCCAACACCGCATCTCAACGCCATTGGCACGTGTGGGATGAAGGTCTATGTGGAGTACTCTACCGTGTACTGTATGTACTCTGGTACGCTTTCCCGCTCGCTTCGAATATGGAGTACTCTACCGTACGCGGTGCCCTTCGCTTCGAATATGAAACAGAAACCAACGCTGGGACGCGTAATGCTTTCTACCAAGAATCTCCCTTCTAAGGATGCTAGATGTGGTATCTCAATCGCGGAACTCCGAGGAAATAAACAACGCCAACGCCTCTGCTAAAAGCAAACGAATTCGGCGGACCGGTCAATGGAAGCACTTGGGGCTCCTCTATGCCGATGCTCTACTTTCTGGATGCTGTTGAGGGTCAATCAGCTACGCCTCGCCGTCCCTAGCCGTCGAGGCTGTACGTGATTTTGTGCCGCTTTGCAGACTTGGGGTCGTCGTCGTCGGGCGCCTTTTTCTTCTTGCTGCCACCGTTCCTGCTCGCTCCGTTGGACGTAGGCTGGCTCGACTCGCGTGTGGGGAAGGAAGACGTCGGCGTCTGGCCGTGTGAGGGCGTCGTCTGGTTCGAACCAGGAGTCGAGGATTCCTAATATCGAGCATGAGTCACTTCTGGCCGGGACAACGTAGGAGAGGCCGTCACTTACCCTCACGAAGGCGCTGGAGCTCCGGCTGAATATCCTGTCCGCATCGCTGATCTGAGCTTTCCGTCGAGTTGCCGTGCCTGTTGAGCTGGTGGTGGATACGGTGGCCGCGCCCTTGATGTAGTTGTCGAAACCTTTTATGATGTTTCCGGCGCTCGTCTCCTCGAGGTACTGCGTTTCGACGCGGAGGATGGTTGCTTCGAGTTGCTCCTATACAATCCAAGTAAGTATATGAAGGCACGCTGCTGGTATTAGATGCTATGTACCAGGTTGTGATCTATGGCGCGCTTTTTTTGGAGGGATTCCCGTAGGTCGCGTCGTAGTCGCTCGTAGTAGGGCATGCCGCGCGAAGCATCAGGCTGCGGGTTGCTGGCAGATGTGGGAGGCGCATTTTCCGCCATTGTGTCCTTTTATTCGAGATTGTTTGTGGTAGAGGTCCAAAGTGTTTCGAATGAGGCTGTCGCGGTCGCTGGGTGTTTGTCAATGTTTCTCTGGCAGTCGCGACTTCAACTGAGGTTCCAGTCCCAACGAACCAACGAAGCTTGGACCAACAGTGGCTCCGTGCTGCTGTATCTACAGCTTCCACAACTATTCGATTTCCACACGATCCCGCTTGCCTGCAAACCTTGACTCCGTCACCTGCGTGTGCTCGTTTGTATCAACCCGTCCTGCGCTACATAAGCCTGCATCTGCCGCAGACCTGCGCTGTTTGCACGCGACCACCCTGCCCCACATCATCAGGCTTCAACGTTTATGATTATGGATCACAAAGAAGTTGCGCTTCGCGGCAAAGCGATCAGCAAGGCCATCGAAGAGAAGGAACCTAGCGCATCGATTCTGAAGCTCCTGAACGAGCTGAAGGATGGTATCAGACCGACCGAGGACTTGCTACGTCAGACCAAAATCGGTGTCACAGTCAACAAACTGCGCCAACACGCCGACCCAACAGTCGCATCGCTCGCCACCCGCATGGTCTCAAAGTGGAGGGAAGACGTCAAGAACAGCAAGGGATCCGCCGCCCGACCGAAGCCTTCCGGCGCCTCAAATGGCACTTCATCTCCAGCGCCTGTTCCCTCGAAAACTGCGTCACCCGCACCTACGCCTGCGCCTGCGCCTAGCAAGGCAAAGCACGGCGTTGATCCGTCGAAGCGAAATCATAAGACGGACAGTGTCAAATATCAGGTGACAGGTGACGAGCAGCGGGATAACTGTGTTAGGCTGATGTACGACGGTCTGGCTTTTATGAGCGAAGAGCGTACGTACTGTCTAAGTGAATCAATTCGAACATATGCTAACGACTTCTGCAGTTCCAGCAGATATCCTCAAGAGTGCCCGCGCCGTAGAAAACGCCGTGTACGATGGCGCCGGCAGTCGCGTGAATGATCCCTACAAGCAAAAGATCAAGTCGCTCTTCTCCAACCTGAAGAACAAGTCCTCCGTCCACCTACGTAAGCGCGTTCAATCCGGCGAGATATCCGCCAAGCGCTTTGCCACAATGACGCATGAGGAGATGAAGTCGGACGAACGCAAGGAAGCCGACAAGAAGCTAGAGCGAGAGAATATGAACAATGCTATGGTCGCCCAGGTCGAAAAGTCCATTTCCAAGGAGTTCCAGTGCGGAAAGTGCAAGCAGCGTCAGGTCAGCTACAGCCAAGCGCAGACTAGAAGTGCCGATGAGCCTATGACGACCTTCTGCGAGTGCATGAACTGCGGCAATCGATGGAAGTTCTCTTAGATGGAAAATCTTTTCAGGGCCCGCTGGGGCGCGGTGTATGGGGGCTTGATATACGAGCCTCTTTCTGAAAATGAATTGGGTGCAGCGACTGGCGCAGAAGCAGGGCGCTTCATGGGACTTGGCGCATTCCGGGCATGTGGGCGGCGTCTTGAATTAATTGATCTTCGGATCTTGTATTTTTCTTCCTCGAGAGACTTGGAGTTGACGCGGCGGACGCTGACAGCCACCGATCTCTGGTACTGACATGTTATTTCCAAATAGGTTATGTCGAGCTTGGAGGCGAGTTGTAGTATATTGTACTGGTGTGTCAGCTTCTTCCACTGGCGAGCTTTGCCTCCGCTGGGAGTTGACGGTCGTCCGAGCTTGTGATTTCGGACTTCCGGCAGATCATTATAATCCAAGCAACGATGTCAGCGAGACCAGTCTATGTGACAAGTGATCGCTCAATGTTATCAAGGGTGAAGTTATATATTTTGTCACACCGTCGTAACGATTACGAGGATCTAAGCACTATGCACTTCCGCCATATATCAATCATGCAAGCATACGCAAACACAACTGTGAACAAGCATCGTCAGCCATAACATCAACGTTTCATGTAATAATCTCATATCAATCCCTATTGCAAAGTAAGAAACCACACCTCAGGCAACATCCACAAAAGCCCTTTTCTTCTTGCTCCCACCCTCCTCCGCTTTCTCCACGTCCTCCAGTCGCACGATACCCCTTTCGTCCACTCTTTCGCCCACAAACCGCAGAGCTGCCACATTGAACCCAATCAAGTCCTTATCCCCGCCCAGCGTCCTCCTCAGATCGTTTCTCATACTCTCCAGCACGCTCTTGAGTTCCCTCGAAGCAACAATCTGCCGCTGGTGCGTCTTCAGCATGAAGAACAGCACGCGGCAGGTGAGTGTGACGTTCCACCGTCGCTGCACCCAGATGGAGAGGAAGGTGAAGAGTGCGGGGAGGGAGGAGAAGGGCAGCACGAGGAGCGCGTCGTGCAGCTGGGCGGCGGGGATCTTGGACAGCGTGTTGAGGACGTGGCGCTCGGCGCTGACGTTATTGAGTGCGAGGAAGAGCGGGTTCCGCTGGGGTGGCGCGAGGGAAGGATTTGTTTGTTTCTGCTTGGTCCACGCGCGGACGAGATGCAGGTCTTCGAGGCCGAGGTCGAGCGCTTCTTGTATGCGTTCGCCGGCGGTGAGGGTAGAGGTTGTTTGCTTGGAGGCGGCGCCGACCTCGGGGGCTTCGGCGCCGTTGAGCAAGGGGTCTTCGTCTTCGAGGGAGGTCGCGAGCGTGTTTTCGTACAGCTCTTCGAGTTCCTTCTCGCGCTCTTCTTCGAGGAAAATGGGCTCGCCGGTCCGCGTCCAGATGCGCATGCTCTTGTCGTGACTAGCAGTCACAACGAAGTCGCCCGTGCGGCTCATAGCCATAGCCCAGATCTCGCCATGGTGGCCGCGCAGCTTCTGAATCTGCTCGAATTTGTCGGCATCCCAGGTCTTGAGAACGCGGTCTTTAGAGGCGCTGAAGAGAATGTGTTTCTCGTCGGCTTGTACGGGGTGCGGTATGAAGGCGACGTTAAGGATGGAGTCCTCGTGGGCGAAGAGCGCTTTGTGGCAGTCTCCAAAGTCGAGACCCCATATGCGAATGTTCTTGTCGGCGGAGGAGGTGGCGATTAGTTTGGAGTCGCTTGATATCGACATGTTTAGCACAGGGAGCTTGTGGCCATAGAGGTTCAGAAAGAGCTTCAGCGAGTCGACGAAGAAGACCTTGACGGTGTTGTCCATTGTGGCGACAGCGAGGAGGCGCGAGTCCGGCGAGAAGTGGACGTTGAGGACGTCGTCGTTCACCTTCAGGATGCGTGACTGAACGAGCTTGAGGCGTGGCATTGTGCGCTTTGTGCCAGGAATTTCCTCCTGCACGATCTCAAAGTCCCAGAACTTGACAGTCTTGTCTGCGCCTCCGGTGATGAGAGACTTGCCGTCGGGGTGCACTTGTAACGTCCAGACTGTGCCTTCGTGTGCGGGAATTTTGTCGAGCAGAGACGAAGCTGCGATGTCGTAGAGTTCAATGTCGCCGTCCTTGGTGCCGACTACGACAATTTTGTCTCCTGGCAGGAACGCCGCGCATAATGCCTTCCCACACTCCAGCGTACGAAGACAGTTTTGTGTTCGAACATTCCAGATCTTGAGTCCTCCATTCGCAGACTTGCCGCTCGAAGCAGAAGCTAGCATGCGATCATCTGAGCTTAGTGCTAACGCGCGAATATCTTGTCTGTGACCCCCGAGCTCGACGGACAATGTCCGATTGTATTCGGGCTCCTCTTCGCTCTTAGATTTTGACTTCTGTGGTATCTCATATACATCAAGAAGGTTACTGTCGGTCCCAACCAACAATTGTAGTTTTTTCGATCTGCCTTGCATCCACGAGATCGACCTGACTTTACCTCCACCAGGTGTTATCCGTACGGTGACATATGGAACGATAATGTCTCCTATCGCTGCATCTGCCAGGCTTACGTCTTCTTCCGCTTCCGGCACTTCACCATTCGCTTCGCTCTTTGCCTTTTCCCGCAGTCTCTTCCGTTTTCTCGACAGCGCTTTTTGAACTTCCTTTTCACTCCGTATCCGCCATAGTTCGACGGCTCTTTCTGAGCCATGCACAGCAATGTAATCAGACTTTGCGTGGTAGGCAATTCCAAGTGGCCGGTCCTTGCCCTGACGATATAGGGTGCCCCTCTCGTGTAAATAGCGCTGTTCCGCACCTTCACCGACGGATGAGGCCGCTTGCCCCAGACCGGCAAGATCAATGGTCCATATTCTCAGTTCTCCATCGTTCCCAGCAGTCATGCAACTGATACCGTCCAAAGACACTCCTAGCGCCCAGCACTCCCCGTTCGATTGTGCCACATGTGTTTCAATGCAATGCTGACTGTTCACATCCCAGATCTTTATTAGAGCGTCCTTGCTCGTAGAGAGCAGGAATGCTTGGTCTGTGTCCATCTCGGCATCTTCACCATCCGCCTCATCTTCCTGCGCTGCCTTTGTTGGGTGTAAAAATTGAAGTCCAGTAATTTCCCCCTTGTGCCCTCGAAGCTTGAACAGCCCGACTTCAGAAACCAAATCCCAGACGACAATGTCAGTGTCTTTTGAACCGCTGGCAAGGCGTACACCTGATCGGTCGAAGGCGAGCATAGTAACGGCCGACTTGTGTCCATTGAAGCTTATCACAACCGTTGCGGTCCTGGAATCCCATACTCTTATGCTTCCGTCTGCGTATCCCACAGCGAAGAGGTCTGTGTCCACGGTACTCCGACAGATTACTGTAACTTGTTCCGTGCATGATGCATCGCGCCATGTGCTCAGCAATTCGCCCTTCTTGACGTCCCAGCACAGCACTGCTTCATTTGCGGCTGCATATGCGCGGCCGGCGCCTGCGGATCGGCTGGACCCAGGTTGCGAGAGGCCTTCGGAGGTCCATACAATATTGGAGGTAGCGGTCGCGACGACACCGAAAGCATCCGTTTGCTCGTATTTACTGGTCTTGTTAGCTGCAGCTCTACTCTTCCGCAGGAAAGAGCGACTTACTTATACGTCTTAACCATGTTGCGCGAGGGAAAGAAACTGGGGTATCAAGAGGGAAAGAACAATGAAATAAATCGGCGACCGCACGATATCAGTCCTGCATCACCTTGGACGTCCAATGAATGTGCCACTTGGATTCGAGAGTTCTGTGAACTTTTTCTGAGGAAGCTCGAACTTTTGGCGAAAACCCCACAAGTGCAGCCACGCTAGCTGCGCCACAGCCCACTCGACGAACATCACACCTCCGACCTCCGCGCCAATTCACAGCTCCCCCGCCTTACGCCAGACCGACCGCCCAAACAACGAATAGGGACACCGGCAGCCATGCTTCTCCTCGACTACCAGAACGTCCTCATTGAATCGCTGCTAAGAGAGCGATTCACGGGGTGCGCAATGCCCCACCGAAGGAGCCTATGGATAGCTAGCTAACAGGTAGCAGCGGAGCACCCACCTCAATCGACCAGGTCGTGTCCGACTTCGACGGCGTTACATTCCACATCTCCACTCCCGAAACCAAGTCCAAGATCCTCGTTTCCATACATGTCAAGTGCTTCGCCGAGCTGGTCCAATACGGTGCCCAGGCTGTTCTAGAGCGCGAATATGGTCCCTACATCGTGGCCCCAGAGACGGGCTACGACTTTTCGGTGGAGGTAGACCTTGAGAACCTTCCGGAGGACCAGGGTAAGCTATGACCCAGACTGTATTGAATTCGGGTTTAACGTCATGCAGAAGGAAAGGATGACCTGGTCAAGAGCATATCACTGCTCAAGCGTAATGCTATGGCTGCACCGTTTGAGCAAGCTTTCGACGAGTTCCAGCACCTACAGGAGGAAGCTTCAAAATACACGTCCGAGTCAGCGCCACAGGGTGTCAAGGAGGGCGGCGAAGTGCGAGCGATCCACTACCGAGAAGAGGAAGCCATCTACATCAAGGCCAGCCACGACAGGGTTACTGTCATTTTCTCCACTGTATTCCGGGAAGAAACGGACAGAATCTTTGGCAAGGTCTTCCTGCAAGAATTCGTTGACGCCCGACGGAGAGCAATCCAGAATGCGCCGCAAGTACTGTTTAGGAACGATCCTCCGCTAGAGCTCCAAGGCATTCCGGGGGTGGACAACTCTGGTTCAGCTGAGATCGGCTACATTACCTTCGGTCAGTCCATGAGTGTCTTGATATGAGTTGTTACTGATTGAGACAGTTCTATTCCCTCGTCATCTCACAGCCCAGCGACGAGCAGACGTCATCTCACATATCCAAACCTTCCGCGACTACTTTCACTACCACATTAAAGCTTCCAAGGCCTATATTCACTCGAGAATGCGAAAGCGGACAGCCGACTTCCTGCAAGTTTTGCGCCGCGCTCGACCGGAGGCAGAGGAGAAGGAGCGCAAGACTGCAAGTGGACGCACGTTCAAGGTACAATCTTGAGAGCATACCTTTCGTAGCTTGAACTTAGTTTAATCGTGTCTGTATCGGGTGGCATCTAGATTGGGGAATTCAAGGAAGCACCGTGTACGCTCATGTGGTTCCGATTATGGAACCGCATGGACGGAAGAGGATGGATGCCTGTAAATGTCGGTAGTGCGATGTCAACAAAACCCTTATAGCGAATCAAAGAGAACATCACCTGAAACTCACCACCTCTTTCTAGCTGTTGCTTCCAGTATGCCACGGCAGCTCAGGGCGGTTGCCAGCGCTATCTCCTAGCGTGGAAGGCGGTGAAGGCGATCCCGGCAGAACTTTTTGGCGCCTCTCCGGTTGCCTCTCACCCCTCTTCGCTTGCAGCGCCTCCCATTACCACGGCATGTTATGATACGATCTTCTCTCCGCAACTTCGTAAGAGCTATGGCTTCTCCAGATCCAAAGCGCGTCCCAATTCCCCGAAATGGCGTTGACTACCGCGGAAAAGTGGTTCTTGCGCCCATGGTGCGCTCAGGCGAATTGCCATCGCGGCTACTGGCGCTGAAATACGGCGCAGACTTGGTATGGGGTACGTCGCATATGGCTAAAATTGTTCTCGACTTCTTCTAACGACGGTTTAAGGCCCAGAAACCATCGATCGCGCCCTCATAGGCACCACTCGCCACGTGAACCCGCACACCTCTACCATCGAATTCACACGCCTGCCTACGTCGAAAGTGAGAAATCCTGCGCTCGACCCTGAGATGCGCGAAAGCGTCATATACCGCATACACCCCGAGCTCGAGAAGGGCAAGCTCATCTACCAAATTGGAAGCGCAAACCCGGAGCTCGCTGTTCAAGCCGCAAAGCTAGTTGCGCCGGATGTCGCTGGAATAGATCTGAACTCTGGGTGTCCAAAGCCATTCTCAACAGCTGGCGGAATGGGTGCTGCGCTGCTCAAGACTCCGGACTTGCTTTGCAATATCCTGACGAGCCTGGTTGAAGAGGTGGGCAAGCCGTTTGAGATTGGGATTAGCGTGAAGATTCGAATTTTGGACAAGCAGGAGGACACAGAAGCGTTGGTGAAGAGACTGGTGAAGACGGGCATCACAGGCTTGACCGTGCACTGCCGTACGACACCTATGCGGCCTAGGGAGAGGGCCATCAGAGATCAGCTGAAGATGGTGGGCGACATTTGCAGAGAAGCAGGTGTTGCCTGCTTGATGAACGGCGATGTAACATCAAGAACCGAAGCACTCAAGCTTGCCGAGGAATTCGGCGTCGACGGCGGAATGATTGCGACTGAAGCAGAGAAGAACCCGAGCTGCTTCAGGCCAGACGCAGAAGGAGGACCGCACGAGTGGCGATCGCAGTGGAAGACGGTGGTCACGGAGTACATGCGTTTCGCGCTGCAGGTCGAGAACCGCTGGGGCAACACGAAGTATTTGCTCGGTCAGATGATACCTGGAAAGGACAAGTGCTATCAGGCTATGAACAAGGCCAAGTGCTATGCAGATGTCATCCAAGCTTTGGGCCTGCAGGATGTGGATAATCTACTTGAAGACGCAAAAACAGTGGACGAGCATTTGGGCATACCACCTCAGGAATCGAGGGCTTCAAAAAGAGCAAGAGTGAAGGAGGCGAAGCCCGAAAATGAGAAGAAACAGGCACATGAGCAAAAAGAGAAGCGAAGAGCAGACGCGGAGAACGACCAGGCAGCAAAACGGGTTAAACTTCCCGAGGCGCCAGCAGAACTCGCGGTCCTGCCGCAGGAATCATCTGCTCCTGCGGCGTTGAGCGTATAGTTATCTCAGTAGTGTGAAGGGGAGGGAATCTGTTTCTGCATAGCATGGGTAGGGACGTGCGGCGTACATGATGGGTTGTTATTTACTATACGAGTTCGGAGAACTCAATGACCTATCCCATAGCAATCACTTGAAGATCAATGGTTCACACAGCATTTTCGCGGAAGTAGACTAGAACTTCGAATTTGATATAATCCATGTCACTCCATGATAGTGGCTCTCCAATACAACGAGGCCATATCATCACATCACAATTGAAAGCTTATCGATCGACCTTGACATCGTACGCGGTGTATCATTTCCACATCGAACGAACGGACCAACGTCCGTCCTTGCTATGAACATTATCCACATCGCAATGCAACGCAACGCAATGCAATGCAATGCCAGCCCATGCCAACGCGTAAAAGTATGCCCATGCAAGCGCTGCTCCATGCACGCAGACAACCCTACCACAAAGTACACCGTGCAGTAGGGATTATACACAAAACCATCTCCGCCCCCCGCCCAAACGTAGATACAGACGCAGTCCTAGAAAAAGGGCATGCGTGAATGTGAGTGATGTGGTAATGGAATGAAGCGCTGAGGGAATCACCGACTACTACAGATGGAACGTCGACTTCTTCCGTCCTAGACTGAACCTGTTCTTCTTTTCCTTTTCTCCCGGTGTGCTATGCGGCGTCTGTTCCGCTTCTGTCACGCCCGGCGTACTTGGCATCTCCGGCTCGTCCTTCTTCTCCTCTTTTCCTCCCGACCAGAACTTCGGCTTGTGTCTCAGACTCATGCTAGTATGTCTGAACCTGCTGAGGCCGCTGCCCTTGCTAATGCTGCCGAGCCCATTCGCGGGCTTCTCCTTTTCGTGGGTATCAGTGCCGCTATCTGTGCCGCGTTTCTTGGACTCTTCTGTTGCTGTGTCGCGCGATGCGGCGAGGGCCGCTCGCAGGTCGTCCTCTTGCTTGCGGTACATGTCTCGGCGCTGAATTTCGAGTTCTTTGCGCTTGGCTTTGGCTTGTTTTTCGAGTTCTTTCTCCATGGCTTTGCGCTCCTTCTCTTCCTTGACCTTTTCCGCCTTCTCTTTCTTGGACGCTAAGTTGCTTTGCCGCTTACCTAGTATTGGTATGCTCGTCGTGATGTGATCTAAGGTGTTATTGTGGTCGGATGTGGGAAGAGGTGGTGCTGTCGCAGCGTGGTCGAGACTTGCGAACTGATCGTCCTTTTCTACGGTTGGTGTTGTTGCGAGATTGTGGATGATGCCGTGGCCGTTCGCGAGACCATGGCCATTCGCCTTGGGCGTCGTGACAGAGACAGGCTCGACGTTAACCTCTGCTGCCTGCTTTGCGGCTGCCAGGCTCTCCTCCTCCTGCTCCTTCATCATCGCCTCTTCTGTTGTCTCCTGGTAGAAAAGTACGTATGCGCATGCCAGCTGGTCTTCGCCTCCAAAGAAGCGGCGCACGTACGCCTTGTCCACCGGCTCCACCATCTCATCGTCAAAAAGAAGCCAACCGCGATCCTGTGTCTTTATTATCGATACATAGTGTCCGTGATACGGGCCACCTCCAATGTGGACTACTATGGCGTAAAGCTCGTAGAGTCGATCGGGATCTTCCGCATCGTCTGTTGTATTGAACAACCGGAGGTAATATGGATACACAACGCGATGGAAGAGCTTTTGTAATCGTTGTAGGTCTTCGGTGTACTTGAAGCGCTTGAGATGTAAGGCGAGGATCTTTGGGAGTCTCTTGATCTTCATTCGTTTTTCAGCCTCCTGCAAGCCACCGCACTTGTCGCAGTGGAATTTGTTTCGTTCGCAAAGCATTTCTTCTTCGGAAAACTTCCGCAAGCAGCTCGTTACCGATGAATGTTGCTCCAAGTCCACCGACAAATCTAGGAACGCCTCATCTCGCTGAGAAGTGTTTTCGCAGGTCAAACATCGTGTCTCGGACGTAAGCGTGCCTTCGAACAGTTCGTGTACCCAGCCGATGTTGCTTGAGGCAGTCGCGTCTACTACGGCGTTGGATTGGGGTATGACAGCGTTAGTATCCTTGTCCTCTATCTCATGCACCCGCGTTTTCGAAAAGTGCTCCACATTTTCCACCACTTCGTTTAGCAACAAGTTTAGGAACTCATGCGCGTCTTGGTGCATCGGCGTTCGGAACATTTCGTTCTCGCGCCGCAAAATCTCTAGGAACTTGTGTGGGCTGACCACGCCGATGTGCGACCTGTGAGCTATTACTGCCTCAAATATGTCCTTTAGCGCGCTGAACAATGATTCCGACATGCCGTAGGCCTTGGAGTTCTCATAGTCCATGCTTAGTACCGGACCCGCCGCCAATGCCTGCTTCTTTTTGTACTCGGGCGAATCTTTGTTGTCCTCTGGCTTGGGAGGTTGGCCCGGGATCACAGTACCGCCGGGCGTGATTGTGGACTTTCTTGGTGAAGCCGTAGCGGGTGTAGAGAAGGAATTCCTCCCTTTCGGGGAGAGAGTCGAGTTCTGCGCATTTGTGTCGGGAGAAAGGTTCGTGTTCAGCCGCGGTAATGGTCCTGATGCTGGTCTTTCGAGAGCTTCTGGCGGGGATCTGGAAGGGAAGTTGATGACTTGTTCTCGAAAAGGTACCGAGTAGTAGAGACATTGCACGATGGAATTGCAGTAGCTGGTAATGTGTGAGTTTGGCCATGCCAGAGGGGTTGGACAGAGTGCGATTACCATGTGCTTCCAAACTGTGGGCTCAATTAGTAACCAAGTCGCGGAGCAGGGCGCACAGATCTACACACATTCTCGAAGCCAAAAAACTTGTCGCTGCCATCGGCGCGCACAGGGCCCGCGTCCTGTAGCAGCTTCTCGAGAGGCGTCAACTGTGGGGCATTCGGGTCCTTCTTCGCTGGAGGCGCGCTTGAAGCTGGACTGGCGGGACCCTACAGCGCAAAGTATCAGCCATTGTTCCACGGCGCACACATGCAGGAGCGCGCGTCACTCACAGTCCCCGACTTGAGCCGCCCAAAGAATGAAGTCATGGCGGGGTAGGGGTTGAGCAGTGGGCGGAGGGTGGAGGGTGGAGGGCGGAGGTGGAGGCGAGGCGCCGAGCGTGCCTTGTACGCGGGGGTTTACGGCAGGTGCTGCTGGTGGTGGGACGGAAGGAGCGTTGGGGAAGGTCCCAAGCGTGGCCAGCTTTTCACGATCATGGAGAAAGATGGAGAGACGGCATGCGGCAGAGCGAAGTCCAGAAGGCTGTTTGGTCCGTGGCTAAGAATACGCCCCGGGGAGCGCGACATTCCAAGCGAACGGGTAGCGGTTCTGGTTTAGCAGCTAGCCCGACCCCAAAGGGTGGATGCCCTCCGGTGGGTTAACTCCGCTTCCTGCTTCCTGGACGGCAGCCCACTCGGCACCCGGCACCAGGCACCGCGCTGGGAGGGCCATGATGCCATCGTCGTTGCTGCAGCCCTACTGTCGCCAGCACACCGATCGTCGCAGCACAAACGGCTGCCGTTTGCTTCGTCGTTTGCAAGGCCCGCCGCCGCAGGATGTGGAGGAGGATCGAGGGCCCAGGGCTAAACTCCACCACTCATGCACCCTCTCCGCGCAGAGCTCCAGACGCCTGCATCGCACGCATGTGGCGTGGCTAGCACGAACGGCCCTTTTGCTTCTTCAGGGCTCGCACATCACGCGACAAGGCACACACGCAACGTGCGCCTATTGTGCACCACTGACTCGATTGCTTTACATCAAGTACAACAACACGCGGCGGCTTCCACGCCATCCTCTCACGCGCAAGCGGCAAATGCGCCCCTCGCATTCGCACTATGGACCGTGATGCACGTCACACCGTCATGACATGCATGCACGCTTGAGTCCGCCCGCCCGACTCAAAGTGGCATGTCTGGAGAACCTTGCGCCGTAAAAGAATATGCTCGATAAAATACATTGTCAGCCCCCAACACCCGATGCCCTGGGTATGTTTGACGCCCGCGAAAATGCAATGTGAACGGCCGAACAAATACACTAGAAGAAGTAAAACTCGTCGTCTATAGTCGTCGCAGCCGCTTCGCTGCGCCGAGCTCGATCGCGGTGCGGCCGTTGAGGATCGTGTCTTCGCTGCCATCTGCTGGAGGATGGGCTTGGATATAGTCCCGCCGGATACGTGCTGCCTCCTCGTCCCATTTAGCTACCCGATCCTTGAATGTTGCTGCATTCGCTGCAGCGTCATCTTTCGCGCTCTGTGTCTGGTCCAAATAAGGCTTCTTGATCTCCTCACTGTCTGTTCGCCACCTGAGACCGAGCGCAGTGCGGATCTCCGTCTTCGAAGCTTTCGCGTGGGCATCGCCAGTAGCCGCTCTTTTCTTCTCGTCGCATTCTTTCTTACAGATGTACCAGTAGTCCTTCGTGTAGAGCAGGAAAGGATTGACGCCGGCGCGTCCGGGCTTGAGGGGGCGTTCACCCAGCTTCTCGAGGATCTCTCCTATGATCGAAGCCTCGTACTCCTCGTCGTACTTTGAATCCTGCTTTCTAGGCTGTGGTTCGACCAATTCTTGCTCGACTTTGCGTTTTGACTCTGTCGTCAACGTAGGATGGCCTACCGGTTGTTCGGGTTTCGCCTTCTTCTCTATGAGCGGGCTAGGAACCTTGATAGGCCCGACCATTGACTCTATCACTTCGGCGGCGGCGCGTAAGCCAGACAAGTACGCGCCGTGCACTGTTGCAGGATGTGTGCCACATGTAGCTTCGCCAGCAAAGTGTAACGGACCATGAGGCCGGGCCATAACATCATAGTCGCCTGCTTGTGTCTGTGGTCCTACGAACGAATAACTCCCGCGAGCAAAAGGATCCTTGCGCCAGCGTGTGACGATCGTCTCAGTCGGAAGTGGTACATGGCTGGGAGCGAACATCTTGTCCAGACGATCTGTGACCTCCTTGACGAGTTGATCGTTTGAAGTTGCCTCCGCATAGTGAGCTGCTTCTCCGGCCATGAGAGCGACCAATGTGGGCTTGCCGCTGGTCTTGATACAGTTCCAGAAAAGGTAATATCGACCTCTGCGTCGAGCATAGTCTTCTGGATTGAGACTTGCCTGGTGTTCTGCCTCGTTCAATAGACCAAACATATCGCGATCGGGTTCCCAGAAGGCCTGGTCGTATACTAGAATAACCTGAACACATGTTAGAGAGATTCCCGAGGTCCAGTTACCGTTCCTTTCCGCACATACCTTATTGAGGAGTCCGAAGCCCATGCGTTCTATCACTCCCTGCTTCCAGTCCGGCAGCGGAGGTTGGAAAGTGATAGAGCCAGACTTCAAGACACCAAGCGGGGTTGTGAGCACGAGTTGATCTGCCTCCAATATCTCGCCATTGGTGCATTCGACCCTCACAGCTTTGCCAATCTGCCTTTCGTCAAGATTGTAGTGCACAGATTTTAGCACCGTTTTGAAGCGAACGTCTAGTTTGGTCGGGCACTGCCACAATCCGCGCGGCACCTGCTGATAACCTCCAATAATCTCGGTGTGTTGTCCCTCAAACTCGTTCCCGATATCCTGATCCCATCCACTGAGGCTCAGCTGGTTGACGCTTGCGGCGTTAGCGTATTCTAGGTTTGCATGATGCCAATTCAGAAGCCGGAGGTCTCTCGGTCGTATATCTAGTACTTTCTGATACTGTTTGATACCCTCATCCATCGTCTGTCCGAGTGTTGGGTATGCAGATGCTTTGGCGATGGAATCCAGTTCCAAAGACTGGACGACTGGTGTATCAGCTTTTACAGACCAACCCATGTTCTTGATAGCTTGTGTGGCGGATATGTTCGGGTTGAAGCCTGCGCTGAGCTGATATGCTCGGCCTGCCAGCTTTTCAACCCCAGTCGATGGCTTTTCTTCTGTCGTTGACGCTGTGTTCGTTGCGTGCGCAGGTAAGGGCGCGTCGGAGTGTTCGAGTTCGGCAATGGTTGCTTCGCCGTTATCGCTCGGTTCGCGTCCGAACAATATGAGGTTCCGATCGCCTTCGACCGTGCGGAAAGTTGCAGGTTTGTTACGATAGACGCTCGCGCGTTCTAAAACGTCATTATATAACTTCTCCACCAGCAGGTCTTGGCTTCTCTCCACTACTGTACCATCATAGTCGTACAGTATAGTATTGTCACGTAATGCATGATATGGTATTCCTAACTGTCCGCGTATAATGGCGTTCAGCGGATTACCGTGTTCGAACCCGGTGACAATCTGCGCGCCCATCTCAGCAGTACAACGATGTCCAGGTGGTAGGGTTGATCCGGTTTGGTTGAGAAATGGATGTGAGTACACGCGACCCCCAATGCGTGGTCGACCCTCTAGTACAATGACTCTCGGAGGTCTTTCGCCTTCATTGACCCATAAATCGCCAAGTTGAGCGAACAGGGCTTCCAGATGCCGCGCGCATCCAAGACCAGACATGCCGGCACCCACAACAACGATTGTCCGCCTTGCACCTCGTTTGACTTTCGTATTTGATGCGATGGTAGCAGTGTTCGGCACTTCGATGCAGCCGAAATTGATATAACCGTTCCGCATGAGCCATGCGTATGCGAGCTTGGCTAGGTTAAAGTAACGTTTATCTCGTGCGCAGCCAACAGCTTCTTCCAAGCTCACATACACCATTGGATTCTTAGTCCATATGCGAAGTATTGCATTGCGAATATTGAGGTAGATGGTAACTTGCGCGTGAGTGACGTGGTTCCGTAATAGCTGGTATTCTCCGGGATGAAGGGCAAAAGGATTGAGTCGTGAGCTTTCGGCTGCCAGTATGCATTGCCTTCCGAACTCCCCCCAAGAGAGCGCGGCCGGAATAGAGCTATTTGCTTTGAACTCAGCAGCCTTGCTTTTGGTTGGGCTATATGTTCGTGATTTACGCATACCGTCACGTTCCTGTGACTGAGGAAGCTCAGGGGTAGATGAGGCTTTCGGTGTTCCATTAAGGGATCGAGGGGTCGCTGCCATTGAGACTGGAGTGCGTGGGATATTCTTGGATTGATTCATAGTTGTGTCCGGTATCGAGCCCCTAACGTGTGGATGCATGCCTTGTCCATTCACCTTTGTGATCTTGTTATGATGGAAGTCCATTGCGCTATCGCTCGTTTCTGATGTTCGAAGCGGATGGGGATGGTGAAGATGTAACGTGGAGACGTGAGTGCCATCGTAGCCATGACCGTTGATATATCCACTCGACGCAGAACTATCGCGTTCATCTCTGCCATTGATATGGCTCCCGCTTGATTCAGACATATCATGTGTATCCCCGTGGTGCACGGACGATGTGGTTGATTCGGTATAGTGGAGGTTATCATGCGCCGCCGGCATGACCGTAGAGTCTTCGTCTTTCACACCATCTTGGGTCAGCGGCATCGATAGAATACCATTGTGTGCATCGCCGAAGAGATAGTGACTATCATCGAGCCCATCCGCATCGGTCATGGCGGCGAGCGAAGAGTACATTGTGGCTGATGAAACGGCATATGAATTGATAGTGGCCACTGCTGGATCGAAGACAACAATGGCCTATGCACAGCGGCGTGGAAAAATGGAGGAAAGGCCGAGGCACGCCGTGCGGCTGGTTGGAGCATGGATCTCCTGTCTTGGTTCTGTGAACGATGAGTGGTTCGATGGGTGAGGGAGCAGGACGATGGCTTGCTCTCAGATTCGAACTTCCACGCTAGCCGTGTTTGGCCTTGCAAAGCCGTTCTCTGGTCCCTGCGCCCTCGAACCTCCCAACCCATCTGCCTATCACTGACCTGCTCCGTTTTCATTCGGGTCGCAATCGTCTCTGAAGTGTAATCACATTCACTTCCAGTTCTTCGCTAAACTCTTGAAGCAGTAATGCGGTCGCCATGAGTCCGCAGCTGGTCACTGAGGGCTTGCCCCACCCTAAAGAGACAACAGTAATATCACGCTCGCCCGACATCGGATGATCTCCTGAATGATCACACCATCGAGAGGACGAAGAACAATTGGAAGTCAGATACCTATAACAAGCATGAGGCTGAGACAGCTGGACAAAGAGGTGCTACTGCTTTTACACGATCGTGGAGTAACATAGAAGGGCAACACCATCTCGCTTACAGCTCACTCTGCCTGTATCCGGGTGAGTGATCATATCACCAAGGTATCATGTCCCCGCCCAAACCTAAAGACCTCGAAGCTGATGTTGATTAGATCAAGCCTTTGGTAAATTTCAACTCCTTTCATCGAAGTAACCGATCGTCTCTCTATGGGGGTGACAGCTATAGCATGTATGGATCATTGAATCACGAAACGTTTCGCCGATGACGAAAATACTCTGTGACTTGGTGCGGTTGATCCATAGGCAGCTTCGCATGCAGCGAACGGCGAATCCGCCAAGGGTAACAATGACACTATTCGGCCTCCACACAAACCTTGTCGAAGGTATGCGGGTCATCTTAGACGGTCAGACCCTCATAAACTCTTGACGTATCCCACGGTACGCGCAGCTTCTTGCGAAGGCAGTAGATGCATATGATACCGGAATTCCAGTCGGATGCGCTTGGACTCCATGATTGCACTCAAGAAATGCTTGAAACTCGGAGGAACACCAAGATCATATGTGAACTTGCTTCAATCTTGATGTAGCTAGTATTGCACAATCGCTGTCTATCAGCGAAGTGGTTTTAACAGTGTAGCCTCGCCGCCTGAGAAGTTTTTAGTCTTGGCTATTGATGGCTCGAATCATGGCTGCAGTGAGAATTCAGAGACCGATACAAATTCTTAAATCCTTTTAAAGATTGTGTGAATTGTTGTTCCATCGGCACCCATTTTATGATTAAGGCTGGTTGGACGAGACATCCAATCTGTTGCTCGCTACCTCCGAGGTCCGATGCGCTTGGGCCAATATCGTCAAGTGCTCCACGCGCCAACTTTGCGGAGCTCGGGGACTCCACTTTTCAACAAACAAACAACCGCGACGATATATTCTCGCAGGCCCAACGATGCCATGGCCCTGGTCGGGCGGCGACGATGATGACGACGAGAAGAAGACCAATGTCTCCGCCCGCATTGCAAAGCTCCAGTCAGATGATTGGGCGAGTGCGCTTACTGATCCCGCGACAATTGGCACATCGCTTGCGTTGACAGCTTCCACTGTAGCAGCTCTACGATTCTACAAATCCTACTTGCGCCGCATACCAAGCGTGAACCACATTAAGCCAAATTACTTCCGACGAAGAAGCCTGTTCGGTCAAGTCACCAGTGTCGGTGATGCAGACAACTTCAGGCTGTTCCACACACCGGGTGGGAGGGTAGCTGGATGGGGCTGGTTACCCTGGAAGAAAGTACCCACGACGCGCGAAGGATTGGCAAAGAATACTGTATGTTACACGTTGCAAGATCCGCCACAACACTTGCCTTTTGTCCCCTCATACTAATGCGATGATAGATACACGTCCGCATTGCTGGTGTGGATGCACCCGAACTGGCTCACTGGGGCAGAGAAGCACAGCCATATTCTCAAGAAGCGCTAGACTGGCTCACAGCATATATTCATAACCGACGTGTTCGAGTGCACATATTCAGACGCGACCAGTACGACAGGGTTGTGGCTCAGGTCACTGTGCGCAGGTGGTTTCGTAACAAAGACGTCGGACTAGAGATGTTAAAGAATGGGCTAGCCACTGTCTATGAAGCGAAGACAGGGTCTGAGTTTGGAACGTCCGAACAAAAATACCGTGACGCCCAGAAGAAGGCCGAAGAGCAAAAGGTCGGCATGTGGACGAAGCCGAACCTCCTTGGACGATTACGAGGCGAGACTGCGAAGAAGGCAGAAACGCCAAGGGAATACAAACAGAGGCATGCGGCAGCTGAGAAGCAGAAGAAGACAGGGTGACGGCAGTATCCGGGACAGAGGATGGAAATGTACAGTCATATGCGCGAGATACCCGCGGTCTTGGCGCTCGTTCCGATTGATATACCGTAACGGTATATTTTGCAATCGAAGGAGAAGGCCGCCGTGGAGAAATAGAGTACCAAGATACCTGCACATGTATATTGCCGGGTGTGGGCCTTGAACATATATTGAACAAGTAGCATGGATATGCTATTCGGATAGTATTACCAAACTTGTAAAGACCTCGCATCTAAGTTGCGTACGTGATGTATGTTCAGGATGCATCTAACCAGATACGACTGTGAGACACTTGACTGAACGACCCAAGCAACAGTCACTGCTGCCGCAGGCTTGGGCTGGTGGTCCGCACGGTTTGAGTCAGAGGGACGAAATTTGCGCGCGGCTTGTGACGGATTGTAGATCTAGCTGTAGCATGAAGCCTGTGAATGACTAGAATCTTGGACCAATCCCATGCAGTGTGACGATGGTTCAGACCCGTTTAGATTTTTTTCGTCCCAAGCACGCATCGGCGCCGGTTATCGGTCCTCCGCAAAGTAGAGTTCGAACGTAGAAATCGTACGATACGGTGATGCGGATTGTTCGTGGCTGTAATATCCTAAAATTACCTTTTCTACACATAGCTCAAGATACATCAACGTGAAGTACACCAGGTACTTATTATCATATTCGCGCGCGTCGAGCAACTGGCGTAGTCACTGACCGCCTTCGATAGCCCCAGATGCCCTTATCAGACCCATGCCATCGGCCCGACGGCTCCAGGGCTCAACGAATCACTGCAAAGCGCGCGACAGCTATCCTCCCCGCAAAATAAATTTCACGAGCACCTCGTGGAGGTGCATTCTGACTCTTCACGACAGAGCTCAAGCTCCAGCGACTTTCAATTGCACCAGGAGGCTTTGGACCAGCCTATTGCCCGCGCACCTGCTGCCTTTGTTCCTTCCGTGCGGCCTCAATAGAGCTTTAAGCTTCAAGCTTCGCTGGTGCTTGCCTGCCTGCCATGGCTCTCTGCGGGCGTCTGGCACGTCGCGCGCCAGCATTTTCAGGCCAATTCCGCGCGCTTGCATCTCCGGCGACCTCGCGATCTTTCGTCTCGCGGGCCTCCAGGCCTCTGGCTTCCCTCAGGCCGTCCAATGACTCAACGAGCGCATACCGACAGCAGCTGCGAGCATTCACCAAGATCCATGCAACATGGAACCAGACACAAGAGGCACCAAATGCGCAAGCCTACCTGAACAGCGGCGCGATTGCTGGAGCTCGTGACCTCGTCGATGTCAAGAAAGTCCTAGTCATCGGCAGTGGAGGTCTTAGCATTGGGCAGGCGGGAGAGTTTGACTACTCTGGTATGACATGAAAATCACAATAGCTAATTGATGAATACTAATTCCTCGCAAAGGCTCGCAGGCTCTGAAGGCTCTCAAAGAAGCGGGCGTTCAATCCGTGCTCGTCAACCCCAACATTGCGACTATCCAAACGTCGCACGTGCTCGCCGATGAAATTTACTACCTGCCTGTTACCCCCGAATACGTCGAATATGTGATCCAGAAGGAGAAGCCAGACGGTATCTTCCTCAGCTTCGGTGGTCAGACTGCCTTGAACTTGGGAGTGCAAATGAACAAGAAGGGCATCTTCGAGAAGTATGGCGTCAAAGTCTTGGGAACAACCATCAAGACGCTCGAGACCAGTGAGGACCGTGACTTGTTCGCACGTGCCCTAGACGAGATCGATATTCCCATCGCCAAGTCCATCGCTGTCAACTCGGTCGAGGAAGCTCTCGATGCTGCTGAGAAGGTCGGATACCCCATCATTGTGCGCGCTGCGTATGCGCTTGGTGGTCTTGGTTCTGGCTTTGCGAATAACGCAGATGAGCTCAGGAACTTGTCTGCTCGTTCTCTTTCTCTGTCTCCTCAGATCTTGGTCGAGAAATCGCTCAAGGGCTGGAAGGAGGCCGAGTACGAGGTGGTCCGCGATGCGGCGGATAACTGCATCACGGTCTGCAACATGGAGAACTTCGACCCTCTAGGAGTACACACAGGTGACAGTATCGTCGTTTCCCCCAGTCAAACGTTCAGCGACGAGGAGTACCACATGCTTCGGTCTGCCTCTATCAAGATTGTGCGCCACTTGGGTGTAGTGGGTGAATGCAACGTCCAGTACTGCCTGCAGCCCGATGGTCTGGACTACAGGGTTATTGAGGTCAACGCTCGTCTTTCTCGTTCATCCGCCCTGGCTTCCAAAGCGACCGGATATCCTTTGGCCTACACTGCTGCGAAGATTGGTCTTGGCCACACCCTGCCCGAACTCCCCAACGCAGTCACGAAGACGACGACCGCCAACTTCGAACCCAGTCTCGACTATGTGGTCACGAAGATGCCTAGGTGGGATCTGGCCAAGTTCCAGAACGTCAAGCGCGACATTGGCAGTTCAATGAAGTCTGTCGGAGAGGTTATGGCTATTGGACGTACCTTCGAGGAGTCTTTCCAGAAGGCTTGCCGACAGGTCGACCCCAAGTTCCTCGGTTTCCAGGCAGAAAAATACGGCGAGAACCTCGACGATGAACTCGCGAACCCTACCGACCGCCGATGGCTCGCAGTTGGCCAGGCTATGTTCCACGAGGGTTACTCTGTCGACAGGATTCACGAGCTGACCAAAATCGACAAGTGGTTCCTCCACAAGCTGATGAACATTGTGGAGTGCACTCAGGAGCTTGAGGAGATTGGCAGCCTCTTCGGCCTGAAGAAGGAGATCATCCTCAAGGCCAAGAAGCTCGGTTTCTCCGACAAGCAGATCGCCAAGGCTGTCAACAGCACCGAGAACGAAGTCCGCGCCCGCAGGAAGAGCTTCGGTATCAAGCCATGGGTGAAGAGGATCGATACTCTTGCTGCTGAGTTCCCCGCGGCGACCAATTATTTAGTACGTGCTCCCCTATCTTAACTGGATTGTTTCATTCTGACTGCCCATCTAGTACACGACCTACAACGCCTCTTCGCACGATGTGACCTTCGATGACCATGGTATTCTAGTGCTCGGTAGCGGTGTATACCGTATTGGTAGCTCCGTCGAGTTCGATTGGTGTGCTGTCAACGCTACCCGCTCGTTGAATGCACTTGGCAAGAAGACTGTCATGATCAACTACAACGTAAGTTTCATCCTTCAAGATTTCGAGTGCTCTGTGTTACCCCAGGATGGGCTATACAGAAACCGAAACTTTCAAAATCTTGAGCAATTTCTTCTATCATTCTGATTCATGCTAACATGGTCACCTAGCCCGAGACCTACTCGTAAGCATACCCTCCCGTTGTCGCATAAGGCACTGTGTTACCCCAGGGTGCACAATGCAGAAGCAGCTAGTATCTTGACATGTACACTGCGCTCTATCACCCGTGATGAGCTGATCCACCGCTTGACTGCATTTTCTGTCATCCCCTGCATATTGTAGGGTATGCTAATGTTTCACAGGACCGATTTCGATGTTGCCGACAAGCTGTACTTTGAAGAACTTAGCTACGAGCGTGTCATGGATATCTACGAGTTGGAGACCGCCAGCGGTGTTGTCGTTTCTGTCGGAGGCCAACTGCCCCAGAACATTGCCCTCAAGCTCCAAGAAGATGGTACGTACATTCCCAAACCTGAAGAACAGATGGTAGCTGACTTCTTTTAAGGCAAGGCGAAAGTACTAGGTACTGATCCTGCCGATATCGACAAGGCCGAGGACCGTCACAAGTTCTCCTCCATCCTGGACTCAATAGGCGTGGATCAGCCGGCCTGGAAGGAGCTCAACTCCTATGAAGACGCCAAGAAGTTTGTTGAAAGCGTTGGATACCCCGTGCTCGTCCGTCCTTCTTACGTCCTTTCTGGTGCCGCTATGACTGTCATCCGCAGCGAGGGTGAGCTTCAGGAGAAGCTGACTGCCGCGTCTAATGTCTCCCCTGACCACCCCGTTGTTATCACCCAGTACATCGACGGTGCGGAAGAAATTGACTGCGATGCTGTTGCTTCCAATGGCAAGGTTCTGGTACATGCTGTCAGTGAACACGTCGAGAACGCTGGTGTCCACTCAGGTGACGCGACGCTGGTTCTTCCCCCTGTCAACCTCGATGATCGGATCAAGGAGCGTGTCAGGGAAATTGCAGACAAGGTCGCCAAGGCATGGAACATCACCGGTCCCTTCAACATGCAGATCATCAAGCAAGACGTTGAGGGCGAGGAGCCTAAGCTCAAGGTTATCGAGTGCAACCTCCGTGCTTCTCGATCCTTCCCCTTCGTCAGCAAGGTTCTCGGCACCAACTTCATTGACGTGGCTACCAAGGCTCTCGTCGGTCGCGACGTTCCTGAGCCTACGGACTTGATGGCCGTCAAGCGTGACTACGTCGCTACGAAGGTTCCACAATTCTCATGGACTAGGTTGGCTGGCGCTGACCCATACGTCGGTGTCGAGATGGCTTCAACTGGTGAGATGGCCTGCTTCGGAAAGGATCTTATCGAAGCTTACTGGGCCTCCGCTCAGTCGACCATGAACTTCCGTCTCCCGGTTCCGGGTGAGGGTCTGCTGTTCGGTGGAGACATCACGTCCGGCTACCTCGTACAGATCGCAAAATACATCCACCACCTCGGCTACAAGTTCTACGCTGCGAACAACGACGTCAAGAAGCTACTCGAGGACAATACCGAGGGCGTCACCGTAGAGGTTATCGAATTTCCCAAGGAGGATAAGAGGGCGCTCCGTGAGGTGTTCCAGAAGTACGACATCAAGGGTGTGTTCAACTTGGCCAAGTACAGGGCCAGTTCCCTGGTCGACGAGGACTACGTCATGAGGAGGAACGCAGTCGACTTTGGCGTGCCGCTGTTCATGGAGCCTAAGGTAAGCTGATTCAATTATCCATGCTCGAGCATACAGAAACTAACAGCTTGCCAGACCGCTGTCCTCTTCGCGCAATGCATGAAGGAGAAGCTACCCAAGCCAGAGGGCATCCCCAGCGAGGTCCGACCATGGAGTGACTTCGTCGGTGGCCGGCCATTGTAGACAACCCTACCACCCAGCAGAATGCAGGAGAATATAGGATAGTGAGGAGTCGAAGATTTGATACCACTCTGATGGAGATTTCAGTACAGAGTCAAAGGAGGGGGAGCCATGTCGGAGAATATGTTCGTGTATATAGCGCTCCGGCCACGGTTGCGTCTGTTCATTTGAAGGCGTCTTTGGTATCAGTGTACGCTGTATCTGATAAGGTTGGTCTTCAGGTTCGTGCGAATTTGCGAGGTGTATCTTAGTATGGTAATTGGAATTTTATCACCTTCTCATCTCTTTGCGAGTTTTCAAAAACGTAACATATGCCACATTAAATTTGCATACATAATCGACACCAAGTCTTTTATCAGCAGCTATGGCGGCTATGAGAGTAGTGCACGGACCGTTTAGGGCAGGCGCGCTTCGCGTCTCCCCAGACGATTAATTTGGAACTAGAGAGCCCCCTCCCTAGAACACATACACACCCCGCCATAAAGCTCACTCCGGCACTCTCGACATGGCGGAAGTTTCGAAAGTAAAATACGACAGTCTCCCAGGGATTGACACAGCCCCCGATGTCTACGAGACGCCCGAACTCGCCGAAGATGTGAGTACCATCCCAGCGTCCACCGCCGTTTCCGATTCCGAGGACGACGATGACCCTGAGTCTTCGGCCGTACGACACGAGCACCTGCAAACGGACCAAGCACGGAGTCGCTTCCAACCCTCAAGAATAGACGCAAATGGTGTAGATTTCTCGGACAACATCAGCGCACAGCGACGCTCGTACCGCACATCAACGTGGGCGCGGCGGAGAGGCGAAATACTGGGGGACGACAGTGATGAAGAGAAGGAATCTTTTGAGCGAAAGCTCATGCGGTTGAAGCAGGAAATGCAGGAGCTAGAGGGCGAATACCAGGAGCGACTCAAATCAGGGGACAAGAGCAAAGTTGAGGAGAGAGATCCCAAAGAAATCATGGAATTCATATCCGATAAGGTGGACACTATATACGCTATGCGACGAGGCGGCGTCCGAGGCGCAGAACCGCAACTCGACCGAACGATTGAGAAATTCAACAACTATGCTCCGTTCGAACCTTCCAATCGAATTACCAAAGCTATCGCGAATCAGCCGCCGCTCCCCGGCTCCCAGGTACAAAGAGGCCAACTTGAGTTCGTGCTCGATCAGGCGAAACAATTCGACGACAGGTTATCAAAGTTGGAGACTAGTCTGGGACTGGATGGGAGTACCATGCCCGAAATCGGAGACAAAGCGCCTTTCCCAGTATTCACGACGTTGGAGAAGATCGAGCAGACGATTGGGCTGGTGGGCGAAGCGAGCCAGGGCAGTCTAGAGGCAGCAGGCGCCCAGATCAAGAAGATGATCGCAGACGCAGAGCAACTGAAAGAACTGCGTACAGAAGTCTCTCGCGACGGAGAGTCACCCAATCCCGAGCAAGAAGCGAAGATCAATGCTCTCTATGGAACGTTACCTTCCATCGACAAGCTCTCGCCGGTCCTGCCTATGATGCTGGAACGAATACGGACGCTGAGGCTTGTGCATACAAGTGCATGGGCGGCAGATGATGTGCTTACTGAGCTGGAAAACCGCCAGTCGCAGCAAGAGGCAGAGATTAAGAAATGGGAACAGTCGATACAGGAAGCGGAGGAAGACGTGAAGAAGTGTGAGACTGCAATGCAGAGTAACATGCATACGGTCGGTGACTGGGTTAAAAAAATAGAGGAGAGGGTCGCTAAGCTACCTGGTGGCGATGCATGAATGGGAGACGGATCGGAATAAAGAGCAAGACCTGGCCATACAAGGCAATATCCTTTGAGCAGGGTGTAATGTAAGATCTGACTGGCAGCGAGCGGGGGAAGTATATCATGAGCGAGCACGTAGATACCCAACCTTTCTTTAACATAACATCGCATCACTTCCCGTTGTCTATGTGCTTTCTTACACCATCTCTCGATTGACCCTCGCGTAGTGCAAAGTCACTAATGCAGGGGCAAAACGGAGAGATGGATCTATGAGTTCCAGCGTACGGGGAGTGCATCACTACTGCTGAGCACACGGCGGTTGAACTTCGATTTAGCTCATCAGCAAGGGTATCTCAATAGAACAGTATCTACAGTAAGAAAATGGATATATATACACAACGAAAGGAATCGCTAAAACGCACACCATCACACACCGAATTTCTTCTTCACGGCGCCAATTTCTGGGTGACATTCCTCCTCGCCCCATAGATCGCCGCACAATTCTGATCCCACGGCACCCACTCGGAATCTCGGCCAGCGGGTATACAATGAAACTTGCTCGGCGGCTTTTCCTGCCACCTGATCTTCTCCTCCGCCGTGCCATTCTGCAGCAGCACATGCAGCCCCACGCTCCCCCTCGCCTCCCTCGCATTGTGCGCATCCCAGTAGTCATACGCCGTCGTAATCGTCGGCAGCGTAGCAATCCGATTATACCCCAGATACCACATATCCTTCGTCAGCAGATTCGGCTCCCCCTGGTAGCACTCCTCATTGACTTTTTCCCGCTCGAGCCCGTCCACGCCGCGGAAGCGCATCGTGCCGTCCATGAAGGGCTTTGCCGTCAGCGCGACGATGCCGTTCCAGCACGAGAAGACTTGGACAGGGAGGTATCTGGACCAGCGCTGGCGCGTGGGCGGGTGGTCTGGGAAGAAGCCCTTGTCCCAGTCCATCATGTCTTTGTAGAAGGTGTCGCCTGTCATGCTGCGCGCGATCCACGTGTCGTACAGACGGGGTGTCTCGGGGTTCGTACCGTTAGCCCAGTCCATTCCACATGTCATGTGGGCGTTTTGGAAGTGCTGCTGGTGCACTATCTCTAGGATGTCTTCGGTGCAGATGTACACGTCGTTTGAGAAGATGATGGTGGTGTCGTCTGCGTAGTCGGAGGGGTGCTCGTATAAGTCTCGGAGGGCGAGGTTGCGTAGTTCAGCGAGGAGAACGATGCGCTCTGGGTTTTGGCGCTGGGGTGAGAGGTCTGAGAGTTGGAGGAAGTAGGGGACGCCTAGGTCTTCGAGTTGGGGGGCGAGCGAGCGCAAAACCTCGTAGGTGCCGTCTGTGGAGCGGCCCTCGACGATGGAGAGTGCGCAGTTGTGCGGTCCTAGGAAGATGATGGCCTGCATTATGCTACCAATAAGCTGAGGGAGGGCATGAGCAACTTGGTAGAGGTCAAGCGCGAAGAAGTATTTCGGACGAGATGGCGTGGCTGGCGCCGTTTGAAGGTATGCGTAACGTTTGGAGATCGAGGTTGTGAGCGGGCAATCAAGCTTTTGGAATGTGTTGTCGTTGGGATCGAACATTGCTTTGACGTAATATGGTGCTACATTGAGGAGGGCTGGGTTGCCTTGCTTGGGTGGAAGTATCGATCGGACTGTTGTTGGTGTTGCTGAAGGTGTTGGCTCCACTGTCACGGTCACGATAGAAGGAACGGTTGCGTTTGCAGTGTCCTTCTCTGCCGGCGACGAGCATTGTGGCGTTGTATGGCTTCCAAGCTTCAGTAGACTCACTGAAGCAGAGACCCGTTCAGAGCGTGCAAGAAAGAAAAGAAGAGTAATGAATGTAGTAACAGCGACAGCCAACAAGCCAGAACGAAGAACCTTGTTGCTACTGTTGAACTGAACCATCGTTTCTGTAAATGCTCACCCAAATCTAGAAAGTCAGGTACACAATATTAATTGGGTCCACCGCAAGGTATATGAGGACTCAGCCTGACTGGCCGCCCGATTCAGCATACCTCTGTGGCATGATTTGCAGACCCACATCCTGGAACAAGCGCCTGCGCCTCTTATGTTAGCCATGTGCGGGAGGCTGGAATGTGCTATACAGAGTAGAGTCCGTACGTATGTCCCACCGGGCACCCTGGTCAGTTGCTTACGCCTGGGTTTGCCAGCCGCGTAGCCCCCTGCCACATGCTCAAGTCTTTTCCGGGAGCTTGAGCCGGAAGCTGTCAAAGTCTCCAGATGCTCAGTTCAAACCACTTGCATCCATTTGCAAATGCTTCAGCTCCATCTCCTTATCAGTGAGGATTTGCATGCCGCAGGACGGGCTCAGCCAGCCTGGAAGTGATCGGATGTGCGAAATGGCCGTTTCTTGCCTAGTCGTCCACACTATGACAGGCTGAGTACATTTTTAGTGTTGAATACGCGAGAGCCTAGTTGGGGTGTCGATGGGTGCTTGCCACTCAGTCATGGTGTTGGCAGGACTTTCCCAAAAAGAGGGTCTAGAAGCGCATGCTAGGTTGAGCACAACTTGCCTCGACATTTCGTCCTTATTCACCAGCTGCTAGAGTAGCGGCCGTGTCGGTTTGTATATCCAGCCCTATGCAGAGACTTTAGATTGTCAACAAGGTTCGAAGACGGAGTGAGCCCAAATGCAGGAGCATGATGGAAGCCTGAAGCAGTAATCTGGTATGGACTAGAGCTGAGACCTGCCACAATGTTTACGTCGTGCGCGATGCGTGTTCTGTTCAGACTTCAAGCCTCGGGAACATTTCGCCAATCATGTATCGCACGGGGCATTCGAAGGCATTCTAGTCAAGCTTTGCAGAGCCTAGCTCCCGCGCGCCATCAGAGATCTACTGTTGGGGGCAGCTTTTGATTGCAAGCATGATGCCGACTTCGTTCGATAGTGGAGACAGCCACGTTCTAGTCTTAACTGATATGATACCACGAAACCCGATACTCATAAGGCTACTCTCTCGCAAGATCGCCTTCGTAGACATGGCACAGCGAATGGTCGGTTCTAATCTGTTGCTCGTACGTTGTTTTATTACACCTTTCGAATGGGACTATCTGTCTCTCATCAGCGAATCCTCTCGAAAGTAGCGTGCTCGCTGCTCGTTGCTCGCTCGATCTCGCTCCTCGTTGTGCGGCGCCAGGCGTCGTTAGCGTTATCGCACGTGCGGTGATTCGGCGTAACTCGATAGCAGACGCGTCACCGAGTTACGCAGCACGCAAGTACGCGAATCAGAAAAACTCGCGTTGGTGGACGGGATTTGATTCGGAATAGGACGAGTACATTGCGCCGCAAATTTGTTCCGTCCTACAATTGGGACTGCTCCTTCTCTTCGTTGACAAGCACGTATCTGTACCTTGCCTTACCCTCTTCGAAGTCCACGACGCCCTGATTGGCTTCACGCATCGGTCGTTGCTGTATCCACGGCTTGATGCCTTTTGTCGCAGCAAACTGCAGCATCTCTTCGATGTCCTTGGGACTGCCAATCTGACTGCCTCCGATCTTGCAGCCCTTTGCGATCAGAGCAAATGCTGCGATAGGAGGAAGATCACCCTCTGGGGCGCCCACTTGTATAAACGTGCCGTTCGTGCGGAGAAGTCGCAAATAACCTGGAAGCGGCATATCTGGTGAGGACACGGTTGAAATAATGAGGTCGAGCGTGCGTGAGTGCTTCTTCTCCCACTTCTGATCCTCGCTGGTTGCGATGTAGTCAGTTGCGCCAAGAGCCTCTGCGTCCTTGGCCTTGTTCCTTCTCCTACTGATGGCGACGACTTTATCGCATCCGAGTGCTTTCGCAAAAAGCACACCGAAATGTCCCAAGCCACCCAACCCTACAATCCCAACCTTCTTCCCTGGCCCAGCATTATTGTTCTTCAGCGGTGCGTATACAGTGATACCTCCACACATCATGGGTGCCGCATCTGCGCTCTTCACTCGCTCTGGTATCTTGACCGCGAAGTGCGCCGAAACTCTGGTGTAATCCGCATAACCACCCATACTCCAATAGTTGTGCTCCCTGTACAGACCATTGTACGTCCCGACGAAGCCTTTTCCACAATGCTGCTCCATGCCACTTGAGCACTCCTCGCAGTCATCTTTCAGACAGCTCGCCGCCTGGGCGCCAACTCCAACGCGATCCCCAATCTGAAATCGCTGAGCGGCAGGGGACGAGCCTCTTCGCACGACGTGTCCGACGATTTCGTGGCCAACGCAGGTGGGATAATGCGTCGCGCCCCAGCCTTCTCTAAGGGTATGTATATCAGTACCGCATATCCCACAATGCGTAATCTTTATGTCAATGTCGGTCTCGGCGAAGGGCTTGGGACTGAAAGCTTCCCATCGCATGTTCCCCTGCGCAGACTTGGAATCATGGCCGACCCAGCCATGGAACGTGTCGGGCGAGGACGACATGGTGTTTGTAGAATTTCCGGGATCAGGCAAGGTTCGCTCGGATTCTCTGAGCGCAGGGTCTGTAATTGCTCAAGGAAAGATCAGTTGGAGTGAACGTGTACAATGTCTTGGTTCGCAGCCGAGATGTAAGATTGAAAGAGCATTTCAAGCAAGTGCTACGCGCCGACGGCGTTGCATTGTTCGGCTGGTAGACATTATCCGAGGTCAGTTCCTAGCATGTGTGTCGCCCCGCTGTGTCGCCCTCGATAATTCCTGGGGACCGCGGTTGTGGAGGTCTTATCTCCACTTAGCTCCGTTAATGGATCGACGTCAGTCCTGCGCGAGTCATGTCATTGGAATGGCCATCACATCGCACCTTGATTGGACTTCATAGCACAAGAAGCCTTTTCGCTGAATCTCGGTCCGTGCTGAAATTCTTGGTACCGTACGTCAAGTTGGAAAGGCTAGAAGAGATATTTCAATTACGGACGCGTTCATTCGAAACATCGCACATTTGCTCGAAGTAATAAGTTTGTGCATTCTGTGACGGATTCGGCCTATCGTACCATATGCGATGCAGGTCTTACTGTGATGATACAGTGCACTTTGAGGTGCTCTCGAAAGCACTATGACCACTAGCCAGTAGACATGGCTTCTGTGCCCGTGTAATAATCACCCACTGTCGTATGATGCAAATTGGCTGAAGAGTCTGTAGATCGTGGCAGAGGAAGAAGGCTTTCACGATCAGAGATGTAACATAACACAAACTTCATGGCAATCCTACACACAAAGCGTACAAACGTGCGGTCGAGCGCACAGGTTTCCGTTTGCTCGGTTTGTTTGTCCACTTCGAGCGTTCGATTCTGCCTGAAGGCCAGTGAATTGTCCGGATCCTACTTGTGCAGTTGATGGTGAGCTTGTTAGTAGTGAGAGGTTCAGAAGCACAGGAAGAGCTCAGCTAGATGATCATATGCATCCCATTCGCATCTATGAAAAGCCAAGACCATGAGTCAGACCATCCTTAATATCCGTGTTTCATTCTCCGTAGGAATTTAACGCCAAAGTGTTCCCAAAGTCGATAACTGCGCGCTGAACCCCTTACTGAGCAATCGTACCCCAAACGTGCATTTTCGCAGGTACAAGTCTCTATGCAGAGGCTTTATGCCAGCGGATACCCATGTCGTGGACCGTTCGGCTCAAGGGTAGCATGCGACCGCAACATTTACTTGCGAGGGGTATAGGTGGAGTTGCCAGCCCCGTCGTTGTGGTACGTGGAGCCCTTTTGCCCTGTTAGCTGCGCCCCTTAGGGATGCTGCAAGATCAAGCTTACGTTGGAGTTGCTGTAGTAGTAGCTACCGTCGGAGTTGGAGTAGTGGTAGGAGTTCGAGTTGGAAGCACCGGTTCCGTAGTCGCGGTGGCAGTAGTGGTTGCCCTAGATGCGTGTCAGTTGAAGGACATTTGGCGAGCTTGTTGGGCATACCTGGCTGTTCGTGCCAGAGCTGGTAGTCTGGTAGCTGCCGGAGCCGCTGCCGGAACCGGAACTAGAGTTGTTGTTGGAAGAGCCCTTGGTCATGTTGAATATGTTTCGTATGTGACTGTTGGTGGAGTTCTGTTGGGATGTGTTTGGTGCTGTACAGTAGAGAGGGGTTTCTGTATTTATATAGGCACGGCAAAAGGTGAAGCTGCGAGCGGTTTCAACTGCACGGGTCGACCAAGCGGGGCACTTTCCGTTGGGCGGCTGGTCGATGCTCCCTGCGCCGAAGCTAACGCATTCGCGATCTGTCGCGAAGCAACAAATCGTCTCGTGACAATTCACGGGTCTGTGGCCGCGCATAAGGCTTCACAAGCAGGACCTGTCGATCATCCTCAAGCATTATCGCGTCGCTGCTGTGTCCTGACGGACATTATCGAATCAATCAGTCCAAGCAATTTACCTTTTCCTTCTCTTTAGCATACTTCCAACGCCTTGACGCCACGATGACTATAGACACCATGGATATTGCTAGAGGCGTATCAAGTAGTTTCTTGCAACGAGTGGACAATGTTTTTCGTTGAAAGCAGAATTATAGGTTGAAAGAAGGTCGTCTGGAGGTGTTCGATGACTAAGTAGGATTAGCGTACTCACGTGACATCGCGTTCTGGCGGTCGCGTTCCAGGCTGCATGCTCGGGACCAGGCCACTCCCGTTCTCACCGCGGGGCTGCCAACTTGCCTGCAACAATGGCACTCAATCCACGCAGCCCCTCCAAACACAACCAAATGATCACACGCTTCATCAAGCAGTCAAAGCCCACAAAGCTCAATGACGTCAAAGAACCACCGGCGAAGAGGCAGAAACTCGACGACTCGCCCTCGAAGAGGCGAAGCCCACGTAAAGCTGCGAAATATGCAAACCGCGAGATACCAGACTCAGATGTCGAAGATGGTGACGAACCGATAGAGGAAGTCAGTGAGCCACAGAAGACGGATCTAGAAAGTGCATTACCGCCGGTCAAGAGTGATGAAGAAGCGATTGCAGAGTATGAGGCCTTCAAAGCAGCACAAGAAGATACAAAAGAAGAGACCGAGGAGCGACTGAAAGATCGAAATTGGGTGCGAGGGAAGAGCTCAATATACGTGGATGCCTTCAACTTGGCATTGGATACGGTACTTGACGAGGAGAGCCACCTGTTCGATGAGGCTGAGATGGAAGTATTCAGGGTCTGGAGAGGTCTGAACTACGAAGCTCAGTACTTGTATGAAGTTCTATATCAAAGCTCAATGTGTTGTTTTGGCTGACGCTCCACTACTCAGATATGTGCGCTTCTTTCTACGCAAGACGTCGGCGTGGCATCGTATAAAGAACATTGGCTACCACAGCGATATTTCGAATCTCGACACTGCGATCGAAACACTACAACGAACACTCGACCTTCCTGCGACCTCCGCACCGGTAGAAATGCACCCTGGCGAGTGGGAACCACCAGAAGGCACAACGCTGGCGTCTTCGTTCACGTTCGCGGATCGATCCGAAGAACAGATCACAACACTTGAGCAGGCGTCATCGCTGTTGAAGTTGGACGAGCTCAAAGCGCTTGCAAAGGAAGCAAAGGTGCAAGGCAGAAACAAGAAAGAGCTGGTCAACGCCCTGCGACGAACAAGCCGGCGGCAAGTGGGTCTAGGCTTCGTCGGCTTGAAGCGTTCGGATACGGAAAGCTCACGGCGATCATCTGCGTCTGGGTTGGAGACACCGGATAGCGAGCCATTAGAGGATCTATCGTCTGATGCAAATCGGGACGCACACTTCACTCGCAAAATCATGAATGAGATGGGTCCCTGCATCCGCCTTTCACTTGCACCACTCAAACTCTTCGAGCGTGTTCACCTGGTCTTCTACCGCTCGACCGAGTGGACAGAAAAATCGCTAACGACCATCATCTTAGCGAAAATTGCGCGTCGTAACTTCCCGGAGTATATCGTCTCCCGCTCGGCCAACATCTTCTCCTCGCGTTCTTCGCTTCTCGAATTCGAAGCGTCAATACGGACACAGTTCCGCGTCGAAAACATATTGGAATACAATGGTAGAGTGACTGCAGCCGGCTATCAGGAGATCATTGACGTCTTCGACGAGGTATATCCGCGTTGGAAAGTTCTCCTGGAAGAAGAGCAACGCAAAGAGGACAGCATTTATCACAGCGGTGAAGGCGCCTATCTGCGTCGGCTTTCTCCTGCATGGGTATACACACGCATTATTCATAAGGCTTTAGCGGTCATCGCTCGGCGAAAGGAACACAAGCGTGAGCACCAGTTGATCACAGAACTTTTACAACAACGCCTCTTCCACCACTCTCGGCGAGGAGCGTGGCACCAGCGAAAGGCATTACTAGAGGAGCACTACCTGGGCGCACTCACCGATGCGGAAGGTCGCAGCGATGATGCGCAGAAGAAACACTGGAAGCGTATTGCACTCCAGACTTGCGAAGCAGGGTTGCAAGACAACCTCGTGCACATCATCTACCACTATGATCTGCAGAAACGAATCACGAAGCTTGAAAAGGGTCTCAAGACAGTCAAAAGAGCGCAACATGACTTCTCTCACGTGCGTCTGACGAAGCCTATTGAGGTTACCTTCGAAGGCATTCGTATCGAGCGTCAAGTCCCGCTTCTCAGACGGAGTGATAGCTCTGCTTTTACCAGCTCTGGGAGACGTGGAGCGAAGACAATATGGATCGATCCACGAGAAGACGGCGAGTGCAGTGTGGAGTCCATGTGTCTTTCGCATTACCGCAACCAAGGCTGGAAGGGCTTCCACAGCGAGGGAGGAATCGTGCGCACGTTGTTCGGATACCTCTTCTTCGACATCATGTTCACCTACATACCCAATGTTTTTCAGACGGCGTACCAGACATGCCCGTTAGATCTGCACACCGATGCGTTCTATCCATCACGAATCAGTGAGGTCAACACCCGACTGAACGAGATATCGAATGGCGATGCTCCAACCATTATACAAAGCGTTCATGACGCGCACCATGAGCGTCGGACTTGTGTCGTAGGTCTTGATTGGACGTACGACATTGCAGACCTTGTCGAGATCGCTAAATGCTTCGATGGAGAAGCACTAGCGACTGTATGCAAGGTTATGGCGCAGGAGTACGGCCAGCGAGGTGGCGGTGTACCTGATCTCTTCCTTTGGAAAGTAGCAGCTGAAGAGGAAGGTAAGAGCAAGAAAGGCGAGGTAAAATTCGCAGAAGTCAAAAGTGAGAACGATCGCTTGAGTGACACGCAGAGGCTCTGGATACATGTCTTGTCTGGAGCAGGAGTGCAGGTTGAGCTGTGCGCCGCTGTTGCCAAAGAGGTACGCGCCATTTGACACCATACTTTTGCTTCAAGATTTGGATACGTCTATGATACCCCATCGTTATTCGATACTTCTTCATTAGCATACATTTATTGCATTGCATTCGTCGTATGTTGTTAGTCTCTCGTACAATGATCCCACCCAATGACGCAATCGTATAGTGGGGTATTTCGGTTCTCAAGATGACTCCGACCTCGCACGCGACCAATTTGTCCCCGGAAAACAACGCTCGGCCCCGGATTTAACGCTTTAGCCTCACAGGCCCTGCAGTTGGAGAAGCGGTCAGATTGTAGGTTAGTAGATGCAGTAGCGGAAGCTTGAACGGCATCCGCGGCCGGACTTGCAGATGGCGATTCGACGCCTCTTCCCTCTCTCTTCTTCTCTTTTCTTCTTTACATCTACACTTCCTTTTGCATGAATTAGCGTTCCTGTGCCCGTCGAGCGGGCATTTGTCTATTACTGAGTCGACATTTAACATCGCAAAATCCATCTATACAAGCTATTGTAGAAGATACAATGGCACCATCAATATTTTCACGCTTCGCGCGTTTCCTAGGCGTACACTCCCTCCACGCAACAGGCACAGATGCCTACCTCATCATCTCGCTCCGCTGTCTCCGCATGTTCTCCGCCGGCATCCCCTCCCTCATCCTTGCGTTGTTCTTCGCCTCTCTCAACTTCCCCGATTCCCGCATTGGCGCCTTCATGACCATGACATTACTCGGGGACGTGGTACTGTCGCTCGTCCTCACCCTCGTGGCGGATAAACTTGGCCGTCGCAAGATCCTCCTCTTCGGATCCGCCATGATGGTCCTATCCGGAACCGCCTTTGCCATGTCTGAGAACTTCTGGGTTTTGCTTGGCGCAGCGGTGTTTGGGGTCATCAGTGTTACGGGTGGGGATGCTGGGCCATTCCGCGCGGTGGAGGAGAGTACGTTGAGTGGGTTGACTGATGAGCGGACGAGGAGCGATGTGTTGGCTTGGTATGTTACTGCTACGACGATGGCGGGAGCGGTGGGAACGGAGGTTGCTGGAAGAGTCGTTTCCTGGGTTGAGAAGAGCAGCGGTGACGTGAAGAAGGCATACCACATTTTGTTCTGGATGTATGCTGCATTTGGTGTAGTGGGGTGCGTCTTATGCCTGATGTTGAGCAAGAGATGCGAGGTTGCAGGCGAGAAGAGCAAGGAAATGCAAGAGCGCGGGCGGAGTATATCTCGTATCGATGGGGAGGAGGAAGAAGTGCTTTTGGAAGCAATGACGCCTACCACCGACGGCCACTCGCACTCCTCTGAATCGCAAAGACCTAACATTCGCGTTGCTGCCAAGCCGAAGGCGTCCTACTTTTCGCAGATCTCCAAGCCGACGAGAAACATCATGTACAAACTCTGGGCTCTCCTCGCAATCGATTCTCTCGCCGACGGAATGACGCCATACTCCCTAATGAACTACTACGTCGACCAGAAATTTCATCTCTCCAAGGCAACCCTTGGCGACATCACTTCTGCCTCGCAGTTCCTCTGCGCCGTGTCTTCTATCTTCGCGGGACCATTGTCTAAACATATCGGCCTCATCAATACGATGGTGTTCACGCATCTGCCCTCCTCCATCGCAAGCGCTTTCATCCCGCTCCCAAGCTCTGTAGGTTGGACTGTTGCCCTGTTACTCTTCCGCGCAGCCCTGAACAGCATGGATCAAGCGCCTCGCGCGGCATTTATTGCCGCAGTCGTCAAGCCCGAAGAACGGACGGGCGTTATGGGTATCACCCACATGGTGCGAACGTTCGCGATGAGTGTTGGGCCTTCTGTCACTGGCATATTAGCCGGACACGACAAGTTCTTTGCTGCTTTCGTGGCGACGGGGATCTGCAGGGTTACGTATGACGTGGGCCTGTGGGTACTGTTTGTTAATGTTAAGGTGGATGGAAATAATGGAAGGGAAGAGGATGATGGGAGAGACAGCGTGGACGAGGACGCTTGGAATGAGCTTTTGGGTGATACGGATAGTGAGACGAGTAGTTGGGATGGGAGGAAGAGCAAGGATGAAGAGAGGGGGCGCGTTGAGGTGTAATGTGTCCGCCTCATGTCAGGTCGTCGCATTGCACGAGAGAAAAAAGTACCGTCATGATAGACACGGATTGACGACAGAACATTACGACCGGAAAAAGTCGAATTGCGTGCTACACGCCCCTAGTCTCTACGGAAGCAATCCAAGGATAGCTAACGCCTTGATGACCAATATGAGGAAACTTGAAGGCTCATGTACCTGCCTCTTCCGGCCCGCATGTCTCAGGTACAAATTGGCATCTTGTGCGAGGAAGTGTACTCCATTTTGGCCACTAGTCAAGTCACTACAGCCACATCCCAGGTCTTCGACCGTTGTGTAAGACCTACCAGCTTTATAGCGCAGGTGCATACCAGTCGAAAAGAACCGCTATTCCTCATCAAACGCAGAAACCTAAGCTTGGATACCTTCATCGTCAATGAGTTATGATCGTTCCCAGCTGCTAACCTGCATCGCACTTCTGTGTACCTGAGTGAACCTTATAGCACACCATCGGCTTTGTCTGTGTCATATATCCCACGTATAAGAAACCATCAGTATCTACCGAACCTGTTTTCCCTCGCACAGCTTTACCAGTAGACAACACCGGCCAGCAAATTCCCACGATGAAGTTCCTTGAGCACATCCCCCCTTCTCTCCTTCCTCTCCAGCAGAGCCACCCTCAATACCCGCACCATTCAAGGCCTGGACATCTCCCACCAGCAGAGCCAACCCAACCTCACCCAAGCCCACACTGTCGGCCTCTCCTTCGTGTACATCAAAGCAACCGAAGGCCCCACCTACACCGACCCAATGTTCGCATCGCATTACAGCGAAGCAACAAACGCTTCCTTCCTGCGCGGCGGCTATCACGTCGCGCGTACCGACGTCTCTGACGGAGCCACCCAAGCCCAGTTCTTCCTGTCCAACGGCGGCGGCTGGACTGCCGATAACCAAACCCTCCCGGGCCTCCTTTCCATAGGGCTCGACAATGACTGTGCCGGCCTCACGCCCAACGCGACGCTGGACTGGATCAGGAGCTTTGTAAACACGTATGAAGGGGTGACGAAGCGCGCACCGGTGATTGGGACGCGGAATGAGTGGTGGGTGGAGTGTACGGGGAACACGTCCGAGTTTAATGAGAAGAGTGCGCTCTTGTTGGCGAATTGGGGGGATAGCGTGGGTATGATTCCGGGTGGGTGGCAGTTTGCGACGATTTGGCAGTATAAGGAAGGGGGCGCTTGGGGTGGGAATAGTAATATTTTTAGTGGAGATGCGGGGGGCGTTGAGGAAGTTGGTGGATGGGTGAGCGTTGAGTGAGTGGGTCGAGCGGGCTGTGTGACTCTTGCTCCTTTGGTGTTGGTATTCTGGGGAAACTGAGCGAGCCTTCTGCGTCTAATTGAAGAGTTCTTTGACGTTTCCCAGATTGAATGAAGTTGTTTTACCCGTTGAACCAAGTCGTTTAGGCTACAGGGTGAGCGTGAATGTCTTGATTGTTGAGGTGCATCGCTTGCGTTGCATCTGAGAGATGCTCATAGGCGACTAGATTTGGGTTGCAACTGCCAGCCATGGTTCGCGGCGCCCATTCGTCACCTCAGGTAGTCCACACTTTCCGGTTGCGTATAAAATCAATTTTCGCCAGGAAACATATTCTCATCTTCGTGGCGAGAATACTCAGCAAATCGTTGTATCTCTCGTAAAGATTGGTGATCCACCTATCCATACTCATCTGTCGGTCGCGGCCCTCAACGTCAAGAAGTCTTTTTCCTATCATCATAAAATCCTTCAAGAGCTATGCCGCCGTCAGCTTCGGTCAGTGCACTGGTACCGTGTCAAGATAGACGGCTGCCTAAGCGCTCGTCTACGAGCACTTCGCTGTGAGTCCAACCGCATGACAAAACCGAGAGACCGCTTACTGACAGTAAAAAGCACAATGCGTAACGCGGAAGAATCTCCTTTTTTTGCGTCTGCCCATTGAGTTGAGGCTGGATATATACGAAATAGCCATCGAAAACCGCATTTGGGAGACTGGCGGCGTAAAAAGTGCTACAGTTGCTTTTGAATTTTACAGGGTCACGAACATAGTCAAAAACAATTTCAGCCTCGCTCGTGTTTGTCGCCAGATATACACGGAGAGCAAGAGCCTCATCACAGAGCGGAGTGGCACGTTCGCCCTGCCCGGGCCGCCTCGATGGCTGCCTATCTGGCTGTGGACCACACCCGGTATAAAGCACGAGAACATCATCTCACTTTTATTTCGCATTGATGCGGAAAAGAGACAAAGCTGGGGGTATCTCGGAAAGCCGAACTGGAACATCCGCTTCTTGGATGACCTTACCAGGTTGAAGCACATACATGCATTCGGTGTTCTGTCGGCCCAGACCACTGGTCTAAATTGGATCGTAGCATGAATGACGAAATAGAGATTAAGGATGTCAGAAAAGCACTCACAATCATAAAGGCGGGATTTCCACATCTTAGAGTCCAGATAAGCGTTGAGGAGGTGCTTGAGGACCCGACACACTCCATCGTCACCACTGAGGACTTCTGATCTTTGAAATCCGGTTCAAAAACGTGTACATCTTGGACTAGAAAGTATATTTCGGAATTTCATCACTGTCGACGTTGCATCCTCGGTTGCTTTTTCGAACGCCCGTGTGGGCTCCCTTCGCTTCAGTACATCACAACCGCCAACCTCCTGTTCTTGCTCGCTACATCCGGTGTCCCCGATCCGCCCAAAATATACGCCCGTTCTTGCCTCACAACATTATTCAGATAATCAATAGCCGCCTGATTCGGACCACCATTCCAGTTCCCGACCGTCGTATCCGTCGCACGCTCACCATTAGGCTTCTTTCGTATTGCTGCTTCAGGAGCGCCAGATACCACATCCTCTGTGAAGCCATTGATAACGTTGCTTCCATCTGTGGAAGCAATGGTCGCTGCGCCGTCACAGCCTTGTTGTAGCGATATGTCTCCATGTGCGCCATGGTCGTCTGCAGCTTCAAGCTGGAACTCTACCCAAGTTGCAGGCAGTTCGGTTCCACGCTGGAGACGGCCCTTGAAGGTGTTAGGTAGGGAAACGAACTGCGTCTCGTTGGGCTGCAACTTGACCGAGGTGAGAGGGTGGTCGAAGTTTGCGCCTGCCGTTCCGTTACCGTTCCAGTAGTTGTCGTAGAAGAAGTATTCGCACTCTCTCTGAGATGCATTGGTTAGGATGATACCTGGACCACCGTCATCTGCCGATGCAATCGATATGGGCTCTTCGTACGCTGCGATTATCACAGGTTCGGAAGCGTCCCTAGTGCAAGGAGAGAATAAGCAAATGTATTGACGAATCTATCTACGAGCTACTGTGCTTACCGCGGCGTGCAGTCATCGTCATTGTAACATATGAAGATGTCAGTGCTACCCTGAGCAGCAGAACTCTGTTTAACTTAGCATGTGAATCTAATAAGACCGGTCCGATTTGAGTAATTTACCTGAGCGTTGTCACTGGCATTACCAGGGCTTCCACCCCAAGCACCAACACCGATATATGTCTTCCCATCGGCGAACGACCTGATGAATTCTTCCAGCTGCGGGAAATCCTTGGGTGCATCGATCCTCCTCACGACACCCTCATTAACGTGCACACACTGGCTCAAACTGCATGATCATGGTTAGCAAAGACCAAAAGACCTATCAAGCAAAAAAACTCACTTATCCTTGACACCCTGATCAGCCCTGTTCCAAGCATCATTCAAGTTCTGCATGAACCTTGGGTCGCCCTTGCGGGTCCAGTCCTTTCCAATCTGCTGGACGATGAGGTTACCACCGGCTCCACAAATGTTGGACAGGTCGATGAAGTCGTTGCCGCCAAATCCGTTTTTGGTAAGTTCGGCTTGTTCACCGATGCATCCATCGTGGATTGCGATGATCGCACCGGATGTACCATCTGGAGCTTCAACAGTGGATTCGCCGTTGGCTGGGACGTTGATGTCTTGATTGTTATTCCAGCCGTGGACCTGGAAGAGTTGGTCGTGGCCTGACATGTTCCGGATGAAAATGGTGTGCGACATATCGTACAAGATCAGTAGTTGAGAAGTAACAACTTGAAATCTAATGATGTTGTTGGTGTTGTTTGCGCTGCAGGAGTTGCGGTGATACTGACTTGTCCAGATATTGTTCGGTCTCTCTACTTATATATGTCGCATCGCAAACTATCTTTGATGATTCTCGTTCCTCGCATGTATGTCGAAGCCTTTTGCAAAGGATCGTAAACACGTGAGAAAATTTGACTACCGGGCGAAGTCCTTCAGCTGAGCTAGCTGAGCTGTGGCTTGATGGGTTCACACTTTGACGGCGGTGTACAGCGTAAGCTGAGCGGTAGAACTACACCGACCCCTTAGAAAAACCGATTCACAACACAGGAATAGGCAGCATTAGGAAAAGGCGGCCTTTCTCACACGAGTATGATCAGTGATTATCTCGAATCCTGTCGCGGGCGATTGCCGCATATCCGTAATTTCCAAGAAGTGTAGACATCCTTTCCCTGCGAACTAACTTCTCGATGAATCCTGTCGCGTACAAGTGAGCGTCCACTGAACTCAAGTCTTCATACATTCATTCCTGTCATGCCCAGGTGCCCTCGTATACGTCCATCAGTAAGCGAAAGCATCCCTGCCTCCCCAAAATGCCCGCCTTGTTTCTAGCGAAATTTCTAACTATGTCTAGGAAGCGCTGTAAAGGATTTTATCAGCCTCAAAACGACGTCTTGTGATGTTTACATAGCCGCTCCGGCCTTTCACGTGGGCGGTGGAACAATCGCCCGGTACAGTCAGCCAATAAGTCAAGCGCTTTACAAGCCACAATCTACTACCTCCTACTAGTCACGTGTACGAAAAACTCTTAGATGTTACTGTCGTAGTTTTGGCGGTATCCAGGCATACAGACTTCCGGTATAGCCTCATTTGAGGCCGTTGTGGAGCTCAGCTCGCGGCTGACGACCCATGGCTTCAGGGACTCCGGCCCCTTACCGTCTATTCCTACGATCTTAGGCACACCTGCTGCGTTCTGCAAAACTATATAAGCGCAAGAGTATCGCATCTTTGGCCTGCAATACACCACGAACATCTATTCTATCCAATATCGGGCCTACCGCGGTCCCTTCAACATCTGGTTTCTCTATAGACGGCAACTTTTACAATACCTTTTGACAATGGTTGTCAAGAAGCGATCTCTCCTCTGGGACTGGACTAACACCAACAACCTCCCCGACAGAATGGATACCGTCAAGTTCGATGGTCCTATCTCCTCGGTTTCCAACTGGAATGCATGGGTCCCGCCTGAGCTCAAGGGTCGTGCTCCCTTTCGTCCCATGATCCATCTTGAGCGCGAACTCAACGGCAACGAATGGCAATGGATTCAGGACTCTGATCAATCGATCATCCACTTTTTCAACGAGCCGGAGAGGGCTGGCATTAGTCCGCAGAAAGCGGCTGATTACTGGCACAACCAGGTAATGGCCCTCTTTGATGCAGCACTATGTGCAATACTGATCGCTCGACAGGTGATTCCTGCTCTTCGTAACGACCGACACAAGCAACTGGTCTCCCCTTCCTGCGCTTCCGATCCTGCAGGACAACAGTGGATTCAGGATTTCATGAACCTTGTACAGGATGCTCGCCCGGATTATCTTGGGGTGCACTGGTATGGCACTGATGCACCGGAATGCCAGCGATTCATCTCTTCGATGCACGACAAGTTTGGCTTACCGGTAATTGTGTCGGAGATCGCTAGCATTGACATAAACTATGAAAGTGTACACGCTTTCACGCGGGACATGTGCAACTGGATGGATGGAGTTGACTGGATCTTTGAGTACGCTTTCTTCGGCTGTATGCAGAACATGCCGGACGATTTTGTGAGTCCTGCAGCCCGGTTGATGGATGAGAATGGGAACTTCACGGATCTGATGTGGAAGTATATGAGTGACCAGCCGATGTTCTGATGAGGGAAGCGCAGCTCGTTGTGGAAGATGAGTACCTCATAGACTCTCGGACCATCTTAGATTCATACATCTATTCATCCTCGTTTCTTGCAATAGTTCCCCATATGTCATTCTCATTTACAGCGGCTGCTGAGCACATACTTATCGCATACACCGAGAGATCTCTGATCTCACCCCCATGTTGTTGTTTGCTCATGCATAGTCATACGCGCTCGGTGAAGATATTCCGCACAACGCGATGGTCATGCGAAAATCAAACGAAGGCTTGGTGCTCCATTAGTACTAAGATCATTTGAGACTTTTGTCGTGCAATTGGTGGTCGTCTTGGGTTAGCTTCGTCCGAGCGGCAAGAGCATTCGGTACTTCGAATACCCCAACTTCCTCCGAACGTCGGACCAAGGTTGCGGATAATAACATCCGACATCGCAAATCATCGAACATTCACATTGCTACAATCTGATTCATTCTCGCAGAATGCCTTTCTTGAGTTCGCAGCCAAAAATCCTCATTGCTGGAGCTGGCATTGGCGGCCTTACCGCGGCGCTATCATTGCACGCGGCTGGATTTACGGACATCCACATTTTCGAAGCATCGTCAACTCTCACCACACTGGGTGTAGGAATCAACGTTCAGCCTTCAGCAGTACTCATACTTCGGAATCTTGGTCTTTTGGAAGCCCTTGAGAAGACGGGAATCGAAACCCAAGAATTGAACTTCTATAACCGACATGGCGACTCGATCCTCAGTGAGAAAAGAGGAAAGCACGCGGGATATGCAGTGCCTCAATTTTCCATCCATAGAGGCGATTTCCAGATGTTACTCTTGAGTGCCGTAAAGGAGCGACTGGGCGAGGACGCCGTGCACTTGAACCACGCCTTGACCGGATTCTCGCAAGATTCAAAATCCATCACTGCTCAGTTCTCTCGGAGGGGGGATGGTGCTCCAGCAGAGCTCTCTGGTATATCTGGTGATGTACTAATAGCAGCTGATGGCATCAACTCGACTGCAAGGAGGGTATTGTATCCTAACGAGGGTCCTCCACGATTCTCAGGTCGCATGCTTTGGCGTGGATGTATCGAGCGTGAACCTTACCTGACTGGCGCATCAATGGTGTGGGCAGGACATGCAGATCAGAAGTTTATTGCATACCCCATTTCGCAGAGGTCAGCGGACACGGGCAAGAGCCTGGTAAACTGGATCGCGGAACTGCGCATACGAGGCAAAGACGATGAGGATCTGACACCGCCAAAGACAGACTGGACAAAAGCAGTCGACAAGAGCATCTTCGAGGGGCCCTTCGAGGATTGGAAGTGCGGAGGTCTGAAAATGAAGAATTTGATTGAGAAGACAGAGAAGGTCTTTGAGTTCCCCATGTCAGATCGTGATCCAGTAGACCAGTGGTCATTCGGTCGGCTGACGCTTCTTGGGGATGCTGCGCACGCGATGTATCCGATTGGTTCGAATGGCGCATCTCAAGCGATTATTGACGCCGAAACACTGGCCAAGCATCTAAAGATGACAACCAACGATGTGGTTGCAGCTCTAAAAGCATATGAGGCAGAACGACTGCCACCTACAGCGCAAATCGTCATGGCGAATCGTGCAAATGGTCCGGATCATGTATTGCAGATGGCGGAAGAAAGAGCGCCGGATGGTTTCACCAACATTTACGACATCATCCCCAAAGACGAATTAGAAGGAATTGGCGCTGTCTACAAGAAAGTTGCCGGATTTGATATGGACAATGTGAACGCCAAGGCGAAGGCAACCGAAGAGGAGAGCAGCAAGTTAAATTTAAGAAGCCCAAAGGATTGGATATAACTAGTCCGTCTAAGCTTTGCTGTCATCTTGTCGATTAAAAACAACAGAAACAAAAAGCTTCCAATAGCTTTCCATCAGCCGGCATTGAAAACATTGCCAAACAATATTCCTGCCCAGACCTGTTGTGTGAGTCTGCATACTTTCAAATGACAATGTGAAAAAGACAGGAACCGAACAGTGAATACACGGCATCTCTTCGTCGCGCGGCTTCTACATGTCGAGCTTCTCAAGGGGGAAAGCCCTTCTAAGGTCTTGAGTAGTTATGGGGCTTCTCTTATGATTGTTGACGTTATGTGCTTGCGCGGTTCTAAAAACAGTATTCCAATCGGCAAATCGTAAACACAGGCTAGTGGGTCCGGGTTATCAGATGTGACAAGAAGTCCTACTTTGAATGCCCATTCAGCGTCGCATCTTGTTATTCCCACCACAGAGTCGTAGCCAAATGAGCGACGATAGTAAGATCCCAACGATATGCTGTGCAAGCAGACTCCTATGCCGTCATCAGCGGCTTCTTGATGTATTGCTGTCATATAAATCACGACAGGCCCACCTTCTTGGTCGCTGCTGTCACTGTTGCTATCTTTATTTAGATGTATTATAGGGCCTGGTGCTTCTTCGTCCGTCTCCTAAACTATTCGACGTCACATGTGGGGATTATTTCACTCGGAAGCACCTCTCTGATTTGGCTGCAGGTCAGAATTACTGCTGGCTATATCTACACAACCTCAATATGCTAGAACTGATTCCGGCAACTACCATACATCATGCGGTAGCCGTTTCAATCTCTTTGGATGCGCGCTGTGGCACTCACTCAGCCTCATCCATATTCGTCTCGGACTCTTCATCGGACTCTTCATCGGACGCTTTATCACCAGAGAGCGAGTCGTCGGTTTGCTCATACAAACCCTGCTGCCAATCCTCGTACGACGATGGTACAGCGGGTGCCTCACTGTCAGTGCTACTGTCACCCCATTGCTCTAATACTCTTTCGCCGTGAGGCGCGCACCCTTCTTCGTCTTCTTTGTCTTCTTCGTCTTCCTGTCCTGTCCATCCTCGCTCCTCCTCCGCTTTCCTTTTGGTCTGCGATCCTCTCCCACTTCGTAAGAGCTTGACGTCCATAAGGGATCAGTTCTTTCGATAATAACAAACTTGATAGTGTAATTACGAGTGCCTTTGTTCGCGTTACGAAGCGCAATGATGCCAGCCTGAAGGGAGTCGTCGTCGTGGACTGTGAAATGAGTAACAGTTTCAGGCGTAAGATATATCAGAGCCATGGTCTTGATGTCGAAAGGAAACACTTCGCTTGCCTCCAATTCGTGCAGCAATGCTTGCCATTTGAACTCTTCGGGTTTATCATCCGTCGGAGTGAATGTCTTTCCGTCGAGGCCTGGAGGAATCTTATGGGCATCAAATGTGATGTCGCCGTCTCTATCTCCAGTTCCTGTTGCAATATCAAACCGGAGATGTTGGTATTGGTAAAAGCCTTTCCATTGCCACTCCCTGTAAGTTGACTCTTCACCGTGCTTCCAGCGACCAGTAATCTGGTACGTACCATCCTTGACTTGGGTTTCGTAGCTCTCCACGAACTTCTTTGACATCAAAACGAATTCATGTACCATGAAGTCAATCCAAAAAGGCTCTGGTTTGACGACTAGTCGATGAGGCTTGAGTAGAGTACCGTCTTTCGAGGTCTTCTCAATTCTAGCACTGTCCCATCTCACCTGCCTCCACTCTTTGCTCCAATCCTTTTGAAAAGATCGTTCTTTAGCAAGAGACCGATAGCTTTCTTCCTTAATTGATAGAACTCGCCAGCTATTAAGTCGAAGCCGCGACAGAAATCTTCCCCGGAAAATTGGATGTCGCTATGTGGTGCGTCATCGGACTCTCTGCGGTCTAACCAGGCCCTGGTTGCTACAGGGTATCCAATTCGACGCTCCCAGTATTGTGGATTTCTTCTGTCGTCATCAAGGATGCCTCCCGCCTTCTCTCTCTTGGTCTTCTCTTGTGGTTTGTGCTGAGACATAGTTGTTGGGAAAACGCAATGGCGCGGCTGGTGCGGAAGACGAGGCGAGATCTCTATCTGGGTGCTGCAAGCTTAGGCCAATGACGTGTCTAGGCGTGGAGGGGCTGTCGAGCTTTGCGGCAATGTTTTCGATGTCTGCTTTGGCTGAGCGCTTGACCGTATGCAGGGCGCCAGTGTCTAGATACTGTAAGCAATTTCCACGTAGCGGGCTGTACCCAACGATACCTTAAGGCTAGACGCGACGCCAAACCAGAGCGGTGAGAAGTTGTATACCACGGCACTCTAAAGCGGTGGATCGATTGCGCAGAAGCCGCCGTGTCTAGAAAGAGGATAAATCTGAATCTGAAAATAGCGGGGCTACAAGAATACGTTGTTAGGATAGACGCCGCAGCGTGTACACGAGAAATCGGTAGTGTGTGTGAGGCAGAAAGGTATAAACAAGTAGGCAAGGCGTGTCAAGCGCACGTATTCCAAATGTAAAGGCGTTGAAGAGATCACTGATTTGATTGCATACCACACGAAATAGAAGAACGCGGTGGCTTGTTTACACATGCGTTTGCGTTGCTCGGACCACCACCGTCGCTCATGTTGATTCGCCAGGCATAGTGAGTGGCCCAGGATACAGCGCGTTAGTGATAGAAGACAATTGTTCAATTCGTTCGTAGAAGATCAGGCAATATGTCTACACGATGTCCCTCAATGCAGGTGGATATGAAAGAGCTGAGGTTATACTATCGCGTATTTCAGGTCAGACAGGGCAAGCATACAAAGGACCCTGCCGGGCATTTAAGCTGGGCATCCAAGGCGAGCATCTAAATTGAGCTTTTGGGTCTTTGGTGCTTTATTCCACAAGGAATACCAGGTCTGACTGGGTCCTCTGATATGGGCTGACATCTTGCCACCTGCCAGACATCTTCCACTCTTACGAACCATCAGTCAAGGCATAGGCTTGCGGAGAGGAAGTGACAAATGTAAACCACAGAAATAATAGCATGTAGCGGAAGGAGGATTTAGTAGTTCGTGGTTAAGACTAGATTCAAATGAATAGCAAGGAGGACTTTGAAGTTATTAGCTACTAAGATATGGATAGTATATCTCGACGGGCTGAAGAAGTGCCAGGCAGACAAAACTGGAGTTTGTGAGGAGTACAATATTGTCAAAAAAGTAGACTAGAGGTTAAAATAAAGGCGCAAACATGCAGCTTAGTCTACCTAAGTGTCTCATGTATTAGCAAAGGGAAAATGATAGTCTAGATGCTTTTTTATTTTTCTGATATGAGGCTTAGAAGGAGAAGGCTTGACGGAGTTCAAGGTTCGAAAAGACAGAGGTTAACGCCGCGCAAAAGATTGTCACTCAACAGCAACTTCGCGACTAATCTCATCCTGCTGTACGCCATACACGTCAGTGACTGACCAATTCGGGTACACAGCTGGCTGGGGTGTGCCCGCACCAGCAACGGCTTCACGCCGCTCAACCACCTAAGCAGTCGTGTTACCATAGCACATGTCTCCTAAGTCTTCAGATAACAGTGCATTGAAGTGCAAAGGAAGAAGAAAATCCAGCTACGCAACACCTACCGAGATCTGTCTAAGCCTTCGCAAACATACCACAGACAGACATTTGGGGGCTGCGTCGAAAAGGAGCATTGACCGCGCCGGATAGCGTGTAATACCGATCCGAACATAATCCTACCAGGCGTTTGTTTGCGAGTCTATTACTGCAAGTGGAAAAGCACGAAAAGGCCATGGATGTTTAGCGCTTACGGCTCACACATCAGGCTAGCGCACATACCATACTCCTGGGTGCATACGTTCACGCCGCTCCCAAACCTTCCTTACATCGCAACTTCTCTTGTACATCTACGTTTACAGCTGTCGTCTGCTAAATCGGCGTGATGGACCTCACCAAGATTTTTGCAAGCGCGGCGCTGATCTACCTCTTGTACTTAGCATCCCGCCTGTACCGGAACTACGTGCGAGCGAGGTCCACAGGCTTCAAGCTCCGAGTCTTTCCATTCGAGATTGGTACACCTTTGTTCAGCGTCACTGCTACTCCTTTCTTGGGTCTAGTCAAACGCTTTTTTCCGCAGTCCTTCGCTCGAACGTACGATCTCGGGGTGTATGGCGTCGAATTTCGCGACAGAGTTGCGAAGCGCGAGCGGGAAACGCCTGGTTACCTTGTCGTAACCCCTTCCAATACTTTAGAGCTATTTGTGGAAGATGGGGAGATTGCTACTGCGATCCTCACAAGAAGACGTGAATTCGAGCAAGATGAGGTTAGCAGGAAGATTATGAACCAATTTGGGCCTTCTCTCGCTGGCAGTGTGGGCGAGGGATGGTCCCGACAACGTCGTCTCATTGCTCCCATGCTCAACGAGCGCATCATGGAAACCGTCTGGACTGAGAGCCAACAACAAGCGCATCAGATGATGTCACATATTACCGATGCGGAAGGCGGAACAACAAGTGGCACTGTCACCGGATTACGAAAGATCGCCTTCAACATCCTCAGCACAATTGGTTACGGTATGCCCACGAAGTGGAGCGCAGAAACGAAAAAGGCGGGAAAGGGCGAAAAGATGGACTTCATGGAAGCACTGCTCCACTTGGTTGATGGCTTAATCCTGCTCGTCCTCTTCCCTCCACGACTATTGAAGCAATCCTGGATGCCGATATCCTTGAGGCAGATTGGGGACGCCTACTACCAGTTCTATGAGCATAGTTCAGAAATGTTGCAGAAGGAGCGAGACGCCTTGAAGTCCTCGGGCACTCTGCGTAACACCTTTTTGTCGTCACTGGCCTCTGTCAACGACAACGGAGCAGATCCGTACGAGAAAGACGGTCGACTCAACAGACCCGCTTTCACCGAGGACCAGATTACTGGAAATCTGTACACTTTCACATTGGCTGGTTACGACACGACCGCCAACACCATGGCATATGCCGTTGCCATGCTTGCCGCGTATCCGGAATGGCAAGATTGGATCATAGAGGAGATTGATCGGGTACACAAAGAAGTGTCGGACCCAAAGAGCTATCAACAAGTCTTGCCGAAAATGGAGCGTTGTCTAGCCCTCATGTTCGAGACACTGTAAGCAATCCGATTGAATTTGGATGAGTCTTGCTGATTTCAAAAGCCGTATGTTCACGCCTGTAGCCCATATTGTCCGCGATTGCCCTGTCGACCAGGCCGTCACCAGCCGTGGCAAAACCTACCGCATCCCTGCCAACACACGTTGTACACTCAGCCTCGACGGCGTTGGAACTCATAGCGACGTCTGGGGTGATGACGTCTTCGAATTCAGGCCTTCTAGGTGGAGCACTAAAGATGTTAAGCTTACAGGCACCAACAGCATAGCTCAGGTGCCGAAACTTGAAGTGAAAGCTGCCAAAGAGTCATTTTTGCCGTGGTCCACCGGTCCTCGTGTGTGTCCTGGGATGAAGATGGCACAGACGGAGTTTCTTAGTGTCATCTACACCATCTTCTCGGAGCATCGAGTCGAACCAGCTTTGGAGGCAGGGGAGAGCTTGGAAAAGGGACTTTCTAAAATTGCGGCAATTGTTGCTGACTCTCAGCCTAAGCTCACTTTGCAGATGAACAGGCCGGGTGATCTGAAGTTGAAGTGGGTGCGAAGATAGAGAAGACTGACGCAGTTGCACTTAGATACAATAATGAAGAATGGTCACTATTCACGTAGAGGCAGTTGATGTGAACCGCCCTGCTCAGGTACTAAGTCGGTGAAGGTTGCGATCGCACCGCAGCATTGTTCGAATGAAGAATCACGGGGCAATGAGTACAGTCTCCCTTGCCACTTGTGCATTTCTTTTAGAGGTGAAGCGTAGCATTCTGCGACTATCTCTTGATGTAACCTTCCACTTTCCAATGGATCGTCACAGGGTCTAGAACAAAGTCTCTATGTTCGTCACCTTCAGCGACCCTCCTTCACCCTCTGTCGTCATGTCCATAATTCTGCCCTCCTCTGCGCCTCTCAAGAACCATACTATCTTGACGCCCCATCCATTAAACTCTAAGCCGCCCGTATCAACAGTCGCACTTCTATCTGCCTTGTTTGTCTTCAAGACAATCTCGTTCTCGGCTCCTCCGCCGTAATAAGTGAATCTGCTCTCCGGCACATCAAAGCTTGGATATAACTCTAGCCTAAGATCAGGAGTCCAACCTTCAATCCACTTTGCGTTGCCTTGATAGACATCACCTCGTGGAATGATGGCGCCTTGTTTCACAAAGACTGGCATAGAGGTCAGAGGTGAGGATATATTAGCCGATGTGCCTGCTGTGTACACCTGCGTCTTGTTGAAGTATTCGAGGTACGATTTGGAAGGCCCGATTGGGAAGTAGACACTGCGAGAGCCGCCAGCGTTAACAATAGGTGCGACCAGGAATTCGCTTCCAAAGAAATATGAGTCGTTGATGTCCCAAGTCTTCTCATCTTTTTCGGCCTCTAGGAACAGCGCACGAATGAGTGGCAGCCCTGTCTTAGAGACGTCGTTGGTATAAGATCGAATGTATGGCAAGAGGTCCGCATGCAAGTTAGCCGTTTGCTTCATGACAGCCAGTGTGCTCGTGTTATCGTAGGGCGGATACCAAGGCGTGTGATTCGTACCGAGCCTGTCTAGAAGTTAGCATGTTCAAGTAAAGTAAGATGCTTCCTAGTTGACTCACATGAGCTCATAAACAGGAGAAAATGCGCTGAACCACATCCACCTTGCCCACACTTCTGGTGACGGTGTCAAAGCGCCCTCTCTTGTGTATCCTCCTGTGTCAGAGCCCCAAATGCCGAAGCTGATGAGCCCAGATCGTATACCGGACGCAACGCTGTACGCAAGGCCGGTAAAATTAGCACTGCTGTCGCCGTTCCATACGTGCGTCTTCGCTCTGCTGCGATCTACTGCTGAACGCGCAAAATTGTAGAAGCCACCTTTGCCCCAAGTTCCAACCATCGAATCATAGGCCAGATCCAGGAAAAGTGCCATTTGTTCGTTTTGTACGTAGTCAGGCATTTCGCCTTCCTCGCCTCTATCGATTTTGTAGCCTTTGACTCCTACCGCAGCGAAGTATTTCAGGGACTCGTCGAAGTAGTTGTACGCAGCTGGTATGGAGAGATTCAGTGCTTCTCCGAGACCGCCTACGGGATGATCATCAGGGAACAACCACCGATCCTGGGTAGAGGCGTTGTAGAGCTTTGTGCCGTACTGCGCTCGGTTCGCGGTCCACACCTGGAAGTCCATGCCTGAAACTTCGGTAAGATTCTGAATGAACGAGGCTGGATCCGGATATTGTTTGGGATCGAAGTCAAAGTTGCCCCACGATCTATTCCCACTACCGTACGGCCTGTCTGCAAAAATCGAGGTAGCTCGGATGCGGTTGTTGTACAAATGGTCAACAACATCCTGAATATTCTCCTGTGCATTCGACACATTGCCATGAAAATCTAAAGTGAAGTCGTCAGACCAGAAAGTCGGACCTAATCCAGAAGTAGGAGGTATTTCACTTCTCGCACTGAGTCCCGTATATTGTTCGATGACGCTCTTCAAGCCTCCATCATCTTTAGGCAGGATAATATAGTATACTAGGCTGCTACTGTTGAAGATGAACTGTGCTTCTCCCGGCGTCGTGAAATCATACGATCCCATCTTCAACGTGTCCGCATATACGCCGTACCCGGCAGACGTAAGGAAAAACGGGGCACGTGCGTTACTCCAGTTGATGCCAACATTGTTTCCGACGCCCTTGAGTTCGAAAGCGACATTTGCATTGTCGATTCGACTGCTGAAGGGGTACTCCCAGACTCCATAGAAACGAGTTGTTTTGGATGCGGAGAACCGCGCACCGTGGAAAGCATTCGATGTGTTCAGTGTGACCTTGGCGACCGTAGGCGAGATGAACGCGTATGTAAGTCCTTGCGTGGTATTCCTCAGCGCACCAGCTGTGGTATTCTGTGCGCCGGCCAGAATTGCAGTATTATCCACCAAAGTGGTGTTGCCATCGGTAACAAGTAGACCGGACGACGGCGTAAGAGTGATTGTGTAGTCACAGACTACCAACGGCACCAGAGCACTCAGGCTCAGCCATGATATCCTGACCATGTTCGTAAAAGAAAAGGGCGATAGCGATACTAGGAGCGCGCATCGTGCACGCGGTTGATAAAATCTACATCTTATACGGATCCTGTTCCTGACCGCCGGGAGGTGCAGCTGCGGGTGTTAATATACCGATACTACGCCCAGAACAGGCCGGATCAGCGAGACTTGGAGTCATCTAAAGCTGGAAATTTAAATTCTACCGTAGCGGCAATCGTAGTGACCTTTTTTGGCTTCGTTGTGTGGGGGTTCAAAGGTTCGGCGCAAATCGCTGGGGTCTTCCCCACATTTAGTGCGGAGAAGCTGCGATGACGTTTTAAGTACAGGCTAAAAGCAATCTCGGGAATGAATCATCGCTTGTCGGGCGATTCGCGTGTGCGATGGCAGTGTATTGAGATGAGCTCGGATCTGTTCGTTCTGTGTTCGTGTCTCGGTCCGGACGTGCCGGACGTGCCGAAAGGGGTCGGAGGAGCTAAAAATCCTGGCGGGCCGAACCTCGCTTTCACCCCTCCGACAGTCAGATGCGACAACTACTCCAGTTTTGACAAAGCTTCAACTCAAGATCATATTGTTGATTACATCAGCTAAACCGTCTTCGTTGCAGCGCCGTTCTTCTCAACCCCTCCTCTGCCGTTAGGGGATACATGGAGGAGGAGCCTCAAGGCGTTCACACGAGGCCAACAGTCGCATGCTTACGATGTAGAGTGCAAAAGCTCAAGTGCGGTCGGGAGCTCCCGACTTGCGAGCGCTGTCGCAAGCAAGATGCTGAGTGCACATACCCGGCGCCACCAGATCGGAAGCGGATCGCCGCTGAGAAGTCCAATCGAGCAAAAGCATCTCAATGGAACAGTGGAAACCATCTTCATCGACCAGATTCACCGTCTGCAGAGACCAATACGGCGAAGAGGCGACGCCTCAGTCAAGAGACTGGTCCATTCCGTTGCCTAGCGGAGCCTGACGCCGCAGATTTGCCGTCTACAGAGATCGGCCTACTTCTTCAAGAAGTGTACTTCAAACGTGTCTACAGCGCAGACTTGATGTTTCACAAAACGGTTGGAATCCAGGTCTATATGCTGAACAAGACTCCAGAATACCTCCAACGCGCCATGTTCGCGCATGCTGCCTTATTCCTACAGGAGGTAGACCCACAGCATCAGAAATACATCAAAGTCTATCCAATGCAGACACTCTACGAGAGATCTTGGTCATGGGCACATGCTGCAAGTGTGGAGGTTCTTTCCCATGTTGATGAGCCATCTGTCCTCAAGATACAAACGCTGCAGGTGTTACAGCTTTACTATTACGCGCGAGGGGAAACAGTGCGCGCCAAAGTGCATTTATCTTTGGCATATCGCCTAGCTCAGCTGCTTGGTTATGGCAAACTATACGAAAATGAGGACCCCACTTTGACCAATCCCAGCCTCAAGTTCGATCGCGAAATACGAAGACGGTCATTCTGGGCGAGTTGGTGTACTATGTGTTTGGACTCCGAAGGTATATATGCTCCCCAAATGTATGAAAGTGCTGCCAATCTGCCACTACCGGCGAAATTCGGCCCTGGAGGTTCTATCCAGGGAGTAGAACTCACCCATGGCGAAGAGATGAGTCGTGAGTGGAGGAGGCAAGGAGACTCTCAAGTTTGCGACCCTAACACTACCTCTTTGATGGCACAATTGATTAAGCTTACAGGATTTTGGTCAGTAACCAACGACCTTCATAATCAATAAAATTGTTAATCTGACGATCAAAGGGCTAAGATACGAGGGCTAATATTCGAGCTTCGCACTCGGGGGTACTCCCAAGATATGGACGAATTCCAAGACATAGGTAGATTCTTCGAAGAAGTCGAGCATTTTGTACACTTTCCAGCCAGCGAGATCTTCGCCAGGGCAAAATCTTTCGATGAAAGTCCAGAATTTCTCGCATCCGTTTGCTCCATTTACTACCTGAGCCGGATCTTTTCGGAGGCTTTCAAGAGCGAGTTAATCCATGATTCGAATGCACAGCTTCGGGACGGAGATCCGGTGGTCCAGAGCAGCTTCGAAACTGCAGTCATCCTTGAACAAGCGCTGGCATTCACGGAGCTATTGCAGGAATTGGTTGCGAGTAATTTGGATCTCACAAGATTGTGGCACGTCACTGGATATGTGGCTTTCATAGCAGCCAGAGTGATTTTGGTATGTGTTCCATTATATGCCTGCCATGAACAACCCACGCAAGCTGACCTATGTCCAGTTCTATCATACAACTCGGAAATGGACCCGAAGTTTACTAGGATCATTGCAGATTCCAGGACCGGATTCACGTGAGATCTCTGTCTGTCAGACTGTACTCCAAGTCTTGGGCATATACTGGAAACCGTTGCGAGCGCTAGTAAGCTTCCCCGTACATTACTGTGAAGGTTTATGTACCTTAACATTTAAAGGTTACGAACTTGAATGAAACGATCGAGATGGCTCGTTCTGATCCAGAAGTACCTCTGTCCTTTCCATGGGACTACATCAATTTTCTTTCCGATGGCAACCCAAACCCCAAAGTCAGGCACAATGCAGAATCGCCGCAGTCAGCCATCGACAAGCCAAGACCACCACTACAGGAAAATACGCAGGGACATACTGAGCACCCACAATCAATAGGCGCGGGATTCTTACCAATCGAAGATCGTCCATCACGCGGCCCTGAAGGGCACGCCATTGAGCCACAGTGGTGGATGAGTAGGTCGTACCAAGGATGAGAATTACAACTGCGAGTCTTATGTTACAGCTTTGGCATGAAGGACATGGACTTGAACAAAATCTGCCGTAGATTAGGCATTGTTGAACGGGGTCATCTCCCAAACATGATATGATTATTCGATCTGTACTCTCCTATGAATCTTAAATGTCTCGACCCAGAGAAACAAACGTCTATCCAATGCCAAAGGTCGTGACAGCCCACGCCCACGAAGCGGAACCGAATACCATGGGAGGAGTATGCGTGTGAGCAACCTCCCGATGTTATATTCGATCTACACTATACTCTCGTAGCTATGATCTATGCCTGGGGATGATTACACATTTCCTTTCCGGCACAGGACTCCATTCTCCAGTGACGTCCGCTCATCAGTTCCCCTCAATCGCCAATCGAAAACAGCGAATGAGAGTTGTCACTCGCATCATACGCCAAAATATCATCAATTTGTGCCTGCGTCAAGCCGGCTCCAAAGTCGAACCCATCATCCAAGACTCTTGCCGTAATATTCCAGTTGTAGAAAACGACTGCAAATTTGATCGTCCTGCCAACCGGACGGAGAAAGTAGTTGCTGTCACCACCTTCCAGGTTGCCCTGCCGGTGAATCGTCGACTTTGCACGCGTTTCGCCGCGACCTAAGATCTCGAACGCGTCGAACTCGCCGCAGCCGGTCGACCAGCAGGAGCATGGAATGTTTTTCCGGTCATTGCCATATTGCAAGATGCGTGGGATAGCCGCGTTGAGGAACCACCAAGCGGGTGCGTCAGAAAGCATGCCCTGGTCCGAGCCGTAATTATCGTAATGGTCCATCTGGAACTCGATGAAAAAAGCTTTAGCAGGCCCTTCCCAGCCATCTGAGAGGGTCAGCGCCTGCTTTGGTCACACATAATTATGAAAGGCGTACAGTGTGCAGTAGCGTTTGGCCTCGCGTACTCGCAATCGTTGTCGCATGTTTTGTCGGTAAAGACGGCGATCTCGCGCTCCGATGTCTCAAGAGTTCCATCGAAAGGCGTGCTGTCCGCAGCTACTTTGCTCCCGTCCCCGATCACGTAGCCGAGCGAGTTCCCGAAGGCGCTGCACTCAGTTAGCGTGCTCAGCAAGATCATTCAACAGATGACTTTGTCTCATACTAATCAAACGTGCCGGACTTCTGAGGGTCGCCTAGATTTGCTAAAAAAGCGAAACCACTCGCTGCAGCAGGCGCCGCAGAAGTATAGTAAGCCACCCTACTCCAAATTGAAGCTGCATCTCTTTTAACATCGTTTTCCTGCAACGGGTTGCCTGATGTTGGACTGGCGGACGTAGGGACACCAGTTACAGCGGGGCTTTCTTCGTCGCGCTTGACATGTGGAAGGGGGCTTGATGCGCTTGCATCGACGGTGCTATCTAAACACGGCGAAGATGAAGCTGATAGTAACGATGACGAAAGTGAAGCTGCAAGGGCAGGCAACGCAGGCGGAGGTGGCGGAGGTGGAGAAGGTGGAATTGCAATTGGTGGCGGTGGAGGAGGTGGAGGCGGTGCTATTCGCAAACATCAATGGACTGCAGTGCCTTGTGTCGTGGAGTATTGAAGGAGACTCACGTGGAATTTCAGTGGGTCGTAGTGAACTCGGATCCTCGCACGGACATTCCGTCCCGTCTGGTCCAGGAGATGAGGCTGGCAGCTGGGCTAGTTGGGAACCCAGGAACGATGAGGTCTTGGGACTTCCTGAGTCTGTGACTTCAAAAGTTGTCGTTGCAGTGGTTGTCACGGTTGTCGTCGACACATGGGGTGAGAGTGCTGCTAAAAGTACTGAAAGTGCAGGAAGTGCAGGCGGCGAAGCTGGAGCAGGCAGTACTGGCGCGGGGACTGGGACCGGTACAGGTATGGGTATATATGGAGGTGGAGGTAAGATCTGCGTCTGCGTAAACGCGGGTACAGGATTCGGACATGTGCTACCCTGGGTAAAGATCGTCGTAGTGATTGTAGGCGTTATTGTGCAGACGAATCCAGGACCGTTCTTTGTCAATTGCGTCGTCCCGGGGCTGCCCAGCTGAGCATTTGAGGGGATAATTGTCTGCATAATGGTAGTGGCGATCGTCTCTTTGATCGTAGAGAGGATCGTCTGCACAGTTGTAGGCGCGGCCGGCTGTTTGGTTGGCGAAGCAGGCATTTGTATAGTTGTTTTCACGCTCAGAGGCTTGGTTGTTGAAGCTACTGTCTGTTTGGTTGTCATTGCTTCCGACGCAGATGTAGTGTCGTCTACCCATTCGGTGGTATATTCGCCTGTTCATCAAGTGTATCAGTCACGCTACTAGCCGTTTGGATAATGCAGCCAGCACGGGAGGTAGGTACCTTCTGTATTAGGATCATCCTGGGTATAATGCCAGAATGAATGCCAAATCGATCTTATGGTCCCGTGTTCGTCGCGAGGTTTCCGCATCTTCCGTCGTCTATTCGTACGGCGGTTCTTCCGATGGCTGGATTCTCGCTTCGATATTGACATGTCCGGCAACTTGTAAACAGCTATCTGGGAAACGTTCATCGGACCGCGCAGATGCATGGAGAGCTTGGTGTGCAAATTAGCATCCCATGAACGCACGCAGCTTTTCCCGATGTACTTCTCCGATCAATGGCGTGAGAGGTCCAACGCCCGAGTAGGCTATGGGTTCATGATCGCATAGTCCGGTGGTCGGATCGACTCGTGTCGTTCTATTGTACTCGCCAGGCTGACTGATGTTCTTGAACGTAATTGCGGTAACTTCGGAGCAATACCAGTTTCCGTCGTCGGCGCGTTCGGCAGTTCCGCGACATAGCTGTGCAGCTGTCGCGCTGTAGGCGACCCAAGTGAAGAGGCCCAGTATACTGAAGAGTAAGTAGATCATGCTGATGCTGTGCGGTAAAAGTACAACGACTGAGCGGCGTGGCTGCGTGGTGTGCAAAGTGAAGGTGTGCATGTAGTAGAGACAGATGTAAGATTAAAGGATGGATTCATTGCTAAGAGCAGTTCTAGCAAGAGTCACGGGAAAACGGAAGCAGCGTCCGGTGACACCAGATCTATAGAAGCTACCAGCCCAAAGTTCTCCCCTGCTATTGTAAGACCGCGACCTAAGCACTCATTAGCGAGATTCCACGCGTGTGGTGGAAAGCGCGAGTGTGAGACATGTGCTTTTCAGAGAGTCCGTTGAGTTCATCAACGTCAAAGACGTTTAAAACAAGACTGTACCATGTTAGCAAGGAGAAAAGCAGCGGAGAGGATAGGCTTGACTTACGGTACCAGAAAATAAAATGTATGGAATACTTCATCCTTGCACGAGACATTGGGTTGGGCTGAACGTACCTGAAGTGTTTGCACCGCGTCGCTGCAGATAATGCAGCAGTGTCAACCAAGTAACAGCAGCTCAAATCCTCGACATTAGAGGATGCGGTAGCTGCACATTGGAATCACGAGTTGAGGTTCGGACGGAGAGGTCGCGCTGCAGACTTTTAATGAGGACGCCAAGCATGGTCCAAGCGCTCTCTAAGCGGTTAAGCGAGGACTCCGCACACATCCACCTCGCGATCTCTCGCGAACTTCTGAACTCTAACCTCGTCAGCCTTCTAACACCGCAGCCATGGGTCGTCTTCACAGCAACGGAAAGGGCATATCAGCCTCCGCCATCCCCTACTCGCGCACTCCCCCGGCGTGGCTCAAGACCACCCCCGAGCAGGTCGTCGAGCAGATCTGCAAGCTCGCCAGGAAGGGCGCGACTCCCTCCCAGATTGGTGAGGTCCTTCGTGACTCCCACGGTATCGCCCAGACCAAGATCGTCACCGGTAACAAGGTCCTGCGAATCCTCAAGTCGAACGGTATGGTAGCCTGCCCGAGCTGAAGCGCACGTCAACAGCAGATCTGCCTACGGGCACCTGCCGCGCTATACAAATCCGCCTCTGTTTAGTTCAAAGCTGACAGAGAGCCATTAGGTCTCGCCCCTGAGATCCCCGAGGATCTTTACATGCTCATCAAGAAGGCTGTTGCCGTCCGCAAGCACCTTCAGACCAACCGCAAGGACAGGGACTCCAAGTTGTACGTACAGCCCAAATTGTGTGCATGGCTTTCGCTGACTCGTCTAGCCGTCTTATTCTCATCGAGTCCCGTATCCACCGTCTCTCCCGCTACTACAAGACCGTCGGTGTCCTGCCCCCTACCTGGAGGTACGAGAGCGCCACTGCCTCTACCCTTGTCGCATAAACAGGTGTTGGCAAGTGCTGTAGGTTCGAAGGAAAATACTCAATTGGAGTTATGGATGCATGGATACACTACGGGTCACATAGCCTGTTTATGGGTGGACATGATATGGAATGAATGAAAAGCATCACGTCCGAGGACGACTCTTCAATTGATACCCTGTGCTGGATATCCAGCTTCTCACGCCGCTCTAGAATGTGACCATGAATTTGTGAAATTTTAAATGTTCCTAACCATGGGGTATCATGCCTGCCATGATGCGCCTCGAAATCCTTGATGACCTTCAAACGCCTGTCCTATGCAAGCCAAAATAGACGACTTCCTCGTCTTTGCATCCTTCAGATTCAATGAATTTTCTACCCTTGGTATTACTTGCCCTCCAATGTCTTCAACCCTCAAGCTCCGCACTCTTCTGCGCCAACCACTTGCTCAAAAACTCCAGCGGCTTCTCCGGTCTATTCCATGTTAGCATCATCCCGTCTCACCCACCGTTCACTTCCACTTACTCTTCCGTAACCAAATGCTTCATCGCCTCCAGCAGATGTGGCGTGACATGCTGATTCAAATACTGCCGTGTAGGTGCTCCATGCAGCGTCGCATGAACAGGTATCTGCGCAGGTCCACTCGGATGCGGCGAATTGCGCGATGATGCGGGAGCTGGGGCGGGTGAAGGTGCTGAGAGAGCGGGCTGCGCGGGTTGTTGCTGCTGTTGGACTGGAGGTGGTTGTGCTTGTGGCTCCGATGGGGGCGCTGGCGCGGATTCGGAAGCAATTGCAGATGTTTCTGTGGGCGCAGATTGCTCTACAGCTGAAGGCTGGGCGGGCGCCGAGTCTGCCATCTCGACATCTTCGGCTGGGGTGCCGTTTGATATGGGCGCAAGGGCGGGTGCTGCGACGGTGGTTGGCGAGGCCACAGATGCGGTCTGCGGAAGGGTTTCTTGCGAGGGATCGGCCATGATCAGGTCGTTGAGAGTGACGAGAGGCGTTGGAAGGGAACGGCCTGTCTGGAAAAGGAATGGACTCTTAGGTGTTGGCGGCGACATGCTTGTGGTGTTGAGTGCACGGGCAATTCGGAGATGGGACGGAGATCTTCCGGGACTGGGAAGTCGTGGCAGCGTGATGATAGCTTGTCGAGGTGGAAACAGATATTAGGCGGTACAGGTTTTTCCACTTGAATCCATTGTATGTTCGGCAGTCGCGGACTGTGGCCAGAGGATTAGCTCCTGCCATTCAGTTTTCTTTTGCCAACACATTCATGCTAGGACTAGGCTACAACCTTCATTGATCACAGGTTGGCTACACTGCTGAACAACTGTGTTTTTATTGAATATGTATCAAGATTCGGAACTTATTTTCCGATCTGTGGTTTATGAAAGCTCACCCTCGCGAGATCGCACCGCAGCCTGTCGTGTGCTGCCTTGTCCGTTTGGTGTGCTCAAACACTGGCCTTAATAGTACCAAATTGTCTATTGCTATGTTTGGTAGACCTAGTAGCGACGAGACTGGATTCGTATTATTCTGTAGAACTTACAAGATTACATGAGCCCATACAAGCTCAACTAACATCCATCGTACCGCAATTTTGCTACTGGAATCCGTACTCAACATGTTAAGGACCTGTACCTGACCTCACGGACACCTTTCTTACTCTTCAATGACTTAGGCAAACCACCAGCCCTATTATGCAGCTGCGTCGTATCGCTAGCACCAACACATGTCTTTATAGTCCATCAATATGGCGGTTGCAGTTGTAGGTCCAGACAGCCGCCGCTTCAGAAACGTAGAGATAGCTCGCATTGTCGATCCAACCACATACCGCAGAAGAGCTGCCGCAGACGATAAGCGCTGGACAACCGGCCAAGCAGAAGTATGCGTCAAGTCAATCCACATCAGATCAACCACTCACAACCTCGTCACAGAACCTGGCCTGCCTATTACCATTAGTCTCCTGTTAGAATACGTCCTCTACGACCCACAGTTCTGTCTCCACACTCCAGGACAGCGGCAACAGCGCACTCTTCCTCCAGAAACATGCCGTCCGCATCCCTACCACCTTCACCAAAGTCCTCAACCATCCTCCTACCTAGTGACCCCTCCATTAGTGCAACGAGAGCCTTGCCTCGCACTACAGTGGAAAGCTTGTTAAGCTCTACCAGCATAAACCGTACTCCAAGCCCGTAAACGCGCGGAAGGCGTACCTACACCTTAAGGTGGTGCCAACGCTCTCACGGCCTCGCTCAAAGTAATCTTCAAGGTGATCGTACCCAAGTGCCTCATTTTTGTCGTGTGATTTCCCTCTGTTCTCGCTCGGATAATATTCTGGACGACCATTGTGCACGGTCTGTTGACTATCGTTCTACTCGTTAACTTTGTCCGGGACATTGCCAGATTCTTCGCAGGTCATTTACGGGATATTTGGAGTCGTCTGTTCTGCACATCCGCGACCAGCGTAAGGAGACACCATATAGACCTTGACGGGCGTCTGCAAGGACTGAGAAGATACCAGTGGGGGTCCTTCTGAAGTATCGCCTTGGTACATTCGGATGGACTCGTGGCGGATGGACTGACACGGGAAAGTATTCGGTTTGCATGTGTGACATGTAGAAGTATGATACACGATTCACAGATATTGTACAATAGTATGCCAACGGTCTTCTATGCAATGATTTTCTGAGCTGTCTGCTCAGCAGTCTCCCTCTTACTCTGCAGCGATTCCGGTAGCAAGTTCTCATGCTCTTGGCCAAATGGCATGTCGTCTCCATCCAGTACCCGATGTACCTTCAAGGTCGACGCCGCACCGTGCATGCCCACAATATTCAAAGTCCGCTCCAGCTCTCCCCACACCTTGACCGGCGGTGCCTCTCCCTTGAAAAGCTCCCGTCCAGCATGGATCAACTCGTTCGCGGCGAAGCTGCCCGGGGCATACTTGGGCTCATACGGCTTGCGGTCCCACTGGTTGCGCTGCATCCGATACAGGGTTTGCATCATGCTGCCTTCAATCGCACCAGGGTCCAGAGCCTCCTGATCAATCTTCGGCGCGTCTCCTGCTGATGCACCTCCTCCGCGCTCACGCTTCGCGGGCCCAGCTTCGCTGCCACGGTTTCTCGCCGGGCCACGCGCACCACCCGGGCCACGAGCACCACCTGGGCCACGCGCACCACCTGGGCCACGGGCGCCGTTTGCTCCAGGAGGACCATCCCCACGTGCGCGTAGATTGGGGCCACCTCGTGGCCGGCCGCCGGGAGGTCCTCCCTCACGGGTTATGCGGAGAGTGGACGGAGCGCGGATCATGGTGCCTGGGGCCCCGGTGGCTTCCTTTCTGACAAGAGGTTTCCGGGGAGTGATGATCTTGGCTCCTGTTGACGGGCCAGCGCCGGTTCTTTGCGCAATGACACCTCCGGCTTGGGGAGGACGTCGAAATTGGAGATTTCCGATCTGGTTTGCGGCGTTTATATTTCGTTGACGGCGAGGTTGGCGCTGAGCGGAATCCCCTATGAACGATTTTTGTTAGCAATCTGTTAAAAGATATGGCATTGAGGTTTATTGATGCGTACCCGTCATGGCATCCTTGAGCGATCTTGACTGCGGTGCAGAGTCGCCAGGCTGGTCCTGGAGCCTGCGAGCGGAAGCATGGAAGCCTCTGGAGAAATGTGCGCTCGATGCTACACGCTGCGACAATGGTCGTCCAATTGTGCCCATTGAAGGGCACACGTAGCGTTGCGACATGGCGGCAATGGATGCTTGAAGCTGCGAATGTGACTTTTGGCCTGAAGCCGTCAAGAATGGCTTGGCGCGCTAGGGGTCCCTTCACATCGCCCGTGCGCGCCAGTTGCGGAGCATCACGAGCAAAGGTTGTTTACTAGTCAGCTGTCGTCACAATTATCACTCGACAACACTTTTTAGACGACATCTCATTCCGTCAAAGGCGTTTGTCACGTCTCTGTTTGGTCTCAGTCACGCACGAAGCTCGCGCTTGGAGCACAACAAACGTCAACGAGGCTACACACCCACATCAATACCTCTCAAGAAATAAGATCACACAACTTGTCCAACTCCTGCAAACATCACCATACCGGCAATATGCTTCGCCGTCCCGCCACCACCATCACTCTAACCTCCACGGACCTGGACGCCTACGAGGCCAACCGCCAGCGCAAGATTTGGGAGAAGCAGCAGCAGCAGCAACAAGCCCAAGCTGCGCAGACTGCCAACGGCCCTAATAACCCCATGGGTTCGGGTCAGCATGGCGCAGCCCGATCACAGCAGCGGAGCCAAAAAGATCGCATCATGGGTGGGCAGTCGCGTCAGGGTAACTAACGTGATAATATGAAAGAGCACGCATGAACCGTAAAGCTTGTAAACTAAGACTTTGGAAGCAGACTTTGGAGTTCTTGAAGACGATGCGGACGTAATCATGGGCGATGGTATAAGTCCCTAACGTATGGCGCTGGGTGACCAGGCGTTCAATATGCTCTGGAGTTTGGGAGTACAGAAATCGGTAGCGGGGTAAGTCCATCAGTACGCCGGTTAGTCAAGTCCTAAAAATGTGAATAGAGCATATGGTCTAGCAGCCAGGTAGTGCAAGCTACGGATTTTCCCACAGTATATACTCGTTCCAGACCACCAAGCGCGGGGCTATCGCGGCTCATTTCCTATGACAAACTGATACCACCATCACCTTCATTGGCATGCATTCTTCTTATGCCATGTGAGGCGGTTTTTACATCATCAGTCGTTGCCAGCGGAATGCAACAATGACGCGTCGGCCCGCGCAACGCGTGGAATGTCCCTGGCTCCAGCAACACAATATGCCCACCCCTTGATGTCCGTTGACGCCTCTCCATCTTCTCTTACCACTCGTATGAAGTGAGACCTACAGCATGGCACGTCTCAAAGCGGCGTCTGCGCTGCTGGTGCCCTTCGTATTTCGAGCTTCCGCACAACAATATCAACTTATACGGGAATACAACGCTTCCAACATCTTCGAAGAGTTCAACTTCTTCAATGTAAGAAAGGGTCTCACTGACGGGAGGACTATCCTGCTAAGCCAGAATAGGGCCCTGATCCGACTGGTGGCTTCGTCCAATATGTGTCAAAGGAAGTTGCTGCAAGCACTCCGCTCATTGGCAATTCTTCAGACTTGATCTACATCGGAGTAGATAGTTCCAATGTCTACACGGCCGGTGGACCCGGAAGACCAAGCGTCCGACTTGAGAGCAAACTTACCTTCACAGAAGGTCTTTTCATTATTGACCTTACACACATCCCAGTGGGTTGTGGAACTTGGCCAGGTATTATAACTTTTTCGATTTACACTTACTCTAACTAACCATCGTTGAAAAGCACTCTGGACAGCTGGTTTGACCGACTGGCCTATTGACGGGGAGATCGACATCATCGAGAACGTAAACGACGCTCGCGCTAACAACGCTGCTATCCACGCCGCTGACAATTGCGGTGTGAACGCGACCACCGCTCAAACCGGCATATGGAAGAGCACAAATTGCAGTATTAGCCATGACGAGAACCAAGGATGCGGCACTGTCTTCACTGAGCCCTTCAACTACGGCTCCGAGTTCAATGCGAACGGCGGTGGCGTCTATGCGATGGAGTGGACCAATGACTCTATCAAGGTTTGGTTCTTCCCACCTACTAACGTCCCCTTCTCTCTCTCGAACGGCGAGATCCCTGATTCGGAGACATTTGGTACCCCGAGCGCAAGTTTTTCGGGACCATGCTCTGGCTCTTTCAGTGAAAAATTCTTCAACCATAGCATTGTCATTGACACTACGTTCTGTGGCGGGTGGGCAGGCGACGCGTTTGGTGTTGGCAGCTCATCGTGTCCGCTTAAAGAAGGCCTGAGTCCGCGGGATAGTTGTGTGGACTTTGTGGCAAGTAACCCTGAGGCCTTTAAGGACGCGTACTGGGGAATCAGGAGCGTCAAGGTCTGGGAGAAGGTACCAGGTTTCACGGTTCAAGGCCTTGCAATACCTGGACTCGCCCTACCGACGCCGGTTGCGACGATCGAACCTCTTGATGTTCTGATCAAGGGATCTGTATCGAAAAATGTCTCGACCCCGATCACAACTTTTGGGCCTCTACATGTTTCACCCTTGACTGGGGGAGTACTCAGTGCTGATGACGATAGCGAAGACCTTGTTGATGATGATGAGGACAGCATTGGGGACGACTTGGGAGACATTTGGGATGCCACCGATGATCCTTTTGATGACGATCCCTTGTCCGATCTCCTCGATACGGAAGAGCCTAGTGCTATCATTATTGCGGTCGATGTAGATCCTTTCACTTCTGAAGCTGCTGTGCTTCTTGATCAGACTGGATCAACCCTGTACGGCGGCGGCAGTGTTCATCTCCCCTCAAAAGCACCTGCTTTCCCTTCTGTTCGCGCTCCATTCGGCGTCGGCAACACGGAGAATCCTAAAGACTTCTTCCCACCAAAATTATCGCTACCGTTGCCTACAAAGGAACCTCGAATTCCTGCTCCAAAAGGTCTGACAGGTATCATACCTCCACTTCTCCAAAGTGGTCCACCAGTGCGCCAGCAGAATCCCGCCCCGAGTGGATTCGTAGGCGTCCAGAGACCGAATACACTTCCCCTGCTACTTCCGAATCCCGTCGGTGATGTGGCCCAACCGGGATTGGAGGTTCTTCCCGTCAGCAACCCAGAGAGCACTACGACCGAACTGTCCCTTTCCGACCCTGTCGCACCAGTAGCTGTTCCCCTGCTCAATGCTTCCAGCCTTAGCATTCCAGGAGTCAACGTTTCCACGGTCGACGCCTCAGTGGTTGTTCCCCAGCTCAATGCTTCCAGCCTTACCGTCACAGGACTTAACGTTTCCACGGTCGACACCCCAGTAGCTGTTCCCCAGCCCAATACTTCCAGCTTTAGCTTCCCAGAAGTTGATGCTCCCGAGCTCGACGCCCCACCTGTACTGGTAACGCCAAGCGGAGACAATACGGGCCTTCCACCTCTTCAGCACAGCAATCCTCTTATTCCTGCCGGTATTGGCCACACAGCATTTGTTCCGCCTAGCATTCGCGATAGCCCCATAGTCAGTCTCTGGTATTCGTTTGGCCCTGAGCTCAAGCAAAAGCTTATTACTGCGGCGACAAACTTGCCTCCACCCACCCTCGGAAGCAGCCCTCTAAATGACCTTTGGGCTTCTTTGAGCCCTGAGCTAAAGAGTGAAGTCTTGAGTGCTGCGAGAAATCTGCCTGCTTCGACGCCCGAGAACTCGGTCCCCACCATATCAGATTTGATCAATGCTGCTTCAAGCGGGAAGATTACAGATGACGTCAGTCCACTGGGGCTGCCGACATTGGATATTCCGCCTGCTGTGAAGCCTGCTGGTGGACTGTTGGGCTTCCTGGACGCAAACACGAAGAATAAGCTGAAGGCTTTGTTTGGACAAACTTCAGCAGCCCCAACAGGCGGTGACATCCTGAAGCGACAGGTCTCAGTCTCGAGTCCAGTCGCAAGTCCGGCGGTACTGAACAACCTACAGCCACTTCCTGCAGTGATTGGGAGCACAGCACCGGCAAACCTGTCTCAGCCCGCAGTCCCAGTCTTCAAGCTGACACCCAATGTACCCGTCACTGCGCTGACCACGACTGATACATCGAAGGCTATGACAGGCCTTTTCAGTTTCCTTGACGACAGCACAAAGGAACAGATAGCGGACTTGTTGCTTGGGGCCAACTCATCGACCGTAGACGTTTCGCAGCCAGACGTGGATGTTGTAGGCGAAGTCACACGTCGCTCACATGTACCTGGGAAAGTACTACCGACCTGGGACGTTGCCAAGCCTGGTCTCCTCTCAGACACACTTTACACGTTGGATGGTATCATCAAAACAGTCGCCGCTCTTGATGGTGAGAGTTCGGACATTGTAACAAACAACACTTGGGATGCTCTGAACGTTCAGAATTTGCTGCCACTTAAAAACTCAATTGATTCCATCGATATCAATGACAGAGTGAAGCTCGCGGACTTCCTGACGGGGGATAAGGCCATCTCCAACGACGTTGGAAGTTTGATAGCTCTGGTTCTGCTTGGTGATGGCACCACGAAAGCATCTGAATTGCAGGACATTATGAACGCCGCGAACAACTACGCTCGTTCGCCAAACGATGAGACGATGAACGCGTTCATGGAAATCCTTCAAGATGCGGCAAACTCGCTCTACGATCACACTCTCGCTGACATAAACGTCTTCCCAGTATACAGTCGTCTCCACGCTCGCGACGCTGCTTCTAACTGGACTCCGCAAGACAAGCTTGCTCTTGCACAAAACATCTATGCTCTGTGCCCGGCTCCTGCTCTCATCGGCATCCCCTTCCCGTCACCCTACGAGCTTGCGACCGACTTGCTAAACCCGAGCAAGACTCTCGAAGACGCCACGGCGGCCTTCCGACTTAAGTTGCAAGCCTACTTCGACGTCACTGTGCAAGGCTGCTGGGGCAAGATCAACCAATGGCTTGCATGGCGTCAGCTTCTCCGCAAGCCTGGGACTTCCACCATCTTGCCCTTCCCTATCCCAAAAACTGCGAGCATGCGCATTCGGGAAAGACAAACGGACGGCGGCGCGCTCCAAAATTCCGACCCACAAGGCCTCCTTGAGCAGCAGATCTACACCATCTGCCCTAAGCCAGACACCTTCTCCACCGACCAACTGATCGCCGAACTTGAAGATGCGAACACCTCTATCGAGGTCGCGATCAGTCATTTCCAGAACGAGCTATGGGCGTATATGGCGAAGCTGCAATCCTGTTCGGACCAAATCAGAACTTACGGACCGAAGCTCAAGGCCCTCATCGCGCCTCCTTCCTTTAACACCACCGACCACGCAAAGATGAATCGCCATCATGCTCGCCAGATTATACCGGGTCTCGCCGGTCTACCTCCCCAAGCGCTCTTGCAATACTTGGCCAAGCAGCAGCAGAGTGGTGCACCCTCGTCTTTTGAGTTGCAGAAGATTATCTATGACGCTCTTCTCGCAGATTTTAGCGCTGGTCGTCCGCTTGGCGATCCCCGTGATCAGGAACAGCTCCAGAATTTCGTCTTGAAGTTGACGCAGGCTACCGCGCCCCAGCCGTTCAGCGCGCCACCACCACCACCTCCTCCTCCTCCTCCTCCTCCTCCTCCCCGCCTCCGTCTGGAGACAATACCAACCCACCACCACCACCACCACCGCCGCCGCCGCCGCCGCCGCCGCCTCCCCGCCTCCGTTTGGAAACCTGCTACCACCACCACCACCACCACCTCCTCCTCCCCTCCTCCTCCCCTCCGCCTCCTCCACCTCCACCACCTGACGCCGACACTGACGGAAGTAATGATGACATTTCTAATGGCAACGATCCCACTGCGCCCGGGAATGACCCCTTTGCCGGTGATCCCACAAACGATGGTTCGCAAGACACGGATCCTAACGGCGATGTTGTGCCCCACCACCCGACGGCCTCCCCGACGGCCCCGTCATGGCCTTCTCTCCCGATGACACAGCGAACCCCGCCCTCCCCGTCGCGTCTCCTGGCTTCCGTTCCCGCATCCTAAGAAGCGTCCCCTCTAAGCGTCAGGAAGACCAAAACGGCGTCATCCCCGAATCTGAAGCCCCGGCCGACCTCGACGCCATCCTCGGACCCCACGGCACACTCGACCCTTTCGGTGCCCTTGGCCCTCAGATCGCCGCCCCTGACGCTTCCACTACGCCCACGGCGGACCCCCACGACAAGCCTAACGGCTCCGACGACCAGCTCTACGACCTGCCTGACACGGCTGTCGACGAGGCTAGTCCGGAGGTCGATAAGGCGCTGCAGCAGGGCGAGCAGGACCCGTTTGGCCAGCTGCAGTACGACAAGGACGTCAGTCCCGAGGACGCGATGGGAAAGCTAGAGAGCAAGGAGTTTCTGGGCAAGTTGAGGAATCACGAGCAAAGCGAACAGAGCGGGAAGTATCTGGGGGATCCGAAGGACGTGGAGGACTTCGTGGACAAGTATTATCCTGGAGGTCAGCACGCAAGAATTACGTACTTGGGGGACCCGCAGGACGTGGAGGACTTTGTGGACAAGTATTATCCCGATGGAGGTAAGGTGGTGACCTGAGGACAGATTGAGATGGATTGCAGTTTCGATAATGGAGTTCACGATTTGATGGTTGATGGAAATGACTCGAGTGTGTTTTAGTGCTAGGTACAAATTGTAATGCTTTTGTTTTCTTCGAAGGAACGTGCTTTGGCGCCTTGCTGTTGACTTATTCGCCTTGACTTTCTGTTTTTCTCTTCGGTGAGCCCGCTTCATGCCTGTATAAAGCCCTATCGTGTCGTCGTTAGGCGAGGCTATTCGGGGAATTGCTCACTTCCAAGTGCACTTTCGTCCAGGGTGATATGCAACTAGACTGCCGGACTCTTCGGTCATCCCAATCTGTACCTAGGGTGTGTTTATCGCTATTTCCTACAGGTCCCGATATGGAAAGAAATGGCTACATAAACCCCACACGAAACAGACATGCGCAGGATCTACAGCACCTGAATGGATGTTCGGCTCTTCTTGTCACTCGATCACTTTCCGCCGCTTCATATGGGCCCTAGTCAAAACATCAAGTTGCTGGGGCTCCAAGAACTCCGTCTTGCTCCATCCTCCTCGACCAGGGCATTCTACGTAGCGTAGGAAGAATTGCCTAATTCAGCTTCCAAGTCCTTCCAAGGGTGTATGCGATACTTACTAGTAGTGTAGTCCGCAAAATACCATGTCCGCGAGGCTGACTTCTAAAGCATTTAATTACTTGGGGCTAGCTACCAGCCCCCACAATCACCTACCGTCTGCGCCACACATCCTCAGCCCCATCGTTACATTGTCTACCCATGGCATTCAGAAACCGCACAAAAGGCGACAAGAAGACCGCCTTCCCGAACGGGAACCTTTCGGCCCACGTTGTCGGCATCGCAGACGTACACGCGGTGAACCCGACCCGTGTCCCGAAGCGGTAGGTGGTTCGTCGCACGTCGAGCATGCAAAGGCGAGCGGGAGACACGAGGACGACGCAAGGGTAGGCAGAAAACGCGAGAACGCTTTTGCGTCGTGGTCTTGCGTCGCAATCGTTGATGCGCAAGCTGCGGGGACGGCTGCGTAGGTGAGGCGAACCCTTGGCGCTGGCGTGCCTTGCATGTATGCACACGTACATGTGCACGCGTGGATGCGGTGGCCTTAGTGGTTGTGAGAGACTAGGGTAGGACTCACCCTGAGTTCTGGCTTGTGCAATGGCTGGTTTGCGTGAGAATGATCGGAAACGGCGGTGTGCGGTGTTTTCAGTATTGAATCGCCGCGTTGTGAAGCGTCGCACGAGCGGTGCTACTTTCCGATGGAGAAAGCGAGAACAGACTTCTGGGCTCTTCTGCTGGTGTCCTTCTGGCGAAGATTGCTTCTGTTACTCACCATGTGAAAATGCAATTGCATATGTGGCCAAGACCAAGATGATAGGCAGGCATGGAGTCTCGCTGAATGAATATGCCCTACTAGAATGTAGCCTCAATGCAAACATGGTACCTGCGGAAAGAGTTGCTTTGCTAGGTGCAGGCTGCAATGAGACGGGAATCTTCGTTCGCCTGCTTTGTGGCGTAGGATACATCGCGTATTCTACGCCGCAAACTCTAAAGTTACGGTGATATTGGGCTCGCCATTACTATGCTGTGGTTGCCCTTTACTGAGCTGTTGTACTAGCTAGCCAGCCAACGATTGATGGAAGTGTGGCTGCGGGAGAGTAAAGTACAATCAGCTTGTGTATTAGCGACCTCAGGCTTCTCAGCTGTACTTGGACGATTCCTTCGAGGATTCACTGAGCAAAGTAGATGCAGTCTTTCCACGCTAAGCCCGCCTCACCATGTATCGTGCAGTAACTCTCGATCAGACTCCCGCCGTTGCATCGAAACCGTTTTCGCGCGGCACGAACACGTCTCTCGCCACTAGTCAAACTCGACTGGAAACTGAGAGCTACACCTGGGTTTGGTTAATCTCGATCATCTACACTGTATTGTAGTGTAAGGGGGACAAGCAAACGTCATGGTCCCGCGGCAGCGGAAGACGGTTCGCACGGGATTGGGCGTGAGAATCGCGGCTCGGCCTGTGCTTGTTAAGGTCATGTTGCCGAGCGTAGAACAAAAGCAGAAGTTGGGGTGGCAGAGAACGCCTTCACTGTGCAGAGGAACTCAGCGGCGGCTGCCGAGTAGGCATGAAGATCGAGTCTCGGCTTCGGTCCAAAGGGTGGGAGAGAGCTGTCCTGCACCTAGAAGCTGGGCGGCCAAGGGTTGGCCTTCGTACCCGGAATGCTACGGCGCAGAATCAAACAATTGCCATGGGATAGCTTTGACAAGGAACGAGGCTGCACAGTCGGGACGTAATGATTGTATATGCGGATGTTTTTGTATCTGGAAGTCGTTCGGTGTACAACCCAATGACATGGTCGCGGCGTCGTGAAGACGCAAGAAGGGGTTTAGTGCACACAGCGCACGATCGAGGAGACAGCCGTGCTCTTGAGGGCCGTAATTCTCCGCAGCACGACGAACTTGGTAGATCCCGGAAGATCGCATGGCTCGCCGTTTTGACTATCTGCCCAAACGAAGGCAGACTGATATCATTGTGAGTTCATGTGTCATAACTGATATGCGGCTGGAACTCGCTGATGCCTGTCGGCGAGGCAAAAGGAATGTGGCCGCCAATGCATGTCTGGTCCCAACGTCGCCGTTAGATGCAGCGACTACTGCAGCCTTTTTGGACGTGTTTGACTAGGAAACGGTAGCTCAATACGAGCCCATCGTCAGACGCAGGTACCCACCATTTTCTTCGTCCTCGGGTATGCATCGGGAACTCGAAGGGTGGGGGTCCCGGCAGAGCAGACACCATTTGCGGGACACCATTTTGCGATTGGGCCGCTGGCACTGAATTTCGCACGAGCGAAGCCGAATACGTGTAATGCATGCTGTGAAGCGCAGGTCGCATCGATGGAAAGGTTAGTGGCGGTGGTGGAAAGGGGAAATGGTGCTCGTGGTGCAGCCAGCAGGTGCATGCAGGCCAATGTGGGGGAAGGCGCCAGGCTGGGCCTTTCTCGTGGCCGCGACGCCATCCGAGGCCATCACCATCGCGCCCCATCTCCCCATCCACTCAACTCTATCGATTTCACCTTTCCACTTCCAGACGCGCTGAGGCGTACGCGCTTCACACTCATCGATTGGTTTTTCGTCACTCGGTGCCGCCTGTGGTCGCATGACCGAGCCCGCCCAAATCGATGAGAGCGCCGCCGTCAACGACGGCACTGACGCTTGATGGCTGTTGTTCACGAGACGGTAACGTGAAAACGACAATGCATCGATCGAGTCTCAGCACCTCTGGCATCGGACACGCCCGGGCCGACTATTACAAGCCGCCACACGCGCGGTCAATGCAAATCGCGCAGGCGGAAATCTCTGCCAGCTGAGATGAGGCACAGCAGCAGTAGCTTGTCGCTCAAACCCCTATTGCGCTGACGGGAGCAACGCGAACATGTACATCACCTAGTTCCAGGTACATTCCGGTCGCCATTGGTACACTGGTGCCGCTCGACGTTGGGTAGTTACCGTCACCTTCGACGCCCTAGGGCCCACCCACTCAGCGGCGGGGGCTGATTCGAGGCCTGCTTGGCTGAGTGAACGCGCCATTCCTTCCAACGACTGCCCATGCGACCTCTGGTGAATCGATGGTCTTCAGCTGCCATCTTCGAATCAGCGTCTTTCGACCCTGTCAGCAATAATGCGGTACGTAATGACCACATCAACACGCAAGCATCGGGTTACCGCCGTCCATTACTCCTGTGGAGCCTGAAGATTCATTCGTCTGATTCCTCGCCTTGAGCTGCTGTTCTCGTCCAGCAAGAGATTGTTCCTGTGCCCGCAGCTATCTTTAACGCGGGGGGGCCCGTCGTAAAAGTAACGACATCTAGTGGCCGGCGGCACCATAATTCAAACGGCAGCGAATTACGAACGGCCAAGCTGGTAGCCCTGTCACTGTCGCGCAAGCCGACATTTTCGGCCTGGCGCATTATTCCTTGGCCCCGACACCCCCTGACCATATTCCTAGTGAGCGGCTGGTGCAGGATGCCCTGAGCTTGGCTTTTGAGAGGCACGTGCATAAGACATGGGTCTTTCGAACCTGCAGGGGCCCTGGTCTGGGGGTCGTGGATCGTCGCTTTGAACAGACGACCAGGAAGGCGGATGCTCCAACCAGAGCTTGCGCTCACACTAGCTTTTCCCCTGGGGTCTCTTGAGCCACGTTCTTTGCCGTAGCGCGTCACCTATTTGACCGTGCTATGTCCCACTCGTTGGCTTCCCTCGCCTTGGACTCGTGAGCGACACGTACCGACCGTATATCTTATTCACTCTTTACACACCCTCCGAGCTCCCCGCATATAGGCCGTTAGTCAAGGACCATTGGCAACTGTTTCGTTACCTGTTTGTCGCACCTCTGCCATCCTGACAGTCCAGCACCGTCTACAATTTCATCTCGCGCATAACTCACGTCGTCTCGGAACCGCTCTACGATAGTCTTGATAATCGGTGTGTCGACCAACGACCGTCCAGCAAAGACACACAGATATCACTCGTGAGGACGCTTGCCTTACCTACCGGCATCCACCGTTCCGGCACCGAGCCTAGAATTCAATTCCATGTCATATATCTGCCACTACGCTCCAGCGTGAGGTACGGGACATGGCGAACGCAACACTTTCTTCCCCTCTTCGGGGATTGTGCCCGGCTCCCTTCTACGATGCTTCGAAGTTTGGCTTTGGTGGATGTACGTATGCTGCTATACACTTACCCGTCCAATGTCCTGACTCTTGATTAGCTGTCGAGGGACGATTCTGTGCTACCATTCCCACGTTGGGGGACTGCTGCCTACCTTGTCCTGCAACCGACTACCTGTACCCTGAAGACTTCAAGAAATGGTACCGCGCTGCTGAGGCACTCAACCTAGTCGGGCTCGTGTGTATGGCCTTTCTACTGTTGTCTTTCATATGTCTCCCTGCTGAGCAGACACGTCGGCACTATCTCAGTTACTGTCTGATTATCGCTGCAATGTTCCTAGCAGTAAGTAAATGACCGTTCGAATGGATATGGGCGCTAACATCCAAGTAGCTTGGGTTCGTTATTCCATTCGGTGCCAGACCAGAACAATGCTACGATGAAATCACGCCAAACGACATGTATACAAGCCTTACCTGCGCCTTCTCTGGCGCCTTCATCATTGCTGGAGGCATATCCATCGCCGTCTGGATTTTCATTCGCGCATTGTCGATGCACCTTCAGATCTGCTGGGACGTCATGCCAGGAAAGCGTTTTTTCTACTGGGCGCAAGGCCTTGGCTGGACCATCGCAGCAGCATTCTTCACAGCCACCATCACTGTGACAGGGGTGTCGTTCCGCTTCGGCGATGTTTGTCACGTCAATGCTTCGCATTCGCTCGCCGACTTCTGGGGTCCTCTTCTCGCTATTGCAGGCGCCGCAACCTTGATCCAGATTGGGACTTTTGCTTACTGCATCAAGGTATATCTACAAAGCATGTGGAATGACGACAAGACCGAGACGCAAAGTAGCATGGGCTTGCCATCGTACACTACCAGCATCAAAACCCGGTCACCTCGTGTGATCTATCGCCGTGTACGCAAGGTTGTTTACCTACAATGGCGCGGAATTACCATCGTGGTCTTCATCCTCGTCGACGTCGTATTCTTTTCAGTTATCTTCATTTGGCTCAACTCGATTACATCTCACGCTACCGACAAGATTAAAGATGCGATGCCTTTCTTGCTTTGCCTGATCAAGAATCCTAGCAGCCATGAGCAATGTACACCGCTCGCGGAAGCCCTGTTCGTCAACAAGTCAACTGTGATCGCGATTCTGATCATGCTGTCGTTGGCTGGCCTTCAAGTCTTCATCCTCTTGGTCCGCGCTTCCATGTTCACCGGGTGGATAGATCTTATTCGCTGCAAGGTCGGCAGCAAAAGGGAATTCGTGTCCCTTGATGCTCACAAGTACGCGGTCGGCCCCCATCAATTCGAGCTGGAACAGGTTCAGCCCAGCATTGCCACTTACCCGGTTCCACAAAGCGCAGACGTGAGCCCGATAAGCCCGAAAGAGAAGGGTGACATCGACCCCTACCGACGGTCGGTCACAGGTACGCCAGAATACTTTAGCAAAGAAGCCGCCCGCGAGTACACAACACCAACCCTGAGCTTCTCAACTCCTCGGGCGCCATCGCAGGCCGTCACACGTGCCGAATGGGACCCGCGCGCAACTCACGCAAGAGGTGGCCTAGGTTTCCATCCCCCACTGCCGCACGAGGACGAATACCAGGCAGAGAACAAGATATGAGCGTGAAGGTTGGAACTTTCTGAAAGAGGTGGATGTTGGATTCCTCTATACCAAAATGGCGAATGCATCGATGTATCTGCATCCCGCTTCCATCAACACTCTTTTACCATGTCGAGGCCAAAAGACTCCCATTCTGCGACTGCGCGCTTCTTCAGACGAGGTCTTCAGGAGGCACCTCGAGAAGCCTGCCCAGATCACCTCCCGAGGAAGATAACCGTCGCACCACTCTCGTTGAAGTAATCACGAGACAGGGACTGCCGCGTTCCCCGCTTCGGGCTCATGTCTAACATGATCTCGTTGCGGTGCAAGACACGCAGACGGACAACATTTCCTCTTCAGCGGAAATCTTTGGAAGCAAACCCCCACATTTCCGTGGCTGCTGTGCCCATTTCTTTGTTTATTTCAGCGACCTTGTTCTTCAGGCGTGAAAAGTTTACTGGACCGATTTCAACTGTTGCTCAGATGCTCGTGTTCGCATTCTGATCAGACCCGCATCCTGTCTTAACAACGGTCCGTCATCGGATCTATCAGGGCTAAACAGCCTTTTCCTTGTCGTCAAATCGTGGCACTCTTACTCGCCATTCGATATCCATTCATCCCGCAACGTTATCGTTATGCATTGCCTTGCGTAAGGGTCTTCATCGACGCTCGTTGTGTACCATAGGCCGCTTGTTTTCATGCGATAGAGGGCCAAGCATCACTGCGCACTGCATTAGACACTGCTTACGGTTTGCATATCATTCGCTTATATGTACTACATCTCCAAAACAACAAATCAAATACGCAAAAACATTTCAAACTATTGAACGCACTCGCTTGATATCTCTATCTCTCCTGCCTACTAGAGGCGAGGTGGACGACTACCCGCATGCGCATACATCCTGTCGTGCGACCTCACCCGCGCAATCAACTGCATCGCATCAAGTCCAGCCATGTTGCTCAAGTGGGCCTATACATTGTGCAAATAAGCACACTATGGATAAATTGTGCGCACCGTCTGTACCTAACTTACGCCCAGTCTTCCCAGGTCGTTCCAGCCTGCGATCCTCCAGAACGAGGGTCGTGCAAGAAGCGAAATGGGGAAGCACACGCACTTCCGCGAACAAGCCCCCGTGGCGTTTTAGGCTTGGCGGGATTATGGGCCTGGTTCGCGTGCTGATGAGTTCGGCTTGGAGCTGACGATCAGGCACGAAAGACGGATGGTTCAAGCGTGCCGTCTTCCTTTACGATGTTGGGGTTAGGATTGGGGGAGAATTTGAGAATTTGGGCAGCTCGGTAAGCGCTACGTACCGTGCTGATGGTTTGGACAGGGCATGGCCTGCCGGGCGGTCGTGTTCATAATTCTACATTTGTCGAGGTCTAGTCTTCCAGCTGGGCGACCGTGGAAACGCCCCAGCGCAATACGAACAGTAGCCAAGGGCGTACTTCTTGTCGCGTACTGACTTTCTCTTCACGATCACTTTGCAACACGCAATCTGCACCGACAATCATAGCAAAGGATCACTAAATCTTCCGACTGCGGCGCCTCTCCCTCGATCTCGCCGTTTAGAGTCCTTGAATGGCCGAAAGGGGCAGCCCTTCTGATTCAAGAGCGCACCGCGTCATGTCGAGTCGCGCGATGAACGAGTCGCAATGCTTCGAGAAATACGCCAGAACACGACGCTGCGGGACGCGACGCGGAGTCACACACAGTAACGGGTAAGTAGCGCCGACGTTGTCGCTCATAGGTCGGTTATTTTCGGGATGCAGTTGGGATTCGGCATGGTGTTGACGCGGGCGCGGGCGCGGCGCGCGGATGCGACTTGAGATTGCATTTTTGGTGCGTTATTGTTGGGTTGACGGGATAGAGGTAGGGTTGGGCATCCGCTCTCTTGTAAGGCTGAGATTGCCTCCATGTCGGCCCGTGTCGGTTGCGGTGATAATGTTCTGTTATCGCTAGCATTGACACTCGGTCGGGTATGTTCCCCTTCCTTCGGCGCGGTTCTCTCTCCATGCATGTCGTGGCAGACCGGTGGTTGAAGTCGCGTTTGATAATATGAGTGCTGTTGGAGTGAGGCTTCAGGCAATGACCAATAAGATATTCCCAAGCTCTCAGCAACAGAAGCGAAGGTTTAGGCAAAACCTTCAGCGCAGTACCATCAACATGTGGCCGCACGATGCATGCTTGCGTGCCGTCGTCTGCAGCACCATCATCGCGATCGTTCGATATCACAGTCGACGCGGCATTGACGAGTCCCTCAAAGGTCTCGAACGGTATACGGCGTAGTCGACAGCGCCAGCCCAGACCACTTGACCATACCAGAATTTGACAATTCATGCGGTGGAGACGTTCGCCCAGCAGCCAAGCGACGATGGTGGAGATGGCCTTGGAGGAATCGTCAGCAGTGGGCCATGCGGCGCCGGGGCTTGATTCGGCATCCAGTGTTGGAGGTTGCAGCGTGGTGGAGAGCTCGTTACTCATGGATTGCTGAGTCGGTCGGCGTGGGGAGTCATTTGAAACCGCCGATTGCCTCCACTTCACCGGTACCGAGCAGGAGTAACCTTCTAGTGCGTTTGAGGAGCTGCAAGCTCTGCAACGGCACTTATCGTTCTTGCTTTCTTGGACTTCAAGCCGATTAAGGTCGCGTCGCTATTTTGAAACAGTAGGCTGCCTGTGCCATGTGGTTATGGATGCGGTCGCGGGTTGGGCCGCCTAGGCCACACCGTCAGCGGTCAACCGAGCGTGTCTCGGCACCTAGCGATGCAGGAACCATGCTACTCGAGCGAAGCTGGATCCGCTTTACATCGTCCTCTGGTGATGGCACTGCGATTGAGCGTGTTGACTGCGAGGCTCTCCAGGACAGACATGTAGATGATGGCGATATCTTATAGCGACGGGCTAGTCCGCTAGAGCCGCCTCGGACGAATGAGGGAACGGCCCAGTATATTGGTAATACTCAGCTACCAACAACCAGTCAGCTTACTGTGGATGCCTTTGTCGCCAGCGGACTGCTACTGTGTTACCTTCTGAATACAATCTTCTTGCATCTCTCTTCCCAGTCGACTCTCGATCACGATCACAATGGGTGGTGGTGAAATCACGAAGCGGGGTAAGGGCCTCGTTCTTCTGGCCGTCATACCGTTCCCAGAGGATGCCGCAAAAGAAACGCTCGCGGAGATAAGAGAAGAGTTTCCGGATCTCGAATACCACTACATATTTCAGAAGTTTGTGATCAATCAGAACAGCGCTCCAGGCGGTGATGTGGACGTGCCTGCAGGTATACCATCCATCTCTCTGTGCTGCCCCGCCACTTGCCCTCATAACCTCAGCGACACCATGGGTGCTCCATCGCTGGACCCATGATCTCGACTCGTACCGTTACTCAAATTTTCGATCTTGCTCTGTGTCTAACACGCCTTCCAGACCTTCTCAAACGCGTGAACGTCCTCGTCACCATTTCTTGGCTCCCCAAAACGGCAGCAGAAGTACCCAACATCAAGTTTATCCAGTTCATCTCAGCCGGCACAAACCATGTGGCCAAGCACCCTATCTACACAGACACAAAGATTCCGCTCTGCAGCGCCAACGGAGTTCACGGTCCGCAGATTGCCGAATGGGTTGTTATGATGGATCTAATACACAACCACAATTACATCGATCTGTACAAAAAGCAAGAAAACAAAGACTGGAAACACAACGGCGAACTGAGTTCAAGAGATAACGTCGGCAAGACCGTTGGAATCCTTGGATATGGCAGTATTGGAAGGCAAGGTGAGTGGTTCTTTCAATTATGCGCGTCTTACTCTTGTCTTGCTTTCATCTATATCCTTGGAGCGGAGCTGCATACCCCGTGACCGTGGCCCTAGAACTGCAGTAAGACCACTGCATTCAATCACTGCAAGGCCTCCGTGACCTGACGTAAGACATTTCCTGCTATGGCGGTCGAACGACGTTGCGAGAAGCTTTCCACACGGACATTCATGTCGGCCTTTGCATGAAACTTTCGGGCTCGTACAACACGCATCCTGCAGCACGCCGTACCACGCAATCGATCTCGCGCACACAACGCCATCGCTCCTGCCGTGCGGATTTAACTGCCGGAATCCTTCCTCCACCTTTATCCTCTCGATCCCACGTCTCTAGGCCGCCGTGCGGCGCAGCATAAACATGGCCCCCGTGAACCTTACCTTCGGACTTCCCTCCGGACTTCTCCTTTCGCATTCCTTGCATGACATTCGCATTCAGATGCTGTATATGTAGTAGCTAACATGCTGTGGCACAGTCGCCCGTGTGGCGAAGGCAATGGGCATGAAGGTACTGGCCTACACGGCCTCGCCCCGCAAGACGCCCGAGTCGAAGCGCGACAACGGCTTCATCGTACCAGGGACCGGCGATGCCGAAGGATCCTTCCCCAGCGCATGGTATAGCGGCCTGGACAAGGAGAGTCTGCACGAGTTTCTCAAGGTCAAGATCGATCTGCTGGTGCTGGCTGTGCCTTTGACGTACGTGTTCCACTTCTTTATTTGCCTCCCTTACGAGTACGGCGGGGCGTTCAGCTGGACAGGGAAAGCATCTGTGTCGAGAAGGGAATCCCTGGATGAGCTGTCGGGATCGCGCCGTGCGGCTCCACAGCCGTTTGTTTGCGATTGATGCTTGTGTCAAGCATCGCCCTTCATGCTTTCCCTGCCGCACCCCTGCACCATACAACACCCACTCACGTCTACGTTTCGTTTCATCCCATCCAACGACTGACACCCACAGCAAACAAACAACGCACTTCCTCTCCACCCAGGAATTCGCTCTCCTCAACGCCTCCAATCCCTCCGGCACCTACATCGCGAACATCGCCCGCGGCCAAGTCATCGACCAAGCTGCCCTCATCAAGGCCCTTGAGTCTAAGCAGATCTCTGGCGCCGCGCTGGATGTGACGGACCCAGAGCCGCTGCCCAAGGATGACCCGCTGTGGGACGCGCCGAATGTGCTGATTACGCCGCATGTCAGCGGTGTGACGGCGACGACTGGGGAGAGGATCTTCCAGGTTGTGAGGGAGAATTTGAGGCGGTTGAGGGATGGGAGGGGTTTGGTTAATGAGGTGGATAGGGAGAAGGGGTATTGAAGGTGTGGTGATGAGGGGAGGATGGTGCGAGGGGTTGGAGTTTGGGGAGACTAGAATAGATGGGTGGATGGTAGATTGGAATAGAGATGTGGGGGTAGCTATGTAACTGTAGCTTCTCAGAATATGATTGAGGAGCCGAAATTGTCCATTCAATACGAGCCAGATAGCAGCAGAATGTCTGATTTGCCATGCGAGGAATCGTTGAAACGCATGAGAAGTCGCTGATGCACTTCGGCTGGGGAACAATCGTGCAACGCCTAAGAATTGCGAAACTTTTCAAAATCATACCGTCTGATAAAAAAGTTGCTCGGTCCTACCAATGCCACGCAGGTTACAAATCGTGTACGATGCCATTCAAAAAACGATCACTTTGGGTATCCACCAACTCTATCCGGCTTGAATGGCTCCACTACTCCAGATATAATGCCTTTCGCCCATAGATATACTCATACACATCGCCCACTTCGATCCCCTTCCTACCACAGGACACATGCCCATATCATGCCTGATTACCGACCGCGGCTGAACATGTTGCTCACCACGCCGCTAGCAAGGTTCCTCGCAAGCCCAGATCCATACATAGCATTCGACGCAAAGCCCGTAGCGTGGCTGAACTTGTCGCAGCGCGAGTAAGCCAGCGCATTCGTGAGCGTGAGAACAAGCGCGATAGCTGCATGCCATGTCAGTCTAGTCTCCCATTCACCAAGCCTCCCACCTGCGGCACCTCTCCCACTTACCAACAAGCGTCAACCAGATAAACTCGAAGCTGACCAGCGCCACCACCGCGAGCAATATCCACAGCACGGGCTGCGCATACAGCGCAATCCAAAAGAACCGCTTGTCCGTCGCGTTCTGGTCTCGCGTCTCTGGGTCCGCGCTCTCAAATACCCATCTACTGTCCCCGCTAGCGGTGTCGACTTCGTTCCACCAGCGCAGCCCGACGAGACGCCGCCCCGCGATGTTCTTCAGGTAGTAGAAGTCGGTAGCGAGAAGGAGGATCGTGATGATGAAGATGAGGACGAAGTTGGAGGTGAAGAGGCGCAGGCCGAAGAGGTATGTCAGGAGCGAAGCTTCCAAATGTTAGCCTTTGACTCAGGTTTCTTTCCCTGAGACATGTGCGAAGTGGCAGGGTGTCTGGTGTTTGTACATACAGATGCGAAAGAACAGAAAGGTAAGCAGGGTGATGGGATGGCTGCTGAGTTTCCAGCTCAGCGAGCCCGGCGCGGGCGTCTGCTGCGCGGTCTCCATGCTCTTTTCTCGCGAGAAGCAGGACGGTTCTGGAGCTGGGCTAGCTGTGAATGTTGCGGGTGGTTAAGCTTCACGTGGCAGCTCCAGCGTCGGCGGAGGACGCGGTCCGCCGTGGTTGGTTCGTGCGCTGGACGGAGCTTCCCCGCGTCATTCGGTAGCTGTTTCCGAAGCTTGGAAGCATCGAGCTTCATATCATCTGCAATTGCGCTGTTGTACATTTGTTCTCGCGTGTGTATTCCTTTCTGAAGCTCTAGTAGTTCATAGAGAAGCCATAATGGCGACTTCTAGGAACATAATTCGGCGGGCGCTTATGTACGGTACATCTCCCAACCCTCTGCATACCTTAAGCTCCAAACTCACAGCTCCATCCAGTCCCCGGCTCCTCCAAGAAGATGCTCGATAAGACCTCCTCCATGCGCGTCGACACCGTAGCCTACGACCTCGAAGACTCCGTCGCACCCCATATGAAAGAAGAAGCGCGCCACAACCTCGTCTCCATCCTGTCCAAACCACGCCCCAGCACTATAAAAGAAATGTGCGTGCGCATAAACAGCGTAGACACGGGCCTCGCCCTCGACGACCTCACCTCCGTGCTCAAAGGCGAACATCTCGACGCGATCATGCTACCCAAGTGCGAAAGCGCCGCGGATCTGCACTTCGTCACCGACGTGATAAGACACATGTTGCCGGAGCGACACCCCTCGACCGGCGTGCAGAAGGAGGGCGCCCGACCGCCGATATCGATAATAGCGTTGATTGAAAGTGCGAAGAGCATACAGAACCTTGCGGAGATATGTAAAGCAAGTCCCTATCTTTCAGGCTTGGTCTTTGCGGCCGAGGACTTCGCAAAGGATATGAGCATAACGCGGACGCCGTCGCTGACAGAGTTTCTGTATGCGCGGTCGGCTATTGCGACGCATGCGCGGGCGGCGGGGTTGCCATCCACGATTGATCTCGTGTGCACGGCGTACAAGGGGCCGGAGGGTCTCAAGACGTTGGAAGAGGAGTGCCTAAATGGCAAAGGTATTGGGTTCAACGGGAAGCAGTGCATACACCCTAGTCAGATTGAGGTATGCCAGCGAACATTTGCGCCTGGAGAGGCAGAGGTAGAGTGGTCGGCGAGAGTCGTTATTGCCGACGAGAAGGCGAGCAAAGCAGGACGCGGCGCTTGGACGCTCGAGGGGAAGATGATCGACGTGCCTGTCGTCAAGAAAGCGAGAGCAGTCTTAGAAAGAGCCGAACTGTGTGAGATCAATGTGGACGCGGTGAGAGAAAAGTGGAAAGATCAGGAGCCTGAGTAGGCGTCCCAACGAGTAGATGGTATGTTGTACATTCGATTGGGTATATATCGCCCTATCTACACCGTGATCATGACACTGGCGTTCTTGTACCAGCTCAGCAACGGGTTCTCTCCGTTCCGGGTCTGCGTCTCTTCGATGTCTGCTCGACCGGACATGAAGACTTCGTGGGAATATGTGCGAGCGAAGCGCCCGGTTATGGCAGTGTACATGGGCTCTATGACGTCGAAGTCCGTGGGAAACAGGATATCGAAGTAGCCTTGGTGAACCTGCATATGCTGTTAGCAACTACGTCTCGTGCAAGCGGACAGGGAACTTACAAGAGGTGTGCTAACAGGTATCATCTGCCTCTTATACCTCGTCTGCACCACTGGTGCGTTCAATCCTTCCACGCCATCGGCCAGTTTATGGAAGTCACTGCTGATTAGCTTGTGGTTCGGAAACTTCTGGTACAGCATGTAAAAGAACTGCATGAGACGTGTTGGTATATATTCCGGCATCGTGAGCGAATCGCGGAATGGCAGTAGAGACTGCATGCTGTTCATGAAGCGTGAACCTGAAAGAGGGTGGGGGTACGATTTGCAAGCCGCATGCCGCACTTCAAGGAATTGTGCTGCAAGTGGGTCTAATGTTCGTGAGTAGTATTCAAACATTTCGCCGCGAGGATCGATAACGACATGCGATTGATAGGGCGTTCCCGTCTGCCAGTCGTACTTCAAAGCATCGTGCGCGAAATTGTCAAAGACTTCCAGTGCAAGGAAGTAGCACGGGCTGGAGACGTATTGGTCCCAGTCGAAGACTGACTTGTTTACGATTTCGACTTTGTCAGCGTGGCCTCTCGCATACGCGCTGTGTCCCAGACCTTGCTGCTGCAGGTCCGCCAACTGAGTAGTAATCTCAATGATCTTGTATCTTGTCCGCTCGTACACTTCGGGGTGGCAGTCCCTAATATAGTCCAGAATATTCAACATCATGGTTCCGTTTCCGGCACCCATCTCGTAGATGTTGAGGTCGTGGTATGGATACGAACTATATTTGTAATCCTCGACAAGGTAACGCGCGATTGCTTCGCCGTAGTATGGAGAGAATAGCTCGGTAGGTGTGTGCCAAAGCTGACGGAGATCGTTTGGCTCTTGATAGTCCAGCGCATCTTCAAAAGCAGTGTAGCGGTGACGGAGGGATTGGAAGAAGGCGTGTTCGGAGGGGAGCGAGGGGAAATCGAAAGGTTCGCCAGGCGAGAAAATGACGACCTGTTTGGAAAAGTAGCCGTAGTGGGGATTGTATAAGCTGTCTGTTTACCTGTTAGAGCTGCCGCGAGTGTCAATCGGCATAGTCCTACCTTCTATGAAGTCTCTGAGCAGCATCTTAACCCTCCTCGGGCGCTCTCTACGACTCCGCAGCATATCCGAAGTGACCAGAGGGTATCGTTCAAATTCTTCTGTCCTCTCATGGGGAAATGCATTCCGTCTGGGCTGCCATCTGCTTTCCCTCTTCGTCTCTCCCTCACCCAGGCGTGTTGTTGACCTTGGAGCAGCTTTGGTAGCTTTCCCGCGGTGCTGGGTTTGCGGCGTGCGGGCAGCTTGCGCGAGCGCTGGGCGAGCTCCACGGACGAGACATTGTGACGCGCGATGCGAAAAGAGCTGGCGGAAGAGCTGTGTGACTTGGGGGGAGTCCATTGATGCCTGCGAACTCGCAACCGCAGAACGACGGCCGAGGTGGTGGATGTTCGCGCGAGGGCACGTGGTTTCCGCGAGGATGTTTCCGCCAAGATCGTCAGAGCTCCGCTCCGCTTACCATGAACTTTCGCATACGTGCTCAAACAAATTCCTTACGGTGATACGATCCCAATATGAGCGACCATTCGAAATATTACATCACAGGGGCTTTCATATTGGGTGCAGTTGTGGCTATTGGGCTTCAAAGCTTTCAACAGCACAATCGGGAAGCAGCAGCTGGGCACCAATTAAAGCAACAGCAGATTACTTTACGCAGATTCTCGAAGATCAACGATTTGGACATTTTGAAGAAGAGTCTCGCGGATATCGAAGTTGCTTTGGAGAAAGGTGCAGGAAACATCAAAGAGGGTATCGAAGGTTGCATCGGCGATACTCCACTCATCAAGATCAAGTCTTTATCAGAAGCTACTGGTTGTGAAATACTTGGAAAGGCGGAGGTACTGTGTCCTTGGCAAGATCGTCTATCAACGTTTGCTGAGACGACCACGGCAGTTTTTGAATGGCGCCGGTAATAGCCCGAAAGATCGGGTTGCGCTCAGCATTATCCAAATGGTCAGTTCTTGTCATGAGCATCTTCATGTATTTGACTAATTCGGGCAGGCCGAAGAGAAAGGACTTCTTGTTCCACACTCTGGCGACACTATCTACGAAGGTACTGTCGGCAGCACAGGCATTTCACTTGCTGCAATATGTCGAGCACGTGGCTACAAAGCACACATGTATGACATCCTCTATCGTGTTTGTGACACAGCTAATGCATGGATTAGCTGCATGCCAAACGACATGGCAGTCGAAAAGTCAGACCTCCTGCTCAAGCTTGGTGCGGAAGTAGAAAGAGTCAAGCCAGCACCAATCGTGGACCAGAATCAATTCGTTAACTTGGCCCGAACAAGGGCAAAAGAGCATACTGAGAGCGAAGAAAAGCTTGGAAGAGGCTTGTTCGCAGATCAGTTCGAGAATGAAGCTAATTGGCGGGCGCACTTCACGGGAACAGGGCCAGAGATCTACGAGCAAACGGGCAGCTTCGTGGATGCGTTCGTTGCTGGTGCAGGTACTGGAGGTACAATATCTGGCGTTGCCCTGTTTTTGAAGTCAAAGCTTCCGGACATCAAAATCGTGCTTGCCGATCCTCAGGGCAGTGGCTTGTTCAACAAAGTAAAGTATGGGGTTATGTTCAATCCCACAGAAAGAGAAGGCACACGGAGAAGGCACCAGGTTGATACCATCGTGGAGGGCATCGGCATTAATCGCGTCACGCACAACTTTGAAGTCGGCCGTGAACTTATCGATGATGCTATCAGGGTGACGGACGAGCAAGCCACTGGCATGGCCAGGTGGCTGGTAGAGAATGATGGTATTTTCGTTGGCAGTAGCAGTGCTGTGAACTGTGAGTTGAAGCACCGCCTTCGCATTCATCTCTGACAATATAGGCGTTGCGGCAACAAAGCTCGCCAAGCAACTCGGTCCAGGTCATCGAATAGTGACTCTCCTTTGTGACAGGTAAGCGTAACTCCTTCTTGTAAGTCTTTGTAAGATGCGGCGGCACTAATGTTCCGCAGTGGTGCAAGACACCTCAGCAAATTTTGGGCCAACAAAGACGTTGGTGGAGCCGAGAACGATGTGTCATTGGAGGAGATTCTAGCTTCTTGAGTCTCTGCAGGCGGGCTGAAACTCACAAAAGCCCATAGCCATGGACTCACTTCTGGATCGCCGCCAAGGCCTTACACAGACTGCAGGTCAAAGTCTTGTAATCCCCGCGCCTCAAACAGCAGACAAGCGGGACTTTCAAATTACGAGACGATCGCCGCCCGACTCATCACAAAAAGCGTGCAAACGCCTCCAACGCCTTCACGTACTATTCTAAGGAGTCGTGCGTCACAGGAATAGGGCTTCAGAGCGTGTCTGACCGCGGCCATTCTTGGTTCGCGAGCTTTCGATGAAGGAGCATGTCACAATGGGACAAAGGAAGCCTACTTCACGCTTCCTGAACAAGCCTAAGCTGCGGCAAAGGTCTAAAAACGAATTTCCACAGCTGTCTTTGTCCGATTGTCATCCATAATTAAACGCAAGCGGTCTGCCCTCTCCTCATATACTAGCCTGCCGTCCACCGCCGCAGTATCAGCATATCCGCATCTCTAGCAAATACGAACGATTTCACGACCTACTATCCACAACTTGCAGTCATAAGCTGAGACTAGCCGCGGCATCGAGCACATGTACAAGCCACCCAAGCCGAACAACCACAGCAACCCAAACCTACCCAAGATCACATTAGCCCACCGCCGCGCCATGGCTCTCTCCCAACGCAACCCAGCCCTCGCCTCCAAGCTCTCCCAAATGCGTCTAACAATCGCACCCATTGTAAATGTCACCACCGGCCTTCCTCCTCCCCTTCCCCACCACCCATGCTGCACCTCTTCCTTCTCACCGAAGACGAGCTCGATTATATGGCCGCCTACTATTCGCAAACCAACCCCAACCCCTCGCCCACATCTCTTGCTTTTGCGTATCCGCAGACCATGGACTGGAACAGGGAGCTGTTGCGGAATGAACCTCATTTGGAGGAGGGGGAGAAACTGAGCGATATGGAAAGGCTGAGGGTCAAGATGAGGATGTTTTCAAGATTCATTGGACTGAGAGGGGCGGAGACGCCGGTGTGGGAGTATGAGAGGGGGGTGGACATATTGGCTAAACGTATTGAACGGCAGATAAGGTACGAAGAGGAATTGGAGCAGAGGAGGAAGGTTTTCATGGGGCCGCGGGCATGGTAGGCATGAGCTTTCGTGAGTTTTGGCATGGAAGAGCAGGAGAAGAAGGCGCATTGAGCGTTCTGTTATGGGCCGCACGCGGGACGGATGTCTAAGTTGTGGAGTGAGCATTACAGCCGTTTTGAGCGTCGCAACTTTTGGGGAGGCTTTGTATAGCCTTAGAAAACACTGCATAATCTAAATCAAGGAGGATTGAACAAGGCTTCCGCCTGTAAATACATTTCTACGATCTTGGGGCCTCAGACTTGAAAGAGGATGTCATAGAGGCCGTTCATGCGTAAGTCCGTCTAGCGAACACAGGAGGCCATTCCTCGTAAGCATTTAAGGTGTACTGCAACCAGTGCACCTACTTGGGATATTTACCAACCAAATTGAGACCGAGACCCACTTTTCCAAAAAATATCCATCACTCAAGCCGTCACACGGCCACAGAACGTCCAAGTGTTCCTTGCGCGTTTGCGTGGATGAGATGCAGCGCGAGGTGTACCTGAAGCAGCCTCTATGGGCACCTGCCAAAACTGCTAGCACGCACAGACCACAGCCCAAAAACACGTTGTACACACAACACAACGCAAAGACTCAAGATGCATCGAGTCACAATGTAGAAAAAAAAATGTCCTCGACATCGTCGACTTCGTAGGATTTTAAAAGCTACAAAATGAAAATCCTATAAAGTGAAAGATTACTAATAGTTCTAACCCCCCTAAGTTCCATCCCATGTCTGTTCAGATAAAATGCTCAAAATTATTTCATCAGAAGAGAGATCGGATGAAATGTTTCTGGTGCTTGGTCTTAATGATCGTTTAACGTAAAGTGCTGCGGGGAAGGGGGTGTTTATATACGTAATAGTCGCGCCTCCGCATCATGCGTGCACAAGCCTTAAGTGAAAGAGCACGTCCCACCTAGTAACAAAGCGGCAATAAATAGGTGGAGTCCTATACTTGGCGCACAATGCTGCTGTAAAAGACTTTATAACTATATAAAGTTAGATTGGCATACCGCAGACCGTCCAGAACATTATTAAAGGCAGTGACTAATTACTTGTTAGCCGTCAGTATGCAAGCGATTGGTCACTTCTCTCTAGTACTAGTAGATATATGCGTGGTCCTAGTGTGTCTACTCCTAATCTATGTATGTAGTACTCTACACGCCTATGGTAGTTCAGATGGCCTCTCGAGTCCGAGTTCCCATCGTCTAAGAGAGCTGAAACAGAGAAACAGTCGGTCGGAGTTGTCCAGACACGGATCGCTGGCCCGGAGACCCGTCAGTCTGGAGATTCTCGAACGCAGATGGCTCATAGCGACGGGTCGATGCAGGACGGTGGCCTGAAGGAGGAGATGGCTTTCCAGGTTGCGCCGCTCGTCTGCTGCCCGGTCTACGTTTGGCTCGTCAACGTCTTTCCACGAGATGCCGCGGATGCCGTTGAGAGCGTCGAGATGATAGGTGTACCAGTCGACACCGTTGCGGCGGCGTTCGAGAGCGTCCTCGTACCGCTCGAAGCAGGCCCTCCAATGTTCACGAGGTCCGCGCCGATGGGCTTCGCTGACCAAGTTGAAAGAGAATCCCGACCAGTCGACGAGCAGGCTGGGGAGACGATGGGCATCCTGCACCTGGGGAGGGCCTAGCACGATGATGGTGAAGAGGCCGCGTTTTCCCGTACGTTGATGGGCAAAGTCGAGAATCGCCGTCTCCGTCTTTGGCTTCGGTCTCGCGAAAGGTTCGTCAGCTTCGTAGAAGTAGGTCCTGCCTTGGTACGCAGGATCGGGCGCCGTCATCGCTGGCAGCACCACTACGTGACCCAGATTACCGAGCTTGTAGGCAAGATCGGGTATCGGAATCGAGGAGCAGTCGTACAGCAGGAGAACGGACTTGCAACGCGGGACGGCAGCCTGAGGAGGTGTGTGCAGGCCCGCCGCGACGATGAGCTCGTAGTCTTGGTCCATGGCGGCACGTGGTTGAGCGTGGCTCTAGGACGGGCGTGGAATCAGCGTTTGTGTTTGTGGATCTCTATCTGAGGGGCAACAGCTGCTTTGCGCGTGGCCGTAGGGCGAGAACTGGGCGTGAAGGCGTCCTCTGCGAAGGACCGTCTTTTGTGATGAACCTGTGCCGAATCACTGCATCAGCGTTCCGCCTGAGTATGTTTGAACGAGACCGCATGTGTGCTTGAGACGGGACGTTGGTCCCATCTGACCGTCGAAGCAAACAGCCTTGTCGCCCTTGTCGAAACCCGCACGCTTCCCTGTCTCGAGCATCAGAGACATGGGTGGGAGACCCTGCGCTGGTGAACCATCCGTGGTGGAATCATAGGGTAGATGTGTAGGGTCCCTCATCGACATGGTCATCTACAATCTCGTCAACACTCTGATTACTCTCTATAATGATACCAACTTCTACTCGCATCACGAGTGCAGTCCCCACTACTCCCGAAGAGTGTTCACTTGCAGCTCTTCCTCCGCAAGAGGGAGGTTACGGATCACAACTTCGGGCAACAGTAAGTACTCTTTCGTCTGCGCTTCTTGTGCACCATCGTCTGATCGATGGTGCAGGTCGCTGCGATGTTGCCAACGGCACCTACACTTGGCGTGACTGTGTCGCAGGTGGCGGACGGAAAACGCGTTCGGACCCAGCCCACTCGCGTGCCAAACGCCCACGCCACCGCCATTGCCAACCAGCAGGCGTCGGCCAAGCGGTCGGCAAAGGACGTTTCATAGGAAAACATCGATCAAAAGCAAAAAAAAAAAAAGGTTCCTGATTGGCCAGTGGGCGGACCAAGCCAGGAAGAGGGTGAAGGTGGTAGCACCTGACGTGGCGGCCAAGGTAGCAACCCTGGAGGAGAATCTCCGCGAGACACACGACAAACTCGCGCACAATGTCGCAGAAGCCAAGTGACAGAGTATGGGCGATTGAAGGTGGTTGCCGCTGCTACTATGTTCAAGAATCTTGCAAACGAGAAGAAGTAAGAGAGGGGTACATTCTCTCCTATAACCAGATGAGAATAGACGAGTGTGTTTTGTGCTTTTTTCTTTCTAGCATCACAACGCCACTGACTTGGCGAGCGCGCTGAGGAGCGTGTTCCAGCCAAGTCTACGCCAGTACCCACAACCCTCACCGCGGACAGACTACCCTGATCCATTTGGTGAGGGATACAACGGAAGAGCAACATCTTTGGAGGCGCATTTGTCAGGCCCTGAATCGTAACGGTCGATCGGTGGAACGCCTTGCACTTTGTCTTCTACAAGCTCCGAGGACAGTTGCATGAACTCCCCGAGTCTCCGTCTCTTCTCGCCTTTGCTGGCATCATCAGCATTCTCAAACCCTCCTTCTTGCCACATCTCACGGAGTTGTCGATTGACCGGACGCGGGAGTGGGCGGTGAATCCTATATGACGGCTTCATGGAACATTTGCAGATTGGCGTACGTGATGAATTTCCATGCGTTTTCTAAACTCTATTTCCATCTCGTGCCTTGTGTGACATGTTCACTCGGTCAATTAAAGGTTCTGCTCCAATGAGGTTTTGCGTACCTTGCCAAGTTTACGCATGCTCTGGTTTGGCAGACGACTCTGCCGAGCTGACAAGTGAAGTATGTCAGGTCGTTTGTGGGTGCGCGCCCGGGCCACGTCGTTGAAACAAGCTTTCCTTGTGCCTGTAACTTTGCTCAGGTTCCAGCCCTCTCACACAGTGCACCCACACATGCACCCACAGTCTCAGGCAATGTCCTTCCGTTTGCTCCCACACGCCTACACGATCCAGTCGCCTAGCCTACCGGCTTGCAGTATGACGCATGCGTTCCGAGACAGGCAGCAATTGATTGCTTTCCCGCATGTACTTGACCAGCCGCATCCCGCTACAGCATCGCAGTCCTTTTTGAACACTGCCAGTTATACTGATCATCTCTCTCGTCTCTGTCCCTGACTGCACGTCGTCTACTACCTTAAACACTTGAGCTCTCTTCCCATTACTCTTTACTTCATCACCTTTTGCACAAGATGGCCTTCTGGGGTACCCCGAGCACCATCCGCCGCATCGTTGGATACGTCTATCAGCCCGTTTGCTTCGCCTTGATCGCAGCCATCGCGACCCGCTACGCCCCCGCCATCCGCCAACTGTTCGAAGCGGCCAAGGAACAGGCTGCCGAAATCACAGCGTTCGAGCTGGTGAAGAGCTGGTCCGCTACCGTCTGGTCGAAGAAGCCTTTGGCTCCTGTGCGTGCGGCTTGGATGAGTCCCAAGGTAAGCGTTGCACCCTACTAAAGTCCCAGCAGGCGACTGACTCTGATAGATTGCGGACACCTTGGATTCCATGATCCGAAAGCACCTCGGCGTGGTCGACGGTGATGAATTGGTCGCTGTCCAGGCCGCTGCGAGGGCCAAGGCGGCGCAGCTCAGCTCCCTAGTCGACATTGCCGCCCGCCTGCTCCGAGATCTGGGCCTGATGCTGAATCGTGTTTGCAGCGCCCTGCGCGCGGCTTTCCCCGGACGCGAGGAGCTCATCAGCGCGTTCATTGCTCTCACCGTGTGGGTGTCGCTCGCCGGCTTCAAAGTGTGCGCGAAGCTCGGACTGAAGGTGTTGACTGTGGTCATGCTCGTGGGTTTCATGTGGACGTTGATCGAACTTGAGTAGTGTCCTAAGCGTGAGCGTTTTGCTTGTTCATGGTGTCTGGGTGCGCCCTGCTGACATCTTCTCCAGTGGGACACGGCGATGTTCGAATGATTCTCCTCTCGATCAGCGCTACGAATCGCAACGAACAGGGACCGTTGGACTCTTCTCTTCTTACCAGCACCACTGGTGAATGATGGCATGGTACACACACTCTCTTGAATTGTTACATGGTTGCTTTGTGTGGTTAGACCGGTGGGCGTGCTATCACCTGCGGCGTCGCATGCTCTATGGCTTTTCTTTCTTTGCACCACCGCCAGTACATGTCGGCGTGGGACACACCCTCTTAATTTGTTATATGGTTGCTTTATATGGTTAGACAGGTGGTCGCAATCTCTTTAGAATCGCCTGCAGTGGGAGGTGGCATATTGTATTGTTTTTTATAGAACACCCCTCTCTCTCTTACTTAGACCTCGCTGTGATGCCCTGCCTGACGGTGATCACGGCCTCAGGAGTACCCATGCCATGTACGTGAGCTTGCCTAGCGTGCGGATGATGCCACCAGAGGGGTTGGGCGGTACTTGCTAAACGTTCAAAGGCATGTACGGTCGCTACGAGTCAATCCACATTGTATGGTGACGCAACCCACAAACGCCTTCTGCAGACTTTAACCAACCAAGATTGACGAAGCGGCGCGTGTAGGAGTAAAGGTGTGAGTGGTGTAGGGCTATATTACGTAGTTGTCTGTGCTATACAGCCCCTCGTGCGCATTTTCTCGGCCCCATGGACAAAAGTTTGTTACGTGTAAAGGCAAAGTCATGCGTAGGTGCATATGGATGCTAGAAGCTATTGCTCAAAAGACGCGAGTAGAACATGATGAAACGAATCGTAGTCGCTCCCCTGGTGCCACCTTTTCCAAAGACATTCTTCTCGACATTCTATTCCAGCCAAACCTATGCTACGTACCAAGCTCACGAAAACAGAGCAAATAGAAGAAAAAGGTTCGATGAGAAACCGAGCGAGGGACGTAGAAGCTAGCAAAGGACCCAAACATGCCCGAGCTCTTGATCGTGACCGAGTAATTGTCTCGTAGGGCACCCACAAGCAAGCACCCATATTAAGTATATCCATCGGCCCCTCGTCACTGCTAGCACAACGGTATCGGCGAAAGTCCCTCGCCACTGCCAGCACACTTGCCAATCAGGATACCAAAACTTGCCTCCATGGCGCAACCAAACGGTCGATCTGCCCTTGCCCGCGCACTTCCTGGGGCGGCGATACGCGTGCTCGGTCCCCTCGGTATGATGCACGGCGCGTTCTATCTAATCATTCCGGAAAATCTAGAAAGAGTCATAGTGGTCTTTGCCCAGGGATCCGTCAATACAGTAGGTAAGGTCATGAGAACCATCGCTAGCAACGCCTTCGACATGGGATGGGACACGCTGCATGATCCTAGGGTGCAGCAGATTGTCACCAACGCGACCCGGCAGCTTGTGCTAGCATCCATGAATGCTCCAGCCTTCTTGAACTGGGTGACTTCCCTCGGCATCGAAACGGCCTTTGATACCACTCGCACGGCTTGGCGTTACTACGCCAGCACGCCCCGGAGCATCTATTTCCTGCTTCTCGGAGATCCAGAGGAAGCCGACAGCGAAGGGGGGATCGAGGAGCTTGGGCCTACAAGCGAGGAGTCTGATAGGCAAATGGTGCTTTACAGAAACCCATCAGACCGCAACGTAGCTTCTCCCACGCCCGTAGATGGCAAGAGGAATCGGGACGAAGAGGGCGAAGCCAACGTTTATCAAGTCCAAAGACCGCGCATCGATCGAGAAGGTGGCAATGGATTTGGAGAGGATGACCACGGTGAAGAGAATGAGATGGGCAGCGAATCGAAAATGGGGCCCGACGGAACGCTCGCCTTCAAATGCACGGGCGTCACAAATCAGGGTCTGCCTTGCCGCAGATGGAGCAAGCACGCATCCGGCGATCCACCAACCTACCACTGCTGCAGGAAGCATCAAGAGCAGTGGATCAACCGTCGCGAGCTTCCCATGGGGGTTGGGGGTGGTGCGCTGTGATGAAGGAAGCGGAGGCAATGGCTGGCTGACACGGTGTTGGATAGCGTTGGAGGGGAGAGTGCGTGAGGGAGGGGATAGCGTTGGAGGGTACGAGTGCGCGAGGGAGGGGAGCGTTGAGTAGATGTGCTTAATTGATTGTTTCTCATAGAATCCAGACGTATTTGTAGCGCTTGCCACTAAGCTCCTTCCCCTTGTTCTCTCGAAAAAGACTGGTCTTCCTCGAGTGCAAACGGCCGTGTTTCGGCCGCTGAGCGGAGACTTGGATGTGATCGGGTATCGTGGAAAGGGCAACAGACACATCAAGACCTGGGCTGCCTCGTGGCAGACTCGTGGGACCATTGGAGCGGGCTGATCGTGAGGTTGGGTGGATGGTGACGGTTGACATGCGTGATGAGCACCGCCATCGGCCATACGCCGAGCCTAGAGCCATCCGCGGCGGGCGGACATGTGATGCTCTTCATGGTGTTGCTTACAAACGCAGCGAGCTACGCAAAAGGTCAGCGCATTTCGTAAACGGTACCGTCTGCTTACCCTCGATTGTTTTGGGGCACTGTAAAAGCCCTTGGGCGTGCGAAGAGACTGTATGCAGCGTTGATAATCAGACCGGGTCCGATTGATGTGCAGCGTGCCATGCTCGTCTGCCATGCCAACGTCCTTGGGGCGTTCGGCACCGCAGACGTCGAGCAAGACGAGACGACCTGGCCCATGGTACATCTCGATCCGCAAGTGCTTCCGGGACGATTTGCTATTCATGTTGGTTCCAGTGACCGTCCGGTGCTCTTCAATGTGCTGCAGCACCGCTCGTACACCTTCCTCGGACGTGACGTGGTACGCCTCGTCTTCCAGCACGATGCCAAATTGCTCCCGCTCAGAAGGCTTCATCCAATCGATCCTCGTCTCTTCTTGCAGCATTTCCACGGCTTTGATCTTGATGTGAGCATCGCCATCCTCGGCGCGTTCTAGTAGGATGCGCCCAGCTTCTTGGGCGATTGAATGGCGACCGCACATGAGGGTGTGCGACTTGCCGCTCGCAGATGGACCATCGGTCATGATGACGCTTAATCCACCATCGGCAACGTGTTCAATGTACGGGTGGAAGGTTGCCGTGACTTCGTCGTCGTCCATCGAATCGAAAATGTGGTCGAACTGGAATCTATGTTGCGTGTCGTTGAAGTGCAACGTGACCTCGCCTCCCTTCTCATCCACCACCAGCTCGGAGCGCTCGCGTTCACCAAACTGGGGAGGTAGCGGATGGTTGCCGATGCGAAGAAATCGTTGCAGGTGGTTATCTCGCGGTTTGCCAAGCGCTTTTGTGAGGCCCTTTATGCGCTGCTTCGCATCGTCGCGTTCCTTGCAAAGCTGCGCCTCGAGGTTGTTCTTTTGCGTCTCGAACGCTTCGTTGGACTTCCTATACTGTGCAACTGTGCTCTCCGTCTCCTTTGCAGCAGCCGCAGCCTGCGCCTCGAGCGCTTCATTCATAGCCTTGTACTGTGCATTCGTCCTTTCGAACGCTTCGTTGCACTTCTTGTACTGTGCATTTGTCCTCTCGAGCGCTTCGTTGCACTTCTTGTACGGTGCAAGTGTACTCTCCGTCTCCTTTGCAGCAGCCGCAGCCTGCGCCTCGAGGTCGGCCTTGGTCCTTTCGAGCGCTTCATTCCTAGCCTTGTACTGTGCAACTGTGCTCTCCGTCGCCTTTGCAGCAGCCGCAGCCTGCGCCTCGAGGTCGGCCTTGGTCCTTTCGAGCGCTTCGTATCTAGCCTTGTACTGTGCAAGTGTGCTCTCCGTCTCCTTTGCAGCAGCCGCAGCCTGCGCCTCGAGGTCGGTCTTGGTCCTTTCGAGCGCTTCATCCCTAGCCTTGTACTGTGCAACTGTGCTCTCCGTTTCCTTTGCAGCAGCCGCAGCCTGCGCCTCGAGCGCTTCGTTCCTAACCTTGTACTGTGCAACTGTGCTCTCCGTCTCCTTTGCAGCAGCCGCAGCCTGCGCCTCGAGCGCTTCATTCCTAGCCTTGTACTGTGCAAGTGTGCTCTCCGCCTTTGCAGCAGCCGCAGCCTGCGCCTCGAGGTCGACCTTTTGCGTCTCAAGCGCTTCGTTCGTAGCCTTGCATCGTGTGAGCGAGGCCTCGACGGCAAGACGGTCCGCGATGAGCTGGGCCTCGTGATTGGACTCTGCGGGGACCTCGGTCCGCTTGAGAATCTTCTCGATGGTCAAATACATGTCTCTTTCTTCCCCAAGGCGCTCGGATAGTTTAGGGTTAGGGTGGCCATCTTCTACAATCTTGTCCCGCGAATTGGGCATCACCCGGCAGGTGCGTCGGTCAAAATGGCCAACAGATGCCAGCATCCTAGCAAAAGTCCACGCGTCGTGGGTTTCCAAACGGTCCTCAAATCTTTCCAAAAGCTGCTCGTAGCAGAGGCCATCGGGTGGGAGGGCGTCGTAGATTTCGGTCATGCTTGGGGGCTGCGTTGCTGCAACATCCGTGGTCAGCAAACGTCGAGACGGGTCTTCGAGGGGAAGGGGGTGGTCAAACTCACGTGCGTCGAGCTGCACTCCCTCTTCAGCTGCTGAGCCACCTGCGGACGGCTCTTGCGGGCTCGGCCAGCGACGGTGCCCGTCATAAAACGCGACGTCGTTCACTTTGGGAACGCATCAGTAGTTATCCTGCTCAGTGTGCAGCAGTAAAAAAGGTGACTCGCCTACCTTGAGGGAAATTGGCATCGTAGATCTTGAGGTGGGAGGGAGGACCGCGGGCTGGTGAGCATGTGAGTAGTCAGCGCAGACCCGTTCGCTCGTGAGCGAGGAGCACCAGGAGGGTAACACGCACGAGGTGTGGCCGGCACGCTGCCGGCGCCGCCGGCCGAGAGCATCTCGATCTCGTGCTGCAGCCGCTCTTCGAGCTCGGCAATCTCCTCATCCCGTGCCTTCAACTGCATCCAGTGCGTCAGGAGACCAATCTCCAAGATGCCGACAAAGTGCCAGGGCTGGGTCCTGCTGGGGAAGCTCCCTTCGAGGAGGTTGAGGCTGAGCAAAAAGGAGGCAAGTCGCAGCACGCTGTGCTCGGGCGCCAAAAGCGGTGCGAGGACGGCATCCAGGAGGAGACCGACGATGCACCACGGGCCGTCCAGACCGATACCCCAGTTGGCCCGCGAGTAGTCGTCGAGCAGGTCGAATGCGGAGCGGGCGGCATGCCAAGCGGCGTACGGTATGCAGGCCGAGAGGCATCGAAGAGCGAGGTCAGAGACGCTGTTGATGTCACGATCGGTGACTAGGTTCTCAAACGATGAGCCCACGTTGCGGAGAAAGGATGGAAACGAGCCCATCGCGGCGACTGCAAGGAAAGATTGCGCAAAGGGTGGGTTGTCTTCCGTCTGCAGGTGAAGTCTGCAAAGTGGGCGAGGATGCTCAGGGGTGTCCGACGAGCAGCTGCGTGTGCCATTGCGCCGTTTGATGCGTGCGCGAACCTTGAGACATGGCCTATCAGGATTCCACTCCACCTTGCACCTTACTCTCTTTTCAGGCGCCTTTCCGCGTCCTCGTCGGCGTGGGCATCGTGCCACCTCCTAGCTACCATGACGTACGGAAATGGCCTCGTGCTGTCCATGCTCTTCACACTGCCCGCCGGCGTACAACGACAGATGGTCTGGTCGAAGGCGATGGCATCGCTCCGACGTACGTTGAGGTGGCTGCGCGGAACGTGTGGCTGTCGTTGGTGGCTTTTTCTACCGTGCCGAGACGTGCGATGCGGATCTGCGCAATGACTTGTAACGTGCGATGCGATGTAATTCTTGTCAAGAGTATTCCGCTCGTGGCAATGAACCAGGTATTGCGGAAGAAGCTTACCATGGGTGGGTTAGGGTTGCAAAGGTGAGCAAAGACGAGCCACGAGGCCAAGTTACACAAAACGCGATCGTCGCGCTTGCCCTGTGCTATAGCAACAATCACCATCGCCTTGTGAAGCTAAGGACCCCTCTTTTTTACACACCAGCAAAATCTGGCTTTGCATGTGCACGCAGACGTTACCTTGGTTGCTCGCGGGAGACCATGACAATTCATAATTGTACTGTTGAAGCTCAATCATGTGACTCCCAGCCACTTCACTATATAGACTACTTGGCCAGCTTCTCTGTGTCGGTACCTCAATCAGTTCATCTTATGGTACATTTAACACGTATACCGGTGCAGTCGCACAGCCACAGACATTGTTGCTGGGGTAAAGGAATGTTACCCTATTCATTGGAATTTGCACCGCTATCAGAATAAAACTAAACTACCCCTTTTGAAATCCGTCGCTGAGGAGGTACGTGTATAACCAAGTTTTCTTTCCATGGGATGATACCAAAACAGTGACGAACCCTTGCCGGTGGTGCGATGGTGTTAAGTGAGAACGGGTCAGCGTGTAAGGGAGTGTTAGGGGATGCATAAGAAGAGAAGCCAGAAATCTCCCGAGAAAAGGACGGTGAATAGAGCTGGAAGCGCCAGCGATGCGGCAAAGCCGTTGGATGCAAAGAAGATGGAGGAGAAGAGTGGCAGCCCAGCCCTAGGCAACGGCTTCCCTCTCGACAGCTCCTCCTAGTCCTCGTCCGTATCTTCTTCTACCTCGTACTCGACTCGTCCGTATCCTCTTTGTAACTCGTATTCGTCCTCGTCCGTATCCTCTTGTAACTCGTACTCGTCCTCTTCCGTATCCTCTTTTACCTCCATCTCCTCCTCATCCGTCTCCAGCTTCTCTTCCTCGTCGGTCTCTATGTCTTCATCGTCAACGATGAACCCGCCAAGGGTTGGATCGTCCACGTCGCTGTATTCGGTCGCCTGGCTCTCATCCCCGTCCGCAGCAACCGAAGCGTGGGTAGCGGTGGGGACCGCGCCCAAGCTGGAAAGGTTAATGGCGTTACCGGGAGCACTGCGGATGAAATGATCCAACCTGCTGTCGAACAGGGCATCGTGCACACCGGGGCGCATGAAGATGCGAAACATGTGGATGTGGTCGCGTCCGGCCACCAGGTCGCAGCGGTCCTCCAGAACCAGCGTGCCTCCCGGTGCGACCTTGCGTTGATGGCCATCTCGATACACCCGCAGGACGCTCTTCTCGACAAGTCTGCCCGTGTCCACGTCCAGCCTATCGGTACTGGTATTGTGCACCCTCAGGGACCTCGTGGCGGGGTCGACGGATAGCAGGAGTTGCGAGGCCGTGACACCTTGACCCGTGATCCTGACGTGGTTGGCCCTGCTGGTGCCAAACGACAGCCCCGACTCTCCCCTCAGACGGTCAAGATCAAAGATGACGACGGAGTCATCAGGCGAGTAATGTCTGCTCAACAGCTCTCCCGTGGGTGATGATAGGGCGGAAATCTTGCAGCTGTGCATACGATTGCTGGGCATCGCCACGGCCCAGCGCGAGTCTTCCGTCGTGGGGACGAGCACGGCCAGGACGGAAGCCATGCGAGCTGTAGCGTCGCGTGCAAGGCTGGGAAACGTTCTCTTTTTGCAATGGATGGGAGGATCGTTTCAGACACGGATCAAGTGCAAAGCTGGGAGACGTTTGTGAAATGAACGAGGGCAGAGGGCTGGAAGCGGTTCTGCAGAGGGTATTCTGTTGCTACGGAGGGATAGCTGGAGCTTCAACTGTGCTCTTACAACTGGGGGAGAAGGGGGTTCTCCCTCAAGATACTCTGGTCTGCGCCCTCTCGGTGAACCACATGGCCGAGACACAAACGACATCGTACAAAGTGCCATGCCACGAGACAGCCGCGAATCGCCCAAGAGTCTCTTACGATCAAGTTTTCCTCCCAAGACACGCTAGTTTGCGCGGTCTTTTGGCGGGCAGCTTCTTTGAAACACCAAGGCACGAGACAGTCGAGAGATGATCTGTAGGACAAGGTGTGCAGGATGTGTGCGCGATCAAAAGTGACAGATGCCAACGTGGTATCGACTGCATCACCATCAACATGGTCCCAAACGTGGTGTGGAGTAGCGTTACGTACCTCATGTTCATACCGAGGAGGCGACCTGCATTCGGCAGCCCTGATAACCTTGCTGCATCAGAGGCAATTGCCCCTTTGCGTGTACACCATGCTGGTGGTGACCCGCAACATGCGTTGCACTCGACGTATAGATTAGCGCTCTGCCCGACGAATTAGCAACGTGACGAAACACGTGGAGCGCGGCCACCGACCTCCAGCTTGCGCGCCCTGCATGGGGCACCGCTCGAGCCATGCCATGACCGCCCCTCGCTCGGGCTGGGTCAAGGTCCTGCCGCTGAAGAGGAGCAGGCGGAGGACGTGGGCGTCTGCCTCGCAGAGTGCACGCTTCTCCGGCGCCTCGCCACCGGGGGGTGCTGCCGAGCCCAGGCGGCGCAGGTCCGGGGCTCCTCTGCGGCCCATCGCAGGCGTCCACAGGACACTCGGCCAACCACTGCCGGAGGTGGTGCGATTCGCGGTCCGTCAGGGTCTCGGTGCCGTAGAGTATGAGGCCCAGCCTATGCATCTCTGCCTCTTGCAGCACCTCCTTCTCTTGCAGGTAGTAAGGGTGGTCAAAGGCGCGCTGCGTGCACCGCGTGTTGCGGTCCAGGATCGCTCGCGAATCGGCCGTCATCTCCACGACGCGGCGCTGCAGGCCACATGCATTCTCTGGGAGGTCGGCGCCATAGCGCAAGGCAGGTAGGACCATGCGTGCGAGGCTCAGGTCATCGAGGTCCTGCAGCAATCGGATCAGCGTGTGTGCGAGTGCTTCGTCTGCCGTGTGTTGGATGCGGTCCCAGGCTTCGCAGACGCCTCGCATCACCCTCGTTGAGCGATCGGGGGCGCTCCTGTCTCCCAGACGTTCCAGCTGTTCGACGATGGGTGATGGCTCCATTTTGGTGTGGACGAGCATGTTGGAGCAGCGATGGGTGAGGTTGCGGGATCCACGTGGGGAACGGAGCCATGTGCGCGGTTTCACCGACCCGTTTGCTCCCCCCCCTGGTGGTACATGACCTGCACCTGCACCAGACTCGTTTGCTCCCTTGGTGGTACATGACATGCACCTGCACCAGACTCCAAATCGCTCCCGCACGGAAAACTTTTGCGATGCTGCTGCAGGAACTGCCGTTAGACTTTACCTTTGTCAAAAGCTCGTATCAGAGCCAAGTCCAGCAAGTCGTTCGAGACAACGCAGGTGATGGGACGACGACGACAGGCCTCCGAGCCAACGAGGTAACGGTTATGGCGCTGAACGAAATCGCAGTCGCTCATGGACGAGGCTTCTTCTGGCACTTTCCCAACCGAGATCGCCTCAAGAATGACCGTGACACCACGAACCACGGCAAGGAGAACAAGAAGACGAGGAAGAGGATGGAGAAAGAGGAGGAGCCTGCAGTGCCTCAGCAAGTCCCACCAGACAGGATGGCGGAGACGACCAAGTGAGATGGCCCGTTGCCATGCGAATCCGAAGATGCTGACCAACCGCAGACCGACGTTTCCCACCATCACGTACATGGACTACCGCTGGAGTGGTGAGGCGCGTGAGCGCTTTCGAAAGACCCCTCATCGTGCCCGCTATCTGCTCTGCGATGGGCTCCTGAATCCCCCAGCCCAGGGGCAGTCTGCACACCGTGTACACTGCATCCAGTACGCCAGCCACGCGCTGTACCAAGTATTTGCTACAGGGCGTCCTTCTCTTGTCGTCTTGCAAATGGATTCGGCATTTTATGCCATGTCAACGAGGGATATGGAGGCGCTGTGTGGCGGCCGTATGAGGCACAATGGGATGCAGTTTTCTCAAGTATCCAAGCTATGGGGCGTGGATGAGCACAATGTGGAGGACTTTTCCTGCGCAGACGTCGAGAGCCTCTATGCGCGGCTGATCGATCTTTGCGAGCGAGACCGCCAGAGCGACCCCATCACCGTCGAGGAGCTGTCCCGACGCATCCCCCGGCCCCGCGCGCCACCGAAACCTGCTCAGCTATTAGGGTGGGCGATTGGAGAGCAGGGTAACAACCGATCGGGCCCTAAGTCGAGCAAGGGTTCGACGAGGCCACGGCGCAAGGGGAGGGAGGACGAGCAACGTGCGGGAGCATGTGTCGTCGAGGGGATCGAGCTAGGATCGAGCTAGTCACGGGCCGACCCGACCGCCGGGGCCCCTAGGGTGATCTTCCCATGGGTGTACATAGTACAATCTACACATTCTTTTCATGCACGTGAAACAACACAAGTCCTCAAACTCCTCTTGAGTGTAGCGCTTTCGTGGCTTGCATGTATGATTATGGATCCTCACATTCTAGTTGCTCCTCCAGAGCCTGACACCTCCCAACCAAGCTCACTGCACAGCCGTGGCCGAACCTCTCTCGCCCCTACACAGAGTTTGGCGTGATGGCAACGCAGCATCGCCAAGTCCTTGACCTTGACGCAGCCATGTCTCACTGTGTCTCGTCTCTCCTCCTCCCCCAAGCTCGCCGCCCTCCCTCTTTTCCAAGTCCAACACCAAACGAGACGTACCGCCCGCTACAACAGCAGTGAAAGAGGCAACGACGAAAGTCCACCACCAAAGAAGACTCATCGCCCGCTACAACGGCAAAGTTCCTGGTGAGCCTTGGCACAAAGTGAGCTTCACGACGTTGCACGAAAACTGACTTGGTTCCAGCATCCACCCCGCAATGTCTGCAGAGCCGGAAAACGAAGGCGACGAGGCCACCTTTTTCTGGGCCGTGAGACCCTGGGCCACGAAGAACTTTGCAGCTGTCTGCGAAGGAAACATCTTTTCCATCCTCTTTCCGCTTGACTACATCATTCGCAGCTTCGAGTTTGCTCCCATCGACGGCGCCGTGTGCCTCGACGCCCCAGCCTACCCACCGCAATCTACCTACGCCGAGAGGCTCTTCTCCACACGGCTTCACACCCTACAGGATCTTCCTCCTCGCTCCCGCCGCTTCGTGCAGTTTGACGTCAAGAGCACCACCGGACTGGAAGCAGGCGCGCAGCACAGCGTAACCGGGCTCAGACAGCACCTCCGGACTGCCTTTTACCTCGTCCTGTGCGCAAGCGACCCAGGCTTCATCTCGCTGATACCCAACGTGCCTGCTACACGTAGGTCACGCACCAACGAACACCACTTTGCCATCAGCTCTACCAGGAGCCTACCCGTCCGGGGCGTGTCGTACGGGTACCTAGACCCCGAGCACGCCGCGCACCGCATGCCCATCGGTCTCCTAGCGACCGCCGTGCAGAGGGTGCGCGACTGCGCGCTCGATAAGAAGGACTATGTGAACCCTTGGACGGGGCTGGTGTACGCTGGATGGGAGCCGGCCATTACCGAGTCGCTCGACGACCTCTGGCCCCACGAAGACACGGAGCACTACATGGCGTGCCTTGGTACGCTCACGCTGTGGCGCGAGTTGCGGTTGGCTCGCGAGGACGGTGGTGAGGAGGACGACGTGCGGTTCGACATGGTGGGCCTCCAACCGCGCCTGGCCGACATGAAAATTTCCTTCCAGCAGCAGCAGTGGCTGGTGCAGTGCAAGAGCGACGTCAGACCACGCAGGCCAGGCCGGCTGGGCAATGTCCCCATCGCCCGCCCAGCCCAAGGAGGCTCGAACGGCGAGGCGCAATGTTCCCTCAAGCACTACTTTGCCTCGCACGACCGGTACGTTTTCTTTTCCCTTTGATGCTCAGACGCGTCGTCGTCCCAGCGTCTCCGAAGTACAGCATGGATCGGTCATACTCACAGACCCACAGGTTTGACTTTTTGCTGTACGACTTGCGCTTCGACGACGGCAAGAACCCTCCCGTGGTTGCCTTCTTCTTCCTCCCGGAACGCGTCCTGCCAGACGCCTTCTTCGCGACGTGCAAAGATACGGAGGTCAGCTTCGACAGGGCCGACTTCCTCCCCTACTACATGACGGTTGGGGAGAATGGAGACTGGGGCAGACACATCCTAGACATCATCGAGGCGAACCCGGAACCCCGGCGGCGGGCTGCTCGACCGTATCGGGACTGCGTCCTGCAGCGACCGCTGACCCGCAAGATCGTGGCCCGCCTGGAACGGCTGCAGCGTCCCCGGGTCGCCGGCCTGGCGCCCAAGCCGCCCGTTTCGAGCCTGGTCGTCAGCCACAGGAGGCTCTTTGCAGGCGTGCTGGACCAGTGCGCGAAAAGGTGAGCCCCAGACGCATGCACTCGCAGCCAGCCTGCTCACGATGGCCAGGCGCTCTGGCCTCCTCGTCGTGTTTGCGCACAACCACGCCGCCTGCGACTTTGGCTTCGCCCCGTATGCCTGGACGGATGCGGATAGGGAGACGTACCTGGCGACAGGCAGGCCCCCTGCCGCCATACACGACCTACCTGCCGCGATGCCCATGGTACCTGTCTACCTATTTGCACGGGATATGGAGTGCGACTGGAGGGGGCCGTTACTTTCTGGCGCCGAGTTTCGTAGAGTCAACTCGTGGTCCCCGCCGCGCCTGCTGGTATTTGATGCCATAGCTGCTGATGATGCGAGCTTTACCGGGCCACTATTCGTAGTCCCTACTGCAGACCTCAGCTTCACTGCGCGACACCAACAGGAATATGCAAGGCATGTCAAGGTAGATAAGAAGAACGGTGATCGCCATGGGAGGGTGCCGCTGGTCCGGGAGCTACTCCACAGCGGACGCAACATCGCCGACTACGTGCTACCCAAGCATGGTCCTACCATGTATGAGGGAAGCGACGATTGGGCTGAGCTATGGACCCTGCTCACCAAGTTTACCGGTGTGGCGCCTTTCACGTATCCCGGTACCTGTCCCCGTGTGCCGGCAGACTACCGCACCACCCTGCAGCAGCTCCATGCACGGTGGTGGGAGGAGGCGCGCCGCCGCGCACAAGATGCGGTCCCTCTTCCCGGACCGGATGCCGTGCGACCCTCGATGCCGTGAGCGTGGTTCTAGCGAGCGAGGTCTCAGCTGTCATAGGGTCTGCTCCTTGCAACTCTTCGCCGATGCTAGTCAAACGCCGATTCCGTCGCATTGCGATTCGAAGAGTGTGAACTGCCCATTCGAAATGGTTGAGATGACACTCGGGAGTGTTAGATCTGGCAGGACAAGATGTTACTTGGGAGTGTTTGCACTGACCATTCCAAGTGGACAAGATACTCGGTAGTGTTCGAACTGGCCATTTGAAAGTGGTTAAGATGCTACAGGGAGTGTTTAAACTGGCCATTCGAAGTGGTTGAGATGATACTGCGGAGTATGTCAGGCTACTGGGTCGCTCGTTGGGACCCGAAGCCCATGACCGCATCCACCGCATGTTTTGAACCCAGCCTGGGCGAGGCCCCCAATCTTTGCAGTGTCACCACGGTTGGGAATCGGTGCTGATGCCTCTTCGCGCCTTAGCCATGACAGCAAGCGGAAGCACCTTGGTGTCCTTCTCAAAGCCACCTCTAGGATCGGATGGCATCTCCACTGCAGTGGTAACTGAGACGATGTACCTGCAGGAGGGAGCATCGATGGCATTAGAGCTACATGGTACTCGGATACTAGTTTACCTGTAGAAGAAGGTGCTTCCCGCTACCTATTTACAAAGTGGTACTACGACAGCGACAGCATCGCTCCCTCGTCATCGGTCAAGCCAACCTCCAACAGACATCATTCCAGCGGGTAAACCCACAGCGAAGCGTAGGACCGCATCAGCGCCGAGCCCCCTCGATGCAAGGCCGCAGGATCCGCGCGCACCAGAAAAGGCAACCGACGAGGCGGTCAAGGGTCCCGGCGGAGTTGTCGAGAATGAACGCGTTCGCGACCCTCCCTCCCTCCTGCTCAGGCTTCGGTGGTTGCGGTCGAGCTTCTCAACATCAGGTTTTCTGTGTATGTTTCTACTAGAGAATGGACGCACTCTCCCAACCAGGCTATTCCATTCCAGACCAAAGCGGGTACCAAGGAAGTACGAGGAGCTCGTTTTTATGAGGACTAGCTCTAGGAATTCCGCTCTAGGACACTACAACAACGACCCTCCACAACAAATAATAAATCTTTTCAATTAGGGAGGTGATAGAGCTGGCGCTCCTCTATTAGCTCCTGCTAATAAAAGGTATTAATATTGAGTGTTGTGGTTGTGGTGTTGCAGTGTTCTGGGCGAATCTTTAGTACTAGTCCTCATAAAAACCGAGCTCCTCGTAGACGAGAATCTCGCCTTAAGGCTTCTATCATCCCAATTTTACCAATGGAGTATTACATCGTTCATGGTCTTTTGCACCTATGTGTTGATTAGGGCACGTCACAACTTGTCACATTCAGCTTGCGCTGGTCGAACTTTTCAATTGGTCGTTGTTGGTTTCTAATGTGTAGTACATTTGGGCGATATGGTCGCGAGCGTTGTGGTGTGTATGTAAAACATGTGCTCTGAAGATGTGCTTGAAGATGTGCTTGAAGATGTGCTTGAAGATGTGCTTAAAGATGTGCTTGTGTGTGACGATGCAAAACAACCTTGAAACCTACACCAGAGCGCCAATACCAACGTCAATTCTATCCAGTCTATACCTGTATACCCCAAAACCCATCTTCGTTCCACCACACAAGTCTAGCGTCGACCTTGGTAGAGCTTCATCCCTCCTTCCACCAAATCTACTCGCCCCCTTTGAGAAGGAGAGGCCATATCTGAAAAGGATGTGTAGTAACCACGCGGACCGGTTCCTCCTCGCGCTGCTCTTCTACAAGCACAAAGATATCGACTTTCGGTGTGTCGAGTTTGGAATGTTTAAGCCCGATGAGGCAAGCGAGGTTCTTGTACCAAGTCGCAGCGCGTGGCTGGATGTACGCTCCATCATCCTCTGAGATGCCTGCCGGAGTAGCTTGCACAAGGGTAAGCCGCTTCAAGTGAGGCTGGACTGACAGGATATCCAGCACTTCTCCGGCGTATCGGCGTGCACTGCCCCCGCCACCCCTTACCGCATGAGATTCAATGCCGAGAACGAGGGTCTCCAATGTTACCAGATGACTCTTTAGTTGGCGATTGTGGTGATGGCTATCCGAGAGATGGTAGTTGGCTATCGTCAGGTTCCGCACAGATAGGTCGACATCCACGAAAGCATTCTGGAGGTATTCATACTCCTCGTTCAGACTGTCACCGCCAGAGATGATCCAATTGGCAACATTGGCAACACTGCCTTCTGCGTACGCTCGATGCTCATCGTCGATGAGGGCCTCTTGCGGGAGGAAATCTGGTGCGTTGCGCATGTTCCAAAGCTGGGCTCCAACCAGTACCGTCTTGCGGTCCAGAAACTGCTCGACGACGAGCGCAGAGGAGCCCACATTCGACAGCGTAGCGATCCCATCGTTTCGACTCGCCAGATGCTGTAGGACCAGCGAGTCCCAATCCAGTTCTTGAGCGGTCAAACCTTGGTGAGCCTGGCCTGCACGTCGGTTTCGGGATCGCGAAAGGGCTTTGGGCAATTCATACGTCCTGGCGGGTAGGTTCCGCTGCCTTCGAGACTTTCGTCGACGGGTGGCTTTCATTCCCAGTGTAGCAGACATATTCACGCAGTCTTTCCAGGGTCTCGAGGCTGTCAGTAAAAGGCTTGGCGGCGTAGATGCCGCTGCTCACCTGGCGTACTCGCGTTCACGAGCGCGAGTCGTAGTGAGATCCCGTGTCCGCTGTCCCAGATGCGACCACGTAGATGAAGAAGCCGAGATGTGATTTGCAGACGACCAGTCTCTTGCTGCTCGAGTGGAGCCACGGAAGAGGGGACGTAGCCGCTCAAGCGCTGACGCTGGTATCTGTACCTTTGCACGCACCTGGAGCTTCGCCGAGCAAAGCAATCGGTTGTTATTGCGTTGGCAAGTCTCGTCAATTGGAGCGTAGGAGCATCATGTTTGGGAACCATTGGATTGGCAAGCCTTTGACTCACCGATGCGAACGAGAACGTGTGGATCATGGCGCCAGATGTAGAAGTACTGTTTTCACATCGGTCATCGGCCTTTGGAGGGGAGAGAGAAGCACTGAGATTTTTTTGTGTGCTCAATTGGGGTACATGTTCAGGATTTACGTATATTAGGATGGCCGTCGAAATGAGTTCACTTGCCTTTGCCAGCCTTTTCTTCCATCTCGCACCGTTAATTCCCATAGACGGCCTCCAACGCTTGCTTAAGCAGATACTGCAGAAGAGAGAAAGGCTGCCGCTGGAACAGTCGGTAGACTGTTGCGTGAGCCATGCACGCGGCCATCCGCGATGGCAGAAGCAAGTCCTACTCCAAACATCAGAGTCTCACCTCTCCCGCTCAGCTCGCGTCGAACCTGTCCGGTGGCGCACCTCCTGTCTCAGCCGCTTCACCTTCCGCGGAAATCAGATTGTCTTCACATTGGAGAATGTTCACGGCTGGCATGCAGCGCCACATCGATTTTCATCATAATGGGCTTGGCGTGAGTGTGTTGGTAAATGGTATGCATTCGTCAAGGAAGACGAAGCCTTTAATGTTTTTAGAGACTTCACGCTTCTTCACCATGGGAACCAGCCTTTTGCGACCCACCGTTGTTCCACCTGCAGTGGGCCATCTGCCATGTTGATGGGGTCACCGTTTCGCCACTGGAACCTTCCTGGCCTCGTCGCCCTGCTCGCGGCACGCACGGTAGCGGGAGTGGTGCGGCGCGACTGGTCCTTGTTTGGCGCATGCATGCGCGATGGTGTGCGTGGCTTGTTGGGCTAAAGGGGTGGCTTGCACATGTATATATTCACCCGTTCCTTCCCACAAACTCCTCACCACACTCACACAAGAATATCCACACAATCCTCAACAGTCACCATCCAACTTCTACGTCATGGGGTGCCCTCCCCCTCTTTTATCTGTTTGTAGTTGCTCTTCCATTCAAAACTCTCGATTCGCTGACCAGAACAGCTCTTAGCCTCCCACTCATACGGCGAGGCCCTCGAGGAAGCAAGACGATGCAACCGAGCCCAGATTCAGGACGAATTCCCCCCTGACTCTGTTTTGGTAGCTGGTTGGGTAAGTACCATACACGCTCGCGCGTCGATGCCGCTAACCAATCGCGTAAAGATGTTGGCCACATGCATCAGCCTGATGTACATGATGAGCTACCCCTACCGCGGGGCCTTTGAACGCGCCATGGTTCGTGTCCCCATCCTGATGTGCCTTTGGGCTTTACTTACCTGTCCAGGAGAGCGCCCCTAACCGTGTCCAACGCGTATACCACTACGGCGTTCGTCTCATCAATCTCGTCAGCGAAGCTATCGCACCCTTGATGGCGGCGGGCCTCATTCTTGTCTTCCAGATCCTCTGGGTTGCCTCGTTCATTGTCTTCTTGTCAGTTTTTCTGGCCATGGTCATCGTGGGCACTACGGTGCTGGTCAAGTTTGGGAAATTATGGTCACTCCGCGGCTAGGGACGTTCAGTCAGTGCAGATGGCGACGAACACAGACAACGATGGTGGTGTATAGGTTACTTACCAGACGATTCAATCATCTCTACTCTAGTTAAGTTTTGCTTTGTGATTGTCAACTTTGCATGTGTTTACCCCGTGGAGGAGTGATCTACTCGTCTAAAGGTGGCGACCGTGATGTGAGTCTGCCCGGACGGGCCGCGCAGAAAGAAAGTAAATGGCAGAGAGAGGAAGTAAATGGCAGGTAGGAAGTTGAAAAAAAAAGGCAAAAAAGATCCAACTGAACCCACGCGGAATCGAACCACGGTCTTAGTCAAATGTAAGGGGAGAGTCTCCATATCGCTCCCAATAGGCTAACCGTATTCTGCACACGGTTACTTTGTCGATTTACCAGAGAGTCTCTCGATCTGAACGATCTGATCCATAAGAGGGAGCAAGATGGAGATATCATACTCTGGGTGCTTGTGTGTACACTTGCACCATGGCTTATTCTGATACCAAAGGTATGAACATCGCCCGAATTCCTCCTCGAAACGTCTACGCTCTACCACTGAGCTATGGGTCCAAAGTAACTGATGAGAACCCTTGACGTTAATTATTATTTAGACTCAAAGTTGATTTCGGTAGCACAGCGCTACTCTCGAATAGTGTACGCGTTACGGTTACTTGCATCGCGCAATGAAAATCGAAACTTGATCAGTTTCGCTTTTGACGGAGACTGCATCTCAGCGAGGCCATGCAAGGGGGCTACTTATGCTGTGCCAGGCGAGCGTCTACTCTAGCATCTCGAGGTGTGGGTTTTGGAAGGGAAACGGTCTGCTCGGAAGAAGATGCATCTGCTTTGCTACTAGGAAAGGCACTTCCTGCTCAGGTCCGTGCGGTCACTGTCCTCACGGAGGCTGTTTCACCTGCCTTCCCAACCATCCCACGATTTCCGCTCGTACACCCCGCTCGACTACGCCGCAATGGCCGTGCGCTTGATGCTATTGTCGCCTCCAGCAGTCAGTAGCGGCCGTGGCGTTCATTTGGCTGTACGATGGATGCCGATGTCCAATGCAGCTCCGTGTCCATCATCCGATCAACAAGTTGCCAGATCTTTGGATGAGACCTTTTGTGACGATACGAGCGTGGCTACTCTGCTCGCCCAGGCGTTTGTACAAGCCGCCATCGAAGCTGCACTCGTGATGCTCCACGACCTCGCCGCACATGTCTGCCTCATCTTCGTCTCCGTCCTGACCAATCCTTGCGAGACACTTGGCCATTGATCTCGTCGCCGTCGCCATTCTTAGCTACCCTCTGGCGTGTGCGGTCGAGCCGTGCGTTTCCCTGCGAAATGGATCCGCGCTTGTTTGCGCCGTACGCCCACCCATCACCGACGATGCAAGACTGTCTGAATCGTTGGGCAAGGGTAAGCGTTGCAGCGCGGCGATCCTGTATGGTGGATTGACAACAGGGCTGACCGGTACGCCACGTGAACCAAGGTGCACCTGGGCATTGCATCACCCAACACAATCGGAGCAGCATTGGCAATCGACCAAGGCCTCTACTCTCGCCCCACTGCCTGACATTGGAGCCTCACAACCTTGCCCCTCCACCTTCATCTGGACTGTCAAAATACTTGACTGCCGGCCGGCCTCCCTGAAGCGATGGTCAACATGACCGCCATGTTTCCCACGAACAAGTTCGTCTCCGCTCTCGCCACCTTTTTGCCGCCCGAGTGGGAGTCGTTGATGAGAACGGCCCTATTCTGCGTACGGTTCCACCAGATCGCCCCTCGTCTTTCTTAGGAGCTTACAGAGGTAGGGCGGCATCTTCGGACTCGTGTATGGGCTCCGTGGCTGCGAAAATGCCCTTGATGGTGCTTTGGTGCGTGCAGTCATCCCACCTGTGGAGCTTCGCTGACCTGCCGGAGAACCATCTCCCCAACGTCATGACCCGCTTCCACGGCCAATCCATCGATCTTGCCAAGCGTTCCGGGGTCTCGAGCGGAAGATGGATCAGCGATGCAATGGTCATCCTCGTGCAGGCTATGTGGGTTGGAGTAACTGTGCTGCTGCTTCTTGCTATACCCGTCGGTGTCATCAACATTGGTAAAGGGCTTCTCAAGTGAGAGACGCAACAGAGGGCATGCCAACAATCTCACAAATCGGTATTTCTCTAAATGGTGCGAATACTCAGCCCAGATTCGTTCCCCTTGATTCGGGAGTCACGCCGTCCCAGAAACAAGTTTTCCATGTAATGAGATCCGCGCCTCCACCATCGATTCGTCGAACCATGCCTATAGCTCCATCGGTAGTGTACGTACATCGGTGAGGATGGCCTACGAACTTTTCGACCGCAGCACAAGATGATCCCAAGCTTCGCTGCGAAACCTTCCAACGATAAAGCTGCCGTAGCGTTTGGGCGGCCCAAGGTGGACTGAGCCGCAACGTGGCCAACCGTCGGCTGAGACAGCGTGGGATGCCGGTAGAAACAGGAGGCTCGGGCGTGCGTTTACTATTGCAAGAGGGCTTACGAGTTATTATAGGCAGACCATCACCTCGTCTACTATCCAAGTAGCACCTCCTCTTACCCCAGAGAGGCGGAGTATTCGATACCGAGGTAGCATGTACTCTACTGCGTCCGACAGTAAACTTGTATAGGGTGTGTTAATGATTTCTTTTTTTAAAAAGGATGTCTTATAAGGCTGATAATCCGCGCAGAGACATGGCGTGTCCATGGGATTAGCAAAAACGTCCCTCTGTTCCTCTCAGCTTCTCAACACCACCATCATCTGTTACCCATAGCTTAACCCTCTCCCTTTACTCGTCTTTCTATCTCCACATTGCAAGAGAACGCTTTACCATGAATGTCGATGCTGTACACCTCTTTGGCATGGCCGACATTCCCATCTATCATGGTATGGTCCAGGGGTACCAAGCGTTGGCTACGTGCGTCTGGGAGGTGCCAGTGAGTGCTCGGTGGGCTACTGGGATGCCGAGGTAGCTAACAACGGTGTAGAGCTTGGCAGCTTCCCTCACCAGCGTTGTTGGCATGCTGTGGAGGGCCAGCGGAGACGTCGAGACCCTGCTGCAGGATCTCGAGAAGCTAGCTGCAAACTTTGCAGATGCGCAAAATGTGCACACGGCATTCGTCATGCTCCGCACCTATTTAGGCCTTCAGATGGTTATCAACCTATTCATCTTGGGGGTCATCGTGCACAAGGTGGTCAAGAATGTGCAGGGCCTTGCCCTTCGACTCATGGCTGTGCTAGAGATGGCTTATCGGGTCATCGCCTCCTGGTGTCAAACTCTCAACGCAAAGGTGGGTCGATGCTCCTGCACTTACGTTGCCTGCTAAACTTGCATCCCGCAGATGCAAGGCAACTACAGTGCGCCTGTGAGCACGATGTATGGTCAATAAGACGGGGGTCACTTAGAGGCTGGTCAGTAGGGCCATGTAGTGGGTTTGAATGGCGCTAGACGTCGTTTTCTTTTGGCAGCGCCAGCTCAAATGCAATCAACGTCGCCATATCTTACTCATCATCTATCTCCTTGATAGTAACTCTAATAGCAGCACCGACTATCTTCTTAACCTTGGCCGTCTCGTCCTTGCCGCCCTCGCCAACCTTACCTTTGCGCATCGGCTACTCAAGGATGAGATAAACTACTCCTTCTGGGGTGGTGGAAACACTGGGGGCATACTGCGCGTCCCCTATTGGTGTTGATACGATGCTACGTGAGCAAAACGCTTCGTCTTTTGGATACGAGAATGGATTGCTTCCTTTGTACATGGGATGCTAGAAATGGTAGGTAGACGGACGTGGCAGGTTCTTGGAAACCAAATATATACTATATCATAACATCTAGCCCTCCATCGAGCTAACAAGGTTCCTTACCATCCATGATAGAGTGATGTTCGGGAATCATTTTGATCGATTTTGGCAAAGTACGTGATCACCTCCCCACAAACCCGGTACGCTCCCTTCTACTCATCGGACGCTTTCTGCGAATCCATAAAGCCTCCTCACCCGTCTAGCATGATGATGGGTCTCGCAGCCTGCAAGAGACGGCTCAAGCGGTAGCCTACGTGTTCAGCAAGGCACCGATGGTCATCATGGGCTCTCCAATCGGTGGTGTGAGAACGCATCTCGCGCAGTGCGTCACCGACCGTGGCCCACGAGCCCTGCCGCGTAGCCAGCTGACCCTCGACGTGGGCAAGTGTCGTGTAGCATCCATCGAGGCGCCGAACGTGTGCACGGTGGGCTGCGTGGATCGATTTGTTGCCTGATCTCGTGCGAGGGTCTTGGTGCTTGCGAACCTCCTGCCGGGCGTTCTCGAGCTCGACGAGCAGCGAGGTCTCCGCGTCACGGACATGGCCGAGCACGAGTCCAATCTCGCTGCGTACGTCATGTGCCAAGCGTTGGGCGCTGTCAAGCTGCCCTTCCGCAGCGTCGATGAGGTCGCAATCCGTTCCGTCGTGGGCGACGAGGCGCATGGCTGGGAGAAGACCGTCGCGAAAGATTTTGCCAGCCGTTTCCTCGTGTGCTGATAGTTGTAGCTGCAGGGCCGAATCGCGTGCTTGCTGCAACGTTCCCCGGGAGGGCGTATCGCTGCCGACGCATTGAACGAGGTCGTTGAGCTGTATCACGGCGGTCTGCAACGTGTGCATGGCAATTACGGGCTCCGAGGTCGGCGATGGGGATGACACGGGTCGCACATACCCGAGGTACAGTATACTGACAATGGCGATGAAGATGGCGACGAAGAGAGTAGTCCGAGTCATTGTTCGATGGTGGAAGAGCATTCCAAGGAGTGATCGTCCGACTTTGGAATCTCTCAGTCATGTGTTCAGTGCGTTCACGCCGCAAAATGGCGCTAGACCCAAGCGGATGGGATGCCAGACGCTCTGCTACTACTGGTCCTGTTTCTCCACCTTCTGCTTCAAGCGTCGCAGACGTGCACCTTGGCGACTACGCTACCACCACCGAAATCATCCAAGAGGCTTCCTCTCCGGCGACCATGGCGATCGGTCTCGAGGTAGTCGTTGGCTCGATCGAGGCTTTATCCTGTGCACTCTTCTCGTATTACGTCTCTTCTCTATTTCGACGTGCTCCCCTGAACATGGTAGGCATCTACTCCGAGCAGGTGCCTGTGGACGACGTCCACGACGCCTTGAAATATCTCTACTCGCGAGACAGCATGATATCCATCGTCGCTTTGTGCATCGCATCGATGGCCACGCATTTTCGGTTCAGGTGATTGCTAGGACCCCCCGCGCGCAGCGACGCTGACTCGATCGTCTGCAGTACCTCTCTCGCCTTGGCCACCTGGCATCTTCGCAGACGGTTCTCCTCTTTCCTCAGTACGCGTGTCGACGCTGAGACTGCAAAGCAAGCCACCGTAGAAGCAGAAAAGGACGACGAGGGGGGATCTTCCAAAGACGAAGAGGCTGGCACCGACGTTGAGACTACTTGCGGAGCTACCACGAGCTCTCCTCAACAAGCAAGTGAGGACGCCGGTACCGAACCAAGGGGGCGAGTGGGAAGGGGGCATCAAGCTGCGCTGGAACGGATCATCACGCGAAAGAACCTGAAGATCAAGGAGCTAAGGAAGAAGATCAAAAAGGCGAAGCAGCAGCTCCACAGCGCAAACAAGAAGCTTAGCGAGGCAGAAGGTGTCGGGAAAACCGAGGCACAAGCTCAAGCGAGTGGAAAGCGCCGACGGCGACATCCAGAGGGCAGACATGTAGATGGTAGGGCAAGGAGCGAAGATGGCTAGATTCACGTTCCCTACAGGCCGCACAGCTGTTAATGAAATCACGTGCAACCAGTGTAACAAGGCACGCTACTTCCGAGCTCTCATCCGTTACATGTAGGTTGCGTAGCACGGATCGCGTATCCTGCAGCTAAGCTTAACAGGGGCTTTGAAGGTAAACGTGTTGATTATGCTAATGTGTATCCAACTTTGTTCAAAGGTCTGCCTGCCAGACCGCCAGCACCCCAAGTCATGTTCCAGACATGGCTCACACGCGCCAAAAGTTCCACGTGCGACAGTCTCCGGTCTGAGCCCAATCTATTAGCATTAACTAAACATACCCCACCTAGTGGTGGCTAACGAGCCATTAGTAATAGGCATTTGCGGATGCAAACCTCCCAAGTAAAGCATCTTCTGCAGTGACTAATGGATCTGCAAACCTACTATACGTATAGTCCTCTGGCGATGCTGTAGATGCGGTCCGCAGGAGAGGATTTATCTTGGGAAGCGTTGGACGCAGGGTGAATAGATGGCGTCAGAAAGGGTCACCATCCTCGAATGAGAAGCTCACTAAGAACTCGTTGGCCTATGCATGGGGATCTTCTAACCTAGACAACCCATCACGGCCCAGCTCGACTTTTGATGATGATAACTTTGTTCTTAGTGTTGGCAACAACGACCAGTAACGTTAGCATGTAGCATGGTGCGTCCCAACGGTTAAGAGACCCAACGATTAAGAGACCCAACAGTTCAGATGCCGGACTACTGCCTGGTTCCGAAGACGACCTGGGAGGCTGTCTAGCATTTTGCCAGTGATGCATTGAGTTTGGATCGCTTTACGGGTGGCAGTCGATTCGATCCTCACAAAGTACCTGTGATTCCATCCTTGAGACGTCTTTCGATCGCCACTTGTACGGTAGGTGATTCGATGCTTAGTTACGTGGTGGTAAGCTACCGCCTTGTCTTTACGCGCCCAACTTAAAAAAAAAACACCATCACATCCACATAGTCCAAAGGCGAAAAAGTACATTTATATTGCATCACAAGTCTATCATACACAATTGAGCACGGGAACCACAAGGCGCACTATCGCGATGGACCAAGTGAGAAGGCGTCGCTGATGACGTCGCAAACCTTGATAGAAAAGCGAGACGGTCCACAGGGATTGCGGTTCATGACGCTAGTCAGCTTCCACGTTACTCGCCATGGCTTGGTCTTCTTTGAACTTCTGAAAAGGACGGACGAGGTAGTCGATAATGGCATGACCATAGGTGTCCAGTCCCGCTTCTTTTAGCAATTCCTCAAGATGCAAGCTCTTCAAGTGACTGATGGCAAGGTCGTGGGTCAGTCCAGATTGCGTGATCCTCTTCCTGAGAAAGTTCTCGGTGAGATGCTTTCCCAGCACGAAGAAGCACCCCGGCCCAAACTGGCTCACCAGGATGTCAAGCTTCATGCCTAGCTTGGCCCAGTCCCTGATGTTTTCCGTCGTTTGCTGCACGTCGAAGCTGATGTAATGGTCGCATTGCTCGCTGATCGATTGGGTGATGCCTCGCAACTGGGCTTCCTGCTTCGCTCCCATCGAAAACGTGGCACCGCTGCCTTTTCCGGGGGCAAAGAGTTCTCTGAATCGGTGCCACAGCAGCATTTGGAAGAGCCAGAACGTGTGGTTCTCTTCCATGTCTCCGATCAATCGCTGAGTGAATTGCAGGGATGTCACAAAGGCATCGGTGACGAGAACGTTTTCGTTGGCCCAGACGTCTTTGGGGTACTCGTTGCCCTCCTTGGGCGTGAAGAATTTCATCACCGTCCCTGGGTTTTGCTTGAATTCTTCAGCCTTTTGCTGCAGGCTCTTCTCGATTGGGAAGGAAGTCATGTCCATGATTCGCTTCCAGGGATTCTTGTCGGCCTCCCCCGCGCCCTCTGCCTCCTGAGCGCTCTTCTGCCGCTTGTTCCTGGCCCCGTTGCTGGATCCGCGGTTGCGACCAGCTCCGCCGCCAACCCTGCGGTCGGCAGACGGCGCAAGGTGATTTGCCAAGCGGCGGAGCCTCTGCTTTTGCGCTTCCGTCAATGCGGTCTCGGTCGTCTCCTCGGCAATGTACTCTACAAAGTCGTCGCTGGCGAGCATCGCTACGAGTTTGGCGAGGTGGTCGGCTGGTTCCACGTCGACGACGGATGTGGGACTCGCGACCAAGTCGCTCGGAGCGCGTTCCAAGACGCTTCCCGATCTCTTGCGCGCCGAGGCCGTATGTTGGGATGACGCCATGGGTTCTCTTAGAGTCGTATGCAACACCTGCGTGTAGGAGAAGGCGTAACGCTGCCTCTGCCGGATGTAAGTCGTTGGTTGACTGATTGTCCTTTTGGCAATGCCAGGCTTCCGCCCCTTTACGGTCTCTCTCGCAGTGAGACAATTTCGCGTGGCGCTATCTTGGATTGGATTGGATTTGCTAAGACCAGGGAAACATCAAGCAGGAGCTATGAGGTGGATCACCTCTTGTCTTCATAACCCTCCAACAATCTCCGCGCTTGTGGCGTTCATGTCTTACCTTTGCCATACGACAAACGATGATGTCAATACCTCCACCGTCACCTCCCACGTTCTACAGCCGCCCGTCTGACTCTTCAGCTCCCAGTCTTGAAAGATACGTCCTCAGTAGAAAGTACGCACGAGCCGGCTCCGGCATCCCTGATAGTGACGCTCAAGTTATAGAGCATCATGTCCTTTGTCCGCTTCGTCCTTTCCCTCTTCGATTCGACCATTGGCTTCACCGTCGCCCTTCTCCTCAGTGGCTCCGCCATCGGCATGTGCTGGTGGACAGCCGTTGTCTCATTGCCCGACATATACTTGCGATACCATCCAGATTACTACAGCCGCTACACACAACACATCGAAGCCTTTCACACCATGGCGATCTTTACTGCTCTCAGCGCTTTCCTCTGGATGCTAGCTCGTCTGTGCATGGGTACCTACCACCGCATGTAGGTACGGCAGACGACCGTCAGCTCGCGTCGCCGACATCCGGTCTGATGGTATCACACTTCTCCATCATCCTCGCTGGCGTACTGGCCATTGCTATAGAATCGGAAACACGGCAACATGATGGCAACGGACTTGATGGTCGAGGAAAGCGATGTAGGCGCACGGTCACCCCCCCCTTTTATTTATAGCCCTTTCACCAACGTTCCCATGTGCTGTTTCATAGCATTTCCAGTGGTACTGCATCTCTAAGTAACCTTGCTGTGCTTATGCTTTTGCTGGTTACCCGTTTGTGCTACCGTCCGCATATGTAATGATGCATCCATTTCCCCCAGCTGCCCCAGCCACGGTGTTTCTACGTTAGACCTTGACATGAATCAGTCCATGTACTGTGCCATGCCGCCAGTATATCTAGGTACCGTTTAATACACCTCGGCTACACCTTCCGATGCTCTTTGACTAGGAACTCGTATCCGTGCATGGCGTTCTCGATTGCACATCCATTAAGTTCCACGAGAGGCAACGCAGCCCGTACATGGGCTCCGGTAGAAGCTGAACAAGGTGGCACAGGTAAAGACTTAATGGTCCTTTGGAGAGAATGCATATCGGTTTGATGTGAGACGGATCGTGGGTGCAGGTATTGGTGCTCTGCGAAAAGAATGCCCCACCCTACCATGGTATAGCCCCCTTTTTTAATCGATTATATTACCTATAGTATATGTCTATTTAATCATTAGTCAAAATGCGTTAACACCTATTTTAACAGCTTAGTGCCCTATTTTAACGTCTACCACGACCAGATCTAGCTATTCAACAAGATCTAGCCAGTAATAGAGTGAATGTATCATACAATTGATAAAGATGTACCATGGTCGGGTGGGGGCATTCTTTTCGCAAACGATAAATAGGTAATCACGGACATCACGGGAACGGAGAGCCTGCCACGACGTGATGCGCGCTATAGTCTAATACATTCCATTCCATGTACGCTCCCCAAACACGTCGCGTCCAAGATTCCCAAACCCTCAACGGCCTTGGTCCCTCGCGGTCAGACTTTGCCACGCCCCTGGAACCCCCTCCGCTCTCTGCCTCATCCGGAACCAGACAGAAGCGCCGGCCCAGTCCGCCTACGCTTTCCAGGCCGACCTGCTTCACCCGCACCGGTGAGATCTTGCAAGGTGAGCCCCTGGTACGGCATTAGCAAGCGCGCCCGCAGGTTCGAGCCTAGGGTGTCGAGTCTGCTCTTCTCCAGGAGCGCGGGTAGCGCGAGACGCGTCTCCAGATCGCTCATCAACTGATTGTGGACTTGTCCGCTAGCTGGAAGTTTCTGCAAAAAGTCGTCCGAGAGATGCTGGCTCAGGACGAAGAGGCAGCCTGGGCCAAACTTGTCGACCAGGATGCTCACCTTCAGCCCCTGGTTGAACCAGTGCCAGAATGCCTCATTCGCCGTAACGTTTTCCTCGAGTGCTCCGACCAGGTGCTTTGCCAGAGGCTTCAGGATCTTTTCCACATCTGCCCTCAACACTGGGCCAAGACCTCGCTGCGAGAGTTTATGGTTGGGAAAGAGTTGGCGCGTGAGGTCGAGGTAGAACAGCATGTAAAAGAGCACGACGGGGCGATCGGAATCCCTGTCTCGCTTCAGCCGGGCGACCACTTGCGAACGCGCGAGCAGCGCACCGGCGGGCGTGGCCTGGAGTCCGGTCTCTTCGGGGACCTCGCCCTCGTCGACCAAAACCTTTCCGGGCTCGGTGCCGAACTGATCAAGGTAACCCTTCCACACTTCGGGAATGGTGAGCACGCTGAGATTTCGAAATCGCGTCAATAGGGGGTTGGGGGCTTGCTTCCCTGCAGAGACGAAGCGGTGGTACAGTCGCTTAAGATTTTCCAACTGGCGCTTGTCCATCGGCACATCCTGCTTGATAGCTGCGTCGACGATCTCGTCTTTGGCCAGCAAGGCGAGCAAGTCGTCACCGGGCGACATCGTTCAGGTACGGCTAGCGTATCGAGACTTTCTTCGTGCAGTTATTGGGTGATAGATGGACGCAAATGGTTTCTTCGTGCAGTTCTTGGGTGATCGATGCTAGTTGCAGAGCAGATTCGTCTTGTATACATTAGATCGCAGCTCAAGTCATGCGTACGAGACACTCACCATTTGCTAGGTAAACGTGCTCCTACTATGCAAGACATGTTGCGACGCTTAGATACACGTCTCACTGGTCTCAAATCCATGTGAAAGGAAACTCGATTGATGATGAACAAAGAAGGAGTGTTGGGTGTAGTCTTAGGCTACGGTACCTAGGGCGCGTGTAGGAGGTGGTTGAAATGATGCAGTCATCTCGTAGCCACCATGTCTTGTATTGCATGTGAAATTATTGCAGGTAGAAAATGTGTCGCTTATGTTCCAGCATCTCCGTCTTCCATCTCTGGAATAGGTATACGGATATTTCGAGCTGCTTTCTCGGTCAGAATCCATGGCGAAGGATGAGGCGTCGCTCTCAAAGATGTTTCCTCTTATACTTTGGAGTTGGCAGGCTAACGTGCGTAGTGGATGCGTATGCTGATGAAGCGCTACCGTACCGCGCTAAGGGATATTTTCGAGATAATTACAACATGGTGTTGACTTTTAGGTATATGCTGGGAAGCTTTTCACGTTTAAAGATATGCTTAGCAGCTGCTTAGAGATGAGTCATTTTATTAAATAAAAATATTCATATTGTAAAATATCTCAAATATTGAACAGATGCTGTAAATACTTCGTGATTAAGAGACTTTGCGAAGGAAATTATGTAAATAAGGGATATGCTGGAAATGTTTTGTGCTGGAAATACTTGCGCCACGAAAACATGACAGGCGCAAGATGTTCTGTACCTAAAATGTTTTGCTTAACCATAAGATAGCAAGGGCAAAATGTTTCTGAGATGGTTTTCTAGCATGAAGACTTAACATGATTTTGAGCACAAAAATGTTCTACTATTTTAGGAGATCTCTACATGAGAATTATATCTTTATCATCTCAAATGGAGGAAGTTCTCATCTATTGAGATGGTCTCTGGCCCAAGGATCGTAGCAGCACTCTCTTAACACTATTTTCAAATACCCTACCCGCGCGTTACGGTAGGCAGGCTTTACGTCGCCGCAGTGCAGACAAAAAGAGAGCTTCGTCCCCACAATAGCAGGCTAGACTGGCAGGCCCAGCAGCACGGAGCTGCCTCCTTCCGGCTCATGTACACGTGCTATAGGCGGCAGCAGCGCCCGTGGGAGGTAGAGTGATGTAACCAAGCAGCTGTTGAGATGTGGATGGGTGGCATCGCATCGTTGGAGCTTAAGAGGCATCTTCTTGCGGTATGCTCAAGAGGCATCACTGTAGACGAGGTAAACGGCAATGCAAACATCTGCAGATATTATGGCTAGCTGTTACTTGATTGCCTTGTATGTGCTATTCAGTCCCAAGGTTCCCTCTAAGAGTCTGCCTTTTGCCTGCGCTTTCGCCGCTACCACCGTGGTGCAAGGGCTTGTCCTGTACACCGAATCCAGCGTCTGGCCGTCGGTGACTGCGTTTTCGTGAGGCACCATTGGCGATCTCTTTTTTTGCAGTCTATCGCTGATCACGTCATCAGACAGCTTAGTGAGGCAACCACGATCATGGAAGAGGTATGCAGAGAATAAGAGGAACACGGTAGAAGAATAGATGTAGATGTTGTGGATCCCTCCGATACCAAGGCGTTTCCCAGCATCGCTAGTTCCCTCTAGCGCGTCTCGGCAGCCTTGGGACCTACCACGCTCGCCCAAGACCTTCACTCTCCTTGCACGTCATCCGTCTACTTTATTATCCTGAACGGCACGTGACACCTCGAACCCAGCGAGAAAGGCGTCACTTACCTCCTCCGTCCAGCATTTCGACGCTTCCCTACCTCTTGCTGTACCTTGGGCTACGTTCGTCTTGGGCTCGAGCCAGCCTGGCCATGGTACCCACGGTCCATTGGGAGGTCTCTTTGCCGCCTGAGACCTGCCGTCTTGCCTTGCGAGCGCCTCACTCAACTACCATTGAGGCCAGGACAAAAGTCTCACCGTGGCGCGAAACAGCAGGACAGACACCATCATTCCATCATGCCAAGTAGCAGCATCGACCCGACACGGCCAAGATACAGTCCCTTGGTTTTACCAGCCAACGCAACCACAACATCTCGCAGCGTACTACGCCTTGTTTTGTTTTGAAAGCGTTGCCGTTTCCACACCTTTTACCTCAGCATGGCTTCGATCATCGCTGCCATCGTCCCAGTCACGGACGAGGCCAAAGAGGCGCTCAAGCGGGGAAGGAACTCTGTTTGGGTGATGCCAGCATCGGAACTGCCGGAGTCCCTGAAGAGTGCCATCGAAGCCGATTGTCATCAAGAACGCTATCCCGACGCGATCGTGTACGATGTGGCTCGGGTCCACACGGGCAGTCGCAAGAGCATGACCTTTGGTAGGAAGCGCACCAGCACCGTGCAGCTCCTGAGTCCAGCCATCGAGGAGACTCACTGCGCGCTGAGCTTGGGACCCGGCTGCTCGCTGTGGCTCGACAACAAGAGCACGCAGGGCTTGTTCACCGCTTCCGAGCCAGGCAAAAAGGGCGACCTGGCCCCAAACGCCGCCTTCGAGCTGACCGAGCCTACGACGGTCACGATGGGCAGGCACGGGTTTCGCATCTACCCTGGCAAGCCCACTGCTGCGATGAAAAAGGGGACCCCGCCAGCCCACGACGGAGCTACACACATCCAAGGGAAGCATGCGGCCGGCATCCGCGATGACGCCAACGCCAGCACCCTCAAACACGCCATCAAACGTGGCCGTACCCATGCCAAGTCTTCCGCCATCAGCAGCAACAAAGCGAACAAGGCTGGCCCAACTTCTCACGAGCCTGCCTCGACCCACGAGACGGCCCACCACAGCCGTGCCGACGAGCCTTCCACCATCACCACCAGCGACGACAAGGCAGCCCACGAGCCCACCCTGATCCACGACGGAGAGCATACTGCCACCGTAACCGGTGGAGTCAAGCGCAAGATCGAAGTCGGTCCTGCAGACGCTGGAGACGAGATGGGTGACGTTGAAGAGCCACCGGCCAAGCGCATCCGCCAAGAGGATCAGGGGGGAGTCGACTGGTTTGGAGCAATGGGCCACGCATCCCTCCTCGGCCTCAGCGCTTTCGCCGTTGCGCAGCGGTTCATCGGCTGATTGACAAAGTGGCGTGCAGCAGAGAGTAGAGGGGGGATCTGGTTCGGCGTTTTCTGTCCGTCTCCACATGACAACTCTCCACCCGCTTACCATGCGTCTGAGATCATGTAGGAGGGCAGTCATTCATTAACAATCGCTCTATTTTATTCTTTGACACGTAGACTTGACATGTAGACTAGCTATCGATATGATCCTTGCACTTGTCCTTTGCATTTCCTGCCGTTGTCTTTTCAGCATGGCAATCCATTGCCCCAAACACGTGATGAGCGCTCCCAAACTTGTTTGCGTCTCGCATTATATCATGAGCTTCTCCAGCGAAATTCGCACCGCAAGGTCTTGGTAAAAGCGCTCAAATACGACCCCACCATGAACGACCAAACGGTAAAGAGGGAGATTCTGGATGGCAACGATGGGCAGTTGGAGAGCGACGACACGGTAAAGAGGGAGACGTTGGATGGCAACGATGGGCAGGGTTGGGAGGAGTTGGAGAGCGAGCACACCTACAAGAGCAAGGACATGGTAAAGACTGATGAGAGTGTAAAGAGCGAAACGAGCTCGACGAGTATGGGTTCATCAGAGAGCGCGGATTGGAGAAGGACGTTGGTGGATGACCACATACTGCCACACGCAACAAGGCGTCGCAGGTTCATCAACGTTATGGCAGAGAGAGTGGAGAAGAGGCGCGCCGCCGGTGACGATGGCGCAGGATCCGACAGCAGCATCGAGTCGGGAGCTCCCATCTACCCCCACACCGAACCTCTACGCCTACCGGGCTTCGAGCGTTTCCGTTCGTCCGACACGCGGAAGAGGTTCTTGGCTGAAAGGCAGAGAGTACGGGCAATGTTGGAGAGACCGTTTCCAGACATCGGCAACGTCATCTTCGATGCAGACTCCCGAACCATGTTGAACGAGCAGCGTCCAGCGAGGCGTCCGATATCTCCGCCCAATCTACACCGCGGTGCACGAGCTAATGCCACGCACAGCTTGCCAGCAACCTCGAACGTCAATAGACAGGATGCGCCGACTCGGTCTCCACAGCAAGACGTGCCGGTCAGCGAGCAGAGAGCAAGCGCGCCCAACAAGCGACGCAGACTACCGTGGATAAAGGACGAGGATGCAAAGGGGAGTGGTTGAGGCTCGTGGGTACTCATCCTCTGCTGAGGGGCTTCTGGAGGATGCGATTTTTCATTCAAAGTGGGCAGCGTGCAAGGATGGATGGTTTTGCATGGGGTTAATGGAGACACAAGTATCGTCTACACGGTCTATAGATGAGTAATTCAATGCGCTCCCATGCTGATGGCCAAGCCTGATGCACCGTCGACCTTGCCGCCAGACACCTTGTCATAGGAACCGGAGCTCAGCAGGATGATGAGTATGTATTCTATGTATGAGGTATGGTCCTAGGCTAGGCACATGCCATCCCCTCGCTCCTGCCGCTCCTGCCACACACCTCGTCATGCTGCTCTCACCAGCTTCCTCAACCTCGCAGTCCGAGGCTCACGTCCAAGTCGGGTCGGTCAGTCTTTCCCCCTCGCGGCCAGGATGCTTTGGACTAGATCATCAAATTCGAGGTCGAAAGGCTGCGAAAAGCCTGCGCGCAGCGCCTCCCCCAGCTCACCAAGCGCAGACGCCTCGAGAAGCGTCGGCAGGCCCAAACGTTCGTCTAGCTCCCTCACCACCTCCTCGTAAACGGATCCCGCCTTGGGTAACTTGCGCAAAGGTTTTCCGACAACTGTTTCTCCAACACAAAGAGGGATCCTGCGCCAAACTTGGAAGCGAGTATGTTCACGGCAAAGCCCATGTCGTACCAATCCACCACGGCACGCGCACTCCAGTCCGACGTGAGAGCCTTGCTTAGCGGTTGCTTCAGAGGCGTTGAGATGTGCTCCAGCCGTGCGATGAGGACCGGTCCCAGTCCCTTTTGCGTGTGCTTGGCCTTGGGGAAGAGGTGGCGGATCAGGTCGTAGAAGAAGAGGTAATGAAAGTTCTTGAGGGCACACCCTTGCTGCCTTTGCGACTCCATGCGCGCGAGCGCCAGTGCGCGAGCGTAGAGCGCAGAAGCGGACGTCGGTGCCTCTTTTTCCTGCGCGCCAGATGCGCCCAGAAGCTGCGTGGGATCCGCACCGTGACGAGCAACGTACCCTTTCCACACGTCGGGCACGCTGAGCTTGTCCATCCGCTGAAATCTCGTCGCCAGGGTGGGAGGTGTCGGTCTCACGTGATGGTTGTAGAGCCGTTTGATGTTCTGCTTCTGAACCTCATCCACGCTCACTCCCTCTTGGTGTAGCGCTGCGATGGTCGCCTCATCGGCTAGCAGGTCGAACAAGTCGTGGTGGGACATGGTCGGTGAGGTTCGCTGTTCCGTACAGGTGACGTGCCGGGGCATCTCCGTGGTGGTCAGCTCTCATCATGATGAGACGGTCTCTGGTCTCTGGATTCCCAGACACGAGAGCGCACGACTCGCAAGCAGTGTGGAACAGGTGAGAAGGCGATTCTAGATGGTGATGGGGGGAAACGCCGTCGACCTGACCGACCCGTCAGCATGCTCAAGCCTATTCCATACGCTCAACGTGCAGCTCAAGACCAACAGAGACAGGTGCGATGTCTCGTCGAGGGAATCTCTCCGGGAGATGGACAAGTCAGCCTCGGTGGTGTTGGAGTCTAGATATGTGCTCCGTTAAATGGGGGACGTGAAAGTGCCGGCCGATGCAAAGTCATAGAGAGGCATTCGGAATGAGATGTATACATTGATCGTGAAGCAGTCAGCTAGGTAGAAATGCCCTTCGCTCACTCACCCGGAGAACAAGCGGTCAGGCATGTCGAAGGGGCGGCTCAAGGGAGTGGACTTGGAACGCTGCTAGTCACCGTCAGCTCGGTAGATGAGGACGTTTGGGGTGTACAAACAAGTGAGCGGTGCGAGTGGGATGAGTAGGGAATCTGCAGTATTCTCAAAAAGGACGCATGAAGACGCCGCCCACAGACGTCTTCACCATGCTGGTATCCTGGTAGGCAATGGCACGATCGGGACCCAGCCGATGTCGGTGAGACAAAAGATCGGAATGGCTGGAGCGTTTTAAATTGTGAGTCAGACTTCCATGGTGGAGAGGTGTTTGCGACTGACCTCATCGCGATTGCTGTTTCGGGCGCCCTTTCCACGTTGCCCGTCGCGTGGGCTGTCTGAGGTTCAGCGATGGCGCCGGTGGCTGAACTCGCAATCACCTCGCCATCAGATGCTGGATGCTGAGTTGAGAGGCTCCCCTCTCCCAGCCGTCGCCCATGACATCCAACGCCATGCTCCCCGCAGCACTGCTCGGCATGATGCACGAGAAGCTCCCGCTCGAGCTGCGCGAGCAAATCTACCGCGACGCATTCCCCGAGATCCGCTCCACGAACAAAGCTGATCGAGTCCCCATCCTACTCCATCGACCGTGTCCCGCGGCAGGACCAGATCTGCTGCACGACTGCCACGCCTGCCGGCTGTACGAGAAGTCGCGGTGGGCCAAGTTCAAACGTTCAGCCTTTGCCGATGTCACGAGGAATCCAAACGCCTCCGAGTTCACCAGGTGCTACATTCGCGGAGTCACCTTTTACTGGAACGCAGGAGCCACCGAAGCTGGGCGACAGGGCCACTTCCCGGTGGGCATGGACCGATTTTTGCGCGACGTCCGCTCGCTCGGCCAAGGGGAGGCATCCGTCAACGTCGTCGTCGCTCAGTTCGAGGCCGAAGAGGTCCCCAACGCCTTGCAGCACCTCTCCCGCACGGTCGGCGTCTTCTACAGGAACGGAATGAGGGGGATGTTGTCCTACGAACGCGAGCACCCGTCCCTCTCCGACGTCTTGTCACGGGCAGCCAAGCTCGTCGCCTCGTCGATCCCTCCACACATTCGACAGATGCGACAGATTCGAGAAGAGGTCGCTTACCGCCTGCCAGCGTGCAACGACGACGACGACGCGTGGGAGTGGCTCTTTCATCCCCCGTCCTGGTTCGACGGAGACGCCCTTCCGGTACAGGTGTTGCAGGACGATGAAGAGATTTGCGAAGCTTTTGCAGCGTCTCGCGTGATTCAGAGGCAGCGCGACGTGGACTCGTTTGCAGAACTGAGACACGGCTTGGGGTTTTTTCCTCTCCCGCAAGTCGAGATGCCTCGACTCAGGCTCGACTTTTCCGCTTAGCTTGCGATGGGGTCGTTGTCTTGCTTTGGAGGCGATGTAGAGATCCATCTGTCCATGTACCGAGTACCATTTATTGATAGCGTCGGTCCATACGTTGATATATTGAATTGCATTATACCTCTAGAGGTGGGTTGATTAAGAATTGTGTAGCGTGCCGTGAGTGAAGAACAATTTCGGTACCACACCGAGGGCATCTATGAGGCTGCAGGACTCACAAGCTGACCCTCACACCCTCTCACATGGATGGTTCGAGCGCTAGATGTCTCTGTTTGCGATGATTCACGTGGTGTCTCCCTCTGCGACAAGGAGCGGCCGACCTGCCAATATAATCACTACCAACCGCACAACTCGCTCTCTGCATCACTCGTCAACCCGCAAAATGCACCAACTCGCAAAAACTTCGTTCATGCTTGCAGAGAGTGCCCACAATCATGATTATTATGCCTTGTCGCAATCAAATATTATGGCACAGGCTGGAGTGAAGAGGATGATGATAGGAGACGTCTCGGTCGTTCTAGTTCCAACGCAAGCAAACGGGATGGTGCTGACCTTTATACGCAACCTCCTCGACCACGGGTACAACTTGGTGGACACGTTGGTTCGCAAGAGTTTGCACATGGCCGTCCGGGCCACGGAGGACGAGCGGCTGCGGGCAATCGTCACCAACATCAGCAGAGCTGCCGCCCACACGATCATGGAGTCTCCAGCGTTTGCCAGCTTTGCAGCGCAAAATGCCTTTCGATTTTCCTCAGCGACGTGGCTCTTCTACGTGGACTTGCCCATGACCACGAGCCTCCGAATCGGTCGCTACCTGCGTGGGCGCCTGATGCGACTCGTGGACGACGGCGACGTCGAGATGGGAGGACTCGACGACGTGGAGAGCCAAAAGGGAGCCGCCATCTCATCATCGTCGCCTTTTTCGGAAGCTGCTTCCTACCAGGACCGCACAGCTACATGGCCCACGACTCACGACGTGGCGGCAACACCGCAAAAGAACAAGAGAAAACGTGGTCGAAAGGACGTCGTCGACGATGCGCAACTACCCCGAAAGCGGATCGACGTGAAAGCAGAACCCGTCCAAGACGTGAAAGCAGAACCCATCCAAGACGCCCAAGCAAGCCTCGCTGGCACCTACAGCGCAATCGAGGAGGAAGAGATGGGGAGCGAGACAAAAGCAGGATCGAAGAGTGAGGTATTGTATCGATGCACCGGCATCTGCAACGACGGCCAAAAGTGTAAGCGGTGGAGCAAGCACGCCGCCGGCGAACCCTTGGTGTGGCACTGCAGCCCTAAGCACAAGGAGCAGTGGGACACGAGCGTCAAGATCCTCTCGGGTGGCGACGTGGCTTGAGTTGGTTACTGTTATTGGTGTGGAGTTTTGTATATTGTGCTAGACTGGTGTGGGTAAGGAGCACGGCGATGTGCTGGGTTCACGGAGAGATGAGGTGCATGTGTGGGGTACGGTTACGTGGTGTTTGGGGAGGTGGGAATTGGGGTACAGTTCCCGTGGTGTTTGGAGAGGGAACTGGGGCGCAATGGTTGCATCTGTCATTCATACACTCGTTTCTGTTCCTTTCTGACCACGTTCAGAAGCTAAGCTGTCATTACCGTAGGCTCCTCCGCTCCTATTCAAATCGGTCTGGTACCCTGTAGTGCAACTACCGGCCATGTGTAGTGTACAATCTGCCCACGTTCAACGCGAATGACGGGTGCTTCGCAATAGTTTCTAACGATAAGTCATTAAAGTGTTTTTTTTTAATATATTTAATCCTATTCCTCTTCACATACGCAACGCAGCACTTTCCACACGCGCTTCCTAGCCTCCACGGACGCGTCCACACTCCCCTCGTAAGCTTCGAGGTCTCGTTCCCTAGAGGAGATTTTCTGACGCAGCTCCAAGATCTCGTCAGCCGTGCAAGGGTCCTTATTTGAGGGCGCAGTCTAGCCCGCACTCCGTACGTTGTGCGGACAATGTCTGCTCAGACAGACTTCCGCCGTTCTGCAGTCGCTCCTGAACCGTGACAGTGCCAGACATCTCTCATCTAATTGCATTGCTCGGCATACTTGTTGTGAAGCTATGGTGAACTGGTATCTATTGTATGAGTGATGAGGCTAACTAGCTAGTGTGCCGAAGCCTCTACATAGGACCCATGCCAAGACCCATGTCCCGTGACACTTGTGCTTCATCTCATCGAGACCTCTAGTCAATTCGCAATTTTCATCCATGAGCGCCGCTATCTGCTTATCCTTGTCTTGCTCTCCACGGATTGCGTTTGTAGATGTCAAAGGTGCCCGCCAACTACATGATCAGATGCGCGTCAGCAACAGGATCGACCGAGGCGGAGACCAACTTGCTTTACCTGTGCCTTGCATGCTGTAGGGCCGCGAAGACCACTGTCTGAAGGCGTCGGCGAAGGAATCCATGGTCAGGTTGCGCTGGCGTAAAGGGGGAAACCGAGCTGCCACTTGGCGAGCGAGGTAGGTGGAGACTCAGGCTGAGACAGGGCGCCCTGGGCTACAGGATATAGGTTTCTGCTCCATTCCACCATCCGACTCGTTGCTCCCGCTCATTTCGCGTCACTTGCAAGCAAAAGCTTCAGACGCCAAAGCAAAGCCTATCCTCCACAAATCGTTCCGCCATGGCCCCGATGTGGGCTCTATCGTGCGTCGCCTTCACCACCTTCGTCGTTAGCTACATTGGCATCGATGCTTTGCTGATCGCAGCTGGTAAAGGTTCACGCATGCCGGTAGGCGTTCTACAAAGATGCCGCGATCTTGCCACGGCTGACAGGTGCTCAGGATCTTGGAGCGCTGACGAGCGACTCGGCCACGCATGTCGCCGTCTCCCTACTGTCATGGCTGCGGGACGTATCCGAACCACTTCAGCACCTGTACAGTTTACTCTCATCAGCTCTATCCGCAGCCCAGCAGCTCCACGGAATCCTTCAGTCGTTTGGGACTTTTTTATCGACAATTCTCCGCATCCCTCGTGAGCTCGCGACGGCCGCGATGTGGTTCGTGGAGCTGTACGCGTTGTACTCGATCTGCAGTCGAATTGCGAGATCATTTGTGGCTGCATGGTCCGTCTTGATGCATATCCTCAACATGCTCATGCGCCTATTCAACACGGCATAGTCGTTTGGTCGATGCATTGCGCGATCCGACTGTGAGCGTGAAGCCCCAACACTACGCGTCACGAAAGGCTGACGCTACCTACACAGGTATCGAAGCACCAAAGGCTAAAGAAGAGAGAAAGAGAGAGAGAGGCAACATTGATTGGTGGAGGCAATGAGAAGCCTACCTGTGGCACCTATTGTGGGGAGGTAGAGAATCAATGTGCCATGTACGATACATGGGCGTAACCATCAGAATCATCAAACCTTTTGGCTACTTGATCCCACCACTTTGACATCTACATTAAAGTGATGCGCTCATCTAGAGTCGGAGTGGCTCCCGCCCTCGAACAGGACTGACAAGACCCGTGAAGGGAATGCGGTGCTTATACGGATATCGATACGACTGTTGGGAGGTGGGCTGCTGTGTTTGCGCACCCGAAAACAGATTCACTACCTACGGTATGCAACGACTGTGCCGCTTTGTGCAACTGCATAAGCCCGAGCTACGGGACGCGAGGCGTTTTGGATGCTTTTTTTCTTTTTCTTTCCAAGGTTTTCAATGAGCTGGTATGGTACATGTAGCTAGCGTAAATGATCACGGGGCAACTTCATACTCAATAGATTTAGATATCCAGCTCCAGTCCCATGACACTGCCTGCCACAGCCACCGGCGAAAGAGACATTGGGCGAGACACCCTCGCTGTTTGATTCGAATTCATTCCCAAGTGCTGGCCGTGCGCCGTCACGTCGACCCATCTACTGGGAGGGATTCAGGGACCCGCAAGGTGGCGGCAGTTTGGTTTCGTGGTGCACCGCAAAGTACAGGTCAATGCTTGGCTAAGAATTAAGAAAAGGGCATCGGTATCTGGAGACCATATCGACTTGCGAGCCACAACTTGATCCATCGCACCATGTCTTCTGGCTTACCTCATCACCCCCGGCAAGCCCAACAGCTTTCGGTACCTGGCTACAAATTTCCCAGACTCAGTTACGATCCAAACCCAACCAGGCGCAATCCTACGGGAACAGGCCCCCCACCTACGACAGGACGCACGAATGGTACACCACTTGGTCAAGGATCCGCCCCCACGAAGACTGCCAAATTTGCAAGGGCCCTACAACCCTATTCGATCGCTGCGCTGGTAGGCTTCCTTGGAGCTGCCATCCTGGCAGGACTGCAGCCATCCACTTCGACCCAATCCCCGCCCCGTCCGCGGCTCGACACAATCGCATTCGATGCCAAGGCGCATCATAGCCTAGAAGAGGCCATGCGCGCATCCGAAGGGTGTGCAACGTTCGTGAGCGACCAAAAGCACAGCGTCGCGCTGTCGCGACTCCTCGAAGAGTTACTGCTTACCGAGGAGGGGCTCGCCAGGACCATAAACGACCACGTCGCACCCGCAGCGGAGCAAGTGCTGTCGAGCCCCAACGACTGCGCTCTCATCGGAGCACTCGTGGTGGAACTAAACATGGCGCGGACCATGACCGAGGACATCTGCAAAAAGAGCATGAGCTTCCAGGAGATCCTTCCGAAAGTGATGGAAACTAATTCGAAGGATCTGGTGAGGGCAGAAGCTCAGTGCGAGGAGCACGAGGCATTGGCCCGGAAGAATGCACTTGGGATCTTTGTCGACTACGTCAGAAATGGCAAGCTCCTGGAGGACGTTGCAGAAGCTGCCAGCAACTTCTTCCACGGGAAAAATCAGACCAGGGAGGACGTCCAGCGCAAGGATGAGCTAGAGAGAGATGCACTCAAGCACTGCAAAGAAGAGTTTGTGGATAGTGAAAAGAAGGCGAAGGCATATGCACACCGATGGGCAATGTTCTTGAATGACATGACCACCGTGTGCGACTGGCCTGCACGTTGGAATTCCACGAGCCAGGAGCAGCCCGACTGCCACGCAGGGGACGAGGATGGGGGAATCCGCGCGTTGTGGAGCGCGTTCAGAGTGCACGCGGTCGCGGTCTTGGATCGAGCAACCTAGCGTAGCACTGCACGAGGACCTGGCGTGCGCGGATGGAAGCGTAGATGGGTACACGTATGCTGACATTGACGTCTTATGATGCACAATTTGATTGCCTACCATGCTGCCCTTGCCGTGTCTACAAGCACCTGCATCTGTTGCTTCCTTTTCCGTCACCACGCCTCGAACCAGCTAGGCCTGGTCCGGATCGTGGTTTGGGTCCGACACTCGATCGCGTACCTTGATCAGCTCATCTGGTTTGCGTCAGGCAGGTACCATTGCGAGTGACAAGGGAAACAGCACATACCGCAAAAGCTCTCGAGAAGATCTTTGAGCTTCTTGGTGACATCGTCCGTTTCCTCCCTCGCGTCGAGCTCGCGGAGGATGGGCCCGATGACCTTGAAGTGAACCACGCAAGAGGCAAGCACAAACGTATCGTATGGATGCTGGTACTTGTTGACCGCGACGCTGTACTCGGCTGGTCTGGTCAGCGTTGAAGTCCTCGTAGTCCTTTCGATGCGTACCGTCATAGCACTGCGCACCTGCGAGGAAGTGGTATACGTCGTTGGCCCGCTCGAGCAGCTTCTCGCTGCCCCGAGGCAACGGACGCAAGGCCTCCATGTAGCACGGCCAGTACCGGACGAGGTTGAATCCGTCCCTCACGGGCGGCGGTGGAGGCTGCCAGGCTTGCAGCCGCTCGAGGTTCCCGTTGCGCTTCCAATCTTCATCGCACCACAACGCCTCTCTGCCCCTCTTCGCCCACGCTGCAACGGGCTTCGTCACCTCGTTCGAGTCCAGCTCTACGAGGTACTGGCTGAGCTTGTCTCGAGTCATTTCCCGTAGCCACGTCGGGCGGTGTCTCTGCCTACCTCAAATGCACCAAACTTTCGAGGCGCCTTGGTGGCCCACGCGAGGACCCTCTCGAAGCGTTCCGTGGTCGGATCGCCGCTTCGAAAGGCCTTGCACTTTAGACGAAGCTCATCCGTTGCCCACGTACGGTCTGGGGTGTCTGCCATGATCCGAGAAAGAAGTGTACCGGAGAAAAGGAGAGAGGTGGCCTCGCAGTTCCCTTGAGATGGGCAAGGGAACGAGCGTGAAGAGCCATTTCGAATTGACCAAGTCATCGCGCTTGACGTTGCGTAGCATCGAATTCGGATAGCCGCAGCTTCGCGGCGACGTGCAGCTCGCTCCTTCCGACGTCCTTGAAGGCAGGGCCGCTTGACCATGCGGCTTGTCAGAAAGCCTCTTTTCGTCTGAAAAACGTTCATCCAAATCCTCGAGAGAGTTTCGGTCATGGCCTCGCTCGCCGACTTGCTATGCTCGAGCGGAGAGGCGTGTCGGCCTAGAGCGAGGATGTCGACCTCTACCGGTGATGCAAGGGTGCGTGCCTGGAAACGGTCGAGGAGCATAGCTGGTGTAGCGATGCCAGGGTCGCAGACCGGTAGGGTACTATATCTTCATCTGCAGCGTAGCACGGGACTCGGACGCATATCGAAAGAGAGAGTAGTCATGCGGGAAAGTTTTCCTGTGCTACAGACACGTCTATTCATCCATGGTCCTGGCGCGTGATTTGTAGCACCATGGTGGGTATAGAAACGCAATGGCCATCGCCAAAGAATGATTCCTCGTGCAAACGCTTCAAGAGGTTTTCTAGTCTGTTGCACGTGAACTGCTCGCACCATGTCACCAGACGCCGACCTCGACCGTCGCCGACGGGCCATTGAACACATCATCAGTGTCTGTGCTGGATGGGTGTGCGAGAGCTGGGTGATGAGTGTCTTGTGGCGTGCCGTTGAAGGCATCCCCAATGTCCATGTCGCGTGGGGTAGGGGACCCCGGCTTTTCTTCGGCGATATGCTAACGCCGACCAGGTCGCGAAGGCAGCGCGAGGGACGGAAGCTTCCTCCTGACACCGCTCCCAGTCCCCAAGGATCCTCTCCGGACCTGGAACTATTGCGTGCAAAAAAGGTTCAGACATCGAGGCAGCCATCTGCTTCGACGTCAAGAGCGGGAACGGACCCGTCAGGTACGACTCCATCTACGTCGTGGGGTGGCCGCAGGATCCACGCCACATCCACATCGTACCCGGACAGGTCTGGTTCGACATCACCAAGACGTGGCCCGCCGGGTGGGAATGGACCCTCTGGCAGTGTGCCGTCGAGCTCGAAGACGTGCCCGCCGCGGTGGTATCGCTCATCGCAGCCTCCAAGTCCACGCAAGACGCGCTCTCCGACCTCTCCAGCTCGGCCGGCGTCGTGCGGCCTCGCAAATGGTACAGGAATCCCTCCAACAATGTCGAATTCGATGGGTGGTGCGTGCCACCGCCGCTCGACATCACGCGGCAGTTTACGCACATCAACAAAGACACCACAATCAGAATCTCTGAGCGATCCATTCAGCGCCTATGGGATCACCTGGACAAAGATGCAAGCCTCGATCTCTACGACAACCCGTTCAAGCCGATGATTGCCGATTTCGTGCTCACTTTCAAGGATCCGCAGACCGATGCGCAGCGACACGTTTTTGTGGAACACAAGGCATCATTCCGGGTCGGCAAGAAGAAGCCGCTGGAGCCGTTCCTGGATGCCAAATACAACTGGCACGTTCTCATAAGCCAAGAGGTAAATCGCCAGAACGAGCACGTGTACCGCCTCGTCTTCGCCGGAGGACAGGTTCCCCAGCGCTACCTCGAGGAGCCCCGCCGTCGGCGCCGCGTTGTTGAAAGGGCTCCAAGAGCGTCACCGAGACATGCACGCGACCATGAAGGACAGGTGGGGAACGGCCCATCGAGACGATCCAAACGACGAGATGGTCGTGGAGAGGATTGCCGATGGCGAACCCGATCAGCTGCAGCTGGGCTCCTTGGACATGCCGAACCTTGCTGCCCGGGGTGACGACGACGACGACGATCCCAGCGACGAGGAGGGCGAAGAGGAGCCAGGCTCGCAGGGTGCCAACAGGCAGTGGCGGGTCAGGAACGGCAGGGTCGAGATATACGCGCGCAACGTGTTCAACGACCAGTCCTGGTACATGGGCCAAAACATGATGGTCCCTGCATTCTCCGGCTGTTCCCACGGCACGTCGGTCTTGGTCGAGCAAGCGTGGACGGAGCAGGAGAGGGCCGCCTACGCGATCAGCCGGACGCTGCCACGGCCCGCTCTGGACAGCAAGCAGATACCCATCACCTTCGGGCGCCGCTTGTACGAAACCCCCACCGGAGAACGCCAATATCTCAAGGCTTCGGTGCGCAAGTACGACGGCTGCTCCAAGATTAGGACGCTCTACGTGCTCTACGACTCCGTGGGCAGCGTCGACTCGCTCGAGGAGATGCAGCCGACGCTGCACTGCACGGGACCCGCCGGTGGCGGGCGCTGCAGCCAGTGCGACGAAGAGCACGAGCACGTGCAGCACGTGAGGGGTAGCACCTCGCACAGGTTCCCAGCTGGATACGAGACGCACCGCGGCGTGGTGGACAGGGTTGGCAAGTTCCGCGGGACCTTTGGCCTAAAGGACGGAAGGCTGTGGCAGAGATGCGCGGAGCTGTTCTCGGAGGAAGAGACCTACGAGGCCTACACCTTTGGGGAGCTTCTGCAGAGCACCTGGAAGCACGGCTTGCGGAGCCCAAAGGATCTCCCACGGTCGATCGCCGCCGTCGCCGCCGCCGCTGCACCGCCGAGGCGCTGGGCCCCGTGCAACGCGTGCTGGGCTGCGAGGCGACTCTGCGACACGTCTCGAGGAACCTGCTCCGGATGCCGGAGCAGCAAGTCCGCGTGCGTCCGCAAACGATGCGTCTTCTTTGCAGATCCAGAGGCGTGCGCTGATCCAAACTGCTCAGAGGTTCACAACACCGACGGGTACAATCTCTTGACCGAAGCGCCACGCAATCTTGACGGTGGAGATAGGCAAAAGGACGCCCAGCGGGATGATGCCCTCAAATGCCGCATCCCCGTATGCAACAACTGCTGGAGCAACGGCTGGCATCTGCTCTGTTCCAAAGAACTCATCTGCTACATGTGCAAGCACCACAACAAAGAAGGCAGCTGCACTCGGACGAGGTGCTCCAACCCTTTGGGCTGTGACAGGCTGAAGTGTGCGTACGCCCACTCCGATTTCCACGGGAGCTGCGAGGACCACGAATTTCGCGAACCGACCGCGCCCGTGGCACCTGGAGACCTGGACGAAGAAGCCAGGGTCAAGATTGCCAAGGAGAGAGGTCGGACGCTCAAGACCATTGCGAACAAGGCCTCGCCTTACACGTCGTTCAAGCGGGTCAGGAAGACGGCGGACGGAGTGGTGCAGCGCCAGGGGCCTTTGAGGTCGCTGTTGTAATCGCGACAGCAAGGAAGTTTCAATTGCAATCCGTCGTCTTCTTTCGCAACGTCCGTGATGCATCGCCACGTGACCCTGCTTCGAAACAATTCGCAAGAGCGGCATCCTTTTTAGTCATGCATGGATAGTACGCATTGTTACTCTAGTTGGCTATGCTGATCATGTCTAGGCAGTGAGTGTCCGTCAGATTGGCACGATCTCGTTCCCATCCATCTCGACCCACCGCAGCGCAGCGTCCTCCACCCTGCCCTCCGGATACCGAGAGAGAGAGACCACTCGCTCTACGGTACGAGCGTCCCGGTCTCGTCGCCTGTACCATCCTCCCTCCGCGCAGCTTCCTCGCCTTTGATCTTGCGATCCTCCCGCGCAGCTTCCTCGCCTTCGACCTTGCGATCTTCCTTCCGCGCAGCTTCCTCGCCTTCGGTGCGACCCTCCTGCACAGCTTCCTCGCCTTCGGTCTTGCGATCCTCCCGCACAGCTTCCTCGCCTTCGACCTTGCGATCCTCCCGCGCAGCTTCCTCGCCTTCAATCTTGCGACCCTCCTTCCGCACAGCTTCCTCCACCTTCTCCCAGTGCCAGTTTCGCGCTGCTTTGCCGTATCCCCTCACGTTTATGAGCCAGTCCTTGATCTTCGTTATGGACTCAGGCTTCAATTTGGACTCTGGCCAAGGATGCTGTCCGGACCGGCTCGACTGACCGGGCAGGTTGAGCTGGGTTTGACGTAGACGTGGTTGCGGGTCCTCGCCGCCGTCGTCGTCGGTAGAGAACGACTGCTTCGCTCCACGAAGTCGCTTCGATCGCCGCTCTTCCTCGCCGTCCTGGAAAGGGTCGCCCGCGCTGCCGGCTTCTTCATCTGCATCGTCCTCGTCAGGTCGATGCGTGCCCCGATCTCCTCCCCGGGGGGTCAGGAGTCCGGCGAGCAGCCCACGCCACGGAATCGAGTGCCCCTTCCACTCGTGCATGCACCGCTTGTGCAGTTGGTCGAGATCCACCGCCGGTGCCGAGTGCTGCAGGCTTGCCAGGTCTCGCATGAAGCTGTGCGTGGCCAATGGTCCGAGCCCCGCGCCCGATTGATTTCGCACCACAAACGGCGGTTCGGGCTTGAAAGCTTCGCACGAGGGGCTCGGACGCCTGGTCCCCGCTGGGGTCTTGCCGTTGATGAAGTTTTTAATGTGTTTGGGCTTGGCGAAGCTCAGCAGAGGAAGGCGCAACACTTTGGCTCGCTCGTCCATGGTTTGGTTCGAAGCGCGGCACCATTCGTACTTGGATCGAAAGTCCCTGTCGCTCCAAGCTTTGCGGCGATCCTCTTGCGAGTGCCAGTCTTTGTGCGCTACAAGCAGGGTGCCGTAGTGGAAGGACCAGAAGATAGACTTGTACGTCTGCGCCGGGACGATGGGCACCCACATGTACAAGACTGCAGCCTCAGTCAGATGATGCTCTTCTTTTTGTAAGAGAATAGAAAGCACTACTTACTGGTGTCGTGTTCCTTGCACGCCACGTTGTTCAGACTCACAGCTAGCGCACCGACAGGGTTGCATGCCAAAGAGTGCCAGCCGATGTCGTTGTCCGGTGCACGACAACTCATATCCGTGTGCAGTGGCACCATCCTCATATATCGCCAATATTCATCCACCTCCTTGGGGACGCTGGTCCAGAGGGAGCCCCGTGCGAGTCCGAAAAAGTAGTTGTAAGCGTCTTCGGGATCCATGTCGGTCATCTCGACGGTGGGGAGTCCGAGGCGCTCTTCGCAGACGTCTACCGTAGCCCGGAGACGCTCATCTTTCCAGAACATTGGCCAGAACTTGCGAGTGGCATTGAAGAACCGAAAGCATAGCGCGCGAGAGGCATCTGGGCCGCATGTGCAAGGCTCAGGTCCTGCATCCTCGTCGCGCTTCTTCTTCTTCTCTTTCTTCGTCTTCTTCTTATTCACGTCTTCGCGCTTCCGCTTCTGCTTTTTCGCGAGCTGCGCCTGCCTCCACTTCCACCACTTCGCCAAGTGTTCATCGCAAGGCCAGATATCCATCGTCTGCAATGTTCAAGAGGATGACTGACACCTTTCTTTCCTACGGTCCTTGATCCAGTTGAATGGAGCAAGTCGGGTGGGAGGAGGTCTGCACAGCGGCAGCGAAGCACCAACCTGCGGACTTTTATCCACGGCTTCTCATGTTTGCAGCAATGTCACGCCCTCTTCGCCTGCTCGTGCGCTGCCGTGAACGCAGGCAAGGCCGCTACATTCACCAGCCAGCGTGAAAATAGGCTCACGCTGCTCTCCCGTGGACGGGCGATGAAGCGCGTAGAAGGGCATCGTCAACGAACCGAGCAAACCGCGATGCAGCGGCGAGATTGCAAAGCTCGATAGGGAGGTGGCGTACCAGTTCGCAACGCAAGCATCTTCGCAGGAGTCTCTCGCAGTTGCACGTCTACACCAAAGAGATGTATTAGGCCATAAAGTACGGGCGTCGGTGCGCTCGGGCATGCGAGAAAGAGACGTGCCTGGGTTGTTGTAGCGTGGCCTCGATTGTTCCCTCTTAGCAAGGGGGACATTTGCCAAAGCAAAACATGGTAGATTGAGCCACCTAGTCTATCCAGAATGTAACTCCATGTCCGCTACCATAAAAGGACAACGCCGCCGTCGATGAGAATGACCAAACCAGTACCCTTGACAATGTCTTCGTCTTTTGCGACTACACGTCCCAGTTCCAGGTTGCCAACACGTCCTTTTCGATGGTGGCCCAGAGTCCATCGACGCCCCCAACATCGTCTTGCGCCTTACACACAACAGAGTCGGCAATGACGATCCATCGCTGGAGATGCGCTAACCACTTGTCGGCCTTGTTCGCAAACGCGTCCAGTCGGCTCTTGCGGTCGTAGGCCAGCGCTGACAGATGCTTTTGCGCCTCCACACAGCTTTCCAGCACTTCGAGCCGGGTTATGCACTCTTCATCCTTTAGCGTCTCGTCGGCGTCGGGGTAAAGGACCACCAGTTTGTTCCAGCCTACGCCTTGCAAGATCCTGGCAAGTACGGACCCCTGGAGGATGACCTGTTTACATTCTGCTCGTGCTCGCTGCATCGCATCTTCGATGAGCGTCCCCAGTTGAGAGACGGATCGCACTAGATCTCGACTGTCTTTGCCTACCCCGTCACCTGCGGCACGTGTCGTGTTCAGTGCGTTCCAGAATTCGTAAATCGAATGGCAACTCTCTGGGTCGTGCCGTACCGCTCCACCGGCAAGTGCGACCTGCTCGTTGACTTGCTTGAAAAGACTCGTCTCGGCTTGCACGATATCCCTTGATAGTGTCGACACCTTGGCGATCGCGTCGGGGTTGGTGACTTGTCCGCATCGCGCCAACGTCTTTGCGAGCGGCCTCAGGGCATCGGGGGTGCTGGTGCTCCAGGTGATTGCACCGAGGGCGCGGGGCTTCGCAGCCAAAGGCAGGCTCCATTGGGCGAGTACGATAACGATGGCGAGCAGCGGTACCAAGATCCCACAGATTGTACAAGTGTTCCATGACGTCTTCTCGTCCACGTGTGGACGTTTGGTCGAGGGTGCCTCGGCACGTGCGTTTGTAGGCGCTTCGTTTGTAGTGGCTTCGTCTACAGGGACGGCTGCAAACGTCCACTCGATGGTACCCGGCGGCAGCTTGACCTTTGCTGCTTCTTCGGACATGCTTTCCGTTGTTCTTGGGTTGTTCGTGCTAGCGTCTTGTTTTCGACACTGGCAAGAGTGGAGGAGGGAAGAAAGAGAGGGGGGACCATGGCTTCAAAGCGTCTACGAGTGCCAGCCAAATTCCGAGACATGGTCTGAGCAAGAGCCCATTCGGAAAGCAGAGCAAGCCTTGCGCATACATACACCGTTACAGGCTGCCGCCCTCTTTGTCTGCTTCGAAGACATGCGCGGCAAAGGGGCTCAACGATCCCAACGCGCGTGCACTCGTGGCAACGGCACAGTGTCTAGCGAGCAATCCCTCAAGTCTCATAGGGGGTGGAAGTGTCTTGCAGTTGACACTCTGATTCACCAAGACGTGTGTCCATATAACGCCGCTTCAGTTTCCAGGAAAAAGCCGGGCTGGTTGAGCTTCCTACGGCAGGCTCGCTCGCACTCACCATGACTGACCACCCCAGCGGAACCGTCCACGTCGAAGCCTACGTGCGCGGAGGCAAGACGGTAACCGCGCACGACAGAAGCTGGCCTGCCAGACGAAACCAGAATCCCCTTCCCGTGCAGACCCATCCCAGTCCCGCCGGTCCATCCCCCACCACCATTCCCCAGTCCAAGTCAGCAACGTCAGATCCCGAAGCGGCCCGCAAAGAAACCCGTCCCGAATCATCCTGCCCCGACGCCGAAAGTTTGGACAAAAAGTAGTAGCATCTCGACCAAAGCAAGCAGCCCCGATTAAAAACGGCAATGACGAACCCACTCACTTTGCCTCTCTGGGTGGGTCCTGGGGCCTACAAAACGCCTTCTTCTTCTCTTCTACTTCTTCTGAGCATGCTGGTCCATGGGCTTTGGAGGTAAAGAGTTACACATCTAGCGACATTATAGGATATTGGGAATCGTGGTACTTTGATGCAGGATCCTGTAGGTAAGCGCGTATGATGTGTTGCTACATCAATCAAAAGGTTCAACGTCTTGCCAACCCAGAGAACGTGAGCAAACATGCACCGTGACTAAGCCAAATTCGTGTACAAGAAAAAGCCAACAATGTTTATTTATACGCGGAAAGTCTACAAGGGTTCTGATTGTTTCTAGATGCAACGGTTCCAAACGAGTGACATAGGAGAATATCTCTAAAAAGTCGACGAGGGAGACGTAGGCTAGGATACCCATTCGTTACAAACGTCACTCGCTAGGAGCATGCAAAAGGTACGTCTGTTCGGTGCGGGACTTCTTCGCTTCGGTAAAAGGACGCAGCAGGTAGCTGATGATTGCATCGCCAAACTTGTCCAAGTGCTTGCTCTCCATGTACTCTTTCAGCCCCATGCGGTTCAGCTGAGCAATAGCCGCATCATGATGTGGTCCGGTCTTGGTGATTCTACGCAGCAGAAACGCTTCCGTGAGCGGCTTGTATAGCACGAATAAGCACCCTGGTCCAAACTCGGAGACTAGGATGTCCACCTTGAAACCAATCTTGGCCCAGTGCCTAATGTATTTCGATGTCTTATCCACGGACCAGTCGGCAGGCCAGTCTTTGCTGCGCTTGTGGATCAAGTAGAGCTGCGTTTGCAGCACGTCCTGCTGCTTCTTGCCCATTGAAAAGGTGCGACCAGCTCCGGCGCCCGGCGCGAGGATCTCCTTTACGCGGTACCACAGCAGCATGTGGAACAACCACAGCTTATGATTGCCGCTGAGCTCCCGGCTGAGGTTGTCCGTGTCGACGAGGAGGGCCGCGAGCGATTTGGTGGCATCGCCACCTACCATCTTGGTGACGTAGGTCCGCTCAGCTTGCGGTGGCGAGAAGAAGGCTGCGAGCGAGCCATCCTCTTTGAACATCTCGACTTGCTCGAGCGTGTCTTCGTCGACAATAAAGGCAGCAATGTCGGTGATGGGCTTCCAGTCGTAAATCTTTCCCTCCTCCTCCTCCTCCTCCTCCTCTTCTCCCTCATCCCCTGGCTCCTTCCCGCGAATCCTTTTCGGATTGCGACCCCCGGCTTTGCCCGCGTCGCGTTTGCGTCCATTCCCCGTAGCAGGCGCGACGAGCTTTGCCAAGCAGTGTATCGCTTTTGCATGAGCCTCCGCAAAGGTGTCCTTTGGCTGACGGCCTAGGAATGCGATGAAGTCTTCATCTTCGAGCATGGCTTGGAGGTCGCGGAGGGTGTCTTGGTGGTCTTGCTCCATCGTCGACTTGCTCACAAAAAAATGATGCGTTTGTTCCTGTGCAATGGACAACCAGAAGAGTCGGGCAAACTCCCCTAATCACCCTGAAAAAACAACTTCCACAATCCGTGTATCATCTCAAGCCCCAGGGGAAAAAACGCGACCCGCCCGCTATAAAATGTAAAACATGACCACCCACCATAGGGCTCGCCAACCGCTTCCGCCACACACGACGAATCCAAGTTGACCACGCGATCCGCAGCCACCACCCAGGAAAGACCGGCTCGCTAGCCTCCACCACAAGTTGACGCGAGGTAGGTGCATCTGATAACTGCTTGGCTGATGCTGACACTTGCTAGGTAGCCATGTCCCTCCGCAGCCGCATCTGCATCGTGGCAATCGCTCTCATCTTCTTCACTGCCACGTTCCTCGTGCTCGACGCCCTCGCTTTGGCCATTCTGTGGACGTGCTTTCCAAACACGGCGCTCCACAACCGCCAATGGGTCCAAGCAATGGAGACGTATATGTTCTTGTTCCTCTGTCCCTTTACGTTGCTTTACGTCCTGTTCTGGGACTCGGGATGAAAAAGGAGGGCCTGAGGGCTATCGGCAAGGGTACGGGTCTACGAGGGAAGCTTCCGTGTGGCCAAGGTAGCGGCGTCGCATGTATTGTGTAATATCCTAGCTCTACTCCTAACTATTCTTGTCAGCTCCGTTCCTTGCGCGTTTGCGTGATTGAGATGCAGCGCGAGGTGTACCTGAAGCAGCCTCGTATGGGCACTTGCCAAGACTGCTAGCACGCACAGACCACCTCCCAAAAAAACATGTGCACACAACACAATGCAAACTTTTCACACAATGCAGAGACTCGAGATGCACCAAAAAACAATGTTGGAAAAAAAATGTCTTCGACTTCGTAGGATTTTGAAAACTACACCTGGTGGGGTTCGAACCCACGGCATCCGCATTGCTAGATGGGCATTCATAAGAATCTGACGAGTCTTATAAGAACGGCGCGCTACCACTGCGCCACAGGCTAATGAACGTTAGTAACGCCCTGTGTATTTGTGTAGTGGAAGTGCTTACTGTTTCTGTGGAATTTGGCAAATTTTGAGCGGTAAATGCTATATATATCTGGCAAAAGAAAATTTGCACAGGAGGGAACGAAACTAGGAGGGATGTGGGTCACCGTCTACATGACAGATCGGCTTGTGAGGGGCAAGCAAACAGCAGCAACGTAATTTTGAACAATCTGTGTGCGGGGTTCGTGGCTGGGGCGGGTTCAGATGAGGGGCTGGCTGGATAGGTTAGCTCCGAGCATCTGAGCTAGCATCACGACATTCCGCTTCACCGTCACTTGCGAAACCTCACTCACTTCATTCGAATTCTGAGATTCAGGACGAATTTGTCGCTTCGGCTACTAGCGGTAAGTATGGATTCTGTTTGCGTGTTCTACTTTGTCCCTGCCCGCGACTCTCTCTCTCTCTACCTGCCTCTCCACCTTGGTACTCAGCGCGCGCTCTTCATTGTGAGCTCTTTCGCTCAAGGGCTACACACCACTCTGTACTGGAATCGCACATTCTTAGACAAGACTCAATATGTAATTCGCCTTCCATTGAAAACCTCGCGCAGACACGATACTAACCTCGGCACAGGCGCGCCCCTAGCTTCTTGCTCGCTCTCTTGCCTTTGGTAGCAAGCATGACCATTCGCGCTAACAAGTTCACGCCTGAGGTCTTACTCAGTGCGCCGCGTCGCTCAGAGGGTAACCCGAATTCGGATGGCTCCAAAATTCTGTACAGCACGTCAACGTACAGCTTCGAGGAGCACGCCAAGACTTCCGAGATCCGCGTGCTGGATGTGAAGAGTGGCGAAACCAGCCTCATCTCTGACAGCGAAGGTGCTAGTGAGCCGCAATGGCTGGACGACGACACGGTTCTGCTGCTGAGCGAGGGGAAGGAAGCGACGAGCGTCAAGGTGGGCCCTGTTAAGGGCTTTGGTAACAGGTACGTTTGCTCCGAAATTGCGACTGCCATAACAGAAGTCTGAGGACGTCGTGTTGGCCTGGACGATTGTTTCCGTGCGCGAAGGTTTCTAAATATTATATCGCGCCATCACGTGCTTTAAGCTGACCTGATCACAGCAGCTACGATGCCGGCACGATCAAGGGCTCGGTCGGCAATGTCAAGCTGGTGTCACTCGATGATGGCGCATACGGCATTGCAGTGACAGGCAAGGCAACCCCATCTGGCGATCTTTATAATGAGAAGGAAGATAAGAAGCCGCAAACTTCTGGCCGCTTGTACAACTCGCTCTTTGTACGCCACTGGGACCATTGGGTTACCGACAACCGCAACGCCATCTTCCTAGCCACGCTCAAGAAAGACGGGGACAAATACAAGCTCTCACAGCTGAAGAACGCCCTCAAAGGATCACAGCTCGAGAGTCCGGTCGAACCCTTTGGTGGAACTGACAACTTTGACATCTCGAGCCACGGTCTAGTGTTCACCGCAAAGGATCCTGATCTGAATCCGGCAACGCATACCAAAACGAACATATACACCGTCACAGCGAAAGACTTCTGGAGCGAACTTTCCAAGGGCATAAACGAACCTTTCAAGGTTCCAATTCACGGGTTTGAAGGTGCAAGCACGAGGCCAACCTGGGACAACGAGGGCAAAGCGATTGCATTCTTCTCCATGCGAACGGACGGATACGAGTCGGACAAGAACCAGGTCTTCATCATTCCAGACTGGACCAACCCAGGCTGGGTTCAGCATCTTTGGGCGAGCGAAGACGGAAAGGGTTCCTGGGATCGCAGCCCTCAATCCATTACGTGGGGTGCCAACCAGGAAATCTATTTTACTGCCGAAGAAGCTGGTCGAATAAGTCTGTTTGCTTCATCGTCAGATTTCAGCAAGTCAACACGCACGCCTAAGTTGATTGTCAAGGGTGGTGGAATCTCAAGTGCAATATTATTGAAGGATGGATCGCTTTTCCTGTCGTCATCCAGCCTTATTGAGAACAGCTTGTATTCTATGTTGCCTGCGAGTGCATTCCTGGAGATCAGCGCGAACGGCGGTTCATACTCGCTACCGCTCAACGATAGCGCTCCTGGACAGGACCCAGCTACTCGGGCTACGAAATATGTCTCATCAAACACGCGCAGCGGCTCTACCTTCGGACTGTCTCGCGATCAGATCGAGGAAATATGGTTTCCGGGTGCGAACAACAAGACATATGTCCACGCTTGGGTCTTCAAACCTTCAAACTTCAAGAAGGGCCATAAGTATCCGCTCGCGTATTTCATTCATGGCGGTCCTCAAGGCGCATGGGAGGACTCATGGTCTACGCGTTGGAACCCCGCTGTGTTTGCAGAGCAGGGTTACGTTGTTGTCGCGCCAAACCCGACGGGCAGCACAGGCTATGGACAGGATTTCACGGACGCCATCAAGGGTCAATGGGGAGGTCTCCCTTACCAAGACCTTGTCAAGGGCTTCGAATATATCAAAGAAAACCTCCCGTACGTCGATATCGAGCGCTCCGTTGCACTTGGTGCCTCGTACGGTGGCTACATGATGAATTGGATTCAGGGCCACGACCTAGGCCGCCAGTTCAAGGCTCTAGTTACGCACGACGGTGTCTTCAGTATGACTGCACAGATGGCCTCCGAAGAGCTTTACTTCCCCTTCCACGACATTGGTGGAAAGCTGTGGGAGAACCCTGAAGGTTGGGCTCAGTGGGACCCTTCGCGCTTTGCTGGCAACTGGGCTACGCCTCACTTAATTATCCATTCCGAAAAGGATTATCGCTTGACGATGAATGAGGGTCTGGCAGCCTTCAATGTGCTGCAGGTCCGGGGTGTACCGAGCCAGTTCTTGACGTTCCCAGATGAGAACCACTGGGTACTAAAGCCGGAGAATAGCCTACTGTGGCACGAGACTGTGCTGGATTGGATCAATGAGTATGCTGGCTTGGAGAAGTACACCGAGTGGAGGGCGAAGAACGGAGCTGTGCGCAAGTAGTTGTTGCCTTGAATATGCTCTTGAACATTCTGTGTTTCGACACATTCAAGAAAAGCGTAGGACACGAGGGAGTCTTGCCAGACATGTAGCTTGGGCTGCAATTGAACCACAAGTGTAAATACCAAATATCAAGTTTTGTGATGGGGCTCAACGATTCTTGCATTGCAATTACTATCGTACAGTGACAACTGTGCACACCGACGCCCCGTGGAGCCTAGCCTACGCGATGCAAAGGACCGCAGCACTCGAGCTTCTTGAAGGTACGGAACCGGCACGTAAATTCAAACGACACAAATGAATAGAATATAGCGTATCTGCCACGAGCAAACCTTAGCACTAGACACAAGATTCATATACTGTATTATCCCTCAATTTGATGTAGCGTAGGATACACATCTTTTGACAAGGCACTCACTGCTTGACTTCAAGCCCAGTTAGTTATTTGACCAGACTGACACGAGTTATATCCAGCTTGGTGCTAAGGCTTCACAAATTGGAGAATGCAGCCATTGATTGCGGGGTATATCACGACGAACCCATGGTTGATTAAATCTGCAAATCTCTCGGCCGAACGTCGTCGCTTTCGATCCGCTTCCAATTGCATCTGTCGCATATTTGGATTCTTCACGTTTGTTGGGCTCTCCTGGAAAGGAGAGTAGAAAAGAATAGGTGTGTGGATCTGCTCAGCCAGGCTGGCATGAGGTACTTAGCCCAGGCCAGGGTTTGGCAAGTAGGAGCAAGCAGTCGTCAATTTGCGGTGTACACTAACTAATCATGGTTGTAGTCCTCATAGCTTAATAACAATCCTGCCGAAGTAAGCTATAATTATTTCGCTACTCGACCAGGCTGCTTCTGCAGCCTACGTCATTTGTGAAGCGGCTGTGCTGTGTAAGCCAAAAGCCAAGGCTCAGCCTGATGCGTTGCAGCTTAAGATGTCATTGACTCCGTGCAGTAAATACTACAGGACATCCAGTTCTTGTTGAACGCTTGAAGCCGTTCTCTTCGGTTTGATCTGTTCTTGTGTGAGTGGTTCTGTACAGGTTCAGCTGGTACGAATTTAGCTGAGGCCATGCTGCAGTCCAAGAGGGGACTCTCACCATGCCAACAGTGCCAGGAGATACTTGGTATTGTGATAATTGCGGTTGTCTGAACTCCAGTTGGTATGATTTTGTGCCCAGTGTGTAACCATGCAGGTGGCGAGCGTTATGGTGGTACGGCAGACAACATATCAATTCAAGATTCAGCCAGGTCAAGCAGCTCACGAGGAGGCTCTCTTCGGTCACACAGCACACGAGGAAGCTCTATTCGGTCACGCAGCACACGAGGAGGCTCTCATCAGTCACGTAATCCGAGTGTTACTTCAGCAACCTCTTCCGGCGCACTCAACTCCTATGGTAGTCAAGATTCCATCTTACAGGAAATCGTTGAGCTGCTGTTGAATGATGGTGTCACGCAACCATTACTTTCCAAGGCCTCTCAAATCGGTATAGCGAGTGAGCGAATAGAGAGGCAGCTGAGAGCGCTCTTGAAGGACCTTGGAGCCGATCTAAAGACTGAATCGGAGACAGTTGAAGAGCGGCGAATTGCCAAGTTCATCGCTCTAAATTCCAGACCTGTGGCATTGGCAGTCGTAAAGAGTATAGAAGGGTTTGAAGACGCCGCGAGGGACGTACAAGGAAAGGAACGAGTGGAGGACAGCTCGGAAGAAGACACTGAGTGAGTGCTGCCTCGAGTAACTCCTAGACGAATATCTATTGAGTTGTGAATGCGCGATCTAGATCGGAGACCGACGAACCTGTTCAAGAGAACGAAGAGAATAATCTAGCTAGGGCTAAAAGATCCGTCGTCAAAAGCGCAGCGTTTGCAAACATGCACCAGCAGCTATGGCATTTGGTCTTCCCTACGCTGAACGCTAAGATGTTGGCATACGTGGACAAGGCTGGCGAAGACTTGACAGGTGCTGACAAGAATAGCTGGTTGAGTGAGGGCCGAGCACTTGCCACAGAACTCTTTGACGTACGTCTGTCATCAGTCAACGTCTGCAAAAATATGCGGACATCTACGTTAGACAGGACCAAGCATACCATTGAGGCTTGGACCGAAGAAACATGGAACTGGTGGCCATTGAGGTTGCCCCTCCCCTATCCTGACGATAAATACACGTAAGCATTATTTCCTTCTTACATGTGGTCTCCACGTAGCGGTGCCTTGACTCTGGTACAAGTCCAAAGAACAACATCTCACCACTTATGGATGGCTTCGCTAACTCGATACACAACATCAGTTATATTCAGTGGATCTGCGTAAGTATTCCTCGAGACAATCCTATTTGTGAACACAGACTTACCAACAAAGGAGTGTGGAGAGAGCAGACTAGTTGAAGCACCAATAGCTCTAACAGAACAGATAGAGCGATGGAAAAGAGAGGTCCCTCAGCGAGCTGAACCTCCACCAGGACCTGGTGTGCCACTATCAGTTCTTTCGGTCACTGGACAGCAAAGCGGGGTTCAAAAAAGCACAGGACAGGGTAACAATCGCCGATCGAATCGTCCACGCTCACAGAACACGTACTCTAGCCAAGGAAACACCAATTCAGCCACCTCAAACACCGGAGTGTCCAAGGGTTGGGTACTGCTTGTGGTGCAATCTAGAGGTGACTACGGACTCGCGCAAATTGGTATGAGTGGCCGCACAACAGAGGTGTTCTTCACCCAACTGCGTTCTGAGTATCTCCGGCTTAGAGGCTATATCACCCGCTGCTTTAGCGTCTGGTGCTACTCACATTGCGATTTTTATAAGATACGTAGCGCAATGTTTCATGGGGATGAATTTGCTGAGTATCTGCAGTTCCACAAGTGGACTTGGGAGTCTGTTGTTCCCTTAAAACGCAATCAGTATCCGGATCCACTGGATTCAGAGTATGACTATATACCAAAGCCGATACTGGACATACCTCCAATAACGAAGCATGAATTCAGGAAGCGCCATGAGGGTTGCACTCAGCCGGGCTTCCATCTTTACTGCAGTAAGTAGCTATCAATAAAACGTCGAGAACAAGGCTGATGGTAAATTCTACAGATAAGCAGTGTCCCTGTATGAAGGCAAAAGCCAAGGCACACAATCGCGACATTATCGACCTACTACCGAAGAAGTCTTGCCAGCTAGACTTGATGGCAGATGACAGAAAATTCTTTTGGGGCCTATACGCTCGTCAAGAAATCAGCTTCTTTCGTGTACTTGTTTACAACGCGATCTGCATCAGTCCGTTCATATGGTTCTTCTTCATGTGGCTGTTTGCTTGGGGCCACAAGGGAGATCAACAAAACGCTTCGGTGCCGCTCATGACAATGTTGTCTTTTCTGTCAATATTCTGGACTACGTTCATTGCAAGCCTGTGGCAGAAGAGCGATGGTGAAGTGGCTTAAGTAGCAGGCGAACGCTGAATACTAGACTAGGTCGAGGATTAAAGCAAAGAGTATGGCCAACTTGAGAGGAAGAATTAAGGCAGGTATTATGATTGAAGTCGTAGATAAAAGGAATCAAGGTATACCATTTCCGCCCCTAGTCAAAGAACGTTTGTCATTATTTAAGAGAGGAGTAAGCGTAACGCGGCACTGTTCCCATGCAACCCGTCAAGAAATAACATGCATTGGCTCCCCTCAAGCATTTCGTAAACTGCGTTGCTAAATCCATATGGGGAAAATGCATAAGCGGTCTCAAAGGTGTCGGTGATGATTATTGCTTGACTTGTTTACACACTCAAACTGAAGGTAGACCACTAAGCTTGACATCCGCAATTTGACCCACGATGCTTTGCTGTCACCATTCCAGACACAGGTGAATCGCTAAATCAGTAAGTTAGATAGGGTACAGGACCCCTAAAATACCTTAACCTTAATGTTCGTTGGAAGAATGCTGATAGTACGTCATCTGCTCAATAGATTGCGCACTTGAGTTGTGCTGTAGATCTCTGTGTCAAATGAGTATCATTTGTAAGGTATGTCATTGGTGGCGGCATCATGTTGAGCGATGTATTAGCATCTGGTCGTACCAAGCTTGACACGAACCACAACCGCTGTTTCCGACCACAATAAACGCTCAAGGATTGATATAAGAATCGCAGACCCCAGAAGCGAGAAAATCTTCATCAAGATCGCTGCGAGCTTGCCCGACCGACAACAGCCCGGCGTTCAGGATGTACTGGTCATCGCTTGCCGCAGAACTGCGCGCCATGATCCTCGATGCGCTTATACAGGAAGGAAACGTAGCCCACTGTGCCTGCGTTTCTCAAGAGTGGAAGACAGCAATCGGAAAACACAACTTCCGCTCAATCAGGCTCACAGCTTCGGACGTCCCGGTACTGGAGACATTAACAGCCCAAAACTTCGGCCTGATCCAGTACATATGGTACTGCGTTGAGCTTGAAGAATACGACTGTTCCGCATGCGATAAAGACGAGACGGAAGAGACCACGGAGGCAAATTGGGTCACGTTGAAAGATAGCATCAGATCACTGTTCTGCGCACTCAGCGCACGCCCAATGAAGGGAAAACTCACACTGGATATCAGCGTACATTCTCCGTCTGATAACCAGCATTTCTTCAAGTATATATGTTTTGAGCACGCAGATGTACACAGATCTAAGGGCGTGGCGCAACAAACGTCCTTGCAACATACCCCGCTTCACGATTCGATCCACAACGCAGCGTTGCCTCCAGATTTCACGGTCATCGACCGACTATTTCCAGACATCGATTTTTCAGACGCCGAAGACGGCGATGCAGCATTTTGGGCTACGGTTCCACAGGTTCACAGTGTGACTGGTCTGCTTCTGCGACGGCAGACACGTCGCCGATGGGACCCGCAAGCCCTCATCCAACTTACCGCACGTCTTCCGAACTTACAAGAAGCTTGGTACGAGCCTTGGAGAGAGTGGAGCCGAATGTTTCAGAGAAGCACGGACAACCGTAAGTGCAGCCCGAACTCAATGACGGCCTTGCCGCTGATCCGTCTCACCACTGCAACAGGAACGGAGCGATTCTTCAAGTCTCTGATATCGCACAATATGAAGAGGTTAACGATATTCGAAGATCTTCGAGAGACATATATCGCTGCCAACTTTAGTGGCCTGCACCCCCCCTCCGACGCGGAACCTATCCGGACAGTGAGTATAAAAGTGACACAGACACTGGCCGAAGCGAGTCTCAAACTTGAACACCTCTCGGCCGCTTTCGTTACGGACGCAGCACGATTCTGGGAAGCGCGTCAACCACAGTGGATCTGGGGTCAGCTTTTGACTCTCTCTCTTACGTCTCGTATGCTAGTGCCCACTGCGTCACCAGAGAAGATCAACAGCATGCTTCAGGCAGCAGCAGAGGCCGCCATGAACATGCCAAAACTTGTATGCATGGAGCTTTGGAACGGAGGTCAAGACCACGCGTCCGTGTTTAGATACCGCATTGCACTCTCCAGGGTTGGCAAACCAGCTAGCATTGTATGGCGAAGCACCCGGGATCTGAATGTGGATGCCAAAGTGGTCAGTATGTGGTCGGCGGTAGCAAAGTCCAGATCAGCTGGGTCGTTTGAAGTCTTTAAAGAGCTGCTAGGGCCTGAGTACATGATCCAATCACACGGTGATGCCGTGGACGTGCTGGAGCTGCAGAATCAGGTGGCTTGTCCGGTGTCGATACAGCAGATTCGGAAGGAGCATTGATCATTGAAGGATCCTAGGAACAATGCAGTCTACGAAATGCTTTATGGGAGCCAATGTACGTTTGCCCTGATGGTTTGAAGGAAGAAGTGTTGACCAGAATTGATAGCAATACATCAATATGCGTACGTGCACTATGTGTGAGGATGACCGCGTACAAAACGAATGAGACACACCGATAATGCAGAAGCTGAAGCGGAGGGAAGAGGGAAGAGACAAGGTTGATTTGAGGCGCACAATACAGCTCTCAACACCATTAATTCTATCATACACTCTTTCGAAAAGAGCTGTAAAACTCCTACGTCAACACTGCAGGTCATGAAATATGACAATGAGTGGAAGCAAGTAAAATCTCAGAAAATTTTGAAAGAAAAAGAAAACGTATTTTTGGTTCAAGACTGAACAACGCAATGCATTCCTCCGGACTTCAACCTTCATTACGAGGCAAGAACGTGCTGCAGAGTCATAGAGACGTGGAAGGCACGAGTGGTGACAGTGCAACGGAATACATCATAGAGGAGGAAATCCATCCACCATTGCATGAGGCACTTCTGCATCGGGGTATAGTGCGTTTCTCGAAAAAAAGAAAAGCCCGATAGTATGAGCTGATAGAGACATGGTAAGGGAATAGACTGCCGCCCACAATACACACTATCATAGTATAGCCTTGGAGCGACGCAAGCCCAGCTTTGCCAACCCAAGTATTAACCATGGTCCCTTCATTCTAGCCACAGCCTTTAACTCAGCGTAGTCTTCGTAACAGGACTTAGTTTTCCAATGATCATCTCCAAGGGCGGCGGCTAACCCAGGATATGCCCACTGGTATAGAGTGAGAGCTTCCTTGATACGATGCTGTCTGGTAAGGACATGAGCCAGGAAGTCTACGTTATAAAGCGTGTCGGGGTGACCTCGACCAAGTAGCTTTTCGGATCCTTCTAGCGCTCGACGAATCGCCACCTCGGCCTCTTCGAATTTTCTCTGGCTTACCAGCGCCAACCCAAGCTGCGTGACGCTCAAGAGTGTATAATGGTGCTCCTTCCCAAGTAGTCTTTCTTTTCCTTCTAATGCCTGACGTTCCATTGCCTCCGCCCGCCTGTATTTTCCCCGCTTCCACAGCAATGATGCAAGCTGACTTAGGCTTTGAAGCGTTTCAACGTGTTCCTGCCCAAGTATCTTTTCTTTTCTTTCCAGCGATTGACGAAGATATTTCTCTGCCTGCTTGCACTTTCCCAGGTTTTCCAGCACCGACCCAAGCTGGGTAAGGCTGCGAAGCGTATCGATATGGTCTGGGCCAAGTAACTTCATTCTTCCTTCCAGTGCTCGACGCTCCAATCTCGCTGCCTCCTTGAGTTTTCCCTGCCTCGTCAGTACCGACCCAAGTTGGCTAACGCTAGTGAGCGTGTTAAGATCTGATGGGCCAAAAACCTTCTCTCTACCCTCCAATGTTTGAGAGAGGATCGCCACTGCGTCATCGTATTTTCCTTCTAGCTCTAGTGCCCCCTCCAAGATTACACGCGCATTGGAGCGTATCAGGATGCTCGTGCCCAAACATGTCTCTCACCATCGACCATGCCTCTTGTAACGCCATCACTGCTGCAGTATATTTCCCATTGACCCGTTGACATAGCCCTATATATCCCAGAAGCGAAGCACCATTTGTGCCTGTTTTAGCACCCTCCAGCCCTATTACATGGATGGCGTGCGGGAGGTACGTTGTCCACATCCCCTGCTCGCTGGAATGCAAGAGCTCCAAGACTCGGAGAACTGCTATGCCCACCCAAGCTTCTCGCTGACTGTGTGCCTCCAGCCACCAGCCCAATGAGATATGCACTAGCCGATGCATGTCAAAATACCTCTCTTCATCAGATCCCGTGACAGTTTGCTGGCGCTCAGTAAGAAATGCATATCCCTTCAACGTTCCGAGCGCTTTCGTATGTTGCACTTTGGACCCCCCTGGCGGTAATAGCGTTTGAGGAATACCAGTGCGGTCGATGCAGGCTATGAATGAAAGGTAATCTGCTGCGAGTGGGTCTTGTTTCTGGATGTGCTCGAAGGAGATTTGCCAAGTCTTTGCAACCGTAATATCAGTGCGTTGGTATCGACTTGGATCTTCGAAACGCTCGCTGAAGAGCTCAGCTTCCGTGCTAGTATGCTGCATTAAAGATACGTATTTGGAGACTGATATGTCGTTCTGGTTCATGAAAGCGGCTGCCTGTACAATGGCAAGTGGAAGGAATGTGAGTGACTGCAACAAGTTTTTGACAGCGGCCCGATTATCTAGGAGCGACTTGTTTATTGTTCGGTTCATGAGCAGCTGTCGGGCCTCAGCTTCACCCATGTCGTCTAGCGAAAGTACGCAAGTCTGTGATAGTTCTGCGGCCGCTTCCCTACTACGGGTTGTAAAAAGGATCGCTCCTTTGTTGCCACGTGGGATGTAGTCGATCAGTGGGATTGATCTGGGGTCTTCAGTATCGAATTCCAGCAATATCCGTGGGTCGTCGGCGTTGTCAACGATCATCAGCCAATCGTTAGAAGTCTTTGAGCTTAGCGCTTCCCTCACGAGCTTTTTGAGGTTTGCGTTTTCATCACTTATTCCTGGTATCTGTAGGCGGACTGCGATCTCTCGAAAGGCAAGCCCGACACTTTCTTGACTCATGGCAGGTACCCAAAATATTTCACGTTTGGCATTCGTCGCTAATGCGCGGTAGGCGAACTCGAGCGCCAGCGCTGATTTCCCACAGCCGCCCAGTCCATAGATTGCCATGCGTTGGTGTGTGTCGCGTGAGAGGATGATTTCTTCGATCGCCTGAAGCTGACTCTCTCGGCCCACAAAGAGCTCATTTCGGGTGAACGGAAGCGATGAGGACACTGTAGGATATGAGCTGCATAAATATTCTGGTTAAAACAGAGAGAGACGTACCAGGCATTTCCTGTGGATGTTTCTGTGTCCTTCTATACCGGCGCTTCTGTATCTCATCCTGCAACCGCTGAGTTGCATATTCTTCCCCCTCACCGTAGTTGAGGGGCAAGAAAACGCCAAAAATTCCTAGAAGGCAGTAAATTTTATCTTCCTTCCATTTCGTGGTACGTTTCGCTACCCAATTCATTCGCTCGGCAACGCTGAAATCAACGAGTTTCTGGCCACGCAATGCACTAATAGGAATTCCGGTAATATCATGTATCTCATGTTCAAGCGAAGCCTTGCTGCCTAACAGCTTACCATCGACCGAAAAGAACTTGATGGTGGTAGGCGCAAGCAGTTCTTGAAGCGTCCATCCTCGCATAGGTCTTAGCAATACTGGACACTACATATGTTTTCCACTTACCTCGGGTAAACCATCTGCTCTGCCTGAACGCTGATTCCCACGATGCGTGCGAGGCCTGAGCATCGCAGATTTGCTGGGGAACTAAGACGTCTGATAGGTATACATAACACTTGTCTGCGTGCTGATACCAGCGGAACATAGAGTTGATTGCTGTGCTTAGTTCGACGCTGTTGGACTTGTCGATGCAGCAGGTGTCGATCCAGAAGTACTTAAGGTTATCTGCTGTGGCTTGCTCGCCGCAAAAGCGAATTTTTTTGTAGCCGTCTTTGTTCGCGCCTGAACCCGCCAGTAGTTCACTGTATGTGACTTCCTGGCCTTCTATCCAGGTGTGCGAGAGTATAGCGTACGGAGGAGCGAGGTCATCGTCAAAAGAGGCTAGCTCGAAGCTGTCGTCGCCTGAGATGCACTTGAGGAGGCGTATCATATCGCCGCATGATCTTGAAAGATATCAGTAAGACCGGCTGGAAATGCTGAGTTAGAAAGAAAGAGGCGCGGAGTAGTGGAAGACGTCTGATTTCCGCGTACACGAAGCGCTTCGAGCAGGCTGCTGTATGGCTGGGGGCCTTTTCAGCCTGAGCAGGGGTGAGGAGAACTCCAGCACCGCCTTCCCAGCATCAGTCTCATCGAATGACAGCATCTTCCACCAAGTGCTGCATAGCACTGCGTTTCTGCACGTGCAAAGCTCGCTGAATAAGTATCTTGGGTGAAGTGTGACAAGATGAGGAGCACGGTGGACGGTGGACTGGTCTGATGTGGCGAAGCGCCTAAATAGGCTAGCGTATGGGGTTGCGCCCTCTCGAATGCATGGGACTGAACAAAGGACGAAGATCAACCTGGACTTTTATAACTTAAGAGTTCGTTCGAATGACAAGTTTTCAATCCTCACACTTAATTCTCGTTATCCAAATATCGAGTTTTCTACCTATGTCTCGCTCTACTCAAGTGGCACACAGATATACAGCCAGCCAGAGTGTCTTGGATATCCAGTTTCACAACTCCCAAGAAAAGGGAAACGAATAAGAAGGAAATTGACGGATAGAACTTGGGGTTCCTCTACTACGTTGTGCCGCGGCGCGCGAAAGCGCGCCAGGAAGCAACAATCGGTCGACAAGAGAAATCGCAAGAGCTATCTTGTTATAAGTGTACTACACACTCTAAAGAATCTGTGTGCGTCCGAATGAAAAGCGGTGCACATCAATCAGATCGAGGATCTTCAAGGAGGAAAAAAGACGTGATCAAATTCAAAGCTGAAAAGCGTAGCGCAACAAAAGAGAAGTATTCCAGGTATTTATTCCAGCTTCCCGATCCCAGTCCAGTCCAGTCCCCGAACGATTCGCTGGCTACAAGTACTGAAAATAACAATTGCGCAGCCACCTCGTCTCCCGTGGCCTTCCCTCGTTCTCCTTCACCAATCCATCTTATTGCGTGTCGGCCTGTCGTCCCATCCCATCTCTAACAGCAGTCCTCGGCACACTCGCAGCACTCAGCACAGCACTCGCACCCCTCCTCGCACACGAAGCAGCAGCACAGCGCCGCCAGACACGCGCCCAAACATCCACGGTCCTTCTTCTCCTTCGGCTGTTGGTACTGCTGCTGCTGCATGGGCGGGCCCTGCTGGTACTGGCCCTGCTGCTGACCGTAGTACATTTGCTGTCCTGGGGGTGGGCCGCCGTATTGTTGGTTGTAGCCGCCTTGGGGTGGGCCATAGCTATTGCTTTGCGTCAGTATTCATGTCTCGTGAATTGCGAGTTGCGCAAGCAGTGGGGAACTAGTGATGAACGCGTACCTCTGCTGCGGGTACTGAGGACCCTGGTTGTTGTAATACCCTTGTGCCGACATTTTGATGGCTTTGTGTTATGCGCGCGTTTCGCAGGCGATGTCTCTCTCAGGAGCGCTCGAGGTCCGCGGTCGTAGGAGCTTCCACTTCTTTATCCCGATTGTCTTTACGTCAAGGGAGCAGCCCAAAGTCGGCCCGGCGTAGTGTCCGATTGGCGCTTGCAGTACTCACGAATACAATCGTACTTTCGGTGCTTGATGCAGGTGATGGCAGAGTCTTTGAGCGATTGTGATGGGATAATGGTTTAGGAGGGTGTGGGAAAGCGAAACATCTGAGGGCAAAAGGGACGGTAAGAGGTCAGCTGGGGTCCCAACTGACTTTAAACGCGCCGCAGCCATCATTGGAGCGGGGATCCAGTCACTGGGGCATGTGCACATGCAGGCGCGCGCCACTCGCAGCCTGCACGGCCACATCATTGGCGCAGACAAGCATTCCGAGGTCCGCTTATCCGTGTATGACGAAGCTTGCCTCTCATCACACCCATGCAGTGCGCGTTTCGAACCGACGCGACGACTGCGCCACAACTCCAGTACGCATCTCCGTGCTGGAGGTCGTTGTTGGCAGCTGCTCGAGGGCAATCCGATGCAGAATCCGGCCCGAAGCATCACAGCCCGACGTGATGATGAACGCGCACGCCACAAAAACAAGGATGTGCAAAGGCTAAGCTCACCGCCGAGACTTTGAGAAAGCTTCGCCCCTGGTTCCACGTCCGTCGCATCCCTTGGTGTCACCACGCTCGGACTTCTCAAACAGCACATGCATGTTCCCGGTGCAAATCCCGTGCGACACTTTTGACACCTCGTACTTCATGCATTAAAATGTTCTACCTCCCCACCATCCTGTAATCCCTCCGCTTGCCATGCTGCTTTCCAACGCACCCTTCAGACAATAATTATGTATAGTGAATACACCGCCATGCAGTAAACGACAGAAAACAGAAGCGACGCAGCAGCATACCATGCACGTTAGACTAACGAATATGGACACAAGATGCCAACGCTATATACAACGCTTACATGACACCAGGATATATAGAACATGCTTACTACCCCGGACAATGCAAGTACAGAAACTTAGAATCCAAATGGATTTTCGGGAGCTACCATTTTGTCAGCCACATTTCACGACATGCAAAAGAGGGAACATACTGGCGTTGGCGAGGTTGGCCCGCCCGGTTGGCTGCGGCACTAGCTTCTTCGCTGGCTGCGTCCCGAATCGCACAGGCGGTGGAGGTCCTGTTCTCTGAGGGACAAGGGGTGCTGCCGAGGGCATGGGCGGCATGGGCGGGAGAGGAGGTGCGTTTTGACCAAAGGGCTGACCGAAGCCTGTCGGTTGCGGTTGGATGGCAGGTGGCAAGAATCGGTTCACCCCCGTCGCCTGCGGATTGAGTGGAGAGGGAGAGAATGAGTTGAAGCCCGTGGGCTGTGCTTGGACCGGCATCTGTTGACCCTGGAAGTTCTGCTGGAACCCTGGTTGGAAGCCAGTCTGGAAGTTCTGCTGCATGCCAGGCTGGAAACCTGTGGGCTGCGGCTGCATGAAGCCTGTTTGTTGCGGCTGCTGTGGCGCCGGCGACATCGAGTTGTATCCTGTGGGCTGTGGCATCATACCGTTCATACCGTTCATCCCATTCATGCCGTTCTGCTGGAATTGACCAAATTGAGACTGCGGCTGGAAGCCTGTGGCCTGCTGTTGCATACGCTGCATGTTCAGGTCCTGCAAGCTTTGTCCGGGAGGAGAAACTTGGGTGTGCATGCTCGGGTTGAAGCCTGTCAATTGAGGCTGCAGGGCAGCCGGCGGCGGGTACGCTTGCTGAGGGTTCTGGGGGGCAGACGAAGCTCGCTGGGGCGGAGGGGCAATGAGCCCACCTTGGCTCTGTTGTTGGGGTGCTTGAGGTCGGATTCGTGGAGGAGCAAGCTGTGGAGGAGGCATGGCCTTGACAGCAGCGACTTGATCGAACAATGACTGATTGAACCCTTGAGGTTGCGCTGGCTGTGCCGGTTGTGCTGGAGCTTGAGCAGCAGCTGGTGTTTGGGCAGGCGGCGGCGCTGGGATATCTGCTTTTAGGGCAGGCATGTCTAGAAGAGAAAGCTCACCCATAGACCCTGTGAGAGCTGGTGGCGCCGGGGCAGGTGCAGGTGCAGGAGCCGCAGCTGGAGCTGGGGTCGGAGCTGCCGCCGCCGGAGTAGAGGCTGAAGGCTGTCTTGAAGGCTTGATATCCCATGCGTTGTCATCAAAGCCATCGGCTTTCTTTTCTGGGATAGGAGCGGACGTGAGGGGTGTCGGCGTTCCCTCTGCAGGCGCAGGCTTCTTGACCGTATCGTCCGTCTTTTGTTCGAATGCCTTGGGGTCGACGACATCGTTAGTCTGCACGGGAGGAGCAGGTCGACCTTTTCGAGTGTTGTTCCTCAGAGTGCCACCAGGACCAGAGAAGAGGCCTCCGTCTTCGCCATTCTCTGCGAAACTGACACTACGCTTCTCGCCATCACCGGAGCGGTTGTACTTCTTGTCCAAGAACTTCATGACTCGCAGAATATCTCCTTCCTTCACACCCAAGGTTCGAAGAAGTTTCTCGCTTATGTCGGGCATGTTCTCTTCACCCATTTGGTCGCGGGTGAAGGCTTGTGCATACCGTTCGCAAATCTGGGGGTTGACTCCGCATTGCAGGAAGAAGTCGAACCAATCATAGGAAGGCTTCTGTTCCACAGTAATACCGGACGACGATGAGCGTTGCGCAGGGTTTTCTTTCGCACGTTGGGTGCTTCTTCTCTTGATGTCTGACAGAGGCTTGTCGTCGTCTAGAGAAATACCCGTTGCTCGCTCCACGTACTCCAAGTCTTCGACGGACATTTTCGGCACCGGAACAGCGATCTTTACTCCGTTGACTTTGTGAAGGTGGATCTTGCCGTCCTTGATAGTTAGGAACTCGGCTTCGACCTTGAAGGATCCTGATCGATCGGTCCATGTTCGTAGTTTCGCGGAATCTAAACTTGTCAGACACGAAGTTGCAGATTGGAGCAAGCCATCCAAGCTCGAATGCCATTGGAATAGAATGCGGAGATTAGGCACTGACTTGGTTTGGGAGCAGACTTTGAGTCCTTCGCGGTACTATCGCGCTTACTTCTCTGTGACGTACGAGGATGGTCAACTTTTGTTCGCAGAAGACTAGAATGACGCGCGGGTAATTGCAGGCCAGGTCCTACCTGATCATTCCTGACTTCGCTATCCCGTTTCCTGCCTTTCGCAACTTGACGTGTAAGCTCTTCCTCCTCTAGTCTGTTCTGATCTATGATAGACCGCCCTGCGTTGGTGCCGGAGCGAGCGAGCGTGGCGGCGGGCGGCGACATGGGTACGGATTCTGTGATTTCGACGTAGTTAGCTGGCACTACACCTTCTTTGCCGTTCTTCAGCCTTCGCACTTTCCACCATTCGTCGCTAGCCGAATCATCCAGGACCAAGATCTCGTCGCCAAGGCCTACGGTGACCTCGTCTTCGCCCTGGGCCATGAAATCGAACAACATGACTCCCTTTTTCTGCACGTTCGAATTCCGAGATCCTGCCGCCAGTACTTCACGAAGACCTGCGCCCTTTGCAGCACCGGAGAGCTCGCCTAACGCAGAGCAGATCTCGGAAGCTGTGTCTTTTGCGCCGCAGTGGAAATCTACGTCTTTGCTTGGCTGTTTGAGTGTCATGAACACATGCTTCCCTTCCTGCGAATAGTACTCCAGCTTGTCCGCTGTCCATTCCTGCTGCGGTCCGTCACGAGACTTCTCGGGCGCAATCATAACCATGCCTTTGGCGATATTTATCCCTAGCGTAATGGGCATCTTTTTGTTCTTGCCCGGCTGTGTTAAGTATTCGTAGATGTTATACAGATGGTACCCAGAGCCAGATAGAGGTGTATTCGGCTGATTGTGGTCATTGCGAGGATCGTACTGATCGAAAGTAACGCTACGAGGAGGTGGAGATCGAAACGAGTCGGTATCGGGAGAACGCTGGGAAGTATACTGCGCATATTGGGTGTGTGTCGGCGGAGGCGACAGCTGACCTGACGGTGGTCTTTGCGGTAGACGCGGGGCTGGCGCTTCCTCGTCGGACTCTTCGGGCGTGAATTGGACGCGTCGTTGCGCCTTGGGAGGCGGGGCGTAATCGTCGGCCGGAGGAGCTGACTGTTGTGATTTCTTCTGGATGATACCAGCGAGCGCAGCGGCGGGGCTTGGATGGACTGGGCTGTCTGGTGTCGGCGGCCCCTGTCCGTCATCCGAATCCGGTGCAGCGGGGATGGCAGGAGGCCGAAGTGGAAGGGATGGAGATGTGAGCGGTTCAGCGGCAGCAACGTCCTCCTTCAAATCGATGTAGTTTGCTGGCGCAAAGCCATAGTCGCCGGCCAATCCTACCAATGTCCAATCCGGATCTGAGACATCGTATACGTCGAGGACGGCGTCTTCCTTGAAGGAGAGCTCTTCGTCGGTCTGGCGGACATAGTCGTAGAGTGCTTTGGCTTTGGATAATGGAGCAGCCTAAATCGCAGGCACCAGGTCAGTAGCTGTCACCTTCAATATGCACTCTGTCCGAATAGTGTGCTAGGGAGCTTCTCCAGAAACCACGAGACGGGCCGCGGTAAGGAGCCTGGTGCAGCTTACCTCCTCAATGTAGTTGTTGGGTATCAGACCCTCGGGCTCCTCCTCATCCTCATCTGTGCCCTTCTTCTTAGCCTTCCACCAGTCGTCGTCGCTGGACCTCTCCAGCACCATCAACAGATCGCCCTCGGCCAGGGCGATCTCGTTCTCACTCTGGGGCACATAGTCGTAGATGGCCCGGTAGATGCCCAGGAAGACCATGGCGGCGGTGTGTTGTGTGCGGCTCTCGGGGGCACGGTGGTGCTACAAAGGACGCGGAAACGTGCTGCGCTGCATAAGCTGGGCGGAGGCACGGGGGTGGGTGCAGTGCGCTGTCGAGGGGCTGGCAGCGGGCGCGAGCGCTCTTGGGAGGCCCACCAGCACTGGCAGCGTGCGATCGTCGGGGAATAGGACGGAGGAGGTGTTTGCGGGGAAGTGCACAGCGAGAACGTGCTCGGATGGCCGTTGCAATGGCTCGCAAGGTGAGACAGATGCTGTTCACACTTCGGAGCTGGGGCGCAAGCACGAGCCACTTTCGAATCGGGCAAGCCCCATAGTGAACGACGTCAATGCTGCATCGTCCCTGGAAGTTCTGGTTTACTAGTCGCTATCTTCTCTAATTCTCAACAGAAACTTGGGTCCGACATCTCCTACAGCTGCACAGTCTTCGTTGACGCCAGAGGTAACATACGTACACAATCGCCAGATGACGCGTCGAACATTGGGCTTCGTCCTTGGCAGCTGCCTACGTATTCTCCCCTTTGCTTCGCAAGCGTGCCAGCCACAAACGCATCAGTCGTACTTGATACTAGACCGAGTGGGCTTTGGTACAATCAGCGAAACATCGTAAACATATGGTCTATCGCGACGACTGCAGCCGAAAACTAGCTTCAGTTGTTGCCGTATCAGGATGTGGGAGGCTGAAGTCTTTAGCGAAGCCAACCGTAGGAGGTACTTGAGTACTTTGGTTCAGAGTACCCTGGATGGATCAGCTCGCTGTGGGCTAGCTGTTCCTCTAGAAGCGCCGTAGAAGCATCACGGAACGAAATCATCAGAAATTGACTACGCTGAGTAATGCTCACATTGATTCATGGTCACTTGTCCTGGGATGCATGAATTCGGTTCAGCGCTGAACATCTTCCAAAACGGCTCCAGAGTGACAGTAGCACGTAGCAAGCGTTGTCTGCGTGGGTCTAGATCTCCCACAAACTCTGAGATAGCGAACAGCTACCGGCCAAGATGAAATTGTGCATCCTACCCCCACTTACGCCCACAATTGAACATTGATCTATAATCCTCATGTCATCTGAGCCATGGTCGCAGCGCGACGTCCATAGAATAATGCTTTGGTAAGCTAACCAGATGCACCTGCCTCGGCTAATTTGACGTGCTTGGATGCCGACACCGCACCTACTATCAGATAAGTTCCGCTTCCTTGCGCAACCATGACCCCTCACTTCCCTCTCCAATATGCCAAAGTCGCCTTCGACGCAAGAGTCCGGGACGCTGGTGACGGATGTGCAAGATGTGGTCACGGATGAGCAAGACGAGCTGGAAGAAGAAGGAGTCATTGACAGAGAAGCTCGTGAGCGGAGGATTCGTTTAAAGGTCGACTTTCGATTATGCAGCATAGCTGGCATCTTGTGTAGCTTGAACCTTCTGGACAGCGGCGTTATCTCAAGCGCTTCAGTAACGTCTATGCTTTCGGATCTGGGTCTCGACCAAGGGAATCGCTATTCGGTGTCTATTTTCATCTTTACTATCGCATCTATCGCATTCCAGCTCCCGTCGACCATCGCAGTGCGAACGTTCGGGCCCAGGATCTGGTTCAGTTTTATCACGTTCTGTTTCGGGATCATCACGCTATGCACAGCATTTGTGCAAACGTGGAGACAAATGATCGCTCTGCGAATCTTGCTCGGCATGGCCATGAGTGGAATCTATCCTGGTTTGACATACCTAATCTCGACTTGGTACACGCGAAAAGAGCAGCAACTGCGTTTTGCGCTTATGCAGAGTGGAGAAGTCACGGTACTGGCAACCGGAGGCATTGTCAACTTCGGACTCAACAAGCTCAACGGTTCGTCTGGTATTAAAGGGTGGCAATGGATGTTCATCGTCCAAGGAGCAATCACAGCTTTCATTGGCATACTCACATATTGGTGGATGGTCGATTTCCCAGAAAATGCAAACAAAAGTTTCATGTTTTTGACTGAGGAAGAGTCAGAGATTGCCGCTAATCGCATCGAAAAAGACAGAGGAGACGTGGAACCTGACAAGTTCTCCTGGTCCAAGGTGCTGGTCCACGCGAAAGACCCCAAAATCTACGGATTCTGCGTGCTGTACTTCCTGCAGAATCTGGTTTCGACGAGCCTGTCTTATTTCTTGCCTATCATTCTGCAAGGAGGCATGGGATTCAGTAGCGACAAAGCGATTCTGCTATCTGCACCACCATATTACTACTCGGTTATCCCAGCTATACTCTCTTCCCTGATCGGCGACAAGTATCAGCTCCGTGGGCCCATCATCACCTTCAACTCCATTTGCCTCATCGTAGGCTTCTGCATGCTCGGCTTCAGCGATCAAGTTACTGTGCGATACATCGGGACGTATCTTGCCACGGGTGCGTACGTCGCCAATTGGGCTGGCATGGCTACGTATCAAGCGAACAACATCGTGGGACAATGGAAGCGCGTATTCACTGCTGCCGCTGTTACAGCATTCAATGGCGCAGGTGGTATTGCAGGAAGCTTCATCGTGAGGCAACCGGAAGCACCGAGGTATATGACTGCAATTTGGGTCTCGATTGGGTGAGTAAATGATCAAGGATCTGGTCAAACGGTTGCTGATTTCGCTAGGTCACACATCATGATTATCGGATGCATTGCTGCTTTCTCTGTGTTTTTCTACATGGCAAACCAGCGGCAGAAAGCAGGTAAACAGATCCTAGAGGCGACACAAGGCTTCAGATACACCTACTAAGCAAGCGTTTTTCCGAGAACGGAGATTGCCTTATAGCAATACCATTGTTTCGACCCCTCTTACGTTCGCAACACGCCAATGATCGATACCATATACTGTCTAATCTCGCAACGCATCTTAGCTCCCAGCAACAGTCGCCATCACTAAGCAAACTTCTCCCCCACCAACCCCTCACTAACTTCCCACAGCCTGTCCGCCTCCTCCTTATCCACCGCATAACCAGGCACTTTCGCGCTCACCTGGCAGTCCTCCAGGAAGACCCCCTCAGCCTCTCCATCCAACCCCGGATCCACCGCCGCGACCACACTCGTCGCCGCCCCCTCCTCCACGCTCTTGAATCCCGCCAACCCTGCCTGCTTCCTCCCTTCCATCGCCTTACCCAACCACTCCGGATCCGTGCTCCTTTGCAACTCTGTCATAATCTCTCCTGGATGTAGCGCGAAAGCCTTCACTCCTTTCTCTCCCAGCTTCTTGTTTAACCCCACGGCGAACAAGATGTTCGCTGTTTTGCTGGCGCCGTAGGCTCCAAAAGGAATGTACGTCGTAGAGTCTTCGACTAGCAGACGTGCCGCTTTCAGCATTGTCGTGTTAGGTTTTTCGTTGTCCGGAATGTCTTTGTGGGGTGTTTCCCATTTCAGATCGGAGAAGCGGATGGGCGATACGAAAGCGCCCATGCTGCTCACGTTGACGATGCGCTTGTTCTTTCCGGCGAGGATCTTCGGCATGATGAGGTTGGTGAGGAGGAAGTGGCCGATGTGGTTCGTGCCGAAGTGCATCTCGATGCCGTCAACGGTCAGGGTGCGATCTTGGATGTTCATCACGCCCGCGTTGTTGATCACGATGTCGATAGCGGGCACATCTTTCCACTTCAACACCTCGGCAGCGGCCTCGCGGATGGATGCCTGGGAGCTGAGGTCCACTACCAATGGCTTGAACGTCACGGAAGGGTAAGTGGCGCGAAGGGAGGTAAGGCTTTCATCGAGCTTGGCCTGCGAGCGGCCGGTGATGATGATCGTGGAAGGGGACTGTGGGGCTAAGGCTGAGGCGGTTCCGTAGCCCAGTCCAGTACGGTTGACGCCGGTGATGAGGATGGTGCGGTTTTTGATGGCGTCGGGGAAGGTGGCGGCAACGGTTGGGGCGGTGATGTTAAAGCCCCATTCTGAGTTTGTAGTGGGCATCTTGACTTGGACTGCGGGCGTGATGTTGGAATGGTTGTATGTTGTTCGCGAAATTTATACAAAGCGAGCTGATATGTTCCGCCACAGGTTCCATCGTACTCATTTTATACCCACTGATCGCCTTCGATTCTGCGACGGACGAAATCGCTCATGTATAGCTGAGGCGTACGAGGTACGCCTTGGGGAGTTTTAGTTGCGAGCCGACCAATCAGCGTGCGTGAACTCCGAGCGGGCCTCTCAACGGCTAGCGTTCGCGAGACGTCCCTCCGCTCAAAACCACCAAGCAAAATATCGGACACCATCCACTGTGTATGGTGAGCAGTAAGTATTATCGGCGGATCATGTTCGTCCTGGAGCATAGGCAGCCTGTAGTGGAGAATGATATGCGCATACTGTTCACGAGCGTGACTGCGAAGAATCGCAGTGACACAGTTCGACTGAGCTGTGGTTCTGGATGTCAGTCGAAGTGTGCACCTGTCAATCTGTGGTGCTTTGTTTGCCTTAGTGCAACAGGATGAGCATTCATGTGCAATACGTACTCTTTCGGGTTCGTTCAAGCTTTCGTTGTTGCACATCAGTCAGTTCCCCTCTGACTTCGCTTCCAGTCGTCCAGCTTCACCATGGCCTCGACATCCGCCGACGAGTGCGCCCTTCCCATGCTGTCACGGCTCATCTAAGACCGATTATTGCTGTAGTACGAATAGTGAACACGGTAGCAGAATCGAAATGCAGGATGTTGATCAGAGCGTCATCACGTCGAATCTTCCTCAAGTGCCGCCTAGCAGGCGGCAGCTCAATGAAGCCATCACGCTTGCAATGACTCCTGGTACCTTTACCGAATGACCGTGTGAGATTATCAATCGCAGGAGAACCTGCGCCCAATGCCCGCTCTGCAGCTGCGAGTTGCAAGGCCTTAGCGCTCGCAAGTACGGAGGGGGTTTCCCTACTGATGGTGTAGATAATCTGCGTCAAACGGGTCAACCAGCCACATTCAAGACTAATCACTGGCGCGATGGCTGCAACCAGTGCCTTGTCAAGAAGCGGGATGCCAGGGGAGGAAAGGGGTGCAGGTAAAGTTAGAGAAATGTGGGCCATGAAGGCGGGCGGCCAAGTTGTGGAAATCGCCGTGGAGAGAGAAAGGGAGAGGGGGGCGGAAGCGCTGGGTTTTTATAGAGCTTGCTGTGTGCGCTAGTGGGCGCTCACGTGAGGGCACGGACGGCGTGCGCTGTCGGCTGGTGCCTGGGTGAAGGTGAAGGTGAGTGGAAGGCTCCACAAAGTTTTTCGAATCCTTCACTGTGGTGCAAGGAAATCGCGCTGCCCTGTTAGAGATCCCCTCTGTAGCGGACGACAATTACAGTCAAATACAAGGGAACGAGCAGGTCGTTTCTGCCTACCTAGGTACGGCGTTGAGGCCATGGTCAGGGATGACTGAATCCGGATCGAGGACACAGTCGGACTGGTCTATGTAAGGTAGCTAAATCTTCGAGCGTCACGTACTTCATCCTATCTTCGCAGCAAGAGAAGACGTCGCTGATCCGTTTTTGTGGAAGAGCGAGTGTAGTTCATGCGCGAGGATAGAGTCTGCGGCTGTAAATAGCGCATCGAACGCGAGCTTGAGCTGTCACCGCCCGCGGGCCGTAACGTATCAGATACGGCGCCCGTGCGGGTATGCGTATATCTGAGCTCAAAAAGACCGCCCTCCCTGTGCCCCCTCAGTGACGAACCGCTCAACACCTCGCGTCGACCCAAGTATCTCGACTCAACCAACATGGCACCACCCTCCGGACACACGCGCTCAAAGGGGGCCGACTCAGACTACTACCCACCTCAAGGAAGGCCGAATGGCAAGATTGGCATAGGCCGTCCGAATAAGTAAGTTCTCAGAGTTTCCAATTAACCCAATACATCCTTTTGTCGAGTATTTGCATTGATGAGCCCAATTCAGGCATAAAGTCTCGAAAGCGAGGCATCGTAACCTCGCCACGCCGAGCGCGGAGATCTGTCGCAAATATCTCCAGGAACTGTGTCCAGGCGGATGCAAGTACAAACACCCACCTGTGTGCCGGAAGTTCCTTCAAGGCTACTGCAAGAGCGGCTGCAAGTACGCGCATCCTACAAATCTCGCTTTCTTTGAGCGTGAGCTATGCTTGCTCGAGATCGAGAGGGAGGAGTCAAAACCTAGATGCAACAATCCCCCAGCAACGGATCAGGCTGGTCAGGAGCAGGAAATCCCTACCCCGGCACAAAAGACGCAGAGCGCGCAACAGGATGCCACGAGGCCAATCTGCCGTCACGGAGCGCAATGCAGACATCAACGCTGCAGGTTCTCCCATCCTGAGCGGGACTGGGAGTTTTGGACCAGCGATGATGTGAGTCAAGAGTCAAAGCCTACACAAGATGATTCCAAGGCAACGAAAAAGGGTAATCACGAGGAGCACGTCGCCCCTGTCGCCGGAAAAGGTACTCAGGAGGACAACGCCGTCCCTACCGCAGAACAGAGTGCTGAGAAGCCGGCGTGCCGTAGGGGAGACGAATGCAGACAATTGCGCTGCAGATTCTCTCACCCTCGGGGCTGGTAGTGCTGACTCAGGGTTTGCGTAAGTTCACACATCCTCGCAGGATATTGCAAGAGTACCTGACATGAAATTAGTGGATGTACGACAGAAGTGCGAGTGAATTTGCGGAGTGGGACTGTGGCTATACGGTGGGAATTCTCGGACGACAGACTGCTTCACCTTATAACAACGTACGAGGCAGAACGTGCTAGCTAGTGCTGCATGCGTAAATTAGAACCTTGACTCTGGTGTACTACAATACACCTCACACAGAGCAGAATTTGGGGTATGCAGTTGTTTTTTACTACCTCAATTTCATCATGACATTACGACTGGAAAAGAGCACCGACGTGATTACTGGCAGAGCTGATGCATACATACGAAGAACAACATAAGATAAGGTCAGAACCTTTGTGAGCATGTCATTACTAGAAAGCCCATACACTTGTGACTTCTGAAGACAGTCTATGACAGTATCTCAAGTGATCCATATGTTGTGCTAAAACCATATCCACACCATGCAAAAAGTAATCCAAGTCAGAATGTGAAAGAGAACCACGCACGAGCTAAGCGACTCCGAGACTGGAAATCCAGTCTCGATCCCTTACCAACCTCGACCTGGGTGGCTGAACTTGCACTTGACGTTGAGACAGCCAATTCCGCGGCGGCAGATCCGCTTTTCGAGCTGCGGGCGCTCGACGTTCACCTCGTCTTTGCGCGCAAGGTCTCCATCATCGTTGGCGCCCTGTATCCGAAGGGTTGAAATAGCTTCCTCCAGCTGCTTGTGCATTTGAGCCATCTCGAGCTGATGCTGCTGCTCCCGAGCTTGATAATGGTGCTCCAGTGCTTGATACTGGCGCTCGCGTCCGGCAAGTTGGCATCGGACGTCAAAGGAGTCATTTCGATATATTGACTCCCGGTATTCGGATTCTCCAAATTGCTCGTCCAATTCTTTCCATTCGTCCTCCAGCTGCTCTATCTCGTCGTCCCTGTTTTGCAACCTGTTCTTGAGCAGACGATTGTCCTTGAGGAGGCTGTCGATGGTACGACCGTGGGTACTTGCGGACTTGAGCAGCATCAGCTCATCCTGCATTCGACGCCACTGTTGAAACGGCACCTCGACAGTCTTGTAATCGTCGGCCTTTTCCACAGGACCGACCTGAGCGGGGGTGGACTTTGTAACACGGCCAGCGAGAACTCTACTGGTGGGTACTACAGCCTTGCTCTTCGAGGTGGACGGGTGTTTCTTGTTCCTGAAACTTACAGAACGTGGGGAGGTGGGAGTAGCAGGTAACTTTGTGGTCAAATATACATGTTAGCAAAATGCTGGCCATCGCCGACATATTCTTGAGACTTACCTGCGTGCTCGCGGAAAGATTGTGGCGACTGGTCACGCCCTGGTCAAGCACCCTGCCGGCAGTGACAGCGGCGTTGGTAGCGGAGACGGATACGCCGGTGCTGTCAGAAGCGATGGTGCTGCTGGAAGAGATGGCATTCGCTGTGGGCGAAACGAGGTGGCGGGGACGATCTGACGCGGTGTGCATTGAAAGATCAAAGATGCCCGAGGGGCCGCCATTGGGATTTTGCGCAGCAGGTGGCATCGTGGATAGCGTTTGATGCCTTGTTGGCGCAAGTTGATATGCAAACGGTGGTGGACGCGGTTCGACACAGCCCTGGAGTGATGCAATGGTCGAAGAAAACACTGAAAACACCAACACCAACACCAAAAATCAATGTGTGGACGGAGATCGCAACTTGGATATTCCCGAAGACGGCGATATGCCGGCGGAGCGGGATTCTGGTTGGGCTGGGCGGAGGTGAAGGTCGAACAAGTTTGGGTTGATTTCAGAACGGGCAGCCACGGAGCTATGTCAATCCAACGACCAACTTGGACCGATTAGAAACAGTATGCTGGAATGGCTCGACGATTTGTACCTCCACGGATCTGGTAGTATGCACTGTAGCATAGCATCCATTGCAGCCCCTCAATGGTCAGGTGCGGTTGTGCTCGTAGCTCGAGCCTCATCCTTCTAACGATGTCCGGCAGATGAAACCCTTGCAATGTTACTTTTCAGGGTCTATTAATGTAACTGAATTTGCCGCGGTTTGAAGCCTGGATTACTTCCAAAACCACATCTCTGGACTGTGCAGACTCAATATCTGTGGCACAAGTAGAAATATGCTGAGCAACCTCAGACTTGGGTGGCCTTAGCACAACGAGCAGCATCTAATTGCTGCGCCTCAAGTCCCCCCTGAGCCTTAGTGGTTGGTGTCAAGGTAATTCGGATCCACAGAAAGAGTCAGCGTTCTAAAACATGTACCAGACCAACGGCAAGGCCTTTTGGCATGTAAGGCGAGTATCGAGCATAGCTCGGCGGATTGAATGCAAGCTAAGGAAATGAATCGCGCATATTAATGTGTGGACGTGGGGTCTACCATAGGCCTGACATGAAACGATGTTGTAAGTCCTATCGAGCTGTACTGACCTAAAATGCTGGTAGTACTTCCTGGATGCCGACTGATCGCTACCATCCACTGCGAAGCTACCATTGCTATCCCATCACATTTTCGCTTGAAGCGCGGGAAACAAAATTTCATCAACAAGCCTCGCAGCCTCACGCGCCGCTCCAAAACTGTGGATATATCCACCCCCCTGCGAAGCCTTTGTGGATATAAGCACTGTCAAATGGATGTGGTGAACATGCACAACTTACCGTATGTATGAACCACCTTCTTTCTTATGGGGTCTCTCTCAACACGGATTCCGCCCCTCCTGCCTGGCCGGAAGCCGACGTTGTAGCCGATGATCTCATGATCTACAGGATTGGGCTAGAAGACATTGGGAAGATTGTGATTCAACCTTCTGAGGATCTAGTGTTGTTTTAACTTCGCGTCATGCTTGTACATTTTGTGTGTCGTGGCTTACATCCTCAGTGGTTGCGGCGTCAGGTTTTGTACTACTGTAATAATGTCAGTAATCGCAGAACATTGAAAACATGGTAGATGGCTTTCCATACCTCGAATCTCGGTGACGAACGCCTCCCAGGACAACTGTCCCGTCGCCCCGAGGAATAGCATACGTGTAAGTTCTTCCATTGTCGCGCATGAAATATCTATCATAATCACTCCGTACTACGATGGTCTGGCCTCGAATCAGCTCAACAGCCTCGTCTCGGATATCCGTCAGGAATTTGGAGCCAAAGCCAGAAGCATTGACTAGTACATCATGACCGATGGCATCCACATCTTCGAGAGCGTCTAAATGCATGCGCTTGAAGACGACACCCTGGCTTTCGAGCTGTGATTTGAACCATAATAAGAACACATTAGGGTTCATTACGAGAGTCTTGTCTGCTAATTTCAGCATGTCCCAGGATGACTCGAAGGTTTCAGGAAGTGGAAACTTACACGTGATTCCGCATTTTGCACCCAACGGCAACTCCTCTTTACCTAGCCAGCGGAACTGCACCACCATCAGCAAGCCTTCCTCTAACCTTCCTCGACACCCGACTCACCTCCGTCACATGATCTTTCCACCAAACATCTCTATCTCCTTTCTCCTCGTCAAACACATCATTGATACTCATCTTCTTAACTCCAGATCCCGGACAAGTATCACTCAGTCTCCACAGCTCTACAAAAGCGTCGAGCTGCATCTGCATTTCCCTCCGATTGTTGCAGCCGCCAAAAATGAAGGATGCGCCTGCCCACGGACTCGCCCAGTCAGTGGACGGTGGATCGCCGGGCATGTCTCGCGCGACGATGGTGACGGCGTGGCGGCGCGAGAGCACGGAGGCGATGGACATGCCAACAACGCTTGGGAAAGGTTAGTATCGACCCATTTTTTGACAGATGAATGTACCCTGCGCCTAAGATGGTGATGCGAGCCATTGCGGAATCGTATAGGGTTTCAAGTCAATGCGCGGTGCGGAACCAGGGAAAGATAGTATATGTATACCCAAGTGATCTTGTAGATTTGCTGCTGTGAAATCCGCCTGAGCGCGGAGTATTCCTGCGGAGAAGTGAGGACTCTGCGGGGAAAGGCATTGGTTACTACGATGGATTGAGTAACTTAGTACGAACCCACAAGTCCAACGACCAATCAGAGATGTATGAGGATGAGCTCTTCCTCAATCACTGTAGGGGACGTGTACGACTGTACAACAGCCAGTCATCGTGAGAATGCCTATCTAAACTTGTATGGGTGTCCATAGAGTTTATCGACGTTGGTTCAAGGTTCACATCCCGTCGGCTAGCGTTCCGACTTCTACCACACCACGCTACGGAAAGCGCTCCGCGGACGATCGATATAGTGTTATACCTCTGTATTCCAGCTACAAGCAACTCATCCCGTCCACAATTGAATCTCATCAGGTCTTTATGTGACCTCAAACCGATACTCACACTGCGCTACATCCCCCGCACCCACAACGATGCTCTACATAACTGAATCCCAAGCCAAATCCGCCATAACCCTCAAATCCTCCCTCTCCCTCTTCCGCCACGCCTACCTCCAATGCAACTCAAACACCCTCTCTCCCGGTCCACGAATGGTCCATTCTCTCGATGCTCTCGGTAACAAAGGCCAGTGGCTAACCGCAACCTATCCAGCCGAGGGAACGTTCGGAACGAAGTTCTCCTCAATTTTCCCTCAAAATGTAAAGAAAGGCCTACCAGTCACGATATCAACGATAAGTCTGTACTCCGGAGAGACGGGCGAGCTCCTGGCTACGGTAGAGGCGAATGCCCTAACGGCGATGAAGACAGCGGGAAGCGCGGCTATTGCTACGGACCTTTTGAGTAGGAAGGACAGTACGATTCTGGCGATTATAGGGAGCGGATTGCAGGCGTTTGACCAGGTGCTTGCGATTCGGGAAGTGCGCGACATAAAGACAGTCATAGTGTACAACCGTTCCGCCGAGGGCGCCAAAACCTTTGCGAACCGCCTCACAGCCGTTGAAGGCTTCGATGTAGACGTGAAGCTCGCGGAGTCTGCGGATGCTGCCGTGGCCGAGGCGGATATCGTGTGTACGTGTACCACATCGTCGAGACCTGTGTTCAAAGGTACAAGTCTTAGGCCTGGCACACACATCAACGCCATCGGATCCTACGCGCCGGACATGCAGGAGATTGACGAGGATACTGTGGTTCGAGCGGCGCGTATCGTAACCGAGCATGTGGATGGTCTTTGGGCAGCTGCTGGGGACATACTCGAACCGTTCAACAGGGGAGTGATAGATAAGAGCAAAGTGGAAGGCTCGGTGGGCGATGTACTCGCTGGAACGGTCGCCGGGCGTGAAACCGCAGATGAGATCACTCTGTACGAGAGTGTTGGGTCCGCTGCTTTAGATCTGGCTATCGCTGTGGAAGTGTTTCGGCTGGTCTCTATGTCAGGGAAGAATGGGGCGAAGATATAGCGTTGGTATCTTACCTGGATGGAGAATTGCAGTACACCACACTACCTCAAAGACAACAGAAGCTTCTCAACGATGAACAGTAAGTCATGCGGTGCGAAGATGTACGTAACAGGCCACCGCTATCGGTATTTCCTCGATTACAAAGCTATGACCTCGAAAAATGTACAGTCTGAAGAGCGCTTGAAAGTCTAATCCCAAAGATGCCCAATATGCATTTCCCCGAGACAATGAAACCCGCTCAAATGCACGCTAAATGACACAATCTAAAACCCAGTCAAGAATCAAAAACGGAACGGAACGAGGCGATCAGACAGCCCAGCTGCCCTTCCTAGCTGCAATCCCCGCGCCTCCGAGCCCATCTCCTGCCATATTCGGATGCTGCTTCGCCCATTCACGAATATACACTCTCAGCGCGCGCCACCGCATGCAGCTCTCTTCAGTTATCTCCGCGTCTGTGAGATTTCCATCTGCACCCAGACGGATATATCCTTTTGACTCAGCGAGATGGTCGTCTTGCCGGAGATCGGACACGGGAATGTTAGAGATGCGGGAGAGCTCATCGTCGAAGGGCTGAGCCATAGAGGGGTAGCCGAGTGAGAGGTAGTTGTAGACTTGGGTGACGAAGTCGTCGCCGAAGTCTTCGTCGATGGAGAGCGCAAAGGTGAGTTTCTCGTCGATGCAGGCAAAGTCTGCATTTGACGCCGGGGGCGTGGGAGGGAGGAGAGAGCCACGGGATGGAGTTGGGCACGGCGAGAGGAGGTCGGCGGTTTCGATGCGCGGAGTGAGGATGCCGGTTGGGCCTTTGGGAGCTTCGTCCTTGACGCAGCAACCCGCCCAGAGACCTTCCTTCTCCTTCTTGTCGTGGTTGCTGCTGGCCGTCGACCAGAGGGACGATACGCGGGTAAGGTTCTTACCGTTGCCTTGGCCGCACCAGAGGCTTTCGCCTTTCTCGGACTTCTCAGCTTGTTGTGTTTGCTCTGAAAGGTAGCACATGGCGATCCGGACAGCGTCGCAGCCTTGTGTGGTATCGAAACGTGCTGGTTCAGGGGACTCGCATCGCGGATACTTGATATCCTTGCCGAGCATAGGAGGTCGAGCCTCTCTCCTCATTCGCTCGATCTCCTTGTCCTTCTGGTGCCCGATGATGTCCTTGTCAGTTTTGATGCCAGCCGCCGGATTGGCCCACGGACTTGTCTTGAAGTGAGATTTCGGGCTGATGCCTGAAGTTGGTTCCTGATTTTCTTGTTCCTCTCTGTACTGACGCATTGCCTTCAGGTCCCAGTTCACTTCATTGAAGGTTGTGCTACCTTCTGATGAACCTGTTGACTCATCGTCTGCATCGACAAAGTGATCCACGTGCTCATGGTAGTTACCGTTCGGAAACGCTGCCATCTCTTGTTCGCGCAGTTGCTTTTCGGCGGCCTTGGCAGCCAGTTCGAGCAAATACCCGGAGGTTTGTTCGTCGAGGCTTTCCCGCATTCGCGTTGGCTCTCTGTAATAGTGTTTTTCGTAACAATAGGCTCGGCAGGTGTAGGGAGAGATGATAGGTGACGGCGTCTCGCCTTCAGACTCAGAAGACTCTATAGGAGCAAGGTCCGGAATTTGGAAGCAGTGATGAGACGGTCGGCACCTCGGCGTTTTCCTTCGATTGAGAGGTGATGTTGCGCGCTGGATCTCAGCGAAAAGGGGATTTTGTGAAAAGTCAAATGCTGGTGTGTTGTTTGGAGGGCCAGGGATATCATGCTGAGGAACTGTCTTCAGTTTGTCAAGTCGCTTTAGGGAAGGGCGTTCTTCAGGGACACGACGTGACCGTGCCGCTGTTTCTATGAGCTGAGGAGCAAATTTACGTGGCGTCTTCTCTTGCTTTTTGATGCCTGTTGCCCATTCCTCCGCAAACTTCTTCCGGCTACTACGGTTTGTCTTCGTCGATGTTTCTACAGGTTCGGGTGCGAACTTTCTCCTTGGTTTTGCAGTCTCGCTGTCCCACTCATCCGCAAACTTCTTTCGACTGCTTCGCACCGAGGTCTCGACAGGCTCTGGCGCGAACCGCCGGTTCGTCTTGGTGGTGGTTTCTACAGGTTCAACGGCGAACTTCCGCCGTGGTTTCGATGTAAGGTTCTCCGACTCATCTACAGAATTTTTGCGGCTTTTCTTCTCCGAATGTTCTATGGGCTGCGGGGCAAAACGCCGGTTTGTCTTTGTCGATGTCTCTAAAGGTTCGGGTGCAAATCTACGCGGTGGCTTGGAGTCCTTCTCCTGGGCAGACGGCTGATCCTTGGACGACCTGGTCGTTGTCTCGACCGGCTCAGGCGCAAAACGACGGTTGATTTTGTGTGAACTCTCCACTACTTCTGGGGTGAACTTTGCAGCACGTTTCGGACCTTCCTCGTCGGTTTCCGGTGTGTCTTTAGAAGACCGTGTGATCGTCTCGATCGGTTCAACGGGGAACCGACGGTTTGTCCGTGCAGTAGTCTCGACTGGCTGAGGGGTGAAGCGAGAACGCTTGGGGCCGTCTACATTCTCGCGCAGCTCCTTGGAGGATTTTGTTGTTGTCTCGATTGGCTCGACTTGGGATTGCCCTGGGGGCATAGTGATTGCCATATCTTATATAAAGTTTCTGACTGTGTCCTCCTTGTGCTCATGCTATGCAACCTGACGTCGTGGTCGATTTACTTGCGGACCAGACTATTCTCTTCAAGACCTATCTTATGGCGCAGAACTAGCGTTCGCTTGTCGCCAAAGGATGCGGGAGCGTGATTGCGGGGAAATGGAGGATCGGACAATATCGGGAAGGAGTATGTTCGCTGGAACGTGAATTGCTTCCCGCGGCAGTGCTTCCCACGGGAAGGTTTGCCGTGACCGACTGTTGCCAAAAACGCGGTGCAATGCGTTGCGAGAACGACTTTCCAAGTCGTAGTGCTTGTATGGGAGGCGCTTCAGGTGCCAATTGTATCTTTGCGGTGCGGAGAGCGAATCGAGCGGCAGAAGGTGCGAAGGAGCTCGTCGTTGCTATAACAGTGTTAACCAGGAGGCTGCGAGCAGAGGATGGCTGCTGTACATGACTCACCATTCGTCGCTGTCGGGAGGGAACAGTGACCACACCAGGTGTTTGTCGAACCCGCGGAAGCTGGTAAAACGCGTCGGGACCTCAACAGCTGTCTTCATGTGAACGCCTGCCGCTAGGATTGGGAGTTTTGCAGTGCGAACGCTCAATGACGTCGTTAGAGACCCGCTAGATGCTGATCGCGTGCTGCACTTTTGCGCACCGCGACGGGTTCGGGAGGGGCACAGGGGCTTTGTAAGGGCGTCGAAGTGGTTTAGGAGAGATGCGCGCGTTGTCGCAACTAAGAGGCCGCAAAATTGACGAGCTGATGCGGCAATACGGACCTGGACATTCCTGTTGGGTACAGGGATCCCGCAAGAGCTGAGATAGCAGGGGCGCGGGCCAGATCGTGAACTTCCCTTGAGAGACAAGGGCCCTTGAACAACGGGCGATGAAATTGGACACGTTCACCGCCAGCAGTTCAACATGTACAGCCGACAAGGAGGAGCCCCACGCGGCGTGGGTTTGGGCAGCCGTCAAGCCCACGCTGTCCCTATTCTCGGTCTCGTAGCGACATGGAAGACTGTTCTCGATGGCGGAGTAAGCCCACCACGGACGTCCTGCTCAGCAGCCACGCGGATGCGCCGTCAGTAGCGCGCGGCCGAGAGCCTCCCATTATTGACGAGCGGGTCCGACAACACTCATCCCTCTGTCACAGCGCACAGCGAACCGCAAGGCCCACACTGATTCCCCGCATGCCAACATTCGTCGTCCCAAATTGAATCCCAACCATGTCGTGGCCGCTGTACAACCTTCCACAACGGCAATTCTCGCCGTTCGATGCAGGTTTCAATCTACACCGCCCTGCAATGGTCAGGCCCATCCGTTCACAAGCTCCCGAACAATAGCTCCTTTTCCAATCTCAGCCCGGACGCTACGAAAATAACTCGGGTCGCAGCGAATCATCGCCCATGCATACTTGCTTTGCCTGCAACAACGCCCAATCCAGTGTGCTCGTGAAAGGCGTCGCACCAAGCCGCCAGAAACCCCTTCATGCGTTAAGGGCGCAAGCCGCCTCACCGGATGAGAGCAAACATCTTCCGTCAAACATCGAGGGATAGCCATATACCCGGTTTCTCGTGCACACGAGCTGGTCACACCTTCCGCACCTTCAGTTGCGCCTTCCTTGATTCCGGACATCACATGAACCCTTCCCATCCATGCATCTTACATCTCATCGTTCTGGCTTTTCTTCCCCAAAGCGTCACGAACAGTCCCGATTAGCATTTCCAGATGCGTGCTTAGCTCACATATTCATTGACACACACCCTACGGCGTGCCTTAACACCCCTTCATCGCGAATAGCATCCGACGTAGACAACAAAATGCCAGCACTGCGCATTCGGATTCAGGATCGTAGACGGTCACGGGTCTACGGCTATAGATGTCAAGTGGCTTCGCACATGCACGTTCCCCGCAAATTGCCTTCCCCGGATCACCGTCCAGCAGCGTATTAACAAAACTAAATTGTCCTAAGCAGCGATCCTGTTCTAGTCATACACCGAAAACCAACCGACCACCATGTCCGAATGAACTCCTAACGCTAGCATAGTCATCCCCGATAGCCATCGATTCAAAGCAGCAAGCAACCTTCCCATAGACCCACGGACGCCGAGTCGGACTCTTCCATTCCTAGAGGACCTTGCAATTCCAATGCCCGAGAGATCAATCATCACTCAAAATCAGATGAGAAGCAACAGCTCCACGACAGTACTGAAGTTGTGGGGTCAGTCTCAGAGGCCTTGCAAGAAAATAGTACTCGTAAGGGAGATCAGCCCAAGCACCTAGTCCAGGACCCGGCGACATAGGATGAATGGACCGCGAATCTGCCGTGAACACGCTCTGCGCATCTTTAGAGGAGAATTAGCCGAGGTGAGTAGTCGTCAAGTTGATGGTAACGTACCGCTGCCTGGTTCATTTTCCATACTGTCTGTATCGTCAATGTAGTTCGACTCCGACCCAGCTTCCCTATACAAAGGATGATCTGCATCCATGCCGGACTCGCTGATTCTGGAACTGCTTCCATGGAAAGCCGACTGACCGGCAATGAGATGGTTGTCGACGTTTTCACCGAGCGTAGACTCACTCTGGGAGCCAAAGTCGCCGTCAGAAGTATCAGAGGCCACCAAAGTCAAGTTCTCATCGTTTTGCCGGTCATCGTCATCGCTTCCTCGACTATGGCCGCTGGCACGCCCACACCGGCATCCACAAACAGTCTGATTCAGATGCGGAGGCCTGCTTGCAGATGAGTTGAGCATGCCTGGATCAGGATACTGCTGCCCTTCGTCGCGGTTGTACATTCTGGATAGGTATGCCTACCTCATGTCAGCCGAGATCTGCGAGGCCCGCATGTACGCAAACTCATCAATAATCTGCCAACTGAATCCCACCTCAAGTCGGCTCCGAACGAGACCTCGAACAACATGTGCAAACAACCCACAACACTTACCTTTGATGGTGGCAGGACTATACAGGGCTCCAGCTACTAGCCTTTCAAGGTCCTTGGAAAAAATACGAACTTCTCTTGAGGTTTGTCAAATTGCAAGAGTCGCGAGTGCGAGTTGGGTTCCGTGCAGCCAGAGGCCTCACTTTATGCTCCCAGTACACAGCCCTACCTCTCACACGCAACATCACATCATAGCAGCAACGGTGCGTCAGGAGTCCTGTGATCTCGTGGCAACACCGTACACGTCGGTCGACTCATTTGAGTTTACGAGCTCTCTACCAACCGCCTATACCCGGGACATGCACCGCAGCCTAGCATTCGCTAGACAACAACATCACCAGATGTCCTATGTATAGCTCCGATGTTCGCCCAGCTTGCTGTTTGCATTCATGCTATTTACTTTTACTCGCGGTACCGCATGTTTCCGCCTCCGAGTGTAAGCGTTGTAGGGCTGATCGTTCACCGGTGTGGGGTTGATCTACAGGGCTGAGGTACGTCACTGTTGATGTCTGCCTAGCTTGGGGATCATCATTGCTTGGTATAACGACACTCGCGGATCTCTCTACATCGACTCATATGTCTAGTCCAAACGCAGTCACCGCAGTAGAAAGTCCGTCCAGCTCGGGTAGCTTGGACTGATACTTGGTAGTCACAGACCGCAATGCAGATACGGCAGATCAGCAGTATAGACTCTCGGTTAATATCGCCTCTATCTTGAGCCTGTTATAACTCGTCGAAAGCACGTAACCTATGGTCATCCGCCAGCCCAATGGTACCTTTTATGCTCGGTGACTGTAACCGTACGTCCAACGGCTCCTTTTTTGGCCTCATGATGGCCTCCTTCGCGATGTCCGGTATCGGTGCGTTGAGAATCTGTTCGCGCGAGGCAAAGTCCAAAGCAGGCGTGTGTCCGGTATCCGGATGCACAGGTTTGAGCTGCTGGAACAGGCTCGACAGCACAACAAGACCCAGGAGGGCACTGATGATGCCCCAGAGGATGCGCACATGACCTATCGCTTGTTAGCAATTCCATCTCCAGTTATGAAGGGGAGTATGCCATACGTGTGTTCCTAACCTCCAACTCGGTCTCCAACTTCATCCTCTTATCTACCTTCGCTCTCGCCTCTCCCAGCCTGCCGTGCAGCGCCTCAGCCTTCTCCTTCCCAGCTTTTATCCTCTGTTCCAGAGCATCAACATACTTTTGCTGCGCCTGGAAATCATTAAACGCATCAAGTTGTCCTTCTACATCTTCCACCAGCTCCTTGGTGTCGCTTTCGAAGTTGTGATGCAGCTCGTTGGTCAAGTTGGAGAGCTCCTGCAGACTGCCAATAGTCTGGCGACACGTAGCTATGCGCTCGAGCAGCGAGTAGAAGGTGTCGTCGAGGCGGCGCGACGTCTTCAGCGACTTGTCGGAGAGGGTTTCTAGGGAGCTGCGAAGAGCGCTGGATGAAGCCATGTCAGCATACCTGTAGAATTGTAAAAGGAAATGAAATGAGGGGAGACGTACTTCGCCCGCACCTTGACCCTCCCCCGTTCGCGCACCAAGTCTTCCGGCCGGCCCGGCCGGCGTAGCGGCGGTACGTATAGCCCTCCATCAGTTTGCCCTCCCTTGTCTGCTGCGCTGTCTGCAACCGCAACGCTCGTCCTCCTGCTGTCCGCCGGACTGCTCGATATGCTCTCCTTCGCCTGCTTCAAGAGATCGCCAAAGCTGGTAGGCGGGTCCTTGGGAAACGCGGATTGTACAATACCCTTTGCATGGTGTCGCGACGAACGGTGGTGGTGATGGCGGTGCAGGTGGTGTTTTCGTTTTGAGTCGCGTTCTGCAGGAGCTGCTTCGGAGCTCAGACGGGTAGCCGCGGAGTGCAAGACGGAAGGGCGGGAAGGGTCCATGACATGGTGGGTTTGGGTTGGTGAAGGTACGGGGTGCTAAGGCGCGGAGATCCGCGTCTGCGGCACGTCGCTTTGGAGATCACGCTAAGCTTTTCGGGCATGGCGATCCTTCATCAACCACCAACCACGAGTTGAAAGACATAAGACCAGGCGCTGATGACCATCCAGTCTTGGGACGTTGTCTCATCAAGCGTTGACAAAGAGGTTAGAAACGCACATATATAGTGATTTGCGCAATCGAAAATGTACTTTACGGTTGATGCAGATATTGGATCATGTTAAGAGCCTGGGGATACAACAGGGTACAAACATTCTCGAGATCGTGGAAGTGGAATTCTTGTGCGCTACCGTAGGTGCTCAATTATCATGTGGTGCCTAGCTTGAATATCGTATGGTCCTAATATCTCTGACACTTGAGGCTGTGATGTATAGCCTCGCACATGTTCACTTGTAACCACTCATGAGTGACCAGTCCAACCTATGGTCACTTCACTGGTTACCGTTGTTTTGTGACCTGTTTGAAGTCCTAGTCCCGAGAACTGCTGCCATGCGTACTCGCCGTGGGGTATCGTCGTGAATGCGTGAATGGAGCCAAGATATGCGGCCAAGATGAGGATATGAGTCCTTCTGCAGATCCATAGTCCAAGAGACTCGCGAGTCGTGGGGCATGCTCAAGACGCGAGCAGCTTGTTCCTCTTTTCCCTCCTCTTCAAGCGCTCGACGCGCTTCTTGTGCATCTTCTCCTCCATCTTCGCGAAGCGCTCTCGCTCCTCCTTCGCAGCTCGTTTGGTGCGGATTGCCTCAACTCGTCGTTGTCGCTCTGCTTCCTTCTCGTCCTTCATTTCCTTCTCTTTGGCTTTGGTGGCGGCAAGCGTCTTGCGCTCGGCAGCCCGCTTCTCGAACGAGGACTGATTTGCCCGGGGTCGGAACGCTCTCTTGTTGTCATGCCACTGTTTGCCTGTGCGACACGGTGGTTAGTTGGTGCTGCGTCGTATGACAGGTCCACACAAGGACGTACCATTCTTCTTCATTCCTTTTACAGAGGTGACCTCCGCGACCGGCGCCACTTGCGTTTCAACGGCTGTCGACATTTTCGTGAAGGACGTTGGGACCCGCAACGCAATGCAGCGAGATGGCGTGGGTGCGGCGCAGTTCCTCCGTGGTAAGAAGAAAAAAGAAGGGCCGAGGAGCTACCGATATCGATAGCAGCGGAAAAGGGCGATGGAAGGATGGCTTGGCAGGAACGACAGGTCGACATCCCACCATCAGATCTGATAAGATTATCGGATGCGCGATTTGCGATCTGAATCATTGGGCTCTGAACGCCAATTGCGCGCACTTGCTGCACGTTTGCTGCACACTTACATCCAACTTTCGCACAACATTTTCATGATTGTACGAAGCTCCATTTAGTAGAACACGTTTTTCCCGGTTGCAGAATTTTCATGCAGCTTCTGGCGCCGATCTCGTCGTTCGTCCTGCTCCCACGTCCCCCGCCGTGACACCTCTCTCTTTACGGCCCGGAGCGAAGCGCAGTCGCTTCTCCCTGTCCTACGTCGTACCCAATCCTATCCACAACCGCCCGTAGTCCTGCATAAACACTCGCCATGGAATACGCCATTGAGTTGTAACGGCCTTCGTTCCCTCTCCTCACCGCCTCCTAGGGACCTTGCCCCACGCAACTCTTACGAGTACCTCAGAGTACACACCCTTCTTTGCGCATACACAGGCAAGCAACTTCAGGACTATGGAGCTTCAAGAGACTCCAGGAATGGTTGGGGAGAGTGGGAGTAAACTGTCTGCGTCATACATGGTACAAGAGGAGACATCCACGGCATTAGATCACACACAAGGAACAGAAGCTCTGAAAGATGTTGTCTGCGGATCAGTAGCAGGCGTTGTGGGCAAGTACATCGAGTACCCATTCGACACTGTCAAAGTCCGACTGCAATCACAACCGAATCATCTCCCTCTGAAGTACATTGGACCGATAGATTGCTTCAAGAAGTCACTGAAGCAAGATGGCTTCATCGGTATCTACAGAGGCATAAGTGCTCCTTTGGTAGGAGCAGCAGTAGAGACCAGCTGTCTCTTTTTCAGCGTCAGTATATCACGTTTCCAGCACCACAAACATTGGCTAACTCCCAAACAGTACCGTCTAGCTACAGATGCTCTGAGAACCTCTGGATTCTATCCGGAGCTCAAAGGCCACCCTGAAAAGGAGTTGCCGTATTCTGGAATGCTTTACTGTGGTATGGCCGCTGGCGCAATCACGTCGGTCTTCCTCACGCCAATCGAATTGGTCAAATGCAAGATGCAAGTCCCCCTCGAGACACCCAACGCCACAATCGCAAGACCTGGCATCTTGAGCGTGATCGCTTCCATCTACCGCCACCAAGGAATGATGGGATACTGGCACGGTCAGTTTGGTACCCTCATCCGCGAGACAGGCGGGGGTGCAGCATGGTTCGGCGGGTACGAGGGCACGAAGATGCTATTCAAGAAAGCATCCGCTTTATCTGATGAAGATATGCCCATCTGGCAGCGTATGGCATCTGGCTCAGTAGCTGGGATGTTGTACAACTTCGCCTTCTACCCTGCGGATACTGTCAAGTCGAGGATGCAGACTGAGGACGTTAAACAATTGACCGGCCAGAAGTTCAGCGCGGTATGGAAGGCACACTGGCAGCAGCATGGCTTGAAAGGGATGTATCGCGGCTGCGGCATCACCGTTGCCAGGTCGATTCCAAGCTCTGCATTTATCTTCACGGTGTACGAGGAGCTGAAGAAGAGGTGGCCTGGATCAGGATACGATCTATGATTACGTTTTGGATTCCAAAAGCACTATCGTCTTGGCCACCTACCGAGTTGCGCGAAATGTTTTCACATTTTCCTATTTTCATATATAGCAGTAGGCATTTTGCATTGCGAAGGCGTTCGATATAGGCTGGGAACGTGGACAGCATTGTTGAGCGGATTAATGAGATACCATCCATACAAAGAATCATTCTCAGTGAAAGACGGCAGAGGACTCTTGAACCATTCTGATTGCATGTGGATGATCCTCCAAAGATAGTCTTAGAGAAAAACAACGTTGCTCGGCTATAGGCGATGTCGTTTTGAGCTTTCAAAACTTGTGGTATGGATAACTTCATTGACTGACATGTGCGAATGCAGCCACCTTCACATGTTTGCTAACCCCAGTCTGTGGCTAGGGCGGGAGGATTGTGTGGGGAAATATGAGCCGGCCATGCGTCACTTTGGCCGAGGCTCAACTGGACTGCGACCACGACCAGCTTGTCGCGAACCGAGCACACCTCCATGTAGCGCAAGAGCCGCACGCTTCTCTCTATCCGCGGCTTAGCTCGATGCTTGCTATACCGACCTCGTCATCCTCTCACGCCCTCTCGTTCCGTGCATTGCAGAGCTGAGGCAGCTCCACAGCGTCGCCGCGCTACGCCGAGGCTCATTGAAAGCTAACTCCCCGAGTCGAAAGAGTTCGCAGCGATGGACAGATTACAGGTCCTTGAGGTACAAGAAGTTCAAGCGTGGGTATGCATGGCTAATTCTGAAGCAGAAAGCGATCGAGAAGGTCATCCTAGACCCCCAGTACCACGACATCCTCGCGCTCGTGAAAGGCATACGGAATGGCATCGTGTACGGGACGAAAGTGCGGTTTCCGCACGCGCTGGTGTCCGTCCTGCCTCTCGACCATATGGAAATACCTCGTCAAGCTAACATACTCCTAGCATGATCTTCCTCTTCCGGTCCGGCTCGTACGTCTCCCCATGCGCATCCAAACCTTCAACGGCAAGTTCTAATAGCACCCAGATTGCGCTCAAAATGCTGGCTCGTCTTCAAAGCCACACGCCAACACGCCCGCAATCTCGGCCTCTTCGCCCTCGTCTACAAAGGCGCCATGCTCCTCCTCCGACACACCGCACCCGATGGCAAAGAGCGGCACTATGACTCCTTCCTCGCGGGCCTCCTCGGAGGGTACACCGTCTTCGGCCGCACAATTCACAACTCCGTCTCCCAGCAGATCGTCATATACGTGTTTGCCCGTGTCGCGTTGGCGCTGGCAAAACTCGCTGTACAACCAAAGCACGTGGGAGATGTGAAGGGCGGTGGGGGAGGATGGGGACTATTGGATGAGAAGAGTGGGTTGAGGAAAGAGTTACTAAAGAATGGTTGGGTGGGGTTTGCGAGTTTGAGCTGGGCGATGGTGATGTATGTTTGGAGGTGGCATCCTGAAGCTGTGCAGCCGAGCTTGAGGAGTAGTATGAACTACATGTGGGTGCCTTATTTCCTTGCCCGTGAGTATCGGAATACTGACAATTTTACAGTTACGGCCAATCAGACGAGTGGGATTCGCTGCGGACTTTCATCTGGCATAACAAATAACGCGGAACCACAACGATGACGGGATGGAGAGGTGGTCGACCAAGAGGTGTCACGATTTGCTTTATGGATACATTCGATGCTTGTATGACTTTTTCGCGTTTTGGACGACTTGCTTGCCGCAGGACTCTGTACCAGTGTCTGGTATGTGTAATCTACCACGCTAAAGCTAAACATATTAGAGAATAGAGATGTCAAATACCATTCGCCGGTTATTAGATATCGGAATGGCTACTCGGTGACCCTCCTCATCCCTTCCTTACAGCCGGCAACTCATGCGCCGCATTCACATTCTGCCCACCCAGCTCACTCACTCCATAAGCTGGCGCGGGCTGTGAAGCAGCCTGCAGATGATACGGTATCGCCTGTCCTGTCTGCGCTACTTCAAGGGTACTGGAATACTCGTATTTGGGGAGCACCGATGAGCTCTGCGCGGGGGCCGCCTCTTGCGCTGCGTTTTGCGCTGGACGGGGATGCCGCCGCTTGATGTAAAAGATCGTGACACCAGCGACAGCCAGGATAGCCAGGCCGCCAACGACGCCGCCGACGATGGCGCCGATAGGGGTTTTTGATCCGCCGCCGCCGGTGTGGTTGCTTATATCTGTGGAAGATGTTTGGCCCGTCGCCGCAGGCCCCGAAGACGATGCTGTTGATTGCGCTGGAGAAACACTTCCTCCTGCCGTCGTAGCCTTCGCATCTGCTGAACTTGAAGCAGATACTGCCACCGTCGCCATTGCCGTGGCGCTCGCCGCAGGCAGACTAACATCCACGCCGTACTCCTTGCAAAACGGAACTACCGCATCGCGTACTTTTCCCACATCCGACGCCGAGCATGCCGACTTTATACAGGGCGTTACGGTGTCCCACAATTCGTCGATGTGCGTGCACTGGCACGCGTAGTCTGCGAGGGCGCAGCCGGTGTTGCTATAGCCCGTTATGATGCAGTTCAGGGCACAGGAGGGGATATCCGAGATCTGTGCACTGGCGAAGAGTGCGAGAGCGAAGGTGGTGAGGAAGGAATTGCGCATGATGATCGTTTGCGTTCGGGTGTCGTGCGTGATTTACAAGTTGTGAACGCCCAGGAGGGACCTGAAGGATCGAACATTCAGAAGTGCATCCGACCCTCAATTTGGCCGAAGCGCTGCTTGCAGCGCATTGAAGCCATCCGTGGGTATGGCGTTCAAAAAGGCGAAAAGAGGCGAAAATACGAGATAGTTGTACGGATTAAGCAAGGAGGCTGGCGCTTGCTTTAATTGTGAAGATGTTTTGCAAGGCTCCTTAACCCACCTTGCCAATGCAGATAGCTACACCGAAGAGATATCACGGTCTGGGTCGACAGGGACGGTGGATTGCAAAGAACGGGTTGATGGCCAAGAGTAAGGGGCAGTCGCTGCGCCAGGGTGGTCAAACTTCACGAGAAACGAATACGAGGAGGGCTGCGAATGTGGGGTCTGGACTTTGAAGCGACATGTTTCCCACCAAGCGACTAAGGCCAGCAGAGTGTCCAGCTAACCCTGCCTCATGCTGGCGCTAACGATGTTCTACTGTGTTACTGGATGAAGAAAGAACATCTGTCCAAGAGTCGGCAGTCAAAGAATGACGGGGTGTCGCTTGCCTTTTTAAGGCTGAAAATTGTTGTGCTCATTCTGGCGTATCTCCTCAGCCCGATTAGGGACCTCTCCCTGACGAACAGCCGATGGCACCTCCAGAATGGACTCGACTGCAGTTCTAGACTCATTAAGTGCATTAGTCTACTGAAACCTCTGTCAAGACTTTTCACCGAGAATCAGCTTATTGGCAGACCATAGATACTGTGTGCTAATTTTGCACACCGTTCAGAAAGTAGACACCACCCCGCATCCTGAGAGAACACTGATCACGACGGTGTTCTAACTTTGGCAGAGAGCTTAAGAGGACAAATACCAGATACTTGCGTCTATATGCTATCGCCCATTCCGTTAAAGTCATGAGAGCACCAGAAGGGGCGCGCTTCCCCGCTGTTAAGCCAGTACGTACTCTTCATGTAAACATGAGCATCGGCGATACAGCATTGTTTAACGTTCTCAGAGAAGTATTGTAGCTCGACTTACCCCAGGATGGACTATCCAAGATCTGGCCTGTACGCGTCAACTTAAAACGAGAGCCGAACAACACCAATTCAATATTAGTATCGATCACTGCGAGCACGTTCTGCCAAAGAAGCTCGAATTTCGAAGCTTGTATTCCAGCCACCATTTGATGGCCCTGATCATCGTTCATAATATCTCTATATGACTCGCATGGTGCTCCCAAGCCCATCTCAAAACAGCATCGAAATCCCTGCAAGTATGCATCCCTTCGAAATCAACCATCAATCTCTGCGCCGATTCGCTGTAAAAGACCCTTAACGGGGTCAAATCGGCTCGACACTGGATATTTTGTCTCAGATAATCTATGCAATGGTCTACGAAGGAGTGGTCAACGCGATGTCCACTGTAGGCACTTATATGGTCTTACCAACGTGTAACCGTCGCTTATTGTTTACGTCCGTAAGGTACTGCGGGTCGTATAGTGCGATTCGTATTTGATTCTACACGTATCAGTACGATCTCAGTCAGCCACGAGTTACGGACACTGACGAGACAATGGAGCTGGTGGAAAACGTCTGGTATAGTGATGGCTTTGTTGCGTCCGTCGATGTAGAGACCTTCGACATTAACCTCCCCGGTATCTAGCTCGATATTTTGGACTGGGACAAAGTAAGTCAGGATGAGATGAATACAGTGCACGAAGGGGTTTTACCAGCGTCGAACTCGTTCCACGCTTCATCAATGCTCGAGCCGTTACCGATGTACCGTTTGCTTTCCTTTTCTCCACCCAGGAATAATTTGCCCTTCTCATCGTACTTCAAGCCACCAGTAAACTGTCGCTGAACGGTCGAGAACTTGGGGTAGGCTACAGATTCTACATCAGCCATGATTCCGTGAAAACTAGCAGTGCTGTATAATTGCGGTGGTGCTTACCAAGCTCTTCAGGACGACGATCCGTCGGAAGGGTGGTGAAAATGTACGCGAGCAAGACAACACAAAACGAAGTCGAGAAGATAGATACAGCAACCATGAAAGTCCACGGTGAAATCCATCGGTCTTTCTTCTCATGGTAGCGAAAAGTCTTGTGCTCGCCCCTTAGAAAGCCCTGTCTACTCTCTTCATCTTGGTCGTCCATCACGAGAGTAGTGCAAGTGAGGTGCTGTCGTAGGAAACATGAAATCCAGTCTCGAAGTAACGGTTGCTTACCCGTACGAAAAGCCTCCTCGTCATGTCCTTCCCTCACTGCCCGATTTATAAGCTGCATAGACCACTTCATTCGTGTCTATCCTACAAACAGCATGTGTCGCTGCTATACAATTGTATTGGACAATCTCGAGATGTTTCACGACCTATAGTGTCATCACTGCTGTCGATCTTCAAACACAGGCTTGCATAGTCCGCTAGATCGAGATCTTACACGGCGAGGCAGACTACGAACATAAGTACGGCTGCCCGCAAAGGCGGGCGAAGCAAGATCAGGGGAAACATGTGATTTGAGGGCTTTCTTGCAATATGTTTTCGTATTCTACACCCTGCGAACACAATCTTATAAAATACGTTTCCTTCGTACATTCTACCGTTTGCTGGCAATCAACGGCATACGAAGCTTAGTGAGGCTTGGAAAGCTTGGACGGATGATAATCCGCCTTATACACGTTTAAGCCTCCGAGTTGCGACGATCGGAGAACTATAGAACCCGTGTTTCGGGGCAAGTGGTCGATGTTTACGCCCGAGGGGCCGAAATGCTTACGCTTTGTAACGTCGCCCCGCATAGGTGATTGTGCTACAGAATTGATAGCACACTAAAGTAGAAACAAGTCATTGGAGCCATACCTATACTAGAATTACGTTGACATCATAAGGGCCTAAAAGATGATACTTGTGTTTGTCGGTTCCACACATGGGGTCCGAAATCCCGTATCCGGCCACGCCGTATCGCACGATAAACGTTAACGTTGATCGGCGCATGAATTCAGTAATGTCACGGTGCACCTTCTCCTACTCAGCACTAGTGGACCAAGGATTCCCCAGGTTCTCTCTTTGACAAGGAGTTTTGGTATTACACGTGGAATGAACTTGTGGAACGTAAGCGCTTAGCGTATGGGTGCGTGATCATTATGTTATCATTTCAGTCGCCTAATTTTTTAGCATTACGTTATGCTTTTAAGCAAATGCATATGTTTTTCTTTCGTGAAATTATTTTGTGAACGTAATGCCTCCTTCCTCCATACGGGAACACATGGGTAAATGTGAAGCAGTCACCTCAATGTAGAAGTAGAGGTCCTTGTTTCTGAAGGTGTTCATGCAGCTTTAGACATCAAACATTAAAATGCACATACGGGACCGTGAAACGACTCAGCGCCACAGAACACGCGTCTGCCAACGCATGCTGGGCGAGTATCGGCCGTATACTTGACATCCTATTCAATACGCCTGAAAACACAAGGCATAGTCCGCGATCCGGACGTACCAAAAACGAGGCAATTTCAAGGCCCAAGCGTTGCAAGAGCATTGACTCCACGCTCCGCCCGCCCCGTTATTGATGTAGCTTCGAAGATCTGACCCATATGACGTCGATCACATTCTTCTAGTCTCTGAAGTAGCGTATAGAACTCTCTACAATCAACACGTGGGTTGCCATCGTCTTCTAAAATCGCACGAGAAGGATGTGTACTACCTCAAAGTTTGTCAGTGAGGTGCTGAATGGCAGCCGCCAGCGAGAACGCCTTGACGACTGATCGAAAATTGACTGTTACGTCGAGCTGGTGAGAGCTATAAAGAGTCTCGAAAACACGCAGGAAATCGCAACTTACCACAGCTCACAATCAGCACCATCATCACTACCATCATCAATCATCATCCCCCAAAATACACTTCTCCAGTACATAAATCCCGCACAGCCTGCACGCTATTCATACTTACCATTCCATAGACTCTACTCCAATCAACCACACCTCCAAAATGCGCTTCACCATCGCCACCTTCCTCACTCTCTCTCTCGGCCCCCTCGCCCTCGCCGACTTCAACATCGACCTCTACACCAGCACCGACTGCACCGGCGATAAAATCGGCACCTGGACTGGACCCGAAGGCGACGGGCCAGACACCTCCGGAGACTATGAATGGACCGGCCACCTCGGCTCCGTAAACATAAACCATCTGGGTCAGTGGAACACACAACTCAACACCAACGTGCACTGCCTGGCGACTTCCATCACCTGCTGCCAATATGCTCCCGACTGCAGGGACGGAGTCAATCTGCCGAGTTCGGGATGCTACAAGGTCGATGAGGATATCACGGGGTTGGGCATGACATTTACGGTTTGTGACAGTGCGTGCATCGACACTGGGTACAAGCGCGCTGAGAGGCTCTTCGGTGGACACTAGACCTGACGGTTAGGATGGAATGGAGTGGGAGTGGGCTTGTGAGCAGTGTACATAAGTGTTGCCTGCCAGATTGAGTGTACGCAAGGCTACAGTCTTTTCCGCATGAGGAATTTGATCATGTCAATGTTTGCCATTTGCTTCCCATTCTCTTGCATGTACTTTGATGATCTGTCAGAGGAACGCTAAGCAAATTATCTTTCAGCTAGGCCTCGAACGCACTTGCACTTCTATCTTGCGCGTCTGAAGCTTTGCGCCTTGAATGAGCGGAGTCTTACATACTTTACATGCACTGCGGGGCAAAGAGAGAGGGACTTTGGGGAGTGGGAAGGCGGGCGTTGGACCACTGAACGAGATCTGTGTGTTGATTCGGGACAGACAGAGAAAATAACGCTGTCTTCAGGTTTCAGAACCTAAGTGCGCGGTTGTGGTTGTCGTCACATTTGAAGCTCTTTTGAAGTCGGAGTCGGAGTCGAAGTTAATGAACTAAACCATGCTAAGTGGACCCCACGATTCGCCGACTCGGTTTCCCGCTAACCCACCCCAGTCCTACAAAACCACGACCATTTCCTCAGCCCCCATATCTCAAAACCACCATGTCACAACCCGCACCCCATGACCCTCCAAGTATCCTCAGCCTCGCTCACCTCTTCGCCCGCATCGGTACGCAAGTCCACTTCCGCTCGATTGCGTAGGAACTGACGGAGTACCTATGGTACATAGCAAGCACCGTGATCTCTCGAGTAGTGACATATCCATTTCGCTCTATCCGCGCAGCAACATTAAAAAAAGACGTCCTCAATGCTGCTATACGCAGTCTCCTCACTCACATTACCGTCGCTCAATCTCGCTACCTGAATCCCTCAACCACTTCCCGGTACCTCTCCTTCTGCAAGTCCCAGGCCAAAACCCCTTCATCTCTTTCCGTTGCCTACAATTCGAAAGAGAAGGGCAAAGGCGAGGCGTGCGCGCACTGGATAGGCAACCCGGAAGCTGATGCGGTGATCCTGTATTTCCACGGTGGCGCATTCTTCCAGCCCGCGACTGCAGGCACGTTTCTCTACCTGCAGGACCTGGTCCAAAAAGTAGGCAAAGAAAAGGGAAAGAGTGTCGCGGCGCTTGTAGTGGCGTATAGTCTGGCTCCCGAAGCTACTTTCCCCACGCAGCTCCGCGAAGGAGCCGCTGTGCTCAAGTACCTCCTTACTCCATCTGACCCGGAGTCGAAAAGGAGGGAAGCTGGGCATGTGTATTTGAGCGGTGACTCCGCAGGTGGGAACATTGCGCTGGCGCTTGTTTCGCATTTACTGCATCCGCATCCGGAGGTGGAAGAAATCAAATTGAAAGCACCGCTAGGCGGTGTGCTGCTGTATAGTCCGAGCGTAAGCCATAGCTTGGACTGGGACAGCATGAGTCGGAATGCCGAGAGGGATATGCTTCCTGCGTGCAAAGTTCCGGTATGGGCCGCGGTGTATATAGGGAAGACGGACTCGCTTCAGACTTCGACTGTTGGGTTGAGGCTCGAGACGGATGCGTATTCTGAGCCTTGCGTTGCTGATGCGTCTTGGTGGATGGATTTACATAAATTGGTAGGATCCGTCCTGGTGTTGAGTGGTGGAGAGGAAATCTTTGCGGATCCCGCGCGCGAGCTTAGGAGGAAGATGGAGGAAGGTTGGAGGGAAGGAGAGGGGGAGAGTTGTGCGGTCATGTTCGTGGAGACCCCAGGAGAGACGCATATCGGGCCCATCGTTGACTTCATGATGTCTGGTGGGAGAGGAGATTCGAGTTCACAGAAAGTGGTGGCAGAATGGTGGGCGGCACGACTGGAGAACTAAGGCACGAAGTGAGAAATCGAAACCCTGACGAGGCAGGTGCAAATGCAGTCGGACCAGTTCCTGTAAAGATGATATTAACCGATGATCTATATTGAGCTAAGACTACATAGCCTAGGCGTATGCGATGCACTTAGCGCTCCACCAGCGACAGCACCGCCATGCCGTCCTCATCACCAGTGCGCACGAGAAGGCCGCCTCGTGCCCCAGAACCAAAGACCGATAACGCCACCCAACCCGCTCGAAGCAGAATATGCAACCCATATCAACAAACGCCGTACGTAATGAAGTATACGAAAAGCCAGTCCGTATGCAGTCAATATCATCGCGTGTATATCATCCGAATTAGTGTTCTTCCTGCGCCAAGCTGCGCACCGTATTTCGTCGTAAATCGTCCCATCATAAAGCTCTTAAACGCGAACACCGCTTCCACCCGTCCACCGCAATCGTCTCAGGCCCATACCTGCGCTGCGGAGCCCAGAAGCAGCTTCCTTACCGCAGCTACCAGCATCACCGCCTACTGAGCTTAGCTGGCTTATGGCTTCAGCATGTCCTGCCTCTTTACCAACAACGTAGCCGGCTGAGAAGCTCAGAGCGCTGACGAGTACGACAGCGCCGGCGCCAACGACCCAGGTAAGTAAGGTGGGGCTAATCTCCTCGACGAGCGGCCCTGTATGGCGTATCTTCTTGATGGCCCGACGTTCCTTGCTGTTGCTCCTTGTAGTCGAGGTGCGTTTGGACTTTTCCGATGGGCTGCTGCTGATGGTGCGAGGCGATGACGATTGTGCATGTGCAGAATCGTCCTCCGCAATCTGTCCTAGGGCGACGGATTCGGGCACCAAACGAAGTGATGTAGGGTGGCCTGAGGGATTGGAAGTGACGGCACGTGGCTGACCCGGCTTTGGCAGGCCTCGTACCGCAGCCGCAGCGGTGAGAAGGGTCGACAGACTGGCTCGTAGAGCCTCGTCATGGTCCGCTTGCGCGTTTGGAGAAACAGCGTTGAAAGGTGTGTGTTGAGGGTATGAGTGTCGCTGAGACGATGGCCGAGCAGTAGGTCTTCGAGGCGTGTAGACAGTTCCAGATTGGGAGCGTATGGCAGGCTGCTCGGATGGGTGGGTGAAAGCATTAGGTCGTGGCTCGAACAGCCGCCTCGAAGATCGTGGGTAGTTGACCGCAGTTGCGTTCTCATCATCGCTATCTCCCTCGTCGTCTCCCTCGCGTTCCGACAAAGGCTCGGAAAAGGCCTCCGGCGTCGGACCCCGCGAAGATCTCCTCAGCTCGTGTTGAAGCGGTGAAGGGCCGATGCCCTCGTTGGAAGATGTCATGACCCTGTCCGACTCGCTTTCGCTCTCGTCGTACTCTTCCTGACTGCTGTTATCTCCACCGGCGCTTGCCACTCGGTACCCGGTACCAATCTGGAAGGGACCGACAGTGCGAGCACGTCTCCGCCGTCGGTGTAGGTTTGAATCATGCTGGACCCTAAGGCCGGTAGTGATGATCTCGTCGGCAGCCGAAGATAGCGAAGAGGAGGACGGTCGTGAGGTTACATCGACCCAAGAGTCTGTGAAGTGTGAGTTGCTTGAGCTAAAGTGCATAGCAATAGATTGGCGAGGGGTCACAGATATGTTTCCCTTGTTGAAAGCAATATGACAATACGGGGAAATGCTTACCCTCCGAATGATGCCTTGGAGGCAGTCGTCCAGTTGATGATACCATAGTAGGCGTGTCTTGTACGAGTTCACCACCTTGCCTCGACGACTGTGCCTGAAGTGTACTATGTTGTTGCTGCATACTCTTGACAACAAAGGATAAAGGAACGCAACAGCGAAATCGGACCGCCGTATGCGTTCGCAAGCCCAAGCTCACGCGTCCGTAGACTGACCTGTGGGTTGCCGGTGGAGTATGCGCCCAAGTGGAGCTGTCCCGACTTCGGTTCTTTGTCTGGCGCTGTCTTTCAAGGAAGCACCTCTTAGCCCTGGAACTGACAATAGACAGTGGCCTCTGTCGTCGTCAAGCGCTCGATGCGCCCGGCGCGTCTGGCGTGGAGATTGCAGGTGCGCCCGCTCGTTCGCTGACGCTACGGCTGGCCTCGATGCGCCGCGCAGAGGCCGACGTTTGGCACCGCTACAATGACGTTCTCGGCAACCTCTCGCTCCGATGGGGCGCGTTTGGTGGGGCAGCAAGCAAACAGAACAAAACCGTGGAGACACGTCGATACGGAGGGATGGCGGGGGAAAGGGAGGGAGAGCGAGGTTGTATCTTGCAGCGACAGGGCTCCGTGCCAGGCCTCATGGGCGTTGAGGTGCAGGTCACGGTGCATTCGCAGTCGGACACATGGCGATGGTAATGGCGGTGGCAGGCGGTGAACTGACGAATCATGCGCCGCCGCCCACCTTCCTAAATTGGGGCTTAGACAATCACCGTCACCTATCGTGCTCATCTGCCTAAGCACCTGAGACAGTGAGTATTAACTCAGAATGTACCTGAGTGCACTGGCACAGCCGCTTGCGTATGGTGACTCAAAATTGGGATGTGGCATCCCTTGATGTCTGCTATAGTCTGATTCCCATGCATATTGCCCACTTGCCATCCGGACATTTTAGAGACCCGCATATTACCCTTGCCCCAACTATTACCCGTACACTCGGGCGGTGTACACTGTGTTGCGCTAGCCTCACGCGGTAGACGGACGATGATCTTCTTACGAGGCAGGGTCTAGACAGTTGTTCAACATGCATACTGATACCACCAGCACACCACCTCTGTGGACATATGAAACTTGGAGGTACGCGTATTCGGGTCCCATGGCTCAGCTGCGTCCTCGATAAATTTTACGTGCGGATTGAATATACTTTCTTTATTGACAGACTACATTCGTAGTACACTATCGAGTTCCGACCCCTCTCATACTCCTGAACGCGCCGTTGACCCCGGTGCCAAAGCACCCTTGGAACGGCCAACACCACATCGATGAAATGTACCTGCCGTAAAGAGCGTTCTCGAATCGACGATGAAAGCTTTGAATGTAAGTCGCAGCAGACGTTTCAACAGAAACCTCCTCGTAGGAAATTGTCGTATCGTCTCAGTTGCAGACGTATTACCCCAGCATCGTGATATGGTACAGAAAAATGTGAAAAGCGCAGTCCCTCAACACCGTGGAAAATGCGAGAAATGAATCGCAAAACGTTGTGAAGCGAAGTGGTCGAGAAACTCAACTCGAGCGATCGGGAGGTCGTACCAGATGCACAATGTGCACTCTATTAATTCGTCTTCTTCTGTTGTTCTTGTTTCTTCTTTTTCGCGTCGCGGCGAGCCTTGAAGAAATCGCTGATCGCGTCCTTGAACTTCTCCCAGGGATTCCTGTTGAGGCGGTTGCTGAGCTGACGGTACCTGTACATCTCGCCCCAGCAGTCGCGGCCCCATTCGCAACCGGCCATGTTGACAAGGAAATCCCTCTCCTTCTCCTTATAGTGGATATGCGGGTCATCGCCTTTCTCTCCGCAGGCACCTGGTGGGAAGGCGTTGATCTTGCGCTGGCCGATGAACGCCAGGTGTGGGCGTATCCACGGCTGGTTCTTGTACATGTACTCCAAAGCATCCTGCTCTTTGTGCTCCCACTCCATATGCTTCTGCTCGTAGCCGACAGGGTCCCACCAGATATCCATCAGCCTGTCGGTCCAGACGCTTCGCCGTACAAAGAACGAGCCCAGATTGAAACCACCGCAATCCTGGGGGACAATCATGTTGATCGAGTCGGCTTTGCCATCACCTACGGGTGACCTAGTCTCCGGATCGAGGTACTCATCTGTCAGCGGGTGGGAAATGTTAAGCGGGTTGTAGTGGTTGATATCGCGATACGTGACATCCTTCAGCTGCTTGAAGATGTGGTTCTGGAGGGAGTAGTTCGGCTCCATGATGAATGTGTTTGTGTCCAGCCACCAGAACCTAATCAGAGTTAGCGAGACGGACTACCTGCCCCGAGTACAACGTACCATTCAGCGCGGGGATATTTGCGCATAGCGTTTCGGATCGTGTCAACCTTCTCCCAGCTTTCTCTCCACTCGTGGGCATATCGCTTCTTTGTGCTCATGTCTACGATTTCCAGGTCATATCCCCACTTCTGCGTGTACTTCTTCTTGTTTTTGACACTGTCTCTTTCGATCGCCCATTCTCTCGGGCCCTTCCACTCCATGACTCCACCGCCCTGATTCGCAGCGAGAATGACGACGAACTTGCTACCTCCGCCAAACCACGAGCGCCGGTATACGCGGTGCAGTGCTGCTATAATTAGTACAGGTGTGGGTATTGAGCGGGACGAACATACGTGTTGCGTAGAAGAGAATGTAAAGCAGTATGATGGTCAGAATCGTCCCAAGAGGTTTCCGCAGGCGCCACAGATTCCAACCGATTCTGTTCAGCATCTGCAGGATCTTGTTGTTGCCCTGATATCCCCGCCCTCTGCCTAGCTTTTCCTTCTCTCCATAGCTGAAAGGCAGGCTTGTGGAAAGCCGCCGAAAGTGCTTTCCAAAGAAGCCCTGGTTGCGCGGTGCAAATGCAGTGTATCCCTTGACGTTGGCGCTGCGGGCCTGGGCCGAGGCCCAGGTGACGTTGTTGGAGCTGGAGCTGCCGTTCGCAAACGGGCTGCTTCGCCCTCCGCTGTCGTAGGGCGTATTCAGGCCTGGACTTGACCAGCCTCCCGGGCGCGGCGACGGGGATCTTGACATCTCGACGGCTGGGGTGCCGGGGATGGGAGGCAGGACGCCCTCAAAGGAGCCGCCCGTGGTGTTGCCGACTCTGTTGCGCGACGCGGAGCCGTCGTTCAGATGAAGGTTCGGCGGGTGCTTCGCAGCAGATGAGCGCCTGCGACGTTGGCCAGACGAGGCGGACGAGGAGCCTGTGGAAGCCAGGGCGAATGACTTTCAGCGGTGTCGAGGGGCGGCGGAATGAGAAAAGGCGCCACTGCGCGTGGCTTGAGATGATCCCAAGACTTTCCGTGGCCCTTGGCCGGCCGTTGACTGCGCAAGGAAATTGCTGTCGACTGCGATGGGGCCGCTGCAGAACGCAAGGTGTCCGGAGGAGGCTGCAGGTAGGCTAGCTTTCGGCGATGCAGAGCTGCCAGAGGTAGAGGTGTCCTGTGTGAGCGCGTGGCTGGTTGCACTGCGGAAGGGAGGTCCTCGCGATGGTGCAACCCGTCTTGTCTGTCGCAGCGGGCGCAATTGATTAGGTACAACACCAGCTGGAGATCGCTCTGCAAAAAGGAGGACCTCGACGAAATTAACAGACCCAGTGCTCTTCCCTGCGACGGGGCGCTGAGGCCACTTGAAGGTCGCTTGGCGGCCTACGAGAGCTACCACGCCGCCTATCTCTCTCCTTTATCCCACACCAACATTGCGAATTTCGCTTGGCGCACCTTGACCCATTTTCACTTTACCGTACTTCGCTGCAGCCATCGGTTGACATGTCCGCAAACGGCCGATCGTTCTCAGCCAGTGTAGCTGAACTGGGCAGCCGCCAGCTGGCATCAAGTGTTGCGCGGTAGTCCCTCGGCTCACCAGAGTCATCTTGCTCAGCATCAGGTATTCCAATCCGTAGTTAAGGGAGTCGTTGTGCTCGCTCTGGCACACCACTGTCGCCTAGCCATGCCTCCTCCGTCTGTACGCTGTCGCACGACGGACTTGCACGCGACACTCTGCTCCTCAGCCAGCCTTCCGCAGAACGGCCGCAGACAAGGCCTTCGGCACCGTCTCGTCCGCTCCGCTTTTGCTTGCACCGCAGACGGGATTCTCGTGTACCTCGTGTATCGGGCCGGGTCGATGAATTGCACCCGTAGCGTAGTGCTCAGGTGGAAGACACCGACACCCGCGATTTCGTAGACAAGTCTTGGGACCGCGAACTAGCCAAGGCATTACCGTCACTGACCATCCGGCACGCTCAATACATAGCCTTTGGAGGCTCTTCATCATCGTTTGCAGACGTACATTCTACTGTGGACGAGCACGTGTATGCCAAGCCTGATGTTCTATTTACGCGCCAGAGCAAGCGCTTAACAAGGCCGCTCTCGCTTCTGACTGGCTGCATAACCTCTACCCATGATTTGCCCAACGACCACGACGAGGCCGCTCTCTGGAGCGTCTCAGAAGTGGCTTTGCGTTGTACATCTCAAGCCTAACGAATCCCCGGCGCCTATGAGCCTCCATTCTGTTCGATGGCGCCCGCCATGAGGCCAGGCCCACTCTGCCGGGCAACCTCTGCCTCCAATCACCTCACTTGAGGCCCTGCTCCCTCTCTGCTTTGCTGGGGTAGCCTCACGCAATCCATCCTGTCCTGGGCGCTTGTCGAATCACAAGTCGAGACACTCAATTGTACATGAAGCTAATACAAGACGGCGTGGCGGGTAGGCGGCATGGGTTTACGAAAGCTACCCGTTGTCGTGGAGTTCGTGCCACCGCGCCAGAAACGCATCTTTTCTCTTCTTCACTCCGTCTCTTCTATTGTTTGTTCTTGCTGCTTCACCCGGGACCTTTACCCCGCCACTCATTCTAATTCAGTTCTTGTCCCGTTTCTTTTACTTTACGTCGCCCCTAACAAAAGAACACGGTAACCACCGCTACACGGCCTTTGTTTCACATTCTCGAGGACAATGCATTGTCTCTGTACCATTTCTTGAAACGCCAACTTCGCCCCATCACGAAGCCCTACATCTCACTCTTTGTACCTTACGTTGCTACACGCAAACCCACGACTCACCGAAATCGAACGACATGAGCACTCAACAGAAATATGGGCAGCAATCCCATGAAACGGCACTACAGACCACGTCTACGAGCCTAGCCTATCCTGCACCGTCTGCAGGCTCAAACGGTCAGGATCAGGATGGTCACATACTTGTACACTTTAACGGGCACTTCAACGGCCAGCTTAACGGGGCTTTCATGGTCCCGAGTAACATGCAGCAACAAGCGCCTACCGAGAGCGATGCACAGATAGCTGCACGGAGAGCCATGGCGAAACGCAGCTCTCGGTCATTCGCCGCGAGAATAACACGGAACCGGTCACGGAAGATGGAGGTCTTTCGAGCAGCAAAACCAGGCATAACAGTCGACACTAGCTTCGCACGGCATCGGGGCAACGTGCCGCATCAAGTATATCCTCAGGATAGCGAGAGGAGGAGGGGCGGATCGATCAGGAAGGAGGGCTGGTTTGGCCTGGGAAGATCGGACACGAAGAATAAGGGCCTTGGGATTGTGAAGGGCATGACACCACAGCCTGGACGTGCTTCGGAGGATCGGGAAGGGACAAACAAGGATCCAAAAACGGCAGACTCTCTGACGTCGGGTAGTAAGACCTGGCAAGAAATATCGCCATGGGACCGACCCATTCCCATCGGCATCACAGTACCTTCCGACAGTGTCACAGACTTCAGTCCGTATCAGGCCACACGAGCACGCTCCGACAGTGATGCCACTCTCGCGACCCCAAGCATTATCGTTACTCCTGCAGCAGCTATGCAATCCATGTGGTCACCTGACACCGCGTCGGATTACACAGCGTCCAGTGCATATTCGCGGGCAACGCACATGCCGCCATGGGCTTCGGATGTACCGCCTGTCCCATCATTGCCTGCCAATGTACAGAATCTGCCTGCCCAGAAAGCAAGCTCTGAAGCGCAGCGGGACTGGAATTTCAACTATCCCAACAGGGCAAGGACCGACACGCTAGAATCCGGTGATACAGCTTTCGAAGAAGAGCAGGATGACATCCGAAAGGATCGTATCATGTCGACGGGAACGGTTTTCGAGGAGGACGATACGCCACTGAGAGAGAAGAAGCTGCAGACTCTGTCTGTTGATACCACCGGCATGGTGCCAACGCCACGCAGATCTCAAGGTTGGTGGAACGTCATAACGACTCCTTTTGTGATGTCGCGGACAAACTCTGTCTGGACCCAAGGCGGGCGCAATGCCGAGAAGACACCCGATATACCCATGGTACCGGCCGAGTACGGCACGTACCGCAACTCACCTTCTCCATCTACGTATATGTGGTCCGCAACCGAGAGGAGTCCATCGACACTCGGCGATTCTCCCATGTACCCGGCTCAAGCAAAGTTTCTAGCCCCAAACACAGCAGAAGCAAGCGACCGTGGACAAGGCAACCGCATCAACGTGGCCATGGTGAACAATGATCATTATAAGAGCCCGCCAGCCACTCGCACGGTAGATGCGCCGACCAAGAACCCAACTATCTCTGTTCCTAAAACCATGTCCGTAACATCGGAGACGGCCCTACCTCTCTCTGAGCCGACTCCGAGGTTGTTGGCTGAATCTGCAACACCTCCTCTTGCGGCGAAGTCCTCAACGCCGCCCATCGGCACCACTGCAAACGGCGCAGTGGCAGTCGGTCTGCCACCTCATCCTCAACCGCCGCAGCCTATCAACGTAAACATCGCATTCCATGATGCGCGGGTGTTGGCAACCAGTCATTCTCATCCTACCAGCACATCAGCCCGGACCGAACCAGGACATGTCATTGTTGCGCCGATGCCCGCGTATGCCAACAGCACCACGTCGAGAAGCAATACACCACCACAAGTCGCGCCAGTCTTCTTCCCACCACCGCCTAACGCTACCTCGAAGGACAAGCAGTTCAGCTTCAGCAGCTTCAGCAGAGCGAGCAGCCCGGCGTCATCAGTACATGAAGCTAAATTGCAAAAACCAAAGGAGCATCGCAGGATGAATAAGATCATGTCGAAACTCGCGCTGTGCAGCCGCAAGAAGGGCGAGAAGAGAGACGAAAAGAAAAAGAAACGATCTCGCTGGTGTCTGGGCTGTTGCTGCTGCCTCATATTCATGGTCCTGCTTGCCATCCTCATCCCTCTGGTTGTGGTGTTCACCAGGAAGCACAACAACAACACTGCGACTCCCATCGCGGGAACCCCCGACACAGGCTCAGATACTCCGACCCAGTGGCTCAATAACACTGGCTACCCTCCGATGAAGACTGGATCACTGACGATCGCGCAACCAGAAGCCGTGGAGGAGGAGAGTGGCTGCGTTGCACCTACCACGCTGTGGAGCTGTGCCCTTCCTAAGGAGCAGCAGAAGGACATCGAACCCAACAAGCCCGACCAGCCAAACTTCAAAGTCGAGATCACATTCCAAAACGGCACCGCAGCAGATCTCTCAAAGCCCACCCGCCGAGCGGCAAACCCCGTCTCAGCAGGCTCTTTCATGCGCTCTCTCTCCGCCGAGCCACGCCCTCCCCGTCCCCGCCCCACCCAGCACGGAAGACATGAAATTTCTCGGCCAAACTAGTGACGGCATATCCACCCCTTTCGAGGGCGAAAGCACCCCTTCTTCATGACTTTCCAAGATCCCACCGCCTCCTCAACCTCCTCCCCTGCATCTCGTCTAGCCAAACGCGCTGACGATCCCACGAACATCACCCTCGTGATTCCGCCCCCGTCTCTCAACCCCGACGGCACCGCCGCCGCAGCAACCCTCCTCCCCTTCCCCTCTGCTCAACCACTCCGCCTCTTCAACCGTGGCAAGTCCGATGAACACTACGGCTTCTACACCTACTTCGACAGGTCGATCTTCTTGAAGTCGATCGACTCGTCGACTGGCCGCGGCGGTAACCCTGCGGACACGAACGGGGGGTCTACGAGGGATGCGGCAACGCTCAGGTGCACTTTTACCCAGACGAGGTTTTTGGTACAGGTTTGGACGAAATCCAATCAAGCGCTCCTCAATCCGCCACAAAACACGACTGAAGAAGCGTTCAAGCGCCCTGGCACGTTTCCTTACCCTGTTACGTTCACGCTGGATAGGCACGGCGGCGATGTGGCGAAGAAGAACCTGTTTTGCTATAAGATGGAGAGCGATGGCACAATCGTTAACAAGGACGCGAATAAGTTCTTTCAGTTTGAGGATCGCGGGTTTGGAGGGAATCTTGTGAATGGGACACAAGGGCGGCCGAATGCGAAGGGGCCTATTGACGGTGGGACTGGAGGTTGCAGGTGCAAATGGCAGAACTGGGTGGATTAGATGGTGCATCTGTTGATGTTGCATTGTTTGGCGTCGAACATGGGTCCGTTTCAGGCATTATTTGGATACCACTGGATGGTTTCTGCTGTACATTACTTAGACAGCGCATAGGAGCGCTACTTACCAACCTAATATGATCCATCGGCCTATGAGCCAAATCTTTGTCTCAAATCTCATGTGGATCTTGTAATTGGCCTATGGTTCGAACACGGGATTTGTCTAAGATGTCGTGCGTGGCGGCACATTGCTTGTAATGGCGTCAATGAACACCATCATCGGAGGGTGACAAAAGAAGAGACGTCAAATTATTGGAAAAGACAGTGAAACACGTGCGTTTCTTCGCAAGCAAGCTTGCGCGCATGAAGGAGAGAAACGGCTCTATCGGAACGGAAGTGCTGTGGGGCATTGTTGGGAAAGAAACAATATACTATGTAAAATCCGAGCGTCGAGGCTCGACGCGGCCATAAGTCGTAGGGTCTAACAGCAACTCCACTCAAGAGGGTCCCATACAATTAGTTTGCCATAGTGTTGAGCCGCGTAGAGGGCTTGACAGCCCTCGGTACCAGTTACCAGTTCTGGAGGTGGCACCTACGATTCCACGCTGCTGGGTACAGTTCAAGCCCCGATCACTGCTTACATAGGTTCTCTAGCATGGGGAAATGTATGTTGCCGACTCTCTCCAGGTGCTGCAAGGGCATGTTGCATGTTCGTCAGGCCACAGTTCCTCACAGCCTTACCCATGGCCTTTTACGTCCACGCATAGCGTACTCGACTGCTCTAGGCGTCTCAAACTGTATCGACCGCGGTAATAAGCCGGGGCTGTGGCCAGATCTAGGGAGAGGTCCCACTTTGGGAAATACTGTGGTATCCACCACGGCAGGATCCCGTATGGTACGCGTCTGGTAGGCTTGAAGCCGAAGCTTTCGCCAAGTGACGATGCCGCAGAGCCTCAGGGTCCGGCAGTGGCCTTGCGATACCGAGAAAATGGCTAAGAGATGGGGCATTCGTGATGCATGCTTGGGTTGACGGTCTAGGTATGCTTACAAGTCTGACAGATCACTGTAGTGCATCTTAGCATGAATGATATTGGTGCATCATTGTGACAATTTCGAGTCGTCCGAGGACTGTCAGCAGAATCAGTCGGTCCTTCGGCGTGCACGTCTTCATGCTGCTCCACGGCAATGTAACATGCACAAGCAATCCTTTAGCATCGATCGGGGTTGTTTCGCGGTGTCCCCGTCGCCATCGGACGCGCTTTGATGCACGAGTCAACAAGCTTGGTCATCCCGCGCCTAGCGCCTTCCTCCCCCGACCCTTGCTTTCTCCAGTCGCTCTTGCACGTTCTGGACTCTGGCGATCTGATTGGCTTCTTGCAACCTCACGTCTCGCCCACGCGGTTTCCTCATGGAGCAGGACAGCAGACATGGCCTCATTTGGAGCGAACTCACGCGTAACGGCTACGACGCAAGAGAAGCTCTGACAAGCCGTCGGCTAGGAGCTTGTGCAAGCCATCCCGGAGATCGTTTCGCCTTGGCTCCCGTCATGGCGAGCAATTGCAGACGTCGTGCGCAAGCCTTACAATCGAGAAATCGTCTTTCTCCGAGGAAGAATTGGTTTGGGGTCGGATTTGAAGAGCTACAAGCTGTAGCAGCAGGACCTGCACAACTGCACGCCTCCCGCATGTCCCCACGCAACGTATATGCGCGTAGCGTACGGTCGCGTGCGCTCTTGCCCAATGCGGACGGGCCGAGAAGTAACCGTCTCCACTAACACGACCGCCGCCTCTGCCGGCAACCCACAAGACCAGAGCCACCATGCCCATGCCGGGAGAAGATTTTTCTGAAGCGCGGGATCTGCCTGCGCGCCGGTCTACAATGTATATATTACCACCGCGTTGCGGCCGGTGGTGTGGGCGGCACGAAGACTTTGTCTTTTCTTTTGCGCCTCCCACCCACCAGAGGCCCGCCGACAGACCCGACGGCGCTCCACCGTGGGCTCCTCATCGCCTGTGATTGCTTTGAAACATAAGCCACGCTCGTTACATACACGATCTCTTGCAGCTGTCGATCATCTCGATATCCCCCGCGCACCTTGAGACGCCTCCTACGCACCAACCAACACCTTCGGAACCAGCGGCGGATTCCTGCGACCCCCGGGCGTCACTTTCAACGCACAAGCTACGCGCTTATCAGCCACTCACGCTCGAGTATTTACAACGTGCTACAACTGTCTGGCGACCAAGGGTGAACGTTCGCACCTAGTTCCTTGCCCAAGACCTGGTCCGAATTCCGGTCCAACGTCATAGCCACCGCGCTAAACGTCCGTGTGGGTTCAGCCTTGCGAAAAGAAGCTCGCGGTTTAAAGGCTTGAGTTGCAACTCTGTCTGGGCAACATCACGACACAGGACCTTCTGGTGAATTAGTTCTGAGAACCAGCCATGGAGATTGGTGCTCTTCCCGTGCCTCATGGCGCTCCTGCCAACAGGAACGACTATGCGGACATGGAAGTCAGGCGTGGTGAGTAAAGAACAACCCACTTGTTATTGCATTCCCATCTTTCCCCTTGCCCGCACAATGTTTGCGATACATCATTCTCAGCACAGGGAGCGTTCGTTCCCTACCCTCCAACATTCGCTCAATGGCGGGTCCTTCATTCTGTCAAAAGCATCAATTACCGCAATCACGGCCATCCTTTAGCGAAATATTCGAGCTCGTCCGGGTCAACAAAAACGGAATCACGTCCAGAAATCCATCGCTAACCGAACTATCAGACATGACAACCGAAGAGAAGGACGTCTTCCACGCCATTCTCCATCCCGACGACATGTACGATGGATTCGGTACCTACTGGGCTGACATGCCTATTGCGCAGCGCCTCAAGTTCATCGGCAACGTCGACAACCAGGAAACGAAGAAAGAAATGTCATCCATCTGGACCATGTTCAAGGGTGATCCTCTAAAGCCCGTGGGTTACTACCTGAAGAACATGGTCCTTCCCGGCGCAGGCCTCGGTTTGGAGGGTTATGTCCTTTTCTCCATCGGTAACGTCAGGCCACTGCTTCAAGCTACGTTTCCCACTTGCTGGGATACAAACGAGGTCTGCGACAAGCGCTGGACGGAAGCCGTTGACTACTTGGAGATTATTGGTATCATTGTTGGTAGGTTCTCATGTCTCATCCGAAAGCCCCGAATTAACACCTGCAAGGTCAAATTCTCGTTGGTTATCTGGGTGATTACCTCGGTCGCCGATGGGGTCTTATCCAGGATGCCACAATCATGTTCATCGGATTGCTCATGCTTACTGCGTCGTGGGGTGTCACGCTGGAAGGCTGGGTCATTTGCTACGCTTTCTCCCTCTTCTTCTACGGCATTGGTGTTGGTGGAGAGTACCCCATGACTGCCACTTCTGGTATGGAGAATGCTGTCGGTTCCGGCAAGGTCTCCACCAGAGACGATCGGCTCCACCGTGGCCGCAAAGTCACCAGCGCTTTCCTGATGCAGGGCTGGGGTCAGTTCTTCAACCAAGTTATCCTCATCCTCTTGCTCCTCATCTTCCACCACGGCAGCGGTAACCCGCCTTACTCCAAGGTCGCCGCCCAATGGACGTACCGCGTCTCGTTCGCTATTCCCGCGGTCGGCACCCTATGGCTCGTCTACTACCGTTACTACAAGATGCGCTCGGCAAGCAAGCAACTCATGATCAGCAAAAAGAAGGGCAACGTTACTGGCTACGACACCAAGTCGCTCAAGATGACCCTGACGTACTTCGGCCCTCGCCTGATAGCTACAGCTGGTGCCTGGTTCGCCAATGATGTCTTCTTCTACGGCAACAAGCTATTCCAGAACGAGTTCATCAAGGTCATTACGCCCAACAACAGCACCGTCATGACCGGCTGGCTCTACAACCTCATTAACGTTGGTGTTTCGCTCTGCGGATATTACCTCGCCTCATTCCTCATCGACAACAAGCTATACGGCCGCAAGTGGATGATGATCGTCGGTTTCATGGCAGATTTCATTCTGTTCGTTGTGCCGGCTTTCAACTTTAAGTTCTTCACTTCTGCTGAGCATGTCCACGCCTTCCAGGCCATGTACTTTCTTTCTTCCTTCTTCAACCAGTTTGGCCCCAACAGTGTCACCTTCCTCGTCGCTGCTGAGGTCTTCCCGACGCCCATCCGTGCCACTGCCCACGGCTTCTCCGCTGCTGTAGGCAAGTCCGGTGCTCTTCTCGCTTCCGTTCTCTACAACTACATCGACACACAAACCAAGTTCTACGTCGTCCCTTGGTTTGGTCTTGCTGGAGCCCTCGTCACTTGGCTCTTCCTGCCCGACACCACCGGCCTCGATCTCAAGGAGCAGGAACGCCGTTGGTCATACATCCGCGCAGGCAAGGAGCAAGAATACCACGGCATTGCCATCCACTGGAAGCATCTTTCTGTCTGGGAGCGCATGCGTGGCGTGCACAAGGCCTATGACGCGCGCCTCGACTACGAGGCGAAGATCAACGAGATGCGCGCCGAGTGGGTCGAGCACCAGGAGAACAAGTTTGCGGACGATCTTAAGGGTCACGAGGACTTTGACGACAACGATGGCGAGTTCGAAAAGGGCGTGCACGACTATTTCTCAAGGACTGCTCCGGATAGCTTGAGGGGGAAGAGGGGTGCGCAAAATAACAATGGAGTGTTGGGTGAGAAGATCGACAGGGAGAGCGAGAGTGGTGGTAGTACCATTGCGGATGCGGATCATATTTATCACGAGAAAAGGTCTTAGGAGACTAACGGAAAGGGTAAGGGAAAGCTTCCTGTCAGGGAGGTTGACAAGGACGCCAAGGTTAGGGGCGTTTCTTTGCTTCAAGTATGTAAATTGGAAACTGCATCTTAGCGTTTAATACCCAAAAGCTTGATAGAAAATGATTGAGCTCTCTTTACAAGTCGTCTTACGAACTGTCTTCGGCTGAGTGATGGTCATGCCTCTCTTCATGGTTGATCGAATGAAATTTGCAGCTGTCGATTCACAAATGCTTGGTGAGCCATTGAGCGTCATGCAAGAAAGCCTCCACAGACACCCCATCTACCCAGCCCTCCACCGAAACAGAGTGCCCCCGCACCCCGGTTGAACGGGGGCAAGGGCATATAGACACAACGTAGCACATAGCTATTAGCCACATCAATTTACAGCAGGAAATAAGAAGTGATTTATAGACAGACAGCGTTAGGATCCTTAACTAGACAAGGACAGACGCCTAGACAGGCTACCTATTAGTTTAGCAGCGGCTTTTACGCAAGATACGCCCTCACCCTAGGTACTCAGCGCGTCCTTTTGCCCCATAGGAGGCTTTGTAACTATTCTCATAGTTGGAGTAAATCTATTTATTACCTACCTACCTACCTGTAAGAAAGCCTCCAGCATCATATGTACTGGGCATGTCCGTTTCTGAATGCTGCACCCCAGAGATTGTGACTTGCGGCACTTCGGCAGGAGCACCCCGCCTCACCACAACTTTACTCTCACTATTTTCGCTCTCGCCCTCTCTCTCTCTCTCTCTAACACACACACGCACTCTCTCTCACTCATCTCGATATCCAAATTCATGTTCACAAACACAATGTCATCTCTGCAGTCTTACTTAGCTTGAGACAAAGCGAGGAAAACCTGGCTAAGCAAATCAACACCCTGACAAATACCAACAATCGTCTGGGGCAGGATATTGACACCCTGACAACCAAAAACACGGCTCTGGGAAGAGAAAATGTCGTCCTGAAAGAACGGAACGACGCCTTGTCTGGAGGGCAATGAGCCCCAGTCTGGCCAATGCAGCTCTGCCTAAATCCTTGTCGATGACATTGGTGGAGAGATGTATGTTCAGAAGCTCCGCAGCTTCATTGGCAAGGTAGGTGGAAAGATGGCCCTTGAAGAAATCCTGTCGCTCGGTGAAGCGGTGAGACGGTTTGTGAACAACAAGTTGCATCCGCACATGTATGTGGATGACGACGTTGCCAAGGGCCACAAAATCGTACAGTCGGCACGCCGAGTTGACAAAATCCTTGGCTTGGAGGCGATGGAGGCGCAGACATCGGACAACGAATATATCAGCGAAATGATTTAACGAGTAAAGAAGAATATAACAATTTCCCTCGTATTGAATTGTGTGACGCCCACATAAATGTACATGGCGAATCCTGTCACCTTTCCCTCTCGCCAATTCTGCCCCCAAAACAGGTTAATGTATTGGAGTATGATTGGAACTCTCGCCAATCTTGACTTTTGGTTTTGATGTTACCCTGAGCATGAGGTATTATTACAGTCAGGGTCATTGTCGTCCTGACCCGGAACGGGATCTCCGTAATCTTTTTGACACAAGATAGTCCACAAAGCCTCCTAATGGATACATGAAATGGTTAGAGGGTATTCTTGCGAGATCTTGGGTGGGACTTACTGCTGCGAAATAAGCATAGCTATCTGCATTAAGCTTTGCCAAAGACTTGTCCAACGTGCGCACTTGTACCGCCCCGTAGCCGATAGGATTGCCAGCTGCATCTTCTTGGTCGATGATGGGAGCATTAAAACTGCGGACCGATTAGCAGCTTTCGACAAGAACATGAATATTCTTACATGGACTGTGTCATGCGATTGTAGTGCCTGAAAGAATTGGTCAGCATGGTTCGTCAAAGCCAGTAAATCGTTCAGCTTACGTGTATTCATGGAGCAAAGTCATCCCAAGTGAGTTCATTCTGAAGCTCACGTTGTCTCCTATACTGTCACAGGTTAAATAGTGGTTCTCTGCGCCCGGGCCCTGTGGATCCTGTCCCTCAATGACTGTTACGCCTTTCTTATCGAAAGCCCTGGGGCATAGGACCAGGGCGACATCGTTCGGTGCATTGTTCTGGTCCAGGTACGCAATCAATCTTGGATCACCGCAAAGATTTCTGGAGTCTGATTGTTGTACCAAGATCTCCCCAAGGAAAGGGCTTCCGCCATCCGCAGCAGGCGCATTAGGGTCTGTAGGTTGCGTCCAGATTGTGGCGAAGACTTTCCTGACGTTGGCTCTGTCTTCTTCGTTGAAGTATTTTGTGAAGATGTTCTGGCGGTTCGGATCATCGATGACGGTTGTGGCGTAACCCGCAAGTTCAAAAGCGTCGTTGAATGCACGCTCGACCTTTTCCAATTTGTTTGGATGGGGCTCCTCATCTGGGTTGAGGTCTGCATCGCCGGTGTTTGGCTCTGCACGAGCTCGAATGTGGCGATTGTAATTGGTAGGCAAAGAGAGTGCCGTGATAGAGTCTTTGGTTATTGGAGATCCCAATACATTTGAGACGAAAAGGATAGCGACAAGCACCGAAGACAGTTTGGAATGCATTTTGATAATGTCTCTTTTACCGAGTCTGGCTTCCAATTAATGTATGGGATTGTTGTCCATTCTTATAAACCAGCTTTAAGAAACCTCGCAGAATACCATGATCCGATCAAAAGCCATGAGCTTTGACAGCCTTCGCATAATACTGCGCCCCGATCAAAAGCAATGATACTGAAACTACTGAATTCGATTCAAGTGACGTCGGCTGACTGCGTTTATTTGATACTGCCTCTCGTAATGCTTACAGGATCACAGACGAAGGACGAGTCGGAGTGCAGAAGACTGATATTTGCGAAAAGGCTCAAACATGGCAATTCCAACAAGGCTAGATCTAGGTGAACATCTAACAAGTGGGGGCGAAAGGAGAACAGAGACTGCACAGCCCTAGAGGCCGCAGCATTCTGCGTCAGCGTAACATAGTAAGAGTTGGGCGTAAGCAAGGCCGATTTGACTTACTTATGCCATCGAAATTGCTGAAGCCCAATCAGATTTGTTGGAATACGAGCTCCCTTCCCTTCCCCAGACCATTTGTATGATGCAAAAGAAACGCCAAGACTGTGTGCTTATACTCACGTTTTCCGGCCCCAAAGTGAGACGGTTACGTCATACTTAAAGAAAGTGCTTATTTAACATTCACTCACGGTGAGGAAAGCTGTTCCGATCTATCATACTACCTAAAACGGACCTTATCACCGCCAAACAACGCAATACAGCCAAGCAACATGTCAACAGCTACGATGAACCGTCCGAGGATCTCAATAGAGATGGAAATGTCGCCGAACACCTACCACTTTTCCTCTGCTAGGCCGCCAACCCTCAGCTTTACTCTGACACCCCATGCATCACAATGTCTGACTATTCTCGTACCGCACAGTTCGCCTTTGGCTACCGGTCGATCGATGAACACTGGGGGCTACCCAATTTCTGACCTGAGCACTTCGCCCCCCACCACGGTCAAGATCGGAGACATGACTGGCTATATCTCGGTTCCCGCCTCACCCAATGAAATGATTGTACTACAGCCTGGACAGCGGTCGAAGAAGTTTCAAGTGGCGTTCAACCGCGGGGCATCCTATGAGCCATCCTTCCGCCCGCAGCCGTGGCACATTGTACGTAATGGCAGGCTATTGGATCAAGACGGAAAAGAAACGTCCATCAGAAGACCGAGCGTGGTGCACGGTGTGGATGGTCTGGAAGCGGGAAAGACGTACAAGACGACTATGGCGATAGACAAATTAGAAAAGACACCTTGGTGGTGGGGGGATGAGAAGGATGAGCCGGATCGGAAGGATTTGGGTAGTAAGGTTGGAGGAATCGAATGGGAAATAGTAAATGGCGGCGTAGAGTTTCGGGTGGAGGAGTGAGGGGTTTGTCGAGTCAGACGTCAGATCATTAGCATGCTTCCTTCGATCTAATCGTGATATTTCGTATAGAGAGTGGCTACCACCATATACCAAGATGGACTTGTTACAGATTGAATCCGTTCATAGATTTTTCATTGGCCAATAACCCCGTAGGCCCAGAGAATGCCAACATAGATGAAATTCCATGAGGATGATTGTCGTCTGAGAAACATGGCAGTGTTACCATAGAATTTCCACTCACCCTCGAGCATCCTTACGGCCTCAGGCATACCATGACTTGCCATTGCCATCGATCTTACGCGGATGGCGCTGTTGTTTCATCATCAAGTCATACACTGGAAGTTCGCTGACAACTAGTGGTCTATACCATGTTCGCATGAAACGCTGGGTTTGGGATCCTGAGTCTCTTGCATTTGTATTCGAGAACTCCCCGAGTGACGCGCCAGAGCCTTCGGGGCGGCAACTTTCTCATATTGATAATACAGTCTTGAGGTATTTCCGCCTTGTAGCATTATTCTTCGAATTGAAGGGAGAGGATCGTGGCGTCTTAGACATATAAATGCTTGCATAGAGCAGATTTTGCTAGTGTGAAGAAGAAAGGTAGGAAAGTATATGTGTATATATATACTCTAGTCCTGGCGGTCATCACGGATCACTGAGCGTGATGAGCAGCATCACCAAGCCAGTTTGAAGTGACCATGCAACAGGCCTCAGCGCATCACAGAAGTCCATGAGAAATCGTTGATGACTATTTTAGACAGTGCGCTGCAGATACGCACGCCAGACCCCCACCAGCGCCATTGCTCTCTCGAAGCCCTACTTTTGGAGCCACCGCAAAACACCATTGTGGTATTCCCAAAAGATTTTAGAGCTCAACATAAGCAGAGCGTAGTAGTGTGAGGTAAGAAACCAGGAACAAGAGAGGCGTTTTATACCTCGACACCATCCCGGCTGAGTTCCTCTAGGCGTATGATGGTGGTTATCATCAATCAGCTCCTCAAATGAGACCACTGCATGTCCACGACGAAACGGCCATACAGAGTCCATGTACCATTTTCGCTGCGCATTTGCTAGAGACGCCCGTGAATGTGCAGTCGCAAGGTCCGCAGAAGCACCATGACAGCGGTGGAGCGGTACTTCACTCCCATGGACTTGGTTATCGGTCTCTTTTAGTCTCCACTCCAGTGCAGTGTGGCAGTGTGGAGAGGGAAGACAAGTGCTCGGTGAAGTTCTTATATCCCCCAGCTGCCTTCTCTTGCATGAGATGCAGGACTAGTGATGTTCAGCATCACGAAGCTCTCAGGACCTCTCGACTTGTACACTGTTCGCCTTCTGGCCTGCACCATAGCTCGAAAGCGTAGAAATTTCTCGACAACGTAAAGCATGTGACTCGCAGATCTCCAAAGGATTCCATGTGGTTGTTGCACATTACGTTTTCGTTCCATCAAGTCGAGCCGATTGGGTATTTTAGATACCTACTCAAGCGGAGTGTGGTAGTGTGAAGAAGAAAGACAAGAGCCTAAGGGCGTATTTATAGCTTCGCGCCGGCTGTCGTCGCACATACTACTCAATTGATGGTGACGACGATCAGCATCACGAAGTTTTCAAAGAGACACAGTTCATGACCAATACCTCTTCCGACACAATCATCTTGCGAAGACCGAGATCATTTCGCAAGGACAGTATGCACCCCAAGATCCCAAGCGTCTCCATGAGGGCCCTTTACGGCTCTTTTGGACCCATGGCGTTGTTTGCCGTGTACTTTGAGTCTGCCCCAGGTCGATCGTAGAAGTGTGGAGAGCAAGAACAAGGGCGCGAGGGGGTATTTATGTCACACGCCATCGCATTTCTTCCTTCTTGCCTACACCCAAAGCATGTCAGTGATGATGGGCATCATCAATAAAACACTGACAGCCGTCTACTCCACCATAACTATAGCCCGGCAAGCACGTAGGTGTAACGCGCAAGCTGCTTCGAGCACATCCCATGGAGGCGGAGTGCAAATTATGTTGGACGATGCGTGGGGAGGTTCATCTGCTTTTAGATACGCCGACGCACGCAGATATCTGTCGTCGAAAGTTTTGAGGCGAGGAAGCTCATGTCGTGGGTGTTGGGAGACTTCTGGACAACGCATGTCTAGCTTCGGATATGTTTTAGACGCGCCGAGTCTCCCATCAGGGGTACAAGAAGAGGATTTTGGATGCATCACGCGAGAGTTCACGCAATTTTAGACCCACGAAGTAGGTCTCCGTAGTGTGAAGAGTAGATAGAAGGGAGACTAGGGGAGGAGGTTTTATACGTCACTGTCAGCTGTTTCTCCGTGGACTGTGTGGACCGTGCAGCCGCATAGATCAGGCTGATGCGCACCATGTACCAGCGGTGATGGTAGTCCTCAGGGATGCGATCTCACAAGGGGACATATTGCGTCGATTGTCAATACTTTGTATGGGGCGACGGTCGCACGCAGTGAGGAGAGGAAGATTGGAGAACAACAATCCAGTGTAATCGCACGAGTACTGTCGCTAATCGCATTCCAAGCAGGACAAATGTTCACCTTACCGTCCACGAAGAGACATTGGGTTTGCGTACGATGCACGTGCAGTTTCGGAAATTGCAGCTGGCGCCCGACTCTACAACTCTGCATTCTTGGAAACGGTAAGCAATTCGCAATTATTGATTGTAAGCATCTCGAGACTATTGACGGCGTGTCAGCTGATCACGCGTATGGACATGTTTGGTGTTGCAATAATGAGGATGACCGGACTTCTCTGCGACACACAAACCCTAGATTACCGCCCTCTCGGGTCACACCTGGCCCCTCAAGTCCTCTCGTAGTACCTTGAGAGCCATCTTACAAGAGGCCGTCAATTGTAAGACGAGAAAGTTTTGTCCACAGGTGTTAGAGTAAGGAGACAAGGCAATTGTGTGAAGGAATACCGAACATCCGGATCGGAAGGGCACCGAAGGCTTGTCAATAGGCCTTGTGTAGCAGTATACCATGAGAGAGGGAAAAATTCATCGAAGAATCTGCGCTCTTGGGAACGGACTCGTCATGGGCAGCATCGAACTACTGCACGACGAGGCTTCTATACATGTGCTATAGCACCGACAAATGTTGTCATGTTATTCCCCCGATCAGTGATGAGGTGTTCACATGGCCATGAATCCGTGATGAAGACATTGGTGGAGTTCACCATGGAACTGTTGAGGCTGGTCCGCGGGGAAGCAATGAGCCGCACATGGAGTCGGCAGCAAGCGCCAAATCAATATGCGACGGGAAAATTGACCGTGCGGTACGGAAGAAGTCGTTCGAAGACGTGACCAAGTTCACTCATGTTTTGAGCCGATGCCTGCGGTCCAGCCCTGGAAGCTAGAGAGGTCCGGTTTCGCAACGATGCACAAGAACGCCACGGGCTCGCGATGTCAAACCTCGTTAGGTTTCAGTCGAGATGCGCGAGCAATATCGCTGTGCCAACGAGGCCAAACAAAGGCTTGGATCAGTGGAAGGGCGAGAAAGGAAGGAGTAGTCATAGCTTCGCACCTTCCGATCGCATGTGGAGCAGTGACACAACATTCGGTTACAATGCAATTAATCCGCAATCTGGTGCCAACTGTAGCGGATAATAGCAGTCATATGCGAGTTGCCGCTGGGCCAGGCGCAAGGACGAATTGCAATCAAGCTCGCAGCCAGGGCAACAGAGGGCGGCAGCGGGTCGTGGTTGAGAGGCTGGCCCAGGGCGGGTCGGTTCCCCGTTTGGCTGAGCAAGGAACGAAGCGATTCACGCGAGCCGTTGACGTCGCTGCCAGTCACGGGTGTACTGGGTGCTTGCGGGATCAGGAAACTGCACAGGTGACAGGCTCGAGAATTTCGCAACGGTGTCTCCCAAAGCGACGAAGATCTGAAGTGTCTGCTATGTTTAGCAAGAGGCTGGTGGCGGCGATGCATATTCGCCGCAGGTCGGTTGGATGCGCGTCGCCAACGGTCCCGATGGCTGGCAAAGAGGCGGGCAGGGGCTCCAGCGGTGGGGAGGCGCTGGGAGAGAAAGTCCGATGGCGACGTCGATGGCGCTCAGGACCATTGGCCCGAGAGCGCCATACCCCTGGATCCTCGACGGAGTGCCGCTACTGGCGTCGGCCGCTCGTAGCGCAGGGTGGCGCCCGCTGTTGAGGGCTTGAATCGCCTGATAGCGATGTGCGAGCGCATTGAGCACCGCCTCACGAGCGCGCAATCACTGCGCGCAGCGTGGCAGCTCGGCCAGCGTGTTTGTCGCTTTGGCGCTGCGGCTGCGGGCAGTATTGGGCATGGCTGGAAAGGGGAAGAGACTATTGGGAGCGCGCTGCGTCACAGTTGCGGCCATGGCAAATGAAAGCAGGCAGCGCAATCCAGCAGGCTCAACGGCCGCAAACCTTGGTAGAGTTGGCAGAGCCCTGGCCGCCTTCGGTGCCTTGGCACAAGCCTTGTTGTTTCAAGCGGCAGGTGCGTGTGGGCCCATGTGGGTCCGTGCTGCGCTCGCGCCTTCCCTTCCAGCCTCGCGCCTGGTATTTAGGAGCTGCCTCGCTGCTGCCACACCTGTGCTCCTTTCTCACCCACGAACGCCAATCGACCCAGACTCGCAGTCCTTCGCTCAACTCGACTCTCGGTGACCACTCGCTGCCTATCCGCATCAGCTCTATCGTCAATCCCATCTTTCAACACCCACCACCACACAACAGCCAAGATGCGTTTCTCTACCTCCGCTGTCTTCGTCGCCGTCGCCATTGGCGCCCAGGCCCTTCCCCAGGAGTCTGTCCAGCCCATCACCCAGATCTCCGACGGTCAGATCCAGGTACGCTTTGCTTCACTGCCTCGTGTCTTCACGCAATGCTAACATCCTCAAGGCTCCTCCCGCTACCAGCGCGCCTGCTGCTTCTGCCCCCGCCGGCTCTTACGAGGTCCCTTCGGCCCCGGCTGCCACTGAGGTTCTGCCCTCCGTGACCCCGGTCCCGCTCCCCTCTGTTGTGCCCTCCAGCGCCGCTGTCGTGCCCTCGTCCGGCTACAACACCCCCGTGGCTCCCTCCGTGCCCGCTGGCACCGGAGCTAGCTCTGCCCCGTACCCCATCAGCTCCGGCGGCGCTGTCTACACCAACGGCACTGTCGCACCCACTGGCGGAAGCACCGCCTCCTCCAGCTCCTCTGCCGCTGGCGAGACCTCCACTGGCTCTCCTCAGCCCACCTCCGGCCCCGGCAGCGGTGCCGCCACCACCTTTGTCTCCATGGGTGCTCTCTTCGCGGGTCTCTTCGCCTTCCTCGCATAAATGCTGACTGGCAACTGACGCGTTTCTTCACTTCACATCTCCATCGCACCATGGCTTCGAACTGTATCGACATTTTCTCCCTCGGCGGCTTGTCTGTCACCTAGCGATGTGTGTCGTTGCACAGATGGAGCAGAGCATGGTCCATGCGGGTAACATCACATGGCTTCCTTCGGCGACATCTCACGATGTATTGCCTGGTATACATAGAAAGTTGGCGTAATGTTTCATGGCGAACGGTGGTAATTATTCCCAGAGCTGGCATGGTTAGGTATTGCTCATCGGCATTCATGATGGGCTTGGGTTACGACTGCATGCTCCCTTAATGTGTGTTCACGACCGGGATGCATGTCGGTCTTGTATAGATAGCTGCCCCAGCATGATCAAAATACATCACATTGCCACCGAAAGGTGGCACAATTTTGATTGTCCTCGCAACTTGAGTGGTTTGCTTGTGATGTTTTGCATTAATTTTGTGGTCTTGCACGCGCTGGTTTAAACAAGCTTCGTGTGCCCCTATTTGTCCACGGCGCATCCGACTTGGCGCATCGGTGACACGACAGCGCCATCGCAGTCGACGTGCCACCGCCTTCGTTCCGCATTCCCCATGTCCTGCAGCGCGGTGCTCGTTCTTCCTCCAAGCAACATGGTTCTGAAAACATTTGCGCCAGCACGCTAAAACAACGTCCCGGGGATCGCACCCGCTAAAGGCAAGACTAACGTCTCTGCATGAACGCGCACCGGCGTACGCCGGTCTGCACAGTCGGCCCCTCACCGGACGCCTCGCGCTGCGCCGCGCGGCGAGGCTTCGACGGCTTCGCCTCGAACTATGTGGTGTCGACGCAGGAACGCGTGTGCGCCAACTACCGGTAGACAGGCGCGTATCGTCTTCCTCCTAAGGCTACCTTCGGTATAAGCTCCACTGCTCGACGCGCTTGTACCTGTCCCTCTCTGCATCCTGCGGGTCTCAGGAGAAAACACTGGGACCGTGACGTGACGAACCAGAGGCAGGAATGCAAAGCAGACATAATTGGAATGCAGCGAAAGACCGATCGATGTTGCATCCAGGTCCTTGGGTTGCAAACAGTCCGGAATGCGAAAGAACGTGAAACAGCAGCGCATTCGCGTTCTCGATTGCTTGCGGTACAGTGGTTCGAATGCGGCGGCGCGCTCAACAAGTCGGTCGGAATCCCCGCCGGAGGCGGCGAGGCCAACATGACCACGGGCGAGCGCGTGCAGGTATACATCAAGACTTCCAAATTACATTCACAAGTCTTCTATGCAAATGACCTGATCTCACGCCCACGGTTTGCGCTTCCATACACGCTGCGGAGTCTGCGCCGAAGCTCGGAATCTGCGGACTTGGTCGAGACAGCAGCGGGAGCGGCGTCCGTATTTGCGACTGCACTGTCGTGTCGCCAGCTGGGCGCGGGTGCTTATGAGGATCTGCGCGGGAGGATGGGCCTAGTGCAGATCGTGACTTCGTCTGTGTTGCTGTTTGAGGATGGGCGGCCTTGCGGGCCTTGGAAGAGGCTTGGGCTTGGGCTTGGGCTGCAGGGCTGGCCATTTGAAATGGCAATATTGATGCTGCGGAAATAAGAAACAGTGCAAGAGTTCATGTTGCGATGTGGGTGATTTGCGAAGCTCATGTGGGTCACAGAGCATAATCAGATTACTCTGGTCCAGAAAGGGGCTCCGAAAACTCCAGACATCACTCCGCTCTATTCTTCGTTCACGCTGACAATCTATTTTGGATTGAAACCGTACAGTAACCTCATCATCTTGAGCACCCGCCGCGTACTTCATTTTGACCTCCGGACCGACCACACTTGAACCTTTCGACATTCACTGAATCTCTATTCATCCCCCATATAGATAAACCCAGATTCATCCTGTCTACGACTGGGATCGTACAGCTGCCTAGCATTTACTCACGCTCGCAAGATTCTCTTGACGATGTACAAACTAATCTACCAATACTCTATCCTTTGACCATGTTGGCGAATAATATAACAGCAGCCTACACTGCTGAACATAGCGAGGCCCTGTCTAAGCACCCGTTCGACACCCGCCTTTGTTGCCTTTATACATTGTTTGACCAATTGTTCAACAATAGGTGGGTCCAAACCTTCAAAGATGGCTTTGTTGCATTGTAGTCGCATAAGGTTATAGAGAGGAGGCACTATAAGTACTTCGCAGACAGGCTTAATCGCGTCTATCAAAAACCCCTGTAATCGCATTACACCAACCTCATTAATTTGCACCGTACGTCTGAACTTCGCACACGCTCCAAAATCGCAGCAGAAGTATACACTCTTACTACAGCCATGACCTTCATCTCATCGGCTGAAATCCGAGGCGGCGCCTCCAAGATCTTCTCGACATCTTACAACGACAAACAGTACGACCCGCCCGCCGCTGCAGAGAGCGTGCGTCGCCCCTATTGGGGAGTACCTCTGAACAGCCGTAGACAACGCGAGGGCATCAAGTACGATGTCCGTGCCGTCTACCCTTCTGACCACCTCCTCAGTAAGCAAGTTAATGTCGCCTCTTCCCTACCTCAGCCCTCTTCGCTCAATGAGTACTTCCTTCGAGCGAGGGTCTCAGAAGACGATAAGTATCTTAGGCCGATTTGGGAGAAGGAGACTGGAAAGACACAAGGTTATGATGAGGACGCAGAACTACAGAGGTCACTTCGCAGCTTCGTACCCAGTGCTGCACAGCAACCTGACATCCCCTCTCACCCACCACAGGCCTCATTCAATGAGTACTACCTCCGAGCCAAAGTCTCAGAAGACAATACGTATCTCCAGCCGCTCTGGGAGAATGAGACTGAACAAACACAAGGCTGTGACGAGGACGTAAAACCAAGGTTCTCCCTGCGCAGCTTCCTACCCATTGTTGCACTTCTCCCTGTACTGACTTTCTTCGGCCTCATCGTTCTTTCACACCTTGCATCATCTGCTATTCGTGGGACCGTCTGGCTGGTCAGTGGCATCTGCAACTGTGCCCTCCTGTGGGTGGCGTACATGGTCTTTCCGCTAGTGCAGTGGGTGAGGGATAGTGCTTTCCAGATCTCGGTTAGGACGGCGCGGTGGACTAGGCCTAGGTCTGGGACATTCTGGATGGGCGTGGTGATGGGCTTGCTGGCTGTCAATTGGGTTATGAGCCGTGTAGAAGAACGAGCACCTATAGTAGCGGTGTTTAGGAGGGGTGCAGCAGAGGGTAGCACGTTTAGGGTGAGTATCTCGTAGGCGCGAGCGGTTTTCAGCGAGCGGGTACTTGCTTGGACATATATTCTGATATTAGCATAAGCATAAGCAGTGGTACATCTACAATGGAATGGTTCATGACATTCGTGTGATATTTGTACAAGTGTCGCTCAGCCTTGCTCTCACAGTATGCAGGCCTGAGCTTCGGTTTCGTCCTCCCTATATCTTTCTAACCCTACACTCCGCTGTTCGGGTAGTTGTTCTTGTCCACGGGATTCGCCGGTCCTCCCGTTTGACCCAGCGCACCCCCAGCCTCCACACCTTCCTTTCTTTGTCCCTGTATTTGTTCCCTCGCCGCCTGCTGCTCTGCCTTCTTCCTGTCCAGATCGCTAGCAAAGTCCTGCTCGCTGCCTCCGCCTCCTGCGCCGAAGCGGTCGTTGTGCGAGACCGCGGAGGCGACCTTTCCTTCGCCCGGAGCGGCCATCTGCTGCCCATCGAGCTCGTTGTGCCGGCCTACGTCTTCGTGCGTGCGGCCGCGGGATTCTTCGCCCGCGGGGGCACCCTGGAACAGTCAGTATAAGAGTCGTAATTTGGGAATCGATAAACCGCGTGTGATTTTCATGGCAGTAACAACATGCTTCTTCTTGCGGCACATTGTTTCCGCATCCACTTCGTACGGGTCTCTTCACTTACATGGATCCCTCCACCAGGTGCCTTCGCTTGGCCTTCAGTTCCAGGTGCAACTTGCTCGCTGGGTATGCGCTTATCTACCGGCTTTGAGTCATCGAGAGCATTCGAGTCGGCCTGGGCTTGCTCGGCGGGTTCCTTAGTCGCGGGGTTGCCGGGCGTGGTGTAGGCTTGGTTGAGGGTGGGTTGGGAAGGGCCGGAGGGGTCGAGAGCGGACATCGTGGTGATCGTGACGGGTAATTTGGTATATTGTGCTTTCGAGAATAATTAGACCAGAGAGATGAATGTACTTTGAGAGAGTATGTGGAAAATGGACTTGTCATCGCAGATTGGTTTTGTTCATGCGAAGTTAAGGCGATGACGTAGGCGGGGTTCAGAGAGCTATCAGTGACGCCCCGCCCAAGCTACAAACGCCCAAGTAGGTCCGCGGCGAATGTGACAAATACTTCTACTTCTGAGTAATGTAAAAAGCTGGGTGGGGCTATAATTGCATTCTGATCTTACTCCTGAAGTTTACGTAAGTCAGTTGAGGGTAGCATAACTGCGACTCGCACACAACATTGCATGGTCATATATGGTATTCAATCGTTGCAATTGGAACTCTCCTGCCTGTAACGGGAACATAGCAATCGTCGCTGCTATATACCAAATACTTCAACCGTAATGAAGACATGGGATGGAATGCCTGTCGCTGATAGCCCACAAGCCGCCTTCCTTCTCACTTTCGATGGGCTAGATTGTCTGCCGCGTAATGTAGAGTAGAACCAGGCGTCCTGCCAGTGCATTGAACGAGTCCAATAACGGTCCGGTTGGGGCGTTCGACAATGCAACCTAATAGCACCTCATGCCGCGGTATCTTCTCTTCTCAAGTAATCACCCAGTAGCGAACCCATCAAAACAAACCGAGAACTCCGTAATGCACCAGTCAATCGCCTTTCGTAACGCCGTCGCTATGCTGAGCCAGGATATGAGGGTGAGCCACTATAGCTCCATGGCGATGTCCTGCGAGCCTTCCCTTGAACCCACCACATCGGACACATCTGCCATCTCGAGGTTTTCGCGAGGCGTAACCGTGGCTTTAGTTGCTCTCTCCCGAGCTTTGCGACACCACTCTTCGATAGATTCTTCTGCACCCCCCTCGATCTTAACCGGGCGGAGCTCAGCTGGTTTGCCGACAATGGTGCCTTGATATCTTGAGTCGACGCCAGTCTTACTGTGCTTCTTCATGAGCGCTGTTAAAAAAACATTAGCCTTGCCTCCTTGACATATCATCGAGATCTAACATACTGGTGAGGTAGTCTTCCATCTCCTCCTTGTCTCGCTCTTCTTGGGCAGTGAGCGCTGTGCCAGGTGCGTCCTTTTGCTTCATTGTGCCTGCGATCCTCATGATCTCCTCGTTCTGCTTCCCTTGCACCCAGTCGATGAAAGCCGTGATATCAGCTGTGTCTTGCCTATCACGCCTCCTCTCCTCCTCCCCGCGCGCGCCATTGTCTTCATATTCTTCGAGGGGTTTGCGCAGTATCTCTTTCCATACTTCTTCGGCTGTGGTTAGGGTCGGGACAAGTAGACCGCAGTCCTGCATGGCCATGCGCACGTCGGTGACATCGGGTTCCAGATCGTTGTGGTTCGAAAACACATAGTAGGCTGTGCGCGACGCGAGGAGTGTGAGGTAGCGCGCTGTGAGATCGACGACCGTGTCGACGACCGTGGGCTTTGCGCCGTTGAAGCCAGCGGCGCGCAGGATGTCAAGCACCGCGGGCCGCAAGAGCGCGAGGTAAACGTCGTTGGTGGACATGCCGGCGCGTGTAGAGTGTGCCAACTATGTGCAGAGGTCCAGTATAACGTCGCGGATTATCGAAGCAGCAGACGGCGCATCGTGTGGGGCGGTCGTCAGGTTGTAGAGGTGTGAAGGTCGCGTTCAAAGGCAGGAGCTCTGGTCCTTCACTTTTGGTGGCGCCGCGCCAAGAACATCACCTCCGCATTTGCGAAGCTTCCGTCGCAAGACAACCTACGTATAATTTACTCACCCTCCAACAGCCCATGCAAATGCAGCACGTCCGATACGCCAGATCTCCGTCGCTTTCGAATGCGCTGACGACCCGCTCAAGATGAAGATCAAGCTCAAGACCAACCCACAGGCCGCCGGCGCCGCGCCTGCGGAGGCATCTACGAATGGAGCGTCCCAACCTTCGGCGGCACCGAGCGCTGGACCAAAGCTCGCTTTGAAGTTCAAGCCCGCGGCTGCTCCTGCTGGAGATTCCGCCGATGGCCCCGTTGGCGACGCGCCGAAGCAGAAGCGCAAGTACACAAAGAAGGCCAAGTTGGATGAGAATGGCCAGCCACTGCCCGCGACAAAGCCAGGTCCTAAGCCTAAGAAGCGAGCGCTGGAAGATGGAGAGGAACGCGACCCCTCCAAGCGCAAAGTCAAACCCACCATGAAGAGCTTGTCTTCTGCCTACGTTGATGAAAGCGATGAAGAAGAGGATATAGCGCATGCACCCGCACTCGCGGCCTTGAGTCAGGCGGCGCGAACCAATTCGATCAAGATCTCGTTGAAAAAGAATGCCACTGGCGGCACGCGACCGGCTGCGGCAATCCTCAAAGTCAAAGGCCATGGAAGGCCTCCGCCACGGCCACCGGGTGTAGGATACGATAGCGAGGCAGAAGAGGCGGAGAAAGATCCAGCTATTGAGAGTCAATTCGTGCTACGGATGGCACCGGGCCCGGACAACGACCTGCTGCGGAGAGCCATCGAGGAGAAGACCATCGGAAAGAGCCAGGGCAGTGGAGGGCCGGGAGTGCAGTTCCGCTTCTTCGACCGCGAAGGCCGCAAGGCCATGATCACAATACAGGGCCGTCACTATGCTGCTACTATGGTCGAGCTTCCCTGCGTAATTGAATCGCTGAAAAGTTGGAATAAGAAGGACTGGGTGAAATCGGCAGACGTATGTCAGATGCTGCTAGTTCTCGGTCGCGTACAGAATGAAGAGGAGGCTAAGAAGTACACACGCCCCCGCGAAATCGAGCCAGATTCGCACAGATACCCTCATGGCCTCACTCCACCCATGCGATGGGTGCGCAAGCGCCGTTTCCGACCGCGCAAGTCGTATCTCGATGTTGAACGGATAGAAAACTCCGTCGAAGAACTACTCAATCACGACGAAGGCGCCGAGGATGTTCAATTTGGCTATATAGACAGCGATTATGAATCTTCTGGGGCAGAATCCGATGATGAAGACGCTCCAGGCGAAGACGAGGACATGCCTGACGCTGAATATGCAGAAACGCCGATGGCAGAGTTGGCTGATGAGGATGAGCTCATGGCCATGTTCCACGATGAACTCGAGGGCGAAGAAGTTGAGGTCGAAGCGAATGGCGATGTGAATGTGGATGATCTATTCAACGGAAACAACGAAATCGAAGTGGAAACCCCTGCAACAGCCGGCGCCCACGAGGTCGCAATGCACGCCCTCTCCCAGAACAGAAACATTGTCATCGAGCCCGGCAGCGCAGCGTCTACCCCAGCAGCTGCCACATCGCCCGACGATGATGATGACGACGACGACGACGATGACGATGATGACGACGACCCTGAGGCAGCTGAAAGGCAGCGTGAGCGCGAAGAAATTTTGGAGCAAATTCGCGATTTGGACACTGCGATTGCGGATAACATTGCGCAAAGGGATGCAACGACAAACATGCTATTCAAGAAGAGAGTGCAAAGCAGACTCGACGGCCTTATTGAGGACAGAAAGGTCAAGTTGGGTCGCCTTGGGATGTCCGAGGATGAGTAGAGGACACGCGGTTATTTCACTATGGCTAACCCCATTGTCTCATAGGTTGTGATAGACTTGCTCGTGAGTAACAGACAACTCGGGGTGTCTGAAATTGGCACTGGAGATGATTTGTTGCGGGCGTTCTGTTTTGGCGTTAAATGCAGCATTTCGTGGCGTTGATAGGGTGCGCGATGCGTCTCAGCGTCTGCGTGTGAGTTCGTCTAGTCATATCATTACGGTCTGTATAGTAGTTTGCCCAGACTCCGTAATACCGATCTCACGAAAGAACTCAACAGCATCAGCTTTACTCCCCTATTATTATGAAATCGTGTGGTAGTGATTTCTGAACGAGTCCAGCCAATCGCAACCTACATCTTCGCGTAGGAACGACTAACATGCTCAAACCTGCGCAGCGGCTTTGGCGAGACGGAACTACGACACCTGATCTACGACCACTCGCAGAAAGAGGATCTCACAAAGTCAAGATTAATGCCTCGACATGCCATTCCTCCATCGCCCCTCAGACAGCGGTAATTCCCCTGACCTGGCCAAAGCAACTCACAAGTCATGAGGCTCTCCTTCGTCTTCCTCCCACCACTACTACTCTCCCCGGTGCTCGCTACTGGTCCTATTCCTGTCTCTCGAAGTGGTCTGGCCGGTATCTCCGGTTTTACCTTCTACAACCCTTACTGCGGCCATGGCTGTTTCCGCTCCTTCTCGCCTTACACACTATCCTGCTCCGCCGATGTTAGTCCCGGAGGCCATACCACTGCCGCCGACGCAGCGCATAATCTGGCCGTATGCCGGGCTTCCAATTTCCCCTACTTGAGCAGTATCGCTTGGTGCATGCACCTGTATTGTCCGGATAGCGTGCAAGCCTCGACTATTGAGAAGTTCTGGGAGACACAGATTACGGGAGATGTAAAAGTTGTTCCGAAATGGAGCTATGGAGAGGTTCTGGCAAATGTCACTGAGCCGACTATGATGGCAGGATCGATGGACATGGGTATGGAGTCAAACAACGAGTTAAACATGACGATGCTGACGACGTATGAAACCTGGGAGGCAACCTGGGAGACTTTGTACTACTTTTTCCGCGAGACAGCTCTGGAATCATACTATGGGTAAGTTTTCCCAAGTCGGCAGTTGGGGGCTCGATTCCCAATCTGTCGATTCGGGCAACTCTGCGTACGTTGGCTTACCTACATTTTCTAGACTATCTCTTTGTCTCGCCGCCTTTGCCCTACCTATTGTATTGACATGGCTGCGCTACCCTCCCCATCTAGCCACCGTGCTGGCACGACTGAAACCCTACCTCTCTCGCAGCCTCATCGGCACCTACCACAACCGACCTCTCCCCTTCCTTATCGGAAACGTGCCTACAGTCGGCCAGACCTTCTACATCACGACACTCTTTATTCTCAACATCGTCTTCCTGACAACCGGCTACAAAACGCTCTGGCCCCAACGCAAGATGCAATGGTACGAGAATCGCTATCAAGAACTCCTAGCCTACTTCATGTGGCGTACCGGCGTCCTCGCCTTCGCACACATGCCCGTCCTCTTCCTTTTCTCGAGCAGGAACAATGTCTTGCTGTGGCTGACAAACTGGTCGCACTCGACATACCTCTTACTGCATCGGTGGATCGCTCGATTCTTCCTCTTGCAGACGCTGCTTCATTCAATCATTGCGCTGGTCTTGTACCAGAATACCGGAGCCTATGCCACGTCCTTGCCATTGCTGTGGTGGATCTGGGGCTGCGTTGCCACTATCGCGGCCGTCATCATCGTGCTCACCAGCGTGCTAGTTATGCGTCAGCGAGCGTACGAGCTCTTCCTTGTCACACACATTGTCATGGCTGTTATTTGTGTGGTAGGATGTTGGTACCATGTCTGGTTCGGATACGAGAATTGCTTCGGCTACGAGAGCTGGCTGTACGCTACGATCGCCGTATGGTTCTCCGATCGGCTCGCGAGAGTGGCGCGCGTCTTGCATATAGGTTTGAGACGTGCTGATGTGAGTGATGTCGGATCTACGATCGTCCGCGTAGATATCCCAGGCATCCGCTGGTCCGCGCCAGGAACATGTGTTTACGTGTATTTTCCGACGCTCCACCCTCTACGACCGTGGGAGAATCATCCTTTCTCCGTCATTCCAACCGCGATGCTCCACAGGCCACCTTCAACAGGCCAACCTCGCTCGGAGTCAATGGATGTAGAGAAACAGCCCAGCTTGAAAATCAGTGGCTCCCCTACATCGAATGCTGTCTCCTACACCAATTCAGGTCTCACACTATTCATCCGAAAGAGTACAGGGATGACCAAGGCTCTCAAAGAGCACAAAACACTCCTCACGCTCATAGAAGGCCCGTATCCCACCCATCCCACCGTCTCAGCCCTAAGAAGCGACCGGCTGCTTCTGATTGGAGGCGGAATAGGCATCACAGGTCTTCTTCCCTTCCTTCAATGTCACCCAAACACACAACTCTTCTACACAGTGAAGACAGCAGATCAGGGTTTGTTAGATCATCTAAATACCTTGCTAGACCAGCATCCAGAAAAGGAGATTCGCGTTGGGGAAAGGCTGGACGTCGAAGCTTTGTTGCGGCTTGAGGCTGACAAAGGTTATAAGAAGATTGCGGTCATAGTTTGTGGGCCGGTGGGCATGTGTGATGATGTTAGAGGTGTTGTGGCGAGGATTGGGATGGAGAAAGTTGGGGTTTGTGAGATCGAAGCGGAGGTTAGTGTGTTCTCATGGTGAGGTGTCATCCCACCAAGCATGCCGGAAATTTTGTCAAGATGGATGGTAGTAAGCGTAGAAAAGGGTGTAGAAGCGTTACAGAAGACTGGAAGCTGTGAGTTCAGAAATCGTTGCGCAAAAGCCTAGTCCGCTCGGTCCTGGTCATAACACAAATTGCAATTGTGTGCCACGAAGTCGATCGTCCTCAGGGAGTTGGATCGCTCAGACAGAACAACCCTGTAAACTATGCCGGTATCTCAGCATTCGACCACCAAGGTCTGCCAACAACGCCCAACTCGTTCTTTAACCATTCCTTCAACCCCCGATGCAGAACCTCATAATCCCCTTTTCTATAAGCCTCCGTAGTAACCCACCAGCTCACATCGACGTCATACTTGCTCCTTTCCTCTGTCAACGGCTCTCTCGTACCCAGCGGATACAGATAGAAGCACCCAATGTAATCGCCATCAGCATTTCTGACAGCAAAGGCGAAGGAGTCACCATCTCTAGACTCGCGGGCATGCCATTGTAGGTCGAGTAGATTGAAGTCCTCTGTTAGTTCGGCTTCTGGCCATGAGCCGCCTCGTGTGCGGCGAATAGTTTCGCGGCTGGAGTTGACTGCTTCCAGGTCTTCCTGGAGGTCTTTCTCATGAAGCAATGTGGCTGTCAAGTGTTCATACAGGAGCGGAGCTGGAGCTTGCCAACCCGGCGGTGTTCGTAGCTTCTTCAGGTAGTGGGAGAGATCCATGACGCGAATATCATGGAAAGAATTCGATAAGTGAAGCTATATCCCCTAGCAGCAGAATTTGGTTACTTGGTTACACAGTCGCCCTAGGTGATGACTGTGTCGCGAGTGTACGCCAATTCTTCTACTTTGACAATGTTTCCTCGTGGAGCTCTGGTACCACTTTCCTGGAGTTTCGATAAAGTCCTGGCGGCGGCCAGCTAATGCAGATCCCGTGACTGTTGAAGCCTAGTCGATAGGCCTATGAGCTGAAACGCAGATGCGGGTAATATAGATGATTAGATCAAACTTGATACTCGTAGAGGAGATGCTGAAGGCAGCCATGTCATGTGATGACGCGGTGGCCCGTGCCTCGAACGCGGAGCAGATTTACAAAACTATCGCCGCTCCCACCTGCGCGATCCTCCACATCTGCCTGCAACCAGCCTCACCTTGATTTCTGAGACGATAGCGCATTGAGGCAGCGCCTATACTACGCGCGCGATTGACGAACCTTCACATACCTTTCGAGCGACCAACGTCAAGGCTGGTACAGCGCGCGCATTCGGTCCATAAGACCTATTGGATCTTCCAAACAGCTTGTCTTGATCGAGTCGACTTCGCAGCGGAGCGTTTAACTACGTGTTCCCCCTACCGGCAGAGCGACTTTCGCCCTTTACAATTTATAGCCCTAATTCGAAGTGCTACCATCCGTCATGGCGGACCGCAAGGGCAAACAAGATGGTAAGCATGCGCAACTCGACTGGTAGAGCCCAGGGTCAGAACCAAGCTGACACATCTTCAGGCTCGCAGCAGAACAACCTCGCGCAATTCAAGTATGCGGCTATGTCCAATTTAGTCCTGCAAGCGGACCGCAGATTCACTAGCCGCCGCGGAGATGAGGCTACCGGAGACCCAGAATCGCTAGCAGGGCGCATTAATATCAAAGATATGGGAGGAAGGGGGGCACGCGACAATGCGCCCGTTCAAAAGAAGAAGCCGAAAAGCAACTTCGAGGTCGAGCGCGGGGGTATTACTGAAGGCGGTGACGTTCTGGAGCGAGAACAGCGGAAGCGGAAGAGAGATGCTACAGGCGGTTTTGGTGCCGGGAATGTCGCTGAACAGAACCTTGATATTGAGGACCTCAGATATAAGCCGCGGACGCAGGCAACGCGCGCGACATTCGAGCTGATCACGACCATCGTGAGCAAACACCTTGGAGACGTGCCAACACATTTCACAAGAAGTGCTGCTGATGCGGTACTTGAATTCCTGAAAGACGAGAACATGAAGGACTTCGACAAGAAGAAGGAGGTTGATGATTTGCTAGGGTCTTCTATGGGTCCAAAGGAATTCAATGAACTGGTCAACCTTGGCAAGAAGATCACGGACTACGATGCGCAAGATGAAGATGAGGAGATGGGAGAAGACGGCGCGGGTGGCGACAATCCTGACAACGACGAGACCCAAGGTGTTGCGGTCGTTTTCGACGAAGACGAGGACGACGAAGACGGTCCGCAAACCTTCGAAGTACGTGACGAAGACACCAGTGACGAGGAGGATGAGGAGGAAAAGCCGATCGAAGAGTTGGGTGGCGAGGGAGCTGAAGCTGATGGCGCACTTGCTGGCGAGGAAGAGATGATCATCCAGGCTGATGCGGCTGGAACCGACAATAAAGCAGATGGAGAGCGGATAATACCAGCTCATGAGATTGACGCCTATTGGTTACAACGCCAGATCGGTCAAGTCTACGAAGACGCACATACGCAGCAAGAAAAGACACAGGATGCTCTCAATATTCTCTCTGGAATATCGGAGGATGGCGAGGAGAAGCCACTGCGTGAGATTGAGAACGACCTCATGGAGCTCTTTGATTATGAACACCATGAGCTGGTCGCGAAGCTTGTACTCAATCGGGACAGAGTAGTGTGGGTTACGCGGTGGCGCCGCGCTGCTGAAGACAACGATGAGCGAGGTGATGTGGAGAGGGAAATGAAGGCTGCAGGTCAGCAACAGATCCTCTTGGAGTTGCGCGCTCGCGAAACTGGTAAAAGCGACGCATCGGGACCGAAGAAGATGAAATTTGATCTGAAAGACATCAATCTGCCAGATGCGTCAAAGGATGTCGACATGGAGGACGCCACAAGACCGGAAGGTGTTGTAGGTGGGTTGCAACCATCTAGCCGACTGGTCAATCTGGACAACATCGTTTTCGACCAAGGCAATCATCTCATGACGAATCCAAGCGTTAAATTGCCTCAGGGCTCGACACGACGTCAATTCAAGGGTTACGAGGAGATTCATGTCCCGCCACCAAAGGCAAAACGCGACCCTAACGAGCCGGCACTCATGCCAACATCTGCTCTACCTGATTGGGCACGCGTCGGATTTGGAAGCTCGAAATCGCTGAATCGCATTCAGACTAAGTGCTACCCCACCGCATTCGAGGACGACGGCAACATGCTCATCTGCGCTCCCACCGGATCCGGTAAAACTAACGTGGCAATGTTGACAATGCTCCGCGAGATTGGCAAACACCGTGATCCTCGCACAGGGGAGATCATGCTCGACGACTTCAAGATCATCTACATTGCGCCCCTCAAGGCCCTTGTACAAGAACAAGTTGGCAATTTCGGCAAGCGCCTAGAACCTTACGGCATCCGCGTCTCCGAATTAACGGGTGATCGCCAACTCACGAAGCAGCAAATCGCCGAGACGCAGGTCATCGTGACTACTCCCGAGAAGTACGATGTCATCACTCGTAAAGCCACAGACACAAGCTACATCAACCTAGTGCGATTAATCTGTATCGACGAAATCCATCTTCTCCACGATGACCGCGGTCCGGTCATCGAGAGCATCGTCAGCAGGACAATACGGCGAACCGAGCAGACCGGCGATCCTGTGCGCATTGTTGGTCTGAGTGCTACGCTACCGAATTACAAAGATGTAGCCAGCTTCCTCCGCGTAGATGCCGACAAGGGTCTCTTCCATTTCGATGCCACGTTCCGGCCTTGTCCCCTGAAGCAAGAGTTCATCGGTGTCACGGACAAGAAGGCAATTAAGCAGCTGAAGACCATGAACGACGTCTGCTACACGAAGACCCTGGAACAGGTTGGTGAACATCGCAACCAAATGCTCATCTTCGTACACTCTCGAAAGGAGACCGCAAAAACAGCCAAATACATCCGCGACAAGGCTCTTGAACTGGAGACGATCGGAAAAATCTTGCGATCTGACAATGCAACCAGGGAAATCTTGCGAACAGAATCCGAGTCGGTAACAAATGCCGATCTGAAGGATGTCATGCCATACGGATTAGGTATCCATCATGCTGGTATGTCGCGTGAAGACAGGACGACTGTAGAAGATCTCTTTTCCGACGGAGCTATTCAGGTCCTTGTCTGCACAGCAACACTCGCCTGGGGTGTCAATCTTCCGGCTCATACCGTCATCATCAAGGGCACGCAGGTGTACTCTCCTGAGAAGGGTAGCTGGGTTGAACTAAGCCCGCAAGACGTCTTACAGATGCTTGGTCGTGCTGGCCGTCCTCAATTCGACACTTACGGTGAGGGCATCATTATCACGACCCAGACAGAGATCCAGTATTACCTTTCGCTGCTGAACCAGCAGTTGCCGATTGAATCACAACTCATCAGCAAACTTGCGGATAACCTCAACGCAGAAATTGTGCTGGGCAATGTTCGCACTCGCGACGAGGGAGTTGACTGGCTCGGATATACTTACCTCTTTGTGCGAATGCTCCGATCTCCAGGCCTTTACCGCGTTGGCCCAGAATACGAACATGACACTGTGCTGGAACAGCGGAGAGTAGACCTTGTACACGCAGCTGCTCATGTCCTGGAGAAGGGCAACCTCATCAAGTATGACAGGAAGTCGGGGACACTCCAACCTACCGAATTGGGTAGAATTGCTTCCCATTACTACATCAGCCATAATTCCATGGCTACCTACAACATGCACATTCAACCTGGAATCACCGCCATCGAGCTGTTCCGCATCTTTGCCCTTAGCGAGGAGTTCAAGTATATCCCAGTTCGACAAGACGAGAAACTTGAGCTTGCGAAACTTCTTGGTAGGGTCCCTATCCCTGTCAAGGAAGGTGTTGAAGAGCCTCAAGCAAAGATCAATGTCCTTCTGCAAGCCTACATATCCCGCCTCAAGCTGGAAGGTTTGGCGCTAATGGCTGATCTGGTGTATGTAACCCAATCGGCTGGACGTATCTTGCGTGCTATCTTTGAGATCTGCCTAAAGAAAGGCTGGTCACAGGTGGCTAAGCTTGCACTTGACCTCTGCAAGATGGCTGAGAAGCGGATGTGGCCTACAATGACGCCCCTGCGACAGTTCCCGGCTTGTCCTAGAGAGGTCATCGGCAAGGCAGAGCGAATCGATGTTCCATGGTCAAACTACTTCGGTCTCGATCCTCCAAACATGGGCGAGCTTCTTGGAATGCCCAAGGCTGGTAAGATCGTCTGTAATCTTGTGAACAAGTTTCCTCGTCTTGAATTGGAGGCAACACCCCGACCGGTCACACGATCGATGCTGCGACTGGAGCTTACTATACGTCCGACATTTGAGTGGGACGCACAACTCCATGGCACTTCTGAAGCCTTCTGGATATTGGTGGAAGACTGCGACGGTGAACAAATCCTGTTCCACGACACCTTCATCCTGCGGAAAGACTACGCCGAAGGGGAGGTCAATGAGCATCTGGTTGAGTTGAATGTGCCTATCGACGACCCGATGCCGCCAAATTACTTTGTCACAGTATTGTCCGACCGCTGGATGGGCTCTGAGACGAAATTAGCTGTTTCTTTCCAGAAGCTTATCCTTCCGGGCAAGTTCCCTCCTCACACTCCGGTGCTCGATCTACAACCCTTGCCTGTGTCTGCGCTCAAGAAGAAGGAATACATGGCACTCTACGAGGACATCGGTCGCTTCAACAAGGTACAGACGCAAGTCTTCAACTCCCTATACACCACCGACGACAACGTTTTAGTCGGTGCCGCAGCAGGTATCGGCAAGACGCTATGTGCCGAGTTCTCAATTTTGCGCCATTGGTCAGGCGACAGCGAGGGTCGCATTGTCTACTTAGCGCCCTTCCAGGAACTAGTTGACAACCAGTTCAAGAACTGGAACAGCCGCTTGTCAAGCCTGGGTGGTGGGAAGGATGTCGTCAAACTCACTGGCGAGACAACTGCGGACTTGCGATTGCTCGAGAAGGGAGACCTCATCCTTGCTACCCCGTCTCAATGGGACTCGATTTCTCGTCAGTGGCAACGTCGCAAGAATGTTCAGTCTGTTGCCCTACTCATCGCCGATGACCTCCACATGCTTGGAGGTTCAGGCGGCTATGTGTACGAGGTCGTGGTCTCTCGCATGCAGGCCATGGCGGCCCAGCTCGAGTCCGGCATGCGCATCGTCGGCTTGAGTGTCTCATTGTCCAATGCACGAGATGTTGGAGAATGGATCGGCGCCAACAAGAACACGATCTACAACTTCAGTCCGGGCGTACGAGCGGTTCCTTTAGAGCTGAAGATCCAATCATTCACCATTCCGCACTTCCCTTCGCTTATGTTGGCAATGGCGAAGCCGACCTACAAGGCCATCACGCAACTCTCCCCCGACAAGCCTGCTATGGTGTTCGTTCCTAGCCGAAAGCAGACTCGCTCAACAGCTGTGGACCTGCTTGCAGCTTGCGTTGCCGACGACGATGAGGATCGGTTCTTGAATGTTGCAGTGGATGAGATCGAGCCTATCCTCGCGAAGGTCAATGAACGAGCTCTAGCTGAGTCGCTTGCTCACGGCATTGGTTACTATCACGAAGCCCTCAACTCCTTCGACAAAAAAGCCGTTCAGCACCTGTACAAGGTAGGCGCCATCCAGGTCCTTATCGTATCGAGAGACTCTTGCTGGGAGATTGATGCCACTGCTCACCTTGTTGTCGTCATGAACACCCAGTTCTTCGAAGGGCGCGAACACCGCTACATCGACTACCCTATCAGCGAGCTGCTTCAGATGTTCGGTAAAGCTGGCAAGGTTGGTCAAGACAAGTCGGCGAAGGGTGTGCTGATGGTGCCTGCTGTCAAGCGCGACTACTACAAGAAGTTCTTGAACGAGGCACTGCCCGTGGAAAGCTACTTGCACGACTACCTGCACGATGCCTTTGTCGCTGAGATCAGCGCAAAGACCATCGAGTCTACTCAGGAAGCCGTCGACTGGTCGACATACACGTACTTCTACCGCCGACTGTTGTCAAATCCGAGCTACTACAATCTGCATGATACCTCACACGAAGGTCTCAGCGCGCATCTGTCAGAATTAGTGGAACAAACGCTCAAGGAATTGGTCGAGGCCCAGCTCATTGAACACGACGAGGAGGAAGACGCCATTACACCTCTCAACCCGTGCATGATTGCAGCATACTACAACATCTCGTTCATCACTATGCAGACGCTCATGATGTCGCTCAATGGCAAGTCCAGCCTCAAGGGCGTCCTAGAGATCATCACTGCGGCCACCGAATTTGAGGATGTCCAAATCCGACGTCACGAGGAGCACATCCTCAGCCGGATCTACGATCGCGTGCCCTACAAGATGCAGGAGGTCAACTTCGAGACACCACACTTCAAAGCATTTGTGCTACTACAAGCACACTTCTCGCGGATGCAGCTCCCTATCGACCTTGCCAAGGACCAAGAAGCGGTCGTCAAGAAGGTGCTCAATATCCTCAGCGCCAGTGTCGATGTACTCTCATCAGAAGCGCACCTCAACGCCCTTAGCGCAATGGAACTCTCCCAAATGGTCGTACAAGCCATGTGGCAGAAAGACTCTCCACTCAAGCAAATCCCCCACTTCGACGCCGACACCATCAAGGCGGCCCAAAAGTTCGGTATCAACGACGTTGACGGCTTCATCGACGCCATGGACCCAGACGAGAACCCAGATTACAAGAAACTCATCAAAGCCCTGGACCTTGACGGCCGGCAGCTTCAAGAAGCCGCCACCTTCACCAACGAGTACTACCCCAACCTCGAGCTGGAACACGAGCTTGTCGACCCCGAAGACATCGCTACAAACTCGCCCGCGCACATCAAGGTCCGCGTCACTCGCAGTAATCTAGAAGACGACGAGCAGCCAAAGACGGACGTGCATGCGCCATTCTATCCTGCCGAGAAGACGGAGAGCTACTGGCTTGTGGTGGGCGATCAGCAGGAGCATACATTGCTTGCGATTAAGAAGGTTACCATTGGGAGGAAACTGGAAACTATGTTGGAGTTCACGCTTGAAAAGCCGGGTGAACATGAGTTGACGTTGTTTTTGGTCAGCGATAGTTATCTAGGTGTTGATCAGGCACCGACGTTTACGCTTACTGCGGCAGAGGGCATGGAGGAGGATGACGAAGAGGATGAAGATGAGGAGTAAATGGGAAGTGTGAAAAGATTTGGTCGAGCGTTTGCTTTGCATGGTATATTTGCTTTAGTGGCGAAATGGAGTATGGGAAATCACATGGTGTACGAAATAGTGTAGTGAGTTGGCCAGTGGATATGGCAATATGATAATGTTAGATCGTTCAAGATGTACCAGATCAAGGTGAAATAGCTCAAAAGATATTCTGCTTGTGAAGAACCGCTATTGGTGCGACACATGGTGAGGCTGAAACTCTGCTAGCGCTCGTATACACTCTTGGCTTTAACAGCGCCAAGCGGTTCCGCGTCCATACAACCGCCCTGCTGGGGCACGTGAGAGAGCATTAGACGGAATCGTCTGCGTATCCGACCTCTCGGCTTGGCTCGGTGTCCGCAAAACTCGCGAATTTATGCCCTAGGAAGGGACTCTTGTAGACACTCATCACAACTATGATCTAGCACCGCACCCAAATACCTCGCCGCACTACTCTCGTGCACCTCAACATGATATTGACACTCTTTCTAGCATCGGCCATTCTACCTGTCACTTCCGCTCAAATCCGCACACAAGGCTCTTGGATCGGCGCCTACAGCTCCAACGACACTTTCTTCTTGCCCACTATTCAAGCTGCTCAAAACCCCAATATATCGCGTTCAGCCAACGTGCAATTAAAGAATTCTACATTTACCGTACGCGTTAACTTGTCGGATATTGTGGAGGCTACTGAGCGCTTTGCAGTCCGGTCTTACGATCTCTCTTGGAATGGGACGGGAGATGTGAATGAGTACTTGGGTGCCGAGAGGCTCTGCATGACGTACGCGTACTGGAATTTTCCAGACGAGGTTACGAATGCGGTGAGCGGTGGTGGGGACGGAACGTGTGTTGGTGCTTTAGGGGAGAGCTGCGTGAAGGCGCTGCAGAGCATTACTTACGATGGCGAGGGATGTCGTACATCTGGTGTGCCTGACGCGTGCCGAGATAAGCTTTCCCGTGATAGGGAGGGCGAGGAGAGTGTTGGGGATTCTGGTAAGTGCAACTAACTTCTTTTAGTGGTCATATGGATGAAGATGCTGAGATTGTGCAGAAAATATGAATACTTTGGAGAGGATAAAGAATGGTGGAGTTTCACCGCTGCCGCTAATGTACAATACTTCCTTGCATCGAGAGGAGAATGATTTGAAGGGTTTTGAGTTCGAGAGGGAGAGACTACACTTCTTGTTGCTGGGTGATGGAAGTGGGGCTAGCACGCCAGTTTGTCTGAGGTTATCGGATGCGCGGATCAATGGGACGGGGGATTCGCAGGAGACAGGTGGTGGAGAGAAGGAGGGATCAGGTGTTCTAAGGTATGGAGAGGGAGGGACAAAGTACACTGTGTGGATGACAGGTATAATAGCGCTCTTCTGGATGTTGTACTAACGGGCATCTCAAATCCAACCGACAAATGACCATCGATGCGGAGAGGCCTTTGATTGTTTAATCATTCATCTTTCCCATTAACGCGCTCAAACACGAACAAGCCCTTCCCGCCTCTCGGCTCGAGGACGAAGTGATCCCGCATCTCCATATCCTTGTGCGTCTGCGCGCTCGCAACTCTAATCACGAACTGGCTCAGTACCCTTGCCGCCATGATCTTGATCTCCATCATAGCCATATTCTGTCCCGCGCAGACATGCTCGCCGCCTCCCCAGACTAGCATATGCGCTTGCATGAGGGGTGAGGGTGCGAATGTGTACGCTGCATGATGACCCGATGAGCTTTCAGTGGGCGAAATGGTTCCCGCGGTAGAGAGCCAGCGGCCCGGATCAAAAGAGTCCGGGTTGGGAAAGGCTTCCTGGTTGCGCTGGATGGTAAATGCAGGCGTTGAGATCGTGATCTTGACATGGTTAGCGCATCTTCAATGAAGCACAGGGTAATGTCTACTTTTCCTGGGATGTAGTTGCCATCAATCACCAACCCTTCCTTTGGAGTCACCCTTGGCAGCCCTACTGCCCCCGGAGGGTGCAATCTCAAGGTTTCATACACGCACGCTTGCAGCACGGGCAATCGCTGCAGTACCGAGTACGGACATCCTCTACTTTTCATATTTTCGGCTGCTAATTCTTTCCGGAACCGCGTCTGCCACTCTGAATTCGCGGCCATCTCGTACAAGAAGTACGTCATGACCGCCGCCGTGGTGTCTGTAGCCGCGTATATGAAGTGGCTGACTTCAACGGATATTTCCTCATCGCTAAGAGGCTCAACTCCTTTCTCAGAATCGCCTGTAATCAGTTTGGTAAGGAGGTCTCGTCGACGTGACTGCCGGCCGAACCGGGCGATAGAATCGCGCAGCCGAGCGTCGCCGTATCCATAGATGTAATCCACGACCCCGCATATATCTCGGAGCGGTTTGAAAGGAATGAGACGCAGGAGCCACATCAGTCGAGGTACTTCGCGGTCAAGCGCGAATACAGGATGTAGATACTCCATCAAGTTCACGTAGTGCGGAGGTGGATCAGACCCCATAGCGTTGAAGGACTGGCCCAGAAGGACTTCGCCTGCGGTCCTTGCATCAGCACACCTCCAGTCGAGCTCGCTCAGGATGTATCGTCAAACCTACCTCCAGTATCCAGACTCAGCATCTTCAGAGGCCTCACAATATCCCACGGGCACCCATCCGCCCGCTCAACCAACTCTACAAAACTTTCAACATGCCCTTGAATCTCCAGCTCCAAGTCAGCTAACACCTTCGCTGCGAAGACATGCGTGACTCTTCGCCTCCTCTCCCGATGTCTCTCCTTATCTACGAAGTTGAACAAGCTCGGTCGCCCCATCGCTTTGTATATATCGCCTTTCGTACATGCCGTGTTTGAAGCGTAGATCACTCTCGCAGCCTCGGCAGAGCTCATTGATATTTCCCGTGGACCGAGCTGGAATATTTTACCATGTTTGCGGTGCAGAGCGTGTACTGTGTTCATTTGTTCGCCGCGAGCGAAGGTGTAGAGAAGCCATTTTGAGGTGAGTTTTCCGACCGTTGGGCCTGGGAAACGAAGGGGGCCAAGGGCTGAATAGTTGCGATGGAGTCGTCTACAAATGTGAATTACTGCGCCTATGAAGAGGAAAGAGATAACAAGGCGAATGGAAATCATCTTGGAAGTCTTGGACTGGACGGTCACTGTGAAGGGACGATTCATATATGGAATGGTGCGCCCCACCTTCCAGAACAGGCTCATTGGCGAGCTTATTCCCTGCAGCGTTCTTGTGAGATGTTCCCCAATGAGAAACTTCTCAGCTAACGCTCCTTGAATGTAGGTCTCCCGTGACGACTATGGGGATTGCGGCAATGAAACTCATTCAGAGCTTCTCATGTGTGCCACTTCCCTTCGCCTCGGCCCGCACGCCTTGCCATGCTTCCGCAACTTTCCAGCACTTTTCCAAGCCAAGCGACAAGAGCACTTTACCGTTACCTCCTCTGAAGCTGACATCGTAATCACGTTCATCCACCTGGGCAATTCCGTCCGCTCCTATGACAACTACCTTTCCAGGTTCACTCCATGGTTCACCGCTTACATACTTGATCCACTGGTCCGTCATGTGCAATGCTGCGTTGTTGGTTGCTTTATCCAAGTGTTTTGAGTAATTGCCCAGGAGTAGGGCCACATCAAATTCATGTGAGGCCAAGCCCGTGAACTCGCCTTTTACTGGGTTAGCCACGTGGAAATGGTATCGGAAGCTGCATTCGCTGGGGCGTGTAGATCTCCATCCTGAATGAACGGCGAGAATAGGGATGTAGAAGCGTAGGTCGGAGATTAGTTCGTTCAGGGTCCGGAGTTCCAGCTGTGGGGTCGATGCGGGAAGGCTGTACGCAGACAGTAGGGCGGTGGTTTCGGAGGTGGTGAGATGCTGTGCGCAGGAGGCTTTTAACTTGTCGAAAGCGTTGGGAAGGGCTAGGACTCTACTGTGGAGGACGGTACCCTGTGTACTAATTAGACCGAACTTGAGCTTTCTTGAGGAGCGAATTGACTTACGTCGTGTCTAGTGTCGCCAATCACAAACTCTTTACACCAAGCGGGCTTGTGCTCCTCTTGCGCTCCATCGGCCATCACATCAAGCGAGATATTCTTTTTGAGGAACTTACCATCCACACATGCACAGTAATACTGCGCCATCGGGAGTTTGTTCACCATCTCCATAGCATCCATCTCTCTCAGCTGCTTCTTTCTTTGCTCCGCACCTACCTGCTGGAGGCCAAGGAATTTCAATTGGTCCTGATACATCATATCATGCCATGATCTGACTCTCGATTTTCGCAATGTTGCGTCCCCGCTCATGATCACGACTTTGTCAAACAGTGCCTCACGCCCAGTATCCACGCAAAGCAATGTCGACAGCGAAATCCCACCCGCGGACTCTCCCGAAGCAGTAATCTGGTTTGGATCACCGCCAAAGCCTGCAATGTGTTTCTTGATCCACTTGAACGCCATGACTTGATCCTTATACCCAAAGTTGCCATCGATACCCAACTCACTGCTCGCAAGAAAACCCAAGATGCCAACACGATAATTAATCGCCACACCGATGACCGGTTTGCCAATCTCAATACTGCGCTCTACAAAACGAGTGAGGTTGTACTGCGGCCAGTTGTTGCTGCCAAAGCTCAGGCCGCCGCCGTGGATCCAGACGAATACTGGTAGTTGTTCGCCTTGAGCCGCTCTCTCGAGATGGTCTTTGGGGACAGTGACGTTAACATGCAGACAAGAAAACTCGTCCATCGGTTCTTGGATTCCTTCTTCCATTGGCATGGTCACATCTGTTCCAACAAGAGTGAGGTCCCATGCCTGAGCCGCGCGGCTGAAGGGACAGGATGGACCGAACTGAGTTGCGTCATATACGCCATCTACATCGTGGGGTAGCTTGGTGTTTATGACCGAATCTTGCCATCTTCCAGGTATTGTCGCATACTTAAGGTTTCGAAATTGCACTGTTGATGTTGAGGGCTTGCCGCGGATGGTGCAGTCTAGTGTGGGGTGGCGCAGAGTGTGTCCTGCCATTGTGCGACAAGGCGAGGGGCGTTAACGAGTTGGTGAGACGGAGGATTATGGACCCAGGTGGATGGTAAGAGATTCCACGGGCGTGGTACGGGTGAGATGTAGGATCGAAGGGTAGGCGCCACATGTGTACTCGTTGCCCTGAGCCGAGGGACCTAGACCTCGCGCTAATGCAAGTGGGGCCCTCCCCGCATGGTGATGGATGTGGATCACAGTGGCCGACACAACAAACCGAACTTCGTTTGGGCTAGATTTTAGGCCCCCGTGTCAAGACATTGGGCTGTTGGCTGTAAGCTTGTAAGCTGACGAGGTAGCCTAGGATGACTCGCTCTGTAATGCGCGTTCAAAGTTTTGACCTGATATTACATGACCCTATCTTACGTTGGCGCAAGAGCCAGTCTAAGTTTTGGTGTCGGCCACTCTGGATCGAAAGCCACTGTGGACCAGAAGCACATACCGGGCATCTCGCGAAGGATCAATAAATGGTGCGCCAAGTGTCAACAGTCTTCCGGGTCAAGCTCGATGGCCCAAAAGAAACTACGACATATGCCATGGTCAGACCGACGTGATTCCTATGAGGGGCATTAGCGTCCATTTGGTAGCTTCATTGGATTACTCAGGCAAAAGGGCGGAAGAAGCGGATCTGTAAATGAGAGTGACCGTACGAGCAATGTCCTATTGCGATGTAAAGCAAGTATGTTTTATCATTCTTAAAACTCGAGATTGGAACAACTGTTACGATGTTTAGCGATAAAAAGGAAACGTAGTAAGCGACGGACTTATAGTATTTTGGTAGCGTGTAATAGCTACCTTGTAAGAGACGCATGCCAGTAGTGTTAATGGTTGCCGTAGATTGACTTGCGTTTGTATGAGCTACCTTCCTTTTAACATAAACTTATCAAAGTTTTCATGCTGAATTTGGGCAACCCCAATTGTTTCCTTTGCGTCTGAGTTAGTCTTTGGGGCCTTCGTAGCGCTTTATGTTGATAGCGCGGCACGAATGCATCACCAACTAGGACTCGATGCCCTTGGTCGTCTGGTTTCCCAAGCACAAATGGAAATGGTGCGTCTCGGAATATCGCTATCGTAGATCCAGCTTTGGCATCTTCAGGTACCAAGGCGACCATACCCCTCTGAGTGATGCAAAAGCGGCGGCCAACGCAGTTTGTCAACATTGCACTATGCACTCTATGATTTGAATGAAGATTATCAATGGAGAAGTTAGCCGGAAGCAGATGCGATCGTGATAAGTTGTAGTTCGGTCCGGGCTGATACTGGTGCCACGAACGCATATTAAGCGTTTGCTTGCTGGGACGATCGACATTGAATCCGTCTAGATCTTCTGCTTGGTCAAGCAGTACCGAAAGCAAGCGAATCCAGGCTTTCCGTGCCTCGAGGCCGTCACGTGTCGTGTCCTGTCTGTATACTTCGAGATCCAACCTATGCGGCAAATCACTGCTGGAAGCTACCTTCTCTACGAGATCTAGCCATGACTCGTATACGTCTTCGATCTCAGCTGTGGCTGATGTGCTGTCTACTGTTTCTGGAGAAACATGACTAATTTCATCTATCAGTCCGCCCCTTAATATGAGGATTTCATCCCGCACTTGTATGTCCGCTGTGAGAACAACATCCGATTTGAACGGGGGCTCTTGGTCGGAGCCCATGTCCTCAATCGGTTTGAAAGGCAAACAGCGCCAGGCGTCCGCTGAGTTTGGTACCCAAGAAGGTAGACCATGCTTCCTCTCTGGATTTTGGCACGCTGAGAGTATATGTAATCCCCATTTTTGTCTCAACACCTCCTTAGTGGCCGTGATGTAGATATTGCGTACGTCGCTTCGATAATCAGGTACAAATCGAAATACGTTGGGATCAGCCAAGCCAATAACGGAAAACACCATGTCGCGCGCATCTGTTGCTTTGCACCCCCTCGCGTCTAGAAGGAGCGTGCCTAGACGTACCCAGTTGGAGCCACAACCTGTAGCAGTTCTGAGCTCTAGTAACTTCCACGGGTGGTAATCCCACGGTAGTGTCGCAGCAGCTTCTGAGGTGATCCCCTCGTTCATCGTAGGGTTGCCGTATCCCAGACCCTTCACGTATTTTACCATTAATAAAGCACGCTCTAGGATACCTATGTCGAAGACTTTTTCACCACATGAAAGTAGAACCTTGTCATGAAGGGCGATTTCTTGTCTGATCCACACTCGCTCGAACCAGGGTCTTCCGAAAAATGACGCCAGGGCTTTCCATTTGAGAGCGACCTCTGGCTCAGTAAGCGAAGGATAGTGGATTGCTTCTCCAGGAGCATCTTTAGGTGGCGCTCCAAGAATGGTCAACAAGTCGATTGCTGTGTGACTGGTATCTGACTCGTCGCCTAGCCAGACATGGACATTATGCGCTTTCTTGTATATGCGTCTCATGAGTGAAACCTGGCTGCTTCTCTCATCAACATCGCTTTGATTGATACACAGTTGGTCGATCCAAAGATACTTCTCCCAGACTGATATGCCATCCATGTAAAAGTTTCGGAGATGTCGTAGGGCTGAATCAAGGCTTTGCGTGATTGGAAGTTGATATCCGTCCAGATTGATGGTATGATCCTTGATTGGAGTACCCCAACAGTAAGACAATGCTGTGAAGGCGGACGCAGCTGGCTTCGAATGTTTGATGGCAGACACCTTGGGTTCGTCTAGGCTTATGATCTTGAGAGACGCCCGAATTGGATCGGTGAAGCTGATGTCGTAATACAGTTCTAGGATCCGAATCTGTGACTTGGTAGGTTCTAGAGTGGTGTACGGGTACGGTCCATTGATTGTGACAGGGTTAGACAGGGAGAGTGCATCCTTGGCAAGCGTAGCCTGTCGGGCATGCGGAGCTTCGGTGTCCGTCGTCGTGAGATTGGTTCGTACAGCACGAGCATGCTGGTCTTGACTGTCCACCCCTAGATGGTCCAATATCTTGTGGATAGCCTTGTCAATTCGACCCATGCGCTCGTGAAGATCATCAAGTGAACCCTCGATCCGGCCCATGCGGTCGTTCAATTCTTCGTATGGTGGCTTTTCAAAATAGTGAGACATGCTTTTGTGATAATCATATACAGGATAGCATAGGATGCTCGGTTCTGACGTAGCTGGGTTGTGAAAGGCACCATCGATCACAGAGGGCAAGTGCGGGCGGCCTCTCAGAGCGCAAGCGAATAGGATGACACTTATGTAAAACTAACAACCAATCATACCGTGCGAGCTCGTCAACAAGGCACTGGGTGCTTCGCTACCATCTTGAAGTACCAGATCGAAACGCTCTGTGCAGCGCACTACTTGGAGTACACACTCTAACTTACGCACTTTTGGTTCTATACTTGAGCCCTTCATCTACAATTTGTCGATTGTGGTTTTCTTTCACTACGGACATCAAAGTCCACTGACGTGAAATATCCGTCACTGTTAGCTGCATGAATTTGTTGCTTCTAGGCAAGGTTGATTCGTGGACGATGTGCTATTGGAGTCTGGCTATAGTTTGCCTGCAATTTTGACTCGCACCCCTAGAAATCTACTTACCACACACAATAGAACAGAAACTAGTCCACATCAAGGTCAAGACTCTAGAACTCCCAGGCGGACCTGCGTGAGTGACTTGTGAATGGTTATGAGTAGGACAGTCTGTTCATGGGGATGTGTGTGGAATACGAAGCAGCATATACCGGTCGTTCGGAGTTGCTTTACCGACCTTGGAATGCCAGATGAGCAAGCACTCTGAAGCAGAAACTTCCGCTATCTCGTGGACCGGTCGCTCTCTGGGTGTGGCGGTTAGTTCCATAACACACTTTTGGCCCGCGGTATTCCTTTGATACCGTGTATTACGACTCCAGACTCACCTTGAACCTATCTCACTGGCTGGAACAGGATCTCATCCCTCTCATCTTCCGTCAAAACCCTGGTCGGACCCTCCCCAGCACTGCGCCTCGCCATGCTCTCCCTCTCCCTTGATCTCCTCTGATGCCTCTCGTCAAAGATCTTCACCCCATTCTTCAAGTACCTAGATCCCTGCTTCTGCTTCTCTTCGTCCACCTCCCCATAGGTCTGACCAGTCCATTTGCCCTTCGTCTTCAAGTCTTCGTACTCCATCAATGCCGGCTCGTCTCGCTCTATGTCCAAACCCGGACGCCCGTAGAGCTGGTCAATGGTGTGCGTCGGAGTGTGATGTGCAAGCGGGTTTGTAGTCGATACAGCGGGAGGCGGCAAAGGTTTCGTGCGACCAGACTCCTTGTCCTTCTCTTCCTTCTTCTGCCGCCGACCCCAGAAGAACCATGCACCGATCGCGGCAAGGGCGACAATCGCAAGAGGAAGAGCAAGGAAGCCAAGCTTTCGGCTGCGAGATATGGTCGCGGAAGGCGCGGCGGTCTGCGGGATCGTCAGCAGTATCGAATCAACATGGGCAAGGACAAGCGATCACTCACCACCGTTGCAGTTGATACTGGAACACTTGCATTCCCTGTCGCATTCCCTAGTTTCGCCAAAAAATCGCTCATCTCCCAGCAATGACCATTGACCGTGAATCCGAAGCACCAATCATTCGGTCCGTCAATGTTCACGCCAGGTGCTTTGTATCCTGGATTAGGCTGTGCATGGGGGGAGGCAAGGGTTGTGATGAAAGCGGGAAAGGCTTTAGAGTATAGATCTAGCCATACCTGATATGGGACGCACTCTGCGTTGACGCGGAAGCCTTTGCAGGATTCTGAGGGGTTCTCGATAGACGCACCGCCGCTGGGATAGCTAGTGATCGCATATGACAGGGGAACCTCAGTCGTTGTAGTCGTGACCGGCTGGGAAAACACTATCGCGATAGTCGTCGAACTCGGGATAGTCGTCAAAGTCGAGCTGCTCTTGAGCCACCAACACGGTTCTGGGACGGACAGCGTTGGATCAGGCGGGGTGACAGGACCAAGGGCGGTGTTCGTAGTCAAAACACATGGTCCGGGGGTTAAGGCCATTTTGGATAGCGAGCTGTGCGACTCGCGGTGGAGCGTGAGAGATCGGCGGCGACGACACAGGAAAGAAAAGGGTTGTAGAGAATTAAAGCCGTTTTTTGAAGCGGGGTGCGTTCGCGAGGATACGTGACTGGTGAATGAGGAAGCCGTACTTACCTTCCCTTGTTTGGTAGCGAGATGAGGTGCAAACGCGCTGCTCACGCGATTGCAATAGGCAGACGCCTTGTATTTACGATTATTCCCTAATGTTGCTGTACCTCAGCGTCGTCAGCTTGATCCTCGCGCAGCAACCAACATTGGAAGCAATGCATCTGTTCGGGGCTCAAACATACATCAAGTTGAGACACCTATGATATCAAAATTCGACGTGAGCTCGACTCACGTTGAATCGAAAGCACCCAAAAGCGTTCACACCTGTCCGCTCTCCCAGCGACAGAACCCGTCCGTCTATCCCTCTTCAAGTCTTCGCCGAGAACAACCCATCTCAATCCTGCCCCCGAAAAAGATTCACCGCTCCAGACTGCCCTCTACACCCCCTTCCCCAACAGCCCACTTCCCGGTGCCCCACTCTCCCTATACTTCCGATACCCGCCCTTCCACGCTGTCTTCCCCTCACCCTCACCCTTGGTTGCCTTTTCCTTTCTCCCCATCTGCTGAATTCCCCGTTTAAACGGCGTCGTTATCGTGAAGTTCCTGCTTTAAAACCTTCTGCCCACCGATAACCTTAGGTTCCATATCGACAGACGAAGGCAGTCGCTGACGTTGTCCGCGGCTCCGCCACATTGTCCACCAAATGGCGAAGGCGACGATGCCGACGGCGGCGAGAGCGCAGGGAATGAGGATGGGGAGGATAGGAGTTTTGTGTTTGGGAGGCACGATTTCCGTGGGCATGGGGAGGGCGCAGTGGATGACTGCGGTGTGGCGGAGGCTGGTGGAAAGGGTAGAGACGGGGATGGGGGTGGGAGTGGGGATGAGAACGATGTTGGTGGTGATGAGAGTGCGGTTGGGAATGATGAAGTCGTGCTTGAAGAAGACGGCGGAGTGCTGGTTGAGGAGGCTAGTGCGGAAGCTGGAGTGGTCGGAACTGTTGCGCTGGGAAGATCTGATGGATCTGATACGAAAGGCAGGCAACAGATACCTCCCGGTGCTACCGTTCTTTGACACTCCTCGTACGATGATCGCTGTTGATCTGTCACTTGTTCAGCACAGTGTTTTTACGTTTGTCATTTGGAAATGCACATACTGAGCGGAGCGGTGTTGATAGAGCATGGAAGAGCGGGATCGCTCAGGGGAGGGTCGGCGCCCAGCTGAGGTGCTGCATTGGGAACTTCACTCGTAGTGATTATTGGCGTCATGGAAGTCTGAACCGGTTGTTCTGGCGTTGCGAGGGAAGGAATGCTGATTTGCAGACCTGCAGTACCGGTGGAGACTGACAGAGTATCTTGCGTTCCTTTGGAGGCATTTTCCGGTTGCGTATTGATGACAGTGATCCAAGTGGTCTGCAAGATAGTGTCTGTCACTGCTTTATGTTCAGCTCAAGACACGTAAAGACATGCAATGAAACGACTGGGTTACCTTGAGGAGAAGGAAGGATAACACCGAACACTGAGCGCCGGGAGACTCAGCAGAGCACGAGGGAAGGTATTTAGTATCAATGCTCACCGTCACTCCCACCTCTACTACCCAACGATACCTCCTCAGCGCTGACGACGCTCACGATCAACGTAGAAGGTAGTACAGCGACATCAATGGTGGTGGAGTACACCGCTGCCTCCATGAGCGAGATGATATTTGCTGCAGCCGCTCAGAGTGTATAAAGCGTCGGCTACAAGCCTTGAAATCAGGAGGGAGATGAGGATGACATGAAGGGGCATACAGCTTCAAGAAATCTAACATGCAAGATGACCAAGCTAGACGACGGAGCATAGCTTGCATCAAGCATGAGGGGTATCTACGGCTGGTGCCGAATGCTGGATGACCACACCTTCGGTGCAAACGCCGCTCGTATGCCGGCGCAATCGGGCACACCTATGTGACAGGAGAAACCCTTCCCGGCGAATCCGGAACCAAAAAGAGAAGTGTGATAATGATGATCATCAACCAACCACTGAGGCTGAGACCATACGAAAAAGGTTCACCCCAAGACTCGTCACGGAATGTGATAATGCGATGGGAGCACAGCGTTGCATGTTCTTCACATGAAAAAATAAAAATAAAACGTAGATCGGGGCTGTAATGAGAACAGTAAAAGTATTGAGTGGTGCCCGGAAGGCCGCCCGGAGCCCCGTGTCTTAAGCTGAGGCCGGAAGCAACAGTCCATAGTAGGCGATCTAAGACAGAATGCCTGGAAGTTACCGCAAGTATTTCGCATCGCGCGGCTGGCAGGAAGTTAGTGAAGCGCGGGATAAAGCAATTTAGTGGAATTGTGTCTGGGTCCAAAAGTGACCATCATTCATTGGGTATATTTCATGCTCAACTGACGCATCGATACTTGGCCATCGTCGCCCTTTGTGTCGAGTGCTAGCACCGCGACTCCCGCCGGTCCTTCTTCCTGAGCCGCTCGACTCCTGTCGTGTGTGGTTCGATGTCCCAACTTTTGCAATTGTTCTTTGTTGGCCACAGGGTACACTTCGCGCCATGGCTTACGCTAATTTATCCGATTCCATCACTATCTCACTTCGCCTTGTTCTTCGCAGATTCCGCCTCTCTCCTCGTCGCGTCCTCCAGTAGTGCTGTGTCGACGGCGCCACTAGGCAGGTGTACGTATCGGACGACGGAACCTCGAATGAACATGTCTTTCGTCGAGCACTGCGCATGGTCAGCGTTCAATGCCACATAATGTCATCGGCCGAGTTGGGCACCACAAGAAGATTGTGAGTGCATTGCATACCAGATGTGGCCATTTCAGCTCGTCTGTCGCCTCCGCATTGTCCAGCTTGATGTTCAGGTATTGATCCACGCTCTTCAACGTTCCGCGTATGCACACTTCGTTCTTGAGTTCGACCGTGATCTCAGAGTCTACAAGCGTCTTAAAGAAGCTGTACGCGATAATCATTAGCAATGTCCTTTTCTCTCGTGCCACGATCCTAAATGTTCTTGTTTGCGCCGTGTGCGTTATCGACCTTTGCAGGTCGCGTCTGGGTATATTGAAGTGCGAGTTGAGCTCGGCACCGCTAGACGTACCTGAAGAATAGCATTTTCGGGACCGAGGATTGCGATGGGCGCAAGGGCAATAGTAGCAGTGCTGACGTCGAAGCGGTTGTCAATGTCGCGAAGCTTGGGGCTCCGATTCGAGCTCAGACCGCGTGGGGTCGCGCCTGCCTTACCGAAGTTCCGCCGACATCACGTGTCATTGCCTCCCTTCATCTGCACCTCGACATGGGTCGTCCGAAGGCTACTCTGTGAACGAAGACAGTGTTTCTTATCGCTTTCCTAGCTGAGATAATCATCACTCGGATCACCAGTATGTACATGTTGTGCGAATAATTGATCTTTGAAATGCTTTTGTCTATCTTCTTCATCACTTCGTGGTCGGCATTACATACAAATCAATCTACAAGTCATATCTCATTTACAACTTCCCTCTTCTCGAGTCGACTGCATCCCTGAGCTTCTTGATTACTTGGCCTGGGTCAGCTGCCCCGAATACAGCGCTTCCTGCAACGATGACGTTGGCGCCGGCGTCTGCTGCCTGGTCAATAGTCTTCTCAGATAAGCCGCCGTCGACCTCAATGTGCATGTTGGGATATTTCTGGCGGAGCGCTGTAACCTTGGGAAGCTGATCAGCCATGAACGACTGGCCGCCGAAACCAGGCTCGACTGTCATGACAAGGACCATCTATCTGATTTTAGCCAAGTTGTTTCGTGAGATGTAGTGATACTAGGAAGCCAGCGGGTAGAAGAGTCATAGCATGTCAGGGAGGATGTCGGCTAGGCTTTGGATGTTTGGTGCACGTCGGAAGTATTCCCCTTTTGTAGGGGAAGAGGCGGGTAGTCGGGCGTTAAGGGTGCAATGTTTGCATGCTTAAGCGCTGGCTGACTGAACGGCCGTCTTCAGCCCTGCAAGCCAAGAATGACAGCCGCCTTCCAGACCATCCATATCATCCATATCCTGTATGGCGCCGGCTCTTCTTTCCCAGCAAGTGACAGAGGAGTAGTTGGAAAGGGTATCCACTTACGTCAGGTACTTCCTCCTTCACAGGGTTGTCCAGGATTTCCCAGAGCACATCGACAGGAGTCTTTGGCTTTATCGCGATGCCAGCCTGCAGTCCTTCGCTATGTATGAAGCTGATCAATTCCTTGGGCGAAGTCTTTGCGGAGGAGGTGCCAGAAGGCGAATCGGCGGCAGTCGAACCAACGGCGGCCTCGTAGTGGAAACAGTACAGATCACATCCGGCCTTCTTGAAGTCGCGGACCCACCGCTTGGGCTCGGCGATCATCATGTGGCAATCGAAGGTGCCGCGGCCATGAGCGGCAGCAGGACGGTCGACGTGAGTACGAATCTTGGTGACGACCGGGGCGCCGAAGGTCATGTTTGGGACGAAGTGGCCGTCCATGATGTCTACCTGGAACGCGTCAATGTCATTTCATGCAGGCGCAAGCTCTTGGAGACGAACATGAAGCCAATCGGCGCCCTGGTTAATGGTGTCAGAGCATGCTCTGCCCAGCTCTGCGAAGTCGGCGGATAGGATGGAAGGCGCGATGATGGCGGGCGGCGACATGACGGCGGCTCTGAGCGAAGGGGAAGCTGTATCGAAAACGGCAAATGACGTAGAAGGTCAATGGCGAGTGGACGATGTGGGAAACAGAAGTGTGATTATTCGGCCTGGCTGCGTGGTGTTGACATCGGGAGCTCGAGCGGCGTCACGCCGACCCCACTTCGGACTGCCCCGCGGCTGTCTGTTTCGAACCTCTTCATGCGCACCGCAAACACTCTGCTCATTCATCGTTCTGTTTCTGTCCCTGTTTCGCCGCCCCTTTGCGAGATAAGATCGGTGATTCAAACATAGGTCTTATTCTCAATCTCCAGGCTTACCGTCATCTGCTTTTGTGCCTCGTGTTGTGGCTGGGTGCAATACCGGAGACATTTCACGTGAGATCAGAAGCAGAACGCTGTCCAGCCTCGCCTCAGTCTTACAGGCGACTGAAAAACAATATTGCGAGCTGCGAACGCCTTCTCCATCGAGCCTATCGGCGACTATGCTGTGCTACGCCGTACAGCACGGCGATTGGGCCTGTCACGAGATTCGATCCTCGCGAGGTGGCCCAAAATAGCCACGACGGCGCTTAACAAACATCCGTCCAATCCGCCTTCGCCTGGCCGGCCAGTCATCCAGCCCCCAGAGGCGCCCACGTCCCAAAGCGTGAACACCCCGACGACTGCCCATGTTCGCGTGTACAGCGTCGTACAGCACGCTGGCCAACCACGCACGAGAAGATGCGGTCGCTATGTCGTGGCCGTCCTTGAGCCGCTATCGCCTCTCCACCCACATGGTGGCCGCTTTGCGAGTGGACGGTGGGGACCAGCATCGCGTTCTCGAACGCCACTACCTGCTGGCCAACATGTCTGTCGACGCGGGCGCGGCTACGTGCGAAATATACATACCATGGCTCGGCGCGCGCTCGCGGTGCTGTCGTTTCCTGGCATCTTATTCTCACTCCCCCCCGAGCTTTCTACCACGCCGCCGCTTCGTCGACCGAAGCGTTTCATTTCTATCACCGAGCTGTTGATCAGCCAGGGTTATCGCCCGTTAATTCCATCTGCATTCCTTTCCTGTTAATAGTTTATCTTTTGACCTCGCCAAAGACCCAAGCTCGGATTCCCAGTATACACATTCTTTAATTATAGCACGAGGCGGAGCTCACATCAGCCCAATATACAGTATGCCAGAGATACTCCCCACTGCAGCATACGCATCTGCAGCCATTGGCACTGCCAACTTCCCTCAATATCCTGTGTCTCCGCTGGACGAGAGACACACTCTTAATGTCGTCGATGACGAAGGCACCATCCCACGGTACTACTTCACGCCAAGGTTCTCCACCACTTCGACATATCAGCCTAGTGCCGACTCTCCTCAGAGTTGCCGAGACTTCGCTCTTCCAAAGGCACCTGCGCCCTTACTCGAGATGATGAAGCCGTCGCCAGTCCCGTCGCCCAGATACGCCTACCCCTCCTCGACGTACCCTGCATCGTACCGCGCAAGCAGTGCCGACAGCGACTTCGACTCTCTGTACGACGTCACAGACGACGAAGCAGAAGTACCCCTTCACGCATCTGCTTCGGTCAAGCAGATAGCGCGCACAAGTCGTAGTCGTTATCCTTCTCTCATCATCCCATCCCCTTCCGCTTGGCCGACAATAGAAAAGCTCAAGAGTGCAATGTCAGCGCACCCTCTCACACGCCATCTCAACTGCTCACCCCATCGAAGCAAGCCTTGTCACTGATCACGTCGCACAACCTCTCGGTGCCGGCTCGCTCGGCCGCACCTTCCCTGGACGGGAGCCTGACTTCGGAAGAGATGGACAAGTTAAGCTGCCCCTCGACGCCTGAGACTCACAAACGCGTAAGCATCAGCAGTGTCGACTCGTGGGCACCTGTACAGCTTGACGACCAAGCACTAGCAACCCTTCGTCACCTTTCTCGATCACGAGACTCGTCAAGAGGTTCATCACCGGAGCGGCAGCCATCACGTGGCAATGATGGAAGCGAAGGTGAGATGAGAGAGGTTCGCCCGATGCTCAACTTGAGGATTCCCTCAGGCATCAATCAAAATTCATCCGGTAACACACCAGTGTCGGCACTCTCAGTGCCTTCACCCGGTGGGTTCTTCTCATCACTCCAGCCTACTACTCGGCATACGTGGAGCTTGCCGAAACGCGATGAGTCGATTCCCAACACGTCGACGGCTGAGAAATTTTACTCACTTCCGTGGGCATTCCAGCGAATGACCCCTGCCCAGCATGCCATTATGCTAGCAGGCTCAACGCTCGATGGCTTCGATGATGGCCTACCGACCTCTAGGCCAGTTATGCTTGGTGAGGCCGAAGAAGCAGTGGAGGTCTCTGAGATCCACCCAGCCAAGACGATCTTCCAGTACAACGAGAACTACCACGTAGAACTTCAGAAGCTTTCCTCTGCAAATATCGAACGGACGGGTCATTGGCTAGAGGAACAAGAAGAATTGCAAGCTGCACTTCGAGATATGGACATCATCAGCTCCCCCCAGCCTCTCTGTCGGCATCCACAGCCGAGGCAACTCTATCGACAAGACAATCAAGAAGTCGGTGAAGTTCGCTGAAGAGCCACTCCAATCACCCAAGGAGGAGGAAGAACCGAAGAAGATCGTTACATACGTTCAGGGCTTTGAATTCCTTCGACAGCGGACACGAAGGATGGATGTCTACATCCATCGCCAGACCCGCGCAGAGGCCATGCATGTGCACCGGCGATGCAACCCCAGGTCGCATCGAGATCAGCTTCTGGGCAAGTTCGAACTCACCAACCCAGTACGACCAGCGCCCCCACGACCTGTGTCTGAATTTTATGTCAACGACCCGACCGTGCTGAAAGAACGCATCGCTCGTGCTCAGATGGAACGCCAGGCTCTCGACCAAATGCTGCCAATCTGCTGGGTCCTACAGGCACTCCGACAACTCAACGGCGGCAAACTGCTCAGCAAGCCCTCCGCTAAGATCGTCCGCCGGACAAGCATCCCTAAGATCCTCGACGTCGGCGGCGTGCCAACTAACGATTGGGCATGGGATGTAGCCTACGACTACCCATACGCGACGGTTACAACAGTCTACAGCGCCGGGCACAACCTCACCTGCAACGTCACTGGACCCTCCAACCACAAGCACACCACAGTGCCCAACCTCTGGACCCTGCCCTTCCCCAGCGGCCACTTTGACGTAGTCTCCGCCCGTACCCTCCACGAGCTCCTCAAAACCGACAAGCCATTAGGCCGCTCAATGGACGAGTACGACCTGTGCCTGAAGGAGTGCTTCCGATGCCTGAAGCCCGGCGGCATCCTCGAATTCGCACTGCTGGATGCAGACATCATCCATGCAGGGCGCCACGCCCAAGCTCTCGGCGTGGAGTTCGGCTTCAACCTCAAGACGCGCGGATACGACGCCGCGCCTACAAAGTCCTTCCTGCCGCGTCTCCGCAAGGCTGGCTTCCGCGACGTGCAAAGGATGTGGATGGTTCTTCCCATGGGCAAGACAGCAGCAAATTGGAAAGAGACGCTGCCTGTGCTTCCTTCTAAGGCAGCCACAGAGCGGAGTATCAGTCCTGAGGGCGAGGTCATAGAGACGGACGCGCCCGTGTGGGGCACGACTGTTGATGCGGCGATGATGACGGGGATTGTGGGGAGTTGGTACTGGGAGAAGTGGATGTTGAGGTTGCAAGTTGAGATGGGCAAAGAGCAGGAGAGGTTGTTGGAGGGGGTGGTGCAGGCGCTCGAGGAAGGAGCTGGGGCAGGTAGTGGATGGAGGTACTTGACGGGATTTGCGAGGAAGTAGAAGTCCTGCGCTGTGTATAGAGGGTGATCCGGTTTCAAATTGGCTCGATTCATGAGTTTTCGCGCTTTAGCATGGTGTTGGGGCTTCGGCTTTCTTGGGATCTTCGACATGGGTGGGAGGTTGATGGGAACGGACAGATTGGGATGGGTGAGGGTGATACCACGTCGCTATGGTTTTCTTTTGTTGATACTGGATCGTAGATAGTACACGGTAGCAATGAGAATGACATGCGAGCATGGGAAAACGTATCACTCTCCTTTCGATGTTGCCGAGAAGGAACCGAACTCCGTGGAGATGCTATCGATGAAGACATAATATGCCAGGCTCTCGTCAAGTGTCGATAAGAATGCATCATGCAAGAGGAGGCCCCACAAATCAGTTCCCCAAATGCTGGAGACGCACCAAGCTCATGTTTGTGGCGGAAGGACATTGCGTTCGTGTTGGAAGTCTGCCGGGTCGATCTGGGTCCAACACTTTGGCTCCTCAGCGTGCGTATAATTGGACAAAAGCTCTGGCTGCATTTTGGGGCCGCAGGGTCGGGATGCTGGCACGGCTGGGTACACCCCACTACCTTCGGGCATGTCTCCACCACTCACCACACTTCGTGAAAGAAGTAGATAGTCGTGTGACGACGATGATGTTGAAGTGCGACATTCGATAAAACGATCGCCTTCGCGCTCTCAGCGCGGAGCCAGAAGGGTTGCAGCGCAATCTCGGGCACGGCAACGCGCCGTTACCCTCCCGCATCCGTCGCGCAGCCGCATCGTTCGCACCAGGCGAAGCCACTCATGCACCACGTTTCTACGAGAGATTAGGGTGGCCAGGGCGTTTCTCCCGCGTGGGAACGCGTACAGTGGTCCGCAAAGCCACGAAGGATTCCAAGCGCAGCGGTGGTTGGTCCAACCTCGCGATCAGGATCCAGGAAGGAAGCTTTGCAGGGCATTGTCGCATCTCCATGCGGAATAGACAGATCCACGCTCGCCGACTTGCTCGCCGTCTACGAGCACGTCGCGTTTGCTTCGACCCCTCGATGATTCAGATGCGTCGTTGCGCGAGCTGTTCACTCAGCTGACGCTCTCTCTCTTCCTTTCTATTCACGCCAGGTTTATGCGTCTGAATGTCCTTTCTGATGGAACTACGATGACCACGACGATTAACGCAGAGCAATGGCCGAGCAAGGGTGGGGAGTTGATCAGAGTCGCCATTGCGATGTCAGTCATCACTATGCTCTCCACGATCTGGAGACTGGTCGTGCGATTTCGGGTCAGTCCTGGGATGGGCTGCAGCGACTGGTTGATGCTGGCAGGAACCGTAGGTCACCAGTGCGCGAAACAAGATGCTACTAGCAGAGTGAACACTGAGCTGATATCCTCCAGGCCATGAGCTTCGTCTGTAATATTCCTTTTATCATTCGCACCGTGCATGCGGGTACCGGACGGCTCGCCGCAGATCCCTTTTGGACATCGGACCGCATCTACACCTTCATACACTTCCAGTTCATCTCCGGTTGCTTGCAGATGTACGCAATGTTTCTCGTCAAGCTGTCTGTGTGCACCTACCTCTTAGCACTCAACTTCTCGCGAAAGTTCAGAATCATCATGTGGATTGTCACACTGATCGTGGTCATATTCAATCTGGTCATGCCACTTCTGTTGCATTTCGCGTCATGCCGACCGTACTACTTCCGCTGGCATCCAGGAGTCGTGCCCGAGTGTTGGCCCATAATGATCAGCACGGTCGCTGAGTATGCGCAAATAGTCTCGAATATATGCACAGACTTGGTGAGTAGGTAGCAGGCCGCGAAAGTACGTGGACTGACGATAGGCAGGTCTACGCTTCTGCACCGCTCGTATACTTCAGACAGGCAAACCTTACGAAGCTGATGCGCTTCAAAGTGAGGTTGATGTTCCTCCTCGCTCTCGTGTAAGAAATCCGAGCCTCCGTATGGCGCTGGTCTAATAGGCGCATAGTGGCACTTCATCATCTGTCGTCAAGATCTATGTGTTGCACCGATGGCTTCATTCTAGCGAACCGTTCTATGATATAGCCGACCTAGGTATCTGGGGAATCAACGAGATCTCCATCTGCATCATCGTAGCAAATCTCCCGATACAACGCAGGTCAATCTCCATAGCGATCGCATGGGTTGTGCCCAACCGACTACACTCACGCCTCGGTATCGAAAGCGTCCCAGAACTTACGGAAGACGATGTGTATCCGAGAACATTGGAACATTCGAGACGGACTAGAACTACTACACCTAGTGCAGACGACGGTAGTGAAGTGGCAATCATCGAGCTGGAAAATGGAAGGATTGTCCTGGCGCCGAGGGCGCCGACGCCGGTTGCTACCGTCAGAGCGAGTAGCAGCCAGGGCACGTTGGCAACCTTTTGGAGAAATGACTCCAAGGAATCTATCACCTGAATGCGTTAATACGGCGCTCCATACGCTCAGAATTGGGCCAATGAGCGGAGAATACGACCATCGACGAATTGATGAACACATAATTATGAGGACGAGCTATCACGACAGTAATATAGGTCAGCGGCCTGCTTCTCCCTGGGACGGTAACTTTCAAGCATCAGGAACGCCATAGGCTGTCCACTACAAGGACAATGCCTCCTGTCATGTTACGAGTATCTACGCAAATCGGTCGCTCGAGGCACCACTTTGCCAACATAGCAGCGAGGTGTCTTCGAAGTAGTACCAAAAGCATGGCTTCGAGGTCAATAGTGACGCGCTACGCAGCGAAGACAGGTATTCCAGCTCGCCATATATCCTCGTGTCACGATTAGCTGCAGTATCGCGTTAGATGGTATTGCGAGACGGCTGGGAGGATGTTCCTGAAGTAATACCTTTGAACGTTCAGTCTGCCATAGAGAAACTCTAGTCCGTGGCAGTCGATATCTAGAGATACCCATAATGGCTATATTAATCTTGGCACTGTTTGGGGTAACGGTCGCTTAATTGCAATATACCCTCGGTTGGCCTAAACTGCAGGGTTACGAACATGATCTGCTCCTTCGACATGGGAATAAGTTACGACGTCATATGGACCTCATTGAACTCCTTTCTTTCGAAACAGGTCTCGAACCTCGATTCCTTCGTATCGGTTCTCCAGTTTTGTTAAGATCTCACGACATCCCATGAATTGCGATACGACTACATGATGAGCGACCTAGACATCCTCGTCAGCAATGGCACGTGCTATACCAAAGCAGGAGAGAAGCTAGATGACAGCTTCATACCATGCGGAAATACAGCGTTTGGCTTTCAGACATGCTGTGGAGCCGGGGACAATTGCATGGCCGATAACGCGTGCTTTGGAGTGCATGGTAGTGGGTATGGCTCCCAGTTGACCTACCAAGCTGGATGTACCGACCCGGACTACAAGGACAAAAGCTGTCCAGATAAGAAAGGCATAGGTAAACACTCACCCAGATAACGTCCCACTCGCTGCTCAGTTCTAACGTCATCTAGATCAGCCATGGATAGCACTTACCCGCTGTGACGACGACGAAGGTGTCTGGGGCGCGTGTTCACAAGAAGGGAACCCGTCTACGCTCCAACCCGGTTCATTCTGCAGTTGTACCGAAGTGGCAAAGTTCACACCGACGGCATTCTCAGACGCTGCCACTCTTGCGCTTTTCGCCTCCTTGCCCACAGGTACCGGCGAGAGCATCAAGTTCGAGACAGGTCATGTTCCCAGTGGAGACCCGACTAGCGACTCGTCGCCAGCAGAAACTGGATCAGCGTCCGCTGGAGCATCAGGTACCAGTGGCGGTGGCTCGAGTGCAAGTCAGACTGGAAGTCAGACTGGTGCAGGGAGCGCCACACAAGGAGGTTCAGCCTCAGGTTCAGGGAGAAGCGCAACGGCGTCGCGGACGGGATCAACGAGTAGTGGCACATCGACCAGCGGTAGCGGCTCGAACAACGGTGGCTCGAATAACGGCGGCTCAAACAACGGCGGTTCGAATAATGGAGGCTCAAGCGATGGTAGCTCAGGTCTTGCATCCGGTGCGAAGATAGGAATCGGTGTCGGTATCACAGTCGCAGTCCTTCTCCTCATCGCCATAATAGCAGCATTCCTACTTCGCCGCCGGAAACGTCGACAATCTCAAGCTGCTGCTACCGCCACCGAAGTCGAGAAGGGTGACAAGAAGGACGCACCTCTGACGAACGGCGCTGCTGCAGGTCGAACATCCAACCTGAGTGCCGCCGATCCACGCATATCTGATGTGACGGGGGGAACTGAAACGACGAACAAAATGTCGGAGGCCGATGGGAAGCCTCTATCAGGCGCTGACAAGCCAGGTGTGACTGAGCTTGATAGTGGAGCTGTCATGGAGGTTTCCGGACAGACTGCGCAGCCGTGGGATCGAGGAGCTGAGCTTGATGGCAGGCCATTGAGGAAGCCATCAAGTCCAAAAGAGTTACCGGGGAGTCTTGCGGCCGAATCACCTCCGAGTTGGGTGGTTCGATAGCTCGCACGCGATTTTCATTCTTGGCCGCCTGGTGAGTTGTAGCTCCCAGCTCATCGTACATATATATTCGCAGCATCGAACTATCTAATCAACAACATAACTTCTTTATTCGGCCGCTCTCCGACATCGTGCACCAAACATAATGCTCTCGACGCCGTCGTTCGTTCCCCAGGCTCGCATAGCAGTAACTCCAGTGACGGTACCTGCATCCATCAGGCCCACCATACTCGTGCCCCCACTTCTTATTTCAGGTGTCCAAAGAATCTTTATCCACTTGGATACTTGTTGGGCATAGTGAGTTCTGCGCCCCCAAGTGCCCGAGTTACACATCTGAGACATTCATGCAACGGTCAATTACCGGGTATGTCCCTACCGCACCAACTTCGGTTAGTGTTCAGCCACAAACAACCCAATTGACGAATAGAATGAAAGTGACTGCTGTACGCGAGGCATGAAGCATGCCACTACTCGAGCAACTGTAGCAGCCATTTTACGATGAAGGTGGCACGGCAAAGCGGGCGCAAAGCGGGTTTCCAACTCAATCACCTCAGCAAGACAGCCTGCAGATGCTGCAACAACGCCAAACCTAACGCTCGGTTTGGTATATGTACCATCACTTTCCACTAAGTTCAGAATGGCGATGCACCATTGCACCTCGAATCGCCATCATGAAGCCGACTTTGGCGTGGGAGCCTTACACCCAAAAGATCATCCTCCACTGCCTGATTGTCACCACCCCGATGCTAATTTCCTCCCTCGTCATCATCTACATCGTCTACGCAAACCTCATTACCCCAACTTGCGCCTCCCAAGACCTATGTCCAGCTTCTTCCCTTAACACCACATCCAAAGCCTTCTACTATATCGACTTCTCAGCCGCACAGCTAGCGTTCGTGTCTTCATGGTCGGCAACTGTCAGCTTTACTCTAGTGGGCTTTCTAATGGCTTTTGCGTCGTACTCGAATGCTTCTGCGCTGCTGAGAGCGAGTGAGACGGAGGAGCAAAATAATTTGCCGAGTCCGCATCAGATGAGTGTGTTGCTAAGGGTACTGAATGCTGAGATCATGGTGTTGTGGGATATGGCAGCTGAGAAGGGGAAAAGGGTGTTTTGGAAGAAAGAGCGGGAGAAAGAAGGCGGGAAGCATTCGTCCTCAATTTTGAACACGAGTATCATGGTGTTGCTTGTTAGTATTGTTGCGAGGTATACATCCCATTACCCTCATCCCTTTAATATAGCATTGACGGATGTTCTCTAGTCTTTTGGTTCAGGTCGCAGATGTATACTTCCACATCGCTGCCGAATCCGTCAACCTCATCCAAGTCCAGCCACTTTCTCCCACTTCCCGCCAATACAGCCGGCAGATCGCACCATGGTGCCTGGACAGACCTTCCAATGGCCCTCTCGGACCCAAAAGCTTTTGGGGTTGCGCTATCACCGCGCAGCCAGCGCCAAACAATGACGCCACTTCGCTCGCCCCTACTAACACAACTACCATCCAGGACATGAAGAACACCGTCTCGGACCAACATGAAACGCTGAACTTCACGAACTCGGATGGTGTGCAGTTTGCTGTCATTGGACCAGCGAATGCGGATTCGAACGAAGACTACAAAGCCACCAGCTTCGGCGTCTCAGCCACATGTGCAGCCATTGCTGAAGGCGGATGCGATGTTGCTTCACCAATCACCAACGTGAAAGACGGATCAGGCAGCCCCATCCTACTAGTCCCCTTCACATGCACTCAGAATCGCTCCGGACTCTCCCTCACCGGCAACCTAACAAGCCACAACACCAAAACGCACATGCTCAACTTCCACAAGTACGCTGCGGAAAGCCCGCCTTTCCTGACCAACTTCATGGAAACTCCCAACGGCCTTTCTAACACGGATATCTTGGCAGCCATCCAGAACGAGACCGCAGATGAGATATTCCGCAACCCGTGGTCTGTCCTAGCGCTCAGGAAACTCCCCTTCGCGCAGCAAGCAGACTTTGAAAACTTACCTCCTGCGTTTCGAAATGATAGCAGGATATGGAAACACGATGTCCTCGGTGCTTTCACGTTGATGCTGTGCAACGTCACGGGTACGTAGCTATAGCTTGACTTTATATACAGACACGCGTGTACTGATGCATATATATAGTCTGGGATATGACCTACGTCAAATCAGGGGGGCGTGTTACTTCTCTCACTAAAGCGCCTAGCAATGGGTCCACGGCCGGCATGGCTAGTATGCCCGGTACGCGCTTCATCGGCACGCTGGCCAACGTCTTTCAGGATCTGTCCACGGGGCCGGAATCGAGGAGGTCGCCTTCGGCGTTCATTCGCGCGTTTGAGATCGGGATGAGTAGCGCGTATTCATTCCCCCTTGCGTCGCAGCTGAGTAGCCGTGCGAGTCTCCTCGCGCAAGTGCGGAGCTCGAAGGTCGTCACGAGACTACCTGTTGCAGCGCTCTGGACGCTTGTGGTTGCCAACGTAGGATTCGCGCTGTTAGGCCTGGGGTTAGCCATCTGGGCTATGAGACTTGCGAGTCCGGACGTGCATCAGACGCAGATGAGGTTGGGGGTAGCGGGGCTTGCGGCTGCGCTGTTTGACCGCGAGAAGTTCGAGCAGTCTGCTCGCGCGGATGATGGGCTTTTTTCTGAGAAGAGTGAGAAGAGGGGGCTTGATGTTAAGAGGATTGGTTTTAAGCGGACGGGGACGGGCGGGTCTACGTTTGCAGTTTATGATGCAGGGTCTAGGCTGGCTGAAGCAAAGGCGATGCGGACGCGGTACTTCAGTAGTATTGTGGGTTGACCTGCTTATCAAGATCCTTCTCGGATATATTCAAAAAAATGCTTTTGGTGTGAAGATTAAGTCACAAAGCGAGGGAGACATTTTCAGGCTGATCACGTATCGAAGTCATGTACATCACGACAGTACACGTCAGAACATCAGTGATCACAAATGAGGGCTTTGATAAAATCCTCATTGTACCGAAGGTATAACACCCGTTTCTCTCCGTCTTCGTATGCATTCGTCCACCAGAGCACTCGACGATCTGTCCAGCAGCTGAAAATGGAGGGGTATAACGTTCCGCCACCATGCATGCACCATGCACCAGTGGCCTAAAGCGGCAGGATCGTGACCAAATCAATTTCTCCACGAAACCTGTCGTGCAATGCTAAGATCTCGCGCACACAGAGATCGACCGGGTTTTGGGGCTGACGAGTAGTAAATCGGCCGTGAAATGAATAATGGGCCACCGAAATTAATGCCGTAGGTGGAACTAGCTGTTCGCAGCGGTCCGCATACCAAGCGTTGATAATGTGAACCTGTTTGAGACCAGCCAAAATGGTCTCGTAGGGTGGTATAGTCCCACTGATAACCCCCCATGCTGGAGCATATGACCCGACAAACAAAGAATACGTAGTAATGATGTACGTGACTCGAACGCAAAGACTGGACTGCTGGAACATCGATGACCGGATGAACGATTGCAAGGCCAGTAGTTGACATGGTGAATCTCGCAGGCGTGTCTTCTCGATATCCCAAGTGGTGCTATTCCCGAAGAGCAGCTTCTCAATCTTAAAACCATCCTTGATTCCGGATGTAGCGCGCAGAATTCCCGTTTACGTTTGTTGTAAATTCGAGTCCGAATTTCCCCTTAGAGTCCCATCTTGCTTCGCGTTGGCCCTAGCAAAGGCAGGATCAGCAAGGGCAAGAACATAAGATGATCATACATGCGACTGCATGCTTGGAGATCAGAAGTTACCGCGCCCACGTCCTCTTCTTCCTCGCCCTCGGCCACCCTTGTTCCACCGGCCTCCTTGTTTGTGCCCGCCTGCATGATGAGGATTCCGCTCTTGCTGCTCACGGTCTTCACGGTCTTCCCTCTCCCGCTCGGCTTCCCTCTCCAGCCGCTCCTGCTCTAGCTGTTCGGGCGTCTTCTCCACGCGAACCTCCGGCTTCTTTAGATCAGTCGGAAATCGAGGGTGAGCGCCGTGCTTGCAGGCTGGACCTTCCGGGCAGAAGCCAGCGAGATAAAAACGACATATGTTGGCTTTCTTGTTGTGCTTGAGTGCGCATTGCGGGCCGAGCGGGCAGAATCCACGGTCGTAGTGGGGGCACGCGGGACGTTTCGCTTCTGGGTCGATGTGGAGGTATAGACAGTCGTCACCGTTGGAGCATGTCTGCGTACGTGCGTAGTAGGAGCATTCGGGCATGCGACGGAGATTGTACTCGTGAAGGAATTCGCAGGTTTCGCCTTTCTTGCATAAACCGCGTAGCCAGTGCTTGCAGACGAGACTGATCTTGCTGTTAGCTGGTGTTTCTTAAGTGAGAGCGACCGTGTATGCGTACTTGTTGTATGATGAAGATACCTGATGCTTGTCCGGACAGCGGTTGCCCAGAGGACAATGTCCCTGCATATATGCCTTACATTGCGGGCGCTCCGGGTCCAAGCCGAAACGGTATTCTCGTCGCAAGAAGTCACTGAAGTTGAAGTCGTACGTCGTCTTCGCCGTCTGCGCCATGGCCTGGTCTGGCGGAGTGGCACTTCGCGCGTCCGTCATTGTGAAGCTGTCGCGCGAGCTCAAAAAGGTGGTCGAGAATTTATACCGGTCTTTCTGACAGTGACTGGTGTTCGAGAAGCTTCAGATGACAAACTTGCCGGCGATCTCTCAGCAGGACGTTGAGGATTCGTAGCGATAGTAAGCTCGCACTCTGCTGCTCAACATTCTAGCGTGAGCGCGCCAAGCCATATCACGTGCGCGATCGAACCCTCGGCTATTCCCGCCGCTAGCTGCCGCGCGGATCGAGTTTCCATGCATGCAATGCAACGGCTTGAAAGCGACGACATCGGAGTTTGCCTCCGAATTTGTCAACGTGATCGGACATCAGTCTAGCCCATAAGATCGGCATCTTAACGCGACTCGCTGCCACTGACGCTGTCAGCTTCCCTTTGTGTAACCAGAAACCTCATCGCCAACAAGACACGAGCAAGCGGTGAGGGGAAGCCGGCCGTTTGATTCCCCAGCCACGGGCCGCTTATCAGCAGAGTCTCGTGACATTTGCATATATCATGCCACTGGCTCTGCATGCAAGTCAACCTTTTCGACCATCACCACTGGCACGGCTGCCGGTCCCGCGTGTAAACAGCCAGTAGTAAACCTTACATCTGCTCGTATTCAAGTTCTCCAAACCTTATACCCACAGCTCTGGGTCCATGCAACATGTCAGGTCCTGCACCTGCGGCTCGGATACCTATCTAGCCTATGAGAGGGCGCTCCCGCTAACAAGGACCTCATCGCCAGCAGACATCAACATACGGAAGCAGACCATGCTGGTTGCTGTCAGATCCAGAACATCAGAGCTATTTGAAGGATCGCTATACCATTTACCCAATCAATCTGTCTTTGTGCCTCTCACCCTCCAATCGGTCAGGGCGTCTTTACGCATCAAATCGGTCCGTTTAAGAATAAGCATACTCATCTTCGTAGCAAAAGGAGGTTCGAGACGAGGCATATACCCGGGGCAACCACTCCTAATCCACTGTGTACGCCTCCGTAAGACCATCGCCAATGACAGCTTTTTGTCGATCCTCGCACCTGTACTACGATCCTCATTGCGAGGATTGCAGGAATACGAACCATGTGCCATACCCCAGATTCGTACTACCAAAAACACAATCGCATACGCACTCTTTTCGGCTCAGTCGTATTTAAAATGCTCGAACGTCTTGCGATCATTGTCTGCTTTCAAGTTTATGCTCTGACATGCAGGCTTAGAGCTGCAACTAACGCTAGACCCACCGACCATGAGCCGAGCTCCCGCAGCTGTACCTTACTCACACCACAACATCATTTTCTCGCAACCTCCAGGGAAAATGTACTCCAACGCTGTGTACTATCCGAATTGGCGGATATACCGCAACCAGCCACCTGTGTCACTCAACTTTGACGTTATCTCTCACGTCTTCTATGCCTTTGCTTGGTAAGACCTCCCCGCATTCGCGATTGCTCTGCTGACTACTTTACAGGGTGAAGCCGGACGGCACCGTTTATGTATGTCGTCCTTCACGTGCCAGTACGTGCTCGACTAATTTCTACAGCTCAGCGATGAGTGGGCAGATGCCCAAATCAAGGTCCCTGGTGCAGACGGCATCCCGGAAACAACAGGCTGCCTGAACTCCTTTGCTCAAATCAAAAAGAGATACAATCGTCTCCGAGTCGTCTTGTCCGTAGGCGGAGGTGGCAAGGGAAGTGAGCCCTTCGCTGAAGTTGCCCGCCACCAACATAGCCGCGACCGATTCGGACAGACTGCCCTAGCACTGGTACAGCAATTCGGAATAGACGGCATCGACAGTGTGTTATCCTCTTTCAGATTTACAATCCACCACAACTGACTCGTCATCAGTCGACTGGGAGCATCCCTCAAATGCACAAGAAGGCTCAGACTATATACACCTGTTAGCCACTCTCAGAGCTTATCTGCCTGCACCCCAATATACCCTGACCTCGGCGCTCCCTGCCGGCGAATGGGCTCTCCAGCACATCAATCTCGGACACGCGGCCCACTATCTCGACATGGTCAACCTGATGTCCTACGATTTCTCTGGCTCATGGGTAAAGAAATGCGGACACCATGCGCAATTGTTCACTCCGCGGAGTCCACACTCCCCTGATGCAGCTATCTCATGCCATTCAGCTGTGTCGTACATGGTGCGCCAGGGGGTGCCGCAGAACAAGATCCTATTAGGCGTACCAGCATATGGGCGCTCGTTTACCGGGACAAAGGGAGTCGGGCATTCCTACAATGGCCATGCGGGCGAGGAGGGTACATTTGAGTACCAAGATCTACCACGACCAGGCGCAACGGAGTATGTGGACGAGCAGATTGGCGCGGCGTACTGCGTGGGCGGAGATGGCGGGTTCGTTACATACGATACCCCGCGCACCGTCCAGATGAAAGCGGGATATGTGCGGCAGAATGGGCTGGCGGGTCTGTTTTATTGGACGGGAACTGGAGACGCGAGTGGGCATACAAGGAAGGACAGGAGCTTGGTGTATAACGGATTCCTCGGACTGTTCCCGCAGTGAGGTGTTTGGGTTGCAGCAGGCCTCGGAAGGCATCTGCAGGCGCGACATGGCGCAAAAAAAAGGATAGCATAGCGATACGTCGATGTAATTAGTTCAACAAGCGCCATGTTCTACGCATCCCCCGCGTGAGGTGCGCACGACTCCACCATGGATGCGAAGGCGGAGGAAGAGCGGCGTTTCTGCACGCTGATTGGCCGAGATTTGAGGCTATGATCTGGACACAGCTTCGGGCCCAAGCTCGAGGGATAACCTCACCTTCATTGTCGATATTGCGCCGCGCAACCCCGCATTCGTACCTGCCCTTCCTTCCGTACCCTGCAACTGCTCTTACTGTGACATCGATTCGCCCCAAACTTGACGCAGGATTGCAGACGCTGCGGGTCATCGTAACCTGGCCATCCTCCATGCCCGCATCATCCCTCGACTCCGGTACGCGCACCCTGCGTTCCCTTCAAGTCGCATACAAGCTTACACGTGTAGCCGATTACGACCCTGTCGATCACCTCAACGCCCTCTTCACACACCCCTCCTCCCTCCAATCCGTACAACACACCTCATCCACCCTACGCGCATACCAAGATGACCTGGACGAGGACATCGCCGCCTTCGTGGCCTACCAGACCGCTTCAGACGCCGACAGCGTCCAACGCGTACAAGATGCAAAGACAGAACTCGCCGATCTCTTCAAAAAGATTGAGAGCGTGCGCGAACGGGCTGTGCAGACGGAGCAAACCATCACTGAGATGACGGCGGACATCAAGCGCCTTGACAATACAAAGCGCAATCTTACGCTGTCCATGACCGCACTGAAACGCCTACAAATGTTGACGACGGCGTATGAGCAGTTGAGGAGTTTGAGTAAGAGTAGGCAATACAGAGAATGCGCGAGCTTGCTGCAGGCTGTACTGCAATTGGTTGCGCATTTCAAGAGTTATAGGAGTATAGACCAGATTGCGACGTTGAGCAGGAACGTGGCGGATCTGCAGCGCGAGCTCTTGGAGCAGGTGTGTGAGGACTTTGAGGTTGTGTTTGCGAAGGGAGAGGTTGGGACTAGGAGGGGAATGCTTACTGAGGCGTGTTTGGTCATTGATGCGCTGGGGGAGCACGCTAGGACTAGACTTATCAATTGGTATTGTAATACCCAGTTGAGAGAGTATCGGCAGGTGTTCCGTGGGAATGACGAGGTAGGCTCCGCTCCCTCCTATCCAATATCTTCCCTCGACCGCGTCTCCAGGCATCAGTTTTGGTACTCACTATCATCATCTGCTTGCCCTGAACATAGAATAAACTAACGTTTTACAGGCTGGCTCGTTAGATAACATCTCAAGACGATATTCGTGGTTCAACCGCATGATGAAGACGTACGACGTCGATCACGCCGCGATCTTCCCGTCGTATTGGAAGGTAAACGAAATGCTAGCCAATTCATTCTGCGAGGGCACGAGGGATGATTTCAAGGCGATATTGCAGCGGTCGATGCGGCGAGGAGATGGACAGACGCTGGACGTCGACTTACTGCTTTCGTGTCTACAAGAAACCCTTAATTTTGAACACAGTCTTGAACAACGATTCTCGACTGAATCGCGGTCGTCCATGGACACGATGGCATCCAAAGATGATAAGTCACACGGGTTCAGTCAAACGATCTCGGAGGCGTTTGAACCATACATGCGACTCTGGGTGGAGTCTCAAGACAAGCAACTGGCGACTTTGATACCGAAGTACCGTCACCAACCCCTCCGCAACGAGGAAGAAGAATTTTCGGCGCAGGCTGTCATTCCGTCGTCGACAGAACTATTTCACTTCTACCGCATCACCCTAGCCCAGTGCGCAAAGCTTTCCAAAGAATCTAGCTTGCTGGAATTATCAACAACGTTCGCAAAATACCTGGATCAATATAGCCAACAAGTGCTCTACTACTTTCTCAGCGAGAAGTCCGGTCCACAAGGTCCATCAGTGGAAGATGCTGTATTAATTCTCAACACAGCCGACTACTGCTACGCCACCTGCAATCAGCTCGAAGAAAAAATAAAGTCCCGTATCGACGAAGACCTCCGAGACAAGGTCGATCTCCAGAATCAAGCCGACGCATTTATGGGTATCGCCTCTGCCACTGTACGCGTCTTAGTCCGCAAAGTCGAGCTGGCGTGTGAGCCCAGCTGGCGCGAGATGCGCAATACGCCGTGGTCGAAGTTGGAAAGCGTAGGCGACCAGAGCACTTATGTTGCTGAGCTGTTGCGTCACGTCAAAGAGAAGTCATCCGAGATCTTGAAATGTCTACACAAGCAACAATACGCGAGGGCGTTTTGCGATGGGCTTGTCGACCAGATGGCGATCGCATACATTGCCAATATAGTCCAGAGTAAACCCATCAGCGAGGTGGGAGCGGAGCAAATGTTGCTCGACTCTTACGTGCTGAAGAAAGCGTTTACAGAGATTCCGGTGGTCAACGAGGAACCGGGCACCGCACCTCCTGCAACGTATGTCCCCTTCCTATCCAAATCGTCCTCTTCCAGCATCCGTACTAACTCTAATATCCAGGTTCGTGAAACGTGTCAACCTCACAATGTCTAAAATCGACCCCCTCCTCAAAACCCTCCAAGTCCGCCCTCTTCCCCCGAAGCCCTCGTTCAAGCCTATCTCATCCACATCGCCGACAAATCTGACACGAATTTCCGCAAAATCCTCGACCTCAAAGGCGTCCGCCGCGCCGACCAATCCGTCCTCATGGACCTCTTCAACGCCCACAAGTCTTCCTCATCTCACGAAAATCTGCCTGCCAACTCTACACTCCTTACCCCACTGCAAATTGGAAGTGGGGCACATGGCACGGGATCGGAAGTCTGGGGAATGCGGGGAGTGTTATGACACCGAATTTAGGTGGCGGCAGGTTTGATCCTGCGGGGCTGGGGAATGCGATGTTGGGGGCGGTTAGGAGGGGTGGATCGGTTTGGAAGTCCGGCGCCGGGGGCAGAGGGGCTGAGTGCGGAGGGGAAGGAAGGCACGGCGAAGCTGAATGAGAATTTGAAGAATATTGGGAAGTTCTTTAGGAGGGATGTTGGGGGTTTAGGGGTTTGGGAGGAGTGAGGAGGGGAGGTAGGGTGAGAAGGCTTCATGATAGGACGATTGTCTCATGCAGAGTTGCATGCCAAAGAGAGCGTTTTGTCGCTTGTGATATGTTGAGGACTGATGTGTGCGTGCTGTTCAAGCAAACGTTTGAAGGTCATCAATATGACGCTGCTAAAGATATGGTAAACGCACACCCGAACAACGATCACGTCACGGTCTCAGCTCATCCTGATTCCCTTCATAATCTTTAGTTTCCCAACTGAAATCCTCCGCCCACCATACGCGATCCACTACCCATACCTCAAGACCGTCACAATGCCTTACCTATTCACGATAGTAGCCATACTCACCATCCTCGCCGTCCAAATCCGCATTACTCGTAGGAGGGCACAGATGATAAGCCGAAGTGAGCCAGCGAGGAACACAGCGAGGATTCCACACGCGAAGACACAAAAGAGCTACTACCCAGGCCGGTAGCGGGAATTCTGTTGAGCGAGCTCGCGCCCAAAGGAGAGACCGGAAAAAGGAAAAGCAGTAGAGGAGCTGAAGAACATGTTGATGACTGATGTGTGGAAGCAGGGCGGACGATTTGGAGATTGCGAGACGTGGGGCCGGGGAAGGGGAAGGGGACGGTGAGTCTAGATAGGTCATTCGAGACCAGTTCTTCAATCTGTGTGCCATCCTAAACGGAAATTTTGGGTGGGTACATTTGGTGTATTGGTGCTGAAGTGTGTAGGTCCAAACCTACCATCAAAGTGATTTTCTTGGTCCTTGACATCAATTAATTCTGTTGTAGAGTCGGCCTAGGTTTAATACAGCTTAACTACTTCTGCTTGCCATGCATATTTTCCGTTAGGGTTCGACAGTTTCTGTTTAGTTCTACTTGCTTATAGATGGTGACAATGGAAGACAGAGGTTATAAGACACTGTTTCTGTAGGATAATGCACATGACTATAGCCTAGGCGGAGCAAGCAGATTGTGTCTCGACAGCAAAGAGTAGGCTTTCACATGTAAGAATCCGGCCTTTTCTTCCTGTCGTTCTATCCAACATCACACTCGCCATCTAGCTCTGTGTTGTCCCAAACTTAGGACGAAAGACCAATATCCAAAAGGTTATTTAGCCAACCATTCGTCATAAATTCTTACAAGCTCGCAGTCTTCGCATGTTTGAATATGGCTCTCAGCATTTCCAGTGAACAAGGATTGATCTTAAATTAGAAAAAGCGCAACATCTATTGTGTCAGCATCAAAAATGTATCAAAATACGTGGAGGGTATAAGGTCCAGCAGACAAGTAGAATGAGAGAGGGTAATAGCTAATGCCATAAAGAGCAGCCTGCGTACGCGTTTCAGATGCGGGTAGCTCCCAGTGCTCTCTCAAGCTGTTACTTTCCGCTCATGTTCCTCAGATCTGTCAGTCGAACGCAAGCAAACGAGCTGTATGGTTCATAATGCAAAGTAAGCTACGTCATAGGCGCAGTCACATTCGGCCAATCAGCTTGGCTGGCGCGACAATAGCATAAGGAAGTTTTGTTGTTATGTAGAACGCTGAAACAGAGTGCAGGGAACATTTCGCAGCTTCAATGAATGGTCTGTCAGCAGTGACATCGGCAGCTATATGAAGGACTGAAGGAGTGCGGGGCCAGCGCAGGAACCACTGGTACAGGGTGGTTGCAATCTAGATGCGGAAGCCAGCTTTGGCCCCACCGTGATGCATAGAACACCATACCTAAGGTAAGCATACCCGGGAGTTTCGGCGTTGGGGCGTAGCGATCATCCGTTCATTGGAAGGAACCATCCGCCGTTGGAGCCGAGTGCCTCGCGATCCTTCACAGCCACGTGCAAGGATAGCTCTTTTGTAATGCCAATTCCACTCCGAGTCTCTCCGCATCAGACGTTGCACGGACTCAGCCCGTTGGCTATCTACGTGCGACGACCACGATACTCGATTACTGGTACATACATGGTCAGCTAAAGTACAAAGATTTTTTTACGCCAGAGTGCACGTAGTAGGCAGTTGGTCTTTGACCTCGATCAAAGCTAAAGATCTTGATGCACTGCTACCCTCGTAAATCGAACCACCCCAGGCTAGTGCTGATGAGAGATTTTCAATCAGTGTGGGACGCATAGACATGGTCCCTTTTCGTTCTGATTGTCGAGACCTCGTGATGGAGTGCTAAAACGAGGGTTCTTGAAACGTGATATATACGAAGGATTGGCATATGCATCTCCAGATCGAACCTGTTTATTAAGCCATGTTCTCGCCAAGAACCCACCTTTTCTTTTCCTTCAGAACCTTCTCCAGAAAAGTTCACCATGTCACTGTTTGGTATCGATGAGACATGGGGTCGAGCATTGAGGCGAGCAAGATGCTCTAAAGCGAAGGCTAAAACGAACGCTGGACATAGCCTTATCTAACTTCTATGATCAAAGATATGGTGTATCAGTGGGCTGGGCTTGTGTACACAAAGGCGCAAGAAAATACTTGATCGTTGTCCAGTCCAGCTCGCCCATGCTTTGCAAGCTCTGGAAAACAATCACTCTTTCAATACTCTCCCTAGACTTACTCGTTTGAGCTTCTACTTCGTCATGGTGGCATTGAGCAAACAGCTAGTGGCTGCAGCAGCTACTTTTGCACTTGTTCAAGCTGACCTTCATGGATTCCAATTCAGTAGTTGCGATCCGGCTTAGGTAGTTAAGCGAGCACTGTACAACCTCGGCATATCTCTGATCTTGTGCGTAGAGTATCGGGATGTAAATGCTCATGGAGCTGTTTCACAAAGTGGGACCAGGTAGTACTCGGCAGCTGTAGTCAGTGGGATGGGGCCGGAAGATGAGCGATATTGACACGTAAAAAGTCAGATCTCGCTTCTTTAACCATGCATAGAAGCTCATGCGAATCTGGACTTTGCCATCGGGTTTTCTGTAATATCCGTCAGCATTCAGATCCCAATCCGGCTGTATCGGGTTATTTCGCGTGATCCTCTTCCTGTAGGATCGTCTTGGAGTAGCGAAATTCAGCGCTATGCTTGAAGTCTGATCCCAACGCAGGAAGGATCTTCAGATCATCGAGAAACTATGGGGTGGGACTCCGCTTTTTTCCACGGACACTGCGTAGCAATACTATGTGAGGAAAGAGGTGTTCTACGCTTCTCAAGTGCTGGTCATGGTTTCTGGTATTCTGATGCATCTGGCTGTATCTCGATTAGCTATTGGTCCGGGTACAGGAAAAAGTTCATTACCAGCGACTTAGGACTTGACCTCCTTGATACCAAAGACTGTATATATTTCGAGAAATCCTCTTGATAGCATCTTGAACTCAACAGATCACTTGGTTCACTTTCCAGCCAAAATCCAAATCTCAATCATAACATGCATCTTCAACAACTCGCTTTGTGCTTCGCCACCTTTCTTGTAGGGAGCTATGCCCTCCCGAACGAGAAGCCTGAAGCTTTCAATAAGATGATAGTCGGCCGAGCAGTTGGCGGTGTAAGTAAGAAATCCAGATACGATACCCCCTACTGACCATGGTTCTTAGAACTGCAACTTCACTGGAGCGTGTTTGGGTGGTGGTGGCAACGACGTTGGAGAGTGCATTGGCGAGAGTCAGTCTCGTTGCTGCGACGATACTTCATTCGTAAGTGCAGTCTAGGCTACTGCACTGCCTGAATAGCTTTCGAAGAACTGCCTGCTAACTCATATGCGCCCAAATGTAGTGCTCCATAGCCGGTAACACATGCGAATTCGATGCTACCAACTTTGGCCGGGCGGCTCTGTGTTCCTAAGGGTATGCAAAAGAAGGATTGGACATTCCAAACACTCAGCTTCACGGACATGCAGCTCGCTGGCAAAGCAGCGATGGAAATCCGACATTGATAGCAATACATTCATTTAACGTGTCTCTTTCAGCAGATTGACCCAGCCGCTGGCCCGATTTTCTTGGTGAGATGATGCAGTGCCTTGTTCTGAATCAATCGCGTGACGATTTTGATAAAGTCAAATATGTGAATCTTGAGTTGGAGCTTTGAGAGATGTTTGCGGGTTGAGAGTGCATCTGACCAAGTGTGGTGTGCTATACTGCTGCTGCGACTTCCCCGCACAATCCTTATTGCACACCAGCCTTCTTACGGTAATGTGAGCTCCCCAATCACCGAGGCTATTGTTCCAACTCGCGACTGCTTTCGAGAACATGCATCCAACCGAGTTGCCGCTGGAGGTGGCGATGAGGTCGAAGGAGGGTGAGGTTATAGAGAGCAACTTGTGATTGCGACTGGAGAGGAGATTGGTCAGGGAAGTAGGAAGGGGGTTAGTACTCGGTGCAGGAGGGTGTGAGCTAGTAGCAAGGACCCAGGATATTGGGCACCTACCATTTCGAAAAGAACTTTGACCGCCTATTTTTGCTTCAATGAACAGGTCTCTGCTATATTATCAGTAACATGCGAACAGATTGCATCAGCCAATCAGCAAACGGCGTTGTGGCGGAGTGGTTATCGCGCAAGACTAGAAATCTTGTTCCTTCGGGAGCGTCAGTTCGAATCTGGCCAACGTCGATGGTTGGAGTGCATACTCCAGGAGTATACGAAGCAACTCTTTTTGCATTGTTGCTTTGCATCGTTGTGTGGTGGAGTAGAGTGGGGCTCAGGTGGGTCTGGACAAGCGACAGTGGGGCGGGCTGTGGCCCGCGTATCCACCAGGTAAATCTGACCACATGGGATTCCTATCAAGTTGTTTTACGGTTCGACAGATTTTAGTTTTATTGTAGAGCAAAAAATTCATATCATTCATGTCCCATTACAGTGCCTGATTATGAAGCATCGTCAACCCAACTTCTCTCCACAGTGACCGTCCGATCCACCACAATCCCATGCTTGGGCAAAGCGTTCAAGTCCCGTCTCCCAGGCTCCGCTAGACCTCGCCCCTTGTACTCCAGCACAGGCTTTTGCGAAGAATGTGTGCTTGAGCCATCGCTCTCCGAATCCGCTATAATTTCTTCGATTCTTTCTTCTCTTAGTCCAGACGTCGACCCAGCTTTATCCGCATGACGCCCCGACATATCGTTGAATTGGTACGATTGGCCTCCTGTCGGACCCGAGCGTGCTGTCCGCGAGCGCTGACTGGAACCGAATAGAGTAGGTAGGAATTTGACGAGGAGTGGCTTGACGCATGGAAGGCAACCGCAGACGATACCGATGTTTACTTCGACGATACCGAGCGAGGTCGTGAGCGCCGCGTCCCAAAGAAGATCGATGTTTGTGAAGTAGCGCTGCAGGTAGACCATGCGGAAGACCCCTGCGACGCAGACAACCAGTCCACAAGTGAAGACGAACACAAGACCGAGGCGCTGTTTAAGGGGGAGTTGTATGCGCCAGAGGTAGCGCGCAGGCCACAGATAGATTATGAAGTCGGTTGCGGTATTGATTGCGCCGATAGTGATCATGTTGGCGTGCATGTCGACGCAGTGAATTTCGACGTCTTTGTCCCAGTAGGCGTTGAGTGGCCTGCATTGTGTGAACAAGAGGATGACACAAGTGAGCGTGTAGGCGGCGACAAAAGCAGTCATCGAGTGGGAAAAGATGCTATTTGTGGTTGAGGGGAAAATACGGAGGTAGGTCTGGCAGATCGACATCTTCGTGAGGCCAACGCAAAGCGGGTATACGACTGAAAAGGCAAAGCCGATCTGGATCCCATTAGCGGAACTTCGATGGAGTGGTTTGCTTATCTAAGTAAAGACACGTTGTTCGCAGCCTGACTCTGCAGTGCACACTACGGCGCCTATTCTTTGGTGCGAGATAATGCGCGTGGAAGATTGCTCACCTTGTAATACGGTTCACCCCATTCCGTTTTCAAATCCCATAGATGATACCCAAGGCCATATAGACACGAAGAGGCACCGAACCCTGTAAGCGTGACAGCAAGGATTGCAGCACAAAGCATCAACCAGTCGTCAATCCCAAAAGCGTTCCTGAGGCGAGATCGCGCGTATATTCTGGCGGCGGTCATTACCAGAACTAGGAAGCATGTCGATATCGTCAAGCCGAGTACGACTGGGACTCGGGTCGTAGGGTTCACAAAGTTGGGCGGTGGGAAGTGACTTTGCCCTGGCTCAGAGTTGCCGAAGGCCATGCTGTGCGTGTGCCAGAGCACCTGGGCTAGATGCCTCTTGGAAAGTTGAGTATAAGTAAAGCAGATCGATCTCGGGGAACCAATTTAGTTCATGATGGCGAGTGAAGATCAAAACCGGGGCAGCTCCCTTAGAAAAGGTGACTTGCGGTGACAGTGCACTCTCGTGTCCGCAGACAAACGCCCAGGGTGAGGCGGAAGGATGCAGTCTCGAATGATTGATCGTCAGAAAAGAGAGGAAGCGAAAAATAGATAACGCAGGGATACCCCTAGCCGTATTTCAGCGCACTTGATGGTGTGAGATTGCATGAACTGATGTTCGTTCTGCGACTGCTTCGCTTCAGGAAGCCGAAGCCTCGAGATTTCCCCTCAGACAAGTGCACTTCCCCTTAGCTTGTAAGCCGTTCGCAACAGTGACATGCGCCATGCGGAAGGGCCGCCAATCATGTGCGTGTTAAATCACGAGGTAGCATCCGACGTGAGTCGATGCTCCTGCTTGCAAGGGCGGCATCCATGCCGAAGAAGCCTCAGAATATTCCATCTGATCAGAAGGAGCCTACAATCACGGAAGAGCCCTGCAAAACCCCATGGGGAGCGGTTCAGCTCTCCGTCAAGGTTTTGATTGGTCAGTAATACCGCTTGCTAAACTTTAACTCTGAAACTACGACGGGGAGAGATGTGCCGCTTCCGCATAGCGAGGGTGCTCAGCCGTGGCTGATGGCCATACTGTTGTTGATGCCCAACAGGGCGTATAGTCAATAGGTTGTGAATACTATATGCGATGACATGGTAAGTATCAGATAAGGAGGTTGCAACGGATTCCTTCCTGTGAAGCACTGGCTTGCGAGCTGTCATCTTGCCTTATTTGTCACGAATTCAGCTGAAGGCTTGTGCCGGCAGGTTTGGATCTGCTGGCGGGTGCATTTCCGGTGCAATGGGTGTACGAATGTCGGTTCCTATACCTGGGGAGCTCTACTTCCCAAACCGGCAAGTTCGAATGAAAATCTCCGATGTTGGCCAATTGGAACGTTTAGGCAAGCTTCGCAGAGGAAAACGCGGGATGAACGCTAGAGGGATGCGAACCGAATCTTGTTCAAAGCTTAGCTCCCATGGATCGTCGCATGATCACGAACGGGCCGATAGGATGCACCGTCAAGCATCCCATCACCACTCGCACGATAAGCCGAGCCGCAAATCCAAGTCGAGTATTCGACCGAGCTGTTATCCTCATAAGGCAGGAGGAATGATAAAATGTAGCAGCTATCCCGAAGACCATCTCGACTCGTCCGAAGACAAGCAAAGGTCTCGCTGGGGACAAGTCAATACGTTTGGGGGTCAGTCCACTGGTAACAGAGCGCAAGACAAGACGTCGAGAGTGTTGAGCGTATCCTTTTTCTTTGGGTCTTCAGATGAAGGGAGGGTGCCAGTACAAATTATTGCGGGTACATCGATGCGCCAGAATCTGAAGGAGTCAAAGGTAAGTCCGTATCACCTGAGCTATCGATGGTGGTGTCGAACGAGTTCATCTTCTCGCCGCAATTGTGACGGTAAATACCAGAGTACTGAGCATGGAGTGCCGGAGTGGAGTGGGCGTAGAAGGCTATTGCTCGCGCACACAACAGACTCGAGTCGGAATAACCGCTGCACAGATCAATGCGGCGCGTCACCTGCTATCGAAGCGGAAGCAGATGTAGGCGCTCGTGAGAGTGGAGGGAGAAAGGTACCTTTGCTTGTAGTAGGTCGAATATGGTGGACAAGATCACGCGTTTTCTTGGCGCGCGGCGCGGGTTCGGAAAATCCCGCCAGGCCGAAAAGCGGTGAAAACCATGGATCCGCGTGTAAACATTGAATAAACAAGGCTTTGGGCTCAAGCCGTCGCGCTAAGGTGATTTCTTTCTGCTTCTGCCTACACCAGAACAGCTTCCGACCTCGAACATATTAATCAGTACGCCCACGATCTCACCCAAGGCCGTCGTCGCTCTTGCCTGCAGCTCGCCTGCCCCGCCCTCGCCCAAACTTGCGCGCTCTTCCGCTGCATCGCGCACACGACCTCCCCGAAGCCATTGCTGCACGAGACTACCATGGCGGCTGATATGGACATCGACTTTACGCGCCGCAACAAGAAGCCCCGCCCGCTGACGGAGCACGAGAAGGACAAGCTGGAAGAATTCGTCGAGGCGATACATTACTCTTCACGGTGCGCTCTCTCGATCTTGATGCTCACGTCGCGCCGCCGCTAATCGCGCCCGCAGATACTCGGATGAGGAGTATGAGTACCGACACGTGCAGCTGCCGAAGCAGATGCTCAAGCAGATACCGAAGGAGTACTTTGACGGGAGCCGAGGCACCCTGAAGCTGCTGTGGGAAGAGGAGTGGAGGGCGCTGGGCATCACCCAGGTACGTGCCAGCCTCAGTGGATAGTTGGTGCAACGCTAATGATTGCACAGAGTCTCGGATGGGAACACTACGAGGTCCATGAGCCCGAGCCGCATATCCTGCTCTTCAAGTAAGCTTCATCACCCACGGTCCCAAGCGGCCACTGACGCAGTATAGGCGACCGATCAACTACCAGCCGCCAATGCACTGAACTATCGACTGACGCTCACCCGCCAGTCGCGGTCTTCGGAGCCTCAAAGCCATACCGCACGGCGTTTACGTGCCACGAGACGACGAGCTTGAACACGCCTTTTGGGCAATCCTCACTGCCTTCCTTGTTCATTTTTGAGCGAACGCGGCTGAACTGTTTAATGACGACATGAGCATGGCGGAACGGACGAGCTGGGACATCATTGTTCCGCGTAATTGGCGTTTGCTATTGCATATCTTGGAATGCCGATGACTGACGGCTTTGTACATAGGCGCAGTCTTAAGAGCTCGCCATAAAGTGGCGTTGAATGATACAGCTTCCATCATGCTTTTTCCCTTCAAAAAGATGTTTGGAAAGACGTTATGCGGTGGGGTTCGCGCGTCACTCTTCCGTTGCCGCGTTCGCAATGGCATGACATTGGTTCTTTAGCCTGGACTACAGCTTCTAGAATGATTTCATGGTGCTTCGACCGCTTAGCACGTTATGCAGTGGACCTTTCAGAGGGCACCGCATGAAGGAACACGAAGCATGGTTGTATTTCAATGCGGTTTAGCGCCTTCCCCGCAAATCCAGGATCCCCGTCTCTTTCCCTTAGCATCAACGGTTTCCAACGGCTGGGGTCGATCATCTGGCTAAACTCCCCAACGCTCTTTGCTTTCAATCATCTATCGCCCGCTACCATACAATCCTCCGGAAATGTTGCCCTGGCAATCCTCAATTATCGATTGTGCCCGGACGCTCCGGTGCGCTGCTGGATGCTTGGTCGCTCTTGCTGCATCCGGGCCGCCGCTGATTCACCACCTTCTAGGTGAGCCTTGACAGGTTTCCTCTGGTACAACATACGATTACTTGTGCCAATCTGAGTCCACATCAAGTCTTCTGCGGTTCTCACCCATCGTAGCGCAATGCAGTGCGCAACTGTCTATCGACGCACCACCTTATCGCGCTTTTGTTTGGTCTAAACCCAGATTGCCCCAAGGTGACTTTCTCGTGCCGCTGGATTATATTATTACTAATATATGGTCTCAGTCTTGCAAGCCAATGCGCCGTATTCGTCCCTGCAATGAGTCAACTAATTGCAATGCCTTAGCAACAGTCTTTTTCCTCCATGGCTTTTATTGCTTTTGACGCAGTCAACGCATTGGCCACGGCCCCTGCGTCTACCGTGTACCGGGCATAATGTGCTTCAGGTACCATTTCATCCTTGTTGTGGGGCAGCACTCCAATGCTTCCTTTACTATCATTGGATGGCTGATACTACCATAACGAACAACGTCTGGTTGGAGACCAGGGTATCGCCAACATCCCATCGCAGGCTAAATCTGTCCCAAAGGTCTTGTCAGGGCACTACAGTGGCGAGAGATGAAGCCAGCTTGGAAGTTCTGCTATAAGAACCAAAAAATGGCTTCACGTCTTGGGCTCGCTACCCAAAATCAATTTCGCAGAAGGCTTATCGGTCACTATATACACACTACAATTTATACAGACATGAAGACCTGGCTCCATACTCACGGCTTGAGAAGGCAACACTCTGGTAATAGTCTTCTTACGATCTGACTGGTCCATTGACTGACAATTCAACAGACGCAGCTCTGCCGAATCGAAAATTCAACCCCTCGGATACCAACAATGCGCAACATGCCCCGCTGCTACCAAACCGTAAGCTTACGGATACTGCTGCCAAGGTCGCCGCTTCGAAGACCGCGAGCAGGATGTCAATCGAGCGTTACCTCCAGGCTCCGTTGGAAGATGAACCGGCTTCAGTTCCAGCTATCAATGCAGCGCTCAAAGAGAAAAGCCCACCGGTCTGGAGCGATCGCAACCACCCCCAAGCCGGCCATCGCCGGGGTCATTCACGCGGGACGTCTTACGATGCCAACTCGGAAGGCAGACGCACCTTTTACACTTCTGCAAGCGGCCAAGATTCCACAGGCACCTCTTTCAGCATTGGACTAAGGTCAAATCATAATCAAAGAAGCAACGCCCACCCTATGATGCCTCAACTCCCACGACTGCGTACGGTCGCGCTAATGCATGACAATGTCCACTCGCCTGACGAACCTACTACCGGAAGAACACTAGATTCTGAGAGGACATTGACTGATCAGAATGATGGGAGCCCGCCTGGGAAGTCTGTTGATAGCGCATATAGAGCACGAATTGAGGCTGAGCTCGCGCGCATACAACAAAAGGCACGAAGGCTCGAGGAAGAGGTGCGGAGATTCAATGAGCAGAAGGAGAACGAAGCTTTGCTTGTTCCAAGGATTACAGATGATATGGCGTATCAGCAGATGGCATCAAAGCCGAAGCTGGCGTGGATTTTGGGCGGCGATAGCGCGAATGCTAGAACTTCGGAAAGGCCCACGACGAGTGCCAGGGGCACTGCAGAAGCATTCAACGACAGTCCAAATCGACCAGCAACCAGTGCCGGGCCAATAGAAGAGGTGCAAGATCGGCTACCTCGCAGAAGTAAGTCGAGCAGTGTCCTTGTCGAGGAGGCTCGTCGGTCAAGCAACAGGAGGAGGGCCGTGGTGGTGGGACAAACGCCTAGTAAGCGTCCCAGGTTTTTCTGTACCTTCTGCCAGAAGAGGTTCCACAGTAGGGTAAGTTGAGAGTCGCATTCTCCGCTAGCAAATCGAAAATAGTTTCTGACTACAGACGCAGCCCGAATGGATCAGCCACGAAAAGAACATACATATGCCCGAGGAACTTTGGGTATGCTGTCCTCGGACAGGAGAGCTCCTAGAGCATTGCCCGTTCTGCGCGCAAAGCAACCCCAGCCCTGCGCATTTGAAGGGCCACAATTATTTCTCGTGCCAGAACAAAGTGCTGTCGGAGCGAACGTTCGATCGAAAGGACTACTTCCTACAACACATCGCTCAAGAACACAACGTCAGCGCCGGTCAGAAGCCCATTCGACTTACGCAATTAGTAGAAGCATGGAGACGCCCTCTTCCCCTCAAACAAGGCCATCAGGCGCTACATTGTGGCTTCTGTGGCTTCACGTTTTCGACCTATGCGGAACGTACAGAACATATCACTAGTCACTTTCTGAAGGGCATTGATATGATGTCATGGTGGAGTGAACGCAAGAGCCATGATGTGGTGCCACCTGCGCAAGCCGTGCAGAACAATAATCCGTAAGGTAGCCTTGCATATGATGTGTCTATGCTAACAGAACTCGCAGTGAACTTCCTCATAGATGTTGCTATTGCAAACGCACCTTCGCAACGCTTGGCGCCGCGCTGAAAACACATCCTGTATGCAACATGTGGTCGTGCAGCTTCCTGCCTGGCATGCAATATACGATCTACCCTTCTGGCTCTGATTCAGACCTTGAAGCTGTATGCTGCTATTGCAACGAGACTCTGAGCAGAGGCAATGGAAAGGTTCAAGGCACCATCCTGAAGGAACATGTCAGCACTCATAATTTTCGCAACTGCAACCAGAGATTATACTTTTCTGCCCAGCAATTCCGTCAGCATCTCCAAGATAACCACAAAATCAATTTCGATGGTACGCTCTTCGCCGGGTGGACGTTACTCCTAAAGTCGAGCAAACAGGATAGGACTGCTGTTTTCGAAGTGGTTGATGTGAGCCCGAGGCGGGCCTATACAGATCCGGTAGTCGCAGCGCCCAAACAGCAGGGCAAGAAGGCGAAAGAGGTAGCTGAGCCGAAGATGAATTTCATGGACTTCTCGGAGACGCCGCAATTCGCACCAAAAAAGAAGATACGTCGTAAAGCAAGTACTCAAACCATGCCCGATGCTCTTATCAAGGGAGTGCGCGACTCTACCATTGAATTCACACGCGCAGCGACGATGGACCATGCACATGGTGGTGTGGCACAGGCATCGCGTTCTGCCAGAGCAGACAAATCGACCCACGCTGTCGCATCGCATGCTATCAGTGCTGGTACCTTAGGTTTGGAATTTTTCCGCAGAAGACTCGACGGTTCGGCGCGCAACCGACTCTACGTGCGCGACGAAAGCGAAGGACCACTGAGCAAGAATTCGCAGAAGCTCTTCCGCAAGGTACCCGGAAGTGCATTTGGTGGCTTAATTCTTCACAGCTCGCTGTTGGCTGCGACACCAGCCAGGTTGACGAACTCGGTGGACATCTACACGCTACATTGAATAATACAATTTGACGCGGTCTCGTTCGGCGAGTACCTGTCTCCTATGCGTGATGATTTTCCACTCTAGGTGATGCTACCGCGCAAGTCGGTGGGATGCGGCCGGGTGTCCAGAATACATGTAGCAATGACATGCAGGACGCCGGGAAACGTTTCGTAACGCCAACGTCGCTGCTGCCGTTGTTTATCCGCATGTAGTCACGTTAACCAGTCAGAGCAGGCGGAGCGAGCACATTGTCTACCAGGCGGGCGCAGCATCGGCAGATACAATCCTGGGGGTACCTCGGTGTGACACGCGATGGCAATTTGGTGACACATGATAAACGATTTAGCAGGAGGTGTAGCTTGATTGTGGGTTACACAGTAGTGGGCATTTTCGCGGTGGAAGGTTTGGCGTTTGCTTGGCGACTCGGGAGGTCGCGAGAATGGTAGACATAGGGTGGGCGCTCATTGGACACGCGACCCGATACTCCAAAGATTGATTAGGTACGGGGTGGCAGGCATTGGCGGAGATAGCCGACCTACCGATGTTCGGAGGCTGGGGCGGAGCGGAGAGCATCGTGGAGACTCGGCGAGATAGCCGCGATCTTTCCCAGATCTGTGGTCACCATCCCCCCAGGCACGTGAGCAGCACGAGGGCGAAACTCTGAGATATGACGCAGCTGGACGCTCCTCCGAACCTCGTGCCGCGAGAATGGCGTCGTCTCACACGAGTCGTCCAGCCGGTATGGTTGCGACTTTGGCCTCAAAGATGGGTACGGGGAACGGCGGCTGGGGAGAAATTACGGAGTGATTAGAACGACACCAGCTGCTCGCGGTGAAGATGGCACCGGAGTGACGTGCAGCAGGATCCGTAAGGGCGTGTGCTTGAGTATCTCGTACCTAACAGCAATTCAGTGTTTGGACGGTGGAGCGCAAGCGTGCTGCAGCGACGGTAGCGATCATCTCAGTTATCTCTGGGCTCTGTACGACTTCCGGTATGCCACTTCAAATACTTTTACGGCACGGGGGCGCTGCGGACAGTGGGGTGGGCGTTGATTGGGCCAGGCGCGTCTCTTATCGCTGCTCTCACGCTCGGATATTTCGCAAAGTCGGCCTAACTGCTTTCGCATTTCATCACGTAACCCGCCTGGGCACGGACGACTGGAGACATATGCGAATGCCATGGCTCAAAAAGAGTGCTGGGCTCCCGCCAGTTCCCCAGAAAGAACGACTCTGTCTCCGCGAAGGCAAGACCATGCGCAACGCACCCGCGACCGTGTCCTAGACTGCCCCGAAGCATCCAACGGACTGCCACCCTGCGCCGCTACTCCAACGAGCACACGAGACGTTCAATGACGGCCCGCACCATATCCCATCTCTTTCTCCTCACTGCCATCACAGGCAATTTAGGTCCCTGATAGCATACCTCGCTTTTCCGCAGCTTCACGGCCCCCGAATAGCCTTATCTGCCCGCCAACCCACTTTGCAGGCGCCCGTCCTGCACGCAGCGGGCGGAGACGCATCTCCCACGCGATAAGCCGGTTTACATCCCGATTTGGAGCCTCTCCCACCGCAACGTCGTGTGACTGGCTTCTGCTCTCGAGCTGTACAGCAAACGTCTATCACATCGTACCGGCCTAGGCCCGAGGACCTGCAGCGTCCCGCCCTCCCCGCCTTACCCCGGAGCACTCTTATCGCACACGTACCAGACCACCAGTCTGACCGCCAGCAATATGACGACAGCCGTGGCTATACAACCTGCCATGCCGCGCCCGACTCCCGTGCCCATCGCCGCTGCCCGCCCCAAGAAGCAGCACAAGCCGTCGCCCGGCAAGGAGAACCACGTCGCGGGCAAGCCTGTGTCGTCCACAGTCGGCCCAGTTGCCAACATTCGAACAAGGAGAGAGAGGCCTTGCGACGCCTGCCGCAGGAGGAAGAGTCGCTGTGTGATTCACGAGGGCGCCGTGCTCTGCGTGCTGTGCGAGTTCCACAAGCAGGAGTGCACCTTCGTGCAGAGTCCGCTGCCACGCAAGAGGAAGGTCGTTGACGGCGAGAAGAAGGATTCGCCCAGTGCCCTGAAAAAGAGGTATGTTTGGACTTTGTATACCCGCTTTCAGCCCTACGAAAGGGCTCTGGCCCACGTGCGCACATGTCGCCCACCGACGCACCGGTCCTCGTTCCTCGCGGCGGTGGAATGTCCTAGCCCAAGGTGGAGCGTCTATCCCTTGGGATATCATTCCATGTGTTGTCGATATATGTATTGCAAAGGGTCCATCACAGCATCTCCGCTATCGCGTGTCTTATCGCCGGGAGCCCCGCTAACATGGAGCTAGCAAGCCGGTTGATGCAGAGCCTCCACCACTAGCGCTGCCGACGCCCACGATAACTGCCACCGCGCCCAGTCCACCGCATCAGTCCCCATTGGGTAACGTGCACATACCCCATCTGGGAGAGACACTTGGTCTGCAGCGACGTCAGCACAGTAGATATATCGGTCTAAGTTCTCCCTTTGACTCACTACTTGTTGGTCTTTCCCACTTTGATGCCCGCAACGAATCTCCCACAGACCTTGGTACTCTGAGAAGAGTCAATGATCATGAATGTTTCATCATGTTGCCCGATGAGAACACACACGAGTACGTCGATGAGGCAGAGACTCTGAACCAAGTCGAGCAGTGTGTCGGCGGCCATGGTCCTGCTCTTCTCGAGTTGTACTTCCGCATAGTTCATCCCAGCTTCCCAATCATTCAGAAACATCTCTTCATCGGGCGGTATCGGAATGGCGATCGATCCTTTACGCCTGCTCTGATTGCTGGCATGTACATCTTAGCTCTCAATTGGTGGTCTTTAGATCCGAGGTTAGCACATCTTCCCAAGCCAGACATCGCTCGCCTCGAAGCGATAGCGATGAATTCGTTGTCGAGGTCTATGGAGAAGCCGAAGTTGTCGACGGTTCAAGCAGGTTTGCTCTTGCTGCAGCGTCCAGAAGCAGATAACTGGAGCTTAACGACACAGTTGGTGGCTATTGGTCAAGAGCTTGGTCTGCATCTTGACTGCTCCGGATGGTCGATCCCTCGGTGGGAACGCGGTCTGAGGAAACGCATCGCGTGGGCGCTGTACATGCAGGATAAGTGGAGCTCGTTGATCCACGGTAGACCATCTCATATCTTCAGCGCGAACTGGGCTGTGCAGCCGAGTACGGACGATGACTTCAAAGAGGAAGGCGATGGCTACGAAGCCCGGGCTGACGAAACCGAGGACGAGTACGAAGAGAACCAGCGCGGTCAGACTCTGTTTGCGCAGATGATTGGTCTCACTCAGATCATGGCCGAGGTCATGGACACATTCTATACGCAGGTCGCGATTCAGGACTTCAAGAACGCCGGGAAGAATTCGACACAATTAATTCTTCAACGCGCGAAACCTGTGCAGATCAAGCTAAGGCAATGGCACGAGAGACTCCCAGCCAATGTAAAAATGAACGCGCAGACCAAGAGCAAGTTCTCTTCGCTAGGTATGTCAGTCCAATCCTATAATGAGACTCTGGCTCACCTTTACAGGCTACCTGCACCTCGCGTACTTCGCTACCGAGATTACGCTCCACAGGCGCATCGTACAATCACTCGCCTCAGACCACGATCCCTACGGCTTCTACATGATCCGCAACGCCGCAAAGACGCGCCTCATCTCCGCCATGGACTTCGTCAACCGCCTGCGACACGAGCACCTCCAATCTTTCTGGTACTTCGCCTCCAAGATCAACTTCACCCTCATCGGCACCTTCGGTTCACTCCTATGGGCAACCGCTCCTGCGCAGGAAGAAGCAGACTTCTACAAGACGCGCTTGCGCGAGTACCGCTGGACGCTCAGCGTGAGCAGCAACCGTGCGCAATTTCTTGACTATGCCGTCAGCATGCTAGACGCCAGCCGCGCTATGCTCAATAACCTCGCCGAGAAGCCTTCTCTTGCGCAACATATCAGCAATGTGGGTGTGCCTGCCGCACCGGCGAGGAATCCCAATGGCATTGGATATCAACAAAACGACAGCGGGAGTCCGATGGAGGGCCAGATGTACAGTGCCGCAGACCTACGACGCATCAACAGCGCTGAGAGCTTTCACGGTTTCGGCAGCGGGCCGAACAGTGGGGAGAACTCGTTGGAAGGGAGTGTCCAGGGTGATGCGCAGTAGTCATCTTTCCTGTGCGCTATTGTTAGACGAGCTGTTACGACTTGATATTGTTTGCGTTTTCTGCTGGGCGTTTAGATACCACCTAGATCTGGTGCTTGATTGGGACATGCTGTACCATGGCATAGCCGGGCGTTTCTTGTGTGCATATAAGGCTACGACAGACATACCCTTACGATCACGATCGGTTGGTCTGGAGAAGGGGCGCGTGCAGAGGCTCTCGCGCGGTACTTAGAGCTACATGGATATATATAATGTCTGCGATCAATCGATTACGTGGATGATTCAATATGGTGTTTTTATGGTGTGCTATTGCAAGGTGCAGATATTACGTACTTTGCGGCACGATGAAAGGCGGGCACGCGGATGGGTGCTCGATGCGGCTTAGTCACGATGTTGTCAGTTTGTATGCGCATGGTGCAACTCTGTTTGAGGGCCGGCACGTGGCAAGGTTGGCTGACATGCGGAAGTTGGGATGGGGCCTGCCTATATAAAGGGCCTCGCCCGCGCAAGAGGATACTTCTTCACAGTGCTTTCTTCCTCTGCGGGGATCAAAAGACAAAAATGGGCGGACCTATGGGTGGGGAGGGCGAGGACTAAAAGAACCTCGGAGTCACGTTATGGCGTGGAGGATCTCTGGGACTAAAACCAGCTCGAGACACCCCATGGGCGTGAGGGGAGGGACTAGAAGATCGCCGAGAACTTCCTGATGGGCTGGACGGTTAGGGAGACTGAAACTCAACTGGAGGAGTCCCATGCGGATCGGAGGAGGGGTCGGAAAAGACGAGCAAACATAACCATGGCTTGGAGGATCGGGGAGATACAAATCGTAAGGCCAAGGCTATCATGGTGTGGACACGGAGCATTGCTCGAAAAAGAAATGCATTTGGAAAAAAGGGCATGGGCGCAAACAAGGACAAAGATGGGCCATGTGTTTGTCTGTCTGTCTGTCTGTCCGGGGTTTCAAAAGTCCTGAAGAAAAGGACAATGGGACCAGCTCGGTGCGAGAATTAGCAGAGTGCCTTGGCTATGTGCCGTCCTGCTGCCCGGTCTTGAAGACTCGGAGGCAGGAGTCCAAAAGGCTCATCGAAAGAGACGATGCGTTCGAGTTGATGTGCTTCTCTCTACGAATCCAAAAGCATTATCGTGGGGAGAAATGTCCTTGGTCTCAACAGAATGGCGAGCAGTGCCATGTGTTGTCCGGTTTCTGAAATCGACAGTGTCCGAATACATGAGTCTGGTCCCAAAAGCGCTTCGAGGAGCTCCATGCTCGGCCGGACGGGAAGACGGGATGATGACAGTCTATAAAAGTCTTCTCTCAGCAAAGACAGAGTTGAACACAGTTATGCCTCGCTCTGTGGCGGAATAAAAATAAGAGATCCGAATTCATGAGCGAGAGGGCGAGCACCAAACGACTCTAGTAATACATGCATGGCTTGGAGGATGTGCGAGACTTAAAATGCCAGTGTACGGACTGATGGGCATCGAGAGTGTCCAAAAAAAAAGACCGAGGAGCCATGTGTGCGTGGTTCCGAAATGTCAAGAAGTACCCGTCATGTGCCGTCCGGTGCGGGCGTTTGCGATATAAACGTCAAAAGACGAACCCGATGTCTGCGGACTCGAAAACGGAACAGAGACGGTCGATGTGCGAGCACGCATAATCCATGGCGTGTGCGTGTTCCTCTCCCCAAGGAATAAAGCAGGAAAAGTCTGGATTATGGCTTCGCATGCTATACCAAGATGGTCAACACATTCTATCATGTCCGTGCCTACAAATTGGAATTTGATAAGGCTCATGGGTTTCAGCTGTCGCCGTTCTCGAAAGACAATTCCGTAGAGAATTCATGTGTTTTGTATCCAGAGCCCTCTCATATACTGCTCTTTTCGAACATTGTCATCAAAATCTGACCACTTCTCTTGCATGGCGCTGCGGATGGTATAAAATCCAGACCAGGAATATGGATATTGTTCCTTACACGACACAGTAGTTGGAAGGTGGACTAAAAGCTGGTGTTATGGCTACGTATGTGGAGAACTGTTGCTCTCAAGTTCCCTTGGCCGAGTACAATGTCTTGTGCCTCGCTGGGCACGGTCTAAAAAAGGAAGGGGTGGCTATGACATGTGTCCAGGCTGGATATGGACATATAAAGTTCTATGACATACGTTCCATGAGGATTTATACCATCGGGCGAATGAGGCGTGAAATTTACACTCACTGCGTATGATGCATACAAGTTCATTGTCGTCCTGGCTCATTGGCCACGTTGATGATCGGCTAGCAGCATGATGGTCAAAAGGTTTCCAACTCGAGGCATGGTCAGTTTAGACTAGGATAACCCAAGCTTCATGCATGTTGCAAGGTTTTGCGTCGGTATTGTACGGTCGATGTTCATGTGCATGTGAAAGGCTGGCTACCTATATTATGTGGAGTGTCTCATTGACATTGGCAATTGACGAGGTAGTACCTGATGGATAGTTAAATTACTCGTAGAGAAAGGCCCCTCTCAGCAATCCTATACTGGATACAAGGCAAATGTATAATTGTAAGATGATTGATTGTTTGACTGAAATGGCAAAGTGTTTGAAAAGTAGGCGGAACTATTTGAGGCAAAGCTTGTTTAGCACAACATAAGTATATATATATATGAGTATTCTTTGCTTCTTGATATCTCGTACGATAGATTTTCCAGATTTCCCCATCTTTGCAAATGCGACTTCCAGCAACCACGTTCTGGGCTGCACTAGTACCAGCAGGATATCAGTCGCTCACGAAAAGGAAGCCCGTATCACAAGCATTCAGGATCGGAATCGAGATGGATCTCAGATGCTGACAGCCGTTGTAGAGAGCTGCACTACAGGAAAACACTATATAATCACTCAAGCCTAACTCACCATAGTTTCAAGATTGTACGAGACACTCAATCGAAAGACAGCTACAATGGCATACGCTTTAGTCCTGCCTTATGGGTTCTTTTTCAACTTTGCAGAAGCTTGGACCGCGATAAGTCCTGGGGCCCGAGCAACGGGGCACTTGTTGCGCCAAAGTTGAATTTCGAGAGCGTCAGTGCCCTCTGTCCCTAATATATAAAGCGGCCGCCTTACGCTGCAGTTCTCGCCGTCTGGCCCTCTCTCCCCGACTTCAACTCCCTCAGCCCTGATCTCGACTCTCACAGCAGATACCCATCGCACGTCCAATATTTCGTTCTGCTCAGGCACAAGACGCGTCACATCGAAGGATGACGACCGATGCGGGTTGGGAGCCTACCTTCCTAGACTCCATGCATTATGCTTGTGTACGTATGCTCATAAGCATTGAAGTGCTCTCAACTGACAAATGACTGATATTTAGACGACATTCAAGACCACAGGCGAAATGACAACCTTTGAATTGAAACTACCTGAAGAGCTGCGCTTATCTATCTTCCGACGCGTAAGCACTCAAGACGCATTGAAGCTTGCTATTGTCTGTCGAACATTCCGAACTTCCGCTGAACAGGTCCTGTACGAAACCATCTCGAATGTCCAGTACATGAATCGTCTCTATAGGACGTTGGTGGTCCGACCGGATCTAGCTAGCCTAGTCAAGAGCATCGATCTTTGTCCATTGATGCTAGAATCACCGGTGCCGGCTGTCGTAGACCATGGATGCTCTGTTGGAATGACCGACAATGATTACCGTTTCGATTTGCCCATCACGGAGAATCGAATCGCTGGACTGATACTACGAGCCTTGCCTGCGCTTGAATCGCTGAAAATCAGCATTCTGTATCTGGAAGATCGACGCCTATATACTGAAGAAGGATACGATGACTTAGCCTGGCAGAGCGCTCATCCAATTATCGCAGTTTTGGGTCCTGCATATCACCCTTCCAATGGCAACCACACGACTCTGCTGAGCCAGATCCCCGGGTTGAAAAACTTGAAGGATTTAACGTACTGTGGCGCGAGGTTTCCATCGTCTTTGGGTTCATTACCAAACCTAGAGAACGTTCATCTGAGTCGAGATTGCTTTTTCATGGATGACCCGAAACAAGACGCGTAAGTCCGCTCACCCTTGATAGTCTAGTCAGACAAATGCTAATTCAAGGCTATAAAACAGTGAAATCTTCCATTCGAAAGCCACTAAATTCTCCTTGGACTGCTGTAGCTCTGTCCTCGATCCAGACCTCACACGGTCGAAGTACAGATACCTTGAGTCATGCCTGAAGCAGTACATCTGTCTCAAGACTCTGACCATAGATATCCTGGAACAAGAACGGGTAACCAGGCACGGAGATGTCTCAACCCTTCTTGATCGCCTACGAGATGTGCAAGGGCACATCGAAATGATGAACTTAATCGTTGTACAGCCCCACGAAGGCTTACACTACCTGAACTTGGTTCTTCCTGTGCCAAGCATGACTGCGTTCTCGGGGCTGAAGAAGCTCAGCATGCCGTACGAGTGGATCGAAAAGGTTGACAACGAGACCATCGTCATGACTGTATTCTCCAAGGTCTTTCCTCAGACTCTGGAGGTGTTAGAGCTACAGATCCCCCAGGAACATACATGCGCATGGTTACTAGAGTTCGCCAATCAGCGCAGCAAGTCGAACTTCATTCACCTTCGCGAATTTCGCTTGTATTGTTCGGAGATGCGAGGCGTCGGCTACGAGAAGTTCCGATACGATTCACGATACGCCACCCAGGTGAAGGACATAGGCAAGACTGGAATACACGTCGAGGTTTCATATCATCCGGACGAGTACAAACCCGAGTGGGACAACGAAGACTACGACCCTATATCGAAGTCTGTCGTGGATGAACTTAGGTCTTTGTCCGTAAGCTATCAAGCGGGTTAGCATCTCCAATTTCTGTACTGAAACATTTCCACTGACACTGGACAGGACCTATGGTTGCTATCGCTGGGCTGAATGACAAAGCTCGACGCCTAATTGCGGACCTTCAGATTGTCCAGACACACACCCAGCTGCCGTCTAGGTGGGTGATCTAGCACCTTTGGCGATAGGGCCAATTCTTTCATGGCGAGACATCGCTCGGTATGAGTTTTGGTGGAAAATATGGAACGCAAATTGATAATCTCTTATCTGCGCTGGTTTCTCATGATACGATCCTTACTAGCTGACGTAGCTCTATTGCATGTACTGTGATCGTCTTTTCCGGCGTATCCCGTTCTCTTTCGGCACTTTGATCACGTGCTGTTAGGCTGCGTTCGTGGAATAGCTGTGATGTGACTTGTTTGTGTTCTGCTGAGTGGTTATGCCTAGGATGGAACCGTGGTACGCGATGTAGCTACTTGATAGCACTGAGCGCAGTCAAACTGGCGTATCTCGTTTAGAAGGTACATGCAATCTTCCTAGCGTCACTGATCAGCGGTGCGTACATGGACAAGGTTGAAGAAGATACAGGAGGATGAAAGTAGGATAGACGATGCAGAGGTTGACTGCACTTTTAGTGCCATCAAGCAACCCTTTCGCGTACCACGGTTCCGTCCTAGGCATAACCACTTAGCAGAACACAAACAAGTCACATCACAGCTATTCCACGAACGCAGCCTAACAGCACGTGATCAAAGTGCTGAAAGAGGTACACGCAACGGGCGAGCCTCTAAGTAGGATACTGATATATCACTCACAGAAAGGACGGAAAGTTACATGTGTAAAGTACAATTTCATTCAAGCCGACATGCCCTCTCAAGAACTGCAGCCTCGGGTTATTGAAGGATAATAAGCTACCTAATACAGCAACTGCCCATCGGCTTTATTGTTCCAGCCTTCCAAGTCATACCGTATCATGTTGCATGCACCATAACACGACACTCCGAACCAATCGATAGCGCCGAAGTTCGACAATGATTCCGGAGCCAGGGTAGCTAATCTCCAGTGAATCGCAGACTTGCTTCCCAGCAGAGTCAATTGCTTGACGAGAAGCGGAGTGTAGCCAAGCCACCAAGTGGAGGCGCTTCAACCCGGGACATAAGTCTGGAAGAATGGTTCCCGAGGTCTGCAATGCCCCGACACTCCTACAGATCATGTGGATTGACGTGATAGCCTGTCGCTGGAGAGTAGTGGCACTCCTCCGTAAGAAACCTAGTAATGCTGCATCGTCCGAGAATCTGAAGTGGCCGAGGCTCCAAGGAAGGAGATATACCTCGGACCGAGTTTGGCGGCAAGCTTGAAGCAAAGCTAAGTCTTTCATGGGCTTGCAGCTTCTAGTAAGGCCCCCATAATTCTCGATGGTCCAGGTTATGTTGTTGAAGACGTATTCAAAGACTTGAATTCGCAATTCTGCGGGCAACTTGAGCAGTGGAGATTGTCGCTGATTGCGGAGAGTGCTGTGTTCCATTAGCTTTTTCTCTAGTTCTCGGACGGCTTTCAACTCACATGGCTTCCAAGAGGTCCGAAGTCGAGTTTGGAAAGAATGGGAAGAGTTCCTGCGACGCCGTCAGAGACGACGCTTCCGAGGCGCTTAACTCGAGATTCTTAAGATCCATCGTTATGGGTGCCTGGTCGAGGGTGCAAGGCGATCGACACTATATACTGTAGGGAAGAATACCGGTCTACGCCAAGAAGGCCTAAAGCATTCTGGTCCGTGCATGCGTCCGTGACCTTCGGTGCAAGGGTCAATGTGTGAATTTCGCCACACGTGACAAGTGGGAAAATGAAAGTACCATGGGTACATGCTGTTACGCTGTTGAGATTTTCCAGATCTATGAATTCTAGACTGAGTAGAGACTCGAAGAAAAAGGCATAGTAAAGTTTTGTAAGTTTAGATGCTCTCATTATGTTAGAAACCATGAATAGATAGATAGTGTATGACTAATTAGGGCTCTTCAATCACTTGTTTTATACCTGCATATCTCCATTTGGAGATGTAAGTTTCAAATGCTCCCTCGCCGTATCGACCGTTACTTGTGGCATATGCACCAACTGTAGTGCCTGCACATTTCGTTAGCTCAACATCAGCAAAGCTTCACAAATTGTCTCACCTGAGTATACAGGAACCATCAACTCGCCCCTTGTGTAGCCAAAGACTCGCAAGTCCACACCGCTCGAGCCGGCAGCACCAGCAGAAAAGCTGTAATGTGTAGTATTTATCGCTTCGATTTGGAACTTCAACTTCGAGTCCGTCCACTCTTCAGGAAGTTCTGTCAACTCCTCAACCCATCTTGTTGCATTCTTCCGCCGGAAGCTGCTCTCGCTGATTCCACCAAAGCGAATATACGGCTTTGGCTCTGCATCAGGTATTGCCCTTGTTAACTCCGGGATAGGACCGAATTCATTCTCCGGTAATGGATAGATAGTACCTGAAGTTTGGTTCTTCGGCTCCGTAGAGCTAAGTAGCACAACTCCTATGTTAAAATGCTGTGACTGATCTTGAAAGATGGTAATACCGGCTTCTTCCGAGTCTCGAGTCAAGTAGCCTTTCCAGTCAACCTCAACACTGAACTTGAAGAGAGTATGCGATTGGCGGCGAGAAACGAAGGTTTGGCCTCGTCCGAGGGAAGAATCACCATCAAAGCCGGTCAAGTTGAGCATGGAAGAACGTAGAGCTAATGTGTTGTTGTGACCCTGCGGTGATACCTTGTAGTTCTTTTGATGAGGTATGCGCCAGTGCAGAAAATGGGGTGGTGTTTGGCAGCCAGGCTCGAAATCAACTTCATCATTAGCATCCACAAGTTGTCCGTTGCCTTCACGAGGAACGGTTTCCGGGCCCGATGGTTGCGGAAGGGTGAAGTCTCCAGTCATAGTTCCAGAAACATTCTGGAATATAGGAAACTCTCCTTCCGGCCAGTCAACGGGCACAAGAATAGTTTCTCGGCCCATGGGGAAATTGGCATGATAAGGGTCATCTGCATAGTTGCCGCCCGCGCGCACACTGAGCCCAGATGCCCACCACTGGCCGTTGCTGTGCTGAAAAAGGTCCGCGTGGCCAACAGCTTGGAAATAAGAATCAGTGTGTTTGTATGCAGTAAGTAGTGGATTGTTCGGAGCTCCTTCGTAAGGTCCGTGTAAGCTTCGAGAGCGTGCCATTGTCACCATGTGCTTTTCACGAGTTCCACCCTCTGCCAGTAGGACGTAGTACCATCCATCTTTCTTGTATACACGGGCCCCTTCTGGTGACGCTCCCCCGGAACCCATCCAGAGCCATTTATATGGCAGAGTGATCTCTCCGGTGGTAAGATTGACTGGGGCGTGGACAACGCCTGAAGAGTTGAATGTGCTCGTTACCCAAGCAATCTCATCATCGTCCCAGAAAGGAGTAGGATCAATACCCGGACCATAGTAGTGGATAAGATCGTCCCAATCACCGTATGGGTCTCGCGTGTTGAAGATGATGTTGTCCCATCGAGTGAGATTCTCCCTTGGTAGGGCCTGATTTACAAGAGTCGTAATGATAGAGAAGACCCCATCTCTGTATCGAATAGTTGGGGCGTAGATTCCGCTCTGGCCACGATTAACATAGCCAAGGTATGGTAGCTGCTCCGGCCGATTCAAAGCATTGGACACATGCTTCCAGTGTAGTAAATCCCGACTTGCATATACCGGCACTCCAGGAAACCAGTTGAACGTGGATGTTGTGCAAAAGAATGTTTCGTTATACTCGGGTACGAATATGCATGATGGATCTGGATGGAAGCCAGGAAGAATCGGGTTATGGAATGAAGATTGTCGAGCCTGAGTCAGTCCTGACATCAGTATACTCAGTATCAGCCAGTGTAACTGCATGGTGATTTCGTGGTTCTGTTGTGCCTGATTTCCCACTCAGGTCGGAAGAAGACGCACTTATGTATCATGACAATTGCTCCGGCTACAATAACCCTGGGTTGCGACATCCACCTGAGCAATATCTATCCCAAGATTCGTGATTCAACCAGCAAATGCCAGATGCGACTCCACTGCTTCCTAAAAGAGCTCAGTCGTACCCAGCTATTTCCTTGGCGATGCATTCACAAGTACCCTAATGAGTAACTTGTTCGGCGTATCGTTTTCCAGACGTTCGTGTTCGTGGAGAATCCCAGTTACCCCGGGTCTTAGAATCCACAGCTAATGGACGGAAGCTTGCATTTAGCCTAAAGAGAGTTCTCGCCAAAGATTTAGGTATGGGACAACATACAAATGCGCGAAACCTCTTAGTCTTGGGTCCTAGTCACGTGTCAGCCAAGATAGTAGACATTATCCCGCATACAGTCAACAATACAAGATCGAGTTCTATCAAACATTGTGATATCTCCCCAAATCTACAACTTGCTAACGAAACCCCCAACATCCTTCGTAAACAGCACCGACATCGGCTCCGCCAATAAATCCTCCTCCTTGAACGACTTGCCCATCTCCTTAAAGTGATCGCTTGAACCGTGTGCCTGCAGCGAAGCCTGATCTTTGTATCTACGCAAAGAAACTCGTCAGTTATCAGTAGTTGGACAGCATTTCTAACGTACGTTTCCAGCATCACGATGCTCGGCGCATCGCCCTTTGTTTCGCGATTGATCTGGTACCTGAGTGTTCCTGGCTCTTTCGCTTTCACGGAGTCTGCGGCTATTTGGAGGAGTTCTACTACCTGTATCTTGTGTTAGGGCTGTCTGAGGTGGAATGGGAGAGGTGGAGTACTCTGTCGGCTTTTCCGGGCTTGGGCTTGAGGATTGCGATGACATCGAAGGGGGCGGACATGTTTGCGATGATAGCGAAGGTCTAATAGAGTGATGGTATAGGAAGAGAGAAGGCGTGTAGACGGCTTGGTACCTTTAGGTAGGAGATGTGCTTTGTAATGGTGTAGCTTCGATGATGCTAGTTGTGGGGAGGTAGAGTGGAGCCGACTGTGCCGAGGCACGTTTCAAATCTTTCGTCTACATCAACGTTGTAGACTAATCACATACACGAGCAACATGGTATCTAGAATAATGAAGCCACGTCTTGGTTATCGGGCTCAGAGCTATCGACTAATTATTCCCATCTCGACTGTGCTATCTGCAACTCCAGATCATCTGCGTCGTACACCACATACGCGCTCCTGATGAACGAATTTCCCAGCAAGAAAATCCCCGAACCATTATTCGAAAGCACCCCCAAGTAGCACAACTCCGTGCCATCCTCGCTGTGCACTTCGCCTAAATTGGCCGGCATGCCGAATGGGTAGATGATCTCGCTGTAGGGCACACAAACATGCGGCCCTTCTGCGCCATCTTTACCAGCGAACCCAAAGTGCAGTGAATCAGGCGATGAGCGCAGTGAGCAAGGCACATACGATGTGTTACGGTAAGTGCGCAGTGTGACGTTGAGAGGCGCGGCGAGGGTGTCGTAAAGGTCTTGTGGAACGTACATGTTTGGAGATCCGGTATCGAGGATGGCGTTGTAGGAAGTATTGATCAAAGGTTCGTCGCCACCGTTCTGCCCGTCGCGTCTGAAGAGAGATGTCAAGCTGACGGACCAGGCAGTGAAGTCATCACCTGCCGGCGTTGGGATTATGGATGTCAAGGGCGTGCTTTTCAGTTCGCCTTGTGCCTTGGACTCGTCTATGCCGCCGAAGAGAATGGTACCCTCTTTGGCGTCCTGACTGTTGAGCCAGACGCTGAAAAGCCGCTTGGAGATATAGCCGAGGCGGTAGAGGTTCTCCCATAGGATTACGGGGCCGTTTACGTCGCGGTTCTGCAATTGGCTTCCCAGGCCGACGATGCCCCAAGTCTGTGCGTCGTAAATGGTGTCAATGACATTGACGAGGGCAACCGGATGCTGAGGAAGTGCGACACCACCGACGCCAATTGTGTCGTTATAGAATTCGCCAAGCATGATATTGTCGGGCGTAAGGCCGTAAGATGCATTGAAGATGACGTGTATGTCAAGTGCCGTTGATGAGGCGTTGGGGTTCCATACCGGGAGTGGGCAATTCGGTGTACATGCTGGGGATGATGCAGAAGGAACCCAGGCGAAGGGTGACCCGGTATCAGGCATAATTGAGAACTTTTGAGGTGGAGTTCCGACGGTCAATTCTATCTCTAGGTGCTACAAACAGTCAGCCTCTGAGTCGAAGGCGCCATCCACTGCACGGTCGTACTTGTTTGTCCAGTCTGTTGTACACGGGCACCTCGATAGTGCGCCCGTGCTTTCCAGCCTTATGTGAGAGTTCTGCATGGTCGCCTACTTCGTCTTGTATGCTTAAGCCCGCTGCTTGTCCAAGAGCGAATTGCGCGAGTATAAGGCTGTGTATGAGGAGTGGCATTGTTCGTTAGTCCCAGGCAACAGTAGGTGACCTACAAGGCTATATGGCTGTTCTCTAGCTCATCTCCACGCCTCCAAACTCTCGCTTAAGAATTGCTTGCCGTCCCATCTGACCAAGAGTTAGGGACTAGCAGGGTGCCTTACATGGTGTTCGCATGGTGCTGGCCAATGGCGAACCAGAGGTGACCAACATTGCCGTGATACTATTCCAGTGATCTTTTTCGAATTAGATCGATTGACTGCCATCGTTTAGAGTTTCGAGATGCATAGAGTCGTGTAGACGCGAGCGGCACGTGTATTTTAGCGCGGACGCGACCTTACCAATGACATCATCGACTTTTCTCTGACTGCGAAAGCGATGGAAGTCACAATGGGATATCTCGCTGTCTAGACTTGATTATCCTGTGATCAATATTGAGTTTATCTTTCATCGACCCTTCAAAGCGCTTTCAGCACGCAACAAGCTTCTCCGTTCAATCCAGGTCATTCGCATTTCACGAAGAGGTCCATACATCATTTGATAATTCGAGCGTATATCTCTTTGCATGTACATGCAAGGTGCTTTTCTACGAGCGGCAAAACACCAATTCACTCCTCTATCAACAATCACTATGAAACGCACCGCAATAGACTCATTCTTCAAGCCCTCTACCCCCAAGAAGCCGAAATACGAAGCCAACACAAATGCATCGAATCACCTTTCCTATCCTCATCCAATCCCACACCTACCAACAGACTTTCAAGACCAACTTGCCTTCGCCCCCGCGGAAGAAGGCAAATCGATCAATGATCGCCTAGACCTCGACCTCGTCTACTATCAGCCCTACATCCCCTCATCGATAGCCCTAGGCGTTTTCGACTTTCTCCGCCAAGAGCTCCCTTACTACCGCGTACAATACAACATCAAGCGCGGCCCGGTAGAAACGCAGATCAACACGCCACGCTACACTACTGTCTTCGGGGTAGACGAAACATCCCGCTTTAATGAAGAGGGTGAAATTGTCGACGCTAAGACGGGGAAGAAGGCGGAGAAGGGCAAGTACAAGTGCACGCCGCGACCTATACCACAGTGCCTCGACTACCTGCGCAAGCTCACCGAGGGAACCACGAACGAGACGTACAATTTCTGCCTTGTGAACTACTACGCCGACGGTAAAGACTCTATCTCTTACCACTCCGACGATGAGCGCTTCCTAGGCCCAGATCCGGCAATTGCTTCGTTCTCGCTCGGTGCGAAGCGGGATTTCTTGATGAAGCACAAACCGATACCGCCGGGTCCTGAGCCAGTCCCGGAGCCGAAGCAGGTCAAGTTGCCGTTGGGATCGGGGGATATGGTGTTGATGAGAGGGAAGACGCAGACGATGTGGCTGCATAGCATCCCCAAGAGGGCGGGAGATGAGGCGAAGAAGGGAAGAATAAACATTACGTTTCGGAAGGCTTTGGTCAAGGCAGGAACAGAAAACTACTACCAGTACAATGTGGGAACAGGGGGAGTTTTCAGATGGAATGCAAAGGAGAAGATGATGGCGCCGTGGGCGAAGGGTGATGCTTCATCTATAGCCGGAACGATTGGGCCACTGAACGGAGGAGTAGGAGAGGAAAAGAGAGGCGGCGCTAGTGTAACTGATGATGGTGATCTAAAGACATGAGGAGTGACGAAGGTAGGAGAGTAGATTCTTCACGTTAATTGGTAGGCAACTCGGTACTGTCAACTTGACTTTTACTATACCTAGGTAGCTTGAGCTGGCTGCTGATGGATAAAGCTGCATCAAAATCGATTCTGTGACGCCCGTTACGCCCGTTTCCTGCTGACTGCATCGTTCATGGATGGCTGGCGACTTCCGAGGCCTCAACGTGATGGGACCATGATGCAAGAACGAGTTTTCCAACTTCAGAGCAGCCTTGAGCTCGATGCAAGCTTTGATGGACGCCATGGGTAGTCTCGGCCTTGCACCGGTAGTGCGATGGGGACGGTGGCTTGTGCTTCTCGACCCCGCCCTCAAAGAGCAAGACAGCATGTCGAACCATGGCACCCACGAATGTCACAAGGATAAGCGTGGGACGAAAACCGCGGCTTCCGACGTGTGACTCATGAGTGCATTTGCTACTACAGGGATTAGTAAGGCCGGCCTGCATGAAGATGAGTACAGTGACGAAGGGGAGGGCGATGAGATAGAGTTCTTGGCGTTGTGCTTTCTGAAAGAAGGCGGAGTTAATAACCTGAGCCCGCCTATCTTCCACTCTTCTGCCCCAAACGTCGCACAACACGGGCGCATACTCGACGACGCCCTCGAATCGTCTCTGGGAGCATACACGACCTTTCTAGGACGTCATTGACCAGCTGCGCTGATTGCGCATTCCATTCAGTCGACCAATCCGTAGAGGCGGTGAAGCCGACCGAATTGTTGTGCGTCGCATCACCATTCCACACTGGCTGCGCGAATGCTTATCTGAAGAGCGCAGACTTTAGCGACCGCAGGGCATCAAGTGGTTTCCGCGCGACAGCCGTAGGCCTATTCTCTGGCTACGTCTCAGCTTCGGAGCCTTTTTGGAGCCCTTACCCGACGAAGGGCTCTTCGCGCATTGCGCTGTGAGGAGCTCGCCGACGTGCACAATCGCTGCTACCTTCGAATTTAAGCACACGGAATCTACGCGCGAACGAATACTTACGAGACAAGAGCTTGCGACAGCTCTACCGACCATACAAGCGACTTAGAAGAGGAGTGAGAAGACGCGAGAAGGCCCCCGCCAGCAGCTGGGACCAACACTCTTAAGCTGGGAACCTTACTGGGTTGGCGTGGAGTTACGACTGTATTTAAGACCGTGTCATCCCGCAACCCAAAGGTTGCCATCCAAGCGACCTTTTCGCACACTCCTCCTGCGCTCCCTTGCCAGTCGTTAGCCAGTGCGACCCATAGCTGCTCCTTCGCCTCCTCTAGCTCCGGACTCTTCGTCCATCACGAGCTGTTGTGAAGCGATCCTCAACCTTCACCCATCGGACTTACGGCATTAACTCCGTTCTCTCCGCGAGCGACGCGCCTGTACCACTGTCGACATCATGCCGCCGACTCCGCCCTCGACCACCTCGTCTAACTCGGGTCACTCGCCGCCCGACCCCCAGTTCAGGGTCGTTCGGAAGCGCAACCGCGTCCCTCTGTCCTGCGGGCCCTGCAGGCACCGAAAGTAGGCTATCATCTCATTGATGTGGAGACGCGATGCTGATGGTCGTAGGCTGAAATGCAACCGCGGCCACCCGTGCGATAACTGCACAAAGCGGGGAGATAGCGCATCATGTACGTACGCAACTCCAGGCAACCGCAAAAAGAGCGCGTCCACCACCGGCTCCGCCACTACTCCAGATGACATGCAAAACCGCATTGACCGTCTTGAAGGATTGGTTCTTTCTTTGATGACCAATGGCGCCCAGAGTGCTGGACCAGCCGCCGCGCAAGCAGCCATTGCAGCCAGCATGAACGGTAGTAATGGCTCCGTCGATCAGCCCTACGATATCAGCCCGGAATCGATACAGGAAGAAGAAGTGGGCGACGAGAGCGAGGTTGAAAATGTCACCAAGTCGATTGGCGTCATGAAGGTCGAGAACAACCGTGCCATATTCGCATCCGAGGCGCATTGGTATGCGATACTAGGAGAGGTACGTTGCGACGCGCATACTGGCCATGGCTAAGCTAAAGGGCATTAGATCTCAGAAGTGAAGAACTACTTCCACGATCACAAGAAGCAGTATGACGAGCAGCTCAAGCGATATAAGGCGGCGCATACGGACGACATGAATGCAGGCACCGCCTTTCTATTTGGTAGCCAGAAGCCGATGACACAGCCCGAGCTTCTTCAAAGGTTTCCTCCCAAGCAGACCGCCGATATCCTCGTTTCGCGATATTTCAATACGTACGATCCAGGCATTCATATAATACATGGGCCGACCTTCCAGAAACAATATGACGGCCATTGGATGAATCCAACCGATACACCTGTCATCTGGCTCGGTATGGTCTTTGCCATGATGACTATAGCGCTGCAATCATATACGCGTGCCGGAGACGAGCCGCCAGAGTACAGAGGGCGGTCATGGGCAATGTCGACCGAGTATCGTGATTACACAGCGCAATGCTTGGCGGCTGCGGATATCACATCGCCCATCACAAATATGCTGGAAACGATGATCCTACACACACACGCCGACTACGCACGTAGCAGAGATTCTCAGGCTGGCATGATAGTCAGCACCGGGATAATCGTACGCTTAGCCATGCGAATGGGCTTGCATCGAGACTCTGGGCCTTATGCAGGTATCACGCCCTTTCAAGGAGAGATGCGACGCAGGGTGTGGGCAGCCATTCGCTCGATGGACTTGCTCTTTTCAGCGCAGGCTGGATTGCCACCAGTTGTCCGACCACGCGACACTAACACCGAGATTCCGCGCAATATCTTCGACGACGAATTATTTGAAGATATGAGCATCCTACCACCTTCGCGATCCGAAGAAGAAGCAACGCCCACCTTGTTCCTTATCAACCGGACGCGTTTGATGTACAAGCTTGGAGAAGCTGTTGAGCTCACCGAAGTTCTCACCTGCGCCTCCTACGAAGAGGTCATGAAGCTTGACAGCCAAGCGCGAGAGCTGCATGATAGGATATCACCTCATCTCAAGATCCGGTCGATGGACGAATCAGCGCGAGATCCATCGACTCTCATAATGCAACGCTTTACGCTCGAATTACTGTTCCTCAAAATGATATGTTCGCTTCACCGAAAGTTCATCTCTGCTTCTAGGGTCAACCCCCGATTCGGCTATTCAAGACGAGCATGCATCGACGCATCGATGAAATTACTTCAACATCAAGCCACGCTCCACCGAGAGTGCCAGCCTGGCGGCAGACTACGCAATGTCAAGTGGTTCATCTCATCACTCACAACAGTTGACTTTCTGCTCGCGGCAATGATAGTGTCTTCCGACCTATATCACACTGCGCGACAAGAACGTGCAGGGAGGAGAGACTCTACCGACATGTACTACTGGAGCGAAGACCGACGGAATGAAATGATCGATGCGATCGAGACAGCCGTGGGCATCTGGGATGGCTTGAAAGAGCACTCCATGGAGGCATACAAAGCGCATGCAACACTGAGCATCATGCTAGGTCAGCTGAAAGGAAGCCAATCGTCAAGATCGCAACCGCAAAGCTTCTCGAATACACCCGCCTTCAACACCTCGACCGCCATGGATGATGCCAATGTGGCGCCTGAGCATTCTGCTGCGATGACATTGGGCATGCTTAGCACCGGCGGCATGACGCCGAACTCGGCAAACATGTTTGAAACGCGGTACCCTCCATCTATGGCAAACCTGTTGAATGATCCTGCGCCGCAACAGCCAACTGGCCTGACGCCCAACTTTGGTGCAGCCACCAACGGCGAGGTCCGCGCTCCCAGTCCGTTCTCGAACCTCTTCGGAGGTGGGTTCCAAAATATGGACTTGCCGAGCGCGGACAACATTGACTGGGTGCGTGACTTAAAACCCATGATCATCTGACACTGCTAACAATCAACAGAATGCATGGGACTCGTACATCCAAGGCCCGAGCATCGATGCCACGAACTCGTTCTTCCCTATGGATCTCGGTGGCATGCCCATGCAGACGGACGGTTTGCCAAATAGCAGCACATCGACGAGTGGGCAACCCCAAGCAAATATGTTTGCCGCGAATGGGGGACCCTTTATGGGGGTGAGTACACCTGTAAATGATATCGACCCAGTGTCTTATGTCCTCCAGGCGCCTCAGGACCCGAAGACGTCATCCGGAGATGGTTATGTGATGGGTTTCGCGATACCAAAGTCTTCTTAACGATCGTTAATGATTCTGGCAAAGCGGTAGGAAAGTATTATCGCAGATGCTTTTGTTTGCATTTGCTTAGCTGAGTTTCGGACGCTCATTGTAGCGATCCTTGCGGACATGATCTTGTTGATGGCTATGAATGGGACGATGCGATCTTGGCTTGGCACAATTAGGACGCATGTATCTGTACGTATATGACAGGCGTCGGAGAAAAGTATGATATCCACTCTCTTGCTGCATGCATAATAGACGCATTTGGCTTAGTGCACTGTACCCCTCCAGCGGACAATCACCGCTCAACACAGGGCTGGGGACCCAGCTCAACGAGACACAATGTCTCATAGACCAGTGTATTAGATTTCTTGCACTGTGCTTCATATCTTTCCTCAACCTCTTGTAAAGTCCAAGCACGCGCCAATCAAGCGAGAGCCCCAGTCCAGACCTTCCTGCCTCGGCTGCACAACTAAATCTGCCCCACCACGATCTCACGCCAGGCCACCCGCGATCGCATCGCGGGACCCTGAGGCTCTTCCTGAGGTTCCGAGGCTCTTTGGCGCATTCGCACGACATCCTCTCTGGGGACAGTGGGCAGGTGGGGGCGCCTACGTCACCCGTCGCCCAAGGCTGACGCCTCGTCGGGCGTTTGTTGGACCGGGATCGCGTGTTTTGTCCCAGGATACGGCAGGGCGTACGCCGTACGCAAGGCTACGGTACGTGGGTGTTCAGCTGGGCTGAACCTACCCTCAACCTATACCCTCCTTCTCCCTAATATCTGAATCTTAGAAACATCCTCCCGAAGACGAGACGTGTGCAGATAAAGGAAAGCGCAATGATGGCAGAAACGACACCCATATCCCCGCCCTCCGCCGCCCCCTCCTCCGCATCCGCTACAAACGACCCCCGATTTCCCCGATATCCCGTCAGTCCACCTTCCCGCACAAAACCAGTGCAGCCGTTTCCACGCGCACACCATATATCGACACGAGCACGCCTGCGATAAATGCTGCGCCCGTGGAGCTGGATAGTATCCCTGCGAGCCCGGGCCCCGTACAACGACGGGCTACCGAAGAGGAGAAGGACAGGAAAGGAAATGTAGTCAGCCCTGGACTCGGAGAAGTGGACGAGGCTGAAGCTGAACTCCTTGGGGAGGGCGGGAAGAGTGGCAGGGGCGAGGTTACACAGGTATGTGCACCCGGAGGACAAAGTGTGGGGAGAGAGAGGCTGAGGGCATGTGCTAACAAGGAACAGAAGAGGGCAGCTATGCTCGCAAGACGTGGCAAGGATCCCGGCGTTATTGTGGATTTGCCGAAGGAGCCTACGGCGGAGGAGGTGCTTGCTGCGAAAGCGACGGAGGGGGTGACAACGCCGGCGGTGGAGAGGCGGTGATACGGCGAAGTTCACGAGAGGATGTCCGGGAAAAATTACCTTGACTTGAGTGTTTTGGATACCTTGCGAGTGCTGGTGGATTTTTACACTAGCGAATTCAAAAGATGATTTTGACGGCTGCCGGTGTCCCACTGGTGATGATGTTCATGAATGTTCTTTTTTTTTCATCATCACTCCTCCGATCCACCACTGCGCGCCAAAGTCTATATAAACCCCCTCTTGTTCCCCTCGTTCAGCTTTCTTTCCTCACACTTAAGGCACAGCTCTTGATGAGTACTAAAACGTACGATGTATACTTGCATGTCTTCTGTCGCCTTCGTGCGGTACTAAAAGGTCTGAAGCCCTACGATCATGTGCTTTCTTCGCCCCTTCTTCCACATCATGGAGAGTTCCAAAGACCGTGCAACCAACCTCGAATGTCTCTTCCTCCTCCCTCTCTTCCACAGCATGACTGAGTTTAAAAATGGTCAGACGCCCTTCATGGCTCTGCTCTTGCCTGTGCTTTCCTCACGAAGGGTCTTGAAAAGTGCGAAACACAAAAGCGATGTCGGTTCCTGGCGCTCGTGCCTACGCATGGGAGCTCGCAAAACTAGACGAAGAGGATGTATGTGGTCTTGTGGCACTTCCGCCTTGATCTTTGATCGGATCTTACAATTGAAGGACTGCACGTGTCGGGTTATGTCCTCTCGCGTTGGCGCCTACGCATGAAGCTTCCAAAATGGATATTGGAGACTTCATGTGCTAGGGTCGCGCTCTCCTTCGAAAATAACGAGCACGTACCGCCCATGGAAGACCTGCATTGTTCCATGAAATGTGGCATGCTGGCATCCAAAAATCCAGACGGACCAGCCGATGCTGCTGTCTCCCTCTTCTTCCTCTTGATCCGAGACTCGAAAATCTTCCGGGAAGAAAGTATGGGAAGCTCCCTGGTGCTCGTCAAAATCTCTAGTTGCCATGCTATGCTTGTGGACTCTCCTGTCTCTCTCCCAAAGCCCCTGCAGTTACCATCGATGTGGATCCTCCTAAGACGACTGTTCCAAAGATCCAAGACCCAAAAATATATGGACCTTCCTGCAGCGCGTACAAAATAGGCGAGCATAGAGGACGATGTTGGCTTCCCTTGTTCTTCTTCCAAAACAAGCTAGACCCGCCTTCATGGGACCCCCTGGCTGTTTTCAAAAGCTTGAAGTACCTTCGCGATGCGCTGGCTCCTGGCTCTGTTTTAAAGTACCTCAGGTTCCGGCCATGTGGACTCTCCTGCCTCTCCTTCTAAAAATTGCAACGTTCGAACAATATGGAGTTCACGACCCCCGGCACCTCTTACCGGACCAAAACCTGATTACACCCAGGAAAATGTTTTGGCGTTTCATGTGCGGTTGCAAAAAGACGCTGGGTACACTTCGTGTCGTTTCTTCCAGGTCCTCTCCTGGTACTTCGAAAATCCAAAAGACGTAGCCGAAGATACGGATGCGGACCTCCCTTGCCGTGTCTGCAGCGGCATCGTGCATTTTGGGACCAAACATTTGGCCAATTACTATGATGTCCTTTACCGTCCGAGGACATTTCACCAAAGGCGCAGCACACGCACTTAATGTCCTTGTTCTGTCTTCCCTTTTTCCTATCAAAGCTTCCAAAAGCTGCCACCTCAAGCCATGTGAGCCTCTTTTGTTCGGTCTAGCCCAAAAATGCATTTTCTCGTACCAAAAGCGATCGATACAGGGCAATGTCCCTCGCCGTGGCTGAGCGTTCCGTCAGAAAAGTGCCAGCATAGACAGAAATGTCTTCCGCTTCCTCTCTCTTTTCTACAAGAGGGGTTCAAAAGCGCAGACGAGGGCCACATGAAGCTCTTGCCTCGTCCCTGAGCGCACCTGTCGTGTGCAATACCAAACAGGAAGTTCGTTGGATGAATGTCGTCTGCCGTCTTTGCGCTTCACAAGCTACTCCCCAGATTACATATGCCCTTGTGGCTCTCTTCTTTTCTCTTCTACACAACGACTGCGGATTCGCGAGAGGATCAATCTAGAGCTTCCTCGATCAAGTGAATGGGATCCTTGTGTTGGTGGACCAAAATAGTTTCGTGGGCAAAGAATGTCCTCTGCTTCCTTCGTGCTCTTCAAAAGCACTGACCGAGCACATCATGGACCGTTCTTTTCCCTTCTCGAGGTCTGCTTTTCATCAAAGCTCAAAAGGAAAGAAGTCGAGGTATGGAGAAGGATGTACGGATATGTGCGAGGCGACGGTTTCCGAAAATCAGTTCGACCAGTTTGATGGCCTCTGTCGCTCTTGTGCGCTCTATAAGACCACTGCATTGCCTATAATGCCAAAGAAGCACTGGAGAAAGGCAAGAAAGCCAGTGTACCTGGCCTTGGAGACTACGAAGCCCAGATCCAACAATCTCTGGAGCGGTTCAAGAACTATGCGCAGTTGATCAGCACAGAGCAATCATCTTTCACATCAGGCAATGTCGAAGCCTTTGATAAGGAGGCTCTGATAAACTCAATTGAGACCATCGACCCTGAATACCAAGACCTCCCATCTGAGGGTGAAGTTGCCAGCGATGATAAAGAGTCTGATGTTAAAATGGCCAATACCAACACAGAGGATTCAGACACTGAGGCCCTAGATAATCCTGAGGTGGCCCGCAAGTATGCAGCAGAATTCAACTTGGGTGTTCCAGTGCCTGAGAAGACCACAACAACAGTGCAAGCTCTACGACTCAAGCACCCCCGCGAAGCCATCCCCATCAATCCAGTAGTAGCTGGCGATCCAAACCGGAACCATGCCTAGTTTACATGGGTTGACGGGAAACGTGTTCCCATCGGCTCTAAGCACATTCAGAATAAGACTAACTGGGATGAGATGGATGAGATTGATAACGATCAGCCAAAAGCATGGGTGGACAGAGACGAAGATGGCCTTCCCGCCCTAACCCTCCCATGAACCCTGGAGGCTCCGCAGAGAGCAGGACTGACCCACTCTTTGCATTCGAAAATGCCCCACGCCTGGCACCAGAAGAGGTTAAACGTGCGAACAAAAACCGGAAGATCCAACATAGCATGCTAGCCAAACTAGGTCGAGTAGGCCTGCAGGATGCGAATAGTAACTTCACCTTGCCAACAGACTACATGAAGGACTTCAGGGCCCTAAACCGTCGCACTCACCTGGGGAATGCTGTAGCCCATGAGACTGGCCACGAGCTTGATACAGTTACTGCACGCGATGCCAACACGACATCCAGCTCTGCTACCAATGGAGAGCAGGGCGAATACTACCGGATTCATGAACCTATGAACCCGGCAGAAATTGAGCGGTTCGAGCGATGCAAGGCGTCAGAAAGGCTCAAAGGTGTTCGCAATCCGGATCATGTGTTTCTTGGGGCCTTTGTCGAACCATCTAGGGCGTTGAAAAAGGTAGGGCTGTAGCTGTGTATGCCTCCTGCCGTGCAGGTCATAAAGAATACCATAGCCATCTCATGTCTTTTTTTCGGTTTGCTCCATTGAGTTCAAAAAGATAATCGAAAAAGTCGATGCGGGCATGGAACCTGATCTTTCACTCTCTCTGAGGATCAAAACGATATCTGGACCGTTACATGTCCTCTGCCGTCCCGAATCCAGGAATACGTCCTCAAATGCGGTTCCTCCTGTCTCTCTACTCGTTCGACAGCTTCTTGATCGCGGATATGAAAACGAACAGGAACCGTTGTTATGCTCTGGCGTCTTCGTGCGCTTAACAAGCTTCGATCATGTATAAGTATGTCCTTCTTTACTCTCTCCCGCATTGTAATCTACCAGATTGAAATCGAACATGGATATCATACCACTCATGGGAGCTCTGGCGAAGTCTGCCAAGCTCCATGATTGTCAAAAAGCAGTTTTGTCAGAGCCCATGTTCTGTGCCGTCCACCTGCAATTCACAAATCGATCTTCCGATGCACATGTGTTCTCTCTGTCGCTCCCTTGATTAGGCCAGAGGTTCGAAGTCCAACTAGAGCGATTGCATGCGGCTCTTCCTGGATGGGTCCCAAATCAAGGCCTCTAGCTGGGCATTGAGAAGTTGAGCTGACGCATTCATGTGCTCTGCTGTACTTGGACGTGACACGAAAAACGTACACTGTGGAAAAGATGTCGCTTTCCTCCTTCTCTTCCTCGCTGCTGAAGTTTCAAAGGGCATTTTCAAAAAGGAGCTTTTCCTTGCTCTATGTTGTTCTCCCTGGAGCTTCCATCCGTGGGGAGCTTCCATCCGTGGCTACCAAAAAGGCTTCTGATATCTCAGTCTTTGCATGATATCGAAAACAACTGGAACACGTACTATGCTGCTTGCGCCTCGCCCAGGAATAAATCACAGTTCCTGTATATCTTTGGCTTTCTGGAAAATCTGCCGTCCTGCACAGAGACCTACAATCGTCATTTAAAATCGCTTCCCCGAAGAACAATGTGCTTCGTCGTTCGTGGGTCGAAAAAGTAAACACGTCACGGTCACATGTCTGCTCGTCTGGTAGCTCCCCCTCCACAGAAGGACCAGAATATGGAAAAGATTGATGCGATGTCCGCCCTCGCCGGCGGTACGAATTTCCACGACTCACAAAATGATGTCGTCTCTAACTTGTCTCCTCCACGGCAAGCTCTGGATCAAAGACCGAGGGCAGCGGACTCATGGCGTCCTCCCTTGCGCTCTTTCAGGGCGATACCTTGATAATGCTAAATATGATATCCGATACTTATTCCTCTTGTCGCTTCTGTACGGATAAAAATCATACCGCTTGGAGACGATCTCTCTTCTTTCTCCTCCATAACTCCAATTAGCTTCGAAATGCATACAGATGCAATACCATGTGTGATTCCCTTACTTCCTCCTGAACATTGTTCTCAAAGCACTCGGAAAAGACCTAATTGTGGACCGAAAACCACCGTTTGCATGTCCGTATGGTTCCTAGCCCCTGGGAGGGATGCAAAGCGTTGTCTCTAGTTATTCTTCTGCTTCACAGGACTTCCAAACCTTCGACAATCATTCGATGTGGAGCCTCCACGCTTTCCTTGAACTGAGCTTCTCACTGTTGTGGCTGCCTCCTTACCCTCCTACTTACAGGGCTCTCAAGCCCGAGAGAGCATCCTTAAGGCCCTTTAACCGCTCTCTGAGTAGAACACCGCACTGCATAGCTTGCTTCAAAGCATGGAGTGACACAGATATATGCTCTTCGATGTGTGCGTGTGGCTTCGAATCCTCGTCTACAGATATCATGGCCGCTCTCTCTGTTCAGAGGGCCTCACAGCTAAGGCATATGTGGGTGTCTTCGGTGCTCTACGAGTGATACAGCAAGCAATTTGGTGTTCGAGAACATTGCATCGTGTTCTCATGATCAACGTTGCTGTGCGGCTTCAAAAGCCCGTTGGATGCGGAATGATGACTTCTTCTTGCCCGCGCTCCCATACTACAAGAAAACAAAGAGCGAAAGACGGTATGGCTGACTTCCAGCGCTTCTTGAGCGACATTAGGGATTTTAATCACTTGAAAAGAGAAAGAACTCATACGACTCGTGCTGTCTCCTCGTGTTTACAAAATGAAACACAGCCAAATCGATGGCTGCTCTTTGTCTCTGTTTTATTTGAGAAAGTTTAAAAAGAATACCTGAACTCGGTGATGTGGCTGCCTTGGTGCTCTGCGGCAGAATTATTCGAGTATTGAAGTTTATGGATTCTGTGCGCATGTTCTCGGTCTTCTAAGTTCGCGTATCATTTCAGTAATGATGATGGTGCTCAACAACCAACAGTCACCATGAATTGCAGAATTGAATCTCAGTATTACATCTATTATGCCCATAGTGCGCTCATCCTTGTTCTAATTGCTACAACTCAGCGTTTCGATAGCTTCTAGTTCAGCTATCGTCCTCTACAAAACCCGGCGGTGGCGCAACATGAACCTCCCAGTACTTAGTGATACTTTCATCCATCTTCTCCTTCTGCATATCCGTCCTCGTATCATTTCCATACGACTCATGCGTAGCACCAATATCGAGCACTCCCTCCCTCGTGCCATCCTTTAGGTACTGCAAGAACTCCATGCTCACTCTGACGTACTCTCTCAGCCCTTCTTTCACATTGATCGTAGCCCCAGTGGTCCATGATAACAGCAGCGGCTCGATCAGGGGAGCGTCAGTAACGCTGGGATGTGACGTTTTCAGAGAAGTCATGAACCAGGTCGCTCCGCACCGCTTGAGCACGTCAAGTGCGATATCACGGACAGTGTCGAAATGTGGTCGACCGTAGAAGATTGTGTGTGCTTTCGACCAGGAGTCGGAATGGACCAGGAGGAGCGGGACGTCGATGTCTGTGTTCAAGCGTCCGGATTCTTTACCAGGGTCGAGGATGATGCCACCGATTGCAGGATTACGGTATCCACTGTTGCCTTCGTCTGCTATGGTTTTATTGGCACTTTTCAAAGCTTGCATGGCTCCTGTAGCTCCGAAAGAATGCCCTGCGATGATCACTTGGGACATGTCCAGTCGATTCTTCCACTCTTCCAAGGTTTTCCCTTCCTTGCGGTAGTTCTGATCGAAGATGTTCCCGCCACTTCCAGCATTGAGACCCTTCAGAACGCGAATCGTCTCCTGGATTTCAGAATCTCGGAAGGCTAATTTCTTGAATCTCCAATCATCGTTGGAGATCTCGCTGTCCGGATCCTCTGGCTTCAGCTGGGATGCTCTGAACAAGATCACATTCTTCTTCTTTCCATCAGGCAAATGCACTATAGTGCCTGGACAAGATCCGTCTCGATGTTCAATAGCGGCCACGATTACTCCACGACTCGCGAGCTCACCACAATAGGCAGTGTAATCAGTACGAGCGCTTACATCGCCATGAGAAAGTACGACGACAGGCCATTGCATCAGATTGTCCTTATCAGTCTTTTCCGAGTCACCCAGCAAGGCCACGTCCACCTTGGCGGGAATATCTATGCTGGACGCTAGACCCCAAAGCGCAAAAGTAAAGAGCGGTCTTGAGAAAAAGTTGTTGAAATGCGCCGCGGTAGCATAACCCTCCGCAATCAAACTGATCGGCTTGGGAAACCATTTGTGTTGCGGCTTGGAACTTCGAGCTCCTTTGACAGCGGGGTAGTAGAGCGTGAAGAGAACCGTGTCCAGTTGAAACGCGGGCTTTCCGTCGGCCTTGAAGACTGCATCAACTACTTGCCGCGGATCCTGTACAGGAACTTCGATGTCGATGGTACCAACGTCATGAGGACCGGTATACTGCGGGAGCTTTGAGGCGAAAAGCGGCGACCAGACAATGTAGCAATATAGTATATAGAGAGCTACTATGGCACTCAGAATATAAGCCACAGTAAACCGGGGTCGAATTAAGTCTGCCACTCGCTGTAGCCATGAAGTATGATTTTGATCCAGCCACCGAGGCAATGCCTTTGTGCCGTCAGTAGCCCTCTGGAGCCATTTGCTGCCGATTGAAGGTGCGTCTTGTAGCCATCTTGGTTGCGTATCACTCATTCTGTGGTCCGGATCCAAGGGTAGAGGTGAATCCGGCTCTTCCGCGATAGCCGTTTCGTCCTCGTAAGAATGTAGCTCAACGTCGTCGTGGTAAACCTCGGGCGTCGTCATGACTTATTGGTATTTTCATGACTCTTAAAACATCATTTTAAAAAGATAAAAGCTGTGTTGTTGGTGACCTCGGACGATGATGTATGACGAAGCGACAAGCGGCCAAGCTATTTGTTGGCGCTAGTGAGAAACCAGCCAAGGAAGAGACACGTGTTTAATCACGTGAAACCGTCATTTCCAGCAAAACGTCAGTGAAAAGTTGCGAAAGCTGATAACCGGATTAAAAAAAGCGATACCTCGTCGTGAGGTGATACTGAGGTAGTGGCACGATTATGGATACTCTGTGTCTGAAGCTACTCATCCAGCTTGATATCGGCCTCGTTGCCACTCGCTCCTGGGACGGCGAAGCGTGCATCAATCTCACAGGCTGCGATTGATCATCCTTATGTGTCAAATGTAGAATTCACAAGACATACCATCAGTTGTTTAGAAGTTTATCAATATTGATGGTTGAACATATCTGAATTTATAAACTGTCGCGATCGCGATGCTAGTCTGGTATATACACGAATAAAACGTCCATGGCGCCTTATAAACATTGCCTCAACGTAATGCCCTTCCAATCAACACCAACGGATCTTTAATCAAACTTGTTCTGGTTCGCATTCTGTTTCAACATAGTAGAATCGGGCTTGTACTTCTTCGAGAGTAACCGCACGTCATACTCGACATCGAGCGTCGCGCCATTCTTCTCGTTCTCGACAGGCTTGAAGGTCAGGAGGAGATCGTCCTTGACGGCGCAGACGGTGTCGGTCTCAAGGTAAGGGTCGTCGTTGGGGTACAATTGAACGGTCACATCGATATAATCGGGATGCGTGACCATAGCGTGGATGTGCGCAGGACGCCACGGGTGGCGGCCCATGATTTTGAGCAGATCGGCGGAAGGACCAGATGTGTCGATGGCGTACTCGGTGGGCTTGAGGCAGTAGAACCAGAACTTGCCGTTCTCGTCGGTCTTGAACTTGCCGCGGAGGTTGTGCCTGGTTTGGTTCTCGGGGTCGAAGACGTCATATTTGCCGTTGGTGCTGGCCTGCCACATGTCGAAGACGGCACCTGGGATACCCTTGCCTGTGTCGACGTCCCTAATGACGCCGTGGAAGAATGTGAGCTGGCCATCTTTGGGCATGTCTTGGACGACGCTGGCACCGAGCTCGCGGAAGGGGGTTTCGGGTGACCAGAAAGGTCCGAGGATGGTGGAGGAGGTGGCTTGTGAGGGGTGTTCGACGTCAGTGACGACAGTGTGGTTGATTTCATCTACGAGACTATTGCACGATTAGCAACAGTTGATTGAATGCGACAGTAGTCCCCAAGCGAGGCGGGAGCACTCACGATTCGACGCCGAGAATATCGCACACCCTCCATGCTTCATTTCGGTTCTTCTGGTAGGCCTGACCGATGGCATTGACGTAGTTGACACCGATGATCCATTCCTCCTGTGTGAGCTCCACGTCGCGGCAGAAGTCGTGCAGGTGGGTGATTAATGAGGTGAGGATTTCTCTGTGGCGGGGTTTCGTCTCGGCGCTCATCAGGCCGACGACATGTTCTGTGAAATTTGGATCAAATTTGCTCTTGTTGCTCTTGACGCCAGGGCCTGTCGGGTGAGGGGCGCCGTTTGTTGCCATTGTGAGATTGGAAAAGTCGTCAATCGAAGGAAAATCAGAATAGATGATTCAAAGATTCGTTGGGAGATGATTGAGAGGAGGGAAATAAAGGGGGGTGACGATTGATTTAAGCCTCCGCTGGGGACCGTAGTGTCCCTTTATAATTGACAGAGTACCTAGTAGCAAAGCCGAGAAGAGCTGCAGGTCATGCGACGAATCGTACGGGGCCGCTTGCATAGGTTCGGTAGTTGACTATGGCAAGGTCTCGATTGGATGCCTGCCGCGGGGCAGATCAAGTCGGATCCTGAACTCGGCCTTCATGGCCATAACCGCGCGAACAAGGCACATTCAAAAAATCAAAAGAGTACAAAACACGCCCACAAATTTTAAGAGTATCTAGTTTCATTTTCATAAGATGCGAATCCCAATCTATCATGATAGATGACGATGATTGTTGTGTGTCGCAATTTCCTCGGCTCTGTCACCCCGCGCGAGCACCCCTGCGGCGGGGTCTCGAGCAGGAGGATAAGATCAAAGCCGGCGGAAGAGTTATCATCCAGTGCGCTAAGACCCAATCCGAGCCTAGCGCCCCTGGCGCTCACATTCGGCAAGCAACAACCGGTTCGCTAGTCAGCAGAATATCTGGGGAAGCTTGCGCCTCCCGCTGTGTCTGTATGCTTTCAAAAGCATCCCATTGGTTCCACGAACAAGATGCACGCTAAATTGACTTCGTGTTCAGACACAGAATCTTCAGCCAACAAGCGCCTCCGACTCTTCCATTTTGCATTCACAAACGTAACGAAGAAAGGACACGGATCAACCACTGCATGTCTGGAGATTATGTGCTTCTTTTCAAGAAAGACCAGGCCTCGAGAAGAGATCCAGTAAGCCTGTAATATGGTTCGGAGATTCCAGGATCGTAGGAGACCCTTTGTGCGGGCTCGAAAAACTTGACAGCGTTGCTTCCCAAACAACAGTGTCTGCGTACAATTGGTCGCTGTATTATATTCAATTGGAGGTAGGACGTGTAGATGATGGCGTTGAGCGGCACTGTGCACAAGATCGTGTCCATTGATGTGGAAAACGCATAGACCGCAATGGAGTCTCTATCCTGGGTTCCGTAGCAGGAGTAGATGCATTCAGACGAACTACTAGATAGGTCAGCGGAGAGGGTTCATAAAGAACATCTCATTTCTCTTCTAGTGCTCCTCGTGTGGACCAAGTCAGGAGCTAGCCTTGTCTCTATCTGTGGCTCTTGAACACAATGAAGCAGCTGATAGAACTGAGCGCTGTAGTAGGTTCAGAATACACCGAGTACAAAAGTGGTGACCTTTCGAAGCAAAGGACTGTGGAAGACTTCTGAATCACTCACGAGTTACATACTGTAAATGGACCTCGGCTAACTTGGTAGATGTTTGAACAATTTAGTCTCCTTAATGTCGATTAGGTTACTGTGGTTATTCGTTAAAGTGATGGGCTGATATCTGCAACGATGGGCCCTTGGTTTCACATGCGAAGTCGAATTGTAGGAGTGGAAGTAAGTATACGACGCAGTACATGGCGATTTTTGGCCGTGTGCTTCGTTTTACTGTTGATGAAATCACGTTCCGACTGATGATCACAAACCTCTACGGTACGTTAAGATGAGCTCCGAGTAAGACGGCCGAACCTTCGATGAAGCAGTGATGGGCGAAGTAATGCCCCTACATCGAACCCAACATACTCAAAGGAGGATTGGGTCAATTGGCGCAATTAGGCCTTGAGCCGCGCTGGTAGCCACGTGGTGTTTTGTGATTCCTAGGAGGGGTTGTTTGAACATGCGTGATTGATGGGACGTTCAGGTGTCCTTGGACAAGTGGGGCGTTGGGCTGTTCCGGCAGGGGCGACTTTCGCCACCAAGTTCCGTCCCCCGCTTGACCCTGCTGGCGTAAGTCAGCACCCCACGATCTTGGCATACAGGAGATTCCAAGCTACACGAGTCTCATAAGCCCCGGACCCAATCTTAGGCTGTAACCCACACAGTGATCTGCGGTTCCCAGATGTCCAGGCGACGAGAATGCATGGGCTGCTCAACGTCAGGTACCATAGATATTGGGTTCTTGCACCTGTCGAGCAGGAATTTCCAAGTCAACATTGAACATCTTGGGTTGCTCCAGTACTCTTAGGCTCCTCGCATGATGCTCTCGCTGCAGATTCAGTTGTTGTCAGTGCCGCTTCAGGCAGCCTCAAGAGACGCACAGCCCCAAAATATGTCTTGCGATTCAGAATAGCGCTGCCCAGTTGCCCAGCACTGTCAATACATTGAAGTCGTTCAGGGTTAGCGCACACTGGCGATAAGCTTAAAGCTAGCGCACGATCGCATCGGCGGCTCTGCAGATCGCTATCCGAGGGTCGTTACCGCAGACGCATGACAGTGACGTTGCAAGCCTACTAACTCTTCTTTTGGCGAGGTCAGATTCCAGTTCAGCTGAAGTGGGTAATACTTAGTGTTTGAAGTCCTCATTTGGGTGCCGATCACTAACCTTGCCGAAACTTTTCGATAGTCTTGATCACGGAGATGAATTACGATGATTTCAATTGGCTCGGGGCACAGCTCCCAAAGGGGGCCACGACAGATTCACGACTACAAACCATGTTACATTGCATCGACGATCAATGATTTTTACTTTGATTGTTGGACTCCTCGAGGATCCAAGATGACAACTGCGTACAGCACGTCAATCTGCACGTTGTGGAGAAAGGCGCACTTATTTTGTACACGTCTTGACCAAGCAGCAAATCCACGAGGGTTGGAGCCAGTCCAGCAGTGCATCAATCGGTGCCTCGACAGAAATCGGAAAGTTGTGACCTGCCAGATTGACATTACATAACTACGCCAGTTGGACTTCGGTGCTACGGCACGTTCGGTCATCAGGCGGCATTGTTGTCCCGGACCAAGCGCCACAACTGCACAGGGCAAATACTCTCGCCTACAGACCAGTGCCATCGACGCACTTGCGGGGCCCCGACAGAACGGCAATCTGAATTCGCATGCTGAAAACACCCCTGTAGATCGAGCTTTTGGCTCGCTAAACGATATGGAGACGGGCTGTAACCCACGCACCCAAGCCTGTACCGGGTTCGATACCTTCGCTAATGGTTAAGCCCCCGACGATCAAGATGTTAGTAGCACGTAAGCATGCATCCGCTCAAGACATTACCTCGCCGACGTTCATGGAGATCTGCTAGAATGGCAAACATGACGTGGGTCACCAAACCGTTGGTTCCTATTTTCAGATCCGAATGCGATGGTCCCGAAATCAAGCCCACAGATATAAAGAACAATCACTGCTATCTGTTTAGACACAGACTTCTTCCCCAACGCTGCGAATTGATTGCGACAATTGTGGAACTCACATCGCTATCATGAAGTTCACACAGGCTTTGTTGCTCGCCCTACCGGCTCTCTCAGCCGCCTACCCTGGCATGTCCAATGCCGATGTGGAGGAGTACACTCGCAAGCGAACAGTCGACGAAGCTTCCCTGCAGGAGAGGCAGCTCCTTACCGGTTTGATTGGCACAGTCCAGGCATTGACCAACACCGTGAGCGGGCTTTTGGGTGCTGTCGCCAACAACATCTCCCCCGACAACAAGCGACCGGAACCAGGTTATGGTTTCAAGGCACCCGGCGCTGGCGATTCTCGCGGACCATGCCCCGGCCTCAACCTTCTGGCTAACCACGGCTACCTTCCGCGGAATGGACATGTTACTTTCCAACAAGTCCTTGAGGCGACCTCACGGGGCTTCAACATGGGGGCTGATCTAGCCACTGTCCTTGCAACCTTTGCCGTCCTTGCTGATGGCGATACCGCCACCGAGAGCTTCTATCTTGGCTCTCTCACCGGTGCTGATGGTCTCAACCGTCACTCCACTGTCGAGGCGGATGTTTCTCCCAATCGCGAAGGTGAGTTTGCTCTTTCTCTACCATGGAATACCATTAATCGCGAACAGACTACTACAATGGCTGCGGCGATAACCACCACCTTTCCTCCCGCATGTTCAAGCAGAACGTTGGATTCGCTGCCGCCGATTCCAGCAAGCAGTTCACAATGGACGTCATGACTAAGCAGTACGCTGCCAACGCCCAGTTCTCCAAGGACAACAACCCATACCTTTACTACTTTCCCTTCCCCCAAATTGTTTCCCTGGGTGCCTTTGCCTTCTACCCCAACTTCTTCTCCAACGGTACCTACGGAGCAGGCGGTGTTGCCAACTACGAATCCATCTCGTCCATCGTTGGCGCCGAATACGACTCAAAGGCTGGTAACTTCAAGTACGTTCCTGAGAAGTGGCCCGAGAACTGGTACCGCCGCGCAACTCCCTACGGCGTCGTCCAGGCCCTCACCGACGCTTTCCTCAGGATCTACCCTGCCAACATAATTGTACCTGCAGTTGCTCAGGTGGGCACTGATAATCTGAGCGTACAAACGCTCCTCTGCGACGTGTACCAAGGTATCAATTCCGTTACGCCCCTCATCGCGGCCGGAAGTCTCGAGGATACATCCAAGCTCGTCACTTGGGCGACCAACAAGCTGCTCCCTGTTCTTGGCAAGAACACCGCCCTGGGATGCCCAGATAGCACCCTGTCTCCCAATGCTCAGGACATTTTATTCCCTAACGCCGCCAAGGTCGGTGGGCCGGAGAAGTCGCCGCCGAAGTCGGATGCGAAGACTGGCAACAACGTGTACAACAAGGTGTACTTTGAAAGCGCACCTGTGAAGCCGGCTTGCTAGATACTTGCATGAGTTGTTTCATGGATGAGCAACTACGTTCTTGTGTATATATTCTCCAAATCTGTTCGTAAGAACAACATACCAAAATAATGAATCATGGAAGTATCTCATCTTGTGCCCTGCTTGGTTTACAACATTAGCATAGGATATGGTTCCCTTTTTTTTCAATCTATCGCATCTTCGATGGGTATCACAACCTTGGAACGCACTTGATCACGTGCACTGAAGGTGTCCACGGCCTCGGGGGTCGCGCTCTACGTGGTGCTCGAGGGACATCGCTCAGCAACTGCTAATTTTCCCAGGGCAAGTTTACATTGTGATGGATATATGCTGAAAGGAATGGTCAAGATAATAACGAAGCTTCGGAGTTGCTAAAGACGTTCCGTCACTGCAGCTGTAGCCTCGCGCTTTCGCTGTGACGCTCGGCCCTCGCGCCTACGTCATGTCCGAAGCGCAATTACGCCGCACCGGATGCCGCGATCCGATCCAAACATTCGACGTTGCATTAGCTACACCCGTTCCATCTTTTCAATCCTCTAATATTTCAAAGCAGAGGAGCGCGAGCATTCATTCGAAGCTTGGACTGTGCTTCCGAAATCGGCTAGCACCGAGCCTTGCCGAAGATTCAGCTCCTGCTCGATGCTCGCCTTGTTGAGCAAGGTGAAAGCGCGAGCGAAGGAAGATGACTTATGAGCGACCGGAAGTGAGTTATTGTGCATCCGGCTACGATGAGGAATACACCCGTTGGCTTACGTGATGATTAAGCAGCGGGTAGTGTCAACTCTCAAGGCAACGGCAGCACATGTGATGTGAACTACTTATACCACGCTCCTCCTACGTAAATATTTCGCTCCTACATCAACAGCAACTGCCAATTCCCTGCAAGCATTCAAAATCATCGTAGCTCTTCGTCAGCATCAGCAAATTCACCTTTCAGTAACCCATCAAAATTACACACGTGACAACCACATCCGAAATGTCTATTCGCGCCGGCGTTGTCAAAGCCTGGGGAAATGCGCCCATATACGACAGTATTGACCTTCCGGCTCCCTCAAATGATCAAGTCCGCGTCAAAGTCCTCGGCGCTGGCGTACATACCCTAGTCCGGTCTCGCGCAGCTGGAAAGCACTTCTCTGTGGCTGGAAAGAACCCACCTCACGTACCAGGCACCGATGGTGTCGGAATCATCCCTGAAACAAACCAGCTCGTCTACTTCAATGCACTCCTATCACCAACAGGATCACTTGCGCAAGAGATCAACGTAGGAAAGCGCGATGTTTTTCCTCTGCCAGAAGGCGCGGATCCGGACACGATTGCTGTGCTCGTCAATCCAGCCATGAGCTCATGGATGGCGTTGACGACGAGAGCAGGTGTGCAGCCTGGGAGCGGCGTGAAGGTGGCGATCATCGGCGCGACAGGTGTGAGCGGTCAGACTGCAGTACAAATCAGCAAGGCTTTTGGTGCGAGCGAGATCGTTACGATTGGAAAGCCTGGACCTAAGCTGGAGAAGACGAAAGAGCTTGGAGCTACTGCCTTGGTCCCTCTAGCTGAAACTCTCACCGACACTGACTTCTCTGCTGCAGCGGATGTGGACGTTGTTCTGGACTACCTCTGGGGTGACGTTTCTTCGGCAGCATTTGCAGGCATCATAAAAGCTCGTAAGAACAAAAGCCAACGTCTAAACTGGGTGGAGATTGGAGCTTTAGCTGGTGAAACGCAAGCGATACCAGCGAGTCTTCTGCGGCAAGCGAACGTAGCTTTTCTGGGCTGCGCACCCGGCAGCTGGACATTTCCGGAGCTGTATGGTCAGACTCCAGCGATGTTGGAGGCGCTTGTCAAGGGAGGCGTCAAGACTGATTTTGCAGTCAAGAAATTGGCAGATGTGGAGAGCTGGTGGAACGAGACAGGTGGCGCGAGACCGCTCGTAAAGCCTTAATATTTGGTATCTCCCGTTCTTCCTTTAGCCTTGGTATGGAGAAAATGCAGACTGGTAGTCTTGGGCGCCACAGAGTAACAAGAACAAGTTGATCATTAAGAACATTGTCGTTGATTCCAGGATTCCAAAATGCAGTTTGATCCCGAGAACCTCTCCACGTTGAAAAGCATGCGTCTCCATTCACTTTGTCTGCTCGGTGCACTTCTCGCCGAAAACATGCTGCCCTTTTGATTGTTTCTAAGATTGGTGTTCCAAGCCTTACAGATCACTACATTGACCTATGACAAGTCTGTTTTATTTGTCTGTTTTATTATGTGCCTTGCCCCGAACGTGGAGAATGAGGCTTGAGACCATCTGTCGCATACGCACTCGTAATCGCAACAGGCACCGCATCCATCATCTCACGAAGCCACATCATCACCAACCATCGCAAGCCAAATTTTCCTCAACCAAAACGAGCTCCCGTCGTCCAATCACTGTTCTCACCTGTGCGGGGCTTTGTCTCGTATATCTCGTATCTTGGAGCGTCGGTCGGCGACACATGAGCGCCACCCACATGATCGCGCGACGCGGACGCGTGTCCTCAGACCTTGATTCGTCGACGCGCTCCGTGTGCGACTTCCTCAGGCCATGACCCGCCAACCATTTGATCTGGCCTCAGTACGTGCGTGTTCGCTTGTCGAGCTTATCATGGTGGCTTAAAAGCGTTTGACTCACTGGATATCGTGAAGCGGTGAAATATATTGTCCTATAAAGATCGATACTTGCTGCGAAAACATCAGGCAGATAGATTGTGCGCTACATCCATCAATCAAGTAAGACTTTTCCTCTTTGATTTCGCGTCAACAACGATGTCTTCCGTCGACGCTTCAGAAGCTCCTACTGCATCCAGCGCCACTTACCACGGTTCATGTCACTGCGGTCACTTTGCCTATACAGTCACGCAATCTCCTCCTCTCAATGACCCATCCTGCGAAGTGAGCGACTGCAACTGTAGCATCTGCTCCCGCAACGGATACCTATTCATCTACCCAAGTGACAAGAACGTCACGTTTACGAGCGGCGCGAAGAGCGATTTCAAAGTACGTCGATAGATTCGTTCTGTTCGCGGGACTCCTTCAAAGCAGGAAGTCAGTATCTGACCTCTCATTAGAAGTATTATTTCGGGACCCATAAGTTCGCGCATTACTTCTGCGCTACGTGCGGTTCGAGCTGCATGGCGGAAAGCGAGGATCCCAATCTGTACCCGGGGATCATGGCGGTCAACATCAGAATGTTTCATGACCTGGACCTAAAGAGCTTGAATGTAAAGTCGCTTGATGGGAAACGACTTTGAAGGAGATATTGTGATCGCGCTGGTTTGAGAAGAGAGCTGAATTGCCCGAATCATCGGTGCATGTGGTTGAAAGGAAGGATGGCGCAGTATTCTGAAGCTTGGATATCATTCGTTATCTTATCTTCATCGTACCAATCTCATTCAGATGACATATGGGTGAGTAAGTGGAATCCTGCATTCATTCGTGTCGTGGCGGGAATGTGCCTCTAGCCCACGATCAACGCCTGATCAGTCTCTGATGCTAGCATTCCCAGCCCCGTAATTTCGTTCCGTCTTCGAGACGATGTACCAAGCATGTAATACGCCCGGAATCCAGCCTAGAATAGAAAGACAGATGTTGATGAGGAAGTCGGCGCCGCAGCCCCTCTTGAGGAATACCGGAACAGGCGGAAGGAAGAGGGCAAGAAAGTAGAGAAGGACATCGCTCTATTACACGCGTTAGAGACAGCGAGTTCGCAGGTGGGGATGTATTACTGTTGATGATGGTTGGCGGGCCATGGTGTTGGTGTGGGTAAACGGGGTGACGGGCAGTCGCGATTGGTGCGTATCGCGCTTGCTGTTAGATCGTAGGTCTGTTGTGGTGGAGGAATGTGTGTAGCTTCGAATCAAGAACTGCACACTTAAATTCGCAAGCTGGCAACCTGTTTGCAACTCTTGATCAAAGCCATCTGATGACGCGGTTTTGACCAATTCGGGGACCCGGACCCCTGTTCCTGGAACGCTCGGAAGCACTAAATTTTCGCGCTTCATTACAGCCTTGCCGTTTGTCGACGTGTCAAACCTGGAACATCGAATGAAGTTGCTGTCTACCAAGAACTCACTGCCGTAGTCGACGGTGCCAGTCCGAATTAGGGCCATCATGTGTAACACAGCCACATATGTTGCGCCGGCTTCCGAGCTGCTTTCACATACGAGCAGTATCGCAACAATAGCGCTGCACACATACTTAACGATGCTTGACAGTGGCGTTCAGGGTCGTTCAATGGCCATTGTGAAACAGAGACGAAACGGGAAGCATCTATCCATATCTCTTCTTCAGCAGTGGCCGAGCCAATAGACTTGTCAAAATCTTTGCAGGAATCGGATTCCATTCATTGGATTTCTGCGCTCTGGTGATAGGCCGGGTCTTCGTTGGTATGTAAACGCTTGCTACGTTACGCTTCTTCACGGAGCAAAATACAGCGCAAGAAAACGCCACGTACATACAACCTTACAAGTCTGCCTTGCATTTAAAAACGTTTGGGAAGTGTCAACAGCTCGAGTAAACAAAGCTGTACCAGTTGCGCTATAGTCACATCCAGCTAAGTCTCTCTCTCTGGCCCACGATTTGCCACTTACATGCATAGGTGTTCGCCTACAGTGGATGTCCGCCCTGTCTAACGAGGACTCCTCCAAATAAGACCTCGACCGCCATCTCATTTAGCAGTCCACCTTGATCGGCATCCGATCCTCATCGCCGGCTAATTGCACTGATGCATGTCACGGAGAAGTTCGTTGCACCGAGTCTATGTCCGATAGCCTTTGCGTGGCGATCATGGCCGTCAAATGATTCAGTGAAGACGCCATTGGCTCTGAGACTTGGACCGAATTCCTGACGCGGTATTTCAGAGACGGGCCATGTTTCCATGCCAATCAGAGTGATCACGCTCTAGTTGGTGTACTTAATTTCATCAGGGCCGACGTCATTGTTGCCGGGTTGTAAGTCATAGACGAAGGATTCGTTTAGCGAGCATGCGGGGGGATCGTTCCGATCTGTGTTGTAGACGCGGGATGGGTTCGGAAGTGTGGAGTTTCATCTAGCGGGACACTGGATGGCCTGAAGTCATCACAAGGAATACACGACCATCGCATCCCTCGTACCCGTATAGTCGATCACCGAGGAGAAGACTAGGCTGGCTGTCCCGGGTAGCCAATACATTATTCTGTGTGACATCAATTCGATCGAGTTTATGGTTCCGACTTGAAGTCGAGATTTACTCCGGCCCTCAGCACAGATTTGATAACATCACGTCTTCAGCACGATTCCAGCTCAGCTTAGCTAACTCGCTCATTTTCATAGTACTCTGGCGTGTTGATAGTGACTTTTAGCTTTTAGTTTGTGTATAAATCTAATTGTCATTCTGTTGCCTGGATCCTCCGAACCAAGGATGTCAAGATTCAAGTTAATCCTTCTAGGCCCGAAGCTTCTTTGCTTTTAAGCAATCAACTGGCGCTACGCTGTGATTGACATAGTTTACGCTGTAGTTGACATGGTTTTGATTGCGTCAGGAAGCAAGAGCTAACCTTGGAAGGATTCAAACACGTACTCAAATGCCTAGTCACTGGTCCCTGGGTAGAGGTAGACTAAGAAAGGATGTAACAAGGATTGATACACGGGCGAGGTCTTAACCGAAGTGATCGCTGCTCCTTCGACTACGCCAGAGGAACCAATGACGCGAAACTTAGGTACTAGTGTCTTAAGTCATAGGTCTTCCGTGCGTGGAGTTTACCAGGTGAGGCAGGTAACACACAATGTAAACCTCATTGATCCTTTCGCACTGCAGTGGAATATATCCCCAACGCTGAGCACCTAACCGCCCATACGGATTCGACGTTTCAGAGTTAGCCGATCGCCAACACGCTTGCGTTTTAGCACCAGGCGGTGCGCGTCTTGTTCCCGTGTGGTGGGGGCCAAGGCGTACAATCTCCCCCGCAAAAGACCCCGTCACTAGGTTTGTAGTCGGAGCATTCACAAGGCGGTCAAGCATTGTTTCGAATGCTTAACTTTTGGACGCATGTCTCGGTCAGCGGGTTGTGGCATGGACATCAGATCGAGACCATTGCTAGTGCGGTAAAATCCATACTCACGTAGTAAAGTGAACACTCGTATAGTGAAGTCAATATTCGTGGGGTAAAGTCGATTTTGGTCGTACAATGGTTTCAACCAGCAAGTAGTGATCAGAATCAATGAAGTTGCCCTTAATCAGCAACCTAAAATGTCCACATAATTTACAGAGCTCAGAAACTCTAAGACTTGTCTGGTAGATCGATATCGTTCTATTGGTGGAATGAAATGGAAGATGCTTCTCGAGTAACTTCGGAGTTCCAGACTGAGGGATGCGGTCAAATCCCTCTTCGACGATCTTCGTGCAACCGACGAGGGATCAGGTTGGATACCCTTGTGACGACCAATTGATCCCTCACGTTGCCGTTCTATCCGTATCTTTCACAATTGGATATCGATGTCACTGCTGATGAGGGACTTGGCTTGAAATGTGTATAAATTCGGCGTGTGTCGCCCACAGCTTCTCCTATCTACCAAGCATCTCACATCCTCTCATCATCTACGAGAATCAAACACAGGATCCTCCTAAAAGATCATTATCCCCATCCAGCCACTATGCGTTTCACCGCCATCCTCGCTGTCCTAGCTGTCACAGCATCTGCAGCCCCTGCGACCTCTGGGAGCCTTGATGCTTTGAAGCGAGAAGTAGCTGCTGGTAAGTACCAATCTTGTGGTCCTATCATTTCTGCACCCAGAAGTGGTACTGTTTACTGTCCACTGTCCCAGCTGACACTAGTCTCTAAACAGCGGCCGACGCTTGCAGGGACCTTGATGCTTACCAAACCTGCACCTCCAGTTGCAGCGCACTCGCTCCAGGCTCTGCCTGCACCATCAACTGCCTCATTGCTTTCTGCGCCTAGCTTCCTGTAGCTGGCTTGAGGCTATAGTGATGCTCCAGGGCCCTGGAGTGAATCACACATGTCGACGGCGGAATGCAGGGGTCAAAGTCTCATGACACATTGGAGTTATCTCCATTTTTCTGGGCCACTCGTCAAGCAGCCCTTTCATGTATTTTTTTAGGGGCACCTGAGGCAGTCAGGAGGTTGGATCGTTCTCGGGGTTCGCGTGGCCTGTCACGTATTGGAGCCCGTAGAGAGGCTAGCCGGTCTTTACTTCTACACAATGACAAAAATGAGTTACTCCGCAGTCAAGTTAGGACCCACCACTATTAGTATAAGTGAGAATCCCGTACCTTTTTTAGACCAGCCAAAGCCGGCCTGCGAGTTCGATCCAGAATGTCCCTCTGCTCCCTAGGGAGCGAAGACAATTCTACCTGAGAAGTCGGCTCAATACGGAAGGGATTATGTGTGTGTTTTGGAGCGCGCTCCGAGTAGTGCGACAGGTAGTCAACGGAGGATCACTTAGACATAAAGTGGTATTCTGGCGGTTACTAGCTTACTTGGACTATGCCCCTACCCGAGAAGATGCTATATGTAGAGCCACAGGCGGAGTTGAGGAGTCGATACTTCATGGGGCGTTCGAGTGCACTTACCGCGTTGAGTGTGGAGGGAACAGAACAACGGAGTCACTGTCGACGAAGCCCAATAATATAGCTGAATTGTTCACTAACACAACATGCACTACTGTTACTGACTTAGATTCAAGTTCTACGTTGCCAATGGCTCACAAGCTTTGTTAAGTTCGTCTTGGTAGCTAGTAAACGCCGTTCACTTGACTAAATCCTGCTGCAATTCTTCTCCGCACCCGGTTTTGCTAACAATCACCACGGTGTTGTTTAAGATGTTACCGTGCACTTAGCTGCAGCTCCATGTTCAGACCGTGTCCTCAAGAAGAGATTTGAATTTGCTAACTATGCTCGGCAGTCGAAGTCTGGTTAATTTTCTTGTGGAATCGTCATGAGGTGTTGATCCACACCCGTTCAAACATAGATTAAGTCAGCTGGCCTGGATTCACCTTAGCCAAGCGGCAGCTACCTGTCACCGACGCCTTGAGCAAGCCTGCAGAATTCAAAGTACACCGTCAGGTGAGTATCGACCTGGAACCTCTTCGTCCTCATATAGTCCATCGTATAGCCTTCTTCAAGCTGCGCATGCATATTGTTATGGATATAGTCCAACAAGACGGTGATAGACGGATTGGGTATTGGCACTTGAACACGGGCCGTAGTCGAGGTGGTGGGGTCTCTAATCCCGCCTAGTGTCGAGCGCCCGCCGTGGCTCGATCGTTTGCCTTGAAGAGTGACTGTCACGGTGGTATAGCGCCTCTGGTCGATGATTTTGTACTCGCCGTCGAGTTGAATGCCTGTAGGGTACTTCAAGTTCAGGCCTTTGACAATGCGTTCGCAGTCACTTTGAAACTGGGCGAAGGCTTCCTTGAACTGTATTCGCTTCTCTTCATTTGATAGAGTACCGTGATTTCCTGAAGTATCGGAACCGCTCGTTGTAGTCCCTTCGCTCGTTGTCGAGCTCATATTCTTGGCTTTGGTACTTTCCTCGGAGAATTCCGCGAGGTGCAAGGAGAAGCGCGGATTCGGAACGGGAAGGTAAGACACCAGGCGAGTCAGGTGTTTAGCGTTATCGATATGATGTTGCGCGTGGCAGGCACGATCTCTACGTGGTGAAAAAGACTCCTGATGCTGCTTATGGCTTTCTTTCACGCGGGTTGCGACTGCCGCTACGTAAAGCCTAGAGAAAAATGTCTCTGACTGTGTAGCCTTGCATGCCGTCATTCATGGGTAATACGTCAAGTTGGAGGATGGTGAGATGTCGATCCGCAGACAGTACTTGAGAAGATTGTATGATAAGTAGACGTACACAGTGTATTGTATGCGGAGGCGAACAAAGCCGTGGACGGGCTTTACATATATGAAAGAATCTGCAGGCGTGATCGCCTACCCCTGGATGCCATCATATCTCCACGGGCGGGCTCCACAACCCGCAAAATTGTCTAGCACCGCCGTCCCTGTAAAATTCAGTAACCATGCTGCAAGATAGACGCGTTGGTGTGAATCCTTTACCGAGGGATGCTTTGTGGTCACATGGCACCCAGTGCTTACGTGTCACCACACGACACTGCAGCAGTAAACCTCGTTACCAGTGGTGGACGTTATGGATAGCATCCTCATAATTCTAGCTTGGTCTTCCCAAACAGGCTTTACTCTGACCAACCCACGATGTTTGCACCGAGAAATTAATCAAATTTCGGAGCTTTCTCGGATTATGATTAACAATTGTCAGACCCACTTCAGATACCTGATCAAATGGCCTCATTACCTTAATGAAGCGTAAAAAAACGTGAGTCTTCTTGCTATCTGCCCTCAAGCAGATCGTCTACAGACGGAGGTGTGCACACGATGTCCGTATAGGGGAAGTGAATACATGCGCTAGCACGAATCAGGAGCCGGAATACGAAACCAAGATAGGGAAGAGGACCCATGATGGCCAATGTGTCACTACGCAATTGCAATTCATTATCTTTTGATCTTTGCCTGCAGGTACCGGCTAGTCAGGCACAGGATCAAACGCCAAATAAGACCAAAGATACCACGTGAATCTCAAGACAACGTGGAACAGGTTGCTAGGCAGTACCGAGAAGAGGGCACACTAACTCAGCCTAGCAGGTATTAGTACCCAACCTTCCAGTCGTCTTGTGACCCGTTCCTACGGTTATTACTGTTCCGGCCCGCACTAGCGGCCAACTGCGTTAGCCAACCAACACACCTTGGTATCTACAGTATAAGAGCAAGCAGATATCATCCTATGAGAGTTGAACTAACAGGGTATACATACATATTTGATCATCCCACCTGAATATTTAGTCAATACACATTCGCGGATCGGGCCTACTGGAAGAGATCCATCCCAAAACGACAAGGAAACGACTGGACGTGACTACATCGTGCGGTCACTACCTTGCCATCCTTGCCACACATTCAAACAGATGCATAAAGAAACACGTCTATAACACGTATCACTGCTACATGGTGGTCAGCAGATCCCCGCCAACGCATCCTCACGTAACGAGTTTGCCATGGATAGTTCCCAATACACATGTAACTACTGCGTCATGTCTAGTACATTCCATCAACCATATGCACAGCCATCTTCCGGTACAGCCTTGGCGCTGCCGCTTCAAATACAACACAAAGATGCACAAGTCCTATTTTACGATGCTAATGTGTCCAAAGCGAAGACCATCAATTGCTCACCCTCACCCAATCAATACATCAACCCTTCCCCTATGCGATAAAGCTTACAGCAGCAGAAGAGGTATATAACGGCGCTGGAAAACGAAAATGCAAACCAAAGCAGTCCTAATCCTCCTCCAACCCAATTTCCCAATCATCTCTCAATATAAACATAGCATCATAACATCATATACAAACACCTCTTTCTCTACGCCCAATTACTTCCAGAATTTGAACTTACTCTTCTTCGGCGGCACAAAGCTCTCCACGCTCTCCCCATCATCGCCCGTGCGATAACTCCTTCCATCTTCACTATCCTCCTCATCGCTATCCGCATACTTCCCTCTGCCTAGATACCTCGCCCCCACGCCCGCGGACCCATTCCTCGCTCCCTGCGCAAAGTACCCGTCGCCGCCAGTGTCGTCTCTTGCCTGCATGTCGCGTCTCGAGTACGGGCTCTCAGGCCCCGCTCCCACGATAGCCGGATGCGGCGGATAGCTATCGCGCTTGGAGCGACTGGATGTGTGCGCAAGGACATGCGCCTCATGCTCGAATCTCTCGCCACGGTGCTGATTAAGGATGCCGCCCATGCTGCGCCTGTTGACCTTGGAGTCTGGATCCTGAGGTTGAGGATAAGATTGCTCCTCTGAGCGTCGCTGCGGTAATTGTGATGAATGGGATGCGTTGGTGTTGGGTAGCCGGGAGGAGCCTGATCGCGACGGAAGAGCGGCGGTTTGCGTCTGAACATTGTTGTAGGTAGCGACGGGAGCGCTGACGTGCCGCTGTCGCTGGGCCGCCACAGACTCCCATGCAGAAGGCGGCGGGGCGCTAGGCGCATGACGTGAGGATCCGATATCTACGCTTTGTCGGCGGTTTTGAGGGTCGCTTGGTGCGGCGCGGCCGAGCGCGGGTCCTGTATCTGTTGGAGTATGAGGGTCAGCATGAGAAGGAGGTTGGAATTGAGAGGAAGCGCGCTTGCGGTTTGTAAAGCCTGGGATGATGATCCTCGGGCCCACTTTGTACCTCTGACGTGCGCGATCCTCCTCATCCATTTCCTCTTCGCTACCGCTCTCGCTCTCCGATCCTTCAGTGTGTGAATATCCGTCATCGCCTACTGTACGACGAGGACGTCGCTTCCCGCCAAAGACTCCAAAAACGCTGCTAATACGAGATTTGCGTCGTTCTTTCTCTTCCTCATTACCGGCTTCAGGGGCGGTATAGTCCAGCGCAGGCACGAGCAGGCGGTAAGGCGTTGTGATCCCGGCAGGATCGTGTTGCGAAACTTCCAAATTGAGACAGATATCGAGGCCGCCCGCCAGGTTAATGGGCTCTCCTTCGCGCCTTACTCCCTTCCTACTCAAAACGCTTGGACGACGATAGAAGCTAGGTGGACCGCCAGGTGAATCGCCAGCAAGCGAAGGACGTTGTGTCGGTACACTATGTGTTGACCCGGGAGCATTGACACTGTCGACCGAAGCTCTTCGCTTGAAGAGTGACGTGAGTGAGTTTCGCCGAGAACGAGGGCGCTCAGGTCGTTCAGGTGAGAACGATGACTGAGGTTGCGTTTGACGGTCATGCGCAGCAGTATTCGCTGGATTGTTGTAGTAGGAAATAGGAGGACCCCGCTCCTGTCGTCTGCCACCAGTTCCACTCAAACGGCGGACCATTTTACCAGGGGTGTAATCCGATAGGGTCCTTGTAAGCCTGGGTCCATCTGCGCCTGGCGATGCAGGTGGCGTATCTGGCGGTGTACTTCCCGGATTGTACGCTCGCAGACTGCACCAGTTTCGACGTTGAAGCAAATGGACATTGTTTCTTTTCTTGCCATCAACATCGTGCGTGAAGAGTGGAATCATGTTTTCTTCTGTGTCCGCATTAAGATGGTGCACTTTGTTACGCTTGTTGATGATGTCCGCCATAATCTCAGGAGGAGGTGTATTGACAATAGCGGAAGAGACGACGTTTGGCATATAGCGATGATCCTTATCCTTCGGAATATTCAGCTTCTTGTTGGAATAGAACTGACCAACAGCAGCCAGGTGAACGTCGCCACCAAGGATAGTAACACGGACTGACTTAGTGCGTGCAATGTGCTGTAACTCGTGTATAAACCAATTGCGCTCATCCTTGTGGTGTTTTGCCGTCCAGTGGTCGTCAAGATCATCGAGGATTTCGACCCCACCATCGAACTTATTCACGAAACCACCTAGAAGACCCATGCGTCCCAGTGCTTTAACGGGGTCCATGAGCCTGCTGGTCAGGATGTTTTCAAGAAAGTTCAATCGAGGATACGCAATGGGAACGCCAAGCAAAACTATCAAGTGCTTGGTCTCGCCTTGAATAATCTCTTCCTCTAGACGATCGAAGATGTTGTCGTATGATTCTTCTGTAATGATCTCGTTTCGTTGGCGCTCAGTGCGGCAGTCAAGGCCCAGGAATGCTACTTCTCTGCCAAGCTGCATGAAAACACTTCGAGATTGCTCTTTGATGTAAGGTCCTGGACGAGCACCAAGAACCCACGAAGGCTCCGTTGCCCGTGTTTCGGTTGGAATAGATTGATGTTGGAAAAGCATGTAGTACTTGAAGGCGACTGCACCAAGTCCTGTGAACACAGGCGTCTCCATGAAATGGTGTGGATAGGAGCCATATCCCTAAAAATGTTATCACTGTGAACTCGAGTTGAAGAAAAGGTACTCACATCGATAATGTCATGATCGTCCCAGATGTTGATCATGGGAATCTGAGAGTTCGCCAGTCCGAAGAGACCTTGAGAGAACCACATTGAATAACGATCCAAATAGAACTGTTCTAGCTCGTTCTGCAGCTCTTCCGAGAAAGGAGTCCGATGTTTTTGCCAGAGATTGTTACTCTCGGTCCATTGTTTGAACAGCGTTGTATCGCGCATCGCAGCATCATTGTAGATTTGATCACCACCGCCAATCATAACATGGAATGGCCGGGTTTGATGGTTGTTCAGCACGTCTCGCCACATGGGATCCGGACCACAAAATTCTTTCGAAACAACGCTTAACGAGAACCCATTGCAGCTGTGGAACATGATGTTCATCGTTTCGCCTCTCGCAGGGACCCAGAAGCCAATGGCAGGTCCACGGTTGATCCTGTACGCGATGCGCGCCTGCTTCGGTCCAAGCTCGACTTCGAGATTGAAGCGCCAGAATGTGACGCCCCTCTCAGCATGTAGCCTCACGGCGGAGATTTCCTTCATCTTGCCTAATTTCTCGCCGTCCCGCTTCTTGATCCGAGATGATTTCTGAGGCCCCGCACTCTGTGGACTCATGGAGCTTCGGAGTTCTGAGAATAGACCCGTTTCACCTTCTTCACGAGAGAGATCAACGTCTACGGGGATATCATCGATAGCTTTGACGTAAAGAGTCTTCCCAGTTCGTGACACCTTCACCTGACCTTCCAGTGGATCAACGTACGCCGGATGCAGGTTGTCTGGATCCACGTCTTCAGGCGGGTGTGGTAGGAGATCCATTGGCTGTGTAAAGAGGCGTAGTGTAGGTGGTCTTTGGTAGGAGGAACCTTCATCGGTAGTCACGATCATCACGCTACCACGCCATATCTCCCGATCTCTGCCCATCCTACTCTTGTCTCGACGAAGGCCCGTGTAGCGGAGAAGTGGTCCACATTTGAGGTATAGGGGCGGATTGAATGTGGTGTGTGTGGTGGGGGGCTCCACATAGCCGTCGTAGGTAGGCTCTGCATAGCTACCAGAACGGCGACTACGAGTCGAGGTACTCTCCTCCCACCAGGCTTTGTTACCATTACCACCAGTGCTGCTGGACCTTTGAGGAGCATCGAGGTTCAGATCTTCCTCTACGAGCATGCCAATTGCGCCGTTCCTCCACTCGTCTAGCATTGGCGGTGGAACGTATCGCCTGTCAGGGTCGTGATCTTGCGAGAAGACATCGCCAATGCTATGATTTCGGGCCTCTGGTGGCTGTGCAGGTGGAATTTCTGTGGCCGAATCGGTAAACCCAACACTTCTTCGATTTGCAGCGGGCGCCGCCGTTGCGCCATGAGGCCGAAGTCGGTCCTCTCTATCCAGAGTGTTCTTCTGGTCAATCTGTTGCTGTTCCATCTCTTTTTGTGCTTCGAAAATCCCGCGACTGTCCCTCTTTTTCTCATGCTTCACTGTGTCCTTCGGAGTAGGAGGGAGATCCTTGGACAACTTTCTGCTGTCATATCGAGCGACACCACCGCCTACGTGTCGCGACGCATTGGGGGCATCTTCAACTCCGTACAGCCCCAGACCAGAAGGTACAGGGGCAGGTTTACGTTCCAGCTTTTCCACGGATTTCTCCAGATTCCTGACTGGTCCCGATCGGTCCCGAAAGCTACCTGATCCTCTAGAGACTCCAACCTCCTTCTCGTTCACACTAGACGTGCGCCCGACGGATCTATCCGCATGAGTGAGACCCTGCTGATGACTCAGTGCAGATGAGACGCGTTGGCCCTTGGACTGAGACGGTACTCGATGTGGTCCAGGTCCCGCGCCGCTTCCTGAGGGATCCCAGGGCTCAGACAAGTCATAGCCATATCCATCTTCAGATTCGCTGAGATCATCCGGTAGCAGGGGAGATTTTGGTTTATTCTGCGCCGGCATGGAGACATGTCGCCTATTGCTCGCCGCGCGGGTGGGAGCTGGCTCCGGCCCTGTCACCGGCCCAGACACATTGCGCTGCTGTTTCGCCGCAGCCTCTCGCTCTCGCTCTCGTACGCGGCGCGCGCGCATCTCCGCCTCGGCCTTCTCTTGCGCTGCCAGCTCCATTTCCAGTATCCTCGCTCTCCTCTCCTCCTTGCTTATGTCATCCAACTTCCCCTCTAGCTTCTGGAGTGGAGACCTGTCCGGCACCGATGGCCTACGGCCCTTCGAATTCTTCCGAGCCACACCTTCGGATGCTCCCGCTAGTGATTGTGGCGGTGAATATGGCGGTGAGCGCAGCTGCTGCAACCGTTCCGCAGCTATCGTGATGTTTGGCTGCTGGCGACTCGCATTCATGTATATCGTCGGTTCTCGAGAGCGCCCAGAGTGAGAGCGATTGGGCGCCCTCGAGCTGCTCTTAGGCGCGTACGGATCCTTGTACGATACTGGTGGTGGTGCTCGGGGAACGTCTGGGGCTGCAGGCAGTGCCTCGCCTGATGCGCCGGTGGTAGGAGGAGGTATATGCTGGCTCTGTCTGCGACGATGCGACGAGGTGCGCGAGACGCCATTGGCACCAGATGGAGCAGCTACAGGTCGAGCGGAATTGCTGGGCATTGCGTTCGAGGTCGCCGGTGCATGTGTAGGCTGGGCTTCGACGGGCCGACGATAGCTGGCCCCCTTCTTCGAGTAGCCATCGGGAAGTGGCTGCTGGGCATTGTTCGCAGTCTGCGAGACATAGGTACCGTTGTTGCCGCGGTTTGCCATGCTGAGGCGCGCCATGCGCTCAGATAGTGAGGGCGGGGAGGAGCAGTCCACAGCAAGGGACAGCGGCAGACGTCGTGCGGATCTGCGGTGGGGTTACACTATTTCACAAATTGCCATCTGCTTTCGATCCAATTGGACTTGAGCTGGATCCGTAGAGACACTAATGGCGTGCCAATGTACAGGTAACGTGTAGGCGACGGGATGCTGCGCAGGGAAGCGCTGGACAAGAGACGCGCAACGGGGACAAACGCAGGAATATCAACAAATCAACTGCACGCGCAACAAACAAAATTGTATGTACATGGATGCAGAAAGACGAGCGCGCCCGGCGGGCTGATATCCACACTGCGGCCAACGCATCACCGCGAGAAAGATGAAGGCGGGAAAGAGTGGCTGGGGAGGCGCGCCTGCCCCAGACGGGTTAGCGCCTTCTTTCTTTAGGGCCACATCTGCGGCGGCTACCGTTAAGCCTTGAGGAGCATCCAGTGTTCAATAGCATCCACTTCGACTCCGCCGGCGCCTTTCACCACGTTGCAGCTACGCCGGACGCGCGCTTCTCCCTTGCTACACGCAGCTTTTTTGCATTACTTTGCCGACCTGCTTCTCCGAGCCTAGCACGGTGCAGCTGCGCAGCCCCATGCACCAGCAGCTCGTCCAGTAGTAGTCTTACCCGAAACCCTTCCCTCACTAACTCCTTCGCCGCCTCGACATCCCCTCTCCAACACTTATCAACGAGGACACCGTCGCTCGTTCGAAGACCTCCTCCTCCTTCACCTCGTATTCGGCGGGCGTCCTCTGTACCTTGATACTCATTCGGGTGCATGCTCTAGGCAGCCGTTCACCCCGTTGCAATGCGCATCTCCAGATTCTTGAGCCTGCTTTCAGCGGCGACGCTGGCGTCGGCAGCCCATCTTCCTCCGCGCAACTACACGAGCCACGACTACTATGCCATCCACGTCACCTCGTCAACCTCCCCAGCGGAGCTCGCTGCCCACCTGGGGCTCACCTATGATGGACCCTTCCCAGCGCTGGAAGACCACCACGTGTTCAAAGCGCCGAAGCACGAGAACGACATAGTAGACGATGCAGTACAAGAGCTTAAGCGGCGGCGGCGGAAACGAGAAATCGGCATAGAATACCACATCCTCGACAGCGTGCGCTTCAACCAGAAGCAAAAGCTCAAGCCTAGGCACTGGAAGCGCAGCCGGATACCCGAGCGCAACGATGTCAGAGCAAAGGAGAGCAACGCTGTCAAGGCCCAGCGGGAGATTGCGACCAAGCTTGAGATCAAGGATCCCATCTTCGAGGAACAGTGGCACATTTTCAATGTGGCCACGCCCGGGAACGACATCAATGTCACCGATGTCTGGATGCAGGGTATTACGGGCAAAAATGTAACAGCTTGCATTGTTGATGACGGGCTCGACATGGACAGCAACGATTTGAAAGACAACTTCTTCGCCGAGGGCTCGTACGACTTCAACGACCACGAGGACCTCCCCGTACCTAAGTTATCAGACGATCGTCACGGTACGCGATGCGCTGGTGAAGTTGCTGCGGGAAGAAACGATGCTTGCGGTGTGGGTCTGGCCTACGATTCGAGGATATCCGGCGTCCGCATATTATCGGGCGATATTACCGACATGGACGAATCGCTCGCCATCAACTACAAAATGGACAAGAACGACATTTACTCTTGTTCCTGGGGCCCACCAGACGACGGGAGAACTATGCAGGCTCCCGGAATTTTAATCGAGAAAGCTATGATTACAGCCATCCAGCAAGGTCGCGAGGGCAAAGGTTCCATTTATGTTTTTGCCGCAGGCAACGGTGCGGCAAGCGACGACAATTGCAACTTCGACGGCTACACAAACAGTATCTATAGTATCACGGTCGGTGCTATCGACAAGGACAACAAACATCCCTACTATTCCGAGGCCTGCTCTGCGCAGCTTGTCGTGACATATTCTAGCGGGAGCGGCGACGCTATCCATACCACCGACGTTGGCGCGAACAAGTGCACCGCTAACCATGGCGGCACATCCGCTGCTGGTCCCATTGGAGTCGGTGTATACGCTCTCGTCTTGCAAGTTAACCCCGACTTGACTTGGCGTGACCTACAGTGGCTCTCCGTTATGACCGCTGTTCCATTCGACCAACCTAGCGACTGGACGCAGACCCCCGGTACTGGTCGTACATTCAGTCATCAATTTGGTTACGGCAAGCTTGACGCGTGGGCGATTGTGGAAGCTGCCAAGACTTGGAAGGTGGTCAAGCCACAGGCCTGGTTCTGGTCGCCATGGATGCATGTCAAGAAGCCCATTCCACAGGGCGATAAGGGTCTTGCGAGCGTCTTTGAGGTCACTGAGCAGATGTTGAAGGACACCAACTTCGAGCGTGTTGAGCACATCACCTTGACCATGAACATTGAGCATCAGCGACGTGGTGACCTTAGTGTTGAGCTGATTAGTCCCGACGGCATGACGAGCCACCTTTCGACGGCGCGCCGTGACGACGAAGCCCCGTACGGCTACGTTGACTGGACTTTCATGAGTGTAGCTCATTTCGGCGAGAAGGGAGTGGGCAAATGGACGGTCATCGTGAAGGACACCAATGTGAACGCCATGGTTGGCACCTTTACCGACTGGAAGCTCCGCCTTTGGGGCGAATGCATCGACGCGTCGAAACAGAAGCTCCGACCATTGCCGACCGAGCACGACGACGATGATCACGACGTTATCGATGATCATCCGGCTCACACGACCTCTGTTGCTGTTGCTTCATCTGGTACCAAGACTGCCTCCGTCAACCCTTCAGACATGCCCACTCGTCCTGTAAACCAGAAGCCCTCTAGCAAGCCCACTGACACGGAGCAGGCAGCAGTCTCTTCAACTCCTACTACAACTGCAACTACGCCTTCTGGCTCGTCCACTTCTGCGACAGCCTCTCCAGAAAGTTTCCTGCCATCCATATTCCCTACGTTTGGTGTGTCTAAACGCACCCAAATATGGATATATGGTAGCATTGGACTGATTCTTGTCTTTTGCTCTTGTCTAGCCGTGTATCTCTTCCTTGCGCGTCGGAAACGACTACAGTCGAGCCGCGACAACTACGAATTTGAAGTGCTGGACGACGCGGAAGACAATGAGAATGCACGGATGCTCAGCGGTGGAGCGGCTGGTCGCCAGGGCAGGAGAGCAAGAAGGGGTGGTGAACTTTATGATGCGTTTGCAGGAGAAAGCGATGAGGATCTTTTGAGCGAGAGCGAGGATGGTGATGCTCCGTACAGGGATCGCGATGAGCCCTATGACGAGAAAGCGGCGCACAAGGAGGATGGAAGCGACGCTGAGGGCAGCAACGCAAGTGGAAGTTCTGGCGGCAAGAGGCAGTAGAGTGGGCTTAATTGCATTCCTACATTGGGTGGCGTTTTTAGAGACTCTTTCATTCCATGCTTTTATTGCACTGCACTGAAGCGTTTCTGTACATAGGCAAATGTATGAATATGGCACCCGCGTGAGGCGGTGACACTAGCGTGGCAAAAAAAGTTCACGTCCCACATCTCCAATCGCGACAACTTTGTGACCAGTTTGTGCCGCGCGTTCCCAACTACCAAAACAATTATTCGCTACAGGAGAGATGGCCGACGAAACGGTTCAGACCCTTCTCCAATTTGAAGGTCATCGGCACCTCACAACGCGCCTACTTCTCTCCACACTCACCGGCCGCCCGATTCGCATCTCGAAAATCCGACCTTCCTCGACACGCCCAGGTCTCACACCATACGAAACGAACTTCATTCGCCTCCTCGACTCAATCACAAATGGCGCGCAAATTCAATTTTCCATGACCGGTACCACCCTCGTCTACCGACCAGGCCTCATTACAGGCAGCGCAGAGGGTCTAGGAGCTATGGGCGGGGTGATCAGGCATGAGATACCAAGAGAGTGCAGCAGGAGAGGCGCAAGTTGGTGGCTGATACCACTCGCATTGCTTGCGCCCTTCGCAAAAGACAAATTGAACGTTGTACTGCACGGTGAGGGCTGCGTGACGAGTAGTACCCCGGCGGGCGATGTCAGCGTGGACTCGGTTCGGACAGCCATACTACCGCTATATAAGAGTTTCGGCATTGAGAGGAACATAGAGCTGAGAGTTCTTAAGCGCAGTTGTGCGCCTGGCCAGGGGAAGAGTGCTGGAGGTGAGGTGCAGCTTGTGTTCGGACACCAGGTGCGGTTACCGAAGACGCTGCACCTCATGAACAAGGGACGTGTGAAGAAGATTAGAGGTGTGGCATACGCAGTCGGAGTCAGTGGATCGAACAATGCGCGTATGATTGAGACCGCGAGAGGCGTCCTGAACAAGTTCGTGCCCGATACCTACATCTTCTCGGACGTGTCGAAAGCACCACTCATCTCCGGAATGGTGTCGAAATCAGATCCAAACGGCAAGACGAAGGGCGCCGTAGGGTTCGGGCTCAGTCTCGTGGCGGAAAGCTCAACGGATTGTATTTACTCAGCGGATGTGGCGAGTCCGCCGCAGGGAGGCGTTACGCCAGAAGACTTGGGCAAGCAGTGTGCGTATCAGCTGCTGGAGAAGATAAGCGCAGGAGGCTGTGTAGAAGTCACCAGCACGGAAACGGTGCTATTACTCATGGCGATGGGGAGTGAGGACGTCGGGAGGGTGTGCTTGGGACGGGATGTCCTGGGTACGGAAGAAGTCGTGCAACTGGGAAGGGATGTCAAGGTTTTCACTGGAGCTGCGTGGGGCTTCCGAAGTAAGGGCACAGCTGATGGAGAAGATGAGATCGTGGTTAGTGTTGTTGGCAGAGGTGTGGGCAATGTGGGTAGGAAGGTTGCTTGAGAGGCTTGAAGTTGGGGACGGTAAGAGTGTAGGTCAAATGATACCCTTTCATGATTCACATATGCCGAGATGTGTGCTTTCATCTCATTGCGCACGATGAAAGATGAGCGGAATGCTAGCAGTCGTAGACTCGGCTACTTGATCAGAGCGCATACTACTATTACCTAAGGAACATGGTTCAATTAGCTGGATTCTGCACTCATATTGTTCAATTCTGCCCCAGCTTGGTGGACGTCACATTACCTGGCGTACTAAAGTATCCCTGCATAGTCGCACGGTTCGCGCGGGTAGTCGCGTCCCGACGCGTCCTCGAGTCCACCTCACCCACCTTCACCATCTACCCCGCGCTCTTGCTTCATTCTGTGTGTAATTATTCTTGCTTGCCTTCTCCCACTTACAGAAGTCATTCCGTACCATTCAAGGCAGGAGGAGATGGTCATTCTGTCGAGGCGCAATGCGCCTAAACTGCTACGTTCTGTGAACAATCAGCCGCATGCAAGCTCCGAGGACCACGAAGAGGGTGCACCGCGCATAGTGAGCACGACGCAAACCAGCAAACCACAAATGAAGGCGGACTTAGATATACACGCCGATCCTATCTCTTCAAGCGATGAAAACGAAGCGCCACGGCCTTCAATGAGCCAATCTTCGAATATGTCTACATGCGACAATCCGCGGAATACCGCGAGAGCCACAAATGGCGCGTCCAAGAAGATTCAGAAGGCACAACACATACGTGCTCCAAAGCGGGGGGCTTTCAGGCAAGGTCTGACGCATAAGGACAGCTTCACTGAGGAAGACAAGGAGAATTCGCAGGAGGGACCGTCAAGTTCCTCTAGCAAGCGGGAGACAGCAGAGACAGTATACTTTGGCATGGGAGACACACCGCGGAAAAAGCAGAAAACCAAGAACGTTCACACGGCGCCCGTTGAGTTTAAGAGGAAGTCGTTCGGGAAAGACAAGCGTAGGTGAGCCCGCAACCATGGTTTGGTGCGGTCAAGCTAACAAAGTCCCAGCAAGTACTTCGTCATCCATACCTAAGAAAAGCGAGCTCAGTCACCTTCATGATCTTGACAACGCATTGAGTAACATGCTTGACGAGCACGAACATTATGCCGAAGTGTCTGACGATGAGCAACCATCGCCTGCAACTAAACGTCGGCGGACGATTCAAAGGCTGCCAGCTGGCTACGCAACGTCGTCAAATCCCACCACCAAAGACTCTCAAACGACCGCTCCCAGCTCACCGCTGACCTCCATTCCCGACCACGATGACGAAGAGCCGAACACCAATGGAGGAGACCTCGCACAAGACGAAGACTCAATATGCGCTTTATGCCAGGAAGAAGTCGATCCCGAAGAGCAACAGGAATTCTGGGCTGAGCACAGCAATCGAACAGTCCGAGACCAGATGCGTTTCTGCAAAGAACACAAACGGTCAAAAGCACAGAAGGAATTCAAAGAGCAAGGTTTCCCGGAGATAGACTGGGCCAGCCTACCATGCAGGATAAGCAGCTTCCGGCCAGACTTAATCGCATTGTTACGAAACGAAACGAAAGAAGAAAGTGTATACCGCACTAAGCACGCCAAACGTCTTGTCTCAGGAAAAGCGGCAGCTTTACCATCGAAAAGAAAAGGACGGAAAGCGCAAGCACTTGAGCAAGACACACTCAACGACGTTGACACCACGTCGTCATCTACAGGCTACTACGGCCCTCGGGGAAAGCGCGTCATGATGGAAGTCATCACTGCGGATCTTTCAGACGTCATCCGGGAAGTCGCAGCGAAAGACCCCGTGGTCGGTCGGTCGGGTTTCGCGATGTTTCTGCAGGCTGTGCTTGTGCCGGAGCTCACGCTGTTACTAGTCATGGATGATATGCAAGTGGACAAGGGGGCGGCGCAGGGGCTTGTGAAGCAGAGCGGGGAGCTGGGGACGCTGTTACATGAGGAGATTGAGGATGAGGTGAGGTTGGCGAGTGAGGATGAGGAAGAAGAGGAGGATTATTGATCTCGTGAGGCATGTTTCGTGGCGATGAATTTAGCGCTTTAGAGATATCTATGATATGTTTTAGCTTCGGCTGGCTTGTGGATATTGGGGTTGATGGGCTTACGATGCGATACCATTTCACGGAGTTATGGCACATTTGTCATTGCAATAGACTTGATTCGGCCACCTTCCATGTAATGTCGTTCAGATTTTATGATTGGTGCTGACTTCACTGATAGAGCTTAGCCGTCTGACTTCGAGATGCTATAGTCAGAGCCGGCGTCCTGTCTCACTCCACTCAGATTCATCCATATAAGACCCCTCTACGCCTCCTCCCTTTTCAATCCTCACACTTCTCACGTTCCATCCATGGGTTCTAAAACGCTGAAGAAAAGTCGTCATGGACTTCCGCGTGGGTCTGGAAAAACATTATGTGTTCCATGCATCTGTGTGTCAAAACAGATCAATAGTAGCGCATGTGGCTTCTCTCTCCTCTTATCCTCTCAGTTCGAGCAGTTCCTTTTTGGACACCTAAGCTATGACGAAACGAAGCCATGGATCTACGTGTTGCTCTCGAAAAAAAAAGAAGACGAACAACAAGTCATGTGCCTGCGTGTCAGAAAAGAAACGCACGCGAGATGCGATCTGTTTCCTCCTCTTCTCTCGCACTTCTTTAGCTTCACTTCTGGACACTAAATCGCCCGGCAATCCTACACATGGGTCCTTGTGCTGCTTTAAAACTAGTATATCAACGAGTATATGGGTCTGCGTGCACAAAAACTACAGTGAGGCACCCACATGCGGGTTCTCTATTGTCCTGTCTTCACGCTCTTTGCAGTCTACTTGCGAACAGCAAATTCGCCAGAGGAAAGATTCATGGGGTTGTGCGTTGCTTCGAAGAGTCGACTCAGACCGAGAAATGTGTTTGCGCTCGTCTTCGAAAAGGACAAGCCGTGTTCGCACGCGTGCTCTGCCTCCACTTCTCGTCTATCTACGCCGTCTACGATCGCTGCGGGGGAACTGAAAGCTATCAGACGGTGTACCGATGTGGTGGACCAAAGGAGATTCATCGAGAGGCACATGTTTCTGTGTGTCTACAAACCAATACGGACACAGTCATGTGGACTTTGTCTCCTTTTCTCGTCCCTCGAGACTTTTCGCAATCTACTCGCTATAACTCAAGACACGAATAGGCCAACTATATGGGCTTGTGCGTTGCTCTGAAAAACGATGTTAGCGTAACCCCATGTTCGAGCTTCGATAAAAAATCCTAGCAACAGAGCATGCGTCTCCCGCTCGTTCTCAAACTCTGGATCTCCCATGTGATGAGGGCGAGAGGATCCAAAAGCGCGACGACTAGGCTCAAAATGTGTCTCTTTCTCCAAAAAGACACCAAGACTTTTGCGATGCGGTGTGGCGCGCTCTGGGCTTTTGTTCTATCTTAGAGAGAAGTTTGCTTCAGGGTTGACCATGTTGTACCTCCTCGCCCATGACAGGGTACATACCATTTCATAGGAGTATGTTCTCTTCTTCACGCTCTCTGAAGTCCGCTCGTGCACATCGAAGGAGACTAGGAACAATCCGATGTGCCTGCCGGCGCGTCCAAAATGAACCACTCAAGGAGCGCATGTGTTCGCGTCTTTGGAAACCAGCCGCAATCACGGACGCGCTGCCCCTACCTCGGCTTCTCCGAGATCTTTTGAAGTACCCGCGATACAATAGCGTGTTGTGCTCCCTTCGACCCTTTCAAAATTGAGCGAAGTAGCACTTATGTGTCTGGTTTCAAACAGCCCTATCAGCGAACATATGTTCCCTCGTTAGTCCCTTCACTACTCTTGTCTGTGATATTTCATTGCCCAACCTGTCATGGAGCATTTGTCCAAGGGTCATACAACAAGAAGAAACATGTCTTCTCCTCTGTGCCGGAAGTGGTATGGCTACACAACGATGCGGTTCCTCGCTCCGCTCCTTGAAAGCTTTCAAACAGGCTGGACCACAACTTGTGTGGTGTACTCGTCCGCCCGTCCAAAACCACAAGAAAAGTCCAACTATGTCCAGTGCTATTGTTCTGGCACACACATCTCGAGTGCATCTCATCCCTCTTCGCTCAAATTCAAGTATATAAATTTACTTCTGTAGCCCTTTACCTATTCTCCACAGTCTATGCAGTACTCTGCGGACACTAAAAATCGAGCTCCAAAAGCACATGGGTCTTTGAGAGGGTATAAAAGACGAATATGGCCTTATCCGTGTTCGAACCAAAAAAGCACGAATGTAAACACGAAATACGTTACCTAGCGCCTCTGAAATCACGCATCAAGAGAACCCATGTCTTGGGAGGATGCTGTTAGTCCACACGAGGAGTTGTCATCTCGTTCCTGACGGAGTCACATGAGGTATATTAAACCTCCTCCCTGAAGTGCTTTTCTTTCTTCACATCTCCTACAGTCCTCTATGGGCACCAAAAGGGGACTGTTACAGGTCATATGGTCTTGTGCACAGTCCTTGAAACTGATCTGGTAGACAACCATGTGCCTGAGTGACCAAAAAGGAAAAAATATCTGCAAACATGTGGTGGTAGATTGAGTTGCTCTGAAACCAAAACCGATGGAACTGACCTGTTATGGGGAGATACCGTTTTAACGCACAAGATCTAACGTTGTGTTGCCTCTCTTGGCTCCTCTCCGGGCACACCTCCACGCTGCTTAAGTTCCTTTCTTCTCTTCACGCTTCCTCTAGCTCTCTGCGAGCACCGAGAAGCAAAGGTTCACTCTACATATGCCTTTGAGCGGACTGAAAATCGGTCGACTTGTCCACATGTGCCTGAACCAAAGAACTGGAAGCACAGAACATGTGAGCTGGCAATTCGATCGCTCTGAATCGCATGAGAAGAAGTCAATGACTTCGTTTCAAAACTCTTGAGGAATATGTCCTATGCGTCTATGAGCAGGTCCAAAAGTAGGCCACGACGGGTTTATGTGACCAGCTTAGAAGACCTGAAACCATAACGCCATGAGGTGTTCTCCTCGATGTTTTGAACACAAGGATTATTTGACGTTTATTTCCCGGAACAGATCTCAATTGCATGAAACGATTGAGCATCGTCTCGTCCATTTTCGCTCAAGATCTAGTATTTAAGTGCGCTCCGGGGCCCCTTCTCACTCTTCTCTACACTTCCTGCTCCTAGTCAACGACACCAAATACAATACAAACGATGTGAATGTCCTCGCGGGTGGTTCTGAAAGGAGTCAGAACCGGTTACTATGTGCCTGTCTCTGAGTAGCTTGAGGTACTATAAGATACAGTCTGTCTGGTTCTCTAAAGTTCGAACCAGAAACCACGATGGTCCCCGGGGTGCTGTGGCATTTGCTCACAGAAGGGCTTCATCGGGTACTATGGCGCCTTCTCTTCCTCTCCTAAGTACAGCCGTGGACATCAAAAACAGTTCGGCAATCCATAAATGTGGGCAGGTTCAAACCAAGGCCCGCCTGTGCTTAGTTTTTGGGTACATGGAGTCCGAGATCGGCATTTTGAAGATGTTCAAGGCTCCCCCCGTCCCTAACATTTGCACATCCACATCATGTTCCGGGGTCTGGGCAAGTCCGACCAGCGTATATAAACCCCCCAAACGACACCTTGCTTCCTTTCTTACAGTTACACCTCGACACGAGAAGATCCAAAAAAAACTACCTAAAGAGCCATGGCAGTCTTCTGGGAAAGAGAATGATGAGGGACATGTGTTTGTCGAAAACATTTCCACACCCGTTTGGTGTGGAAGGCGTTGTTGACAAAATAACTTATCCTTAAACACCCCTATGCTCTGGAGATGGAGCTGTTGGGTTTAGCGAGGATCTCTCGTTAGGTTTTGCCGCTTCGGTAGGATCTCGAAGGTTGGTGATGGTTTTCATCATCTAACTCATCCTAACATTTTTGTATGATTCTCGATCAGAGTTGAGTAATGAGTGTGCGCTGACTGGAAATGTTCGGTGGAAGCATGCGTCTCGAAAACTAGGTTGTGACGCTTCATTTTTACGCTGTATCTTTTGCTTCGGTTGTTCCGGTAAAGAGTCAGATTTCTGATCCGAGTTGAACATACACATATTTCTGATATTTTTCCATCTCTGGGATTGCTCGTTTTCTTCTATCGTGAACGGAGCGTTTATTTCGTCTTGGTGGGATTGAAGTTTCGAAATTCGATGCGACTACAAACGCATCCCCAATCATTAGTATCATGCTCTGACATTGTATTCTTGTACAGATACCTCAAGAAATGATTACTTCTTGCGGACGCGGGTACAGCCGACGGCGTTAAAAGGCTGGGACGACCCACACAGCAAGACGCCACCAATACCCCGCATCCGCGCTCTCGCTAGCCGAAGTAATGCTCCCTCGATTACCGACACTTCAAGAACGAGTCGTTGCTCATCAATACCCTGCGACGCTATGTACCCTTCGACACCTCACACAAGTCGATGGGGGAACCTAGCGTGCGGATAGCCAAGCCGAAGACCTTGAGATTCTACCTGGATACCTCAGCACAAGATACCTCAGTGCAAGATGCCGTTCCTAGCGGAAGAACACATTCGGATACCAAGCAAAGACTTGATGTCATGGATGTTCGACGAGCAGGATTATGATCCTGACCAGCCGGTGAGATGATGACAGAAGACCGCACGTGTTTTGACTAACATCAATTGAATTGGGTAGGTATACATTGATGCAGCGTTACCAGACCGAGCCATCTCTTCTCACCAGGCTAGAAGCATTGCTAGAAAGCTAGGTGCCGGCTTCCAAGCGGCTGGTTTTAAGAAAGGGGACTGCGTGTGCCTGCTTTCGTTTAATGATGTGAGTTTGTGATGGAAACCTGCATCTTCCGAGCAGAAGGGTCGTTATCGTTTATGCTGGTCACACGCTGATAAAAAAAGATATATTGCTCCATGGTATTCCTGGGTGTTCTAGCTTTTGGAGGTGTATTCGCGGGCACGAACCCATCACACACGGCCTTCGAACTGGCACATGCATTCAAAGTCGCAGACGTCAAAGGGATTGTAGTCGAGCCTGAGCTCTTACCCAATGCATTGAAAGCAGCGAGAGAAGTCGGGATCCCGTTTTCGAGGATATTTGTATTCGACCACCACGCCTCGTTGACAGCACCGTACCATGCGAATGAAGGTTGGTCCGTAACTTCCAGTGTGAAAGGGCCGGTGGGTGATCTGAAGAGTTGGCGGTCGTTGATGCAGCACGGGGAGAGCGATTGGGAAACGTGGGACGATGAGGAGAGAAGCAGGGAAACTGTAGCTGCGAGGCTGTTCAGCAGTGGGACGACGGGGTTGCCAAAAGCTGTGGATATGACGCATCACAACCTCATGACGCAGCATACGTTGGTTTACGACTACAAGCCACGTGACTACGTGGTAAGTCCGTCCAAATTGAATCATTTGCATCGTTCTGAAGTCTGGCCAGCTCTCACGGTTACTCTGCACGCCTCTGTTTCACGTCTCTAATGTCCCACGCGCATACACCTCACCTCTCCGCTCTGGTTCAAAAACCTACATCATGCGACGTTTCGAGCTCGAGCCCTTCCTGCGCTACATGGAGCGCTTCCAGATCACGGAGCTCAACATGGTCCCGCCGATGGTCATTCAAGTTATCAATTCTCCCCTCTCCCGCAAGTACTCATTGAAGGCGGTTAAGAACGGCGGCTGTGGAGCGGCGCCTTTAGCAGCAGAGCCACAAGCGCGGATGAAAGCGCTGCTCAGTCCCGACGCAGTGTTCAACCAAGTATGGGGTATGAGCGAGACGAGCTGTATCGCGACCATGATACACTATCCCGAACATGATCCCACAGGATCCGTTGGGCGGTTTCTACCTAACCATGATGCGAAACTAATTGATGATGAGGGAAAAGACATCACAGACTACGATGTCGCAGGCGAGTTATGCGTTCGCGGACCGCTGATCGTGAAGGGCTACTACAACAACCCGGAAGCAAATCGCACGGCATTCGACGCGGACGGGTATTTTCACACTGGAGATGTTGCTTTACGCAAGCGGTCCAGCGGTTTGTGGTACATTGTGGATCGCAAGAAGGAACTCATCAAGGTGAGAGGTTTCCAGTGTGCGCCCGCGGAGCTCGAAGGCGTGCTGCTGTCCCACCCGGCGATCAGTGATGCAGGCGTGATTGGCATACCGGCTGCTGGCTTTGGATCAAGCGCTGGGGAGCAAGGCAGCGAAGTGCCGAGAGCGTACATTGTGCGGAAGAAAGGCGCGAGGCTGGATGAGAGCGGTGTACACAAGTGGATGAGGAAGAGACTGGCAGGATACAAGCAGCTGGTCGGAGGCATCATGTTCGTGGATGTAATCCCGAAGAATGCGAGTGGGAAGATATTGAAGGGAGAATTGAGGGCGATGGCTAAGAAAGGACTGGGTGCAAAGTTGTAGACAACAGATGAACGGGTAGCAGAGAAAAGAGTATGTTGGCTAGAAGGCGACGTTGATTGTCACTTGGCAGGCACTATCCACCCACGATGTGCGCTGAGCCGGACTGGTAACTGAAATGTCACAGAAACACACAAAGTTCGTGTTCTATAGATACCAGTATCATTGTGGCGCGGAAGGGGTATCCACAAATCAAGCTTACGTCCTTGGTCTTATCTTGCGGCTCACGGCCCCTGCTGTTCCACAACCGCGTATCTTGACATGCCTCCATGCATCACGCCCACAAGCTAGTACCATCCCATCAATCACAACATCTGTAAACTCTGATACCATCGTCATATCCCAACTTAATTCCGCGGTGCCTGAGGCCACGCGACTACAGCGTCTACGCGGCACGCCGTCGGGACCATGCAGGTTTTGCGGGGTAGCCCGAAGCCGGGGCATGGAAACGAACTACAGGCGTTCCTCGCGATAAGACTACGGCGCTCGTCCCGTCATAACGTGCAGCCACCACCCCGCGTGGATCCTCATTTGCTGCCCGTCACCATGCCTCAGGCTGGACTTGCCTATTTGGAACGCGTCGCCCGCATGCTGGATCGGCGGCATCTGATGCCCTTTGTGCCACTGCGACGAGAGCTATACAAAGCTGGCCTCGTCGTCCCATGTTACACGGTGATGTTCTTGTAGCTTTCGTTTCTGTCTGCAATTGCAAGATAGTTTCTTTGTCTTTGAACCAGTCCATGAAAATACCTGTAGTCTTGACCGACGATGACGGTTGCTGCGCGTAAGCACGTCAATGAAGAGCCTGTGACGTCCGTCCTGCCTGGCGGCGACGTGCCCTTTGCTCAAGACGGTCATGCTTTCAACGCGGATGAAGAGGTGCTCGCTGCCTTGGGCTACAAGTCCGAGTTCAAGCGCGAGTTCTCGCTGTTCACGACGTTTTGCGTGAGTTTTGCGGTGCTTGGGTTGTTGCCGAGTTTTGCAAGTACACTGTACTATGGCATGGGATATGCAGGAACGGCTGGTATGTTTGATCCTTCAAAGGATGAATGAAGTTGTGGAAGGAGAGTTGCAGCTGACGCTGAACAGGCATGACTTGGGGCTGGGTTGTTGCCATGGTAGGCATCCAAGCCGTCGCGTGTAGCATGGCGGAACTGTGTTCTTCCATGCCAACCAGCGGAGGATTGTACTATGCGGCAGCTGTCCTCGCACCACCGAAATGGGGCCCATTCGCAGCATGGATAACAGGGTGGTCGAACTTCCTTGGGCAAGTCACGGCCGCGCCATCAGGTACACTTTCTCTCCCTATCAACACGAACATAGTCAGTTAATGGAGGAATCCAGTAAACTACGGCACAGCCGCCATGATCCTCGCCGCCGCCTCCATCCAAAACCCCTCCTACGTACCGGAAGACTACCACACCTTCCTGCTCACCACCTTCATCATGCTAATCCACGGCGTCATGTCCTCCCTCCCTACGAAAATGCTCGCCCGGATCAATACCATAGGGTCCACTTTCAACATCCTTGCCCTCATCGTCGTGCTCATCCTCATTCCAGCCGGCACAGATCGCACAGAACGCGGCCTCCCACGCTTCACGCCATCCTCCGAAGTCTGGGGCGACATCTACCCCGGCACGTCGTTCCCACCAGGTATCTCAGTCCTCATGTCCTTCGTTGCAGTCATCTGGACGATGAGCGGCTACGACTCGCCCTTCCATCTCGCAGAAGAGTGCTCAAACGCCAACATCGCCTCCCCGCGCGCCATCGTGCTAACCTCCGCCGTGGGCGGCACATTCGGATGGTTTCTCCAGCTCATCGTCGCATACACCGTCGTCAGCATCGACGACGTGCTCAATAGCGACCTCGGCCAGCCCTTCGCCGCGTACCTCATCCAATGCATGCCGCAGAAGATGGTGCTAGCGATCCTCTCGCTGACCATCATCGCGGGATTCAGCATGGGACAGGGCTGCATGATCGCCGCGTCTCGCGTGACGTTTGCGTACGCACGCGATGATTGTTTCCCGGGGAGCAAGTACTGGAAGCGCGTCAACCCGACGACGCAGACGCCCGTGAACGCCGTGTGGTTCAACTGCGTGATCGGCATCCTGAGTATCCTGCTCATCTTCGGGGGCAGCGTCTCCATCGGCGCGCTGTTTTCCATCGGGGCCATCGCTGCGTTTGTGGCGTTCACGATACCCATTTTCATCCGCGTCTTCTTTGTCGGCGACCGCTTCCGCGCTGGCCCCTGGAATCTGGGCCGCTTCAGCTTGCCTATCGGCGTGGTCGCTTCCGGCTTCGTCATCCTTATGGTGCCCATCCTGTGCTTACCTAGTGTCACGGGGGGTGACTTGACGCTGGACTTGATGAATTGGACATGCCTTGTGTACGGCGCCCTCATGCTCCTGGTGCTCATATGGTGGTTCGTCAGTGCGCGCAAATGGTTCAAAGGTCCGAAAGTCAACGTCGAGCATTTGATGCTGGGGCGCGAGCCAGGCGTGCTGGAGGGGGCAGAAAGCGAAGGCGAGGTGGGAACGCAATTGACAGGCGTGGGGAGTCTAGACAAGGCTAAGATTACTGGGGAGAACTAAGGTCCTGAGGAGGAACTGAGAAGGATATCGGTGTTTGTTTAAGACGGGAAGAAGCGTAGGATTAGTCTCAAGAGATACCAATTTTTCATATTTGGATTTGGAATGATTTGGAAGTCAGTAGTAGCTCGTGTTCGCAGAGTACTCTGCCTTCGTGCCTGGGAATGCGCCAACGGGTGCTCCTGCTGAACGCTCGTCTTCGTCTGCACTGTCGTCCTCTTCTCCCTCGAACGCGTCCCCGGGATCAGGAGGAGCTCTCATACGGATGATGGCGTCTTCCTCTAGCGTCGGTATGATGTACGGCTTGGGCGTGTGGTACTCTCTTCCTGAAGGCATGGCCGAGAGGAGCTGAGAGGATGAAGGTACGACCTGAACCGAAATCTGAAACAGAATTAGCATCTTCTAGCGTAAGTGTATACTAAGAATTGAAAATAGAAAGTGAAGGATAAGGGAGCTCGAGGGATTGCCCCACGATGGCATGGTCGGAATGTAGGGGTTTCCTTCCCGAGCATTCAAGAGGCATGAAGGAATCCTTTGATCCAAAAGGCCGGCCTGTACGTACTGTATCATTCATCTTCTCCCACTTCTTCAACAACATGTCCACCACCCTCCCCTCCTCAAACTTCCCGCATCCGTCCCCCACGCGCCGCCCTTCTCGACCTTCTTATCCTCCCTCTTCTCCGCCCACTCCTTCTTCAACTTCGAGAGTCCAGACTTCTTCTTCTCTTCATCAGCATCTATAGCTGAAAACCCTAGCTCCTTCTGTGCACCTCTAAGCCACGCGATCCCATCGCCCGTCTTCCCCGCCAACTCAGCGTCAACCCCGAGGAACCGGCACGCCTTCCCCCTTGCCGTCCGTCGAAAATCGTCAATGTATTTGGTGAAACTGTCGTCGACTTTTGATGAGCGGCCCAGCATGGCCTGCGCTTTTGCTGCGTGTTCAGCGGACGAGAGGCAGAGACGTGCGAACAAATGTGCGCGCACTTTGGGTATCTCAACGCTCTTAAACATCCAGTCTTTGCTGTTCTTGTTTCTGTCCTCTACTACGGCGGCCGGGTATGGGTCGTCTTTCAAGACGGTAATGAGCGTTGCTTCAGCAAGGGTTAGCTCTGCCAGTGCGCCCAATACCGGGCTTGTGATGTCTACAGCAGCAGGTTGCGCGTGCCACTGCTGCGCTCTATTGACCAGGAACTTGTATATAGCATTCGCATCAAGAAAGTGCTTCATCGCCGCGGTGATAGCGGTGGCGCGCTGCTCGGGCGTAGGGAGCGTTGCATTGTACAGCGTGTGCAGCTGCGCGCGGGCTTGTAGGCTATACACATATGCCAGCGTTGATAACGCAAAGAAGAGCTCGCTCTCAAGACTCTTCAGCTTCACCCTCGTGGGCTCTCGTCCTGGAACGGTAGCGGACAGCGTCGAGCGCCATTCGACCTCGAGCTCCTTCACCAGCACGAGATCGATTTCCTCGCCAGCGCAACTGGTTCCACTGAGACCTGCATCGAGGGCAAAGAGATACGGTATGTACTCTTGTAGAGCGGAGAGTACGGTCGAGAGGTTGGACGCTTGCGAGCCGGGTGGGATGCGCTTGTAGCGTTTCAGGACGTCGCGGACGACGCCGCGCGCGGTTGTGGCGCAATTCGGTAGCGAGGGGTGAGTGCTGCTGCTGAAATAATCGGTGAAGGAAATACTGGATGTTGTAGGCAGCACAAAAGGGAACGGCATGTCGAGGTGTTGGTGGTGGGGTATTGCATGCGAGCTTCCCTTCTTGATGCAGGGAACGTCATAGCTTGGCACCATGCATCGAACAGTAACGCCGTCTCAGGTAGAATTGAACCCTAACAAAGAATACTGAGTAATACTGAATGGGAAAGGCGAAACCAGCACATTGAAGAAGACGAGTCTTGCTGTAAAAGGACCGGCTACTGGAGCTGGCCTGCTCAATGGCAGGCATATGTACAGGTTTATCAGCTCACCACTGCTGTCGCTGCCTTCCAAATGCGCAACTGAACGCCTCCATTCGATCCGTACGTGACTCTCAAAGCTGCTTATAGCCCATGCTTGTCGTGTCATTCTTCCACTTAGCCAATGTCCCATACACTGCTTCACCAATCGACCGTCTAATTCTTCTCGAAGGTATGCTTTTGCGCGAAGAGGTATCCCTTGACCTTGGAGTCTTTCAGGAGTTCGAAATATCGCTCTGCAAAGCACTTGTCAGCTTATCTGCAAGACAAAATCATGCCAATCCACCACCAGAAGCGCCCTCCATGACCATGTGGGACATGCGCTACGACATCTCACGCCATTGCGCTCTCCATCCCCTCTCTCCCTTGACATATGTTCGGATTCCGGCATACCTCTCAAGTGTCCGCACTTCTCCAAATGGTTCACGCCCTCGCGGCGGTAGCATTTGCCCATCTCCTCCCGCACCAAGCGCGCCATCATACTCCGCACCCACTGCTCGCGGATGATCGCATCCTGTGCTGCCTTCAAGGCCTGGTTGTCGTCGAAATCGACGCCCTCGAAGGTCGGCGGGACCTGGGGCTTCTTTGCGAGGAAGGCGGCGGATTCGGGGGTTGGCATTGCGGCTGCGCGGCGCTTTTTCGTGCGTGTATCAAAGTGTGTGGTCGTGGAAAGTGGCGGTCGAAAGCCCCGGGCTTAGCTTGCGAGTGTCAATTGGGCGCGAACAGTGGTGTTGGAGCTGCGGTTGTCTTCGTGACGAGAGCTCGGATGGCGCTAGCTGAAAGCAAGAAATATCACGTGCCGCTGCTTCGCTGCACCTTGATCGTTCCCCATTGCTATGTTCATTGACTATCACTGTTATCTACAACTCCCTATATCGACTCTGTAAATATCACAATACTCTAGATGCCCTCTCCTCGTGCGCTATCAATTACTTGTACCCCGGCCTCTATGCCCAACCTTCCCCCTCGCCTTTCCCTTCTTCCAGCCCGGACCCAGCATGCCTGCAATCCCTATTCCCAGCCCTCCAGTCGCACTATCTCTCCTCCCCTCGTCGTCTGCCGCCTGATCCCTCAAAGCTCCCAAGAACTCGTCTCCTTTCACCTTCCAGTCCTTCACCCAACTGCCCATCGCTGACCCGACATTTCCCCACTCCGCCGAGTACCGCGCCTCCTCAGGAGTAGGGGAAAGATACTTGACTTTCCAGCGCCAGTCCTCGAAGCGCACAGTGGACGTCTCTTCCCCGAGTTGCTGGAGGAGCGCAGCGCGCCGGCGTAAGCAGAGCGCGCACGAGGTGTGGATGCTGAGAGTTTGGAACGGATGCGTCAATAGATCTTCGCATTCTTCGTCGGCCGCCGCGTCTACTTCTGGGTTTAGTCGTGATGTCACGGGCTCCTGCGATGTATTTGCATCTTCCGTATGCGGGTGCGATGAAGTATTTCTCGTGCTGTCGTGACTTGTGTGGAATGCAGCGAAATCTGCGGTATGCACATCATCCGGCAGCGTTGCAGGAGGCTGTGAGCCCTGTGGCGGTACCTTCAGAGACGCGCCTTGCTCTACCTTTGCGGGATGCGATATCGACCTTTGCTTCGAGCGTACGGCTGCGCAAGGGCGGACGGGTCTGGCGGAAAGGGTTGTGTGCCCGCAGCCGAGAAATATGTATAAACGGTAGTAGCACATAGTGTAGAATATACGGTACTCGAAGTCCACGAGCTGTACCGTGTCAGACTTGTTGTATGGAGGACTGAACTGTCCAACAATGGAAGCGCGCTCAAGTGTTTATGTATCCACGCTACCGTGTTGCCGTTTCTTTGTTATGTCTTCAGCCTTCATTTTCAGGAACGTGGGCCAACTTCACCCCGTGGGACAGTAAAGATATAGTGAGGGACGTGAACGGATTCATGCGGGGTTAGTTGAGGTTTCCGTTCACGGCGGCGCGCACAGGGTCCGGGACCGTCCCCCTAGTAGGACTGTGGGACAGTTGTGAAAGCGTGAATAAGAAAATCTACAAGGATGACAAGCCAACCAGCGCTGGCAATGTTCAGAAGAGGTGGATGGTGGCACGTTGCGCAGAGGTGTGACTGAAGTTGGGAAACGAAGTTAGAAAGATGATGTAGTGGTTGCAACGGCTGGCTGCGGAAGGTGCATAAGTCGCCCAAAGTAACCATTCATACGGTGTCCTTATTTTACCTTCATCAGCCTCTAGACACATTTAAAGCCTGATCTTGTTGTTACTTCACTGGGCAAGGCCTTCTGCATGCATGTGCGGTCTATGCATCATGCTCAGTTGACGGATAAATCGCACAAATCATGCTGATGCTGCCTTGTACCACTAAAAGAGAGTCAAAAGCAAACACCGAAGCCTATAAGTGAAGACATTATATTATACATACATAGATGACGAGTCGTGTATTCTCTTCTATTGCAAATGCAGTCCGCTCTTAAGCCGAACCTCACAGCTTCTCAGTACTCGGAGGCACAGCTATCCCTTCAGTGCCCTTTTCCACATCCGTACTTAAGTCAATATTACTCGCGGCAAGATCATCTCTGCTCGCCCGCTTACTCCTCTTTCTCTCCTCCCTCGCAGCCTCTCTCTCTAGCCTCTTCTTCTTTTCTTCTTCGATACCGGTCTTGGTCTCTTCGTGCTGCTTCGACAGCACATTCTTCGTGATCAAAAAGCTAACGGCAAGACCAGCTCCCGCGAAACAGACGTACAAGATCCACATAGTGGACAGCGAATCAGCGAACGCCTCCCTTGCGATTTCCTTCTCGTTGTCAGGAAGTGTGTTGATGAGGCCGACGTTAGCACCAGCAGAGCCTCCACCAAAAGCTGCTGCGGTTTTTTCGCCAAGTGCTGAACGGAGCAACGGTTGTTTGGAGATCATCTCATTTTGAAAGACAACCGAACCGACGACGATGGAAATGGCAGACCCGAGGTTGCGAACGAAGCCGAAGGTTGCTGTTGCAGTAGCGATGTCGCGCTTCTATTGGTTTTCGTTAGCATGTGATATCAGTCAAAGAAATCGATTGTTGAGAAGTTAGAGTTCGGCACATGCGTCGAACTTCCAGGCTAGATGCTAGCCACATGCATGCAGAAGAACAGGTGGAGTACAGCGGGGAAGCGGAATACGTACCGGGACAAGGCTTTGGAGCGCAATGAGGGGTGATTGAAAGTTGGGCCCGACACCGATTCCAGCAATAATCTGGAAGATGATTATCTTGGCCCAGGACGAGTGCACACCGAGGTCTATGAATGTGCCAAAGCCAGCGAGCATGAATATCATTCCAAACCAGATGCAGGGTAGATATTGGCCAGTTTTGCGGATAAAGACGCCGGTGAATGCTGACAAGAACGACAGAGACAATGCGGTCGGGAGGAGGTACACGCCGGAGAGTATGGGCGTTGCTCCAAGCACAGCCTGGAAGTAAAGAGGCAGGAAATAGGATCCAGAGATGAAAACAAACGCATGGAAAAAGCAAGTTCCTAGTGCCGCTAGATTCGATCTCTTGGAGAAGAGATCGAGAGGCATTAGGGGGTATGGCGCGAAACGGCTCTCCACCAGGAAGAACAATCCGATGGTGACTACCCCAAAGACGATGAGACAAATGACAGTCGCGGACTTCCAGGGGTAAGTGACTCCGCCGAATTCGAGTCCGAGGAGGACCATAATCGTTCCAGCGACCATAGTCAGTGAGCCTAGCCAATCTACGGCCTTGAGTCCTTCCCAGAGCGGTGTCTTGGGCGTGTGCAAATCCAAGACAAACAAGATGATGAGAAACGCACATCCGTCCAGAGGTAGGTTGAGATAGAAACACCAACGCCATGTAACATTTTGCGTGAAAGCTCCTCCAACGATAGGACCCAAGCTGGAAGCCAATGCCCAAACGCCACCGATGATGCCAAAGTATGCTCCTCTTTCTCGCATGGCGAAGAGATCCGATATGCAGATGTTGACCAGCACGATTAAGCCTCCGCCTCCAATGCCTTGAATAACACGTGCTGCGATGAGCATGTTCATATTCACAGAGACTGCTGCCAGCAGCGAACCGACGAAGAAGATTGCATTTGTAACCAGTAAAATAGGCTTTCTCCCAAAGATATCAGACACTTTGCCCCAGATTGGCGTGGCTGCCGAGTTTGCAATCAGGTAGGCGGAACCGACCCAGGTGTATCCCGAGGCAGAATGAAATTGTTCGGCGATCGTTGGTAGAGCGGTGGTAACGATAGTGATGTCGAGTGCCACGAGGAGGACGGCAATTCCAAGGGAGAGCATGATCAGAGCGATCTTGAGCTTGCTTCTCTGGGGCTGCTCATCTTGCGCGTGGGCCTGGGTTTGCGCTCCCGCATTGGTGTTTTCTATAGTATTCTCAACTGTCGCTGGGTTCGTAGGCTCGTTTGGCGGGAGGTAAGCATCGGGATTTCCTGCAGTACGGCTGGAGGCTGAACTGCTTGCGGGCGTATCCATAACTTCGAAGTCTTTGTTTACCATTGATGCAGGCTGCGCTGGCGGCGCTGGAGAATCCGACACAGCATCACCTTTTGTATGCGACGCCATGGTGGAAGTTGAAGAAGAATAAGGCGACCAAGAGATTGATGTCGCGATCAACCGCGCACAACGAGAAAACTCAGGCTGACGCTTTCGTACAACAATTGGCTCCAAATAACGATGAGATAATGGACTCGGCTCGGAGGACTAGACGCCCCGAAGTTGGAATGACTCGATTTGCGGGGCGCATCGGCACAGGGGTGCGAGATCTCCGAAATGTCGACATGGCAGCTCGCGCGCTTGTCCGCGAGATCGTGAGAACGATGGGGAAATAATTTCTAGACGGCCAGCACGATGATAGATATGGGAGTGCACTGATAATCAACGGCTACACCCGCGTAGAAAAGCTTGGTTTTCTTGGCTACCATACGAGATTAGGCCTATCAGACCCACTACTGAGCTACAGGACTGTTCCTAGCAACTGATGACTCTGATGTCACGGACACCGTATGAGAAAGCAATGCAGTGTTGGCCTGACAAACAGTGTCTGAGCGAAGTGACAGGTCGGTACGACTGTGTTGTTGTGCGCATCGTACAACACGCCAAAGCGTGCTGTGTACGAAGAATGCCAACTTTGTATGAGCACTGTAGTACGATGTTCAAGGCGAGACTTTGTTAGTCGCGTCTTGAAACCTCGATACGTCTTACCTGCTACTTTACTGCCGTTCCATCTAATAAATCAGTCTGCTGAATGCGCAATTTCACGAGAAACGAGGTACAAGCCGAGGATGGACAGTTGATCTTGGTCAGAAATTGGATTGTCTTGCTGTAGCTTTCGACGACAGACGATATGTGATCTCGATCGACCGAGCTAGGAAGTCTACTGTTTCTCAGGTCCGCGGGTCGTGAAAGGAATCTATCAACAGTACGGTGAGAATGAGAAACGAGACACGAAAGCCATTCAATGGAGGAGCCGAGAGTTTCGAAGCTGCACACGAAGTGACGGCGGCCGACAAGCCTGTTTTCGTGGATGTTTTAGACTGTGAACCCCTCACGCGCGATAGCCCCGCGAAGTTTAGTGTTTACAGCGCTCGAACGGTGAGGATGATCTCGTACCGCACCGATCGACCCCGCATATTCTGGCAGATAGTGAGAAGAGGACCCTGTCGCAGACCCCAGGCATCCGTTATCTGCCCCGTACAAGATGCTGGTTCGAAAAGTGGGAAAAGTGCTGAGAACGGAGGCCGTCGTCATAAGGATCGAGATAGCAGTTTTGGTGTTGAGGACCTAGACGTGCGGCTAGCGGGCCTTGCAGCAGAGTGGTCGAGCAACGACGAGTAGCAACACCGCACACTAGGCGTGCCTCTCTGCTGCCTTGCACCACGCCTCCCACACAGGCGGAAGTCGTCTCTCGCAGGAATTGGATCCGTCTCGGCGTCGCGTTTAGCGCATTCTATGGCGATGGCAACACAGTGGAAGGAGGCGTGTCCCTCAAAATTTTCTAGCGCCCAGAGCCTTGCAAAGAAAAGAACCTGGCAGCGGCGCTGGTCCAGGCTTTGTTCTGTTGGGACTGGATGCACAGCGCGCCGATCAGCCGAGCGTAGCCACGAGCCGGCGGATACTCGATGCCCTGAGCCTGCCAATGCGCGCAGCTCCTTCCTGTGTCGGGCGGGCGAGTGGCTCTGCTCTGCTGCGAACACTGCGAGATAGCCAGCCGAGCACTTGTCTTGGCCGCAGAGACGGGCGGTCCAGCGCACTGAAAGCGGCCCCCCACAGGACCAGCGGCGTGGAGAGCGGTGGAGCATCCCAGTCGTAGGGCTCGAATTGGGCGAGCGCCCAGAAGGCGGGGAGGCCAGCGGCCAGGGTGACACTGCTACACGCGTTCGGCTAGGCCTTTCACTTTCCAAAAGCCTCTGCCGTGGCCAAAGCGCAGACTGCATACCACCAAGCGCCCAAGCGGCATCCCAACGTCGCTCCACGCACCCACGGTCGATTGTCTGCACCTGTGACGCCCCTTGCGTCCTCCTCCCACGCCGCTCCCCCATTCCCACCAAGACGCCCACAACAACACGCCCGCCCCGCAATTCCCTCGAGTGCTCGTCCTCCTCCCACGCTCTTTCCGTATAATTAACGGCACTCGCCGCGCGCGGACGCATGTCGAGCTCGCCAGCAGGCGCACTGAGGAGGGAGGTTTTGGTCCGATAGAGACACGCAACACCGCCCGCTGGCCATTGAGCCTGCGCAAGCACAATGACAGACGTGATGGCGCCGCCCGTGGAGATCCTGTCGCAGCGTGCCCCGCTCCGCCCGTCCAACTCGCACACTTCCTTCTTCGACTCTCACCAGGCCCCGTTCGCCCTGCGCAGGAGTAACAGCTCTTACTCCCACCTCGACGACCTGCGCGCCTCCCCATCGCCGCACTCGTCACGCACCTCGTCGGTCCAGTCGACGCCCCCGAGCAGCCTGTCGTTCGGCCAGAATTCAAGCGACGAGTCCAGCAGCAGCGATGACGAGGGCCTAGCTTTCCCTGCGTACAGCGCTGCAGGCAAGCCCAAAAAGGGCGACACGGAGCCGTCTCTTCCGAATCCCTTGCTTGCCCCCGTCGCTCCCTCTCCTGCAGACGAGCCCCCGTCTACTCCGGATCACGTCCCGGTATCCGAAGACGATACGAACCTACGTCCCGAGCCCTCACAGCACGTTGACTACCTCTCGTACGATTGGAAGGAGGAGGATATCTGGTCGTCATGGCGGCATATTGTTGAGCACCGCAGCGTGTACGGCGAGCGGTCACGGTTAGAGAACGCGTCATGGCGTCAATGGGCAAAACTGCAGTACAGACTTCGGACCGTTACCCCAGAGTCCCTGAATTGGTATGTCAGCGAAACGTGGCCGACGATCCTTGATGACCTACGCTAACCATTCGATAGGTTGAAAGAGAGCGACGTGACATGGCTGTATGGGCCTCTACAGCCCTCGGCGAATCGACATATTAGTCAACACGCTTCGGAACCGGTCAGCCGGTTATCCAAGTCCAACTCATTCCTTGCCAAGAAGCCCATCTTGAAGAAGCGAAGTATGTCGGAAGTAATGCTTCAGAAGTCGATATCGACATCATCATTAGTCAGTCAAGCTGCGGCAGCGGTGGAAGCCCAGCAAACTACACATGTGAACTTCGATGGCCGAAGACGACGGCCATTTGTTGGCCGTGCGACTGCATCGGACTATACGATGCTAATTCCCACACGGACAATCAGCCGAGACACGACGGATTACTTCTCTTCTTCACAATCAACGTCTGGTCTGCTGACACCTGATCAAGGCGATAAGAAACACATTCGCTTCGACGAGAAGGTCGAGCAATGCATCGCCGTTGAGTGCAAAGGCGTAGACGAGGATGAAGAAGAAGATTTTAACCACAACCCCTGGGCAAAGTACCGCGACGATGACTCCTCGTCAGACGAAGGAGTTGTGATGATGAAGCGTTCATCAAAGAAAAGGCGACCCTTATCAAGAATCAGCTCTAAAGCGAACATAAGTGGAGAGAACAAGACGATAGCCAAGCTAGAGCCTACGACTCTAAAGTATAGGACAGATTCTCCGGACGTTACGGACCAACATCCCACACATTCTTTGGGCTTCTTCCGCTCAAGTCGACTCTCACCGTCGCCCTCACAAGAAACCCTCCGACCCGCCCATCCTTCTAGTAATTTCCTCCTCCCTGAAGACGACAGCGAAGATGATTTCTCCTTGACCTTTAATCCCGCAGGAGCCTACGAGGTCAAAAGACCACATACACCAACCCCTTCAGATCCATACTTAATACCTCCCACCGGATCCTCTAGAAGAGACTCATCAGATTCCAGTTCCAGTGGCCTACGACGCACGGCCTCCGGCATGTTTATGCCTTTCGAAGACGAAGACGAGAACCCACCCGCTCCCGGCATTATCGGCAAGGTAGTAGATACGGTGAACACGGCTCGGGATATCGCCCACGTGATATGGAATGTTGGGTGGAGAAGTGGAAATTGATCGGCGAGCCTTATCATCATCAGCTCCGGCGTTACATGGCGGCTGTTTCCATAGCATTGGTTCGGGATCTTGGTCTTCTGCGCACACAGCGTTTTCGTATTCGGGCCTGGTCTTGGATGTACCAGGGCGGCATACTTGGTTCCGGTTTGGGCGCTTTCGATTGGAGAATATACACAGGTCAAGATACCTTGGTGGTACCGTGGCAACGGTGCCACCGATAAGAATGACCAATCAACGAATGTCTCAAGGCTTGTGCTCCCTTTGCTGCGATATGATGTATAGACGCTGCTTTCAGCATGCACAGTCAAGGGGCATCACCAATGGAGACGCGACCGCTGAGACTGCTTTGACTCAATGAAGCAGGTGTTCACGGTACGTTTACCCCGCCAGACAGCTCGGAGAGCGACGCGATCTATGGTGAGGGGTGGTTATGCGTCTGCATGTGCTAGAGCGTGTACCCCCGTTTCGCTACCGAAAACGGTGTGGGACAAAGACTCTGATTCAACGGCTGCAGTGTGGGTCTATATCTGGGCCTTTCCAGCTAGACGGCTGTCAGCGCATCAACATGCATATAGATAGCAATTGACTCGACAGCAAATCTATTGAGGGGAGTGTTGAAGTGCGAGGTGGTAATCCGGCGACTTCGTGCATTACCTGAATAGGAAGGCCACGTGCACTCTATCTGAAAGCCGCAGAGCGCGCAAGCAGAGCGAAAGCATCGTCTTGTACTGATAAGACAAAAGTACACCCATCTTGCAAGAAGGGATCTGGCCCATAATGGCGTCAACCGTTTCTAAACCAGGTCGTCCACAGCTTGGGGACGTTCCTCGACTTTGGCTCAGTAATGCGGGCTGACGTAGGAAGGACCATGGATCGCTGTGTGTTTATGACCAGGACATAAACAAACAAGTACACAAGGGCACGTTCGTTGTGAACATGTATGTGATATCAAAAAAGAAGTGAATAGTCATGTGTTCTTCGGGATACCTAGGTATTAAGAGCATACGTCGTAATCTCTGTTGCCAATTCGGGAATAGCACACACCGAGGTCACATATACACAACAGAGCAAGTACTTATCAAGCAGCAGATTCCGTGTTGATGAGCACATACCAAGTCTCGTACAAAACACAACCGCATGACTGAAGCATGACTCGGATGTATATTAAAGACTCTACGATACTTGGGAAGACACTGCTGTTCACTCTATGTCGCACATAAAGGTGGGACGGGTGAGGGGAAGGAGCGGGGGAGGTAAAGGCAGGAAGCCACAACCAGGAGATGGCGCGTGTATTCAGGCGGAAATGAGACATTATAGGCAATGTATCAATCGTTCAGAGCGCCGAGCATAAGATAATTGCCAGCTGGCATAATGAAGCCTTCTCGAAGTATCCATGTGGGTTAGTACGGCGTTGCGGCCGGCAGTCACCATGGACGCCAGGTGGCCCGTGCGCAATTGACAATGTGGCCTTTGCTAAAGCTCTCCGGCCGTTATAACCCACCGGTTCAGCCTCCACGCTTCTTGACCACCCACTTCTCTATTTCTCGCTACCGTCGGTTGTCTCCTGCTCCCGCAAGACAGCAGGTATCGCCACAATGCGTTTTGCAGTCGGTGCCACCGTTCTCGCCGCCGCCTTTGTGCGCGCGGAAGATGCGTCGAGCTCTGAAGCTGAGGCGTCTACCTCTACTACCGCTGTAGCAAAGTCTACATTCACCGTAAGTACTCAATCGAACAACCTGAGCTCCTAGACTGCCCTAGAATTGCTTATTGCGACTTGCTCGTGGCAAGCAATCAGGCAACATGGTCGGCTGGGTTGTTTATTTGTCCCGCACCAGCCCCTCCTGCCTCAGGAATCATTACTGACTACATTCACTACAGCCTACCAACATTAAGGCCCCGTTCTTCGAACAGTTCACCGACGACTGGGACTCGCGATGGAAGGTTTCGCACGCAAAGAAGGATGACAAGTCCACTGAGGAAGAATGGGCCTACGTTGGCACCTGGTCCGTCGAGGAGCCGTCCGTGCTCAAGGGCATTGAGGGCGACAAGGGATTGGTGCTCAAGGACAAGGCGGCTCACCACGCCATCTCCGCGAAGTTCCCCAAAGCAATCGACAACAAGAAGAACACTCTCGTTGTCCAGTACGAGGTCAAGCTTCAGAGTAGGTGCTCTTGAGTCATTGGAGCTCCAGCGAGATACTGACAGCAGAACAGATGGCTTGGAGTGCGGTGGAGCCTACATGAAGCTTCTCCAGGACAACAAGGCTCTTCACGCTGAAGAGTTCGCCAACAGCTCCCCCTACATCATTATGTTTGGTCCCGACAAGTGCGGTGCTACCAACAAGGTACGGCACATTCTTCGAATCTGAGAAAGCCCAATCTAATGGTAGCAGGTTCACTTTATTTTCCGCCACAAGAACCCTAAGACCGGCGAGTACGAGGAGAAGCACTTGAAGAACCCTCCCATGGCTCGCATCGTCAAGACCACCTCGCTCTACACCCTCATCGTCAAGCCCGACAACAGCTTCGAAATGAAGATCGACGGCGAGTCTATTCGCAACGGTACTCTTCTAGAGGACTTCAGCCCCTCCGTCAATCCTGAGAAGGAGATCGACGACCCAGAGGACAAGAAGCCCGAGGATTGGGTTGATGAGGCCCGTATTGCCGACCCTGAGGCTACCAAGCCCGAGGATTGGGATGAGGAGGCGCCATTCGAGATCGTCGATGAGGAGGCTACTAAGCCCGAGGACTGGCTTGAGGATGAGCCCACCACCATCCCTGACCCTGAGGCTGAGAAACCCGAGGACTGGGATGATGAGGAGGATGGTGACTGGGTCGCCCCCACTGTTCCCAACCCCAAGTGTGACGAGGTCTCTGGCTGCGGCAAGTGGGAGCCTCCAATGAAGAAGAACCCCGCCTACAAGGGCAAGTGGACCGCGCCGTACATTGACAACCCGGCCTACAAGGGTGTCTGGGCTCCTCAGAAGATCAAGAACCCCGCCTACTTCGAGGACAAGACACCCTCTAACTTCGAACCCATTGGCGCCATCGGTTTCGAGATCTGGACCATGCAGAACGACATTCTCTTTGACAACATCTACATTGGCCACTCCATCGAGGATGCTGAGAAGCTTAAGGAAGAGACCTTCGACGTCAAGATTAAGGCTGAGAAGGCTGAGGAGGAAGCCAACAAGCCCAAGGTTGATGACAAACCCAAGTCGCCTTCCGACCTCGAGTTCATGGATGACCCAGTCCTCTACATCAAGGAGAAGGTCAACCTGTTCATCGAGATCTTCCAGCGTGACCCCGTTGAGGCCGTCAAGTTCGTTCCTGAGGTTGCTGGTGGTCTTGGTGTTATCGTTGTTACTGTCCTGGCCATCATTGTCTCGGCTCTCTTTGGCAGCGGTGCTGCTCCTTCTCAGGAGCAGGTCAAGGCCCAGGCTAAGAAGGCCAAGGACGCCGCTGTTGATGCAAAGGACAAGGCTGCTGAAGCGGTCGCTTCTGGCGCTGAGAAGGCTCAGGCCGAGGTTAACAAGCGTACCACTCGCTCTTCCGCTTCGTAAAAGCGAGGACGCAAAGATACCGGTGGGATGCATGAACACAGCTGTTCAACTGTGACAGTGTAAGCAGAAACGCGGCAAGGAAAGCTAGAGAAAGTCAAAGGATGGTCTTTCGCCATCACTAAAAGGGCGATTTTCAGAGTTTTGGTGGAGCAACTGCTCCCCACATGGTTCCATATTCTTGGATGTTCAGTTCGTTCATATTACTCTGGGTGTGACACGGCGCTACGAGTGTATTATACTGCAGCCTTGGGCTCGAGAATGAGATGATGAAACCAAACTTGCTGAATCTTCCCGACGGATGAGCGTGTAGGGCGTGTAGAACACTCGATGGCATCGTTTTCGGTTCACATCTAACGTTTATACAGGTATAGGCGCGGTGTTGGAACCACTCCATTTCAGTGGAAAGCTTCCAGTGGGAGAGACAGGGTGAAATTGTCATCCTTGAGAACTCGCGACCGCCCTCGGAGTTTTGTAGATAGCGCCCCATGAAGATAGGTCTGACAAGATCGGACATGCCGATAGTCGGAATCATTGACGAAGTTGTTCCGCACAGATTGCACATAGTACATTTGTGATATTGAGGCTCTCGGAATGAATTGCCTGATTCTAAGCCGAGACGCCCGAAACGCTGCGGGCGATTAGCGTCGTTGTAAGCGTTGATAGCCGGGCTCATCCCCAATGTGGGGTTTCCGAGGTCATAGCTGCCCGGTCCTGGGGCAGCGAGGAGCCATGAAAGGGACAGCTTTTCCGGGACCACTTACCATTGACACACAGCTCTAGGAGCTTCTTTCTCACGCACTGTTTTCTGCAATTGCCATATACAGCAGCTGGGGTTTGTCTTGACATTGTCTGGTTGCTCGTTGGGACTGCTTGATTGTCCTCCTCCACACCACCGGCAATTGACCGCCTCCACAATAATGGCTGCTCGCCATACCATCCGCGGCATCGCAACGATAGCCACTCGCGCATCTGCTCCCCGAGCTGCTCCCCTCTGCACCAGGATGTCTTCTCCCTACAGCTCCAGCCAGAAAGCCGTCAGGCGGTTGCACGCCACGGCTCAGCACCTCAAGCCCGCCGCCGCTGCTGCTCAGAGCTACCCCACAACCCACGAGCGCATCGAGTCGCCCCCCGATACGCCGAACTTCTTAGACAACAAGTTTCTCGCTTCTAATGCTTCGCAATGGATCGAACTGCACGACCCCGCGACCAACAACCTCGTCACTCGTGTGCCGCAGAGCACCGATGAGGAGCTCGTTGCCGCGGTGGACAGCGCGGAGAAGGCGTTCAAGAGCTGGAGTCAGACTAGCTTGCTTGCGAGGCAACAGATTATGTTCAAGTATGTACACTTGATCAGGGAGAACTGGGATAGGCTTGCGGCGAGCATTACGCTCGAGCAGGGCAAGACGTTCGCGGATGCGCGGGGCGATGTCCTGCGTGGTCTGCAGGTTGCCGAGACAGCGTGCGGCATCACGACCCAAATGACGGGTGAGGTGCTCGAGGTGGCCAAGGACATGGAGACCAGGAGCTACAGGGAGCCCTTGGGCGTTGTGTCTGCTATCTGCCCGTTTAGTAAGTACAACCCCAATGCCCGGAATGTTGGTCGAGTGCGACAATGCTAACATAAACTTTAGACTTCCCCGCCATGATTCCCCTCTGGTGCATACCCATTGCCACCGTTACTGGAAACACCATTGTTGTGAAGCCCTCTGAACGGGACCCCGGCGCTTGCATGATTCTCGCTGAGCTCGCCGAGAAGGCTGGCTTCCCCGCCGGTGTCATCAACATTGTGCACGGCTCCGCGAAGACAGTAGACTTCATCATCGACGAGCCGCGTATCAAGGCTATCAGCTTCGTCGGCAGCAACAAGGCCGGAGAGTACATCTACACTCGAGGCTCGGCCAACGGCAAGCGTGTGCAGGCCAACCTGGGCGCAAAGAACCACGCTGCTGTGCTACCCGACTGCAACAAGAACCACGCTTTGAACGCCATTGCAGGTGCTGCCTTTGGCGCCGCTGGTCAGCGTTGCATGGCACTCAGCACGCTCGTCATGATTGGCGAGACGAAGGACTGGGTCCCTGAGATTGCTGAGCGCGCGAAGGGCATCAAGATGGACGGTGGCTTCGAAGAGGGCGCTGACCTGGGTCCCGTCATCTCGCCGCAGTCCAAGAAGCGCATCGAGGACCTGATTGCCAGCGCCGAGGAGGAGGGTGCTACCATCCTCCTTGACGGACGCGGTCAGAAGCCCGAAAAGTACCCCAACGGCAACTGGGTAAGCCCCTACTCCCCTGCTACCGACCTCCCAAACCGGGTAGAAGGAAAATGCTAATAGTAAAAGGTGGGTCCTACCATCATCGCCAACGTCAAACCACACATGAAGTGTTACAAGGAAGAAATCTTCGGCCCCGTTCTCGTCTGCCTGAACGTCGAAACCATTGACGAAGCCATCGAGCTCATCAACGCTAACGAGTACGGCAACGGAACCGCCATCTTCACGCGCTCTGGATCCACGGCCACCCGCTTCCAGAAGGAGGTCGAGGCTGGCCAGATCGGTATCAATGTGCCTATCCCCGTGCCGGTGAGTCCTCCCTTTTCTCCCCCTAAAGAAAAAAAAGACAGGCGCTAATTGTGTGTAGCTCCCCATGTTCTCCTTCACAGGCAACAAGAAGTCGATCGCTGGCGGGGGCGCGAACACGTTCTACGGCAAGCCGGGACTACAATTCTACACGCAACAGAAGACAGTCACCAGCCTGTGGAGAAGTGAGGATGCAGTCGCCACGAAGGCCTCGGTCAACATGCCGACACACAACTAGAGAGATGGCTGTTGGTACGATGTGACATGTCGTTTTGATGGCGTAGTTGATTTGGAAGCGTGGTTGATCAACAGCATCAGACTGCCATTCAATGTATATACCTTGGTCCTGATATGAAGAAATTGAAGATGAATCTTGTCATTGGCTGCCGTACAGCTGGGTGATGAATAGTTGGATGTGAGGGTGTTTCTGTGATACAGCGGGGGAATTGCGAACGGTCGTGTGGTCGAGTGTGACACAGCAGGCTGCTAGTCGGAGGAATGTATTGGCGATATACCCTAGCCGAACCTCTGGGCCCTGGTATTCAGGCGTTTCGAGGGTATACAACTATGGGGGGTGCACCTAAGATGTTACTCCGGCATTTGAGAACTCGCAGTGACATTGACCGCGGTCAAGGGTGGATTTGACAGCTGTCTTTTGCTCGAGCAAGTGGCACAGCGAGTACTTCCATGGTTCACGAAAAGTCAACTTGCTGGACACAGACCAACCTCAAATTTATCAACGTCACGTCAGCGAAAAAAGCTTTGCGTGTTCTCGTCAAGTTGATCCATGCGCAGTGGTCAAAACCGAGACCGAGATAAGGCATGAGTGGGTGTGGCGGCGCAGGGTGAAGCTGAGATCCACAGCTGTCTTGTCTTCGCGTGCGCCCTCGCGTGAATAACGAAAACCACATTTGCATCTTGCATTGCAGCACGGCATCGGAAACAGGACGAGGCGAGGATAAATATGGATGTATGGCTGCATGTGGTGCCGGGTTGCACATGGCGGACCGTTGCACGCCGCAGAGCCGAAGCATCTGAAACGACGGGGCGATCAATCGAGCGATGAGTGAGTGCCCGGGGTGCAGTGGGCGTTCACTGATTGATTGACCGCCGATCCACAGAGCTAGGTGTCAGAACACAGCCAGACGCTGATGTCACGCCGGCGAAGATCACATTTTCTCGGTGCTGTTACGTGTCCAAATGTGGAGGGAAGGATTCGAGAAGGGCAGTCGAGCGATGGATCGGTCAGGAGAGCCAAGAGGCGTACGCACGCAGCTTGCGAAGTGGTGCGCGAGTTGCCCGTTCGAGAGCGTACGGATGCGGGACGGCTGTGGTTTGCAGCGTATCGCGAGTCGCAACCGTGCGCCGGCGTGCCCTCTAGGAATGCGCGGTGCGCGGATGGTGCGCTCGCTGCGGCTAGACTTGCAAGAAGACTATTGAAGGTCCCAAGGATTGAATCGGAGCGTCTGGATGCTGGCTTTGGCTGGCTTTGGCGAGGTTGGGCGTGTGGCTGGCGCTGGGTGCTGTGCTGTGCTGTCGCGGCATGCTCGCAGTGGTGGCACGCGCCCGGAGGAAGGCAGCGACCGCAAACGCAAACAGGAATGCGCAGAGTATTGGGAAAGCCCTGGAGTACGTCGTGCGACGTGGTGGTGGCTGTGGTCCCTGGCGCGCTGCTGGCCGTCTTTTCACCACCCGCCGCGCTCTGCGTTTCGCGTCGCTGGTGCATATTCTTCCCGGCAGATCGTCTCTGCCCCAGTCTCCCCAATTAGCCCCGGTCAGCCTCCGCCCGCGAATGACGAGTACGCAACTCAACAACAATACTTTGATCAGCTACTCTCCGCCAGCCGCGCTCTTCCGCCCGTTTCTTCATCCATCTCTTACGCTCCCCGCCCCAACCTCTCTCCCTTCACCTCGATACATCTGCTGGCTGCCCCGTCGTCTCGCACGGCCTTGCGCTCGCTATTCATAACCTCGCTGCAATCTCACTAGCCTGCACACCGACCGTTGCGATAAAGCTCCTGGCCCCGCTACCCACGAATAAGCGTCTCGCAGCCTTGCTTTCCGGTGCCGACTCGCCGGCAGCTCCATCTTTTCCTGCCATCCTCACCCTATTCTTGCTCCCCGGGCCCACGCAGGGACCCATATTCGATCATATCGAGCACGAACGGCCGCCATTTCACGATCGTCGACGGACACTACGCCGCACTCGAGTTAGCATCCTGCCAGCCGCCCTGTTTCAGCGTTAATTTGCTTGATAAGAGCCATGTCCGTCGCCATGGACCAACAACCTCAGCAGACCCGTCCGCGGTCCAAGTCCACCTTCAGCTTCAAGAGCCAAAACAGCCACTCTAGCGACCCCAACCGCCACGAGAAGAAGAATTCGGTCTCCGATCATCAGAGGAAGGTATCAGACAGCTACAAGCCCCATTTGACAACCTCCGGCAAGGCGGACCCGAATGCTGCCATGAACGAATCCCAGCCCAGTATGTTTTGCGCCATCCTTTGTTGTCGTTACGCTTGCTGATGATGTCCAGTCGCCGCCGCGCTCGAGAAGCCCACTTTGCAGTCCCTCCGCTCGTTCCAGCACACAGACAAGGATGGAGTCCCTATTGGTATGTTGCTCTGATATAGTCAAGTGATGAAATGTGGGCTGACGACCCGCAGCGGAGCCCGATCTTTCCAACCCCACGCGCTCACGATGGGAACGCCCACTCGATACGATCCGCTCCTTCGAGGCGGCCATTGATACTGAGTATAGGAGAAGAGCACATACGGTCCGCGGTACGTTTTCAATACTCTTATGCATGTATGTATGCTGACGGATAACAGACTCTTCCACAGAGGTGATGAGTGGCTACAACAGTCGGAGGAGCAGCTACTACGGCGGCGGAGGTAACTACGATCAAGGCCGTTTCTCGCAAGCCAGCGGTTATTTTGGCAGCCGACAAGCTGCGCGCGACAGTTATCATGATAATGGTCTTGGTATGGGTGGACCCGTTGGCGGCATGGGTGGACCTCCTCGAACACGGTACAACCGCATGCAGTCCGATCCCGGGTGGAACCGCTACCCTCACGGCAACGGCAATGGAGTCTATCCTGTCCAAGGATACCAGCAATCTCGCGACACAGTAAACACGAACGGATCGAACGGCAGCCACAGCGAACCTTACTCCACAGAACCCAGCAGTGAAAATAGCTCGATTGAGCGCTCAGCAGGTGGGATGAAACCCGACGCAGGCGAGCAATACGGGTTTAATGGCTTTGGCGGAGGACCGATTTTGGAGGAGTATCATAACGGCATGGGTCCCGCGAGAAACGGATACGCTGTGCAACGTCCCAATGGCACCCTCAACTATGCCGCGCCGCCACCCGTTCCCATGAAGCAAGGCCCGCCAGCGCCGCCAGCGCACGCGAACAAGCCCATCAAACTCACGAAGTCGAACGATGCTCCAAACAGTGACAGTAGCCCCGCGGTCACACAAAACCAGAGTAACGAGAAGCGGAAGAGCTGGTTTAAAAGACGGTTCAGCAAAGACTAGAGAGAAAAATTGGGATTTCGACTCTAGGCTATGAAGCGGCTTTCAAAGTAGCTGCCTCCTTCCTAAGCATGAACCTCCGAGTTCTTGCTCAGGATAGACATGGCGGTGTTTTGTGCATTTCGTAAGAGAAGGATGGGTACCGCGACGAAGATGACTCGGTACAGCGACATAGCTGCCATGATAACGACGTGATGCGGTTCTGGGATCATGGCTGGGTATATCGCGACTAGGGCGACATAAGCGCTTTTCAGGGTACGTCCTGGTGGAGTCTGAGGGTCTTTGCTTCGCGGAACTTATAGGAACGGATGGTAACATGTCCACAATCTCACTCTTTATACCCCTTTTCCATTTGAATGGCACAGCATGCTTTTGTACAGAAAAGCTACATAGTAATCTTTAATGTGATGCGTCAGAAGTTCTTACACTCATAGTCTATTGAGCATAGAAAATTGAGCTTTTCGTTCACTCATAATGAGCGTGGCTATTGCACTGGAAATTTCATGGAGTAGCACTGGAAATTTGCGAGATATCACTTTTTAGTCGCGTGGTCACGTGTACCTAAATGTTCCCCTACTGTCCTTTCTTCTTCTTCTCAGCTTCCTCCGCCTGCTCTGCCTGATCTTCTGAATACGCCACCACGATGTATGCTATCAGTACCACGTTCGCCATGACGGCCGCTAGAGCGCCGGCGATCGTGTTGTTGCCTTGATAACGATCAGCGCACATCTCTACACTATGAACGGATGTCGGACTTACCGACGAGCACGTAGTTCACCACAAAGAAGTATGTGCCGATTGGGAGTGTGACCATGGCGAAGGTAAAGCTTAGGAGTTTCCACAGTACGGAGCTGGGAGGTTTAGCTGGTGATTAGCAAACTGAGGGAGGAGGGACGTACGCAGGCACTGCGGGCGCGATGTTGGAGGGCTGTGCTGCATGTTGGGTGCCGTCGGCGTCGACGTCGAGGGGGTCGTTCGAACTGGAAATGATTCTTCGTGTTGCCATTTTGGGCTTTGGGATGATGAGCGGTCTCGTGCGGGTTGGTGGAGGATGGGAGGAGTGTGGCGAAAAGCTTTCAGCACTGTTTGGTGAATATCTATGCCTATGCCTGGTCGGTATGTCGACAAGATGTCCTAGATTCGTTGATTTTGGCGATTTATCCTCGTTGAGTGCAGTTCTGTGCGCCCTGGCGTTGTGAACAATGAATGACATGGAGGAGGATGGGTCCGTGCCCACTTTACGCGTGTGAACGCGAACCTTTCTCCCCGCCACACCGCTGCTCTCCGCGTTCTTTATCTCGACATCTTTAGAAGGCGCGGATGGGCGCTTTGTCTGCTTGATCTTTCCTTTGTTTGGCACGCTCAGTGCGCGCTTCATACTGTATAATCGTCAACCCATCGACAGCAAGCCGGCAAACTTTCCGCTACACTAAAAAAGAACGGCAGCATGGTTTACAACAGAGATCCGATTGAGACGTCTTCACCGCCGCGATTTGGTGGTGAAGGGGACGAGTACAACACAATACCCACCCAACCTCTAGATCGCATGTCGCGGTCGCCACATGTCGCTATACCATCAGAACCTTTCGTTACGCAGCCTACGCAGCCTCTCCTACCGCATACGACGCAACCTACACAGCCATTGACGCCGGGCAAGAATCGAATGTACAACCCGACTTCGTCGCAAGTCCAAGTGCCTCGCTCGTCGCCCGCCGCAGAGCGATTCTCCTCGCCCTTCGCAAATAAGTCGCAGTCGCAGTCGCAAAACCGCCCCCGAATTATCAGCGCAATGGCACCGCCGGGCACGATGGCTCGTTTTCCAAGTGCCGTTCCGCGTCCGCAAACCATCGACATAACTTCAGACGACCCGCCTGTTGCGCAAGACTCAGATGAGGAGGAATGGGGAGGGTCTAATATACCTATGTCGAAGTTGGAGCAGCAACGTGTGCAGGAGACGCCGCAGAAGTCATCGTCTTTCGGTTTCGACCTGGCAGACAAATTTGCGCACAACACGAACGGAAAGCGACCTGCGGATGCAGCAAGCTCTTTTCCGCCAGCTAAGAGGCCGGCGATCAGTCAGACTGGTCCGTCTCGAGCGCAGGCTATCGATCTCACAGACGAAATGACGCTTGAAGATATCCCCGATGTTAATCTGAGGAATAAGGTGAAAAGGTTAGGGGATATATACATAAAGATCTCTGTCCAAGACAGACTCAATGCGTTGATGTCCAAGAAAGGAAACTTCGACGATACGGCCGACTTCCTTGCGACTTTGCCTGAGAAAGAAGAACAGCGAAGCGCACCCAAAGGTACGGCGGTACAGCGGTCATCACCGGAACCTATGGTGACGAAGGCGACGACAGCGAAGCGCGTGCTCAGCAAGCCTTCAGTGAGCTTGCAGGATCGATATGCGAAGACAACTAGCCAACCCGCTGCACCAACGGCCGAGAGCCCGCAGAAGCCGGCGAGGAAAGGCAAGCTTATGCGTGGCCGACGGAACCGTTCAACAACCCCGATTACGCTCTCTTCTTCTCCGCCACCTCCACCGCCGCGCCTGCAACAGAAACCAAACCAGAGAGTACCGCATGAAGACGACGAGGGTATCATCATCTCTGATGACGATTCAGACGTTCAGCAAGAGGAAGAAGAGGTGTTCCACGATGACGGCGAGCTGTTGGATTTCTTCAACAACTGCACTGTGGAGGGAATGGTCGATCTCTCTGGTCACAAAGCAGAGGACATCCGATTGATCTTCGAGCATCGCCCTTTCATATCGCTTGACAAAGTCGAGAAATTACATGTCGACTCACGGAAACCGGACACCGGCAAGAAAGCGCGGAAACCGAAGATTACGTTTGGTGAGAGGCTTGTTGATGCTGCGAGGGCCATGTGGAACGCGTATACCACAATCGACGAGGTTGTCAAGAAGTGTGAGGAACGGGGTCGCCCGATGGTCAACGGCATGGCGCGCTGGGGCATCAATATTTTCGGAGCTTCCACCGATGGCGAAATCGCAGCCACGAGCCTTGATGATAGCGACACTGGGTCGAACCGCGATTCCGGATACCAAAGCCCCAACACAGTCGGAAGTGACTCGGATCGAGAGGACATGCGCAAGGTAGCCGATCGTGCTTCTGGAAAGAGAAAGCTATTGAAGAAACCGGCTATCATGAACGCCGACGTCGAGCTGAAAGACTACCAGGTCGTCGGGCTAAATTGGCTGAATCTGCTTTGGCAGAACAAGATCTCTGGTATTCTGGCCGACGACATGGGTCTAGGAAAGACGTGCCAGGTGATTGCGTTCTTGTCTCACCTCAAGGAGTCTGGCGCTCCAGGCCCTCACCTCATTGTGGTTCCTGGCTCGACTCTTGAGAACTGGGCACGAGAGTTTAAGCACTTCGCTGAGGAGATCGACTTCCAGATCTACTACGGTGGACAGAACGAGCGCTTCCAAATGCAGGAGGAGATTCTGGACAAGATCGAAAACGGCGACATCGATGTGGTTCTCACCACGTATGATCTTTGCGGTAGGAGGGAGGATAATAGCTTCCTGCGCAAGTGCAAACCGCAAATGGCCATATTCGATGAAGGCCACATGCTGCGGAGTTCGAACACGAAGCGCTACCAAGATCTCATGAAGATCAAGGCGCAAGTCCGTCTCCTGCTTACCGGAACGCCGCTACAAAACAGTCTACAAGAGTTGGCTTCTATCCTGGCGTTTCTGATGCCAGACATCTTCGAGGCCGAGGATGTTCGCGAAAGCGTTGCTGTAGTCTTCAAGCACAAGGCCAAGGTCAACGAGAGTGATACACACGGCACCCTCCTCTCAACCCAGCGTATCAATCGTGCCCGGTCCATGATGACGCCGTTCGTCCTCCGCAGGAAGAAGGCCCAAGTGCTCAAGCACCTCCCCAAGAAGACCTGCCGCGTAGAATACTGCGACCTCACCCCGATCCAGAAGAAGCTCTACTCCGAACAACTCGAGCGCCAGCGCAAAATCCTCGTCGACCGCGCCGCCGGCCTCCTCCCCAAAGAAACCGCAAACGTCATGATGCGCCTCCGTCAAGCCGCCATTCACCCGCTCCTCTTCCGCGAACGCTTCACAGACGACATCCTCCGCAGAATGTCAAAGGTCCTCCCCAAAGAAGACATCTTCCGCGAGAGCGTCCCAGAGTACATATACCAGGACCTCGAGCCCTACCGCGACTTCGAAGCCCACAAGCTCTGTCTGCAGTACCCGCGCAGCATTGGGAAATTCGCCCTCAAAAACAACGAGTGGTTGGACAGCGGAAAGGCGCAGAAGCTGGTCGAGCTGCTGCGCACGTTCAAGGCGAATGGGGATAGAGCGCTGGTCTTCAGCCAGTTTACCTCCGTCATGGACATCCTCGAGTGGGTGCTCGACTCGGAGGATATAGGCTACTGTCGCATCGACGGGTCGACGCCTATCACGGAGCGCCAGCAGCTGCTCGATGTGTTCTACCAGGACGAGAGCATCCCTGTTTTCATGCTGAGCACGAAGAGCGGCGGTGCGGGGATTAATCTTGCGTGCGCGAATAAGGTTGTTATTTTCGATTCGAGTTTTAATCCGCAGGACGACATTCAGGCGGAGAATAGGGCGCATCGCGTGGGGCAGACGAGGGAGGTGGAGGTCGTGAGGCTGGTGACCAAGGGTACCGTCGAGGAGCAGATTCATGCGCTGGGCGTGAGCAAGCTTGAGCTTGACAAGATGGTTGCCGGCGATGAGGGCGAGGATAAGAAGGGCGCGAAGAAGGGCAAGAAAGATGATGTTGCGTTGGACGCGGCGGAGAAGCAGGGCTTAGAGGCCGTGGAGCAGATGCTACTCAGGCAGCTGGAGGAGGAGAAGGGTGAAAAGGGCGATGTGAAAGAGCAGTTTATGGATGGGCTGAAGAAGGCGGGCTTGGATATGAGCGCTGCGGAGTGAGCGAGCGCACTGTGTCCGGCGAAGGCTTTGTAGGGAGAAGACTATGTTGCAGAGTTAAGACCCGTGTTGGATCAGGGGATTTGCGCTATGCTACGCAGCATCCTTACATTGTCTGGCGGACATTTGGATTGTTTGAGTATCGAGGCGCTTTGTTTCTTTTCGTTTATGCCTAGCTAGAGCTACCTTCAATCGTGGAGAAGGCTTCGACGGGCAGATACTGTACCATAGTCTTGCATACATAGCGTTGGCGTTGGCTGGCGGCGATACTGCAATTCCATCTGGTAGTAATGCAAGGCATACTGCACTCTAATTGATAAACCCCTGGACAACCCTGTGATGCGAGCGAGAGCGATCAGACAGGTAAACTTAGATCTCATAGCAAGTGCACTTGATAGCAGGGTAACGCTAAAGCTACTACAACCGACGCACGCGTACGATACGTCGTGGAAATGGTATCCCAAGAAATCGGTAGGAGAAAGACAAAAGGGCATTGCTTGGAATGTGGGACGCAGTTCGATCAGTCCTCCACGCTCACGCCCGCCTTATCCGCAGCCTTTGCATCCTGTGCCTGCGTCTTTGCTTCCTTCATCTTCGCGCTTCCCTTCTCCGCCTCCTTTACAGGTTCTAGCTTAGCAGCACTTTCCTCTTCTTCATCCTCGTCTTCGTCATCTTCTTCATCTTCTTCATCCTCCTCCTCCTCCTCGTCATCATCGTCGTCGTCGTCGTCGTCCTCACTGTCCTCTTCCTCTGAACTGGTCGCCTCCTCAATAGCCGTCTGCTTCTCCACCAGCTTAATCTCCTCCTCGCCGGGACTCTCAACCTTCCTGCCGTGGAACTCACTCGTCGGACTCAGCGGGCTCTTCACCCCAGGCGACTTTAATCCTTCTCCTGCTACATTTGCCGGCGTGCTCGGCAGGGGTATACTCCTCGGGCTCAGAATACCACGCGGCGAGGCTGTAGGTTTGCTAGGCGTTGATACAGACGGCGAGGCTTTCGACGCGAGCAGCGGATTCGTGGTGGAGATGTGTGCTGGTGTGGGCTTCTTCGAGGCAGCAACTTTGGCCGCTTCGGCTGCAGCCTGGCGGATCGCGAGGTTCTGCGCCGGTGTCTGCGATGGGACGTTCTCCTTCCCCGCTCCTACTGCTCCTGATGCTGCTGCTGCTGCGCCAGTAGCAGGGGTTTTGCTCGCGGCGAGAGGTGTAGCGACCGCGGGCGCGGGGACGGCAGGTGCACCAAGCGCTTCCTTGAGCTCGTCGTACTCATTCCATTCTTCGACTTGGTCGAGGTCCTGTTCCCAAGACACACGTTAGCCTCTCTCTCACTTTCAACTTTTTTAATAGAGAGTAGAAAGCCTACCGCAATGACAAACCCCTCCTTTACCAGCAGCGGCAACTTCTTCCCTCTCGCTCTTCTTTGGTACAGCTTGCGCGCCAGCTCATCCGTGGCGGTGTCTACACCCTTAAAGGGTACCTTGTTTGCTTTGAGAATTGTTTCAATGCGCGACGTGGCAGTAATTATGTGCGAGGAGCCGGCGGTGAGGGACGTGAACAGATAGAGTGTGGGGTCGTTGTCGTAAGCTGCGAGTTCGGCCATATCTGTTGCTGTCGTTGGTGCGTGGGATGGAGGGCTGTTGCTGTTGGAGGAAGGCTTCTGAGGGCGGTGGGAGCAGCTACGCGGGATCTAGGTGGAGCGAGGAAAGCGAACGGGACGGATAACGTGGCAACAAGCGAGTGGTGTCGGAGTAGTGAGGAATGGTGAAGCAAGGCGAGACAGTGGGTGGAGAGACGCGGGAGGACGTAGGCGGCTAGAATCCGTGGTGCGGGGCGGTGGCATGCAGGGAAAGACCCTTGAAAGCCGCAAATCGGTCAGGCACGACCGCCAAACCACCACACGATGAACAACGTAGGTAATAACAGAAGTTGTTGATTATATACGTAGAGCGAGCGAATTAGATATTAAACGCTGCGTGTGACCCCGATTCCATACAATTACATCCATTCAGCCGCTGGCAACTAAGGGTTGAGCGATGGTATGCGTCGGAGTATTCCCAGTTGCCTTCTTCGCAAAAGCTGCCATCATAGCATCTCTGACCTCGAACTCTTCCAGAACAGCGCCAAATCTGTGCAAGCGTCAGTTCCATCTTCATCTGCAGAGAGAAGGACTGTTAAACTCACCCATAGCACCGCACCTTTGCAAGGAGCTCCCCCTTGATCCCCTCGATGTCTAACTTGCTCAGCTCCGCCAGCCTAGGTTCCTTCAAGACCATGACCCAGGCCATAATCGGCGTGATCTCGCCGTCCAAAGGGAGACGATTGCTCAGATCCAGCAGCTTCATCAGGTCTGGCATCGCTATATCCGGCATCTGGTGCGGATACGTCTCCTGCGGCTTAGTCGCAATATGCGAATCTGGTGGTGCGGTCGCCATAAGCGCGTGGCCGGAGATAGTCTCTTCAGCATCGTGCGCGCGCACCATGAGGTATTGCATGTGGTCCATGCAGGGGCGCTCGAGACTGCGGTGAGCACAGCCAAGTCAGAACGAGCGCATTAGGTTGTAGAAATTATAGACGTACGGCGAGTAGATAATAGAAAAGAGATTGAAAGAACGGACTGAGGATGTGTGTAGAGTGCATTATTGCTGGGGTGGAGGAGAAAGATAAGGCGTGCGGTGGTCGTACGTTAAGACGAAGTCTATCCCAATCTGATCGTAGTCCAGCCCGCTGTTCATCTGGGGAATTTGTTGCGGCTGGTTCATGGAAATGTTCATGTCTTGGGAGACGGATCCTCGATGGCCGTGGCCGACTGTGGGTGGCGATGTGTAACCCGTTGAGTTCGTGCCTGTGCCGTAGCCGCCGGAGACGCTGCCAGATGAGCTACCGCCATAAGAGCTGTTAAATCCTTGAAGACCATTTACTGGACTCAGGTTGTCAAATGTGATGCCGTGGGCCATCAGTAGCTCTTTCAAGCGGCGATTTTCTTCTGCGAAAGCGTCACGTTCCTTGGAGACATTGGTGAAGGACTCTTTGATGCGGAGGACTTCCTGTTCGAGAGCTTTGATGTACATTTCCTTTCGCTCTCGGTGCGTCCTGCGAAAGTTTAGCACAGATGCTGTTGATCATTATGGTAGTATCACCTCTGCGCCTGACGATTCAGCTCCTGCCGGCGAGTCAAGGCCGGCTTGCTGTCAGGTTTGGGCCCTCTTCTCTTCGCTGGTTGCCCATCTACAACAATTTAGCAAGGCACTCGCGTTCCTACAAAGGTACCCACCTCGCGTCGTCTTCTTTTCGGTCAGGTTCTTGAAAAAAGTAAAGTTTGCCAACGGACTCTTGGAGTCTGAGTTGCTGCCTATAGATTGCCAATGCCCTTTACTCTCCATGTCCGGCACGAAAGCCGAACTACCTCTCCGACTGCCTGGAGCTTCGGAGAAACACTCCGAAGCCCGACGTGACACAGGTGAAGGGTAGTCGACAGGCGCGCCGGCAGGAGGGTAGGCGGGCGCCATGGTCAGCACATCCGAGGACCATGACAGGTAACGATTATGCGACATGATTGGTCGATAGGAAAAATAGATATTAAATAATGTAAGATGAAAGGGTTGGGTTGAAAAGAAATTACAATAGGCGTATGTGCGAGACCAGCTGCATGGTGTGAGGTTTGCACGGGCTTGTATATGTAGGCTGAAGAGGATGGATCCTGGTGCGATGGTAACAGCAGCGGTGGACGCTGGGCTCTTCAATGCGATGACGGCAGCATTCGGTAGAAGGCGGTGCCGTAGTAGACGCGATATAGCATTGTGGTCGCCCAGACGACACTGCGAGCACGAGACTCGCGGTGTCTCTGCAGATTGCTTTTGGACGTATGACGAGCCGAGGAAACAAAACCAACAAAGCAGACCAATGCTAGAAGACGGCGGGTGGGCGAGGTAAACACGGGGCAGACGGCAAGTGTAGCAGAAATCAGACCAAACAGTTATGCCTTCGAAGGTAAGGCAACTCAGGCCACGCGAAGGATGCCAAGAAAAGCGTGAACTCACTGGAGCCGTTCGGAAACTTTGCGTCCCCCATTGAGGGGTCTGGAGACAGGCTGGCCATGCTATGTGGTCTGCATTGATCGACGAGCGCAACCTCGCGTGCGATCAGTTCGCAGTTGTTGCGAGGTGTTGGTGGGGATTGCCGCGGCACAAGCACAGTCTATCTACTCTGTATTAGACCGGCACGCCAATCAGTTCCGGGTCAACGGAGAGTAACTGACAAGTGAACCATACGCAACAGAGGGCGGTGGGTTGCGGTATCTGTGCAGGACGGCAGAAGCAAGGCGACGAGTTCTTTTGCTCGATAATCAGCAGCGGTCGAGAAGACGTCGGGTGGGCTTGGCAATGGTGGTGGTGAGGCGTGAGCCACGGGCGGGTCCTGTGGCGAGTATTGAGACACTGTATGGTGCTTGTCGCGTCGCAGGTCGAGGCCACACAGAAGCGAGGAACGGGTCGCGGCGGATATGCTCCTTTAAGCGCCACCGAACAACGACTGGCTCCGTTCGAGTGGAGAAGATCGGGGAGGTGCAATTGCAAAAGTCTGCACAGCCTTCGCGAGCGATTTGGAATAGCTGCGTCAGTCTAAAGGCTCAAGCTTCATGCAGTTGCTTGGATTCGCGATGGACTCATGGGCCGGTGTGCGCAACGGCTCCAACGGCTGGGCCCGTCGTCAGTGCGGCGGGTAGTAGATGAGGCGGGTGAGGGACGACAGAGGGCAGGGAAGGCGCAGAGACAGCACCCGACGAGCAGCGCAGCGCAGATGGTCGCTGCGAAGCGGATACGGTAGCTCTTTTATCTCTGCGCTGCTCTCTACGGCTGAGATGCTGTCACCGTCGCTGAGGGCTGGACTGGACCCATGGCAGCCCATTGGCTCGTGCCTGCGTGCCCTGGCGGAGATCATGGAAGCCACCGACTGCCCGCCTTCCGCATCCATCACCAACACCATCACACCCGTGGACTGCCTCGCATCTCGTGTCCCCCAGTCCGCTTCTCATACTGACCGGCACCACAACCAATCTCTCCGCTTCGTCAATCTGCCTGTACACCATGCTCCGGCCACAATTGCTATTTTCATCTCCCACGAGGCCTTGAGTGCGGGGACGGCCAATCATGACCACGTCGCATATAGGCAATACTTGCTTCACTTGGCTCCAAGCCTAGGTCTTCACAAAGACTTTGGAAAGCAGCAGTGACGCAGGATTGCTGCATTGTGCTATGCGTAGGAGCTGTCACCTGAGGATGCATCGATGGTACCTAGCTGTACCGCCTGCAGTGATTTGGAACGCTAACGTCACTGGTGCACCCTTGTACAAATCTTCTCTCACGCTGCCAAGTAGACTGGAAATCGTATTGTGAACTCCTCTATTGGTACACGAGCGGTATGGTTCTCGCCGACCCCGCTCCGTCTATGCTCGCTTCGGAGCAGTGTTGAACACAGCCATCTTACGCGGCTCGCTTGGTTACACCAACACCTCACATGATCACGCCTTTGGCTTGTTCTGGAGGATGTCCTCGATCTCTTGGTACACATCGTCGGTCAGCTTGGACAATATCTGCACCGCCTTCAAGTTGTCGTGGATCTGTTCCGTCTTCGAAGCTCCGAGGATGACGGTGCTGACGTTAGGGCTGCATCTCGGTCAGTATTTAAGCACCGATGCATGCGACTCTCGCATAACTCATTTGGGTATCACCTACTTCTTCGCAGCCCAAGCCAGAGCGAGCTGAGTCGTGTTGCCGCCGAGCTTCTCGGCTATCTTTCCAAGCTTCCTCACCTTCTCCAGCTTGGTCTTGCCCTCCTCCGACTTCAGCTTCTCGATTGTGTTCTTGAAGAATTCGGGGTTCGTGGCGAAGCGTGAATCTTCTGGAATGCCCTTGTCGTACTTTCCGGTAAGGATACCAGAGTCCAACGGAGACCAGATGGTAGTGCCCATCTGGTAATTCTTGAAGAGCGGCGCATACTCCTTCTCGAATCGCTCGCGGTGGAACGCATTGTATTGCGGCTGCTCGACAACGGGCGCGATTAGGTTGTACTTCTCGGCGATGTCGTGTGCCTCTTGAATACGCTCGGCTGGCCATTCGGACGTGCCCCAGTAGTACGCGAGGTTAAGGTCCCGGATCGTCTGTGTGAAAGCTTCGACAATCTCCTTCATTGGCACGCTGATCACGATTAGACCTCAGCAAAGCGGCAATCCGTCTGGGACTTACTCGGGATCATAACGATGGGCGAATACGACGTCAACGTAGTCGTGCTGAAGACGCTTGAGCGAGCTCTTCAAGCCTTCGACGATGTGCTTCTTGCTCAGTCCCCTGGTGTTGGGCTCCTGTCGTCCCGTTCCGAAGAAGACCTGTTACCATTAGCAATTGCAGCCCTCACGAAGCATGGGACAGGCTTACCTTAGTGCTGAGCACGTATTCATCCCGAGGCCAGCAGAGCTCCCGAAATGCATTGCCTAAGGTGGGTGTACAAAGTCAGTGTGATGTTTAAAAGTTGGGGAAGTGGGTAAGTGGGTGAAGTAGGTGTTCTGGGAGGTGCAAGGCTTAGAGTCTTGGACAATCGCCCAGCCTGAACACCCACATTGTACCCCGGCATTGCGTACCCATCTCCACCTCGCACTCGCCCTTTGCGTAAACTTCAGCGGTATCGAAGAAGTTGATGCCATAGCTCCATGCAGTTTCCATGCATTCCTTGACGATGTTTCCCTTCTGAGTCCCTCCGTAGGTCAACCATCCGCCAAGTGAGAAGACCGACACTTTCAGACCGGCGGCTCCGAGTCGACGGAACTGCATGTCCTTGGGGTCGAACTTGGATTCTACGGCCGGCATGGTGGGTGGTATTGACGTTCAACGGTGTTTGTTTGTTGTGAGAAAGTGGGTTCCTGTGGAATAATCTCTTAAAGGTTTTCAGCGGGGTTGTGCCTTCTATACGTATGGAGGGGCACCTTCATGTCGCATTTCAAAGCTACTCCCATTATCGTTACGTCATGCGCTTGACAAGACATCTGGAGCTTCGGCAGTCAATGTTCAGGGATCAGAGGCAGACAAGCGAGGCAATTGAGGGGCAAGAAGAGCCCTCCCCGCCCTCCTTCCGCAAAGGGCCGCAGCTGTGCCGCCGAAGTCACCGCGGCGAGAGTTTTGGTGTTGTGCTATGCTGACAGCCAAGAGGGCACGTCTTAGTCAACGATCCCCAACATTCACGCCCAACAACCACCATTTGCTTTCAGCGCGACGCACGACGCGTTCCTCACGTCTTTTCCATGCTTTTGGGGACTCAACGAGCGCAGCCGAGGCAGGACGGGCGCCACCATGCCCCACTGACGCCCTTTGTTATCCCCGCGATATTCGATAAGCCATCGGCTTTATTCTCATGTCGCCTATATCCGCACTGTCGTTGCAACCTTCCCTTTGGATAATGTGTTTACGTCTGTCGCTGCACGCAACAGTGTTTCACAACTTTGAGCCTTTGTCCACGCTACGTTTTGCATCTGGGCAGGGGTCTGCGGTTGCTTGCAGACGACCAATACTCTGCTGCGCCGTCAGAGCTCCCGCACACATTCCACATGCAGCACTGACAAGCACCTAAGCAATGCCAAACGCTCAATTCATACTGACAGGGTGCACAGGAAAGCTTGAATAAAGGGGTAAATGTTTTGAAACACGTTCGCGGCGCCGATCTCCAACTCAGCGCTACCCCACCACCAATCAAGGGCCTCATCACGTGGTGGCGCCAACCCTTCGTTGGCTGTCATTGCCTCTTTCACCCTGATCCCTCACATAATTTCTCGCCTTCTTGCTTGAAGGGGTAGCGACTATGGAACAAAGGATCATGGTTGTGGGGTTGGGATTCCATTCTTCTGTTGGTGAGGGTATATCAGGGGCGGTCACGATGCCTTCACGACATATCTCTTACTCATTGTCTCGTTCATTTCACATTCAACATTGTGAAGGCGAAGAGAAGCGTACATTCCTTTGTTGCTTTGATATTTATATTCTTACGTGCTGCTCACGACCTCTTTCTCCGTTATAACGTTCCTTTCCAAATACACTATCTCAAAGTTTAGAGACGAACCCCACAACTACAATCATTACAGCCAACAACATGGTTTCCACCCGCTCTATCATTATGGGCTGCGCCCTACTCTCCACCGCCGCCTTGGCCCTCCCAACTCCCCAAGACTCCTCCGACTCCGACTGCACCATCACCGCGGATGACCTTACTGCCATCGATCCCACCACTGCTACGTGTGCTAGCACAGGCGACTTCACATCCGAGTGCGCAGACGCAGCCACCGCTGCCCCGGCCATCAGCTCCGCCTTCCAAAAGTACGACATCACCGAACCCGGCGCCCAAGCCGCCCTCATCGCCATCATGCTTTACGAATCTGGCTCCTTCAAATACAACCACAACCACTTCCCTGCGCCGGGCCGCCCAGGCCAGGGCACGCGAAACATGCAGATGGCGCCGTTCAACGAGAAGTACGCAACCGCTTTGTATGGCGCCGACAAGGTCGCCGCGGCAAAGGCGCAGGGTGGCGAAGATGCGGTGCTGGCGCTTGTGCAGGGGGATGACGACAGCTTTGGGAGTGCGGCGTGGTTCTTGACTACGCAGTGTGATGCCAGTATTAAGGATGGGCTTGCGAGTGGGACTTCGGCGGGCTGGGATGCGTACTTGACTAGCTGTGTGGGGACGACTCACACAGCCGATAGGGACGTCAGCTGGACGAAGGCAAAGGAGGTGCTTGGGGCATAGCGGTGCGGACGAGCGGTGGGCGGTGGAGGCCAAGGGGGAAGTGAAGAGGAGGCTGAGGATGCACGGCTGAAGCCGAGTGCTGCTCGTCGTTTGAGCGTGACGCCGCGAGTGTGGCTTTCGCTTGTTGTCATATTTTTGTGCGTTTGATACCCGGCTTCTGGTGCAAGGTCGTGGGCACTGTGTGCTCAGCTTGCGAAGAAGTACGACCCTTTTTCAATTCAGTTTATATTCTTGCAAGAGTTTACATTAAACATTTCCTTTGTGAAACCTTTCAGAGTGGCTTCCCGAGATGTTGATTTACAATGTGTCTGCTGTGTAATTGACTAGTCTTAGAGTGTAGGGTTGCTTCGGGGCCGCAGGTTGGCATTCTTGAGATGCATTCCGACAAAAGAATCTCGCGTTTTGCTCAAAACCTCTTAAACATCGTGAGCGGACCATGCTAGAGTAACTTTGACTCTTTAGCTCGTTTTGCTCAACATTGTCGTTTAAACATGGAATTAGCGAATCTTCCTCCTGCTACAGCTCGATTGGCCGTCGAGCTACAGCTCGCAGACATCAATGCGGTCATGCAAGACTTGGGTGCGGGAGACGCGTACGCAGCTTTCGACGCGATGCAAGCAGGGCTTAAAGCGGCCCTGTCGCTGCTGCAAGATCAAATCTGTGCCATGGAGATCCTCAGAGCCGACCATGACGACCGAGTCCTCTTCGAGAATCTTGTCCTGGAGGAAAGGCAGGCGGAGCAGGATCACGAAATGGCGCGTGGAATGTGTGATGTCACTCATGGTGGGACCGGACATTCGACTCCAAGACCAGCAGAGTGCTTCGAGGTGCAAGAGCCATGGCTGGACGATACCTTTCAAGATCCTGATGCAAGACTTGGAGGCGCCATAGCAGAAGATTATGTCGTCAATATTCCAGAAGACACTTTTATCACCTATCTTGGTCACGGCGTCCAACGGGTTCAGCAAGTAACTGACGATCCGGCAGCTAGCTATGCCGAATCATCCACCCGACCAGTGGGCAAGGGCAAAGGGAGAGGCAAAGGGGCTGTTGACGATCATGTGACACATACGTTCTGTTCAGCCTGTATGGAGCAGTTCACGCGCTTCGATGTGCTAGAACTAGGCTGCAAACGCGAGGACGATGATACCTACCACGCTTACTGTAGAAGCTGCCTCGTTGACCTCTTTCAAACGAGCCTCACGGACACGACACTCTTCCCGCCACGCTGTTGCGGCAAATACATACCGGTACTTGCTTGCGTGGATCTCTTGCCGCCAGCGCTAGTGAAGCAATATCAAGACAAGCAGCTTGAATTGGCATCGCCAAATCCAGTGTATTGCAGCAATCGGTATTGTGCAAAGTTCATCAAGGCCGGAGACGTCGCCGCTGATGTTGCGGTATGCCAGAGCTGCAGCGCAGAAACCTGTACAGTCTGTAAAAATCCAAAGCATAATGGGTTGTGTCCGGATGATCCAACGGTACAGATGCTGATGGATGAAGCCGGCAAAAACCGGTGGCAACGATGTCCGCGGTGTAGGACTATGGTCGAACTACTCGTGGGCTGTTATCATATGCGGTGAGTCTGTAAGATGTGCATGTAAGCAAAGAAGGGCGTGCTAATAAATTGCAGATGCAGGTGCGGTGGTGAATTTTGTTACTTATGCGCAAAACGATGGAAGACATGCTCGTGCTCTCAGTGGGACGAGAATCGCCTTCTTTCTGTCGACCAGATGCTTGACGAGCCAGGGAACGAGATCGCAATGCCGGAGGAACAAGAGACGTTAGAAGCGGACCCCGCTCTTGACGTCTTGAACGACCTGCAATTGCGGGTTGCTACTGTTGCTGGGGGCTTTGCCATAACGAACAACGAGGAAGACGCAGGTTCTGATGGTGAGCAACTTATCGATTCCTGTCAGCATCACTGGAAACGAGCGTATGGCAAAGACGGCGATCTCGAGATTTGTGGAATTTGTTTCTTTCATTTGAGATTCGTCAATTCTTGCACACTTTGTAAGACGAAGGTTTGTAACCGATGTCTGAATAACAGACTATAGGCAGGAGTGACTTACGAGTGTGTATGTGTGGCTTTGGGTCTTATTTCTCATAGCGATACTTCCCTTGATCATCCTCATTGTTACCCGGTACCTGACTGCTGCTATTTTCATCCACCTCAGCGGACCGGCTCAATGTAATTACTAAATTTGAAGGCCTCATGAATCTCATCCTCCTCAGCCACACGATACGTTTCTGGAGATACGGAGCAACATTTCCAAAAATAAGTTTCCCAGTCAAATGACTCTCCTGCCTTACGACTCGGTACGGACTCTAGGCGAGTGGCAACTTCTACGGCTGTCGGTCGGTTTTTTGGATCCTCCGCAATCATATCGCCTAAGAGATCTAGAAGCAAGCTTGGCGGCGGTAGCGGATCCCATTGGAACCCAAATACATCCTTGTCGGGTAGCAACACTTTGCTTCGTAGTTTCTGGATCCACTGGTGTACTTGCGGTAACGTCAGGTGAAAAGCATCACTGTCCCCGCCTTGCGCTCGGAATACTTCAAACTCAGCCAGAGATTCACCTACACGGACGGTATACATGTCAAGAAAGACGCAACCCAGTGAGAAAACATCGGCAGCCCTGCCTCGTGGTTCCTGTGCTGCTACCTCTGGACTACACCATCTCTTTGTCATTGATGATGGGCCTTCCGTTTGAGATCCGTCTTCCTTGATGAAGGCCTTGCTGATTCCAAAATCGGTTCTGTTTCCGTTAATTATAAACTAGGACAACGCGATTGCTTGAAGCTTACAGGTAGACAGACCGCACTGTTGGGCGTCCGAAAGTGCGCCTTTCGTGAACCAAGATGTTGCTCGGTTTAATATCCATATGACGAATGCCCTGGCTATGCATATAACGGAGTGCATGTGTCAGGCAAAAGAAGAAACGCGACAGATCTCTCTGCGCCTGGGCCCACGGGGAGCTATTTCTAGACCAGAAATGGTCCGTAGGGCTCCATTCATCTAGAAACTTGGCCAAGTCTCCGGTTGCAACAGGATAAAGCAATATCGAGAAAGTGTTCTTCTGGAGATATGTGCCCACCATTTGTATGATATGGGGATGTCGCAATCTATGCAGATACGAGACTTCTGGGACCAGATCTTTCAGGCTTGCCTTACGTTTACAGGGAATCGATTTGCGAGCCAATCGTATTCTGAGGCAACGTACTGATTCGATCAATGCAGTGGCCGAATACCCAATTGTCTTCTCGACTTCTAGAGGAATATATTCGTTCTCCTTGAACTCGACGTGCTGGCCTCGTCCTGACCAGTTGAGCTCTACTTCTTTCGCTACTAGTAGCTTTTGCCCCTGCAGAGTCCTTCCGTATTCTGTGTCTGGGTTAAGACGTCCGGGGGTCTCCAAGTGGCTCTTATATCCTGGAGTAGCGGTGAAGAAAGCCTCCGGTGTCGCGGGATCATCCGTGTCTGCCATATCCGTTTGCGACGGCGCCTCTTCAGAAGGAGGCCCTCGGGTGGGCGAACACAGCGTGGCTCCCCAGAGACAGGCCTCGCAACCAGAACATGCGGCGTCTTGGAGGTTTTGCTCCATTGTGTGCGATATGTTGTTCTGTTGTCGTATTGACGGCGGGGCATCAGGCTGATGCACATGAGGTCAACCTCACGGAGTGCCATCTTATTGGTTAGCGGCTTGTCATCGATGCCTATAATCTGCAGTGCTCTTCGTATTTATGCGCCCTAGTGATCTCCGCATTAGTCCTTAGCTACTAAGCCCATTGTTTGTCAAAACTCGTCCCTGAATAGTCTAATTGCTCTTGGTGAAGATAATTTCTTACGGTCAACTGCTATAGCTATCAGAAGCGGGTAGTGGCTACGGGGCCTGCCTCCTATGATTCTCTCCTTTGATTATGATCATTCCGTGACATCAGAAAATACCGATAAAAGTAGGTGTAGGAGTGATGCATTATCAGAGCGGCTAGGACTGCACTGCCTATGAATAACGCTAGGAAGCTCCTGCCGAACACCAGAGACCCCTGCCTCAAGAGGATGCAGGTCAACGTGCCCACACCTGCCTCAACAACAAATATCACCGTAACAGATATGCCGATTTCAGTAAACTAACAGGTTTAGCAACGAACTGTCACAACGCCTATTCGTACCAACCAACGCTCACGATCGTTCCCCAATCTAGTACATCCTTTACACATTGCTTGCGATCGATGGACCCCCTCCGCTTGAAGATACTCCTATCGAAATGCAGAGCAGTGACAAGATTCATGAGGTGGTTTCTTTGAAAGTGCGACGCGCGCTTCGCGTTACACATGTCGTGCTATGTACATTATAGAATTACAGATTATATACTAACTATGTCCAGCCCTTATTCATACACAGCCATATACATTATGTCGACTTTTCAAGCAAGTCGCACAAATCCTAGATTCCATCCAGGGTATACAACGCCAGCCATGCGCAAGCAAAACGCGCAAAACCAGAATGCCCGCCAGATCGCCAATTATAATGTACACTCTTCATCCAGGTCCAGCCCTGATGCAGCCACCGCCACGCCACGCCTCCCTCTCACTTCTTCCCCTTTGGACTGCTCGCCCGAGGGCTCATAGGAAACCAGCTCACCCCATTCTTCATCTTCGTCGCAAACACAAGATATGCCTCCAGCGCCTCCTGCTTGGTCGCAAACGTCTTCTCCCTGTTCATCCACATCTTCAAGTACTTGTCCGACCCTGTGTCTTTGAGCGCGGCATACCACTCCCCTGTCGACCGCTGCTTGAGCACGATGGCGAGGCGTCGTCCGCCGAGGCCGGTCACACCGGAGACTTGCTTGAGGCAGGCGGATTTGAGCGCGGAGAGCGGGTCGTCGTCGTCTTCGAGGGGAGAGTCGACGCGTTTGGGAGGGGATTTGGAGCGTTTAGATTTGGAGGGTGTGGAAGATGGTTTGGAGGACGTGGACTTTGTTGATGATGAGGCTTTTGTTGGTGGTGCGACTTTGGGCGAGGACGGGACCTTTGGTTGCGGCGTGACTTTGCTTGACGAAGAGGATTTCGAAGACCCGATCTTGGGAGAGGATGGCTTCGAGGGTTCCTTGCTTGATTTTGACTTTGAAGAAGACTTCTTAGGTGTGGGGGCCTCTGGAGGTGGTGTGGTCGTCTTTGAGGTTGGTGTCTTCGGGAATGCGCCTATTGCTGTGGCTATTGGTGTGGCTTTTAGGGGTGCTGCCTCGGGAGGTGCTTTCTGTGAAGGCTTAACCTTTGGCGTAGATTCCTTAGGAGCCGCGGCTTTTGACGCTTTTGTTTTCGAGGGCGTAGCGGCTGCTTTTGGAGGTGCTTCTTTTGCAACATTCTTTCCCTTCTTCCCCGGTGTCGCAGGCTTAGGTTCAGGCGCAAGATCAATCAAAGACTCATCAGGAGCGCTTGTAGTTGGCTGAGAAAATTGCCCACTGGCGATCTGGCGCGCGCGTTCCTTCACACTCATAAACATTTTGACAGCGCAGTAAAAGTACAGGTACAGCAGATCGGCATGGGGGATGCGCACGCTTTCTATGCAAACGGCTCGTTTACTACGCTCTGGCCACAGTGTGCACAAGTGTGTGGACCCCAGGCTGCTAACGAATACCCGAGTATCTAGAGTCAGGAGGAAAGTGGCAAACGGCACGTAATTACCGCACGGTAAAGGGGCGAATCTGTGCAACATAAGCAATAAGAATAGGCAGTCGACAATGACACGTTACAATAGTCATCACGGCATAGCCACCCTCTGACCATTTCAATGTGAGCATTGCGGCTGCGCATGTCGTGCATAAATCGTGCATGCAGGAGATCGGAGAGAACAGGTAGGCGGGTGCGGCTAGGAGGCCTAGCGTAGACGCATCGAACCCACCGGTTTGCACATCTCTCCAATACTCGAACCCTCTTCGACTCTATTAAGGTCCAATAGTCATGATGGAGCTCACTACGAGAGCTCCAAAAGGGCGAATTCCTCAACGCGAAGACCCGTAGTTTCTTCACGATGTTTTAGCAAGGTGCCATGCATTCCTCCGATCGCAGCAAACTGCTGCCCTCCAATATTATCATACCATTCCAGAAGAATACACAGACGCTCATCTAAACACAGAATCACGAACCAAAAGCCAAACAATCCAGAACGGCTTCTATAGCGCCCAAAAACGGGTATCATAACATAATTGCGAAACGTCTAAACTCAACCAGACCATTTGACCCTGCGCCACCTGTATCCCATCCCTTCTATTGCGGTTCCTGATTCGGCCTTTGGTTTTCCTTTCCCTCCTTCCCATTCTCCAACCCGGTGAAATGATCATGCAAAAAGGTGTCCACCCACTCCTCCGCGCCCTCCGCCTTATGCGTCAACCACTCCCACCAATTTTGCTTCGAGGTCGGCTGCGCACTGAACGTAGGCGATGCTTTACTGGGCTGTGCGGGTGTTGCCGCACTCGATGAAGGAAGGGCAAGGCTCACAGTGACAGCTTCTGCGCTGGGTGATGGAGAAGGCGATGAAGAGGAAGAAGCGGAGACGGGATCTGCAGGTGTCTCGTCCGGGAGGTTGTCTTTGTCGGAGTGCAGGCCTACGGGTTTCAAGGGGAGACGTAAAGTGCCGTTATTAGCAAGAGGCGTGATGCCAACGGAGTCGCAGATGATGTTGTAGACTTCGATGTTTTCTATCGAGCATTAGCAATGCAACTTCTTGATCTTCAATACAGACTTACGAAATGGTTCCACGCGGCTATTGGGTGTATGTGGAAATGCGGGACCACGTGCGATGAAAATCGCCCTCATGAGCGGATGCTCGTGGTCGTAACCATGAACGCCGCGAGGGTGATACACATCACCATTCTTGATCATGTCCTGTATATTGCCGTCTGCTTCAGCAATGACAGCCCACCCCGTCTTCGGGATGATCCACAGCGGCGCGATGCGCTCGTTTTGCGAAAAGTGGTAGCGCTCTGGCATGTCCTTGTCACGGAGGTAGACTTCAATGCTGGACATGTTCTGCGCTCTGTCGATAATCTGCTTGTGCAGGCGTTCGACGTCACTTATTTTCTTTGGCCGAAGACCGAAATGAGGCCAGCCGTCAATGTGCTCGATCTCGTTGGGGTCGACGAGGTCTTCGAGCTGGACGAGGCGCGAGGTGTCAGTTGTGGCCATCCCATGGTCTGATACGACTACTACGTTCACGATATCCGTGAGGTTGCGCTCTTCTAGTCCTTTGAGGATTTCGCCGACCATGGTATCAGCATTGTTGATGGTTTGTCGGATCTCCGTGCTGTTGGGTCCGTATTTGTGCCCATCGCTGTCCACGTCCGGCACATACGTCAAAATGAGTTGCGGTCGGGGTTGGTCCGACATCGCGCCTATATCCATCGGTCCAGGGAGGTCGAGGAAGCCCATGACGCGGTCAACCTTTCTAGGTAGAACTTCCGAGCCATTGTACTTGTCCACGTAGGCGGGTTGGAAATCTTCAGAGTGGACTTCGGACCCAGGCCACATATGTACCGCGACCCGGACATCCTGCCGCTCAGCAGTCCGCCAGAGAGGCTCGCCGCCCCACCAGTACGGTTGCAGAGACCTTTCAGGGTCGGTGTAGTAGAACTCCTTCTGCAGATCTTCATCCCAGAAGCTGTTTCCCACGACACCATGTGCTTCCGGGTATAGGCCAGTTGCCAGCGTGAAGTGATTCGGAAATGTAACGCTGGGGAAGCTGGGGCGCATGTACTTGGGCGATATGCCTTCCGCTACGAACTTGTTGAGGGTGGGAGTCAAGCCGCGGTACAAAAAATCTGCGCGGAAGCCGTCGAGAGATATGAGGATCGTTGTGGGTGCGAATAGGTGTGTGCCATTGGACACCATTGCCGCAGCTTTCTTTGGGTGCTCTGAATTCGAGGCTCGATATGCGGCGAAGAGGAGGGCGAAGAACAAGGCTACAATTCCCCCGTAAATGCTTACACGACGCCATATGCGTTTCCGCCGTATCTGGTGTTCGTTAGCCCTGACCTCCAAGAGAGATATGGTGCATACCTGTCTCTGTGTCCCGACACCCAACAACCTCCTCTCATCGCTCTCGCTCGATCTCCGATCCAAACTCGGGGTAGATATGCCAACACCTTCTTCCATTTCGTACATGAGCGCACTCGATTCGTCATTGTGTCCTCTCTTACCCCTCTTCTTCGTCGGCGCATTCTGATCCCTCTTCCCAATCCTCGCGCCCTTCTTGTTGAACAAGGCACCCAATCCATCCTTCTGCGTCAACAGCTGCTCTCTTTCATCCTCCGACTCTAGGATATCGTGATCGTAGTCGCCTTCGGACACCTCTGAGCCGTAGCGGTCGTCGTCGGAGAGCGGGTCGATGAGGGTGCGCTCGTCGGCGCTGTCCGAGTCGCGTCTTCGGCCGATCGTTTCGCGTGTTGAGGTCGGCATGGTTTAATTGCGAACGGCAAAAGCACGCTCACATTGTAAGAAGGCGGAAATGCGGATACGCCCTTGAGGTTTAGGCCTGCGGAGCTGATCAAAGCAATGCCGCAGTTCCTTGGCGCCCATGTTTCACACGGCGAGGCGAGGGACCGAGTCGGACCCTGCAGTACGGTATGCACATCATCACTGGAATGAAAGTTGGCTACGACTTTTCATGTTTCGAACGCCGCTGAAATCACATCAATGTGCACGAAGTTACAGTGCAACTGGGATTTGCTTCAGGTAGGCTATTCTATGCTGATTCAAGGGATGCTGATGACCTCGAGCTCTTCGGCATCCAGCCATACAGCCCCCGTACTCCAAACCCTCCCACCCGAGTGCAACCATAAAGCCAGCCATACATGCTCAACAAGCTCTCCCCAACAGTACAGTCTTACTAGTCCTAGCCTCATCCTCACAGCATCCCGATGGAGAGTTATGCCCCACCCAAGCCTGCCACTTTCAATGTCCTTTTGGAGGAAGATCCAGAACTGTTGCTGCACATGTTTTGGCCATAATCTGCAGTCCACACGCCAATGCCCTCGCTCGTCCACTTCTAACGCCCTAGACGCCGGCTTCGGTTTGAAGCGTCCTGGGTTTTGTTGCTTCAGCTTTTGGAGGTAAGGTGTGATCTGGGAGGGCAACGTGCCTGGCGACATCACGGTGACCTCTGGAGCAGGCGGACAGACTACAGACGGGAGAGTATGGAAATCGACACGATGCGCTGGGGCTTCTAGATGTCCTACTTCGCTCGTCTCCTTGTCTGCTGAATTCACAGAGACGGCCGAATGCTGCGATGATGGGAGTTGGACCTTCTTCTGGATGGCGGCCTCATTGATATACTTGTGTATGCTCGGCTGTTCCTGGTCTTGAGCACCGTCAAGATGTGGTTCGACTTGAACATTCCCAGATGACGGCCTGAATGGAGTGCGGTTGATCTCGCTCCCTGCTACCTCATTGGCGCCGAGGGTTACATCCTCAAAGATAGAATCATCCGCCTCGTCCTCTGAGGCTTCTTCTGAAGTGGTAGACATATGATCCGGAAGCTGACTTTCCATGTCCCGAATCGCTTGTTGAGTATCTTCAATGAAAGTGCTATCGTCAGCGGGGAAAATTGAAATACTGTTGCTTTGTCGGCGATTGTTTGCTAAGCTGGATCGTGGAGTCCGTTGCTCTCTCCATCTGGTTTGAATGCGCTCCAACCGTTCGAGTCTGCTAACAGAGACATCCTCGGGTGAAGAAGGAATTTCATGATTCTCGGAATGATGCTGGTCATTGAGTTGGTCTCCTGAAGAGAGATGCGAAGGGAAACTTCCATACGAATCCATGCTCCGGAGGACTGTGGCCGCGGTGTCGGATGCTAAGGCTTGTCTTCGGGAACTGGTGGGTTCTGGAAGCGCTTCGTCATCTACAGTATTTTCACCTCGTCCATGCGGTTCAAATCCAAGGTATGCATCAGCTAGTGATCGATATAGGTCATCGTTTGCTCTTGTCGTGGGTGTGGATATGTGCACGAGCACTTCTGTTTTGTCCATGGCGTTGAATGCTCCGGACTCGAGGGTGCAGCGCAGACTCCATGTTAGCTCGACTCTTAAAGCCCAGAGTGAAGTTGCATTAGAGATCACGGGCGCATAGAATGTTGGAGAGGGGCAAAGGTGAAAGAGGCGGCGGCAGCGGCTCGGATAAACTAGCGGCGTGCCAAGAGTTTCTCCCACTCGTCGTTTTCAGAATTGTGTTGCGCGCGACCAAAACTGCCCCACGCTGCAATTCACCCACACATCATGGCGCCTGTCTCACTCCTCGACCTCGTGTCGGCGCTGCCTGCGAAGGAAGCATGGGGACCCGAGGTCTCCAGCGAGACTATGCTCGAAGGCGTCCCGTATGCGCCCTACTCGAAGGCGGACAAGCTGGGCCGCATGGCAGATTGGACAGACGGTAAAGACAGGGACCGGGGCGGCCGCCAGAATTACGGTGGACGCAACTACAGAGGTAATGGCTGATTCTGGCTGGGGACATAGAACGACCATATCTGACATACCCCGCAGATCAGCAGGTGTACGGCGCGAACCAGACCACGAACCCGTTCGCAGTACAAATGGCCGAAGAGGAGGCTACTTTCTCCGTCGTCGACAACGCACGTACATCGACCAGGACCAGGGGTTTCGGCCGTGGAGGTGGCACCGTCTTCGGTCGTGGACGAGGACGAGGTGGTCAACAAGCACAGCGCGGTGGGCGGGGCACCTTCCAGCGCGTTGGCGGACGCGGCGGACAGCAGGGTTACGACAACAGGGGCGGACGAGGTGGCCGAGGAGGCCGCCGCTTTGGCTGGAGGGACGACAAGCCGCAGCGCAACCGCGATGCGTCCGTGCAGGTCAAGCCAGACTGGCAGGTGTTGGAGGAGATGGACTTTGCGCGTCTGGGCAAGCTCAACCTGGCCACAGGCGATGGCGAGGATATCGACAGCTACGGCTTCCTCTACTACTACGACCGTAGCTACGACAAGCAGCCCGGTGCTGTCACCTCCCAACGCAAACTCAACGTCCTCGAGCGCGCCGCCTACAATGTCACCACCTCAAGCGATCCTATACTGCAAGAGCTGGCCGAGAAGGATGAGGCTACCATCTTCGCCACCGACAGCATCCTCTCTGTACTCATGTGCGCGACGAAGTCTGTATACTCGTGGGATCTCGTCATTACCAAGAGAGGCAGCAAGCTCTTCATCGACAAGCGCGACAACTCGAATCTGGATATGGTCACGGTTAACGAAAACGCGACGGATGCACCGCTCGAGATGTCAGAAGGCAACAAGGACACCATGAACAGCCCTGGCGCCTTGATGCTCGAAGCAACCCATATTAACAATGTCTTCCCGCTTCAAGTCGTGAACGAGTCGCAGACTAACAAGGTTGAGATGCCTCACGAACACCCCTTCTACAGCGAGGAGGTTGAGAGCGATCCCCCAGCCTCCAAGGCCTACAAGTACCGCCGCTTCGATTTGTCGTTGGACCAGGACGAGGAGCCACTGCACCTCATCGTGCGGACAGAATTCGACGCTGTCGTGAAGAACAACATCAACGGCGAAGATCAGTACTTGATTATCAAGGCTCTCAACGAGTTTGACAACAAGGCTCAGGGTAGCGGCGGCGCCCTCGACTGGCGGACGAAGTTGGCTAGCCAGCGTGGTGCTGTTCTTGCCACCGAGATGAAGAATAACGCTTTCAAGCTGGCTCGATGGGCTACCCAATCTATCCTTGCGAAGGCCGACTCGATGAAGCTTGGGTAAGAATTTCCAACTATGTCGCAGACAAATGACTAACAAAACCCAGTTTCGTATCCCGCGCCAACCCGAAGAACAATAACGATCATGTCGTCCTCGGCGTGCTCACCAATAAGCCCCGCGACTTCGCCAACCAGATGGCCCTCAACCTCAACAACGGCTGGGGTATTGTCCGTACCATCGCTGACATGTGCCTCAAGATGGACGATGGCAAGTACGTGCTCGTCAAGGACCCGAACAAGTCCATACTTCGGCTGTACTCAGTTCCAGAGCACACTTTCGAGGAAGAGATTGAGGAGGCTCCTATTCAGGAGGAAGAAGAGAATGAGTCGTAATTGTTGCATGTGATACGATTTACGTACTCGATTGGTCCAGGTGGCTTTATGAGGAATGATGGGTAGACAAAATACCACGATCTGATATGCTTCATGGTCGTTTGAATTCGATTCTTTTTTTATTGGCGCAATTGTACGCAGGCAGCTATCTGCTAACATGTAATAGTAGAGGATTCACCACCTCTTGCATTCTGAATCTGCCGTCATAGCAATGCACACGTCTGCTAAATCCAACTGCTACTTTCTCAGCTACGTGCCTGCAACTATACGAACGGACCGCTTAACTCTTTCTGTAAGCCCAGGTCAAGCGAAAAGCTTGTCTCCAAGCTCAAGCGAAGCATCACACCTGCGTCGTACCCCACCATGGATCCCATCAGCTATCCTACGACATACGAATATGACGCCCTCCCTACACCTCACCATATCCGCCTTCTTCACATACATACCGATGGTAGTGACGATGACACGACTTTCGAAATTGTCATCATCAAGCTACCTACCGACTCGGAGCCATTTGCATTCGAAACCCTGTCATACACATGGGGTGCCCCTAGGCGCGTGGCTTCTCTTTCCCTTCACAATAATTCAGGTGTGATTGGATTGACGCAGAATCTGTCGCAGGCTATACCGCATCTTGTACGCACTTCCCAGACAAGATACCTCTGGATCGACCAGCTATGCATCAATCAGAACGACCCAGGTGAAAAAGCACAACAAGTTAGCATCATGGATAAGATCTACAAAGCCGGCTCTCGCGTCATCGTCTGGCTTGGTCCTGCAGATGAACACACCACCATAATCAAAGAGTGGCTTCACGAGCTTGAACAGTGTCTCGCAAGCAGAGAGGATGCCCACAAAACCCTCCCCACCCACAAGGCCTACAACCACAGCGTACGCATGCTCGTTGTCCGCTCGACCTGGGTTTCTACAGAAACTGACCCTAAGTACGCTATCGCCGCTCGCCGCTTTTGGAGCCGTCGCTGGTTTCGCCGCAGTTGGGTTGTGCAGGAATTGCTACTCTCGCGCGCCGTCATCTTCCTCGCTGGCTCTTACACCTTCACCATGCAAGACCTGTCTGATCTACAGACACTCCCACCAAACATGGCTTTGCCACCGGTCATGAGCGACGAAGACAAAGACAACACCAAGGCGTACGACACACTCATGAGCCTCAAGCGCTTCCCCTTCACAGATCGGCAACCCCTGCGGTTCTTAAAATTCATGGCGCAGGTTGCTAGCGAGTTTGAAACCACCGAGTTAGTCGACCGCTTATGCGCTTTCTTAGGGATGCTAGAAGGAACCTCATTTCGCCCAGACTACACGCGCACTATAAGCTACAACTTTACGGCTTTTGTAGTCAGCGTGGCGCAGACGTATGGCAGTATCGACTTCCTGTCCCTATGGTCCGCAAACATAGACGCAAAGATCGAAAGCACGCCAGACGAGCTGAAGGGCTTCGCCAGCTGGGTGCCCAGTTGGACGTGGCTTCCGCTGATGGCACCGTTCCGTCTTGTGGCAGGAACGACCCGCGCATTCTTCTCCAACGTCAAGTGGGATGCTGCTGCGGGGCGGAAACATGCGCATCAGCAGAATGAAGACGCTGTTGAGACGGAGAGACTACACGTGAGAGGTGAGATCATTGACCGTGTTGCACGCATCAGCAGCGCGAAAATAGACCGCTACTTCGGCGACGCAGACGATGCGTATCTTGAAGGCATTGCGGCACAGATCAAGTCTGATCTCCCAGACTCGGGCTTTGGAGTTTGGACGCGTGTTGATCTCGTACGGTTTCTCAATATTATCTCTGCGAACGGGGCCACGCCGAAGGAGTCAGCTGAGGAGGTTCTAGGTCTTAAGAAGAAAGAGTGGAGTACCGGGTTAGTCGACAATCTGGGATACAACGAGTCTCTTTCTTCACGCCTTTCCATAGGACGGGGAAGACGATTTGCTACAACGGAGCGCGGTAGGATGGGCCTTGTACCGTTCATTGGGACTAGGGCGCAGAGTGGAGAGGAGAAGGGTTCAGCCATTGCAGTGTTGCATGGATGTATCGTGCCGGTTGTGTTGGAGAGCGTGAGTGAGGAAAGAGACGAGTGGACGGTGATCGGGGATTGCTATCTCGAGGGGTGCATGCATGGGGAGGCAGTGGAATGGACGGAGGATGAGGCTGATACATTTGTTTTGGTGTAAGTCAGCCTGGATGAGGCCCTGGCTGGGAGGTCGCAGATTGGAACTTTGACCGTTTCTGCAGACGTCCCAAACGAAAGCACGCAAGCTTAATTTAGTAATCAGAGATTCAATGCACGGCACTATCGAGGCTGATAGATGCATCATTTTCCATTTCGTCGAGCATTCGGACTATAGATTACTTGGACTATTGAGTCCAACCTGAACATCTCATCAAGAATTATATCAACATTACAGAAACTAATTCCCACGCATCATTCCAAGGTTCGTGTACATATCGTCTTAAACCTGACTCTATGCGCACGCCGTGAAGACAACGTTCTGGTCGCTTGATCCCACCTTGACCTGCGAACCCCCAGGGTTTGAGCCACTCGGCCAGTCGATGGTAGGACTTCCGCTACTCGTAACCGTGACGTGTTTTCCACTGAACGGCTCACCAAAAGCGGTGCTCAAGTCATACCAGACTGAGCCACCATCGAGGCTGTATGAGAAGATTTGCTGCGGAGAGCCATTGTACAAGCCATCATTCACCGAGGTAATTTTAAGCGCAATTCCGCCGGATGTGGCATCGCTATGGAGTAGCTCGGTGAAATTTCCACCTGAGAAGCGTGAGACCGGGTGGGTAGAGCATGGGTTGATGGGAATGTACCTGGCGCGATGGTCTGTTTGGCACCTACTGAGGAGCCTACAGACCATGCGTAGATGGTGCTGGTGCACTTGTTCGATACAACGGCATTGCCAACAGCTGCGGCAGAGGATGCGAATATAGCGAGGGCGGCGATGGTGCAACGCATGGTGTAACGAACGTAGTGAGCTCTAACAAAGCGAATGGAGGATTTGTGGCAGGAGCGATCGTGTGTTTGACTCAGTATAAGGCCAAATGTCAGAGGAGAGGTGGAGCGAGGTCGAATTTATACCACATCACTCGACTCTTTTTACTATGCTGCATGGTCAACATCATGCTATTCATCACCTGCTGCTATGCAGCGACCGACGACTATCGAATTACAGGGAAGTCGAGCCATTTCGCGATTCCGATCGTAGATCTCCCTATATGAGGCGACGGCATGATGAGAGCCGCAAAAATAGTACCATTGCTTTTCCTTTTTTGGAATCATCAATACTTGTATAGATTGCATGTGGGCACCTCGGATGTCGCCGTGCGGGGAAGTCACGGTGTGAACACAGACAAGGGTATACAGCAAGCGCACCTGGGCATAGTCAGATTTCTTGGAATCTCGATACAGGCGTTCAATTCTACGACTACTGAGCCTTTCGTCGACCAATAAACATAGGACAACGATTAGATGAGCGCAGAATTGGAATTTTCCAACGTAACAGTTGCAAGCAATTATTCCACATCGGATTCAGCCGGCCTTGAATTACAGAGGAGGCCCAAAGTTTTGCCGTCGTTCGTAATCATCGAAGATGTCGCTTCATGCGTCGCGTGATCTGGTCGACCTTCTCTCGGGTTGCTGCAGATGCTTTCATTCCACACACAAGTACCTCATTAGAAGTCTCCACACAATTCGCTTAAGGAACTCACGACGAGCGCTACTCAATTTTCGCCGTCTTTGCTTTCATAGCTTCCAGCTTTCTTTGATGTAGGTCATCCGTGCGGCGGTGCGTATGGTGAAATTGAATTTTGACCATGGACATCAATCAAGAGCCTGGGATCGTTTGGGCGCAGTGAACAGTTATCAATGCGTTGTACCTTTCCAGAGACAACCTGAACATCACAACTTATGTGTGTTCAATGTCTGATCGTCAAACTACGTAGATAGATTAATTCTCGTATGGCAGGCCAAGCAAACAACGTCCTCTGGGGAACGATACGCAGACTTTGGTTGATGAATCTAATACAGAGAACAGGTCGTGGGACGCGATGTGCTACGCAAGGCTGTAACAACAACATACAATGTGAGCGATTCTCAGGGCAGATGATAAGCAAGCCGCTCCTCGAAAACTCGACCGCTATACTATTTTGGAACATAATATCACATTAAATGTACGAATAGACTGTGTGTTGAGCTACTCATGACCATGGTGAATTTTGCAGGGAAAATGGTCGTTGCTTCTAGTATTCACTGCGCTAACACTGCGCTAACCTCCTCGAGTTTACGGTACTTTTTAGCGTCCTGTAGTTCTCCTACGACTGGGTATATAGTACCTTCCTGTGAGGTTCTCCACCCCTCACACTTTCAGGCATGCCTCTTAATCGCCCTGGAGCTCCTTCATTCTTGTGGATCGAATCTCTCAACGTTCGGTCCACGAGTATGACGCTACAACCTCGAGGTCAACTCGAAGCAGCAAGGGAATCAACCCCTAAACCTCTGGGTGATCTATTGTACGTAATACTCACTCGTTGAACCACTGAGCACTGTGCGAGAGGTACTAATATCCAACGAGGAGCAAACCCAATGATACGACTGCCGACTCGGAAATACTGATCCACGAAGAATACTTGCGCATAAACATTGACTCGATGACTTGGTTCAAGTAGGTTGGACACGAGAGCCTTCTTTCAGGTCTCGCTAACGTGATTTAGACGCGGCCACAAAACAATCGAAGATTCCCTGCGAGCTAGTCTGTACAGCATTGGCGAAGACATACAAACGAAGCTTCCCCGTGAGCTGCGAGACCGTATCTACCAATACTGTCTTGAGGATTATCCTAATGACTCGCATGACAGCTTGGGAACCCTTGTTTGCAACCTCGGATTTTGGCGGCAGTACATTGGCCTCGACACGATCACAGAACTTGCCATGGCGATCTACTCCACTTTGTCCCATAGACGTCGCGTTCGGGCGCCTGGCTATGATCACCACGATGTGCTGTCTTGGCAGCTTGATGTGGAACTTCTAAGGCGCTTTCTGGAGCACGATGCTTTCGGGCTCGGCTTTAGACCGTTCGATTACATGCGCACCGTCAGCATCCTTCTTGACAACTGCCCAACTCTTGAGGTTGGTCCAGATTCTGAAGTGCTCCAAGAGGGGACCCTCACATATGCTTCCGGCCGCAAGGTCAAGCTGAACCTCTGGACCTGTTTCATACAGCATGTTCCCGAACTCGAGCGCATACTCCGCGACTTTCACAAGATCTACGAAGTACTTGCTCCCCAGGAATGCACTTTGACCGTCAAAATGTTATACTGTGGATTTTATAAACCTAAGTGCGATGGAACTGAAGCCTATGCTTCTCTGTCACTTGGTGATCTCTATGCAATTCCTCCAGAAGATTGGCAAGATGAGATCCTGAGCCGTGCTGACGCTCCTGGACTGACCTGGCTGCGTGGACATTGAACACTTTCGACATGGGTATGTGCTTCGAGACTTTGTTAACAATCTTCACAACAAAGTTTGCTCTGTTGTACTCAAGCGTTTCGGACTAAACGTTATTGGTCGGACATAGCAGAGGGAGGTGCGTGGGAATGAATCAGCGGGAGATAAGGCTTGTAAATCGATCTTACTGAGATGGGGATTTGAGCTGTCAGACAATCCAGACGACCATTATATCAAGATCGCAAGATTTACCTGGGCTAGTCGAGTTCTTTAGGCAGCAACTTTGTGTGACTGCATGTCCCACTCCATGTTCTCTCATACAGATAGGTCATGAAATCGAATTTGGATGGAGGCATTCCTGACTAGCGGGTATGTGAGTGTGGCTTTTCTCCCAACAGCAGGTCAGTGTTGCGTAGTTCCTAAGGGTGATCTAGGTAAAATTAGTAGTGAGCTCAGATCTCGCGTACTATACCTTCGTGCGAAATATTGCTGCCTGATAAGGCCCACCAACCTATGTACAGCTAGTATAAATACGTCCAAATCGCTTGCACACCCATGAAACCATATACAAATTACTTATTTCCGCATCATATCGTCATTGGCGGTTGGGCGGTCGATCTTCCGAACTGTGATCCCTCCGATGCAGAGGTTCTGTGCTTTCACCAACTGATCGTGGACCTTGCAACGACTGCATCTTCTTCATCGAACCTCGACTATGCCACCTCTTTCTAAAGACTTTAAGGACGAGCTCAGGGCTAAAGCCAATGCGAGTCTGCAACGACATTACAAGAGTCTCGACGATGAGGCTCAAAACATCAATCATGATCTTCCGTCGAGGGAGATGCTGGCCTCATTCACGGCTCATCTTCGATCTTCGAAGCGAATTCTTGTCTTGATCGGCGCTGGTCTGTCAGCGTCATCTGGAATACCGACTTACAGGTCCGCTGGAGGCTTTTCGAGGACGTTTTCAGACCAGCAGCTCGCAACGAAGGGCGCGTTTGAGGACGATCCCATCTTGGTGTGGCAGTTCTACAATTATCGGAGGAGCCAGGCCAAAGCTGCGTTACCGAACCCAGCGCATCACGCGCTTGCGGAGCTTGCGGCAAAGAAACCTGGGTTACTGTCGGTCAACCAGAATGTCGATGGGTTGTGCCAAAGAGCCGGACATCCCAGCGAACAGATCATCAACCTCCATGGATCTTTGTTTCGCGTGAGATGCTTCGACGATGCATGTGATTACGAGGAGGAAAATTACAATATTCCCATTATTCCACAGCTGCCAGTCACAGAGCCGCCTGGGGTTCTGGACTCCGCCGATTCAAGATCTGCGACGTCTGGAGTCAGCATCGATGAGCTACCACATTGTCCGAAGTGCAGAGTCAACTTGCTGCGCCCAGCGACGGTGTGGTTTGGTGAAGGTCTTCCGGAAGCAAAAGTTAACCACCTCAACGGGTGGCTGTGCGGAGGTGATTTAGAAACCTCTGTAGACGCGAATAGCGCAGTTCAGGATAAGAAAGTGGATCTAATGCTTGTAATCGGAACATCGGCCACGGTGTGGCCCGCAGCAGGATACATAGGTCGTGCGCGGAAGGCAGGCGCTCGTCTCGCCTTTTTTAACATGGAGGCGAAGTCCGCTGGTGTGTCGAGACCAGAGGAAGACGAGTGGATGTTCCTAGGAGATGCAGCTGAGCTTGTTCCGAAAGCTTTGGAGGGGTTTCTGGATGGATATGGTTATGTTGACTAGTCTCAGCTCTAGCGCCTACCCCAAATGCACACAAACTCCGCATCTAATGCTCCCAGTCTATATAACACCAAAATGCTCAAATGGACGGTTCGTTAGTACTCAGGATCGTATCAACTTCGGTTGATCGTGGTCAAGTCTTGCGTGTACCCATCTGGAGACAGCTCGTGGCGAAGTTCTGTACCTCGCCCACTGTAGATCTCTTTAGGTGGCTCGGCGGCGCATACTTCTATCGCGTCATTCGGCCGAAGGTATTCCGGCACCGTTGGTTCACTTAAGCTTTGAGTACGTCTCTTTCTTCGTCTGAGGAGCAGCCACCCGGCGGCTATAGCAGCAATAACAACAACCGGTATCCCCACGCCGATCCCGGCCTTAGCCCCAGTCGACATTCCTTCCGAGGGTGTTCCTGTAGACGTGCTCGTCGTGATCGACGTCGAAGTTGAACTCACGGTGGCATGGGTGAAGTCGGTCTTTGTTGTCGGCGTCTCGGTCGCAGCTGCGTCCAGAACTGCCTTATCCGACTCCTGCCACATCACCACCACTCCGTCCCCCACCACGAATGCCGGTGTACCAGCAGCATGTGTATATGTCCTGGTCATCATGTCTGAAGCATATAACAACGGAACGACATCATCCTGCTTGATGGTGGATATGCACTGGTGGCCGGCACCATGTGGGGCGGAAATATACGATCTGAGAAAGTCTTAGAGGTTGACCAGTGTCTCTGTGTAGGCAACATACGTGGGACAACACAAAGCTGCTGATGTCTTGGTCCCTAGTAGTAGGTCCTCAGTATATCCAGGAAGTGTGTTCTTGTATGTCTGGGCCTGGCTCCATCCTTTTGGGCATATTGCAGGACTGTCTATGATGATATCATGTTTAGATGGCAGCATATCATGCGGAAGGAGGGCACCTAACAGTAGTAGAGGCCCCAGTGAGCATCTTTAAGGCTTTTGGGAAGTATTGTTCCAGTAGGGTAGCAGGTCGGATCGAAGAGTCTATCCTGGCCCGAATGTCCGAAATAGAAGACGTTGACTGTGTTGAGAGTTGTGAATGTGGGAGTTGCCGTACATGACGTTGGTGGGACGAAGAGGGTAGTGATGGGTCCGCGGTTTCTTGTGGTATACTGAGACGGTGCTGTGAAGAGCGTATTTGACGACGAGCTTGACATTTTTGGACATTAAAAGCGAGCGCGTAGTATGACAGAAAGACGGTTTGGACGAAGCCCATGATTATAGGTTACAGAGGGGGCTTATTGTAACACAAAACTGCGATTGAATGTGTTCGGCCGAAACGCAGTCAAGTAGAAAACTCAACTGGGTAATTGGTCAAGCTGCAAGAGAGAAGGAGCGCCAAGCATAGCATTGCGCATTTGTCGGCCATGCCGTTCCGGCTGAACTAAGACTCCATTCCAAACAGCATGGGAGCTTACATTGGAAAATTGGGGGCGTGGTGCTATCAATAAGCACACGTGGAAAGCGAGATGAGAGGCAAACGTCGTTGGAATGACGTCATCATAGAACTGGAGATGTAGCCTTGCCTTTCTCTTGAAATTGTTGTCAGATCGCCCGATGCAAGCAGGAGGCTCTGCGGATTGTTGCTACCCTGGTTCGTCCTTGGATCTGACCACACGTGAGCGGTTAAGGCCTTGGCGGGTGGGGCTAGGACCGAGGCCATCTTGATAGACTTTCCGTGACTCCACAGCATCATCGTTATCTATATCTTAGAGGCAAACTGGTGTATGAAGCCATCCGCAGCAATGGCACGTCGGGTAGGTAAGCTTCAGCTCGAGCCTTCGATACGCCTAATAAACCCTGCTCATCGTCACCCAGATCCGGTATGTGGCACGTGTCGGAAAAAATGTCGGAAATGCGATAGAACAAAACCAGAGTGCAAGCGTTGTGTATCTCAGGGCTTGGTTTGCGAAGGATATCCCTTGAATATCAAAATATATGGCATGGAAGGGGGGACACTGCGCAAATCACGGCCTCGGACACGACGCGAAAGCGTCTCGACGACGATAACCACTAGACAAGCTGCAAAAGCAAACCTGCCATCGGCACCTGTGCTAGTCACGATAGCATCTCCGGATGGAGCAGCCTCAAATCCGGAATCTTCTTCTGGTACTGAATTGCACATGCCAGTCGAGTATGGCTCCAGATTACCTTTGTCAACGGCGAACCTAAAGCTTAGAGATAATGAGGACGTGCAGGGTTTATTGTTGTATTGTATGTGTATAATAGAACATGTTACTCCCAATTCTGACATCTCACACAGATGAGAATGTTGTGTGTCCGAAGCTTTCGGCCACCCCCGAGGGCGCGTCGGATCCTTTCGAGACCTATATTCTTCCGCTTGCTCTCCGAGACACTGGTCTACTAAAAGCCGCCTTAGGTCTCACAGCATGCCACCTAGCTACCCAACAACCAACACCTAATCGCCGACTAAATACCGCTGCGCTGGAGTACCGAGTGGCCGCTCTGCAGTCCTTGAGTGCAATCTTGCTGAAAGAGGAGTGCTTCAGCCTGAGCGAAGCTGAAGAGGAGACAGCCTTGGCAATTGTTCTGATGCTCGTACTTCATGATGTCGGTTCTCTTGTACCGCATGGGCGATTATCGACTGACAATAACTGTGTAGACATTTGAGTGCGGTAGATCAAACCACGGTGCGCACTTAAACGGTGTGGCCTTTCTGTGCTCTCGTCTTATCGAGCGATCTGGCGTCCTAAGTCCGAGCCAGATGTTTCTTGTTACTGCCCTGACATGGTAAGATAGGTACTGAACGCCATGCATTGCGTGCTGACACAAGTAGGTTTGACCTTCTACGTGGCTTTAGCGGCGCGGAGAAGCTAGCATTCCCACCCAATGTGCGCGAATATGTTGCTACATCAGCGGTGGCAACTCTCACGTCTTTGGTTGGCTGTCCTGTAGAGGTTTTCACTGCCATCAGTAATACTCTTGAAGGAGGTAAGAAGTTTCTCGCGCAAGAGCTTGGAGAAGAAGAGTTCCGGCTGTCTCTGAACGAGACCTTATTACGCTTGCAGGCTTGGGACCCATCCACTGGCCTCTATCCGAACGCAGACCCAGAATGGGTGAGCCTTGCAGATGCTTACAAACATATGGCGATGATACGCATACTCCGGTTCCCGGATCCATTCAGCATACCATGCAGTGATTACCGCATCCGCAATTCCGTTACAGCTATTCTCGATGCTTCGACATTAGTACCGCGGCACTCACCGTACTTCAAAAGGCTCTTGTTCCCACTATTCCTGGCCGCTGCCGAAACCGACTCACCTCACCAACAACAATACGTGGTTATGTGTGTTGAGCATATCAAAAGAATGACCGGAATCACGTATCACAGCATCACGGAACTCTTGGAGAAGACTTGGCAAGGTCGGAGGTTATCTGACGGATCGCGCAATGTGCCGTGGCAAGAACACGTACGTAATACGAATTCGCTCATTTTACATACCACTAACAAATGCAGACATGCTCCATACATCTCCCACGGCAACATGACTACTTATTCTTTTAATCGCTCGCATGCGCGCCGAGAGAAGAGACTTCGTCACACCAGCAAAGTCAATACCGAACCCGACTTCGCTCATACTCTTGTTCTGTGACTACATGTTTAGGCATATATCCAAACTTAAGGAACATCACGTTTCTCACGTATCTCAGCAACAACAATGCCTGCCTCCAGCCCGTCCCAGTCGATCTTGGGACCTGAAAAGTTCTTTCCAAGTGTGAACCAGAAAGTCATGATGATGGTCGTCAAACCAACAAGACAGACGCTTGTATAGTTCATACTATCTGTCCTTACTGGGAGCGAAGCGGGCATGCATACGCACACTCCGAGGACAACGATCCACAACACAGCAAAAGTGTTGCAGAAGTATCCTAAATAACCTAGCTTGAGCCAGCGGGGAGGGAGCTTGTGTCTGCCCTGAACCAGAAGGATGCCTTGCGGTACAACGTAGGAGATGTTGAGGAACAGAACGGCCGAGGTCACGATCGAGTTAAACGCTGTCGAGCTGGCGAAATAGAGGAGCCCATAAAGGCAGACGAATATGAATGCGGCGGATGTGGCTCGTGCCGGAAATTTTCTCTTCGCGTCGACGTGCGAAAAGTACTTGGAGAATGGGACTCCACCCTATCAAAATCATCAGCGGTGTTTGTGGATCTTTATAAAATATTAACCTACGTCTCTCGCGAAGGCCCACGCTATCCTTCCTGCTGTGAGGAATTGTGCTGAGAGCCCGATGATGTACACCACGAGGAGCCAAATGGAAAGGACCGCAGTCACTGTTCGATTTCCCGTCCTGCGAGGTGTGTAAGTAGAAAGCTACGCTTGAGCGCCGTAACACTCACGCCTGGTAGAGAAGCTCCAAACTCGGTAAAGGCGAAGATGTGACAGCTTCAATGTCTGTCATACAAAATGTCAAGGCTATCATTAATGGCAGGCTAGACAGAAGCCCGATGGCAACTGTCACGCTCATGACTTGGGGCACCCGTCGGCCAGGTTGAGGTATTTCTTCGCTGATATGGATTGCTGCGTATGTCAGTATCATGTCCGCATACAGTACCGAAACATAGTACTGGAGATTCATCGTGAAATATCTGACAAAGGCTAGAACAATTAGGGGCACTTACCGCCATCGGTTCCACCATACGCATACATTGCGTTGCAAATTCCGATCAACCAGGCAGTACCGTAGGACCAGCCACTCGTACCAAAGCCTTTCTCCGTGACAAAGGATCCCGGCTGCGTACGCTGTTTCATCGCAAGCACCGTAACGAACCATATTAGGCAACCGACCAACGAGATATATAGTGACAATTGGACGGTTAAGGGTATCTTCTTTGGGACGACATACAACGGCAATGCTGTCAGGTTGAGTCAGTGGGTGTACACGATCGCTTCGGTTTGGTTTCCTTACCAGTAATGAAGGCAACTGCTACGTAGATAAGCCAAAGTTGGTATGGCTGCACCACAAAGTCTGGGTGGAAAAAGGCCACTATGCCGGCAGTGCTCACAGCGGCCAGCGACACTCCAGAGCACGTCACCAGCCACCATGCCAGCAAGGACATCCAACCTGTGATGTACGCCGCAAATCTACGCGTTTTAGGTGGCGCAAGGATGTAGCAGAAATGATACTGGCCTCCTGAAGACTGAGCACAGCGTAGTCAGTACGAGTAACTATAGCCTATCCGGGCTGTTCTGGTAGAACTCACGGGATACGCGGATGCCAGCTCACTGAGACCCAGCGTGATCGTGTACTGCACGAAGAACGCTACGATCAGGCCAAAAATGACACAATTTGGTCCTCCATAGGCCAGATTTTGACCGAAACAGCTCTGCAGTATCCGATTCAGTGGAAAGACGTTTACATTGTGAAGGAGTCGACGTACCAGGTATCCGACCCATGAGTTTGTGATGGAAAACCCTAAGCCCAGAGCGCTGATCCAACTAAACTGGCGCTCGAGGGCCGCTTCATGGCCGTTCCTTCTGAGGATCTCATCATCGACATCCACCATCGTCGTCTTCTTAATCTCCTCAGTCTCTGCGACGTTGTATGCATTTGAAGTGCCGACCTGGACAGACGCAGCAGACTCTGACCGAGTCTTTTTGATGTCACTTCCTATCATTGTGCTTGATAAGGCCCAAGGAGATCGGTTGGAACGCGATGGAGAATATATAAGTTGACACAAAGAGGTGATCGATGAAAGGGAGGTATTCACATGGGTGTGATATACCCCTTACTGTGTACTTCTAGGACCGTGTTCTCCTTCCATCACCCACATGTGCGTGCATTTCGGACCTTCCACGCCAACGCTTATCTATTCAAACTAGAGTTCTGTTATCTCTGGCTTGCTATTTCCGATCCAAGGCGGCAAATCGCTGAACAATTCCAGAACAGTGCATTGTCAGCTTTGTGCTACGTCCACACTGCGAACGCCACTGCATCTTACTATAGACCATTGGATATCGCCTCATACACAAAGAGGGGTAAACGACATAGTAGACCCTCCATGGAATAATTCAATTCTGAATGGCAACAATCGCTCTAGGGATGCTGTACCAAGGCTTGGTGTAGTACTGCGGAGGCGCACGGCATTTGATCGTGTGCACGAAAATGGTCCGAAAGGGACCGATCCACACTGTTGAAGATGCTTCCGCAAACAGCTAGTGCAAGCTGGCTAAATTCCCAGATACGGTAAAGATCCCCGCGCAGGGTAAAACCCCGTCCCTGTGGGTCGTGTACCTGGTGACGTTACCAGCCATAAGTTCGGGCGATAGTATAATACAACTTGAAGCACCATAACATCTGCTCTCAGTAGCATTCTTCGATAGAACTTTGTGACCTTACAGTGAAAATTCTGGATCAACATGCCTGGCACTGTAAATGAGCTTCCACCTGGCGTTCAGTCTGTGCACGCAGACGCTCCTCTTGACTACATCATTCAGCTGCTGAAGCGCGATGGGGGAGTTTTTATCAAAAAGTTTGTTACAGAGGAAGACGTCGATAAAGCGTATAGCGAGTGCCGCGACCGCATAGACAATGATATGGAATGGGAGGGCGACTTTTTCCCGAGTAAGCCCAGGCTTTGTTGCAATATACTTGAGTTACTGACTCACGATTAGAGGAGACACAACGAGCGCCTGGATTGATCGGACTGAGTCCGACGTATACTGAGACCCAGCTGATGCACCCGCTATACCGCGCTGTCTGCGACCACTTCTTGACTACGAGAAGCATGTTCTGGTGGGGCAACGAAAGAAAGGAATCGGTGTCAAAACCTTACGTGCATTCGTCTGTAGCCATGAGGATTGGTCCAGGTGGTAAAGCGCAGCCTCTTCACCGAGACGATTATATCGCCCACAATGTACACACCGAAGTCACGGAGTGGGACGATGCAAGGGACATGGGCCGCGAATCAGCTATTGGATGTTTTGTGGCTGGCTGCAGAGTAACGCCGGCGAACGGTGGAACAGCGTTTATACCGGGAAGTCATCTTTGGTAAATGTATCCCCAAGCGGTGTGATCTTAATTAATATCAGTCGCAGGGGCAACGACCGAGAGACGCCGCCAGATGTCAATCAATGCATACACGCAGATATGGAGAAGGGTGACGCTTTCCTAATGCTGGCTTCTGCATTCCACGGGGGTGGAGCCAACACCACAAAGGACGAGAAGCGACTTGTCTTTGGGACCTTTGTAACGCGAGGATATCTTCGCCAAGAAGAAAATCAATTCTTGGCTGTTCCTCACGATGTAGCAAGGAAGTATCCGAGAGATGTGGTGGAGTATCTTGGATATTCGCTTTCCGATCCCGCTTGTGGAACGGTCGAACAGCTTGATCCTATATATGCGCTCTATCCTGAGTGGAAAGCGGATGCAAAGTACAAAGACTTCTAGGCTGCACCAATAAGATGAGCAGTGATTTAAAATCATTGTTGAGCGTTCCGGCCTGTAGATGGATAGCATTTGGAGGTAGTTTCATATATTTTCTTCAGTAAGAAGACTCGTTAGCTCTTTTCCTCTATCGTGGTATCATTCTTGCAGCGAGATAATGAATCATTTGTAAAGTGACAATCAGCCCCGTGATAGTTGCATTCTGCATCAGGTGCTGCACGGAAAACCATATTTTTCCATGTGCAAGACTCGCAAAGCCAACTGATAGTCGCCTTAACCGCGATAATTTTCGGCTCAAGAAACATCTTCGATATGTGACGTCCTGACGGCATAGTCCAGTTTGATGGTCTGGTTCAAGCCTGCAGCCGGCAGGGAAAAAAGGAACAATGCGAGATAGGACTATCCCCGTTGAGGCGCACTTCTTAGCCCAGAGATATTCACCGCATAACATCACTATCATGGACCTTAGCGTATGGCAAATGGGAAAGTAGCTTGTATGAGCGCTATCACCCTCGCTTAACGGCTACCCCGCATTCTAGGGTACATAGCTCCACGTAGGTGCAGCTTCGGGAAGTCTCAAAGAGGTCATTTCTTCAACTGCGAACACTGCGATACCACCGGCTGGATGCTGCGAGCTAGATCTTCACTCCCAGGCGCAATACTTCCCCAGGAGGTTGATAGCTCCCGCACGTCTCGCGGGATTTTATTATCAGCTGTGCTTCTTCATGTTGCAGAGCCGAAAGAAGGAGTTCTCAGCTCTAAAAAAAAAAAAAAAGAGTTACAGCGCCGATCGCGACCACGTCCCAGTTCACGATCCGCGTCCGTAAGTGGAAGTTTTGCCCCAAATATTATGCGCCTATCCATGAACGCTAGTATAAGCCCTTGACGAGCACCATGCTCGTCATAGCCCGCCTTAAGCATGGCGTATACCCTCCTCTTGCTCAATTTTCTCTTATCAGCTGAGTTTCCTCGATCAGTTGCCTTTGAGCGAACAACTTGTTTCTTTTCCCCACTCCAGGCGATGGTCAGGATTTAGTCTGTCTCGAGAAAGACGATACAATCCATTGTGAATTTTCGAGAATGGCACAAGGTCAGAATGATCATTCCAATGCTTCGATGGTCGAGGCTCGCAAACTGTACGATTTAGCGGGCTTGACTTCGATAGTAACGGGCAGCTCAAGGTATGGGAACCATGGATGGGTCTATCAAGAGCGACTTACTGACCACACATCCCAGAGGAATCGGTGCTGGTATCGCACTCGAGCTTGCTCGACGCGGGGCCAATGTCGTCGTCAACTACACTTCACCGAAGAGTCAGGAAGCAGCCGAGAGTATTGTAAGCACAATCGAGGGCTGTGGCTCAGGAGCACGCGCTATCGCCATTCAAGCCAACATAGTCACCGCAGCAGGCCAGAATAAGGTAGTGGAAGCAGCATTGGAATTGAGCGAAAACACATCTATCAATATCCTCGTGCATAATGCGGGCAACGGCGACGATTGCTTCTTGCCGGATGTCACTGAGGACTTCTACGAGATGCAGACTGATCTCAACGTTAAAGGTATGGACGCTTGATCGACTATACTGACAAGAGATACTGACTCTTCGCATAGCACCTATCTTCCTTACGCAGAAGGTAATACCTCACATGCCCCGGGGCGGCCGCATCGTCCTTGTATCCTCCTGCTCCGCACGCATGGGCGTTGCACAACAAACTGTATATGCCGCCAGTAAGGCCTCAAACGAGTCCTTTTCACGTGTCTGGGCAACGGAGCTTGGCCAAAGCAAAGGTATTACCGTGAATTGCGTAAATCCCGGACCAGTTGCGACGGATGGTTACTTCAGCAGTACACAAGAATTTCTTGACGACTTGAAGCCGCTCATCGACTCAACACCTGCCGAGGCAAGAGTTGGCGAGGTAAGAGATGTTGCGCCTGTCGTAGGATTTTTAGCGAGTGAGGAGAGCAGGTGGGTCACTGGAAGTACTATCAGTGCTTGTGGCGGGCTTCTATTCTTCTAGATAGACTACATATGAACCCCTTGACACAACATATACTTGATGATATCATTGATGCCTTTTCGTCATTGGGATATCTGAAGGAATCATTCCTCCGCTCTTCGTAGACCAAGTCGTCCACACATTTTCTTCACCCATCTCTTGCACCAATAATTGTGTTCCGTGACTTGCGTAACCTTACTTCAGGAGAGGGTCGTAGTGCATCGGAAAGAGCGATTTCCCTATGAATGTACTATACAAGAGTTCATAACGGAAGAGGCGTAATGCAAGGCCTAGCAGTTCGAGAAGCCACGAAGTGAGTGATAGTGGTGGCTGACATCCCGCAGTCCTGTCAGCGAGAAGGAATGGCATCTACCTCGATATACCTACATGTGAAGGCTGGATAATTTAGGCGAGGTCTTAAATCATATACTAACAAGGCTTCCATTGCCCACAAGTCAACGGGAGGTACAATGATACAAAGCTGCATTCACACTCTCTGTTGTTCTTTCCAGAAGTCTCCTCGCATGCACACATATTCCAATCGAAGCTCCTCACAACATCCACACCTTCTCATGCTATCGTCATATCCGGGAGTCGCTCTTCGGACAAACAGTACAATCGGTCAACTTCGACTTATTGAATTTCTGTGTCGAGCGCGGGACATCGTTGGAAGGATTGGACTCAAAGAAGCTTGTCGGCTTCAACATCATCGTCATCTTCTCATTTGGCATGACTGGGAAATCTACATCAAAAGTGAGCGGATAGGCAGGTCTGGAAAAAGCGTCCCACTCACCTTCAGGTCGAGTAACATGCGTGACACCAAACGTGTGCCACAGGACAACATCTTCGTTCTCAACATCCTCCTGCCTCTCGCTCCAGATGGCCAGGCCTGTGTCTTCGCGACTCTGGTTGGTGAATTCGCCAGCAGCATACAGCTCGTCGTCCCTGTATTTAGTGACCCAGATTGGTCTTGATGCAAAGACACCTCGCTTGTAATTGAAGGTTGATGGGCTCATCATCATCATTTGAGATGGAATGGCGTGCAATTTGTACCCAACAGGTTTTCCAGAGATGCTGTTGATGTGCGAAGGATTGATGATCTTGTAGGTACGAGACTTGGTAAGATCAAGATTATATGCGCCTGGCTGTTTGATGGTTGTTGAATTTACCTGGAATGCGTTGCCAAAGAGGTCAAGTGACTTGTCTAAGTCAGCAATCGGTATACAGTCTTCATACACGATGCTGTTCTTCCGACCATCGAGTGCAGGATCGATGCGCACATTGAACAAGTGTTGATGGTTTGCAGCCATGACACCAGGCGCTACGGTGGTCCCCCACTCATGCTGAGCTCCCTCGTTCGAAGGCATGGTTGAGACAATACCTGTCGCTTTCACCTCAACGTGCAAGTTTGCGGCCTGGTCGAAGATGAAAGATAGGATGTACTCGTAGTTTGCAACTGTTGCTGTACATTGCAGAACAAGTTGGCGGTCCCGCACGACTGATGAAACATTGTTGCGGAAGTTCGTGTGTTTCCATCCGATGCCTTGGTCGACCTCGTGCACACAGACAACATTCTTCATGAGCACGGGTTGTCCTTCAGAGTCGCATCTGTACCCATCGAAGTAGTGAATATGGCCTAAGCAATCGCAGCCAAGTTCTAAAGTGTTTGATGTCAGACCAAACCCAGAATCCCCCAGGTCGAACGCTTGTTTCCGGTGGTAGGGTGTTCGTGGATCACCGTAGGGCACTGTCATCTCGCTCATAGAAATACGGTAGAATAACGACCTTCCATCATATGTGATGTTGTTCAGCACAGGCCCTTCGCGAAGGTTCCAGCCTAAGTGGAAGTTCCACTTTTGCCAGGAGATGCTCCGACCCCTGATCGTGAAGGATGGGCCATCTGGTTGAGAGATCTGCAATGGCTTGAGGTCCTTCCTGAAGTAATCTTGGCCCAAAAGACCCTCAGCATACTCGACAGGTCGGACGGCATTCCAAGGCTGTGTATCGGCGGTGGTCTCAAGACCAGAATTCAAAGGGAGGCGATCTACCCAGCAAAGCTCGAGAGTGTGCGCATCGAAGACTGGCGCAAAGGGCGCAGGAAGAGAGTAGTGATTTGCTTCAGGATCGTCGTTCAGGACAATGTACATATAGCATTGGAATAGTCGTCTCCGCTCTTTGGCGTCATCTGTGCCATACGCCCATGGGTCATTGATGACTTTGGCTCCGGCCGGGAGCTTCAGCTTAGCTACCTCGGCCAGTATATCGGGATGTGAATTGCATGCATCATGAACGCGTTCGAATTCCCAATAGTCCACCGGTCCTTGGGCATCAGGATACTCTTCTTGTGACTCGGCGATGCGCCGTGTGATGTTGACGACAGCTTTCCAAAGATGTGGGGAGCCAACAAGGTGATAATAAATTCTCGCCCGCCGATCTAAAGTGTTGGCCTTATCGGCAATCCAAGACAAAACATGGTTCTTCGGACCTTCGAACAGATCGACGACTTTTATCCTCAAATTGGTGGTCAACGAGTGCTCTTTCAGAACATCGGATGCTACACGGATTTCCGATGGAGAGATTGGGTCTAGAGGATGGGAGAATGTAGAAGCAACCATATCGGGGGTGTCAGACAGAAAGTAAGTTGTGCGAAATGGAAAACGATGTTGAAGAAATGCTGAAAGAACTTTTGGGTCAGTTTTGTACCTATGTACAGAAAATCGTGCGACTTCTAGTGTGTGTGGAGTCAATCAATCTCCGCTCAGAGCATATTGCCCGAGCATGAGCACATGATTTCCTCGTGGCCACCAAGTCGCAGAATGGGTCTCCGGGGTAGGCATTCTGGCTCTTGCTCTGAATGTGAGGTCTTCTGGGGAACTCCGAAGGCGCTACGGTGCGATCACACACATGAGGTTGAGGTTCTTTCTGTAACAGGCAAAGTGATCAGTACCAGTAGGCCTGTGAAGACTAATCTTATCGCTGGCCGAACTTAGACTTCGTGATCGCTCCATCGCCTTCTCATGCAGTCAATTGAGGAGGCGATACATTACCAGGGAGCATAGGCTTGGCTCGCTGGCGAATAGAACGGGCCAAATGTCGAGGAGTGGATCGAAGAGCCGAATATTGTGAGAGGATAGCCGATCAATCTGCTGTTGGCGCACGAGTCGCTAACCTAGTGCCCGGCCCTTGACCGAAAGAGGCAATTCTTCCAACCGCTTGCGCAGGCCTGCCGCAGACGAGAACGTGGCAACCATTTCAGATCGAAGCGTTACAGATGTTAGGAAGGTCCGATTATGGGCAGGCAGCTTCCTCGGCGTCCCACCAAGACCATTGTTCGCACATGACGTGCCTCTGGACTCATACATTGTTCAGTCATAACACGTTCTTGCTCTCATTTCAACACCCAGTCGATTGGAAGCTCCCATCGTAGATGTATAGGGGGTACGTGCAACGCATCTCTGCTTCTATTATTCTCTAAGCGACTTCGAACTGCCCCATGCGCACCATGGGTTCCGTCAACAATACTCTGAACTATAAGGCGGGCATTCTGGAGCTCAAGGAGGCACTCCGTGGCGTGGAGGAATACCAAAAAATGCTTCGAGGGCAACAGTACTACTCGTTCGGCCCAGAAATGACTTGGGCGAGGCGTCGATGCGCGATTGCCTGCCGGAAATACAATGCTGCTGAGGATCCCACACGGAGGGAACAGGTTGCGATGTGGCGAAAGTAAGCCATTACTTGATACGGTCTGTGGATAAATGCTAAGAATCTGAATAGTGTCCTCGGAAACACCGATCCGTTACCACCGCAGGCAGCTACGTTTGAAGAAGACGATGCTCAATTCGGTGGCGATCCCTGGGTGGAAGGTCCCATTCGCATCGATTATGGCATCCACGTCACCGTCGGCCGAGATTCCTTCATTGGGCCCAACTTTCTGATACTGGATACTTGCAAGGTGAGTATCGGCGCGCGCGTATTGATCGGTCCAAATGTGTCAATCTACACCGCGACACATCCTGTGGATCCAGCGATACGGCAGGGAATTATAGGTCCAGAAATGGGCAAAGAGATAAGTATTGGAGAAGATTGTTGGATAGGAGGCGGCGCATACATCTTGCCAGGAGTTTCCATCGGGAGGGGCGTTACGGTGGGCGCCGGCAGTGTGGTAACGAAGAGTGTAGAGCCATTCACGGTGGTCGCCGGGAATCCGGCACGTGTCATCAAGAAGCTGGAGAATAACTTCAAGGGAGACCTGAGATAGATCCATAGTCTTTGAAATATAGCGGTACGTCAAGCAATCAGAGGGGACTTCTGCTCCTATGCCAGGGGCTGTTTCCTCTATGTCGACATACCATAGCTTGCCGCAATATTGACGTTTCCGACTTCTAGCATTTCACGAGCGGGTCTTTGGTATTGGTTCTCACTTACAAGAGCGTGCACACAAAGTGAAATTCTACGCTAGGCAAAGCCAATGTTTCATGTCTTTTCCTGGGACGGTGCCGTAGGGATCAATGCATTGACAATATTCCTTACCTGTAGTACATAAACCATCACGCTGTTCGAAAGTTGTTATCTCACCCACACGGCTCAGAATTAGCAACTCCTAACGGCGTGACTCAACTTCTCTGAACCTTTCGCGAGCTCTTCCACGGACATGGATCCATCTATCAGCCTCAATGAGCCTGCAGCGGTGAGAGAAGCAATGTAAGTACCCAGCCCTCCCTCCGATTATCCTTGCATTGAAGACTGTTCTCACGCATGCACAGCACTATCCGCAACCAGTCTACTTCTCCACTCCTTCGTCTCCCAGGAGAGGTCCGCAACATGATATACGCCTATGCCTTTGACGACACTGTACTTAGCCCGACCGTACGAGCTCGGGGACGGGGCGCTCATTCCATGAAGCTCTCGAATCATCCACAAGGAAGCCTCTGTCTGCTATTTGCCTGCCGCCAGCTTATGGCCGAAGCTAGGGACATTGGTATGAGCAATGCAATGTTCCACCTACCTGGAGGACAATCATACCATTGGCAACGCCTGTCTAAGATGATTCCAACGTCGACTCTGGAGCCGATTCGCCGTATTCTGGTACATTATAGTGTCGTTTGTGGTATATTGTACGGCCCATTCACCCGTTCGATTCTGAAGAATTTGGTCCCGTACCTTCCCTCCTTGGAAATTGTAGAGGCCTGTGACTTTGGCATTCGACAAAGTGAGCGAAACATCTTCAAGGCCATGATGAAGGAGGCGACGGGGAAGGATGACCTGGAGGTGGTTTTCGTCGACCGTGAAATGCGCCGATGTAAGTCCTTCTTAATCCTATCGAAAACATCTCACAGCTGGCTAACGTTCAAGAGATCCATGAAGCTGTATCAGCAAGGTGTCATGGTGAAGGGGAGATATCACGGCAATTACATCAAGCACTCGATGATGAACTTTGGATCTCTGATGAAGGTAAAGGCTCTGAAAGGACAGGTTGATACCAGGATGATACAATAGCGCTCTATGACAGTATCAGTGGAAATAACCAAGATGTATTTCAAAGCAAGTGATCCTGACCAGATGGAGGCCCAAGCATAAAAATGGAGTTTCACTGTTGTTGCTTCAAAAGCGCAGCCTTATGTCATCGACCAGTGTATCCGTATCTTGGTGCTCAAGACGCAATAACGAATCTCGTATTCGGCCACCTCACAGCTCTTTCGTTGTACAGCTTAGTGAAATAAGTTGAGGTACTCTTCAAAGAGCTTGACCACGAAGTGAAAGTCTACGCGGGAAAAGCTCACAGTCCAGTGATAATTGCACCTATGCGCTGGCTTCGTACCTCGTCTGCAATAGATAAACCCTCTGTGATCCCCCTCTCACCTGCTCGCACTCCAGAAAATACCACCCAGAGATGACATCAACCACCACGTTCAAGGTCTCTGCAGACTCTCCAGCTTCCATCAGCAGCATCAAGATCAAGACTGCCGCGATGACAGAAGCAATGTAAGTAAACCAGTAAACCTGGTGTCCCTCTCAAATCTTTCTCACGGTCATGTAGCACCATCCGCAACCAGCTCGCCTCTCCTCTACTGCGACTCCCAGGCGAGATCCGCAACAAGATATACGCCTACACCTTTCCTGGCACTGTCCTCAGTGTCGTGCCTTATTTTGGAAAGCTAAAGGACCCTAAGGGAGGCTATTACCTACTCTTCACCTGCCGACAGATCCTCGTCGAGGCCAAAGAAGTCTGCATGGACAACTTAGTGCTGCAGCTGCCGCCCCTGAAGCACATGTTTGCTTTCCGCAAGACCGTTTCCGCGTCGACTGTAGAGCCTATTCGCCGTATCATGGTGTCGGCAAAACTGGCCCGATTCATGGTACTCGCCCCTGATCATAGGAATGCGTTGCAGGTCATCGGATCTCGCTTGGCTTCCCTAGAGGTCGTTGAAGTCTGCGACATCTTTCTTCGGTCAGGATATGAACGCACAGTCCTTGCTAAATACCTCCTCAAGGCCATTGGAAATCCGCTCGTCCAGGTGAAGTTCATTCTGTGCGATGGATGTGTATGTGAGTCTTCCCGTGCGCTCTTGGAGCTTCTCACAGGTGGCTAATACTCCAACAGAAGGGTAGAAATCTTACTTCTAGCGAGACATGAGCGTACGATGAGGCATGATCGAAGGGAACAGCTATAATTTCATCACGATTCTGAATGGTTCGACCTCTAGAATCAATCGGACAATGGCAAATCTAAGTTGAAACAACAAACCTGGCTTGTGTGCTTGCGGATTAGGGACAATCAACACGACTACACATCGTAAACTACTTTACCAACTTGAACCTAGCAATCACAACACGCATACAGCTCTCAGCAAATGTCTAAATCCCTCTACTAATCATCGGGCGCATAAAACTTCCTCGGCCAGATATTCATTCCAATCTTCTCCCCCTCTCCCACTGGCAACCCGGCATGCACCACCCTCCGATCCCCCACCCCATCCTTTCCAATATTGACCCAGAACACCGCATTGCCCTTCACAGGCTTGAACCTTACCCCTTTCCCATCATCACCCTCGTCCTTTCCCCTCGTCACCTTTGCCGCAAACTCAGCCTCCTTCCCCTCCTCTACATCCACACCCGGAAACCATGTCTCGCCTGCAGTACAATTGTCCCTCAGAAAAACGAAGAAACTCGCAGGTCTATTGAACAGTCTTCCGCTTCCGTCGGAAAGCCGCTGGTGTCGAGGCCAGAAATCCGTGTGTAGATCGTAGCGCTGGGTTGGGAAGTAGCGGACGAGTTGGGGCGTGGAGAAGGGCTCGTGAGGGTGTAGGACGGTACCTAGAAATGCTCGGGTGCGGGAGATGACTACAATTGTCAGGACGAGTGCGTGAGAGGGGAAGGGAGAGGAGAAGTACTGCATGATACCAAGGGGTGGTCGAGGTCGAGCGGGGCGCTCTGACTCGTCCGCCCGCTGACCTTCTGCGTTCCGCCTCCGGTTCTCGAAATGAAGGAATCCTCGAAGTCTTCGGATCCCAATTTGATCAAGGCTTCGGCCTCAGCGGCGGAGGTGAAGTTATTGATGTACAACATCAGCGGGTCCAGCGAGACGATCTGCGTTGTATAGCTATGTGTTCGACATGCATCGAGTAGCAAGGGCGAAGACGGGTCGATGGGAACATCCTGGCTGTGTGGAAATGGAGGGGTGGTGTGTAAAAGGGCTGGAAAGGTTGGAAGATATCGGACAAAGTAGGTGGAATAGACCACTTGAAGGAGGAGAGGAGCTGTGAGAAGAATGGTGGAGAGGGCTATGAACTGTGCGGAGGACTGTGAGAAGATGTTAGGGACCACTTGATCTGGATTGAGATGAGAACTCACGAGCTCGAACTTTCCGGTCCTGTTGGCTTTGCGCGCCGGAGGTGAAGCGTCCTGGGATCGATTTACCTTCGCCATCTTGGCGGTCGTGGAACAAGCATTGCAGATAGGTAGAGTGAGTTGCGTTTGCTGCTTGTGATGGTTACTGTTCCTCCTGCTAGTTGAGAAGACACCGTGGGATGGTTACACTGCATAAACAACGGCGAAATTATTCTCAGCGGCAGAACGACGCGAGGCGTGGAATCACTGTGAGGTGTTCGGTTATTCCTTCGTTTACCATGCTGGAAACAAGGGTGAGAACAGCCTGAGCGGGGTGCGGCACTCCGGAGCAATATATCTTGGCGGGGTACCCTGCGGTAGAATTTAATAGAGGTCACGAACAGAACCGTTCAAGACGCCCTGACACGTGTATATGAAGCATAATACAGGAGGGGTATTGACACATGTCGCACTGCCAATCTCTTCAGCATTCGAATCTATACGACCTGTATCGCAATGATCAGCCCTTCGCATCATTAAAACGTACAGCAGCTCTAATGCAGCTCAGGTGTTGAAGCGCCATCTCGGGTGCCTGTCACCTAACTTCAAGTCCTCCTCTGAGTCATGAAACCCGCTTGTCTGAGGACTAGCCGCAAGAAACTCCTCCTTTTGCTTATTCTCTCTTGCCAACAGCCACCACAAGGTGCTGACCACAATGACATTGCCGACCAGATAGCCTAGCGCGACCGAGTGTCCTAGAACATATCGAGGCGAAGTAGCTGGACGATACAGTTGGGTTCCGATAACAGCACCCAAGTTGCCAATCGAGATTTGCATAGCATTAGCCGTCGCTCGCTTTGTCTGACCGGAGACGTTGATGGCGGGCCAGGACAAGACCAGCGCGACCGAAGGATAAATACCCATCGCTGCGAAGAAAGTACCAACGTAGGACACGCCAGGTTTCTGAGTGGGATGCTTGTTCACGAGAAGGATGATGTAGCCGATGATGGCTAGGGAGGATGCAATGATAGTGAAGAGTGCGCGACGCTTGTACCTTTCGGCAAGGACTGCCCATCCAATAGTGAAGAGCGTGGCTGCCGCATATGGAGGGATGGAAAGAAGCTGCGACTGGGCGGCTGTATATCCCATGTCCTTGATGATAGTAGGCTAGCAATTGTTAATGCGCGTTTGTTGAATGTGGTGAGGATACTCACCAAAAATAGTGACAATGTGTATAAAGGCAAGCTCATCGTATGGAAGCAAGCGCCGTATAGCCATACTTTCGGGTCCTTAGCAGCATTGGTCACAGCAGCCCACGTGAATTTCTCGTCATGAGTCGCGTCGCTGTCGGCTTTGAGGCGAGCATTGATATATGAGCGCTCTTCCTTAGATAGCCAGCTGACGGTCTCTGGGTAGTTCGAGATGAACAAGTACGCAAGAGCCGCAATGACAATGGTGGCAAGACCTTCCTGCAATAGGTGAGCCCATGTCGATGCAAAGACCATGACGCGCTTACCAAGATGAATATCCAACGCCAACCAGCGTATCCTCCAACACCTCGCATATGCGCGATCCCATAGGCCAGTATACCCCCAAAGGCACCTGCCAGCGAGGCGCAACTAAAGAAAAGGGAGATGCGATATTGCCGTTCGTCCCTCTTATACCACATTGAAAGATAGTACACGACTCCAGGGAATAGGCCAGATTCAGTGACACCAAGGCTGTGAATATTATCAACGCTCCGAAATGAACAAGGCAGGTCATGTGAATCTTACAAGAAGCGAACTGCGAAGAAGCCAGCCATATTCTGCGTGAAACCCATCAGCGTAGCCACGATCCCCCATGCAATCGTCAATGTTGGGAGCCAGAACTTCGGTGTTGTGCGTTTAAGCACGATATTGCAAGGAAGTTCGAAGAGCACGTATCCGATGAAGTAAAGTGTCAGACCGGTCAGGTACTGATTTCCGGTCATGGGTTTTCCGTTAGATTGCTTCAGATCGTTCAGCAGACCCTCAAGTCTGGCGTTCGCAACTAAAAATGTTGCGTTAGAAGATTCCTTCGAGCATTGAGAGCCAACCATGATACGCACCATTGCTGCGATCCAAAAACGAAAGCAGATACAAGATAGAGACCGCTGGTAGGAGCCTCAAGTCGAGTTTCCTGAGGAGTCTCTTCTCGTTCACATCACCGGGCGCAATGCCCTCAAGGTCCGAATCAGAATTGGTCGACGCGCCGGGCCTCTCGACCTCTGCCTTTTCCGAAGCCATGGTTCTGGAAACTGCAGATCGAAATTGATATGCAAGCACCACGTTGTACGAGGGACGGAACCACCTCCTTAAGAGTACTATCTCACCAGAATTCCTACGTCAGTACCTACTCCATATCCTAAAACGCCGGCCGATGACACCATTTGGTGGGTTCTGCAGCGAGCGGGCGAAGCCCCCGCTCCAGGCATAGTGAACCAGCGCCCTGGCATCTTGGTGGACATTTAATTGGACTGGTGTTCGCGATTACAAGGTGTCTGTCCGCGGTGGGCTTATCGGTAAGCTCCAGTGGATTGCAGGTGGAAAAACAAGCCGTGGCATTGTGTTTTGGTGTTGGAAACGAAATCCTGGGGTCGGATCACGACATTCTGATCGACATTGGTGTGGACGAAAGCTAGCCATCTACGGGTTAGTACGTGAACGTCAACGAGTAAGTAGATCGAAGTCTATCATAAATCTGTCGTTCTTGTATTTGGCCAGACGGGATTTGGATGAAGTTGCAAAGTTGGTGACAGGAGGAGGGAGACTCGAAGGCTTGAGCACAGACCATGAAAAGCGACCAACCCCACTCGCGACCGCCTCTTCAGACATCGTAATATCCACGTCTACCGTGTAGAGCCTACATGTACATATGTATAGAGCCCCTAGAACCAGTGTTCTCACCGATCTTCGCCGAAATTAATGCGCCCTCAACTTCATGACCTTGGCTGAACTGTGCGGTAATGCGAAAGTAGAAGTCTCCTTGCCATCGGCTGTGCTGTCACCTTCTCCGGGTAATACGAAACTGAGAGTGTAGAACGATGGTCTTGATCGCTCCAACATATCGATACCGCTATGCCTTGGTAGTCAGCTCAGAGGGCACTGGGAGCGGGCATGCTGCTGTTGTTTCCATATGTGATATGCATTGGTATCAGCTACTGACAGCTACAGATGATCTCCGAGCTTGTGTCCAAAGCGGCTCATGCCATGGCCATGCCAGACAATACCGCGCCATGTGGTTTAAATCCCGTTGATGACGCCAAAGCGCCTCCATGATATAAATCCATACCGCTCGTGGAAAAATACATGTTAAGAGAGGTGTAGTGCGGTCCGTCTCAGCAGCCAATATCTCTTGAGCGTCAAAAAAACGACAAGAAATAATCAGGTTGCGTCGAAGCAGCACAGTGAAACGGCACCTAGATCTCCTCCTGAGCAGCCTCGCCGTTGGTCGCGGCGGCAGCCTCGGGCTTGAGGTCAGCCTCGGCGTCGGCGTCCTCCATCATCTCGTCAACCTTCTCATCGGCGGCTTCGGTCTTGACAGGAGCTAGAGTTTGTTAGCAAGTGCACATACGTATTGGTTATAGGGCTGGATAGCGTACTAGACTCCGCGTCGTCGGTGGCCTTCTTGTTCTTGGCTCCAGTCGGGCGACCGCGCTTCTTGGGGGACGCCGCCTCACCGTCGACCTCCTGCTTCTTGGGCGTACGCTTGCGAGGGGTGCTCTTCTTGGGAGCTGACAGGTATTAGTATGCTACCATATAACTCTATGGAGGACGTTATAGCACTTACTCGCGTCGTTGCCAGCTGCGTCACCATCAGCCTCATCGGCCTTCTCGGCGGCAGCCTTCTTCTTCTGCGGCGCCTTCTTAGGAGTAGTGAGAGCGGTACCGTCGCCGGTGGCCGAGTTCAGCTTGTTGCGAATCTTGGTCCAGGCGTTGCCGGCTGAGCGAGGGTTGGTCATGCCAGCATAGTTGGCCAGCTTCGCATAGTCGACCTGAATTGCGCATCAGTAAGAATCGGCCACCATATGATATATCCTGAAGAACATTAGGATGCATATGAGGGAATAACATACGTCAGGCGGACCAGACTTGAGAGATTGCATGGCCCAGGCCAGCATCTGCATCTCGCGCTCGGTGAATGCGAGGCCGACACCAGGGGAGGCGGAAGCGCCAGCATCGTTACCAGAGTCAGACATCGTGGATAGACCTGAGGACTCGGGAGTGGGTGGCGTAGGAGGAAAGAAGAGAAGGAAATGGCTAAATTAGCTCGAGGATGTGACGGGGTGACAAGATGGTGCAAATACGTGGGTGGTTGGCCTTTTATGTGCAGTGATGGGGCGCTCTGGCACGATGTTGGCCAGGTGAAGGTGAGTGCGGGCGGATGCTTTGCGATGGCGTAGCATGCGACAAACAATGCAACTTCACCTGGGCAATACGGCACGCAACAGCGCGGGAGGTGCGGTGAGCGAAGATTTTACTCTCCGATGCCAGCGTGCAAAGAAACACCTAGTGATTCACTCCACAAGCCTATGACTCTAGTCGATTTTCCGAGGTGTCCAGGAGGCAGAAAAACCGGCGTAAATATGTCGAGTCTTTAGAACTCGTGCCTACTTATCATAGTTACGATACATATGAGTCATTAACGAAAGAGAACAAAATGAAGAACAGACCAATGCCACTAGCCGTCGTTTTATCTGTATTGCGGTAGCACATCCAGAACGCGGCCTACCGTAGCTGTCAAAATGCGGCAGACTATCACCTGAGTCCTATCAGCTCGAGTGCCCACAGAAGTAAAACCATTGTGCAGCTGCCTACTCAATGTGTCAATAGCTCCTAGCAGAATAAAATTAGCTGTCACTTTCGAGGCGATTGTTACCCCGGTGACTTAGAAGTCAAAGAAATTCGTGTCACACAACAGGCAGCCCCAGTGACTGGGGATCTAGAGGTAATGCGGCGGCTATGCTGTAAAGAGCAACACATGGCTTTGCACGCCGCGGCGAGACTAGACTGTGTACATGTGAATTACAATGCTAGGCCATGCTGGTGGAAGGTGCTGCCCATGGCCAGCAAGCATGGGCAGCCAAAAAGGCAAGCACTCAACTGTAGACAAACACCCAAACCCGTATTCTTCTCACTCAAAATACCACCTGCATTATACGAGCGATCACATCTGCAAAGTTTCCACATTTGCAGGACGTTGCAGCTGTGACACTGGAGCTTGATTGTGCATTCGAAGCGCTATACCGAAATGAGCGAGCTGCAACAACCTGACTCGTGCAGCGGAACGTTGGAGGGGTACGGCAAGGTACGCCGCGCCTCCGCTGAGCTGTATCACCCCCAGCACTACATTGCCCACGGAATCAAAATGGCAGAACCCATAGACAGCGCTCTGTAAGCTGCTCCCCACATCTCTACCGCCTGTCGCTCCTGCTGATACTGTCCAGCGACCTTCTGCGGCGGCTGAACCCCAAAGATGTCAAGAAGAACGTTGACAACATCATCGAGCTCAATCCCTCTCTGGAAGAGGAACTCCTCGAATCGGTCGACATACCCCTATCGGTGAAGCGGTGCTCGTCGACGAAGCGCGACTTCCTGTGCTGTGACTACAACCGTGATGGGGACAGCTGGCGGAGTCCATGGAGCAACAACTTCGAGCCGCCGATCGAGGAGGGCATAACGCCCAGCGAACGCATACGGAAGATGGAGATCAAGGCCAACGAGGCATTTGATGTATATCGGGAGCTGTGAGTACTGTTCAGCTGCTGGGGGTCTCTTGGTAAAGCGACCTGAAACACGGCTGATGGGAACAGGTACTTTGAGGGCGGTATATCGAGCGTCTACCTTTGGGACATGGATGACGGCTTTGCAGGCTGTGTGCTACTCAAGAAATGTACCTTTGCCCCTCCATAATTGCTAAAAGCATGCTAACGTGAACAGCCGTCAAGGGTGGCAGCTGGGATTCCATCCACGTCTTCGATGCCCAAGACCGCGCCCGCACCGCCCATTATAAACTCACCTCCACCGTAATACTCTCTCTGGGCACCGAATCCGAAGCTCTCGGCGGTCTCGACCTGTCCGGTAACATGGTGCGCCAAATTGAACAGGATATGGCGGTCGAAGACGACGGCTCTCACGTCGCCAACATTGGCAAGATGGTCGAAGACATGGAGCTAAAAATGCGCAACTTGCTTCAGGAAGTATACTTTGGCAAAGCCAAGGATGTTGTCGGTGATCTCAGAAGTATGGAGCCGAGCATGGATCGTAGCAGGACTTGTTCGCTGACCGAAGCCATAGGTATCCCGCCTCTGAGCCAGACGAACCGTGACAGGCAGACCCAGCGGGAGATGATCAGTAGTATGAGCAAGTAGGATGGGCTCTTTTACGACGACATAAAAACAGTCCCGAGCTCAACGACGCCTACGACGAAACGATGGACGTCTTCGTCCGCGATACCAGGCATTGGTCTAAGGACCGGATTGCTTTACCCATGCTCACCTCGGTGTAACTGAAGGCACGACCATAGCTGGTCGCTTCCGAAGGTGTTGGACCAGAGAATGATACGATATCTGGGACTTCCCCAGCCGATGGTTTCTATACTATCACCCATCCCCAGAATACACATCTTTCCGTCCATATTCCTTTCCGATTATTGTTTCATTATCAATACACGTGCAGTGCAGTATTCTCGAACGGACAAGATTTGAATGCTGTGTACAACTACTCTGGCTGGCAGCTAAACCCGGGTAGAACCACTAGGCACACAGCTCCTTTCCCTGCTTCTTTCCGTTTTCTCTTCCATGCATCGCACAACGCAGCCGTTTTGGTTCCCTCTCACTGACAAGGACTATCTCGCTATTGACAACAAGTTTTACTGATGCTGCGCGAAAAGGGACGGGAATGGTTCGGTTACAGCGCAGCGAATTTCAGGTCACGCTGCGCTCTCATGGGATATTGCCTGCATTGCCGACTGCAAGGCTTCTAAAAGCCGGTAGCCTCAAATCCAATATGTCGCATATTATTGTATACGAGTAAGATCTAGAGCATTTCGGTTGCTGATCCACGCCGGGCCTAATGCGCCCGCTTGCTCACCTCGAATAAACAAAGTGCGCAGTATGCCTGGTGTTCAGAAGCATTCCAATCGTCGACTTCAAATTGTGCTGCTAAAGTCTCTGTTATAGGCTCCTTCGAGTTAGATATCGATAACCGACCGAGCTTACTCTACTCCACGGTTTCAGCTATATAGCTACACAATTTCAGTCCTTCCTGCCCCACGTATGGAATTCAGCCAACCGGATCTGGCAGAATGCTTGCGCAGATCACCGGTTGACTTGTATACAACTCCTATATTAAGGTAACCACACATCGTCGACTCGCAAGATTAACTCCAGGATTATCCCGCGAAAGCCAATGACACTACCTTGAGAGGAGCACTAAAGTACCTGAAAATCTCTAATGTGCTCAACCGAATTTTCGAGGATATCTATCCAGAACAAAGCGGACCTGACACCGAGAACCGCCCCTATGCGCCGGATACGAAGGCGTGCCATTATGCTGCCTCTCAAACATGGCGCCTTACTACAATGTTGATGACATCTCCACTTTTGTCCGCGAGCTGTCCCGGGTTACGCCCGCCGCTGTGTAGGACGGACGGAATGGTCCGCCTATGGGCTCACGGATGCGACATATTTTCCCCTCTCGAGCTGAGACTACAGCAGTTCGCCCCACCGATGAGCCCAGTCTGCGTCTCAATGCCCGAGCGAGTGTGACATCAAACACTTTTTGGACGAACATCTCCTGGATTCTGCTTGGATACGCTTCCATGGTATTGGTTCTCAGACCTACTTTCTTACGTGAACGGAGATTGTTTTCGGCCATACCAGATCTTGCACGCAGAATACAAGCAACTGTCATCATCGCAATTTCTACATATACGGCTGCTGAAGTACCACTACCGCCTCATCACGCTGAAGCGGGCTTTTTGTGTGAGAAAATGAAGCGGCTCTTCGCGGTACTATTAGCTGGACTCGTCAGCTCCTGTGTCTCTAGTCCCATCAACGATGTCGAGGCCAGAGGAACGTCGTTGATTCCAAGCGCTGCTCCTACCCCTACTCCTACGCCCCAACCATCGGATGGCTGGCGAGTCGACAAGAACAAGCAGTCCAGAAATGTTCATAATTTCTTCAAAGCATATGGTTGGTTAAAGAAGGATGACGCTATACCGAATACGAAGCTGCCAGCTGCAATACGTAAGATTCAAAAGGTTCTGAAGGTGCCGCAGACGGGCATATATGACGAGCACATGGAGACAGTCATGAGTAAGCCACGATGTGGAACGATCCCCCAGTATGATCCGTCCGAGTCACTAGACAACAGCACTTTACACAGTCGCTTTGTCTTGTGGGGGCCCAAATGGGATCACACTTCGCTCACCTACCGTTTCGTCAACTATACAGCTGACCTGCCTGCTGCGCAGCAACGCTCGCTTGTCAGGTAAGCAATGTGGTTCCCTTTTCTATTCCATCAAATCTGCCTGCGATGTACATGGTCTTGTCGCTAAGTGGTGTCAGTGCCGCCTTTGCCCGATGGACGCAGATAGCTCCTATAACTGTTACAGAAGCTCCGTCAAACGCACCAAGAGCTGATATACACATTCGCTTTATGTCGATGGGCCCCACAGAAGACGTGTACGCATTCACAAATATGATCGCGGATGGGCTGGCGTTGTCATCTGGTTTGATCAATATAACGTTTAACGATGACTTTCAGTGGAACGATGACCGCTTGTTCAATTATACAGCCGTACACGAGATCGGACACGCTCTCGGCCTGAGCCATAGTAAAGTAGAAGAAGCGATCATGTTCCCTTTCTTCGAAGGCGACATTCGACCGATACATCCCGACGATCAAGCCGGCGTCCACAGCATATACGGCTGGAAGAACCCAACATGGAGCAGAATCGATAGCAACGTGGCCAGCAAAGGCGTCATCCAAATCTCCTCCGCCTCAAGCACCTCCGGCATAATCGACGGCCTCTACCAGCTGCGCTCCACCGGCCAAATTCTCTGGTACAATTCCAGCGGAACCTGGACATCAGTCGACAACAACCGCGACACGATACAAATTGCCGGCGCAAACAACTTCCTCTACCAACGCCACACGGACGGCACGATCTGGAAGCTCACCGCCGGCAGCTCCACATGGCGGCAGATCAACCCGGCCTCTACAAACGTCATCGAGATCTACGCGGCAGCCGACCAGCTCTATATGCGCCGCAAAGATGGCTGGGTTGCAAGGTACTCAGGATCGGGCCAGACATGGAGTACAATTCAGCAGCCTTCCACCCCTTCGTCGATGCAACTTGCGGCGAGCGACTCTCGCACTCTCTGGAACCTCCTCGCGAACGGCGACCTTGTGCGCTCAGAGTACCCCTATACCGCCGACGGGTGGCAAGTCGTCGACCAGAACCCATCCAATGTCGCTATCGCTATTGGTGGAGAGGAATTCTACAAGCTGCAGAGCGATGGGAGTATCGTGTGGCTTGACTCGAAGGAATGGTACTGGAAAATCATTGAGGATAAGGGTAGTAAGAGCGTGTACGCGGTGGGGAGTTATGTGTATAGCAGGCATGGGGATGGGAGTGTGTGGCGGTACACGGGGACAGAGGGGGTGTGGGAGATGTTGGATAGCAGAGCTGACTCGTCGATGGTTGTGGGAGATCGGAAGGGGAGTGTTTGGGAGATGGTTAGTGGTGGGGATATTTATAAGCTTGTTTCGTAGTGTGCTCAATGATTTGTCGTTTCATGAACGCGTCCTATCGTCTGCGTTCATCATCAAGTGACACAGCCTGACCTTCCCATCTTTGAAGGGGCATGTTGACCAAGCGGTCACAGTATTTCTCAGCAGTAGCGAATAATCCTACACTCCCGGTTGATTAGGTTGGTAGCACTCTAGTGAGAATTCCTGATCAAGAACTCCATAGCGGGTTTGATCATTGCGACATGGGGCAGAAGTGAAGTCTCAACGAAGGTATCTTGATCTCTGTACTTGCGACCGATATCTTGACGCTGAGAATGCCAGGGCTGGCCACATTTGCGTCTTTGACTTGGCACATGAGTTTCTCTGATGAGGTTCTCGCTCCTCGACTTGTCAGATGTACGATGGGGTCAAAGGATGTACGATGTACGACGTGATCTAAGGTGTAGATGTACGATGTGATCAAAGGTGAAGATGTACGACGTGACCAAATATTAAGATGTACGATGTAATAAAAGGCGAAGATGTACGATGTAATCAATGTTTGTTGCATGCGGAAGGACTTCGCGACGCTCTCGGGATCTGTAAGCTATGTTTGTGTCTCAAGCTCTGAAAATTTATGCCATGACAGTTCTTACATAGACAGTGAAGTGATCCCAGGTAGCGCAATACAACTGCAAGATCTTCAGGAGTATTCGTAACGATTCTAGCTGCTAGCTTTCCTGTATAATTGCGGGCGGGATCTGCCTGAGTTCGCTGCCTGGAGCTGTGCCCAACGATCAGCGTCGGAAACAGCCGTTTACGCTGAGGAGCATATATAAAAGTTGCAATAGCCTCCAGTACATTCGTCAGCCAAAGGTTGACTCCGGTAAATACGTCTCTCACGGACTCAATTGAATACATTCGTTTTCATTCTTCATCCAATCACACCCCATGCCGCTCTTTCTGCGCTTTTGGATTAGCCTCGCCGCTCATGCATAAGCGAGCCCGCCTCGTCCATCCTTCTCCTCTGCCTACGACACCTATCAAGCATGCGATTATGGCTTTTGTAAGCCTGTAGGCGGCCCCTTGGGCGGGGACGAGCGGACTCGGAAATAAGATGGTATTCGCGATTGGGGACACCGAGAAGGTGTGGAATGGAAGTTGTATATAAGACGGACTGTGAGCGCTTGCAGAAGAACATCAGTCTATCAATCCATTCAGTCCATTCAGTCTCCTCAAGTTTTGACTGGAATCGATATCTCAATTCGCATCTACTTCCAACCCAAATCCCACACTCAGAACAAGACATCTTCAGGATGGCCCATCCCAACCGCCTCCAAAACGCACGCGTCCTCGTCTTCGGCGGCACCTCAGGCATCGGGTACGGCGTCGCCAGCATGGCCCTCTCCAACGGCGCCATTGTCACTATCTCTGGTTCCACACAGCCAAAGGTCGACGCCAAAGTGAAGGAACTCCAGTCTCTGTACCCATCCGCAGGTGTGCGTGGTATATCACTTGATCTCTCCGACACCGCCAACCTTGAAGACAATCTTAACGGGCTATTCGAGAAGGTGACGAATGGTGGAGAGCAGTTATTGGACCATATCGTGCACTGCGCAGGCGACGCGCTGTTCCTCCCCAAGCTCCACGAGGTCACGGTCGACAACGCACTTCCGGGCTTCCACGTGCGGTGGTTGACCGCCTTGCTAATTGGCAAGGCTCTCGCGACAGGGAAATATATGCTCGCAGCTCCCTCCTCTTCCTTCACGCTGACAGGCGGTACCAACACGACCAAGCCAATGCCGGGATGGTCACTGGGGGCATCCTGGGGCGGCGCCTCGGAGGGGCTGATGCGTGGGCTTGCTGTGGACTTGAAGCCTATTCGGGTCAACTTGATGTCGCCTGGTACAATCGATACGCCGCTATTCCAGAAGTTCTTGGAGAATGTGGGCAGGGAGAAGGAGGCGGCTATTAGGACAGGGCATACGCTGTTGCAAACGTGGGGTGATGCGAAGGATATTGCGGAAGGGTATGGATGGTTGATGCGGGATTGCTATGTGACAGGGACGATCGCGAGTTCGGATGGTGGGAGATTGCTGGTATAGAGGGTGGGTCTGAGGAGTTGTTAGCGCATGGTACCCAGGGACTAGTTCTACGTAGCAAAACATGGACATTGCCAAAGGGCTGCTTTGTATATGGATAACGGTGTCATTCCAAGTCTGACATGTGTGCTCAGTAGATGCGAGTCATAAAGAACGTTTACTTTTTTACTATCATGATATGGTCATGCCCAGCCTGGTGATTTCGTCCTTGACAAAACCCCATTTTGAGCAGTCAGCAAGTAGGCCTCTGTAGCCTCGTTCCCTTAAGCTGATGAGCTCTTCGGGATTTCTCTCCTTGTCGCGTTTCAAGGCTATCAAGAACTTCAGACCAATAACGCTGAAAACATCGTTCATTCTCTCGAAGACCAATTCTAGGAAATCGATATCGTTCTTCAGGCTAGCATCGTCTTCTAAGCGATGGTGAATGACTAGAACACAGCATGCTATGCAGACCACAGGTCAGCAGTGTTTTTCTTAAGATTCACGAAGACTTACCGATGTAGAGAGATGACGCGATGTGCACATTGAGCAGCAGATCAATAGAACTCCGAGTTACGTCTTTAATTATTTGTGATGTGTTCTTTGCAGCCATCACTGTCTTGTGAAAAAGGTCTTTCACGGTGTGTGGATCCGAGAAAGGTACGGCTCGATAGTGTAGTAGAACCATGATAGTGTTCAAGGTAGCGTTCAGCCAGACAACTTGACCTCGATCTTCAAGCGACGCTTCCAGTACCGATGAGGCGGCGCGAGGCATACTAAGTCGCAGTTTGACAACATAGTTGTCTAGCTCCTCACACTGTTCCGCATATTCTGGGCTGCTAGGGCAATCGTGGATGGAATGAATGAGGTCGGCGGTACGACCGAGAAGGATATGCGCGATGATCAAGTAGTGGAACATGTTCAACGGATATTTGGCTCTAGATGTAGAGGCGAGCAAGGTGTTGATGTTCCTGGTGAACGAAACGTTGTGACTTTGGTTTCGGTCCATCCGTATGGTCATCGCTTGGAAAACAGAGTCTGCAACCGGGATATCGAGCTTGAACTGCCCCTCATTAATTGCATTCGGCCAGCCTGTAGGCCAGGACAGATTTCTGTCCATGAAGAATAATATCCAGAGGACTCGCCGACATTCTTCCTTTTCAATAGCCTAGGGCAGAAAGTTAGACTTTTCCCAAGGTTTGATGCATACGTACAGTTCTGCCTTCCCACTCCATCCGATAATAGTACCCACGACGCTCGTTGTCCACGCCGTCTTTCAGACCAACTGGCATGGCTACTGCATGCGGAGAATCCATGCGATTCATACCAAGCGCTGCGGCCTGCCTCCAGGCCTTGCCAATGTATAGCCAACAAGCCGAGAAATCACCACAGGTATAAGCGTGATACACGAGAAACACAACGGCTTGTATTATCCGCAGAGCAGGATGCGGATCGCGTCCGGTGAGGTCATATAGGAACCTAGCTTGTTCGTACCAGTCGCTACGGCGAGCTTTGATGGAAGGGTCATGGTGGAAGCCCGCAGCTACAGCCAACATGGCGTATAGCAGAAGGGGAGAATGCGCTTGCAAACGGCTATTCTGGAGCTCTTCCATGAATGTGGCCTTATGAAAACATGGTAAGACATAGTAGAGCTGGCTGAAAAAGATCTCAGTCAATTCGGAGATCACCGCATCCGACGGAAGGCAAGAGTCTGGGAATGTTGCGGGTTCGCTGTCGTCTCCACAATTCACTGCGAAGGCGTCTAAGTTTGACCCGGGCGCAATATACCCAGTTTGAGAAATGGTACTGTGCTGTGTGGTCGAAAGCGCATCAAGCCCGAAATCGGGGAGTTGCATCGGCAAGGTCGGGTCCCAGGGAGCGAATGATGCAATAGGCTCCCTCATAGTACCGATCAGAGCCATATAGTCTGGTAAATGGGCCCTCTCGTCTGCGTGAAGTGACGCCGGAACAGTGTACCCACAACGAATATTCCATTTTCGGCACAAGCCGCAAGAAGGTCGCTCACCCTTTCCAAAGTCAGTGGGGGTTCGCTACAGCCACATATAGCTCACGTCGCATCTTCTTTTACGCTGGCGGCAGCTCTGGCATGCTTGCTTTCTCTTTGGGACAGATGCAGGCACAGTGAGGGACTGCATGTCTGCTGCTTGTAGCACTCAGGGCATAGTTGTTCCAAACTAAGAGGAGTCACTAGGTTCAGATGATGTCAAACAAAAGCGGCAAACACCATGTATGCGCACGATACAGGTCTTCGTAGTTGAGACGGTTTGATGTGTGATGGGAGGTCTTCTAAGCCGGCAGCGAGATGAGGTATTATGCTGACTAATAACTGTCCGACAAGCTAGTGCCGTTTTCGGCGTTACGCTGCGGTTGGCTCTCCAACAGCGCAAAACGAAGAGTACATCAAAATTCATGGACATTACCCCAAAATGTTAAATCATTCTAATCTTTTCATGCTGCTCATGACCTAAGCCTTTCTCGCTCAATTCCCTGCCCTTCCTTAGCTCTTTTGCTGAAGGCAGCAGCATTAGGTAAGCTACGCTGCTCCGGAACCAACAGAAACGTATACCCATTCTTCGTACAATATCTACATGCTGCCTCCTCCGCCTTTCCCCTGACCACTCAGAATCGTCGAGTTGGGATGCTTTACGGAGACAGTGATTGATACTACCTTGAGTTTATAGAAAATACGCGCTCGCTATACCCTTTCCCGGCATGAATTAGCGTGGCTTCAATAACATCCTGCGTCTATGTAGCAATGTGTAATTTCGGTAGGAAACTTGATGTCAAGCCGTGAGATGAAGAAGACTTCGCATGCGGATGTAGGTAGGCATGGAACGAACGCCGTCGGCATCGAAGTGCTTGCCTTGACAACCTCACCTCGAGCATTGTTCGTTATAAAGTTCAGACATTTGATATCTGTTGTATCTATCGCCTCTTCGAGCCCGGAAAATTTGCGCTCCGGCACCTCGCTCCGCTGCGTAAGCCTTTCAACATGTACCCGAAATTTCCCAGGCCCTCCAATCTGCACTTCAGTGCGTCATCCGCTCAACGAGCTTTCTCGCCTATTCCAGGAGCTGTTCCTTCCGGAAATAGTCGAGCGCTTGGTTCATGCTTTTCTGGAAGGACTGCAGATTCAGCACTTGCGCCTCCTTCTCGAGCAGGCGGGTGACATACGGTTCTCAAGTTTCGGCATCCAGGATTTGACTAATGCTCAGCTACAAAGTGCTTTCTTCTTCATAGGGAAATCGAGCGCTTCAAAGCGCGGCAACAATGTTTATAGAAAGCCCCTGCTGCAGAGAACCATGAAACCATTGTCTGACAAATTTGGGCTGCAGCTTTTGCAGCCACAGAGTTGAGTTAAGCCCACGTTACAGTTTCACATCGCGCCTGTGTACACCCAATGGCTCGCTTCACCCCAGGACTGATTATTTAAGCGCGTGACTTGAAGGATCAGACCCAACTATCAACCATGCGAAGGCATATATGCCAGTCATGGCATCTTCCGGTTCATCACCAGCCCAACTTCGTACAGCCAACTTACCGGATATATTCACGTTCACTGAGGGTCTGAAAGAGCTATTCTATCTAATATTGTGGCCATGTGATGTCCGCGAGCTGTTCAGTCTTCCTTCGAATTGATCATCATAGACATCATAATACCTCAGACGATGTAGACAATGTTCCGGTCGACCGCCAAACCACCTTGGGCGTGATCGCTACTCCATCCATTCTGCTCGTCCCCTTTCTTAGCCGCCTTTTCCATCAAAGTAGCGACCACATCCTCAGTCTCACTGTCAGACCCCTCGTCGTCAAACAGCCGTTCAACGTGACCTATCCCGTCATCTGCCATATGCGCATCTTGATAGTCTGTCATTTTCGTGTCCGGCAAATTTTGCAATGCTAAGCAGCAAAGCCAGCATAAACCATCTGGTACAATCCGTGTTTCGTGGCCAAGCTGGATCGCTAGCGCCGCTGCCGCCAATCTTGCCTGCCAGTTACCCCTCGCACGAACGACTCCAACTTCAGTGGGAGAATCCAGTAATTCCTCCCAGCTGTCAATAGATACGAATTCGAATATCTTCGTGGTTGGTATGTCCTGCCCAGACCGGTGTTCCCTGCACTCTGGAACGATGCGACATAACTGAGGATTGAACACATCCAGGATCTTCAGATCCGCCACCCATTTGCTTTTATCGTAGAGACCGATGGCTGCCTCTATGTAGCTTGCCTCTACATCACGGTTGCCTCTTGAACCAACGTCGATCGGCAATTGCCATTCTGTGAAGGACAGATGCAAACTTGTCTCACCAAAGCAATCCTCCTCTTTACCATCAAAATGGTAGTGGTTCACTAGCCGTATGTCATCGTAGACCGACCTCACCTGAGGGGTCGCAGGGCAGACCAACAAGCACATGCCTGTCTTTCCTAGGTTGCCCACAACGCGCTCAATCGTCTTGTTCGAAGACTGAGCACATGGATCTTGCAATAAGCAGCTTGCAACGTAGATTGAGTTACCACTAGATATAGCAAGAACCCCTTTCATTGCTGAGGCCTGGAAATTAAACGTGCCAGATTCGAATTTCGAGATACATGCAAACATGTGCTCTCGATCAAGGGAGAATCGGATGAATGCATGACCGAATAGATGTGTTCGAACCGTTGATGGAATCCATTGATGATCGAATAATGGTTGCTCTGCGGCCCGCAGTTCCACCGTCGCGTTGTGAAGGTTCCGATACAGGGCAGCCGCTGTCGCTAAAGCCTTGAGTGCCCTCAATAGCTTCCAAGAAAATGACCCGTCGGTGAAATGATCGAGCAACTGCCGTAGGTCTAAGAGGTTATTCTCGAACGCCCATAGGACATGTCGAATAACTACAATGTCCGGCAGGACCCTATAAAGACACCCTCCGGCGACTTTAGGATCATAATTCGGCGATAGCGCCGTCCAATAATTGATGCTTACAAAATAGAGAGCTGCAATAGATGGGTCTCCAAATGCTAGTACGCTTCTCATAGTCACGCCTCTAGCATGTTGCCAGTCGGACAACCAATCTTTGTCAGAGCATTCTGCTTCGAGCAGAGGCGAAAACAGAGCGAACGGTGGATCTCGCCATTGATGACCGTGAGGCTCATGCAGTGATGGGATCAGGGAGTCGACGAAGTGTATGTGGGTGTCGGGCCAATGATCGAGCTCGTACCAGCTTGACGATCGATGCATCCATCGAATATATCTCTGCCGAGGCACAGCTTTGTTACGAATTGGATCGAAGCTTAATCCACTCTGACGAGACGGGAGCCTTTCTACCGATGCAAGTTCATAATTACTACGCACCGTATTGGATCTGTATTGAATGACCATCAACGTTCGTTGATCGCCAAAGTCTTTTGCAATATGGCGCAAGAGTTGCACCCGCTCCGCTTCGCCCGATAATAGACGGAGGAAGGTGCGAGGTGTAGAGAACCCAAGAATATGGTTTGCCAATGGATCGTCCAGAAAGAGAGGATATCGTCGACTGCCGCATCTGATAAGCTGCAGAATTGTAATTCTTTCCTCTCCCGTGGCTTCCAAGAAATTTCGCGATGCGGAAGCGATCAGGTCGACCCAGGTTACACCGGACCAAGCGTTTTCAGTCCCGTTCCGGTCGAGGGTGGCAGCCTCCAACAATCGTCTGAGCTCCACCAAAAACTTAGCAGACAAGTCAATGTCGTTCGCATGTGAGACCCATCTACGAATCAAACTTCCCAAAGCCACATATACCAGCTCTTCGAACGATGTCCTTGAGGTGCGCGCTGATAGCCTTGCCTCAGATTGTACAGGTTGGCCTTATTCGCATGCACAGTTAGCGTTCGTCGACTAGCAGTACGCTATCATCGCTGGACTTACCGTAATATCGCAAATATGCAAGTGGAAGAGACCAATGGACTCCGTCACCACTGCGTCGTAGATCGTGGATGCCTAGGGTAAGTACTCCTCCACGTACGATGTGAGGATCATTTTGAGTAACTTTGGTAGCTTTGGAGTTCTTTCCGGTGCCGAAAACTATCATGTCAGGATAAAGATGCCACGAGGAAAGTCCTAGAAGCGGAGCTCCAGTCTGAACACTTTGCGGCTTCCCCGAGACCAGGTTATCGACGGTAATCAATGCAGATGTCCAAGCATCGATGACGCTGCCACTCACACTTAGTTTCGTATTGACGGCAAGGCCTAAATTGTTGAGGATAAGCATGAGCTGATTCTGACGGCGAGTGTTGGCTTCATCAGCTGTACGGCGCCAGGCCTGTATACTCGTATGCCAGTTTGCAATATGCTCCCTGCTGAGCACGATCCTTTCGGACAAATCCATTTCCAATGGATTACCTGAAGCTGCAAGCGATGCTTTTCGCTCTGCGATCAGTTGCATCCAGATGGAAATCGCCTCCGGCGGGTCCCACATTCGGGAGAGCATGCAACCAAGGAGGTGGATTGCAATAGCGGCGTTGCCAGAGGTCGCAGCCGCCCATACCGCCGTGCCTAGTTTAAACAATCAGTCTCAAGTAGGACAAAAGACTTTTGCCAAAGCCCTTTAACGCGAATCGAGTTATAAAGTGGGCTAGAGAAACGAACGCTATACGTACCGTCTGCTCCGACTTCATTTGCAAACAATCCATGTCTTGAACTACCCTGTGGGTTGAACGTTGGTGACTTTGCGACCTCACTACAACGTAACCCATATGCTCTGATGAGAGCCGGCACCTCTGGTATAATGCTGCCGAAGAGAACGCCCAATTGTACGACTGTAGAATGAGACTGGCCTTCGTCGGCATCGTTCCTCCTTCGAGCAGACAGCGACTGGCCAATAGCCTGGTATTCGCTCGGAGGTTGTACTTTTATAAGAGTGAAGTTAATATGAAAAGGGACGAGCGAGATATGATTCTCAGCCTGATTGGTTACAATCGAACCTCTGATCTGAGGAACACTCATAATAAAAAGATGAGTGCAAGGCGATCAGGCGAGGAAGAAGGTTTCTGCGAAAAAAGCTGCCCGAGATGTGCGACTTTATATTCCATGAGCTTGCGAGGTGGTCAGGCTGAGGCAGTGCTTGCAAATTGATTGCGGTCGGCGATGCGGGCGCATGGACATGCATGTGCATGACGAAACGCACACCGGTGCAATATAAATGTCTTGCAGAGTAGCGTGTTCAGGAGCATTCAGAGGACGCAACTTCATCTTTCGCCAAGGTTAGTGTTGATCTTCCGACGCAAGGAGAGATGGGGAAAGTTGAAACCGCAAGGCGCGGCTTCCCTACGCTGTACTGCGTGCCCAGATACATGAGTACCTAGGTAGATACGTCTTTAGTCACATGACCGTTGAGCAGCGTTGGAGCCCAGAGGACCCATAGAACACGAGCATCAATAAGCTTACCGTTCAGACGGGAAAAGGGTTGGAAAAGGCTCAGTTCCTACCGTATCTGAGGAAGGCCTACTCGACAGATGTTGTATTCACCTGCCGAACGTCTCATCGTTCCTCCGTTCTACACATGTGCCCTGCTTCCTTATTCCAGTATTGCTTTCCAACATAGCCTGCCTTTCCCTTAGTACACGTCAGACCATTACTGTCCAGAACAGTTATCAGGTTTCGGCCACGTCACCGCTCGCACGCTTCTTCATCAAGTCCGACATCCACAACAGATGGCCTTGTGCGGGAGAAGCTCCTTCTAAAGACGACGTTCTTCTGCAATGTGGCTATTTGAGAGGAAGCCAAGGCCTAACCAACTTCAAGCGCGCAACGGAGAACCTTGTGTTCGTGAATGGGGAGCTGAAACTCGTGATCGCTGGTAATCAAAACCTGGAATTGGATGAAGCTGTGTGCGGAGCAATGCCGTAGCGAATCAGCTTAACATGGACGAAGAGCTTCGAGAGTTTAGGCGCGGGGCTTTCGATCCACAACGTGATAGACACTATTTTCGTAGCTACCAATCTAGTAGCAACTCATTTGCTAGCCAAAATTGACGCGTACTTTTGCTGCTTCGTCGGTGCCATTTACATCGCTTGTCTGCGAATGCTGTGTCGAGCATGCCACATGCAGCTAGGAATAACTTGAGAGAATTTGAATTCTTACAATGCAACAGTAATACTGATTGGCATGGAGCTTACGGGCATGTCTTCCTATAGTTCGACAAAGAAGACAAAACGCGTCTGAAGGATCCTGTCGTCATTGGACTTTCTCTGACGGACTAGCGCTTCACGTGCACACGCGCCTGCGCTTGGCAGGCACTACTGTGTATTACCACTTTGCCTTACTGCTTCATTCTTCCTACACGCTACGGTCGCGATAATGTGACGTACAACCACTCAATGTTTCGAAATCCGCGCGAGAACCGGACGCTACCTACAACCTCCCATCTGGCACCTTCGAGCGGTCGGCGTCCCTCGCCACCCCGCTCCTCCGCCACTCCTCCGACAATGGCGGCCAAAGCTACGCCGAAGAAGACGCCCGCCAGACCGAAGGCTACCTCTTCGCAGAAGAAGAAGGATGATTCGAAGCAAACAACTCTCGTGCCAACCGACTGGGGGAAGAAAGCAGCTGCGAACAATGGACGTATGAAGCCAAAGGCCACACCAAATGGCAACATTATGGCCTTCTTCAGGAAGGCTGAAGAAGAGAACAACAAGATCTTCTTTCCGGATCGGAAGCTCGATCCCACGATTGTTCTCAACGATAGTGGTGAGGTGGCTGGTGGATGGAGCGACGAAACCCACGGTAGTGTCCCAGAGACGGACAGTAACGCGGAACGGTACAATGAGAACGGCGGCAGCATTAAGAAGCGGAAGTTGAGTGAAGAAGCTCCAGAACCGGTGTGTCCACGGTCACCGCCAGGCACGAATGGAGAAGCAACGAAGACTCCATCGGCCGATGCTGCTGAGAAAAGCATACAGATGCGCAAGAAGTCAGGCCCTTTTGCAGACGACTCAGATTCTGAACCTGAAGAAGGAATGTCGTTCCTGAACAAAGGTACGATAAAGCAAGAGGAAGCGAGTGATCACGAAGATTCTAAACCGCTCGAGGATTCGATTCCTGCAGATAGCCCCGCGCCACCCGTCACCCACGCACCGCCGCTGCTCAAAACCGAAGAAACTTCGCAATTTGGCGTAGAGGATTTCGGCGAGTTCGATGAACTGGAAGATGAAGATCTCTTGGAAGGTGAAGAGTTCGACGAGCGGCGGTGGATGAAGGAACAACAAAAGCTAGAGATGGCAGAAGCCGGCTACGAGGGCGATCCAGACGACTTTGAACCACCATCCTTGTTTCCAGAGGATACTCAAGAAAGTAATATTGAGAGTGCCGACAAAGATGTAAATGCGCCATCGTGTCCATTGTGCAGCGCCCAGTTGGCTAGTTTGTCGGAACAGGAGGTTTCTCAGCACGTCAATGCGTGTTTAGATGGCAACCCGATACCGCTGCCTACGCCGAAGGAGCCCATGAGAGAAGCAACCCCTACTGTGACGAATGCCAAAGCTTTCAAACGACTCCCGCGACCGCCTCGGCCCGGTCAGGAAAATCCGTTCCAGCTTGGGGAGACAAACGGCGCCCCAAAATCAGCATTCTCCAAATTGATGTCTGGACACGCTGAAGACACCGCATGGGCTACGGCAGCTGACGCAGAGAAGGCAGCGAGGGGCAAACCATCATATCAACGGACATGTCCTTTCTATAAGATTCTTCCGGGCTTCTACATTTGCGTAGATGCCTTCCGCTATGGCGCCGTCAAGGGGCAAAACGCGTACTTTCTTAGCCATTTCCACAGCGACCACTATATCGGATTGACTGCATCGTGGAGCCACGGACCAATATACTGCAGTAAAGTGACAGGTAATCTCGTCCGGCAGCAGCTACGCGTGGATCCTAAATGGGTGGTGGATCTTGATTTCGAAAAGAAGGCGGAAGTTCCAGGCACCGAAGGCGTCCATGTCACGATGATATCAGCCAACCACTGCCCTGGTAGCTCGCTGTTTCTTTTTGAGAAGGAGATTGGCAAAGGAAAGAGCTCAAGGTTGCAGCGCGTGCTACATTGCGGCGACTTCAGAGCTTGCCAAGCCCATCTGGAGCATCCACTTTTGAAACCCGACGTGCTCGATGCTGTGAGTGGGAAGAACAGGCAGCAGAAACTCGATGCCTGCTATCTTGACACTACGTACCTCAATCCGAAGTACGCTTTCCCGCCGCAGCAACAGGTCATTCAAGCATGCGCAGATATGTGTGTGAGCCTGAGCAAAGAGCGAGTTGATGAAAGCGACGGGTGGGAAAAGATGAAGAAAGAGCGCGCAGGTGAGGGTATGGTCAAGTTCATGCAAAAGGGTGCTGAGGCTGCTGAGGCTGCTGAAGTGGACGGCAATGAACCAACTTCAACAAGTCCTACAAAGATCGGCGTGAACAAGCCACGAGGAAAACTTCTCGTCGTAGTTGGAACTTACAGTATCGGCAAAGAGCGCATATGCATCGGTATAGCCAAAGCCCTCGGCAGCAAGATCTACGCCCCAGCCAATAAGCAACGAATCTGTCGCGCTCTCGAAGACCCTGAGCTCGACGCCCTCCTCACCTCCGACCCCCGCGAAGCACAAGTCCACATGACTCCGCTCTTTGAGATACGCGCCGAAACCCTCGACGATTACCTCCGTGACTTCAGCGACTGCTTCTGCCGCGCTGTCGGTTTCCGCCCCTCAGGCTGGAACTACCGCCCACCCAAGAGCCGCTTCACGGAATCTCCCTCCGTGCAAACCGTACTCTACTCGCAGAACTGGAAAAGCCAGTTTTCGATGCGTGATTTGACGCAGCAACGCGGTAGCACGAACCGCGCGAAGTGTTTCGGTGTTCCGTATAGTGAGCATAGCAGTTTCAGGGAGTTGACCATGTTCTGTTGCGCGCTAAGGATAGACAAAATCATTCCGACGGTGAACGTGGGGAGTGCGAAGAGTAGGGAGAAGATGAAGGGGTGGTGCGAGAAATGGGCGATGGAGAAGAAGAAGAACGGGCTTTTTAAGCTAGGGGAAGGGGGCAGTGGTTGGTAGAGGTTTATCGATACACCAATGAACAATCAAATATTGTTCCAATATCTTTCTTGCAATCACACCACATCGGATGGACCTGCCGCCAAGACATCAGTCGGTGTCTGAATGCTCGCTCTCCCTCTGCCGCTCCCGCTTTATCGAGTTATATACCCGTCAGACCCTGCAGAGAATACAGCCGTGTTGAGTCTGGTCTGAACAAAAGGTCTGAATCTCGGGCAGCCGATGTTCCGTCTGATCATTTGGGAGGCCGCTATAGTAGGGTGGCGTCTATCAAGCTCGAGTGGATGCAGGGTAAACTCGGACAACTCACAGCAAACGTTACCAAAAGCGTCCGAATTCCCCTTCTTCTCTCTTCCGCGCACTGTGGACCGTCTGTAAGAAGTTGTACTCGGCTTCATAAGATGTCTTCCATGCGGAAGACGAAATTTTGCCATCGTGCGACGACAGAGACAGGTTTCAAGGTCCGTTGACAGAAACGAAGGACACCATTTGGCCAATACCTTGCCTTTAGAGGTCAGCTTGTGAAGTCTATATCATTTGGAAGACACCAACAAGTAGATTGAGCTTTGCGTAATGCAAAATTCGATTCTGTATTAACGATGCCGTGCTGCACCTGAGTATGCCATCAAGATGTGTTTATGATCATTCAAACGTCCCGCTGTGGTAGCGGAACAGACGCCCTCACGTTCCTTGCGGAGGCAACTCCATCGGCCGGATAGAGTCTCATGATCCGCATGAGAAGGCATGAGGGAGTATCAGAATGTCTCTCGAGCTATTTACTATCCTCCCGTCGCCCACGTGCTCGCCTTCCATCCATGGATACTTGTTCGCTTACGCACTTGCAGTTAGCGCGCGGCTCTCTCGAGACCGGTCCGCGAAACCGCCAAGTGCGCTTCAAACACTCTGCTACTCTTCACATTCTTGGTATATATCCTGCGCGGCGCCTGTACTCGCTCGTGATGGCGTTCTCGCGCTCCGCGAATACGGTGGTGCAAAAATATCGCGACTACTCGCCTGCCTGCTCATGAAATATTCATCCTGCAAGAGTGCCAACAAGCGTTACAGTACTAAGTAATATGGGCCAGGACAAGCTCATGTTCAGCCAAGGTACAATCGCACTATTGCGCGTTCCCACCCCTTCCAAGCGTTTCCGACAACGTGCTAAGCATTTTCAACAGCTGACAATCGCTGTCCAAGTCGTCCTTCGCGCTGCCCCAAGAGAAAAGCTGCCTGGGGACAAAACGGCTGGGCGCACTGTGCTTCACTTGTAGCCACGGCTTGACTGACTATTGCGACGACTTTGCTTTGTGTGATTGGCGCCAGCGATTATCCAGCCGTACGCTTAGGTGTATGTCGTTACAGGAGCGCTCGGCGTGGCTCTGGGCGTAGAATGTGCACGTTGTCCCCGTTTGGCGTTCGACTTGGGAAGGAAGGATTCGAGAACATAGCGAAGACAGATATGTGGGTATATAAGAGGAGATGCCTCAGGCGGAGCAGAACAGCAGCCCGGCGCGCAATCAACAGTTTCAAAACCTCGTTTTCTCTTCACTTTTACTGTTTATTCGATTCTTGCGACCGGTTCGCTGTTTTACCCATCCACTTTTCCGTTACAAATTCATCGCAGCTATGAAGGTTTCTCACATCAGCGTGGCCATGTGGCTCATGACCGGGTCGCAGTACGCCAGCGCTGCACCCACCTCCGAGCTGCTTGATGTCTTGCAGAGCGGAGGGTATCAGGGCCTTCGTGCTAGAGACCTCTCTGCGCTTCTTCAGAGTCTTACCAACGGGTTGGGCATCGAAGCGGTACAGGGAGCTCTCGCGGGCCAGGGGCAAAATGAAGAGGCTGCCGAGAGTGGTCAAGCTGCTGAGGGGGGTCAAGCTGCTGAGGGGGGTCAAGCTGCAGAAGGTGGAGAGGCTGCTAAGGGTGGTGAGGCAGCAGAGGGCGACCAAGCAGCAGAGGGCGGAGAGGCTGCTGAGGGCGGCGAGGCTGCAGAGGGCGAGGCAGGAGAAGCCAGTAAGTCCACCACATACCGCCACACACAATCTCAAAGCTCACAAGTCATAGATGAAGTCGAGCTCGCTGGCACATTTGACACAGCGGTCGCGCTCGAGGGCGGCGACATCAAGCAAGACGTGCTCTTCACCAAGAGCGTAAGCATCCCTCCTCCTTCCCATCCAAACTTCGATCCTAACCTCCACCCAGACGGTCGGTTCCTTCGAATTCGAATTCCAGAGCGCCGCCGCAGACACGCTCACCGTGACGGAGAACACAACTCCCGGAGCGCCGCCCGCAGGTTTCGAACTCCTCGAGACAAGTTCGTACCAGGTCGCACTTGCTACGAGCAAGGGTGCAGGCTTGACACTATCCAAAATCGACTTCGTCTTCGACGCTGCTAGTAAGTAACCATTTCTTGTGTGGGGATTACTATTCGGTGTCTAACATGATCACCAGGTGCAGGGCTCCAAGGCAAAGACGTCACGCAAGCACAGGTCGGAAAGCTCTGCGCTGATAGCGGGGCATTCGTGATCTCTGAGACATTGGGAGAGCTGGAATTTGAAGCCGAGGAGAACGAGGTTACACTGAATTTGAACAAGAACGTCACAGCTGAGGGAGAGTGGGGTAAGTGGTGTTTGAGTAGTGTCTTGAGAGTCAAGCTAATGTTTGTAGGTATCTTCATTCCAGTTGCGGCTGAAGGAGCTGCTGCTGGCAACGAAACTGCTATTGGCGAGGAGGCTGCTGCTGGCAACGGAACCGCTGTTGGCGAGGAGGCTGCAGCTGGTAACGGAACCGCCGCTGGTGAGGAGGCCGCTGCTGGCGAAGAAACTGCTCAAGAAGGCCAATCTGCCAAAGAGGGTGCTGCTGCTGGCGAAGCTACTGAAGGCAAACAAGCAGCCGCCGGCGGAGAGGCTGCGACTGGAGAGACTTCTGAAGAAGGCCAATCTGCCAAAGAGGGCGCAGCCGCTGCCGAAAGTGAAACCGCTGCCAGCGAAGAGGAGACAGCTGGCAGTAGCCAGAAGCAAACGAACGCCGCCACCGCCGAACACGAGTAGAGACAACCACGCCTCCTGTTACCCCTCGCAGATAATTTCGGAAAGGAAGATGTTGTGGAAGTCGGGAAGATGTGTTGTGCATGGATGCAGTGATGCACCTTGTGCGACTGTGCGGGCCGCTGCGGGCTGACGCTACCACACGAACGTTGTGGCACATTGAGGGCTGAGCTCACAATGCAGTCTCACCACACCTTTTGCCCCGTGCTTCCTGTTCTCTTTTCGCTTGTTGACCTAATGCCCGAGCCGCGCTCACAGACCTTTGCAATTTCGGGGACATTTGTTTGTCGGCCGACTTCGGAATCTGCAAGACACAATCAGTGGAGCAAAAGTAACATGAAGTGGAAGTCACAATGGCAGAGATGGGAGAGTTTTTAACTTTGAAATCATGTATTATTATTAAGTCGAGTGATCAGCTCAACAAAGTACCGTGCTTGCCTCGCAGCCGCCGGCAGAGAACAGATCAGTAGTGAGTGACAATGGCTCTTGCCATGCAGTCTGGTATCCCGCTGTAGTCGTAAAAATGCACAATTTTTCAGTGCAGTCCCTCTATCCCAATGCTCGAACCCGATTTTTAAATCCATCAAGAAAGACCCATGAACGCCGTAGCAATGCTACAAGAACTCCTTTCGCTGGAAAGATGACATGCCCGGTGGTATCGACATTTACAAGAAGAGCATGGCGATGGCGGCGGCGGAGAGAGCGCCGAAGCTCATGCCGATGGTGCTGGCAGCGCCCTGGTCGGCGGGGTTGGTGGAGGAGGCAGAAGGCTGGCTGGGAGAGGTGGGGTTGCTGGTGCTGTTGCCAGAAGGAGAGGCACCGCCAGTAGGGGCAGCGAGAGATGCGGTGGTAGAGACAACGGCAAAGGTAGTCGGCTGGGCGCTGGTAACATCACCCTCGCTGACGCAGAGGATGGCCTTCTCCTGGACGGGGTTGGTGGCAATCATGGCATTCTTGTCGGCAGTGAATTTAGCGGACCCCGTCTCCTTGCCCTCGGCGTCTTTGAAAGCCTGGCACGAGACTTTGCTCTTGTCAACGCCATCAGCGGAGACAATCTTCAGGCCACAGACTGAGGCAAGGTCGATGACGGTGAGCTTGTCGACATCGACATCGAACTGGTCAAGCGAGGTAGCGTTGGGCTGGAGGCAGGGAGTCTGCTCGAGCGTGACAGTGGCAGCGAAAGTGGTGGCAGCGAGAGCGGCGACAGTGGCGAAAGTGAAACCCTTCATTTTGAATGTGTTGTGTGGGGTATTGAGGATGGTGTTGTGGTAGTGTTCCGAAAGAGGAAGTGTGTTAGATGCGGACCTTAAGGAAGGAGCTAAGAGATGCAGAAGACTGAGCTGGAAGCAAACAGCGAATGTCTGAATGAAGCGTGTGAAGGTGGAGTGAATGTGCTGGTTGTTGTTGTTGTGTGATGATGATGGTTAGCAGCGAAGTTCGCAAGCCTTATATCCTCTTCCAACCACTGCACTCGCCGCAGAGCATGCCCCGAAATAGCAGCAGGGTTAGCGGCACGTCTCCACAGGACCACGGCTACGCCTTTCCCTTTCAGCGAGCCCGAATCGGGGCGCGAGCCGTCGATGAAACAAAAGAGGTTGGCGTGCGAAGGGGGCGCAAGCATCTTGGCGATCCAATCACGCGCCGGCCGTCAGCATACGGGCGCCGCAACCCCAGCCACGAAGAATGCTATTCCATGCTGTGCCCGAAAAGTCATGCATGGTCGGGAAGCAAACAGCAGTTGCCCTCTCGCGAAAGTGGTCAGAGAGTAAGCTTGTGCCTCCTTCCCCCCTACTGCTGGAGCCGCAGTGAGGATCGCGCTTTATTGGGATGAGCGGCGCGGGCGTCGGCGTGTCAGATTGATCTGGTAGAATCCCATGCATCCTTCGCAGCCTTTCTTTGCACATGTTCGACGGGAGAGCAACCAGATGCCAGCTGTGCCTCACGTGGGCCCATTGCTCAGTCGACATGTACAGCATCACCCTATCCATCTCATGCATCCTAAACGTTAAAAATGAGCTGAACGTGGCACCAATCTCGCGGGTCATCCTGCCATGTAAAGACCCGGCCGGGGACACTTGCGGCTCTGGAGTGCCTCTTTCGCGAAAGGGTACGCTCCTACACTTCGTCATACAGACCGTGATTCACAGTCGATCGTGCCAATACACGACTTGTTGAAACGTATACAGCGTCACACAACTCGAACTCCGTGCACATCGCAAGCACTCAATGACATCGTGGCCCCACGACAACACACCTCCTGCCGCAACCAGCATCCTTCGACTACTACCTAATAACATGCATATGAGCCTCATCACAAGAAGACCCACCTCGGGCATCCTGACTGTGCACTCCAACAAGCATCGCCTACGCTGCCACTACGCCGCGTGCACAGCCCTGCCGAGAGCGAGAAAGCTTAGGGCCCCCAACCAAGCGCGTCACATCTTAGGCGTCCCACTGTTAATGCTGGTCGCTATTCGCAGCCATGGCCTTGTAGACGGTCGTATACGCACGAAAGGCGGTGCAGATCTTGAAGGGCTACACGTTGCAGTTGCATCTACTTGTTACTGAACATCTCTCCGTTGGCGGGGCTGTCTCATTCTGGAATGTCACTGTCTACTATGTCGAGGCAAGGCAGCAATGTTACCTGATGACACAGTTTGCTGACCATTGAAAATTCGTGCGAGACAATATTGATGCGGGAGGACTTCTGCCCTGCTGACTGCTATAAAGTGCACGAATATTGGATGTTCTGCCATGTCTGATTGGTCGACAGCATGGTTGCGTTCATTCGAGATATATGATTGGCTGATCATAATTGCACAATTTTGCGTGCCACATTCCCATCAATCTCGCGGGGTGTGCTGCGGTCCTCTACTTCGCCGTAAATACCAATACTGAAAGTACACATTGACTTCTACGGCATCTCTGAGCAGTTTCACATCAATCTTTCTCAACGAATGAACAGTCGCCAAGCACCTGTCACTGCATTCGACGGTTGCCCGTTGTGGTAGAAAAACCGCGTTGAAGCTTTCCCTAGGGTCTTGGAGCAGACCCTTTGCGGTGCTATTTTGGCTACCGCGTCTTGGACCCTTTGTGGTGCGTGTTTGCGCGTGCATCGTCGATGCGGATCCCCATGTCGCAAAATCCTCAAATACCTAAGTAGTCGCTCTTCTATGGACCTCGTAGACCCTTTTTTGCACTGTGCTGTAGGCAAGCGAGAGGGTTCCGAAACGATAAACAAAGATTGCATTTTGACGTTCGTCGATCGGCTAGGCTATGCGAGAGCAGGCAGCTTCACCTTTCTGCCCATAACATCACATCAAGGACAAAATAAGAGAATCTAAAAAATAGAGAACACTCTCCTAATATATAAGGGTCCTGTATAGTAATTTTATAATTCAAACTCAATACACTGCTGTGTTGTGTCGCGATAAAAGTGGTGTGCGCTGAGTCCTTGCTCTCGATATTTTACGTCCCGCGAGTGGGCAGATCGACTCACATGCCCTCGACTGCTAAATGGCGCTGTAATCGACGGATGCCGCCAGTTGCTGCTTTCGGCCGGTTGAGAAGTCAGCAAAGGTTCACTAGCCGCACTACGGGATCAACTGACTCTTGTCGCGCACAACGATCACAGTATCTATCATCATTGAAGAGCTTCAAAATGTTGTCATAGAGCTGGTACGCTTGCTTGCAGAGGAACTCTTAGCTTAGAGATGGCGCTTTTGGTTTTATGTCTAACACAGAATTTGGAGAATAAGCATTCAACTAAATGCACTCGCGAACAGCCATTGTGACTGTCCTTTTCGTCACTTCTGAAGGAGATCGAGACGCGAAGTCCTCAAAATAACGCCACACCCATACTCGTACATCCGCCCAGTCTCTTCATACCCTCGACGGGCCTGCTTATGCTGCTCAGTACCCGTTCCGCGACGTCGATAGGTATGCCTGCCATGAAGATTCTCTCCCACCGTCACCTTCATATCCAAACTCCTTTTTATCTTTCCCCAATTCCATGTCCACATAAGAAATCCTGTGCCGCTCATATCCATCCCGCCCGGTCCATATCAAGAACCGGAATTCCAACTCATGCCACTCCAATGTACTTTCCACCATCAAAGGACCCTTCCCTAAGAACACACGAGGCCCTCGAAGTTCGTGTTGCAAAGCCATGATGATGCCTGCGTTTTCGGCTGCACCAAAGTTGATTTCTGGGCGGGTTGCGTTGGGTACTAGGGAGCGGATGTAGAGCGCCTGGCGGAAGACGCCGTCCTTGTAGACATCTGCTAGTTTCCATTTACGTGCATCGGTGTCGTTGAAGGAGAATGTGTAGCGTAGGCGGCGGAGGAGGATGGAGGCGGAATTCTGGATACGTTCGGCATCTTCGGGGTTGAGGAGCGTAGTTGTCTTGTTGTTGGGATCAGGGCTGGCTTGGTAGCGTGTCAATAGAGGAGATGTGGCACTGGAGTCTGGAAACGCTGCGATCTCAGCGTTTAGACTTGGTCCATTTTCGAGGTGCGTATGTGGATTCAATTCATTTTCGAGATGCGCAGATGGACTTGAGCCCGCATATGCACTTTCGTATGCATTTCGACTTGCGTACGCATGTTGCCTTGAGCGCGCATATTGAGTTGCGTACGCATAGCGACTTGATCTGTTTTCGAGGGGCGTATATACACTTGATCCGGTGCCGGGGTGCGTATCTGGACTGGAGTGCGCAAATAGACTTTAATACGTAAACGGGTTTGAATCCGCAAATGGACCTGATTCGTAATCGGGGTACCTAGGTAGATCTGACTCGTTGTCGAGGTGCCTAATTAGACTTGAATAGTTATAGAGGTGCAACGTAGTCTCGTGCAAAGGGTCTGACATAGTTTCCAAGTCAGAACGTACACGATCTAGGGCGAGGTAGTTGAAATTCATTCGTGCGGGAGCAAGCAAGGCGTAGATTTTGTACAGGGTGATTTCGAAGGACGGTTGCGTGTTGCTGCATTAGATAGCTGTAGGCAAAATAATATCATTACGGTGTGGGACCAAACCATACTACAACACGACACTAACCTTGGTACCGCGAACGTTCAGATCCACAACGAAGCCCATAGCATTAGAGAACCATCTTTTTAAACCCCTGTTTTACCCCAGGCTCAACAATACAAGGCCGATCGCACCAGCGTCTTCCGCTCTTCTGGCCGTTGCAGCTATTCCATCCTTTATGCACAGAATTCTGGTACCCTATGATCTCCCAGGCTGACCAATGCACTACTTAAACTTTTGACACGACTAGTAGCATGTAACCACGGGATTCTCCCATCCCTTAACATTCATTAAGCCCCAACATACCACTCCCTCTGCACCACCATCCAGCCTAGACCCACAACAGTCACCCCGAAAGGCAGCAAGATATCTCCCATCTTCACAGTCTTCCACACCACCATCTCGCTCACAAGCAGCCAGATCACGCCAACATAAGTCACCAGCGCGAGGTCGTACCTAAAGGCAGCAAAATTGTCAGTGCGTGTATCACAAACCAGGCGGAAGGGCATCGATCGCAGTCACAACTGGCTCAGTGTCTGAAGAAATTCAAACTTATGCAACGGCATAAACCACCGTTTAGACTTAGCCCTTACGTACAGTGCTTTGTTACTAATATCGTATGCCGCTTGTGCCCGTATCGCGCCCATGAGGATATTCATCACGCCGTAAATGTGCGCCAGAAGGGGCGTGTGGGGTGGATGTCGGGGGCCGGAGAAAGGCTTTAGAGATGTAGGAGGGGAGATGTAGCATATTAAGCCGTGGATGGTTGCCATTATCGCGGTGAAGATGAGGAAGTAGGATAGAAAGCCATTTTGTTGTGCCATTGTCCTCGGCTCTCGAAGGTCGACTGGAGAAGGATGAAGGTTGTCGAGCTATGAAAGCTGTAATTATGGAAGGGATGATCGAAAACAAGAAAGTCAGTGATTCCACGATGTTAATATGAGGCCTTGGTTTATACAACGGTGTCGGAATCTTTGTTCAACCATTATTTTCGGTCCCGGTTGGAGAGCCGCTGTCCGCCTCGTTCATGCGAGCAATCCTACTTCAACGGTCGTACACGTCCGATGCTAGCATTGCGGAAAAACTTGGGGCCTACTGGACCTGATGGAATTTTGACCTGCGGTGCGTGGGAATGCGGCAGGCTGGTAAGTGGTGTTCAGGCAAGTTGTTTAGTCACCAGACCACGCGACCGCGAGCAAGTGGACCCTGAACATTCGGACTGTATTTCCGATGGCTTTTGCGGGGTAATTTCCCCCACAAAGTGCCTATGGTGGGTGCTTCGCCGGGAACTGTTGCGTAGAGCTGCACGCATTGATCTCCTAGTATATGCTTCACATTGATAAGTAGCAAGTTGCATGCCTTCAATTCATGTTGACACCACATCGCTGTCCGACACCGTCCAATTCGACACGCTTAAAATCATGGCCTCCCCCTTCTCCGCCTCTAAATTCGCCCTCAGCTCCTCCTGCCTCGGCCTCCACCCATCCCATCCACTAGAAGAAAAGATCAAAGTAGCGGCAAAGTATGGCTTCACCGGCATCGAGATAGTTCATGGCGACCTAGAGCGTTACAGCAGCGCTAGAAGCCTCAGTATAACCTCCGCAGCACATCGCATCCGCGCACTATGTGACACTCTCAATCTACACATTCTCTCACTCTGTCCACTTGAAAACTTTGAAGGTCATCCGTCACCATTGGAAGACCGCCTCAGCACTGCGAGAGACTGGATCGACGTGGCGAGGATACTGAGAGCGGAATATGTGCAAGTTCCCGCGCAGTACGGATGTGACGCCTCGACGGATAATGCAGTCATCATATCCGAACTTCAACAGCTCGCTGACCTCGGTGTCGCCGCGGGACCCAAGATCGGTATAGCGTACGAGCCTATGGGTTGGTCCGTCGTACATAAGAGTTGGGAATCTGCGCTGAAGCTTGCGGAGCTTGTGAACAGGCCGAATTTCGGGATTTGCATTGACAGTTTTCACGTTGCGTCGCTGCTTTGGGGCGACCCAGCTCACACCAGTGGAAAGTATCCCAATGCGGACGGCGAGCTGGCCGAATCGCTGGCGAGATTGGTGCGCGAGCTTCCGCTCGAGAAGCTGTTCTATGTACAATTGTCCGGTGGGGAGAGGTTCTCGCCGGTGTATTCCTCAAAGCATCCATGGCATCTGGAGGGCGAAGCGAAGGAATTCACGTGGTCTAAACACGCAAGGCCGTTTCCACTGGAAACGGAACTTGGAGACTACATGCCCGTTGTCCCAATATTGGAAGCCATCCTTCAGACGGGGTATCAAGGCTGGATATCGCTCGAGACGTTTGATCGGAGGATGCGGGATCCAGTCTTTGATATTGAGACTGCTGCGGCGAGGGCAGAGATGTCGGTGAAGCGGTTACGGAAGGCGGTAGATGGCAAAGCTGCGAACCTTTGAAGTAAAGTGTTCCAAGCCAATGCCTTGACGGTTTCAGCCTTTGCGTCGTTTGCATAGGGCGGCAACTACGCTGATATCATCGAGTTTACCTGAATGGCATGAGTATTGTCAAAACATAGAAATGCAGGCCGAGTGAACTCACCTCCTTCGATGGACAGACCCTCATCAACCGCCTTCTCCATGTAAGGGCTCTCTGCAAACGGGTCCTCAGCAATCGTCCGTGCAGCGTTCACTAGTTCCTGAGCAACATATCGCATCCCGTCTGCGTAACTCTGTTCGGCAGGCTCCTTATCAGGATGTGACAAGCTCTTCTGGTCCAGCCACTTGTACATGCTGTCCACTACATTCTCCACTACTTCATGCTCCCACAGGTTGTCGACCACACCGTCAGTCATAGCAATAACAATGTCATCTTCCTCGATCTCAATGCGATCCATTACTGCGTTCTGAGCGGGCGTGTCAGGACTGTTTGTTCCCAGTTGCCGCGGGCAATCGAACCAGTGCCATTGCTCAGTGGTCTTGAAGATGACCTCCTTGTCTTTCGGTCGTATGACTAGAATCTGCGAGTCGCCAAGCTGTGTAACGTACAGTACTGGGCGTGTTGGATTATGGTCGTCTGCGCTGAGAAGCGCGGCGCATGCGGTCGTTGTGCCGAACCATTCATTCGGTTCGGAAGTTGCTTGTTGCGTCTGCTCAAACGCCCTCTCGAGATACGAAACGGGATCTGGCTCGTGTTGTGGGTCGTACTTTGCGTGCTCGGCTTCCAGGGACCAGAAATGGAGGATCAGTCTCGACCAGAGCCTGGTGGAATATTAGCTGCTAATGCACATCTAGATAGATAAGGAATTCCGTACGCAGCATGTCCCTTCTCCTTGGTTGCCCAAGCACCCACCCCATCATTTGCGCCAATAAAGTAGTCGCTGACCAGCACTGCGTCGTCCCCGTTTGTAACTCCCCGGATCATTTCGCCATTCACCTTCGGCCGTCGGTCTCTGCTCTTGTGATGGGTACTCAGAGGCTCGGAGAAGCTCGTCGAGGGTAACGACAGGAACGGCGGCGGAAATGGACGCGACGGACGCTTATGATACAGCGCGTATCCGGCTTCGAAGTAGAAGGGCGGTTTAGACACAGGCGGGGCAGCATCGTCTGGCACTGGTGTAGTCGTTCCTACCCTCGGTTCCTGCGGGGGACGAGCATAAAAGCGCGCAATCGTAGTGGGTAGCGAAAGGCATAGTGCTTGCGGATGTAATCGCCGGGCAGCAGATACGTGCTGAAGCAGGACGCCGAGGGGCAACGAACCGCGCGGGATCATTCCAGCGATACGCGAGCGGACGAGCATAGGCGCGATGGCCGCGTGCGCGTATGCGGTGCGATCTCAGATGCGCATGGGAGCTGTTTGCTTTGACCACGGGTGTTTGTTGAGGAGGCGGACATGGCCTCGGAATGGTTGGCTGCGGGCTGAATAATAAAGCCGTTAGTGACGTTGCAGGGTATTTATCGACAGAGCATCGCGACGGGTTTCCTTCGGGCTCTGACGAATGTTATTTGGCTCACGTTGATACTCGTCGACAATCTCAAGTAAGTAGAAAACAACAAAGACTCTATATTTTCTTGAGGTAGGACTATGACGGGGTGATCTACACCGACCAGATCTGCATCTGCAGGTACCCAGTGCCTGTAACCCCCACGTATATGCTTTTCGCTGTCTGGTATCTTTAAAGAAAATCTGAGCCTCGAACGGTCGACTGAGTGAGGATCGAGGAATCTGTGTTGAATGCGGCCCTCAATGAACACCTAGCAGCCCACGCCAATCCCTCTCGAACGCCGAAGCAATGCATGCTGTAGTATATATATCCCTCCGTCAACTGAAATGCAACCTGCCTAGCGCTCTCAAGCTCTTCTCTTGACGAAACTCTCCAAATCCTCCTTCGTCGCTACACCTAGCACGAACTTTCTCGACCCGTCGGTTACAACAGCAAACTCCTGCCTTCCCAACCCATCCACACCACCATTGAAGAACGCCTCCAGTTCCTCCAATGGCGTCTCCAACGTGATAACCTTGTACCGTGTACCGCGCCTCCGAAACTTTTGCATCGCTGCCTCCACCGGATCGCTATCCTTCACCTTCCCTTCCTTGAGAAGCTGCTGAAGGCGGGGAATGCTGATATACCCGAGCAGCGCGCGATTTTCAGACGTCACCGTGAGATGTGTATAGTCGCGTTCAAGCCCAGACATTAGGGCGTGCGAGACAGGGTCGGTCGGTCGACATGATAGCGCGGGAGGAGGTTCAAGATCTTCTACCGTTGCCTGTCGAAGGTTAGTCGCGAGGTGCAAAACCAGCGCGCAGGACACATACCCCGCGATATTTGTTCGCCCATAGTGACTGGTAGTCATCATTCGCCGTGGCGGGAGCTTCGGTAGACATGGTTGCAGTCGGAGAGGTGGGGTGGTGGGGTAGCTTGAATTGTTTGAAGCAATGAATCGCTCGAGAAGCCTCCCCCGCACTAATCGCGCACGAGCCAATGGTGAAGCTCATCACGGTGAAAGACTTGTTTTAACATATAGTATGATTCCAGACTGCATGGATATGTCCCAGCTTTTCTCCCAAGACCCGTGCTACGGAGCGCCGTTGCAGCCTTGCAAGCATAATAGACCGCTGTGGCTCGTGGGATAACCTGACGCCTGATGAGCGTTTCGACGTTTACTGCCTCGCAATAACCCAGCGCCCTAATGCACCTGTTTTTGGAGATGCAGTAACAAATGTTCGACTGATAGATGATATATCAAAAAGTGGCCTGGTACAAACCTACGATTCGGCGTACGGATTAGATCTGCCACAGTCATGCGACGCCTAATGTTATTCGCCTTCCGAATGATTTCAGTCTTTAACCCCGGCTGTACGTAGACTTTGGGCGATCAAGTGGTTTCTGGCCCAGCTCAATCTTCTCCTGGTGATTCTCCGGGGGTTTGGGAAACCTGACGGGCGGGCCTGCTGCGCGATCTTGACCTTGAGACGTCCTGTTTACGCTTCTTCACATCGGCCCGTGCTTCAGAATCTACAGAAGATGAGGAGCGTCTCCGTCTGTTCGCCTTTACTCGCGCAGGTTGTGGGGTAACAGACCGTGAATCGGGTGATCGTGAAGCAACATGACTTCGTCGACGGCGCGGTGGACTTCGAGATCGAGATCGCGACAGCCTGAGTGATGGTGAGCTTGACTTGTCCCTTGGTGTAGAAGATCTAGAGCGAGGTCTGCGCAACCTTCTGCTGTCATTGCTTGGGGAGAATGCCCTATCGTGACTCCTAGCTCTAGGACGACGCGCGGGTGACCTCGAAGGGGAGCGACGAGAGCGACGAATTGGAGATCTAGAGCGGTCAGATGAAGGTGCTCGACGGGCCCGTCGAGGAGGGCTTCTTGAGCGGCTCGAAGATGGCGAACGGCGGCGGCGACGAACGGGTGACCGGGAACGTCTAGGGGACGGAGATCGGCGGCGGTCGCGAGATCTATCACGACGTCCGCTGCCACGACCGCGGCCTCGACCTTCTGGCACGTAGACATCTCGCTCACGACGTGGTGGTGGAGAGCCCCTTCTCCCCCTGGACTCGTCAGTATCTTGCCTATCATAAGCAGTATTCGTAACGTACGGTGGGGGAGGCCTTTCATCGCGACGACGTGGACCACGGTCACCCCGGAAGCCTCCACGTCCGCGACCTCGTTCAGGGCGGTCACGACCACGATCGGGACCACGATCGGAACGCTCGTTGCGGCGGAACGAATCGAGCATTTGCTCTTCTTCGCGACGGTTCTGGAGGGCGGCTTTGGATGCCTGTGTATATATGTTAGTGCTGTAGATGTAATCGAGGCTGGGGTTGGCGTAACGCACCTTTTCCTGCTGGAGCTCAAGCTTCTTCGCCTCGAGCATCGCCGTTGGTACTCCCAAGGGACTTTCTTGCGCACTCAGCATTAAGTTCCACAGCTCTTTGCAAAACTTGGGGGCCTTCGGCGTCAAGGAAGCCTTGGAGCTGGACTTGTAGTTCCTTGATCTTGGGCTACATATCAACGGATTAGCTCGAGAACAGCCCTGCTTGCGGGTACACTGACAAACTGATCAGTTTCGAGTATGTTGTAGACCATGTCCACTACGATATCGTCCTCCGGGAGGAACTCGTTGATCTTGCTGGCGATCCATGTTTTGATAACGTCGAGGTTGACTTTCTTGGTGTCTACACGCTTGTCGAACTCGGGCGGGAATTTAGTTGCTTTCAGGACCCTCTGGGTTGCGGCGTCCAACGGCATTGTCGCGACGTTGCTCCCAATTGCACTTGGTAGGGGGAGGTTGGAGAGTGTCGCGTGGGGTGTTCGCGTCGTGGAAGAGCTGAGAGCAGCTCGTGTGGAGCTACTGCAGGTTAGTAAGTCGGAGCTACGGCCAATCAACGCTCCCTCCGGCCGCAGTCCGTCCACGAGTAGTCTAGGCAAGAGGACGAGCAAGCATCAACATTTGTGCAACGAGCAATGGAGCGAGGTGTAGGGTTCTGCGATCAGGCCCCTTTCTGAGATTTCAGAAAAGCATCCTCCAGAGGATGGGTGTATCTTAAAGTCGGTCCCGCTTTGCTACCCTGTTTGTCTCTCAATATGACGGTGACTGGAGGTGGATGATGCCTCATGAGATTGTCTTTTTGCAACTATAAACTCGCAGGGATCTGTGCATTTACCGCAGTCTATTCAATGTAGTGCTTCTAAGGGCTCATTGATCTTGATGCGACTGCTCACGCTTTCTCACTTGTAGCCGAAAATGAGTCTTTGGACGGACATAAGTCCCAACATGAAGTGTGACTGCCTCATTTAAATGCTACCTTCTGCTCTGTCTAGCCGTAGCTTCTAATCGCGTCCACGCGCAATCGCGACACAAACAGGGCATCTACAGCAGGACCGACAACAAGGGATCTCCCATTTATGCTTCACCTCCTGCCCCAACTTTACCACCTCCGCCCCCATCTATTGCTCGTTGTGTCGTCTTATTCCATCCTTACCACGGCACATCACTCACTCCTTTTCTTCCCCTCGCATCGGCACACCGAACTTGGCTGGGCCGCGCTCCGTCACCGTCCTTCTCACCATTCACACCATGTCTGATGTCGAGGGTCCGTCATCTCCGCCTGTCATCGAAGTAGCACATTTGACGCCAAATACTGAGGACCCGCCCGAGGCTCCCCCGCCGACACCAATTGCGGAAGAGCTGCCGTCGCCATGTACGTCGATACCACCTCTTCCCTGACACAAGCTGACGATTTTCGAGTTTTCCCAGAAGAAACTATGGTCGTCACGACGGAAGATGGCAAACCCGTCGAGGCCATCGTAATTGAGCCGGCTGCCGAAGGCGTTGCGATCGTTGAAGCCATTCTCGAGCCCGAGCCCAAGCCCGAACCCGAGAAGGAGCCGGAGCCTGAGCCTCCTGTCGAAGAGAAGGGCGAGGATGATCCACCGCCTGAGCCCTCTCCCACGAAAGAAGAGCCGCCCTTCGAACCTCCGGTGGAGAAGATAGCTGAGCCTGAACCGGAATCCGGCAAAGAGGTTGAGAACGAGCCGGAGCCTGAAAAGGAGCCCGAAACAGAGCCGGAACCGGGGAAGGAACCAGAGCCTAAGGAGTCACCTCCTGTCGAAGAGAAGGTTGAGGAGGAAGTCCAGGCTGAACCGGAGCCGGAGCCGGAGCATCCTGCTGAGGAGAATCCGGAAGAACTACCAGCGACAGTCGAAAGCAAGACCGAAGAGGAACCTCAACCCGATCCTGACCCAGAAGCGGAGCCTAGGCCTCCAGTCGAGGAAGAGCCACCCGCAGAAGAGCCGAAAGTAAAAGAGCCTGTCATCTTGGAAGAGTCGAAGGCCGAAGAGCCGCCGCCAGCAGAAGAACCTCTAGCAGAAGTGAAGAAAGAGGAGCTGGCACCGGTGCCTGAGCCACCCAAGCGCAGGAAGAGAGATGTTGTGCGGGCCAAAGCAGTCCCTAAATTTCCTATCAAGCTCATTGCGGGCCCCGAGATTGGAGCCGTCGCCATCTTCCTGATAAAGGAGAAGGCCAAAGGTGTCGATATCAGCCCGCAGCTGGATGCGCTGATGAAAGGTGGTTGAGAAGCCGTTATCGTCTCCTACGTCAACGCTCAGACACACCATCCTTTTCCCTAAGCTTTATTTTATTATGTGGTCTTGTTTTGGAAAGGCATCATTGGAATTTCGCAAGTTGGTAGTTTCCCCCTTGCAATGTCAAATGTTCTTTGTCCTGTCATGGCCTACACACTGGCTCTTGTGCCGTGTTTTCGAGTCCAGTCTCCAGACTAAAACCATAGGGAGCCACGTGTACAATAAAGTAATGCAAGACTCTTGTACGATACCCGAGAGTTCGTGTCGCATGGTTACGCGGGTTTTCCCCGTCTCAACCATGCCTTTTCTTCAGCCGTCTTCAATGTAGAAGAATGCCTGCTCCCCGCGCGCATAGGTTCTTTGAGACATCCAATCCTCTCTGTGTTTCCGTATTGCATATTTTACTCCACTCAGCAATCCTCAAACCCCAACAGCTCTCTCCACGCTCGCTCTTGCCTCCTCCAGTCCAGACCCAAGCTCGCCCCTCCGGTGCGCCTCCTTGACCGTGTAGTGCAGCTCCACGAGCTCTTTTGCACGCTTGATGTCACTATCTTGCTCTTCCGTCTTCTCTGCTGTTGAGTTGTCAGTAGCATTTGGACGCGCGGAGACGAGGGCGAGTGCGGCAGCGGGGTCGCAAACGCGGAGGGAGACAAGGTCGGAGAGGATGTGTGCGAGCTGCAGCTGAGAAGGGGGGGTTGTTTGGGAGGACATCGTTCCTTCGTCGTGAATACGTAGGGTAGCTGGTAAGTTTGGTGGGTTTTGAAGTTGTTGGTGATGTAGCAGTGGGCAGCTCAGCCGTGGGGCGCCGACCTCGGTCCGTCCGGCAGGGGTCCCGAGCGTGTGTCGGGAACGCAACCGTGACCTCCAGTCATTTCTTCGGACATCAGTTGGATACGACAGTGTATCTATTAACTTCCCTTTTTGTATATACCGCTCTTGTATATACTTTGGGGATCATGGCGGCGAGTATACAGTCCATCAAGCAGGGCTGCAGGAAGGTACGTGTGTGAATTATGCTTGAATGTACAAAGAAGGGCAAGGAGAGAAAGAGCCTGGGTTTGGTGTATTGAAAGGGATTGAGGCGTCTACGCCTGGCAATTTGGCGTTGTAGCTCATGATGTGCTGGAGCAAGAGCCCGAGCATTGCTTGCTCTCTGCAATTGCAATTAAAGCGCTTCGGACACATCAATCGCTGACTTTGTACCCAGGTCATGTGCATAGGCAGGAACTATGCGTGAGTCACAACCTGTGAAAAGTGAAGAGAAATATACCGGACAACACTAATGCGTGTTTCAGCGACCACATCGCCGAGCTCAACAGTGCCCGCCCCAAACAACCCTTCTTCTTCCTGAAGCCCCCGTCCTCGATCTTGCTTCCAGGCGCTGGACCAGTCCTCCGTCCCCGTGGCGTGACCATGCACTACGAAGTCGAGCTCGGTCTCGTCATGGGCAAGACACTGCGCGACCTGGATCCTGAGGACACCAAGGGAGCCATGGACGCAATTGAAGGTACTAGAATTCCTACCACATATCATGATTGTAGCTGTCTTGATGTGAATGTGCGAAACTCAAACTGATATTGACTTTTTCACCCCACAGGCTATCTCCTGGCCATCGACATGACCGCCCGTAACGTCCAGGACGAAGCCAAGAAGAAGGGTCTCCCCTGGTCTATCGCCAAAGGCTTCGACACCTTCCTACCCATCTCAAATTTCATCGCCAAGTCCCGGATTCCGAACCCGCAAAACGCTCATCTATGGCTTTCTGTTAACAATGAGATCAAGCAATCCGACAACACCGACTTGATGCTGTTCCGGTACCCCAGGATGCTGAGTGACATCAGCCGCGTGATGACTTTGGAGAAGGGTGATATTGTACTGACGGGAACACCCAAGGGCGTAGGACCGGTCAGGACGGGTGATGTAATGAGAGCGGGACTAAAAGTCGATGGCAAGGATATTGAAGAGGCGAATCTCGAGGTACCGGTCGCTGATCGGGATGGTCCGTATGAGTTTAAGGAGACGTAGTTTGCGTAGAGCAGCTGGCAAAACAAGATTTCAACCATTCATCCGGGGTTCAACTTCCATGTTTGTGCGGATGTTCGCTGCTCGTTCATTCATCAGGAACGGGAGGCAACCGACGTGGCTTAGTCTTCACAGGCTTGGAGGGCTTGTTGGGATTGTCGTAGACCGGACCCACTTTCTTTTGAGGTTGCTGTGTTTGGTCCCATCCTAGCTCATAAAAGGTGGCATTTGCTGATCTTCGACGACTCCTGCGGGCTGGTTGGGACGGTCGTTGTTGCTTCTCCCGCGACTGAGGTATAATTTTAAGACCTGCATTGATTTGTCGTGTAGCAGATACCACAGGACCCTGTTTAGTAGGTCTCGGCGCTGAGATCGGGGATCCTTGCCGCTTCTTGCTTGTGCTAACAGAGAGCTTAACTATCTTGCTCGGTGCTGGTTCCGGTGCTGGACTAGAATTAAGATGTTGTAGCTTGTGTCCTGGCTTGGATTTGGCTGTTGCTTCAGCTTTTGTCTGGACTCCAGTTGGCTGAATATTTGGCTGTGCTTTTGGCTGTGCCTTTAATCTTGCCTTTGACTGTGCCGTTGGCTGTGCCGCTGGTTGGGCTTTGGGTTGTGCGCTTGGTGTGAGCTTCGGTAGGGCTTCCAGGTGATGCAGTTTGGGTTTCTTCCTCGGACTTGCGTGAGAAGGTGGCATATGCGGCTTTGACGGCGAAATATCTGGAATGAAGGCCGTATCCAAGTCGAGATCCTCAATCTCTCTGGTTTGCGTACTGTCTTGTGTTGTACCCTGCGTTTCAACCTCATGAGGTACATGCTGCATCTTCGGCGAATGATTGTGTGGTGTCTGGTATAAGGCGACTGCCCTGGCAGTAACCGTGGTTGCAGCGCCATTAGCGGGCTTATTCGCAGGTGCAGCTAGGTTCGTTGATCTTGTGTACGTATCCGGACTCCTCGGTATCTGCATATACGGCGACTGTACTTCCACGGGTCTCCTGACCTCCATCATCTTCACCACATCTGTCCGCAATTTCTGAACCTCTCCATTGCACCTCTTCGTGAAGTCGTCCTGCATCGCCCGTATCTGTGCTGCCTCCCGTGACCGTTGAAGCTCGAGCGCTTCAAGTCGAGCGTCTAGATGCTCCATCTCGTGAACATGCTTCCGACCCACACTGTTCTTCAACCCGAGAATCTCCCTCTCAGCAATCTCAACACGCGGACCAAGCGAAGACAGATCCACGATGCTATCATCAAGTCCTTGGTAAGACGACATGAGCCTCTGCACTCTCTCTTGTGTGTTCCTAAACTCTCCTATATCCTTGTCAATATCGACGAGCCGCTTGTGCATGCCAGTCATAAACTCTTGCTGTTTGGTCTCGAGTTGATCGACTCCGTTCTTGACGACGTCAAGCACCCCAGTCAGACCCGTACATGTTGTCGCTGCTTCTTCTGCTTTACGGACACGCCTTTCTTGGTCCGTGAATTTCGCTTCGAAAGCGTTCAATCGGCGAAGAAGCGCCGCATTGTGCTCCTTGAGCTCATGGCGCCAGAGCAGATCGGCCGGTACGATCGCTCCTGCAGGCCGAGAAGGTAAGGGCATCTTCTCGACTGCCGTGCGAGCGCTGATATGATCAAGTCTGCTCTCGAACAATTCCGGCGTATGCGATCTGGGAGTCGGTTGCGAATGGGCTGTTGTAGGGAGAAGTCACAGAGATGATGAGTGAGTTTTCAAAGCACGAAATCGTACAAGACGCAGACGCCAAGGTGATAGTGTAGGTGAGTGGAAGCCATCCCAGGTAGGAATGCGGGGTGACTGGAGAAGGTCGAAGAAGGTGCGGTTGTTGTGCTTGCCGTCGATGCAGCTCGCGCTTTCCCCCTCGCCAGATGCATAGCCCGACAAGCCATACGCATACGTCCCAACGAAGTATATGCTTTTGGAATGCAAAACTTGTGACAGCATACAATGGAAGCACACATGAAGAAAAGAGACTGGAGAGTTCACGTTATTCTTATTGTGCTTTACCTACTATAGCTTGGGTCATATCGCCGCTCGCTTCGGTCCCTTCGGCGCTTCCAGCACCTCATCCCTCTTCATGATCCTCACCTTGGTATCCTTCTTGACGCCCTCGGTTTCGGTCGCAGTCCCGTTCTCAGTCTCCTTGGCCCGCTCTGCAACGCTCTTGTCGTAGCTGCTCGGGTCAATGCCCAGGATCCCGCCAACGTTATTGCGGTCCCCGGGCACGGAGAACTCGCGAAAGGCATACCGCCACTCATTCAAGTGACCGCGTATCGCTTTGCCCACCTTATCTTTGCCGTTTTTGGAGTGATGACCTGTTCCTGTGATTGCATAGACGGGACGGCAGGATTGTTTGTGCTTAGTAAGAATGCCTTCCAGATAGGAGACCGCTTCGTCTGGGTGGAGGCCTGTTGCTGTTAGCATTGTGAGCTACACCGGAATACATAAGGATACACACCATGAAGATCAACATAAAGTTCACGCGCGTCCGCTCCGTCATCCTTGTTGCGCTCTTCGTACAGAATCTGGGCGGCCTTGCGATGAGCTTCTCGCATCAGGTTATTCTCACTCTGGCCGCGAAGAGAGAGCGCCTTCGCAGCACGGGAGTCGCTGCGGTTCCAAGCCTGGGCTGCGCTCTGCAAGAACTTGTTCCTCAGACTACCATGCTTGAAAGCCTCCTGCCGAGCTTGAAGGTAGGCAGTATTGGCTTTCTCGCCAGTCTCTAGCCAAGGTATATGTTGGGGAGCAGGGATCGCTTGAGCGGCGGCGCTGTTCTCTCGCGAGCCAGTAAAACTCTTAGTGGGACGCAGAGCTTTCCTGAGCTGCGCTGGTGCGGGCGAGGGCGACATGCGTACGACATCTGCGAGATTGTTTGGCGCACTTGCCTCTTTGTTATTGTGCCCGTGTCCACCACGTTTGCCATGATGTCGCTTTCCGGCTTTGGCTGCAGCGGCAGACCCTAAGCTTGGGAACGCTTCATTGTCATCTACAGCAGGGACCGAAGGAGTGGGAGCTCGAGACTGTTGACGACTGGTACTCCTGGACTGCGGGCGGCTAAGGCTACCTGGAGTGAACGTGGGGAAGGGGCTCAAGCCTGGAGGTGGGTGCTTCGGGACGCCGGTGAGGCCGTACAACTGCTCTAACGAAGCTGTGTCCATACCCGCAAACTGAGGGGTCCAGCCTGCTGAGCCAGTGTTCTGAAGACTGGGAAACTCGTAGTCCTGCATCTGAAAGTTGGGCATGGCTGACTGCAATGGGGGCGTGGAAGCATCTGAGATAGCTAGCCGGGCCATTACCTGCGTCGGGTCGTGCGAGAACATGCATGTGCTGCCGGCAAGACAATTACCGTTGAGGAAATATCTAGGAGAAGGTCAATATCATTAAGGGCAGATATGAGAAAAGCGGTACTCACTTGCATAGTGTCTTGGTCGTGTCATGGCTGAATCTACAATCAGCCCTTGCACAAGATCCCGAGGACAAGAAGTATTTGCATATGATGTTGCTTTTCGCCTGACCAGCAGGTGTGGCGGGGCGGAATGCAGGGCTCATTGACTTTCCGACCTGGAAGGTAGTCTGCTCGGGTCCGTTGATAGGCACTTGCTGGCCATCGAGAGTCTGGCCGCCCATGAGAGTAAGAAGGGCAGCACTTAGGTCATATGCATTGGCCTCGAGGGCCTTTTCGATGTCCTCGTCAGGTCGGTCATCGCGGAGAATGGATCGCAGCATGTCATACGGGCCCATATCTACTGTCTGAGGCTGAACCCATTCCGCAGCCGCACCGTTGAGCGTGCCGTCGCCGAGTAAGGAAGAGGATTCGGTGCTCCCAGAGTCATCGTTCACAAGCCAGTCTACGGAATCGCTACCAAGATCACCATAAAGCTCAGCGTTCGGACTCGTGCCTTCGCTGAACTGATATGCGCTCAAGCTGGGACTATGAGGGATATGGGGACTGGAGAACGCAAGACGCGGCGAAGGACGCGGAGAAGTGAAGGGAGAAGCATTGGAGGATTTGGCACGGGTAAAGGCTGGAGGCGCGATGCCAAAGCCTGGAGGAGGGTGTATCGTCCGCGGAGAGTGATTGACGGGTGTGGGCGCGCGGTTCGCCTGCCACGGCGCGGGCGAGGCACGACGGATGACGGTATGACGACTCGGCGGCGGGGAGCTCGAGGAACTGCCAGCATCGCGGAAGCGCCAAAGACAGTCGAGCACGGCGTTCTCCAGGGGCTTTCCCATGAGCCCAGTCTCCTTGCGCAGCACCTCTTCCAGCTTGTCTGTCTTGTCCTCCTCGTCTAGCGCCTCGTTCTGTAGAACCGGCAGCGCGGCGTCATAGACGTCGTCGGAAACCATTGTCAGTGCCAAGTCATCCAAGCAATGGTGGTGGTGTAGCTGTGATCGTAGGCGCGGCGGTGAGGGTGGTTGTTGAGCAGCGGCGCGCGACGGGGGTGGGTTTCGAGGCCCCAGGAGGCGACGGGCGTATTAAAGGTGTGTTTGTCTGGGCGCGGCGAAGGCAGCGAGGCAGCTCAGCGCGCCAGGGCAGACAAAAGCAAGAACAAGAGCGTCTGGCACCGCGGAGGGGCAGCTCTGCCTGGCGTGAGTGAGGGACGCGGGAATGATGCACTGGACAAGCTTGGCTCGCTCCGGGCGCGGTGTCGTCGTAGCTCGAGCGTTAGCCCTACGTTGGCGGGCAGATGTTGTGGGGAACCAGGATCCTGCGTCGTGGAGCGATGCGCGCGTTGCCTTCGCCAGGACTGTTGCAGCGCAGTCGCAAGAGAGGCAGAGACGAGACGAGTGATGATGAGGGCAGAAGCGGGCAAGCTGACGGACCTGATGACACTTTATTGCTTCACTCGCGCCTGCAAGCCTCGCTGCAGCCCTCTAGAGAGGCTGAATCACGTGCGACGATCGATCTCCAGCTCCCGCAGGCTACCATCCAGATGGGATCATGTTGCAGGACCTCCTGTAGCAAAGACAGCATGCAGCTTCTCTTCAGGTCCGCTGCTGCACTGCGGCGGAGTCAGGAGGTACAGGCACCGGCTATGAACATGTTCTTTGCCATGTACAGACTTCCCCAAGGAACTGCTGCGTTAAGTCCGGGCGATGCTAGCGCATGGTAAGCTGCACCGCCGCTGCGATGCTGGTTTCATCATCACATTCGCTCTGTTAGTCGCGAACCCATATGTCCCCGAACTCTCACCGTGTCTCGCCCTCCTTTACCTACCACACTCGGAATGTCCGTCTCCAGCGCGCCGTGAGCAACTGAGTCACCTCTACATACTGTCCGCTTCCCGTTCCCGCATCGTTGACGGCGTTTCCGCTGCACCTCCGCTTACTCCCGCCGCCCTCCGCCCCAAGTCACGATGCCCGTAGAGGAGGACTACGATGCGCGCGCCCTAGCCTTGCCCTTGGACGACGATGAGTCCCCCGAGCGAGCCTCCAGCCCCATCTGGAGCCGTCGTTCACATTCGAATTCATTCCGCCAGAACAGACCGCGCTCCCCTGGCCATGCGCGGCCTCGAGGGAGAATACGCCAGCTGGTGGACATGTACAACAAGCTCAACCGGCAGGTTATGAGTAGATACGAGAAGCTCTCGCTATTCAAGAAAGTTTTGTTCTCAGTAGGAGGGCTGACTATGTTTGTGCTGTCGATATTGTTCCTTGTATACAATGAAAAGATATTCCACGCCTTCTTGCCCGCTGCGAAGAAGTGGAGGGACATCACAGCTGGCTGGCTGATACTCTGGGCGTTGATATTCGTTGTATCGTTCCCGCCATTGATCGGATATTCAAGTCTTTTGACTATCGCTGGATTTGTTTATGGCTTTCCCAACGGGTATGACTCTCTAAGCTCCATGGCTTCACTTATTCGAAGCTTTATGTGTTTCTAGCACTAACTGTTGCACAGCTGGTTCGTCGCCGCAACCGCCACGGTCGCCGGCTCAACAGCCTCCTTCATCGCCTCGCGTTCGCTCCTGAAGAACATGGTCCACCGCCTCGTCGCGCACGATAAGCGCTTTGCCGCCCTCGCCCTCACCCTAAAATATGATGGCCTCAAGCTCCTCATCATGATCCGGCTATGCCCGCTCCCCTACTCCATTTGCAACGGCGCCATCGCCACATTTCCGACCGTCTCCGCCCTTTCCTATGCCCTCGCTACCGCAATTGTCACCCCAAAACTCATGCTACACATCTTCATTGGCTCACAGCTCGCTGTCATCGCTGAGAACGGCGGGAAGATGGACGCTAAGTCGAAAGCGTTGTCGTATGTGAGCATAGCGATTGGTGGTGTTGCGGGAGTGGTGACGGGGTGGTTCATGTACAAGAAGACTAAGGAGAGGGCTGCGCAGTTGGAGGCTGAAGAGCGGGCTGGCATTCGGCGGATGTCTATTGAAGATTTAGAGAACGAGTATGCGGATGATCCGGCAGCGCTGGAGGCTGCGGAGACGCTGAGGGGAGGATGATGACGATATCAGTCTGAGGACAGGCTGGGGCGATGAGTATCATGACGATATGACGGATGCGGAGGACGATGCGTTGGAGATCCCCGATGATCCTTTTGGCGCTGGGGACGCTGAGAGGGATGAGGATGGAACAAAGAAGTAGGGCTTGTAATCTGTGTATAATATGGTTGGATATGGTCTGGGTTTCCCACTGTCGGGTTAGACACTTGTTCCATGATTTCGGGTCGCATATAGAAGCATTGCGGTGGTCAAGTCCGCTCTAGATGTGCATCACAGATGTACAATGCTATGACATCAACTGAAGACTCTGGGCATGCTATGAGAAGGACTGCGAAACATCCAAGGAGAAACGCCCCTCACTCAATCCCGCAGTCAAGATCAACACAAGTGCACCATGGGTGAAATGTTCCATTCATCCTCTCCAAACTTAGACCTTCTCTGGGCATGGGTACTACGCACTTGTAGCCCCCCACATCTTGATCCCTGTTACTCTGATGTCCGCAAATTCCTCGCTCAGCATGCAACGCTCAAACGCCTACTCAAAACACCCTCAGGGATCAACTCAATGGCAAGCCGCGGTCTTCGTAGGCGGTCCATTAGCGAACAGCAGATACCCCACGAATGCGCCCACGGCAACTGCCAGCATGACCCAGCCATTGTACGTCATAAAGAGCAACCTAATGGCGCATGAGCACGTTCCTACTGTGAGAACGAAAGAAGCCCGCTACACAAGTAGGGAAGGGGTATGCTCACATGATAAAGAACGAGTAGAACACCTGCACCGCATACAGCAGCGCCTTCACAATCTTAGTTTGCTGCTCGTTGCCCCGCCCCGAAAGTCTCCCTGGCCAAAGCAATGAGCTCGATTCATTCGCGGTGTGTGGCTCGTCTGCACGTGCGGCGGAGAACTCAGCGCTCGTTCACTGTACAACAGAACAGATAATCCGAGACCTTTCCTTACCCTACTACACCCATACCCAGGTCTTATAATGTATACATCCGGCTCTTGCTGAACGTGAAAGGAAAGTGGGAGGTATGTGAGGCTTACTCGATAAATCATCTCCACCCCTCCTGCCCTCTTCTATCTTCTTCGCATGCGCATCGTACCGTCTGCTCGCCTCGCGGACCGCCTCATATCCCGCGGTCATCAGCACGATAGCTAGCAGGCTGAGAATAAGCGTGCCGGTGCCGGAGATGTGCCAGCCTTTGAAGACGATGCACAGATCAGTCGTGTCCCATGTGAAGAGCATCTATCCAGCTTCATGTCAGCGAGGTCTGAGGAGTGGAAGTGGGATTGGACTGGTAGGTGAGCGTACGTTCATGTTGCACTGCGGCCCATGGTCCATGCCAGGCATGTCGTGGCCGGAGTGGCCGCCGTGGTCCATATGTGAGTGGTCCATTCTTGTTGGTGTATGAAGAGATGTAGAGGAGGATGAGGAAGTAAGGCAGAGAACAGCTGGCCAGCCGGCACAAGAGGAGGTGCTGGAGGTATGCGCGTCTCAGATCAGATGGTCCGAGCGTAAACGTGCTCACCGCGCGCCCGCCGCGGGGCTTCATGGTCGCGTGGGTGGCGGGGCGGGAACTGCTGAGCCAGGGTTCGGTCACTTGCGGCCGCGCTTCGGTGGTGCCAGCTTACAGCTACACTTTTACAAATCCAAACACGGTCCTACAAAAGATATGCGCGTCCCTTCTTGAGATGTAACACCAGAATCAGAGAGACATGCAAGCACTGCGACCGACCCTCCAGCTCCTCCGAGCGCCAATCGCGCGAGGAGCTACGCCGCGGACTCCCGCATCTACTACCGCACAGCGCCTCTTCTCACACACGCGACCAGCGCGATTACTAGGTCCCCCAGTAAACATCCCGAAATGGTATTGAGACTACTTCCGTTCTCACATCGCATCGCTGACGGCCTGTGACTCAGGGTCTCCGAAAACTCCCACATGCTCCAACCCCCAGTGAACAACTACTGCGTCTATAACGACTCCGCCACCGTGATGATCGTGGGAGGTCCCAACGCGCGCGCCGATTACCATATCAACGAGACACCCGAATGGTTCTACCAGCATAAGGGCGGGATGCTGCTCAAGATTATCGACGACGGCCAGTTCCGCGACGTACACATTAACGAGGGCGATATGTTTCTTCTACCGCCGAATACGCCGCATAATCCCGTTAGATTCGCGGACACGGTGGGGATCGTGCTGGAGCAAAAGAGGCCGAATGGGAGTATCGATCGACTGAGGTGGTATTGTCAGGACTGCGGAGACCAGGTGCATGAAGCTAGTTTCCATTGTACAGATCTGGGAACACAGATCAAGGCCGCGGTGGAGGCGTTCAAGGCGGATACGGAGGCGAGGACGTGTAAGAACTGCGGGGCATTGTGTGATACTGCGCATAAGCTGGAGACATGATTGATGGGGCGATAATCACTGTAGAATAGTGTTTGTACAGTAGGCTGGGTGAGAGAAAGATTAAAGACCTTTCCACATCATCTTTGCAACGTGGTCGGCCTTCTTTCGGCTTGGCTTAACGTGCCCGAGGAACTTGAGCTCGGCTAGAGCGCGTTGGAAAAGAGCCCTGATGTGGTCAGTATCATGCAATGAGATTGACTGGATATGCCACGTACATGGTCTGCGACTGGTCTTCTTCATCCTCCTTTCCAACAATTGCGTTAAAAGCCGACCACAGATCGCTGGCGTTAATCAGAGCGCCGGATTCCAGATACAGCTGATACAGTATAGCAGTCTCAGGTTGGGTTGACGCAAGAGTGTTTTCACTGTCTTGCATAGCACCACAGCATTGGCAACCGAGATAGTCATGGGGTGTTGTAAGAGCGCGCTCAATGGCCAGGCGAGGCTTAGGCTGGAAGACCTCCGTGTGAGGAGACTTCAGATCGTAGACAAGGATTTCGTATAAGAAGAACGTCCGCGGATCGACAAGTGCGAAGCGGAAATATGAGTCTAGTTGTTGGTACAACTTCGCCACAACTTCTGAGTAGGCCTTGTCTTGTTCGGATAGGGCAGCTTTGTGTTTGCTCAAAAGGACTTTTTGAGCCACTACCGTCGTTCTCACGCTCTCGTTGCGCACATCGTCTTGACTTCTCAGAGGCCCTGAGCTCGCGTTCTCTTCGATAAGGGTCTTTAGCTCGTCGTGGAGTCGTTCCAGCTCAACGGGAAGGTCGATGTCTTCACTGTCTATATTGGCATCCTGCTTGGTAAAATCGATTAATGAATCAATTACGCGCATCAGCCGATCCGAAGGAGCCTTCTTGATGGAGAGCATGGTCTCGCGAAGAAGTGGAGATTCTAATAAATCGCCAGACGCAGCTCGAGCCCACACGGTGGACAGTCGGACTCTGGGCGTGTTTCCCAGCGACTCGCGTATCCGTGTCAGAACTATGGCGGCAATGCTGAGCGAAGATAAGGAACCCTTGACGGTGACTAGGAGCTCTTTGATAACCTCAAACAGTAACTTATCAGAGTCCAACAACTTTCGTACGTCCTGCGTCTCGCCGACCTCAAGCTTCTCCTCTATGTATCTAGAAACAATTAGTTGGAGCGTGAGTAGACAGCAAATTTTACTTGCCTCCTGAATGACGGTAAATTCCGTACCGCCTCGAATGCTTCGGGAGAGAAGTCTGTGAACGTAGGTTCCGGTTTCAAGAAGATAGTTGCGGGGTTTGCGTAGAAATGTGACATGTACGCATACTTCAGGCCATGCACAAAATCTTGCACGTTTTGTACATGATCCTTCTGCCTTTCGTGAATGCGTCGACAGATAGCAGGACCAATTTGAGGTTCGGTGCCAGGATGCGCAACGGTCGCACGGAACAATTTCTCGATGATTTCATCTGACTGGGTAACATCAAACTGCTGACCATCCAAGTAGCGCAATGACTTTCCCGAGAGCCGGTCTTCGAAGCTTTCCGCAGATGTAGCAATGCCCAACAGGAGCACGAAAGGTAAGCGATCAAGCCAAGAACTACGACTGTTAAATTATTGCCGGCTATTTGCAGACACACTTACTAGAAAAGATCGACCATCTCGACCAGAAGCCCTGTATCGAAGGCGTCGCTGTCTTGGATTGCTACAACAATGCTTTGAACACGATTCCTCGAAGACCATTCCAGAACATGGCCAAGATCGAAATCAAGGAGCTTTGGTCCCCGTCTCGATGAGCTAGTGACACGGCCGATACCATCATCATCATCGTCGTCGTCTTCTTCGGTCCGCGACGTGATCTTCTTGATGAGGTTCTTCAGGAACGTTTTCAGATTGGGGCTTTCTCCAGAGGTCAGAACAACATAGGAACTACCCGTGTCGTCTCTGATCCTTCGTCCCAATCGTTCGAAATAGGGGCCATGAGACGCAATGCTGGGTCCAGCGACAATGAGTCCGGTTGGAATAGATATCCGCGGTTCATCTTCCGAAGGTGCATTAGCTGTGACAAAGTTGACAATCTTCCCTTGTGTTGCGCTGTCGGCCTCTTCAAGCGTAGTCTATGAGGGGTCAACGAAAGACTTGTCAGGTGTTGCAGTAGCGGCCTACCTGTATGTTCTTTTCTTGTAAGGCCCAAGTCTTATTATATATTTTTAGTCGTTCCGAGAGGTCTACTTTACAGTCCAACTTAGACGTCCGCTGGCGCTTAGAAGGACGCACCTCCTGCTCTGGAGGTGTGTATATGTAACATCTTTCGTGTTCCATTATGTCGATCGATCGGTTGACGGTAATCCAACAGTTGGCGTGATTGAAGGTGCAGAGCTTAGGGGCTCAACGCGGAAAGCGCACGTCGGCTACTAGCGTTATCGCGCCGGCACGGGACTTCGCGTGGCCTCGAAAGCTTGGCTTGTGATCGGGTTGATGAAGTGCATTACATTGCATGTTGCACCTCAGGAAAGAGGCGAAATTACTCTAGAAGCAAACCATACTTGTGTTTTGCGATATGATTTAGAATCAATCTAGAATGTTCACAATATCTTCGCTTGTACGTTATGGTTGATGTGAACTCGTACCGCATTGCGCAGGTAATGTTCTATTCTATTTCCGTAATGCACGACAGCGTGTAAAGGGATCTTTAAACTATAACCCTCTGTCCTTTCTTGCCTTTGCTTCGTCCACATGTCAGGACCCCAGGTCTAGCAACTCAATCATAGACACGATCTGGGATCGGGCTGCACATTGCGCGTTCACATCGAATAATGAGGATTGGTAGCATGCATTATTTGAAGACATGCGAGCTCTCCCCGGGCGAGCAATAACGTCTGTAGCTGTCATTGTGCGACGTCAGCATGTTTAAAATCTGAACGCTCCAACGACAGAGACCTGCACGAACGCTTTTCGCGCGGCGCGCAACTGACATACCGTATGCGGGCTTGGGTAGCGTGATTTATCCTACAGTTTTGGGAAGTGTTCCATTAGCAATGAGTCATTGTAAGGACTTGAGGCTCTCAGTCATGGTCTTCTTCGGTAATGCCTGGACAGCCTTCCATATTTGCATCAGGATATTGGTATCCACAGTACAGGCAGTACTTGTACTGTTCCCGTAGGAAGACAAGGAGCTTCTGTAGACGTTCAGCCACTGGTAAGGCTTCGAACTCTGCAAGCTCAGGATCTTCGTCTTCGAGGTCGTTTTCAAGTGATGTGTAGAACGGTGCCACATCACGACCAGCGGCGATCTTGGTGTCGGTGTCCTCTTCCTGGTCTTGCGCCAAAGTCGGGAGTCGAGACGCGAGACTGTTCTCCAACTCTCTCCGTTGCCTCCGATCATGTTCCTTCTCTACTCGGCGCCGTGCGCGGATGCGCCATAGCACGTTGATGTCTTTCAATGGCTTCTCTTCTGAGGACGGTCCAGCCATTTCTTCCGCCTCCTTCTCAAATAGACGCTCAGCAGTTCTCTGGGCACTGTCTAGGTCTCTCTCCATCTTCTTTTCCTTCTGCTGCTGCTTTCGATCCTCAAGATAGTCACCCTCTTCTTCCTTGGACCGCTTAGCTACCCGCGCTGCTTCATCCCACGCCTCTCTCAACTTGCGCTTCTTCTCAGACTCAAGACCTATTCCGCTTCTATCCTCCTTTACGTTGACTTGTATGGGTTCCTTTCGCGCATTCTCGGCTTTGCCTAGTGTGTCGCCCTGCTTGAAGCCAAACTTGGCCATCATCTTGAAGCCCTTGTTGGTCTCTGGAAGTGCGGTAGCCAGCGATGCCTCTCGCACTGCTTCTGCTTCTGCCTCGCGTTCGGCTTTTGACTTCTGGCGCGCTTTGGCCTCACCCTGGGTGTATTGTTAGCTTACACGCTCGTAGTATGCTGGGCCACGGTGTTGCCATGCTTCTTTGCGCTTCCGCGCGGCGCGCTGCAGTGAGGTTTCGTGCGCGGGTTGCTTTGGCGCATCGTCAAAGACCATCTTCATGTAGTCATCTTCTTCATCTGAGTCCGACATGGTGGCCTGCTAAAATTTGGCAGTTCAATGTTCGTGGTGTGGCCCTCGCGTTTGATGCTGTAAGGTACACGTTCTAGCGCCCGTGGAGTTCTTGGCAGCAAGGGACTGCATGCCCAATCTCGCACTGCTTTTCTCCAGGGCCTCAATGCTTCCCGTGACTAGTCTCACAAGTCGTCCTCGAGCTTGCATGTCTGTTCGCGGGCGGCGGGTACCCCACGTCAATAGCGAAAACTCGTATCTGACATCATAGTCGACGTGTGATACCGCGGCACAGTGCAGATATTCTCTCATCCTCGACTACCGCTTTTTGGCGGCACGACTTCTACCCGCTTACGCAATTGTCAATCCTTCCAACGAATCCTAAATCGCCGAGCAACATGGGATCCGATGGCGTCAATGACGGTCTTAGCTTTCGTACGGAGTTGTCAGAATGAACACAGTCACGCGACCCCTCGGCTCTCTCCGTACAAGTCGGTTCTTCTTCTGTGCGTCCTTTACGACGGTGGAGAATGGTGATTTGCAATGCATTTCCGCACCACAAAATCAGCAACAGATCACTACAGTCGGCTCATGAACGCATGAAGCGAGTCCCAAGATTTCGTCGTGTGCGTCAACAGATCGAGGCGGCTCATTACAGTCTCTTCAACATGTGAATGTACATACGGCCTCCAGCAGCACCTATGTGTCCATCGATTTGGACGCGGCGCATGAGACCATCAGAAACAGAAGGTGACAATGCTCAAAGAAGGTCCATGCCCCGGGCGGGCCAATAACCCCAACATCCAGATTGGTTGACTTCCCCACAATACCTAACGGCTAACCCGCAAGGGCCGTGTGCGCCGTGCGTCCGGGGCCCCTGATGCCAGCTCCATGTCAGCCGTCTCTCGCGCTCATCAGCATCCTTGTCAATCACTAATTTTCAACTCCGCAGATTGTCGCAGATATGGGCATTCCCACCATACGGAAAGTTCGGTGCTAGCAGGCGGCTCCTAGCTTGAGGCTGATGGTTTTGAGCTTGCAGCACGGGAACAAGCAATAGGATTGCAACGTTGCTCCAAGGATCAGCCAACCTACGAGGATAGCCACAAAGCACATGTTTTGGTGTGGTTGTGGAGCTTCCTGCCTCGGTCGTTTGCTCCCACCTGTGGCTACAATTTCGGAGGCTCACCAGATCAAGTTACTTTGTTCGCATGTCATTCGTCAGGGGGCCTGTCAACGGGTGGTCGCCACCGCGCCTCCTTTCGACAACACGAATGATCTGCCTATCCCTCGGTTTGCGCACGATCCTTGTCCGGACCATGCCTGCTTCGCTGAGGATTCTCGTTTTTGAACATTCATGTGCTTCTTCTCCGCTTTCATACACTGGTTATAAGCTTGTTTCCCCGCAAACTCTCCGCATGTTCCGACCCTGAATCTGAATTGGGGCCCGTTCTTTTGTGGGCGACCGATCTTGATTTCCTTCAACTTCCGACCGTGCTCAGCGTGCTGTAATTAAACATGGAGGATAAGGAATTGGGTCCTGTCCGCTCGGAGGTCGCACGCGAAAGTGACGAGCATGTCACCAATGGCACAGCACCACAGAGGAAGGGAGGAGTCTTCAATACTTTGTATCCTCCTGGGCCACGGCCTGGTGCCGGACCACGGTTCAAAAATCACTGCAGGAAATTTTGGTGGTGTGGTATGTATCTGACAGCATTTTAAACGCCACCATAATGAAGTGAACCTTCACTAACGAATACAGACCTCCTTGTCATTGCCGTTATCGCCCTAGTGGTTGCACTACCCGTTGTGTATGTTGCCATTCCGAAAAAGGCCCAGCACGACATCAACGCTTCAACATTGGAAGTCACCTCCCAGGAAGTTAGCAATCCAGAGCCAGAGAAGATTCATTTGAAGATCAAGAGCATCGCAAGAAGCAGCAGCTCATTCCACCCTACTCTCGATGCCTTCCAAGCCGGCCTATCGTTGCCAGGACAAGAGGCATTCCTGATACTCAACGTTCCAGAGACAAAGGCAGATGCCGAGACCGAGATCGACATCGAACAAGATGCCCCTATTATCAACATGGACTCTTTCAAGGAGTATACCAAGACCACGATCGCCAATGAGACTTTCACCCTTGTCATGGACGGCAAGACCAAGGTCCACCAAAAGGGACTATCGGCCATTTCGGTTGACTACAACAAGAATATTGAGATGAAGGGTGAGCGATGTCTCGTCCTCCTGAACCACAATTATGATAGCTAACCACCACTCAGGCCTCAACAAGCTCTCGGGTCTAAAGATCACCGATATCAAGATACTCTTCGGCACCAAGAACAGACTTCCCGATGGCTCGAACATGATCGGCAACGTCATCATCCCCAACCCCTCAGTTATGACCCTCGACCTCGGTAATGTCACTATGAATCTTGCAATTGACGGCCAATCTATCGGCACTTCGCTCCTGCCCAACCTCGTACTCAAACCCGGGGAAAACAACAGCACCATGTCCAGCACCCTCGACCAGGATGGACTTCCCGTTATCTCACTCGTCCAGTCCAAGTACAAAGACGGCGTCATCCCGCTCGAGATCGTAGGCAACAGCAGTATCCGCAACGGCGAGCACCTAATGTACTTCGAGGAGGCGATCAAGAGCAACACCATCAAGCTTGACCTGGATATCGGTCCCGCTCTGAAAGACATCGGCATTAACGTCACCGACTCTTCTTAAGCTTTTGTCGGTGGGGGAAGGACTGCCGTGACTTGTTGTGATTCATGGCGTTAATGTTCTGGTGACTTTTCGAAACCAAGCTTAGGCTGGGTTTAAATGAATCTCTAGAGGCCCCTGTGGGGCCATGTCCGAGACAAACGTGTATTTGTGCTACATGGATTGGAACTATCGGATCAACGGTCGATATATGATACCTTCTTCTATTTAATTACTCTTCAATGATGCGTCTGGGCTACTTGGACGGGCTTTCGCTTCTCCTATCATCTTGTTCTTGCTGCCCTGTTGCTGATCTGTCATTGTGCTCATGGCAACAATCCCTTGGAGGTACACTCAATAGAATTCCTTCCTCCCCACGCAGAGTGGATAGTTCGTCAAGCAATGCTGACAGCTGTCTTTCCTCGTATGCCCATGCACTCATCTCAGAACCATTCTTTCTCATGCCCACTCATGTCCCGCTTCACGCAACCTAAATCTCAAACTCGTCTTCGAAGAAGTCCACGATGCCCCTCGCTCCATCCGCGCCCACCGCCATCGCCAGCTCCCTTGCATACCGCTCGTCTGTCTTAGCCCGCAGCGCAAGCAGCATCACCTCCTTCAGGCTCCCTGCTATATCGCTGAGTCCAATGACTTGTTGCTCATTGAGTGGCCTCTCCGCGGTACAGTATGGTAGGAGATCGTGATATGCAGACTTTGGAGCTTGGTGGTTTGGGTTGACGAGTGGTCCGCGGCTTGAAGTTGTTGAGATGGGTAGTGTGTGAGGTACCATTCGTGGGCGATGGTCTTGGGGGCCGTCAAGTTGACAGAGTGAGGATTGAGGGATCGCCCTCAGGGAGCTTGTAGCGAGGTTCTGTGCGTGGTGAGAAGAGGTTGGAGTAGAGTTGACTGTGCCGTAGCGACCAGCGGAAGAACGAAAGTTACCGCCCATTTCTTCCGGCGCATGGACCTACATTGAATGAATTTAATTTTTTTGATGTCCGAAGGATGAAAGTTAGGAAAATGTTCACTCACTTGTCTTTGTGTGTGCTGGTGTTGTGGCTGTTCCCGAGGAGCGGTGGCAGCTGGTATGAGGAAGAGACCTTTGCCTTCAAATACTGGATGCGTCATGTTTGGATACCTGCGGCAGCAGAAGGCGAGCAAGGAACTGTCACTTATTCAATGAAATGTAGATTCAGATTTGTTGTGTCGGGGTCGATTTGCAAGATACGAAGTACTACGTAATGCGCGTTATATGGGAAGGAGCGAATGGACGCGTGCCTTCCAAATTTGATCGACTGCAACTAAAGGAGCATTTACTAGGTATTTTTCCATTGATACATACAGATTGCCGTACAAAGTATATTCTACATGCTTTTAGAGGGAATGGTAGTAGTGGAGACCGATAGAACAGCTCTGACTCTACATCTAACAGGACAGGGTATCAAGAGAGGAGAATTGGTGTGAACACCCACCATAAAATCGAAGTATACAATGAGGGCGTAGCAGGGTTACCTCACAGCGTTCTTGTACAAGGAACAAAGTGCTGACGCTATCTCGACAATAGCGGTGGATAACTCCTGCGTTGCGTAATGGGTGGAGTGAACGTAATGTGGAGCAAAGGCTGGAGGGACAAGCGTCTCAAATCTTCCCTTCTGGTGAAGGTGTGATAGAGCGTGCGGCTGGTTGAACAGTGGTGTTCTGCGGTTCGGTCGTGTGACTTTGTCGTTCAATCTCCTTCCCTTTCCATAGGGACACACGCGACAAGAGGGAAGTCGAGTGATGGCGCTCTTTGATGCTTTCCAATTCTTGGTCTACTGTCTTGAGCTCCCGGCGTAGCCCTCTCAAACTACGTCTTATTTCGTCTTCCTCGGTCTTGGTCAGGGGGGTTTTCAGACAACTTTGTGCTGTCACTCTTCCCTGTCAAAAACTTGGGCAGCAAACTGGTCGAGGCCGGTTCCGGGTGATAGGATTTTAACTCGGCCAATTCTTCCCTTACATTCTTGAACTCCTCCTTCAGCTCTTCTACGTCTTCACGAATGTCGTCGCGCTGGTTTCTTGCTTTTCTCCTTTGCCTCCACTGCTCGAACACTATGACGCTGATGCCCACAGCGAATATGAAAGCCTCAGCCACGAAATTCGCGCCCATCTCGATCGCCTTTGCCTCGGAAAGGGGACGTCGTCTAGTCGCAGCCTCAATCTTCCTTTTCGCCTCTGCCTCGATCTTCTTCCTTGCAGCTTCCTTCTCTTCCTTTGTCATTGCCTCTTCTGCGGCAGTCTGCGCCTCTGTTTTCACGGTGGGTGTCTGATCCAGCCTCTTCCGCGCGGCTTCCGCAGCTTTAACTTCTTTCTCCACCTGGCGGTCGATCACGGCAGGGTCTTGGGAGAAGGCCGAGTCGCATGCGCATGTCGAATCTGTGAAGGCCCTGCGCAAACCTAACGCAGTAACCGCGAAACCGTTCGTGCTCGTGGGCATTGCGTTTGATTTGGTTCTTGAAGCCTTTGTCAGCTCGAGTATGGTAGGCTTTTGTTGAGGACACTTACAGCTATTGGCTTGGCTAGCGTTCTAACGGCGAGAGAGGCAATCTTTAGGGTGAGCGACATGGTGGGGTGTTGAGAGGGATGCGAGATGCCTCCTGGAAGGTTGCGACGGAAGGTGAACGTTCGCGAATGTCACCAGGTATGTGCATGCGTTTACGAGTTTCGAACCCACTATTTTGAAAACCTCAAACGTCAATGGGGTATATCTTTAAGGTTACCGGCGCATCATGAATCTGGAGGTACGAGTGGGGAGGTCGACCTAGGAAAAAGCGGCTGCCTTCCAGCTCGGGAGATCGCAGGTTCCGACAGCTTCTTTCGATGTGGGCTGAGTCGAACCAAACCAGAATTTATTACAGGTGCAGAAACAAGATCAGTGAGAACTCGCAATAACTTCAAATATGCTTTGGAATCGATTGTTGTCTCGCAATGACGATGCGCGCGCATCGAGTCGCGCAAGCATCGCAGGGATCACGGTGGCAGCTCCACTTGTGCACGGTTCCCCTCCGAAAGCTCGCCTAGCAACGACCCCAAACAAACACAGCTTCGGCGTCCGCTACTCCAACACAGCGTCCATCTCGACATCCACCACCCAATGTCTGCCCCTTCTGTCCACGCCGACGCGCCGCCCGAGCTGGTGTGCGATCCAGAAGGTCTGCAGTATGGAACTGGCCCTCAACTGGGAAAAGGCGGCTTCGCTATCTGCCACCGCGCGAAGCTGCTCAATCATGAGCACCTTGGAAACACTACAGTCGCTTTGAAGATTGTCAAGTCTAAAATGGAGCCTCCCAAGCTCGCGCAAAAGGTCCAAACAAATGCCTACTAGCTCGACCATTGCTGACATCGTGCAGTTTGTAACAGAGCTCCAAATACACTCCAAATTAGCACATCCAAACATCGTTGAATTTTATCGCGCCTTCTCTTTCCAAAAGAGCACATACGTCGTGCTCGAGCTCTGCGAGAATGGATCGCTTGCCGATGCAATCAAGAAACGAAAGTACTTCACCATGCCCGAGATCAGACGGTTCATGATCCAGACATGCGGCGCTATAAAATATTTACATCAACGGAATATTGTTCACCGAGACCTGAAGACGGGCAATCTTTTCCTGGATGGCGATATGAACGTGAAGGTGGGCGACTTCGGGCTTGCTGCACTCCTGGTATCACAGAGCGATTACGGCGCCATTCGTCGGACGACCATGTGTGGGACACCGAACTACCTCGCACCTGAGGTACTAGAGAAGACCGGAAAGGGCCACGATGAGAAGGTGGACCTCTGGGCAATAGGTATCATGATGTGAGAGACAAGCGCCTGTCTGCGTGAAATCCGCGCTGACTTATCTAGGTATACATTGGCTGTCGGTAGAGCACCTTTCCACTCCACGAAGCGAGAAGACATCTATCGCAAGTTGAAGGCGAGGGAGTACTCATGGCCCGACCTAGCAAAGTGCCCGAACGAAATCACAGACGACCTGCGGGACATAGTGTCCCTACTCCTTGTACACGAAGACGAACGACCCACGCCTGACGAGATCGTCGCCCACCCATTTTTTACTTTGGGACATGTACCATTAACCCTGGACAGCGCATGCACGTCGCGCGTCCCGAAGTGGTCAAAAGTTCGACCACCAACCGCTGCCACGATCAAACGCGGCTACACAGACGAATGGTGGACTTTGTGCAAAGCTTCTGCTGTGGGCAAATACGGTCCTGATCCTGGTCAAACATTTGGTGCCTATGGAAGTAGGAGGAACAAGACGGTAGCGCGAGACTGCCAGAAGGAGATCGAGTCCGGAAAACAGCCAAGTATACCTTTTGCGCAAGAAACTGTATATCTGCCATTCCCTGCGCGTGTGCAATGGCCTTTCCAGAACGCAGGGCTGAGCGATATAACGGAGGAGAAGGATTCGTCTTCGGAAGGTCAAGCTCTGGTAGAGACAACAGGCAACGACCGGATGAAGGGACGGCCAGTGCGCGCAAGAAGGGCAGAAGTCATGCCGACGTTGAAAGAGAACAACGACCCAACACAAGAGCCGGAGCCTGTGCAAAGAGTACTGGAGAAGCAGCCCACGCGTATGAGGACTGTTCGTAAAATATCTAACCCAAGGGTGACAGCGGCTACTGCCCCTGCAGCAGTACCTTTAAAGATGCCAAGGGAAACTCGCGCGTCCCAGCGAGTAAAAACAGCTAGAGTAGCGTCTAAGGAGAAGGAAGAACTGCAGCAGGAAATACCACCGCTGCGAGTTTCGAAGATCAGCTCCAGGACAGCGCAAAAGCAGGAACCATCGGTGCCTAAACCGGTAACTTCCCAGTCAACAACGACACGAACAGCACCGCGACTCCGTGCATTGAGCACTGAAGTGCCCGCAACTGATCCTACATCGGTATTGACTCAATTACACACTTTCCGAGACAACCTAGCGCGAGCCCTGGAGAAGAAGCCCACCTATTCCAAGCGAGACAAGCAGAAGAAACTACCGTTTGTGTCCAAATGGGTAGATTACTCGCGAAAGTATGGAGTTGGCTATGTCCTCGACGGAGGCAGTGTAGGTGTCTTGACGGCAGCGACAAAGGATTATCCCGTGACTGTGGGCTTCACGACGAACGGATTACACCATCTCAAACAGCTTTCGAAGGACCCAGACTACTTAAAGACAATTCCAATCCAGTTCTGGGCTGCTCCAAAGGGAGATCAAGGCATTTGCCGCGTGAAGATATCGGAACAACGTCGCGCTGACGATATCCGATTGTACTGGCAGAAGTTTTGCAAGTACATGTGCTCGGAGCTAGGCGACGAGAATTGGCCTGAAAATGACGGCGAGCGGCCTAACTTCGTCAAATTCTATCAGCGTCTCGGCAACTTCGGAATCTGGGGCTTCGATGATGGTTCTTTCCAGGTGTGTAGCATTTTTACCTTCAACTCGCATATGCATGGCCTAACTTTTGCGCTAGTTCAACTTCCCAGACCACACGAAACTGGTCCTATCCGCAGATGCGACATACGGCAAGCTCGTATGCCTCTCAATGGAGGGAGCAGCGGTTCTACAAGAAACGAAAAAGGTCCCATGGGACTACGTCAAGAGCCGTGAGACGCTTCATGGTTCTCTTCAACAGCTATTGTACGGTTCCGTTCGCCAGGAAGACAGCTATAAAGAACTCACCGAAGCCAACGGCCTGCGAGGAAAATTGGATTTCGTCCAGACCATCGTTCAGGACTGGATCTCTGGCGGAGGTCTGGGATGCCTAGGAGAGCTCAAAGATTATGAATGGAGAGGAGCACAGCCGGTCACAGACCGTAAGAGGCACGATTGGGCCAGTGTTGGAAGGTACGGAGGAGATGTTTTCTCTTGAAGCGTTCACTGTGCTTGTTTCAACGACCAAGCGGCGGCGTTTTGGATGAGCGATATTGCTATTCTGGCATCTGCATAGGCGCGGCGTCTTTTTTGATTATTTCTTTCTGGGAAAGGTCTTCGAACGCTCGTTATGATGAATCCGCATGCCTGCTGCGGCACGACGGCGTATATATTTGGTTGAACGAATTTGAATACTACGGCGACAGCCTATTGAATCGTACGAAGCCAAAGCAAATGCCACGTAATGGGTCGTAGTGAGAGGCGAAACCATTTGCATTCTGACTGGGCGGTGCAATCGGGGTTTTACAGATTCTGAGAGATGTTACGCGTTAGTGGCTGAGCCAATCGCGCATTGCCGCCTTATGTCACCGCGAAGCGGCGGAACCCTGGAGAGCTACCTACCCACAACCGCTCCCACGGCACCCTCGTCCAACAATCGCTGTCGCGCCAAAACATCCACCCCTTTCTCTGTCGCCTTTTCCTCGCTCGCTCCCTTCCAGTTTCCTGCGCATTCCGCGTGTACGCCCACGACATCAGTTTGATACAGGACCACGAGACTGAGCGTGTTATTGGGCAGCAACCATGGTGGTGGGAGGACCCTGACCCCTCATTGTGAAGAGTCTGTAGCCGCTGACCGTAGCTGGATAGGCTGTCAGCAAGCGCGCCGGGCGCAAGAAGGACGCTGCCGCCGGTGGTGGGGGGCAGAAGGCCGGATTCGCGAAGAAAGCTGTCTTCGAGAGCACCAAGAAAAAGGAGGTTGGCGTATCAGATCTCACGTTGCTCAGCAAGATTTCAAACGAAGCCATCAATGAGAACTTGAAGAAGCGTTTCGAGAACAGAGAAATCTACGTACGTGCGGACCCCCGCAGCAGGCACCCGCCTTATCGATTCGTCGAGTCAACCCAGGACAACCGCTGATTTCGTCGCAGACGTACATTGGGCATGTGTTGGTTTCTGTCAACCCGTTTCGGGACCGTACGTTTCGCGAATGATTATTGAAGGGAAGGGCGCTGACATTGGGCAGTGGGGATATACACAGACCAGGTCCTGGATAGCTACAAGGGCAAAAACAGATTGGAGGTAGACCTCAACTGGGCATCGTCATTGCGATCGGATGGCTAACGTCTCCAGGTTCCTCCGCACGTCTTTGCAATCGCCGAATCCTCATACTACAACATGAAAGCGTACAAGGAGAACCAATGCATCATCATCTCCGGCGAGTCCGGTGCAGGCAAGACTGAAGCCGCGAAACGGATAATGCAATACATTGCCAATGTGTCGGGAGGCAGCAATAGCGGAATTCAGGAGATAAAGGACACTGTGCTGGCCACGAACCCTCTCCTCGAATCTTTCGGTAACGCGAAGACGCTGAGGAACAACAACTCTTCGAGATTCGGAAAGTACCTCGAGATACAGTTCAATGCGCAGGGCGAGCCAGTCGGCGCGAACATCAACAATTACTTGTTGGAGAAGACTAGAGTTGTGGGGCAGATCACGAACGAGCGGAATTTCCACATTTTCTATCAGTTCGCAAAGGCAGCATCATCGAACCACAGAGGTAATGTTGCTTATAGGAAGTGTGATCTTTCCACTGACGCGGACAGAAATATTCGGTATCCAGCAACCGCAGCAGTACGTCTACACGAGCCGATCAAAATGCTACGACGTTCAAGGCATGGACGATCACGCCGAAATGAAAGATACCCTAAACGCCATGAAGACTATTGGATTGTCGCAGGTCGAGCAGGATGATATTTTCAGGATGCTTTCAGCGATACTATGGCTGGGCAACGTAACTTTCCGGGAAGATGATAAGGGCGACACAGTAGTCGCTGACCAGTCCGTCGTTGATTTCGTCGCGTATCTGCTGGAGGTAGAATCTGCACATGTGAACAAAGCACTCACCACCCGTGTGATGGAGACCAGTCGAGGTGGACGCCGGGGTTCAGTGTACGATGTCCCGCTGAATCCTGCACAAGCGGGCGCTGTGCGAGATGCGCTAGCGAAGGCCATATACTTCAACCTGTTCGATTGGATCGTTGCACGTATCAACATTTCGCTACAAGCCCGAGATACGGTGGCCTACTCCATTGGTATTCTGGATATCTACGGGTTCGAGATCTTCGAGCGAAACAGTTTTGAGCAGCTCTGCATTAATTACGTGAACGAAAAGCTCCAGCAGATATTCATTCAATTGACTCTTAAGGCAGAGCAAGAAGAATACGAGCGAGAGCAGATCAAATGGACCCCGATCAAATATTTCGACAACAAGGTCGTGTGTCAGCTGATCGAAGAAAAGCGGCCTCCAGGCGTGTTTGCGAATCTGAACGACGCCTGCGCAACAGCAAGTGCAGATCCAGCCGCTGCTGATCAGACCTTTGCAACAAGATTGAATTCGCTCTCTAACCCCAACTTTCAGCCACGGCAGGGCCAATTTATCATCAAGCACTACGCTGGTGACGTGTCGTACGCTATCGATGGCATGACCGACAAGAACAAAGATCAACTTCTCAAAGACTTGCTCATTCTTCTCGGCAACAGCTCCAATAACTTCGTCCACACACTTTTCCCAGATCAAGTCGATACCGACAACAAGAGACGTCCTCCGACAGCTGGTGATAAGATCAAGGTGTCTGCGAACGCTCTTGTGGACACTCTCATGAAGGCGCAGCCCTCGTATATTCGTACCATCAAGCCGAACGAAAACAAATCGCCCACAGAATTCAACGAGCCCAATGTCTTGCATCAGATCAAGTACCTAGGTCTGCAAGAGAACGTCCGCATTCGACGTGCTGGTTTCGCGTCTCGTCAGACTTTCGAGAAGTTCGTCGAACGTTTCTTCCTTCTGTCACCGAAAACAGGGTATGCAGGAGAGTACACATGGAGCGGGTCGTACGAAAGTGGTGCTAAGCAGATCCTGAAAGACACCAATATCCCTGCCGAGGAGTTCCAGATGGGCGTCACCAAGGTATTCATCAAGACTCCTGAAACACTGTTCGCACTTGAAACGATGCGAGACCGTTACTGGCATAATATGGCTATCAGAATCCAGCGCGCCTGGAGGAACTACCTACGTTACCGGACAGAATGCGCCATCCGGATCCAGAGGTTCTGGAGGCGCATCAACGGCGGATTCGAATTCATCGAGCTCCGTGATCAAGGCCACAAGGTCTTGCAAGGCCGGAAAGAACGAAGGAGATACAGTTTGGTCGGCTACCGCAGATTCATGGGTGACTACCTCGGTATCGGAAACAAGGGTGGACCAGGAGAAGTGGTCGCGAACGCAATCGGCATCTCTAACCAAGAGGTACTCTTCTCATGCCGCGCTGAGGTCCTCATATCAAAACTTGGCCGCTCTAGTAAGCCTGAGGCGCGAACGTTAGTGCTGACTAAGTCGAACGTCTACCTTGTCAAGCAGGTCTTAGTCAACCGACAAGTACAGATTCAAGCCGAGAGAACAATACCGGTGGGAGCTATCAAGTTCGTCAGCTGCACCACTCTGAAGGATGACTGGTTCTCCATTGGCGTCGGTTCACCCCAGGAGCCTGATCCTCTGGTAAACTGTATCTTCAAAACCGAGTTCTTCACCCACCTGACCAATGTATTGCGCGGGTCACTAAGCCTTAAGATTGGAGAAACGATCGAGTTCAATAAGAAGCCTGGCAAACTAGCTCAGGTAAAAGCAGTGAAGGATCCTGCTGTGTCAAGGGACGATACGTACAAGAGCGGTACCATCCACACCGCAGCCGGAGAGCCACCCAACTCACAATCAAAACCCACGCCTAAAGGAAAACAAGTTGCAGCCAAGCCTATAACGAAAGGCAAGCTGCTACGACCTGGTGGACCCGGCGGTGGGCCATCAAAACTCGCCGCCCGACCCAAGCCTACACCCGCCGCGGCGCCAGTCGCAACACCCGCAGCTGCCCAACCCAGACCCGTGCCGCAGCCCGTGGCAGCATTGTCAAATGGCACAAGTCACGCCCGTAATGCTTCGGCATCGTCGAACAGGGCACCGCCGCCGCCTCCGCCACCACCGGCTGCGCCTCCTGCACCTAAAGAACCCACATTCAAAGCGCTATATGACTTCCAAGGTCAATCAGCTGGAGAGCTAAGCCTCAAGAAGGACGAAGTCATCCTGATTACCCAGAAAGAGGGTAACGGTATGTATTCTACCAAGACTTCCATGGATCATACTAATACCCACGCAGGATGGTGGCTCGCAAGCAGGTTAGACAAATCAGCATCAGGATGGGCACCCTCTGCATACTTGGAGGAAGTCGTAAACAAGCCTGCACCTCCACCTGCACCACCTGCACCACCAGCTCGGCCTGCCAACGGTGTCCGTGGTAAGGGAGCACCCCCGGCTCCACCAGCTAAACGCCCGGTCGCGAAAAGGCCGGTGGCGGGTGGTGAAGCCCGGGACAGCGGGTACTCGGGGAGCAACTCTGATGTAGGCGCAAGGGACAGCGGGGGAAGCATTGCTGGCGGACTGGCGGAGGCGTTGAGGCAACGGCAGGCGGCGATGCAGGGAAGGAAGGCAGCGGATGAGGATGATTGGTAAAGCTGGGCTGGCAGCGCTAGCAGCGTGGGGTATCTAGTGATTTTTATGTATAGCTGGACGGTTTGGTCAGGAAGGGGGATACTAAGTTCACTTCTGAAATGATAGACGTTGAATTCATAAGAACGGTTTTTTGGTGCTTACACTTGCGGCTCTTAGCCCATTGGGTTGTCTTACGCGAATCTCACTGGTGTTTAAGAGCAAATTTCGTTGTTTCATTCCCTACATACAATTACAGCACGCTGACTGCTGGATTATCATTGCTTGTATACGTCTGAAGTCAGGTACATGATGTGCTAGAAGTTTTGGTGTAGGTATTACTGGGAACCGATCTAAGTCAACTGGGAGACTTTGGCCGTATGAAAGAAAGTTGGCGATGCGCATGATCTATAGTAAGACAAACATCTTGATTCGGCACATGAACGCGGCGGGATGCAATACAAGAACAATATCGTTTACACTCGTCGTGAGAATAGTCACTGATTAAATTGATTTGAACGACCACTATGCCTTCCAACTTTGCGCCACAGTCCTGGTTCCTCGCCTGTTCTCCAATTGTATATATTCAAATGCCCCCTTCACCGAAGCCCCTGCTCTCGTTCGATTTTTCCAACCGGGTCCTCTGGCAGCGCGAACCTGCGTCTTGATTCCAGCGTCCCTGATCATATCATCAAATGCTCCGAGGCCGCTCCCTCGCTCATGGTTCGCAACGAACTCGCTCGCGACCCGCAAGACACAACTGGGTGTCGTCAATGCCATGCCAAAGTCCACCAGTAGACCTTCGCGATAATTCTCAGCGCATATATCGATGGGGTATAATCCATTCTCATGCATAGTTTTGAGATCGCGCAACATGAGCTTGACGGATCGTTTCTTCGGATCGATAGGTGCATGTGGATTATACTGTTTCACGAGAGCTCGGAGTGGAGAGGTCATGTTCTCCCCGTACCTATTAAAATCCAGAGCGCCATACTGAGCAATTATCTGACCCTCGTGTGATGGATTTATCTTGATATAACCATGACAGGGCACGGCAATGGGTCCAATATCAACATGCTTTGCACGGTATTTAGCGCGAATTTGTTCAATACGGCCGTATGCGCGACACTCAGCGTTGAAGGGATCAAGATTTCCAATCAGTTCTTGTTCGGTTATTTGGTCGATCTGAGATCTCGAGAAGCGGAAGCGACCTTCCTCTTTGTCGTAGAATTTGAACTGACAATTTCAACCAAAATTTGGGTCACTCCGAGAGCTTGTCTAAACTCACTATCTTGATGGCATAGGCTTGCCCATTTAGAGTAGCTTTGAAGACATATCCTTCTCCACCTCCGCTGCTACTAGGTTTGTCCAAGAGTTCCTCAATCGAGAAGTCCGACGACGTACGAAACCCAGGGCCCCTGAAGGGGCCGGTTTTTGGTCCTTTGATTCCAGGTAGTTTTTCTGAAAGTTGTACATCTGTTTGCGCAACTGCCGGCACTCGTGCAGATCCCGAACTTTCAGCCTTGCGTCGCGAAGCGCGTCGAGCCATGAGCCAGCAAAGAAAGGGGCAAATGGCACATAGTCAGAACCTGAGGCACCAAGAGATTTTTAAGGCAGTAAGTGGACTTGGGATTCTGCATATGCAGGCTAAGCCATACCGTGTTGATGGACGCATGCTAGTTATGTGGTTTCACTGGTTGCAAGCGACTTTATCGCACCCTTGTCAGCGACCCCGCTCGCTTTTCGCAATACCAGAATTATCGATGTGGCACCCATACGACTTGTGGTTGGTGTTTCGAAGACTGGTATCCGAACACCTTCCTTAACAGAGACGGGTAACTGCACGCCGGAGGTACGGCCCGCATACGCCAATATGGGTTGCATCGTGTGTGGTCCATTCGCACTCCAATTATATTCGTGTCCACCATGCGCTTCAGCTTTGCAGCAGACCAAGTGATTATATCGCTTTCATATACCTACGTTATCTTTCGTGGTTGTACACTGATCGTCGAAAGAAGTGAACACGTTTATAATGAAAGACACATTACTTGGTTACCTTCGACAAAAGAACCCAGTCATACATCACATCCCGAAGAAGTCTGGTAAGTCATGTTCAAAAAGTAAAACTTACACAATACCGCAAAGAATAGTGAAGTGGGAAGGCTTTGACACAAGCATTGTGCACAACATGTACTCTGACATTCTTCGTTGCATCCGGAGGAGAGCTCCTGTCGAACTCGTTCCGATCGATTCGTGGGTAAAGAACGAGCCTGATTTCCAGAACTTTGTAGGGGAATGGAACAGAAAAGTAGTCCTCAGAGCTCTAGAGGAGACTGGACAATACATGGGTCGCAGTGACCTTCTTGTTATGGTGGCCGGCGAAAAGGCGAGACCTCCGCCAGGACCGAAAAGGAGTTACGAGCCTGACTGGGCAGCAATCACTTTGGGCTCGTATAGAGAGCCGGTTGAAGACTTAGCAAACAACTTCCTACCTGGTGACACAAAGTACAGCAAGAATTGGAAATCCGCTTGGGTCAAAGAAGGAGAGTGTGAAAGCATACTTGATCCTGAGCGTCCTTATCCGAACTGGTTTTGGCCCGTAGCTCAAATCTACACATACTGTTTTCGGCTGGAGAGGCGGTACGCTTACATTATAACCGACGAAGAGCTTGTCCTGTTCAGAGTTGGACCAAACCGAATTTGTCCGGAAAGTGTTTCTTCCCATTCGAGTCCGCCACCAGAGGTCGATATTGACAAGTTGCAGTCCGAAGGGAAGATCGAGTTTGTCTCTTTCCCTTGGACTAATGGGCGAAATGAAGAGGGAGATGAGCTCGAAGAATTGAATGGACCGTCTGTCAACACTGCTCTCTGGTGGATCCATTTGCAAGCAGCCAATGATAACTCGATTCAATGGACCTATCCCCCTCTGGAAGACGATGCGCTTCCTTATACTCCCCTGGAAGACGGTATATCTTGGCTTCGAAATGACTCTTGCCGATCTAGTGAAGTTGATGACCGGACCGAACGAGAGCCGAGTGTCGAAAATGGAAGGCATGAAGAGGAACAACAAGCTCTTTCGAGCTTCCATGTTAGACAAGATGAGTCATTCACCATGCCTGAAAGCTCTGCCTCAAGGGTTGATATGGGCCCAAAGAGAAGAAAGACGAGTCGAACGCAGACCGCAGCTTCATTCAGCAATGCACCAAATACATCTGTTTCCTCGCGTTCCTCTGCGACATCAGGTCAAAACAGAGTAGCAAAAAGAAAGTCAGGGAGGAGGCTCCCTTCTGCTAGGCCAAAGGCTGGCAACGAAAGCGGAGGCAGTGGAAGAGGCTAGGTGGCGATGGGCCGTAGCGAATCAAATCTGTTGTGAAAGTCATCGTGGTAGTCGAGGCGATAGTTGGCGCTTTCGCCGTATAGAACAGCGAAGGATCTCCCTTCCTAAGTTTGTTATCTGAACGTCTAATTCTAATGCACTCAGGCTGACAATTTGCGTCGTGCGTTACAAGTATAAGGAAGTCGTGCGCTGAGTTCGTGTGCAACCAGACTAAACCTCATTGAGTCGGGCAGGCATCCGCAAGGGCTGGACGAAGATGCATCGTGTTTCTTTTCCGCACATCTGTCCGTATTGCGAACGCGACACTCCCAGTACAAACCTCCTGCGCTTCTTGACATGTCCCCGCCTGAAGTACTGTGTTTTATATGCCGCGAAGTCGATATCGCATCGCTCTTTACCAAAGAGCTTGCGCACAACAACGCTATCGCGCTGGGACCGCTGGAACGCATCATTGATAGAAGCGATACGTGTAATTGTTGCAAAGCAATCGTGCATTCACTCTCAGCACAGCAACCGTGGCAAAAGCTTGATGCTCATAAAGTTCTTCGCCTTCTGCGAGCTGACGGAAAAGGAACCGACGTATGGCTGTACAGCTACCCCTTCATCGAGGACGACAATGATACGACGCCGACGTTACGTATTGGAGTCTCTTGCAGCAAAGGAAAACAGACTAGCAGGCTCGCCTGGCGCGAGCATGTTGGAGACCTTCAGATTATGCAAAAATCAGCTGAACAGCTTGGTGTCTCATGCCTGGGCTGTGGTAGAGAGATGCAGCCAACGGCGGATGCTGGCCTCGCTCGAGACTGGCTGGACGAGTGTTTGCACGGTCATGATGTACTTTGCAGTCAGCCAGGCGCCGGTCCCGATCATCAATCATCAGTTGGCGAGCCATCTTCGTTGAGAGTGATCGATGTTGTAGAACGGCGCCTGATAGATTTGCCTGCCGGAACTCAATACGTCGCTTTGAGCTATTGTTGGCCCAGGAAACCTGGCCTCACAAACACACGCGCTAGCAATATCAATTTTAGCGAGAAGGGTTCGATCAGCATGTTCAACGGTTTATCCGAGACTATTGACGACGCATGTAGTTTTGTGTTGGACCTGAACCAACGGTATCTCTGGGTCGACGCTTTGTGCATTATTCAAGACGATGGGGGCGACAAGGCTCATCAGATCAATCAGATGGACCTGGTGTACGGCAATGCTTTGCTCACCGTTGTAGTTGCTCCGGACAAGACCGAAGCCGAAGGGGTTGGACTGCCCGGTTACCGCAACACATCTAACCCACGTCGCAAAATCACCCACGAAACTCATGGACTTGAGCTCTCGGTACCAAAACCGTGCATCGATGATGTCATCTCGTACACACGATGGGAGACTAGAGGCTGGACTTTCCAGGAGGCCCATCTAAGTCGCCGCTTGTTGTTCTTCACAAGCCAACAACTCTACTACCAGTGCTCTTGTGGCGTGCGATGCGAAGATACAGCCGGAGAAGGTCAAGAGCCGACGGCATTCGTCCAGCACAGCACGAACCTATGGAATCCAAAAAGCGCACACGAGGATGACTCCGAAGACATTAGGGACGATTTGTTCCTTAGTCGGTCATCGCATACGGATCCTAGTAGATTGCTTAGAACGCATGATTTTCTCCTCACAGACTTCGGTCGCCGGGAGCTTTCGTTTCCTTCGGATATTCTGAATGCGGTCCAAGGTATACTCAAAGTTTTCTCGAACTCGATGGGAACAGGGTTTTTTGCTGGTCTACCAATTAAGTGGCTTGATCATGCGCTACTATGGCAGCTTTACGACGGTGGGAAGCGACGAAGCGGCTTTCCATCTTTCTCCTGGGCTGGATGGGAAGGCATTGTGGACGCACCTATTTGGCTGGGACCGCGAGCTACGCGTAGACTCATAACATGGTATCGCTCTGTCGCAGATCGATACATGTGCATTGAAACCGAGGTGCCGATGGGGGAAGAAAGCACATCTCTTGTCATTCCAACACACAGTGCTATCGAACACCTCAACCCCAAAGACGCCTCCAGTAATGACTCGGTGCTCGCTACAACGACGCAAATAGCAGCCTTCGTTCTCGCGACTAAGAGGATGGACTATGTACACCACTCAACGGGAAAGAATGGAGAGCACGTGTGGATTCTCGATGCAAACTCACGTCGCGCCGGAATCATATTACTCGACAAAACTTGGAAGGCCATGCACGTGAATGAGGAGGACAAGCACGATTTTATCATGCTCTCTATGGCTGAGAACAGTCGCGTGGATGACATGGTAAATTTCGACGACGCTCATTATGATGATAGGGAGTGGTGTTTACTAAACGTCATGCTGGTCACCTGGAAATGTGACGGTGTTGCGGAAAGAGTCGCAGTTGGCTACATTCACTGCGATGCATGGCGTGAGGCTTGCCCCTCTACGCGGATTGTACATTTAGTCTAGCTCTGGGCTCTCAACAAAGATGGCAACGCTTGTTGGATGCTTTTAGTCATCTACTGCTTTATAAGAGTTGCTGGTATCTCTACCTATCACATACGACCATAGGACACTGAAAACTAGGCTTCCCGTCCGCTCAGCCATATATAAGCAGTGTACCGGCGGATTAGTAGTTGCGTGGGTGACCAGCAGCGAATACCCGCTGTTGTATGTTTTTGATTCTTTTTTGGCGTGGTTGGATTTGTGTGGGTCTTCGGACCGGCGCCCCAGTGAGCGAGTCAGTGGACCAGCGCAGGTCAATAACGATACAATATTGTGAGAAAACCAAGTATTCATACTGCTGTCATTTCATGCCTGTGGACAGGCGCATTGTTCTTTGATGTGGAAGTTCTAGAAGGCTAGACCTCGTTCCTCAACAAGCTATGACTGACGCAAAAATGTACTCCCAACGAGCAGCCCCAGCCACTCGGGCATTTCTCTTGCGGTGGGAAGTTTGCTGAATAGTCGGATCGTGATGTGCTCAGCATCTGATGGGTGCTAAAGACCCCGTTCTTGGCCTTCTTCATAGATATTGTGATGTAATTGCGATAGCTCGCTCCCAACCAACGCGTGCTCGTTCTTAGTCGATGTACTTAAGTCAACCGTGCAGCGTATTGAAAGTTCACCTTGTCCATGATGTCCAAGTTAGTGGTCAACGCGAGCTCGATACCGAAGGTCACAGCCAGTACATGAAGCATGGTACATCCAATCCAGTTGTGTCGAAATGTACAAATTGTCAATGACTATATAGAAGTAAAGTACAACAAACACTCCAAACCCTCCAAACCCCCAAGCTAACAACTACCACATCCTTCAAATATCATGTATGCCTGCGATTCGAGTCAAACTACGCTGTAGTTAGCAATGTTCGAGCACGCTTAGCCAGTGCTTCTTACCATTCGAATGAGTCGTATTGTTTACTCGGCATCGATCTTAGCCTCAGCGGGCTTGGACATGATGTTGACAGTGCGGGCAACGTTGGCAAAGCCACCGAAGGTGGTGTCGACGGAGCGCTTGGCGCAGTTCGCGGCGGGATCAGTGCAAGCACCCATGCCTGGAGCGCAGAAGATGTTGTCGTCCTTGCAGGCGGAAGCACCGGTGGCGGCGAAAGCAATGGCGAGGATAGCGAAGAACTGCATTTTGAATGAGTTGTTTGGTAGGGTGGTTTTGGTAGGTTTGATTATTGTTTGGTAAAGAGGAATTTGGATGCTGGCTAGCAGGCAGAAAGAGTGACTGTGAAGTGAATGGTAGAAGAGAAGGTTTGGTACTGAGTGTGATGATAGACTTTGGGTGATGATTCAAAGATGCTTTATACTGCTCTTCGGTAGTTTCTACATCGCGTGAATCGATATTGGCCTACTAGATGCAATATCCGTAGAGCTCGAAAAAGGAGATTGTAATGTTCCCGACCAAGGCTCTACCTAGTTGTTCAAAGCTCCGTTCCCTTGGTAAGAGGCCACAAAAAGTTCCGTTCCTCAACGTTCTCAAACATTAGCACGAGGACTTCGTGATAGTGTCGCGCGAGTATCTTCGCTTGACGAACGTTACCGTAGGGCTTTGTCTTGAAACGCCCTAGTGTATTGGCCAATCCCACTGCTCTCGCCCGAGACTTCGCGTGCACACTTTTGGCGCTCACGCTAAGAGCAAAAGTCCGGACTCCACAGGCTGATTCGATCTTGCGCCCCCAAAATGTCGCCTTGCGCAGCCCTACGACTGGTGTTGCTTGCTACGTCTAAGGACAACTCTGGCCTAAGGGAGCATCACACGTGGTCGAAGATGCCCCTCAAGCAGTACCGCATGAGACTCGAGTCCACGATACTTTAATGGGAGAATATTGAGTCGTGAAAGAGCCGCTGACGACTTGGCGTCCAAAAACACATGATGCGTGTGTAATTGCTACTATTATAGTTTCATGTTCGATCTTGACACGATACCTCGAGACACAAAAGCATAAGGAAGAGTCGAAGTTCTTATGCACGAATGATGCGATGCATTTTGTCGCGGCTCAGCGCCAACAGAACATGAAGAAGCTGTTTTGCAAGTGCTCGTACTAAACGCGTCCATGACGAAGGCGGAAGCATGATTCCATTCCTTCGATTAACTTGTGATTGTGGTTCCAAGACCGAGGATATCCAGACATCTTCGTCATCAGCATTTATTTTAGAGGTCGAGAAGGGTTCCTAGGACAGCTCTTAGCACATCAAATCGCCCAAGCCTTGCAGTGCAGTGTGGGCAAAGAGGCGCGGAAGAAACTCATGAGATCCTGGCGCAGGAGTTTTAGTGCTGTAGCAAGGGTTGATGTGTGTGAAGCACTGACGAGAGGGAGAGCTGGAGGCGAGTTATATACACGAAAGTTGAGCGAAGTTGTATGAGAAGAAAAGTGACGAAGCAGTGTTAAGCTGTTAGAGTGGGATCGATGTATACAGTTCCATTGAAGTGGAGTACGGTGAGTGGAGGTACGCCAGTCATTAGCGAACGGAATTACGTCCATGTCCATCAATTCAAAAGCTATCTCCATTGGTATAGAATCGTTTCTCCAATCATTCCGGGACGGTCATCGCAGATGTTGCTCCTCAATATGTACCTCTTGATTCCGAACTCCAATCATACGTCAATCGTACTTCGTAGCTATGTAAAGTTGTTCGTGGTTATTCTTCCTTCAAGCATGCCTTATGTCTATAATGCCTTATGAAGCCACGGGCGCTTGTGTCTGTGCAGAAGCAGCTCCGGGTCCGCCCTTCTGTCCGTTCACGGAGTGCTCGTTCAAGAACTCAGGATCATTCTCGAATTCCTCTCGCACCTTCGAAAGTTAGCAAAAGCCATTCTCACATTATGACATCCCAAACTTACAATGTCCAAACCCCCAACCAGCTCACCCTCTACATACACCTGCGGGAACGTCGGCCAGTCCGAATACTCCTTCAATCCCTGCCTCACCTCATCATCTGCCAGGATATTGAAGAAGCCATACCGAATGCCCTTCTCTCTAAGAAGGCCTACTGTCTGCCTACTGAAACCGCACTGTGGCGCGCTAGGCGTGCCCTTCATGAACAGCATGACGGGCGCCGCCTTCACAAGCTCGCTTAGCCGCGCGTTCAGCTCCTCCTTGTTCGTTTCGGTGTCGCCTGAGCTGTAGTCTGGCGCGGTCTTGGGATCTGAGGCATTCGGTGCGTATCCGGCCAGGTTCTTCGCTCCATTGGTGTCTGCGCCGTTTGTCTGAGGAGGCTTGTTGACAGTCTGTGCGGGCGGGAGGCTCGTCTGAGCGTCGCCGCTTCCTGCTCCGGCGTACTTCTCTACTGCTGCGCGCACCTTGGCGGCGTCTGAGCCTGAGACAGTCTCTAGCACCTGTCCTCCTCGCTGCAGCACTATGAAGGGCACGGCGGATACGTCATACTGCTCTGCAATCTCGGGCAGCTCTTCGGCGTCGAGGGCAAGGAACGTTATGGGCGCATTGGCGGGGTATGTGCTAGCGAGGGTGGAGAGGATGACGGACATCTGCTTGCAGGGCGCGGCCCATGGTGCGTGGAAGTAGATAACGGCGAGCGTGGACGGCGGCAGCGACGAGATACCGGACTGGAATGCGGACTCGGACGTGACTTCTTGAACCGTCGCCATGGTGGTGGATAGTGGTGGGCGTGTTTCCCTGCAGCGCTGAATTGTTGAGTTTATGCAGGACCTGGGACGGTGGAAAATGTGGACAGCGATGTGAAGAAGATTTCCGCGGCGTTCGTTTGTAATGGGCGGATGGGGTGAGAATGCACGAGCATCTGATAAGTTGCTTTTGCCTTCTGACGTGCTCTTGCCCCTCCAATGCGCCGAATTGCGCTCGCCAAGCACTCGCGTGAGTGGATTTTAGCCCCTCCGCAAAACCTTATCAGATCATCCGGAGCCAACGGCCGCCGACGCCGACGCTCAAAAAAAGTTCCCAGCACGCCAAGATTTCGGATTCGCGACTTGCTCTCGAACAACGTGAACATGTTGCGACAAGTGTAAGTAAAGCTATTGCAGCCATCTGCGTGATTTACGTACTAAGAAGGCAAATAGGAAGCCCAAAAATGCCCGCGCGAAGCGGGCAATGGACAAGCGTGAGCCGCTCGTCCACGAAAACCCCAAGACCACGCTCTTCGTCGCCGGCCAGAGGACGTCGCAAATCCTCAAGCTTTGCACAGGCGACCTGCGCATGCTCAAGAAGCCGTTCGTGGAGAGTTTCATGAAGAAGAACGACATCCACCCGTTTGAAGATGCTTCCTGTACGTTCATCTACCGCCCAATCAGTCCTTCCTCTGAAGTCCTCCACTTCATCCTTATACGGCTTCAGCTAATGTTTTTTTTTTCAGCCCTCGAGTTCTTCTCCCTCAAAAACGACACCTCCCTCCTCATCCTCAGTCTCCACTCCAAGAAACGCCCCCACTGCCTCACCCTCGTCCGCACCCACGGCCACAAAATCCTCGACATGCTCGAGCTCTACATAAATCCCTCCACCTTCCGCACCCTCCAGCAATTCAAGAATAAGAAACCCGCCGTGGGTCTCAAGCCCCTCATCACCTTCCATGGTACCCACTTCGAGGACCCCAACCAGACGAAGTGGACGCTCGCGAAAAGCCTGCTGCTGGATCTTTTCAGGGGCCAGGAAGCGGGCGAGGTCGATGTCGAGGGACTGCAGTATATGATTAGCATTAGTGCCGAGGAGGAGGCGGATGGGGAGAAGGCGCCTGAGTTGCGCATACGATTCTACCTCATTAAAACTCTGAAATCCGGACACAAGCTTCCGCGCGTCGAAGTTGAGGAGATGGGCCCGCGCATCGATGCGGCGCTAGGCCGCGAACAATTCCCAGACCCAGACATGCTGAAGGATGCGCTCAAGAAGCCGAAGGGCGCCGAGCCTAGGACGAAGAAGAATATTGACATGGATGTTATGGGTGATAAGATGGGCAAAATCCATCTGCCGAGGCAGAATTTTGGCGAGTTGCAAAGTAGGAAGATGAAGGGGTTGAAGCGTGGGAGGACACCGGAGGCGGATGTGGAGATGGATGATGCGGATGTGGTTGTTGATGAGGAGACGGTGCCGAAAAAGACAAGGGTCTAAGTCGACAAAAGGCGTCAAGAAGCTCAGATGAAGCCTGAGTGAGACGACGGGATGTTGCATGGGCGGCGTTAAGGGCATGCTTCGGCGTTGATATGCAGATATACCACTTCATACAAAAGTGACCCTATTTACGATTCAGATTTCTTCCTATCTAAGATCACTTATTCAATCATCATCCCCAGCCTCATCTACATCCAGCCACCTGGCCCGACACCTCACAGCCGCGCTCCTAACCTCTCTCTTCCCATCATCCAAAGCAGCCGTCAACTTCTTACATACTTGCCTTCTGTATGGCAATACAACCTCTAGCTTCAGCTTGTCCGGCACCAGCATCAGACATCGGCAGGCGGCTGCGCGCACTCTTGCTGGTGACGGCGACTCCTTGTTCACCACAGAGTTCGCTAGCAACCGCGAAATCAGACTCCCCGCGTGTTCTTGCACGACCTCTGGCTTTTCTCGAAGCGTAGAGGCGAGCGTGCCGATCGCGGCCTCTTTAACAAAGTCCTCGCCTTTGAGGTCGAGTGATTGGAGAAGCAAAAGTATCAGAGAGGGAACTTCTTCGATGACAATGTCGAAGGGTAGCCATCTCAGTATACCACTGAGCGCGATGAGATAATTAGGTCTCGTCTCGGTTGACGCATCGCGGAATGCTTGTGTGATGTTGGGTACCAGTAAAGCAAAAGACTTCTGTTTGTGAAGTCCGGAAATCTGGCAATGGTTTTGTTTCGTCAGAAGATCGTCAGGCTGAAGAAGTGTGCTAAATCCGTGAGCTATAACCGTCCCGTATTTCTGGTGCGATAAGAACCCTAGAAGTTGCGGGTATAACTTGGCTAGAACGGGACTGCTTCGAAGGAGGATGCCCTTGAGGCATGCAAAAATGATGCGTATCCTGGGCGGATCAAGTTTCTCCGGGGAGAACAGTTCGAAGGGAGCATTCATTAGCGGGTCCATGCAGGTTTTCAGGGCGGCAGCTGAATAGAACTTGTTGATGACGAGGGACAATTGGCGCAGAGAGACGGAGCGTACGGAAATGGAGAGATCGGGTTGTTGAGTGTAGTTCGCTAGCGAAGAGACTAGGAGCTCGATTTCGCAGGGTAGTCGAGTCTCTTTACGGAATGAAGCAAGAAGGTGGGTAGAGACAATCATAGTTCTGTGGGTCTCGAGAGGTGCGCTGATGCTAAAAGGCGGAAGCTCGGCCTGCGGTGTGTTCCTGAAGAGGGTATAAAGCTCTGAAGCAATTTCTTCCTGCTTCTCTGCAGATTGCGACCGGACGACGATGTTGCAGATTCTGCCGACGAGGTCGAGGGTGGTTTCGTTGTCGAAAGCTACGGGGTGAGAGCCATCTGTGCTAGATGTACGTTTCAAAAGCGGCAGTACGATGTCTTGGTAATAGGTCGAGGTATTGGGATCCTGTTCGAGCTTGCTCGAGCCTTTGGTGAGCGCATAGAGAATCGCTGACAGAAGGGCCACGATGTACCCAGACGAAGCGTTCTGCGAGACTGCAGCAGAGAATTTATTCTTCAGTCGGAGAATGACTGTATCGAAAACCTTCTCTTCGCTTGCTAACTTTGCGAAAGCTTCCAAGACGGCTACATGACCCTTCGAGCCTTCGTCTGTGTCTGGAAGTTGTGCCATGAAAGCCGGGAACGCTTTGTCGATAACGACCTGAGGTTTCTGGTGTGCGATTTCGACCAGGCTGTTTATGGCACTCTCCTTGATCTCATCCTTTCCGAACGACTCCTCATGGATGACAATGGCGTGTAGTAGCTGTATTATCTTTCCAATATCGTCTTCATTTAGAAGCTCTCTGACTTTCGATAGCTGAAGCAAGCCGTCCGCGCAGACCAACCGATACGAAACGTTGTTGATAGGCGAAGTCTCCAGGCCGTGCAGTACAATATCTAGGGCTTGATCGCGGTACTGCGACAGTGCGTTATTCGGCGCGGCTGCACCGGCTGACCCTGTCGACCGCCAATCTCCGTACACATCGATATTAGCTTTGATTAGCTGGACCAGCACCTCCAATAGCCCTCTCCGCTTAGCCATGTTGTCGGCGCTCTGGAACAAGGTGAACATGGTCGGTAGAATCCCAGCCAGGAGAAGGTTGGTGACATCCGGTGAGACATTAGCGATTCTTGACAGTATCCTGGCTGCTGCTTGAGATTGCTTTGTAGGAGCGTCTTCCAAATGCTCGTTACATTCTTTGATGATAGGACGAAGATACGCATTTAGTGGCCCGTTTGTGCCCTGGGAGAGTGTTTGAGCTATTGCTGCCAGTCCGTCCAATGCCTCCTCAGCTAAATCTTCTTCTTGAACGTTCAAGATCTCAAATTTTAGCGCGTCCCATAGCGTGATCGAGTAAAGTGAAACAGTCCGCGGGCCGTATTCCTTGACAGACGAAATGATAGTGTGGAGGACATCGCGCTTCGTGTTCATGGACGTCGAGTCCAGCTTGTCCAGCAGGGCCGGGAAAGCATAGGGCGCGAAATCCGCGGTCGACGAAATGCACTCTCTTAGTCTATCCTTCAAGTCCTGGGCCGTGATACCGTACGGATCGTCCGGTGGAGGTCGGAACGTGATGGGGAAGTAATTGAAGACCGCATCGAACAGATCCTGAGCATCCGCTCCAACATCCCACTCCGTCATAGGTACGCGCAGTATGGAGAACACAACCATCAGATTCCGGGGATCCTTCTCACCGTCGAAGTATGCAATGAACCGCGAAAGGAAATCGGGCTTCGAATCATGCAGGGTTCGCAATGCATCTCTATATCTCGCCAGCAGTGCGTCTATGAGGCGTAGCACGGGGTATCGTTCGCTTTGCTGCTTGTACTGGCGGAGTGGGCTGGTGTTCGCAAGAAGTGTTTCCATAATGTCCTGTACCCGCCCGTTGTCCCACTTCCCACGCTCCTCGAGCGCTAATAAGGCTTTCGCGCATGAGCCTATGCCTTCGCCGTCTTCGGTGCGGGAAAGGATGAAGTCGCAGAGAAGGTTTCCTAGATGTTCTCAATATTTGATTCGTAGGATGGAGCGGACGAACGTACGCTGCTGCAACGACAGCACTTTCGGCGGGACGAAACCAAGCACCTCCGCGAGGTAGGCCATAGCTAGTAAAGTCAGTGATATCCTTTGCTAAAAATCGGACAATTACCTTTCGACCGAACCGCGCCATCCTCACTGTTGAAGTACTCACCAAGCTCTTCAATGAGCATCAACAGCTTCAAGTCGCCATCGGCCAATCCTGCACGCACCCGTCAGTCGCGTCTTCCCCGCCGTCTCCCGTTCTCACTCACGCGTTGCACTCTTCTGTGCCACCTGGCTCGCCTCACGCTTATTCCGGTCATAGTCCAGCAAGAACTGCTGGATGTCTGACATGCTCACAAGATAATTGAAAGAGCAAAAGAGTGCAGTTCTGTTCACCGCGGGGTTGCGCGATACGCGAGTTCCCGATATGACGAAAGCTACTTCCTGTTGTGTTGATTGGCCGATGTCGGAAGGTGGGGCTTCGCAAAAAAAAGTTCAGGGCTCGCGGGGGAGGTGCGGCGCGTGAATCAGATTGCAAGATTAATTGAACATATGAATTTGAAAGTGCTGAGAAGGCATTGGACCGTTTAAGAGTCAGGCACTGGGTCCTTACGTCGTCGTTGTCCCCCCATTGCTTTCCTGCTTTGCGCAGAAGTCACCCCAAGTCACCCCACCATGGCCGAGGAGAAGCCCAATTGCAAGGTCGTTCTTGCCAACAACATTGCGAAGAAGCTATTGGAGGAGGTCCATGATGGCTTGAAGAAAATCGATCGCAAGCCACTGCTCGTGGGCTTCCTCTCGTCTCAGGATCCCGCCGCAAGGGTTTACGCGGATTGGACGGGCAAGACTGCTAACGAAAAGTGAGCATGTTCGTCTGTTTACTATGCAGCCACAAGTCACAACAACGAGCACAGACATCCTAACAATATGTAGTGGCTTCGCATTCGAGCTTCGCGAGATTGATCGCGAACTCCTTGAAGACGCCCTTATCGACGCGAACAACGACGACAAAGTCGATGGCATCATCGTCTACTACCCCATCTTCGGCAACCGCCAGGACCAGTACCTGCAGCAAATCGTCTCCATCGATAAAGATGTTGAAGGCCTCTCGCATCAATACATCTTCAACATGTACCAGAACATCCGCTTTCTTGACGATGCGAACACGAAGAAGAGCATCCTGCCGTGCACCCCGCTCGCTGTGATCAAGATCCTCGAGTACCTCCGGATATACAATACTATACTGCCCTATGGCAACAGACTACATGGGCGCACAATCACGGTCATCAACAGAAGCGAGGTTGTCGGGCGGCCGCTCGCTGCGCTACTGGCAAACGATGGAGCCTGCGTATACAGCGTGGATATCAACGACGTGCAGATGTTCACGCGAGGCGAAGGGCTACGCAAACGTAGGCATGAGGTCGAAGAGAAGCCTGGATGGACCATCAAGGACTGCTTGCCTGTGAGCGACGTCGTCATCAGCGGCGTGCCAGGCGATACGTACAAGGTCCCGCTAGAAAATATGCGTGACGGCGCCGTCTGCATTAACTTCTCGAGTGAGAGGAACTTCACACCGGAAGTCAAGCAAAAGGCATCCATCTACGTGCCTGCGATCGGCAAGGTCACTATTGTGGTTCTGCTACGGAACTTGTTAGTAAGTGAATTCGAGTCCTACTAGCGTCAATCACTAATATTACTACAGCGCATGGTGCAGAACAAGATCAACGCAGCAGAGGATGCCGCAAAAAACGCTGCAGACGAGAAGGCTTCGTAGGTCTTTTACAAGCCTTGAGCGTAGGCTATTTCTTTTCGTCTCGATACCCTATAGAAGGCACAGAGCCAACAAAATCTTCACATCACATCGTCTCCATCTTCAGATCTGTGTGATTTCTTACCACATTTACCAACCCCGTTATGCTTACTTGCATACAGCTGCCAAGGGTGAAAACTTGAGACAGCCATCAACAGCATGTCGTACTATTCTTACCACCGCACCAAAGCTACCCGCTCAGACTATCCCACTAAATCTCGGAAGATGATCGGCGAGATGAAGAGGCAGCGAACGGGCGCGGTCAGAGAGACATGGGATTGCGTAGCGTGATGCGAGAGTGAGATACAAGTCACTGTTGGACGCGACGTCTGGAAAACGACAAAGCGGAGAGGGCTAGGAGCTCATAGCTTACGCAGATTAAGCAATGATAGCAGCGATAGCCGTATCGTACGGGACGACAACTCTCTACCATGTTACTACTACCATATGGCATGGTAGTAAGATTGTACTGAAAGTCGAAGTGGCCCCGAAGCTATTATTCAGTGACTGCAACAAATCACATTTGTATGCCTTAGCACTCGCGGGTCTGTCTTGCTCGAGATGTATCGCAACGACATCCCGCGCATAGAGAAAGACATAGTTGCTATTTTCGAACGACGCTTGGATCACTCTCGAAAAAGCACCCGTTGCATGACGGGCGGGAAGGAGCGCTGCCACGATCTGGGGTCCAGGGCTCGCTGTTGTACCGTGTCAGCAGGGGCTAGCAGCCAGGCGTCCGACGTGCTCGAAAGTGTGTGAAGGGTGACAGACATTTTGACTGTGAGACAATGATTTGGTGAACCATAGGAGATAAGTGTGTGCGCCGAGGTGCGCCGAGGTGTGTCGCGGGTGTAATGTAGGTGATGGGGTGCGCATGCATAAGGCTGAACCGCGGTGCTACGGTTGCCGTGGCGGACGCATGTAGGTCGGGGAAAGGTCCTATCGGCAAGACACTGCGTACGACTGTCGCGGCAGTGGCGTTGTGAGTGCAGATACAATCTTAGAAATCAGAGCACAGGGGTTCACATAGAGGTGTAGGTCACCGCCCCCATACGTGCTCGCGCAGTGCGCAAGGGGCTAAAAGCGTAAAAAGTAGGTACTGGTGAGTGCGAAGCAAGGACTGTTGCACGAACAGGGTCATGCTGAACAGAAGGTAGTTCCGTGGAGGGATCTCATATCCGTCAGTGCTTCAACGTTCGTGGTGCTACGTAGAGCTTAGACCTCTTACTTTTATCGGTCATCAGGTGGGCGGTTGGGTCCGAAATGCGGCAAGTCGGAGGATATCGAGGTTCTTGCTCAAGATGTCCGATGACAGCCGGTAGTTGCTCTTGTAGTCAGCTTGTATAATGACCTAGGACGCCAGGGTTCGATTGACAAATTGGACAGTAATGCTCAACAGGCTGTCCAAGCTCATTCGAGAGGACATAAGCTGCATCCAATCACAGTACGACCTTTCTAGAATGTTGAGTACAATCGCGTAAAATGACCTGGTGATAACGTTCCAGTCGCATGTTTTGTGCTCGCCGGAGACACCACGCCTAAGGCTGCATAAGAGGACACGTGAAAGCGGTCGCAGGGTTCTCGAAAGTTCCTCGCAATCTATCTTGGTTGGTCGAAGCTTGAGTCTCGTTAATCTATTCCACCGGTGAAGAGTCGTCTGTGCCGATGCGCGCATCATGCCGAGCGCAAGGCTGTCTTCCGTTGGCGTGCATCCGTGGATGTGTTCTCGTGACGCAGCAATGTTGGCCAGAGCTTGCCCCACGGTCTTTCGACGGAGCTAACGTCTGTGAAGAAGTCGACGGTGTGGCTTAACCCCCCGTTATCCTTTGCAAATTTGGTGCACCCAAGCTGGCAGCAGAGACGACAACCACACAGACGACCTCGTCTCGCTGGCTATTGGTCATGTCATCAAGCCTTGCTGCGTACACGCCACAGGGTTTTATGGCAAGGTCTCCTGAACAAGATTGCAAGTGGACGGCTCGCATCTTGGTCTGACAATTGTATCTTTCGATAAAACGTCAAGCTTTTCGATCCGGCAAACCTCACAAGCATGGTTGAGGTTTGGAAGGTGAAATCCGACCCGGGTGACCCAGGGCAACCATAGCAACCAGGCAATGTGCGAGCGGCTTTGCTGACCCATCTCGACAAAGTCTTGGATTTAGACATAAGTGTGCAGTGGCGATCTGGCGGTACAAGCATGCAACCTGCAGGTACCCGCGTACATTTCATAAAGACCAGTGTAAGACACCTCTGTATGCACACACAGAGACTTCGAGATGCGAACCCTTTTGCCACCCCATATTCAGGCGAGGTGTACCATGTCTCAGCTTATGGAAAGACACTTTTCGCTGTGTCTTCATGGTGGCGCTGCTGCCAAGGGTGCCGGCAAATGTCGATCGAGAGTCTGTTTTTTCTTCTCCTCGGACTTCGTGAATAATTCCTGGCCTACCAGAGTCGATACTGCGGAATAGCGCCCACGCTTTTGGGGCTGAGTGTTCATAAACGGCCCCCGACGTACTGGTACTCGGTCCGCATCATGGTTCGCTTGGTTCTTTCGAGAAGATAGTTCACCTTGGCGGTGCTTAAACTTCTCAGTGAGGACCTTACGTTGCAGCTGCTATTGTTAAGTTATACGTTCCATAGCTTTATGTCAACTCTGGGAGCTTGCCCAGTGCTCCAAGAGCTTAAGCGTGTACGAGGTGGTTGTGCTCTTCATGTCTCACAACGGACGGGCAATACCCTCTAGAAGCACTGTCCGCTTTGTGGGGATGATAGGTCGTCCATTTGCACAGACCCCGCCCGATACGCCTCCCTGTGAGTCCTTGATTAGGGCTTGGACTGTGCTTTCCGGATTCACATGCGCGTGCGGTCGTCCATCAGACCTTCCTCAAGCGTAACGTCCTTGTAAATGTATGACAGCGACCCCCAATTGAGCCGGTTGTTGACTAACAAGGCTTACACAGAGTGTCGAGGGCTACAGCTCTGTCCGACGCACAATAATCTGGTTTTCGTTAACCTTTCGTGGTTGTGTCCGAGACATGATGGAGGGCGAACTACTCATGCCCTCGGTCGAACAGGAGCACGACCCAGTATCCCACTACAAAAGGCGAAGCATGGAGAGCGATGAGGTGCAGGTCCAGCAGCTCATCTCCCCAACGAAGAACACATCTTCATCACTAGACCACCCGGAAACCAAGAGTCGAATTGGCTCAACATCGATAAAGTCGATCAGAACAATGTCGTATCCCAAGAACCAGCAATCGGCCAACGGCGCTGCCCAGGTATGCACCGCTCCTAGCTCTTCTTCTGGGATATCTGCTAACTCCTTCGAATAGACGAATGGTAGTAACTCGGCCGATCCGAGTACGCAGCCCTCTACATCGCCTTCATCACCAGCTATTCAGCGTTGGATGGGTGAGAGGCCATGGGAGGAACCCTTCCACGCCCAGGGATCTGGGTCCGCTACATCCGGCACTGCCAACAGCGGTACATCGACCGAAACGGAGAAGAGGTCCTGAGCAAATGGCTTAGGATAAGCACTGTGGATGCATGCATTCAGTGAGCATGATGCAGCTCTCCACATGTGAGGTGGCAATTGGGAAGGTGTTGTTGTGCGAACATATGTTCTGGGTAACTCGATCTACGATGTAATTTATGGTCAACCTGTTGATGAGCGAAGTTGGACTGGCGAGATTGCTGATGGGCGTGCTATTCTGTTACGAGTTGTGTATTACTTGCAATGTGGTTTCCTTGGTGTTAGCTATGGAAATAGACTGTAATGATTGTTATCGCCGTTGAGTGTCGCAACTGTCTCACCGTGAGGACCGCAAAATGAAGCGCGTGGTCGAAGTCAAGCTAGCGAGCGACTACGAAGCGTGTATGGGAAGACTTCTGTCGGGCCGACATGATGAAGGATGGCACGCGAAGTCGCCGTGAAACGGGGCAAGTCATCGTCGCGTCACGCTCGCGTCCCGCCTCGCTCCTTCCCCGCCAGTTCTCAGCTAGGTAAGCGTGCCTCGGCTTATCGATCGCTGTCCCAATCTCTTAGGTGTTGTTCGTTCTAGCAATAATGTTCCCAGTGTCTACTCTAATTTGAGCGTCCAGAAGCAAATCGTGGCTCTATTCAATCAGCATGTTCAGCGACATGAGCGACATGAGTCGTTGGTAAAGTATTCCGGTGCCCGTACCGCGGTCGAGGTGTATGTAGTGTGCAGGTATCCTACTTCCGCCTCATCTGGAAGACCTCCCACAGTATCACGACCATCAAGCTGTTGCTGCATTGGTTTTATCAGATGTGCTTTTTGGACAGCAATGAGAGAGTAGCGGAAGAAGCAGGACAGCCGGCTGCCGACGGCTATGCTGGGCTGAACCGGTTCCAGTAGCCGGCGCATCGTTCGACGCAACCTTACAAACAATATAATGCACGCGTCCTCTTCATCTTCCTATTGTTATATGAGCAGATTGCCCTTGGACTGGGCTTGCTGAATGTGAATTTCTGATGCTTAGATGGGGACGCGGAGACCGCCGACGCGCGGTCACATGCGGTCAGTACCGGCGTCAGCGGCCTGCGGGCGGTCTACATGATTTATTTTATCAGGGAGGAGCAGCACACAAGCTTCGCCTCCACCTCGACCCAGCACAATGATCAAAGGTAACACCTGCTAAGGCCCTTGTATACCGTGCAATTGAGGCTGACGGAGCTTCAGGCTCTTTTTCGTCTGCGCCTGATGCGTCGCCAGACTTGGGCGCAGCCCATATCGACGATCAAATCCCCTCCTCTGAGGATGACGAGCTGAGTCCCGATTCTTCAGACGAGCCCGAAGGCGATAAACCTGCAAGAGCCACCGATGGCGGTGCATTGGGGGCACAAACCACTGCGGGCACGAGCACCCAAGATGGCGATAATGGTGCCACCCACGATGCACAAGGACTGCTCCCGCGCGACAAGCAGCGGCGTACTGCTTTTTACGATTACGCTTCTGAGAAGCAGATGAGCCATTCAGAGGCCAAGCAGTTCTATCAGCGTCACCAGCTGGAGAGCCAGTATGGAGGCTCACAGGCTGGCGATGGCTTCAGCCCTGTGATACGTGCAAAGACGCTCCCAGTGGGCTTTAGTGGCGGTGATGGGGTTGAACAACTCAGCAGGGCAGGCAGCATTCGTTCGCGGAGAAGCAACGCGAGCCTCGTCAACCAGGGACCACGATTGACACTGCCCATCGGAGTGTCACAGGCGGAACACTCACACGAACCGCGATCGCAGCCCAATGCTTTCAATGAACAGGGTCCCCAAACGGATGCAGCAAATCCCTACATGCAAGCCGATGCTCAAGCTAGAGAACACACAAAGCACCCTGGATTACCTCACGAACAGAAGCCCTTGCTCGCTGAAGAAGGTATACACGGCGCAGGCGCAGGCGTAGGCATTGGGAGCGGTGCAGGAGGTTTCGCCATGGACGATTCAAGTGTCGCTGCGGAATTGGGTGCCATTTACACGAATGTGCAAAAAGTGCTCGACATACGCCATAAATATATGCGTTTATCCCTCCAAGGGAATTTTGACAACCCCAAAGATGATCCTTCCTGGCGCATCTATCCACCCCATCCGGAACCCGTCTGGAAGGCAAAGGAGCGTCAGAATGCGTCGAGCAGCTTGCAGAGCAGCACAGTCCTCGATCCTAACGAAGCACCTCTGAAGGCGCCTCGCAAAATGGGCAAGGACATTGGGGAGGATTTCAACATGGACGATCTACTTCCTCTACCAGGCGCCGCCGAGATGTCATATCGTCTAGATGAGAGTGGCGTCTTCCAGGTCTACGAAACCTCCAAGTCTGCAGAGCTCGACACGCCCATTGTAGCTATTCCTACGTTACGGGAGTACTACATGGACCTTGACAGCATCCTTGAAATTTCATCTGACGGACCTAGCAAGAGTTTTGCTTTCCGGCGGTTACAGTATCTTGAAGGGAAATTCAATCTGTACTATCTGTTGAACGAATACCAAGAGACTGCCGATACCAAGAAGGTGCCGCACAGGGACTTCTACAACGTTCGTAAAATCGACACCCACGTTCATCATTCAGCCTGTATGAACCAGAAACATTTGCTCCGCTTCATCAAATCCAAGATGAAGAAGTCGCCAGATGAGGTCGTCATCTTCCGTGATGGCAAGCATCTCACCCTTAAAGAAGTTTTTGAATCGATCAACTTGACAGCGTACGACCTCAGTATCGACACGCTTGATATGCATGTGCGTATATTTGGCATCTCACGTTTGAACGTAGCTGACTTCACTAGGCACACACTGATTCGTTCCACCGGTTCGACAAATTCAACCTCAAATACAACCCGGTTGGCGAGTCTCGGTTGCGTACGATCTTTCTCAAAACAGACAATTTCATCAAGGGCCGGTACTTGGCTGAGATTACGAAAGAAGTTATTTCTGATCTCGAATCGAGCAAATATCAGTTCGTGGAATGGCGCATTTCCATCTATGGTCGTGACATTGATGAGTGGGACAAGCTTGCTGCTTGGGTTGTGGACAACAAATTGTTCTCCCCTAATGTACGATGGCTCATTCAGATACCTCGTCTGTTCGATGTGTACAAGGGATCAGGCTTGATGGACAATTTTGAGCAAGTTATTGTCAATGTATTCCAGCCTCTCTTTGAGGTTACAAGAGATCCGAGCAGTCACCCCAAGCTTCATGTCTTCCTGCAGAGAGTCATCGGTTTCGACAGTGTTGACGACGAAAGCAAGGTTGAGCGAAGAGTTTACAAGAAGTTTCCGTACCCCTCCAGCTGGTCGACGAAGCAAAACCCGCCATACAGTTACTGGATGTACTACCTCTTTGCCAACATGGCGTCATTGAACGTCTGGCGAAAGCAGCGTGGGTTCAACACGTTCTTGCTTCGACCACATTGTGGTGAAGCCGGTGACACCGATCATTTGGCAGCTGCCGTTCTCTGCAGCCACAGTATCAGCCATGGTTTGCTCTTGCGCAAGGTGCCATTCCTGCAGTACATCTTCTATCTGGAACAGATCGGAGTAGCAATGTCTCCACTTAGCAACAACGCCTTGTTCCTAGCATACGAGCGTAATCCCTTCCTCAGCTATTTCCGACGAGGTCTGAACGTCTCGCTATCGACCGATGACCCTCTGCAGTTCGCTTTCACTAAAGAACCTTTGATCGAAGAGTACTCGGTCGCGGCACAGATCTACAAGCTTAGTGCGGTTGACATGTGTGAGCTCGCAAAGCACTCCGTCGAGCAAAGCGGCTTCGAGCACGTAATCAAACAACGCTTCCTCGGTCAAAACTACCATCTCCCGGGCGTCGCCGGTAACGACGTCGCAAAATCCAACGTTCCCAGCATACGCGAAGCCTTCCGCCACGAGACCCTTATCTCAGAGCTCGCCATGATCGAACGCTACACTCGCGCCTCGCAAAGCAGCACCAGTGCTCTGACGACGTCAAACCTCCAACCTACATTTGGCCAACCACAAACTCCCGTCTCGAATCATGCCACGCATCCTGGCTCGCCCGTCGCATCGCTGATAACCCATCCCTCAAACGCCAACTTACAAGATGGGCAGCAAGGCTTCTCCCTCCCGCCTGCTCATCAGTCACCCATGCACCCCGCCCAACAAGCCCGCATCCCTTCAGGTCCACAGGGCGAATCGCGGACCCAACCCGCATCCCCGACTCGTACCAAAGATCAAGAGTTCTCCAACGGAATGCAACGAACGCAAAGCGTCGTCACTATCGATGGCGCAGAGCCCAGGATGTTCCCTGGTGTTGTGAGTCGTCATGGACGGCGGAGGAGCAGCATTCGAAGCAGTGACATTGGAGCTGACGCGAGTGCGCAGGCCGCGGTTTCTGGGATGACACCGACCGCTGGAAGGGTTGCGTTCAAGGATGCATCTGTGACGGAGGAGCCGGATACTGATGATGAGGACCTGTAGACGCGAGGACAATCAAAATTGCAAAGTGACAGCGACGAAACGGGTCGTGAAAAAGAAAAGCGACGGTGACTTTCGAAATTGGTACTGCGTTCGTAATAGACAGGATGGCTGGGATTAATCTCGGCTTTGGCTTTGGGGTTTCCCACGATAATGAAGTGTTCTGACGAAGTGAATTTTCAACATCTCTGACATATCCTTTTACGTCTTGCACCGTCTCAACTGATCAGTTTAGCTTCGATTAGCTACTAATTTACATCATACAGATACTCGGGTAGACCAAAACATAGGAAATTGAATGAAGCTCTCGGTACCATACCGTCGCCCCAAGTTTGATTGTATGGTGGATATAACTAACAAAGAAATTCAAGTCAGACAGGTAACTGCCCACACCCGCGCCTCGCTGTGCCGTACCGAACCTTTTATATGCCCTACTCCGGCCAAACAAAGATGACGCCCAAGAACGCAATGGCGACCAACACCGCTCTCACGCACTTGCGTTTCCGCCTTCTCAAGCATCCCTCTATTTCGCGAAATGCAAATCGTACGCCAGCCACTTCCGTGCGTTGACCTGCTCGACGCTCAGTCCTGGCGACCCGTACGTCAAAGGCGCAAAGAAGAGGTAGCACCAGCCCACCGCCGCAAGAATAACGCCCGTCGCGATCCAGCTGCCAAGTAGACTTTGTGTCGCCACGCGCTCACGCACGGGCTTGCTGAGCGTACGTTTGTGGCCCTTGACAACAGTCGTCGGCGCTTCGGTGTCAACAGGCTCAATGTTGAAGATGAATTCCACGAGGGCACCGGTGACGAGTACCGAGGCGAGATGCGCAGGCAAGTAGTGGTGCAGGAAGAGCTGACGACCCATGATGTAAAAGGGAATGTAGTGGGCGGCCCAGGTGAGGAAGAAAAATCCGGTGGAGTTGTAGAGGCGGGAGCGGGTGCCTGGGTGGTGTAAGAATATGTCTATACAACGATAGAGTATGGGGAGGAAGGGATACTTACGCTCATCGAGGGCTTCAACGCCACGGCGAAGAGCCAGCTGGTCGGCACCGATTATACCAGCGAAGACGGCTAGGAGCGAGGATGCCAGCCACCATCCAAGCGGGTTACCCAAAAAGTAGATCTGCTGCTTCGTGTCGTTGTGGGTCCAAAAGGAGACACCACGGAGAAGGAAGGGCCAAGACACGGGGAACGAGGCGTAGGGGTGGGAGCTAGTGAGAGCGTTGTTGTGGTAGAACATGGCACGCTGGAGCTCGATGTACTTCCGAAGGAACGAAAGGCTTTTGACCTGCTTGACCTCCTTCTTGTTGCGCTCATCCTCCTCAGGGAGAGAGGGGATGTCGTCTACGTACCAGACGTTGCTGCTTTGCTGTACGTTCTTGTTTCCGTTAATTTCGGCCTGCTTGTATGCCCAGTCAGGAAGCGGCGAGGTGTGAGTCCACATGGCGACCTTGGTAGGTACGTGGATGAGCTTGAAGTGAGAAGACATCGTCTTGAAGTCACCCTTGCCCTTGGGGTCGACCTTGAGCTCAAAAAGAGTGTCGTTGTAACGGCCTGCGTTCGCCTCTTCCATGTTCATAGTGGTGAACTCCTGGTTGGTAGGGTAGTAAGGAGATGCCACATCGTGGGTCAAAAGCATAGAATCAGTGATGAGATGGCGCAGACGGATAACGTCACCAATCTTAACGCGTTGTCCTTCGGTGCTCTCCAGCGGCTTCGAGGGTAGAATTTGCCAGTGGTTGTTGGTGTCGTTATGAGGATAACCAGTAACTTGCTGTCCCTGCGAAGAGATGCGCCCGTCATCGTAGCGGAGCGGGTATTTGTCTGTGTGGCTATGAAGGTACACTTTAGTCTCCTTGTGGCGAATGGTAATTGAATCGTAGTAGTTAATGCCGACAGACTGAAGAGTCATGGCATTGTCGCTCAAAGTCTCTTGGAACTCCGGGGTCATGAAGTCGTCGCCTGGTCCAGACCTGCTTAGGATAGAGAAGTGCACCTGGAACCAGAAAAGGTAAAGGAGAAACGGGATGACGATGAGGCCAATGGCGCGAGCAGCGAAATGCTTGCCAAGTTCCGGCAAGCTCAGAGCACCTTGACGGCGGTTGATGTTGGCGAGGTCCCACAAATCAATCAAGACAGGGACACCAATAGAGAAGAATGTGAAAGCACCGACGTATTTGGTCGAGATGACACAGCTTAGAGACACGCCGGTCAAGAGCAACCATTTCCACCACTTGCGGCTAAAGGGATCATGGCGGAGCTTATAGAAGCGGATGTAGGCAAGGACGGAAAGCGCCATGAAGAAGATCAGGGTCGCATCGAGCAGAATCAGGCGCGTCTGGCCAATATGGGCGTTGTCGAAGAGCATCAGTCCAGCGGCAGTTATGCACGCTGGCAGCGAGTATCCAGACTCCCACATGATCAAGAAGACGGTCGGAACAGTAAGGGCGCCCATGGTAGCGGGCATGGCGCGGTAGGCAACGTAAGGGACCTTGTTCGTGATATACGAGTCGCCGATGTTTTCGAAGAGGAAGCTGCCATCGTATCCGACGAGCCATCCAGCGAAGGCAAAGAGAAGCTTTCCGAAGGGAGGGTGGACATCGAAGAAATAGGTACGCTGGAGGTAGTATGAAGCAAACTATCGACCTGTCAGCCTTGCATTCGCAATTAAGACCCGCTACCTCGTCTGTCTCCTTGTAATAATTCGTACCTTTCCAAAGTGCACCTCATCAAAGACAACCTGGTCCGGGTGGTTGATGCCCCAGAAGCGCGTAATGAAAGCTAGCACGGTGATCACAGCAATGGCGATCTTGTAGTCCCACTCCGACCCCTGGTTCGCCTTGAATTCCCGCTTGACTTTGGTGACAGCGTTGTCGACCTGATATGCGATCGTGTCCGGGTTCGGTGTCGTTGGTCGCTTCTTGTCCTTTGTGCCGCGATGCCGCACGCCAGTTGGGGAGGACATGGTGGGCTGTAGCTCCGCAAAGCTCCCTGTATGCTTTTAGATTAACAATTAGGGACAATCAAATGATGGACAAGAAATTGGAGGGTACTCACCCGCACAGAAGTCGAAATGGAGTTGAAAGGAAAAGTGGACAGAAATGCGCGTGGTCCTTGGAGTTGTTCAGCGGCCCCCTCTAAGAACACCTAATCTTTTGGCCGCGTGTTACCCCTTGTATACGCCAAGCATCCAGCCCAATGGGGGCACCAGCGAACCGAACCCCGACACGTGATGACTGCGACCAGTTGACAAAGGAACCTTCACATTTCACGGTCGCGAGAAGAGGGACACAATTGAAGGCAGGACCTGCATTGCGGTTGCCTTCTTCGTTATTTTCTAACTCTACGAGCCATGCGACCGATACACACAAAGATACGACCATTCTATAGACGCAACCAGCTCTTCGACCGCAAATACGCCCACTTTTTACTGCGCCTTCTTCCCGTTCTCCTTCACAGCCGCAGCCTTCTTCCTCTGCGGAATCTTGTACGTCGTTTCCCACCCATACAACGCCCCAGCGCCAAATACCATCGCCGCGCCAAGCTTCATCATCCCACTCATCTGGTTTCCAAATAGCCAGATGCTCAGCAAAAAGCTCACCAGCTTCCGGATATTGAGCACGATCGTGACAGTGACCGCAGAAGTATTAGCACTGAGAATGTTGACACCAGTAATGCAGAGAAGCTGCGTGACCGCGTTGGCAGTCAAGAAGATAACATGCTGCGACGTAAAAGCCAGCGCCTTGTTTACTGTTGGTGGTAGGTTCGCTGCGAGCGCTGGCGGAACGGAAAAGGACTGAGACGACTGAAGGCGTGTGAATTGATTGTAGAGGACGGGCGCGAAGTTGATAAAGAGCGGCAGAGACAGCAGATGCGAGTAGAAGAGATTTGCCTTCCAGTGGTTGCCGTGCTGAAGGTAGATGTCCTCTACATAGGCGCCCATGTAGGCGGAAAGCAGCTGGGCAATAAGGAGGATGAGCAGACCCATCTCGAAAGAGGCGCTTGTGTAGTCGATGCTGGTTGTATCGAGTTTCTTGCCCTGTCATAATCAGAAGGATTTCGATGCGCAGGTCAAGGATGCGTACCTTCGACTGAGCATCTGCCCATGCGGATACCATTACGCCGACCGTCAGAATAGCCACTGAGAAAATTTGCACAGGCGTATACTTTTTGCCTCGCAGATACCCGGCGATCATGGTCGTGACACTACCGAAACTTCGTAGGATGATATGTACTGGAACAGAGATGTTGAACGCAAACGCCCAGTTGTTCATCATGTTGACTGTGAAGAATAGCGCGGCACTGATGACCCATTTTCGAAACGGAACAGGTGACGGCTTGACGAAGAAGCGGTATCTAGGGTCAAATTGGTAATGCAGAGTCGACAGGCAGGTGAAGATGAACTGAAAGAGCGTGATGAGGAGGCCACTATCGGGTTCATGTCTGGAGAAAGTTAGTCGAGTCGCAGGGCTCCCCCATTGCGGACGTACTTTACAATGGCTTCCAAACAGTATACCTGGGACGAATTAATTTTGCTACGCTCTTCAAAGTGTATCGCTTACATTAGAGCAACATCCTCCGAAGATAAGGGCAAAGCTTCCTGCGAGAGGCGCGATCGCTGCCATGATGACGGCTGAATGTTGAAATCGCTCGAGTGAGGCGTGACCGTCGCTTGGCTATCGACAAGATGAAAGAGATGCACCTGAAGGAGCGACCTTTTGTGAGTTAGTTGAGATCGAGACACAGGTAATTCGGGATTGTAACACGAGGTTTTCGAGAAGCGCCGCGGGGCTCACAAAGTCGATGACGTGGGGACGTACAAGTAAAAGTGCTTACAATGTGCTTTTCAGAAGACTGGGCAATCTAGTGCTTAATTCGCTATCATGGTCTAGATTTCGTACAAGTATTTAAGTAAAGACGCAGTCGATTGGCGTGGGTTCGGGAATGTCAACGTGGAGGTTCGCGCTAGCGTGCCGGCAAGTGCTGATCGTAGGGCTGGACCAGGAACGCCCAGCGCCCATGTTCAAGGATTCTAGAATCCCAGGGGTGTTATGTTTTATTGCAGATGACATAACGTTCACTACCTGTACGATGCAAATCAAATTTGATTACTTTTTGTTCATTCCGATTACGGCGAATCCGCAGTATACACTGCTTAGCGGACACCGGTCCGCGATGCATGACTACATTGAACTACCAAACAGTCTCTTCGCGCCGCTTATGAGTCCCCATCTACCAACCTAGCGCCGCTCCCTCAATCCTGGCCAAACGGAAGTACATGGGAAGAATGAGGGAGGAATACATCGCCAAACACAAATCTAGGTGCGATTGCACAAAGGAAATGTTTGCTCAAATGCAGGCCTTTACAAGGCTGAAAACACGAAAAGCTGCACGCTGTTAATCCGTGATAGAGTAGTTTTGTGGTTGGAACACTTACATTGTTGGTAGCCGCAATGGCAATGCTGTCCTCGAATGGATGCCAGCTCATGTGTAGAATTTTCTTATTGAAGTCGATCTGGTCTGCGTCCGTCTCCTTCCTCATGCGCTGTCCCTGCCCAGCGGCTCCAGCGGCTGGGCTACCCGCTCTTGAACCTCCCTTCTTAGCGGAGCTGCTGGTGGGGCTTGTTGAAGAGTTCATGGGTGTCGGTATGCCAACCTTCTTAGCTTTGAATGCCGACTTATCTGCTTGGAGCACCACTTCCGTGTCTTTCTCTGGATCAGACGGATAAATCATGAAGTTGTTGTTGTAGCTGCCGGTCATGACGTTCTTTGCGTCACCGGAGAACACCACCTCAAACTTGTCGAAGATGCTGTCGTTCTCGTACGTATCGCACAGTCGCGGTCGGAGATGCTCGTGAATCGGGATGGTCTTGATTGGCGTTCGCTCCATGTTAACATCCCAGATCTTCACCGTAAGGTAGTCGCGGGAGAGAATGTATCGGCCATCGTGCGAGAAGCGAACATCTGATATCGAGGAGATGATTTCTGAGAAGAATGAGCGGGATGATGGATCCTCCTCTTGCTCGAACTCTATTATAGCCAAGCGTTAGCTGCGTCCGTATCAAAGTAAGAGTGGACTTACGCTTGGCATGTTGGTCGCATAACGCGCTCTCGCGCATGTCGGCCAGCTTAATAGTCCCCTTGGAACTCGCGTACATAAACCAGTTGCAGCTCTGTGGATGGAACTCGGCAGCGGTAATCACCTCAGTCAGCTCTTCCATGTTCGCCGGTTTGATGTCTACGATGTTGAAGCTCTGGTCCTGGATGTTGAGATTCCACAAATTGATCCGGAGGTCATCGCTGCTGATGAAGGTCTCCCCATCACTGTTGACTGATATGCTATTGATGTGATAAGCGTGGGCATTGGCATAAGTCTTTCGCGGCACAGCGGCCACAACGGTGTCATGGTGGGTCAACCGCGGCAGCTTCAGGTCGGAGGCGTTCCGGAAGTTCACGTTGGGATTCCGCACAGGACCACCTCCACCAGCGACACCGCCCCCTGGGGTTAACTCATGTGAAAGATTGTTCTCCGCCACCACCTTTAACGATTTCTCGAACACTTTCCAGAGCTTTATTGTCTTGTCATTAGTCGAGAGCAGGTAATGTGAAGCATTTTGTCGCCGGCACCACTTGATCTTGTTGATCTTCTCTTCTATCTCAAGCGATTTGAGGTAGTCGAACTCGGGCTCGTGTGACTGGAACTCGGTGTGAAACTTGTACTCGCACGTTTTTTTCTAGACGTCATTAGCCACCGAATATGATCGTGCGGGAACTCAAGGAGATCGAAGTCAACTTACTGTTTCGTTTCGCTCGAATAGTACCACGCGACCGCCCTTGTCTCCGGTGGCCAGGTAATTGCCCGTTTGATCGAATTCAACGGTGGAGATGATGTCAGCTATTAAAAGTCAGCATCGGTGGTAAGAAGACTTTTGAGACCACGGAAGCAGCCTCACAAAGTGAGAGTAAGAGAAGTATGTACCCGTACCTTCTGTTATGTCTTCGACATCACCCTTGTCACCGAAGCACCTAGATATGTTAGCACAATATGACACAAACGTAGTCAGCTGTCCCCACTGCAAGAAACTGAACGATTAAATGGACTATATCGCATCGCGGTGTTTTTTGTAAGGTGCAGGGAGTCAGGGCATTGGCCCAACTTACTGCGTGAACTTCCACGTAGTGGGGTTTCCTTCCGCTTCTACCATGGTTCCGGGAGCGGTGTGTCGAAGTGCGCACGCGGGCTAGAACTGGAGGGGATTCTCTCCGGACGGGTGAGGTAGACGAGTGTGTTGGCCGCGGAGCTAGGCTGGCGCGAGGGCAAGGTGGGTGGGTGGAAAGAGCCGCCGACGTCGAGGCTGGGGGACTGATTCGGGAACGGTGAGGCGGTCGAGGCAGCCGAATCGGCGGCAAGGAAAGAGGTGGCGGTTCCGGTTGTACGGGAGGTATTGCAGGGTGCCAGCGGAGTGAGTCGGCGGCAAGGCGGCGGTTGATGTAGACGCGAGCAGAGACAGCAGAGCAGGTATAGAACAAAGCGTGCCCGCGAGCGGTATGTCACATGATTGCGGGGCGTCGAAGCTAGTCCAGACTCCGACTAGTGCATTGGCGGGACTTGGCGCACAAACAATTATCGCTTAGAACTTTCGCACACTTCGAACACTTCGACACTAACCAGCAGCACCTCAACACCTCGCAATGTCCCACAGGAAGTTCGAGGCTCCCCGTCACGGGTCATTGGCATTCTTGCCGCGAAAGCGCGCCGCCCGTCACAGGGGTAAGGTCAAGAGGTAAGCGCAGACGGATTGGTGATGCCACACGAGCTCACAGATTTTCACAGCTTCCCCAAGGATGACCCGAAGAAGCCCGTCCACCTCACCGCGACCATGGGCTACAAGGCCGGTATGAGCACCATTGTCCGCGATCTCGATCGTCCTGGAGCCAAGTTGCACAAGAAGGAGATTGTCGAGGCTGTCACCGTTGTCGAGACTCCTCCGGTACGCACACTCTCCCATTGAGGAACCAAACGGAAATTTTAACAGACTGCAGATGATCGCTGTCGGTCTTGTCGGCTACATCGAGACTCCCCGTGGTCTCCGCTCGCTCACCACAGTCTGGGCTGAGCACTTGAGCGACGAGGTCAAGCGTCGCTTCTACAAGAACTGGTACAAGAGCAAGAAGAAGGCTTTCACCAAGTACGCCAAGAAGCACTCTGAGAACAGCGGCCAGTCAATCACCCGCGAGCTCGAGCGTATCAAGAAGTACTGCCAGGTCGTCCGTATCCTCGCTCACACCCAGATCTCCATGACTCCTCTCAAGCAGAAGAAGGCCCACTTGATGGAGATCCAGGTCAACGGTGGTTCCATCGCCGACAAGGTCCAGTTCGGTCACGGTCTCTTCGAGAAGCCCATCGAGATCACCTCCATCTTCGAGGATAACGAGATGATCGATGTCATCGCCGTCACCAAGGGTCACGGTTACAACGGTGTCACCTCCCGATGGGGCACCAAGAAGCTTCCGCGCAAGACGCACAAGGGTCTCCGCAAGGTCGCCTGTATCGGTGCCTGGCATCCGTCCCACGTCCAGTGGACTGTTGCCCGTGCTGGTCAAATGGGTTACCACCACCGAACCTCCGTCAACCACAAGATTTACCGCATCGGAAAGGGTACCGACGAGGGCAACGCATCCACCGACTTCGATGTCTCCAAGAAGCAGATCACTCCGTAAGCTACCATCACAAGAAATCTCTCTAGCAGTTGCTAATCGTTAATAGTCTTGGTGGCTTCGTCCGCTACGGTGAGGTTAAGAACGACTTCGTTCTGCTCAAGGGTGCCATTCCTGGTGTGAAGAAGAGGGTTGTTACTCTCCGCAAGTCTATGTTCGTGCACACCAGCAGGAGGGCGCTGGAGAAGGTCGAGCTCAAGTGGATCGACACCTCGTCCAAGTTCGGTCACGGTGTCTACCAGACGGCGGCAGAGAAGAAGACGGCTGTCGGTACGCTCAAGAAGGACCTCACTGCCGCCTCATAGAGAGTTGGTGGTGGTGGGTGACGGTACAATTTCTTCTGGGCTTCTTTGGCGAATGGCATGATCCGTTATTGCTCACGGTCACATGAGCAATGAATGACAAAATAAATGATTCCCACTTCATGATCTTTCCTTTCTTGGCCTCCATGTGCTTTGCTCGCCCGTGATCTTCTTGTGCATATTTGTCCACGTACCTAAGCGAGTATCTCAATTTGCGCGGGCTTTTAAAGGGTAGAACGCTCTCACCAAGCCGCCTTCGCAAGGCATGGTTGCCAATCATCTACACATCTTCGGTCCACTCGATTATACTTAGGCAATACATTTTGGGATCTTGACCATTATTATCCGATGCAAACCCCATATATCCCGCGGTACGTAGAAAGCTTTGGATACTGCATTGCTAGGTTGGAGTGACTCAGGGTACACAATAGTTCACGATCCACTGTAGGTTTTGCAAGCGAACAACGACATGAGAGGACGTGCGGTGCAGCGTAAAGTGCCGTTGGTCACATGCGCAGTTGCCGACCCGGGCACCAGACATGTACCATACGCCCAGTCCACAAAAAGAACGCGAGCGTCTATGACGTGAACACTTTGCTGGAATCAAAAGTGGCAATAGTTATACCATAGTGAGGCCGAGAAACGTATCCGAAAGCTCACGATCCCTTGAGATTATATATGCGACCGGTATCGAGCATAATGGAAATGTACAGCGTCGTGAACCAGAACAGTACCCTTCATGAAGAGTAATCGGACGTCGTGAACATCGAGAACAGATATCTGAACGTCGAAAGGGAACATTATTTGTTCGCAAGAAGACCCAGCAATGAATGCCTGGAAACAATTCCGCATGTCCGTGGTCGACTGCTCTCAAAATCAAGTGCGATTCGCGAAGAAAAGCCGGGTTCTCTGCTCCTGCCGTGACCGAGGTCTTGGCCGCAACGCCCAATCAGAAGGGCGTTATTCAGCGAGCCTCGCCTTCCCATCATCGACGTGCTCTTCTCCAAAACTAGCACCCACCACCTCGTCCCTCTCCTCTCCTTCGTACGATCGCCCATCATGAGTTGCCTCAAGATGCGCAATCTGCAGCTCGCGAGCCAGGTGAGACATCCGACACTAGAACACATGCGCCACCCATTCATCCCTACAACCCGGCACCCTCCGCACAATGTGCCACCGCCCACCAGCGTCTGAAAGTTTGGCCCTATAGCTATCGCGCTGCTTCAATGGCCTTGCAGATTGCTCGGCCTCATATCAGACGGTTGGGGTGGCACTAGAAGAGCTTCAATGGCTAACAAATACCTCGGTAGTTCTCAAGAAGCTTGCGGACACCTTCACGAGCATTTTCGTCGACGCGACCGGCCGCCCGCATCTTTGCGACCGAGCACCTAAAGGCGAAAGAGGCTTCTGGGTTCATTTCTCAAAAGTACCCCGTCATCGACCATGAATACGACGCCGTTGTCGTTGGAGCTGGTGGCGCTGGTCTCCGAGCGGCCTTCGGTCTCGCTGAAGCTGGCTTCAATACGGCCTGCATATCAAAGCTGTTCCCAACTCGATCGCACACGGTAGCAGCTCAGGGAGGTATCAATGCGGCGTTAGGAAAGTGCGTACAATTCATCGCATTGGAGTGGCGAAACAGGAGGTGCTAACGGCTCGCTAGCATGCACGAGGACGACTGGCGGTGGCATATGTACGATACTGTGAAGGGGTCCGACTGGTTGGGCGATCAAGATGCTATTCATTACATGACACGCGAAGCACCACAATCTGTCATCGAACTCGAGAACTACGGCTGCCCCTTCTCAAGAACAGACGATGGTCGGATGTACGTCACCATTTTATAGAGCACGGAAACCCCAGTAACTAACAATCGATCAGTTATCAGCGCGCTTTCGGTGGTCAATCGCAGAAGTACGGTAAAGGTGGACAGGCTTACCGATGCTGTGCCGCCGCAGACAGGACAGGCCACGCTCTCCTCCACACGCTCTACGGACAGTCTCTTCGTCACAACACCAAATACTTCATCGAGTTCTTCGCCACTGATCTCATTATGGAGGATGGCGTCTGCAAGGGTGTTGTAGCCTACAACCAGGAAGACGGCACGATTCACAGGTTCATTGCGAAGAATACCGTTTTGGCGACTGGCGGTTACGGTCGTGCCTACTTCAGCTGCACTTCCGCTCACACGTGTACCGGAGACGGAATGGCCATGGTCGCTCGTGCCGGACTACCCAACCAGGATCTCGAGTTCGTCCAGTTCCACCCAACTGGTATCTACGGCGCTGGATGTTTGATTACCGAGGGTTCTCGTGGTGAGGGTGGTTACTTGCTCAATTCCGAGGGTGAACGATTTATGGAGCGATATGCCCCTACTGCCAAGGATCTTGCTTCCCGCGACGTCGTTTCTCGATCAATGACACTCGAAATCCGTGAAGGCCGTGGTGTTGGACCGGACAAGGACCACATCTACCTCCAGCTCAGTCATCTGCCTCCTGAGATCCTCCACGAACGTTTGCCTGGTATCTCTGAGACTGCCGCCATTTTCTCCGGTGTCGATGTTACCAAGCAGCCCATTCCCGTCCTCCCCACCGTTCACTACAACATGGGTGGTATCCCGACTAAATACACTGGTGAAGTCTTGACTGTCGACGAGCAGGGCAAGGACAAGGTTGTGCCAGGTCTCTTCGCTTGTGGTGAAGCTGCCTGCGTGTCCGTCCACGGTGCTAATCGTCTTGGCGCTAACTCTCTCCTGGATCTCATCGTTTTCGGCCGTGCTGTTTCCCACACCATCCGCGACAACTTCAGCCCCGGCCAGAAGGCCGACCCCGTCCAGGCGGATGCTGGTGCCGAGTCGATCTCTGTCATCGACAAAGTCCGTACCGCTGATGGATCTAAGCCGACCGCTGAGATCCGTGGCAACATGCAGAAGGTCATGCAGACCGATGTCTCCGTATTCCGTACGCAAGAGTCGCTCGACGAGGGTGTGCGCAAGATCCGCGAGGTCGATGCTACCTACGACGATGTTGGCATCAAGGACCGCAGCATGATCTGGAATTCCGACCTTGTCGAGACTCTCGAGCTGCGAAACCTGCTCACTTGTGCCGTTCAGACCGCCGAAGCTGCCGCTAATCGCAAGGAGTCAAGAGGTGCTCACGCTCGTGAAGATTACCCTGACCGTGACGACGAGAACTGGATGAAGCACACTCTCACGTGGCAGAAGAAGCCTCACAGCAAGGTTGAGATCGGTTACCGGGGTGTCGTTGCTAACACGCTAGACGAGAATGAGTGCAAGGCTGTGCCACCGTTCAAGCGGACGTACTAGAAAACGGAGTGAGGTTGTTGAATAAGTGGTGGAGCTTGCATTGTCTGTATTCTATGTATATTGGATGATTTGCTGCAATGCATTCTAGTGGCAAGATCGTGTGCTTTGGCTCCCTTTTCTTTTCGTTTGTGGATTGCGAAGATATCTCAATGGAAACGTAGTTCGTCACAGCATGTAACATGAAGAACGTGACGGGAGCATACTTTTAAGACGACAGCAGGTTTTGATTAGGAGGGAAGTATAGAAGCTGCAGGGAAGTTCGGGTGAAAGGGACCATTGACCAAAAGCAAGCAGAGCCGCGTCACGATCATGCGCAAATACGCAGTGGTTTGGAGTATACAAGGGAAGCATAAGACGGCTATCAGACCTTGTAGCTTGGTATGTATCAATTATTGCGCCACGGTTTAGACACGGATAACCACGTAGTCAGTAACCAAGTGCCTTGCAAACGGGTTTGCGGTTCGTTGTCAAATACCAGGCCGATGCGATGTTTTCATACGGGAGGGTGATATGCCTTGTGGTTAAGATAAAGTTGCGTTGCTATATTAGCAGATACAAGAAGCGATCCGAGTACCTACACTTCAAACAATCACACCTACTTCTTTGGGTTGTGTAATCCTAAGGCGCAACTTCTTGCCCAACGAGCGCGGACCTTGACCCCAGCTATCGCGGAAAACAGCAGAGTAGGAACCGCATAGTGCAGCGGTCTCTCCAAACAAGAGCATGGCAACTCTCTTCAAATTCACATCAATCTGCCCGCGGTCTAGCACTGTTCGCATCAGCACGTCCAGCCGGCGTCCATAATGTGCCACCAGACCCAGTCATTTGTGTCAACATGTAGCTTCTTGAGAGTGGGACATGCCGTGACAATGCCGTGGAGGACTGCGTGGCAGGCGTCGGTTTAGCAGGCCATAACCACGTGGAGGGACTTAACATAGTCTACGAGTTCTAGCGTCATCCAGAAAGCATCCAATAACGTGAAGAAGGAAAACACATTATCTTTACATCTAACCTCGATACGTTGATACAAGTACGGCTTTGAGATTTGGCAGTACTTCTTAGAAGTAAGGCAGAGACCATAAAGTGCTTTCTGAGAAGCGAAGGACGCAATTCAGCCCAGAAGCTCTAGCGGAAGGCGTCTAATGCTAGAGGGAGGTACAATGGTGTTTGAGAATCCGCTACCGGCCAGAGACATGGTAGTGGGCGTAGCTGTAGCGTGCGAAATTCCTGCTATACCGTTGAAGTTGAGTTATTAACAGGAGTGGGGAGCTGCTAAGAGCCGTGGATTTCGTTGATTACCAGTGCCAGGGCTTCATAAGTGCGAGTGTAATCAATCGTGAAACTAGCATCTTGCACGACCCTATCACACAGACCCGATGGTGGTGAATTGGGTCGAAGTACTTACTTCTTTCGAGTTTCGAGTACATACTGTGAAATTGTGAATCTTTCACCTAACACGTTACGCAAACCGCCAAAACTTTCACTTCAAACGCATGTTTGAACTATGTGATCTTTCTTTCAGCCCTATCTCTAAGTATCTCTTGTGTCGTACTGGCCGGGCTGTCATATAGAAGAATATTTCGTTGGTATAGGAGAGCGCGCACATTCTTCATCAGCAAGTCTGTGCTATAGTGAATATTGATATGAGTTTCAAGGGGTGAGGAGAACCTGACCCGATCTGTCAAGTAGAGCTTCATAGAGCATCTATAACTATGTTGAAGTGCTTGTTTGCTAGTCAAGACAAGTCTCAACATGAAGAATTGCTTCGATTGTCAGTATGTTTGTAAACACAGCGAGTTCTGCCGGCAGGTTACCACATAAGTGCCTGTAATGTAATTTACGAACTTCAGCATCAATCATATGATTTTGCTCTCAACTAGCAAGGTAGGATCTCGGTTGTTGTAATGTTGAGAATATCTACGAATTAGCAGGCTTAAAGAGAATTTCTTGATCGTTTCAGGGAGCATTTATTGGTAGCTGTGCTTTAGAACGAGTTATGTCTTTCGACACTGCATTCGCTAAGGTTGCAAATACCAGGGAGAATATTTCGGCGGATGCGGAACGGTCGAGATCTTCATGCCTAAAAGAGCCGTGCTGCATAATGGTAGACACGCTAGTTTCAGGCTGTCGAATTGATCATCCATGTAAGCCAAGTTGCTGACTCTTCGCCAATACCCTACCCCACACTCCGGTTGCTGTCGCATATAGGCAATTCCAATGGCCAAGATCTTACTACAAACTTCGGATGACGACGCCAATGCCGTACTATTGGTAGTACGAACCTAGTGCGGAGCGTCTCGATGGATCTGCAAGCTGTTCGTGCCCGTGTGTACCTTGTTTCTCTGAAAGTTCAACTTCTTCTCGGCGCAACCTTCGATTTGTCCAAGCCTTGGTAATGTACGCCATGGGCATGGTCAAGACCCGCAGGCTATGCCGGTACGCACGGTAGAGATATCGGTTGGAGGGCAGTGGTCGCCTAGCCTGGCTGTGCACTCATACGGGTTCTTCGGGAGGTACCACGGACAGAATTCGCCAAGGCAGAGCAAGTTCAAAATCAGTATCTTCGCCTGGGGGACATTGTCTGTTTTTACTGAACAGAGCCACCCCTCTCTTGGCGGCAGGACCTACCTCCACCTTCCTACACGTCGTGGATAGCCTAGCAATCATGCCTTGGCAACTCCAATTGACCTTGGTACTAGCTTTGTGTCTTACTTCAACCCAGGCCTGGCCAGCATACCATTTTGTCAAGAGACAGTCTTCCGAAAATCCACCGGGGCAGTCACAGGATCCGACATTCGAGGAAGAGTATGATTTTGTCATCGCTGGAGGTATGTGATCCTTGCCTTAGATATGAGTATCACATCTGACTGATCAGGCGGCACCGCCGGCTTGACACTCGCCAACCGGCTGACGGAATCGGGCAGATTCTCAGTGCTCTGCCTAGAAGCAGGCTTCAATCCTGAAGTAGTCGAGGCATATTCTACTCCAGGTGGAAACCAATTCCTTAAAGGCAGCGCAGTCGACTGGGGGTTCGTCACTACGCCACAGGAACACCTTGGCGGGCGTACCCTACAGTATCTGCGTGGAAAGGCGCTTGGAGGCTCAAGCGTTACGAACGGTTTGTATTATGCTCGCGGATCTTCCCAAGTGTACGATCGCTGGGTTGATTTGGGGAACCCTGGGTGGGGTTGGGAGGACGTGTATCCACTCTTTCGTAAATCCACGAAGCTTAATCCGCCAAACTCGCCACAACTGTCCGAGTTCAGCCAGGCGTACAAGACCTGGGACGAGTCAGTAGACAACATTAATTGTTACGTTGAGGGGAACTCAAGCTGATGTATTGCCAGATCCGCGTACGGTGGTGGGCCTCTGGAGCTGGGCTTTCAAGGATACGTGACAGATTCTACTAATGACTTCGTGATCGCCTGCTCCGAAGCAATTGATATCCCGATCGTCAACGATCTGAACCTTGGTGTTGGTCAAGGTGTCAAATTGGGTACTACAACCACTAATTCGGTCCTCCGGAGATCGTCCAGTTACGACAGCTTCTATCAGCAAGCACGGAACCGCACCAATCTGCGTGTTCTATACAATGCGCCGGTGACTGGAATTGCCTTCAGCAGCGTTGAAAGTGGAAACACGACATCAGCCGGGAATGCTACTACCGGGACCAGGCCCAGAGCGATTGGAATCAGCTACATCGAACAATCCACAGGTTTTGTAAGGCAGACACGAGCACGCAAGGAGGTGATTGTCAGCATGGGCGCGTTTCACACGCCTCAGCTGTTGATGGTCTCGGGTGTAGGTCCGGCTGCAGAGTTGGAGAGGGTCGGTGTGCAACCAGTGCATATCAACGAGAATGTAGGTCAACACCTGGATGACCATTCAGTGTTCTCGATAATGGCTCGCGCAAACCCAAATTCTTCGACAACTAGCATGTCGTCTACTCCAGATAATCTCCAGGCCGCCCAGGCTGAGTTTTTCGATAACTTGACTGGCCCCTACACAGCACCCTCTGGTGTGACCAACGGTTTCAAGAAGCTTTCGGTCGAGGAACTCCAATCCATTGGAGCTGGAGCTGTCATAGAAGCCGGATTGGCAAATCAATCGCACATCGAGTTCCTATTCGAGACGGTTTGGTACCCTTGGATCCCAACGCCGTACTACGTAGCGCTGCCAAACGAGTCATACATCAGTATAACTGCGAGTTCGATGGTGCAGCTCAGCCGTGGAAATATAACGCTCCGGTCAAGTTCGATGAGCGATGCGCCCTTGATCAATCCCAACTATTACGCCGACGAGACGGATGGTATCATGGGCGTACATTCTTTCCGTTATCTTCGTGAAATCCTCCGCCATCCATCTCTTGCCCAACATACTATCGGTGATAATGTGGGCGAAGTTTCCCCAGGGCCCGAGGTTGCCGACGACGATGATGAGGCCATTCTGCAGTATATCAAGAATAACACAATGCCGAATTGGCATGCTTCGGGAACGGCCCGAATGCGGCCCGAAGCAGATGGCGGTGTTGTCGATCCACGTCTTAAAGTTTACGGGGTTGATGGACTTCGTGTGATTGACTGCTCCATAATACCAGTCTTGCCCGATGCGAACATTTTGGCTTCCGTCTACATGATAGCAGAGAAAGGCGCAGAAATGATAAAGGAAGACTGGGAAGATGCAGATTATGAGCAGAAGAGGAAGTGAAGCGCTTGAGCTTGGCGGATATCTATGGTATCCACTGTAGAGCGAACATATTAGTATAAAGGTAGTTGACTTAATGCAGCAACGCAGGCTGAAGCAAACCGTCTATGCTATGTTGTACCAAGTCTGTCACCCTCAGGGAATGCCGAATGGAGTTGTGCATAATACGTGCATACGCCGCCATGCCAGCACTCAAACAGCTGCAGTGACAGCGTTGTGAATGCATGATGGAACATACACAAACATGAACAATCGAGCGTTTGAATTGAGCAATAAAGTGCAGTGGAGGTGTCCCTTGCGCTTGTAATGACGCTAGACGATAAGCCCTGCGCATGTGGGGCCCGTATTCGTAAGTTCCGTATTGGCTCGTACAGGATACGGACCGAGTGCTGGCTTGGCTAGGCTTGCGAAAATAACGTTATGCTCAACGCGATACAACTGGCCCCAATGGTTTGTCAACCAGAGATACCCATGTGGACCAACTAGTAGACGGCGTTGAGCCTTGTTAAATCGCCGAGTAGTGTCACCGCCGCTGCAGCCTGAACCACCTGTTGCGCCACGCTATCGTTTGACCTTCAGCTGCCTTAGGTATATTAAATTTGACGGTCACCATGTCTTCCCGTTATCAATTGCGACGTGCCTACCTACACGTCTATTGAGCACCGCCGTCCGATCGCTCCGACCATGGATGCCGAATTGAATCAGGATGAACCTCCCCCTGCGTATACTGAGATCGATGGCCGTATCAACATCGACCTAGATTCGAAGATCGCTCGAACTTTGGCCAGCTTTGTTCCGGAACCTCCAGCATATAGTCCTCCCCTGGACCCAAGGCAATCCCCCATTGCACAAAAGTCGTGGAAGATCCGTCTTAACATTGTCATTCAAGTGGTCGGATCGAGAGGCGATGTCCAACCATTCATTGCTTTAGGCCAAGAGTTACAGTCTTATGGTCACCGAGTACGCATAGCAACGCATGACTGCTTTGCTTCTTTCGTTGGTGCATCTAACCTGGAGTTCTATCCCATCGGTGGCGACCCACACGATCTTATGGCTTACATGGTCAAGAATCCTGGCTTGATCCCATCTATGAGCTCCTTACGTGCTGGTGATGTCCAACGGAAGCGCACAATGGTGGAACAGATGCTGAGTGGCTGCTGGAAGAGCTGTACAGAGCATGCTCCAGGAGACGAGAGGCCATTTATTGCCGACGCTATTATAGCGAACCCGCCTTCCTTTGCACATATACATTGTGCTCAGGCACTTGGTATTCCGCTACATCTGATGTTCACGATGCCTTGGAGTAGTACAAGACACTTCCCGCATCCCCTCGCTAATTTGAGTGGAGCTAAGCTTGACCCCGGTGCGATGAACTTCGTTTCATATAAAATTGTCGAGTGGATGACATGGCAAGGGTAGGCAAATCATTGAACACTCGTGCAGCTAAACCGTGTGACTGACACATAAGCTAGTCTTGGGGATGTAGTAAATGCTTTCAGGTCCTCTATCGATCTCGAGCGGATAAATGCTGCAGTGGGCCCAAATTTGGCGGAAATGCTTCAGATCCCCTTCACATACTGTTGGTCGCCATCTCTAGTGCCCAAGCCTACAGATTGGCCTTCACATATAGGTTCGATGCGCTTCCGCAAGATTGGATGGAGATGTGCTAACAAAACCAGATGTATGCGGATTCTTCTTCCGAGAGTCACCGCAATACTCTCCACCGGCTGACATACATGACTTCCTCCGAAGCGGGCCAAGGCCCATGTACATTGGCTTCGGGAGCATCGTTCTTGAAGATCCTGCTGCGATGACAAGACTGATACTAGAAGCTGTTCGTATGTCGGGCACGCGAGCTATCATCTCTAGAGGCTGGAGTAAGCTCGGGTCGGACTTGACTCCTGCAGAGATAGATTCTAGAAACATTCTGTTCATTGATGACTGCCCACATGAATGGCTTTTCCAGCATGTGTCTGTGGTGGCACATCATGGTGGCGCTGGCACTACTGCCTGTGGATTACGGAATGCTTGTCCAACCATTATCGTGCCGTTCTTTGGAGAGTACGTACGAACGCTGCCCTTCATGAGCTAATATTGACTTTTTGTAGCCAGCCTTTCTGGGGTAGCATGATTGCAGCTGCAGGTGCAGGCGCGCATCCCATGCACCACAAGCTCATAACAGCAGATAAACTGAGCGACGCGATCAAATTCTGTCTTCAGCCTAACGTTATGTCATCAGTTCAACGGATCGCTGCGACCATGAGCACTGAGCACGGTGTACAAAAAGCCGTCGAGTTTTTCCACGCGCACCTACCGTTGGAAGCTCTGCAGTGCGAGCTTATGCACGATCGCCCGGCTACGTTGCTCTACTCAAACCGTGGGGCGAATGTTAGACTATGTACCTCAGCCGCTCACGCACTTATTCAAGGAGGAAGAATCAAGTCGAAGGACCTCAAATTGTAAGTGTATCTGCAGCCATTCCATATCCAATAGCGATTGTTGGATGACTAACTTCAATAGATACCAAACTAAACCAGTCACGATAACAAACGAGAGATGGGATCCATTCACTAGTATGGGGTCATCTGGCTTCTCCACTATCAGGGGCATGGTCACCTCCGCGGGAGACATGGTAGCCTCTCCGTATTCCGCAGTTCAAAAGGCATCTCCCGAAGATTCCGCCTCGAAGACAACCAGAAAAGCGATGGCCAATTTCGGCAAAAGCTTTGGCAAATTTAATGGTCGACTTTTCCATGGCGCGATCGTGGACCTTCCCTTTGCTGTTGCTGAGGGCTTGCGAGCTGTGCCAAAACTTTACGGAGAGGAAGTTCAATCACATGGTGAAGTCAAAGATGCGGCTAGCGGCTTCAGCGTTGGAGGCAAAAACTTCGTGCAAGGGATGTCGGATGGTATATCTGGTCTTTTCACAAAACCTATGCAAGGCATGAAAGAGGAGGGTGCGCTCGGCTTTGCAAAGGGCACAGGAAAAGGGGTCCTCGGACTTGCTACGAAGACAACTTCTGCTGCAATCGGGATTGTGGCATATCCGGGACAAGGGATCTCGAAATCGGTAATTGCACCATTCAAGTTGATGACAAGAAAAGCCATCATGTCACAGAGACTTGCCGAAGGCGAGCACATGAGCAGCAGTGAGGGTTTGAAGAACGCGGATGTATTACGAAAGTTTGAGGAGCTGGTTACGCATGCGTCCAAGGGTAGAGGAGCTATCGAGGCGTCCGGATATTTCGTTTGACAGGCCTCAACTGGATGCTTCCATTGCATCTTCGTCACTACCATCTGCTGCAGGCCTTTTCTTCGCTAGCTTCACCAACCACAATCTGCCCTCCTGCGCCAGTTGATGCTCCAGCCGCTGAAGAGCGCGCACGAACTGTGCTTCTCTGGAGCCACCACCTCCTTGTTGTACTGTGCGGTACAAGCATGGGACCCAGAATGACACCTCCGTCCGGCCAAAACTGCGAGTCTGCGAAGGGTACCCACATCTGTACGAGCGCTCTATCTTCGGGTGTGCGTCCCAGAAGTTGTTCCCGGCGAGGGCTAGAGTCGGCGACGTAACGTGCGATCGCGCTGTCTTCAGCGAGGTAAAAGCTAGAAGGTGTTTCGAAGGCTGCGATCTTGCGGTGAGGAAAATCTGGCTTTGAACTCGGCAGACTGGTTCGTGACGCCGAATCGGAAGTTAGTGTCTCAGTGTATCTCTAGGCCGTTCAGGTTGGCAGCGGCCAGAATTTTGGTGACGCGAGCATGGCGAAATTGAACGCTTGTGTATAGAGTGCCGAAGGGAGCCATTCTTTGAACGCCGGCCAAGAATTCACAAGATAGTGTCTTAAGTGCAGTAGTGGGAGCTGGGTTCTAAGGTACACAACAACTTTTTGCTTTGCATGTTCCATGGTTTATCAGGTCTGCAGCCTTGACACCCGAGGTCACAGTAGCTCGTAAGTACCCGACCTCGAGTAGGTGTGTCACTGCAGCTGTTCGACCAATATTGTTGCCTGAGGAGCATTACTGATTAACATCCTTGTAGAACTAAAACCAGTGACAGATCATAGAGGAGACTAGTGCCTTGCGAATCTCAGCCGATGATCCAGGGTGGTTAGGTTGCCATCCGATATGCTGCAAAGCTGAATCCGAAGAATACGACTATCAATTCAAAGAGCTAGCCGTGGATCAATATGCGTCGAGTGTGGCAATGTACAGTTCGGGGTTCGCGTTACCCCGCTCATTGCTTACTCTTGGGGTACGATAGGAATTAGCGAGGTGTCGCTTTGGATCCCTATCATTGCACCCTGAGGTAATTCACGACTCGATCGCATCTGCCAAGACCTGAACGTTTGATCACACGTACCACCAGTATGCCTGTTCCTGGCATTCATTTCGAAGAAGATGAAGAAGACGAGCACACCGCCGATGACGCTCTGACACCCCTCCAACTCGCAGCCTGGGAAGGCGATCTTGCCACCGTCTCGAGGCTCTTACAGCAAGGCGTGGACCCCAACGAAACTCCCCATGGCTGGTACGGCAAGACATCTCTGCAGGCGGCTGCTCTCCGAGGGCACGTTGGAATCGTGGATCTTCTTTTGGAAGCTGGGGCCGAGGTCGATGCACCGGGTGGCAACAACGGAGGTCGCGCGGCGCTTGCGCTCGCTGCTGGAGCTGGAAAGAGTGCAGTGATAGAGCGACTACTTATTGCAGGTGCCGATATGAACTTGCCTCCGCATAGATATATGGGCCGCAGTCCTCTCCAAGCTGCTGCAGAATTCGGAAACGTTGGAATTGTCAAGACATTGATTGAAGGAGGCGCTGAACTGGAAGGCCCAATGGCTCAGCATTTTGGTCGTACCCCTTTGCAAGCAGCTGCTGAGAATGCGCACGTGGATGCGGTTGAATTCTTCCTGGGCCATGGTGCAAGCGTGAACACACCGCCGTCTCGTTATAAGGGTGTTACGGCGCTCCAAGGCGCTGCAGCATGCGGGAATGTAGACTTGGTACACAGACTTGTCGAAGCTGGTGCGGATGTTAATGCCTTAGGCAGTTATTACCAGGGAGGTGCGGCTCTGTGGCTGGCTGCTAGTGCGGGTCATGCAGAGGTTGTCGAGATGCTACTGAATGCCGGCGCAGATCAAAGCGCAGTATCTGGGAATCAAGGGAAGCAGTGCACGGCTCTGCAAGTAGCAAATTTGAAGGGAAGAGAGGATGTCGTGGAGCTATTGAAGGTCTGGCAAAAGAATGGCGTCACCTCGATAGACCATGCTCCTGGGTAAAGTTTCCGAGCCGCTTCATTATCAACTCTTTGGTAGATTCCTATTCTTCCTTGACGTTCCCAGGATTCAAAACTTTCGTTGATAAGGCGATACGTAGCGGAGGGCTCATTTAGACCGGAGACCAAGGTTGACATCGGGACTAGCAAATCGACTTCTGAGCTGTTAGCAATCTTAATGTACAGAAAATGGTAGTAGCAAATCATGTCGATCTGGAGACGGCGCAGGAACCCGGTAGCCGAGTCGGCCATAGAAGCCGCAACTTGCGGGATAGGAAAACATCCAACTCACACTGCAACCACCTGCATATCGTCAATAGTGCATCTTTACAACCCCACCAGGATCCGGCATCATGTCCAAGCCCCTCGCCATCGTGCGCTCTCTGGATCATCTCGTTCTAACCTGCGCCAACATCCCAGCAACCTGCCAATGGTACTCTAGACACCTGGGTATGACAATCGAAAAGTTTACGCCGCCATCCTCGCCGTGCACCGAAAGATTCGCGCTCAAGTTTGGGATGCAAAAGATCAACTTGCATCAGCAGGGTAAAGAATTTGAGCCGAAGGCTACCACGGCGCTACCGGGTACGACCGATCTTTGTTTCTTAGTTGAGGATAGTACAGATTTGGATGCGGCTCTGAAAGGATCCAGGAGGAGAGCATCTCTGTTTAGATAGGAGGGAAGGTTGTAGATCGGACGGGAGCGCGAGGGAATATCAAGAGCTTCTACGTGAGGGATCCGGATGGGAATCTCATCGAGTGAGTCTTGCCCGTTCCGGCTGTGCTCTGTGTCGCTAATGAGAAAACCATGGACTGTCGAAATATGCATGATACGCATCTCCTGATACCTCAATCGAAACTAGAAGTACGACGTTAGAGACTAGATGCCCGTGGTGGAGATGAGGACTCTCGCTCCCTATCAAATTCGATGACAAACATGATTGGGAGCATGTTGTTTCTCGCCCACCTCTCACACCAATGCACGTCCGACACGCAACCCTTGCCCTAAACTTCATCATAATTGTTTCTGCGTTGGTGTGGCCGTCAATATTCGCGATGACATCACACAAACATATCCCCGTAGAGGTCCTGCTCCAATGCGCGCAATACTTCGACATCCCCACACTCAAAAACTTCCGCCTCGCATCACGCGCAACTGCCACCACTGGCGCGGAACAGTTGTTCCACAGCGTAATTCTACGCTTGTGCTCAGTGATTTACCCGACCAAAGTACCCAATGAGAGTCCGATGCACCTGAGTGCAGTTCTCGAGAGCCACAAGCTGAAACACCTTGTCAAACAGGTCATCGTGGATGCAAGACACGGCGTACATTACGAAGAAAGACAGGAAGATCCTACAGATGGAGATATTTGGAATGGTTACACCAATGATTTCTTGCCCACTCCTTGGGCTGAGGCACTCTGCAACATGTATCGTTTTCCTTCTTTGAAAGAAGTGGATTTTGCGTTTAATGAACATTGTGGTATACACATGGACGATGAATTCCAGCAGGACGTAGTGTATCGTGGACACTATCAGAGATTACTTTTCGCAACTTTGAGCAAAGCCGCGGGCTGTGATAGTCTGAGCATACGGAACATGCAGGATGCCTTAATCGCTAACGCAGATGCAACGAAGGAAGTAGGTGCGGTCAAAGAGAGACTCAAGAAGCTGGTATGTATTTCACTATATGTGGAAGGTATTACACTTTGCAATAGTACCTCTTACTGACATTAAATGTCCTGTCAAGGCTCTTATGATCGTGACTCTTCGAACAATGGCATCAACTTTGGATGGTGGAGATCGGGACATAGATGCACCGTTTCTTCATAAATGCTTCAACAAAGGGCTTCCTTCATACTGGTTGAAGCCTATGCAAGGACACTTGACCGACCTTACGCTATACTGCGATCAGTATTGGGTGAGTTCAGCATCGCAAAACACGATGACAATCTCTAAACATTGTAGGGTATTTGGCCATTCTGTGACCTCCGCGGTATACACTTTCCCCACCTTAACTCTCTAGCCTTGGGTCACTGGACTATCGCACACGACTGGCAAATCGAGTGGATCACCAGCCATGGACAAACCCTCCAGTCACTAACTCTCGATGACTGCCCCATCGTCTACGCTCTAAACATAGACGCCAAGATCGCAGCAGCCAATTGGCCGCACGAGTTTAACTCAGATAGCGACATAGTAACCCACAATATCAGGAAGTATTACACCACTCGCTGGAGCGACGTTCTACCACGTCTTCAGACTCACCTGCTGCACCTCAAGAACTTCGGCATGGCACCTCGACCCTTCAAGGACGAGGAGCGATCGCACAAGCTGATTTTCGAAACGAGATACCACCTCCCCTCCCGCATCGAGCCAGCCAGATACATGAATTTCGAATATTGGTTCAAGCCATCTACGCCATGGTTTCAACACAAAGCCCAAGGTTGGACCTTCCGGATTCAGAATGAGCACGGAATTATGATTGATACGAACGAGCCAGACGAAGGAGACGATAGGAGAGACGAAGAGGCACTTGATCGGTTTCTGCGTGCCATCGGTACATCTGATGCTGAGATTGCAAGGATGAAAGTGCTGGACTGGCAGCCAGGAGTAGGGTGGTGCATGCCATCAATGAAGCATACTGACAGACCGAAAGAGCAACAGTAGCAGAGGGTTTATCGTGTCGTCTGTATCCTGCAACTCAATACACCGCCAAGTCCTTTCTCGCAACCCCCACCAAAAACGGACTGATGCGATATCCTACACAGATTTTCGCAAGCCAGCCTCAAACCACCCAAAATGACCTGTCCACTTGTAGATGTATGCAAGATTATGATGCCATTGGTTGCAAATCACTCGTAATGGAGCAATTTACGCACCGGATTCGCTTAGTACGGATGCGACATCGAATATGATATGCGTAGTGAATCCCAAGGGTTCCACGCGTGGATAGCGCAACTTCCATACACAAAAAAGTCTTCGAAAACTTACCACAGCCGAGTTGAAAAGGAAACGGTCCGCAATGTCCCCAACAGTACTCGAGACCTTGCACCCACCGCCGACCTTCCAGCGCGTTGATCACCATCACACCACCCAACCATGCTCTTAACCCTACAACACACCCTAAACGACAAACCTGCATTTCGCTCCCACTACACGCACGTCTACCACATCACGGCATTTGTCCTCGTCCTCAGCGCGATGATCATAACACTCGGCAATCTACCATTGAGCAAGCACCCTACAATCCGGTGGTATTTGGGCTGAGTTTTGGTGGATTGACAAGAAGGGGCGTGTAAGGGGGGTGCACTGTGTATTGGGGGCGGTGGTCGTTATGCTAGCTGGGCTGATTGTGTACGTACATGAACAGTGGAAATGCGACCATGAGGACTGACTGTGGGATAGTGCCATAGTATTCTGCTTGTTTGTGTTCAGTGTCCAGGACTTTAGGTACTGGAAAGCGCACGGGAAGCTGAGGGGTGAACAATGGGTACACCGATAGGATATGAGACATGTCAACATGCGCATGTTACGAAGCATGGTTTTCGTAACAACAAATAGGTATTGATTTTTTCCGATGAAGGGTAATCCTTTCTAAATGACTCCACACCATCCCCGCTGGCAAACCCCGCCAGGAGGCGGGGAGCACGGGGACCCATCCGATCCGTACAGTAAACGAATGTGGGGGTATTGAAACTGGAGATGAGAGAAGCTACAAGTAGTAGACAGGGAAACCATCATCTAAGATGGGAAAGAGCGAACAAAGATCGCTCTGTCGCCCCACGTAGAGTAGACGAGGTATCATGCTCCCAGCCGACCGTCCGCCCCGTATATAACCATATCCCTTCCGAACGTCGTCCTTGTGTGGAAAGCAGCGTGGTGCAATTTGTGGGGTTGCTGTGTGCAAATGACAACAAGGGGTAACATGCAAGATGAGACAGACCTGGCCCAAAAGCACTCGCTTCGTAAATCATCAAGAAAAGGGGGAAATAGAAGTAGAAAAAGAGATTAAAAATTCCCAGACTGGGAGGAGCGAAAGAAGAATGTGATTCCGGAGCATGCTCTTCAACCGTCGTCATCAGCGTCATCCTCTTCTTCTTCGTCCTCTTCGCTTGTGCTTGTTCGCCGGTTCGCCTTCTTCTTGTTGGAAGCACCCTTGAGATTCGTTGAAGACGCTTTTCGTTTTGTTCCTGGATTGACCTGTGATGCGGTAGCCTTCATGGCGGAATTGGCGTTCTCCTTGTTTCCGCCATCTTCACCTTCGGGGTCGCCACCCTTGTTGGCTTCCATTTGAGCGACCTCCTCAGCAGTCAAAAACCTGCCACCAGGACCGCGTGGACGTCGCATAGCGTGATTGTGCCTCGATTCATGTAGATACGGCTTGCGCCCCTTGGAGGTCAACCTAAGAGCGTCCTCTAGTTTTTGTCGTGCTAGACGTCTCTTCAAAATGCGATGGAACTGCTTGGCGTTCACATAGAGGGGAGCCTCTTCCGCTTGCGCACCAGCAACAAGCTCGGGTGACTGTTGGTGCTGTTGGGGCGCTTGTTGAGACATAGGCGGTACCGACGGCCTAGCTGCAGCGTGTGACATGACAGGCTGGGGTTGTTGCATCGCAGGGCTGTGAATCTGTGTGCTCATTCTTCGTTGGATCGCTTGTTGTCCCGGGTTCATTGGAACTTGCGAGGCAATCCCACCAGCACCTAAGGCATTAGACACCGCAGTCGGAGAGCGAGGGGGCCCGCGTCCATCCTGCTTGAGCTGACCTCCGGACATGCGCGGCGAGGCTCTGGGATCTTGTGCTAGCTGTCCTTGACCCATCTGGTTGGGATCGTAATAACCAGCCGGTCCAGCTGCTGCCGCGGTTGCCATGGCCGCGGCCTGCGTAGGCGACATGCCGTACGGCTGATGCATGCCCGGCATGTAGCCTTGTTGTGGATAGTTCATTTGTTGGTGTTGTGCATTCGCCGTGCCGGGCTGCGGATAGCCTTGCGATGGCAGGATTGGTGAGGTCTGTTGATATGAATGCATCTGTCCTTGTGTGGGCGATGTGATGGACGGGTTGGCCGCGCCCGGGTTTTGAGCTCCCGGGTAGTTCTGCATATGGGTAGCCGCATGCCCATGGTGGGGTTGTTGATATTGCGCGTAGTCGGTCATGTTTGCGGTTTTGTCGAGACGCGCTACCTGAGGCGTACAGAGGAGAGCCTAAAGCACGCGACTGAAGGCGGCGTACACTGGATTATTACCCCGGATGCGCCACTTCAGCACGGACTGTGACTCGTTTATGGATCGTCGACGAGGCCCTCGGACGTGCGCTCGGATGGGCGATCTTGCGAAAGGTGCGCGGGGTGGTGATTGGGACGCTTGGGTAGAGGAAGTCGCGACTGGGATTGAGACGCGCAGAAACGCGACTTTACTGTGGGGGCTGATGACTGGAGCAGAGGCGAGATGGATAGGCGGCCACTAAGTTTCGTTTCAAGCAGCCAATGCGAGAAGAGGTGGATCGGATCTGAGTCGCGGTTGATGGGTCGTTGTGTGTGTCGGTGCGCAGGTCGATTAAAAGCTGCCTCGACTCGTCGCGCGTGTTTGCTGGTCGAATGTTGATATCGGACGCACCGGTCTATCAAGGCACCGGTCGGCTGGGGTCACGTCACCGCAGGCCAGATGCTCGATGCGTTGTCAATGGCCACGCTTGTGAGGCGAGCGTCTAGGGTCGCGCGCGTCGGAGACTCGCGTAGATTGAGGCGCAATGGGTGCGATTGGGCGCGGGTTGGTGAGGCGGTGCGCAGACAGAGACCCAGCAGGATGCTTGGAGGGGCTGCAGTTCAAAGGGTCGCGCCGTGTGGGGAGTGGACCGTTGCAGGCGTTCACCAGTCGGGGAGGGTGGTGGGAAAAGAGGTCTTTTCGGAAGAGCAATTGTTAGCTAGCCCATGGGGATGAGGGACGAGCAATTGGGTGAAGTCGAGGGGAGGCATGTGCTGGCGGGCGGGCGATTGGAGGGGTGATGCGCTGGCAATGCAGGTTCATGCAGGCCGTGGAGGGACTTACCGAGTTGGAGCTGGGCGCGCGGTGCACGTCGCGATGGGGGCGCAGGTAAGCGGTGGTGACGCTGGTGCCTGGGGCTCTGGCAGCAGTCAGGTATTCTGCCGCGGCGGACCTGTTAGGTATAAAGAGTCGCGGTGCAGCTGACGCTGCGGCGGGAAGCGGGAAGCGGGTGAGCACGAAGCAAGCCGAGCTATGCTGTAACGAGCCGTGTGCGCCCGGGCTGCGCGCGACGTTAGCAGAGGGCATGGCGAGCCGACGGACGCGACGCCGGAGGAGATGGGCATCATGGCGAGCGCGAGCGCGGCGGCGACGGTGGCTGCACGGCGCGTGCGCGTGCAGTGCAGTGCAGCGCGGTGGGCAGGTTGCGGCTTACCGGAGCTGGCGTGCAGCGGAGGGCGGTCACGTTTTGGTGGTGAGGACGCGGCGGCCTGTGAGGGGGCTCGCAGGCGGTGGCACCGAGGCGGGCGGAGGCTGTTCGGCCTGGCGCAGCAGCAGCAGCAACCACAGTTACAGTGGGAAGGGGACCCGCGGTATGGAGGCCACGAGCGTGCCGTGGTGCAAAGCTCGTGATGCTGCGGTGCTGGCGGCGATGGCAGCTCTCATAGGACGGCAGCGGAGGGTGCAATGATTGGGGGAGATGTAGGAAAGCGATTGGGCAGAGGAAGCAAATGCCAAAGAGTGGGTGCGGCGACGGCTTTCTTATTCGATGGCTGGCTTTGCAGGGATCGCGCCGCTTCTGCCCAATGATGCCCGCCCGCCCGTTGCCTTTTTGGCCCGCGCCTCTCCAGCACCACCACGCTCCACCGCGACGCTGGACGGCCCTGCACGTGGGCCGCCCGGGCTGTGCGAGCAACAGCACGCACTGCGCAGCCTGGCTGTCTCTGCTGCTCGTCGCCTCAAGATCCTCGACGCGCGGGCGCCTGCTCTGCTCGCGGGCGCGCAATGACGTCTGGCACTACAGGCGGTGTGTGGTTTCGCTCGCTTCCGCCAGCCTCCTCCCCGGCCGGCGCAAGCAAACGCTGCAGCACATCGCCATGAGTCGCCCCAGAGCCGCTGCGAAAAATCGCCAAATCACAGTCACACACGGCCGCGAATTACGGGCGCGTAGCCAACTGTGATGCAGTGCTTTTTCCGCCCGCTGCCCTTGCCGCCCACCACCTCTCGCCATTGGGCCTCTGCCCTGAAATTGCACGTCTGGGGCCGGCGGAGACGGCTGCGTAGCGCGCACACCCCATCCCGCTCCTACACAGCGCAAGCTGTTTCCGAAACACCCCAGAGACCCGTCACGGCCGTCCGTATTGTCTTTGGGCGACGACAAACTTTCTGACTCCACTCCATCACAGTCGCACAGCCATGCGTCAGCCCCGGAGCATTGTCATGTCGCTGTCCCCCCACACCCGACGGCTTCTGGACGCGCTGCCTCTATCGCCTCGCGCCTGCGCTAGCTCCCCACTGCCTTTTGCGTGTTGCCCTGGTCGTTGGCTCAGCTGCTGTCTCGGCTTCGTCTCAGAGAAAGATGCCATGTCAGCCTCTATCCATGCACCTCGAAACTCTTGAACCAGAGCCGCACTGTCAGAGCGCTGCCCATGCGCACCTTGGAGTTGGTTTCCAGCGCCCGTGGGCGAGCAGGGTGAAGCGGGGCTTGGTTGCAGATCATGTCAACATCGTCTTCTCCACCTCAACTGCTGCGCGTCCGTCTTGAGCTGGGAACGGAGCATCTCGATTTCCCAGCCACCTGTGTTTTCCGCTGTGCGCCCGGGTCTCGTGGTCGACCTGCTCTGCTTCATCTCGCTTTCCCACCGCCTCCATGCGCTTCGTACCCATCGCACTGGTTCGGCCGTTTCGCGCAGGTCACACAGCTTAGCAAGCAGCGTGGACAACAGCTTCGGGGGCTTTCCCAGCCCGGTCCACCTCCGGACGCCTGAAAAGCAAGTCCGCTTGCAGATCCCCATCGCGCGCTTCGTGCATGATGGGTCTCACTCCAACATCACGTCCCGCTTGTTCCCGTGAAATTGTTGGGCCTGGCGCCTAACACGCGGTTTGCATCTCACAGTGAAGCTGTCGCAACAGAGACCTCTCGCTCTGCAGCAACTTTCTCTCTTTCGTTGTTTCCGTGACGAGTACTGGCCTTGTCGCAAATAGAGCAACATGTCTAGGAGTGAACTGCCGACATACGAATATAAATTCCCGTCTCAATTCGGGACACGCTCCCCTCGGACTCGCCGAACATCCCGACCTGCCCGTGTCGCCGGTGAGGAGTTCTTGGCCGTTTTACCGGCATCTGCAGCGTAACCGAGCATGTCTTCTGTGTTCCTCGTATTACCGCGTCACATGACGGTCCCTAACATGCACTGTACCCCAACTTTCGGAACGCAAAACGCAGCCGGCTAAACTTATCGCCAGCCCTATATCGCAGCGTATCAGTTTCCATTGCTCATCACAATCATCAAATCAGGTTACATCCCACGGCTTACGTGCATCCCCTCACTTCCCAAGTTCCCGGACGATCCCCCTCCCACACACACACTTGCACGCGATTAGTGCCATAGTGTTTACCTAGGCAGCACATGCCAGCTACAGCATTTGCATGCTTCCACTCTACTGCAGTCCTGTATCACGAGTAGAGACCAGGTTTGAAATGCTTTGCGTATACGGATTACCATTGTGACGTCGCGTTTTGACCGGCTCCGGCGTGGCGGTCTCCTAGTGTTGAGAGCATGCCATTACCCAACCTTGCGCAGCGGGCTATATCGCAACACATCCCGCCTTCCTATTCAGGATGCGACACAGGCACAACCCTCAAGTTGCCTACTCTGCCTCGCCGACCCCAAAGTGGCAACGCACCCATTATCCCAGTCGGTTGAGGAAAGCCAGCATAGATTGCTAATTGCTGAGAAATGAAACGGCCAAATGGATATCCGGTGGTTCCTCACGGTTACCATCTTGAAGTCCAGCGAAGGTATGAAGTGCAAATAGACGTCGCGACTAATTTGGGGAACCACCGCCGGTCCCGCCATGACAAGGAGCAAGAGTCAGTTACCAAACATCTTATCGATAACTATCCATGGGACTCTGTTGGCCAACAACCGGCCAGGCACTGACGATCCCTGTCCACTCGACACCCGCTTACGAAAGACGGACGAAGGCGCCCAGACGCCTTATTTCTGACTTGTAGTGGTGGTGGTCACTTAATCTGCGAGATCATAGAGGCACCCTTGCTCGCCCGTATAGGAGGGCAACATCAGGGCACAGCATGCTGTATATGCTACTGTATCATAATCGGCCTCAATTGTAGTGCCGACTTGATACGACGATGTGTACTCTTCTAACCCACGGCAACCATGGTATGAACCGAGGCACGCAGATTGACAGTGAACCTTGTATCGGCCCTGTAAGAAAAGCTCATGCCGCCTGCTTGATACCTCCAAGGATGAACATATCACATCAATGGCGCACGGCTTTCTTTCGCCTCATGCAGCTTAGTTCAGGAACCGGCATTGCCTTGATCAGGAAATGTGGACTGGAAAAACAACCTGGGGTATCTCGACTGTGCGCCTCACATAGTACACTCATGCAAGCGGGCTACGCTTGCTAGTAGATACTCATTCAAGCGCTTTTGCAGATCGATATGCTTTCCCGTCTCTATTGGCGACCACAAGCGCATTATTTAGCTACCTGTTCATGCACAGACATGGTTCCAAAGAAAGCATAATACATGCATCAACATCGTGGTGTTCACCCTTCGCTTTCGATCTGGTCGCGAAAGAGATATCTTTCGCTTAAGCAAATTGCATCCGTCTGCAAACACGATGGAAGGCTTAAAGTGCGCTGTTCTTCAAGGCGAAGACCGTGCTCACATGGCAGCAGCGTCTCCATGGCTCCCCTCGTTGGGCAATCATGATCCAAACTGGCAATGCTTAATCTAAGGGATCCTGTTCTATGATATACGTGCGATGGCGCTCAATCTTCAAGTTACACTCGCATGAAGGACACAGCAACTCGAGCAAAAGACTAGCTCAGTAAAGAAGAGTGGATATAGTGGCGTCATGGTAGGAGGTGTCCACACGCAGCGACAATGTACCATACCAAGCGTCACAGCACCACGACCGGATTAAAAAGCACCTTCAATTTACCCTACATTTCCACTCCCTCTCCTCACCCTCCATCACATCTCCTCTTCCCCATCCTCATCCCCTCCGGCCGTCCCTCCATCCATAAAACTTATCCATCCCTACAATCGCCGCCGCCAGCACCACGCCCCAGAGCGCATACTCCAGCGCCCACAAAACCCCATTGTTGATACTGCTCGCGCCCGCATCGTCCAGGCACGCGCGATAACCCGGGAAGATCTGCCAGAGAAAGCTGTCGAGGGTTGTGCTGATGAGGAAGGGGCAGGTTGGCTGGGTAGGGACGGGGAGGTCGATGCCGGGTGTGGACATGGTGTTGTGTGTCGGATGGTGTCAGTGATGTAGTCAGGTGGTGGCGCTCGAGATGGGTATTTTCGCGCGTGTCTGCGATGGAGATCTTCTGTGTGTCGTGGTCGGGTGTGCTATTCTGTGTGCGTCCCTCTGTGTTGGTTTGGCGCGGTGTTTGGCGATAAGGCAATCGAACGCGTGAGATTGAGTGAGGGTAGGTATATACGGAGTAGTGAACAGATTTGGGGAAAGGCGAGTTGAGTTGGTGGTGTGAGGGCGCACAGGGGGCGCGATCAAGGCGACTGTGACTGCCGCAGGTGCGACTCGATCATAGCAGGCAAGAGCAAACAAAACGTTCAACAGCTCAGTGACACAGTCACCCAACGGTTACCTCAGATCTGTGCCGCCGCGCCTGCAAGTCGTTGAAAGCAGAACGATGCACAAAGCTTCAGGCATAGCACGATATAGAATACAAAGACGTCACGAAGTAAACGCATCAAAGGATTAGAGTAATCATTCATTACTGGCACTAATCATACAACAATCAGATCCCAAAACGCCGCTGCTAAGCCATCAAGACCTCGGTGTGCGACATAGGAAACAGCTAAAGGGAGCCGGTAGAGCCTGTCTTCCATCTGGCCAGATAGGAAAGAATATCGCGGATACAATATCAAACAGAAAAGCAAATTTTGTGCCGAGGTTCATCCAATCCTATGCATCCAGACACCACCTCCTTCTCCACTCACCCTCGAACCCCCCGATCCTTGGGATCGTGTCGAGGGAGGCGATGGCTGGGCGTGGTATCATATGCAATCGACTAGTCCGGTCCCAATATTAGTAGAAACAATCTAAAGCAAAACGGAAACACTCCTCATCCGCCATCGCTCGCGATGGGCGGGCGAGGCGTTTATTTCTTGCTGCCGAGCAGACCGCCGACAAGCGGCAGGTTGCTGGCACCTCCACCCTTCTTCTTGTCCTTCTTTCCACCACCCAACATCTCGGAGACTGATCCAAGACCCAGACCGCCGAGTAGCTTGTTGATGCCCAAGCCACCGAGCAGACCATTGACTAGACCGCCAAGACCAAGACCATTGAGCAGTTTGCCAACAAGGTTGAGCACACCGGTGAGCAACAAACCAACGGCAGCGATGATCTGGAACAAAGGCTCGGTGAGCAGGGCCCAGAGCGGGTTGAGCTTCTTCTTAGCGTGGGGCATGTCGGAGATCTTCTTCTTCGCGTTGTCGATGGTGGTGACAACGGTCGTTGTGAGCTCCTTGAGGAGATCGGCAAGACGGTACTCCTCGGGCGTGGCATCACGGGTCTCAGAGCGACCCTTAGCCTGGGCGGCGATACGGCCATCGGGGTCGAGACCGCGCAGCGCACCGTTGCACTCTTCGAGGATACGGGAACCCTCCATGATGAGAGGCTTAACGTTGTTGACAAGCTCCTCTTCATCGAGCTCATCACGCGGTGTGCGATCAGCTTGCTCAATGTACTAGAATAGAAGTCAGTGATCTGCGCACACGGCGACGAGAACGTAACTTACCTCAGTGATCTGCTTCATGACAGGTTGGACACGCTCAAGCGTCTGCTGGCAGATGTTGGCCATCTTGTCAGCGAGCTCAGCATCCTCACGGCGCTGCTTCTCCTCGTCGGTTTCCTCGTGATCCTCTTCTTGAATGTTCTCGATGAGAGTGACCTCGCCGACCTTGTTGCCGTCGTTGTCGATGACATAACCGTTATCATCGATCTCAAGACCGGCGCAGTGACCGAGGTCACCAGCAGTGAGGCGACCGAGGATATCACCATTCTCGTCGCGGACCTCACCCTCCTTGTTGACACGCATGCCAGCCATGGGGTTGATGCGGCGCTCCTTCTCCTCAGGCTCCCAGCGCTCGGCCTTACCAATGACGTTGCCATTCTTGTCGTTGATATCGCCATCTTCATCGACCTTGTGACCGACGAGCTTCTTGATGTCGCCCTCAATCACGCGACCGATGATATCGCCGCTGGGAGTCTGAACGGTTCCATCCTTAGCAATGGAGTTGTCATCAAAGCCAGCGAATGGTCCCTCAGGTGTAGATGAGACACCCTGGACGAGCTCGGCACGGCCGATGACGTTTCCAGCGTTGTCCCAGATTTGGCCCTGACCGTCGACCTTCTTGCCAATCATTGTTGATGGGTCGCCTTCAGCAACGCGGCCAAGGATGACGCCGGCAGAGTCGACGACATTGCCGGCCTTGTTGACAGTGCAGCCGGCAAGAGCGCTTAGGTCGACTTCGGCCTCCTCTTCTTCTTCCCAGGGCTCAGCGTGGCCCTTGACGTTGCCATACTTGTCAATGATGTCACCGTCCTCATCGACCTGGTTGCCGACGAGCTTCTTGGGGTCGCCCTCGGTGATTTGTCCGACGCGGTTGCCATCAGCATCCTCGACGAAGCCGTCCTTGACGACACGGAGGCCTTCCAATCCGGCGAAGGGACCCTCCTTGCGTTGGACACGCTCATTTTCGGGGATCAACTCACAGCGACCGACAACCTTGCCAGTGTCGTTGTGGATTTGACCCTCGCCGTCAGACTTGCGGCCAACGAGGTCCTCAAGCTTACCCTCAACGAGACGACCGATCGGTGTTCCATTCTGGTCAACGAGGTAGCCTTGCTTGTTGAGGCTAAGACCATCGAGGACGGAAAGATCGTCGGGGATCTCTTCCTCCTCCTCAATAGGCTCGGCATGGCCCTTAACATTGCCGTATTTGTCAAGGATGTCACCATCCTCATCAACAGCCAGACCCACAAGGCGCTTGGGGTTGCCCTCGACAACTTGACCGACGATGTTCTCGTCCTCGTCAGCAATGTTGCCATCCTGAACAACGCGGAGGCCTTGAAGACCGGCGAAGGGGCCTTCGGGCTTAGCCTCGCGCTCCTCTGGAGGAATCAGTTCGACGCGGCCAACGACCTTGCCGGAATCGTTCCAGATCTGGCCTTGGTCATCGAGCTTGCGACCGGCAATCTCCTTAGGGTTGCCTTCTACAAGACGAGCAACTGGCACACCTTCGTTACCGATGACGTTGCCCTGTTTGTTGACAGTCAAACCTTCCAGATCAGAAAGGTCGATGGCTTCGGGCTCCTCTTCGGGCTCCTCTTCGGGCTCTTCATAACGCTCAGCATGTCCGACAACTGAGCCCTTCTTATCGATGATATCTCCATCCTCATCGACGGCACGACCGACAAGCTTCTTAGCGTCACCTTCGACGACTTGGCCGACGCGGTTGCCGTTCTCGTCTTCGACATATCCGCCCTTGACGACAATAAGACCCTCAAGGCCGGCGAAAGGAGACTCGTCTTCGGCCTCTTCCTGGGGCACGGTCTGGGCACGACCGATGACGTTGCCCTTGTTGTCCCAGAATTGGCCTTCAGCATCGGAAGTGATGCCAGCCTTTGAAAGCTTCTTGGCGTCACCCTCAATGAGTTCACCGATAATGTTGCCTTCGGAGTCGATGATTTTGCCAGACTTGTTGACAGTAAGTCCGTCGAGGATTGAAAGGGGAGGTCGGCCATCATCCTCAGCCTCCTCCTGAGCATCCTCAGCAGCCTCCTCCGCATCTTCGGCGGCTGCCTCAGCATCCTCGGCAGCGTCTTCGGCCTTACCGACCTCTTGCTCAACAAGCTTGGGCATAGTCTTGACCTTGCCAATGACATTGCCGTCCTTGTCGAGGACCTCACCCTTGGCGTTGATCTTCTTTCCGGCGCAGTCCTTGATCTCGCCCTCCTCGAGCTCACCAATAACTTCGCCATCTTCATCGAGAACTTGGCCCTTCTTATTGACCTTCAGGCCCTCAAGAGTATCAAGCTCAGGCGTAATCTCGACCTGCTCGGTCTCGGGAGCCTCACGCTGCTGCGGCAGAGCGCGGACCTTGCCAATAACGTTTCCGTCCTTGTCAAGAACCTCGCCCTTTTCGTTGATTTTCTTGCCGGCACACTCCTTGGCATCACCCTCCTCGAGCTCACCGATCGGCTCACCATCCTCATCGAGAACTTGGCCCTTCTTGTTAACCTTCAAGCCCTCGAGCTCGTTGATGTCAGGGATGACCTCGATAATTTCAGGCTCGTTCTCAGCCTCATCACCAAGGCGTTCCTTGAGTGATTTCATGGCTTCGAAGGCGGCCTCGCCAGGAACGACATCGACCTTGCCAATGACGTTGCCATCCTTGTCCAAGACCTCGCCCTTATCGTTGATGGTCTTGCCAGCAGCGTCCTGGACATCACCATCCTTCAGCTCGCCGATTTCCTCGCCCTCAGCGTCAAGGACTTTACCCTTCTTGTTGACCTTCAGGCCTTCCAAGATGCGAACGTCAAGGGCACCGGCGGCGGACTCCTTGAGCTTCTCGGCGGCTCCGTCGGCGAGTTCGACCTTGCCGAGGACATTTCCATCAGCGTCAACAACCTCACCCTGGTCGTTGACAGTAAGACCCTTGACATCGGTAACGGAACCTTCTACAAGGTGACCAACAACATCACCCTTGTCGTCAACAACGTCGCCTTGAGAGTTGATTTCCATGCCCTCAATCGCGTCAACACCAGGAAGCTCATCCTCGACGTCAGCAGCGCCTTCCTCTGCAGTGTCCGCGGCGGCAGTAGCTTGGTCAGCAGCGCCTTCGACAGCGCCCTCAGCGGCGCCCTCGCCCTCGCCCTCGCCCTCGCCCTCCTCATCTTCGCCTTCCTCATCCTGGTCGACCAGGTCGGCGGCGTCGGGGTGGAGCTCGGCACGGGCAATCAGGTTGCCGTCATCGTCGTGGATCTCGCCATTTTCATCAAACTCACGCCCTTGAATCTCAGATGGATCACCCTCGACAACGTGACCAATGAAGTCGCCATCGTCGTTGAGAATCTGGCCAGTCTTGTCTGCGGAGAGTCCCTTGAGGATGCTGAGAGGGGGCATTTTCTTGTCGTCCTTGGCCTGCTTCAATTGGTCTTGAGCGGCTTCAGGGAGAAGCTCGCAGCGGCCGACGAGGTCACCGTCGTCGTCGAGGATCTCGCCGTCATCGCCAATGGCATAGCCAGCGAGATCTTCAGCATCGCCCTCAACAAGGCGGCCAAGAGGCTTGCCGTCCTTGTCGTGGATGAGACCTTCGTCGTCCACTTCCAAGCCCTTAAGGACACTTAGATCGGGGGTCGCCTGGTCGGCAGTATCCTCGACGGAATCCTTCGCCTGGTCAGCAGTATCTTGGGCATCTTCGGCAGCATCGCCAGCGGCATCCTGGGCGTCTTCGCCCGCGTCCTCTGCGGCGCCCTGGGGATCGTCCGTGGCCTTGCCAGCCAGGCCCTGAGCTCGTCCAGCGAGTCCGCGAGCACCGCTCAGCGCACCCTGGCCAGCAGACTTGCTGCTCTCAGCGGCCCTGCTGGCAGTGTCTGTGGCGTCGTCCTCGGTATCCTGGGTATCGGGCTCGACCTCCTCTCCGGCCTTCTGGGTTGCGTCATCCGCGTCATCGCCGGTCTCCTCGGCCTCTTCTTCAACACCCTCGGCGGTGTCTTGGGCCTTCTCCTTTGCATCATCGGCCTTGGACTTGGCGTCACCGGCTGCCTCTTCAGCGTCATCGATTGGCTTCGGCTCGGCCTGCTCAAGGTCGTCTCCGGCTTGTGAGACTTTGCCTTGTGCGTCGTCGGCAGCTTCTTCTGTTTGACCTTCCGCCTGGTCCTTGGTGTCTGCTACATTTTCCGGAGCATCCTCTGCTGTGTTTCGCAGAGTGGATTCTGATTGAGATGGGCGGAGCTCCTGGTCGTCTGCCTTCTTGCCTAACTTGGGGGCACCCTGCTTGGGCCGTCCGAGCTTGGTAGGAGTGCGGGGGGTTTCACTCTTTCCTGCGGCGGGGGAAGGCATTGTATCGTCGTCTTGTTCTTCAAGCGGTTCTCGTGTAGTTCGTAAAGTTCGTTGCGAAGCAGCAGATGCGTTACTGGAAATAGATCGTGAACGTTGGGAACGGGGAGTTCCGGTTGGGGGTGGGGGAAATGAGTAGTACGTGTAGGAACTGGATGGAGTATGGGGCATATATCAATTGACGGGTCACGTCTGGGAGGAGAGAAGCAGCAGGGCATGGGTTGGCACGAATATATGGGAGCAGTGGTGCTGGGGCCGATGATTTGCAACATGACGTATGGGGGGAAGCTCCTGACAGGTGCTGGCGTAGGAGGTACAACAGCAGGGGTAGCTCACGCCGCAAGAGGCGAAGAATGGAGCGGGAGAACCTGTTTTGCCAGCCGTTCGAGCACCGTGTGCGACGGAGCATGCTGTGGGAGCAGAGACATTGCGTCATGCACCAGCCTCGAGCGGGGCGTCAGCTCCAGAGGAGGGGACGCGAGCCAGTTGGTGGGACACGAGCGGGTAGCTGCCTCTCTCGTGCTGTGGCTGGACTGGGATGGCGCGCGCAGAATCGACGATTGCATGCCGCCGCCAGCGCCAAGGCAGCCGTTCGATGCCGGCTGGAATTTGCATCGGGCGTGGTGGGGAGCTTGTCTCTGGGGCTGCAGTGTGGTGGACGCGTACATAGTAGGGTGCTGTGACGCTGCTCCAGCGCCAGAGGGACGCTCTTGCCTTCGCACCACACGGGCAATCGCGCCTTCCCTCGTCCAGAGCTCGATTCGAAGGTCGCGGCTTCCACATTTGTGCCACATTCGTGGCCACTTCGATGGCTCACCTCCGCGGTTGCGCCCTTCTCTCCCGCGCAGTCCAGGCCCGATCGACGGCACGGTGGCGGATGCACTCCGTCGACGCTGCTCATCGCGAGCCGCATCCCTGGAACTGCGTCCTTAGGGCGTCTGCTGTAACGTGAACATTGCCGCGCTGCCACTCGAAAAGCAGGATGTTTCCTGAGCTCCTCTCAAGATGACGTCGAGACGCGGGACGTTACTGGGGTAGCTCCGTTCGGGGATCCCTACTAGCGCCGTGCCCGCACAAAGAAGCGGCGTCGATCACTCACTTCACCACTCGCCATCGTCCGACATCATGGCGAACGCGAGATAGAGCCTCGCCAGCGGCATGCGAATCTTGTCATTGTCCCTGCGCAGCCCGGTCCGCCTGCCCGCTTAAGCGACGCCTCTGTCGTTCTTCCGCCGCGACGCCTGTCATAGCGCGAGCGGAAAGCGGGTCGGTTTCACCATCAATCCTGTTCCTGAGGCCGCAATACGTCGCGGAAATTTCAAGAGGTCACTGGCGCCCCATAGGTACATCACTGCCGTCGATAAACTTTGGCAAAAGTGATGAGCAAGTACTTGGATGCAGGTACCTGTCGCGTCCGCCAGTAAAGGGCCAGTGATGTCAGACGGAAGGTCTAGCCGAGCCCAACGAGATCCGCAACGGCGAAGACGCTGTTCGTGGGTCTGCAACCGTCGGAATCCGGAAGACCCTCTGTATCGGTACGATCGGTTGACTCGTGAGAGCCGAGCCGAGCGCATCACCATGTGGAAAGATTCGCGACGACAGAAAATGTAACATTAATTATGCCGTAGCAATAGATAAAGCCGGTCAGGGCGGTTGCGGGATATCTGCAGAGAAGTGGACCACCAACGCCGAATGCAGGGAATGCAGGTACAAAGCCAACCACCAGTGATGCTGCGCGCGTGGAATCGAATAGCTAGCCCATGCCGCGCAGCCTCAAGGTCATGTACGTCCTCGGACCATCTCAGGTACCGCCAAGCGACGCACGCTTTCCAGAGGGCGGGATCCCGCTCTCCACATCTTGTCCCGACTTGCTCACAGGATCCTTGTGCTTCTTCTCCTTCACATCCTCCCTCGACGAAACGGAAGGGTGACGTATTTTGTGCCAGATTTTGCGTCTCCAGCTCTTTTCTCGCTTCTCCGCCTCATGCTTCTCATTGTGGGCAGCAATGAGTTGTCGCTCCTTCTGCGCGCTCTTACTCTTGTCTTTGGACTCTTCAATCTTCTTTTCGTATTCTTCTGGATGCCTAGATCCCATGTCAGCACTCATCAAGGTCAACGGCTGCAGGATCGCTTACATTACTTTGATTTCGGAGTTGTGCGCGTGTTCGATACCATGCTTGACTTTCCTGCGTGTCTTCACGTACATCTCAAGACCTACCAAGACTGCGTAAGATCGTGATATGGAGACACGTGACATGTCCACCCCATTGTCCTTGAGCGAATGTACGAAGGCGCGGAAGTTCTTCGTAGGAGGCCGATAATGACCTGACAGGGGAGACAGTCGACGCAGTTGCCCATCTTTGATCTTGATTAGACCTGCGGCCGAGATCCGAGCACCATGGAGAAAGGAGCTATGCTGGAAGGCACCCGACTGCTTGATACCAACATAAAGACGGAACTGGGTGTCGGCCACAAAGATCCACGAGTTTGGCTTTACGGAACCTCTCAACAAGTGGTTTAGCACGGTCGCAGCCGACACGTATTTGATCTTAGCCAACCCCTTAGACTGCTTCAGGTCGTGGTTCACGTAATGCTCCCCTTCCACATCGCTGTGTTCTGCAGAAGATTCGGAGCTGGATGAGTCTGTGGAGCTTCTGCGAATAGGACCACTCTCAAGCTTCCCACCTGGAGCATAAGCAGGCGTGCTGTCGTCCTTGGACACGATGCCGTTGATACTATCCTTGTAGTCCATGGTTGTACTGATTCTCTCGCCATTCTTCGCCCAGCACAGCCGCCCCTCGTTATCAACCTTGACCAGGTACTGCAAACGCTCTTCCCTGGATAGATAACGTACTTGCTCCTTTTCGAGACGCTCTCGTGATACTGTCGGAAGTTCGAAGTCCTTGCCGTTGCCATAGTCGAGCCAGTAGAAGAAGTTCTCGTTTGTCTCAGACTTCTTCCACTGCTCGTGGTATGCTCTCAGGTTGGACCCATAGCGATGTTTCTGATCAACCATCTCAAGGAAGTACTGCAGGTCCATCATCTTCGCCGTCTTCTCCCGCTCAGCCTTTTGCTGTGCTTTTGTGCGCTGGTCATCGTCGTCTTCGATCTCGTCGACTGGGTCGTCCCCGCCCGCTCGTCTTGCGATTTCGCCTACGCGTTTCCAGTTCTGGCGAGCAGCATCGGATGCTGCTCTTGAACGTTGTTCGGGGGTAGTTAACGTGTCGCGTGTTGGTCGTTCAGAACGGGGAATCGGTTTCGTTGCGTTTCTCCATTTCGCTAGTAACGTTCGTTAGCTCCAGGGTTCGATATGGGGACGATGGTGGAAACGAACCCTCTTTCAAGGCCTGCCCAAGTCAGTCTACGCCGCATGTACGAAGCGCAAGCATACTTCAGACCAACGTGAACTGGCGTCCAGCCCCATTCCCTCCAGTTGTCGCCGCTCCCGGTATCCGCGGTAGTTCTTCTGAATGAGCGCCGCAGCGTGCCGTTGCTCCTTGCTGCTGTCGCCATTTTCCACCGGCGACTGCGCTTCGCGTGAGCTTTGCTGCTCACCAGCTTCGAGATTCGACATGTGAAGGGAAGCGGTATTGCATCCCTCTGCAGCTCCAGCGGGCGCCTTTAATATGGCCTGCGGCATGCAACGGCGGGGCTTAAGCTGCAAGACCCCTGCAGCGAGCCGTAGCACACGGAACGACGGCACCAGCCACATCACTCCTCAACACCATGGCGAGCCACACGTCACGTTCACGATCGCATCGAAAAATGTCGGGTGCCCATCGACAAGTCGTATTGTAGCACAGATGGTGGCTCCAAGTCACGTATGACGGCGCAATACCCTCAGCATCCGAGTCCGCTCCACATGCACATATATGATCAGGCAGCTGGCGCGATTTTCAACAGGCAGGTGCCGCCAGCACTGCTTGCCATCCGGACACGCATTTCTCTACAAAGTGACTGGCAGGTGCCTGTTCTTTCTTCTGCCCTCGATGATTCGAAATTGCAGCCCCACTTCGCTGCCTGGACTGTACGCCACGCTGCCTCCTCATTCGCCAATTGCACATTGTCGCCTAGCGAATCTTGAGATATAAACCACGATGCCATACTTCCATAGGTTCATCCCAACTCATTGTCCTTCTTCTGCTCGCTTGACTCCGTAGCAGTGCCGTCTCTTCACTTCTGCTGGCGCAGGCGGACTTAGAACGTCATCTTCGATCCTGACTACACACTGCATCCGCAAACGACAGCACATCCAAGCCTAACGCTAGAGGCATCATGGCTACCGTCGAGACCACAAACCCCAATGACGTTCTTTTGCTCGGCTTGACCAGTCCGCTTAACGGCATCTCCGACCATCCTTGGTCGAGCTGGAATGTCAAGGATAAGGATCGCCCACGCTTTGCGAATGCAATATCGGACTGGTCAGGCACTCCTCTGATGCTGCGTGAGCGCAACATGATGAAGGTCATGGATCGGCTTACCGATAAGCCTGAGTGGACTCGAAAACTTTTCGACGAAGAGATCGTGGCAAAGTGGAAGAAGGAGGCGATCGACATCTTCAAAAATGAGCCTCCCGAGAAGCAATTCAGCGAGAAAATGTGGGACTACGTGAGTGACCTGCTCAACCTCTCGAAGCTCAGCTCACCATTCAGTGCCTTGCAGAAATGCGGGAGTATGCGAAAATGGAGAAAGAGCTCGGTTTCATTCCAGCGCTAGATGCCACTGCCACTGTATTCAAGTCCGACAATATCATCCCTGCCCAGCTCAAGGAAGATATCCGAGCGGCAGTGTTCCCTCTCGAAAATGTACCAGAGAGCGCCAAGGACTGGCACCCTAACTCTGATAGAAAGGTTCTTGATCTGGTGCATCCCTCCCTGTTCCCACTAATTTATGGCCTCTCCAGGGTACTTAAGCCCCAATACGGAGACGTACTTGGCGACAGTGCTGGCCAATGGGAAGGCAAGGGCGGGACCATGTCGCTAGACGATTGCGAGCAATGGATTGGAAAAGGTGGCATTATGCCAGTACCTGAGAAGGCTGCAACGGAGGTGACATCCTGGGCTGGATTATCCTACTGGGGATCATTGCAAAATCAGCACTTCTACTCCGCCAAGTTCCAGTGGCTGCCATGCGAGGTTGCATTCACAGACGAAAATGGTATCAAGATCACTAGCTACATCAATAATCTGCAGCCTAAGAAGCATAAACAACTATACGAGGTATTGGAGCGAGTGATCGCTAAGACGATTCCCATGTGGAATGCGACGCTGGATTCGACGGAGACCACCCAAGAAGATCCGCGTATAGACCTCAACGATGTACCCTGGATCGAGCCAGAGGGAGAGCGCCCACGAGGCGAGGACGAGGACTCCGACGACGATGACCCCTGGGAACTCGATAACGCATGGAGAGAAGAAAACCGCACACTCGTCCCTCCGGAGCCAGGACCCTTTTCCACTCGTAGAAGTGATGATGGCATTGTCGGACGAAGTGAACATTCCGTTGACCTTCGCCAGCGTTTCGCAAATCACGGCCTGCAGATTATTATTAAGCTGGCCAGCATCCATCTCACTCCCGAGAAGCCGTCCTACGACGGCGGGGCCTGGCACATAGAAGGGCAGCTCAACGAGCACATATGCGCTTCGGCCCTGTACTACTACGACAGTAATAACATTACTGATTCGTACCTTTCCTTCCGCGAGGCAACAAGTAGTGAGTGGCTCGGGGAAAAACCGTACGAACAAAGTGACCACGAACACTTTGAACGCCTCTACGGTATCACAAATTTCGGCCCAGCAGTTCAAGAACTAGGTTCTGTGCTCACTCGCGAGGGACGTCTTCTCACCTTCCCGAACGTCCTCCAGCATCGCGTTAGCCCCTTCTCTTTGGCGGACAAGACGATGCCTGGCCATCGCAAGATAGTCGCACTGTTTTTGGTCGATCCGTATACCAGAATTCCATCAACAGCCAACGTGCCGCCACAGCAGAAAGAATGGTGGAAGGAGATGGTTCGTGACCTCGATCGGGTGAACAAGCTACCAGCCGAATTGCAGGAATGGGTAACGGATAGCGCAGGTGATTTTCCGCTGACCCTCGAGGAAGCGAACAAGCTAAGGGTGGAATTGATGGATGAGCGAAAGTTGTTTGTCGCAGATCATGATGAACGAATCCGGCAGGAGTCGTTCAGCTTCTGCGAACATTGAGTGCAATGGCGATGCGATATCCCCGCTCCCGACATGTAATAATCGAGTACTTCATAGCTTCTTGATTAGTGCGCTCGTCCATCCTGCGACAAACTTGCGTTAGACACCTTCAAACTGCTTACTTGTTTCATTCCGCTCCCTTTGACTCATTTTGCGAAGACCGGAGAGAAGGGCGCTGGTGCGGATGCTGCCGATTATTTGAGTGGTGTGCTGCCTGTGGGGGCGGCGGAACTCCACCTCGCGAGGTACTAAATTGGCAATGCACACCTTACGCGTGTACTATCTCCCCTTTCCCATGTCGAACATATCACTTGTTATATGATGGGTGGTTTGTGAGAAAACTATTGGCAAGGATTTACAAACACGCCTAAGCGAGCAAATGCGAGGTCTTGCTTCGCGAAGTATTTCCGGCATTAACCTTCTTAGACAGACTTACTAGGGAGCCACGATCCAGTAGACTATCTGGCCTAGCTCATGCTCTCCGCTATTATCTGTGGCTGACACACGGCGCGTGGAGCTCCGCCGACCTTTCTCCATGTAAGGCGTTAGTGTGCATCTGGGAGGACATCATTGTTGAAGCTGCTGAAGGGCGCTTGATGGGACAAAACAGTCGCACATATACTCCAGCAGATTGATAGATAAGCAAGCTTTGAGCCGACATGCACATCATGATACTCGAACAAATCCAATCTCATTTCGTCAATCATTACCCGCCAACCAGCCACCATGTCCGCCACAACCATGTCTGTACAGCTGCATAGCCCTCTCAAGACACCGAGCGGAGTTGTCTTTCCAAATCGCCTTGTCAAGGTACGTACTAGCATTCCAAAAACTGTCAAGAATAACCTCCTAATTCCCAACCACAGGCGGCAATGGCAGAGTCTTTAGCAGACAAAGACAATGACCCAAGCGACAAATACATAACTTTGTACGACACCTGGAGCAGTGGAGGCTGGGGAGCTGTAATCACAGGTATACCTTTTCTGTTCCCTCTCTCTCGATACATCATTCTTACACCTTTCACAGGCGAGATGGAGGTCTCAACAATCTACATGGGCCACCCCAACAACATCAATTGTAAGCCCGCGCCCTCGCCCGCCACCAGAGACAAGTGGGAACGCTGGGCCCTCGCCGCCCGTCAGAACGATACACCAGCCCTCGTCCAGCTCGTGCACCCTGGCCGTCAGTCGCCAGCTGGCTGCGGGAATCGTTCTTTCTTTGCAAAAGCTGTTGCGCCTTCTGCGGTTCCTGTTATCCTGGGCAATAGCATGACCGACTATGTGCTGAGCAAATTGCTGTTTGGCACGCCTCGTGCCATGACCGTAAAAGAAATACACGAAGCAGTCCAGCAGTTTACCGCAGCCGCAAAGCTATGCCACGAATCCGGGTTCACAGGAGTACAGATACATGCCGCCCATGGCTTTCTTCTAACGCAATTCCTCTCACCCAAGACCAATACCCGAACGGATTCCTATGGTGGCACGCCCTCCAACCGCGCGCGCATAGTGATAGAAGTCATCCACGCCATCCGCGCCGTGGTCCCACCTACTTTCTGCATCGGTATCAAGCTCAACAGCGCGGACATAGGTGGGCACGAAAGCCTTGACGAGTCACTAGAACAGGTCGGCCTGATTGTCGCGGAAGGCATCGATTTCCTTGAGATCAGCGGCGGGACGATCGAGAATCTGCGTATGTCAGCTGGTGATGCTCCTTCGGTGAAGTCAGCACGTACTATCCACCGTGAAGCGTTCTTCCTCGACTACGCGCGCTCCGTGCGCTCGCATTATCCTAACGTCCTGCTCATGGTGACGGGTGGGTTCCGCAGCAGAAAGGGTATGCAGGCGGCGCTCGACTCAGGGGCTTGTGATCTTGTCGGGCTGGGGAGGCCGAGTGCCATATGGCCGAGGTTGGCGAAAGAGGTGCTGTTGAACGAGGATATGAAGGATGAGGATGCAAGGTGTGACTTGAGGTTTGTGAGGGGCAACTGGTTTGTGAGAAATCTGGGACCCAAGATTGTGGGTGCCGGCGTCGATGTGCTGTATTACGCGGGACAGATTGCGAGGATGGCGGAAGGGAAAGGAACGAGTCCGCCGCCGGTGGGGGCTTAGAATGTGTCAATAGGTTGATCATGCTTGAACAGCACAGGGACAATATCCAAGTAGAGAGATGGTGAAGTAGCGACAGTAGGCAAAAGAATGGCGGATCCCCCTGTCTGTACTCGCACTGATCGATATCATGGCGTACAGCGAACCATCAGTTGCAACTCCGGTTTTGGTTAGGACATGGTACATGTCCTGCAGCTTTTGCGGGGAGTGGCGGGAGAGGCGTGAGTGCGGTAGTAGTATTGGCGTTGTTCTCGCTATCGGGGTTTGAGTTGGTTTCTGAGATGTGTTCGTGGTGCACGCTATCGTCATCAGAGGCGTGGGTTGCTTTCAACTTTTTCCAATGCCTGTCCTGCTGTTTCGGTCGTAGGTCGTAATATTCGCGTTTCATCGCCGCGGATGAGCGACCAAGGAAGTGGTGACGAAAGGCCTCGAACCGGTTTTCCTCAATGGTTTCGTCGTCTCCCTCTCTCAGTCGGATGAGCAGCTCCTCTTCCTCTTTTGCCCATCGCGTGTGGATGCGAGCAGCCGGTTTCGGTGGTTGACTGGTAGGGGTGTCTTGGGCCCCCAGGTGCTGCTTTTGCGGTTTCACTGGTGGAAGCAAGTCGTGTGCACGAGCGGTCCCTTCGCTAGGTATGATGGGTACGTCGATGGCAGTATTGACGATGCTGCGGTGTTTGGGTAGAGGCCTATATGGTATATGCTCGTTGAGTAGCACGGATGATGCTACCAGCTTGGCCGTGAACGCTTGAAACGAACTCTTTAGGTAGGTGGCTTCGTTTGCTTTGCTGCTTTTGTCGGCCTGATCCATTAACCTGTCGACGTATCTCTCTATCGTCCTGATGGCGATCTCCGCAGTTTCCGTGCTCACTGCGTGGTATTAGACTTATCTCAGGTCAGATCCATTGCGCACTTACCTTCATGTTCAACGCGTTGGGTGGCATTCTTCCTCTCGGAAATTTAATAGCGTGGCGCCTCTTTCTGTTCAAGAGCGTGGATGACTCCACCCTACTCCTTCATTCCTACTGTTGCCTAAAGACGATTTGTGCAGGCGGGCAATACAGGAAGATAACGCGGAAGAGCGGCTGAAGCGCGCGCAGAGGTAGGCATTGGTCGTCGTACAAGGCGAAGGAGGTAGACAGGCAATGCAACAAGCTAGCAAGAAAGGGAATAGCTAGAGTGGGCGCAGAGATAGGCGTCGCTGGTCGTAGAAAGCGAAGGATAGAGGTTGCAAGTAGCACGAAGTCATCTCTCGAGGACGTGTAAATCTTGACATCCAGGGCAGGCGCGAGGATGTGGCCCCGCTAGTCTACCGGTTGGTTGGTATCGTCAAGTTGCTCGAGTTTCTTGTCAACGTATTTTCCTAGGGTTTGTATGGCGATTTCGGCACTTTCTGTGCCTACTACATGATATTAGACTTATCTTAGGTTAGATGTGTGCATACTTACCTTAACTCTTGCCGTCTAAAGTGTCAACGGCAACATGGTTGCTTAATTTTGAGGGTTTAGAGGCCTCCATTGTCGCTGTTACCCAAAGAGTGTGGTTTGGGACCTAGAATAAAGGCAGGTGGGCTTGTAGGCAATAGGAGGAGGCGATGAATGGGACTACTTGAGGATGCGTAAGGACAGGCGCCGCTAGTCGCGAAGGGTGAACGAGTTGTGAAAGGCAAAGGAGCTACAGAGAGCGAAGGATGGATAGATTGCAAGTAGCGCACGGCCATCTCTCGAGGGCAGTTGCATCGTGACATTTTGGGAAGGCGCTCCAGTGTCCGATGTGGCCCTGCTAGTCTGCCGTTTGAGGTAGGCGCGATGACACTCCGCTGATGCACCTTCTAACCGCTTCTACTCGTACGATTATACGCTCTTGTGTATGGGAAGGATAGAGTAATGCATTGCGGCTTGTTGCTTGTGTGTAGAGCATACAATGGGAGAGAAATGTGAGGTGATCAGTCTGTCTTGCGCAGCTTCGCTGCTTAAGTGATATCTAAGAACACCTAGGATATAAGATACGTAGCTACAGTAGCGTTGCGTTTCTGCGCCCGTGGCTTGTCCCTCGATCAAGCGATCAGAGAATTGTTATTAAGCTTTTGTGGAATACTGGTTTGAATGCCGCTTAATGGGCTACTGGCTGAACCGTAAAGGCACCAGTTCTTGACGTGGTGAGTCGCGTCGCGCGCAACCGAATAGTGGCACCATACTACATGGATTATACGGTAGGCGATAGCAATTGGCGTGGCCGGCGGCCAGCGGCCCGGACCGGCGGGGATTGAATGCCTGAGTAGAGGAGAACGAGCGCACCTGGTGATATAATAGGAAGGGACGGGCGACGCTAAGATGCGCTAAGTCTGATCGGCTATGGTACGATAACATCACCCGTGGACACTGTAGTACCACGTGACAGTGTATTCACTTGCCGCTTGGTGACGCGACAGCTACTTTGATACTCACCTCATCGTTCACGGGCCTCTAAAGCATGTTTTGTGTAAGTCACGTGTAAGGTATCGCTATATACTCCAGGTTTGGTAAAGACTCCCTGCACATGTGTGTCCAAATAGAGCAAATAGGTAGTGTGCTACAGGAAGTACATCCTCATCATACAATCCAATGTTTTGCGTGGAACCAACGTATGCCATTTTCATATACGACTGAATAGCAAAAGATGCTCTCGAGATATGGGCTGGATTATCGCATCCGAATGTTGGCATTTCTTGACCATGTTGCATTATCTAGTACCATGGGTATGCTGGTGCAGGTCCGCAGAAGCCCGCATACCTTGCCCATCTCGAAGTCGTCCTTGAGCAACTCCGATGCTAGGGCCTTTTTGGAATCTTGGAAAAATTCACTACATCCAATCAATATAACCGCGGATGAACAGTGGCGCGCGCTCCCTTTTTCAGATGTTCCATGTATTCCAACAACGTCTTATCCTCAGTCACGATATCTGTTCTTTCACAGCAATATACCAGCCAAGTATTAACTGACTGTGTCCCGATCTGCGGTAAATGCGTTACCTCGGAGTCAGGACACCTAGTTTTCGAACGCACTCTGCCCACTTTTGGTGGATCTTTGACATATGCTTGAGCTAGCTTGATCAACTGAGGTGGCTTGACTTTGTGCAGACCTATCCCACCGAAGTATTGACCGAGAGCTTCAGGCGATGCTTTTGAAAGTGAATCTGGTGTTGAATATGCTGCCAGACACTCGGAGGCGCGTTGGCAAGCGAGATTTTGTTTGCTGGTGCGCTGTGTAAAGATGAGCGCGATCAAGAAGTGGAACTGCAGCTGCGTTAGACGGATAGTAATGCATGGGCACGAGTTCCTACCTGATTGTCCTTGAATTGTAGAAGGGGGTGTTCTGGAAGGGCATTCGCTTGGCGAGGATTCTGAGAGATTGATCGCGAAATGCTTGGAGAGCTCGTAATGCTGCTGGCGGTTGTCTCCTGGGACGAGCTGATGGCTGAGATATCACTGACCTCGCGCGATAATGCAGGTGTTGATGGTATCGAACTCGGTGAAGGCGATAATCTTGTTTCCGTCAATAAGTCTGTAATGTGTTCAAGCTTCTTCGCCACAATTTTTATGTCAGTCAAGCCCTCGGATGAGTTGTCGCTTGTTACTTGGACCGAGCTCTCGATTCTGTCCATAGATGCATTCGTGGTTTTCGCTTGTATCTCGGTTTGTTGCGCAACTTTGTGGAAGCTATTGTCGTATGTTTCCAGGTTTTGGTTCGTCTTCTCGACTGATCTGAGAACCTTTTGACTCGTGTCGCGGATGTCATATAGCAGGTCGCTATCAGATGTCAGCGATTGATCAAGAGTAACTAAAGGATAGCCTACCTTTGCAGCTGGTTTTTGAAATCTAACATGATGGTCCTTGTCCTATCCAAGCTTGCTCTGAGCCTCTGCGTTTGGCTGATTTTGGCTGCAAACCTGAATCGCTTGCGTTTTCCATCCGCAACATACGCAGTCAGCTCTTTCTTCAGATCTTCGACGCTTTCCTGGGCGTGGCCAATCGCGCGTGCCAGTTCCGCGCTTTCTCGAAGTCGCACGTCGCGCTCATTGCACTGCTGAATCACTTGCGTGATCAAAGCTTCCACCAATTCAAGATCGGTTTTCATTTCGCGGATCTCTTTTGGACAATCCTTCATGTCGGTCGTGAAGTCATACAGAAACTTCAGACCCTGCGCAACAGGGGCTGCTAGGCCTACAAAACTGACGACCGCAGCGGCAGCCTCCATAATGATGGATTTCTTAGGGCACTTCTCTGGAATTTTCTGGGCGATCACGGAGACAGCGATGATGATCGAGGGCACTTCTGGACGATAAGGGAGATAATAACGATGAAAATGAGTCTGACCGGGCTGCTTTTATTCAGTCAGCCTTGCATTGAGAAGAACTCGCTTCCCCTTGCTCACCGGTTTCAACACCCGACCTTACAGCAGCTTCGGTGATGGCTTAGAAACCCGGACCATGGTGATTGTCAACAGACTTACCGAGTCTCTACGACGCTGCAAAGTCGTTTTTTTGGTATTTTTGAGTACAGTTACTAACTAAACTGCGTCTGTCCGAGGGGCAGAAGATTCATCGATAAGCCTGCGTCGCATCGCAAGCTGGCAGTCGAAGATGCCTTGCCTTGCCTTGGCGAGCTGAGAACACGAGGATGATCACAGCCACATTGCATTGTTGGTATCACTTGTGATAGGCACACAAGCAGAATACGCGTCGAGGCTGCAACTAGTCCCGTATCCTGTTGCTAACCGCAGGAGGTAGGCTAGCATTACCTGCCCAGGTGATTGGCAGGCGGCAACTGGCCTACCGGCTGTCGTGGTTGCCGATGACCGACCTCACCCTGTGTAGGTATCATGTTCTTCGCTCAGCCTTCAACAGCTCAGCTTGCCCTTCTGCCACCTGAAGTCCATAGGCACATTTGTTGAGTCTTGACTACCTAGGTATACGAAGTAGTCCGAACCCAACAAAAGCAATAGCCCGGCTGTGTCCCTGTAGCAGCTAGCACACAGTCCCGAAGCCAGCTGGCCCGATGACTTCTGGATTGGTTCAGTCTGCGCAAAACCGTTCAAGTCCATCCCAGATGTATTTTCCGAATGCTTGCTCGAAATAATCAAAGCATATCTCTCGGAATATCTCCTCGTGTTGGAGAGAATCCGTACAACCATGGGCACTGCGCTGGAGCGCGAACCACTGCGAGCGAGGACTCCATGGTTTTGCTAGCCTTGAGGTTTCGACCGATGCCGACTAACTTGTCGCATTCCAATGCGCCCGCAGCTTCTAAAATAGGACTCGTCGACGCCTCTAGCACAGGATCCGTTGGTTCAGTAGAAGAGCCTGTGCTTTCATCAAAGAAGACCAGGTCGATGGTCTTGGATTTCTCACAAACGTGAGCAAGCTTTCTGATACGCTCGCTGGCATGTTCGATGTGCTTCTGGTGGCATTTATAGGCCACCTCAAGTTCGATGTGCCGCAATCGCGGTAGCAGTGGACAGTCCTCGATCGCTCCCAGAGTAAGTTCGGGGCGTAAAAAGCTGTCGTCCTGTGCCTTGCTTCGGATGGTTATTTCGACAGTCGCAAGATCATATAAGATCGGTAGGCAATCATCGTATGTTATCCGACAAGTCTGAAGGATGGCGGTTGATATGGGCCGGATATAACCTGGACTGCTCGTACAAACGTCTTCCCATATCACTAGCGGTCGCTTGCAGCGCACCTCCCCCAACACAAACGTGAATATATGCACTCTGAGCTTGCAAGGTAGTGATAGGAGACTTGTGTTTGCTGCGAGGGACTGCATTAGGTGTTCCACTGAGACACTCGCGGGTTCCATGTTTCTAAATCGGCTGTGTTATGATGTCTGAACAAGACAGAAGTTGAGGACAAGGAAAGCACCGGTTGGTGTTATAGAAAGGAAAGACGGCTTGGCGCGGACACCAGACGAGTCAAAGATCTGCTTCGTACATACCTAGGTACCTATCTCATAAATGTACATCCTGCTAAAGACCTATCAGTAGCCCCCGTATCAAGGTAGTTCGTCGATCATTTCTCCTCAAAAGTTTCGTTCCGTAGGTCACCTAGCCCGTCTGGCTGGGGGCGCTACTGTGTACACCCAGCGCGAAGTGGGGTTCAAGCGAATAAGCCCACTTCGCTACGGGAAAGTTTGAGCGAGCCGGCAGAACCCCATCCTTTGCTCCACAAATTACACTGGTGATATATATATTGTAACGGGACATTCACTTCCATCGAATCAAGCGTCGGGATGGCCGAGTGGTTATGGCGTGTGACTCAAGCGATTGAATAAGAGCTTCCTTACACTTGTAAGGCGCATTCTCATGGGCTTTGCCCGCGGGGGTTCGAATCCCCCTTCCGACAACATCTTTTTGCGGTTCTGGGGACCTTTTTTCTTGATTCACATCGCAAAAAGTAGGCTCCCCCAAGTACCCAACCTTCTGGGAGTGATGCTGCATTGTGGATAAGGCTGCGCCAGCCTATATGACATTAGATGGCCGAACCATTCTTTTGCTTGCCACTTCTCATAGACTAAATCCACCTCTGGCGATACTAAAATTTGCGTGAGCATCACGTGATTCACACGGCTCCAGCCACATTCGATAAAAGACTGTATAAAACAGATGAAGTATTCTACCTCTTATACAAATACAGTCCTTAAGAGTGTATATAGAACTAAATAGAGGTGGTAGAGCTATTCTACTGCCAAAACCCGCCTTTTTTGGACGCATAGACACGAATTTGGTGTGATATTGCCTCCCTAGCCAGAGGATCCACCTAAGCAGAGGTGGGTTTAGTCTATCTCAGTGGAAGTAGTTTGTGCATTAATACCTCGATTGCGGGAAACATTGTCGTGCAGCGGATGGTAGGTTCATGAAAAGGTAACCTTGGGAGATTATGCAGCCCTGCCTTCCAGCACTTCTGGTTTGCACAGCACATACACAGCACTTCGAGTAGAATTACAAGACAGAGCGAAAGGACTAATCGCAGACTAAAGTAGTTTAGAACAACATCTTAATCATCCCAGATCACGGTGCACGGCGGCCGACACCAACATATGACTCAGTTCTCGCGTCAACGTTGAGACACGTCCATAGAGTATCAGGTCGCGGCCCAAAACATGTATAGTAGCGTAAGTTAACCTACGCTACATAATTATAAACGTATAGCTAGCTTCGAACTCAACAGCAGAGGTGGGTTCTGGGACGAGTTGACGCTGAGTGGTTCATTTTTTGTGTCGGCCACTGTGGTGGCTCAACAGACCAAGTACACGACATCAGTCAGTTCGAGCATTTCAAGTTCAGACTTATCATAGCTTCATCCCTGTCTTCTTACAATTCCTAGCGTACATACCCTTTTCCGGTCTCCGAACTCCACTTTCCGCTTCCTTCCCATCTAGTTCGCCCGTCCTCGCGACCACGCCGAACCAAAAGCCCACAACCCGTAAGCAGCCAATAAGCTCAGCCCAATGGGCAGCGGCTTCTGCGTCTTGAGCGCGCGAGGAAAGGAGCTGCCAGCAAGTACAATGGAGGCCAAGAGGCCGAGTTCGACGCCGTACGGTTGGGCGTTGCGAATGCGAAGGGCACCCAGAATGTACTGTAGCTGGTGTCAGCATGTTCTTATGGCTGGAAGTGACGTGGGAAATCTCACAAGAGTGCCGACAGAGACACCTGCGGCGACAGATGGGACAGAGCCAGTACGAACGTAACCAGTGATACCACCTCCAGCAGTAAGAGCGCCGAGGATGAGGCCGATGTTGTCGAGAGCTGCCTGTGTATTGTGTCAGCGTGTCATTGCGCGACGTATGCAGCGCACTCACCATTGTTCGTAAATTCAGCGTGATTGCGTGGATGAGAGAGATCAGTCAAAGGTGCAGAACGGTATGTCAGGTACAAGTTACGTTGCCGTCTAGACGCTTCGATGACCAACAGCTATGCGGGGAGCTCGTTTATTGATTGTATCATCGCTCCCGCGCCTTGACACCTCCGAAATGCCGACGTCTCCGCTTCAGCTCACATCCCTGTCAGGAACAGGTACACGTAATCACGCACGGGCCCCTCAACTCTCCAACTGGCCTCAAGCTCCAGAGCACCACCTTGACTCGAATCAACATTTCCCTCCCGGCCACCCCTCAATCGACGTCAGGATGGCGCCCAAACAAAGAGTTCCCGAGAAAACCTCCACCGCCTCGCCGAGCACGTCGAAATCGGGCAAGAGCGGCTCGCTGGACGCGCAAGAAATCGTGCAGGGTGTATGGAACAAATATGTCGAGAAGACTCCGCAGCGAACCAAGCTTCTGGACAGCTTCATGGTGTTCTTGGTCGTAGTCGGCGTGCTGCAATTCGTATACTGTCTGATCGTGGGCAACTTTGTATGTATAATCCAGCTCCCATCCTCATCGCGGGGTTTCACAACTACTTCTATGGCTATATGATGTGTTGGCGACTCTGTGGCGTATGTGGAACTTTATGTGACGGGCGACGTTGAGCAAGTGCTGACTCAATCTCACAGCCCTTCAACGCCTTCCTCTCCGGCTTCAGCGCAACCGTAGGCCAATTCGTCCTCACTGCCTCCCTCCGCATGCAGACCAACCCCGAGAACAAAGCCGAGTTTGAGAAGATCTCTCACGAACGCGCATTTGCTGATTTCGTGTTCGGCTCGTTAATCCTGCACTTCTTCTGTATCAACTTCATAAACTGATTGGCGAGCGCCTGAGAGTCTTGGTATAAAACTGTGAGCACAGTCACGGATGGAAGGAGAAGGCAGCTTGATTTGTGTTGGGCAAGTATCGGCGTTCAACGGGTGGCAGAAAATTCCATGTGATGTAAGTAGGGTTGGGTATATCGAATTTACGATATGAATATGTCATTCCACCGGTTGCACGTTGACGGTGATGCGTTGACTATGAAGAGTGTGCCGTGTGTGGGATAAGGAGATCTGAGCAACATCAAACTAACAGCGATCGTGATGCTCTAAACATGGGCGTCACGGTGCGATTCAAAGGGCTGTAGCAGCTCATGCCCAACACTGCGGAACGGCTTTCTTCATCAAAACTTCACGGCTACTAATGACGCTTCTAGCTTTGACCACGATTTATACCAGTGGGATGGTCTCACGACCTATCGTTCCTCTGTCCATACTTTGGACCTCTAGCTGCATTACCCCACGTCACATCGGCTACTAGTTCCGTCAATGCTTATCTACCCCTCTGTACTCAACACGCCATAAACGCATGCGCAAGAATATAATGGGATTGCATAACACTATTCCTACTCTTACACCATAACGGCTCCAAGATATCGTCTCCGACCCATCACTTGAATCCATCATGTCCTCTCGAACCATCTCCACCGAAGCAGTCCCTAGCTCAGTTCTCCATGCTTCACTCTCAATCGATCCACCTAACATCGTACGTGCACAGGGTCACTACCTGCACACTTCCACTGGCACCGCCATATATGACGCATCAAACGGTGCAGCAGTATCATGCATTGGCCACAACCACCCCCGCGTGAAGCTCGCCATGCAACAACAACTCGACGCCGTAGAATACTGCTTCGCCCCACACTTCACCACCCCGGCCTATGAAAAGCTCGCCAAGTTCCTCGTCGACTCTACCAACGGGAAGATGCAGAAGGTCTTCGTCACAGGCTCCGGTTCCGAAGCCATCGAAGCAACTATCAAGATGGCACGGCAGTACTATGTTGAAAAAGGGGAACTACAGAGGACGAAGTTTATTGCGAGAGATAGGAGCTATCATGGCAATACGTTTGGTGCGCTTGATGTGTCTGGTCATAAGGCGAGGAGAACTATTTATGAGCCGATGCTCGGAGGAAATACATCGCATATTTCACCCTGCTATCCCTACCGCGATCTCCGCTGGGGAGAGACGACGCCGCAGTATGTCGAGCGCCTCGCACAAGAGTTGGAAGACGAGTTCCAGCGTGTAGGCCCGGAGACGGTATGCGGAGTCGTCTTCGAGACAATGGCGGGATTGACGCTAGGCGCGGTCGCATCTGTTCCAGGCTACCTAAAGAAGATGAAGGAGGTGTGTGAGAGGCACGGTGCGCTGTTCATCCTCGACGAGGTGTTTGCTGGGATGGGGAGGACAGGATCGTTACACGCCTGGGAACAAGAAGATGTAATTCCGGACCTGCAGACCGTAGCGAAGGGACTGGGGGCTGGGTATGTGCCTATCGGAGCGCTGATGGTAGGAAAGAAAGTCGTGGATGTGTTGGATAGGGGGACGAAGGCTTTTGTGCACTTCCAGGTGAGTTCGGGGAGGTGGTGAGGACGGGTGATGGACAGCTGATAAAGACATAGACCTATCATGGACATCCGTTGGCATGTGCGGCGGCATACGAGGTTCAGCAGGTCATTCAAGATCAAGGCTTGGTCGAGAATTGTAAGAGGATGGGAGAATATCTCGGTGAGGCACTAAGAGCGCGGTTGGGCGCTCATCCAAACGTTGGCGATATTCGCGGACGGGGCCTTGCGTGGGCGGTACGTACATGCCACATGCACTTGACGGATTTAGGATTCGACGATACTGACGTATAGCAGATTGAGCTGGTCAAAGACAGGAACACCAAGGAACCATTTCCTGTAAAGCAGAAAGTTGCGCCTACCATCCATGCAGCGGGTCTGCAGAAATTTGAGATTGCCGTGCTCCCTGGTGGCGGCGTAGTCGATGGAGTGAATGGTGATCTGGTTGTTCTAGCTCCGGCGTACGATGTCAACCGCGAGGAAGTGGATCTGATTGTTCATCGGGCGGCGAAATCTATCGAGCATGTTCTCGGGCCTACCACCGTTGCTGCCAAGCTTTAAATTCTGGAGAGCCATCGGGACAACTTGTTACACTAGACGCGACTAATCCATTGCAGACTCGGAAACATTCTGAAGAAGCTGACCACCCGCTGAGGTACCTTTTCGTAACGGAAAGGCGGTTAACGGCACCGGATATAGAGGGATTCCGCGAAGGGACCAACGGCTTACGCTTTCATCTCATACGCTTCCAATGCATCCTAATTGACGAATGATTCAGATTATGAAGAGGAGTCCCCAACGCTGAGTTATAAGATCAAAGATGAGATCGCTGCCATAGACGAAGATAGGGAAATTCTCGTGATCGTAGCCTCGTACCCTGTCTCATCGACCAAAGTGAGTTCATTCAGTCACTCGCAACATAAATTTTCTTAAAGGTCCGTCCTGCGACTTCAGGTACATTGCATAAACGCACCAATCGCTAAGATACTACATGGGAAGCTAATGTATCTTCCGTTTCGCGAATTTACGGTGCCCCTCATTGAAGCCTTGGCCGACACCCCCACCTCGGACTTGTTTTAGCTGAGCTTCTGCTCTCCCCGACTACTCGAAATCGGTAACAATTACCTCACGTGCGCAGACGAGATACCAATTTCAGCAAGATTACGCACTTGATTGTCAAATGAGTCTTAAGCGTAAAACATGAGCTCAACGAATCCGTCGGCAGTCTCCGACGATCGACAGGAGAGGTTGACATATGAACCCTTACAAGGAGCCAGGGATATAAGGTTGGTTCGGATCTTACCTAGGGCCAATGTCCCCCATGGCTTCGACCTTGAACTATCAACTACTTCCTTAGACGATCCCATTCCGTACGTTGCGCTGTCATACACGTGGGAAGCCGCAGAGCTGGATCCCGAGACAGGAGCAAGTGCACCTCCATTGGAGTTCGAAGTTGGATGCCACGATGGCTACATCACGGTGACGGAGAACCTATTCGATTTCTTTCAGCGCGCCCGACAAACCGTGGATGCCTCGAAGATATACTACTGGATCGATCAAATCTCCATCAACCAGGCAGACCCCGTGGAGCGGTCGCGCCAAGTCGCGATGATGGGCAGCATCTACAAGGCATCTGGTAGCGTCCACATATGGCTAGGCAAGAACAACCCGTCGCCACAGTTCCTCTGGGTATATAAGTCTTTCATTCCTCTCATCCTTCGGCTTGACTCCGAACTTAGAGAACAAGGGATATCTCTCGACTCAAATAGCTGGGACTGCAGCACCTCTGAACTGATAGAAGGTCTCGGCGCCGAAGTATGCCAGAAGTGGCGAGAAAGTCGTGAAGCGTTCTTCTGGTTCTTTTATACTCGCCGCTGGTTCCTCCGTGCTTGGATTCTGCAGGAGGTTACACTCAAAGACCCGAGCCTAGTTCACGCCTCGTGCGGGGAAGAAGAGTTCGAATGGGAAGTGTTTGACACATTCACCCGATTTGTGGAACGAAGCTCGTGGCATCATTCCCTACCGTTTCTGTATGTTACTTGGGCAGAAAAGTTCCTGGGGCCCATGGTACCACTTTCGAACCTTTTGAAGAGTCGACGCTACATCGACATGCAAGTTCGTGGAGGAACTGAGCTTGAGAATTGGAAAGCCAACTTCGTCTGGGATATCGGCCCTCAGGATGAGCGCCAGATCTGGTATTCTATTTTCCTTCACTTTCTCAGGACCACACGATTCATGTCCGCTACGAATCCAAGAGACCACATCTACTCTCTGCTCGGTATGATGGCAGAATTCCTTCCGCTGGGCATGGAGTGCCCCGTTTCCCCGGACTACGAAGCCCCCGTTGTGAGCGTCTTTAAGGACGTCGCTACGCAAATTTTCATTAATACTCCTTCGTTGTATCTTTTGTCAACGGTATCGTATGGGCTTTGCAACGGCGAAATGTCTAACCCGGGTGAAAGAGTTGGTTGGCCATCCTGGGTTCCTGACTTTTCGAATGAGACTGGATTCGCCCCGAGCCTGTCTACCACCGTATACATGGTTAGCAATGGAGAGAAGCGCTACAATGCATCAAAAATCGATGTGACAGAGTATCAGCCCCCAACCGTTCGCGATGATATTCTCACAGTATATGGCGCTCAAATCGGCACCATTGGGAAGCGCAATGACCGGCGCCGAGTTGTGAGTGGGTCGGAGAACTTGCCCTTCTTGTGTTTCATCCTAGATCTTTGCACCAGAGGAGAGACCAAGTACCCAAACTCAAACCAAACGTGGATCGAAGCGGTATGGGGTACAATCATGGTAGATTGCATACCTGCTAGCTGGGATACTCCACCACCAGTACTTTTCAGGTCGTGGTTACTTCAACACCTCGTACGTGCCATAAAGTTCAAGGGCCGGTACGATGGCGGACCACCCTATCTTGAGAGCGCTATGATAGCAGCGGGCTTGCTTGAACGCATATCTAAAGATCCATACCTCTCCTCGGTTCTACCAACGTGGGAGGAGGTCACACATAAAGCAGCTGGTCACGTTGACCAAGATCATGTAGAGAAACATCCATTTGAGCTGCTCGCTTGCGAATCAATCTTAACTAGTCGGTGGTATCTGACGACCAGTGGGTATCTTGGATCTGGTCCAGTCTCCCTCATCGAGGGTGACGAGGTTTGGTTGCTCAAAGGAGGGAAGATGCCATTAATTCTTCGCAAAGCCACCGATAAGCAGTATCTGCTAGTTGGAGAGAGCTATCTGCATGGGGCGATGTATGGTGAGTTGATGACTGAGGACCTTATTAGCCGAATGGGTCCTGTTGAAATTATGTGACGCATTCGCCGTCGTAGCTCGCACCCCGAAATAGCAAAATCTGTATCAATTGTGATACTCCCGCGCTCAATTCTTCGTTGAAGGTTTCCACTTATTAAGGTCCACGACTAGGTATATTAAACACACTTGCGAAGATGTACGCAGCCTTGGCTATCGCCTTGCGAAAAATGAAGTCCTAAATTCGAGGAATCTAGACCAGTCACTAATCAGGCTTGATTACTCTTTAAACGGAATGGAGCTCATCCATCTAGGAAAGATTTATGCAAGCCTTGAACAAAAAAGGATTTATTTGGCTGTACTATCTTTAAATGACAATGCCATACTCCATGCTGTGTCAGACCGCAAGACACCGACAACCAGGCTTTCCTTGGTATCAGCCATATACATGCGTTCCAATAAGAATTTCCCGAAGACGTGTGAGACTGGTAAGTGGTGTCTGGATCGCAAGGGCTTGAAACGGGGGGATATTAGCAGTATAGTTGAGTTGAACAACAACTCGCTTGGGCCCGGTTTCTCTCACACTGTGTCGCGATACAAACTCCCAAGTCTGATTATTACGTAATTACTATCGACTCCCTCTTTCTGATGGTGCGTCCTTTGGCCTCAATTGTGACCCATACGCGCACCATCAGTATGTGTTTAATCTCAGGAGTAATGACCTGAAAAAAAAAATGTAGACTAAATTTTGTTTACCGGTCGGCATTTCGCGGCTTTGTTCACCGTAGTAGGTGCCTTCAATTGCCCATGTCGCCCCCGGAGAACTTCAATGAAGCTAACAATTTTGATCACAGGGTCCAACGGCGCTAACTCTACATATCCAGTCATCGTTGATTCGAGCCGCCTACGACAGAGGCACGGCCGTTCAAGGCCTTGTATTGCCTCTACATTGTGAGCCGTCGAGGAGCGACCAACAAGGTACTTTCCCGTCGGAAATCAAACTCTTCACAGCAGCTTTTCCATTCCGTAGCAAGAGATACGTCACGGTTGAGAAGATTACTGATAGTACAGCGGTTGTCGTGAATTCCGAATCAAACGGAAAACATCTGCTTGGACCGTCACTATGTAAATTCGGAGGGCGCGGTCGGCGTGTTCGGCGTACCTCGGCGTAGTGGGTCGGCACTGCCGTTTTTGAGACTTGGCCCTGCAAGAAGCGAAGGTGCGGGCCTTTCATTCGCTGGTCCGCTCCTAGCCGAACCGTAATTGCCGTTTGGGGAACAACAAAACTGCAGGTTGTACTGCAAGATTGTCCACTTCTACTGCGCTTTATCTTCGATCTCTGCTGCAAGAGCCAACCTCTGCATAAGGCGTGCATCCTTGTCGGTTGGAACGGGACTAACCATCAACTATTATATAATTGCTCTCTCCTCCCAGACCAACTTTTCCCATCGACCAACAATCTCCCACCACAGGAAGTTGAAAATCTTGATAAAGCGGACCTTGAAATGGCACCTCCATGTGCCATCGACCCCTCACCTGAGGTCACAGCTATCACAGATACCGCTGCTGTTACCCTTCCGGACTTCTTGGCCGCACCCATTCAGTCAAACGAGATAGGCAAGAGGAGGAGAAAAGCAAGAGAGGGTCAATGGGGAATTGCTGCACCGTCGGACACAAGGGACTTCAGGTTCAGAAACTATGAAGGCAAACCGAAGGCCAAGCGATGGGACCGTAAGCAATACACTCTCATGTTCCTACTTGTCTATGCTAACCGTTGAACAGATTACTTTAGCCATGAAGCCAGAGTCCGCAAAGGTAACAGGCTCAAGGGTGCGGCCAAGTTCCTGACAAGCAAGCCCGGAATCATCAGCTTGGGTGGCGGTCTGCCATCCAGCGAGTACTTTCCATTTGAGGAGGTTTCGATCAAAGTACCGGCGAGGGGCAAGTTTTCAGAAGCCGAGACCAAGGAGTCGGGCGTGGTCATTACCGCTGGGAAACACGACCTTGCCAACATGAAATCGACCTACGATATTGCAACAGCTTTCAACTACGGCCAAGGGTCAGGATCAGCACAACTTCTTCGATGGGTAACTGAACACACCGAATTTGTTCACAGCCCACCGTACCAGGACTGGCAATGCACCCTGACCATTGGAAGCACATCTGGCTGGGACATGACTCTCCGCATGATGACCCGACCAGGAGATTGCATCCTCGCCGAAGAATACACTTTCTCCGCTGCTGTCGAAACTGCCCTACCACTAGGCGTCCGCATGGTCGGCGTACCGATTGACTCAGATGGCCTCATTCCTGAAGCGATGGACGACATTCTTACAAATTGGGACGTCAATGAGAGAGGAGCTCGCAAGCCGCACTTGCTCTACACGATTCCGACTGGTCAAAATCCCACAGGAGCAACGATCAGCGGACCCAGACGACGTGAGCTCTACAATGTCTGCCAGAAGCATGATATCTTCATTGTAGAAGACGAGCCCTACTTCTTCCTCCAGATGCAACCATACACCGGCCCCAACGCACCCGACGTACCGCCACCAGTCAACCACAACGAGTTCCTGAAGACGCTCGTTCCTAGCTTCCTCAGCATGGACACAGATGGGCGCGTCCTCCGCATGGATTCTTTCTCCAAAGTAATGGCACCAGGTTCCCGCATCGGTTGGATCACTGCCTCCGAGCAGTTCATCCACAAGTACCAGCAGTATGCCGACGTCTCAACGCAAAACCCCTCCGGAATTTCCCAGCTCGTTCTATTCAAGCTCCTCGATGAGCATTGGGGCCACGACGGCTACCTCGACTGGCTAATCCACATGCGCATGGAGTATACCAAGCGACGCGACGTCATTCTAGGCGCTTGCGAAAAGCACCTGCCACGCTCGATTGTGTCTTGGAATCCACCCATGGCGGGAATGTTTCACTGGATGAAGGTCGATTTCAAGCAGCACCCAGACTACCCGCAGAAGAGCATCGAGACGATTGAAGAGGAGATCTTCATGCGGGTTATCGATCACGGAGCGCTCGTCATGCGAGGGAGCTGGTTCTACGCGAGTGAGGAGGATGCGCATGATACGCTGTTCTTCAGGGCGACGTATGGAGCTGCGAAGGCGGATCAGATCGAAGAGGCAGTAAGGAGGTTTGGTGTGGCGATTAGGGAGGAGTTCGGATTGGACAAGGAGATGGATGAGAAGGTCAACGGGTTGATCACTCCGGAGGGCTAAGCTGTGAGAGACTACATGGTAAAAGGAGGGTCGTTGCTACATTTATGATGATTACGCCCAGTTTGACGAACGCATGGCGGTTTTCGAAGCAAGCGTCTTTCAGCCTGCTGTTGAGCATTTCTCTGGCGTTGGTAGTCACGGTCGGTATTTCATAGCAAGTATACAATACATCGATATGCACACGAATTACAGCTCTCGAGTACGACCAATAGATTCATCTCATCGACTGTCCATATCCTTTCCCAAATCTATTGCAACATGCCTCGGCATCTCCGTACCCACAGCATCTGCAAAAATCGTGCCACGCCGCGTCGCCATCCACTTCGGCTAACCACGGACACGCAAGCACCTCAGCGGCACACATCAGAACAAGCACCTGAGTGACGTGCGCGGCTCAGGAATCCTTGCAAACCCTAACCCTTGAACATTGCCATGCAAATATGTGTCCCGATGACCACCCTATCGGACACCGGCTTAGATCTCGCGGCAACGACGCGACCCTAGCGCCGCGAACAGCCGTCGTCAACAGAGACTAGCCATCGCTTCGCACAACATGCGATCTCCTCGAGATGTCTTCACTTATAAGACTAAATGTACAGGGTGTAGGCACGCTAAACTAACTATGCACTGGTCGATTCTGGCTTAACACCTGATGTAGACCAGAGTCCGCCCTGAGATCGTGGTTGACAGAATGATGAGCAGTTGCACAAAGACGCCTGAATTTTCAACAGACGCCATCTATTCTTCTGCACGACATGCTCTCTGACTACCATTACGCTATTAACTCGCTAGCAAGGTTTCCTCGCAAACAATGGTTGGGCATCTCCAAAGAGAGCCCATCCAATAACACGCAGCCAGGAAGAATGCGATTGATCCAGCATGCAAAAGCCCATATCGCCAAGATGCCACCGAAATAACTCCAAACATGAGTGGTCCAATTGCGCGCTCGGAAAGAGAAGAGAAACGAAACGACGGGTCCCGCCGAAGATTAGTCAAGATGATGGAAAAACACCCAATGCCAATGTCAATGTCGATGCTGGACGGAAAAGCGAAGATCCGTGCTAGTGCAACATGCAAACCAACGCCCAAAAATGCGGTCTCCAACTGCTCACATAACCAAGCAGTCCTTGTCGTCTTTGCCTCCCTTTTTGAGTTTGCTGTTTTTGTCGTTGGCTGGGACATGCGATTGCCCGGAGGCTGCGGCTTGAATGATTGCAAGTCGCTGTTTGGCTCGTTCGTCGCCGTGATCGGCTGCTTTGACGTACCACACGTTTGCTTCGAGGGGGTCGCGGCGGCACCCAATGCCCATTTCCGTGAAGTAGCCGCAGGCGTATTCGGCTTTGGGAAGGCCTAAGGAAGTTAGCCCTGACAGACATCGAAGAGAGAAAGTGCTACTTACCATGCTCTGCCGCTCGTTTGGCCCACTCGTATGCCTCGTTTTCGTCCTTTTCTAGCACTGGTTCAGCGCCCACCATATACCACGCGCATAGGTTCATCATCGCTTCGGGAATGTCGGCTTGCGCAGCGCAGTTGTAGTAGTGCACCGAAAGTGCGGCATCCTTGGGGCAGCGAAGCTGACCATGTTCGTAGCATTCGCCCAACTTCAGCGCAGCTTGTGCATGCCCAAGCTCTGCGGCCTGAGTGAATAGCTGAATTGCATAAACCTCATCCTTGAAAATATCTTCACCATAACCCGTCTCGTGTAACAGGCCCAATTCGTAGGGAGCGTTGTTGTACTGATGGTCGGCTGATTCGGTTGCTCGTTTAAGCCACTTGACACCCTCCCGGTATTTATTCACCAGACCCATGTCGCCCGTGAGGCACGCCTTCCCCAGGCGAGCGGCAGCACCAGGATGGTTTTTGGAAGCTGCACCACGATAGAATTGTGCAGCTTTGGCGTAATCCTTCCGGCACCCCCACCCGAACTCGTAGCAAAGCGCTGTGCGGTACCCCGACTCCGCATGCCCGTGCTTGCTCGCAGCCACGAAAAGAGGGAAGGCGCGGTCATAATCGGGTTTGTCCTTGTTGAATAAACCGGACGCATAGCCATCTGCAAGAAAATATTGCGCAAACGGATAGCTGCGATCTGCAAGTTTCTGGAGGATCTGCCGTGCCTCCCGAAGCAGCTCCGAGGGTAACAACCCCTGGTCATCCACGGAGGGGTCCGCTGCCATGATTTCACGTGCGACCTGAACCATAAACAAGGCAAACTCGTACTGCACTGCGCTATCTTGCGTCTTCTTTACGTTCGCTCTGTACATGTCAAGCGTCTTCTTCGAATCCAGCAGCGATGCATTCGCACCCACAGCACCACGAAGCTGAGCATTTCCTATGTTCGCAGCAGGAGCAATTTGCTGGTTGTACGGAAGATTCAAAAGGTCGACATACGACACAGGTCTGTTATCGGGAGATCTGCGACTGGCGGACAGTTGCCTAGCGTAGTTGGGGGGACCGTTGGAAGTAGGGGACGCCGAACCCCCTCCCACCGACAAGCGTGGTGAACCTCGACTCTGAGCATTGAGCTCAGTGCCAAGTGTGTACGCAGAACTGGGACGCTGGAGTGATGTGAGAGGAACCTGCAGAGGTGAGTTGGCTTCAAAACCGAAGTTGAAGGTGTTCTGTCCCCCGCTATTGTCGCTCTGCGAAGAGTGCCGCGATCCGGCATCTGGAGAGTACACGGCACCACGCGGCATAGACGATTGACGTGGAGGTGGTATCTGGGGCCTAGGCTGCGAATCGTGGGTATACGAAGGATCGGGAGTATACCTGGAGGGGTCGTCTTCCTCTGGTATGTTTGCAACGTCCATTTCTGCCACAGACGAGTATCTTGCATTGTACGAGTTGTCGCTAATGTTCAGTTGGCGAATAGGAATCTCCCGCGTTATAGGTTCGACGCCTCCTGCTGCCATGTCTGGTGTTTCCCTCGAGGGTGTCGGCGCGTGGCTGGTGGAGCTGGGCACCATCGACGAGCCAGACTGCATCGATTCGCGAGCGCTCGCTGTTGTGTCCTCATGTTCATCGATGCTGAAGGAGGGGATGCCAGACGGCGTGGCACCGGGTAGAGGTTTTCGTCTGAGAGACTGTGTGCGACTGTCCGTACTGGAGCGGCTCGATCGCCTTGTTTCGAAGGAGCTGTCGGGTCGGCCGGTCGAGGCTTCGTTCGGAAGTGGCGGCAATGCTCTTGTGGGCGCTGGAGGGATTGCCTCAGCCATGGCCATGATGCGTGAGAAGGGTTTTCGAGGGGTTGCTACGACTGTGGGAAATGTGTTTGCCTCCAGGGCTGCTACCCTGACTCGCAGCACCCAACCGCGGGGTTACAAGATTCGCCGGGGCTGTCGACCTGAACAATAGGCCCGAGCGAGTCAAGATGGATAGTAACTACAGAGCGCGGAGAGTCGCGCAAAACCACCTGGAAGTACACATGAGCGGTGTGTCTTGGGCAAAATTTTTGGGGCAAGGTGCATCGCACAGGTGCAGCCTGGGAGCTCGAGGATGATCTGCATAGGAATGGGAAGGAACTCACCGCGGAACGGAAAGTCGGAGCTACCGGCAGGGTCTGTGGCAGTAGACGAACTCGTACGAACGCCCTAAACCACGCCTTTTTTTCTTTTCTTCTGCAAGCCCAAGTGACTGAAATAGCTCACGACTGGCGCGATGCAGGGCCTCTGGGGCGCTACCGTTTGACCCCACAAAGCTGCGTACGTTCCAATACTCAGCGCAATACCGGCCGCCCGTATCCGGCCCAGTCGAGCTACCTTTGCAACGACAAGCCTTCCAAAAGTCCTCTGTTGTAGTCGAGGAGCGAATTTCGACTCGGTTCCGCCCAGCGCGGTTAGGCGACGTCCAACAATAGGCGGCAACAATCGCTGGATTGTGGTAGGATCATAGACCGGAAGTTCGAATGGGCGAACGGCGCAGCGTTACGTACCGCACTGACTCAAGGCGGCTGAGACCCTGAGAAGTAATGTTGCGGTTGCACGCAGGCTGGCGTTGATATAATGACTGCGGATTCGAGAGCTTGGACAGAGCTTGAGACAGCGTAAGAGGCAAGCGTCGTGCATCTCGCCATCTCTTTGGACTGTCGTCACCGCCAACAGTCCGTGATGGGCGGACATGTGCACAGGAATGAGCCAATCTCATTGGACACATGTGCTCGAAAAAGCCAAATCGCCGCAAGGCATGCAAGCCTCCCCACTTTAGCTTCCAGTTCATGGTGGCAGAAGTGGTCTTCAGCGGGGATACCACCCAGTCTGCTCGTCAATCTGGGACCGCGCGACGAAGTTTAGCCAGTCATGCGGACCGACAGACATGGCGTTTCACTCAAGACAAAGACTGATACAAGTTACGTCTGCCACGCCTGGTACGTATCCACGGGTAGCCGCCAGTCTGACAGGCGCAAACCGGCGCGTTCGTAGAGAAGGGCTGCAACGCAATGCGGACTGCAACCATGGGGTGCACATTGGAAGCGTCGTAGATTTACGTCGACCAGGGTCCGATAGGCTGCATTGGATGGCAGCAGCTGCACGTAAGAGGTAACTGCAGATGCATTTGGCGAGCCTTCAGCTTTCGGCATGGGCCGTCGCTACCAATGGAAGCTGTGTTTGCTACCCATGTGGCAGCTTGCACGCAGTCAGCGGATCCTTGAGCTTCAACTTCAAATGTTGCGTGCGAGAGAATCCACGACCGCCGCAGTAACACGACGTGCACCTCAGCCCGCTCTCATTTGTCCCTGTGTCTGTTGTGCTTTGTGAGAAGATGCGTAGGTACGATTGTCCCCGAAAACAAACAGCGCATATGACGCATCAACAGGCAAAGTGACCGGTTTCTTCTGGTCGCCCGTCGTGTGAATACATCTGGAAATGACGATGTCCAGAGGTGGTTTCACGTCGCTCGATATAGCCGGGGCCAGGCTAGCCGAATGGGCGACGAGCAATAGTGCATCCAGTGTCGCGTTGTGGCACGCCGGAGCACTCACCGTGCACGTGGACGAGGTACCAAAGTCGAGAGTACAATACCGGCGCTCCGATACAGACACCAACCTCCACCTCGCGATTCACATGCGTATTGCACGAGGAAGCCGCAAAAAGGGTGCACTGCCCTCGAGCGCGCGCGAAACAGAGAGGGCTCCCGCTTCAGTGTTGGGGTCTGCCGCCACCGTCACCTAGCCGTTCCTAGAGCAACCTGTAAATAGCGGCCAGTGCTCGCGCATCCTTCAGCGGGGCGGCGTACGATTCGCTGTGCGTGCCGGACTCGATCAGGGGCACTCCTGTCCATCGCCTGGCCGTGGTTCCCACTCCAACCCCAGCCTGGAGGCTTGTTTTGTCCTTCGTTTGACCTGAGTGTCGTTCTTTCCGCATACGCTGTGTGCATTTTGCCGTCGCTCGCTGAACTGCGAAGAGCCGCAGCCGTCTCCCTTCTCATCAGCCGAGGACACACGACCGCCTCGCACCCATCTCGTCCCTCACTCCGCCAGCTCAGCCTTATCCCATTCTTCATAGCAACTGCCAACGCTCGACGTCCTTGGACCTTCTCCTCGGAGCCGCCGCGCCTATCTCGCTGGCCTTGTGCCACGCACGCATTCCGCGGCTGCATACCATGTCTCTGCCACAGCGACCCGACGCCTCCTCGCCGCGGCGGGAGCGGGAGCGGGACCAGCGACATGTCTTTCGAGAGAACACGTCCTCGCGACGCCGCCGCACTTCCGACCTAGAGAACACGCGATCGCACGAGCGCACGCCAAGTAAGACTGGCACCTATTCCATCACCAACCGACCGCTGCCCTCGCCGGGCACGCCCGTCCCAATGGACCGCGACCCTATGATGACTGCTGCACCCCACGGCTCCCGTTCAATCGAGCTGAACCGCAAGCGCAGCCTGGTCCGCCCCGAGCGGCAACGCATCGACGAAAACCACCCCAACTATCACTACCGGAAGCATGCGAAGAAGATGCCCGTCCACCCCTCGACGACAGGCAACGACCCCATCAGAGAAAGCAGAGAAGAGTATCCTGAGTCGGAGACTGTGAGCTCAGAGAGCACCGACGTGAAGCCCCCCCACCTTCGCAATGCATCCGGTGGAGGCTACAACGACAAGGATGCTCCTCTGGAGGAGGAACCGCCCCACCAGCGAAGGCTGAAACGAAGCAAGACGCAGGACAAATTGGAGAGGCAGCGTCAGAAAGAAAGGGACGCCTTGCGGCCGCCGAGCTTGTGGAACGTGTACTGTGCTATCATAACTTTCTGGTGTCCCAATGTGGTTCTCAAGTGCTTCGGAAAGGTGCAGAAGGCCCAGCAGCGCGCCTGGAGAGAAAAGATGGGGCTTTGCAGCATCATCATCCTCATTATGACCGCCGTCGGTTATCTCACTTTCGGTTTTACCGAGACCGTCTGTCCTGCTGGAGGCGGCGAGCGCCTACAAGTCAACAAGGTAGACACGGGCTTTTTAATCATCCACGGCAAGGCTTACAACCTCCTCAACTCGCATCACCCAAGAGCTTTCGGCATCCAAGAGGGGCAAAACGTCTTGTTCGACCTTTCGGAGAAGCACGGAGGACAAGACGCAAGTTTCCTGTTCCAGAACGTCAACGGAGCCTGCAAAGGGCTCATCAACCTGGCACCTGGCTCGGATGTGCCAACCAACGCGAACGGCGATCTGGCGTGGTATTTTCCCTGCAACCCTTTTAACCAGGATGGCTCTACCAAGCCCAATACGACTGTTGGTCGCTACCTTGGTTATCAATGTCACACCTCGTCTGACGCTCGATCGGCTCTTTACAGCTTGCGCACCGCTGGAGATGTGTATTTCACTTGGGACGACATCAAGAACAGTACTCGCAACCTTATGGTTTGGGGCGGCGATGTGCTGGATCTGGACTTGCTCGAATGGTTCAACAAGACCCAAGTCAGCGTGCCTGACAGCTTCGAGAAGATCCGGACCAATCCCGCAGTAAGAGGAGTGGATGTGACGCGCGCGTTCTCCTCCAGCTCTGACAAGCAGCTCGCCAAGTGTCTGACACAGATCGTGAAGGTCGGATCCATTGACACGGAGAGCATTGGCTGCATTGCCTCCAAGGTTGTACTTTATGTCTCGCTAGTGTTCATTCTTGCTATCGTCTTAGCCAAATTCGTACTAGCTCTGGCTTTCCAATGGTTCATCAGCAGACGGTTCGGCGCAACCAAGACTTCCTTAGGGCCTGTCGACTCGAAAGAGCGCAAAAAGCAGATCGAGGAATGGAGCGACGACATCTACCGCCCCCCACCAAGGTTGTTGGACTCCGCCGGTCCTGACAGGAGCAGCAAGCGTGGTAGCATCCTGCCGTCCACCTCTAGGTTCACCAGCCCTTACTCCATGGAAAAAAATGTCAAAACTCGCGCCCCTCCTACGACCATGACTAGCCAGAGTGCCTCGCGTGTCCTCTCAAGCTATGGTGGCAGTGGCATGTACAAACAGGTCAACGCCAGTCAGGGAACACTGCCACTGGATCATAAAGCCCCAGGAAGCCGATCTAGCCTCCTGCTTTCTGGAACGACTGAGCAGTACCGCTCAAGCGTTTACGGTGAGACTGAAGGTCCTGGTCCCGCTGGATTTATTCATGAAGCTGTTGTACCACAACCACCACCTGAGTGGCAGCCATTCGGCTACCCATTGGCTCATTCTATCTGCCTGGTGACTGCGTACTCCGAGGGAGCTGATGGTTTGCGAACCACACTGGACTCCATTGCCACTACAGATTACCCAAATAGCCACAAGTTGATCTTGGTCATCTGCGATGGTATGATCAAAGGTGCTGGGGAAGATCTCACTACGCCAGAGATTACTCTCGCTATGATGAAAGATCATGCGGTGCTGCCACACGAAGTTGTTCCTTTCTCGTACGTCGCCGTCGCAAGCGGTTCGAAGCGCCACAACATGGCAAAGGTCTATTCTGGATTCTACGATTATGGCGAGAACACCCGCATACCCACCGAAAAGCAACAACGCGTCCCAATGATGGTCATAGTCAAGTGCGGAACTCCTGACGAAAAGAAGAATTCTAAGCCTGGCAATCGTGGAAAGCGAGACAGTCAGATCATTCTGATGTCGTTCCTACAGAAGGTCATGTTTGATGAGCGTATGACGGAACTTGAGTTTGAAATGTTCAACGGCATTTGGAAGATCACTGGGATTTCCCCCGACTTCTACGAAATAGTGCTCATGGTCGACGCGGACACTAAGGTTTTCCCTGACTCCCTAACGCATATGATCTCCGCCATGGTCAAGGACCCAGAGATTATGGGTCTCTGTGGAGAGACCAAGATTGCCAACAAGCGAGATTCGTGGGTTTCGATGATCCAAGTTTTCGAATACTTCATCTCCCACCACCTGTCCAAGTCATTCGAATCAGTTTTCGGTGGTGTTACCTGCCTTCCAGGATGTTTCTGCATGTACCGTGTCAAGGCCCCGAAAGGCGGTCAAAACTATTGGGTCCCTATCCTTGCCAATCCTGATGTCGTTGAGCATTATTCCGAGAACGTGGTTGACACGTTGCACAAGAAAAATTTGCTCCTGCTCGGCGAGGATCGGTATCTGTCAACGCTGATGCTCAAGACGTTCCCGAAGCGCAAGCAAGTCTTTGTGCCCCAGGCTGTCTGCAAGACCACGGTACCTGAACAGTTCAAGGTGCTTTTATCGCAGCGAAGGCGATGGATCAATAGTACGGTCCACAATCTGATGGAGTTGGTACTCGTGCGCGATCTGTGCGGTACCTTCTGCTTCAGCATGCAGTTCGTCGTCTTCATTGAGCTTATTGGTACTTTGGTACTGCCTGCCGCCATCGCATTCACTTTCTATCTGAGTAAGCCATCCGTTTCCACCCGATTGCTGCAACCTGCTGACCATGATTAGTCGCGATCTCCATCAAGGCCGCCGTGCTGCATACCGCGGCACCTGTTATCCCGCTGGTACTACTTGCCCTGATTCTGGGTCTGCCTGCCGTCCTCATCGTGGTCACTGCTCATCGGTGGTCGTACGTGGCGTGGATGTTTGTCTACCTGTTGTCGCTGCCCGTTTGGAATTTCATCCTGCCAACATATGCTTTCTGGAAGTTCGATGACTTCAGTTGGGGTGATACGCGCAAGACGGCAGGCGAGAAGACGAAGAAGGCAGGTCTTGAGTATGAGGGCGAATTTGATAGCAGCAAGATCACGATGAAGCGGTGGCACGATTTCGAAGCAGGTAAGCGCTCCACACAACATGCGTTGAAGGTTCCGATTATGCAAGTCCATTCACTGACTTTGTACCCTTGCAGAACGGAGACTTAAGAACCCGACCGGTGGCGGATGGTCGCAGCAATCCACAACATCTGGTGGATGGCCGCCGCCAATGCCCCAAGCACCATCGCAGCATGGGTACGAATCGTACTATGACAACTAGATTTCTTTACAAGGTCATCAAAATCGCAAAATGGCACAACTGGGGATCCGGACTGTGCTACGTGAGCAGCATGTTGTTTTTGCCGCATCGCCAAGGCTGTTGCATTCTCGTGGAGCGTTATGGGTTGGCCTGTCCCTTGTCCTCTTTTCTCGTGAGCTTATTCCTTCTGGGCATGTAAACGTTGAATGCGGTAACGGGACCTGGCATGTATAGTGGCCATGTAGCCTTTAGTCATAGTGGTAATACTCATATTCTTGTCATCACCAGGGCATGTCGTGCGGTAGCTTACTGTTGTGCTTGATCGTGGGCGTCTAGTTGCATGCTCGTACAGGACGGATGGGGTGGAAGTGTCTGAGCCGTTTGTTCGGCGCCTCGCTAAGATGTTGGCCCGTTGTCGATGCGAAGGGAGAGGTGGGACGGCAGCGGTGAGGGCTCGGGTACAGCGTGCTCGCCTGAGAAGCGCATATGGAGTCGCACAGAGGGTCGGCGAAGTGGCCTCTTTGGCCGCTACGCACAGCACGCTCGTGATACCTTGCAGAGCCCGACAGCTGCGCTTTTGTCCAGAAGAGGACGTGACGGTTCGCTTCTTGAGGCTGCGGCGCTGCAGAGAGGTTACACGAGCACAGTCGTGGACCAGTCAGATGGAGGCCTGGGAGGAGGGGGTTGCGCCAGCAAGCAGGTCGCACGTATGGGGCCGGAAACGGCGGAGGGAAGGGTCTTGGTGGGCGTGCCATGTGTTGTGGGGGTGCACTGATGGTGTTGGGGAAGAGAAGGGAGAAGTGCTAGAGAGTGCGATCGGATGGAGGCTCGCAGGACCTGACTATGACTGCTAGGATACACCCGGGCAGTCAATCTATCGATATGCTCGCGATGCATTGGACACGCGTAAGCTCACAGCTCAAGGTGCCAAAATGGTGCTGGGCGTGCTGCCATGTGTCGCTGTGCTTGTGTCGCGCCAGCGAGGGAGGGATGGATCGACTCCCCGCTTTTCGTGCGTGATGCTCGTTGTGCGGTGCAAAGATTTCCCCTTCCATCGTCGCACTAGCCGTCTACGCACGCTGCTCCCGTCCGCATGGCCATGGGGTGAGCGTGCAGTGTGCCTCCGCCCGTTGGGCTCTACACAAACCGACGCGACGCCGAGCAGGGCAGCGCCTGCCCCGCGACTGTCATCTCGAGCGCTTGCAATCACATCTGGAGGCGTCTGGCCATCCTATCCCGTCGCTCTCCTGGCCATCCTATCCCGTCGCTCTCCTGGCCATCCTATCCCGTCGCTCTCCTGGCGGCTCAAAGGTCATCAAGGTACATCCGGCGGTCTTCCTGTGAACGAGGGTTTAGTTTGACGTGTGCTAGCAGCCGCTCTCCCGCATTCGCCACGGGCTCGGTAGCTCCATCTGGACCCATTCACCCCTCGACGCCGCAACACTTCCAGGTACTCGAGGCAAGGAGCCCGCCCGCGCACCCAAACGATAATACTTAGCGACGCTCGACGATACAGGCCGTCAGCCCGATATTGCCGTCGTGATCGTCGCGTCCAATAGTCCCTCAACTTCCGGACGTGCATAAAGGCGCAGCAAGACAGCCGCTGCCCCCACATCTCACGCTGCCAGCCGTTGACTCGTCCAATACCCAACGCAATAAGACGCACCCTCGCATGTCGTAGCCACCGTCAAAACACCACCCAGCGCGCGCAGGACGCTGCCCACGCCGTCCCTCCTGCCTCGCGCCTTCCAGAAGCCGCCGCCGTGCATGAGCGCCTTGCCCCGCGCACACTACTGCGGCGCCCGCGCTCGACATCCAAGACTCGCGCACCCGTACGCCCGCTTCAACGCACTCCATACTTCTCGCCAGGGCAGATCGCTGCAAAGGGCTGTCGCATGGTTGGCCAGATAGCCATGCCCAGCTCGGGGCCATCCGGACAGAGCACTCCCTCCTCAACCCACGATAGCACCGCGAACATCGTTCTGCCTTCGTTCACGGCACTGGCCTCGGCGACTGGGAACGCAGGCCATCCCGCACCGTACACGTCCTACGAGATGTCTGCTGCTGAGGCGCTGGCTGCGCTTCCCAGCAGCAGACCGTCCACAAGCCATACCGAGGACGGCTTCCAGGACGGTGTCGACGAGAGTGACGATGACGGGGGCATCCCGCTGCTGGAGGACTATGACCAGAGTCAAAATTATGGCCTCGATCTGAGTCACATGCCCGCATCGTTCGCCTTACCGACGCTTTCCCCGCCAGACATGGCCTATTTCATGGACGAGCCCCCGGTCCCCTTCATACCTCCGACCGCCATAAGCATTCTGAACAATGTTAATTCCTACCCCTGGGTGGCGGCGCCGGCACTTGATCATCATGTTTCAGCGCTCGAGGCCCTCTCTATGGATCAGGATCACACGCCTCCAGCTACCATGCTCCCGCCAGTACCAGATCCCTTTTCTGTGAACGGTCTCGCGGAGTACAGCGGGACCCTCATGCACCAACATCTCCAGGACTATATGGCTCACGCCTACGAAGACCATTTGAACCTGCAGGACAACACCGCTTTCATGAGCCCGCACCTTTTCTACCTCAAGGAGTCGTCTAAGAAGGACATTATGATGGGTCTAGAAGAGGCGGAAGGCGACCATTTGTCCGTCATCACCCGGGACGACCTGGCAGGGGAAGACCGTGATTATCAGGGTATTATTTGGTCGAAGCGTATGCCGCGACGCGAGTTCCGGCAGAAGAGGAAGCAAGAGGAGAGGGCTAGACTGTCCAAAGCGATGCGGCAATACGGCCCATCGCTCCCATCGATCCCCCCTAGCGAGAACTTCTTCTCGTTCCGGAGGATGGACAAACGACATCGACCGTGGGGTCCGCATTTTCAACTCCGTAATATGATAGCTGCTACTTCACGACAAGACATATACTATGCAGAACGTCTGAAGGGTATATTCAGGACAGACGTATCAGGATCCGACGCCCAACCCATCATTGATACAACCAAGCATACTGTGAACGGCAACACGCCCATGATTACCACCATGGCAGCCATGGACGATGTCTTGATTGCTGGCGGATTCGAAGGCGAGTACGCCGTGGTCGATCTTGCCTCCAACAATGGACCTCATACCTCGATGGACGTCATCCGTGATTGGGCTCCGGAGGCGAAGTCTTATATCACGAACCACGTTCACCTTTTCAACGATCGCACCTCCTACACGCCACAAGCCGTCTTGAGTTCAAATGACTATAGTCTACGGGTACTAGACTGCGCGACCAACACCTTCAAGTACAAGTTCCCCTTCAAAGCGGCAGTGAACTGCTCCGCCACAAGCGCCGACGGACGATTACGAGTGGTCGCGGGCGACTTTCCCGAAACACTGATCACCAATGCAGAGACTGGCGAGATCCTCCAGACACTGCGTGCGCATGAAGGGGACGCCTTCGCCTGCGCGTGGGCAGACGATGGCATCCATGTGGCATCCGCCGCGCAAGATGGGACCATTGCTGTATGGGACGCACGCTCCTGGAAGCCCCTCACTGTGCAATCCTCGGAACTCTCCATTCCCCGCGTCCTTAAGTTCTCGCCCGTAGGGTCTGGGCCACGCGTTCTTGTTTCTGCAGAAGCAGACGATTATGTATCCATCATCAATGCTACAACCTTTGACAGCAAACAAGTATTCGACTTCTTCGGGCAAACGGGCGGCGTCGATTTCACGCCAGATGGACAGAGCCTGTTCGTCGCGAACAGCGAATTTGGGCTCGGTGGTATCATCGAGCTCGAACGAGCGGGCGGGTGGGATGCCACGAGGATCAATGCAGGCGTCGAAAATACGTGGCAGGAAGACGCACTCGTAGATTGGGGCTACGAAAGCGACCTCGACGGCCACCACCGCGTGGCCTGCGGTGCTGAGGAAAGAAACCGACGGGGTCTCGACCTTGGCTGTGTAGATGTTTGAACGCGGATTGTAGATGCGAACGTTATGAGGTATAGTTATGGAGGCTACTCACATGTATTTGGTATCTTTCTCTTCTCTTCCCTTCCCCTCTCCTCGAGACTTAATATCTTGCGATTACGACTGTAATGATATAGATGAGTTCTGTCGGGTTTATATTATTTGCATCGGCATATAGCATTAGCGTGGGCTGCATGGGAACGAGCAGCAGTGGACTGGGTATGTGTATAGTTAGGGGTGTTGTGTGCTGCAATGGATGGGATATATCATAAGACGGAACTTACCCTCGCGGGTACTTGGGATTGGAAATGGACTTGGGCTCGGACTGTATTTAGCGGTGGAGTGGCACAATTATCATATTGCATTTTACCACTGTGCGTGTGCTTCTTGAGCGTGCGAGTTGGCGCGTTGGTTGTAACGTAAGGATGGAGCGTGATGAGGGACGCCTGCGTGGATGTCCAACATTCCATGGATGCAAAGGCGCTGGACATAGGCGACAGCAGAGCGTTCATCCAATGCCCATCTGCTCTCACTTCGCGCTTGTTCGGATATAGCATGTATCTCTTTGTGGAAAAGCAATGGAATGTAATTCTATATGGATATCATGAAAAGCCTTTCGGCGGCATATTAGCTTGCACAGGCGTACTAGCCGCGCTCACACTGGCCTGACTCGACCCGCTACTCCGCACTCTCTGTCCCTTCTGACTAAGATCGTCCATGGGTACCAGCTGCTCCTCGTCATCGCCATGCCGGACCTCGAAAGTCGTTGTGTACGTGATAGCATTCGCGGCATTCTTCCCCGCGAACTCGTCGTCGTGGCCCATGCGCGTCCCGCTCGCACTGGCGTTGTGTCCGCTCCTGAGAACTCCGGAGCGGTTCGTGCCATACTTTGCGTAGTATTGATTCGAAGCGTATTGCGTGGAACCGAGGGCGCGGGGGAAGATGCGTACGAGGATGAGACGTAGGGCGGGCATGCAGGCGCAAATTATGCCGACGTTTATTTCGATGGTGGACCAATTTGAGGCGTCGGCTTGGTCCCAGGTGGGGTTTGTGGAGTTGGCGAAGGTGATGAGGGTTTGGAGACGGATTATGGAGATGACGGTGACACTGAAAATGGATGTTAGCACTGTTATTGCGCGAGACGGAATTTCGTGAACATCTCGATCCGATGAGACCCTGTGCGAGATATGGAGGGAAGATATGGAGGCGAGATATTGAGATGCGAGCCACTTACAATGTGCCGACGAAGAACATCATTGCCACGCTGACTTTCTTCTTCCATGCCAATTTCAGTTGGCACACTTGCCATAACGGCAAAACGAGCATCCAGATGTCGAGAGCAATACTAATGACAGCGTTCGCCCAACCGAGAGCGTTCACGTTGACGCACTTTCCGTTCAGGTGTTCGCCGTCCCACTTCTCCCAATAATGGCTGATCGGCTGACATTGGAAGATGGCGGCCAGTATAAAGGCAATTCCAAAGCAGATGTTGAATGCAATTGTCCCCCAAAGCAGTCGCCGGATCGATTTCGCTGGGAAAATCCGCAGGAAGAAGAACAGCAGTGACAGCTTCAACATGGCCACGTTGAAGAAGTACAACACTTCGATGATATAGAACCATTTTACGAAAACCGTGATCGTCCCAAAGGATAAAGTCCAGACGTCTCTTCCGAGCCCATGCTTGATGGTTCCGATATCCTGCACAATGGTCGATGGGACACCGAAAACGAGAGTGGCGAGAATCATGTAGTCGTCCCATCCCAGTTCACCCGCCGAGAAGGTAGCTTTGAAGAGGATACGTGCGAGAACACAAGCTGCAGATATCGTCCCCAGAATGATGTTGGTCAGCTTCAACGTCATGTTCCTGCTGCGAACAGGAGCGTGGCATGTTGTCGTGGTGATGTTCTTGGTCGTGAGCGCCTCCCTCAATGTGCATGACTGGAGCACACATCCCTCCACTTTGGCATTCAGTTCCGCGTTCGTACAGACACAAGTCGTATTAGTCAATTCACAAGGGGACGCTGCGATGGCCTGTGTAAGACATGGCAGCTGGAGAAGAGTCAGTATGAATCTTAGGAGCCACAGTCAATTGATTAACGTACCGCGCAAGAAGGTAGCTGGGAAATCACAGCAGTCAAGCCGGATTCCTGCGATTGCTGTGCGAATCCTAGAGGAGCAAGTGCTAGAAGCAGGAACGATATGCAGGGTGTGAACCTCATTGTATCATTGAGCTACCGCACTGCGGAGCGAATGTCTCAAAGAGACAGCGAAAGACGGGATGTGTAAAACTCGAGAATCTGGGAGATGGTAGGATATCACAGGCTGAAATGCCAGCAGTCCATTCCTCTGGTACGTACTAGCGACCCGTCGCAATGCATAAGATTAATACGAGTCGTCAACCGCCACCACACCAGGCTGGACGATTCGCTACATGATGCCTTCACGTGAAACTTAGTGCTGATTGACTGCCAGGGACGGCAAGGGCCTGGGACAGACGAAGCTCGAACGCGCTCGACTCCACACAAGGCGAGTCCAGCAAGTGGGTCGACGATGGACGGTGCACTTCGATTCGAGCGTGCGTGTTTCCGCCATCCGGACCGATCGCTTACGGCATGGGTATGCTTGATGGTGGGAGAACAGCGTTCCAGTGTTGAGATTATCCTCATCATAGGATAGGCGAACCGAAAGATCGCGGGTGAGTGAACGCGCCAGTCAATATCGCTTGATCGTTTCAGTTAGTGGGGCCGCAAATGGCGCGCGCCTTTCGAAGAAGTGCCTTCTACGACAGGAATGCTGCTCCGTTCGCACATGCGCCAGGCAATCCAGCCGCGGTAAAGTGTCGCGCGTGTATTTAGGAGTTCGCCGATGGACGTAACGTCGTCAGGTACCATAGGTACTGGGAAGTATCAACTGTGCCACAGGAGAGCAGATTTTCCCATTCTTCCCCACTGGCATACATAAACTTTGTGCGTGTGCAGCAGAAGTTGCAGACCGGTTATTTGCGTGCAGCCATCACGAAGGCATTGAACACCCCACATGGGGTGTTCAGATAGAGTTTGCAGAGACGGAAGCCTTGTGGAAAGCAGGGGCAGCGCACGGGCCCCTGCTTAGGCCCATTGTCGGCAGTGGATCTTCCAGAAGGCAGGCACGATCGCTTGGCGCTTCGCTCTCCCACTGTTCCACGCAGATCCTCTTCGCTACACATGCCTTGCACACAGACCTGCCTGAACGGCTCATTGCCGAATCGTTCATGGGTCGCACCTCATCATACCACGGTGTCCTCGGTAACGTCGATGTGCCATCGCCCAAGAGTTAATTCTCTTCGCTACAGCCGGCGGATTCACCCGGCACGGTCAAACGAACTTCCGAGGGTAGTTGTTCCGACAAACTTCCTAGGCGCAACACAGACTTTCCACTAAACATAGTCTCCGTATGTACATCGCCCGTTTATGACAGCACACCATCTCGACAGCAATTAGCCGTTGTACACATACATAGGTCCATCATGCGATCGACGACTCAGTTTCCTCTTATGACACCGCGACCACACACTAACACGACGTGAGCTTCAAAACTGCTCGGCAGTGGTGTCTTCCGTTGGTCAGATGCGTTCGCGCACTGGCACACTGTACACAGCTCAATGGAACAGACTTTCTGAATTCAGAGAACTACAGTTCGAAACATTTCTCCACGGATCGACCAACATTTCCAAATCTTGAATCACGGCCAACTTCAACTTTGTTGCTACTTCGCAGGTCTGCTCGTGTTTCGTTTCACGAGCTCGCTTCCATGTCTCTTACCACCAACAGCCCACTCATCCTCTAGCGGACACAACTCCCGTTAAAGACATTCGCGTGCACTCCACGTGCGGTTACCACATCATCGTCCTCTTTTTAAGGTTTCGACTGGCACTTAATGCAGTAGTGTGGGACCCCCTGACTTTAGTCTCGGACATATTCCCCTCCCAGTCCAGGTTCCCTAGTCCTACAATTTGACGCTCGAGCACACCCGACGTCAACCTGGAACAGAATTTGACACCTCTTGCAAACGAGGAGTGTCTGGCTCCGCAAATGGGCCAGCCCTATCGACAATCCCGGAAGATCCCCCCGTCTAAGCGATGCGAATTTAAGTCTCGAGCCTGGGCACATGGGGAATAATCTCGCAAATAATATATTGGAGGCCCAACACTGACGTTGACATGGGAAGGAAGTTGCTCTCGGCTCCTACCGCGGCTCTTGAGGGTTTGATTGAAGGCCTGAGGCAGAGCCGCATCCCGCGATCCAGGTTGCCGGCTCGATGCTTACGGACCCTGTGTCGCCCCAGCAGCATGCGCGGCCCAAGTATGCTCGTTTTCAGAACTGCCCGCGGAATAGAAGCAACTCCATGACAACTCTTCAATATTGTGGCGCTGTTGACGCCAACTACCCCATACCTCGCGTCTACGGAACCGACGGCCATTCCAGCCGATATCGATACTCGGCTCGATACCCACTAGGGATCCGAACTGTGGCGTGACCTCCTGCGCAGTGACCGCTTTCGAATTTCTACCGATGTCGCGTCGAGCTCTTTCATGCATTAGCCATGCCTGTTCGACACCTTAAGTGATCCTATGAAACTGTCTCGGGCCTGAGGCACCTTCTACAATGCGCTCGGCTCTCCATTATTCAACATGCCAGGCCTCGATGCCACTTCATATTGTCCACACCATTGACTTGTGTCAGACTTGACCACTCGACACTGATGCCCTATTAGGCGGAATGGAAAGAATGGCTCGTGCATTACACTCGACCAACATGACGGGTGCGTACATCTTACCAAAATCGCAAGACGGCTGCTCATCACACGCGCCTCTCCATCGGTTATTCTTTTACAACGTGTCTGTGCCTCGATGGGGCGTGACCACTCCACTAGGGAGACATCATGCGCTACTTTGCACATTCTGCATTGCTATGCATATCCACATTCGGCCGAAGGTAGCGGATCTTGACATCTGTCACAGCTTCAGGCCTGTGACTGTGCACCGCGATCGACTCGGGCATTTGCATGCGCAGGGGCTGCTCCGCAGCTTTCCACCTCACTGACCCAAAGCAGATAATTATCTGATCCGATTTTCACGCGATTGAAATCGTCCCAAGCAAGATGAGGAAAAAGAGCGACGATCTCTCCTTTTCGCGTAGACTTTATCCTTTGCTAGCAGATTCGGGAAAACCGAGAGCTGATCCCTTCTTTTCACGTCGCATACATTTTCACTCACCGCCAGATTAAGGTAGACGCAAACGCTGATCTCCTCTTTCCATCATCGGGCCGTTTCTAATGTACGGGTACTCCACTCACTGAAGCTTTTTCGCGAGTTTTTCCCACGTGGCTCTGTCATGCGGATGCAGATCTGTTGCTAGGTTTTGGAAACGGTCACTACTGTACTGAATGGCCAAGCCTTCGCAGTAGCGATCGACATGCGATGGTGTAGAGGGAAAGTTTACATGGCAAACGTGGAGCGTCCCTTACCGGTGAAAACGACATGGTATTGCACACGGGTCTTGTGGGCAGAGTCACCGTCTGTATAATGCCAGAGCTTGATAGAGGTCATCCCCGTACTTGCCGTTTCTATTTCACCGCTTGTTGAACACAGCACTTGCAATCGAGCTAGGTGAAGTAGAATTGACGATCATTTGTTCTCCTAAGCTCACGCAGGTATCATCGCCGGAGCTTTGTTTTTGGAATCACTGTGTGATGGGGACCAAACCGGCATACCTTGGTGATGTTGATCACCGGTGGGCGGGTGGTTGTAGTGTACCGCAGAGAAGATAATAGTTAGATTCGCCGATGAAGATCACTCACAAACACGCCGCTAATGAGCGCAAACTAACGCATCCGCGCATCTTTTCAAAATTCGGTATCAAGAATTCCTAAACAAAGTTCCGTCCATTGCACTTTTGCAAATCCCGATATTCATGCCAAATTAGTGTACAGGAGCCACGGTCAACGTATCGCGCGTCGCGGCGGCTCTTTTCTCAAATCAACTCCCACCGCATCCGGCGCTGCCACTCGACGGCCACTCGTCCATTGCTCGCAAGCACCACCGACCCAATGAAATGCGAAGACGAAGGCAGGAAAGGGAAAGTCAGAGAATACAGTTTTGGCCTTCTACCAAGCCTCTACGTCGAAGCCCTCTTCTGAGAACTCAGTTGCCAAAACTGTTCTCCTCGAAAATTGTCTTCCGGCAAGACTCTTGATAGCCGTCTGTGCCTTTTCGGAATCTTCGTACTTGATGTAAATCTTGCCGACACCGGCGCTTGACCGCACACCTGCAGGGCGGGGAATCTTAACCTCAAGAATGGTGCCGTATTTGGAGCACTCTTCTTCGATGTCTTCTTTGATTTCTAGACACGGTGTTAGTGGGTGATGGAATGGACTGCGGGTGGATCAACTCACCCTCGTAATCCTCATCGTTGAGGAGCTCGTCAGGGGTTACCATGTTCATCAGGCAAACGACACGGCTCTTCTCGTGATTGTCGGCAGCAGTAGCGCCAGCGAGCATGGAGATAGCACCCACGCCGCCATCGATGGCAATCTGCTGCTGCAGACCGATGGTGGCACGGGTGACCTTGAGGGTGCCTTCGCCAAGCGGGATGGAATTCAAGCCCTCAATGACGTGCTCGACGATTTCAGGGTCAACATACTCGCAGAAAGCAATGCCCTGTTCCGTGGTTAGCATATCTCTCTCAGAGACGAAAATGAAGGTGCTTACGCGATGCTGCTCGGTGCTGGTATCCTTGACCAATACGAATGCCTTGAGCGCGCCAAAGGTTTCGACAAGCTCACGGACCTGCTCCTCCTCAACATAGGTAGGAATGTTGGTAATGCTAAGCTTGTTTGGGCTGTCTGCGACATGCGTGGAGACAGTGTCGCCAGCGGTAACTGTGGCGTCCGCGACCGGAGTGATGTAGTCCTTGGGTCGCCGGATGGAAAGACCAACTTGGTCACCATCACGCATAGCAATGTTATCCATAGCCAGGGCTACAGTCGCATCTTCAGCTGTCTTGAAGGTAACAGCGGCGTAGATGCGGTTTGTGGCAATATGTGCACTGACACACGGATCGCGACCTGACACGACATTGAGACCATTCAACTGCAGGTTCCAGAACTCGACAATGTCATCGTTTGTGGCGTCTTCTGGGATGTTGTAGATGAACAGACGTCTGGCTTGTAGGGCGTTCGACGGCAGCAAGCCTGAGGTGGATGCTGTGCCAGTTTCCGGGTTCGCGAAAGCAGCGAGCTTGGATGGGTCCATGGGAGCAGCACGGGGAGCGCCGGGCAGCGGGAACTGGCCTGAGAGCTTGGCCTGCTCGGCAGTGATGTTGTCGTAGCCTGCCGGCTTGATGTCCCACTGGGTCATGCGACGCGGGTGGTTCAGAATGGACACGAAGCTGGTCAGATCGGGCGTCGGTTCGCGCTTCTTGTACGGAGGCGATGCCGACTTCTGCCTCCTATCACGGCCGCCGCCGCCGCCGCCACCTCCACCACCAAAGCCTCCATCACGACGCCCACCTCCGCCTCCGCCACCACCTCCACGCCCACGATCTTCAAACTCCCGGTCATTTCTGTCCCGACGACCGTGTCCACGATCCTCGTCGCGGTCGTGCCGCGGTCGGTCGCGCCTAGAATACGAGTCGCCCCAGTTGCGGTCGTCACGTCGCTCTCGGCGGGCGTATGTGTTCTCGCGCTCGCGCTCGCGATAGTCGCGGCTGGAGGAGTAGGTGTCTACCTCATAGTCGCGGCGGGAGTTGTGGCGGGGAGAGCGCGATCGGCGGCGACGCCTGTCATCTCGGTCCCCCCTATCGCCCCGGCGGTCGCGATGGTCATCCCTCGAGGACTGTTCCGTTAGAACCTGGCGACTTGGTCGGGAGATGCCTTCACTCACGTAATCGCGGCCTCCACCTGAGCGTCCACCTTCTGCTGTAGTTAGTAAATAATGTTTGTTACTGTACACCAGTCAGTCTGTGTACTGATTATACCGGCTTACCTCGAGAATAGCCGTCACCGTTCATGCTGTTGAGCTCTTGCGCGCGTAGAAGTGCAGTCGCGGCTCGTGCAGCGTTTGCTGGTGGGTTAGGGCTTAGCACGTACAGCCGGACTGAACCAAAAGAAATAATGGGCGGGCTGTTGCGCGCGCGTCTCGAAAGAGTGATGGTAATAGGTGGAGACGGGGCCGTTGTGTGTGGACGTTGCGGCTGCGTCGTGAAGAAAGTACATGGAGAAGCAAGCTAGGGCCTTGGCGCGTACTGTACCCCTGTCGTTTTGAGTCTGGAAGTTCAGATGGTCTCGTAGGACCACCAATTCACTACTACCACACCAAAATATACGTTCAGCATGGCTTTGAGAGCTGCAGACTGGCACAAGTTGCCGATAGCCCTCACTGAGCTTTGCATAAACACGACATTGCGCTGCGGCCAATCGTTTAGGTACCACCGCCACACCCAGGCGCCGCATCGCTGACTGACAAGATGTCTGCAGATGGCGAAAATCCGCAGAAGATGAATATTCTATGGCTCTACACGATCGCATACTCTCCTTCCGTCAAGACGCGACCCACCTCCACTACCGCGCCATCTTCCCTTCCTCCCTCCCGTCCCCGCCTCCTTCGAATGCGCCCTCCATTGCGCCTTCAGTCGCCTCAGATGAGGACGACACTCTCGCACTCGTTCGACATTACCTCAATCTAGAACCAAATCTCGCGCAGCTATACGAACAATGGGCATCCGCAGATCCCAATTTCAAGAAGCGCGCACCAAAGTTCACGGGTATACGCATCCTGCGACAAGATCCTTGGGAGGCGCTCATAGGCTTCATATGCAGCTCCAATAACAACATAAGTCGGATATCAGGCATGGTTCACAATCTCTGCAAGCATTATGGACCGCTCATTGGAGTCATCGATGGCGAGCCGTATCATGACTTTCCTACGCCAGAAGCGCTTGCAGATCCGAAAGTGGAGGCGCATTTGAAGGAGCTGGGCTTTGGATACAGGGCGAAATATATTGCGAAGACTGCGCAGATAGTGGCAGCAGAGAAAGGTCTAGCTTGGTTAGATGAGCTATGCAATCCAGAGAGTCCGGTGTTTGGCAAGGAGCCAAAGCCCGCCGGCGATTTGGGAGCGGGCGGTCGGGAGGGGTATCGGAAGGCGCATGAGGAACTTCTTGCTCTGCACGGCGTAGGCCCAAAGGTTGCAGATTGCGTTTGCTTGATGGGGCTTGGATGGTCTGAATCTGTGCCTGTCGATACGCATGTCTGGCAGATTGCGCAGCGTGATTACAGATTCGGAAAAGGCAAGCATAGTAGCTTGACCGCAGCTACGTATATCGCGGTTGCGAACCGGTTCCGCGAGCTCTGGGGCAAAGAAGCGGGATGGGCGCATTCCGTCTTGTTCACCGCGGATCTGAAGGCCTTCTCTGAGCGTGTTGTCGCGAAGACCGAAGTCAAGGAGGAGGAGATTACTGTGAAACAAGAAGTAGACGGCACGGAGAAGATTGAAGACGTGAAGAAGACCGAGACAGTCAAGAGGAAGAGAGTGAAGAAGGAGATCGACGAACCAGAACAACAAATCGTCGAGGTCAAAGAAGAGGTTTCGACACGCAGCAAAAGGCGCAGGGCCAGGTAGCAGACTTTGACTTTGGAATCTTGATTGATTATGACCGAATCCGGGAACCTCCCCTGGAGGGGACCAACCCCACAGTTGATACTTCTTGTATGGACCATTTCACAATTGATACATGTCGAAGCCCTACCAGCTCGCCCCTAGCTCATATCACCAAGCCAGCCCGTTTCCTATATCCCCATTCAGCACCATTTAAGCCTACACCACCGCTTCGTACCACTCGATTACTGATCGTTCTCGGTTTTCTCCGCGGTGCCGGTAGGCTCAGCACGCTTCTTCCACCCCGTAGCGCTTATTTCAATGTGTTGACGCTTGTCTTTGGCGAACTCGCCATGATCAGTCTGGTCCACGCTGCCGGTAGGCTCAGCACGCTTCTTCCACCCCGTTTCGCTTATTTCGAGGTGTTGACGCTTGTCCTTAGGGGCCTCGCCGTCGTCAGTCTTGTCCACGGTGCCAGTAGGCTCAGCACGCTCCTTCCAACCTGTAGCACTTATCTCAATGTGTTGACGCTTGTCCTTAGGGAATTTGCTGTCGTCAGTTTGGTCCACGGTGCCTGTAGGCTCAACACGCTTTTTCCACCCCGTTTCGCTTATCTCGAGATGTTGACGCTTGTCCTTAGGAAAATCGCCGTCGTCAGACGTGGTCGTGGTAGGGTTCGGGGAGAAGGTGATGAGCGAGACCTTGGTGAGGGTAGACCACCATTCCGAGTCGGTGGTGGACGGCGTTGCAGAGTCCCGGAATGACTCGGAAGACGAGGTTTCGGTTGTTGGGCCGGGGCCAGGCGGGAAGCACCAGGTATAGTCGATGCTAGTGTAGCACTCGGTGGTTAAGGATGTTTTGCACCACTTTCCGCCGTTGCTCGAGATGCAATCAGTTCCAGTTCCCCAGATCGAGGTGGAGGAATTGGACGTCGTCGCTGGAGGAGTGACAGTCGGCTCGGGGGAAATGCTCAAGCTGGATGAAGTGGTGCAGTCTTCTTTGCGCTGTGTCTAAGGTCAGTCGCTTGTGTTTCTCGCAGCTATCTGGGACATGATACCTTGCCAATATACCTATCGTTGCCTCCTGGTAGGTAGGCACCGAGGACGCCACTGCTTAGTAGCATGGTGAAGAGAATGCATGAGACACGCATCTTGCCTTGTGATCTCAACGAGAGAGTGTGCCGCAATAGGAAGTGAGTTATTGAGAAATGAGAAGGCTTCAGTATCAAAAGTCGAGGATCAATATACTGAAGCTGGAGCGTACTCGATTAGTACTTCCCAAACAGACACGTGCGCAGACTAGGCGGTGTGGTACTTCTGTTTGTACTTTCACTTTGCTTATCGGACAGCCAATGACTAATTTCTGTGACTTGTGGTAAGTAAAGGTCGAATGCTGTTTTCACTGTCCACGTAAGGTTAATGTAATTGCACTGAGCCCCTGATTGCCCCATAGTGTCACCATGGGACTTCGATTGACATCGTGCATACTATGAATGGGATCGCACTTCTGACTGGTGTCTATAGGCAAGCTTATCAACCCATATCTTCGAGTTCTCAGTTTATAGTATGCACGATGTCAATCGAACGAACGGTTAGATGTGGACCGGTGCAGTCGCCGTATGTCTCGCCACGTCTCTTTCCATTATTATCTTGCGCAGTTGATAGCCCTTCCAGGCACCCTCAGAACTTTCCGGTGAGTGATTCGGCCGTGCAACGCAAGGCTGCAACAACACGAAAAGTATGCCATCGGGCGACTCTATCTGCGAAATATCACGAGGGCACATGGACAGCATTGGAAAGCAAATCAGAAAACTATCGGTTATCTTCTATCAGATTGGTATCCGTGATAAAACTGAAAAGCAACGCTTCCGCATTATAATATCAAAGATACACGTCAGCACCTAATGTCCCCATTCTCACTTGCTATCGTACAGTATCGCGTCTGCTCCGGAACCTACAAATTGGCCGTCACGCCAGGCTTGATAGCCTCCAACTTCGCCACCAGCTCGTCCCAAACCCGATTCTGTGCCTCATATCCCTCCGGGCTCCGCACATAGTCACTCGGTAGTTGGATGTGACAGTCGCTCAGATAATGGCCATGTGTCTCAGCACCTGCAGCCGCAGCATGCACCAACGTCCTGCTTCCGAACTCGGTAGTGCGTGCGAGGAAAAATTTCATGATCTTCAATCCCATGCCCGCGTCGCGTGCAAGCTCACTCTCGCAAAGGCCAGGGTTGACGCAGTTAAACGTGACGGGGATCGCTTGTGCAGACTTGCGGTCGGCCATTGCGCGCGTACCGAACACGTCGAGCAGCTTCGATACTTGGTATCGGTTGCCCATGTTCTCAGCATTCAGCGTGGGGAACTTCTTGCTGAGTTCAGGGAAGATCTGGCCATTTGGCGCGTTTGCCTCGGGGAACTTGGCCCAGGCGTGGACTTCGGAAGCGACGATTGAGAGGGTGGGTCGAGTGTTGAATTGGTTTGCCGTTTGCTTCATCTTCGGAAGGAGCGCGAGAGCCAGTAAGAATGTCGACACGACGTTTACAGTGATTGTTCCTTCATCTTTCTCGAAGACCTCCCACTCTCCCTTCGCGACACCGGCGTTGAGTACGGCAATGTCAAGCCGTTGTAGCTCTTTGCTCGCCCGAGCGGCGAAGTCGAGAACGGATTGGTAGCTTGACATGTCGAGCTGCCATACTTTGACGACGTCTTTCTTTCCGGTGCTCGCCTCAATGTCCTTCTTGGCTGCTTCGCCCTTTTCGAGTGAACGTACGGCGAGGATGACTGTCGAGGCATTGTTACGCGTGATGTGGCGTGCAGCTTCCTTGCCAAGGCCGACGTTGCTTCCTGTTACTATAACAGTTTTGTCTGCAAAGGAAGTAGTGGGCTTGGGAAGCTGGGTGGTCCACTGTCCCCAAACGAAACTGAGGAAACCTGTCATATTTGGTCGAGGGCGGGTATAATTAAGATTGCAACTTGAGTCGTTGGATCGGCGCGGAAGTGTTCGCTTCAATTAAGAGTGTTGGGAAGCTTGGTGTGTGATGTGTATCCCTTGCGCACCTGTGGCTCTTTATATGTGGTAGCCATGTTACGTTTGTCACCATCTCGTCGGTGTTAGACCCTGCATTGGCTCCGCTATCAAAGCCTCCTTCCTACGGCGTTAGGGACTCATTGGGCAAGTTTCTTGCGTTCGCAATTTCTGCGGGCAAAGAGCCAAGCTGTCGGAGTTGCATCATAGAAAATGGCGGTTGCTCAAGGAGTGGTTGCGCCGCACTAAACTCTTTTGAGTTCTCGATCAGAAAATCAGAAATTGCCAGAACGGGGAATCGGGGGAACTTTGCGGTTGCATCCAATCAAGAGAGCGCAGGCGACGATTAGGGCGGGCGAATGTTATTTCCTAACTCCACCCCACCGCAGTCTCGCGCACCAAGAAACGCGGATGCGAAGAATGCATTAATCAGGCACGCGACTGCAGACACTTCGGTCAATAGCGGCTGGATAACTAAGGCACCACTCCAGCAACTTACTACAATATGACGTCAATTGCTCTTCCCCTAACTTGAACAACACCAGACGAGTTAAAGCAAGCTTCAAGGTAGAAGGATCAAATTCTGAGCACTGAAGAATCGAAGTGCATCGTTGCTAACGTAGACAGACGGTCCAGGGTCCTTGTATATCCTAGACACTGTCTAACTTGCAGTGAGCTGGTACCAAAGTTCACGACCGATTTCTTCATGCTTGAGCTTTGTGGATTTTGAGCCGACTACTCGTTGGTCCAACCTCCGGTAACCTCGCAGACGCGACCTCGCAGTCGATTTCCCAATGGTCGCACCGATCTAGCATAGTGTTCAAGAAGATCCTGATCATCATGCTTGCTAACCCCATCCCTACGCAACGATGTATACTTAGCTAGAAAAGCTATATCATGTAGTATATCTTAGGGGATATTAGCCTAGTATAGAATCTACTAGGGATGAAGTAACTGGACCCTTCCGAAAAGAGTGTTGATGTTCTCAAGATTTGTTGAATTTGTCTGGATCCGGGAAGTGGTCCACAGGGGTCTGGCTGTTGATGATGGGTATCACTCTAGGAAATAAGGCTCAGGATACTAGGGAGGAAGAAGTGCCAGACAGTCGATACGCTTATCATAAAGAGGAAAGGACGTATCATGCAATCAATCACCTGAGCAAGAGTGAGATCGAGCATTTAGGAGGTGATAATTTATTCTCGATTGCGATTTACTGACGAGCTGCTAGGAGTAAGCAACATATTGCGAATAGAACCATCAATGTCGCTGTCGACGAGTTCAGCCCGTCTGCGATCAGAAGTACACTCTGGACACTACACCAGCCCACCTAACGTTGGCGAGGTCAATGCAGACTCAGTTGCTTTTTGTCAGCGCGACGAGCTAGCGCATAGCATATCGTGTACTTATTGTAATTTTTGCTAAATTAGTGTTTGGGAGGGTGAGCGATACTTTTGCGCATAGCCTCTCTGACTCCACTTTCGCGTTCTCCGTGAATCACAAATATTGTCTGAGTGAAAGTCTTGGGCGACTCATCGACCATCGCCCTTTATAGATAGCACCGGCCCTGCAAATATGGCAATTTTGAGATTCTCGCACAAGCAAGTTGCTCTCTATTAACACTCTATCCCCAACATGACGACCCCTCAACCAGGCCCAACCGAGTCGAAGCCACGTTTCAAGAAACAGTGTGATGGTCCCCCCTAATGATGTTCCACCTGAAGATATTTGCCGCGACACCAAGATTGACATGAGAAGAAAACTCCAAGACCTTCTCTGTGTGAACATAGACGATCTCCAAGAAAATATCGACCAAATCAGTATCATGGACATCGGCTTCCACCATATCTATCATTCCAAAGGCACTTTACCAAAATACGACGCGCGTTTCGACCTCGCCGACGCCATCATCAACAACTTCCGCCAAGCTCACGAGCGCTGGACGCTCTGCACGTCTACATCCTTCCTGGTGCTGAAAGAGTACGCTGACGACGAGACCCGACCATGCATCAAACACGAGTACTTCGGCAGCCTGCTGCTGAAGACGTGGGATAATCCTAGGTTTGATATCATTATTCACGTAATGTACCCAATCAAGGATATGAACAGCTTGTCGCAGGTGGATTACTTATGCCGTGCTTTTATATTTCAGCTCGGTGTCGCAGTCCTCGAGAAATACTACGATAAGGAGCTGCAAGAGGGATTAGTCAAGGCTTTCGACAAGTCCCACAAGCCACGCTGGCTTGCGGTGCTAAAAGAGCTCATTGCTCACTTAGAGCGCTGTGCGATTGGAAATCAGAAGATTCGCGTATTTGTTGAGTTGCATGGAGCGGGGACGGATCAGACTGTCAAATTGGTAAGCACTATGTTAGACTTTAGGTGTGACGGACTGTCTCCTATATTTCAGTTCTTGATTTCGGGGCTGGGAGCAGATAGGGTGGCGAAGGAAAATATGTGGGAGACGGTTGAGCTGCTGTGGTTGGAATAGTATTGTGTGAGGTCGACGCCGGATGAAGGGCCAGACGCGGACAAGGTTGTAACGGATGCAACGGTCGTGCGGAAGCAGTTGAAGATGCAAGGTGGTTGGAAGTCTTGATCTATTTATACATACCCATACCTTTCAGGGGCTATATTCACCATGATGCTAGGGTGTTCCACATGGCTCCTGCTACTCTCTCTACAACTTGAACCCTTCGATGAATTTCCTCGCCTCCTCGACACCATCATCAATCTTCTCCGCATTCGTGCCGTTACCGATCGCCGTCGGCGCACCAGGCTTTCCACCCGTCTTGCCGCCAATGACAGGGGTGACTGAGCTCGCCCACTTAGGTCCGTCGGCGCCCTGTTCCTTGAAATACTGCTCTGAATCAGCAACCCATCTTCACCTCACAATGATCAATACGTACCTCAGAAACATAACACCCATGCGCCACCTTTCCATCACCCGCACTGAAGAGATACACACTCTTATCCTTGATCGCACTCTTCGGCCCTGATACGTTCTTGATCGCCTCGCTGATAGCCTTGGCAACGTTACTCGACCAGTCCACCTTCTTCACCAAGAACTTCGCATCCTTGTTGTCTTTGAAGTAGTTCGTCACAACATCCAATACACGCTTGTTATCCTGCTTCGCAAACGCCTTCTGCTCGTCTAAGATACTCTTCTGGATCTTGGCAAACCGCTCGCGGAACTGGCTCTTCGAAAGCGCAGAAATGACGAGCTGGTTGAGCTCCGTCTGCATCTTCTTTGCTTCTGCTTCCTTCTCGGCGCTAAAAGCAAGCTTCTCCAGACGGCTGAGTTGGGCCTCAAAGTCCGAGGCCTGGCGCTGGACGTCGTAGGCTTCTTGGCCTGTTACCGCGACGATGCGGCGAATACCCTTGGCGATACCGGACTCCTCGAGGATGACGAGTTCCTTGATCTCACCCGTCTGCTTGACATGCGTGCCGCCGCAGAACTCAACAGATACCTTCTCCCACTGCTCGTTCTTGACATCGGCGATGAGGTCTTCAACGGGGACGCCAACTGAGACAACGCGAACGGGGTCGGGGTATGTCTCTCCGAAAACAGCACGCACGCCCCGAATCTGACGCGCAGTAGCCAGAGGCACATCCTTGGCGTAGACCTCCGAATTTTGGCGAATGTACTCAGTACATATTTTCTCGATCTTGGCAAGCTCGGCGTCAGAAACACCGGCCTTGTGTGAGAAGTCAAAACGCAGCTTCTCAGGTGAGACAAGCGAGCCCTTCTGGTCAACTTCGTCACCAAGCACCTCCTTGAGACCATAGTTGAGGACGTGCGTTCCGGTGTGATTGTTGCGAATTGGGTGGCGGCGGAGCTCATCGTATTCTGCAATGACCTCGCTTCCTACGCTCAACTCGCCGTACTTGAGGAATCCAGTGTGTAGCACGTAGCCGGCATACACTTGTACGTTCTCAATGCTGATCTCGGCTTCACCGTCGACAAGCAATCGGCCGGTATCGTTCTCCTGACCTCCCTGCTCGGCGTAGAAGTTCGTCCGATCGAGCAAGACGCCAAACTGTTCGCCTTCAGGGACCTCCTTTGTGCTCTTTAGGAACTTCTTATTGTGATAAATAGCCTTGATGACTGATGTGATGTTCTCGCGACCGAACTTGGCGAAGTCGTCCGTCTTGGGCACATCGTTCATGTTTTCGAGGGCGCTCAGGTCGTGAACATCGAACTTTACCATTGCAGCGGTAGCCTTCTTGTCGCCCTTGCTAGCCTCGCGAGCCTTCTCTTGCGCCTCTTCAACCTCCTGATCGTTAATGTTGAGGCCCCGCTCCTCGGCCATAATCTTCGTCAGATCGACCGGGAAACCGTACGTGTCGTATAACCTCCAGACATCATCACCCGGGAGGTCGTTCGAGCCCTTGACCTTAGCTTTCTGTGCATACTTCTCGAACATGATTTCGCCTCGATCCAGAGACTTGGCAAAGCTCTTCTCTTCTTCGTCCAAGATCTCCTTGATATCCGCCTCCTTCTTTCTCAGCTCAGGAAACATGTCGCCCATCTGCTCGACGAGTGTCGGTACGATCTTCGAGAAGAAATTGCCGATCTCAGTCTCGAAGTATTTGCGAGCGAATCGCGCTCCTCGTCGCAAAACGCGGCGCACGACGTAGCCACGTCCGACGTTGTTTGGTACACCGCCGTCAGCGATAGAAAAGGACATCATACGGACGTGGTCAGCAATGACACGGTATGCGGTATCGATGCCATCTGCATCTTCCTTTCCAAACTTGCCCCTGTATTCCCGCGCACCTGTGATCTCTTGGATTTTCTTGAACAGCGGGCTGAAAACATCCGTGTCATAATTTGACTTGGTCTTCTGCAGGACTGACACCAACCGCTCGTAACCCAAACCCGTATCGATATGCTTGTGAGGCAGAGGCCGTAATGACCGGTCTGGCTCGCGGTTATATTGCATGAAGACGTTGTTCCAGATCTCAATGACTTCGGGATCGTCCGCGTTGACTAGCGACGCAGCATTCCTGTAGACTCCGTTCTCGGGCTCTCTCAGGTCATAATGCAGTTCTGAGCAAGGCCCACAAGGACCCTGGTCACCCATCTCCCAGAAGTTATCCTTCATGTTTCCAGGCAAGATATGGTCTTCAGGCACACCAACGCTCTTCCACAGCTCCTTAGCTTCCAGATCCGGCTCCAATTCGTCGGTTCCCTCAAAATATGTCACGTACAGCCTCTTGGGGTCGATGCCATACACCTTTGTGAGCAGCTCCCAGCTGTAGCCAATGGCCTCCTTCTTGAAGTAGTCGCCGAAGCTCCAGTTACCCAACATCTCAAAGAATGTATGGTGATAGCTATCCTTGCCCACATCGTCGAGGTCATTGTGCTTGCCGCCCGCGCGAATGCACTTTTGCGAGTTCGTGGCGCGCTTGAGCTGGGCGAAGTCGGAGGCGGGGTCGACGGTGCCTTGAAAGATGGACTTGTACTGGTTCATGCCAGCATTGGCGAAGAGGAGAGTCGGGTCGGAGAGGGGGACGACCGAGGAGGAAGGCACTGTTGCTGTCAATTGCTGTTTTGTGAAAACCCATGGTGGGGTATATCGCAGAGGGAATGCATGTCAGGTACTCACCAAAGGTATGTCCTCGCTCCTTGAAGTAGTCGAGGAAGGTGCTCCGCACGCGGGCAGCTCCCCACTCGGGCGTCGAGTCGTTCTGCGCCATGGTCGTGTGTGTGCTGTGCAGCCGGCGGGTGTGAAGGAGGGGCAGAGCCGCAGGGCGAGACCGCGCAGGCAGAGTCTGTCTTGCTGCAAGCAATGAGGGTGTAGGGAGAAAAGGTCGCGTCGTGGCGGTTCGCGGGGTGTGAGTGGAAACAGAGGTCACTATCTGTCTATGCCCGTGACTCAGAGGGGCATTGCGCAGGCGCTGCATTCACCTAGGTGCAGCAGCGGGTGTGCCCCGCCAAACGCGCCTCTTTCCGTGCCAAACACGCGGTGCCTCCCCAAGCTTCCAGAAACTTCGTCGATTGGCCCGCCCTATATCATCAATGTTGCGCCCATCGACTACCGCTATCTCGGAATCTCAGTCGTTCACCCGCTTGCGCGCTTAGCATCGGCCAGATAATCTACACTGCAGAGAAAGAATTTATTTGCGCACGGTGGATGTTGGATGCATGGCGGAGGTGGTAGCTTCCGGCCAAGACCATGACACTCCCCGACCGCGTCGCGCCCACGGCAAGAAGCGCGCCGCCGACAACCAGCTCGAGTCAGAGCAGCGTCTGAGCAAGCGTTTCGATCTGCTGAATCTCGGTATGCTACATGCCCTCCACCTGTCTCCCGCTTCCTTCGCTGACCGTAGCCCAGAGAATGGCACGCGCCTGTACCTCCCTGTTGCCGGATCGTCTGTTTCCGCCGTGACCCCAGACCAACGCGCGAAACAGCCTGCAAAGACAGTTCCAATACCTCCCGCGCCCGAAACGGTGAAGAAACGGAAAGCAAGACCGCCGCGGCCTCCTCCACCGGACGATTGCATGCAGGTTGAAGACACGCCGCATCGCGTCTACATTGCTGATTTGGACGCCGAGCTCTCCGATATCGAATCGGACGAGGACAACCCCGTCTTCCTTCAGGATATCGAGAAGCATCTTGCCAAGATACCCAAGCATGTGTTGATGGGACCAGAGCCAAAGCCAACCAAAGATAACCAGTTGGTCTTGTACAATGTGCCAAGCAGTTTGACGGTGCCGGAAGCAAACGATAGCGTGCGGAAGGCCATCGTGGAGGCACGAGGTAGGATAAGAGAGAGGCAGGCGACTGGCATAGTGGAGCCTGAGCAGGTTGTACCACCAACATCAGCCCCAGAGACAGCATTCCCGACAGAGATACCCCCACCGTCCTATGATTCCGATGCCATGGACATCGACTAGTAGTGCCGTGAGCCCATAGCGTAACATGCTTTTTCTTCATTCAAGATCTCATCCATCGACTTACAGGAAATATGCCAGACTACGATATGATACGTGAACATGGCAAACTGAGAAAGCGGTGGCTTCAAACGGCTGAATTGGGTATTGATATCTAGTAATAAACGTTTCGCATAATGCAGTGATCCAGTCACGCAACCCCTCTGGTGCCAGAACTCCGCCTCTCCGGAACCAACTCATCTCTCGTACTGTACATTATTGTATCTTTTCCCAATCTCCCTCATCCTTACTTCCTAAACCTCCCCATCAACTTTGCTAATTTCGCCTGCGGCGGCCGTGGCGGCATCTCCTGCTGGAAACCACTCTCGCCCGTCACACCCGTCTGCTGCGCCCCCATCGGAGGCGGCGGCGGATACTGTCCCATCTCAACGTTCCCCGGCGCCTGATTCGGATCCATCTTCGTCGCTCCGGGCGGCGGCAGGTATCCTGGCGGCGCATCGTTGTTATACATTGGCGGCGGCTCAGGCCACGTGCCGTCTGGGCGGGGGCCGTACGCTTGTTGTTGCTGACCGTAGGCCTGGTTGGGTTGGGCGTAGTATGAGTACTGGTTTTGCATCGTTTGGCCGTGGCGCTTGCGTTCTTGATAGGATACTAGCCACTATCCACCTCACCATTAGCACTCGTTCAGGACAGAAAATGGAAGAGGAGAAGGGGGACGTACACGATGATACGCCAGCAGCGGCTTTCCCTTCCTTAGCCGCGCCTTCGCGTGGAGATACCCGCCAAGAAACCACGCCAGGAAGAAGAGAAAGAAGCTTGCGAGTATGGCCCATTTGATTATTATACCTGTCTGTATATTGCCGTTAGTAAACGAGTCTTACGGGATGTGGTAGGAGAGGAGGGTAGGGTCTTACATCCGTGTACCAAAACCCATCGCGGAAACACTCCACCGTGCCATCCAGATACTGCACGCAATACCTCTTACTCAACACCATAATTACAAAGACTTAATTTGAAGATGAAAACGTAGGCGCAGCCCGAAAGACTGGAATTGGTGGTGTCAAGGCCCAGGTCGGAGCAGCGAGGACGAAGAGGAAGGGAGAAGGAAGGGATGAAGAAGCGCAACACAGGGTGGGTTGGGTATGCTTGGGGGTTTATGCCAAGCGTGCGCGCGTAATAGAGCAGTTCGAACTGGCAGAAGAATGATTGCGAGAGTGGAGTATGGAGCGATTGAGGCTGAGCGATGAGTTGTAGTGGACGCTGCGTAAAGATGCGGTGCGTTCGACTTCCGGATGGTACGGCGTCGCAGTTGTTGCAGGGCTTCTTACAAGTCCTGTTTCGCAAGGGTGTGAGCGAACCGGGACGGGTTTCACCAATCTACACGATTCAGACCGAACAAAAGATATCGCATGGAAGGATCAATCCGGATGGCGTTGTGAGAGTCTATCACGAGCGCCATGTTGAATGGATTTTGTATTTCTGTGCGGTGGTTGGACGTGTGAGGTTGGGCTCGCATACCGCGAGGCTGGAAAAGGCGTGCATGACGCACGGGAGGCGGTCCGTTTGAACCCTTGCATGACGGGACCCACGCAGGGGCCGGGGTGCAAAGCTTGGCTTCCAACGTCGAGTGTGTGGCGTCAATCCACATCTACATGCCTCGCGCAGGACTGCAAACATTGCGCGTCACCGATGGTAGTCGTAGAAGACCGCACTGTGGCTGACACGCCGCTCGACCTGTTCCGGGCGCTTGTCGCTCTTTATGCTTTAATGTCATCGCTGTCATAAGCTCCACACCTCGCGTAACATATCGATTCGGGGTCCAAGAGTGCTCTGTGAAACGTTCTTGATTTCTTAATTTTCTACTACTGAACGCGCGTCGCTCACCGTCAGATACCCAGCATACTGCAGTATCCCTACTTTCAGTTTCTAAACATACAATTGAGCAGGTCAAACATCCGCTCTATCCTACGCAATGCAAACAGAAAACGAACAAGGCAAACGTGGTGGTATCTTTTCCGGACTCCTCTGATCCGGCCTAACGGCATCAAAAGAAGCACCGTCACTACGCCATGAAGATCCCACAATAAATACCCAAACTGTGACCATGCTCGCCACACGGTACCTCTCAAAATGTCTGCTCCCGACTGTTTCTATTGTTGGTTGATGAGTATAGTCGTGATAGAAGCATAATCTCTAGTGCAAGAGATTGCGCAAGGAAGGGCTAGCGCTAGCTCCTGTATTGACACGCTCCAGCGGTGGTGGTGGTTGCGGCGGCGGTGCCGTTACCGCCGGGGCGTCCCGCATAGGTGCATCCCTTGGAGTTGGTGCTCCAGCGGATGCAGGGCTGCCGTGGTGGATTGGAGGATACGGCAACTGCGGCGGCGCATTGTAAGGGCTCTCAGTAGAGCGAGAAGAGTTATGACCGTGTGCGTGGGTCGGTGAGTAGGGCACTCGAGGTGAATGCATCCCATTAACCATCATGCCGCCATTGGTGAGATGCAAGGGCGGTGGTCCGTTGTGGTGATGGGGTGGTGCGTATGGGCCTCGAAGAGGCGCAGGAGGAATATGAGAGTGAACAGGAGGTGCGGAGTACGCTGGATAGCCGTTCGTTTGGTGCACTGGATTATACGGCGCATGGAAAGGAGGAACATGTCCTATAGATACCGGTGGCGGATGGCCGATTCCATTGTGCAAGCTATGAGCTGGTGGAGGCCCAGGAGGTCCACCGTTATGCCAATGAGATATTGGAGGTTGTTGCGGTGGCGGCACCCAAGGCCCTCCAAGTGCGGGCGGTGGAGGCGGAGCCACAAACGGTTGAACTGGAGGGGATCGCAGCGGGAGTTGTGCGGCTTCCGGATGCACAGACACCGACCGCTCTCGTTCTTCAGGCTCTTCGGGCGCATTCAGCTTCTTCCAATGGCACTTTTGGCAAAGATATGAGGTAGACGACGTGTTACCAACATTAGTATGTACTCGAAGGCGAGTCGGGTGGTCGTGGGAAGCGATAGGTGGCGCATCCATCATAGGGTGATCGACAGCGCCGTTGGTAGCTTGTAGGTGATCTGGATGTTGTGTATGATCCGCCAATGGGCGAGAGCTGGACTCAACACCGTTTGTCGCCAGTGGGCCGTCCACGGCGTGAATGCCATTCTGTTCAGGGTGAACATTTTCTTCTACTTTCCACCAACGAGGGCTGGCGTCAATCTTGCATCGTATGCATTTACGCTCGGGTTTGGCCATGGTCGGTTCTGGAGGTTCTTCTTCTTTCATGACGAGTCCCGCGTTCGATGGACGCCCTCGTGCAGAAACCGGGGCTTGTCCCGTAACCGTGGATGTGCGACGGTTGCCCTGCGCTGGAGCAGGCGTTGGCGGGACTATTCGTGTGGATTGATCGACAAGGTTAGCTTTGCGCGCAGTGCCCGTGAGAGTGAGATCAGCCTGTTTAAACTCTCGAGCAAACAGCTGGAGAGCGGTCAAGTCGGTACCCTCTACTTCTTCGTGCATCGGATGGACCACGGTCTTCGGCGTATGGTCCTTGCACCAGATTGCGGCCATCATTGTACCAGTCTCCCCATTGAGTGTAACTGTCGGAACAGCATCTCGTCGCGTGGCTTTGACAGGGGTCATATCGAATCCAAAAGTGTAGCCCGCGTTGTGCGCGCATCCAACGTGGAAATTGGCATGGCATTGCTGGCATGTGACACAAGCACCGTCGTTGCTCTTGCATAGCTTGCACATCGCATCGTACCGCAACGTGGGTGCACCAATACCCTCGACCATATCCAGCCGGACTGCGCTGCTGAATTTCGTTTCGGGGTGCCATAGAGCGCAGTAGACGTGCACCCAATTGTTGTCGGCAGTGCGTTTGAGCGGCTCCCGAGGTACCACAGGCCTGCCTTTCTCTTGCTGTTTGATACGATACTCGTCCTTGGCCTTTTCTACGAGTTCTTTTTCTAATCGTTCCTTTTCCCGCTCCCTATCGGTCTTTTTCTTGTGGGAAACCTTGGGAGGCTCGTATAGGTCTGGCTCAGTGGTACGCAGAGGACACAGTACGCACTCATAGTTCTGACGAATGTTAGCTGCGAGATCAGACGGCACAATGAGATACCACTTACATATGATACACTTTCTTTCTTGTCGTTTTTGCACGTATCACAGTACCATTTGTTGGCCTGTCGGACGTCTTCGATGCCATAGCACGACTTGTGAACATTCATTCGACAAGCCGCGCACTCCAGCCGCATACCTTCGGTTTGTCGACAGACAGCGCATGGTAACACCCTAAGTCGTGGTTGCGCTGGGACTGGAGGAGGTGTTGGAGCTTTTGGCGGCGCAATAGGTTTCTCCTTCTTCTTGGAAGTCGCTTCGGATAACGGAGTGGACGTGCCACTGTCAGCAGCTCCAATGGCAACAGTCTTCTGTTTTTTCTTCGGCGGCTGCTCAATCGTCGCTTGCACGGTAGCAGCTGGAGGCTCGACGTATTCCGGCATGCCGTTGATCGGACCAGGGTCCGTTGTTGCTGCGTAAACCTCGCGCAGGAGCTCTTCGTCGAATCGTCGTTTCCAGGCCTTACCTCCTCCCTGAGCAACCTTTCGCGCGATTTCTTCCGTGTTCTCCCATTTAACTGCGTACTTCCGCCAGAGGTTTGCACATCGTTGACACAACGCGACAACGTAGCCATTTGCTTTGTCTTTGCTAGTCCTGCCATCAGCGGTTACTGTTTGCCCAGGCGAAGCACCCGGTGCTCGCCGCCACTGCCGCGAATGTCGATTGTTGCAGAATTTGCACTGGAAATTGCGCTTGCGTAGTATAGCTTTCTCGTGATCGAAGGCCGAGTCATCCTGGTCGTCAGCGACGTCGTCGACAAGCCTGCTTTGCGGATCGCCCTCAGTCTTCTTGCTTTTGCCCTTCCGATTGCTATACGATCCCCAGATCTCTTTGCCCTTTGACGTCTTCTTCCACATATAGTAGTACCGCACAGCGTCTCCATAGTGCATCGTCTTGCTCGTGTGTAGACGAACGTTTCGTATCTCCGAACCGTATTTGCTGACACCTTCGTTCCACTTCTTCTCTTCCTCTTTAGTCAACTCTGGTTCCTTGAGGTCTTTCCGCTTATCGAGCTTCTTGACAGCCTTCAACGCTACTTCGACGTCGTATTGATGCTTGGTAAGCAAAGCGAGACACTTCGTGAGGAAATTCGTGTTGAACGGCTCAACGCCGACATGACTTTTGGCGAAACCCTTCGCACGTGTCATGTAAGTCTCAACTTGTTCAGGGGTGATGCTAGGTGAGTTGTCTTCGCCCCTTGTAGAATGTACACCTAGAGGTGGCATTTTGAAAATGAGTTCTGCGGTGCATTTAGAATCCTTGTTGGGGTAGTCGTCGCCCCGTCGAACATATCCGGGCGGCTCGTCCATCACCCATTTCGGTCGCTTTGCTTTCTCAGCCTTATCCGCTTCGATGGCTGCGACGGTCTCCTTTGACAGTTTGGTGTCCTTTTTGTGCCCAGCAGCCTTGACGTAGCGCTTCTTGATCTCAGCAGGTTTCACCAGCTCCACCGGTCGCCCATGCCAAACATTCACATTTGCTTGGTGGCGGGGCCCTAGCCGGGAGCTAGCCCGTGGATATATGGCTCGGTCATCGTACTGCAGCGCATCTTCGACTCGACAGTGGATACCCAAATAGCGCATGGGCCACATTTTAGCTAGTGCGATCTCGGCTTGCGTGCCGGGATGCAGGTCGATCTGCGTCTCGGAGTCGTTGGGACTGGGAGCGGTGGTCTCCACGTTTGCCTCCTCTTCTTCGTCTTCAACCATCTCCTCATCTTCGCCTTCGTCACCTCCAGAACCTAGCAGCGGAGTTCGCCTGGCTTCGAGTTTCTTTTCTTGGGCTCTGCTGCAGGGACCACATGCCCATGCAAATCCGCGCGAGGGCTTCTTGAGCAGAGGTGGTCGAACACAATTCATGTGGTATGTGTTGCGACAGACGGCGCATTCCACGGAGTCATTGCTAGAGGTATTCAGTGATTGCTGTAATTCAGTAAATGGGTGTCACTCACGTTGCACAGAACCCAACACAGCGCTTGCATGATTTTACGGCGCTTGTCAATTCCTTCACGCGACTGGTCTCAAGACAAATGTACTTCCAGCGCTCATCCAAGGCCTTCTTGACCTTGTCTGGAACATTGATGACCTGCGAGGTAGGAATCACATCGTACCACCGATGGATGAAACGATCGAAGACTTGGTTGAACCAGAAGCTATCTTTCGTCTTCCGGTAGTCGTCGAGGTCGTCGATCTCGCTCCGATGCAGGATCTGACACTTCCCTCGGAGCGAGGTCAATGGACACAGATCTGAATGCATCGTCGCGTAGACCAAGCGCGTGTCATTGTTGTATCGCTGCACATCTCGAGGGCGATAGAACCAATTCACACGGAGCATTTCGACCTTCTGCAATGGGTCGTTGTTGGTGTGGATGAATTCCATGACCCGGCACAAGTAGTAAGGCTCCCCAGGGGGTTCGCACACGAGATAGACCTGGTCTGTACAGCCAATCAGAAACGTGTTCAAGAACAGGACGTGGCATGCGCCGTGGAACACGGAACATGACTCGGCAACGCAGGGTCACCACTTACCATTGATTGCAATACTTTGGCCGTCGTCCGCAACGAGGCAGCCGTCCTTGAGCCGTGCGCCCGAGTTCTCAAAGGTCAGCATGTTAGTCTCCCGCGGGCTGCTGCCGGCCGCGACCGCGTTCTGCGCGCGCCTCGCGCCTGGCTGGCTTGGCGTGGCTCCATTTGCGTGACTTGGGTTCGTAGCGTGACTTGCCGCATTTTTGCGTCGCTTTGGTTGCGGCTGGGGTGCAGGCGTGGCCGCCGGGCTGGCAGTGAAAGTTGATGTTCCGGGCGTGTTGGCGTTCGACGGAATGTCTTTGGCGTTGGGTCCGGAAGCGCCCCACGACGCATTGCCCTGGCCTGCGCCGGCACCCTTCTTTCCACCTGCACCGGCCGACTGCCCGCTCTCTGTGGCAGCAGAGCCACGCGATGACGGTTCAGAACCGTTTCCGTGGGTTGGATCAGGCGCCAGTTCAAAGTCCATCTCGACATCTTCCGCGTAGTTGACCCGCGACTTGCGCTCCGGACGGTTGCGCGATCGCGTGCCATAAGGTGCAGCAGCGGCTTCCTTGGGCTCCTTTGTAGGGGCATCTGATGAACTTGAAACGGTAGCACTCATGGGCTGCGACTGCAGTGCCTGCTCGGTGGGAGCCGGCGAGCCATTGGCCGTTTGCAAGGTTTGGCCGTCCTCCAGCGCTGCAGCTGCAGGTGTCGATGCCCTGGTGGAGGAGGCCTTGCTGGGCGCTTTTGACGACGCCATATCATCTGGCGCGTTGGGAGCGGGAGTAGTGTCGAGGTTGGAATCTCCAGTTCGCGCCGCGTCAGCGTTGGGTGGACTGTCAACCTTGGTAGATGGGACTTCGCCTCCCCCATGCCGAGCATCGACCATGGCAAAATACTCGGTGCAAGAGTACTTCGTTTCAGATGATGCGCAGGATAGACGGCAAGAGCGCCTCTAAGAGGGAGCGCAAGCCGTCGTGGCGGCAGGTGTGAGAAGGCACCCGCAGAGAGGCGAATATCAAGGCAGCATGGAAGGCCCTAAGAGTGCATACATGCGATTGACGAGGGGAGGAGCTCGAAAACGGCAGAATCCAAAGGCGTAGACTAGTGGGACGGCAAAGCCGCTGGCGGAACGCGGAAATAGGTGGGTTGGGAAACGGAGTCCAGGGGAGCGTGGGAGTGCAGGGGGAATATGGAAGGTGAGAGGAGAGTAGTAGACGACAGATGGGGACGCGGGAGAGAAGAAGAAGTCGGGCGCCAGACGATCGCCCGCCATGCCGGTCCTACTACGCCAAGCCAGAGCATTCGACCATTGCTGATTACCGGTACGCTCTTCAGAAGCATCCCTGTCCCTTAGAGGACGAATCGTGTGTCCAGGGACTTTTAGATCAGCAATGCCCGCCAATTCTTCCCCAGAAAGCATGCTGCAGCAGCGCTGCACCTCGCAGCAGCTTTCAGGGCCGATTTTGCAGGGTGCGGCGATCTCGTTATATCGTGCATCTCACCTCCATCATCGGCTAACAACCGTCTGGTTTCGGCCCAGCTGCGCCGCGACCTCGCACACAATTACGGCGCTGTCGCACGTTGGAATGATGGGGCTTGGGGCTCGCAGCTCCTCCGCGTCGTATTCGGAGGCCTGATGTCACTCGGCCGCTGCCGACTGCTTCATGTGCGGCAACGGCCTCAACATCATCATCCCCAACGAGCACAACAGTGGAACGACGGTCCAAGGTCAAGACGCGTCCAATGGCGCACGCCTGATGTTCTATGCGATGGTTCCTGATGGAACGAGCCCTCTTGGGGCGCTGTTCTGACGGAAGCTGACAGCAGCCGCACCCATCTAACGAGCTCCTGGCGTGCTGAGGCTTCTGACGAAGCGCTCGAGCATCCATTCTAACTGCAGGGCGGGAGCAAACATGGAGGGAGCAAGCGCACCGGCCAGTCAACGGCGAAGGATGGAGGCGAGGTGCGAATGGAATCGGTGAAGTTCACAAAGCTAAGCCGCCTTGGTCTCGCTTCTTAGCGCAGCAAGGGTCTGCCTCTTCCATGATACTTCCCAGAACCTCTTTGTTGAGCCAGACCCCGTGTGTCGGTCGTCGTGGCACCCACAGCAAAAACACAGTGGCCGTGGATCTCAGCGGGGATCCTCGTTGAACGAGCTGGAATACACTTTTGCACAAAGGATTCAAATATCGTGGTTGGCCTTGCGCCAGGTCTGCTTTTGGGCCGTGACTCCCTGTACAGCCGGAGCAGCCAACGGCGAAAACCCCCAGTAGCAGCCTGAGACGACACGCCTGCCGCGAAAGAGTGTCTTCGCCGCTATCTCGGGGTTTCTGCGCCTCGCATCGGGCGTGCCCTCACATCGCCGTCACTCTGCGTGTGGCGCGTCCGTCTTCGGAAAGGCCGGCGACTCCCTCACCAAACTCCCTCCTCTTAGGCGGACGAGGGAAGGGTGTTTGAATGCCGTGCGTTGCTTTGCGGCTGTTCTTCACGTATGCTGGTCGCGTAGGACGGACTGCAGAATCCTGCCAACGCAGGTTCTCCCTGCCGCCGGCCAAGCGCAGACAGCCGTGGGTCGAGGGGCCCGTCCTTCGCTCTTCCAGCCAGCCTGGGTTCGATGTCTCACTGGAGAAACTAGACGTAATACGACTGCGCGCTGCCACTAACAGCGGCGGCTTGTCTTTCGCGCGTCGTTGCCCCCCACAAAACAAATCGTCATTGCTGATTTGCTGCGGGCACTTAGCGGCGCTAATCATTTAGACGCACCGGAAACACTGAAATGACCTCGAGCCAAGCCTTTGCGACCCCCATGGTAGAGACACACCCACATTCAGCTCATCCGCCCTGTTGCATCAAGATCTTAGTTTGCATATCTACGTGGTGAGGAAACGTCGCGGAACTAAACATGTTGTTGCCAGTATGGCGGGCATTGTATAGCTCCACCTTCCCGTACGACCGTGGCATCCCGCGCGGCGGGGACAGAATTCAACCGCTCTTCTGCTTCGCGCTTCGAAATCACAATTTATGACCACCAGATGAGGGGGACGTCTTGTCGCAGTCGCGATTCTTCTCCATCACTGTCGCCGGAAAAGGCCGAAAAGAGACCAAAGCACGACCTGCCTGTTCCGGTATTCTTTGTCATCAGCGATGTCCTCAAGTGCTCCCAAGTCCCCAATACCAGTATTATTACAATCGCTCGAAAGTGGCGACAATTGCACGTGAAAGCGCCCCGCGGAGCATGCTGTGTACTACGGTACGACCGTCTTGATGGTGGTACTGTCGCACAATGCCACCTACAGTTGAGCTGGTACATACCCTTGGAAAACTCCACTCGTGCTCGGCAAGCGGTCGTTGCATGTATACATTCGGGTCTGCGACTTGAACGCATATCAGACTGCTTTTCGGGCGGGAACGTACAACGGCATGATATGAGGGCGGTGCTACCTCGCTATGTAGGAGCGACACTCCGAAGATCGTGCAATATCAGCCGCCCATCTCCGCACCGGGGGACTTTTCTCGCAGTGGTTAACGTCCGCGATTGCGCGTGCTTCATGAAGAATTTGTGGATGGGAAGCGAACATCTGTGTTTACAGATAATGGAGGCATCTTCAGCCCACTTCCCCACCACATAGATTAGGATGTTACGTCCTATCCAGAAGGTTGCTGACAACTGCCAGACTGAGTCCTGGAGAATTCTAACGAAGCCCACAGCCATCGAATCTCCCGCAAAACTCTAGATGAAACTGCCAAGATTGTTCAACCAGGTCATCCACTTTTTGCACGTGAGCATTATGCAAGGGAACAATCGACTCGGACTGACGATGCGCGTTGCAATTAAACGGATCTACAGCTACACAACGTCACATTCCCACCACCATTCCAGTGCCACTTCCACCTTAGCGTATTACGTATGTTGACTTTTACCCCAGATTCAAACCCATCACTCCACCCCGGACGCGGCTCGATGTCCTGTTCCTGGGCGCGGCATGGACACGGACCTTCTCTTGTGATGCTGGGCTACCAGCTAACGCGGCATCACACCATCTACAAGGCGAAGATGGCCATGAGGCCAGCAAGACCAGCACCAGCGATCTTCACAGAGTTGGAGCTAGCAGCACCCGGAGACTCAGTGGACTGAGCACCAGATCCAGTCTCGGACCCAGAGGCAGAACCAGAGCTGGTGGCAGACTCAGCGCCAGAACGGGCAGAGGAGGCAACTGTTCGCAATTATTAGCTCTGATTGCAGTTTATAGGGTTTCGATAAACCTACCGGAAGCGGCGGCACTGCCAGCAGCGTTGGTAGCACTGGCCACAGCGCTGGAAACACCAGAAGCGGCAGCAGAGGCAGCAGAAGAAACACCACCAACAGCACCCTGGAAGTTGGTCTGGGAGCTGGGGAAGAGGCTGGCGTAGCAATCTTGCTGACACTTGGCGTATTTCTCGGTGTCCTCCTTAGAGCCGCTGCCCTGGTCGCAATTGGCAGCGCACTCAGTGGTCTCGACGACCTGAGAAGCGTTGGGACGCGCATTACCCATGCAGGCTGCCTGGCAAGTCACATCGCCTGCGTCGCACTCTTGGATGCAGCTGACTTGCGGCGTGAGGCTGGGGGATGCGGCCGAGGTGGGAGCGCTGGTGATGGAGGCAGACTCCTGGGGCAAGGCGAGGACGCCAGCGGCGAAAGCGAGAACGGCAATGGAGTACTTCATTTTGACTTTGTCGGGTGTGCTAAAGGTAACGGCGTGAAGATGGATTGACGAGATGGTATATTAATTAAGTAGTGCTAACGAGCGTATGAATTATTAAACAAGCAAACAAAAGCGAGTGTGTTTGGGGAATGTTGGGGAGGAGGAAAACTTTGGTGCGGAGGCAGGGCGCGTTTAATATTGGCTGAGCTCAGGGGGAGGGCCTCATCTTGCATATGGCTTGATATTGTGAACAGTAACCATCCCAGGACTAGCCCGGCTTGGTTTCATGCACTCGGGGCTTCTACGAAAATCAATGTTTCCTGCTTTGTAACTCTATGCCTGTTCTGGAAGCCATCACGACCACTGAAGGACACTAATATAAGAGGGCTACCTCGGTATATTTTATTCTGTCTGTTCGACGTTGTGCTAGAAGCACATGTTTGTACTCCGGTACGTCCTTCTTCCCGTGTAGTCATCTGTGTGGGGAAGCACGGTTGCAGCTTCCTTCGATCAGCACGCGCTAATGATCGGCCCGTTAGGGCGAGCGCGACTGCCCGGCGCGTCACATGTGCACGCGAGGCAAACAAACGCGACCTCTACCCGCCCTTCAGCACGCGCCTATAGCACGACCGCCCAGCAGTCGGGGCGGAATGGATAGCGACGATGACTTCGGCGACGATTTTGACGATACCGCATTTCTCGAGGCCGCGACGCAGGCAGAAAAAGAGAAAACGCCACCAGAATCGCCACGTCCGCTTAAAAGGCGAAAGATCGATCTTCCAAATGCAAAGACCGGGCCAACATCGCCAAATAAACATACGGGGAACCGACGTCCACGCCCTTTCTTGAGCTCGAGTGAGGATGATGACGTCGATGAGGAGAGCGATGAGTACGCACCAGTAGCGAACCACAGAAAACGCGCCTCAACCAAACATCACGGCGACGATTCCACCGCAGCAATATCTGTTGCATCGACAACCCGAAAAAAGCGCGGGCGCCCAAAGAAAATTGCCGACGAAAACGACAGCGAGAGCGAATCTCCACGCAAGCTCGGCGTCGCAGAGCAACGGCAGAACAGGATCCATCGACCTTCAGTGGCGCGTGACTTAACGGATGTTTACTTGACGCAGCCTCCACGAGAGGCGTCTCCACCATGGATGCCACGAGGGGCGATTTGGCAAAAACCAGCGACTAGCATTGGCATCCATAAGCCCGTCGTGTTCGACGCCATGAAGACGATGATGTTGCCTAGAAGGCATTCCATTGCGTCAAGACCGGCGTCACAAGCCTCGAGAGGTTCGGAGTCAGCTTCACCCACACGGCCCGTAATGTCACCCAACCCTGCGGCGGTCAACGGGACCTTGATGCAGTATGATGCTACAGAAGAGCTAGCTGACCTACCCTCGGATGCCTTCGCATCTTCCTCATCGTCCCCTCAAAAGCATGATGATGTTGTACTCGTTTCGGAAAGGCGGACAAGAGTTGTAGCACCGCAGGCCGGACTCAGGCAAACTACCCTCTTCGGCCGGACTGTTGTCAACGGCGAAATACCACAGTCGCAAGTCAACAAACGATATAGCTACATTGTGGACCAGCCAGAAGAACCACCCACACATCACAAGCTAGACCCGGAAGCAATCAAGACATGGGTTTACCCCACCAATCTAGGCACTATCCGAGACTACCAGTTCAACATTGTTGCTCGAGGGCTCTTCCATAATCTTCTAGTAGCTCTACCGACCGGTCTTGGAAAAACCTTCATCGCAGCAACAATTATGTTGAACTTCTTCCGTTGGACGACCGAAGCACAGATCGTTTTCGTCGCACCCACTAAACCACTAGTCGCACAGCAGATAGACGCCTGTTTTCATATTTGCGGTATACCTCGCTCGGCCACAACCATGCTCATCGGCGGTGTGGCACCAGCGCTCCGCGCTGAAGAATGGGCGAGCAAGAGAGTGTTCTTTATGACCCCTCAGACGCTGGTCAACGATCTGAAGCATGGCTACGCCGATCCTAAAAAGATCGTACTACTCGTTGTCGACGAGGCGCATCGTGCGACTGGAGGATACGCATACGTAGAGGCTGTAAGCTTCCTACGTCGTTTCAACGACAGTTTCCGTGTTCTTGCTCTCACGGCGACTCCAGGTGCCGACATCGACGCTGTCCAGAAAGTCATCGACGGGTTGGATATCTCTCGCGTGGAGATCCGGACTGAGAGATCGTTGGACATTGTCAAATATATACACGGTCGGAGGGTCGAGAAAAAGGTTTTCAAGACCAGCGACGAGATGCAAATGTGCATGGATCTGTACTCGCAGGCGCTTCAGCCTACAGTCAACAAGGTGGCTGGCTTGAACGCATTCTACTCAAAAGATCCTCTAGACATCACTCCATACGGAGTGACGCTCGCTCGCAAGAGATGGGCGCAAGATGCTGGTCAGCGTGCTACTCCAGCGCAAAAGGGCATGGTCAACAGCGTTTTTACGATCCTTGGTTCCATTTCGCAAGGGATGGAGCTGCTCAAATTCCACGGTATCGGGCCGTTTTACGTGAAGATGAAGGAATTCAGGGATTCTCAATCGCAGGGCAAATCGAAGACGAAGGAGAGCATCTGCAACAGCGACGCATTCAAGAAGCTTATGACAAGGCTTCAAACGTGGACCGGCGACGAGCATTTTGTCGGCCACCCAAAGATGGAGTTCCTTCAACAGGCCATCCTAGATCACTTCGTCAATGCCGGAGATGGGTCGGGCACGGATACCGCAGCTACGCAAACCCGCATTATGGTTTTTGCACACTTTAGAGATAGCGCTGAGGAGATTGTGCGTGTCCTCCGAAGGCACCAACCAATGATACGCCCGCGTGTCTTTGTTGGCCAATCTTCTGGCAAGAATTCTGAGGGCATGAATCAGAAAGAGCAGCTTGCCGTTATTGAGAAGTTCAAGGAAGGCACTTTCAACACCCTTGTCGCTACATCAATTGGAGAAGAAGGTCTGGATATTGGTGATCTTGACCTCATCATTTTGTACGATTCGAAAGCCTCTCCCATCCGAATGTTGCAAAGAATGGGTCGTACTGGACGCAAGCGCGAAGGCAAAGTCATCTTCCTGCAGATGGAAGGCAAGGAAGAGAACGACGCAAACAAGGCCAAAGACAGTTACGAAACGATGCAAGAGTTGATAGCCGAAGGCTCCAGATTCAATTTTCACGATGAGATCTCCCGCAGGATACTGCCTCGAGATGTCCAGCCGGTCGTGGAAAGACGAGCTGTTGAGATCCCGATGGAGAATTCTCAGTCAGACTGGCTCCCTGAGCCGAAAAAGAAACGGGGGAAGCCTTTGAAGAAGCCTCCAAAAAAGTTCAATATGCCTGACGGTGTTATTACCGGTTTCGTCACCGCTAATCACATGGGTGAAGAGATTGCACCCAAAAGCCGAACCACAAAGGCCGCGCCAGTGTACCCGAGTGAGGAAGTGTTGGAATTGCCGTCCTTGGAAAGTGTACTCCTAGATGAACCGGCGTCCCAAGACCTCCAGCAACGCTACATCAACATTTTCGACGAAGACGATGAGTTCATAAGCGCGTTGAATTTGCGAGCGTATCCAGAGCACCAACGAGTGTTATCCAAAACACATGGTTTCCCCCGCCATGGTCGGGCAACTCAATCTTTTGTGAGAACTATGCAGAGAATACACGCCATGGACGATGAACGATTGGATGACTTCAGGAGCAGGCTGCACTTAGAGGATATGGAGGATACTCCTCCAAATATCATTGTGTCAGACACGGCCACAGCTCCTATTATCACGGACGATATGTGGGCAGACGATGATCCGGCTTCGCAACCATTGCAAAAGGCCAAAGCTAAACCTAGACCTAAGCCAAAAGCGAGAGCGGACGCCGCGCCAGCTGCTCCGGACGATTTCTGGGCAGACGAAGATCCACTTTCGCAGCCGTTGTCAAAAGCAAAAGCTAAACCGGGACCGAAGGCAAAGGCAAAGGCTGATCCTAAGCCCAAAGCTACAATAACGCCCAAACAGGCAGCTCCTCGGGGCCGTCCACGCAAGGATCCGTCCGCAACAACTACATCTGCCAGGGCGCGGAAGACGAACACACCTACGTTTAGGGCACCCACATGGCGAGATTCTGGACTCGCAGAGGAGGGCGAAGAGTCCTCTCCACCACCTACCGATCCGCGTATGAGGATAGCATCCCAGGCGGAGACCATAGGGTCAGAAGACTCGGCAGGGGCGTTCGACCCCCAGGACACTCAAGCTTACCGATTAGACTCTGATCTAGTGAGTTTCATAGCTGACGATGACGAAAACATGGAATTGGCCCCAACCTCGAGTCTTCCCGGCCGTAGTTTCAACGGCCTTGGTAAAGGTACGCAGGCGATATTGAAAGCGGCACAGCCGAAGCGAGCGAAGAAGGTGGAGAAGATCTTCACCAGCGATATCAGTGATGACGATGCAGTCGTGAGTAGCGATAGCGGTGACGACTTTCCCGGTGATGACTTTCCACGCCGTACGAGCAAGGCAACGACGTCAGACGCGAGGGCCTTTGTTGTCGATTCAGCTTCTGAGGTTGAGGACGATGATGAGCCAGTCGTACCCAGGAAGAGAGCTCGGCGAGTCATAGAGGACGACGACGATGAGTGATGAGTTTGGTAACAGCATTGGATATGTAGCGTACAATACCCATCTGGTCTCTTGTAGAGATACCTGTACATATTGCCAAAAACGTTGAAAATGATGCTGAATTACGTGACTGTGTATCGGGCTATTTGTTTTGTTCAAACTGTTTCCAATAGACCGGGTCGTATCCGTCCATCGCTTGTGTGAAGGGCTCACCAGCTTTCACCCAGCCTTTGATGCCCCCAACAAGGGTCAGCGACCGAACCTCGGCCTCACCCTTCTCGGCAAGGTAATCCGCAAACCAACCTGAACACCGTGTTCCTCTGCCGGTGCTGGACCCTGCAGCCATTCAGCCAAGGCCACCCACAACAAGGCCGAATAACATGACATTCACGCCATGGCGCGCATAACGTGGGTATGCATCACAAAGACCGTCGACCGTCTTGTTGTGAGCTACGCAGGGGCGCGCCCGGCTGTACATGTAGATCATTGTTACGTACCACAGTAGAATGCGACTTGCTTCACCCCTGCGCGCTTACATAGGTCGAGCAAGACAGCTCTGTTCATGTAAAACGACTGCGCGGGTAAATTGAGGCTACCTCGGACGGTGCCGCCTTCATAGTCGTTGCGTCGTACGTCCACCAGGAGCAGGTCGGACGAGGACAGGTTCGGCAGGGCGTCTTCGCGTGTAAGGAGGGGTGCTGTGGTCTTTGGCGCCGGGAAGGCGTCGTACCAATTGGCCTTGGGCGCTTCAGACATTATGATGAAGTGTTTCGTTGAAAGCGCTCTGGTCTTCACCCTGCTCTGGTGATCTTGGTAGCCAGCCTTGCCGGGAGCCCTTCGGCGATGTCGCTGGGGCTCAAGGCGGCTCTCAGCCCTACGAGACGGCACTGGATCCGCACGAACGCCGGGCGATTCTGCCACCGCCACAGCACTCGCCACAGCGTCAGAAGGAGTGGACACATTTCCACGCTTCAACATGGTCCGATGGCAGCGTGATTACAATTCTCGGTGCAGGGTCCTTTGCTCCTTCATTTAACTTACCAATCGCTCCTTCCCCTTCGGCTCCTCGATCCCCGCACTATTGCCTTTCATTTAATTCCTCGTCTTCCCATATTAGGCCCTGAATAGAAGCCACCAAACGCCGCCACAACCACGTCTGAAGCTACCCCGTGGTCCACCGGCGTTTTATACAGTTGGCCTCTTTGAGTACCCCGCTGTCTGCCGGCTCCGCAAGTCTGGGCGCGCGATATATAGCCTGGGGTGAAAGAAGGTGAGTCCCGAATCCCGAGATGCGCTGGTCGCAGACGTTCGCTGACATTCTTCGAAGGGACTCTAGCTTTGCCAGAGCAGAAGATGCGGCCCGCAGCACAAGTGTTCTACCTGGCGGTGTTTTCGCTGCTGGGAAGTTCGCACGCTGCCAGCCATGCCGCTCCCTCAAAGTTTAAGGATGTGCCGGCAGACGTCTGCGATGTAAGCAACCGCTCCTTGGATACCCACTGCAACTATGCGCCTTCAAGCCACAATACTAAGTATCCCGCTGTACAGTTCGAACCCGGCGCTATTGTGTCCGACGCGTGTGCGAGCTATGATACCCTCGAGCAGCTAAACGAAGCGATACACCCCTACCTCCATTCGATTACCCAGAACACCGACTTCTTTTCGCATTACCGATTGAGCTTGTATAGCAAGAAATGTCCATTTTGGGATGACGAAGACGGCATGTGTGGCAACAGGGCGTGTGCGGTGAACACTTTGGAGAACGAGGAGGACATACCCTCGGTTTGGCGGGCGAAGGAATTGGGAAAGCTTGAGGGACCGACAGCGCAACATCCGGGCAAAAAGCAGCAAAGAGAGCACCCGCAGAAACCGTTACAGGGAAGCCTGGGTGACCAGGTGGATGAAAGCTGCGTGGTCGAGTACGACGACGAGTGTGACGAGCGCGACTACTGTATACCGGACGATGCATCGGCCACGGCGAAAGGCGACTACGTCTCCCTCGTGGACAACCCAGAGCGCTTCACGGGCTACGCTGGCGTGGGGGCTCATCAAGTGTGGGAGGCCATATATCGCGAGAACTGCTTCAGCAAACCACCGAAGGTGACCCAGTCGAGCGCTCAGTCCTCTTTGGAGGGGGCCTCGCCCTTTGGAGGCTTCAACAACCCTCAGCAGCTGCAGGCCGCGAACCAGCTGCGCAATGTCATGAAAGAGCAGGCTTTTGGAAACACTGTTAAATCAGCCATCGCTAAAGGAGCAGACCCAGCACGCCTAGATCCTGTCGAATTTGATGACACTTGTCTGGAGAAGCGCGTTTTCCACCGGGTCATCTCAGGGATGCACGCGTCTATCTCTACCCATCTCTGCTGGGATTATCTGAACCAGACGACAGGTGAATGGAGTCCCAACCTTGCCTGCTATGAGCAGCGGCTGCACAAGTACCCCGATCGCGTCTCCAACATCTACTTCAACTACGCACTCGTCATGCGTGCTGTCGGGAAGATTAAGCAACATATCAAAGACTACACCTTCTGCTCCGAGGACCCGGAGCAGGACAAGCGCACCAAAAATTCAGTGCTTCGCCTCGCATCTGCACTCCCAGACGGCCCAGAGATCTTCGACGAGACAGTCATGTTCCGCGACCCTGACACTGTTGCCTTGAAGGAGGACTTCCGCAACCGCTTCAGGAACGTGAGTCGCATCATGGACTGCGTAGGCTGCGATAAGTGCCGGCTCTGGGGCAAGTTACAGACGAATGGCTACGGCACCGCGCTCAAGGTGCTCTTCGAATTTGATGAGCACGATTCCTCGAAAGACCCACCGCTCCGTCGCACAGAGCTGGTCGCGCTCGTCAATACCATGCACCGACTCTCGCATTCTCTCTCGGCCATCAAGCAATTTCGTCAAATGGTAGAAGACCGCGACGGTATTCAACGTGCTGCGGTCCCAACAGCACCAGAGACGGAGAAGGAAGTCGAGAAAGTGAAGCAAGTCCTTGGAGATGGTACAAATACCGACGAGGCCGTCCCGGCCGACGATGGCATGCCGGAAAAACCAGACTTTAAACGCAACTGGGGGATCCCAACAACATGACTTTGGCAGAGAATTTCTGGCAGGAATTCGACCTAGTCTACCGAGCATTTAAGTATGTATTGAGGAGCTGGCTCGATATGCCAGGTACATTGTAGGTTTGCTTCCATGAAATCGTTCAGAGAGCGGCTTGCTAATAACTTGCAGCTTCAAAATCTTTATCTTTGAAAGTGGTCGCTTGTGGAATTGGTGGCTTGGCGTAGCGCCAGGTCCGCGTAGCTGGTATATTCACGTCCCCCCAGCACCACGAGCTGTAAATTCAGCCTTGTCCTTATATATACATACTTGTGTAGGTGCGTGGCCTCGGCGTTCGATCATAGGCGCGCTATTAGAGCATTAGAGAGGCGTTTGTGTTCTATTTTAGGCTCGCCAGATAGACAGGGCAATATTGTTGGCTATACCCAGATATTCCGGCAAGAAAACATATGCATCCGCATTCTTTGTTTGTGAGAAAGTATCCACTTGATCCACTTGAAGAGGAGGCTTGGTATAAGCTTCTCTAGATGGCAAGACTTTCAAGATAAGTACACCCAACCTTACGTGTCCACATGGACTTCGGCTCCACGCTATTCAGACAATGCATCTGCAAGTCGATCAACCATTGTCTCGAGGCAGACTTGAGCTGTGAAGAACCTGTAAATGATGAGACCTAACGTTGTCTCCGACAATTAATGTTCACGCGAGAGTCGGCTTTGCTTCACGTCCAGAAAACGAGTCTGCGAATCCTCTGAACTTCTCCACGCGGAGATGACAGCCAGTGGGGAGCATGAAGTTCTCTTGAGATATTCCAGGACAATGCCTTGGCAGGCAGATCTTCCACCAATAGGCATCATGTACATGCCAACACCAAGAAGTACCCCACGAAGACTCAGAACAAAGTGTGGACTTCTTCTTCGTTCTGCACTTGCTCAGCAGCAATCAAGATGGCATCTCAGATCGAACCTTCCGCTCTGCTCGCTTCTCTTTCGAAAGCTGCTCTTCTCCCCTCTCCAGTCATACCCTCGACTTTCAAGCCTTCAGTCGAGCTCTCCGTATCCTTCAATGAGAAACCAGTCGTCTCCGGCAACCTCTTCAGAGTGAGCCAGGTCAAAGACGCGCCCAGCGTTTCCTTCACCCCAGAGGTATATTCAACCGTTAACCCCATCTCACCAACCCTTCGTTCGATCGATCTTCTTCCCAGTGCGGCCCAGTCTATATACATTTCTTCTCGTTACACACGTGACTAATCTCCCCAGTTTCACCACTCCTCAACAACAAGCTACACACTCCTTCTAGTCGACCCTGATGCACCGACCCCCGACGACCCAAAGTTCGCATACTGGCGCCACTGGGTCGTCTCGCGCATTCCTTCGTCTTCACCTTCTCCGTCCAACGGCACCACTTTAACACAGTATCTCGCCCCCGGACCCAAGGACGAGTCCAAGCCGCACAGGTACCTGTACCTCCTTTACCGTGAGCCGGAGGGCCTGAAGGAGCTGAGTAAAGAGGATGTGGGTGGGGAGGAATTCGTGGAGAGGAGAAGCTTTGGGACAAAGGAGTGGGTCGAGAAGTGGGGTTGGAACTTGTGGGTGTGAATTGGATGTTGGGGGCGGGAGATGGGTGGAATGGGGGAGGGATGAGCTTTGAGGTGGTGGGCGATGGGCATGGTCAGTATAGACGCACCGCTGCGACGAAGAAGAGGCCATCTGAAAACACCGTGATCTGCTCTTTCTCACGAGGCACAGTGATACCCGCCGATCAAACAAATCCTCTGCACCTACTTGATGAGTTTAAGATGTGTACACGTCCGAGTGGTGACGTTCGTTTCGAATGGATATTAAGTGCAGATTCATGTAGCTGATTCAACGAAGTTGGGACCAATCATGTGATTTCGCTAACTATATTAGGAAGGGTATTACGCTAAAACCAAGCGCCACAAGCCAATTTCGCGCGCTTCCACTCCAACTTATTTCTCTTCCTTCAACTTCCGCGCGATACTTCCTCCTACTCCCTTGAAAGTCGCTTCGCCCAGAATTTCAAAGACTGCAATGTCATACTCAAACGCGCTCGCAATCCAGTTCCTCAAATCAATCGCCGTCAAGGAATCTACTCCGTAGCTGTGAATCGGTCTCTCAGCCTCCATCTTCTCCGGCGGTACGGATGTCGTCTTTGCAACTCGTTGAATGAGTGCGTCGATAACTATGTGCTCCGCTTCAGCCACGTCTGGTGCGGCATTAATAGAGTCCTTGAGACTCGCGGAACGTGAAGTTTGTCCTGTTTCGGCAGCATCCGTCGCAGAATTGGAGTCTCCCATATCGTAGAGGTGCGCCCATAACGAATGCTTCATGCCTTCTGGTACTTCCTTGCCTTGCGCAATGCGGCGGCCTGGGGGCTCAATCCCAATGATCGGCTGTGCCTGCTCGACCGATTGTACCGTAACCGCCGGATCACAGTAATACTCGAGCAACGCCAGCAACTCTTTATCAGTGACAGGAGTGTACTGGCCGGTCTGAATGAGGCGAGTGTACATGAGGTCCTGGCCTGCAAGCATGCCAATGTCTTGAGCAGCGCCGTAGTCGATGGCGATGGCCTTTTGGCCTTTACCGTTGAGGTACCTCGCGAAATTGTCCTGATAGGCGTTACCGGCGGAGTATGCGCACATGGATATCAATCCGGCCATGCCGCCCACAGAGGCAGTCATGATGAAGAAGTCGAGGTTGGAGGGAAGAGCGGCGTAAACGCAGTCGGTTCCCTGCACCTTGGCAGAAGTTCGGTCCACCCACTCGGGGTACGACATGTACTCAAAGGACTTATCTTTGCCCGATACGGCCAAATGCAGGCAACCAAGAATCGGAGGCATGCCCTCTTGAGCGTCGCGGATCGCTTTCTTCACGCCATCGGCATCTGTGACGTTGCACATCGGCGTTGCAAGAGTGATGCCCATCGCCTGAAGTTCGGCAACAAGCTTCAATGCCTCCTCACTTCGAGGTCCAGACCGCGAAAGAAGAATCATATACTTCGCGCCCTTGCTTGCTAGCCAACGAGTAACCTCACGACCAAGTCCACCGAAAGCTCCGGTGAGGACGTATGTGCCATTGGCACTTAGCGCGTATGCCTCTTTTTGTGGGACTCGGGTCTGTCGAGACTTGTTAGTACTGTATCAGTAACGTTCGTGCGTCTGAATGGCTTACTGGAACAGAATCACTGGAGCTGAAAGTCAACACCACTCTCTCACCATTATCAACCTCAGCCAGCTTCTCAAAGGCCCCGGTAAGATCCGATGATGGATAGGTTTGGACCTTGTCCTGCTTGGCTATAGAAGCGGTACTGATCGCAACCTGTAGAGCAGGCTGAAGTATCTTCGGACGGGAATCTGCGAGCGCAGCAACATCCAAATTGACAAAGGTGGTGTTACCCGCGGAAGAAGGTGCTGCAGACGGCTGCTTGTCGTTCGCGATTCGCACGTACGTTCCAAAGCTTGATAGGACTTCCGCACACGCCAGATCTGCACGAGTGCTGATCACAGCATCTGCTCCTCGACCTCCGTTGAGCGCCTTGAACTGGTGTTGGAAGGGCGTTGTGGAGACGAGAACATTGCGCGGTGGCAATCCAGTTTCCTTCTCCACTTCGAGCTTCTCGTTGGAATTGGGCACAAGAACGAAGACGTTAAGCCCAGACGACCTGCTGAAGCGCAACATGGCGCGAAGAAGTGAACCCGCGCAGTGGAGAAGGATGGAATCGTTGACCTCGAGCTTCGCAACGACTTGGATAGCATGTGCAGCAGTGACTATATCGTCAGGCAGTGCGCAGGCCTGTTCGAAGGAGACGGTTTCCGGAAGGAACACCACGGTATGCATCGAGGAGCGAGCGAGCGAGCCGCATGTCCCACTAGAGTGCATCCATACTCTCTGGCCCGCTTGTAGTTTGCAGCCGTCCCCGACACGGGTGACAAATCCTGCACAAGTTCTTCCAAAAGCGTGAGCTTCCGACCGCCCAGCTGCGATGAGATGATCTTCATGGCCGAGGCCTACGGCCCTGACTTGGATCTCTACTTCGTCGAAGGCCAAAGGCTCATTGTGTCTTGTGTCTGCCGTAAACGCAAGCGTGTCAAGCTGTCCTGGGACGCCAGTGGTCAGACTGAGACTGGATTTATCCGTGATCTGGCGCTGGATCGTGCGCTGGGGTTGCATCCTAGCCAAGAAGTCTTGCCGCAAAGCAGGCTGTGGCACCACACGTTGGACGTGGAATAGGCCGTCTTTCTCGGTGACTTCGTGTTCATAATTCTCGGATGTGGTGGTGACGTCGAGAATTCGAACAATGCCATCTGCTTGATTCTCAGTCAGGGTTTCCGATGGCTCTAAAGCCAAGTGAACGAGCTTGAGGTGCGCGGCTTCGAGGCGGAATGATCGTGCAAAGCCATCAATCATCTGGAAGCCCGGTTGGTGCGGGTGGTTTCCGCCACCGCGTGAGACCCACAAGAGAACGTTCGCCCTCTTCAGCAGTTGTTGAAGACCGTCATACTGTTGTTCCGACATGTTGGTTATGAAAGGTCCGTCAAAATCCAGAAGAGAGATGCACGTGCTGATAGGTACTCCAGACTCGCCCAGCAAGTCGTTCAACTTGATGATCTTACTTTCGGTACTTGCAGCTGCACGGAGTTGGTTTTGTACGATTTCCGCCGCACATAACTGAGCAGTAGACCCACTCTCGATGATGAGCGAGATTTCGTACTCGGGTGTAGATACGACTGGAATATCGTTGGCAGCTGCAGAACAAATAAGGAAGTCCATCTGATGCGCATCGTCATTTTCATAGTCGCGCATGACGATATCTGTTCCCGTAAACCCATTCTCCTTCATTAGCCGATCCCACGTCGGTTGATCGGCCAAAGGACATAGCCTCCGGTATTCTTCGACGCCCAGCCACCAACCAAGGAACACACCGAAGGCGTAAAAGTGGGAAGGATCCTCAGGTGTGGTCGGTTCTTGCAGCAAGAGCTTACCACCAGGCTTGAGCAATTTCCGAGTGTTTGTTAGTGTTTCTCCCAGGTCACGAGTGGCGTGGAGCACCGAGATCGCGATGATGATATCGTAGGTTCCAAGCTGGAAACCCTGGCCTTCAGGATCGGATTCAATGTCCAAGACCTTGTACTTCATCTTGCTGCCGAACTCGGCATATCTAGTAGCGGCTTGGTCGAGGAAAGTCGGGCCAATGTCTGTGAAGTCGTAAGACGCACATCGCAAGCGCTTCGCTCCGTCTTCTCCGGGGACACTGAGCGCATCTAGGATATACGAAGTGAACGTTCCGGTTCCGCCACCGATTTCCAAGATCCTCAAATTCGGTCTCTTGTGTGCGAGGAGCGAGACGTAGTGGACGAGGCGTTTGAAGTATATCTCCATCTGTGCTTTCTCCTCGTAGTACGAGGGTAGCAGGCGATCCGGTCCGAAAAGCAGCTCGTGCGGCGGTTGGCGATCGAGCACTATGTCAAGAAGTCCCTTATCAATTTCGACGATAAGGCGACCCTCTGTACCATGCTGTAGGACTTCATCCTCGAGGTCTGATAGGCTTGCGTCTGGAAGTACGACATCTGGACGCCGCAATAGAGACCTAGCCCATTCCACGAACGCACGTCCGTGCTGTGTTGGCGGAGTCGCGTTCAGGATCCCCAAACGCATATCCAAATTCTGTAATGAGAGCAGTATGAAGTCACGGATCGCCTTGCGTTTCACGATGGGATCCAGTGTAGTCGGAAACGCCTCGGCAAGGTATGCTTTGAGCTGCTCAGCGTTCAGCAAATCGACGTCCACTTGTGAGCAGACGTAGTTCAAGACATGTTCGGAGCCAGGTGGCAGCAAGTCCTTGCTGTTTGATGATGCGACCATGGTGAGCTCAATCCCTTCCACCTGTAGAAGAGTCTGGCTGTAGTCTTGGCTGAAAACCTGACAAGATCCCTTCGCGTGTCGCTGAGTGCGACTTTGCACCGTTGTAACCGAATTGACATGGGAATCCTTCACGTTCAAGCCCTTGTCAGACATCCAGACTTTGTCGATCTTGGTAGGAATGAAAGTTCCGGGGCGATCATTGCCGGCCTGGAAAAGGATCGCGAATTCGAGGTGCATGATTGCATCAAGCGTCGCAGGGTGCACAATGGAGTCCTCGCTCACAGGCGTGACTAACGGTTTGATCTGGCCTAGGACCTTGTTGTACTTGGAGTCGTATCGGATGTCCTGTACAAGCTGGAATGCCGGGCCGTATCCGTACCCCATCTCCCAGAGATACTGATAGAAGACCTCAATATCAAGACTTTCATCGCATGTGAGTGCAGCTTCAGACGCATCTATACCTGGTATCGCGTGGGAAAGATCGGCAGCAGCCTTGAGATAGACCTGAATCTCGCCTCTAGAGTTCTCGACCCACCCATTATCGCCTTGCACGGAGTATAGGACATACTCGAAGCCATGGTCGGTATTATCAAGTGGCCGCAAACCGATACGTGCTTCAAGCTCTCCTCGCGATGGTGGGATGTTCAGAGCCGTAGAAAACTTTACGTTTCGGAACTGGTAGCCCTCGATGTCGCCTGCCGGCGCGACCATCTGGCGAGCCGCCTCGGCAGCCATCACCATCATTCCGGAAGCAGGATACAGTGTAGCGCCGTTGATTTTGTGGTCCTCAGTCCAAGGAAGCTCTTTGGTACGGATGAAGTACCGCCACTGCGGAGCAAGTGGGCACCACTCCAGCGATCGTGAACCAAGGAACTCCTGGTGACCGTGTTCTCTCAGGCGATAGTCTTTGTTGATGCGGCTCTCATGCCAGAAGGTTTGCGACTTGTCAAACGGATATGCTGGAAGGTTGGTGACTACGGCGCGGGGAACGCCTGTGGGATCGTTGGTCTGCCTCAAATCGACATTGAGGCCTCTGCAGTGCAGGCGCCCGATGAGTTGCTGTACAGTCTCAACAGCAGACGCATTCCTAGAGATAGCAACATCATACTCCACTTCAGAGGCTCTGGGCGTCTTCTTTAGAATATCAAGGACAGGCCCTTTCAGAGCTGAGTGGGGTCCAATCTCGACAAGGAGGTCAACTGCAGGCGTCATAAGGTGGCTTTTGTCAAGTTTCTTGGTCAAGGTCTTGGGCGAGATGGCGGACATGGCCTCCACAGCCTCATCAAATCGGACCGCGGAAACCATGTTGTCGACCCAGTACTGCGCTCTTTGCAATTGCTTCGCAGTTGCTATCTTGCCCGTCACAGATGAGACCATCGGAACTTGCAGCTTTTGATCGGGCAGGCTGCCGATTGAGTCGCCGTAGTCGGCTGCAATGACTTCCATCTGCGGCGAGTGATAAGCCACAGGAACCCGCAGAATCCGATTGAAGACCGAAGCAGCATCTAGAACCGTCTTGAGATGATCGACCTGGTCGCTCGGTCCGGACACAGTCATACTCCGCGGACTGTTGTAGCAAGCAACGCGCAATGCCCATGGTGAAGAATTCGACTGGATAACTTCCTCAAGATACGGGCGCGCCTCAGCTTCCGAGAGACCGACAGCGATCATACTGCCAAGATAATCTGTCCGAGATGGCAATGTCTGAGCATGGTACCCTCGGTGGTATGCCAGCGACCACGCAGACTGTCTTGATATTGCGCCCGAAGCGTAGGCGGCAGCAATCTCACCGGACGAGTGCCCTACAACCGCGGCTGGCTTCACTCCACAATGGTCGAGGAGATCTACAAGCGCGACCTGTAGGACAGTGCATAGCGTTTGCGAGCTAGTCGGGTCGTCGATGCTCAACTTCTCGAGGCTTGTGAACATTGTGACAGCAGACCAGGGGCATCTGAGGCTCCTGAGGTGCTTGTCCGCTCTCTTCACACTCTCTGCAAAAACCGGGTAAAGCATCAACTCACGGCCCATACCGAACCATTGTGCGCCTTGGCCGGTGAATACAAAGCCCAAGCGTGGCTTCTTGTCCTGAATTTTCCGGGCTATCGATGATCGCGAGTTGATCTTTGCAAGGTCTTCGGGAGTAGTCACTGTGAGAGACGACCGCCAGGGGAGGTGATCGTCTGCTGTCGAGCGTGTACGCCAGATCGCCGATGGATAACTTGTGCTGATTGAGAGAGTCTTGGTAAGATGACAAGACGCGTGCCAGGGCTTCCTCAGTATCAGCTGAGAAGACAAGAGTCTTTGGCATCTCAATACCAGCTTCCGACGAGTCGCTATATCCGGAGTCGGAACCATTGGAGAGACCGCTTGAGGAGCCATTACCGTTGTGGTAGTCATTCGCGGATTCACTCGCTTGGAGATGAGGGCGCGCCACAGTACGATGGTTGGCATGCAAGCCGCGCAGCCGGAGGTAATTGTATGCATCGTCCAGCACCACATGGCTGTTAGAACCACCGAACCCGAATGAGTTGACGGAAGCCCTCCGCAGACCATTTGAGGGCCATTTAATGACACGCTCTGGAATCTTGATACCAAGATATTCAGCATCGATCTTAGGGTTGAGACCTTGGAAGTCGAAGTTCGGCGGTATCAGTCCATTTTCCAGGACCATAATTGCCTTGATCAGACCAGCTATGCCACTAGCACCTTCTAGATGGCCAATGTTGCTTTTCAGCGCACCCCTTGGCTAAGTGAGAAAATGCACGATTTGTGTGTTGATCGCAATACTCACAATATCAATGGATCGGCCGGCGACCTGGCTTCCTGAAATGCCCGACCCAGAGCCATCGACTCTATCGGATCGCCCAAAGACGTACCGGTTCCGTGTGTTTCGCAGAATCGCGTGGGCTCCATGGAGAGACCAGCCTTTCGGTACGTCTCTAGTACGAGCTGTTCTTGTACTGCACTACTTGGTTGGGTTATACCTGGCGTCTTGCCATCGTGATTACACCCTGTCGACCGTATAACGGCTCGGATTGTGTCTCCGTCTGCAACAGCGTCGCTCATCCGCTTCAGCACCACCGTGCCAAAACCTTCTCCCCTCGCATAGCCATTGGCTCGAGGGTCGAAGCTGTGTGACTGACCATCTTTGGACAACATGTTAAGATTAGTGAGCATAGTGAAATACTCTGGAGAAAATGTGAGGTTGCAGCCACCGACAAGACTCTGTAACAGTGAGCATGTGATGTTTTCAACTATAACAGGATACCGATCGCCTTACCATCTTCGTGGACCCATTGCGAAGGTTTTCGCAGGCGAGATCCAAAGCCATGCCACTACTTGAACATGCAGAGTCCATGTTTACGCTAGGGCCTTTGAGATCGAAGAACCAACTTATTCGGTTGGCGAGAATGGATGCCCCTGTTCCGGTAGCGGCATATGTTGGTATTGCCAGGGGATCTTTGGTCAGTTGTATCAAGTAATCTGTAGTAAAGCATCCGGTATATACGGAAGTACTCGAGCCAACTAGTTCGTGCATTGGTATACCAGCTAATCAAATTAGGCTCGAATCGAAACTGCTCGTCACAGAAAGCGAACTTACCGTTCTCGAAACCGTGGTACGCGGTCTCTAGCAAGAGTCTTTGCATCGGATCCATGGCACGAGCCTCTGTGTGTGATATGGAAAAGAAACCGGCGTCGAACGCTCGTATGTCATCTTTGATGAAGTGTCCTCGACGCATAGGGATCTGGTCCTCATTGTTAACAACGCTTTGCATGATCAATTTTACTCTCCAGACTCACGTCTCCGCTCCTTTTTATGCCCTTCTGGGAGAATGCTTCGATGTTGATCCGATCGCTGAGGAATTCTGATGCTCCGGAACGGCCTTCAACAAGCATGTCCCAGAACGCATCTGCGTTGGTTGCATCGCCCGGCGCCTTGAGGGCGAACCCGATAACGGCAATCGGCTCAATGAGTTCGCCATCTACGATATCATTGATCTCGTGACCAAAGGAGTCATTCTCAGGGGTCCGTGCGTCGGGCGGTGTCTCAACGTAAGGCATTATTGTAGTAAGTACTGAAGGGGAGTACTGGAATGAGTGAAAGCGAAGGGCAGAGGGTAAAGACTCCAGTTATCTCCTTGAAGCAATTGCACCTTGAACCTATCAGATGCTCCTACGGAGAATACCGTTACAACGCTCAAGGCACACTCGAGGACGAGAAGTCATTGACCTATCATGAGACCTCGTTGCGCGATATGGTCAAGCCGGGGAAAAGAGCATGTACGATCCTGGCCACGAAACGGGTCTGGATGGGGAACCAGTCCGCGCGTCACTACAGCAGGCGTCCACCACGGGTACCGAGGTAGCATCTCCATGTCTTTGGCAATCTGTTCGCCAGTTTCTGGACTTCTTACGCGCGAGGCAAGCAATTCACTCACCTCTCTACGTTACAATCCGATGCCAAGTGACCATTCTACCTGCCTTTTCAGGACTGAATCGACAGATTAACATGTGTGTTTTCGGGGTCAGCCCGGTGAATTGCCTCTACACGTTAGGTAAGGGTCCGTACTAGTAGGGATACTAGGCGCTGAGAGCGGCTGATAGCAGCACCAGTGGCACCAGCGGCACCGGGAGTGCCGCAACGCTATTGTGGGCCGGTTCCCGCAAGGCTTGTACAACCGGTAATGATGCTCCACCAGCAGTAACGGTAATGAGCTGTTGATGGTCTATAAAGCTCCGCTTGGAGGGATCTTGCAGAGATCGCCAATTCGGACTCGGACTTGTAGATAAAACACCAAAGCTCAACGAAACAAGCCGTCCTTGGAAGCCTGAGAACAGGCTAGAACAACGAAGGGACGACTATACACTCCATTCACGATGCGTTTTTTGATGTTACACGGAGGCGGTACCAACAACCAGGTCTGTTTTCAAAGCACATTTTACGCTCATACGGCTGCTGATACCGAATCAGATCTTGGAGCTGCAGACGGGTAATAATCCCTAACCGATCCCTGCTATGGTCCTAGCTTTACTTACCCGCGCTCGTCTATAGCTGCCATCCGCTATGAGCTCGGACCTCAACACTCGTTTGAGTTCGTTGAAGGCTCTGTCTCAGGGCCGAAAGCCCCAGGTATCGATTCACTTGTGAGGCCAGAAGACAATTTCTTCCACTACTATGACCCCACATCAGCCACCACCATTACGAAGGCCGTTGACGACTTGGAAGACTACCTAGAGCAGGTATTGAATGCCACCCCTGAGTCTGCGGCTGTTTCTAATCTAGGCAGGATGGGCCGTTTGACGCCATCTTGGCGTTTTCACAGGGATGTGGCCTCGCGGCAACATGGTGCTATCGCGCGCAGCAGTTGCAGCACATGCCAGTCAAGGGAATAGTCTTCTTCTCCGGCGAGCCCGCGCATAGCCTCGTGGGTCTCGCACATGGCGAGGCTCGACATCTGGATCCACAGTCGGAAGAAGGCTTATTGCGCTTGCCCACGGTGCACGGTGAGTGCTCTTTCATTGTTGCTTGCATGCACAAAGCATCGGCTAATCCGGTGGCTTGCGGACAGTATGGGGAGCGAAGGATGTCACTAATCCCGAGCGTAACAAGCAGCTCTACGGACAATGCGACGCTGGGAACAGGGGACCGGTGATTCTGCATCAAGGGGCGCACGAGCTTCCAGGTGCTGGCATGGACAAGGCTGTGCAGGAAATCGTGCAGAGGATTCGCCGACTTGTGGGGAGGAAGTGAGGTAGATGTTAAAGGTCAGTGCAGCATGAGTTTGAGTTTGTCGAGCAGCAGGTAGAACCGCGCTGGCGGCTTCTGGTTATGTAAGGCATCGTGCCTTCCCAAAACTTCGAGCTCCCAAGGTTGTACTTGACTGCGCCGCTGTGCAAAATCGGTCCATTCCTCTATATATCCACTAGTCGCTACTCTTGTTTTTCCGTGCTATCTTGACACTCAACATGGCTTTGCAACAGTTTCCCGATAAGTCTAAGGCTATCAAGACTGCTGACGGCACGACATACGCCTATGTAGTCGTTGCCGCGAAGAATCCTTCCAAATCAACTTTTCTCCTCCTTCACGGTTTTCCCAGCTCAAGCTACGACTGGCGCCACCAAATAAACAGCCTGACGGAACTCGGCCACGGCATTATTGCCCCAGATCTACTTGGCTATGGAGGAACAGATTCACCAGCAGAGCTGGAGAAATACAAGTTCAAGACGCAAGCTGGTCATATTGCCGAGATCCTGAAAGCAGAAGGCGTTGCGCCAGTGATTGGCGTCTCGCACGACTGGTATGATGCTCGAACGCTCGCCGAAGCCGCTTCTCTGACAGCCGCAACAGGGGCTCAGGACTACTTTCTCGCGTCTACAACTACCACCCGGAGCTGCTCAAGGGGCTGGTCTTCCTCTCGGTTCCATATATGGAACCCGGCCAATTCAACCTAGGTAGGTGACCGAGCCACTATGGGATGTCGATCGCCGTTTCTGCACTTAGCACAAACGGGCTTGATCGTCTCATAGCATACTCTTTGCATGTTGCTGTATGCTCACTTATCTTAGCTGCTATCAACGGTCTCACCGAGCAACTATTCGGGTATCCCGTCTTCGGATACTGGCAGTTCTTCAACCGAGATGACGCTGCGGACATTTGCGACAAAAATGTAGGTCTAACATACTTCATGTGTGTTCTCCGACGTGCCATGACCGGATCGCTATCCGACATTTGGAGCGTAAACTTCGGCAACGTGGCGATGCAGCAGTCTCTAAGAAGTGGTGTTCGCAATCCTTCGGGCTTTCAAAAAAGCACATGTTGTGCTAGCGTCCTTCGCTAGGCTCATTGCTCTACCCTGGCATAGCTGACGCGTCTCTAGAACTCATCGCTTTCGTCATTGTTATACCCAAGCACACCTGAGGTGCATCGTGAGCATCTCTGCCCTTACGGAGCTGCGGAAGCTTTCATCTCCTCCGGAAAACAATCAGAGATCCCCAGCTGGCTCTCCGAGGCCGAGGTCGCCACGCATAACAAGATTATCGGTGATAAGGGCTCTTCCGGACCCTTGAGCTGGTATGTAACCCAAAGAAACTAGTGCCGTAATCCAGAGCTAACTTGTGGGTCCTATAGGTACAAGGTCACTGTACGAGGGTTGAACGACGAAGACGAAGCTACAGTCCCTGATGAACGTAAGACAGTGAGTCTGCCGACGGTGTTCGTCAACTCAGACCAGGATCCGATCACGCGTGTCGAAGTAGCTGGCCAAATCGCGCAGAGTGGCAAGTTGACAGACGTCAAGCTTGAGATCATTCAAGGAAGTGGCCACTGGATCCAACTGGAGAAGAAGAACGAGCTGCTAGAGATTCTGAAGACTTTCGCAGAGAAGCTCTAGATGAGTTGACAGCCAACCGTGTAGAAATGTACAGTCAATGGCAGTGGAGCTATGCCAGCACGTTCCTCAGATTGTGGCGATCAGTGCCCGTGTACTCGATAATTCATTGTGAAAGATTCCCATTGGGATCATATTCTGTCATTTTCCGGCTCGATGATCAGCCATTGCGCTACATGCGCGTTCCTCTGAATCTGTCGTTGATCAGCGCCCCACTGCTGTCGAACGCGCAAGTGATGCTCTGAAGACGGTGCGGCGTTTAGCGCATCAGCCTGAGTCACACGTGCCAGCTGCTCAAGGCAAGGATGTTAATCCTACTCACGACACCCTAGCACGTGCCTAGCCTGTTGACATCTCCGATAATATATTAATCTGCATGCAACGCATGCCTCAACAAGCATCGTATGCAGATAGCCAGCATCGCTTCACTCTCACCCCACGTACTTCGCCCCGTTGTTTTGAAACGAAGCGCTATAAAACGTTCTCGGTAGAAACCACATCAGATCATCATCAGCCACTGGAGGATCTTCTCAACATGGGAGCCGAACAAACCCCTGCCACGACTCGCTTTCCCCTTGTTCCTCCGTCCTCGTTATCCGCGGCCCAGAAGCCTGTTCACGACCATGTCACTTCGGTCTCCAAATTCGTCTTTGGAGAAAACCCACCCTTTGCCTGGGCTGACGATGAAGGAGCCCTAATCGGACCCTTTACCTCCATGCTGTAAGTTCATCACATGCGCTACGGGCTTGTGCCTTACCTGCATACGCACATTGGACGTTAGCGCTCCTTCCTTTGTGGAGACGCTGCTTGTGCTCAATCACCGCTAAGCGAGCATGAGTAACAGGTACGCACCATCTACCGGCACCGAATTCTTCGACCATGCAATCAAGGTTGGCACCGACAAACGCCTGCCTATCCGCGTGAAGGAGCTTGCTATTCTCGCGGTCGGGGGCCATTTCGAGGCGGCCTACGAGAATTATGCTCACGCGCAGCTCGCGAAGCTCATCGGGCTCAGCGACGAACAGGTGGCAGATGCTCTGGCGGGACGAGAGCCTGTGGGTCTTGCCGATGCAGAAATTGCTGCATATCGGCTTGCGCTGGCCATGGCGAACAGCAAGGGGCCCGTAAGTGATGAGATCTGGGGTCAAGTCAGAGAGCATTTTGGGCAGGAAGAAAGTGCTGTCCTGGTGTTTCTGATTAGCTCCTATGCTTACATCGCCATGGTGTTGAATGCTGGGGCTGTTCCAGCGGCGCTGCCGGCGAAGACCGCAACGGCAGCCGCTTAAAGTTTCCATCGACGGGAGTGACGGTAGACTAGTTCCTTCCGTGTGGGGCTTCGTAGACGCCATCGAGGCTGAATCATACCACAATGTCTGCAATGCAGTGGGTCTCAACGTTCCCTAGTCTCAACGCCCTCTAGTATGCACCAGTGACCTGCCACAATTTATTTCCAGGTCCGCAGGCCCGCAATGGTTCCCCGGTGACTGTCCCCGACCACAGCCACCTACTATCCCTTATGCAGACTACCTCATCGGTATTCGTACAAGAAATGCCAAAGTTGGACTGTGGGTTGTTAGTCACTCGTATGGCCCCCAGCAATCGATCGCTGTAACTCCGAAGCCTCGTTTCCCGCCAATTCCTACAACGGACTCTGTGTAACATCTGAAGACATGGGGTAGATGCGAGTCGGGCCTGGCCGGGTACCCTAAACGCCTCCCCTGCTTCATGCAAAGCACTTATACTCTACTGGCCACACTTTCTCCAGAAGGCACAAAACCATTCGGTCCATCGTTTGCTCCGTACCTTTGGGACACTCTCACCACCACGTGGCGAAGCACCCATCGGTCTTCCGGTCTCTTTCTACACGGCGGTTTTTCTACCTGCTACGGTAATCTTCCAAGTAGACCAACGAGGAAGCAGGCAAAGAGCCTTGACAACCACTGTCCAAGCGACCCAGGAACAACTCCCCTACCGCCACGATGCAGGACATGCTCACGGCTCTCCTCACCCATGGCGGTGCTGCCATTGTCGTTGCTACATTCTTCACCGTATTGACCACGGTCGCGGTGGTCCTGCGTCTGATTACGAACTGGAGTACCAAGGCGAAATATGGTTGGGGTGAGGCGTGTATCATTATTGCGCAGGCGATGTATTATGCGCAATATGGTGTCCAAATGCACGGCCTCATCGAGGGACGAAAGATGAAGAGCTTAATGGACGCCCATTTGATAACTTATCTGCGCGTAAGTATTCCCACTCTCCTTTTTGAAATAACGAGACTAATTCAAGTCCCAGGCCGTCTACATCGCCGGAGAATTTTACTTCCCCATCATCTTTTTCACGAACATGTCGATCCTTTTCCTCTACCGACGACTCTTTCCGGTTCAGAGCTTCAAGCGCTTGACCACGATCCTGATGGTTGCGCACGGTTTATGGGTCATTCCCGCTTTTGCTGCGGAAACAGCGAGTAAGTGAAGCTTTTTTTTTTTTTTCATTCTTCTGCATCATTTTGGGTCGTTCAATTTAGGTTGTCCGCGATCTAGAAATGTCATGCAGCTCGTGTTCGGGCGTCTTACCCCGCGACCGGGGAATGCTGTGTAACCTGCGGAACTTTAACTCGCAATGTGTTACCCTAATCCTGGTCAACGGCCATAACATGGCAATAGACGCGCGAAAGATACCCTACGTGGGCAATAGAAATCCGCGAACTCGGGCTGACCCCACGCAGTGTGCTCTCCACCCAGCGTGCTTTGGCTGCAACCGCTCCTGATCCCGGAGAAATGCTTCTTCTACAGCACCTTCTTCATAGTTATGTGCAGCACTGAGCTATTCCTCGATGTATGCGTGCTTGCGCTGCCGCTGTTCTACGTCACCCGCCTTAAGCTCCCATGGCACCGCAAGGCAGAGCTCTTGTTCATCTTTGTTCTTGGAGGACTGTAAGTTATTTCGCCTTCGTCTTTCGTTCCAGAGCAACCGTCCGCTGACACGCGCAAAGGGTCATCGTCACCGGTATCATCCGCATCCTCAAGTCCGCTCAAGCTGGCGTTCAAGCCATCGACTTCGTCCTCGACATTACGTGGCTCGACGTGCATTCTGGTATTGCCATACTTTGCGCCTGCTTGCCCACTTACCGCCCTCTGATCGTCAAGTCCGCCGCGTTCCTCTCATCACAAGGAAGCAAACTGTTCAGCTCGCGCGGCAGTTCTGGTGCAGACAGCACTGGCAAGAGCGGAAACTCAAGCGCTACTGGAGGCAAACTGAGCGACGGCACCATCGGAAGTGGAGGGGGCTACAAGAAGTACGAGAAATTCGGAAGCGTCGACGAGGTGCAATTGGTGGGATTGCCCAAAGGCGCGGACAGGGTGTAGAATGTTTTGATAGTTTCATTGGGTTATGACTGAAGGGTGGCGTTTTGTTGAGATACCAGGCACATGCGTAGGAGGGCGTTCTTGTTACGATACCAATGGGAGAAGATATGACCAGAATTTATGGCTCACAATATGCCAAACCAAACCCTTCGTGACTGCTATGCAAGCCATTCTACATCTCAATTGTCAAGATGGCGCCCGCTGGAGGAACTCTACGGGCCCAGGGAAGTGGGACTCGTACGAAACGGTGTTTCAACCTCGGGAGCTTAGCCGGCACGTGGCCAGGTACCGGCCAGCGACAGGCCTTCAGCGAGGAGAATTTTTGTCCCCACAGTCAGATTGCGTCCGCGAACATTTGAAGCCATTTTCGATAAACAGTAGTGGTATGTATACTACATGTTTGACAATATCAAGAGGAAACTCAACGGCAGTTTCCACCAGTTTAGCTCGGCGCTAGCGGTCACACTAATCTGATAGCTCTTTATAGTTGAAAGCTTGGGTGTGACGAACACTCCGCTTTGAAAGTATGCCTGTGAAGACAGGAGTCACTTCTTCCTAATCGCGCTGCTACATTTTCAGGATTCGACATCCTCGTACCCTAGCTTCAGCCACCCTCCATGGCGCGATCTGGAGATGAAGAGAGGAAGTAGAGTAAGATGACATTGCGTCAAAGAGATTTGAGCACGTGATAGGATGATCGTACTTCTGATGTGTGTTTTCGTGAAGGAAGCGGAGAGGAACTGGTAGGAGGATGACGTTATGTTTACCTCTTTCCTAGGTGCCTTCCAAGTATGCTCCTGCAATGGCAGGATCTCGTACCGCAGCTGCCTCTGCCATCGCACCTGCACTTTGATGTGGGTGCCGCTTCACCCGTGGACATGTTACGTGAACTGCGAAGTGCTCGCCTAGGTCCACTCGGAAATGGAAAGATTTTCAATGCCTTGTAGGCTGCATTACGCGCGAGCATATCGCGATGTAAGACGCCGCCTGCAACAAAAGTCTTGACCCTGGCTCTGTCACAGTAAAATGTATTGGCCTTTAGTTGTAGGGAGGAAGACCGACGGACCGTGGAACCGCAAGCTCAGCATCAACGCTACTTACCATGGTTTCATCATGACTCAACAGGCCGCAGCTGATGTAAATTAGACACTCACATCTACAGCTCGCTAAAATTTCCTTCCACCAGAACTCCGAGATTCGCACCAGAATCAAACATGGCAAGCGCACCTCGAGTCACTTTAGAGTACAGCGCAGATAATCTGAGCTGTTAAAAATACATGTGCTATCATGGACATGCTCAAAGCCCTGGAGAATATGGCACAGACCAGCGCAACAGCCAATACTTATGCAGACGTAGATCGTTGGATGCAGCTTTTTGGATACACAGCTGAACAAGCGGAAGAAGCAATCGAGACGCATTTCCAGAATCTGTCTCACATTACCATATCGGATGATCATTGGGGCCTCGTGCGCGATACCATGGAGGCTCAAGGCCATGATCAGGAGAGCTATGCCCATTACATTACGCATTTCGCCTCGAGCCCATCCATACAGCAGCATCTTTGCCCGACAAACTCAAGTACAAAGAAGAAACATGCCGAAGAATACCTCATCGGACTTGTCCGTGGGCTGAATGCGGTAGACATTCAAACCATTGCGGGACTCTCACAACCACTAAAGATAGTGCGGAACGACACAGGCAATAAGGATTTCGCGGTCGTGGATGCCGCAACAGTCGCCGCACTCAGGAGGGCGCTTCCAGGGCTTGTTTTTGTCCCACTCCCTGGATCTGCCATCAAAGATTTGTCGGACATTTCAATAGCTCCCACACTTGGCGTCGACGCCACGCTCCCACAGCGTCGCATCAGCAACGTGCCGTCCCCCCGTCAGAACGAACATCCTGTGTCATACTTCTTCTATGGCACTTTGGCGGATCCCGATAGGCTGTCTAGGCTACTAGATCTGGACTGTGAGCCCTCGCTTAGCGCTGCAACCATCTCGCGAGGCAGCAAGAAGAAGTGGGGTCGTTATTATGCCCTTGTGGATGGGTTGGAGCAGGACAGTGTCCAGGGATGGCTGTACAAAGTAGCTAATAAGGAGCATGAAGATGAGCTTAGGAGGTACGAAAGTAGCAACTATGAGGTGGTCAGGTGCGAGATCGAGGCTGGAGGGGAGGTGATTTCTGGTTTGACGTTCAGGTGTTGTGGCGATGAGAAAGAGCTCTCCTAAGCACGGACTTCGATGGGACTGGATCCGGGGTGCAGATGGCGGCGCAGGGTAATTGAGGCGTCAACTGATGAACTTTCACTTGGAAAGAGTAAGATAGCTAGGGGTAAATGCAGACCGCAATGCCTCACCTTCATTTGACTGAGCAAGAAAGGCCGAAAAGATGCCTTTCTAATAACAGATCTTGAGTGATAATACTATGGTAGCCCTGCTATATGCGTGGTAGCTGATCACAGCTGTTGAAAAGTAACAGCTGCTAATCAGCTGCTTAATATGATAACAATATTTGTCATCTGATAAAAGTCTCACTAATCAATTAAGTTCCAGTTATTTCTGACAAGAGATTTGTATTGCTCTAACAAAAAGGGCAGGCTAAGGCAAGTCTGTGTGGAAAACCAACCCCCGTACGGTATGCAAGCTATGATATGATTGGCGGATCCTCGTCATTGTTATACTCCTCTCCTCCAACAATCCAGCCCGGGGGCTCAGTCCAGAAGGCAAACCTCTGGTTCCTATTGCCGGTATCTACCCAGTACCCGTTCTGGCTGATATCAGTGATGTCCGAGTTGCCCTCAACAATCCCCCTGACCAGAGTCTCCTTCTCCCGGTCGGTTTCGCTGTATCGAGGCGAGTGGAAGACGACCTTCTTCGTCGAGCCCTCGCCCACGGCGTTAGTCGTCGCCCACTTGACCTGATCCTGCTCCTTGCCGGCCTCAATGTGGTAGGCCGAGACGGATGTGTCGCTGAAGAAGAAGAGGGCCGTGCAGCCGCTGACGTCCCAGATCTCGACGCCCTCGTTGCCCGTGATCTGGCTTTCTGGTCGGTACTGGCTCATGTCTAGGGACCATTTGTTGCCCAGCTTGGAGATGGCCAGCTTCATCTCGCCGGCTCTGGGGCGCAGACCGTCGCTGTGCACGAAGAGTTTAGTCTAGAGCCTGGTTTTTTCCATTGCATACTCAGCTCCTGTCCATAGAGTGTCTTACCTAGGAAACGCGTTCGCAATGCTGGCGACAGCAAGCGTCGCAATGATGCTGGTGAAACGCATTGTGCCAGGTTCCGCTTCACGTCCTTGTTGTGTCTGAAGGGGTACTGAAGATATCTCGAGGGACTTTGTAACAGTGATGATGATGATCTTATGAAGAGGAATGTCCAGGAAGGTTGACGAAGAACCAACGACCACGTACTGAAGGTATTTATACACGCTCGGGAGACACCTCACGCCAGAAATCTACACACTCTGGCAGCTACTGACGTCAATATAGGGCTGAGTCGGTCTTTGCCATGGTACCTTTTACTCCATCCGGATCGATGTCGATCGGCTCAAGTCAGCCTGCGCCCGGGGCCGAGCCCAGCTTCCATGTTCTGAGCCAGGAGCTTTGGCCAGAGAAAGACTACGATCAGCATCGCCGGAAGCCCAGGGAACGTAGACTGGAGGCTTTCCCTAATCTTTTCTTTCTTGCGGGATAGGAGACACGCAGAGGGGGGGAGCTGGTATTCACATGTGCGAGAGAGGAGCAGAGAAGGGAATGGACAAATCGGAGCTCTACAAAGACAGTATCGCTCCATGGGGTGATTTAATGCTAGAATGCTGCGATCTCGTCTTCGAAATTGTGTGGTCACCCTCTGACATACGCTGGTCAAGTCGTCAAAATGTGGCAGTCATCTGTCTTGGCATGTCACCACAAGATTTTGGTATTATAAGCAACAGGGAGTAAAATAATGCGCGAGGATTGTGTGAACCAGGTTCTCATCACGTATAAGGCAAATGCAGCCTACATAATCTCGCAGATTATTGCAACACTTGTTGGAAGGCCACCTACGAACACTACTAAAGGAGCACGGCGTGACATTTATGACGAAGTACGGATTACGCCTAGCCGGAGGTCAATCACAGTGTCTGGCGGCAAGAGCAATGATCGATTACTCTGCCCCTTGGGGCCAAAGCTCTTATGCTAACGTGATGTGTAGATCTTGGGGCGGAAAATCTAGAAAGACCATGATTTTTTCCCGTTGTGCAAGGAGCAATCGGCGATGCTTGGCGGGGGCCACCTGAGCCAGTGCGCTAGTCTCACAATGGCACTTGCGCAGGAACTGGTGGGTCTCATACAGTCTGTAAACAGTAAATGTGTTTCTTCGCCCCAAACTATACCATTGCTGCACATGCTTTGCTACTTGGGGCTGGTACCACTAGTGCAAGAGCAGATTGCTTGGGAAACCTGGAAGCCACAGTTCCTCAAACGTACAAGTCAGAAAGATAGCGATGGAAACGCAGCGCTTCATTTAGCAGTCGAAGCGCGGTAGCGCGAAGTGGTGAAAGTGTTAATTGACAATGGAGCGAAGATCAATGCAAGGAACAATTACAAAAGGAGGCCCAATATGGTATTTGCGTATAGGGTATCCGTTCAATACCAAACTTGAGCTGATGAATCATGTAGTATTTTCGACGGCGCAGAGGGAGAGGCATGTATAACATTGCCATACAAGCATATCGTGTGATTCAAATGGATTGGCAGTATATTCGCAATCAGGATTCTCACGGCATCCCTTCACCTAAACATCTCGATTTACCTACCTAGCACCAAGCAAATGCATTGCATAAATTCTCAAGACCTGAACACTTAACAGTAGCTAGATGACGTCAAGAGGCTGTAGATACCAAACGTGGGGATATACGTTCGGATGGGGTCTCACGGGGCTGACGCCCAACAAATATCAGAACGTCAGGTAACTTGTGCTGACAGTGAGACACAGTGCTTCGGCTTTGTGTACGACAAAAATCTCCTCACGACACCCACACTATCAGATCTTCCAGAATCGAATACAACCGTCCCCATCGAGACAGACTACCGTCTTCCAATGCTGTGACCAGGCAATCAAGCTCCGCATCGTTCCCAATTGGAACTCGCTTTGACCATCGTCAGGTTCAAAACGATATTTGAGATTGGAGTCGAAGTCGTACATTTCGACACCGCCCTCCATGCCCGTCGCGAAAAGCAGTTTGGTACCTGCATCGACGAATTGAATTGCCGCTGGTTCGTTGAGAGGCGAAGGTCTGATTCCCGGGTAGTCCAAATGCCATGACTGAACGGTGGTGACCGTCGTAGATGGATCCTGAGCCACCACAGAGACGTCCAAATATCCTCCTTGCGCACCATATGCCAGCATCTTACCATCCGGTGACCAGGCCAGACTTCGCGTCATAGGTTGGAACGGCAAGTTATGCAAGTTCTGCCCGTCGAGGTCGAAAATTTGCACCGCCGCGGCGTCGGCTCCGAAAGCCGAGCAAGAACATGCGATCAGATTCCCATCCGGACTGAATGCTCCTCCGTTGATCTGTGATCCCTTGAGGACCCCGGTAAAAGAGCGCATGTTCCCCGAGACAACGTCGAAGATTCTCAAGATTCGGTCCTTGCCCGCCACGGCCACGAGTTGACCGTTCGGGCTGAATGACAACCAAGAAATATCATCGCTGCGGACATCCAGGGAATGCAAGCGAGTTTGCTGTCGCCATGACCAAATCTCGAGATTACCGCCACCACCTGTAGTCGATGCCTCAGCCTCTGGTAACGGCAAGACCAATAACCTTCGACCAGAAGTATCGAGCATCTTCAAGCTCCGTAGGGGCCAGGAGAAGCAATTCCATTTCTGAACGAGCCTGATCGAGGTCAAATTGTCGCTGAACGCATAAACGCCCACGCGCGCCTCCCGCTTCATGCCAGGTTGTACTGTTGCGATCGAGATGACAAGAGTGTTATTCTGCCCTTCATCGGAATCATCATCGTCGTTGGCCCACTCTAGATGGTTCAGCGTCCCGGCGCCGAGCTGGGGAGGGAATGAGAACCGCTCCCGCGCGCCGTTGTCGTGGATCTCGAAAATCTTCACGGCATCGGCGTTTCCTGCAGCTAGATATTTTCCGTCTGGGCTCACAGCAATGCGATTGAACCGGGCACCTTCGGAAGAAGAAATCACACTGTCCGCCGCAGACCAAGGCTGTGGAGAACCTCTAGCCCAAGCCGCTTCGACCCCTTCACGCGAGAAGTTTTTTACCAGGCTGTATGTCCATTGCGTAGGGAAAGGATCAGGCTCCGTCGTTGCCATGGCTTGCGCTGGTTCCCTAACAGTATCTGGATGCGGAGTATAGACGGTATTCTTTTTTCTGGGCGACCTCGGGCAATGGCACTATGGGTATTTTGTGAGTGAATGGTATTGAAGCGAGGTAAATAGGTGTAGGAATCATGGAGGCAGCGCGGGTGGGGCGTTGCCTATACAGACGCTAGCCTAGTTGGTAGCTCCCACATTTGCAGTCGGCAGCTTCTGCCAACAAATGTCCGTGACATAGATCGACTCGATCGACCATCCTAGTTTTCAAGGCAAATTCGTGACTCGAACACCCAGGCAGTTAATTGACACGGTGGGGCGAGAGCGTAGCCAATCCTAGCGCGTTGGACTCGCTATGACCACGGGTTCGGAACTGAAACTATTGCCTTGGACGTAATCGTGGGACGGCGTAATAGAGAATGGTACATCGGGGGTCGATCGTTCTGTGGCAATCCCAATTCCGCCTAATGCAAAAGTGTTGTCAACGAGTGATATTCTTGCCCTCCACACGCATGCTCGATGATGCAGTCAGGCTGACGAAGGATTCGTCAAGTGGTAGGGCTGCCCTTGCTCGCCAGACAAGCTAATTCAAGCAAAGCTAAGCATAACAAACTTTCCTATCCCGAAAGTCTAAGCTGATTTCTTACGAACACCTCCTGCTGAAAGCCGATTTCTTGCCGCGGCGACGGGCATGAGTTAACCGAGACGTAGAAGTGGCAGCATCGTGAGTGATAGATTTCAGGCCATCGACCACAAAGAAGGAAGATGTAACGATGCCATAAAGCCAACGTAAACTGGCAGGCCTTCATTGGTAAGGTAGGTGACTACTGGTAAGGTAGGTGAATATTGGCAAGGTAGGTGAATCCCCCAACAAGGATAAGCACCCACAATTCTGGCTGAAAGTTGCATCAATAGTCTCTGAGACATCGACAGCATTAGTCTACCAAAATCTCACGACAAGGCAACCGGTGCGGGGAGATACGTCATGGCATTGCGAAACGGACGGCTGGCAACCATCAGACTCATATATTGTCGTCGTCTCTACAACCGTTGGGTATCTGATTCTTCCCACCCAACGACGAAACTCCATTCACCTCAACCTCATTACGCTTTCCTCTGTCACTGGACAACGATCTTGACACAAAAAGTCGAATAAATCAATCGACCATTTGCCCCCGAGCCCTAAAAATGCGGTCATTCACGGTCTTGGTTTTGGCACTCATGGCAGCCTGTGCATGGGCACAAGAGCAGCCATGCTACAATCATGCGGATCCGGACAATGGTATCGAGAATTGTGCGTATTTTACCCCTTTCTCTCTCCCCCTCCCGGCCATGATCAATATGTGTTTTGCTGACGTGCGCTGCAATTGCCGTGCAGACTGTCAATGCGCCGATGGAACGTGTTGGTACGATAGTGGGAGCACCGGATGCAATCCCCCTGGATCTATGACAATCGACTGCCCGGAAGGCTGAAGGCCATGGGAAGTCAGGGCGATACGAGGACGGGTGTCGTGTTGATACTACTTGTCGTGTATTATCGTCATTATAGTTAAGATGTTCATGGAATGCGGATTCAAACTATGTAGACTGCCAAAATCTGCGCGCCTTCTTTGCACTCTTAACCTGAAGGACTATTGCCGATATCTGTGCACCTTCTTTATACCGTAAAATTGCAGAGTCAATTTGACAATGACCCATCCTGACTTTGTGGTGTCCAATGTTTTTTCCCAGACATTCGTTCTTGCAAGCACCCCATCACTTCGAAATAGCAGCTATCGTGTAAGTTTCGGTACGTCCAAGAAGGGCGGTCGTTGCATGGAATCGGCAGTCAGCTGGCTCATGTCAACATCATCGTGCGTATCACAACATCTCGAAGGAAAACCAGGTGTAAACCTTGTTTGCTGAGAAATATAAGCAGCACACCGTACTTCCACGCCGGTCCTCGGTTTGAAGACAAGATCGGCGTCAGACCAACACTAGATAGTCGCATATTACTGCAGTATCATGGGTTTGCATCCCTTGTGATGAGGCCTTTTCAAGCAGTGTAAGCACACATCCTGGAAGGTAGTATCTATGGACGATCGTGGGATCAAGGAACGCAAACATAGGTCAACGCAGTCTTAGGGTCAGGTTTATGTTAGGGTTGGTTACTCAGCCTTGGATGAATGGAAGAGATAAGATTTCGTGAGGCTATAAGAAGCCTGTTTTTGCTTGCCACGAAGAAGATACTCACATACCTCAAAGAACATTGTCAAGTTCGATTTGTCTCTTTGCAGATACAGCTTTTTCGCAATATGCCTTCCCTACTCTCTGTGCTCATCATGGGGCTTCGCCATGGTCGTGGTCGTCATGGGTCAAGTGGAGATCGACGCACGCTTCTATACCGATGATGGCTGCGACGACTTCGGGACAGCATGCACCGATTTGGCTGAGAACTCCTGCTGCGGCGTCTCACAAGGAGGAACTGTGCTTTACAGCTCGGGCGACTTCTTCAACTCCGCGTCAGGCATGGGTGTAAACATCCAGGGGACCTTCTTTTCCATCCAGAATGCCAATGACTGCGCCGTACCAGTATGCAATAACATGTATGTGTCGACTTGTTATGAGAGAAGAATAAAGTTGAAGAAAGCTAATTGTGGCGTTTGGCAGCAATTCTGGCGTGTGCTGCGACGCGACCCTCACCCTCACGGGAGCCTCTTACAGTAGACCGTCACGCAAGCGCGACGCGATGGCCCGCAAGACTCCGGATTCCTACGTCTGGGTTGATTCCGATCAATCCTACTATATCTCCATGGCGAACGAGACAAAAGCTTCGGCGATTGAATCCATGCGTCTTCTCAAGGACTTCGGGAATTTGGCCACGTTCATGAAGACGCATGCTGAAGTGGTCAAGAACGAAACCAAGAATATCGCAGGGCAACGATACCGAAGCGTATGAATAACGCGAAATCGTTAAGGAATAGATTCTATAGCTACTGTTACAGATAGGTAGGGATTTGACCAATCTAAGAGACATATAACCTAGTTATAATAAAATAGTCCAGTGAATTATAACTTTTTATGAAATACTTATTATTTATATATAATTAACGATACACGATAGACTATCTCAGAGGCAACCTCGAGCTGCTAGATCTGGATGAGTGGAATGAGAACGAAACGTACGATGAAGATCCGCTGACTTGTGATCACTATCCAACTAACCTCTACAGAGAAACTCTTAACCTCACGGCTCTGGACACCGACAATCCAGAAATGGTGTTGCACCGCCTCTTGCTTGAGAATAAAGCAACATTACGCACAGGACGAGAGCAAATAGTGAAAACATTCCTTACCAAGGGGGCAGAAGTCGAGGAAAGGGATGCCCTTGGAGACACAGCGTCGGACTTGGCCGTTTCTATCGGTCACAAGGCGGTTTGCCATCTCATAAATGATAGAGCTCTGTCTAACTCTCTGAACGATGAAAACCGATGGGCCCCACTTTTGCGTAGAGCGACTTGCGCTGGAGACGCAAAATCGATGAAGTTGCTGATTGAGAGTAAAGCCAGGAGGGAAATGTCAACGAGAAGCGGGACTACCGAGATGTCTTCGGAATCTTCGGGGGACATTGAAAGAGTGATTCGACTGATTCAAAACATGTTTGAAGAGGTCTCATTTCACATGAGGGATCCACCGGTTTTGTCTACTAGGAGCGCTACTTTGAGACCGGTAGGACAACTCCAAGATGATATCCAGAATCTGGTAACAATGGGATTCGATGGCAGATGGGCTGTCCAGGCCGTGAAGCACACCCAATACCTGTAAGGCACCTCAGGTGCTTTGGACACTTTGTCAATTGTCTAACGTACTCCACACTGGAAGAAGCTTTAGATTGGCTAAAATCGAAAGAGGGCAGATCTATAAATGAGTTTACTAAGCAGCTGCCTAAGTCTCCTGTACTCAAGCTTAAGAGAGGCTAAGTCAATCTATAATTGCCGCGAATAAGATCATTGGATTCGATTGCTGGAGATTATATTGAGTGCTTAAGTGTTTTGGGCTTCAAGACTAGCGGAATAATAGATGCGATGCGATCAATCAAAAAAACCGCTCTACACGCTACTACGAGGAACTTGTGCTTGTTATATAGGTGAACGGTAGTAGGATGGTCAGCGTCTGCAAGGAATTTGTGGAACAGGGAGAGAACAAACTTCTTACTCTAATTGCATCGATCACTTTTTCACAAGGAACTAGTCAAGCTGCTGCTTGATATAGGCAAGGTTGACGTCGACGCGGAGGACGAGGACGGGCGGGCGCCACGTACATGGGCACGGTGAATGATTTCACGCACTCTCGGCAGATTGGATATAGCTGCAGCTGCGCGTAGCAAGTCACTCGATCCTAAATCACAGGAAATAGCACGCATGCAGATATCGCATCCCTCATACTTCCTCAGCAGGTCGGCCACCTGGCGGCTATCGGCCCCGCTGCGGCCGAGCAAGGCGATGTTCCTCGCACCTTGTTCAACCATTCACGCCGCAAGCGACCGTCCGATACCATTTGCTACTGGAATTGCAACACTTGGCCCCAGAATCCCAAAGATTTCTTAAGTGACCAAGTGAAAACTCAATTGCCAGCCTGTAGCCATTTGACCACCTCAACGCCGTATAACGGGAGTATAAGTGGGCAGTGATCGTGACCTGTATTTTCTTGTTCCTTGAAAGAAATATTGGCTCAGTACGCGTACCTGTTCATGCAGCACTCGTACTTGGCGAGGTAGTGCTCACAGGCCTAGAGAAGCGGGGTCGAGATCTGCTGTGCTCCCCGTGCCCATAGCGGACGTCCAATAACGGCAAACGCGAACCGCGACTTCATTGTGGAAAACGCTCTATGCCATGATGAGAAAGTTACTGAGGAGGCGTACCTATTCTCTTTTAGGCTATTGTGCGCACGCGATGTGGCAGCGCTCAATGGAAGATGATGCCGAGATGTGATTGCAGAAGAGGTTATAGTTGAGGTGGCATACACATTGCAGGGTACCGGTTAATCATTTACTCTGCCCCTCAGGGCCAAGGCTCTTGTGCTAACGTGATGTGTAGATCTTGAGGCTGAAATCTAAAAAGATTATGATTTTTTCCCGTTGCGGAAAGAGCAATCGGCGACTGCCTCATGTCACTCTTGTACGACGTCGCTACCTTGCGCGAAAGGTTGTTCCGCTCCGGCGACTGCGCACAAAAGGGAGCGAGCCCTATATAGCCTCCTCATCTTCGTGTAGCTACAATAGAGCCAACTTACCTCACTTACGACCCTAAATGAAGGAGACCGTGCTCGTCCTCACAAAAGGTCAGCTAGCTTCGTCATGCGGCACATGCACGCTGATGTGGCGAGAACATACTGTTCCGGCAGGTCGCTAACAGCCCCTCCCTGCAGTCCTCACTAATAGCTCATGTGATTGGTTATCAGCCTGCACAGTCATGTTGTACGACTTACAGTAGAGTAGTATTGGAAAAGCAGCACGGAGTTCGCCGATAGATCCACTGCTTCCCTCTCCATATCCATCCTTGCATCTTGCATGATAAGAAGCTAGCCGTGGCCGACGTTCTATTGTCCAGGTTCCATTTCTGCTTCGCAGGCTAAATTCCGGTGTCATGGTCCTGCACGGCCAGCTCTCTGAACCTACTCGAATCGACAGCTCGATACATCTGTTACCCACAAACAGTTCGACTAAATAAATTGAAACGAGTTATTAGAGACTTGTCACATCTCCTTACCACTACAATGTCCGACTCGGACTCCTCCAAAACACCTTTAGACAGTCTTGGCATTGCACTCAGAGTCTCAAGTGACATACAAAATATCACCGACTACTATCGTAGAGCAACAGAGGGGCTTTTTGATAACAATGGAAACGCTAATGACCCCACGCCAGGGGCTGTACTTGGCAGCCTCATGCTCGGTGCGGTCAGGGGTTTTGTTCTCGAGCATTCGACTCAGGGCCAAGAGGCTATGTTGTCACTCTTATGGAGCAACGTCGAGTCTGCACAAAAGTCATTCCGCGAAGTTGCTGAACAGTTCGAAGTCAAAATCGAAGAAGTAAAAGTGGCAAATTCACGCTGGAATCAGGTGAACAAAGATGAGATCCGACAATCGGCCAATGCCAGGGAGCTCTACCAAATGGTCGAAAAGCTGATTGAAGCTCGATGGGATGTCCCGCGATTTCCTAGAGTCTCAATTCCCGAGCCTACTACTCGTTCGTTCCTAGAGCCTAACACCACACCATGGGAAATATTCGAGTACGCGAGGTTGGAATCACCAAAAAGCACCATCCGTCTGGTAAGAATGGAATCCATCTCCGAATCACTCGAACTCCCAATACGTATAACGATAAGGACGATTTGTCTTGAAGACAACGTTCCCTTCGCAACGCTGTCATACACCTGGGGAAATCCTTTTGGTGTATTTTGTTCTGAGAAAGACCGCGATGCTACCCCACGCATGGACATACCAATAATATGTGACGGAAGACTCTTGAAAATTGGCGAAAACTTGTACAGATTTCTCTGCAGATGGAGGCAGGCGCTCGCCAACTTCGATGAGAGGATGAGAGAACACGACGCGCCCAGTGAACTGCTGGAGGCATCCAGGCCCCCTGTAGAGTTCTGGATCGACGCGATATGCATAAATCAGGAAGACCTTGAGGAGAAGAGCCAGCAGGTATCGATTATGGGTGACTTGTATGCCAAGAGTGCGATCACTTGGGTATGGCTAGGAGAGCACGACCAGTTTTCTAAAGATGCATTCGGCGTTCTACAAAACCTCGCCAAACAATCCGATGGTGCGAATGATGAGAGCCTCCAAACTCTGGACGTGGACAACGAACTGCTTGTCAGTTCTGGCCTGCCGGACACAAACTCATGGAAGTGGTTCGCTGTCTTCGCCCTTTTTCAGCGACAGTGGTTTCGACGGTCGTGGGTGGTGCAGGAAGCGGCGCTTTCGTCTCGCATTATCTTCCAATGTGGCTCGCTAAATGTGCCCTCTTGGATGATTGTGTCCGCCTGTAACAGTATTCGGCGATTCGGCTTTTTGGAGAAACTGATTGTTAATGTCGGCATGTATGAGATGGGGCCAACCCGATTCGAGCTGAGGATAGCGAATGGACCTACCCAAAGGGCCTTTTTAAAGACCTCAAGCAAGGGCCCATCAGAACTGAGGTATTATCATCATCGGGAGGGAGTGGAGCTCCAGATCGCCAGGATGTTTTCCAGAATCCTCAGAATAAAGACGCTGGATTCCGAGATCCTCATGAACGATAAGAATTTCTTAGTTGTCAAAGACTCCAACAACACTTTTGATAACGTTTCTGCCTTGCTGGACCTCTGGAACCTCAGTCGGAATACTCTCTGTGGTAACCCGAAAGACAAAGTATATGCATTGGCATCTTTAGCCAATAGGGACGTATACAAGACCTCACGTACTGTTCAAGACCGCAGAGTGTTGGAGCCAGACTACAAGAAGTCTGTGTGCGAGGTCTACTGCGAAGCGGCATGGTTCACAATATTAACGCATGCCAGCCTGGATCTGCTGTCGATGGCTGGGCACACTGCACTAAATAATAATACGCACGGCTTACCATCGTGGATTCCTGACCTATCTCAATCACCTCGCTTCGTTGCTCTCAATGAATACCTCAAAGCCAATCCTGGGATTGACTGGCGAGCCAGCGGTGGGGTGCGCTGGGAGATCCCAGCGCCATCCATGCGACACGGGCGGCACCTGGGCGTTCAAGCCAGATTCATGGGCAAGATACGGGAGACAGATCATGAAGAGCCAGATTTCAGTGATAATGAATCTATCAAAGTGAATTTCAAGCAAATTCTGGAGTTCTCCAAACTGCTTCCATCGACCTACCTTGGCCACCAAGACGGCCAGGCCCGGTTCGAAGTGGTTTGGAGAACAAGCATAGCTGACACAATAAACGGTATCTCGCCAGCGCCTTCCAATTATGCCGTGGAGTTCGACAAACTGTACATGGAAGCTATTAAAAAGGTCCTCGATAATCGTGCGGTAGGCAACTTCGGACACGGCGAATTGTTTGGCACATGGCCGTCTGAAAACGACGAACTGTTTAGCACATGGTCGATTATGAAGGATATGGGAAGACTACATGATCACTCAGCTTTGGCTGTTGCAATGGAAGAAGGAACCAATGAGACTGCAAACTTCCAAGAGCGAGTAACTGCTATGATGGATAAACGTAGGCTTTTTGTAGCTGACACCGGCCACGTCGGTTGTGGAGATTCGAGGCTTTCTATTGGCGATTTTATAGTTGTTATCGCTGGATCTTCTATTCCTTTTCTTTTGCGGTCTGGCTCCAGTGGGAGCTATTTATTAATTGGGGAGGCCTATGTTCATGGCATGATGTTCGATGAACATGCTTTAAGACCCAACGCAAAGTGGGAGCATCTTAGATTGGAATAAAACTCTAACGTGTTTTATCGGTGCTTCACAAAAGACCGTGCCGGGTGGAAATGGGCAAGTTCTGCAGCTACTTAGTAATCGCTTCCCCGCCTGGATCGCCGTACGTACGATTTTTGTATGATACTCAATCTAACAAAGGAAAATATACTGATTTTTGATGTTGACAGAGATCTGTACAGTATGTCGACCGATCCCGGGAGACTCACTGGCTGCCGTTTCCGTGTACGCGATGCAACACCAACACCAATAACACCCCCCAAATCAACACGCGATAACCCCACCAATATGGATCCGATTGACGACGCGCTTGCAGAGATAGAGTCGCTTAAATCTGGAGAAGAGTATCCCGATAGAAAAATTGCAACTCAACATGGTGTTTGGCCCTCTACTTTATCAAGAAGGCACCCTCGTAACATTGACATTGCGGAGCAACCCCAGTGCATTTGATCCTTTGGGAGCGGCAGGCTGTGCAAGCACGGGGGAACTCTTCCTCGGTCAGCAGAAATATCTGACTAGCTTGATCGTTGCTATATACACTAGTTGGGAGACTCTTTGGCAGTAAAGTATCCCTTATTTTCGTAGTGGGAAGACTATTGTATGAGTGCGCGACTATTGTGACTTCTGGCTATACATAGAGGTTTGACCAGTGCAGAACAACATCGGAGGCCTGATCAAGAACTGACCGCTCGAGCTAATTCTATCAAGATGGCTCTTCCTCGACCAAAGCGTCTTGCTTACGACCGTTCATAGATACTCGCTCCTTTATGATATGCGGTCTAACGCGAAGATTGCCGTTCTGGAAGCAATCTTCCTGGTTTTCGTCGGAGTCGGAGCACAGAGTATAGTATGTGAAAGGGCTGGGTTTCAGCAACCGATTGGGGTCGAGGGCGCTTGATTCCTGAGGCGTTGTTACGCTTCCGTCTACTTGGATGCTCTCAGGTTGGGCAGGATCTTTCCAATGGCTATCTTCACGCACGAATGGGTAAGACATCTCCTGCCACCGGTCGTGGAACGGAAAACGCCCCGGTCGTGCAACTGCGTGCATCGAGTTGATAACGGCCTCGAACGGAAACTGCCACCAAGGCGCTTTACGGTTCATCACGGGACCACCTAGCCAAAGAGGGCACCGGTTAGCGTGGATCACAGAATCGTTCGCGGCTTTGACTAACTCACCCATGAACATGTACGGAGCCTGTCTTTCCATCTCACGCTCAAAGGTTTTCCCATGAAAATCGTTGAATAGAATGGAGAGGGCGACGCCATACGAGCCTCGGTACTCATGCGCCCATGTTGTTTTATACATGTACTTATCAGGGCTCCAGATGCCATCAATGGCCAAGAGGAAAGGTTCCCATGGGTCGCGCGGTCCAGTGGCCGGCAATCCGCTTGCGGCGAGCTGCATCATATACCGTGTGCTCGAATCGTACATGAGACATAAATTAAGCGCCATTCCATTAGCTTTCTTGCACTCGCCATCATCGTCGCGATTGCAAACATTAAGGTTTATCCTGAACCATCCCCAGTCCCATCCGCCCGTCTTGGAGGTGCTGTCAACAAGACCAGCATCGACTCGTTCGCGCCACAGTGCTTGGATCGCCTCAGGCTTGGCACCGTCCAGAGTCTCCCGGTCCTCAATGATCTCGAGCACAGCGCGATCACGGATGAGGTCTGGATCGCATTCACTACCGTGATGGGTGGCTTCGATCTCTAAATGGGCGCGGATGGTATGATTTATATGCTGGACAGTCTCTGCCCACGTCTCTTCATCCTCCTCGTAGTCGGTCCGGTAGAGCACAAAGCCCCATTTGTCATATCCGGCATTTGCATCAGCCCATTCGGTGGCATGGTCAGGCTCGCAAGTCGTCAGATTGGAGCGATTGAATGATCCTGGGACATCCTCGACCGTGTCTAATTCATAATATTTGGCCCAGAACAGGTCATTGTACTCCGACACATCCTCGTGGCCAGCGAGCAGGGCGTGCGAAGCCTTGTCTACCCAGGAGACATTGCGATAGTCTTTTCCGCGCACATCCCACGACTTCTCGATAAGCCGGACGGTAGTGTGGATGTCCCAAATATGTCTGGAGATGAAGACTCCGACGATCGTGGAGAAGGCGCCGACAAAGTAGGCGCTGTACACCAGAAACCGACGCGGGGTGAACCAAGAAGCCATTGATTCCAGACAAGCGCCGGCGAGGAACGGAAACGAAGACCGAGGAACCTGGCATATATCAAGACTTCAGAGACGTGGAGACAGCTATTATAGCACTGTCGTAAAACACTCTTGTCCCGGTATCCTAGTCAGGGGAAGGTGGCGCGGAGGTTGCCTAGAAGCACGTGATCGGAAAATCAAAGCAAAGAACGGGTGGCGCGTTAAGCCCATTTGAGAACAAGCATAATGAATTTACCGTTTATCGCAGTCGAGACTCGACACGGGGCCGTTTGGAGGGGCTGTGTTGGTGTGATCGCACGTGCGAAGAAGCGGCTTCAGCGGTTCCAATGCAGCACGGGTGTACTGTAGTGATTGAAAACCTCCTGTGCCCGGCACCGTGCAGTATCACGCAGCCAACATTAAGCGCTATCGGATATGCCCCTTACGTCATCATGGTCCAATGAGTGGGGAAAAACCTCGACCGAAATTTCAGAAACAGGATTGAGCAACGCGATGTATATCACGAACTTGTTAATTATTTCATCAAATCACATCCGCATCGGTGGTTTAGTGGTAAAATTAGCCGTTGCCAAGAAACAGTTCATTGAGCTGATTCACAACTTCGGCTAGCCCCGGGTTCGATTCCCGGCCGATGCATTTTTTGCTTTTGCGTAGCGTTGTTCTGTTTTAGAGTACTGACTGTCTTAAAATGTGAAAGCAAGAGGCTTGCTAGGGCTCGTGATGATATCATATTCATTTTTGGCGATGAAATCAGAGCGACGAGGCATAGGACCGGGCGTTGCACTGCATCCACCTCATCTTCCGCTTCTCCCGCGTCGCCTGAAGCTGCCATCTCCACAGCTTTTCTTCGTGGTGTTCTTCAATATGTGCCATCATCTTCGTGGTCGCGTTTCCCACTTAGTCTCGGAATATTGATCGACGGACAGGGCATTCGATCACATTGCCCTTGTCCCGCACCTTGATCTTAAGGTTAATTGCGCGCTTCAACTAGGCCTTTCGGGAGCGTTAAGTCATCATCTCTAGTCTTCCGTTATCTGGGTCCTCAGTATAACGATAGAGCCCGTTGATATCTCAGATCGCACCGTCAGAACCTAAGGTCAGGTATAATCGGCCGCTGTACTGCTAACCTTAGAATAACAAAGATCATACGACGGTGCCTGCGGTTTTCACATAAGACTTAAATGCGGTGGTAATGACGCGGCAGCTTCATGTGTGATCACGAAGACAGTAGAGCGATTCACGTCAATGAAATAAGCCATTGTCAAAGGATTAATAACGAAGCTGAGCCTAGAGCACTGGATTCCGAGAACCATGATGCGATCTTGGCTTGAGAATCTTTTATGATAATGCAGTAGATACTCGGAGATCAAATGTGTCCATCGCGCTCTTCAACATGTTCCATGCACCAACGCAGCAAGTAATCTCCTCAAATTCTGACTGAACCAAGCAAAAGTGCTTCCGAAATCTTCCACCGGAGGTGAGGCGTTATCTCAGCCCTTTAAAGTCTTGAAACGCCCTATAGGATACTCCTGCCTTCCCTCGTGAATCCCTCTTTCAACGTCCATGAAATGCGGCTCGAGCCCACAGTGCCCACTGCCGATATTCCCGCTGGATCTCCGGACTATAGAAATGATTCTCCATTTCCCTCACCCCCCACAGATTCGATGCAGCCTCGTTGTACGGTCCCAGTGGATGTCCCTTCCCATCAGCGACCCAGCTCTTGAGCGTTTTTGCTCGTAAACGGATCATGAAGGTGAAATAAGGTTGCATATCGTTTTCGAAGTAGAACTTGCGGCCATGGATAATCTGGAGGATACCTGTCGTAAGGTGACTCACCTCAACATTTGTCAATTGTGGCTTGTCCCCACCTAGAAGGATCCGCTCAACGAGCCAGCTGTGCAGCATACCGCTAAACTTAATCGTCTTTGCTCTTGTGAATATCTTTTCGTTGAGGCCACCTTCCAACCAAAGGGGCCGGTTGTCAGGATCCAGGCCCTGATAGAGGGTGCCCTCGATGTCCAGCTGCTCCACGTTCTCTAGAAGCTCGAATACTAGGTACAGGTCTAAACTGGATTGTAGATTGTAGTTTACTCCGATTGTGAGTTTGAAGGTGCGCACAAGCTTTGCGATCCCGCGGTTGTGGAGCAGGAATTGTATCACTGACTTCTGCTCGCGCACTTGCTTGACCCAGGATGGGTGGGCGTAGACTCCCGGGAGAAGAGTACCGCGGCAGCTGAGGTCGAGATGTTCGTAAAGGACCGGGATAGCGAGGTTCCTCATTGTTTTGCAGGTTCGGACCAGTGCTGCGAGAGCGCTAGGTTTGCAGTGAGGCAGGATGAGGTTGACAATGTCGAGCGGCCGGTCGACCAACGACTTAGATGTAACGTTGTGATCGGTGTTATTGGTAGCAGCTGCAGCCATTCCAGATTCTGAGTGTATGTAGATTCGTTCCGCGTATTCTCCTTTTGCGTTGGTCCGCGTGATCCTAGCTTGACTGGCCACCCGCGATCTTTCCAAGCTCGCAGGCTATCAAACAAACCTAGCAAACTTCAACCGAGATCTTCTGGTACTGGTGCACCTTGCTTGGATTTGCTTCAACTTCGACCAAGAGATCGAGCCTCATTCCCTTCTGTTCTCAGCTACCTGCAGTCAACTTCAGTCTTGACGCCGACCCGTTGAATTTACCCTCGCTTCGGTTCCGCACGTCCTTTTCAACCGTCCCCTCTCCGCCAATCCTGTCCACCATGCGAAGACCGACAGCCCGCTTCAATCTCACTTCATCCTATGAACCCTCTATCCCCCTTCACTTGCGCGCTCTTAGAACCCTTTCAATCTTCTCTTCTCCAGCCACCACGCCCCCCATGCAACAGCCAACAACCCACTGAACCCCGTCTTCTGCGGCGAACCATCACCAAACTCCGGATCCATCCACATCGCGCCTGGATACAATATCCCACTCATTGCCGGTACATAATACAGATGCACCAACACCAACACAAAGTTCAAATATGTCAACGCAACGTCTTTTGGCTTTGGAACATGCGTGTAGTACAGAATCAGGGCACCAAGAAGCAGTCCAGTTGTCATTGTTTGTCCGTTGTGAAAGCGCGCGTGGGGCGGCCAGTTGGGGTTCTTGACATGGGTTTCGCTGGGAGCGGGGTGTCAGTGGATTTAATGGGGAAGAGGAGCAAGACGGAAAGTGAGTTTGACGTACTTCCAGTCTGCGGCGTAGGGGCCGATTATTGTGATGAGTGCGATGAGGCTGAATATGACACTACCCGCTGAGAAAGCCATGATTTTCTATGACCTCTCGGGATTATTGTGTTGTTTGTGAGATTGGTGGGTGGGTGAATCGGAAAATTTTGCGATGTGCGTGTCTGCTCAATTAGACAGCTCAGGAGGCTACACTTTGAATCTGTGTACATGCTCTAAGCCTTCCTAGAGTTGTCGTTTGGTGTCGCTGTTCGGAGCGAGCCTAGGACCGAGCTTAGTCACCAGTGACACATGACGTATGTATACGAACTCATGCACATCCGCGCAACTCCCTCTAGACACATTTGCGAAATAACAAGGGCCAACATGCTATTTCTCACGGCTGCAGAACGCTAGTTCTTACCAATGCATCGCCTCGTGATACGGAACATGGTTGTCTGCAGCTGAAGCGCCGCTGCCCATGTGAAGCTTCTGTCTGGCTGCGTATACGTTGCGAATATCTGGAGATATCTTTGAGTACGGAGAACGTTTCTACAGATCCTGGTTCTTTTGATCATCTCCGCAAAGACCAGAAAAGGTTAGTCAAAGTCATGCAGAACGTTCCCCACCAATACACTTGACACAGTAACGCCGAACCAATTGCACTGTATCACAACCATACTGATCCATACGCCCCATGTGCTTTCTTTGAGCCTGTACTCATAACCATGCATCCGGTTCATGACCCTTGTTATCCTCAGAAACGCATCGAACCTAGCCAGAGAAGAAGTCACGGGGTGTATATGGTGCGTTACTCAGACGCACGCGACTCGTCCAAAGACAGACCGGTAAGCTTGTGCAACGCCGTATCGAACGTTCTACTGGCTGCGTCCAAAACTTTGCTGGAGTAATGCGCGATCGGCCGCGCGACGACCCAGAACGCAGCCTCGGGGAGCATACCAATGATCTTCACGAACACAGGATCCTCTTGGTAGAGAATCATCTGCTTCTCGTGCGAGTGATCTCCTGTCGTACGAACATAATTCCTGTCATTGGTACTGGCAGAGCTAGCTTTTGGGCCCTGCTCATTGTCCCGAGATTTCAAATCAAAGCACCCATCATCACTGTAGGACGACGCTGAGTCGGAGGGACCCGAGATCTTGAATTTACTTGGGCACTCATGGAAGCTCTGCAAAGATGTATTAGCATCATATTCCATGCGTGAGAGTGGAAACGCACCTCAACCAAGCGGTCAATGTCGGCTCTGCTGGCATCCAGTGCCTCACCGCGCTCGCGCAGGAAGGTCGCGATCAGCTCCACGGAGGCTCTGCTTCGAAATTGTAGGTGAAAGGCGTCGCCGAAGTGTCCGGGTATGTCGACTAGATACATTGGACCCGTCTCGTTAGCATATCCTTCGATCACCTTGTCGTTCAAGCCAAGTGACGCAGATGTCTGTTCGCCGTTCTTGTCATCCCCAAGGAAGGCGCGCGTCTTGGGCCTTATGCAAATCGCTCCGGAACGACGGTGTAAATCAAGGTCCTCTCCAACAGCAGCGGCTGTCTTCCGCGTCGAAGTACCTGTGATCAAGTCCACATCCATCTCATCGTCCGTGATCGGATCCATGGGCGCAAGGTCGATCTCCCTATATTTGTCCCACATTACCTTCTCGTCCTCGACGCCTTCCTGCTGTGCTTCCTTCGCGAGCTCGGCGATTTCTTCCGGTAGCGACGCATTGCGACGAGACTTTGAGGGTGTGTTCTCCTTATCTTTGAACTGCTTGAAGTACTTCAGTGTCTTGGCGAAAGGTGTGTCTTGGACGGATGCGTTCGCCGCAAACTGAACATGAGCACTACCAGAGACGCAGCTTGCGCTAGGACTGGCAAACCGTGATATGGGTCGGCCTGGGGGTCGGCCTGACTCAGAGGGTGACCGGCGAAAGAGGTGGGGAGAGGCGGGATGGTCAGGCGGGAAGTCCTCATCAAAGGGTCAGCTATTACATCGCGACAAGCTTGGGTATACTTACAGGATCAAACATTGCCTCCATGAGATCGTCCAACTCCTCTGGATCCATAGACTCGACGTCCTTGAAACGCGGGACCACAAAGCCCTCTCCCCCATCAATTGGAGTATTCATCACATCTGAAGCGTCGTCTGTCACTGGCGGAGTCTCGTTCACATCATCAAGCCAGTCGAATTGTAGACGATTGACAGCAGATGCTTCTTTATGCGCCTTGTAGTCCCGTGCTGATACACTGTGCTTTCGCGTGGGAGTATCTGCAACCCTGCGAAGATCCCGGTCGTCTAGTGGAATGCCTTCATACATGGTAAGTCCCTTTCCATAGTCGTAACTGCCAGCACCAACACCCTCGTCATCTTCGAAAGGTAGTCCAGGCATGTTGCGGTCCTGGAGATGGCTAACGTTATCGTGGTTTCGCTCCTTGGTACCCCCCAGTCTGGTTGACACATTGTCTGACAACTCCGGCGGTGGACGACTTGGCCTCTGGAAAGGTGGCGTTACAGGTTGGGTTATGGAGCTGGAGACAGCTGACAGGTTTGGAGGTGAGTAGCGCGATTCGAGCGACTGCTGCAGCGGGGAATAGCTGCGGACTTGGCTGTTCAGAGCTGGCAGAGAAGGGAAGGGAGAGAAGGGCGATGAAGAAGGACCGCGTAGGTCTGCGTCAATGTGTGGTCGAGTGAACTCAGCGGAAGGCGCATTTGAACGCGGATTGACTCCAATTCGAGAGCGTAGCTGAGCGCCATCATCAGATGGTGAGCCAAGGTTATGCTCGTAAGGGTAGATCGGAGACATTGCCTCTAATGCATCCAATTGTGGCAGACCCCGAAAGTCCTGAGTTGGGGACCTGCTCCCTTCTGCAGCCTGGACAGGTAGGGAACGCGGTTCAAAGTCTCGAGCATTGGCCATTCTGGTTGGATCTTGTATATGCGGTTCAGCTATTTTCTCTCCCAAGTGTTCCGCTTCGACGTGATGCATGCTTCGAGCAAAATCACCCGTTCCGGATGCCATGGGCGCAATGTATGAAGGCGCAAATGGCGTGCAGGGTGTTGGGTGAGGAAGCTTATAACTAGCCTTCGGGTAATGAGCGGCAGATAGGTCGACGTCACTTCAAAGGTGAGTAAAGCGCGTTGCTGAGGGCCGTGCTGTCCGTGTTTGCAGAAGGCGCGTTATGTAAATGGAAGGCGCGGGTCGAAATCAAAACAACGCGACGCAGCCATGCGGATCAGAACTTCTGTTTACTGCATGTGGGCTTACTTCCGGCCTGGAAAGAGCAATACAGAAACTTCGGAGCGACCTGATCACCTATACCTCTGTGCCCTCTTCCCCCACCTTCACTCCCCGGAGCACATATCCATCCCTCCTCGCTTCCGTCGCCTCTCTCTCAATCGTTCGCCTCACTTCCTCACTCCTAACAACCCACCTCACGCGATACGGCTTCGGAATAGTATTTGCACCCGGCTCAAACGCCTCATCGCTCAGATCAACCTCCATCTCCTTGCCCGTCTCATCAACGGGCGGCTTGATATCGAAAGCCCACAGCAGCTTAGCCAATACAATAAACATACTGTTCTCCGCCAAATGGAGACCAGAACAAATGCGCCTCCCGGCACCGAAGTTCCAGTGATCGCGCGAGGAAGCAGACCCGCCGGCGTAAAAGCCTGCTTTTTCGGGAAAGGCGAGGTAACGGTCCGGGTTGAAGCGCATGGGGTCAGGGAAGAGCTCGGGGTCGTAGTGGATTGGGTATTGTTGTAGTGCGACTATGGAGTTCGCGGGGATGTAGGTGTCTTTGTAGACAATTGGAGCTGTTGTGTAGTGCGGTGACCCAATGTTCGTGACGGGACGGATTCTCATCGTTTCTTTCACGATGGCGCGGATGTACGGCAGATTCTCTTCATCCTCGAAGGTGGGCGATCGCGAACTTCCTACTACTCTGTTGAGTTCCTCCCAAGCCTTTTGACGGACCTCGGGGTAGGCAGAGAGATACAGTATCGCGCCGTTGGTAGCTGCGCTGGTGGTCTCGCTTCCAGCTTCGATGAGGGAACCGGCAAGGAAGGCCGCCTGTAGCTCGCTGATGCCTTGTTTTTCGTAATTGCTTTCAATAAGCTGTTTGACGAAACATTCGGGTGCTTGTTTGGTCTCCATTTGCGTCTTAAGAGAGGAAAATAGGGACATCCAGAGGTTGGCTTGACGATCAAAGTAAGGCTTCAGCGGCTTGCGCCACCATTGAAGCCGTGGCGGCAACCGGCCCAGGAAAGGAAGAGTATCTGCAAGATAAGCTCCGGGAGCCGCGATGGTGGAGAAGTCATTCATGATACCGTATATCTCCTTGACTTCATCGCAATCCTGTGCTTTCCGTAAGCCTTCTACTCAGTTCTCGATATCAAAACAAGGACATACTCACCCACTCAGCAATTCTCCTCCCATATGTACTCGTCATGATCACACTAACCGTATATCTCCTTACAGCCTTGTACCCCACCTCACTACCCTTGGCCTCCCCAGCTCCCCTCAAGACCTCCTCCATCATCATCTTTGCCTCCCACTCCTGGCTCGGCTGGAACGTCTTAGTCACCACCGGCGTCAAAAGCTTATGACTGATCGCCCTCAACTTCCTCCACTCCGGCCCATACTCCATGAATAAAAACCTCAAGCCTCCACTCAGCGCATCGTTGGCGACCGGCATCGGGGCCCTCGAACTCGAATCTTTAGATTGCCGATCCATAACTTCTTTCACGGCAGAGGGTGAGCATAGCAGGTACCAATCGTTCCATCCAAGCCGGATCTTGAAGATCTCGCCATATGTACGGGCCCAAGAGGTGATTTGGCGGTGCGGTTGGGGGCCGAGTTGGTGCGCGTTGCCGATCAAGGGGAGACCTTTGGGACCGGGGGCGGGGGAGAGGCCTTTTGGTATGTGGGTACGGGTACGTTGATAGTAGAGGAGGGATGCTGCTATAAGCACTACGAGGACAAGTGTTAGGAACATGTTGATGTATGGAGATGGAAAGTAGGAGTATGCATGTACTTTGCTAACAGTCATCGTGCGATGCGTCGCGATGGTGTTTCAATAGTTCCTCGCGCATACCCCACATACGTCTGGGGTAAGAACGCAGGTACATCGGAATCACTACCCCAGCGGGTACATGTGGAGCGCATTAGTGCACGTGGTTGGAGACCACATTACGGGCATTTGTAGCCTGTTAATCTACAAGTATACCCGTGGTCGTGATGTGGCGATGCTGTTGCGCAGTGTTGAAGTTTGTAGCGCCCAGAAAAACCAATATCCACCCAAGGGCATGAAACCCTAGTTTTCTCCCACGATCGCAGAGACCAAGACTATCTCAATGTATATACAAACACCTAACCATGCAGTCGTAACCGTGAAGTCGGCTCTAAATAATACATTCATCCCCTTCCCCACCTGTCCCTAAGCTCCGTAATTGACAAGCACGAGGAAGAGGACGGCAACCGTCATGCGTCATCGCTATCCCCATCCATTTCCGTAAGGTCATCGCTCATAATATGAAGAATCTGAGAGAAAGTTCTGCTCTTCCAGCGGCCAACACCATCCATCAAGTCGGCGCAGTGTAACAGCGTGCGCCGTGCCGCAAGGTACCCTCCTTCAAGTGCGATGCCAGTAATGCTGAAGGGACCACCATTCCGTATGAAGTTAACTAGAGAGGCATCGCCAAAGCCAAGAGATGCACTTGGAGAATGCGGCGAGTCGATGAGACCGACCTGTCCGACATGAGTCCAGTCAATGATGTCAAGAAGCTCGATGCAGTTGTCGTTAATGCCACAAGTTGAAGTTGGAGGGAGGGTGAAGATGTAGAGGCCAAGGACAAGCGCGGCCTGGAATAAAGCGACAACACTGTGCGGATTGACAATATCAGACACTTTGCGATCAAAGAGAAGCTTGAAAATGTGGGCGGCGTGCAACACCGATCTTCGTGCCGATGGCGTTTGTGACCATGCTGAGATATCTTCTAAAGCAGCCACTGCGGGCCCTGACCCGGCGCGGCCGGCAGCAAGCTCAAAGTAGCGCATATTGGCGCCTAGCATCATGCATGCAGAGTGCCAAAGAACTGCAGAGTTGAGATCCGCCGTTCGTAAAGCATCAATAGAAGATGAGGAGAAGTTGACCAGGAGCGGGATTAATTCGCGACTTCTAGGATCCTCGGAGTATATCCGCCATGGTTCGATATGCTTTTGAGGCCCGTTGATGTTTGCGAGCCGATCGTTGGCTTCGTATACCCGCAAGAGAAAGAGCGTCAAGAGGCTACGCAAGGTACCGGAGTCCAGCTTCAGCCCAGGTGTTGGCAAGTACGAAGGCGTAATTCTATTCGAATTTATCCGGGCTCCGCGCTGTACTAGATTGAACCATTTGGTCGGAGAGTTTGCGTGGTACAAGTTGTATTCTGACGGGGGTAGGATCTGCACGGATTCTGGCCTTATCATTGGGGAGGCCGAAAGGTACGCTGCGTACCAGCAATCTACCTCCAACAAGCCGAATATGATACTGACAATGTCAGCGATGATTTAGCACAGCTGGACCCGTACTTACCGTTTCGCGCACTCTACCCGGCACCAAGCCTTCCACCGCGCGTCGATATCCAGTATATCTTCTAGAAACGAATCCGGTGGTGCACTCTCATTTGCAGAAAAGAGACCGTGTTTTTGCGCGGCCTGGCGCTGTCAGCAGCATATTCAGTCGAAGCAACGTTTTACCACTTACCGTGATTAGATCACTGTAGAGCTTCTCGGCTTGGGCTATACGGCTCTTCCGCTGCTCTCGCTTAGCGATCGATTCACCCTTAGCCACATTCCTGCTTACGCCAGTTATAGAAGCCAAGTTAAGTGCCAACAGGCCGGTTGCGAGGATGCGCATCTGGCTCTGGGCTGTGTGATTACTTGTTGACAAGGATTGCAATTCTGCGGACACCATTTGCAGAACCACCTACGGAACCAGGTAAGCATACACCCTTATATTCCCCACTTTAGTGACACTTACAGGATATGTCCGTGATACGAACTTCGCAGCTCCAGCTGTGCCGAGGATACTTAATCCAATAAGACACATCGAGAGTAGCAAGGATCTCGGAGCATTTTTGGCCGAGAAAGTAGGGATATGAATGATAGGCAAAGTCGGGTGGAAATAATACAGATACATCTCCAAAGCAATGTCAAGAATTTCCGCAGGTGGAAAGCGGACGTTCACGTTTTCGATACCACTGGGACTGGCTCCTGCCTCACCGCCTGATGATGCGGTGTCGCCATACGATTCTGATCGCCGAGTATTGGCTTGTGGCGCATCATTGAGGGCACCTTGTAACAGGTCCCTACATTCCTCGTCGAGGCCCCATCTTGAATTTCTTCTTTCACGCTCACTAATGGGGGTCTCGATGACGCCGGAAGGGATCTCCGAAAGGATGTTCGAACAGTCGCAAGAGACTAAGCTCTGCCAGAGGGTTGGCATCAGACGAGATGGTGTTCGGGATCTCAAAGGCCAACAGCTTTCAACTCTTGCAAACCGCTCCTTCGGTATCCTACTTGCGATTGAGACACTACTACCGGACGGGCTGCCATGGTTGTCTCCGCCGTTGCGGAAAAAGTCGTTGTCAAAGTGACTGTCAATAGTCATATGATGAGAATTGTTGGAGGCCAAGATGTCATTCTCGAGAGGAAAGAGCCAGGTCTGTAAAGCGTCGGCCGGCGTTCGATTTGGAAGCGGATGGTTGCTCTGCACTAGCTCGAACGCCCACTGGTCGAGGCTAGAGACATGACCCTGAGGAGAAAATGAAAGCATATCGATCGCTGGGTCAATGGGTGGAGGCATGTTGTCCGGCTGCCGCGTCAGAAAGCGTTCATTGTCAGTGGGTAGATTTATTGGAGATGGCGATCTCCAAGGCACGTCGGCTGGTGTTCCGAGATGCTGCGCGGCGTTAAGCAGAGCCTCTAACCGGCTTTCGCCGGGCGATGTATGTTGTTGTACAGACGAGTGCCGCACATGCAAAGATGGTGACTGTTGTGAATTTTGAGGTCCTTCCCTGGGCTGAGGTTGTTGCTGTGAGCTCTTTTGTCTTGACAGTGGTGACAGACTGGGGTCTTGTGCAAGTTGCGGCGTTCGCTCTGATGTCGGTCCGGACTCGGCCGGCTGCTTGTCGTTGGCCGCAATGCCTGATTGCTGTTGTTGCTGCTGGATTTGTTGATTCTGCTGGTTGTTGCTCAATCTGTTCAGAGCATTCTGTGCATGGCCTTTGCAGTGGCGAAACAAAACGTCGCTGTTCAATGTTGGTTCAGCTCTGTGGAGCCAGTCATGCGGACTTACCTGCGCGAAAAGTGTTTCTTGCACGTTGGGCACTCGTATGGGCGCTCTCTCGTATCTACATGTACAATTAGTCGTGATAAAGCGATCGCATCGATGCCAATTGGCGCGTACGTGATCGCTCGTGGCGTTTGACGTGCTCAAGCTTCGTGAACTTGCGGTCGCACAGACTGCATTGTTTCAAGGCCATAGAAGTGATGCCGGTCGGTCCGCGGGGAGAGCTGCGATGCCCTCAGCGGTCCAGTGTCGTTGGGAAGGGTCCTCAAGAGTGAATAGACGAGCGAAGTGCCGGTCGACAAGTCTGGAGCCACAGCGCGGTTGGCGATCTGAATTGCGGGGAAGTTGCTACCCATGACTCGCGTAGTTGCAATATAAGCCCGGGATGCGCCATCCCGCCATATTCGTTCTTCATCTACTCACTGTTGCATATCATCTGCAGTCTCACTGCTTCATTTGCAAAGCCTGTCGATGTACGAAAACGAGAATAAGAGCTGCATGCTTTTGCATGATGAATCGGCTTCCTGGGCGCACCAGCACAGTAACGCCAGCACAGTAACGCGCGTGAAAACCTAGGAAACACCGGAGACGCCAGTCTCAGCCTTCGTCTCACTTCCTTCCTTCTGGAAAAGCTCCAAAGCAGCTGACCATTTCCACGCAGCTGACAGGTAAGCGTTCATTGAGCCCATGACTCCGGCCTACTGGTACCAATGCATGTGGGGACCCTGGCGGGCATGCACTAGTGGGGCATACAGCATCCCCCGGCGCACTTCGTCTGATCACGTAGCTCTCAAATCCTTCGAGAAGCAGTGCACGAACAGAGCAGTGAGAGATCTGCTGTGTTCTAATGATCTGTGTTCATCGAAATCAATCTAAGTGTTTCATGCGCACTCACCACGCCAGATCTGGGTCGCATCGTCCGTCGATCAAGCTTCATGCAGATATTGAGTATTATGATGATCGTGTCAATACCCCCTGGTCCTCAGGATATATCTCGGGGCTTCGGATAACAGCTCCATTACTGCATCCACGGGCCGGTCACGCTTTACCCGGTTCTCAACAACCATTATAGACGACTTCGATATGCAAGAAGCGAACATGTGCACCAAGATAAAATTACCCAAAATGACCAAGTCCTTGGATTGACTTGCATAATTCCAAATCTTAGAGGGAGCGGCTGCAACGTTGGCACACTGCCTCTGACGTGATAAGCGTACGATAACATTATTGACGTTTCAAGATTAGATGCTAGATTTCTATACGACGTTTCCCAGCATTTCTATCATCGCAGAGTAGACGACCAACAACACCCCGCCACCAGGTCCGAACCTCAAGATCTTGGCTACGTAGCCCTTGTACAGCGCTTTCAGTCCTTCTTCTCTCGCAACTACACCTAAGCTCGGCCATGCCCATGCATATTTGCCTCTTACGCCTTCAACCTTCGCAACACTCTGTATTCGACTCTTGACCACATCAAGTGGTGTATTCAGAGTAGTGCCTACCACTCCTCCGACAAAGCCGGCCGCCAAATCATTCACCGTCTTCTGCGCTTTTGGATTTGCAGATTGTGATGGATCAGGTAGTTGAGCGCGTACTTGGAAGATGCACCCGAAGTATCCAGCGTTCCAGACGATATGTCGCCAGAGAGTCGCTTCGAAGCCATTATAGAGCGCTAGAATCCCTTCTTGCCGCACCACCTTAGTGAGGCAGTCGACGAGACCATTGTATCGCGCTGCAGATGTCTTGTCTTGGAGACGGATCTTCACCAATTCGAAGGGTACTACTACCAGGCTTTCGACTGCACCGGCACTTGCGCCTGTGAGAACCGCGAGTGGCTGTGTTAGGGCTGGTACGTGGAAGAGTCGTTGGTAGAAGGGACCGAACGTATCGTTCGACGAGAACTTGATGGCTCTATGAGTGCGTCAGTGATCATTCTTCTTTCCGGCCGAACGAGAATGTCTCACCTCTTGGGCACTTCCATCAGTATCGGCGCCGTGATACCGCGATATAGCCTTGTCGCACCCTCATTCCTGATTATCTTCCTGAAGCAATCCAGTACGCCGGTGTAACCTTGGCCATCCTTCGCAGCGCCATGCTGCAATTGTATTCTTGTCTTCACTACATCAAGCGGGTACCTTCCTACATTCTTAGATTTACAAGACATCGAAATAAGAAAGAAGTCCTCACATCACTAGTATCTGAGAACTATCAGTGATGTTTTTCTGAAGCATTCAGCAAGCTCACCTCTGAGATCCCTGCAACCGCTCCGGCAGCAAATTGATACCTGAATGGTAACACATTTCTCTTCTCTGACTTCAGTGCCTCATTCGGCCCTACTTTCGAAGCCATGTCTCCCATACAAGAATGATGTTGCAGTGCAACCTCCAAGGTCCACATGGGAAACTCAGGGTTTCCAGAGGTTTGCACATGGCTCAGACTCCGCTACAGTTTCCCCACCCTTTGCTTAGCAACGTCACTGTGCACATTTTACGATTGTGGGTATTCGGCGCATGCGCATCCATATTGTGCTTCCTTTCTACCGGTAGCTCTGATTGTGGTGTTGCTGCAGGGATTCTGGCTCGGGGAAGATGTGGAAGGAGGATGTGGGGCTAGCGCGATCGGAGGGAAGTGCAGGGGTAGATGGAACAACATCTATGTGGGGAGGCTTACGATGTTCCGCAGCTTGAGCGTCAGCGAAGTGGGAATGTAGCACTGCAGATACGAATTTACAAATACTGTTTTATAATGGGAGAAAGTTGTACAATTCATTGAATCGCGTTGCTTGAGTAAGATAGATCGATACTTTATGCTGAAAACTCCAAAAATGCTGGGAGATGTAGGCTACACGTCTAGACAGCGTTGCGCTAAGCAATCGTCTTTTGACTCTTGAGATCTTCTATGTCAGCTTCATTGAGATCCAGAAGCTCTCTCAACACTTCACTTGTGTGCTCTCCGAGCATTGGAGGTGGTGTCCTTATTTTCGGCTCCGCTCTAGAGTACTTGACTGGATGATTAACGAGTTTGATCGGTCCGCAACTCGGATGGTCAACCTCCTCAATCATATTTCGTGCAAGGACTGATGGTATCGTCAGTAACGTGTGACATGTCAAGATCCAACATGTAACCTACCATGTTCGTGATTGATCGTGCCCTGTATATCATTAACAGCGGCATATGGCATGCCACTACCTTCGAAGACATCGAGCCACTCCTTCGTCGTCTTCGTTTTGAGCTCGTCCTCGATGATTCGATCAAGAGTATCTCTGTTCTTCACGCGCAGCGCATTGGTGATGAAGCGCGCATCTGTCTTCCACTCAGGCTTGCCAATCTTATCGCAGAGTATGCCGTAGAGCTTATCGTTGCATCCACCGACAGCAATGTTTGTGTCCTTAGTCTTATATGCCCGATAGGGTACAACTGATGCTGTTTATATAGTCAGTGCCAGTTTCCTCTCCACTTCGTTAACAAAACTGCAACGTACCGTGAGCAGTCCCCCATCTCCCACTATCTTTCTTTCCGCTGATCAACGCACTACTCGCGATGTTCGCCAGCCCTGCGACCTGACAGTCACTCAGACTCGCATCGATCCACTGACCCAGACCAGTTTCTCTCCTTGCGTACAATGCCGCCAGCACGCCAATTGCTGTGTACATGCCTGTCGATATGTCCGTGACTGCTACACCGACCTTCACAGGTGGGCCGTCTCGCTCGCCAGTGATATGCATCAGTCCCATCTCGGCTTCGACCATCACGTCGTATCCCGCTCGATTGCTGAATGGCCCAGTCTGCCCGTACCCGGTAACGGAGGCGTAGATTAAGGAAGGATTTATATTTGAGAGTGTCTCATAGTCAAGCTTGTACTTGGCGAGCGAGCCTGGGAGGTAGTTTTCTACTAGGATGTCGCATTTCTGGACGAGGGAATGCAAAATGGAGATTCCGGAGGGGTTGTTGAAGGAGAGACACAGAGATTTCTTGTTACGGTTCACCTGGCCGGGGGTCAGGTGCTGAGTTAAGATGTAATTTTAAGAGAATGGGACTTACAGAGAGATAGTACGCGCTTTCTCCAGGAAACTGGCGTTCAACACCGTCAGTGTAAGGAGCATCGGGCGGACCCCAAGAACGCGTATCGTCTCCTCGTGTTGGGTGCTCGATCTTGATGACTTCTGCTCTGGGCACTAATCAGTACCTAGAAACGATCAAACTCAGGGACATACCCTAGGTCTGCAAGTATCTGTGTGCAATAAGGCTACTCGACGTTACTATGCTATTTAATGGTTTGACTTTGAACGGAGTACTACATACCCCTGCTAGCACCCTGGTCATGTCAAGCACTCGTATGCCAGCCAATGGTAATTTTTCGATGGTTTTCTTGTCCACGGTGCTCGCTGTCGCATTCCCACGCTTCCGATTCGCCGTGGGAAATTTGCGCGCCAGGGCCCAGCCCCTTCCGTTTTGGACAGCAAGCCGCGTATAGGACCTCGAAAACATGCTTGTCAGAGTTTTTGTGCCATCATCATTGCAGTCTGAAGCATTATGTATATCAAAAGAACGCTCAGGGCTCAAGTTTTGGCCCCACATCCTGCATGTGGGGTCGCTAAACCATCCCAAAGCAGACATGCACAGACACATTGACGAATGGGACGTCATAAACCCCAAAACAGATTGTATTACTTATGAAAAGATATAGAACACGTAGTCCGTACATACAACGCTGACGAAGATGCAATGAGCGCTTGAGTAAACAAATTCATACAGGGAAATCAAGCAACATCCACAGCTGGAAGCATTGCCTGTCCATCCAACGAGTCGTGCCTGACACCGTTTGTTCCGTTGAGATAGGGCTTCAACTCCTTTGAGTGTACTCCTTCGGTATCGCTAGCGTTGGCTCCATGCGAAAACCCGCCGATGTAGTATGGTGCTAGCCGCTTCTTCTCTGCTATCTTATCTTCTTTGAGGCGAGCGAGTAGCTCCTTGGCTTTGGAGTTGGCAGAGAAGCGGTCCTGCGGCTGTCAATGATGGCTCGACAGTACCATGAGGAGTCACTTACCGGTAGTGCATCCCAGACCTTGGGGTCAGTGCCCTGCGTGCTAATCGTACCGCAGCCAGTGCGAGCATATTCGGTCCAGAGGAAAAGACGGCTCGACTCAACCATTATGGTGAGTTGATCTGATATTTGTCAGTCAAGCCACATGATACAGATGTGGTACGCCCATACCTGTGAGAATCTTCTCAGGAACACTCTCGTGCATCCTCATGCCATGCTGGTAGCCCTCGTGAAAACCACCATGCGGAGTATGGCCTCCTTCGAAACTGCCACCACCCGGAAGGAAGTCGTCACTTCTACCGAGACCTTGGCCGTATAAGCAGGCTAAGAACTCGGAAGCGGAGTTACGGTGAAAGTATGGCAACCTGAAGGTGTTCGTTGCCACATCCCATCGGGGTCCAAACCATAAGAAGTCAGCCAGCGGGGTTACCGGATCGCGTGACGGGGCAGTAAGCACGCAGAAGATCGAGGGATCTGTGTGATCAATCGAGGTGCTGTTCTGGGAGGAGAATTTGGTAAGGTCGTACTTGTAGGGGACGACGTTGCCATGCCAAGCGACAAGGTCGAAGGGGCTGTGGTCCTGCACGATGGCAGTGAGCTGGCCATTGGTCTTGTTCACAATCTGCCAATCGACATGGAGCTCGTCATCGATGGCAGCAACAGGGTATAGGAAGTCGCGAGGGTTCGCCAACCCATGTCCACCCAAGGGACCAAGATCAGGGAGCACCCACATGGAACCCCACACTTCGGTAATGTAACCTCGTGCGACCTTGGTATCCGGGGCCAGGTTGAGACAGAAGCGGATGCCTCGTTGGATGACGCATATCTCCCCAGGTTGGAGGTAGATTTTACCCATTTCCGTTACGATGTCAAGGCTGCCGAGCTGAGCGCAGATGAGGAAGTCGCCATCGGTGTTGCAGAACGCTCGCCTTTCCATGCTGGAGTTTATCATGTACACATAAAGGGCGATACCTTCCCTGATGTTAGGGTCGCCGCTGCCTGCCAATGTGTGGAGGCCATCTACAAAATCGATCTTGTCTTCGTCCTTGGGTAGCGGGAAAGGATGCCACTCTGCTTGCTCTGGTAGCGCCTCAACCGTAGGATTGATTGACAGAAAGCAATTCTGGATGTTTGACTTCGTCTCAATAGGCACATATCCCTCTGTATGTATTCAGTAAAAAGTCTCGTAAGGTATTATACAACATACTGTGAGCAGCTGCTGGCCTGCAGCGGTACATGTACGTGCTGAAGTTTGCATGTCGTGGCGCAGTAAATGCTGAATATGTGATACCCTCTGTGTATAGACCAAAGCGAACCTCTTGTGGATTGTTTTGTGCTACGGGCAACGTTCCTGGGATAAGCTCTGATTGATGACGATTGCCCCATCCTGCTTGATATTCATAGGGGTCATTCTCGCGTGTAGGCTTCAGCCGTTGAAGATCGGTGAAATGGAAGGCCTTCTGAGGGTCCGTGACCAGTTGGCGTTCTTTGAATTCAGGCATGTTGTAGAGATGTAGTACGTGAATGTACTGTTTTCACCACAGTAAGTCAACTTATATTGAACCAACGGTCTAGGGGCATAGCACTAGATCTGCCGTTGCTGACTGGCGTGGAATCCGCGTGATGTGGGGCGACCAGTAACGGCGGGGTTGGTACGCATTGACTCGCTCGGTGAGGCAAAAACTGTCCCAGGGTGAGAAGCATGACTAGGTCGAAACCCGGATATTGGAGGGTGGTTGATGAATAGATGTGAATGCGAATCTATCTAGCCTGGAAATGCTGATACTAACGCCTTGCGTTCTGAAAGCTACGTAGCAAGGGACATTATCCCCCAGTCTTTTAATTTCGATCGTAATCACCCTGAAAATACTGCCGTACGGAACAGTCAAGCTGACTACAAAGACCTGGCGAGAACTTCGTCGACCATAAGGCCACATGAACCGAGGTAGTTCTTGGCGTCGCACAGTGAACTCAGATCGCCGTGGGAGATCTTTCCAGTGACCTCGTCACGGGTTTGAAGAGCTTCAAGAAGGCTGGTGTCGTTCTCGATGCTCTCTTTACAAGCTTCATACACGATATCGTGGGCCTTTTGGCGACCCACATGCGGAGCGAGCCCCATCATGACCGCCTCCGCCACAATAAGCCCTCGAGTGGAGTAAAGATTATCGAGCATCGCTTTTGAGTTCACGACCAAGCCGGAAAGCGCGAAATCCGCCTGGTGGAGGGCACCTGCAGCAAGAACAAAGGATTCAGGTACAGCCACCCATTCGAGATGCCAGGGTCCAGAAGCGCGTTCGAAATCTGAAACCATCCCATCAAGAACCAAGCCTGCATTCGAGCGTAGTACCTTGGAAGCAGCCAATATGACTTCGCTGGAGATGGGATTGCGCTTCTGTGGCATAGTGGAAGAGGCTCCACGGTGGGGAACGAAGGGTTCAGATACCTCGGATAGCTCATTCGATGACATGATGATTATATCGAGCGCAAGCTTGCCCAGGCTGCCTCCAACGAGTGCGAGATAGTTTGCGATCTCAGCGACACCATCGCGCGCGACATGCCAAGTGATGGGAGGATCTGTAAGGCCCAAATCCCGAGCCATCTCCTTTCGAACCCGAATGCCATCGTCGCCAGAGCCCAGCGATGCCAGCGAGCCTGCTGCGCCACCGAATTGGACCATGAGTGTGCGAGATTTGAGCTGTTCCAAGCGCTCGAGATGTCTCTGGAATCCAGAGAGCCAAATTGCACACTTGTGGCCAAAGGTAATCGGTAATGCATGCTGCAAGTGGGTGCGACCGGCCATGGGAGTGTCTCGGTGCTTCTTTGATAGGGCTTCCAGATTTTTGATGACAGATCGCAGAGTTCTTTCGATGATTTCAAGCCCCTGCTTCATCTGCAGAATGCTCGCTAAGTCCATAATGTCTTGGGTAGTGGCACCCCAGTGGACGTAGCGACCAGCCTCCTCCCCACAAAGTGCTGAAAGTTGCCGTACTAATGGAAGGATGGGATAGCCAACAATCTCAGTTTCTCGCCGCAGTCTGTCAAAATCGAGCTCCGCGCCTTGAGATTTGGACGTCACAATCTCGCCGATGTGAGATGGAATCACCTTGCATCGCGATTGCGCTCGCGCCAAAGCCGTTTCAGCGTCAACGCAACGGTTTAGATAAGCTTTGTCGTCGAAGACTTTGCGGATCTCTTCGGTGCCGAAAAGTGTTCTGAAGATGGCAGAATCAATGGCACTGACGCTGCCCAACGCTCGCCGCTGCTGGAGGGAAGCAGTTTTAGGAACAACCCGCAACGGTGCGCGACGGATGAGAAACATGATGCTACAATCAATGCCAGAATAATGAGACAAGAGAGGGACGACAAGCAAAGAACGAGAACGCTAGCACAAGACGCAAAGTGTAACAAGACGTGGGCCCTTGGTCGCCGGTAGATGCGGCGGAGTGTGGGGAAGGAAGCCGTGCTAGCGTGTCCAATGAGGTTGAAGATCACGTGCAGCTGCGTGGGGTCGCGTCATTTTCGCGATGTGGAGGGAAACACCTTGATGCTCATGCACAATGCTTATTCAAAAGATGTATCGCTAATGTCATCGCTCACAACGCAGTGAATTCGACGTCCCACCCTTGAGAGAACACGCTCTCATGACGCAATTTTTCCGCACATCATGACTCCCGCACAAATAACGACGCGACGCCTTGGCCAGTGCTCGCACACATGGAAACGATGCCCAGCTCCTTGTCTTGCCTACGCAACTCTCCGAACAAAGTAGCGGTCTGACGTGCACCCGTCGCTCCAGTGGGGTGCCCCAAAGCAATCGCACCGCCGTTGGGATTCACTTTTGCCTCATCTAAGCCGAGAGCGCGCATGCATGCTAATGTCTGACTAGCGAAGGCTTCGTTCAACTCAATGACATCGATGTCTTTCAGCTCAGTTCCTGTATACTTGAGCAGAGCCGGAATGGCATATATGGGTCCAATTCCCATCTCATCCGGTGCACACCCACTAACTTGTGTGCCAACAAAACGCCCTAGTGGCGTAAGCCCGCGCTCTTCTGCCCAGGATCGACGAGCGAGTATTGTCGATGAGGCGCCGTCAGAGATTTGAGATCTGGGACGTCAGTCATGCGGCTCTTTCTTAGGGTGGGAAGTACACTCACGAGTTTCCGGCGGTGCTCTTGCCGTTCTCGCCAAACACAGGCTTCAACGTCGACACCTTCTCGAACGTCAAGCCGTGCCTTATACCATCATCCTTGGAGACTTCGAATCCTGTGGGCTGGCCTGTAGTCTCGTCTATGCGTTGCACTGTAACAGGCACGATTTCCCAGTCAAATCTGCCTTCTTTCTGCGCCCGGCTTGCCCTGCCATGGCTTTGGACAGCGTACTCGTCTTGTGCCTTCCGGTCAACATTGTATCTTTCTGCGACGTTTTCCGATGTGATACCCATGGGCATCAGGCAGTCTCGCGCATCTTTGATGGTTGATCCCAGCAATGTAGGCGAGACATCAGTCGGGACGCCTCTCGAGCCGTAATTCCTAGACATGCTTTCGACGCCCCCAGCAAGTCCCACATCGATTTGACCAACCATGATCGCATGCGAGATATGGGTAATGGCTTGCAAACTACTAGAACACTGACGGTTGACTGTGTGGAAGGTAGTCGAACTCGGGAAGCCAGCGTGATTCAGGGCCATCCGACCAGTCTTCGCAAACCCGAGCTCAGCCAAGACATTTCCGATCATAGCATCGTTGACATCTTTGGGTTCGATTTGAGCTCTCTGCACAGCAGCCTTCATGACCTGTATCTTCTGAGTAAGCTGGGCTAGAACAGTTTCCCTAACTTACAGGCATCAATATGTCTTCCGGATGCGCATCTTTGTAGCCACCTTTGAAGCTGCGATTGATAGGCGACCGTACCGCAGAAAGCAGAACAACATCATTTGGGCTCTTCTGTAGCACATTGCGAGCTACTCTGTTGAAGGCCGCCATGATCGCGACTCAAGTTCCACAGCAAGATTCCTTGCATCTCGAAAGTCAGAATTCGAGCAATGCGCCGAAAGATGGTGGAACTGCCGCTCCGCAGCCGAATGCGGCAGCGGACGTGGCGGGGCTGCAAGGATGTGGGGCGAGACAGAAGCTACCCCTCGATGACGAATCACAGCAAGATGAACTTTGGTGAAGCAAAGGCGGAAAAGAGCCGCCTCCTCCTGGATGATTCTTGATCTCATTTAGAAAAAATCTCAAGATGACTCTGCCGAGCAAATACCAGAATGGAAGCATCGACTCCTCGTTGAAGGGTGTGTATCGAGCTTCCCCCGTCAAGCTTCTCATCTATGGCAGAGGTATGTTAAATAGCCATCATCATGTACGAAGGCTGACTAAATCGGATCAGGAACAAGCAAACAGCTTTCAGACGTTGTGTCAGAACTCGGCGGCACCAAAGCATTCATCATTACTGGTCGCTCTCTTTACGAAAAGACGCCAGTGATAAAGGATATTGAGAAAAGTTTAGGATCGGTTCACGGTGGCACATTTAGCAAAATCGGCCAACATGCGTGAGGATGTCTGAGCGCTTGAGATTTCAGAAAGCTGATTTTGGTAGCCCGATCGGCGATATCCGTGAAGCGACCGCCCTAATGGCGAAGTCTGGGTGCGATGTTTTGATTTCAATAGGTGGTGGTTCACCGATTGATTCAGCGAAGGCTATTGCGTACAACATCCACCAAGAGACTGGAAAATGGGTACCAAGCATCGCAGTTCCCACCACTCTGAGCGTCGCAGAGACAACTCAAAATGCCGGCTTCACAACTGAAGAGAAGCACAAGATCGCAGTCAGCAACCCTGAGCTTGTACCCAAAGCTGTGGTATACGATGGCGAAATTGCCTTGCACACACCACTGAACCTGTGGACTAGTACTGGGGTGAGAACTGTCGATGAGTCAAAGCTGATTCACAAGCTGACCGTGATATAGATTCGATCGTTAGACCACGCCGTGGAGCTCATGTATCATCCACTAGCATCCGAGATCCCCACCAAACGCATGTGCTTGGAGGCCATCAAGGATTTGTTTACCTATCTGCCTCAGTCAAAGGCGAACCCGGACGACGCCGATGTTCGCACGAAGCTCTTCACCGCATGCTACGCTTCGTTATTCCCTTTCCTCTACACTGGCGGTGTAGGCCTCAGTCACAGCATCGGTCATGCGATCGGCGCAACCTATTCGATACCCCACGGAATCACAAGCTGCCTCAGTCTAGCACCAACAGTGCATTTCAAGGCGAGCAATGCGGAAGAAGCCAAGCAGATTGCGAGAATCATTCCATACATCGGCAAGCAGAGCACCGGAAACGATGAGAAGGACTCGCATATTGTGGCAGATGCTATTGCCGAACTAGTTGAGGAATTGGGACACAAAACTACGTTGACTGCTGTGAGTGAACCCAAATTTTCCTCATTGATGCGCTAATCAGTCCTTAGTACGGTGTTCCAACTGGAGACGCGGAGGAAGAAGCCATTGCATCCCGTGCGCTACACAGCAAAGAGCACAAGGATTTTGCGAACCGTAAGTGGGCTTGTCCTGTTGACAGGAGCGAGGCTAACCCAAAGTCCAGTGAAAAAGATCGTGCACGATCTGTACTAGGCTTGCGACGGTGTCGCATGCGGTTGTCGGACTGTTTAGGGTGCTTTACCCGCGGATGACTTCACGTGAGCTGGGATCCTAGCGAGGATCCCGATGGTAGTTTTTGCATTTTCCGGGTTGTGAGCTTCAGCATAGCAGGGAAACGTTTCCGTAGCGCAGCCTTTCCGGACCCCCCAAGGGCTGGTGAAAATGTTTAAAACACTTTTCCGTAGCCAAAATGGCGGATAAGCTCTCTTCCGCCGCAAGTGTGGAGTCCCCGAATCTCCACCGGCGCCGGCACGGCAGGTGATTCGGTACGCCTAATTGCGTTTAGTGGCAGCATGCAAGCTCTCAAAAGTCGTGTGGGGAACGCAACCAGTCTGCAGTCGCAGCCTTTACATCCCACATTCCCACATAATCTTTGTGCATTGAACTTTGCGGAGGCGCGTGGAGCTGGAGTCAAGGTCTCTGTAGCATACGATAACTTTTACGGCTGTACACCGCTTCCATAGAATACCTGCATCAACCAGACGTGCATTGGAGAGCTCTGAGCGACAGCGGCGCAGCGCAAGACCGACGCAGAATCTACACAACAACACATTTTAGGATGCAACGAACATTTCTTTTTGCGGCACGCCGCAGCGCGCCTGCCATTCGTTTCTTCTCCAGCACTGCTACCCGCGCTGCGATCAACAAAATATACCCTTCCGCACAGGATGCCATCAAGGATATGAAATCGGATACGACTGTCCTTGTCGGCGGTTTTGGATTCTCCGGCGTACCAAACACGCTCATCAACGCGGTGCGTGACCGTTCAGATCTCAAGAACTTCACGGTCGTGAGCAACAATGCGGGCATGCCAGGCGTGGGGCTTGGCCAATGGCTGGACACCAAGCAGGTCGGCAAGATGATTGCCAGTTACATCGGAGATAACAAGACATTTGAGCAAATGTACTTGAAGGGCCAACTTGCGCTGGAATTGACTCCGCAAGGCACGATCGCGGAGAAGTGTGCGGCAGGAGCGGCAGGTGTTCCGGCTTTCTACACACCCGCCGCTTACGGAACAATAGGTATGGCGCATTCGATCATACATTTAAGACAGATATTGTATGACAGATGCTAATCAACCTTCTGCAGTACAAACCGGCGAGCTCCCCGTCCAGTACAACACTGATGGAACGATCGCCAAAATGGCGCCTCCTAAAGAAACTCGCGAATTCAACGGCAAGGCATACGTGATGGAAGAAGCCATCTTCGGCGACTACGCCTTCGTTAAGGTCGCGAAAGCTGACCGTCTCGGCAACTGTACCTTCCGTAAAGCGCAAAACAACTTCAACGAGGCGATGGGCAAGAACGCAAAGTTGACGATTGTGGAGGCCGACGAGATAGTCGACGAGATTGCACCGGAAGAAATTCACCTGCAGGGTATCTACGTCAAGAGGGTTATCAAGAGCACTGAAGAGAAGAAGATCGAGCGCTTGGTGCACTACAAGGACCCTGAAGAGCAGAAGCGTGCGATCCTCGAAGGTGAGCGCGACCCCCTTCTCTGCGCATGCTGGTAGTTAACATTTAGGCAGGCTCCTCCGAAGCATCTCAAAAACGCGAGCGTATCATCAAGCGAGCGGCGCAAGAGCTCAAGGACGGCATGTACGTCAATCTCGGGATCGGCATGCCGCTTGCTGCCCCTGCCTTCCTTCCCAAAGGTGTCGAAATCGTTCTGGAATCGGAGAACGGCATTCTCGGGATGGGCGGATACCCCAAGCCCGGAGAGGAGGACCCAGACCTGATCAACGCTGGCAAAGAGACTGTCACTTTGATCAAGGGTGCTTCGACGTTTGGTAGCCACGAGTCATTTGGCATGATCAGGTCAGGCAGGATCGACGTTGCCATGCTTGGAGCTATGCAGGTCAATACCTATGGAGGTAAGCAGATGATTCCACTGTCTCCGTGCGAGTATTCTTACTAATGTGGCACAGATCTTGCCAACTTCATGCTTCCCGGAAAGGTCAAGGGTATCGGTGGTGCCATGGATCTTGTCGCCAACCCCTCGCAAACTAAGGTGGTCATCACCATGGAGCATACCGACAAGAAGGGCAACCCCAAGATCCTCAAGCAGTGCACATTCCCCCTGACCGGCCAGAAGTGCGTATCGACCATCATCACTGACCTTGCCGTCTTCGATGTCAGCCCGATGGATGGGCTCACGCTCAAGGAGTACGCAAAGGGTGTCACTGTCGATGAAATCAAGGCAAAGACTGAGGCTCCCTTCAAGGTTGCCGATGATCTGAAGGAGATGCAAATATAGGTCGTTTGTAAATCCCTGTTCATTGACGTTATTATTAGCATTGGGCATTGAGCTTAGCATTTGGCGTCAGGTTGGCCTGCATAAAATTTCAATTCATGTTCATATTCCATTGAGCTCTCCGCCAACTTAAGTAAACTCCCACGATCCATCCTCCCCTTTCTTCCCTTTGTCCTCATACCCTTGCGGTAATTTCCCTCCAATATGCAGATACACACTACTTCCGTCCCGGTCAAAGCACTTCGCGTCCTTACTCGCACTCTCCCAGACCTCCAACGCTGCCTCCGCCATCGCCGGATTAATGCCCACCTGCTGCGCGCTCTCGATTCCCAGCCCTAAATCCTTAAGCATCATCTGCGTCTTGAAGCCCGGCTTGTACCCGCTGTTACTCGGCACCCATATATCAGTCACATTCGGTATTGGCATGACGTGGTCGCACATCCAGGACTGGCCCGTGGAAGCGCGGATCACCGAATAGAGGTCTTTCGGGTCCAGGCCCTGGGCGACACCGATCGCGAGGGCTTCTGCGGTAGCGAGCAGGATGGTGCCAGAGAGGTAATTGTTTGAGATTTTTGCGGTAAGGCCGGCACCGAGGGATGAGAGGTAGAAGAACTTCTCGGGTGAGCCCATCATTGAGAGCGCGGTTGAGAGGCGCTTAGATGTGGGGTTGGAATCGGAGGGTTTGGGGTGACCAATGAGCATGGAGAGGTCGCCTCTTTCTGCTGCTGGAACGCCGCCCTGGTGAGTATTTGTCAGTGGTGCAGAAGTTGAGACGTGGGACAAGTGAATACTCACAGAAACTGGTGTGTCCGCATATGTCCCTAGGCCTTGTGCTTTTAGCTTTTCGCCAACTTCTCTGGTGCTTTTTACGTCGATCGTGCTACACTCTAGCAACACTCTTTCCTCGTCCTTCTTGGCAGCTATTACGCCATCTTTCTCGTCCAAATAGACTTTCTTCACGTCGTTCGCGCCAGGCACGATCGATATGACTACTTTTGCATTGTCTGCTGCTTCGCGTGCAGTAGCTACTGTTTCTATCCGCCCATATGTGCTGTACTCGTTGGTGAAGCGTTTGCAGGCAGAAGCATTGATGTCATTAATGTAGAAGATTGCGGATGAGTCCATCTTCTTTCTTATGTTGGAGGCCATGGCATAGCCCATAGCTCCGAGACCTGCGAAATGTTAGATATATCATGCTGTAACGGAATGGTGACCGTTCATACCAATGAAAGCAAAATTTTCTGCCATTTTCCAAATTTAGTTGCACTGTACAATCTGAAGCGACAAGATACTATGTACTCGAGTAGTGATTGTTTACAGTGTGGAGTAGTTCTTTCGCAAGGTAGCTAGTCCCTGCGTGGTCAAACCTTTGCCCCACATCTTCCCCTCAATCTCCATGTACTCCCCCAAGCATCATACATGCGTCTAACTACAACTAGTAAGTGAGTGTCTTATAGCAACATGAGCCACGTCCAGACCACAAGACCTTCAATACAATTGCCTAAATGCAGAGGCCGAATTGACACTTGAGAGCTGGAGTAAGCTTCTCGCGAAAGCAACCGACCTTCTTACCAAGAAGAAGCACATCGATAACGCAGCGGTATACAATTCACTAGACAAGTACTTAGGCACAGCCCTCTTTCTGTGTTTCGGGCTGACCAAGTATCAGCACGTTCACGTAAAGATGTCATCATCCAAGGCCCTCAAAGTAGGAGTAATAGGCCCTGCAGGCTTTGGAGGCTCTTACCTTTGCGTCGAACTCCTGAATCGCGGTCACAATGTCATTGGGATATCCCGTAAACCCGAGAAACTCGGCTCGCACGAGCGCTACATTCCGCGGTCTGTCGATATTGACTCAGTCTCGATTTCCGAACTAGCAAAGCACTTCGACGGCCTTGACGTCCTCGTATCCGAATATGGACCGCACACTGCGGGCGCCGATGCGTTGCTTTACAGTAAGTATACAGGCGTTTATATATGAACCAATACCTGATTAGAACAGTGCCTTTCCTCGAAACTGTACGCAAAATCATCCTGGCAGTCAAGTCATCCAACGTAAAGTACTTCCTCTTCGTTGGTGGCGCAGGCTCGCTCCATGTGCCCGGCACGCCTGAGAGCTGCGTCGACCATCCAGACTTCTTCATGGCATACCGACGCGCCATTGCAACCTCCGAGGCGCACATCGTGTATATGGAAGAGCGCCTGGGCATCATGGGCACTTCCCTACGCGCATATCGCGATGCACGTTTTGCAGAGCGAGAAGGGCGCGCCACGGCCGAGCACAAGAAGACCATCGAGGAGTATGAAGCATCCATTAAGGCGAAGGACCGCGCGACGGACTTCATTAAAGCAGGTCGCACGGCGTATATGTTCTTTGATGGGAATACTTCGTTCAAGTGGTCTTTCGTGTCGCCGTCTGCGCTTTATAGACCTGGGGTACGGACTGGGAAGTATGAGATTAGCGTGGATGATATGGTCCTAGTTGGAGAACAGCAGGGTGACAATATCTTCGAGGGGAGGTTGAAGGGCATCAGTGTGGCGGATATGGCCATCGCGATTGCAGATGAAGTGGAGAATGAGAAGTTGGTTGGAAAGCATTGGAGTGCGTGGGGTGATATTAGTGCAGACAAGCCGGCGCCTGCATATTTGACTCTAGATAGTGTGGGTGGCGGAAGCAAGTGAATGTAGAGACAGAGCTCAGATTGTACGAGAAAAGAGAACTCTGGTATGTTTAATCAGAGCTTTGTGTCATGGCGTCTTCTGCTCAAGCTTTTCCGCATCCCAACTTGTGCCCTGGCTCGCGAGGAATGCCTGGCCTTTAGCAAGAACCTTACTGTTTTCCTCGCCCAGCCATTGGGGTTCAAGATCCTGTATTGCATCCTCAATTTCATACGCTTGACCGCCAGCAATCCAAAGTATCTTGCCGGCAAACGGCATCTTTGCTCCGGGATGAGTCTTGCCTTCCTCGCTCCGATTGGCAGAAGCACACAGAACAATGCTTCTTGCAACATCTTCAGCTTCGTTTTCGGGAAGACCAAGTTCACGCCAGCCGGCTTCGATGCCTTTCACAAGCTTCGTTTCTAAACTTTCGTTAGGACAGCTCCATAGCAGGAAAAGAACCTTTTTGACTTACTCGTCATCCACGGACATATGACATTGACCCTGATGTTCTCCAGAATTGCGACGATATGCAAGCCTCTCATAAGACCCAATACACCATGTTTACTCGCAGTGTAGGGCGCCAATCCTCCGCACTCCTTGAAGCCCGCAATAGAACTAACGAGTATGAGGTCTCCGCCTCCAATCTTCCTTAGATAATGCATCCCAATTCTCGCCGTGAATATTGCGCCCTTCAGATTGATATCAACTTCCATCATGCTGGGCTCCACAGAGATGTCTGAGTTCGGATCGAAGACGTCTTTGTGGTTTGCCACGCCCGCATTTGCAACCACGACATCTACCTGACCATAGGTAGTCTCTGCTAACGTGAATAGATCAAGCTGGGATTGATAGGAAGATGTGTCGCAGTGTTGGAATCGGACTGAGTCGCCGAGAGTGGATTTAAGTTCGCGTGCCGCTGCTTCGTTGACATCGCCGAAGACGACCTTGCATCCTGCTTCTGTAGCATAGTCAGCATAATCGTACCTTCGATATCGAGTCAGTCTGTGCTTGCCAACGAATTGCGTTACTGCAGAACGCCCTATCCCGGTCGCTCCTCCTGTGAGCACTACAACCTTTTCCTTTAGGGTACTAAGAAGCTCCGGATTGAACTGCACGTGCACCATTTCGCCAGAAGCTCACCAGCACGCAATCGACAGGGATCGAAATTCTCACCATTCTTGATAAACACTTTTGTTGTTTGTCTAAAGTTCCCCGCACCCCACACGCATTCGGGGCGGGGAGAATGCCCACTTCGCCCCTCACAAGCTGCCCCTCACTAGAAATTGATGAGGCTAGCCTGCCGGAAAAGGAAACGGCAATCAACATTCGAAGATTGAATGCTTCGACTCGAAGACGTATCATTGACTATTGACCAAACGCAAAGTTCTGGAACACATCCATGACCAAGTCGAATCCAACTTGTTCGCCCAGCTTGAGCACCCGATCGTGTCTTCCAATCTCTTCGGGGTTCCCTGACGCGACATACTTCGTCGTGATGCCCTCACTGCTCGGCCCGTAGACCCTTGCTCCAAACTTTTCGCCCTCAACAGGCGGCCACGGGTCGTTTCCGTTGATAAACTCGATGATATCCTCGCCGTAAGCGCGCGCAACTTTCTTCTGTGCGTCGTTTAGATGCTCGTTGTAGTTTTGGAAGAGGTATGCCACATCGAGAATGTGGCCGGCTTCGCCTTGGAACTGGCCTTCCCACGGGATACCCTCGTTGAAATGGTAGAGGAAGAACTTGCTGTCCTTTGTTCGAGGCCAGCCCTTTGCGAAGGCACGGGAGGGCGCGTAGAAGCTGATTTCTGTGCCGAAACGGAGGATGGAGAGAAGTGCTTCGTTGTCACCAGTTGAGGGAGTGATGTTGTAGGACGACAGGAGAGTTGAAGCTGCGTCGGGATGCTCTGCCAAGGTCTTGTTGACTGACTCGATGAATTTCGTTGCGATGTTGGGTTGCTTTGCATTGAGACCCATGTACGCGAGAATATTGCCCTATTCGCTTGATCAGCTTTCTGCACCTGTACAATGATAGAAGAAGGGTATATTCACATCAAGTTGAGAATCGCCTATCATCAGTGCAGAACACCATTTTCGCCCAGGAAGCGGGAACTTAGGGTCTTCAGACTGCGACGACACTCCAGGGAAGGTTGCAACACCAGGTACAAGTTCGTTGTCGATTGCCGGAATCAGCGGCGTTCCGGGTGGGACTTTCTGCCACAGGTCGTCCATAGGAAGAGTAAGCAGTGCTTGTACACGCTCTTCTGGTGACTTGTCCTTCAGTCCGAACGCTTCGATGATTTTCGAGTAGGCGCCTTCAGTCGCAGGTTCTGGGAGTGGCTTGAACAAAAAGGATTGCACCTCCCGTACTCAGAACTCGTTTCACCAGAGGCTCTTTCGAAGTGAGCAACATAAGGGCAGAAACTGTTATCGTTAGCTTTTGCCATTGATCTTGAAAATGCACGCACAGCCACCAGCACTTTCGCCAGAAACAGTGATCTCGTCTGGATCGCCGCCGAAACCGCCAATGAATTTTCGCACCCATTGCAGAGCAGTGCGTTGGTCATGGAACCCATTGTTCGCCTTGTATCCAGCGTTTCGAAGCTCTTTAGACGTCATAAAGCCAGTTACACCTAAGCGATAACTGACAAGATTTAGTAACCATGGAGTTGAATAGTTACATTGTACATACTTGATTGTCACACCAATAAAGGGCTTCCCTTTCTCGACAGACAACTTAACGAGGGGCGCAGAATCGTAATGCGGGTACCAGCTCGAGCCAAAAGCGAAGCCGCCTCCATGCACAAAGACGTGAACTGGGAGTTTTGCATTGGTGTCGATATCGCCATCCTTGCTTTTTGGAACAGTAATGTTGAGATTGAGGCCTTCGATGTCTGAATGATCAGGTACATTGGGTGGTAAAGGTAATTCTTTTTGGATGAAATGGAACTCATTGTTGATAGCGCCAACAGATGAGACTGGAGGAGGACTATCATTCATAAGTAAGGGTTTGCCAAGTGTGCGAGCATAGTGTACCCGAATTTGGTGGCGTCGATGGGCCCAGAGCCATAGTCGGTTACTAGCGATGGTGCCGCAAAACGGTTTTTCAAGGACGCATATTTGAGGCCCAAGAATTGGATTACATCGTCGTTACTGTTTCCCCTGGACGTCACCAAGGTCTTTGTGTTTGTAAGTGGTCGCCATTAAAGCATGAGAGAATTTTTGGCAGCACTGGAAAACCGTTCAAATGTGGGAGCTAACAAACGTCGCCAAGTGACAGTTTCGAGCCAGAAAATGTTTGCCTTTGTGAGAGCTTGATCAATCGCACGATATATTGTTGCTACGGAGCTAGTACCTACCCCGCTATGCCGCGCGAATGTAGGTGGGGCTAAATGCTAGTCGTTCGTCCGGACCGTTTTCTGATTTAGGGATCATGTGGGGATATCTCTTAGAGAGATCTATGCCCTGACAAGTACCTGCGATGAGGTGCGAGTACTTTCGATAGGGACGAAGATAAAATCATCCGAGGTGACAAGCTCACCTGCGAAGGATCATAGTGGTTTGACTTGAGGGGGCTGAGGCAACACGCGGCATGCCTGTGTTTGGGGTTTATGCGAATAGCACTTACCTTGCAAAGGCATAGTGTAATATCGGAGCCTCTCGTCAACTTACCCCGTCGTACTTAACCTTGGGCTTCTACACTGAATGGACTTTGCAGCATCTGTACCGCGTAGTAAAGATGCCCACGAGCCCGATTCCGCAAACCAAGGCATTCGTCGGCCTGTCGTTACTGGATGGCGGCAGCTTCATCGCGTCTACCAATTTGCTGCATGCAGATGCTAGCAATGCCAAGTTTCGAATGTACAATTGGGCCTTTTGTATTTCTCATGGTGATGAACGTATCGTGTGGGACCTTGGGCTTGACGAGGTAAGCTCTTGCCTTGTGAAAGACGCGATTTACTCACGCGCTGTAGGATCGCTCTTTGTACACGCCTTGGGTGAATAAGTATGCGCTGGATAACATTAGCCCTTCAGGACCAAGAAAGAGCATAGGAGAGCAGCTAAGTGAGAGAGGCACTTCGTCTGCCCAGATCCAAACGATCATCTTCAGGTGCGAAATGTGTCAACTGTTCTTTGGTTGCACAGCTAAAAACTTGAAGTCACGCGCATTGGGACCACTGCCGACCGATTCGAGGAGCATTTCCGAATGCAACGGCATATTTCGGACCTGGGACCAGGGAAGGGTGCGCGCCTGGACACCTTGCAGATCCCACGGCGCAATGGGACGGTCGGTTCTTCGACCCTGAGCGGGCAACTGAACGATCTGAAGAGCTTGGTGGTCCGTGGATTCCATTCGGCCCATTCGAAAAAGCGAAGGATTACTTTGGCGACGGCAGCTTCTGGGTCATTCAGGCGCCTGGACACATGCCTGGGAACTTGTGCGCGGCGGCACGTTTAGAGAGCGGCGCCTGGGTTCTTCTTGGCAGCGACTGCTGCCACTCGAGGTGCGCATTCCGTTACCGGCCCCCACGATCATATTCCTGACAAGAACAGGGCCATTCTCGACGGTACTCATGAAATCGCACAATTCTGCATGCCGCACCGCGAAGGCAAGATGTCGTTGCACGCCGATCTTGAAACCGCGAAGAACACCATCGCGAAGATCCGAGTGCTAGAGAAAGAGCATAGTTTCCACGTCGCATTAGCACACGATGCCGAATGGTTGAAAGAAGGTTCTGACCAAGTATTGATGAGTTTGCTCGATGCTCATATGCTACTCGCGGCTAAAGAGCGAATACCCAAGGAAGAAGTAGCGTAACGGTCAAAGCTGGTGGCGTGGTGAACACAATTGCCAAACGGGGCGTAGTGGCTATTTACCCAACGTAAGATTCGGCAGCCAGTCGTGCCGTACTGGCAGCTAGAGGGATAATCTAGATGTTAGAATCCATTGAACTCATTCCATCGATAGCCAGATAGGAAAGCAAACAATGGCCCTGCGCGAATTTGTGAGCACCTCGAAAACGTAACGGGAGATCTCATTTCTTTTGTTACGTGTCTCTTGTTGGAAAACCAAATGAGTATCTCGGTAGCTTTCTGGATTGTGTGGTGCACGCTAGCAAATGAACTACGCCTAGAAAGGAAACGCAAGCGTAGCGTGGTGGTACCGTAGTGCTGATACGGCGCGTGTCAAAGGAACCGGAGCTCAGCAGGATGATGAGTATGTATTCTATGTATGAGGTATGGTGCTAGGTCCTAGGCCGGCATGGAGGCTAGGCACATGCCATTCCCTCGCTCCTGCCGCTCCTGCCACAGCGCGGTCCATGCTGAACTGCCCAAAAAGTCACTCCTTTGATCTCTTCCTTCTCTGCACCGTCACTTCTTTTCAATTTGGTAGCAATGGCTTCGCAAATTCCATCATGGCTGACACTTATCTTGTCCGCTTTGATCGCTTCGCTGGCATACTTCTTCATCAAGCTTTACCTCCATAGACGATTCTATAAAAATGTACCAACACCGCCGCACAGCTTTCTGTGGGGTCACTTAAAGCTTTTGGGTGAAACGTTGGCTCTGTTTCCGAGCGGTACGCATTACCAGGCAGCTATCACAACGATCTCGCAAAAGTACGACATGCCCGGTGCTTGGTACTTGGACCTTTGGCCCGCTGGCCCATCGCAATTGATTGTGACGGACCCGGACCTTGCGCATCAGTTTACAGTGCTGAAGAATCACCCAAAGCATATCGCAGCGATTACGTCCATGGATCCTGTTTTGGGTAGGGGCAACGTGGCCACGGCAGATGGGCCGTCGTGGAAAGCCGCCCACAACATGATTGCACCAGCTTTCTCAGCTTCACATCAAAGAAATATGGCTCCCATGATGGCGGAGGAAGTAATGGTATTCCGAGAGATTCTGCAGAGCAAGGCCGCGACTGGCGAGGTTTTCGAACTCGAAAAGCTTCTTCAGAACCTCGTGCTGAACACCATTGCGAGATCGATTTTTGAGGAATCGCTCGATGCGCAGCACAAGGAGACCCCGATGCTGGCAAAGTTTCATGCGGTGTGTAAAGAGAATATATATCTGATGCAATCCTGGAACCCCGTGGGAAGGTTCTTTGCGCGTTGGAGACAGAGTGGATTGAGTTGCGAGCTAGAGGCTCAGTTGGCAGAGATGATTCGCGTTCGATTCGAGAAGCTTCAAAAAGAAAATGCGGATGTCAGCCAGAAGCGCGGGTTGTGCACTATAGATCTCATTTTGCGCGAGCATTTGCTCGAAGTACGGAAGGCGCAAAGAGAAGCTCTCGACCCAACGTTCATGCAGATGGCTATCACTCAAGGTATGTATCACTTAGGGAGCCTTCTGGTGCGGACAACTGACCTTTACCAAGTGCGAACCCTTCTGCTAGCTGGGTCTGGTACCACAACAGGTACCCTCTCCTTCGCTTACGCACTTCTTTCCATCAATCCGGAAGTCCTCCAAAAACTACGCCACGAGCACGACACTGTCTTCTGCCCTGGTGCCGAGGCCACCTATGATCTACTCCAAGCAGAACCCAATAGACTCAACGAACTCGAATACACAACGAACGTTGTCAAAGAAGTCCTCCGTCTATTTCCTATCGGCAACTCCGCACGTGGCGAAGATTCTACGGGCTATATCACCTACAAAGGCCAACAATTCACCACCAAGGGTCAACTCGTCACAGGCGTGCAGCACACTATGCATTATGACCCTAGGATCTTCCCAAACCCTACTAAATTTGATCCGGACCGCTTCGCTCGCGATGATGTGCCTCGGAATGCATGGCGCCCATTTGAACGCGGACAGCGAGCTTGTCTAGGGCAGACCATGGCGATGGAAGAGATGAAGGTGACACTCCTTCTCACGGTGAGGGATTTTGACTTTGAGTGCAGTGGACTGAAACCTACGAAGCAGAGAGTCGCATGGACGGATTTGGATACGGTGTTTGGGGACCGAGCGTTCCAGATCATGAAGTTTGAGGCGAAGCCACTTGATGGGATGCCTATGACTGTGAGGAAAGCATTGTGAAGGGAAATGCTTGTTGGAATAATACCAGAGAAACCGCTTTCCATCCATGCCTGTCACTGTGAAGTTGCACAGATTTATTGCGCCCTGAGGAAAAAGTTGATTTGACTACAGATCCCGCTGCGATATGAGAGTTCAACAACTGGAGTCCAATATAAACATGGTCCCAATTCGCGCGTACGACTTTCCATGTGTAAGATCAGTGCTGTAGCGTATTCGTAAACCATGTTGTGCTTTTTAGGGGTGACTCGAGTTAGTGCTCAGTGACAGCGCCATCTGCGTCGCGGATGGATATTATATTTTCTTTCGGGTCATGATCCATTGAGCACGTAAAAGTTGGTATCAATTAGGTAAGTGTCGACAAACAAACGCGCAAAACATACAAAATCTAATTGTTGGGAGGCTGCCGTCCCTTGCTTTGTGTATTTGTTCGCATCGGTAGAAGAATTAGCGCAAGAAACGGCCGCGTGGTAAGCAAGAACGCAGTAATACCATAAATGACCCGTGTATCAAAATGTTTGTTGAGAAATCTATATGCAGTCCTGTGTATCCAGAGCGCTTCCTCTTACCACTGGAGGTATCGTAGTCGCATTTGAGAACAGAAGCCTTAGGTATGATACCACAAAAGTATTGTGTAAACGTCGCCTAAAGCATGGGCGAGAACTGCCAATTGATAAAATTACGGTGAGGCGTGCAGCATGTCAAGAGGTTTCGTCCCTCACGGCGTTGATCTGAACCCTACTTATGGCACATCTTCGGTTGTGCATGTCGACTAATTACCTTCAGCTCCTTCGTGCTTGTTCAATGTTATGTAAGAATCATAAATACTATCTCGAACCCCACCCATTGTTTCAAATTCGATGGTTGCGCAAACACCACTTGAGCTCGGTCGCCGTTGTTAGCCGATACCGGTAACGCGTGCGACGCGTGGGAACAATGATTGCGCGCCTGGCCCTCGTCTCACCCTGTCGGGTCCACTTAACAGGCCAGTTCTGGAGCCAACATATTAGTACTCCACCAGACGCGCAGTTACTCAAGCATCGTGTAAGCTGCAGCGCTCTCGTACGCCTGACAAAGCGGTGCGGGTCCCTTTCCGCAGTGGCACCCGTGGACCCTAGTCCGCCGCTAGATAACAAAAAGTTCAGTCGACGTAACGGGCACCGGGCTTCATACAAGCATAGCTCCGATGGCACAACTTTTTAAATGCCGTGGGTCCCCACGAGGGTATTCCGTCCCTGCGGCGTGGAGTGTCGTCCGTTAATTCAAGATGCGAGAAAGCCCATCCCAAAGGCGGGCAGATGAGGTTGTACAGGAGAATAAAGAAGAACTAGACGAGGGAGGAAGACGTCACAGTAACGCGTCCCTGTCGCCAACGGAACACGATGGCGATTCCGTCCCGGAACACGGGGGTGAGAAGAGAAACAAGATGGAACTTGCTCGCACGAAGTCGATCGCAGAGACGCTGTCTCTTCCGCGAGAAATCATTTTCGTGGCTATCGTATGCAGCGCGCAGTTATTGACCCGTAAGTGGCTGTTACACAACCCTCCCCCCCTCACAACCATTCTAACACCATCACAGAAGCCGGACTAGGAAATGTCCAAGCCATTGTCCATGTCATCGGGGATGATTTCGGTCTATCAGATGCAGAATTACCCTGGCTAATCGCAGGCTACTCCCTCACGGTTGGCACCTTCATCCTCCCCTCTGGACGTTTCGGCGACGTCTTCGGATACAAGCGCATGTTACTCATCGGCTTCCTCTGGATGGCATTATGGTCCCTCGTCCTAGGGTGCTCCGCTTACTCCAACCACGTCCTCTTCACTTTCGCCCGCGTGTTTCAGGGCATAGGACCAGCCATCATGCTGCCCAACGGCCTCGCAATCTTCGGCGCTACCTACGCGCCTGGACGGAGGAAAAACATGATCTTCGCCATCTTCGGAGCATGCGCACCAACAGGCAGTATCATAGGAAGCGTCTTCGCAGGCCTTTTTAATTTGACGTGGTGGCCATGGACATACTGGGCCCTCGCCATCTACCTCGCTCTCCTCACGGTTGTGGGGTCTCTCATGATCCCGGATCCCCCCAAAAAGTCAAGGTTCTCGCACATGTCTGCACGCGAGCAAATCTCTAACCTGGATCTCCCTGGCGCATTGACAGGCGTAACCGCCCTCGTCCTCTTCAACTTCGCGTGGAACCAAGCGCCGCTCGTCGGCTGGCCTAAAGCTTACGTCTACGTCTGCCTCATCCTGTCGTTCCTCTTCCTTCCCTTGTTCTTCTACATCGAGCTGCGCGTGTCGAAGACGCCGTTGATACCTTTCGATGCGCTAACCACGGACGTCGCTTTCGTACTCGCCTGCGTCGGCTGCGGCTGGGCCTGCTTCGGGATATGGTATTACTACACCTGGCAATTCGCGCAGGTCCTCCGCGACGCCTCACCCCTCTTATCTACAGCGTGGATATCTCCGGTTGTTCCGAGCGGATGTATCGCGGCTCTTGTTACAGGTCTGGTGATTCACAAAGTCGGGCCCCCGCCCGTTATGATGATCGCGCTCACCTGCTTCACCATCGGCACCATCCTCATCATGACCTGCCCCGTCGACCAGATCTACTGGGGACAGTTCTTCTTCTGCACCGTCATCACGCCGTGGGGCATGGATATGTCATTCCCGGCTGCTACACTTATCCTCTCTGACGCTGTGAGCAAGGAGCACCAGGGGATTGCGGCGAGTCTTGTGAACACTGTTGTCAACTATTCAATCTCGCTGGGCTTGGGCTTTGCTGGTACAGTCGAGGTGTACGTCGTCAACGGTGGAACGACACCCGAGGATACGTTGAAGGGTTACCGAGCGGCTTTGTATATGGCCGTGGGGTTGAGCGGGTTGGGGATGATCATCAGTGGGGTGTACTGTGTGAAGTGCTGGATGAAGGATAGGATGACGAGTTGTAAGCACGATGAAGAGATATAGCGTACCACAGTGGCCGACAATAGAATTTGAACTAGCTCTTACGCCACCATGAGATACGGGCATATCACATCCGGTCATAACTTTGAACACGCATTATAGAGCGAGTCACCCTCAGCTATACTGTGAGCTACTAAGCTTGTGCCCGATTATCTAATGTCTCGGTATAGGGAGCTGAGAATCTGGCACTAGTGAAGTTTAGTTATTTATGTCGATCACCGTGTACGTAGTTTATAGCTTACTTTTTGCTCACGCATCGGACCTATGTCCTACCGTATCATGAATTCTCGGTTACGTGGCCGTACGAAATGTGCACTGTGATTCGGGTAGTAAGAATTTTTGTATATTAACCCAGCAAAGCTGGTCTATCTGTTGGTATCGTTGAACCCAAAGCTCCTGCCCATGCATTTGTGTCGCCTGATGGCTATCGTTCGCAATATCGTGCATCGTCGTTTGTGCGCTCTCGTCTCGTTTTGCTCTTTCGCTCCTGCCGTGGCCTGCTTCGCACTTGCATAGTGGATGCGCTTCTCAGCGTGCGCGTACTTGGCTCACATTGTCAAGCGGTCCTCTGTTGAGCAAGTCAGTCACATCCAAATGAGGGGGTTGAGATAGCCAAGTCGTACGGTACTTCTGCAGCTCGTCCAGCACAGGCTGCAACGACTCATCGTCCATCTTCGAAGACAGCGACGGAATGAGCGTCTTCGCTTCGTCGGCCGTGTCGCAGCAGAGCGACCCTACAAGGTCAGCCAATCGCACATTTCAAAGAGCCCACCCTGCATACCGAGCATAGCGCGTTCCGCCATGGTGAACTGCGGATTCGCATCGAGCACGCCGCCCATGGCAGTCAAGTTGTTGAGCTCCTTGTACCGCGCAAACATCTCGAGGTAATCGACAAACTGCTGGATAGACCTGCGCATCTCAGCAAAGCCCACACACCCAGTCCTTACGCAGGTATGCATACTGGCTGTCGTTGTGCGTCCTGTCGCCTAGCACACCCTGGCCCTCGCGGGCTTTCAGTTTCCGCTTTTCATGCACCGCCGTGACGACTGCGCGCGCCTCGGATATGGACAGCGGCTGCTCGCCCTCGAAGTCGCCCAGCTTGAGCTCAGAACCAATCTCCTCCTCTTGCTGCTGCGGCGGCTTGGGTCGCGAGACCATGCGCGGCGCCTTGAAGGTGGGCGGCTCGACGGGGGCGTGGCGCTGCTGGTCTTGCGGCTCGTCCTCCATGGTGGGCGGTCGAGAGGGATGGGACGACGGCGGTCGAATGCGCGAGGAAGTGTGTGGCTTTGTTACGGGGAGGCCTTTGTGCGCTGTTGCGCGTGTAGAGCGGACGAGCGTGGCCGGCAGCTGCTGCTCTTTTCAGGCGCGCACAGAGCAGCTGGGCGGTGGCGGCGGCGGCTTCGCGAGTCGGGGACGGTGGGTTGACAGGAAGTGTCAAGTAGAGTGAACGAGGCTGGCTCAACTGCGTCGCATCTCGCATGGCCTTCCGCGTACCATTTCGTGGTTCCGTTCCTGCAGTCGCGCTGCACGTGACGTGGCCTTGGTTCGCTACGACAGGTACCCGAGGCCTGGCTTTGTGGTTGGCTGGAGCGCCCCGCCTCGCTCGCTCGCTGCAGTGGGCGTGCGCGCTCTGGCGGGCATAGTAGCGGGCGCTATTGCAGCAGCGTGGTTATGCACTCTGCTGCACATAATAACAAACTGCTCGTCGAGCACACGCTGCATCGATGTACCGTTATTCCATACGTGCAGGTAGGTACAAATACCAATAGGTCGCACCCGACACGCTCTGTGGCCGTGCTATATTAAGCAACATGCAAACGCTGTGTCAGGCGTCGCTGGTGATGACGGCCTCCCCTCGTCGTGTAATTATGTGGATCGCCAGCTTGTAATTTGGATGGACTCTGAAGAGTAAGCTTGGCAGCCCACAGCCTCAAGCCTCCCCGTGCCCATACAACACGCCCGATACCCGCCGCTTTTCCTCCCCACGACCTGCGAGCACACCGGCACACGCGCACCGTTTGTTGCTTCTGTTGTCCGCCTGTCACTGTTTCAGCCGCTCAGGGTCCCAACTCACACCCCCGAGCCACACCTCCTCTCCTCACCGTTTCTTCCACGCCTCCTCCGCCAAACTTGACCGCGACGCATGCTGCCGATTGAGTGCCTGAGCGACCGCCCGCCGCTATCGACGTGTCGGTGTTGCCCCAAGCAGCGCTGGCCGACCCTCACCGCTGGACACGATTAACCACTCCACCCGCGCCCCTCACCTCCCTCCTCCGTCCCTGCGACAGCACCGCTGCTGTGGCGCCCTAATTCACCTTCACCACCCGCTGTTGTAGCCTCTGCAATTCCTCCGTACGCTTTCCGCCGTCTCTCGTCGCCACCGGTCGCGTCGCCCCGTCTCACGCCCTTCGCTCGACCCTCGCCGCGGACACCGCCGACTGCGTGTAGGCTGGGATCGCAGCATACACGCTTAGCACTGGCCGACCGCCGCCATGAGCATCACTCCCGGCGACGGCCCGCCTTCGCTGGGAGGCCAGGACGCCCCGCAACAACAGCAATACCAAGCCTATGATCCGCGCATGAATGGCCTCCAGAGGCAGCCCACGAACCCATACGACATGCAGAGCCCGCAGACTCTGTCTCCTCACAAGGGCAACGGTCCGCCTCCCCGCTCCCTTACCGACCCAACAGACCCACAGCAGCAGGACCCTGCCAAAGAGAAGCCTCGAGGTCGGAGCAAGATCTGCGGCAAGTGTGGTGAGGGCTTGACGGGGCAATTTGTTCGCGCATTGGGAGATACATACCATTTGGAATGCTTTACATGCCACGTAAGTAATCTTTGTTACCCGTAGTGGAACTGCGGGTCGAGTCGATGCTACAACATAGCGCTGCACTCGCCTCTGCTCCTTCTGATATACTTTATTTGCTCGAGCGCATTCGCTAACACAACACAGGATTGCGGTAAAATAGTCGCCTCCAAGTTCTTTCCCGTGCCCGACAAGCCTCCGGGCCAATACCCGCTCTGCGAGACCGATTACTTCAAACGGCTCGACCTCCTGTGTTTTGATTGCGGACAAGCTTTGCGGGGTTCGTACATTACGGCGTTAGATCGGAAATACCACATCGAGCATTTCACCTGCTCTGTTTGTCCCACCGTCTTCGGTGCGTCCGACAGCTACTACGAGCACGAGGGCAGCGTATACTGTCATTACCATTACTCGACCAAATTCGCTCAGAGGTGTAATGGCTGTCAGACTTCAATTCTCAAGCAATTTGTCGAGATATTCCGCAATGGACAGAACCAGCATTGGCATCCGGAATGCTACATGATCCACAAATACTGGAACGTGCGCCTGCACTCGACCGGTCAGCCCATAGCACAAGCTCCGCAGGACGTGGATTCCGACGCATCAGACGAGGTGCGCGACAGGGTGCGAAAACAGGAAGAAGAGATAGAAGCGAAGGTCAACTGGATTTGGAAGACTTTGTCCGCGTTCGAAGAAAAGTCAGCCACTTGCATATCCGACATGCTGCTTCATGTCAGCAATGGCGCATATGTTGACGGCGTTATGGCCGCCAAGAAATTCATCGTCCATGTAGAGCTCCTGTTCAACGCAGCAGATGATCTCGACGCACAGCTTGTCGCCAGCACACCGAAAGGCCTTACCTACTCGCGCGAGTCTAAATTGCTCTGCAAGAAGGTGGTGGCTTTCTTTGCGCTATTGACGCAGTCGCAAGGCACAGGCGTGCGTAGACTCGGCGTTACGCAAGAGCTTCTGTCACTTGTTACTGGATTAGCTCACTACCTTAAGCTGTTGATCCGCATTTGCCTGCAGGGTGCTTTGAAGTTGGAGCGAGAGACACGGAGCGCGAGCGGCCTCACAAATTTCCTCGCGCAAGTAAATTCACTTGACCAGAGGTTGGAGCAAGAGGCGACGAAAGATCAGGCTGCCGAGTCCCTACTGCTTGTGCCGCGTTGGGCTGATGCCTGCCCGATATGCGACGCTCAAGTCGAAGACAAGTGTTTACACCTCGACAACATGTCGTTCAACTATGGTTGCATGGTCTGCAGGGGTTGTGGAGCAGACCTACGCAGCGACGTCAAGAACGCCTACTGGAGCAAGTCAAAGCAGAGGATCTTTTGCCCGGCGTGCGCTGCTGCACAGCCTGATGCGGAGAACGGGTTTGAGCATGTAACCAAACTACGGCAATATGTACACCTACTCAAGGTTGCCCACGCTCGCTTAATGGCAACATTGCGGTCCAGTGGAGCTCTACCGCATACTTCAGGTAAGTCAGGTTTTGTTGAATCATCGTCAACCCTGGTGCCAGCACCTCTAAGCATACAGTCTTGACACCCATGATCAGGCACTCGTCCCCCACGTCGCAAAAGAATTCCCTCCACTCACTAAATCTTCTAGATGATCCGAACCTGACAGGATACGACTCTTCTCAAGGTCATCGCCTAGGCGACGCTAGTGGGGATCTTCAGACACCTCACCTACGACAGGACGCCCGTTCCAAATCTTTTGGTGGCCAGTCGTCGGCCGATAGTCAGACTGCAAACGCAAATTACGAACAATCCATGACCGACATTAAGCGCCTGCGATCCACACGATTGGACAAGCATCTCTCGCAGACCATGAAGCGCGCTCGCCAATCCAGGATTATCGACGGTCCGGAAGCGTCAGGTGCTGGCAGCGAATCTCAAGGCAAAGGCGGTATGCAAATTGTGCAAGAACGCGAGGCGCCTGGCGATGTAGACGGTACTACCCTTGCTGTCAACTCGCTTGCTTTGGACGACATCGCGCGCATGGCAGCATTAGAGCAGCAGCGTGAACAGCGTCCTAATGCGTTCCGTGCGGGCGGAAGTGCGCTGCTCGGTCAACAAGACCAGGCAAGGCTATTCAATGGACATCGCCGTGACATGTCCGGAGGACAGCTTGCACCAGAGGGTCGCCCACGCACTTACTTTTCTGAGCTTTCGCCCCTTGAATATTTCAAGCTCAAGAGCCTTGCGGTGCTTCAACTGGGTCTCTTGCTCGATGACGGCCAGTACAACCAAGGCGAGCTTCTGGATCTTATCGAGACGAAGCGAACGAATTTCTGGGGTAAGATTGGATTTGGCAAGAACAAGAAGAAGCCTAAGCAAGGCCCCACAATCGTTGAAAAGCCCGTGTCCGAGAGGGCGACATTTAGACAGTCCCTCGAGATGCTCGTGGAGAAATTTGGCGCAGAGTCCACGGATGGTGTTGGACCGGGCACGCTACGAGTGCCTGCGCTGCTGCAAGACGCTGTTACTGCCATGAGAAACATGGACATGTCTATAGAAGGTGTCTTCCGAAAGAACGGCAATCTCAAGGCTCTGCGAGAGCTCGAGGAAGAGATTGACGCAAAGGGCGTGGAGCAGGTGGACCTGAGCTCAAAGAATCCTGTCATACTGGCGAATCTCCTCAAGCGTTTCCTTCGGCTAATGCCGGATCCCGTTTTGACGCTCAAGCTTTACCGCTTGTTCATGACGGCTAATGGTGCGTATAGTGTCACAGTCCCACAACATGTGCTAACGGGTACAGAAATGACCGACGAGGTGCAGCGAATGAAGGTGTTACACCTAGTCTGCTGTCTGTTGCCCAAGGCGCATCGCGACACCATGGAGGTTCTGTTCTGCTTCCTCAACTGGGTCTCATCGTTCCACACTGTGGACGAGGAGACCGGTAACAAGATGGATACGTGGAACATTGCGACTGTCATGGCGCCAAACATCCTGCGAGAGAACAATGAAAAGGAAATGAAGAGCGTAGACCAAGGCGCTGTTCGAGTCGTCTTCGATTTGATCGAGAATAACGACGAGTTCTGTGAGGTGAGTATCAGCCCACATTTGTTGTTGACATTGTTGACTTGGCGTAGGTACCTGAAGAAATCGTGGATCTACTCTACGATGACAGCTCTTCCGAGTTGACTCCCAAGGAAATCATGAGACAGTGGGAGCAGCGTGGCAGGAACCCGACGGCGCCTGGATCGACGGCCCCGGCATTGTCCCCGCGCAATCAGTCTGGTGCCTCATCGAGGAAAGACCAGCGTAACGCTCCACACATTACACAAGCGGATCACAATCCTCAAGCATTCGCGGGTGAATCCTCTGTACGCCATGTACCAGGTGCGGGTGGCCCCGGTCAGAACAATCACAATACTCCACCACAGCAATTCGATCTCAGCACGCCAAATGTCCCGTACGGTCAACCCGCGCCCGGTTCAGCTGAGAGTCACCGAACAGGGTCGCCACATCGTCACAGCTACCGATCACCGGCGTTGCAGAAACAAACACTCGGCACAGCCGGCGCCGGGTGATGAACATACGGCATTAATCAATAATAGGAGTACGAAGGTGTTGGTTTTGATTCATTCATTTCGTCTACTTCGCAAAACGATACCAAGCGAGCGCAGATACCTCTGAGCGGAAAATTGGTCTTTATGACACTTTCTCGGGCACACCGCACACATACATACTGTGTCCCGTCGCATCATCAGTTACGGCATGGCACGGCTTTCATGAAACGCACGAACGATTGAGTTTGGCACGTTGGAGGGCTTGGGGCGTAAAGCATACAACCTCGTATAAGGCATTTGGAAGGGCGTTTCTGGGTAAGTCAATGTGTGTTTTCTGCGATCTGCCAGGTGCCATTTGCTTTGAGGCGTTGCTTTTACTTCTTGGGGGCATGGGGGTGGCTTGTTGGATGTTGGGTTGTGGAAGGCTTGAGCATTGCATGTGGTGGGCGGTGTGGAGATTTGGTGAAAGCGAGGAGGAAGAAAGGTGGTCTGTCTCGTGGTGGAATGATGTTCGGCTTCAAGTCAATCGCTTGATTGCCTCAGCTGCAGTAAGGAGGGACTGCAGCTACTTTGATGGGATTTTGGGATTGGCCTGGTTGGGATTAATGAAAGAAGCTCTCCACTTGGAAAGAGCATACTCCTCGAAACTCCACACTCACGATTCATTTCCTCTCGTTTCTGGTCTCGGATGCCTCCTTCCCCTCACGCGACTATCGTTCGCTTTCTTCTCTGTCTGACTGCATTCTCCACTTCTTTACGGCGTTGCGCCGTCTACTCCACGTGGAAGTGACGGGATTTTGGTGTGGACCGTTGAAGAAAGCCTCGGCGCCGCTCAAAGCTTCACTCTCATTCTCACTTTCATCTTGCATACCCAAGCGTTGTATCAGTCGTTGCTCCTTCCTCTCGCGCTCTGCTTTGTCTTAGCGCAGTCGTCAATCGCACCTTCCTTACTCTACCACTCACAACCTTTTTCGCATCTTCTTCCGTCTTTCGCTCCTTCCTTACACTCATCATTGCGCCGTTTTCGGGCGGTCTACAAATCCGTAGTCGTGCCTGTACGGAATCAGCATTTGCAGACGTGCAAATGGACCCCGACAGTGCGCGTCTAGCGCTGGACCTACAGCTCCAGGACGTTGACGATTCGCTCCGAACGCTCAATACTGAGAACGAAGCAGCAGCTTTCCGTGTCCTCCGTGATGAGCTCATCAAGAAGAAAGGCGAGATCGACGGACAGTGCGCGGCTATGGGCTTGCTACGCAATGAGTTTGGTGAGCGCAGTGTGCATCGGCGATTGCTGGCGGAAGAGAGGCAGGCACAGGGTAAGTGACTCGCAGCTTCGGACACGGAAGGTTTAATTCTTGATACTGACTCCGTTTAGGTGATCATGGCATGGCCTCTAGGCTCGCGGGAAGGGCGCCTGTTCCCCAGCTTGCTCTCCCAGTGAATCGTCCTCCAGATGAACCTTTGAACGGCAATGTCGCTGAGTCGCTGTCCATCGACCTAGGATTGGCGCAGACGGAGTACGCGGTGCCTGGCAATCCGAGAAAACACCGCGCCGAGGAAGACAATGAAACGCTGAGAGAGAAGACCGAAGGATGTGTGAATCGGAGACGAGTAGCTGCGACGAAAGAACGCCGATCGAATGATGAGAATGATGCGACTCCGGAGAAAGTTACGCTCAGCCCATCTCTTGTCGATGACCAAGTCAGGTCTGATGGCAAAGAAGAGTTGGAAGCTAGTGCTACCGAGAAAGCGCCTCAAGAGATTGCGAATCGTACACCATGTTCAGGATGCTTCGAGGAGTTCGGTGAGACAGATATCATCAAGTTACCGTGTCCGACTGAAGAAGACGCCCTGAAACACGCCTACTGCCAGAATTGCCTCCGCAGTATCTTCGCATATGCGATCGCAGACTCGGATCATTTTCCACCGCGCTGCTGTGAGCCACTCGAAGTGTCTCATTGCACGCGTCTGTTGTCGGACGATCTCGTATCCAAATTCAAAGACAAGAAGGAGGAAATGGACACACCACATCGCGTCTATTGCAGCAAAGCAGAGTGCGCAAAGTGGATCAAGCCGTTGAACATTGAGGCTGGCGTTGCTGCCTGCTCGGAATGTTCTCAGAAGACCTGCGCCAATTGCAAGGCAAAGCAACATGACGGGCTCTGTCCAGATGATGCAGACGTCCAAGCTTTATTGACCTTAGCAAAGGAGAAGCAATGGAAGAGTTGTCCGGAGTGCAAGACCATGGTGGAGCTGACTATGGGTTGTTACCATATAACGTAAGTAATGTCGTACAATCTGGTCAAGCTTCTGTGGATCGATCGTGGTCTTTGTCATTTCGGAGTGTGCGGTATATGAAACTATCTACTGGAGAAGGGTTATCGTCATGTAGGATAGGAACTGACTGGGCATAGGTGTCGTTGTAAGCATGAATTCTGCTACCTTTGCCAAGCGAAGTGGAAGTCGTGCGAATGTGTTACTGCAGTCCAAGAGATCGTCTGGCCCGATGCACCAGCAGAAGAAGTTGCAGCTCCTGTTGTCAATCATCCGCATGTGCACGACTGGGAGCGCCGGTATGGTGCAGACGGTCATAATTCAGAATGTGATGATTGTGGCGCTGATCTTCGTTGGATCTACCACTGCGAAGGTTGCAACGCAGACACCTGCCGGCGATGCCGCGATGATTAGGTGCGCACGGGACGAAAAGCATCTTCATTGTTTTTCAGAAAGCAGTTCTGGATTACAACGTAAGGTTTTTCGATCATGCAGCTATCGAGTGGCTTAGCAAAGCTTCGTATGGAACTTTGAGGAATGGGGGGATTTGCATCGGCTACCGGAGAATGTGGCGGGCTTTTACATACGTGAGACTCAAGATTCGAGTCAGGCTAGCAAAAATACATGGGCTACACCTCTGATATACATCCACCACACTTCTGATGATGTTCCGCTTCGCAAGCATCTACTTCCTAACCGCCACAACAAACAACCTCGGATACCCCAACAACACCTTCCCATCCGCCAACTCCGGATATGCCTTCCCTAATCTTCTCTCATACTCTTCCAAAAACGCCTTCTTCGCCCCTTCCTCTCCGATCCGATGCAAATACGGCTGCAATCCTGTTCCCTTCACCCACTCCACAATCGCGTGCGCATCAGCCAGCACATGGTGGTACTCCGTGCGCCAGATATTCACGCTCCCCGCAAACGGTATGAGCGCATCGTAGAAATTACCAGGCGCCTCGATAGGATCGAGGTCCGGGCGTGAAGAACTGCTCAAATCCCCGATTTGCGCGTCAGCAAAGTAGGAGGACCATGGTGCGGAAGAGGCGGAAGCAGTTTCGCGCATCAACCGGTGCGAGGGCGCGTGGTAGTTATCCGGCACCTGTATCGCTAGCACAGCCCCGGGCTTCAGTCCCTCGAACAGCCTCACCAGCGTGGGGATGCGTGCGGGGGTACGCAGCCAGTGGAATACCGCGTTGCTGAATAAAACATCTGCATCCTTTCCCACCTCATACGTCGCTAGGTCGCCCTGTACGAAGTCTACGCCGGATACCGCGGATCTGGCTTTCTCCAGCATGTCCGGGGAGGAATCCATACCTGTTGCTTTGGCGCCGGGGAAGGCGTCGAGCAGGGCTTGGGTGGAGTTTCCGGGGCCGCAGCCGAGGTCATAGATCCGGGGAGAATCCGATTGAACGTGCGGTCGCACTTGGGAGAGGAGGTCGTAGACGGGGCGGGTGCGTTCGCTGTTGAATTTGAGGTATTGGGTTGCGGACCAGTCGTTTTTCTTGGGCTGGGAAGCCATGGCGCGCGTGGTGTGCAGAGATCGGGCTGCGCGAGGAGATGCTGTAGTTTGTAGAAGTGGAAGCACTCGAGTTGAGGATCTTGATGCTTTTGAGACGGAATGTATAGCTCGAAGCGAGGTCGGGCACAGCATGCTCTCAGTCGAAAGGCCAATGAATCACGGCCGCAGTTTGACTTAGAAGTGCTTGAAGAAATGCCTCAAAGAAACGAGAAAATAAATGCAATTGAGATTGATCTGTGACTCTTACGGAAGTACATGTATGGCCGAGGCTGGAAGATCAGTTGTGAAGTTGCTCCAGCGAAACGTCAGGGTTCACAAGGCTGACCAATCACAGCTGTCGAGGTGGGGCGGAACGGCACGAGGCAGCGCGTTCCTGAAGCGATCACAGCAGCATCTGGCGAAAAACGCTCGTCTTGCTTTGCATTACGTCGTTGTCATTACTACTGCCAGAACCACCGCCGTTACAGATCTATAGATGAGATTTCCGCCCAGAATTTCCCAAAACTAGATCTAAAAACCGCCATCACGATGGATTAAGTCAAATTGGAGGAGGAACCAACTGTTGTTGATGACTTGCACACTGCCACCGTCTCCTCACTCTCAACTACCCATAGGATACGATGTCGTATTGCTATAATCGAGCGGTTGAGCAGGATCATTCGGAATGTGAACCTTCGTGCTGGTAATCTCAACGCTGAAGCTATCTAGCTGCGCGGGTGTCATACGTTTGCCGTCCACTCCCTATACGCTATCAGTATCAATTATCAGGATGCACTCAAGTCAACTTACCGCATAGACAAGCCACGTCAGATGCGCCTTGAGATACGGCAGCACTGCTTCAGAGTCGAGGCTCTCTAACTTCCCAGCCGTGATTTGGTCCAACAGGCTCGAAGTTAGGCCGATGGTATTGGTCAAGCCTTGATCGATTGTGCTAAAGCGCTTCTTATCTCGCTCAGCCTCACGGGCTTTCCATGCGCTGGCTTCAGGGCTGTCGACGATCATCCTCGTCCACATGCCAACCTCAGTGCTTGCGTCCGAAGAAAAATCTCCAGCAAATGAGAACATGGCTCTGAAAATTGGTGGCATCTCCGTTGCGGACGCTGTGACATGAATAACCCAATCCGTGAATGTTTTGTCCTCGTCAACAACGTGTGTGAGGGTGCTACCGGTTGCGACAGCATTGGCTAGAGTTGACCGAGCACTATTCGGATACAGACTCTGAATCATGCCTCGAACGTTGCTTCTCCATTCCTCATCCGATGCAAATTCCCAATACTGGGTTTCTGGATAAGCGTAACCGAAGACGTCGGTGTGATGAGCATCATTCGAGGTCCAGAACTCGTTCTCATTCTTCCAAAATGGTGGAAGTCCAGTGTTGGCATCAGTTGTTCCAGGCGAGGGGACCCAGAACGTAGCTCTATTTCGGTCGCTACCGACAGCGGCCGGTTCCAGCCAGGCCGTAGGGTTGGCCGTTGTATATAGAGCTAATAGGCGGTCAAAGTTCCTACGGCACAACGTCAGTGGACTCCACATTGGAATATAACATCGTCATCACTTACGCATGGTGTAGCATGAAAGTTGGGTCGAAAGCTGAGTTCCTCGTGTCCCACATATGCCCATGTAACTCGCTCCCGTGCGGATCTTGCCCATAACCCCCGGTGATGGTGTGGATATTGCTGTGCGCATTTTCGAGAGCTTCGGAAAAGCTCTGAAACGAGTCATTTGACTGGAAAGCGGTGTGAACCTGCTGCTGACGGTCATTTTGGGACGTCAAGAAGCTGTTTTGCCATGCACCTAGCTGTGGTACGGCATCCGAATAGCGTGTGGTAGGCCAACGCAGTGTGTAGTTATAATGAGCAATCTGAAACTATCAGCATATGCGTCGAGAGCATGCTTCTGATCGACTCACGTCGGAGAAACCAAAGTCTTCGGGAACCAATGGATGGAATTGGTACCAGTAAAGCGGGTTGTCAATGACCGCGGTTCCATTAGGTCCCACGATTGGCCACTTTGGGGAAAGGAAAAAACTAGGGATCCCGCCGTCTGCAACACCTCGCGCAGTGTCCCAGTAAGGTATGCGGAATTCATTAGCTGCAGCAGCCCAACGTTCACGATCTACTTGTATCTGATCGGCAATGGATTGGATGTGCTTCCAGAGTTCTTGCTAAGTGCACATCATCAGTATGATCGTTAAGACGTCAGGCTTGAACTCGTCTCGTACCTCAAATAATGCTAAGTAGGGACGATGCCAAGTAATGAATAAACGGCTATTATGAGGACAATAAGAGCCGATAAGGGCGCCAGGAACACCATGCGCATCTTGCCAGAGTTCGTACGGCTGGGAATGAATTCCTAGGTGCGACTCAGCGATGATCACGCAATGCTCAACATTAGTGCCCACCTGAAATGCGATAATATGAGAGAGGGTCACTTTGATCCACCTGTTGAAACTTGAGCAGACCAAGCAGGTACAGAGCCCAATGGTCTGGGTAGTTCGCATACAGATCACGAATCTCGCGTCTGATGTGAGGATGCCCGCCTAGGTGATGTCAACTTTTGCCGGCTGACCCTACAACTCAAGTGCGTACCACTATCACGCGTCCCAACCCCAGTTGTTAGATGATGACCCTCGGCTGCGACATTCCTGACAGGGAAAGATGGGCTGGGGTTGACAGATGTACACGTGACTGACGAAGCAAGCGCAGCTGCGAAAGCGAGACCTAAGGACCGCCACATGGTGCGTCTGTGTGTTTTGGGTAGCAAATTCGACGGGATAAGGTTGCTCCAGGGCTAAGCTCGTCAGTAACCATCCACGTAAACAGAAGAGAAAGGTCTACATAGTGCGTTAATTCGAGAACAAGTGCCAAACAGCTACTTGGGTAGGAGCGTTCGCACGGTGCGACGAAGCAGTCGTTGCTTGAGAGAGGGTTAATCACTGGCAACGAGGCAATGTGCTGTGCTCACAAATGGTGGGAAGATCAAAGGTAAATGTCGTGACGATGAGGACCCAGTAGTCGAGATAGCGAGCGATTGCCTCCAAGGAAGCAAGCGCCCGAAGAGCGAGTGAGATTGAGCGAGTGTATATAGAACGGAGCCGCACTGCGTTCCAGTGCAGACAAACAAGCTGCACCGCAGGCTGACCGCCCAAGTCGAGATGAGGTGAGCGGCAAGGCGTTCGGTGGGGAAAGTCTATTGGTGACGTGTCTGAGCTGTCCTCTGGTGGTAACTGCTGTGTAGGACGAAGCCCCGCCAGCTGGCGTTGTTGTCACATCCAACGCTCCTTCCACGCTTTGTGATCCGATGACAGCCGCCCCGGCACTGTCTGTGATAGCTACGCACATGCCTGTCAACTGTCAGTTGCTCTGTCGGACGCATACTAATACCTAGTATGTGCTGATAGAGACGGTACGGAGAGAACTGTGATTGTGATCTATGAGAATGCGATATCCGTGACAGTGGAAACGGAAAGGTGCATCTGCGTGACGTTGGGAAACGCGTCACAGCTCGTGGGCTTAGGGTTACTAGAAGTCACAGAGGTTCGAAGGATCCCACAAGACTAGCGGTCTGAAAGGACAAGAGAGTGAGGGGGTTTCCTCAGATTGCAACGTCGCCTCGATGTTCGGTGATACGCCCAGTGAAAACAGGAACAGGAAGCAATGTAGTAGCTGTAAGCCCTATGGCGGCAATCATGTCTGCTTGCCATAGCCATTGGTCGCTCGCACACTATGGAGCTTGTCGCACGTACCCAAGTTATATCAGGCTCCATCAGGCGGTACTGCGCCTTTGGCCGAAAATCGTCGCATCGTTTCCTCATAACATCGTGTCCACATAACAAACTTTGCAATTCGCCCACGCCGCACTCAGATATCATTGTAGCCCAAGAATCTTCTCTCTAATCCCTTGTCGGCGACTGCCCACGCCCATGCGCGACCAGCCTCGCCGCACCACAGCGCGGAGGGGTCGTCCGCCTTCTGTAACATGCCATCTTTAGCCATGGACTTGATCTCGCCACCAGTCGTATAGGTCAGGAAATGCTCAAATCGCTCTCCGTCCAGCGCTAGAGCGTTCCCACTGATCCCGTGGCACAAACACGGCTCCTTGGTCAACAGCCCCCTTTCCCAGATGCATTCCCTGCCTTTTGCGATGACACGGTCGATACGCTCTTCGAGTTTCGGGAAGAGCTTCTTGATTGACGCCAGCGAAGCGATAACGCCAGGCGCACCGTGGCAAAACTGAACCAGTCGATCCCGTCCTGGCGGAAGAGAAGAGGGGAAATTGCCGCTCTCGTATTGGTAGCTGAGCAATGCGCCCAATTCAGCCTCAAGCTTTGGTGCCCATGTAGCATCGGTAAGTACGATCTGGGTGATGATGCCAATGGCTCCGTGAGCAGCGCCAACGTACGCCTTTCCGTGCCACTTCCACGGCCGCGAGCTAGCCATGATATTGTCAATAACTTCGTCCGTGGTGTCCTCGATAAGCTCGGTGAGCTCCTTGTTGTCGGTGAAGGCTCCACGCACCAAACGCAGCAGGTACAAATAACCTGCACGACCGTAGAGCCACTCGTTGGACGCTTCGGACTCGATGGTTACAGCCGCAAAATCGCAGAGCTCCTTTACAGTATCCGGGTCTTTAGCGGTTACGGCGTACAGGGCGAGCAGAGACATTATATCGTCGCTCACGCCACATTTGCTTGGAGAAGGGCCTTTGTACTTCTTGATGTGGGTCTGTGCCTGTTCGATATATGCTGCAGACCATGTATTCAGAGGAAACTGATCAAGAAGCATATCGGGGTATATGTTGTGAAGGGCATAGAACAAGTAGGCGACCGAGATGGGTCCATAGTACAGGCCGCCACCGGGAGGTATCTGGTGGGGAGGATAGTCGGTGATCAGGCGGGTGAGCGAAGCTAGCAGCTGTTTGTGAGGCTCTCGCCGTGATAGCTCGGCATCGTTGCGGAAGTAGCGTGGTATCGACGCTGGCTCTTCTGCCGCAGCCGCAGCTTGTTCAGACATGTTGGCCACGCACAGTCGCGAGAATCCTGGGTGTGTAAACCTAGAGCCAAGAACCCGCGAATGCGGTGTTTATGGGCAGCAGCTGGAAAGCTCTTGAAAATGACGTCAGCGGGGTAGCCTGGCCACGCGACACTGGATGCTAGAGAATGCGCAGAGTCAGTTGAATGTCTGTGACAGGAGGAACAAAGAATGTGTAGGTGTGAAAATGCCGGATTGCAGGGTGAGTAGGTGTTGGAAGGCGCGGCGCGTCCACATGTTGCCTGATCTGCAGTTTCGGTGGGACCTGACAACGGTCCACGCTAAGGACATGCACGTGATGTATACGTGGAGCCGTTGAAGCTGCATCAGAACCTTCGGTATCACCAGATCGAAATATTGTCAGTCTAACGCGCAGGAACAGTGCCTGTCATCTCGAACACGTGCATTGATAACGTCCAGGGCTCTTCTTGGTGCGTGGGACGTCTGGTATTCTCGGCCACATCGAGCTCACACATCCGACTCAGCACGGTGCGGATCAAGTCAACGTAGCATCGTATTAAAGATATGGGGTATCCCAGCATGTCCTGGTGCTAAGTTTTCTTGGTGAGACTCATGTTTTCCCATACACTGCCCTCGGGAACCGCATGTGGTTGAGAAAGCCGGCACATGGCATTCCGATTGCCCATAGAATTCATATTTGCCCAGCTCATAACATGGTTGTCATGGTCGCTACCCACACGGATGCCATTGATACTCTCTTCTTGAGAGGTCGCAGGTACTTCCGATGTTTTTGGTGTTTCAAAAGGATCCACATCCTTCTCGTTGGCTGGGAGCTCAGGAATGACGCCAAGCGCATCCGAGGCGATCTCGTTCGGGGGCACAATCGCAACGCTGTCTAACTGAGGAACAGACTCGAGGCTTGCATCATCTGTATCAACAGTAATTTTGGTCCCAACACTACTGCTCGGAGGGGTGCCTGAATGACATTAGACGCGTCATACGAGCCCCTACAAGGTATGACTTACCAGTAAGTTGTTCCGACATATCTCCTCCTCGTATTGTTGAATATGTTGGGGGAAGCGTAGCGCTTCGCTCGTTTTTGGTACGTCTTCTACGCAGAAAAAACAGTAGGAAGACGAATGCAGCTAATAGTGCAACGCCGCCAATTGTTCCTCCTATTATAGCGCCAACGTGATTAGGATCACTTGATTTTCTGTCGGCAGATACCGGATCGGAGGTCGAGTGCGAGGTTGGCGCTGAGTAGTCCGTAAACGAAACGAGAACCGTATAGCCTGAAGAGACCGAAGCGAAGGTTTCCACGTGCGCAGATGGTGGGGTTGTAGAAGTAGCCGGATCCGACGAGAATGTTGGGGCTCCAGATGATAACGATGCTAGAAAAAGATTCAGCGACAGTAAACAGAGTTTTCCATCTTGCTACGCAAATGTCCGAAGGCTGAGCAAAGTCTTTACTCGCTGCTGTGACATATTGACTCGAAAATGCTGCACGGAAGCGCAGCTCCGATGCATCAGGCGCAATAACAAAGCAAGAATGCCCACGGAAGCGAATGCATCCTATATCAGCAAGACATGAAAGGGAGAATGCACGAACCGGCAATTCGTGGTGTGCGATCTTGGTCCTCACGACATCCATGCTGGCATGCATCTACAGTGCAGCAGCCTACGTAATGAGGCAGTTCTTGAGTTCCGGCGCAGGTGTACCAAGTGCCGCCATTCGGACATGTAGCATCGCGGATCTCGTTGTAGATATGCATCGAATGGAGCTGTTCAACTGTTCATATTGCGCGGAGGCAGGTGTGGGAGGACGCAAATCGCAAGGCCGATCTCCTCATGTTGGAGGAAGGCGCGGGCTCGGTTTGCAATTGTGTCATGAGGCCATCTTGTGGCATGGAAACTTGTGCCACCTTGCATGCCGCAGGGTGGACGAGCCGGAAAGGCACTTGTCACATGGCAAGACAGTCAGATCTCAATGACAACGGTGATAGGTGATCATCTTAGAGACAACAGGCGCCACGTAGGATGCTCAGCGTGTAGTTTACGCGTTGTGTGAGCAACTAAGAGGTGTGTCGTGAACTGTGTCGTGTTGGGACGCGTTCAGATGGAGAGAAGCGGCATTTGCCCTCGCTTAAGCCACCAATCACCGCACGTATGCGTTTGACGCGTTCCTGGTCGTTTCGCGTTTCTGTCGCTCTTGCCTCCACCCTGCGCGCAAATATAATGCGCGTGAACGCGGAAACATACTGAATTGAACGGTGTACTGCGTCAATCCGCTACACGTCGATCAAAGCTGTCACCCTTTCCTAAGCTGCCAGGTAGCATCCGGCACCACAAATGAAGTACATGCCGGATACCCTTCATACAACATCGGATGTTCGCCGGTGTCTCCACTCCCGCTTTGTAATTCAACCACAAGTTCCACTGCCCTTCATTGCTCGTAGCACTATGCGACGAAGACGGCCATGTCCACTTTGCGACCTTTCTTTGAACGCGAGCAGCAGCTGTGGATTGCAATGAATGCGATGGCGAGGTCTTATTGATTGATGTACGCTTATAAGTCATTATAAATCTACAATCCATTGAGCAGGAGGTGTGAATCACTCCAAGAAAGGTACTCGACTTTCACAACTGTTGGAAGTGCAACGCACTGACTCTTTCAGCTTCCCTTGATCAGAACTTGCTTCTCCTTCTTCAGGTCCTCCACTACGCTGATGTCAATCTTGAGAACAGAGGCGACGACGTCCGCTGGGGTGAGCGCCAGCCATTGCGCGAGAGAAATGTCCGCTACACGATCGCTCTTGTACAGCTCAATCCAGGTCAGATTCTTGGTGGCTGAAGTGTTCTCAATGTAATGACCTGCAGTCGTGAGCTTCGTATGATCAGAGGAAAGCACTAGGTTGCGCTTACCACTGTTGTCAGGGAACACAGCTGTATCTCCTGCAGAGAAGTCGAAAGTGCGAGCATTGCTCGCACCGATGAAGACTGTCGCGCGGCCCTCGCCCTCGTGAAAGTACAACCACTCTTCGGCCTGCCACGTTTTAGAGAATAATGAGTGCATCAATGCTTAGACTGGCTTACCGTAGGATGCCAATGCAGCTCACGGAGGCCTTTCGGCTCGAGAGTCACAAAGGTTGCAGCGATTGTCGTCGATATTGGGAAGTTGGTGGAATCGATCTTATAAAAGACGCCACCACCACCAGGGACCGGCTCGGGCTCGTGCTGAAAAGTGTGATACACATAAGAGCTGTTTCCGGCAAGCTCGCCGTTGCCACCAGTGACATTATGTGTACTCGCGGTCCCGTTCTGAATGTAGGGGTTCTTCTCCGGGACTTTGTCGAACACGGATTCCGGAACACCGAAGTTCTTTGCGAGAATTGACTTCGGGGTCTTCGCAACCCAGTCGTCAAGGTTGAAGGTGGTCCTAATGAAGAGATCAAAATCATCGAGATCTTACATGTCGACACAAAATTGAAACGTAGCACTGTCGACTTACCCTACTTTGTCGAAGTCGCCATCGTCAAAGGCCAATAGGTACTCGTTCTCATCATCCAAACCTTGAACGGTGTGCGCCTGACCTTTGGGGAAGTACCAGATGTCACCGTACCCGAGCTCGTCAACTTGGTATCTGCCGTTCTCATCAACAGCGGAGACGAGGACACGTCCGGTATACACGATGCCCCACTCAGCCTACTACGGTTAGCACGTTATAAAACATCTAGACCGCAAGTGCCTTACCACTCGATGCCAATGTAGTTCTCGAATGGCGCCCTTTTTCAGATGCTGCTGCGCGGCTGCGATGTCATGGCTCTGAGGCAGATCCTGGATGACCTGTTCTCGGACCCAACCACCAGGGAAAATCTTGGTCTTGGAGTCAGAGAAGCGCCACTTCAGATTGGGTACCGTGCCCGCGTCGGTGCTTTGCTCTCCAAGGTTCGAAGGGTTGGCCAAATCAATTTGATGGTTGGTCCCACCTAAGTTAATCGGTCAATGGAACACCTCAATGCACTCGTCGGACATACCCAGGATGGGTGCACCTTTGCCTTTGCCGTCAATTGGCTGGCCAGTCTTGAACTGTGCAGCATCCCGCTTGATGACAGCACCAAATGCTGAAGAGGCCGAGAGGAGGGCAGCGCCAACCACCTGCAACTTCATCGTGCAGGAGGGAAAGGGAAGAGAGATGCAGGCAAAGAAAGCAAGGTACCTCAAGCCTGCACCCCAGGAAAACACGATATATAACCATTGCATGCAATAGATTGCATCATTGATCGCGCTGAACGCTGTACCTGCACGCGTCGGCACACGAACACGATACAATCAACATCCTGGTTATTGCATGCCTAAGCTGGATAATTGCAGCTGCGTGATCCACCTTTCCTAACTCTGTGCATCGGCTGTCTGCAACATCAAGCCACCAACTTAGACATTTCTAATTTCCTAAGCCCCTTTTCCGCTGCACGCTCGAGCTGAACTATTGCAATAGTGGTCGGCGAACATGCGCTCGTAAGAATCGCCAAGCATGTCGTGATTGTTCTCGGTGATCCGTGCTTGCCAGTGCAGATCTACCCCAGGGTCGGTAGTCACTACTAAGTTAGCCTAAGCCTACAGGCATCCTCACTTTATTCTAAGCTTAAAGATGTCGGATGATACGTGTGGAGTAAGTACTAACGCTTTCAGGGCCGATGTCACCATATCAGTACACAATTATACATTTCCCACCAACAATGGTTGTCAACGATTTCGGAAAGCTCGCGGACATCTCAATTTCTCGGTCTTGCCCTCGATATTCTCAATCTCCACAGCGCAAGTTGTTCTGATTACCACCAAAGCTATGCGGATAGACCACGATTACAAACGAGGTTCTTAGTCCTTGGCGACTGTCCATGCCCCTGTGACAAATCATTTGATCGATGTATGGAAGGTGGCAGCTTCTAAGAACACATGGCTGTGCCAGGATACATACTGGAAGCGTCGCAAGAAGAAAACATGCTTATTCGAATTACGTACGTTGTCTCTTCTTCCTGCTGCGAGTCGCATCTTGGTCAAACAATGGCCCCGCCGCTGGGAGAGTGTTGCTTGCGATTAGCCACAGGGTCAGCCTGCGCAAGATCCGGATCATAATCTGCCGATGACTAGTTCCTGCCCTTCGTTCGGCAAGTTACAGTAGCCCAGTAAATGATAGCCGATTTTGCCATCACATACTTCAGCCCTATCTCACGACAAGTCGCTAACTCGGCACCGCTTCCACGCTCCACTGCCAGGAACTTTCGTCGATCATACCTGGCATCGAGACTCGAAACTTGCAAGTGATGTCCACCCAGCAACTCTTGGGAAGATCACCCAGAAACGGCATCCACGGCCACATTCCCTCTGCCGCGTTCAGCCATGGGACCATTCACCCTACCGTAACAGCCCTAGCTCATATGCAAGACCATGTAGTCTGACGATCATCATGGGTAGTTCCACATCCTTTCAGCGCTCAGTGTCGTCTTGGGCGTGTCCATGCATCGCAATGAAAACCTTGTCGGGCTTTTGGTCGGCGAATAACTTCATTGGGATCCACGGTGCTTGTCATCTATTCGACAAAGTATATAGAATTCGACACCGAACGTCAAGAGAGGGCTTGATAGCATCATCCAAGCTATCGACTGGATAGATGAGGATGTCCGAAAATTAAAAGGGGCGGTGTTCGAAAGCGTGAGAGCAAGCATAGCAGAGGGAAGCTCTCTGCAATATAAATATGGGCACGAAAACAAGGTAAGGAGCAGTATCAAGCGCGAAACTTGCTCAAACCTTCTGAAACCCGTTTTGATCAGCCTCCAGCGTTCCGATATGTTCTCAAAAGTGCTCTTGTCTGCGGCACTGGCCACTTCGGCCATTGCTCTCTCACTTCCTCCACTGATCCCCGCCATTCCTGGTGTCACGGAGCCTCTTGCTACCAACTCTCCGCCTCTTCCCATCCTTCAGGTCCCCACCCCTCCACTCGACAGTCCTCCTTTCACTAGCAACCAGCAGATCAAGCCCAAGAAAATTGGCTACTTCTGGACCGGCGCAGGTGACAATAGCCACAAAGATTTCCTTGCAACCTACTCTCTGGACGATGACAGCTTCGGTACCCTCCTTTGGATCACCGATGTTCCTTCAAGCGGTAACAGTCCGCACCACTTGGGCCCAACCCTCGACGGGAAGACACTGCTTGGTGGTGGCCTACTGTCTCTGCTCAAGACTCAGGCGGGTTTCACGCATTTCCCTGCCTCTGTGCGTCGGTCTAATTTATCCTAGGACACTGCTTACTACTTCGACACCACCGATCCATACCAGCCGAAGTTCAAGAAGAGCAACCGCGCCTTGCTCTCCTCTATCACGGATGAGATTCGTGCTAAGCCTGACGGGGGCTTCTTCATCACATATATGGGCTGTAAGTTACCCTGACCTAATGTGCTTGGGGAATGACTGATTTACTGCTCAGCTGCTGTCGGTACCTCTCCAGGTCGTCTCGTCGAGACAGATGCCAACTTCAACATCATTCACGAGTGGCCTGAGGATGTTCAGGGCACCCTCAACATCCTCGGCGAGCAGTTCTCGCCCCATGGCCTCAGCATCGACTATAACAAGAACATCATGTTGACAAGTGATTTTGTTGTGCCCGTCACAATCCTCAAGCCGGCCTCTGCCATTGGCATTCAAAAGGCCAACACGTTACGTCTTTGGGAATTGTCAACTCGCAAGATCATCTCTACGCTCACCATCCCCGACGGCCAGGGTATCCAGGATGTGAAATTCATCCCGGGAAACTCCGAGTCTGCCGCACTTGCTACTGCTGTTGGACCCGGCCAAGTCTGGATCATCTATCCCTTCCGCAAAGATTCCAGCGGCAAGCAAGGCGTCGCTGAGCTCCTCTTCGACCTCGGCCCCAATGCGCGCGACAACCTCGCAATTTACTCTGACATCTCTGACGACGGCAAATTCGCCTACTTCACCCTTACGCTTGGCAACCACGTTGCCGCCCTCGATATCTCCGATCTCAACGATGTTAAGCGCCTCGACGATCCCAATGAGGATCAGGGCATCATTGGCCCGCACTACATCAAGATCTCGCCCGACAAGAAGAACCTGCTCGTCACGGACTACTTCGTCCAGACTGGCTCAATTGGAGTTGTCAACACGCCTGCCGACTACAAGGCTCAGTGGATTGACATCCTGCCTAACGGCGCCTTGAGCTTCAACAGGTCCATTGATTTTGAGAAGGTCTTCAGCCAGTCCGGTAATGGCGGTAACAGGGGTGGAGCAAGACCCCACTCTGCAGTCATCTTTGACTTGACTGACCCGGCTCATCCTAAGTACTACTAAGGAAGAGGACGCATAGCGACTGGGTGAGTTTGGTCGCATAGGTGCGTGTAATTGCGGTAGTACATCGAAGTTGAACTTGTCTCGCTTGCTTTGCTTCCTGTCAGTCTTGTTTGTAAACTTGGTCACTTACACGGATATTCCAACTTTCAACAATCGCTAGTTGCTAATGATTGTTACACGTCTCAGTGTCGGCACTGCTTGGCTGTTAGTAGCTTTGATTGCGATGTGATACCAAATCGCGTTTATGAGTAGCATTTGGATTTAACTCGTGTTGGCTTATTTGTTGCTAAGCATATATACCACTCTGTCCGCGTGAGCCTCCTTGACACAGCTTTAACTCAATCTCCCACCCGGGGTGGTGAGGGATGCCGGCCACCCCGTCCGAGTCTTCTGAAGTCGCTGCATGCGAGTGAGATCGCTTCCGCATATGCAATGTTATTTCACGATGCTTTATAATGCTCTCTTTGTCTCGCGTTGTTCTCTGTGTCGATCGACCTTACATAATGGTTCGCATTGTGTCCGCTGCGTCCTTCATATGGCCTTCGAGACGACATGAACGGCAACAACGATCGCAACCTTTAAGCTACCACTCGATTCACTAATTTAACCCGCTATACGAAGAATGTCGCAGCCTACGCTTTTCGACAACTGGAATGATGGGTCAAACGGCTGGTCCGATAATCCCGAAGCAGAAGACCGGACGATCTCTGGTCCAGAGATTGTGCGTCGCAGCTACTGGTACAACATCATCTGCGGCATACAAATTGAAAAGTCCAGAGCTCAGCATATGCTTCAGTACTTGCAGTTCATGTTCGGTGAGATGTCATCAAGCCTAGATGCAATCAATGAACATAAGCTGACAAAGCCACTTCCAGTCGCCGACAGCAACAAATTCTTCAACCTTGGACACGACTATGAGAATGGCCGTGTACGAAGTGCCATAGCTGATCTTAGTACCGATTCTACGCTGAGGGCGATGATCATGGCCAAGAAGTCTGTGGCTTCGGGACATGTCATGCTACATGAGAGTTTCCTCGTAGAGCGTCCTATGGTGCCTGCTTCCTTCGCTTGTTCTCTATGGAAGCGGCTCCTCGATGTTCCTGAAAGCTGCGACTTTCGCAATTGTCGCAACTTCTTTTCTCACGCATTTCTGCGAACTGACTTTGGCAATGATCTCAAGGATTATTGTAAAATCAAGCAGATGTACACCGATCACTTGCCAATCTTGGAAGTCCTCATCAAGAAGTTGCAGGCCGGCTTAGAGGACGAAAGCGCCTGGAAGAACGATGAGTTGGAGCTCTCTTACTCCAACCGGCCCGCTTATGCTTTCGACATTCCCGAGGGTGAGGCAGAAGCTGAGGAACAGAGGCAAGTCAAAGCCAGCGCCAGGAATTTATCATCCCCGACTTCGCTTGACCTCCCAGACTGTAACGCATATGACAGGTCGGTCATAGATACTCTGTTAAACACACCACCGTCACCGGTTGATTCAACAGCTGCCTGGCTGTCAGAGACCTCCGACTACATGTGGGAGGTAGACTATCTTATCAAGCGAAGGCAATCCTGGAGTGGGTTCTATGTCGACACTGATGGAAAGCACTGGATTTATTAATCCGACAGTGCAAATCTTGGCCGTGGCGCACACATACCTCCTGACATTCACCCAATACCGCAGGACTCCTAAGCACTGGGCATCATCACATTTCACTATCAAGACGCATGGTATCAGCTCCATGCAGAGCAGGGCTCGTGTGGCGCTTGTGCACTTTCATTTCAATGTAAACCACTTCGCATGACTATATAAAACTTCCGGTCTTTTCCAATATATACTCTCCACTCACCCAAGTTCGCATATCAACTCTAGATTCCGAGCCTCTTCCACCGATCCAGACCATCTACAGCCTCCGCCATCCATACTTTCGTCCTGATCAATCGAAACCGGACATGTCTTCCAACGGTCCTGACGATAACACTCCCTATCCCTCTGAGGGCTGGGCTTCGGGTTCGAAGAATCAAGAGATCGCCGCTCAAGATCGTGAAAGCGGAACGCTTGTCCATCCTATGACCCTCGTCGAGAGTCAATCGATTCAAAACCAGAACCTCGATGACGACCACGATGCACTCAATGACCGCGAGTCATCTAACCCGGACAACTCGGGCTCTAGGAAGTCACTTGGTGAACGGAACGCTCTCAACCAAAACCATGCCTCCGAATCTAAAGATCACTCTCCGAACGCGTGGAACGGTGCGCTGGCCCGATTCAAGGATTCACTCTCTCGCTTTAGAGCGAATTCACTTGACCAACGAAGCGTTTCCAATCGAAAACGTACCTCAATCTCTAGAGGGACATGGAACGATGCCCTGACAAGAGCTACGAAAAGGTTGTTCCATCTGAAAGGGAAGTCCACTCACGTGTCCCGTTCGAACTCGTTCCGGAGCCACCAGGTCTCGGATCCTTCACTCTACAACATGGTATGTAGAGCTTTCATCAAATATCAGAATGCCAAGAAGCTTTCGATTTCTCTGGGAGCGTGGCACAACGATCTGGTAGAAAGTTGTGCGCTGATAGAGAGGGGGCACAAGTTGACAAAACCTCACCCACGGGCTCCAGCAGGCAGGAGCAATGCTTTCAATCAGATCTTGATGGCCTCCGATGATCCCCAAGACCGCGAATTCGTACTCAGGAAGCACACGGTTGCTTCGGTGCTGATTTCCATGGTGGAACGGTGGTCTAACGACGAGCAAGCATACTTTCCAAAGTCGGCCTACGCCCACTCGCTGTGGGATATTATCTCCTCTCCTGAGAACGGATTGTCGAGTAAAAGCATGACAGAGGCGCGAAATTGGTTCGCTCGTGCTTTGCGTAACGAAGAAGCCGAAAGTGGGAACCTGGGTGATCACATTATGTTCAACAGGATTCTCAAGGTCTACAAGCGAATCCTCCCTGCCGTGAAAGCAACCAGAGATAAGATCAACGAAGCATTGGGAGATACAGGTGCATGGGTGCCAGACCCCTACCAAGTCTCCGACCGGCCTAATTATACGAAAGAATGCCCGAAAGGGGAAGACAGCAGGCGGATTAGGTTAGTCACAACCAAAAGAAACCCTGAAGTAACCGATCGACAACTCGAACTGCACTGGGCGGCATTGGGGACCAATCCAGGCGCACCGCCGCTGTTGCCTGGAGCAAGGGTTGGGTGGGGTGACACGCCTGAAGAAAGTATTGAAAGGACGACTTCAAGACAGTCTCTAGAAGAGGAAGGAAGGACTTACTCCTTGGCTCAAGAAGATGGAGAGAGGACTGCCTGGCCTACCGAAGAAGATGAAGGGACGACTTCCGGGCATCCTCAACCAAATTACTACGACACCGAAGACTGGCCGGTGACACCTCGCGATCCTTAAGGCTGGGTGGGTAATGGCCAATCGTCGAGAACCAAGTCTATTTGAATAAGTGTCCTAGAACTGCCTATAACTCGGCACGAACTCTCCCACCCCAACCAGCCGTTGACGACAAGGGAGAGGACACAGATAGTAAGAACCGCAACTTAATGGCTACCTATGCATTCCAATATCGCTGGCCCACGAACTATTACGTCAAAATCCGTCCAGCTGTACGTGCGGCCGCATCGAGGAGGTACCTTGAAGAATTTGACCTCATCTACTCAGACGATTGGGTAACTCAATGCCGTGTACATGATATTGAGAGGAATGGAATGATGAAGAAACAAGAAGCAGTCTATAGACGCCCACTTGACCGATAAGATAGTATGAGAAATCGTGGAGCAGAACACCCTTTTTTCGAATATTTCGTTATGTTCATTTTTTTCTATGTAGTTACCATTTCTTCGCACTGGCGATTATCGCTTTGTCCCAATGGCATTCCCCTCCATTTGTATGATCGCAGAAAGCAGAATGTGTTGTAACATCACGAGAGCAGTTCAACTAAGCTTTTTTGACTCTATCAACCCAAATGGTAGTGCAGAGTGATTTCAGTGAATATCTCCTTTTATGAAAGTACGTTTAGGCGTTTTCGTAAAGCATGCCTAAGAACGCCGATGGATCCCAGCGGAGAGACGCTAGATAATTGTTGGCTATCACTAGATTATGGATGTGCGAGTCGATGCTGAGACCGAGGGTAATATGGGTGCGGAAGCCTCCATACAAAAATTGTTCGGCTGTTAGTTCTGCAGACTAAAACGTTGCTGGCACGTTAGAGGCAGTGGACGCAGCACGAATAATGCGCTAATTGCGCACTGAACCGGAGCATACAAAGGGTTTACCTTTGCCGGAGTTCAAGCTTGGAATTGAAGAGGAGTATAAGAAGAGCAAAAAGATAAACAAAGACCGAGCATGCTTGGAAGTTGGTCATAACAATGCCTGAAAAGCAAAAGAAGAACCCCTTTGGGGCCTGTAAAGCCAAAAAGAACCGCCGAAGCAGTTAGAACGGGTCTTACCGCGATTCGAACGCGGGGCCTCTCGCAAGTGTGCTCAGGAGCTTGAAAACACTGTAAGGTGATTTCCCTAAGCGAGAATCATACCACTAGACCATAAGACCGTTGCTTGATTGATGAGAATGGTTGCCGTACATGAATACATATATCAGGAATTAAGATCGAACAGCGAGCGCCAATCGCGAGAGGATAGCCAAACATAACTCTTAGGAAGATCAAAGGGGAGCTTGGGCCCACTGCAAAACGACTCATCGAACCCTAAGAATTTTTCCGGCGACCGTTCGCTTGAGTCAGTGGAGTCTATGGGTTAGCGCACTGTTGAAGGATTTCAATGGACACCCCAACAGAGCATACATCACGTTTTTGTTATCTAGTATGAAGATAATGCATGACGACACTGTTGTGAGATGGCGGAGCGCGGCTATCTATTGAGTTCCTCGTGGTGCCGAACCCTGGTTAGCCGAATTTGCCACCCAACCTTCCAGGAGCTGTGTACGACCTGGACCACGAACGCGCCATAAGACACTTCCGCCGCACGGGGTCCCAGGCAGCTTAAATTTGGCAGATAACCCCATAGATACGCTGCATACTTCTACGGAACCGTTCATTGGTAACCGCGATGCACTGCAAAAAACTACGGTGCCGTTGTTCGCTTACGCTGAAAGAACACTCAACTAAACGTCAACCGAACCGCACGCGCACTATGCGTCTTAGGGCTTATCGGTGCGCGGCGTGTGATAGAGATACCTCAGGGTCTCCAATCTGTATGCGCCAACGGCAGAATGCACGGCGCCAGACCTGGCAAGGGAGAGTAGCCACAATATTCACCAAGGACATTGTAAGACAGCAATCAGATGAAGAAGTGGTATTTGGAAACATGAATGAGCACGACGAGCTATAGTACTCGATAACACCCGAGCAAGTCGCAATGCTTAATTCAAAAAGCCAATGCGTTGTCCTTCAAAGCACTCATTCCATCTATTTGACCTGAACGTTGCCTGGCAAAACCTTCAGCCCTGTATCGCACCGTCAGTACCTGAACACTTCTTCAAGATGAGTGCGAACCTACAGCTATCGTAGTCCTCGCCCACCATATCCTTGACAGTACACTTGTTTTGCTCCGCGATGCTCTGCGTCTTCAACGTCGGCGCGGTAACATACGTGTGCCCATCGAGATGCTTCTGCAAGCTGTCATCCTTCCACCCAAAGAGGTAGTCCGCATGCGAAGAGTAACCGGTGCTGTCACCACTACTCCACACGAACGGCTGGCTGCCATCAGAGGGCCAGTCCACCTTGTTGTTGAACGCCTTGGTGTCCCAGACCGTCTCCAGCAGGATCTGCGGGAGGCGCACTGGGTGGGTCTTAGGGCAGGGTCCTCCTGATTCAAAAGTACCAGACTCGGGATATGCAACGTGGTCCTGGTGCTTCAGTACTCAAGCATTTCGCCCAAAACGAGTGATTACTTACTTGATGGTTGGGCGAGTCGACATTCGTACCATCCCAACATGTTGGGAACCTGTGATTAGCCATGATACCTGCAGGGCATGGCTTATCGGGGAAGTTAATCGTCTCCGGTTCGCGGGTACCTTCGTTCTGCATGCAGATGTAGGTGAGCTGGCGGAAGTTACGGGCCTCCTCGCGGTTGTTGTAGTTCACATTTCCGACGAGCATGCGGAATCCGGGCTTGAAGGCTGTGACCTTGGACTTCTGTGCAGTGTCGAAGAGTGCATCGGACATGTAGTAGACCATCATGCCGCCTTGGGTGCTTTCGATACCCTGCTGGGGGCGTTGAGGGACGCGCTTGAAGGTACCATTCTTGGCCTTAAAATACACAACAGCAGTCCAATAGTTTGAGCTATGATATGATCAACACTGCTAGTAGATGGATCAGGATGTCAAAGCTCGAGATTCGACGAGAACGGCTAATCACGAACACTCTTAAGATGCTTTCAAACTTACTGTTTTCTTGTTAGTAAGGTTATGCAAATCATTGATCAGACTTACCAAGTCTTCACTGAACTGGCAACTAGTGCATGTAGAGCCTTTCACAAGGTCATGAGTTGTTGGGTCCATTGAGATGTTGAAAGAATTGCCTCCGATGATCTGATGCAAATGTGGTGAAGGGCTCTGGCCGGGGTTGACCAACGGGTCGAGACGTTGGATAGATGACTTCGCGCAGCCGAAGCGGAGCAGAGCATCGGCCGGGGCAAGTAGCCCAAGGGCGGCGATGAAGGCGCCCTTCATCGTGAAAGGACAACTATAATGTTGTAATTGTACGCTTAAGGACAACAACAGTTCTCTTCTCGATAATGTAGCCTAGGGTGTGACTTAGAGTATGAAACTTGTCCAGAATCGTGACTTGACAGTGCGTGGCCGAGGTGCAAAAGCTATACTTCAATAAACGAAGAAGATCAAGAGTTGAAGTCGGTCACTCATGGTAATTATCATTTCGGATAGTGACGAGAAGCGTCAACTTCAGATGCCGTCTCGTTGACGCACTGACGGAGAAGTGTAGATTGATCTGCTTTCACAGTAAATTGCCTTCTCATGATGTTGCACACGTCGAGCGGCAAACTGGTTTCGGGAGTTGAGGTTAATCTAGGTCGATATTGAGATATGGCCATGCGACCCACGACGCCAAGAACGTAGACTCGACTTGACCAATACAATCCCATCATTTCCTTCCTTGTATCACTTGATCATGATTATCGCCTTTACCTTACCGAGGCAAAGGGTGTCGCGCTGGTACTTGAACGAGCGGGCAGATGGTACCGACCCTCATTTTCCCAGGAAATCCAAAGTTCCCTGATTACTGCCACGTTCTCGTCTGGTGTGGCCTGCAGCTTCAGCATTATTCCAAGATCCCTATCGCACGTCGTAGGGGTTGTTCCGAGAATATTTAGCTAGACTCAACAACACGAATTCGTGCAGCAAACGCTTACATTCTCTCAGCACCCGCTCAACGAGGCTCTTGCACGACACATCTTCGATTCTCACAACAATGAAGGTCACCTTTGGGTTGCTTGCCATATTCGTGTCGACGTCGATTGCCCAATCGTACCCAGAGTGCACTGCGGAGCTGGTCCGAACAGATGAGTGCGCAGGTGTGATCAACGCCAACGCCTGCTACAACAAGAACCGTTTTCAAAACGCCCAGACACTTCAATGTATCGAAGGTAAAGACGATACGGAAAAGAAGAAGCGGGTATGTCTACATCGCATCTCTAGTATCGATTTATTAATAAGGTGAGTAGGCTTGCAAATGCTGCAACTGTGTTGGCAAGGTGATGTGCGACTGGGTCACGAAACAGAAATTTGCCTGTTAAGAGATTAGCGACAGTTCATCGTGAGCATACAAGAGTCTGGAGAGGATCAAAGGAAGGATCTCAACGTCGCAAATCATGTATATGTGCGCCGTTGATGAATGTATGGATAGGTGTAGAAACGATTTCTCCAGAGCCCCTGTGAAAATGATGCAGTCGGAAGCAGTACTCGCTATCTTGCCCTGCATTCTAAACTCCGTAACTCTCTTCTTTGAGTCGTTAGGATACGATTTTTGGGTGTTGTGTCATTAGAGACGTTGAGAGCAAGGACAATGTGGGAAGCGCTAGACATGCCCTCCCTGTTGGTCACAGTCTTGCACATTGATCCCGGGCCAATAGCTATTGTCCCAGACGTCCATGTGTACAGTACATTAGCCATGCTTCAACGAGAGGGGATGCCAAGAGCTGTTGTTCGGCACTTGAGAGCGTTCAGGTGCACTGCTTGACAAAGTATCACAATCTCGCCGCGGTTGGAGTATGTTGCAATATGTTGGGGCGTATGCCTTGATCTGTGACAATAGTGAACAGCTGTTTGACTAGCAATCGAGTGTTGTTGGGAGGCATATTGGAAGAAGGGTGGAGCGAAGGTCAGCACCACTCCAGGCCTAGCGTTGTTGCTGTATTTAGCCAGCCTCGGCCCCGCTCTCCTGCCGGAAGTATCTTCCCTGCCGCTTCGCATGCCAGCTATCTCAGCAACATGTGTCGAATAAAGATGTAGCGAGCGATGTCATCGCTGATGAAGGCAGACTCTAGTATCGAACGACTTGTCTCGACAAAGGGTATCGCGACGACCGATTAAAGTACTCCTGGTACCAGACACCCATCGGACTCCGAGATGCACCAACAGCTACCCGACCGAATTGACCACGACTGGCCTTACATCAACTGGAGCTCTGAGACTGCTGGCTTACGTTTAGCTGTGCTATATTTGCCGTGCCGCTGACCGTATTTTTGTGCCTTCGTTCTCTAACTCAGCTTCTCTCCATTTCTGACCAGACCTGCTGAACCGTTCAAGTAACTACGATTACAGGAACGACACGAGTGTACCTCGACACGATCTGCAAATATGCCGATACCGGGATCCAAAATTCCCACCCACGTACCTGACTCTACCCATTTTCCACGCATCCTCTGCCTCCATGGCGGTGGTGTCAATGCTGCCATTTTCAAAGCTCAGTCCCGCTCGCTCATCCGCCACCTACAACATTCGTTTCGCCTCGTATGGGCAGACGGCCCATTTTTCTGCGATCCCCATGAAGATATCATACAGGTATACGGCTCGTATGCGCCGTTTCGACGGTGGTTGCGATGGCTGCCTGAGCACACCGAGATAGACGCAGAGAGTTGTATAAATGAGATCGGTTATTCAATACGAACTGCGATGGAAGACGACGATCGAGAGGGCGGTAAGGGCGAATGGGTCGGACTGATGGGGTTTAGTCAAGGAGCGAAGCTGAGCGCGAGTCTGCTGTTAGAACAACAAGCCAGAGAAGAGAAAGCAGTGCGGGAAGGCAGGGCTGATTGGGACATTGGACCAATCGGTATACCAGGCTTGAACTGGAGATTCGGTGTGTTGCTGGCAGGTCGGGCGCCGTTGTCCAACCTCAATCCCAGCTTGTTCACGAGCAAGGCGCTGGTGAGCGCTGCAGATCTCTCGGAAGGCTTCCAGTTTGTGAAAGATGTAGACGAAGCGGTCATTTTGAAACAACCGACAATCCACGTTCACGGCATGGCAGATGCTGGACTGCATTTGCACCGCAGGCTGTACAAAGAGTATTGCGAGCAAGGCAAGACGACGTTGATCGAGTGGGAGGGAGCACACAGGATACCGATCAAGAGCGACACAGTGGAACGCGTTGTTGGCGCGATCTACGAAGTTGCAGAACAGAATGAGGTAGAGGTGACCTGGACTGTGGACCGGCGGCCCTCATGGACTTTTGATGGATGAACAAAATGTACATAGCGAGTTCCGTCATAAGCTTCATCCGCATGTAGACCGACCCACCAGTATTGGGCGGCATTCTCGTTCTTCGTTCCTCGTTCCTCGATTCCGGTAATGGGTTAACTCCGGTCAACGGGGGTCTTCTAGATATACAGCCGAGCCTTTCAGCCATCTGCTGACCGAAACTCCCCAAGAAACGAATGCCAGTAGATTTAGTGGGCCATACTGCGGTGCAACAAAAAGCTGACGGCAACAATCTCTGGATTCAAGCTGGCCATGCCTGTGCGTTGGCGTTGCAGCAATGGCGATTGGTCTCGACTGAGGCCCTTCCGTCTGGGCACGCTATCTTCAGCCCCCATCCCACGCTTCAACCAATCTGTTCTCCATCCTCCCGCACTATGTCCTCAATGAATGCTCCGACCTGCGCTAATCCCACCCTAAAGAGCCTCAGCGCTCAAACATCGATGCGCCACCTTTTGATCTGAGTCGCGCTGGCCAAATTTTGCGCCGGAATTACCGCTTCAGTCCAGGCCTCCAGCTGGTACCTGGCTGAGCGGGATAGCAGCCACAGACCGCCGGACCTCACAAGCAATAACAAGCATGGATAGGGGCGGCTTCATGCGTGCCAAGGTCTGCACCAAGGCTATGCCGCTGCATCGCGCGTGGTGTTTATTGCTGGGCGTCGCCCTCGCCGTGTCTTCGCGTCCGTTGATCCCTCTCTACACAGAAACTTGTCTAGTACCGTGTGGCTGGAGTTGCCTTTTATAATGTTGGCTCCCCTCCTAGTCGCGTATCTTGCGGCATCTTCGGTGCCATTAGCTACTGCAAAGACCTTTTGGTGGAGTTACCAAGGGGAGAACAGCACCGAGTCTTACGACCCCGTTTTCGAGATCTGCGCGGATCAGAACGCAACCTCATGTGCAGCTTGCAACTCTTCTCCAGATGCAGACAATGTAGGAGCCAAGCTGTGCGAGTCATCGGATAAGCTGAGCAACATTTGCTACGAGCCAAAACGCGAAGAGACGTGCTGCAAGGACAAGTATGGGAGTGCGTGCTCAAGCACCCGTACGACAATTGACAACCGGCTGATCATGCATAGCAAGCTGCTACAAGGACTTCTACTGCGCCTACACAAACGAGAACATTGCTTTCTGCTGTGCTGATGTACGTACAGTAGCTTCGTAGGATCAAATATGAGTTGACAAGAAGTCCAGGGCGAAGATGTCGAGGATTGCGGCAAAACTTTCAATCAGACGTTGTCCGAAGAGTTGAACGATGACCAAGCGACCGCCACCGCAACGAGCGCTTTCCGGCCATCGATGACTGCCACTGACCAAACGAGAGTCGCCCGACCTGATCGTACAAGTCCCCCGAACGTGGTCCCTGGGTCAACCAAAACATATAACAAAGACCCAGAAGTGGAGAAACAAATGTCTGCTGCTGTCAAGATTGGAATCGCAATTGGAGTGTTCGCAGCAGTTGGAATATTGGTCACTCTGGCGGTGTTGGCCCTGCTTCACTGGCGTAAGAAGACCAAATATAATGCGATCGGACACGGACAGGCTATCGATACAAAGCACCCGGAAGCATATGGAGGGCATGCTGTTCCGCGTCCGATCTCTGGAGCTTCAGGAGCGTTTGAGCCAATGAGGAATGAACCTCACGATCATCGAAGTTCGTGGATGGCATCTCCTCCACAACACTTTGGACCTACGACACCAAATCCATTCTCAGACGGTGCAGCATACTCAGACCACGCATCTCACCCTCAACACCCTGTTGAACTGCAACACATGCCGCCACCGGGCCATCATTAATGAATAAGGTCATCAATGTTGACATGTTTAGCTATTTCTCATTGAAGCACTTCGGCGGTTCCTTTATCTTGAGCTATTACCAGATTTCTACTTTATGCGTGCATTGCTCGGCGCTCCACATGTTGGATGTTATGATAGCTATGGTAAATATGTTAATGAAAGATGCCTAATCCGGAAGACGAGACTGTCGTGTGAAGTTTTGGGAGAACACAGCCTGGATGGTACCACATGACGACGATGTGCTCACGGAGGCAATGTGGTCGATGAGGTCATGTTTCCATGGCCACTGAAGAAGCAATTACTTTGACATTGCCAACACTGCTAAGGACATGTAGGCCTGCAATTGCATCACGTATCTCGCGTCGTGATTTGCGGTCCCACCGATTCTCCGTTTTGCCTTCGGATTCGGAACATCTCCGAAAGCCGCCATTCTCTCGCCGCGATCCAGCTGGTTTCCCGAACAGGCCTAAATCCATCGCCAAGCCATCACTCCAGCGTCATGGATCTCTTCCAAACCCTCGTGCATGGATCTCTCCAATCACACCGTTCCTGTAACAGTATATGTACCTCATAGCATTCTTCCCCGGAGCCCAAGAACTCCACCTTACAACATGCGTATGTCAGTGCACGCTATATTGGGCAACTCGTCTACAAGTGGTCGAGATGCATGACGCAGCTAGCGGGTCTATTGTAGAGGCGGTTGATCTGACGACAGTAACGCATTATGTGAAGGCTTGCGAACGCTTGCACTGCCTGCGGACCAGAATCATCCCGCCTCCGCGTTCGCGTACTGTATCCATGACGCGATGAGGATGCATACTGAGGCTGAGACTAGACGACACACTCGTGACGCAGATGTTTTGAGCTGCAAATGTATAAAGATCGTATTGCTCCCACTGCAAGGAGAACATCAATATACAGCAACTTCATCACATCTACACTTCACAATTCCAATCACAATCTAAATCTCAAATCCGATAAAATGCAGAACGAGCACGGACAAGGTGTTTCTCACGCCACTGGTGGATCCAAGGTTCCCGACACCGTTCAGCAGAAGGCCCCCCAGGGTCTTGAGGAGAGCCTCCCCAACAAGGTCCGCCATGTTTGCACCCTCGACTAGGACTTTGACTGACATCCACAGGTCCACGACACCGGTTCCGGCACTGGCCGCCAGACTCACGCCAAAGACGGCGGCGATGCTTCTATCGTCCCGAAGCCTCTCCAGAAGGCAGTTCCCGAGAAACTCGAGCGCGCTCTTCCCGATTCCATTCATGATACCGGCGACCATGGCGGTGCTAAGCACTAGATGCTTGGTTGGAAAGACATTATAATATGATGATTTGATAACCAAGAGAGTTTTACTTGTACGATAGAATAATTAATGAAAGTAAACAATTTTGAAAATCTGTTACAATGTTGCCCTGCAACGAACACAGCAACTTATCATGACTGTGCCGACCAGTCTTCGTCCCCGCTCAGATCGCCCTCACTCAGATTCTCATACGAGCTGTACACCTCACGCTCGTCTTCGCCGCAGTAATTGTACTCGTTATCACCTTCTTCCTCGTCAAGGTCAAGCTCGCCCATTTCCTCATCAGCTTCGGTGCTGTCACATGATCCTTTTTCGTCGTCGGAAACAACATTGCCGTCCTCGTCCCTATCTTCGGAAACAACATCATCATCTTCTTGGACATCGGAGACAATATCTTCATTCTCATCAAAGACACCAATCTCTTTCCCATCATCGGTGACCATCCCACTCTTCAACTTGTTTACCATTTTAAGGGCGCCCAGCTGACCCTTTAGCGCATCTGCCCTCTGCAAGAGAGCCGCTTCCAACCTTTGCACCGTAGCAGCCCGTCCAGCTTGCGAAAGGGCAAGCAGTTGAGTTATAATCCGTTTTTGCATACGAAGTTGATCCTCTTTCAGCTTCAATGCATTCCTCTCTTTGACCACCTCCTCTAATTCGACCCTCAAGTCCCCGTTCTCCGAACCCAATTGCCTACAATCTTCCTTTATCGCAGCAATAATTTCCTTGCGCCTCTGAGACTTCGACCTCAGAGTGTCGCACTTCTTCTTCAGGACCGTGACATTAATGTTTGCAGCCCGAACGTCGTCCTCCGTTTTGTCAACGAGTGTCTTGATCCTATCCACTTCGCCCTTGAATTGCACGATGAGTGACGCAGAACGCGCACGAGCCAACCTAGCGTACGCCTTCTCGTCTTCCTGGGTCTTTTCGAGAAACTCACTGTATAGTCTCCTGAAATCCTCGAACTCACACAGCACCTCAGTATGCGTCACTGACAACGAAGCATACGCTTTATCGCTCCGGATGTTCGCCTCTTTGAGAAGCGCCCAGTCATCGTGGAGCAATAGGTAGTTCTCCTTGCACGTATGGAGCTCGTCCTGTCCTCTGTGCATAACATTCAAGGCGATCTGGTGGTGCAGTCGCTCATCAGCAAGTTCCTGGTTCAACCTCTCGTTCTCCCCAGTAAGCCCCAAATTCACCTGCACGGCGCTATCTCTTTCCTCTCGCAGCATGTTGCAGTTCTCCTGCGCCATGCTCAACTCTGCTAAATGGCTCTTAACGCTCTTCTCCTCATACTTTCTCCTCACCTTCTCAGCATACGCAATCTTCCATTCATGTATCTCTTTCCTGTTGGTCTTCAGGATGGCGTTCTCGTGGGTTAGGCGCTCTACCTGTGTAGCTGCGGCGCCCAGATCCCTGATCTTGCTATCCATATCCGAAGTCAAACTGGCGACATGCTCCTCGAACGCTTTGTACTTGGTCCTACACGCCTCAGCCGTAAGCTCAACCCCCTCCTTCTTCTCGCCAATCGTCATGGCATGGAACCTCTCCCGCTCCCGGGCCGTTTTGCGGGTTTTGAAGTCTACAACCGGGTTGGACACCATGACGCACTCCGGCTTTACGAGGTGATCACCCAAGGCCAAGCACTCTGCTATGTCTTTCTGCGTTGCCTGCTTCTGGGCGTGGAGCGCCTCGTTGCGCTTCTTGAAGTACAGGAGCTCGAGTTCGAGCTCTGAGATGCGACGCTCTTGGGTTGCATTGCTTTCTAAGAGCGTCTGGATGCCAGCAGAAACCTGGTATTCGTTAATGGGATGTAGGCCAAGCAGACCCGCGAAGAAGTCCGTGACAGCGGTTGAGAGGGGCATCTTGGATGAGCGTTGATGCGTCTGGGTGGACTTGGTGAGGTTAACAGTGGTGGGAGAGGAGGGCTTCTGGCAGCTCGTGTAAAGTGTGATGCTGTGTCTGGGGTGGACTTGAGGGTCTTTGCAGCAGCAACCTGTGAAGAACGATGATGCTCTGTCGACTTTAGTAGGAAGATGGGGAAAAACTAGAAGAAGACACGGAATAAATACCAATGCCTGGTCGGAGTGTTGGGGAGAAAATTATTGGTTGAGGATCTCAATGGCTACGTATCCGTGGAAGAATGTGGTCGGAGTGTGGAGCAGACCGCAGTTGTGTCGTGCAGAGGACCATCCGCATTATGGGAGCTTGAATACTCGAAGTTACGCATATACATCACACGTAAAGGTCGGTGCTCTACAACAATCTAGAGTGATGAAGCGGATAAAGGTAACATTTACAATTGGTTTGGTGTAGACTTTTGTGCCAAAGTATGCCCAATCTTGCCGTAACTTCCAACAAACGGAGCGACATGCGCTCACATGCATGCAAAATCAACTCATTGCCCCCATCGCTACCACACAACTCACCACTTCAACCAAGGATCTATTCGTTGAGCTGCACATAGTTGGCAGGAAATAGACCTGACTTGCCACCGTAAGAACCGAGCCACCAATCTTCGTCGGGGAATTCCTGATAAGAGTTTAGAGTAGAGCACTGTAGCCTCAAGGGGTGGAGTTACTTACGATGTTGGTGACTGTGGCATCTTCGGGGAAGCTAAGCTCATTTTCTTCTGCGGCTTCGTAGTCGTAAAGAGCGGTAGCAGTGGGACCGCCAGCACCAGCAGGCTGTGGTGGGCCTGCCGGTGGCTCTTCCTCAGCAGCAGGATGCGTAGGCAGCGGTGGAGGTGCGCCGGCGCCAGCGTCATCCTCGCCATCGTCTTCGACCAGCTCGACATAGTTGGATGGGAAGAGACCTTGTTCACCGCGCGAGTTGGTGCCCATCCACCAGTCATCGTCTACCATGTCTATGTCGGTGACTAGCTCGCCTTCAGCCAGTTCGAGCTCATTGTCTTCTGCTTTCTCATAGTCGTACTGGGCAACAGCACGCTTGCCACCGCTGCCTCCGCCAGCTGCTGCACCAGCTGCTGCACCGATCGCAGCACCAGCGACAGCACCAGATCCAAAAGTGGCTGCAGCGACCGCAGCGCCAGCACCTCGTGCGGGATCATGCGACTCCACTTGCGGCTCTGGGGAGAGGTCACGGTGCTGCTTGGCAGCTTGACTGAGCCCGCGCGTAGGCATGGGCGGAGGCTGCTCTTCGGCGGGTGAAAGCTCGGCGGGGGCTGCGCCGCGGCCGACAGGCATTGCTATGCGCACAGGCGAACCAGAAGGCTCCGGCGAAGGGCTACGTGGAGGTTGGGGTGGAGGTGAGGGAACGCGTTGATGCTGGACTGCGGGCACATCCTCTTCTTCCTCTTCCGGTTCTGCAGGACGGCTGGGTAGGCCTGGCATGGGGACGCCTCGTGCGCCCGCATTCGGCTTGCTCAAGTTGTCCAATGCTGGTGGGCTAGGCTCAGGTATGGGACGGCTGGTAGGAGCGCCCATAGGAGCAGCACCCGCAAAGCGATCCTTGAGGGCGCCGACGCCTCCAGCTGGAGAAGAAGGCTCTTCCTGTTGCTGCGGTTCTCCCCCGGTACGCTGCTCGCTGAGGTTGCTTGTTGCAGATTGGCCGGTGCGAGTCGTCTGTACTGGCGCCCAGGATTTGCCCGTGTAGCCGCTCTGCCAACCGCCACTCTTCTGGGCTTGAACGGGGGACGTGACACCTTCACTGCCAGCGAAAGACTTGACTGACTGGCCCTGCGCAGCCTTCTTCTCTGCCCATAATTGTGCGGGCGTCTTCCCTCCCTGGTCTGCAAAGGTCTTGCTGGCGGCGCCAATTGGCGCAGTCGCCTGGATGGTAGGCTTGACACCAAATTCGCTGGGGGTGGGAGCCTTTGTGCCAGTGAATGCGCTTGCACCCCCAAATTTGTTTGCAACTTTAGGTTTCGGTAGGCTCGTGAGCCGCTCGGGCTGCTTGAAAGCGGCAGATCGCTCTGCTAGAGACTTGGGAGACTCCTCGTTCTCGTCGCCGCGGGCTGAAGTACCGGTCGCCGCGGGTGCAAAATTGGACGAGGGCGGTGGCGCCTGCGCCTTGGCCCGGATAGCTGCGATATCGACCTTGCCAGTTGGCTCGTATGCGCCCTTGACCACAGTAGGTCTATCGTCCTGTGCAGATGACTTCGCTTGGGCGCGGAGTGCGGCAATGTCCACCTTGCCAATGGGTTGGTAGCCACCCTTAACAACATCTGACGCGGTAGCTTGAGGTTCCGGGGCCTGGTATCGCGAAGGTTCCCTTTTCGAGGTGAGCTCAGCCAAGTTGACCTTGGTGGGCTTATAGGCAGATTCCACCTTTTCAAGCTGTGAACGGGTAACCTCTGGAGCGTCTGCACCCCAGCCATCAGCGTCAGTATCCTGCTTAGGTGCTACTCGTGATCGTGCTAGCGGATTGAAGCCGCCGCCCCCACCACCTATCTGCGTAGGCGTGAAGACGGGTTTCTTCGCGGCAACTGGCGGAGGCTTATTGGAAGAAGGGATGCTCGGAGCACCGGAGTAGTTTGCGCCGGAAGCTTCAGAGACTTTTTGCACGATACGTTCGGGGGTGAGGTCAGCATCCGACCGTGCGGTGACTTGGACGTGATATCCCTAAATCAATTTAGCGTAGGCATCTAAAGAGCAAATCGAGAGAACCTACGTGGAGCAGTTTCGAAACAACACCTAGATGGCTTCCGAAATAGCCTTTGGTACGCTCAGGTACGCCCTCGCCGCACTGCGGCTGTCAGTCTAGTTTCTGCAGGTTCCACGAGCAACATACCCAGGCAATCAGGACATTCTTGGGGAGTGACGTGTTTGGGTCCTTGACTTTGACAAATGCGAACTGGATGCGCCCGTCCGAGAATTCGTCTATCAGATCGGCAAGCTCGCCCTCGCCGGTCGTCTGCACTTTCAAAACGCTCTCCTTCCCGCCATCGTTCTGGAAGGCGCTGACGAGGGGAGCAGCAACAGTAAAGACGGCCCACTGGCCAAAGGTGGGCGAATTTGCCTGAGCGCCAGACGGAGGAGGCGAATTGACGACGTTTTCGTAGCTTCGTTTTATGTTTGGGCCATTGCTCGACGTGTTGAGCGAGGACATGGTGAGGTCGGTGTAGAGCTGTGTTTGGGCTCACAGGCGGGGAGGGGTCGAGACTGTAGGCGTCGGCACGGGGAGGGATCCGCGATTAAGGGATCTCAGAGCCTCCAAAAGCGTGGCGCACAATGAGGCTGGGGTATGCGTGTTCACGTATTCACTGTGCTGTGTACACGTTACGTGGGCCTGCATGCATCAGCAGCACAGCTCCAGCACCACCGCACAGCCTCAAGCCTCTTCGGGCCGCTCTTTCCCCAGCACGAGCCCGCCAAGCCCACAGCGTCATTGTGTCACATGACCAGAACAGGGTCACTCGAGCGCACCGGCCGCGGTCCGCCTCATCCAACGGTTGGCTGACAACGGCCGAGGGCTCGCCCCAACATCGCATCTTCTGAGAGCTCACCGGACGTTCACTTCTGCCTGTCTTTCCTCGCCATACTCTAGACACCAGCTCTAGGCCATGTAAATCCTCTCTACAAGTCCAAACATCCCTTATCATTCACGTCCGATCTAGTGAAGGCTCCGACGCCGCATAACCAACTTTCCCACTCACGCGCGCAACCGTCCCGTCACCGATTCATGTCGCCAGCCTGTCGCGTGCGTTTGGTGGAGCTCCATCTGTGAGCTTCGCCCGTGAAGGGGAGCCATGGACGATCGCGAGTCCAGCACTGCTTCGTCAGTGGATTTTTACGGCTCCGAGACGAAACCCAGCACGCCCCCCGCGGAGCATCGAGAGGATATCTCTCACACAAAACGCAAGGCAGAAGAACCTGCCTTGCCACAGCAGAAGAAGCGTAGACTTGATTCTCCGTCTTCTGCTGCTTCTGTGCGAAAGCCATGCGCTGGTCTTCCACCGGCAATATGGCAGCATGTGTTTCTACGCTGTTCTCTATTTGATTTGGGTCGATTGCTTCAAGTCAATCGATCGTTTCATTCATACTTGACAGATGTGCAAGATGTCTCTATTTCAGACCCAGATCCTGGGTCGCTGCGTCTCATAAAGTCTGATTCTGTCTGGGCTGCAGCCCGCAATGCACTTCCTGTAAAATCTCCAAAACCTCTTCCAGGGTTTTCTGAGCTGCAAATGTGGCAGCTGGTTTGGTCCAGGAGATGCCAGTTCTGTCAGAAGTTCGACCTGGGAACGGCGGGAGAGAAAATCTGGCAGAAAGGCCCTGGCAATGACGGTGTGCGGCCCATCTGGCCGTTCGGGATCAGGGCCTGTGGAGAGTGTCTTATAGAGAGGTGTCAAACGGTGAGTAGATCCAGGCATCCAAAGAACAAGCATTGACCTTGCAGGACACGAGTTTACTCTTCTCCAATGTATCCGCTCTTCGGCCCGCCCTACCTTATGCCTTCCTCACGAACGACCGCAATTACGTTCCTGCCTACCTGCTTCAATCTATGGTCATCCCAGCCGGTGTCGAGATTGTCAAATACTATTACAAGCCACATGTGGAAGACATCAGCAGGGAAGTGAACGAGGCACTAGCTCTCGGTCCTGCCGCAGCCGAGGAATGGTCGAAAGGATTAGAAGCTCGCGGCAACGAGCGTATGAAGCTGGCAGAGAATTGGGGACGCTGGGAGGATAAGTACCAGTCGTGGTCGGCCCACAACGACACCAAATCAGCAGCCTCTACTACGCCTGCTCCCGCACAGTCTTCTCTCAACGAGTTGGGCAGGTTCTCACCAGCGCAGCATGCTCCCTCTCTTGTTGTCCATGCCCCTATACCAGCGAGTAAGTATACCCTGCCCTCTGCTCCTATGCACAAAGATTGCGCACAACTACAGTCCTTGAATATACTTAGGAACAACCTAACAGCTTCAGCTCCAGTTCACTCACACATACATTCGCGCCCACCGACTGTTCCTCAGCAGTATACACCACAGCCTGGCAACCCGCGCGGACTTCACGATGCGAATGAAGCCAAAGCAAATCGCAAAGCAGATATTGAGCGACGTTGCCAGCAGATGCAGCCACCTATACCACCAAACGTGTTGCGACACATGGAATCCTTCAGAGCAGCCATCCAGATCTCCCAGCCAATGACTGATGACGCGTGGAGCGTGCTTGAACCCCGCCTCGTTGCCCAACTCCCTGCTGCCCAACACGCGGAGGCCGACCACGCGTCGCGTCTCACCACGCAGTCCAAAACACTGGACCGTCGCCCTTCGGAGGTAAATCCCAAGGAATCCAAAGAAATCATGGATCGGGAATGGGACGAGGCTCAGCGCCCCATCCGCGACAAACTCAGCGCAATTGCCGACGACTTTATCAACAGAGACTGGGACGGCGGCAGAGCAGTGACTTACGAGAACAGCCCGAAGTTCGCGGTGGATGTATTGGTATACGTGCGTCGCACATTCAAGGCCGACCCTGCCAATGAGAACACACCATTTGGTCAAGGACGCACCCAAGACGCATTCCATGATGGATCGGATCTTAACAAGCCAAAGCTTGTACTGGACAGCATGAAGTGGGTATATGACAACAAGGTCAAAAATCTAACTGAACAGTTTCGGAAAGAGCTTTTCCTGTGCTACGGCTCCGGCTGCGAAGGCAACACGAAGTTTTACGGCTTCGAAGGCGTCGTGCAACACTTTGGAGCCAAGCACACTAATGCATTCAGCGTTGGCAATGTTGTTGTTGCTTGGAGAGAAGCTGAATGGCCAGAGGAGACCCCGTTCCACCCAGACCCCACTTCCGTCAAGCATGCTTTCCAATCCGCGTCGGGCACAGCTACTCACTCCGGGTATGGCGCTTACTACGGTGGGTATTCGCGTGCGGGGACATCCACTCCTCATATGCAGGCTCATCTTCCCCAAGCAAGTCCCGGCCCGTATCAGTACAGCGGCCATTACGCGGGACCATTTGCTCCTCCTCAGTTGACCTCAAATGCTATGTCAGGGTACGAGTATAACCAATCATATGGTACGCCTATGGATTCTTATCAATTTCAGTCCATGGCACCACCTGGATATGGAGCACACCCAGGCAATGGATACATGACTTCCCCAGCGATGTCCAATACGGCCATCGCACCTCCTCCGACTGGTCCATCCCAAGCTGCAGGCATGAGAGACACGTCGCACAGGTCAGATGACGCTAACCATCGCACAAGCTTATTCGATAAGCAGGTGAGTACCGTCATCGACATGGCCCAGGACATCTGGAAGCAAACGTCGGGCGTCAAGGATCTTCCGAACAGTCTCCGCATATACGTCTTGATGCAGCGTGTCATCTCGAAGTTCCATGTCGACTTCAACCATGAGCCAAACTTGGACCATTTCATTGACGCTTTCTCCAGCCACCAGGTACCCCGCGCTTTGAGACATGCCCCAGGTCTTTCCTGCAAAGCTTGCCAGGACGAGGTTTCTCACTATCCCCGCCAAGAGGAAAGGAAAACTTTCACAGTCTCGAACTTGTTTTTGCACTTTAAGTCTCAGCATCTTGGAACCCAAGTCTCCCTATTTGGTAACGGCCATCTACCAAAATCTTTGGATTGGAAGGAAGACATGATAGAGCTTCCAAGCGACCGTGTTATCTCTGGCCTCATACACGCCCCTGGCATGGACGACGATAAGCTACACATGGTAGCCACCGTGTTTCCAAAGCTGTTTCCCACCCCACTTCCCAAAATTGGCAAGATAGACAACGGTGAGTCCGTGACCAAGGATTCGAAAGATGCTACGAATAGTGGCGAGACCCCGGGGATCTCAATCGGAGAATCCGGTCCCTCATCGTTAGCATCGCCCTATACCGGCTCTCCAAGGCCACCCAAACCTACGGATGATGAGTACGACCCCCAGAGGCCTGCTCTCCCCACACAAGCAAGGATCCCCAGCAGGGCCAACAACGGGAGAACCTCATTCCGCGGCAGTCCGCCAGACCATAGGCAGCACTATTATGCCGAGTCACGTTATCAGGTAGGTCAACCGCAGAAGTCGTTGTTTATGACGATAGGAGCTAACAGACAATCGTTCCGACAGCCTCTGGATCCTGGCCGTGAAGAGTTCGATCATCCCCAGGAATACCTTGAATACACTCCGGGGCCTCGACGCTACCGGGAACCAGAGCCAGCGTACGAGGAATACCAGGGAAGACGACCTTTGTATCGCGACGAAGAAGCCTACTATCGTCGTGATGAAGTCGTCTTCGCACATTCCCGTGCAGGACGGTATGAGGAAGAATATCGTCCTGTCTCTCGCCATGTTCGGTATGTAGAGGATAATGTTAGGCACCCGGGACATCAACTAAGGGAGGAACTTGGATCGGTTGGCCCCAGTCCTGTGGATGGCAAGTCTGCTGCCGACCGATTTTTGGATGAGTTCGTGCCGAACCAGCCAGCGAATGGATTAACAGGACAAGGAGCGCCATCTCTTGAGGTGCACCAACCTGTTGCAGCAGGTCCGGAACCGGATGACGGATCTCGGTATACACCACCGCTGCCTAACTTTGTCGTACCAGAAGCAATAGCAGAGCGGCGTCAAACTAATGTACCACCTCATCGCACAGCTTCAACTGTGTCCAACGGGTCTAGACAGGAAGAATACCTTTCATCTGGTCGCCAAATCCCTACGCCGGACAATACTCGGGGACCAAGGAGACCTGGACCGCAGCGCCGTAGGGACAGATATGATCATGCTCCATCCCGCTACTATAGATATCTGGGTGCCGCTCGTGATGAGCCGTATGCTAGAGCATCTAGCATGAGCCGTTCGCAGAGTAAGCGATACGAAGAGCAGCGCCGTCGGATAGACCAACAGGAGACACCTCAGCCAGGCGCTGAGCAGGATTCTACTTACTCTCGGGATCAAAGTGTCGAACGAGCAGCCGCCGAGGATCCTGCTCACCAACCTCGACGTCCTCCACAGGACTACGTCTCCGTTCAAGATCGTCTACATCCCCACTCACCATCACGCTACCGTTATGCTGACAGCCGCTACGCGGACGAGCCGCGCGGCGGTCGCCAACCTATGTATGTTGATGAGTACGGTCGACCACTTGATGAGTACGAAGTCATTCAAGTACCCCGAGATCCTCGTCCGCCGCGCCATTCTTATGGACGATACGTGGAGTACGAACCGGAGCACGTACAATACGTTCCAGTCTCTTACGAACGTCCACAACCGCGCTATTTGCAAGGCGCGCCTGAGTACGTCTACCATGAGGGTCGAGACAGACCGTTACCGCCCCGTAGACCAGTTTACGAGCCAGAGGAGCCTCCGCCACCAACAATTAAGGTGGAGAATGCGCCGCCTGCGCCAGATTCATGATAATGACCGGAGTCAGGGAAAAGTGATTGTATGTGTTGTTTTCAGGGATGCTTTCGTTGCATATACCCAGGGTGGCTTTTTGCTGTTTTTCTCATCGCTTTCTGCTGGGGTCTGTACTATAAGTCGAGATAAGTGTGCATAGCCGGTGTTGCTTTTTCGGGCGGCAATATGTGTTCTCAAGCCAATAGAATAATACTAGCGGCTTCTAATGGAGTGACGTCCAATGTCTAAAGGAAGCGTGCTGACAACGTGAACTACCCATTGCGTCGACAGAAAGAGAAGACACGGCCTCCGCTCGCATTAATAATGAAATCAACCCAAAGTCGCCATCCGCTCTCAACAAACGTTCACGGTCATGCTGAATTGAGTGAGGATGGGTATATTTGCAAGTTGTGAGTTGGAAGCTAGAATTGGTATGTTCGCGCATCTGCTCCGCGCATAGCCATCTTAGTCGGGCAGTCTTTTTTTCGGTCGGCATATAACTCTACTAGAGAGCTTGATCAAACAAAATCAAAAGTGCGGCATCGCGATTGGTTGATTTGATTTGCAAATCCCCGCACTCCGAGGCAACCACGACCTTGCACCTTCCTAAGCGTAACATCAATCGTTCACAGTCTGATCGTGTGAGAATGACCGCTCGACCCTACACAAAGCACTTCATCCCACTCGAGTCTAACCCCGAGATTTTCACCCAGTTCATCCATGCTCTAGGGGTTTCCCCAGTTCTTCGTTTCGAAGACGTCCTAGCGCTAGACGAACCGTCACTGCTTCCACATCCAGCTCTAGCGCTGATCCTCACCTACCCTACGCCCATAGACTACGAAGAACGTCGAGCTGCCGAAGAAGCAGCAGCACAAAAAGAAGAGCGAAGTAGAGATCGTCAGGATGTAGATGTGGTATGGTTCAAGCAGACCATTAACAACGCCTGTGGTTTCTACGCCATACTTCATGCCATCAGCAATGGGGAGGGTAGACACTTCATCAGTATGTCCTTCCACCAGCCTAGACTTTTCTTATAAATCGATTTTTGACGATGGCCAGGACCGAACTCCGTGCTAGCCAACCTCCTTGAAGGATGTCAAACCCTGGCGCCAGAAGAATGCGCAGAGAGACTTGAAGCTTCACAGGAGATTGAGAGAATCTATAGCCAGGCTGCAAGAATGGGTGAGAGTGAAATCTCCGAGAATCCGGAGGACGAGGTCGATTTTCATTTTGTGTGCTTTGTGAAGGATGGTTCGGGGAGGGAGATTCTGGAGCTGGATGGGGATAGGATGGGGCCGGTAAGGAGAGGGCAACTGGCTGCGAGTGATGAGGATTTGCTGGGAGAAACTGGCAGGAGGATTATGAAGCAGTACTTCAAAAGCGAGGGTGACGGGGGAAACGTTGCGTTCAACTTGATGGCATTGATAGCAGTGGAAAGTTGATTGGCGTGAATTTTCAAGAGATTCAGAGGGTGCCATTTAAGCCAATCGTCAAAAGCATGGTGCGAAATGCTGCATTGATAGCAGTTGAGGTCTCTTTCTTTACTATTGCAACCAAAACCCAGTTATGTACTCCATCACGCATCAGATCGACGAAAGCATGTTCTTGCCGGTCCGAACCCCTGTATGAAAATAAAGTTGGTTACGGTCGGCTATAAACAATAAGGACAATCTTCATATCTCTCCTTCTACTCTCAGTCTCGGCACTTCTGGTTCCGACGCAACCGGTATCTCCCCGGCCTTCCTTTCCCATTCTCCAAACTTCACCAAGTGCGCAGAGCAATACGTACTACTCAACGTTTCCATCTTCCCTCCCAGCTCACCGAACACTTCACACTCCTTCAACCCCTGCAGTATCTGCTTGCTATGTCTGTCCTGATTCTCATTCCTATCGTAGAAATAAAAGTGCCGCAGCGTTTCCCGATTCCGCGCGCCGATCATGCGAAGCCATCGAATCGGGTCGTCGAGACCTGAGAACCTTTGGAAGACTCTATGGCAATATGACGCTCGGAAGATGTTCTCCTTGTAGAAAATTGGCAGAGCGTGCGCTCTGATCGAGCGGCAGGTAAGAGTCAACGCGGGCTGCTGCGGTGGCTGTATTTCTCCATTTGCCCATTGCTTCTTGTCTGCCTTTTCTTGGTCGTAGCGACGGCGGTAGGATGAGTTGCAGGGACAGTTGATCAATAGCGGCTCGTTTGAGATGACTGCTAGCTCGTAAATGTCGAGCTGGAGCTCGATTGGCAGCTCGAGAAGATAACAGGGCGGACTCGAAGCAATTGCAGCAGTGCCCGGGACTTCTGGGGATTGTGGCATTATGTGTGAATATGGAAGATACTCTTGGTGGTCTACAGTGTCGCGGCTTTCTATGCGAAGTTGGCACTCTCTCTAGGCAGCCGTCGCCGGGAACGCGGGGATGTTGTCACCAATCAGCCTAGCTCACAAATGATTGGTGCACACGTCGTCAGGTCTTTCCTCTACTTCGCGTGTACGCATTTTCGCGGGATCGATTAGCTACTTTCGTAGGTCGAGTGTGATTAAATCCAGGTCGAGTTTGTTTTTATTGATGTCTGCCATATTTTCAACAGTTAAGCGATTGAACTTCAGTTCGTTCTATCTATCTCATAAGCTTGTAAGAGGGTTGAATATCTTTCCCACCGACAGTGGATCAATTTCTATACCATTGATACATTGTTCCCACGTTTATAGCGTTTTTTAGACCCTTATCGCATGACATCATAGCTTTGTCACGATCACACTCTCTCTTCCATTCTTCCATCAATTGACAACTGACTGTACATACGAGATACATCGTAGCATGGCTGGTAGAACTTTGACTGCGTACAAGCTTGGGCCCAACGCCCTGAAGATTCAGAGTACTTGGATGAACGCCCGGAAAGCTGTGAAGCTGAGTGTGGGGCTACAGTGACTTGTGTATGTACAAACGCGATATTCATCCCGCATTACGTAACACTTCGCTCACGTAGACATTATGCGGGGCCCCGAGTTGTGGCTCAGGTGCGCTTAATTCCTTACCGTGGGGCCAACATCTGGGCAAAGCCACGTTCTGGGGTTGAACGTGCTTTCTTGGCAAATCCTTCTCTCCTGCCGATCCATGAACGGTAAGAGCGGCTTTTGGCGGATAGAGAGGTCTCTGTTTTGTCGAAGTCTCGGACGTCATCGTCCGTTATGAACATGCAGTGAGAGAAGAGAATACGAAGTCGGGATGGTCGTTAGAGAAGGATCCGGTTATGGAGGTGAATGTAACAGTAACCCCAGAAAGTTTTAGAGGAGGCTGGGGTGGACTTGGCATAAAAGGCTGCACGACATGCACGCCGGCAGGATGCCTTTGTCTCATGTTCCCGAACTCTACGTCACTGATGACGAAACTGCAATCCAATATACTCCTCAGTTTTAGAAGCCAATGACATCCTCGTGAATTCCATACACTTCGAACTCACGACATGTCTTTTGAATCTATATGAAACATTAGATATTGATTGATTAAGGGCTGGATTTAAGGATTTCATGTGTGATTCGTGAATTTAAACCGTATGTCGTTCACACTAAGCGGTGCCACAGACGTCAGTGAACCTGCAAGGACTTCCAGTGAGCTGGGTACGAGCGCGCATAAACGCCTTGAAACAATGTTGAGGTCCAATCAGGAAAATGGTTTGATATTTCGGAATTCATGCGATGCGCACAGACTGATCGAGGGAGAGGTTCTAGTGCTGCGGTTCCGAATAGAGCATTGATATGTCACTGCTGAACCGAAAACTAGGACGGCCCCCACCAGCCTTCAAGACCGTTAGCCGTAACTTTTCGGTAAGACTTCTCGCCAATAGCCCTTGGCATGTCGATGCAAATCAACGGTGCTACCATGTGCTGGAAAATATCACTTACAGCACTTGGCCTTTGCCGGAAAAGGACTGCACAATTTAGATACTTATCGGTGCTAATGAAGCCGACTATCTTGGTTGTAAGTAATCGAACGGTCGACGAATTGAACAGGGTTGCAGTGACCGCGCGTGTTGTGTCGAATCCGATGGTAATACCCGTCTCAGAGCTGTGCGTGTATGGGTTGGCTTCAGGTATCGAATAGTCACCAAGCGCCTAGTATTTGCTTTTTAACACGAAGCCCTATGCTTCAGTGCATTAAAAAGTGCGGGCATTCAGTGTCGCCGGGGTTCTACTTTTGCGAGAGGCCTCAAGCAGATCTGCTTTCCTTGGCCAGGCTAGGCATCCAAACACCTAGGAATGCTAGATCTCCGATCTCAATTAGAATCGTCCATGTTTGGCACCTCGAAACATGACCTTGCCCCACAAGAAACAATCCTACGGAAGCCAAGCGGTGACGTCGAGGGCTTGGTGGAGCGACTGCATCTCATAGCATCTGAACGCAGGTCTCCAAGCGCGTTTTCAAGCTGCTCAGACGATGTCGCTCATCTTCAATGATACCGGGTAATCACTGAAGTTGCCACATAGCGATCACTAGTGAAGACCTTCACCAACGTAATTCTGCTGTTGTCCTACCGGCAACACGCAGAAATTGTATCTCGTCGTAGGAGGCGCGAGGTTCTTCTTGCGAGGATGATTACCACTGGCGGAGCGCTTTAGGCCACTACCGCGTCTCCTGGTCCCAAACTTGGCTTCGCTCTCTTGGCTTTTTCTTCTTACAGAACACAACGTTGGCACGGTCCTCTCAAACTAGTCCGGTACACTCGGCCCCATAGCGATGAACGCATCTGTGATCGAAAGAATGAAGGTACTCACATCCTCCAGCATCTATATAAACCACGCTCCCTCTTCCTTTCGGATCTTCACTCCACAGCCAACACGCACTCCTCAATATCAGCATCATATCGCCTCATCCACCCTTTCGCTACAATCATCCTTTATACCCTCCCAAGATGTATTTCACCCCAGCTTCTTTCCTCACTATTGCAGCCGGCCTCTCAGGGCTCTCCCAGGTTTCGGCATACTGGCTGGTAGCCACCGACATCACAAGCTTCATCTCCGGCCCAGTCGGCGGCGACGGCTACCAGTGGGTCCACGTCGACAACCTCGACTGCAACACCATGATCGACGCACCTCTCGTCAACGACAGAAGCGACGTGAGCGGCGACAAGCTCGGTGTGCGCATGGAGTCTGAAGAGGGCACCTGTGACCACGGTGGTAACTGGTGGGCTACGGAATGCCCTACTGAAGTCGAGCAGCACTTTTCAGACTTTCATCAGAGTATGTTCATTCAATTAAATACGTCGAGAGATGGTGGCTGATTAAGTCGCAGCTTGGTATGCGAACCGCGACAACCAGATGGTGGACCTCGGCGGCAGGGTGGTAGGATCGTGCCGAGTCGATATGACAAACGATATCCAGTGTGAAGTGACCGCTGGAATGGCCCGTTTCCAGACTCTACTTGAGTGCACACAGACTGCTTGAAGTATTTGAGCTTTATGTGCTCTAGAGGAAACATTGATACTAGCAACCAAGGGCAGTAAGAGACGCTGAACTTAGCGGGGCGGAGGTTCGTTTTTCATCTTCTGTATTTACTTTTGGAGCAGGTGGTTTTGCAGGTGGTGCACCAATTGCATATTCTATGAAGTGTCAATCAGTTATGTTTGCTGCATTATGCTTTTCCCTACAGTAAATCTGCTATGAAAACCGATTCATCACCGGTGAGATTTTATTGAGAAGGTAAACTGCAATTGTATCGTGTTCAAGGTTTACGAGCTGTAAGCTCAGAGCAAACCACCGGCACCGAGCTCTCTGGCATCATAGCAGCCTTCGGTAGATCTTTATTGTCGGTCACAATAGTTCCTCCCACATCATCATGGCTCTGGGTACCTGTTTCACAAAATTTTAGCCAGCGTGTGTACGATAGGTGGCTAATTATTGGGCCTATCTGACTTTTCGACAGCTTGGTGCCCTATCTTTACGTCTACCAGGCTTACAAACATATTCAACAGAATCTAGGCAACAATCAGCCTCCTATAGTACACAGATTGGCAGATATCTTTTGACAAAGGTACGCATAGTATTGCCTGTCGCTTATCTCCGTATTTCCGGCTTCGAATGATTCGAGCAATCGCACAGCACGCCCAATTAGGTGATTGATCCTTCACTCTAACGAGCAGCTAAGCCACGAAAGCTGACCAGTCCTACATCGGACCGATTGGCTTCAGTAAAGTATTCGAGCAACCTTCGAATACTAATACTGTTCTCATGTTTGGCTTTTGGTCTACGAACATTCATTCATTCCTTTCTCACAAAATTACTACGACATGGTTTTGCCTGGCCCACTAACATCCGATGCAACGCAGACAGAACCCCCAGCGCAAGACGACCTGCTTCCACAAGACATGACTTCTTGGATTCATACGAGCCAATCTCCACCTGGCATTCACGCAGTATCCTTGTTCAAGCCAGTCGTAATCCCAAGAGTCGACACCTCAAGCATTCTCGCAGCCAAGCTACCCTTCGTCCGAGCATACAGCGAAGCTCTCCAGCCATGCGGCATCGCCGAAGTGGAGTTTCTTGCATTCATCGATACCCTTGCTGTTTGCCAGGCGGCTCCAGTACCTTTGCAAGCACTGGATAAGGCAGGCATGGTCGTCGGGGCGGTGTCAGTCTTTATCTTCCTATCCCCTTGTGTTAATCAATTCTAATTAAAAGATGTGTAGACCACATCATTGGGCAATGGCCGCAAGCACTGGGATGAGTGTCGCCGCAGGCTTAGGTTCGGCTGCGACGACGATTGTTCGGACGCGGCGTTTCTTGGAGAAGGTCAACCGTGAATTCTTCGCTCCGAGGGGGTTAAAGGTGTCGATATGCAAGAATGACAAATTAATGACAAAGCTTCGGTGTGATCAGATCGAAGCGGAGCCAGCGTAAGTCCCATGAAGCAGCGCTGCTTCGAACACACATAGACTGACAGGGTGGAAGATCCGCACACCAAACTTCAAGTCTGACAGACCGCCGCATGCAAATGTTAGGACCTTATATCGCTCCGCTGACCTTCTCCGTCCCGCCCCCCTCGCAACAACGACGGTTCGTTGATGAAATGAGCGCCAAAATGATAGAGCGCAGAGTGAGAAAAAAGGAGAATGGGAAGAAGAAAAAGGCCGAGAAAAGACAGCGTAAACAAGGCAAGCAGGGCAATGATCCGATCAATGAGGGTGACACCTCCGACACAAATTCCGATTCTTCTTCCAGCACGTATAGCGCGAGTGGGGGGCCAAACCAAGATAAGAAGATCCAAAAGATCGAGACAAAGGCAGAGCGTAAAATGACGAAAGTAAACGCGGAGGACGCTGCCAAGATAGATAAGCATAGAGCAAAGAAGATTGAGAAAAGGGAGCAAGACCTCGAACGGCGGGCAGACAAAGACGCCAAGAAGGCAACAGAGAAGGTGCAGAAGGCTTCTGTCAAAAATGAGAGGCGAAGCGACAAACGAAGAAGAAAGGAAGAAGAGAATATTGCGAGCATGGAGTTCCTTGTTATCGAGAACTTGGGTTCTGAGTGAGCCCGAAAGCTCGAGTAAGCTGCAATGGCAGTAAACTGAGGGCCTATCATCGAGCTTAATATACCGTATGCTTTTATGGTGTAAACAGATCTCATGGTGACTCTGTTTCCATGAGCTTGGCGTCAAGCTGAGCTCTCTATTTCATGAACTTACTCGCCAAGCTCATCAATCCACCCATACCCCCACTCGATCCTCCCCCACTAGCACCACCACCGCCCATCTCGCTCTTCATATAGAACTTGAGCGCCATCTGTGCAGCCTGGGCAACAGCGTCCTGTTTCGTAGCCCCAGACTGCGTTTTGCCCTGGGCGCTCTGTTGGTCGAAAAGCTGCGCTGCCTGTCCCATCGCCAGCCCGATGAACTTGTTCTGTCCGCCAGAGCCTTGCTCCTGGGAGCCGCCCGTGAACATCTTCAACGCCTGCATAGCAGCAGCGGTACCAACACTACCGGAAGAGGCGGGCTCGTGGTCGTTTCCACCCCCGTACAACTTCTGATGCTGCTTAACGGCATCGTCTTCATCGACGTCTTCCTCCTGAAGTTTGGATTTCTTGCCTCCGAGCATGCCAAGTGCGGTACTGAAGAGGCTGGAGTCACCAGAGTCGCCGGCGTGAGATTGAGCGTGCTGAGCTGCGCCCGAAAAGTCGTCGGATGAATGGCCACCTCCGCCATACGAGGTGCCGCTTGAGTGTTGCTGACCGCCGTAGCCACCACCGCTTGAATGCTGCTGTTGGTCGCCATAGCCACCGCTTTCGTGGCGTCGCTCATCGCCGTAACCTCCTCCGCTGCCTCCACCTCCGTAGCCTTGGCTAGGGCGGTCGTTGTAGTCGTCGCGTCCGCCGCTACCGCCGTAGCTTTGGCTCGGACGGTCATTGTAGTCGTCTCGCCTATCTCCACCGCCGCCATAGCCCTGGCTGGGACGATCATTGTAATCACCTCCTCCTCCATGACGGCGCTCCTCGCCATAACCCCCACCGCCTCCTTCCTGTCGACGTTCTCCGTGCTCCTCCCGTCCGCCACCGTATCCCTCTCCGCGTCGTTCATCTCCATAGCCGCCTCCGCCGCTGCCGCTGCCGTAGTAATCGTTCGATGCCATTGTCGGTGTGCAAGTGCTATTGGAGTGTTAGTTAACTGTTATTTCCCTCAACGTGTTTAACGCCGATCCAAGGGATAGAGCAATGCTTTACAGGGCTCATGGAGGGGTTGATGGAGGGAAGGTCGGAGCTTGTAGCTTCGTTTGTATATGGACGCACCTATGCAATGACTTTCAAAATTGAGGCAAGTATATTTTCCAATACTTGAGTTGAACCAGGAAGTGTGGAAAGGAGAAGGAGTCGTACCTAGCAGCAGATCTATAGCTTGCAGCTTGGAGGGGCTGAGGTCAGTGAGGGGGCACTAGTGACGTATACTCATGCACGAGCGGACCCCACATTCCCTGCATCGATTGCATGATTGGCACGGGGATCGAGCAAACCATGGCATGATTCAGTGTGTTTCGCTGTCCAGTACGCTTGAAGCGTAATGGATTTGGTGTTCGGAAAAGTAGATCGGCCAGTGAGTTTGGCAGCCACGAACTTGAACTGAAGCGAAGTTAAAATCAGTCTAGCTAGCGTTTGCGGCGGAATGATGTTTTATTAAGTACTCTTGGAGGTTCTTGAAAAAGTGCTAATGGGAAGTAGCATAGGCGTAGGTATATTAGGACAGGCTTAGTATCTGTATTTAGAATTATCCCTAGTAGTATCCCTCAAGTCATGCTAGGCTTCTGTGTGGTTGTGGCTTCTCTGGGTTGATGTGACGGTAAATCTAGTCAAAGCAACGTCGCGTTCAGTCTGGCTGGACTGTGGGCCTATAAAAGTGTGCTGGAGCTGTCGGCATCGCATTTATTGTATGCTGATGGGATGAAGGTAAACTTGAACAGTAGATTGACTCCCAAGGAAAAGATGTAAGTACAGTATGTACAAAGGGCCATTGTGGCCTCGCACTAAACTTCTGTTTCCGCCTTTCATAACTCGCCCATCCTTGATTACCGATCGACCTCACCGAAGACCAAGTCCATGGTTCCGATAATTGCGACAGCATCTGCAAGCAAGTGACCTCTTGAAATCTGGTCCATGCAGGCCAGATGTGCGAACCCAGGTGCCCTGATCTTACACCTGTACGGCCTCTCGCTGCCGTCTGAAACAAGGAACACACCCATCTCGCCCTTTGGTGCCTCGATGGCACTGTAGGTCTCGCCAGGCGGAACGCTGTAGCCCTTGCTGAAGAGCAAGAAGTGGTGGATGAGTGCCTCCATATTCTCCTTCATGGCGGCGCGTGGTGGCGGGGCAATCTTGTAGTCCTCCACCTTGACGGGGCCAGGGGGCATGTCGTTCAGGCACTGCTGGATGATGCGGAGTGACTGTCGGAACTCTTCCATACGGCAGAGGTAACGGTCGTAGCAGTCGCCGTTGATGCCGACGGGCACGTCGAACTCGACCTTGTCGTATGCATCGTAGGGCTGCGACTTGCGGATATCAAAGGGTACTCCTGAGCCGCGGAGCATAGGGCCAGTGAAGGAGTAGTTGATGGCGTCTGCTGCTGAGACAACACCAACACCCTTGGTTCGGCCGATCCAGATACGGTTGTCCGTCAACATCTCCTCAGTTTCGTCGAGACGGTCACCGAACTGGGTCGCCCACTGGTAGATATCATCGAGGATGCCGATTGGCAGATCCTGCGAGACGCCACCAGGACGTACGTAGGCTGCGTGCATACGGGCACCAGAAACACGTTCGTAGAATTCCTACATGACACAATCAGCACTTAACGTATATATCAGGCGGGGTTAGGGACACCTACCATGAGCTTCTCACGCTCCTCGAAAGCCCACAAGAAAGGAGTCAAAGCACCGACATCCATAGCGTGCGTGGTGACGGACATGATGTGGTTCTTGACGCGGGTGATCTCTCCGAACAAAGTCCTGATGTACTTTGCCCTCTCAGGGACCTCAATGTTGAGGAGCTTCTCCACGGCCAGCGAGAAGCATTGCTCGTTGGTCATCATAGAGACGTAGTCCAGACGGTCAAAGTACGGCAGCGCTTGCAGATACGTCCGGTACTCGATCAGCTTCTCCGTGCCGCGGTGCAGCAGACCAACGTGGGGATCTGCACGCACGATCTCCTCGCCATTGAGCTCCAAAATCAATCGCAACACACCATGGGCAGCCGGATGCTGGGGACCGAAGTTAACCGTATAGTGTCTGATCTTCCTGTTGTCGGTGTGCGTGCCGTCGTCCGAAGGCGTGTTCATGGTGCCCTTGCTCTCGGGGTCAACCGGGTGCGCGAAGTCGGCATCGGTCTGGATTAGCTTCGCACTCTGCTCCTGCACGTCGGCGTAGTGGCGCGGGCGCGAAGTCGATAGGCAGCGGGCAAAGGGCTGGAGGCGCGGTGCGCTGTTGGCGACGGAGGGTCGGGGCGCCTGGCACAGCCGTTTGGCGGCGTGGCCGGCATAACGCGCCAGTGAGACGGGCATTGCGGGTGATCGAAGCCGGCGATGCCCTTTTGCGACGTCAATGGGAGGGCGGAGGGGAGGTTCGGGGGCGTGGCGTTGGAGGAGCTCTTCCCTTGAAGTGATGATGCAGAGGATTACCGAGCTTCCAATTGGCCTTAGCGGTAGTTTAGCCTTGGCGTATCTCGAAAAAAGTTCCTAGATACAGTCGCAAAGTTCAAGTTCCCCGCCGAAAACACAAAATTGCGCGCCACGACTGCAAATATGCCTGCACCAAGTGAGGACGTGCTGCTTGAGCGGAAGGTACTTACGCGATTCAGTCTTTACGCAAATTACATCACTAATTGTCCATACAGAAGCTCAAAGTGGGCGTTGAAACCGTGAGCAACCAACAATCGACTGACTTTCCAGGTCACTGGCCAGGCGAGAACCATGAATGGGACTTGGAGTACTTCAAGAATGTGCGTTTACTCTTCAGCTCTGTCACAACTACCGACATAGATCAAAAATATATACGTACCCGTACTTACAACACCAGAGCATGCGCATCGAATTTCACACCGAGCACGCCTCTAAGCTCGACCTCACCTTCTCCCTGATCGGCGTTGACACATCCCTGGCCAATGCCCTCCGCCGCATCCTCATCTCCGAAGTCCCCACCCTCGCCATCGAAGACGTCTTCATCTACCAAAACACCTCCATCATCCAAGACGAAGTCCTCGCCCACCGCCTGGGCTTGGTCCCCCTCCGCGGCAACCGCGACGCCATCCGCTGGTTAAAGTGGTACCAGAAGGATGAGGACGTGCCCGACCACGAGCCCAAGAGCGACGAGAACTGTGTGAGGTTGTCGTTGAACATGGAGTGTAGGTGGAAGGAGGGCGGGCTGGAGAGAGCGAAGCAGGGCGTCACGGATCCGGACGAGCTATATGAGAACCACAATGTGTATGCGCGGGACTTTTCGTTTGAGCCATGGGAGCGGCAGACGGAGAAATTTGGGGAGGACGGAGTACGCTCGTCGCATCCGGATATCCTGGTCGCGAAGATGCGCCCGGGACAGCATATCGAGCTCCTCATGCACGCGTACAAGGGCATCGGACAAGATCACGCCAAGTTCTCGCCCGTCGCGACGGCCACATATCGGTTGTTACCTACCATCGACATTCTCCGTCCTATCGTCGGCGCTGACGCGAAGAAATTCGCGCGCTGCTTTCCCAAAGGCGTCATCAAGCTCGACAAAGTCACTCCTGGAGACGAGTCGGCCCATCCCGAAGAATGCGCCGGCAAAGAAGGCGAGGCCAAAGCCGTCGTCGACAACCCGAGCATGGACACAGTGAGCAGAGAGTGTCTACGCCACCCTGAATTCGCGAACAAAGTTAAGCTGGGCCGGATGCGGGACCACTTCATCTTCAGGGTTGAGAGCACGGGGCAGTGGGATAGCGACGAGTTGTTCCTCGAGAGCATCCGGCTGTTGAAGGTCAAGGCGGCGCGCATAAAGAGAGGATTGTTAAAATCAGCGATGAACCTGGCATAATGGAGGAAGATGTTGTGGCTGGCGTTTTACAAGCATTGCAGGCGTTCAAGGGCATGGTTGACAGGATTGGAAAAGCGTTACGATATCACGGGGCGCATTGTGCGACGCAGACCAATGAAAAACGCAAGGTTTTATGTAATTTCATGTCTCCAAACGTGATACATCTGTATTTTTGCTAATCTCGACATTCTCATTGCGCTCCGCTCATCACAGAGGCCGACACAACAACTGAACTATTATAGGGCCAGATTCCCAAGTCTATGTGTCAAGACGTTGGGCAATCCTCTGCTGATAGTGACTCGCGCTATAATGCGTGATCGACGTCATGACCTAATATCGCATGGCCGTATTTACTGTTGTTGCAAGAGCCAGTTTAAGTTTTGGTGTCGGCAACTGTGCATGTTTTCGCATCTTCTCCGCCCAAAATGACGATCATCAATAATAGTACAGGTACACACAAGATTTGAATGTAGGCTAGCCCAGCAACGCGCACTAAGTTACAATTAAAGCTAAAAAGCAGGGGACACAAGTTGGAAAGTATACAATCTAGGAAACAGGGTATCGAGAGACCGGTTTTGGTAGGAAAAGAGAACGCCCTTATCGGATGTGTGCAACTGTGGATATGATGTCCAGAGTATGTCGTAACATTCCGCGATGAAATTGTCGTATGACAGCGCATCTAGGAGATTGTCTCAAAGCTCAGCAAGCGCCTCATTGCACAACCTCTGTATGCTAGATGGGTCGAACCTCGGACGGAAGCTTAGGTTCTTCCTAATCGAGCGCAGCTGATCCATCTCGCTTTCGCTGCAAGTCGACGAGTCGCGACTCTCGGGTCTTGAGCTCCAAGTCGAGGTACGCGAGCGTGCGAAGGAGCCACGCGGATTCGACGTATTAGACTTCAGCTGCTTGACGCCGTGCAAGTGGGCGTGCAGCATAGACAGAAGATCAAACAGCTCAGCCGAAAACTGCTCCTCGTGATATGCTCGAGAGGCGTTGATGGTCGTAATTGGGGCGGGTCGTGACTTCCTCCCGGTTCGGAAGGAAGAAGAACGTGAGGGTGTGTGATCAGCGTAGGGACTGTCGACTCGGTCCCAGTTTCTGTCTTCATCGTCGCTTGCAGCACTGGATGCTGCTGAACGGAATGAAAGACGAGAGATGCGTCGGAACTGAGTAGTTTGCATGTATTCAGACAAGGGTGAAGCCGGTGAGAGGAGTTCTTCCAAGTTGTACGGCTCGCTTGGTGTGAGAATGTCGATGGCAGCGCGGTAGTGCTTTTCAGCGAGCTCGAGTCCGGTAGAGCGGTGCTTCAATGTCGTTTCACGTGCCATTGCGTCGTGAACCAAAGCGAAGTAGAAATGCAGATAGACTCTGTGGACGGGATGGATCTAGCCGCTTGTCAGAAAATGCGCTATCGAATGAGATAGTGCCACATCAAAAGTCAGATTACCCTGAGTCGACTCAAAGTTGTGGTCTAGTACTGTCGTAGCAGTGGGATATGAATGGAGTATAAGAGAGTCATCATCAACATACCTCCTCATAATGACGTGACAGGTAGCGTTCGCACACATTGGCACATTGGACATAGCGCCGTGACTGGAAAAGCTGCTTGACTTCTGGAATGATTGCCTTCATGTGGCAGTACTGATTTTCGGGGACCATGGTGTTGTACTGAATCAGGTCATTAGCTTCGGATCAGTCATTGCGCATTTGATTCTGGCAACTTACCTAGAGAATTTCTCCAGTCGTGAAATGATCTCACTAGGCCACTGTAGGTATTATAATCGGTCGTGCGTTCGAATGTTGACTCGAAGCGTATTGCTCGGTCTTGACGTTCAATCGGAAGTTAGTGCAGGGAAAGTAGGTAAAGAAGAGAGTGAATGGCGGCAATGCAGGAGAGGCGTTGATAAGGTTCAACGAGCGGACAAGATGGACGAATGTAGGCGCGACAAGTCGAAGCAGACCGGCTGAAATTTCGAGAGGGGCGCTCTGCACTGTAAAATGCAGGTGTTGTTTCCTGCTCGTTGCCGGGTAAAGCGTGCAGGGATGCGAGCAAAGCGGCCAGTCGTGGATACCCCAGCAACACTTCACAGAAGTCGCGAAGAACAGAAAAGAGAAAACTGACGGGAAGGGACATTAAAAGGCCATGTTATAGCCTCAGGCGACCACCCTGCAGACATTCGTGTCAAGGCGGGGCTGTTGGGGACGGCAGGCGCAAACTGGTGGTTTGTTTCAACGGCCTGCACGCTCTTGCAGTGTTGAAACAGTCGCGAGCTGCTGCGACCTTCTACACTTGCCTGAAGCGGAACGTACTTGTCCGGTCTGGGATGTTCGCAGCCAGAACAGGCATGAAAAGGACTATCATCCGACTCACGATACTCAGCCGTGCCGCTTTGGTGTTTGTGGTTGTTGGAATTTATCCAGCGTTCATGGATGGTGCGGTGACCGCTCCGCCTACCAGCCACCAACGGCCCTTGAATGTGACGATGACTGCTCCTCTTGAAGGACCTGTCCGACTGATGACGCCCAGCGACGACAATTTCTTCATGTACCCAAGGGGGCGACTTACATGGGAGGAATCCACAAAGAAGATCTTCTGTCAGTCAACCTTGGGATCGGCCCCTGCCACGTGGAGCGTGAGTCGGGCGACGCAAAGCCTATCTTTGGCCTACGAATTCATGATCAGTTATTAGGCCCGATTTGTATCGTCTTTTCAAACCACAGCGGTTCGGTATATGCTCCGTCGTGTAAACACTCTCGCTAGCCCCTCTGGAGCACATAGACATCACGACTGCTCTATCTTCGACTGATGGTCGGACTGTATTGCTCAGTAGTAGGGCTCTAATGCGTCAGACACGTGTATGAAAGTGCGCACGAGTTTTGTGACTAAAAGAAAATCAGAGGCTGATTAGATGACAAAGGAGCATATGGACAAGCTTTATTCTACACAGCCTGGCTCAGGGTAGAGAGCCGACATTTTGGGTAAGTAGTCTAACATCACGAAATCCTCTAGCTGTCCTCTGAAGCGGCCGCACCAGTAATAATCTCGACAAGTTCGCCAGTAATGACGGCTTGACGGGTACGGTTGAAGAGAATCTGGAACTTGGTGATCATGTCACCGGCGTTCTTGGAGGCGTTCTGCGACGTATTAGTGTCCAGTTGATGTATCGGATTTATCTCAACTTACGTCCATAGCGTTTCGTCGGGCAGACTGCTCGCATGCGTGACCCTCGGCAAGAGCCCAGTAGAGCGAGTTGGCGAGAGCGTATTCGCGGAGGTTACCGAGAACTTCGTCGTCGATCTCGAATGCAGCGTAGTTGGCTGAGACCGGTCAGCATTGTGTCTCATGTCCTTGATTCGTCCTTTACTTACGCGACTGCTGGATGGCCTCCTCAGAGTAAGCCTCGATCGGGGTAGCCTCGTAGCTCTGAGCGTTGAGGAACTTGTTGTAGATGATCTTGATGGAGGCGTAGTCGGTCGGGAGAGTCGAGATCTGGTCGGCGATGGCGGAAGCGTCGGCGAAGGTAGGAACATCCTTTCCGATACCAGCGAAGCTGAGAACCATGTTCTTTCCGTTGGAACGGGATAACTGGGCCTTGCACTTCTCGCCGATGACAACGAGGTCGGCCTCGGGCTGCTCAAGGAGGAGCTTCCTGGTCGCCCTGGACATGCCAGAGTGGATACCACCGCAAAGACCCTTGTCGGAGCTGCAGACCACGATCAACGTCTTCTTGCCCTCGCCCTCCAGCGGCTTGGTTTCGGCCTGCTCGAACACGGTGTTGGACGTCTGGCCGTACTGGCGGGACTCGGTCATGGCCCTCTGGGCGCGGGTGAGCTTGGTGGACGCAACGATCTTCATCGTCTTGGTGATTTTCTCAATGTTGCGAATCGACTTCAGGCGACCCTCGATCTCGCGCAGGGTGGCATAGGTGGCCGCGGAGGGGGCATTGAGGGGCGGGCCTAGGGAATCACACGCGGGTCAGTTCCTGATGCAATTGGAGATGCAATGGCTGAGCGGGCGAAGGGGAGGTAGCTTGCGAGACAGAACTTCATACCGTGCGGCGGCGGCCAGGCCAGCCCTCAGAGCCGGACGCGCAGCTCGTGTAAGCATCATGGGCGCAAGGAGGAATTGAGATGGAGCGGAGATGGCAGACAGCCGGCGGGTCCGAGGTCGACTGCGTGGTGCTTGCGAGAGGTGCTGCTTGTGCTTCGGGGCTTGCAAGAGTTGCACCTGCCCTGCGCTTGCGCGCTAGCGGTAACATTACATAAGCACCTCTGAGCGCCGTCAGGCGGCGGTCACCACGGCGAAGGCAACTTGCAGGGCGACAATACGCAGTGCGGCCATTAGTGAATAGTGACATTGCTGTCACTCACCGCATGAACAATATGGTATGGATGGGTGAATCTGCCTCATTAAGAGGGCGCTATTCGCTGCGACGTGAGTGATTGTTACGGGAATATTACCGACTTAGCGGCTGCAGCAGGGACTCGATCGCGAGTCTCGTTCGTTCGTTGCCTTTGACACTTAAAGAACCCGCAGCCCTCATTCTTCCTCCAAACCTCGCCTTTTCCTTTCCACCATCGCCCGACCGCCGCACCTCACGCGGCGAACCGTGCTCTGCCTTGCACGCGTCCTTTCAGGTTTCTGCCTGCCTCTCAAGGCACGCCAATTCGCTACATCGCACGCTCCCGGGCCCTTGCCGGGCAAAGCTGAACTTCGTCGTTCTCGTTTTCCCAACGTGTACCGCGCACACCAACAGCGTCCATCCACCCTCACCATGTCCTCATCCGACGACGACGCGCCTATTGCGCGTGGCAGGGCTAATGGTGGTGAGTCCCTCTGCTTTCTACGCAAACCGTTTGTGTCACCTTTCACCTATAAGTCCGCACGGCACGCGACGCTTCTGTGTCCTTAGTCGCGCAGGGCTCGCCTCAATCAACCTTCATCACCGCCGCCTCTCAACACCATGGCCCGGACTGACGTATACTCAGTAGCAAAATCCGAAGACCACGTTCCTAAAGCGATCGACCAAAAATTGGACAAGGAGTTTCCCTCCAATGGTCATGTTGAACCCGGTGTGTCCGTACGCATGGGCCCGGTTGACGAGATGGATGTCGATGCGCCAGCCACGAACGGCAACGTCAACGGGAAGCGCAAAGCTCGCAATAGCATGCCGAACGGGAAATCCTACAAGGAGGAGAGCTCTGATGAGGATGACAAGCCTTTGGTTCGTTCTGCCGCTGGCTCTTTGTACTCTAGCATGCTGACCAGTCCCAGAACAAGCGTAGGCGGACATCTCAGCAAGTTGCGCAACCTAAAGACGAATCCGAGTCCGAACTCAGCGATGTGCCATTGGTCTCGCGCAAGCCTCCGAAGGCCACCCCCGCTCAGATTGGCGAGTCATCGGACTCAGACACTCCGTTGAATACGAAGTTGATCAAACAGAAAGAGAAGATCGAACAGGCTGCCTCAAAAGAAGCTAAGTCCATTCGCAATAAAGAGAAGGCTGCGCCTAAGCGCAATGTCAAAGAGGAGAGCGACAGCGACGACGAGCCCATCGTCAAGAAGAAGAAGCAGCCAGCGAAGCGCGCATCGAACGGCGTGAAGAAGGACGAGTCCGACTCCGATGCCCCTCTTGCAAAGAAGAAAGCCCCAGCAAAAGCTCCAGCAAAAGCTCCAGCAAAAGCCACAGCAAAGGCCACAGCAAAGAAGGTGAAAGCCGAACCCGCAACTCCTGCAAAGAAGGGCAAGGGCAAGGCTAAAGCTGAGACCAAGACTGAGCAGGACGAAGAGGCTCAGGATGAAGAGGATGAATACCGTTGGTGGGAAGACCCAACCAAGGGTGATGGCACGAAGAAGTGGACTACCTTGGAACACAACGGCGTTGTGTTCCCGCCCGAGTATCAACCTCTGCCGAAGCACGTCAAGCTTTTATACGACGGGAAACCAGTCACGCTCCACCCGGAAGCCGAGGAGGTTGCCACCTTCTTCGGTGGTATGCTGAACTCTACCCACAACGTTGAAAACCCCACCTTCGTCAAGAACTTCTTCGAGGATTTCTCTGTGATCTTGAAGAAGACTGGCCACGCGAAAGACAAAGACGGCAACACAGTCAAGATTACAAGTTTTGAGAAGTGCGACTTCAAGCCGATCTTCGATTGGTTCGAGTCTGAACGCGCGAAGAAGAAGGCTCTTTCTGCCGCCGAGAAGAAGGCGCTCAAGGCAGAGAAAGACGAGGCTGAAGCACCTTTCATGTACTGTATGTGGGATGGCCGCAAGCAGAAGGTCGGCAATTTTAGGGTCGAACCACCAAGTCTTTTCCGCGGTCGTGGTGAGCATCCCAAGACTGGACGCGTCAAGAAGCGAGTCATGCCGGAACAGATCACGATCAACATCGGAAAGGAGGCCAAGGTGCCGGAACCTCCAGCAGGCCATCGTTGGAAGGAAGTGAAACACGACCAAGAAGGCACTTGGTTGGCTATGTGGCAAGAGAACATCAACGGTGCTTACAAGTACGTCATGCTTGCAGCAAACTCCGACATCAAGGGCCAAAGCGACTACAAAAAGTTCGAAAAGGCACGAGAACTGAAGAAGCACATCGACCGGATTCGAAACGACTACAAGCGTGAGCTGAAAAGCGAGAAGATGGCAGACCGTCAGCGCGCCACGGCCATCTATCTCATCGATCAGTTCGCTCTTCGTGCGGGTAACGAGAAGGGTGAAGATGAAGCCGACACTGTTGGTTGCTGCTCCCTGAAGTACGAACATGTTACCCTGAAGCCGCCGAATACCGTCATCTTTGACTTCCTGGGTAAAGACAGTATCCGCTTCTACGACGAGGTCACTGTCGACGAACAGGTCTTCAAGAATTTAAAGATATTCAAGAAATCGCCCAAGACATCCGGGGATGATATCTTCGACAGGCTCACTACTTCGGCTCTTAACAAACATTTGACAGCCTACATGCCTGGCTTAACCGCCAAGGTCTTCCGTACCTACAACGCGTCCTGGACCATGGCTAGACTTTTGAAAGAGATGAAGGCTACGGGTACTATCCCGGAGAAGGTCAAGCAATACAACGATGCCAACCGTCAAGTCGCCATCCTTTGTAACCACAAGCGGACTGTGGCTGCCGGCCATGCAGGATCTATCGAAAAGATGCAAGACAAGATTAATGGTCTTCGGTATCAGCTCTGGAGGACCAAGCAGATGCTTATCGACATCGATCCTAAGCAGAAGAAGAAGAAGGGTGCCGACTACTTCGAGCGCCCTGAGGATCTCGATGACGAATGGGTTAAAAACCACATCGAGAAAGAGGTGGAAGAGAAGCGCACAAAGATCACAAAGAAGTTCGAAAAGGACAACGAGAAACTCAAGGCCAACGGCGAAAAGGAGATGAAGCCCAAGGAGCTCGATGAGCTCCTGAAGGAGGCTGACGACCTTGGCAAGAAGATGCGCAAGGAACACAAATCTGGGAAGGTCGAAGCAGAGGGCAAAGGTCCTACAGTCGATAAGATGGAGACGAACGTTGAGAAGCTTAACCAACGGATCGAGAACATGAAGATCCAGATGGAGGATAAGGAAGGTAACAAAGAGGTGGCATTGGGTACTTCTAAGATTGTGAGTCTCTTGAACGCTGAGATGGATAAGCGAAAGCTAACTTTGACTAGAACTACATTGATCCTCGACTCACGGTCGTCTTCTCGAAGAAGTTCAACGTTCCCATTGAGCGTTTCTTCTCAAAAACACTGCGCGAGAAGTTCGATTGGGCTATCAAGTCGGTTGATGAAGACTGGGATTTCTAAGCACGAGACGCCGTCCTCGAAGTCTGTTTCCGGTTCTACATTTTGCATATTAAGGGGGCATTTGAGTGGGCGTTGATCTTGAAGATGCCATTTAGTGGCTGAAGGAGGGTGCGATCTATTTCTTAGTCGAAAGGATTGTGTACGGATTGTGGTCGGTTTGCTTTGCGCATGGTTCCTGTCCGAGTTGAGTGGCGTCTGTTCTTCTCCAGCATAGCGGTCGGGGTTGCCCACTCAAGAGTCTAGTCCTGGCATACATATACGCCTCACCGTAGAGCTTGCTTTGTGCATGCATTGGTGGGGTCATTTATTGATAGACGCTGGAAAACACAAATCACAAATCCCAATCGCAGTGGCCGAAGGTGTAAGTCGGACTTCCTGGCAGTAGGACCTCTTCTGTGTGATCACCGATGATACTGCATAATATTATACCTCTAGGTGCTTATCATAGAGAGTTACCCCAGGGTATACTATTCTTAGTGCTATTGATGACGTTGATTCTAGCAAGAGAGGGTCTACTAGCAGTGCGAGTTGTTGGCTGGACCTCTATCTACCTGGGTAGTTAAAAGTCCGAGAATCGCAAAGTCCTGTCCCATTGGCCGGTGACGCGTACATGTGGATGGCAGAGAATGCATGCAGGTGCGGGACGGATGTTGCATTGGGCGGTGAGCTGCAGGCGAACCATGATAGAAGGTGGGAGCGGACTCCACACTGAGTGCAGCTCGCTTGGTCTGTTCTATTTTGTCAATTGGAGGGGCCTAAAAACGCTCGTGCATGGGGTCGTGGCTTCTCGGGTTTCTTAGAGCATCGAGACAATGTAGGAACGGGAGGCGAGGTGCGCTGGCAATAAGGCGACGGGCTGCGTTAGAAGCGGTCTGACCGCCTTATTGAGTTGTTGGATAGAGCAGAGGGGCTTGCATGGTTTTTGGGAGGAGGGGCCCTGCCAGCCAATCCAATGGTGATGTGCATGCAGCCTCATATGCCCGCCCGTTGATGTGCAATGCGATGCGCGCCCGATCTGGGCCTAGGATTGTCATGTGGTACAGAGATTGCAGTGGACGGCTGGCATGGCGTAGAGAGACATTGGGTGGCTGTGGGCACGCTCGCGTTGCAGATGTAAAGACCGTCTCAGAAGTGTTCATCTGCCTCGTCCCGCAAGCGGTCATGGGTGCAAGCACGATCGGGATCGCCCGGTGCGGGACGATGCTCGTGCGAGCAGTATTTGCTTTTGGAGTTCTTGACGAACCACAGAGATAGGCGCCGATGGTGGTCGGCAACGAGGCCGACGCATGTCTGGATGACCCAGGGACGGAAGCCCCGTCACCCCGCTAAGGGTGAACGTTCGTCATGCGTCGACGGCGGGAGCAAGCGCCGCCCTTGTGGAGCCAAGTCATGCTAGCCTGCCTCCAAGATTGGTACCGCAGCGGACACGGCCAGCAGCCGCCTTCGCGGTGCCTGGCGGGCAGACGTCCGCCCACCGTCTGCTGCCACGGCCGGGTTCATGCAGACGGAACATGCAAGAGCGATATCGACGAGAATGGACACTGAGCGCCACGGCGTGCATGCACCCAGTGCTCCACAGCCTGCCCGCCTGGGGCACGATCCAATGCGACTGCTCGTACGCTACCTGACGCCTCGGTTGATCAGCTAGAAGGCTGCTGCATGCCACTGACTCTGGAGCACATAAACTCGACGTCGCCACAAGAAGCCACCGAAATTGCCCAGGCTCCCCATTTTCTTGATCATCCTCCACCTCCTCGCATAGCTGCGTGAAACGGCCTCTCCAATCGCACGTTACGCGCCCCCTGCTCGTCCTGCGCTCTGACGGAATCGGAGAGACGGCCCTGACCCTGCACGTCGCAGCCTGAGCGACATCAACGTCCATCCTCCGCTCCGTGCAGACGCCTGCGATACCAGATACACACCAGCTCGCCCACACCCAATATCCAGTCGCACTCTTAATTCGAACCGCTTCCACCATTTCCTCTCGGTGCGCGCGCTCGTCATGGCTGTCGAAGAGGGGAGCAGCACCCCCGCCGCAAGCGACAAGCCCGCTGTTTTGATCATTGGTGGGCTGGGTGCGTCATGCGGGACACACTTGCGACGACAATCGCTAACCACGCAGAAGGCTACACTGGGCGCTTCCTCGCCAAATACATTCACGACAACAACCTCGCCTCGGACATACGCCTTGTCGACAAACATCTGCCAGAGCTCGCCTGGCTCGCCCCGGAATTCAAAGACGTGTGCACGAGGGAGCGCTTCGTGCAGGCCGATGCGTCGAGAGAACGTACGTCCGACATGATGCCAGCAGTCGCTGGTCTGGAGCATGCTGGGTAAGAAAAGCTGGCTGACTAGGCGCAGAGTCGTTTCCCCGCATATTCGACCGCCCAGATGGCAAAGAGTTCGACTTCGTCTTCAACTGTGGCGGCGAGACGCGCTTCTCCCAGGAGGATGAGGTATACAAGCTGAGGACATACGGCCTCTCCATGGCTATGGGCAAGGAAGCTGCCAGGCGCAAGGTCAAGTGCTTCGTCGAGAGCAGCACAGGCATGGTTTACAAGCCGGATGCGGTCCCGCGGAAAGAGACCGACAAGACGAAGCCGTGGTCAAAGCTCGCAAAGTGGAAACTGCAAGCCGAGGAAGACCTGGCCAAGGTCGAAGGCTTGAATCTGCTGGTATTCCGCATGGCGCACGTCTACGGTCCGTACACGAGCAAGTTCCTGGGGACGGCACTGTGCATGGCCCGCGTGTACCAACACTTGGGCAAGGAGATGAAGTGGCTGTGGAAAGAGGATCTGCGGACCAACACCGTGCACGTTGAGGACGTTGTCCGAGCACTTTGGACAGGCGCCGAGTGGTACATCAAGGCCCCGCGCACATCACCTCAGACCTTCAACATCGCCGATCACGGAAATACCTGTAAGTTGATCGCCCCGTGCATCCGCCCAATCAAACTATACAATTCTCCGAATATTGCAAAATCTCGCTTCCCCGAGCATTGACCTCCCCCCACCTTTCCGGCCGAGTTTGGCTAACAATTCGATAGCCCAAGGCCATATGGCGTCCCTAATGCACGACACTTTCAACATTGGGACCGGCTTCCACGGCGCGCTTATCTCTACCTTCGCGAGGATGAACCTGGATCATGTTGTCGACGAGGTTAACGACGAGACGTTGGATCCGTGGGCGGATCTGCAGAACAAGGCTGGCATTAGCAATTCGACTCCTTTGACTACGTTCATGGAGAAGGAGTTGCTCCATAATACGGATCTGAGTCTAGATGGCAGTGCGTTTGAGCGGGAAACGGGGTTCAAGTAAGTCATGCGAGAGGTGTGAAGGGTTTGTGAAGCGACTGACGTATTATGCAGATATCAGCATGAAAAGCTGACGAAGGCCGAGGTGGAGAAGGTGATAGAGAGCTACAAGGCGATGGGCTGGTGGCCGTAGTCCTCGGCTGCCCTTGCCGTATCCTCTTCGCCTTCTGATACCCCGTTTTCTACGCTTCACGATATCCCGATCCGCTCGACGTCTCGCTCGCTACGTCATGGTGGAGATTTTCATACTCTCTTAATACTCTGATGCGCTACAACACGGCCGCCCTTGCATTAGCGGAGTTTCTGGCTTGCATGCATTGTTTGGAGCGTTGATCAGAGCTGTCGTTATTCTTACTCATCTTCGCATTACATCACACCCTTTTGTACTAGATGAGCATCTTGTGGTTGACGTTCGGATTTGGAGTAGATGCTAGGTTTATATGCTTCAATGCAAGATTTGTCGATGAAATTGATGAGTGTAACCTTATATAATGCTTTTTTAGGAGTGACTCTAATTCGCGCGGTAGCCGCGTAGTGGTTGGTACGAGGCGTGTGTACAGATTAGTTATCATTTTGCAGGTATGCAGGAAAGATGTTCATCATATCTTTGCTTTGATCTTAGGTCATGTTCTGCATCGTACCTAGGAAGACGGGGCAGTGATGCTTCGGTTGCAAGCGGCAGCCGTGGTGAGATAGTCTCGCCGACGGCCCGGCGACGAGCCGATGGGAGGAACCTACATTCCGCGATAGCTACGGAAGTAACTCTTTAATCAGAATGGAGGATTTCGGTAAAAAGAACGAGAAAAAAGAAAATAGACATAGAAGAAGGTGGTGAAACTTGAATACCGTCTCTCGGTAGACTTACTATAACTTTTGTTACCTTGGGTGCATCGTCGCGCACATGGAAAACCCGCCTTCCCCATGGTTTCCGTTAGCGTAGATTGACATTGACGGGGAAGCACGGGGAATTCTTTCCCTCCTTCCCCACACAAACTTGCCAGAACCATGTCTACCAGCAAATCCGCTGCTATGTCTGCTCAGAGACTTCCTCGCCCTCCATGACCTCGCCGGACATCAACCCTCCAAAACCCACCCCACTGTCCCTCCCAGCTTCCGCGCTCAATGCGCCTACTGCTCTCCCGCACCACGACTCCGAACAATTTCTGCGAGGTGACAGACATCGTACAGCGCAAGAGTTGGAAGACATATGTTATGATCGGCCGTGGTCCACGCGAGACAGCTCCCTCCGCAGTCTAAGCAGGCGACCCTCCCAAACTAGCACCGCGACAGATACCTCGGGCCCTCGCACGCATCGGCGGCTCCACCTGCGGCGCCAGGCACCACGGTGGTATGATGGCATCGTCGGCTTCTGGACGAAGAACGTCAGTGTGGCGATTGAAGAGGGGAGCCATAGGGATCATTTGGGTGCGTCTTTCCCCGTTTCTACCCCTACACCAGTCGCTGATGGATTCAATTCTAGCCCTCGAGCGAACGTTCCTCGGCTACCTCCGCACCTCCCTCGCCCTCGCCATGACGGGTGTCATCACCGCACAGCTCTTCCGCCTACAACACTCCGTCTCTCCTGATCCGCGGATTGGCTACTACGTCCTAGGTGTACCGCTCGCAGCGAGTTTCATTTCGCTGGGGATGCTGGTGCTGATGATTGGCGCGTTGAGATTCTGGAGGCAGCAGAGTGCGATGGTAAGGGGGAAGGTGTATGCGGGTGGGTGGGAGATTGCTGTTATTATGGCGTCGAGTTTGGCCATTACAGCGGTCACGTTTGCGATGTTGGTATGGGTGGATGTGAATAAGGGATGAGGGAATGGGCGAGCAGAGAGTGTGATCCCCGGGGTTGCGGGCATTTTAGCGTTGCAGCGTTAGTCTCGTTCACATGCATAGGCTTTGTCCTGAGTAGAAAGTCAATGTCTCGAGTTCGTCTCCTGAAATTTTTGAGATCGTAAACACTCATTGTCACGGCATCTGACTTCTCTACAAAGTTCATCATTTCCTCGCCCCGGGTGTGTTTAGCACAAGAACATTTACCAGTCTTGTAATTCGTTGTTGAAGTAGAATTCTTGTAGAACCCCTAACGCCCGTTTCGACTATCATAGTAGACCAACCGCTGGCTTGCACTTCTTTCACATCAATCGTTTCACAACACCACTAAGATCTTTGCCTCTTCAAAATCACTCAAACAACGCAATCCAAGAAATGGAGCCCCCATCACCATCCGCGGGAACCCAGGCTTGGAATCTAGCATGTGCCACGCCCCACGCAAGCTAAACCACCAACGTTTAACAGCCACGATCCCCCCGCGCCGCTATCCGAGATGACGGGCCTAGTGTCACGACCAAGTCTTCGCCCATGGAAGATAAAAATGTCTAGGGCTGTCCTAACGATGTACTTCCTACCTCGTACTGCATGCTTCTACATGTTTTCCCATGGAAATGGTTGTAAGAGTATAGGCAGTGCAGCCACATTCCGGTGAACATTTCTGTCTGCAAACATTACCTAGACGGCTCCCCACTTCTGCTATCCTATGAAAGGCTGAAACGACACTAAACGTCATGAAATTCACCTTGGGGAATGCGATTGGTGCCATTTCTCGCAGCGTAACGACTTGCTTCTTTCAATTCATCTTCCGTTCGCTGAGAAGGCCGCTCAACCCACTGCCGCTTGATCCACCGTGGCAAATCTGTCAAGAATAGTAATACAAGCTGCAAGCGGAACGCTGACTGCCCAGATACCCTGATTCGGTTAGGAAAAGACACCATCTTCAGGTCTCGTCTGGGCTTCTTACCAAAACTTAGTGAGGCTTTTCGCGTCTGGGGTGAAAGATGGAATGGCTCTGACTCTGTTAGATGTATTGAGGCAAGTGTTTTGAGGGATTTAGCTCACAGAATTGCTGCACAGAGACTTGCTGGGAAAAAGACGGCGGCGAAGCTGGTTCAGAAGTTAGTCATAGTCAGAAGGGTCACGGAACTGACGAATGGATACTCCTCATCACCGTTATGCAGATATTTCCCGAGCACGAACGCAGTTTCCACTTACCCGGTCAATTTCTTCGAATTTTTCGTCTGCTCGTTCGCGAACTGTGTTGCTGTACCCGATGGCTTGAACGTATGTGTCGGTGGCACTTCCATGAGTTGTATTGCATAACCGTTCATCTTGAGAAGCCGATCCCATTCTTTCAGGTCTTGGTGAATTTTCTGCGAAGGGACAAAACGCGCGGTCTGTCTTGTTGCTGGTTGACTCAATGCCAATTTTTTCAGTAAGCTTTAACTCTTCGCGTAGTTTCGCGGCTCCCACGGTAGAAACTCACCATTTGCTCGGTGTTTTCAATGTCTTCAGTCTGCAAGTCCTTCAGTGCGCGAAGTCGGTGAACAACGGTCCGTTGAGTAACGCATACTGGCCTCTCATGCTCACCTGTGGCAGGGTTTATCATTTTGAATGGCAGTGGCTATTCATATTAGAGGACTGATTGTCACCTGGGGTCCTCGGTCAATGGAATCTGAAGGTTGCCCAGAATGTTTGAGACGTGTGACGTTCGAGAATAAACGGTCTGCAGATAAGGGTTTGGCGTATCCTTGAGGAAAAGATGTCATGGTATCTCTCGAGTGGACGTCATGACCGTAGGGTACTTCTAACACTGCTATACGTCCTCGCTGCCGTTGTTCACCCGCTTTGAATTCAAGTGGTGTAAGAAAGGTGATCGCACATAGTGGTTTCGCCTCCATCTCGCGACGACGGTGCCGTGTTTCTGCGCCCCTTGTCGCTAATCATCTCCAGAGCCTCACCAATATAGACACAGTCCGCATCTCTAGTCCTCCGATCTCGTACGCCAGCGCAGCTCTGTAGTCCTGGTGCTAGATACTGATAACAATGTCTACTCGAAGTGTGGCGCAGGTGACGTTTATTGAGAAAGTTTGCTAACAACGATTTCCCATTTGCAATGTCAAACCAAACAAAGAGCGCGTTGGAAACGGGTCCGCAGCATCAATCATTGATACTGTAAGTCATTCGCTAGACTCCTGTGAGACCTAGGGTGAGGCCATGAAATATTATTGGGAAGTCGAGCGCAAGAAAAGACCACGCTGTGTTAGCCTTTGCTCGCAGACACTGCCTTAGACATCACTCACAAGTGTAGCTCATTGAAGCATGTACTACGTGATCATATACGTGGGATTATTTTCATTTTGACAGGAGAGTTTGATATTGGGAGGAATTGACGCTGAGTAGTTCACTTTGTTTGCGCCGGTCACCCCCATTCGTTCAACAGTGATCGAAACGCACGGCGTAAGATATGACCGCGCACAGAGAGTCAGCTTCAAATAGTCATTCAATCGTGAGAGCTACTAGCACACCACTGGACACTCTTCCACACCAAGAATGGAGCCTCGGCAACCCCTCACTAGACTACCCCTCCATCCAATCCCCACTTATCTCCGTGACACGCCGCATCTACGACGTGCCGGTCACCTCGCCCGCAAAAAGGGTGGGCTTCTCGTTTGAGAAGTTTGGAATGTCGCCAAAGACCTCGTCCTTCTCGGGTCCAGCGCCTGCCTTCTTGTACGAGTCCATGCTATCGAATTCGAGCACGCAGCCTACGCTGTAGGGCGATTCGGGGTCCTCGTACCTGAACAGCGCATCAGAATTTGTAGATGTAGTGGGATTGATTGTGCAGTTGTGATAGGCAAATGGAGCGCTTACTGCGTCACGGTGTACTTGGTGAGGCCGTATTGTGTCCAGTGTTTTTTGACGAGCGGCATGTGTGTCGCGAGGTAGTACTTCATGTCGAAGGTCGCTTTCCGTGGGTACATGACAAAGACGTGGACGGGGGCCATTTTGGAAGAGGTTGTGAAGAGCTGGAGGAATTAGCCTGATCCGTCACACGTGGAGGGAGGATGCGCTGACTGTGAAATTGTTGGACCTGAGTTCAGATTGCAACTTGCTCGTGTGTATTGGAGTGGTGTTGCGAGTGCTTGAGGTGGAGGTAGGCTGGTTTTAAGCTGTCGGATGCATGTGGAGACTGGACCCACGGTAGTCGGTCCCGCCCATTCCCCTCACTGATCCGTACTTCCGTGGTTTGGTGTATAGTATGGCAAAACGAGCGTTTCGTTCAGCACGCTAGCTTGTGTACGCTGAGAATGATCTGTTTTCGTTTCTTTACAACGGAGTTAACCTCTTCTGCAGGATTTTGAAACTGACCCACGACGATTAGCAGCACGATGACAAACTCCGCAACTCCATTTGGGAATAACGAATTTCCACATTCAGCAAAACCAAAATCTTCATGCTGTTATATCCTATACCCGCGCCGAAATCGATAACTAACCTTAATCCTCTAAAAACAACGTAGGTATCTCGGTCCAAAAGGTCACACGTCCGGACACATGCAGTACCATTTTCCACCTTGTCGTCATACAACCTCGCTCAAGCGAGTCGGAGTCTCATATGACCGGGCGTCCTCTAAGCCTGGGGTCGACCATGCTCTCCTTCAACACCACCGTCGCTTCTCCTCCTGGTTTGACACCTGTTTGGGGAAATCGTACGAAGGGGACAGGAACGTCGTCCTTTAAGCCCGCAATGCGTACGTGGCCCCACATGCGACCAGCTACTTTAACAGTAGCTTGTGGCAGTTTTGCCCATATGTAGCCCATGCTCGCCATACCCTCAAGCCGTAGTCCTACAACAATGTGTTCCTCTTGCGCGATGGTTGTGATCGGTCGGGCTGATGCCATTTGATGAGTCTCCTTGACCGCGATACTCTTCCGGCATGCTACTGTGGCTTCCAGAATAAGAATGGATGGGGCTTTTGCTGCAGTCCGCTTAGGCACGATAGTGTTTGTCAGTCGGCCATCTTCTTCGTGCGTAAGATCGGTAAGACGGTATCGAAGTGCGGGATCGAGGCCGACAAAGGCGTCGGGGAGTTGACTTCCTTCAATGTTACAAGAGAGCCCGGACGCAAAGAATAGCTGAAGAGCAGGGAAGAAAGTGTTCATCGTCCAGTGTACTATGTCTAGAGTTGCTTGTAAGTATTCACATGAGAGCGAGAATCTTTATTTGGACCTACGTTCGTTGACAACCATGCTCGCTGGGCACGTCTTGCCATATTCAGGGCTCACTTTCCACGTCACCGCGTTCGATATTCCGTCAAGAATGTCTACCGTTGTAGACAAGCTGCCGTGCTGGTCGTCGTCTTTCTTCAAGCGCTCGGCGGCCTCGTCTTGGTCGCCATAAGCCTGTAATCCTCGCCGCGTGAGTTCGTGGTGCAAATCGATTTTCGCGCATTGATAGTAGTCCATTCGAGGTCGAGGTGTGTGTTTACAGATTGCACAGCAATAGGATATTTCGTTCGAGGTTGAGCTGAGTTGAGCGGGAATTGAAGAGTATAGGTGCCTAGAGTTTCGGATAATCGAGTTGGCTAACAATTTGCTTCACGCGGGCGCGCAACGCCATGGTGAATCAAATCTCTTTTGCAAATGTGGCCTATTCGAGCGATCAACTAGAAAACAGATCGCTCTAGCGGTTGAAGAGACCCTAAGCCATCGAACTTGAAATGCGCGTCGAGCAGCAAGCAGAGTGCCTTATGTGGTGTGAGGGTTCATGCTCTCTATTTGGAAACGGACGATTCAGAATCATCATGACAGTTGAGGCCGAGGTACCTGTCGTACACGATGTGGAAATATTGGTCAGTGGGTATTCTTGCTCATCGTGTTATGCAAAGTCTTGTGCTATAGAGAAGGTGCATGTTGCGGCTAAGGATAAGAGTACCGCGCGGCTAAGGACGGTGAAAAACATTGTTTTATACGTGGCGCTCAGCTTGAAAAAGCTTGCGGGTTGCTCTTCAATTCAAACTTACATCGCAGCCATTCTATATGTCGTGGCGTCGTGGCGTTGATGACTGCAGAACTTTGAACACAACATGACCCACCTGAACGGTCCAGCCAATAGAATATTCCTCACCTGTCGCAATTCTGGAGCTGCTACGATGCACTCGTGGCACGTCAACCGAAAGTCGGGTACAATCTCACTAAGCGTGACGTAACTAGCCGCCTATGTATGTTGCAGCTTCAAAATTCCATCCTTCCGAACATCTGCACCTCACAACCGCCCAGTCTCGAAGTCAGCCTCCTCGCACGGGCCGGTACGTCCAATACTCTGCTCACCCGCTACAACCGCAGAACTCCTACCCAGCCCACGCGCTCTACGCCCGTTACGTCAATCGCCCCCTAACCCTCCAGCTGCCGGCCCAAAATCTTACTCACATCTTACACATCCCAGCCTTGCGCTACGCCACGTCCATCCCTGACCGCCACGCAATTCCACTCAACCCAATCGCAGACTTAACGGGCCAACGTCTACAAGCCACCCGCCGCCAGGCCCACCCATCAACTCAGCTTGGCCCCCACACTACACCCTACACCCCCAATCACGCGCTGCTCTCGGTCCACCGGTTCCAGCCCACACAGGCGGAATCCCAGAACCGCTAGTCTATCGCTCCACGACGCACAGCACGCGCAAGTCCAGCAAGCCAGTCCAATCCAGCGCATCGTATCCGGTTCCTCCCGGCAGGCCGCCCTACCTTCTAGACTTCCTTGAATTCGAGATATCGAACGCACCACAAAGATGTCATCAGGCCAGCAGCAGACGCAGAAGCAAACATCCACAATCCTCCGCAAAGGCGCGCACGCGTTCTGTACCGCGCTGCTCTCCCCGCCTGCCCCTCCGGAACTCCTCTCCACGTACTTCACCTCATCGCCCAGGATCACCGAGCACGGACCCGCTTGGGCCCAAGCCCGGCTGCCGTTCCTGGGCAAAACGTTCAAGGGGCGTGAGGGCTGTCTGGAATATTTCACTTTGCTCGGCGAGGTGCTCGAGATGCAGTTGCCCGAGGATGCGATTCCGGGGCCTGAGGGGTTCATTGTGGATGCGGAGGCGGGCATGGTGAGTGTGGTGGGGAAGGGTCATTTCAAAAGTAGGAAAACAGGAAAGGGATGGGATGAGCAGTTTATCTATAGGCTGAGCGACTTCGATGCGGAGGGGAGGGTTGGGCATTGGGAAATTTGGGCAGATCCGCTGAGTGCGTGGGATGCGGTTGGAGCGTGAAGCGGATTATGTCTGACTACCGAAGGAACTGGAGTAGGAGATGTGAGGCAGTAAATTATGCCAGTATATGATTTAGCGTAGCTCTCTATCAGAAGTAGAAGTAGGCTCGCAGAACTAAAAGTATAGTAAATATTTCAACGAAAAGATTCGCCGTAAAACCGTCCGCAGGTGTCCCTGGGTAAAAAGCGAAAAGAGAGCGGAGTACTGGGGGTTATGTTCCTCTCGCTGTGGTAATCCCCAAAACGCCAAAAATGGTATCCATGAATGCCGCGGTCATATCGTCCCTATGCCGTAATCCGTAGTCGTAATAGTCCCAGCCAAAGAAATCAGTAGTCGCTGTAATGCAATGAAAAATAATACATCGTCTCGAAGTCCCGCCACAATCGACTCCTTGTTTTGGTTCGCTTCTTCACTCCATTGCTGTGAACAAGCATACCTGTCGCGCCATTTGGCTTGCCAGTAGGAGTTCTCGAAACACCTGATCCACGCCGCCCGCGAAATGAATCGTATAGCTCTCGACTTTGCCTTTCCGCTTCTTCTCGCCCCAAACTAGCTTTGTTGGTGCTGCATCATCAACCTTCTTTCCGCTCCGGCTGCCGGGCTTGACGAAATCCTTTTTGTACTCGTAAAGCGTCTCGGGCATCACATCGTCGTGCGGGTCACCTGGCTTCCACACGAACTTTCGACCACCATACGTGAACCTCCGAGGTGACCACGGGATCTTGTTCTGCCTGTCGGGGTATTCCTTGATAGGTGTGGCGAACGGGCCTCGGAGGTGGATGCATCGCGACTTGTAGGCGGCTTTGGCGTCGAGCTTGTCGATGCCCGATAGCAAGACATCAATGCAGGACTGCGGGTACTCGGCGACACGGAAGAAGCTGGCTGAAGTGACCTGGTTGTCACCGCGGTGTGACTCGGCTTCCAATCTATACAGTGAATACCTGTCGGAGAATTCTCGTGCCGTGTAGATGAACTTGCGGGAGGCCGAGGTGGTCCATTCGCGGGTCCGGTGGAGGTGGTAGGTGACGGGCGGCTGTGAGGGGTCGAGCATGGTATAGAAGGGGATATCCGGCGAGGGCATCTCCTCGTAGAGTGGTGTGTAGGACATGGGCGAGTAGTTGGCCTGCCATGTGAGGAGGTTGTGCACCTAGGATGGCGTTAGCGACGGGCCGTTGGCGACTCCACCACACCAAGATCAACAAAGACCCGCACTAAAACGTACCGACGACAAGCTGCCGCTCTCCTCGTCCAGGTCGCCATTCGCACCCCAGTGGTTGGGCGCCGGCACAAAGACGCACTCGTTGCCGTCCTCGTCCTCGAAGCCGCTGCCGCTCTCCAGGTGCGGCTTGAGCGCCCGTTGCCGCTCGCGGTGGAACATGATCTGGGTGCGCGCGATGCGGCGGTACTCGTCCGAGTTCTCGTCGGGGGATATGCTGACCAGCGAGTGCTCGATCTCCTGCTCCAGGGCGAGGGCGGCGGCTTCGTGCTGCATGTAGGACGTGTCGTAGAGCTGTGCGTGCTCGCTCTCAAAGGCAGAGCTTCGCAGCATCTCCATGTGCTCGCGAGTCATGACCTCCATCTTGCCCATCATCGCGGGCATCTGGGAGCGAGTGACAGGGCGAGTTGTGCGTGTGATGGATAGCGGGTGCGAAGTGTAGGAGAGGAAGCGGTGCCGGCAGGCAGGCATAGGCAGCGTCGGGCACAGGTGTCAGAGCAAAGTGCAGGCGCGCAGCTTACATGGCACTCAAGGGTGCATGAGGGCAGCAGGACAGGATAACTGGGCTGAAGTCAGCTACAGGCAGCCCATGCCGCCCGCCAGTGCAGCAAAGGGGACTAGGGACGACTCCATGTCCGTAATCAACGGATCCCTGCGCCGTGTCCCCAGGCGACCTGATGGCGGGCGCCGCCCCAGCGCCGCTATGCCCCCCACGGCAGCTGTAGATTGTATCAATGTAAGTGTCCACGCGCGCAACAATCTATCCAGCGCGGAATGCTGCTATGCTTAGCCATCCAATATGCCTCCGCGACGTGTGGGTTGTTCCGGCGACCAGTTTCGGTCCAGCATGAACAACGAACAACGCGCGCCCAATCGCGCATACGCGGTGCATCTTCGCATAACACTCCATTTGCGAGCCCAGTCACGTGCAGAACGAGCTCGTAACGGCAGGTAGGCCGGCTGGCAGATGGCAGACAATGACGAATCTCACGCTGGGCAGCCCCCATGGTTCGTTGAACGTTGCCCACGCCGCCCCAGGCTTCAAGGCGCCTATGCACCCCCCATGCAGTCATCGGACTCCGACTCGCCACAAGCACCACTCGCTGCTCTGCCCACGACGCTCAGTCCTCTTGCTGTCCCCAGAATGTGCCCGTACCTTACTTGTCCGATTAGCTTCTTCGAGAAGAACCTGAAACCTTCCATACGAGCGAGAAAAATCGCCTGCGTGCCCCGATGCAGCAACAATTCTCCTTCCCCGACGGCCCCCATCGACCAGCATCAACGAATGTGGTGATTCGGAAGTTGATACCCCGCGAGGGAACCAGCAAGGGTTCGCTAGAAGGCTGCCGCGCCGGCTCCTCCTGATCCGAGCGTGTGGTGCCTCGACGGAGAGGGCTGCGTTGATAGGCACAGAACCATGGTCCCAGTGCAAACGTCCGCTAGCTACGCATCTGACTTGCACCGGTATCCTCGTCGTGGCCCGTAGCCTTGCGGAGCCATTCTCCTTTGGTCCAGGCGACGGGCACTGTCTCGGAGAGGAAACCGCAAACACGACTCAGGGCCCAGGGGCGAGCCTTGTGACAGGTGTGACGGTTCTTGAGGCTGCATGGCCCAGCACAAACGCGTCACTGCCAGGCATCCCAATACTGTGCCATCGACGGCGATATTTACCCGTCTTGAAACCCTCGCTGATCTCTCTGGCACTTGTTGATGGCTCGTCTTGTCTCTTGAGCCTCCAGAACATATGCCCGACTTAGCATCTCCATCAGAGTCGGACCCATCTCCGCTCGTTTGTTCCCTCGTCCCTCCTCGGCAGCGCGTCTGGACCCCTTGCATCGCCAACAGCCCGAGGACGCGGCACGACGTGTGCGGCACATGGTCACGATGCAAGAGCTAGCTGTTCGAGGGGGTTGCAGTTCCACAACAGACGGGAAGTCCTCCGTCCTCGCGATGCCTTCTTTATCTGGTCATTGTCCGCGTGTTACTTACACACGTCTTTGTTATGATGAAGCGTACGGTATCGACGTGCTCGTCGACTGTCAAAGGCAACCTACGCCGAACCAATCCAGCTGGACATATAGCCAAGGGCCAGTCATACTGCCACCGGGCCGGACGCGCCCAGCCCAGTGAAATGATCGCGGCTGCATACATCGCCGCCGCCCTGCCTTGCCGACAGTTCGTGACACTCGTATTGCGGGCATAGCCGAAGACTCGCGCTGAGGCTGGCGAGATCGCATCGAACGCCACTAAGTAGGAAAGCGCCACTCAGTCGACATGCTAAACGCTCGCTGCCTCCGATTGTTGCAACCGAGCTTCGTTGCGAGATTGTTTTTCTTATTGACGGCAGCAGCCGAAGACTAGAATTGAAGCATATCTCACAAAGGGCAAGTGCGATCGCGTACGCTAGCCCACATGTGGAAAGTGCTACAACGCACATTCCAGATTCTCATGGGCGCAGGTACATGTTCAGCATCTCTCGCGGAAGACGGGAACGTCCATTTCTTCTCTTATTCGTGTCGTTTGCACGTGTAGATCTAGATCTGTGAAGATCTGTATGCGCACTCGCTTCCGGCCGTGTCAATATCAACCTCGCCCAGGATCCATGGATCTTAGATTGTCACGAGCTGCTCATGGCTGCACGCCATTTAGAGTACACTCTTGGATAATCATCACAAGACAGACAGACTCAGTATGTGGAAGTTGACAAGATGTGGAATACATAACTCTGTTTATAACAACGAAATCTTCCGATGCCCCCCGCCTGCTAAATGTGTACGGCAATGGAGATATGTCGACGAAAGCGCGTTGAATTTTCGCCAAGACCGATCTCAGTCAGTTGTGGCCACCAAGAAACGCAAGTCTGAAACACCGAATATTCTCGTCCATAAGCTCCAGTACATCTTAGTACATCTTAGTACACGGGCGTAGCGTCCACACCTCCCAGTACACGACCTTTTTCACCGCATGGCGCTGTCCGGGTACGATTCGAACTGCCCAAGGTTTCGCCATCTGCTCGGAACGCTTCTACCCTAGTGAAGTTCTGAGAGCGAAGGGCTTAGTGCAGTTGATCTGAGATAGTTGTCCTAAAGTGATCGGCTTATCCGGATGAATGGAAACCCGATGTTTCCAATGGTGGAGTAATTCTGGGATTTCAAAGTAAGAATGTAGACATTTATGCCCCAGACAAAATATTCGTGGGGCAACGCAGGCGTAAGTAGTCTTTGACCTGCTTGAGAAACTCCACCCTGACTTCGAAGCCCGAGGCTTACGCCATCGCGGTGACGAAGTCTTGCAGCTGATGTCAGTGGGTGCTATAGCGTGGAATATTCGGTGTGCTATGAATTTGCAAACACTTGGTCCAGACGATCCATGACCGAAGAGGGTCTACATACATCTAGCAAGCCACACCATTGTGATCACCAACTCTTGTTGTAGTGTAGTGAAAGTGCGTACTTAGAAATCCAATTGTTCGCACTCTTTATATCCTTCTATCGAAACCTTACAAACGTCCCTTGTTATGGCTTTAGGTACCTCTTTTTACACGATTTCAGACGATCTGTGTACTATAGCAGGCAGATTAATGTTGGTCAGATTCTGTTGAAATCGTTCTTCTGGGCCTGGTCGATGTTTAATTAGGGCAAATCTGTCGAACTTCAAATGGGCCAAAAATAAGTCTCTTATGGTTCATAGGTTGGCTGAAAGTGTGCGATATTGTGTGACTAAACGTTACCAAAGCCATGATAAAGTGGGGGAGGAACTTTTGTAATCAACTATACTGTACGGAAGAAATTCAGATTGAGTCAAGGACATATCGTCCTTGAAAGGCGCAACTTCTTTATAGAGCAGGTGAACTTCATCATTTTGTAGGTATAGTGAGAATCGTATCCACACTGACGAAGCAAGAACGTCTCCCAAACAACCTCTGACCACCCCTTGCACCGTGTCTTATGAAGTAATTGCCATCCGTTCACCGAAGCCTCATGCTTTCGCCCTCGCAACGACGTAGCTCGACGCGGCCGATGCATACTTGCTTACAACCTGAGTGTGCGGGGTCAAGCTGCTTCCACTGTCGCAGAACAAGTCGTTTGAGTCACAAATGTCGTCGAGGCGGCTCGCATACGTATCCAACGTCGCAGTGTTAGCTCTCTTGTAAATACCGCTTTTGGTGCTCGTTCCTGCGTTGTAAGACTTGCCCGCGACGTGGGCTGGAGAAGCGAAGGTCACGGCAGCGACAATGTTCTTGGTGTACGTGGTCGACAAGGCGGCCTCGGTGGAGAAGCTCGCGCCGCCGAGGGCGTCACCGACGACCTGGCCGCCCTGGGAGTAGCCGAGCAGAACGATCTTGGAGGAAGGGCATGATGTGGCGTAGGCGGTGACGGCCTTCTTGAGGTTTACGACGCCGGTGTTTTCGGAGGACTCGTAGTTGTCTAGTGTGGCGGGATAGCTGAGACCGACTGAGACGGAGCCTGGGAGGGCGTTCTTGATCAAGGTGGAGACTGTTGAGAGGGATCCTTCGCCGGCGGCTTGGGTAGAGCCGCGGGCTGATATGATGTATACGGCGTTGCCACTGACGCAGGTCGTTTGGCGGCTGAACAGCGAGTGCCAGGTAGGAGCAGCAGAAGCGAGGGTTGCGAGCCCCAGGGTAAGAAGGCTTGAAGTGTACATGACGAAGTGAATGGGAGTCCAAGATTCGGAACGAGAGACTGATTTGCTGCTACTACTGCTGTTGCTGTCGAGATCTCCACCAGTGGGATTCGGGGTGTCTTATAGTCGTACCTTCATGTTGACTTCACCGGACCTTGAACCATAATCGACTTAGCTATAACAATCGCGACTGCCATGTGCTACCATACGTTGTTTCTGTTCGTGGTAGTAACACAACACACTCGGGCTTAGGGCTGAATGAGGAAGGCAGAAATGGTATACCTCACGAACCGCACCGTTCGCCGCGCCTGCAGTCTTCCGTACTGCAGGTGTTGTGTCGTCTAAATTGCTATTGCTACGAACCGCGGCATTTCGATTACACTATGCGGAGGTTGTCGCCCGTTCCAGGCTACGTGCCGGCGGGGTCGATCAAGGAGATCGCGCCGGCTGATCACAACGTGGGGTCAACTGGCTGAGGGGAAGCATCCCGGCCAGCTCAACTTCCTAATGCGCATTTCAAAACCTTGCTTCGTCCTTTTTTGTCTGATTGCTCCGTGTGTACGGCTTCCTCGTCGCCATAATTTCCATAAGCGTATAAGCAATCCTTGTGTTGAAATGAGGGAAACCCAAGTCGGCCCGAGACATCTACAAGTTCTGCCTGCCTTAAGGACTTCCATAAAAGAGCTGTTGCGCACTAGACTTTGTATAACCTGATAAAGAATTTGGACGGTGGGAGTGAGGGAATTGTGTCGCTGCTTAAACACTCGTGGACAGAGACTCTTTTCTATCAAGACATATGTCGTGCAAGGAAGGCACTACAGGCAGGCGTGACCGAACAGACATTATACATGTATGCTCCCAAATAGAGAGGACAATAAGTAACAGGGGAAATTTCAATACAAGAAAGGTGCAAACAAATGATGTGCCATACCCAAAACGCGCCCTGGGCCCACAGTACGCGCTGTGAAAACTCCAGACGCGGGTATCACTCCTCCACTCAATGCTGGAAATGCCGAGATGAGAAATGAAAGAAAAGAGAGGAAAGGGGAGAGACATCATGTACTTCGTAATGGTTTCCGACCGTAGACCACCGTGCCGGGGAGGTACGCGTGAACTTTGTAGTTCTTGAGCTCTTGCCGCAGTTGCGCGAGGAAGAGCTGGGCGCGGGCCACAGACCACTGTCTTCGTTAGTAAAAGTTACTGTAAGACGATCAAAACCACTCACGCCGCCGATCTGTGTAAGGAGGCGAAGCATGAAGCTCTCGACGCCTTCGTGAAGCCGCAGCTGGTTCCAGCGACCGATGTCTTTCAGCTTCCTGTCCTCAGGCCATCCGTTCATGGGCCACTTGTAGGTGACTTCGGTAACATCGACGAAACCAGCTTTCTCCAGTCTTTCCTTTGCTTCCTCCCAGATGGTGAAGCCCTTGCCCCACTTCTCGCTCATCTCAACAACTGTCCTTCCCCAGGTGTGGAAAAAGTGGTCTTCGCCCATGGTGCCATCGTCGCATCGCGGATGTACGCCGTGCTCGACGATTTCTATCCAGCCACCAGGCGCGATGTGATCGTATGCTTGCGCGAAGAAGAAGTCCCAGTCAGGAACGCAACCAAAGAGTTCGCGTACGTGGACGAAGTCGAAGTGGTCTGGAGGGAATGTCCATTCGAGCGTTACGTCGTCGATCTCAAACATGCAGTTCGGCGGAACCCATTCGGGTTGTATGGGAGAGAGGTCTGTGCCGATGACGGTCGCGGAGGGGTATTGATCTGCTTGAATCAGTACGTGCGCCTAGATGAAGTCGTGCGAGACAGACCAGCCATGTCAATGGCCCAAATGCCAGTGCCTGTCCCTGCATCTAGGATGCGCTGCGGGTCGGATATGGGCGCGAGATGCAGTTTCTTGTCCAGCGTCAAGAGATACATGTGGTGCGCAAAGTCAAGGATCTCCTTGGCTATCTCGTCGTTGGGACCCCAGTATGCGCCGTCGCGGTAGGCGTGATATTGTCTCCCGTTTTCGGTGCGATAGTGCATTATCGACGAGGCCAATGTATCGGTCTCGTCACCGATCAGGCTCTCACTGTCGAAACCCGAGTCAGACACGTACTCGTCTGGCCCTTCGTCTTCTTCAGCATCATGGTCGTCGTGCGCGTGCGCCGGAGCAGCAGCATCATCGTGGAAGACTGGGGGCGGCGGTGGAAGCGGGGTAGCATGCGGCTCCTGGTGGTCGTTGACCTGGATGGCGCTGTCGTGTCCCGTCGAGTGCAGGCTAAACGCATCGGCGTTCTTGGGCGCTTGAGAGTCAGCCATGGCTCACAGCAAGTCGTCGCGGTCGCAGGGAGGAGACGAGGACAGAGGCCAGAGGCGACCGGCAAATCACATCGCCAGCGCGCAGTTGAGCCGGGCGGTCGGAATTCGTGGGGAATATTGGGTGCTTTGTTGGTGGGCAGCGGCCGGAGACGCTCTACATGGTCGCGTACAAGGCCCCGCCGCACAGCCAGCCCGCCAGATGTGCGGATAGCAAGGCCGCGGCCCGGCACAGCTCGGGCGAATGAGAATGCGAGGGGTGGGTCGCCGTGCACACGCAATACGATGTGCGCCATCCTTAGACCCGCTGTTTACGATCCTTCCACGTGCGAGTGGAGTCATGGCCGCGGCAGGGCTGGCGCTGGGAGCATGCTGCCGATTCACCGCGGAGGGCGTCTTGGCAGAGACCAACCTCACCTGCTGCCAAACCATGGCACGGACCGTCCCGCCATCCGGTTGAATGACGCCTCCACAGACGTCAAACATGGCCGACGCAAGCAACGGCGCACATGTCGGTAACGGCGTCGCAGACGAACTGCCCGTGCTAGTCATCGGTTCCGGTAAATAGGCTCACCAATGCGCGTGCTTACTCGTATCCTTGTCTCACCCGATTTGCAGGCAGTACCGGCCTCGCCATTGCTCAGGGCCTTCGAAAGGTACGCAGGGCCCCCGACTGTGCCACCCGGGCGCATGCAGTCCTGCTGTGATACGTTTTGGCAGATCGGGCCCTGTCGTGGCTTGTGCACATCTGTCCGCCACCGTCACACCTCGCTGACGAAAGCAGGTCGGAATCAAATGCATCGTCTTCGAGAAGAATGCTCCGGCTGTCGGCGAGCGCGATTGGAGCATGGGCTTGCATTGGGGCGCACCGGTGCTCAAGAGCCTCATGCCAGATGAGTGGTGGCCGCGGATCCAGAGCGTACACGCCGACCCTTCTGAGCCACTGAAAGATCCGGACACCCTGAAGTTCGTTCAGGGGGACAATGGCAACACCATTGCGGCCTTTCCCATCAGTAATTTCTATCGCTTGCGCAGGAGTAAGCTGAGGCAGCTTCTTTCTCAAGAGCTTGATGTCCGCTACGAGAAACGCCTGGCCAATGTCACATTCGCCGAAGACGGAAAATCCGTCACAGCACACTTCACCGACGGGACGAGCGCCACCGGCAGTTTCCTAGTCGGTGCCGATGGTTCTCGCTCGACAATTCGTCAGTGTCTCCTCGGTCCTGAACTGGGTGAAATCAAGAAGATCCCCTATTGTGCCACCTTTATCGAATGCAGATACCCCAAAGAGCAGGCTCTCTTCTTGCGAAGCTTCCATTCTTTGTACCTTGCTACTGCACATCCCGACAATTTCATGGGTTTCTTTTCGACGCAGTTTGTCGAAGACCCCGAAGATCCCACCACCTGGACATTCAAATTCTACATCTCCTGGCAGAGCAGTCTAGAAGAGCAGAGAGCCACTGCTAGTTGGACTGATACTCAGCGCTTGGCGCAGGCGAAGGAGTTTGCAAAGAAGTTCTGTGACCCCTGGAAGAGTGCGTATGAGTGGGTGCCCGACAACGCCGGGGTGTGGTATATGGGCATGACGGAGTGGGACCCTGGCCACGAAGGCCATCGATGGGACAGTAAGTGCCTTGGCGTGTACTCTCTCTGCTCGATTTTGAGTACGCTGACATCCTTAGACCACGACGGCTTAATCACCATAGTTGGCGACGCCGCCCACCCAATGACCTACCAACGTGGCCAAGGCCTCAATCACTCACTCACAGACGCGGGGAATCTCCGCGATACACTTGTCAAGATTCGAAATGGCGCAGATAGAAAGCAAGAAATCACCGACTTCGAAGAGGAGATGATCACACGCGCTGGAGATGAAGTTCGCAGCTGTACCCTGAATACCGCTCTCCTGCATGATTGGGAGAAGGTCAAAAACAGCCCCTTTTACAACAAGGGCATGGCGAAGAACCACTAGGACTCATAAAAGGAACTATGCCAGGCATCGCATCTGGAATCGCTCCAGAGGTTACCCTTTGCGTGTGTCTTGACATGGATATGCATACTGGGCTGGCTGGCGGTTTGATTTGACCCCCCTTTTGCCAGGCCTCCAAGGAGAGATCCGAACGTCATTCACGATCCCACTTTTCCTGCAGGGAAAGGCCTTCGACAAGGCCTCTCCAAGTACTCATGTAAATGCACGCTATCATGTCACTCATTCTCTATCGAAGTCTCCCTATTCTTTTCATAGCGTTCTAGCCATCACGGCGATCCTAGCACTAGCACGTAACGGCCGTACAAAGCATATCATCACTCATTTTCTCACTTGCACCTTGGCCAATTAAAGTCCCATTGTTTAATTCATATCCCGTGTACACTATGGTCTATACCAACTAAAATGTATCAGACCCCATACCTTTAAGATAGCCCGTATATCCATGACACGTCTACGCTTTATGCCCACGTCATTCCGCTGTTCGAGCACCTACACAAACTAACCATCACACAAGCGAACCTCGATGGAGTTGTCGGAAGAACCACCGACTTAGCGTAGACTGACCTCGATATCGTCGGATGAACCACCCCACTAACGCTCCGCATCAGCCTCGGAGCCCTTCTTGAACGCGTGCTCGTGGATGAAGGCTCCGAACTGGCGCATGTCGGTCTCTCCACCGAATCGACGCTCGAAGACGATAGGTTTGGCCGGCCCGGAAGGCGAGTAGAGGGCGCCATCGAGCTTGTGCTTCTTTTCGCCCTCAACCTGGCCACCGAACTGACGCTCGACAACAGATTTAGCCGGCCCGGAAGGCACGTAGAGAGCACCCTCGAGCTTGTGCTTCTTTCCGTGCTCAATCTGGCCGAGGAATTTACTATAACGTGTTAGCGACGTTCACATGTGGTTGGATAGCGAAAGAAGATGTCCTTACGGAGCGCGCTTGTCGCCGGCCTTGAGGTCGCCGCCCCACTGACGGGCCTCAAAGGGGCCACCAAAGTGAGGAGTCGGAGCGGCGGACACGGTGACTACCAAGAGAGTAGTGACCGTGAAGATAGTGGTGGTGAACTTCGTCTTGACGAAGGAAGCTACTGGGAGTCGGTCGAAGGAAATGTTGGATGGTTGTACGTGTTTCGTGTGATTTAGAGAGTAGTCGCTGTGCTGGGGTCGAGAAGTGTATGTGGAAGGGTTGTGTGTGTAGACGTCTCCGGGGCCGAGGGCGTGCGGGATCATATAGGGGATTGGAGATTTAGAGTGCACGCTAAGGAGCCGCACAGGTCAGCGCGAAGGCGTGATCTTCTGTAAGGGGCCAGGTGGCCGAAGGCTTTGGTCAAGGGCAGGTTGAAAAGCGATAATAGTGTTTGACCCGAATGGACAGGGGCCAATGTTGACTCACTGTACAAGCTCGTATTCCAACATAGCTAGCAACGAGCATTTAGAAGCGACAGGATCGCTCGGTTGTGATTTGGACAACCAAATATGTCGCTTTTATTAGCGACTTCATATTGTTAGTGTAAGATTCCAGCGCATGTTTCACAATCGTGAAAGGTTTTGCCTGCGGTTGCCATGCGGTAGCGACCTAGATTACCCAGACACTCAATTCAGGTGTCTTCAAAAAGTGGTACGTACAAAGTCACACTATGGAAAGGCGCAGCTAGACAAATCTATGGAGACAGTTATTTTCGGGTAGTGGATTGGCGAGTGTATACCTGGTTTCATGGCGCCGCGTGAACATCTTGACAGAAACTAGTAAGGCGACAGACTGTGAATTCTATACCTGGACCACCCGACGCGGAAATCAGATTCATAATACATAATCCTACCCATCGAAAACACTCCATAACTATCATAAACCATGAAGTTCCATATCCATGTGTTCCGACATGCAACCCTTGATGAGAGGAAAAGGAGATATCTAAATGTACCATCTGCATGCACCATCTAGTCTTACTGTAGCGCCAATTCCTTTCTAAAACCCAGTCTAAGCCAGAACTCTTACACATCATTTTCCACCTCTTGCCGATGGTGGAACCGAGTCATGCGTCTAATGCCAGAACGCTCAAGGAGACAACATGTAAGAAACGCGTGGTGACATGCTCATACATCTAATGAAAATTTGCAGAAAGAGGATACTCAGCCAAAAAAAAAAAAGAAAAAAAAAGAAAAAAACCCCGAGCACTGCGTTGCTCCTCCACGAGCGACATTTGTCATCCAAGCTTCTGACAAGATATTCTAAGGAAACTGAGGTACATGGGAAAGACGGAGGGTAGAACAGCCGAGAAAGCTCAAATGGGGTATCGAAACGAGTAGGGGTAAAGCGAAGCTCAGCGCAGAGAAAAAGTATGATGCAAGGGAAGGAAGGTCCCGTAAGGCAGGCGAGCAGCACCCGAAGAGTTTGTTGGCCGCTTGCTCGTAAGTGAAAGTGATGGAGAGGGGTCTCCGCCGAAGCAAACATTCAGAGCGCTCCCAGACTATCAGTCTCTGAGATTTCCATGAAATACGGTTGAAGCGCGGAAATGAGTTGGTGCAGAGGTATGAGACATTAATGTTGTGCGCAATCCGCGCCGAAGGAGGAGCAGTATTGAAGGTGGCCTTCGATCAGGACTCCCCGATGTCGATTTCGCTAGCAGGAGTTGAGGAAGACGGACAAGGTGTGTCCGAATGCTCCTGAGGCGTCACACCAGCCTCGCCGTCCTCTGTGGACAAGATCTCCGAGTGCTGGTCCCATTGATGATCGAGGTAGTCTGCATCATCTGCATAAGAATCGTCACAGCAACAGGTCTTACTCGTTTCACTTGGGAGCTTGTTCTTATGTTTGAGCAGCGCGTGATTGATGAAGGCTTGCCTCTTCATGTACTTGGGACAGCGTGGTGTACAGATGTGCGCGACGACGCGTCGTTTGCTCTTAGAGTCGGGCGATGACACGGCCTTCTTGGCTCCGGTAGATGAGGGCAGAGGTCGTGTCCCCATCGTAGAAGCACGACGCTGCGTCCTGGTACGGACGTGAGTGGACTCCAGTCTTTTGGCTGCAAATTTGGCAGGGTAATCCAGCTTCTCTCCCGTGGGAGCAGCATGCTCGTAATCATCAATTATGGGTGTTTCAGTTGGCGTTGCGTCGTTCTCTGTAATGGCATGAGTCTACTTTAGCATTGAGCGACTTGATGACGCACCGAGGTCTTGTTTGGCTTGAAGCAAGCCTTGTCGGGACATTTGCACGAGCTCGTTTAGGCAGACATCCAAAACGCTGCGGCCATACTTCTTATACAGCTGGATAAGAAGCTTAATGTCGGTATTATAAAAGTTTTGCCACGTGTCGGCGACAACAACCATGCGTTCAGCTTCCTGGAGAAGATTCTCAATGCCGCCGTGTTGGGCGGCTTTGACGATGCTTTTTGGATTGATACCGTTCTCTAAGAACATGCTGATGGTTGTCTTCTGGTGTTCTTCCAGTCCATGAAGGCGTGGCTGGATTCCATTCTCGGGGCGTGACACAGCATAAAGCTCGGTCGGTTGCGCAGGCGAAGACATGAAGATTAGGTAGTGAGGTGCAGTGGTGGAAAGAGTGTTGCGATGTAATTAGCTCGACTGGAAGACAGATTCGCAAGCCTTATAGATACAATGAGGAAAGAGCGTGGCAGGGTTTATGTACCAAGTATAGGAAAGAGTAGAGGCAGCATCCGCGAGTCACGGGAAGAGAGGTACCGAGTAGTCCTTATACTCGAGCAGGGGTACCTAGGTATTGTGGCCCTGGAGGGACCCTGGGCGAGAGCTCCAGCTACACGTACGGAGGATGCCGTCCAACAAGTCTGTAGTTCCCGCAAGGCGAAGACGCCAGTTTCAGATCCATCCGTGTGGCCGGTGGCTCCGTGCATACCATGTTACCTAAGGTAGGGACAGGTAAGCTTCCCAGGATGGCGCGACCTGGAGATGATCTCCGCGGCGGTTATCCGGTGCCAAATGTATAGATGCGCTAATTTCTTCGTCAAGTATGCGGCACACAAAATTGTTTCATGTGCGACGTTCACCGGCGAACTGGGCAAGGGACGCGATATTCAGACGTTGTTGGCGTCGCCCAGGGCTTCCACCGGATCATCGAGCGTCCAGGCTGATGACGGTGGCTCACTCGTTTGGACATGTCAGCGCCTCCCATGCTGCCTTGCATCAGTGTTGCTATAATGCCATCCATCCGTAGAGATGGATGAAACATGACAGTTTGATACTAGCTAGTCCTCATTAAGCGTTTCCCATGGCAATCGGGGGTCGCTTATCGATAATTAGCTAAGCTATTCGGTGCCAAGCTCGATCTTGGAGCTGGCAAGCGCACACACGCACAGCCGCATCGATACGCGTGCTGCCAGGCACCAACCGTTTCAGACATTCTTCTGCCGCAGGCACAGCTCAGTTGTGTTTGATGCTCGCTGATGACAGCCAAAGAAAGTTTGGCGCCTGACTGATGTGCGCTCAAGCATTCCGATCCCCACCAATGCCCACCTTTTACGAGTACCGAGCCAGCGCTCAGCCCATCAACCATTTGTCCCATTGCGGACGGGCGGGCGAGTCACTGAACAGGCATGATATACCGTATGGCTGTATCTAAGGTCAATCGCGTGCATTTCATGACTACGGCCTCAACTTCACACGAGCCCACGCTTGACCAGGCGGTGGCACTCAGTAAGATTCTACGGTGCTTGGACAGCAGCTCAAGATGCCCGAAGCCGCAATATGAGACCACGCGGCGTCTCTGATGAAGCAGGCGTCCCGCGCTCTCTAACTTCACCGTTGAGGATCGAAATGGCATGAGAAGGACTCGTCAAGGGAACCCTGGAGGCTTACCACGCACGTGCACCAACTTGGCATTCGGCAAATCGCGCAGAAGCGGACGGGTTCCTGGCTGCAAGGCCCATCAGAGCTCCACGCATCGTACAAGGCCAGTAAGAAAGAGAGGACACGGTCCGGAATGCGCAACAATTACGTTTCCGTAACTCCGATGCGTGTTTACACAAACAAGACGTCGCGCATGTCCGATTGTCGTGAAGCTAGTGCACCGAGCCAACACTCCAAACCTGAGAAACGTAGAAGCGACGGATTTTCTAGAAGACAATGCCATTACGGCTGAGATACTATAAAGTTTGGGAATACGTTAAAGTGCCAAAGCTGCATAATACTGGGGATGGGCACCGGGGGAACCGTAATGTAACTTCGGAGTCAGGTGTACCGTGCGAGATCGCGTGCATTGCCGGTGTGTGGGCGCTGGGACTGCGACCAGCCCACAGACCAGGGCCTGTCTAGGCCATTGCCGGAGTTGGAGATGGAATGATAAGCCTGCTCTCGCGCTTTGGCCTCTACGCATGAGGTAGTGATACTTTCGACGTTCGATACAGGCTCACTCTGTGATCACCTGCCCTCTATGACATCCTGTCCTAACCCGACCTGCTCTGACCTCGGCTACTCAGCTTGGTTCGTTTGCTTACGATGGGCGACGCGCATACTATGAATCTGTATAGAACTACTCATTGGTGGGAAACCACTTTTGTAAGTTCTTCTGCAAGGTTGACGCATGCGTAGACCCTTGAGGTCAACACAGCAAACTTCGATGTCGACTTTGGTAGTCTCCACAACTGATAGAAAGTCAAGTCCCCTTCTCCCCGCTATCCCGTAAACTAGTATTAACCTACGTGAGTGTGTTCATTGTCTGTCCCAATTCATTGAATGTTTTTGACTCTGTCCTCACGTCCAGCTTGAACTTCTCATCGCGCACGTCGCGCTACGCACCACACCTGTCATGCATACTTATATACCATCGAACGGACTTCTTTCTCTCTTCTTGCGTTCCTATCTCTTGCAGGTCCTTTGACGAGATTTCAATAATCTATCACCGCTATGCTCACCCACGACACCTTCCTACCAATCCGCAACAATGACGCTACCCTCTACACCCACTCAGGCGTCGGAGGTGTTACCCTCGCGATGGCTCTCAAACAAGACAGTGGCCTCACTCGGCACACCAACATCAACATTGTCGTTCCTCGTGACGCCGGAAACACATGTGAGCATCCTTGTGCACCTCTTTACACGTGGCATCCGTACATCGACAGGGTGATTGCGCTATTGGGCCTTGCTGTCGGCATCGCGCAGTTCGTCCAGGGCTTCATGAGCTGGTAGCTGGCTGCACACGGTATGTGCTTCGCTTCAACTGTATTGCCGCTCTCTCCCTAACGTATACAAAAGACGAAGGAACGGATACTGGCTTCGTCCTTGATGTTGGGTGGTGTAATAAGCTAGTGATACAGGGTTCTCTCCGTTGTCTGTCCCTCATCGCGAAGCAATTCCATCCCGAGGGCTTTCATGATCCGTAAGCTCGATAGCAGTCGCAATTTAGGTGGAGAGGAAACGGGTTGGACGCTTTCCACTCGAGACGATGAGGCTGAGCCTGTATTGTTAAGAAGTCTACATCCATTGAGCCATCATCGATATCTCTGTGTTGCCTCAATATACACACGGATTGGATTTGTGATATATGCTTAATCACTACTCTAGCAGTCCTAGGTAGTGCCTTGCCATCACCGGACGACACTGGCTGTCATGCCCCACGACCTCCGCGTTTGAGATAACGTCGTCTCGTACAAGCTCACATCTCTCGCCCAAACGCATTCCTCGATCTCGTCAAATGCTAATAGCCCACATCTCCAATATCCTGCTTCGACCGATCCTGTGGGCCCGAGCACAAGCGCCATGGTCTTAGGACTATACATATCTATGTACTTGTGCTTCTTCGCTCGGGCAATCACCAGGCTAAGGTATTCTCGAACTTCCGCGCATCGTCAGGTGTGGAGGGTCCGGAGACCCCATCCACAAAAGAACAGGCGGCAGCACATACGTCCGGTCTTATGTAGGTCCTCGCATCCGCGGAGTCCACTTGAGTATATCGTAAAATTGTATTTCCAAATGAGCAGGCCCTTACGTAAGTGGAGTTTTCCGCGACATGAAGTCGTTTTGTAGTGTCTAGTCTCGTTAATTAGGCAGGTTCCTCTAGAGTGTATCACAGCGTTCCGGATCGAGTTGTAAACACAACCCTACATTAGGACCTAAGGTTGGGGAATGAGGAATTGATCTATCACCGAAGATTCCCTCATTGTAAGTCGATGCCCAGTCAGCGCAGATTGAACATGTCGCGTTCCTATACACTTAAGCCATGAATAAAGGCATGTGACACTGATCCTTTATCCTACGTCGCATTATGCAAAGACTGTTGGTCTAATCTTAGAGAAAACCCATGACGAACAATTTGTGTCGCATTAGCTAAAGCTTGGGATGAGTCATTTGCTAACAAACCAGCTTGTCTAGCTATCAAGGTATATCTTGACGTTTTGAAGTGCATGTATCCTATTTGCTTACACTCAGCTTTTGTGCGCAGGGAACTTAGAGTCCTCTGGATTGTAATTACGTCTTAAGTGCTGCCTGAGTGTGTAGTCAGGACTTCACAAACAATATGCTCTCTGAGATTTGAGTACCTTGTATCGACCTATGATGAGTAACGCAACACTCAAATCTCAACCATCTCCCGAACACAACGGCAGGTGTTTGAAATCCATATTCCCGTCATGGTCCCACCTATACATTCTCCATGCCTAATTCTCTGGTACCTTAATCGTGGGTTGCTCCACAAGGACGCTCAACAGCACTTTAAAAGGTACTACTTGGGAAGCTATGTGCACAGGAAGGAAGGTTTGCCATGTTTGTTCGTGAAATACCAGCAGGTTATTCATCATCGAACTGCTCTCTCCAATTGAGTTGCTGCATGTGTTCTCAATACATGCACTGCGACATAGTCCACTTGACTATAAAGTCAAGAACTTTTTGGAACCTGACGTTGAAGCAAAGGGTGTACAGATTACCACCATGTGAGTTCGGACCCCTTTCCCACGGCTGCTGCCGCCGTTGAGGGTTTCTGTATTGGTTCTACCGGAGCCCATTTGGAAGAATAATTCTCCGTCACATAAGCCTCTGCCATCTATGTGCTACAAGTATGACCAAAGAGTGCTTGCATATATAAGGCCGCCGTTGGTGTGAAAGCCTGGAAATCATTGAGCATACTTGTCTGACTTCTCCCTTCATAGCATCCCGCAGACGTGAGAGTTCCGCTACATTCATAAGCAACATGGCACTGAATGCTTGCTGCGATACACTGGATCGGATCGCCCATAGGGCAGCATTTGCACGGCTAGGAACGCTATACCAGATCTATATGGCAGAGTCTATTTTTATCACGCACCGTTTTTAGTGGCGTTGTTGGCTTTGCCAAAACCTGAATCGCATCAGTACATCGATTATACTTGAAGAAAGATAATAGGTCTGAATATATGGGATTCTATCGCTATTGACTGGCTTCTCCGACATCTTGCGAATTCGATGCCAATGTTTCGCGTTTTCCACGTTTTTACGCCGCGCCATAGAGTTCGGTTATTAGCAAAGAGACCGACTCAGGTGTTTATATATAACTTGCCGCAACTATCAGACCAACTGGCGGTGTGTATGCTCAATCAATCCTAGGATACTAGCCTCGCACCTCACATTAGCACTGGTGAGCCGGAATCGCGCAGGTTCTTGCAATGGCTCCTGGTATCCATATTCGAGCGCTTTTCTTCTATGGCACGGTTCAGCAAATTGTGCGGTAGAAGGGAGTTCGTTATTTGATACTACTGCGCAGATTGATGGAAATTGTGGAAAACAACTACGGTGTTGACGATGCAGAGACAATGCGCGGCCTAAGATTCCTCTCCTATCTCAAGCTTAGCAACAGTGTCAACCTTTGACGTTTGCCAATGGAAGGAAACAAATGCAACGGAAACGGACTCTGGACCTATACTCACGTTATTACTGTTGAAGGGACAGAGCGGTTTTCGGAGAGGCAGCTGCACCGAACTTGGATCTCGGCGTATGAACACTGACGAGAAAAAGTGCCATGCGATTTTACTGTTCTGTGTTGAGCGAAGATGATACAACAGACATAGACAAACGCAAAGTATAATCCTATAAGGCCGCGACCTTGGAAGAGGGATGCATGGCAGTGGGGCTGCCCAGATGATTAGCCGCCTGTTAGCACGCCAGATGATATGATTGGATGAACGAGTCGCAGAACCCTGCAAGGTCATGCAGATAAATTGGTTGATCTGATCCAAAGATACCAGGTTTATTTCTGACGTTCCTCAGATGGCAGAAACGATCAATGACCTCTACTGCACATTTCCTTGACGACCCCCGAACTGAAGCTTGTACTCCGCGATACCCTGGGAAAGGAAAACGAAGCTCAATGTACTTCAGCTTTTAGGAGATGACACTCTGCAACATATGCGTCGGCATGCTTCGCGGAGGTAATGGCATCATATGGACGGGGACCTTGGAACCCACCTTTGAGCATCACAAGGACACAGCTAGCCTAAGGCTATCCCGTGATGCAGGCTGCACGATCTGCATTGGCTTGGCCTGGCTCTTCTGTCAAGATGAGAAATCTATTGCAGAAGATCGACCCATATCCGTACGAGCTGTTGTTCGCAAACTTCAAACACATCACCAAGAATATCTCGGTGAGAGAACCGCTGCGGGAATAGCACACTGTCGTCCGATTACTGTACAGAAGCTCGACACGAAAGGTGGACGGGAGCAACTTAGCGGGCTACGGAGCGAACTTGACGCACTTTTAGAAGAGGATCTTAGAAGTAACGGGGCATACCAGGGCGAGCTGCACAAGCTCAAGCACGACCTGCAAAAGCTCACAGAGGGACAACCCAGATCCAATGGTTTCCGCCTTGACTTCGATGTTGAAAAGATATATAAGCGGACGTTTCTAATGTTGCCTAGTCGTAAGTCACCTCGAGTTCATGATTTGGATGATTGTCACTGAAATGAGTAGACCCTGATATTAGCGCCCCAAGGCTGGAATCGACGAATACGTCGTCTGACGAAGTCTTCGCGAGAGCCTTTGACTGGATAGGGCGGTGTGATCAGAAATGTGCATGTTCGGAAAGAACGGATCCGACCTGGTGCGTATTCGCACTTTCAATTAGTACTGAGTGAAGCATAGTGAAAAGTGGCAGTATAAGATGATCAGCAACTCACAATGAAGTACTGTCACTGACAAGCTAGACTTAGGTACCCTAAGCGCTTACTAGACCTTCAAGAGTTGAAGGAAGCTCAAGGAGTCAAGGGCCTTGGTGGTCTCAAGGCTCTGCCAAGGCATCTCGATCTCGGAACCAAGGTGTATCTGGTTGACGGTGCTAAAGCGGACGGGCGCTACGTAACACTGAGTCACTGCTGGGGCAAGCCTAAGAAAGGACAAGGCCAGCTCAGATTGACAGGCAAAACTGAGCAGAGGTTGAAGAAAGAGGGAATCGAGCTTCGATACCTGTGCAAGGTACGTGATTTTTCTTTCTGATCATACACTTGAAAGGAGCAATGAATGACTCTAATTAATGTCAGTCTTTTCGTGATGCAATGCTCTTTGCCTATCGTCTGGATCAGGTTCGATACATTTGGATCGATTCTCTTTGCATCATACAGCCGGACCCTACCTATACCGATAAAACCAAAGACCCATCAGGACAAGACTGGAAAGAGCAGAGTCGTGTGATGGGCGAAGTCTATCGCCAATCATTTCTCAATATTTCAGCCACCGCTGCGAAGGATGGCGATCATGGTCTGTTCGTAAGTCGCCGCCCCGAGCATCTGTGGGAGAATGAGGTTACTTTGAATCACACGATAACGGACCCTCTCAACTCTGACGGAGCAACATTGTGCCCCAACGAGATATCCAGATACACCTTGATAGATCTTTCACTCTGGACTGAACTGGTGGAACAAGCACCTGTCAACACGCGTGGTTGGGTCCAACAAGAGGTAAAACCCCTGTAATATGGAGGTATGCTTTTCAGATGATCTAAGTATAACAGCGACTGTTGTCTCCCCGGATCATACACTTCTGTCATAATCAGATCGCATGGGAGTGTGGTGGCTTTCAAGACGTTGAAGGATTTCCGAACGGCTATACTACAATCACAGTAAGACATGGTGATATAATTAACGAGCGTCACCTAAAAGACTTCAACGAGGCTCGTGGCCTCCGACTACGCACAAGCCGTCTTAGGGGATTCCCGGATCCGGACAAGAATTTGTCAAAGTTGGGCACATACGAGTTGTGGAAGTATGTGGTGGAGGTGTACTCTCGTACAAACCTGACCTTCGCTCGTGACAAGCTGATTGCACTGTCCGGAATCGCTGAACAGTTCTCACGCGAAACGAAATGTGATTATGTGGCTGGCATGTGGAGAGAGCACCTCGAAAGCCAACTTCTATGGCAAGTGAATGAAGATTATCAAGATGGTATCTTTGCAAACCCCGCGTGTCGCGATGAGCTGCGAGCTCCCTCGTTTTCCTGGGCAGCTATAGATAGCCCTTATGGAGTCACATATGGGGAGACCACAGACTATGGCAAAGACCGACAGAAACAGCTTCTATTCGAGGTGAGGGCCTGCGAAATTGATCTCGAGGACCCAAAAAATCCGTTCGGCCTCATCAAGGCTGGCCAGCTCCACATAAAGCCTCGATACCTGCGTCGGGTCGCATTACGCAAACTCGGTCCTCCTTCTCATGTTCCCTATGGTTGGCGTCTACAAGAAGATGTTTTGCCGAAACAAGACTATAATCCAAAGCACACAACTTCATTAGATATGTCTGCTAGGAAGGAGACGTCACTCAGCAAAAAGACTGCCTTCGTAGAGCATCATAGCCTCAACTTGGACGCTCCTGAGTCTGATATCGACATTTTTGCTAGCGGAGCGGAAGTGTATTGTATGCCAGCCGCATTCGGAGACAGGACGGTTAAAGAGGCATGGCGTGACTTGATGTGTCTTCTCTTGCTCAAGACGAAGCCTGCACAAGAGCACCCAACATCAAAGCATCAATTCCGAAGGATCGGCATCACGAGGTTATCAAGTGCTATGCACTGGAAATCTCATGCAATCCTAATGGAGCAACCATTTGAAGGTGATATCATACTACATTGATGTATAGTCCAAATAAATAAATAATTCAACCTGACGAATAGTAGCAAGGTGACGTTGGAACTATGCGGCCTACAGTGACGGTGCTCAATGGTGACACCTGGGCATGTGAGAGCTCACGTGCAGTAAGACAGAGCCGCACCAGCGCATTGCAATATCCATCTCACCGACTTTAATTTCCAACACATGCATGTACAGCGATCGGGCATACTCTCCAAATGCCATGATGCATCTTGGCTCATCACCCATGCACCGTGCATCCCTTCACCGGCATTCAACCTCCCCTTCTGCCTCTGCCCAAGACGCACGCAAAACACCGCCTTCCAGCGTGCCTCTCCACCTCCGCCCACCACCTGCACAGCGCTTACTATCCCGGCACCTTGCCGATTCCCCCGAGTCTTAATCTGGCTTTCGCCAAATTCTCTCCACCCCCCTCAATTGCCGAGCCCCGTATCTGCAGTCTCAGCCTCTTTCCGCTGCCTGAGGGTGGCCTCCTAAATCAGGCACAAAAGAAGGCAAACGAAACGAGAATGTGACGTGTCAAGCACGGTCGGTGGCTAGCGCGAATGATGGGGTGGGAGGAGGTTACACGGCGGCGATGGTGCGGGGAGGTGGCATGCTGGATCCTGATTGGTAGATGAACGAGGTTGGTGGAGAGTAGATCGATGATGGGTTAATTGTGCAGACGTAAATGTGATGTTACGTTCGTCCGCGGAAGAGACGTTTCAAACCGCCCAGCAAGAGCCTAATCGGGTTTCGTTGCACCGGCCAGAGCGAGATTTTGGGGTCCGTCTCCGCCAATTCAAGTTTGGGGGCCATGACCATTCGCGTCTTGCCATCGCCCCGATATCCCACGTATCGTATGCTATGCCCAACGTAGCACCATCCGTGCCTATCTCCGACCGCCCAAGCGTTTCGGATGAACTATGCACTGCTTACCGCAGTGCGCGCTTTCGTCTATTACCGGGGCTATCTTCTTTGCCGGAGAACAACGTTCCGACCTCTGATCTTCCAGCAAGCTCAACATCCCGATATGCACTGCTTACCGCCAGTCTTCGGCACTCTCCCCTACCGCACAACAACGTTCTGACACAGCACACGGGAATGCTTCTCGAAGCTTACAACAGTCCGCAAGCGAGCCGCCTCCCCAGAAACCCAAAGCCCCTGCAGCAGAGAAAACCACCAGCGCTATCAACGCTAACAGGGTGATATGCTCAATGCGGAAAGATCGAAGTTGAGACATTTGGAAGTCGTGAAGGGGTAGTAATTCCGGTAGCGCGCGCATCCCTTTCATAGACCTCCTGCAGGAAACGAATGTTGTATCGGCGCCAACGGCGTGGTTTCTAAATACATGTACGCCACTCTAAGATGTTCATCCTCCCCAGCATCCCACACCCCCTGCAGCGAAGGACCCGTCAAAGCTCAACGCCACAGTTCCGATATAGAAGCCCTCCGCGCCGACGCCTAGATATTGGGATCTGGTGAAGTAATGGTGTTGCGAACGTTCAAGGCAAGTCCCTGTATCGCGCATGCGATGAAGGGGGCTGAGACCGCGGGATAGTGGACAGCATCGGGGCTGGGGAGGTCGGCGCGTGTGTCCTCCAGGACACAACGGTGGAGATGGCGTTCGGCGAATCGGGCTGTGCTGTCCTCCGTGAATTGACAGCGCGCTACATTCAGAGCTAGAAGAAGTGCAGCAATAGCCGTGACATTTATGCGAACACAAAGTGTAGTATTGAAGCGCAGATGGAATGCCAAATTGGACTCAGCGATTCAATGTCTATAACGATCCTAGTAAATACAAACAAAACTCTGTTTTTGCGGTTCGTTGGGATGTTATGTCGTAAAAGCACATGCATCAACCGTAGAAACGTATCCTCATCCTGAACGCCAAAGGGTATCAGTACATAAGGAGATTCGTGAATGTTGCCCGTCCGTAGCCTCGATACAGCCCTTACAATTGTGTCGAATCTCATCATCATGCCCACGATTAGTGAGTCGGGTCATCTCGAAGCTTGCTTTACTCGTCTTCAGATGTATCCTCATCACTCACGCACTGCCTGCGCGGACGACCGTCGCCGATCTTCCAATTGCCCACTTTATCCAGCGCAATGATACCTTCGTTAATGAGCCATCGCTCATGTGTCTTGTCGATGTTCCAAGTACCAACGTGACCAATGACGCTGCCCGCTTTACGATCCTTCTCCAAGTGCCGCCCGATATGTTCCATTCGGTTCTCCCACGAGGCAGGGCCCGAAAAGGTCTCGTCGCAGTAGAGGCATGAAGACTGCTTCGGAGTCCCACGGAGAACCTGGAAACATCGCTTCTGGTGATCGGCGATGTTGTCTTCGTTCACTGGGTACTCTTTCTGGCTGCGGTGCGACTGGTTCGGAGGTGCGGCGTGCATGCGGCGGAGATGCTGCGTGAACAGGTCTTTGCGGTTGAAGTCATTGTGGTAGACGACCTCTTGATCATGGGGATCAACGGTCGTTGCGCATAGGTCGCAGCGCCAGAAGCCGAGCTTGATATGCTGGGTGCTGACATGCCGCTTCCACTCATTCTTTGACGAGAAGGTGGACAAGCAGCCATACATGGTCAGCGGACACGGAAAGTGTCGTTGTGAGTCTACGATAAACGTTTCGCTCGACATCTTGTTCGGTCCCCTGCCGCCCCTCTTAGTGACCCGAGCGGTTGGAGTGATTGCCGCCGAGGAACCTTTGCGCCCATTAGCAGGGTGGCGACGTTGACCTTGGCCTTTGGAGCTACTTGTGGATGCAGACGAGCGCCTGCGTCTCGTTGACCGGGGAGTATAATCAGCGTCGGAAGATTCGCCATCGCTTGGATCCATAGGCTGAACGGATTCAGCATCCCTCAAAGAGTGGCTAACGGCAGAGTCGGATGACTTCTTGTATCCTTCGGTTCCTGAATCAATCCTCGTATAGTCTGGGTCTGGTTCGTATGCGCCGTCAACTTCCATCTTCGTCTCTACATCGTCACCTTCCCCGATTGTAGGCTCAGGCTCTGGCTGGTGGTTGTACAATTCTAGCTCGCGCATGGTCACACTACCACCACCACGGGCAAGCTCATGAGGGAAAGGCTCTTGTTTGACATGCTCAACGACGGTATATGGTGAGCTGGACGAGATGTAGTCTCTTGGGCTACCGTAGGAACCCGCTGGGTACGCATGGGGCGAGCGAGCTTCGTTTCCGGTAGCATAGCTGGAGTTTCCTGAGGTTGAGGTCTCGTCAGGAGAATCGTGTCGAGCATACTCCGGCGTCGGATATGGACTTAGTGTCCGGCCTTGATGGTGGATGCCGTGGTTCAGGTTCGCGTGCAGTAACCCCGAAGTGAGTGGTGTGGCATCCCCTAGAAAGCGTTGCATCGTCTGAATGTGCATATAGTCGTTATTCCCTCGTTGAAGATAATAGCCATCGTTCGTTGTCGTCAAGCCTTGTTGGAACGACATTTGTGGCTCGCCACTCCATGTCGTAGACTGAGAGTCCGACTGAAAAGGTATTTGCGGCAGATCTCTGTACTGATTGTATGTGTCCAATACGTATGCCATGTTGGCTCGGGAGATCTAGGATTTGAACAACCAAACACAGAGAGTATCTGACGTTGGACCGAACCGCTCCCTGAGCAACGAGTGGGCGGATTTCGTGATACTGAAGGTGTCTTGTACAACGTAAGCTTGGTCTGACAAGAAGTAGGTCGTCGAAGACCCACTTACGGTCTGTGAAGTTAGGGTAGTAGAAGTAAAAGATGGGATGGATAGTTATATCCCCATCAAAGAAGGGAACGCCGCTTGGAAAGAGCAAGTTGCGATAGGTTGGAATGACGATTGGAGGACGAGGGGGCGGAGCAATGGAAGTACGTATGTTTCTCAAAGGCAGACAGTTTCGAACTTGCATTAAAAATGCACTGCCCACTTTTCTGGTGTTGTATACCACCGCGAGCGCCCACATAGTCCGTGGTGCTTTATGGTATCAACCTCGCAGAGCCGCATCCTTTCGATCCAATCAGATGAGGGTCACGGACCACTTGCAAATAACAGGGAGCTCCTTGCTAGTGCGATAACCTGCATTCACCGGTGGCTCACCTCGCGAACAGCCACCACTCACAAGAGAGTTGGCTTGAAGCCCTGGGCTCCCGGCATCGTACGAGGTAGGTTCCTAGGCGAATCTGAAGAAAAAGAAATTTACTTGCATGAGGATCGGTTCTTCCCATATGGTTCCCTGTCGCTGTCAGTGGTCGTGCGTGGCACGCAAGGCCCGCAGGTACGGTTGGTCCATCCAACTCGAGGCGGTAAGTGTATCTTAGACCGCCGACCTTGAGAGAAGAGATGGACTGCCAGGATTGGTCGGACAAATGCCAGTGACAAGACAGAAAGTGCAGGACAGTGGCACCAGGAGACATTGACGCGCTCGTGCTAGGATACTCAAGGTGAGGCGACGCATAAGCTGAGCTGTGTTTTGCGACGTACCCGCTCTTGCATCGAGCCCAGGCAAGCTCTGGAGAACAGCGAACAGTGCGCGGAAAAGGAATGATGATTGAGCAGCCATCATCCCGATTCGAACACGAACGCGACAGCCGCCCATGAACATGGCCGCAGAGGGGTAAAGAAGGGGTGGATGGTCCGACGTTGGATTGGACAGCCGAAACGAGCGTTCACCGAAACGGGGCGCAAGTCCTCGAGACTGTCTGGTTAGGCACCGAAGACAGGGCGGTGCACCGTTTGCCTGCACTAAAAGGTTGCACGTTGTTAGGAGGGCGCTGGGTGAAATAGACAACGAAGCATAGCCAGCCAAATAATGAGGACATGTACGAGTATGCCTGTGCAATCATCTCGCAGGACTTCATCGCTGGCAACTGTGTTTACTGCCTCGGCCTTGATGGATCCTCAACCGATTGCGAATCCGAAACTATCACTGGCAGGGTCTGGGGCTCTTGGGGCGCAAACCATGTGTTCATTGTGGCATTGGGGGCGGCGCGACCCGCTGGGGATACCAAATTGGACCACCCGATGGCGGGGAAGATGGGAAGGACGATGCCATCCCGAGTCGTGGCGCCGGCCCACACACTGAATAGGCGCTTGATGGGTGCTGCCGTCCTGTGCTCGGCAAGAGGGATCGGCCGCTTTATCCGGCGGCTCTGCCAGAGTTCAGGTAAAAAGTGGACAATGTCGCGGTGGCGTACGGCAGCCCAAAGGCCGTATTCCATCGCTTGGCACGGCAACCGTAGATCTACGGCCCGAAGTACGCTTTTCATCATCCCACATCCAAGTACCACAATGTTGGATCATGTCATCGAATGTCAAAAACTTGATAGTTCTCTGCCTGGCTGAGAGATTACGCACTAAATGTGCGAGTTGCAGCGTGGCGTGATAACTACGTGCGTCCTCTTCAAGACTTGGACTGCGCCTTCTGTCCTTCCAACGCCGCAAGTGGCTGTGATTGTGTCGTTTGACATCTCTTGTAATGACTAGCTTTAGGCGGCCATTTTCGCAATGAGTCGATCCTCGATTCCGTCCAAAATCCAGCGATGTTCGAGTACCTCCAAGTTCTCGGCCTCGTTTAAGAAGAGCTTATCAGGGTCCTGCTCGGGACCCATCAATCCCGCCCCTGGGTTGGCCATGGCCATCTGCTGCGTGACATTATTTGCAGCTAGAACACATGTCAGCACTTGTCAATCAACTGGCCATGCACTGACTACAGTCGGATGTACTCACAGTTATTGCTTCCAAGAATAAAGTTATAGACGGGTTGGAGCCCAAACAAGGTAAGGAAGTACCAGGAAAGACTAGACACCCATCTCACATCCAAGTCGCGTGTGCCGACACCTGACTGGAGCATCGACTTGAATTGTGGCGTAAGCGGAAAGGGTAGTTTCACTGTTGGGCAGCAACGGTTAGCGAGAGAACACGGCGAGTTGAAGGGGACCCTGCGCAACAAAACTGCGAACTGCGAACGAGTTGGACAGAAAGAGGGTATGCTCGGCCTGAGCTTATGCTGTGCTCCACGGAACCCATGGAGCCAAATCTAATGTTGGCATCCGCCCTTAAATTAGAAAGAGGATGCGCGTACTCGACCGCCTCAGACGAACAAAGAGTGTAAGTTTGAAATAGGGTTTACCCTGCAAATGCGAGGCTGTCGCGATTCGCTATCGCCGTTCGCAATTCGCATTTGGAGTAGAAGAGACATGCAGACTTACTGATGACGAAGCCGGAGAAAAACGCATTGATCCATCCCATGATCAAAGTCTGCGGTATCATCATCGCCATATTTCCCTTCATCATACCCATCATGCCCTCCATCGCCGCCGGATCGCTCATAGGATTCGGTCTCGGCTTGCCCCTCTGTTCCGGCTCCGCCAGAAACTTGCCTTCCTGGTATGCAGACACCATGTATGACTTGCGGGCCTGGAAGGAAGCGGTCGATAAGACGTTCGCGTTGGCGCGTAGATTGATGCCCCGGACGAGCGCGCGCTGTTGCCGGATCTTAGGGAGGTCTTGCTTCTTGGGCGCGGTTTGCAGCAGGATCATCGCGTAGTGGCGGAGGATGCCTGTCAGGACCTGAGCTTCTTAGTGATACAATTGATAGATAAAGGAGGAGATTGCATACCATCACCACAGTAATAGGGAGCAGAATCCACCAGCTACAAATGTTAGCATTGCGCTCTGTGCAGTGACGGCGACGGCATCTACGCACAACAGGGCGGGATCCCGGTGGATGGTCTGTACTAGGGGCTGTCCCATCTTCGCGGAGATAGCAAGCACAACGTGGGTGGCGTGGAGGGGTCGTGGTGTCGTGGAAGAACAGTGTGGGGATGATGAAAGCTCCAAGCGGAGCCTCATCGGCGGATCTTGAGTGACAGGGATCTGCCCGTGCCTTCCTTGTGAACACCTTACCCTCAGCAGCAACCACTATTCCACTGCGTGAGCTTGCGTTTTCCACCACCACACTTCCGATCAATTCAAGACTGCACACTGCATAGTCCACCATGTCGGCGACAACGAAAATCGCAGTGCATTCTTTGTCGGGTAAGCCTCTACAAATATATCGATACTACCTCCATCCCGCCATACTAACCATGACTAGATCTGAAAAACACCACCGATGACGCGCTTCCAAACTACCTCCACTCCCTCAAATTCAAGCAAATCCACAAGCAAACCGACGTCCGATTAGCCATCGGTTATACCGCCGTCATCATTGCCGGAGCACTCTTCTACTACGACTGGAAGTTTGGCTGGGAGGCCTCGAAGCCATACACCCTGCCCGCAGTAGTCGCGTACTTCGTCCTTAACACCGCATTTAGCTACTGGCTATGGTTTGTGGAGGCGGGCACGGTGTACGAGGGTGAGGCAAGGACGGGGAAGGTCAGCACCCTCTAGGCTTCCTGCGTTGTTCTCAAATTGTGTGCTGATACATGGGAATAGGTCAGGATAGCTACTTCCACTAAGAAGCACATCCCTGTGTACGAAGTCGACGTTACCTTTACACCTGCCGGCTCGAGCCAGCCGCAGAAGATCCACATTCGCGCCCCGTTCACCCGATGGTTTACATCAGACGGCTACTTCATTGCGAAGCCGTTCCAGCAGTGGCTTGCTTCGGAGGTACCTGTGGTTGGCGCGGCGGACCCGAACAACGTTGTTGAAGAGATTGGTCGTGGGAGCGAGACTGAGAGGGTGTTGAATGCTACGGGTAGCCAGAACGCTGTTGACATTTTGGAGCAGCTGAAGGCTAGCGGAGCCAACGTGTCTACGGGAAGCGGTCGAAGAAGGAAGGCGTGAGGTTACTGAAGGTTCAGAGGTTTTTTTAGCATGGCCGGACCGACGGTCCGTAACTAGCCAGTGTGCGTCTTCGTACATGACACAGCATCGAACGGGTATATCGCCGCCTTTGAAGCGGCATGGACTGGAGGCCAAAAAGTTGAGAAAGATATCCACTGGTTACAGGGCGTTCTTGCATCGAAATTTATGTGCACATCACGGTTTCTTTATCAAGCTGGCGCTATGTATATCTCTCGTTGTAACATTGATCCATGAACTGTGCTATTGATGCGAGATACCTAGATGTAGGTCATGCGAACGCCAAGAATTCAGAACGCCGCCGTTGATGCAGATGGAGAAGAACGCTGCCTTGGAAATGCAAACAAGCCTCAACATGCACGCGTCATCTTATCTTTCTACTCGAACAATTTCCCGAGATTGAACGAAACCTGACAATCACTGTGCCAAGTCGTGTTCCTGCAACCTATTGATCCTGTTCTAGTAAGGGGAGGACCTCCAATTCACGTTTGATGATCCGCTCAAACTCTTCCCTCTCGATGCCTGAGGCCCTTGCCAAGCGGAACAAGCTCTTCATATCTGTGCTGATATGTTGCTTGATTGCAAGCTCGGCTTGGCTGTGGTTTTCCGCTTCGCGCTCCAACCGCTCTACTGAATTCGTTGACGCCGAGGAAGCGGGTCGTGGGTGGTTGAGATCATTGTAACGGTTGTCTACCGATTCGATATGATCGGGCTTGTCATAAGGGGAGTCTCGGCGGTCGCCGTTGACATGGTTCGTGTTGTTTGAAGCATCTGGCAGCTGCCTTGCAGATTCTGGATTATCTTGCTGGGCAAATCCGAACGAATCGCCGTTGAGCGTCGATTCTCCTGGTCCAGCGAGATCCTCGTCTGGATCATGAGGATCCATTGCTGGTTGCACCTCCGAGGCATAGCGGGCAAAGTACTCGAGCTCTGACTGCGTAGGCCCGATCTGTACACGAGGATTTGTAGGCGGTGCAGGGGACTGTTTGTGCGGGGTACGACCCGGTGTCCGATCATACGCAGCCCAGTAAGAACCGTCATCCTCCTCATCGTTGTGTTGCTGTGGTTGCGGTTCTGGTCGCAGAGAAGCCATGGGTTGGCTTGTAGCACCGTTCATGTTAGACGACTTTCTGCGGAATCCAGCATCGGCAGCTTCGCTCGTGCTCTGGAACCACTCGGTGCCATCATCCATGTCTTGGACGCCCCTCAATTCGGACAGCTCCCAGCGATTACCATCATCTCCACCGGTGCACCATAGATATGTGGGCACGATGCCATACTCTCCTAGCACCAACTTTGCGTGCAAAGTCTCTGCGTCTGACCGACGATACAGGATCTGGTCGGGGTCTTCGACCTCGATCTCGCCGGAGGAGGGATGTGGCTCGATATGCAGGTTGCCGACAATGTCTGGTAACCGGGACGCGATTTCCTTGTCCCAGCATAGCAGAGACAGCCAATCATCCGAAGCGAGTAACTGGACGCGCTGGCGAAGGATGGGCGACAGTAGTGGAAGAAGCGCGGGAGGCGGTTGTCGTGAAGCATTTGCAGTAGCCAGGCAGGCTAGCAGTGGTGGGAGAAGCTCCCTCGCGTTAGGCGGCGGTACGACTGAACCTGCCATGTATGCGGTAGACCGTCGCGGCGGGAGTTTGCACAAACTCTGCGTTATGTTGAGCCTCCCTCGCGCTTTGCGAGCCGGTGGGAAACAAAGTTGTCCACAGAAGCCCAAAGGAAATTGCCAGTGGTCGAGCCAGTCACTTCTGTCCGGGAAGTGAGTGGTGGTGGAGGGACTGGGTGACGTTGTTCACATGCAACGCTGTGACGTTCAATGCGGCGCTTGGACCGCTAACACTGTCGACGATGTTGGGTGCAACAGACAAGTACAGTCGATCAGAGGTCGACGACCAGGAGGCGGAAAGCAACAGCTTTGATAGTTGTCCATATCGGCTAGTCGTTGGCTTACTTTGGAGTGGAGGTGGTTCGCCGTCTAGTCCTTCCCTCCGTCCGAGCATTTGCTCGGCGGCACCTGCCCCTCGAAGCCTGGCCAGTGCATATTTCCCCACCACGTGCACCCACGTCGGCTCCTAGCGCCTAACATCTTCCGCCTCTCTCAATGTTGTCAACAACAGGAACCTCCTCACCTTCTGTTGTTTCTCCCATGGTTTACAGACACCGTTTAGTGTCCCATGTTAGAACGACGAGTCATGTCGAGCTTTAGCTGGTACTGGTCGAAGCTGCCACATACACGACGTCACTCCTACGACCCTTCAACACTTATCTTCTCGAGTTTCAATTCCGTGGCGGGGTTGTGTTCCGACTTCAGCTTCATGTCTCAAACGCCGTATCTCCCTACCATTGTCTCTTCGATGTTTGCGCCCCCAGTTCAACTTGACGTTACCTCCGATAGTAGAGACCCTCTGATATGGCCTTGTTCCTGACCGATAGCGAAGATTGAAGACCAGCGAGATCGGGTCAATTCCATCCCTGGTAGGTTTCTACTTACTTGATCGTCATGCCCATTAGTTGGGGGTCTCGGACGCAACGCTTTCATCCTGATGTGCTATCGGACAATCTGTTCGGTTTCACCTTTTCGTGAGAAAGCGACTCACACCAGGGTTTCTGCCCCACGTAGTCTCACGGGTACCTGCATCTCGGACTCGACTAAGGAGCGACGCCGAGCAAAGCGTTGCCCGCGGCGGAAATGAAATCATACCTCAACAGGCAGCGGCTGTGATGCTAGCGATCGAGCGCCTAGTACGTGGGGTGTCTCCAGTGGCCAACAGCTGGGGCCGGGGACAAAAACGGACCTCTACAACGTGGTCCAAGCAAATGACGTTGCTTGCAGACGTCAGATTTGATTCATGCACAAGCAGCAGCAATGACTCCTCGCATTCATATCTTGGAACGTAACGAATCGACAGCGATGGTGGTATCGATAAGCAGTACCAGCCTGCTGGATGAACACAACCGCGTTGCGCGCCGAGCACACGCAGCCAGTTTCTGTCACGGGATCGTTGATGAAGATCCGGCGGCCCTCAGCTCTTGATACCCCTCCCTCGCGTACGGACTTTATCTTGGTCTGATTCATCAGCAAGCGGCTTTCAAGAGGCACCTACTCGCTTGCTGCAGCTTTGACGAGCAAGACCCCGTCCCCGAGTCGCAAGCTGTCTAGGTCCGTCCACATATAACAACACCTGCTGTTACGGACTAGATCACAGTCAGCACTGCGGTGTCGATGCCAGTGGCGGCGCCTATTGGAGAATGTTGCATAACGTGTGGCTGTTTAATTCGACTGTTTCGGGTGAACAACTATCTACTCGCCAAACCAGATTCAAAGCTGGGGTTGTGGCCTTTTCTTGCGACGGGAGAACCAGCTTGACGCGGCCTCTACAAGCCGTCTAGATGCCCCACTATCGCTGCCGCTCGCCAGGCTTCCCGCGGCGGCTGGTAATGAAGCGGGAGCCGGACCAGAAGATGGCCAATCTTGCAACAGGGCTGAAGAGGCTCGGTCAAGTGCATGTCAGACGCCCACAGAAGATGACGCTCATCGCGCCCTAGATCGTGGTAGCGTGAAGGCCAGGAACAGAAAGCTTCGATCACGATCCGAAGTAATTCCATGTCGCTGCAGTGGTAGCTCGTCGGTGACAGCGACCGAAAGCTTGGCCTCCTTATATAGCACTCTCGGCAGCCCATTTAAGCGCCGGGCACCACGGCTTGCGCGTTCTCACGACGAGCGAGCTGATGTGATGCTTCTCCTGCCTTCACAGCGATTAGCTGCAGTTGTTCGAAAGGCGTAACAGATCAATACGGTCGGAATAGTGAGGGGAGCACAATTAGTAGAAGAAGCTGGCCATCGCCGGACGGTGCATCAGCATAGCCACACCCGCGCACGACCCCTTCTCCCCCAGAGCTTGACAGAGCTTGAGGCTGTGTTTCGTCGCATGTCTGTGAATCTGCCTCGAGTTGCCAGTTAGCTCTCGTCTCGTCATTACGCTCGACCTCCGATCAAGCTGTGCTTCTTGCTCCTCCCCCGCTGGCGCACTCGGGCTCCAGAGGTAACGTTGCCGCTTGCCGCTCACACCTCGCGCCCCTCGCACCGCCTTGGCATCGTCTCTTCGGGAGTCAGCCTTGACCGGTGCCTCGAGTCTTTCGCTGCTGCTGCGGCTGTCTTTCCATCGCAGCCACATCGCACGCTTCACGCCTACGTTTCAGCATCAAAGCTCCCCTGGCGGCCCGCAGCCTTCATCTGTCGACCTCCACCCTCGAACGACCGCGGGGCTTTTCGTCCCGTGAAGGACTAGCACTGCCCATTAGCCTCTGCGGCTGTTCCAGTATCCCTGTGCGAGGCGAATCCCGCATTGCGACACTTCATCCAACGTTCCTCTCCTTGTAGGCGCTTGCTGCTGTTGCTCTCGTCTTGTTGCCATTTGCGTCGGTTGATCCATTCCCCGGCGCGCCGCGAGCATCAACCTTTTGCGCTGTCTGGTTTTCGCGTTCGCCTACTCTCGTCTTGTCTCTGCTCTAGGCTGCTAAGCAGCGTTATGGCTCCCTGAGCAGCGAACGCGCCAGTCACGTTAATTCGAGGTGGATCTGGTTGACGCGGGATCCTACGTCTATCGCCGCCTCTATCGCAACGCCAAATTCGCCTTACGTTCTGCCTTCCAGGACCCTGGATCCCCACAATGAATACCATGGACAACCGCCCACAGGCTTTTAATAGTCAACGGCGCGAGCAGCGCCACACTGACGATGGATCGACGAACACGTTCCTACCCACTTCCTCAGGCAACTTCTTATTAGCAGATGCTCATGGCCAATTTACCTTTTCTGCAGAACCGACTTCCATGGTCGACTATAGCTCTATGACCGGACCCACTGGCCAGGAAACTGTCTTCACTCCAAATACTGGATCGTCTTTCGACTCTTCCTTGCACCCTGATGTTATCAGCCAGACGTACCCTCCTGCCAACGTGTATATGCAGGCGAACAACTACAGTCTTTCTCCACATAGTCGGAACGGTCACAGCATTTCACCCTCCCACTCTGTGGACCATCTCAGCCCTGAGGCTGGGTACATGAGCGACCCAAGCTATCACGACCTGAGCAACTATGCGACTCCCTCGTTCAACGGCCAATTTCTTGACGAGTCTTTCCAGCAACTGAACTTCGCGGACCACGTCGCACCTCAAGCATTCCCTCCATACCAAGGCGAAGTGGACATGAACATGTTGGCCAGTAATACCCTGGCTACATACAATGCTCAGGCGCCTACTATTCCAAGCAACGCACGGTTAGAATCTCATTCCCAACTTTTGTCGCCCTGTCCAACCAACAATTCTAGTCCTGTTGTAACAGACGAGACGTCGAGGAACGCAAACTTTCCTAACGTCCATTATACGGGCCTCGAATACAATACCTCATCCACCCCGCCTAGTCGGACTGCACCACTCCAGCACTCGACTCCAATCAAACAGCAGCAGCAGCAGCAACAACAAAGTCCAGCCCTGACGAACAGCCCCAGCAACATGTCTCTTGCCAATCCTCAGCCCCGTGCAACCCACCTGACAAGCCCTATCGTTCGAGTAGAGAATTATGGCGGACGAGACTCGCCTTCCCATTCCGATGTTAGCAGACCCATGAGCAAGCGCAGTCATGGTAGTCGCCGCTCGGGTAACCATCTCTCCCCTTTCCCCAACGACGAATCCTCGGATGATGGTGATGATGATGACATGCAACAACAAGTGCGAGTCCAGCCTGTTGTTCGGAGTGCCCAGCGCAACGAAGATGGATCATGGATGATCAGTCCGGCGTCCGGTCAGGGGGGACTCACGCCAGACGATCGTGACGCGATGGGCGATGCATGGGTTCCCAGTCTCGACGAGATTGCTGATAAAAGGAAGCAAGAGGAGAAGAAGCTTGATGTCCATGATTGGCTTTCCAAAAGTGAGGTGGGCAGTGAGACGGGAGACGCAGCTCCTTCAACAAATCTGCTGAAACCATTCACCACTCGACGAAGGGCAAAGAGCACAAATGATGCTCATGGCCGACAAGTCGTCGGGCCCGGCTATGGACTTGGTGTGCGTACTGATTTCGATCGGATCGACGACTCAGGTGTTCCCGGTCCGGGACTTTACATAGACGAACGCAGCGAAAATGATGATGAAAGCGACGATGGCGACGAAGTACCCGAATCACCGCCAGCCGAAGTCAGTGTTGTTGCTAGTCAGGCTGATAATGAGGTGTCGTACTTCCCTCCTCTCCAGCATGGTGGCTTGGTAGGTACTATTGTCCGCCCATGGGTCGATGTGCCTTCACAACCACCAACATCAACAACACGCTACCAACCTCCCACTTCGAGCGCCGCAATGATGCGATTCCGTATCCGAGCTAAGGACGTGGAGTCGGCATCGCTCGCGGCTACCGTTGGGTCACGGCGTCTCAGCGAGTCTGACTTGGGCAGTATTAGAGCCGCCCCAGGTGTCGTTAAGGTCATCGAACCGGATCTCAAGAAGCAAAAGGACAGACAAAGACGCCCTAGCTTTTTAGAGAACATTCTCCCTACGCGTAAACCTACCAACCTCCTGAAGCGTAAAGGCAGCATTCCCGTACAGCCACCGTCTCAAGAAAATATAATTGAGAAGCCTAAAGAGCCTGTGATGGAAAAGCCAAAGCGGATGGGGAGTTGGGGCCGGCCGAAATCACCACGGTTGGATACGACCGTTGCAATCCAAGGGCGGGACGTCGGACCTCCAAGTTCTACAGGACTGACGCCAAACACCGGAACTTGGTATCAGGGCGCCAGAAACGCAATTAGGCGGAGTAGAAGCCGAAGCGATATAGGCAAATCCCCAGGTCTAGCTGAGCTTATGACTCAACACGGCGGTCCGCCGATGCCGATGCTTGCTTCACCACTAGCAGAGACAGAAGCCACCAAGCCATCAGCACAGCCAAGTCCGACCGGGGATGACGATGAGGACGACATTCAAGATGCAATCACCATGAACCTTGAGGTTCGTTCCGACCCTATCATACCAACACCCGAGGGTTTCAAGACGCACGCTAGACAGCTCAACCCGCGATTGACGGATTACATGGTTGAACGCATCACGCAAGAACAAGTCAGACGATATAAGCGCTTACTTGAGTTTAAGGTGAAGCATCGAATTGCGGTTGAAAGTGGGAAATGCTTGTCTAACGGCTCTTCTCACAAGTTCTGCACTGAACTTGGTGGAGATTCTAAACAACTGACTCCTAAGGCGGGAAACAAGGATGGCGAAGCGCCATTCCTTGGATTCCAAATTACGGCACCCGGGTCTGATGACGATGACGGCGAAGCTCCGGCGGAGGGAACGCTCGCCGCTGCTGGATTCCCCTCTGGTGTTCCCCTGCCTCCGGTCAAACGACTTCCTGCCGAATTCGAATGTCCGCTATGCTTCAAAGTAAAGAAGTTCTACAAACCGTCTGACTGGACGAAACATGTGCATGAGGATGTCCAGCCGTTCACGTGCACTTTTCCTAACTGTGGAGAGCCCAAGTCCTTCAAACGCAAAGCCGATTGGGTCAGGCATGAAAATGAGCGTCATCGACAGTTGGAACACTGGACGTGCCAAATCGCTGATTGCAACCACACGTGTTACCGGAAGGATAATTTCGTTCAGCATCTCGTGCGAGAGCATAAGATCGCAGAACCGCGACAGCGCACTGGGAAGGGCGTAATCAAAGACGCACCCGGGAATGCGGATTCAGGTAGGTTTCCCTGCGTCTTGGAGGATTCTGGTGGCTAACGTGCATACAGATGACATCTGGGGACTGGTAGCTCGGTGCCGCCGTGACACGACGAAGCAGCCCAAAGATGAACCGTGTCGATTCTGTGGAAATATTTGCACCAGTTGGAAGAAACTTACAGTTCATCTCGCAAAGCACATGGAGCAGATTAGCATGCCAATTCTGCCTCTTGTAGACCAAAAGCAGATCAGCGCCGACACTGTCATTAGCCCGGTGGTCGAGATGCCGGAAACTCGCAAGCTTTCGGCCACGCCGAACCGATCGCCCGTAGATAACCCTTCCCGCTACAATCCGAACTCTACCCTGGCGCCGGGAATTGACCCTTCATATGGACAGTATCCCTCCGATACGCCTGGTGCAGCATCGAGTGTGATGCACACATATCCGCCCCCACAGATGGTGCCGTATAAAAGCGGGCAAGAACAATTGCCGAGTGGCAACTATGCAAACTATGCTATGCAAAACAGTCACAACTATTCTGGCAGGACATACCCTGGGTTACAAGAGCCTGCAAAAGCTAGGGGCGCATATGTCAACAACCTCCAGATTCCAAACCAGCAATACATGAACGGCAACATGCAGAATGGAGTCAGTCGGTTCCCCATCTCGCCCGTGTCCGCGGTTGGGCAGCAGCCGCCAATATTCAATACTTCTCCCGTGGACACAACCCCTTTTTCGACGGACACGATGGCGTCGACATACTTCACGCAAGAGCCGCAGAGCCTGGGCTCAAACGGAATGACTGACATGAGCGGTTTTGATGCAACGAACCCCATGCAGTATCAGCAGCCTGCTGCGTACCCAGACATGGGATACATGACTGCGCCGCAGCGCAACTATCAGTATCAGGCACAGTAAGCTGACGATGAATTATTCCCTTGGCGCGACATTGTGCGACAGTAAGAAACGCAGTTGCACTCGCTTAGTTAATGTTGGTTTTCTCCTACGCTCCGTTTCGTTCTAGATATCCCCACGGTACGTCGGAGTTCCTTTGGGTAGAGGGAGGCTATTGGTGTTGGTTGGCTTCTCTGCTCGTGGATGATAGGGATGGTACACGATTGATTTTTGACGATTCTTGATGATGGCCGTGGACGCATTTCCGGCGTTCTTCCCTTCGCTTACGGATTTTCCTTGACCGTTGTTCCCTAGCATCTGCAAGCGTCGAGCGACTGTACGTTTAGAATCGAAGTCTATTCACTATGAAATCCCTGCTGCCAACGTCTTCACCTGTACTCGGGTGACGGCGAGTTGCGTGCATACCCTCTCGCTTTCGCACCGTCTACCCCGAAAGCAGAGGCACGACACGGTAAGGTTCGTGCGGCTCATGGGTGGCGACTGGCCAACCAACAATGATTGATGCACATGGGCACACTGGGCTGAGAGGTAAAAAGCGCGCCGGAAAGGGCAAGTGTGGAAGTGGCCGTGAAGGTTCTACTTGGTTTCGCGATACGATTGGGTGTAGGGCTGAGCATCAGCCTTGCCTCATGAAGTGCGCGTGAGCTTCGTTGGGTCGCTGGATGCAGGGCAGTATTACCTGACGTGCGACTCTCCGCTCTCGACCGTGTCCAGGACGTTGGATACGCATGCGATATTGATTGCACATGTCCAGCGTCGTTGGCGTGCTGCGGGATGAGCCTGTCTCTCAGCAAGCCACACGGAGGGCACACTCGATGACGGTTGTGCGCGCCCACCCAGAAGCTGCGCAGAGCAACATGGTCGTAATACGGCGTGCTGAGCCCGCACTCGCTCGTCGTTGGCAGCCGCCGCTCGACACAGCCACCCATGTATGGGCGTCGCTGGTCCCCGCGTGGTGGTAGTCCTCGGCTTGGCAAAGAAGGCAACCGTCGCCTTGTGCCCTCTTGCAGAGGAGGCCGCCCGCAGCTTGCTGCATCAAACCTTCACCACCGCCAGATGTGGCTAGAAAGCCTTGCTCCGCGCATGCCACCATGCCACACGATCCAGGCCTGCATCGCACCCTCGTCGCTCGGTAACACTTGCAAATTGCTGTCGCTTGCGCCGGCATCCCGCTCAACTTGGCCGTCTTCTACACCGGTGTCCGTGCGAGCATCCAGAGGTCCTTCACCCGTACAGTGGAGCAGCTCCCAATCAACCGTCCGACGTGTGACAGTCGTCAGCGCATGGGGCGGTGAGCCGCATAAGGGTATACTACTGCAATGATCGCTCACTTTTCCCACTTCCTGTGACTTTCCATCACCAGACCCGTTGAGGCGCGCCATCGGGCTGAAGGCTGCAGCCTACCTTTTCGCCGGCCGCTTCGCGTTATTTCATTCCACGTTGTGACGAGCGTGTCTCAGTGTCATACTTCGGTAGGTCTTGAGAGCTTGGGTAGCATGGCCTGTGTATGCATGTACACGTGGGCGCTGCGGCCTCAGGCGTTGATTATTGCTGACACTGACCAGGCATCGATATGGCACAGCCGAACGAAAACCCCGCCATACAGTACATCGGAGCCGACGGATCCGTATGTGCTTGCTCCATATTTATTTCATGTCCTTGATTGTAACTTTTGCAGTACTACTTCGATCCTCAGGCCCCACACGTCGGCAATGAGTATCAACAACAATGGAGGCATCCCGGACCAGCACCTGTCCGGAATACCCCCAGTCCATCGGGAACTGCTTCTACCACAATGACTGCTCCTATGTTCTTCAACGGCCACCCGGGAATATCACCCAGCGTACACCCACAGGATAGTAGGATGAGCAATAATCTTCAAGGTCTATCTCACCTGGCTGTTCCAAGTCACTCCGGCCATCCTCGCTCCACCATGAGTAGCCCTAGCGATGTGGATCATTTGACATCCCCCATATACCCGTACGCGCCTGGATTCACACCGAATCATACAGGTGGCGTATCTCATTCCGCAAATCTACAGACAAACACAGGTCACGCGATGGCCGGAGTAAACGGGAGAATGGATCCTGTTTCCAATATGGAATCACTGTCCTTGAACAGGTACAGCAACGCTCAGAGTGATGAGCCATGGAATCCCATGCGGGTTGCATATAGCGAAAGTGCTGCGGGCCGCTCTTCTTTCACTGGGTCAAACATGAAGTTTAGCCAATACCGCCAGCAGCCCAGTTCAGACTTTGAGAGTGTATTAGGACATAGATCTGACTCTGGCTACTACTCCACCCATCCAGCGCCCCAGTCTGTGATCAGCAATGATCCAGAACGTGTTGACCATGAACTACCGTCTGATATGTTTCATGTAGCGAACCTAAATGTAGGCTCTGCACCAAGCGAGTCGACGACGGAGTATGTTCCGCCTCAATCAGATCAGACATCGGTATACAGTGGCCGCAGTCAAAACAAGAGCATACACGTATGTTCGAAGTGTAAAGAAGTCTCCAAATGTCCTTCTGACTACAAGTATGTACCAACAAGAATATCTAGAATCTCTTGCTCATTCTCCATTTGCAGGAAGCATATGCTCAAACATGACAAGCCACACACATGCGATGTCAGCGGCTGTCGTCGGGCAGCCCAAGGCAAGGGTTTCACTACAATTAATGACCTCCTGCGGCATAAGAAGAGTGTACATCGCATTGGAGTAGAACGAGACTCTTATCAATGCGCCTCTGAGCATTGTCGTAATCGAGGCAAGATCTGGCCACGGCTAGATAATTTCAAACAACACATCAGTCGCATGCATAAGGATGAAGACGAGACAGAACTTATTCGCAAGTACGTTCCTTACAGATCTTGAGATGCGTAAATGTGCTGAATTTTGCAGATCTGCATATCGAGGCCCAATTCCTCCATCACCGATGACCCAGGCCGACATGCTTGCCGGGATTGGGGTTGAAGCGCAAGTTGCTGGTAATGAGCTTGATGATCCCGCGTCCGGAATAAGCTTAACCCCAGACCAGGACGAGAACCCTTGGGCCCACGGTTTTGATCAAGGCTCCCATAAGTACATACTGGACGGTGAGCGAATGACTCGCCATGAGAGCGATCAATTCCTCAGAGCTCCAGATACGTACACCAGGCCCAGAAATGGAAGAAGATCCATCACGCCCTTATCCTCGACAGATAGCAATCCGGAGAAGCGTCAACGCCAGGACTCACTAGAAATGCTTGCCGATGTTGCATCAATCCAGCCTGCTACCGTTTCCTCGTCATTCCGCCACCTATCTAGTGCACCTCAGACCAAGGCTGAACAGCAAAGACAAGTGACCCATGCCGAGCAACAACGTATGGCTCTTCAAAAATTCGGCAAAGCCTTATTAGCTGAATGCCAGGCTGATCCTTCCGCTGATGGTACCGACCTGGAGAATGTAGTCCTGCGAATATTATCAGGTACGAACCCTCAGATGCAGGACGGAAGACAGGCTATTTTCGAACGTCCCCCGAGTGAAGACTTCGAGCCGGATCACCCACGCTTAGATACGATCATGACAAAGACGGAAGCTCTCAAAGCTTCACAGGCGATATCTAAGATTATCAAGCACAGTAGAAGTGCTTCATTCACCTCCCGATCTCGTCGGTCTTCGAGGGTCTCGTCTTCTGATAAGCTGCAATGCCCGCACTGCGAAGTCAACCTGGCTCGAGCTTGCGACATGAAAAAACACATGAAACGCCACACTAAGCCTTACGGTTGCACCTATCCTAAATGTCACAAACGGTTCGGAGCGAAATCAGATTGGAAGCGGCACGAGAACAGCCAACACTTTCAAATGGAATCTTTCCGCTGTCAACGGAAAGATCCGACAATCCGTAAGCCTTGCGGAGAGCTATTCCAGCGCGTTGAGCTTTTCAGACAGCACCTTGTCAATGAACATAAAGTTGACAAGGGTTCTGACGTATCCGGCGAGGCAAAAGCCTGTCGTATTGGTAAGAACTACCAAGGACAGTTCTGGTGCGGTTTCTGTCAGATGATCGTGAAGCTGAAGGAAAGACGCAACGCTGCTTGGGATGAGAGATTCGATCATATAGACGCACATTTCAACAAGGAGAAAAGAGGTATCGAGCAATGGTTATGTGTGGAGACACGGAAAACGAAGGGAGAGTCCTTGAAAGAGATGGACAGGACAAGGTTTGATGAGGACGATGGAGACGAGGATGGTGATGGCGAGCCAGATGACAGCCCGCCGCCGACTGCCGGCGGAGCAAGCGATGGAACATACCAGTCGCATGAGGCATTTCCAAGACCTCCTTCGATACCGCCATCAATGACTGTTGCGGAAGACGTAACAAGAAAGAGACGGTATCCTGTCGAAGAGTTCGCGCCACCACCAGTTCAGAAACGAAGGAGGACGGACGTCAATCGCTATTGTGTAAGTTTGTATGCTCTTCGCTGAAACGGTGTTACTAATAGTTCACAGTGTTCATGCGGGAACGGACCATGGCCTGGGAATATGTATGTGGTCTGTATGAGCTGTGAGCATCGCATCTGTACTAGTTGTCCAGTCGATGGCATAGCGGGAGGGCTGGATGGCGGTATAATGTTGGGTTGATTTGATCTGAACTGTTTTGAGCGTGGCAATGGGCGGACAGCGTTGATTTGAATACCCGAGTAGCTTGCATATTTTATTCCCAGATAGTCGATGTATTCAATGGGAATCCGACTACTTTCGGCCATAATTCCGACATACGTAGACGAAAATATGTCACGTCGACGAAGCCCACCAGGCTGCCTCATCCGGTACACCTTGTTAGGTGACTTATGTATTTGAGCCATCGTATACAGCTCAGCGTCAAGATACCACGACTCGATTGTGCTCAAGTCTCTTTTGCGTACCCGTTCGTGCGTCAATTCCCCACTTCCTGTGGAGTGAAGGGGGCGGGCACGTGCGTCCGTGCGCTCGGTAAAATGATAAAGGTGGCCTCGAAACCGCGAGCTTAGCTTGAGAGCTTCGTGACGCGGCCTGGAGTGCAACGTCTCTCTTCAACCACCAATTCCTCCCACCATGGCGGCCGAAGTGTCAGAGACAGACCAATTCATAAAGCAGGTCAGCGGCCGGAATACGCGAGGCCTGCTTCGTGTCATCATCCTGTGTCTGATTGCGGGCGCTGCTGTTGCTAGTCGTCTGTTCTCCGTTATCCGCTTTGAGAGCATTATTCACGAATGTAAGAGTGACAGTCAGCTGCTAGATGTGTTTGAATTAATTGCAATGCAGTCGATCCGTGGTTCAACTTTCGAGCAACGAAATACCTCGTTCAGAATGGCTTCTACAGCTTCTGGGATTGGTTCGATGACCGTAAGCACCCTTCGCGCTCAGCACTCCCAGACTACCGTCAGTAGCATCGAGAACTTTAAGCTGACACCATTGGATATGTAGGAACATGGCACCCTCTCGGACGAGTTACTGGTGGTACCCTTTACCCCGGTCTGATGGTGACCAGCGGCGCCATCTATCACCTTCTCCGCTTCCTTACGCTCCCCGTTGACATCCGTAACATTTGCGTGCTCCTCGCACCGGGCTTCTCAGGCCTCACTGCCCTCGCAACGTACCTCCTGACCTCCGAGATGGTCACGTCCCCCTCCGCCGGTCTCCTAGCCGCCGCCTTCATGGGCATCACCCCGGGTTATATCTCGCGATCCGTCGCCGGAAGTTACGATAACGAGGCTATCGCCATTTTCCTGTTGGTATTCACCTTCTTCCTCTGGATCAAGGCAGTCAAGAACGGATCCATGTTCTGGGGCGCGTTGACGGCGCTGTTCTACGGATACATGGTGTCGGCGTGGGGTGGTTATGTCTTCATTACGAACTTGTTACCGCTGCATGCTTTCGTGCTCATCTGCATGGGACGGTACAGCCCCAGGTTGTACGTCAGCTATACTTCGTGGTATGCGCTGGGCACGCTTGCTAGCATGCAGATTCCGTTCGTCGGGTTCCTACCCATTAGGAGTAGTGAGCACATGTCCGCGCTCGGCGTCTTTGGTCTCCTCCAGTTGGTTGGAGGAGTTGAGTGGATCCGAACTCAGCTCCCGAGCAAGCAGTTCCAGACGCTTCTCCGCGCGCTTGTCCTATTCATCTTTGTCGTCGCTTTCGGGGGCCTTGTTCTCCTGACGGTATCCGGCGTCATTGCTCCTTGGACTGGCCGTTTCTACTCTCTTTGGGATACCGGATATGCGAAGATCCACATTCCCATCATTGCCTCCGTCTCCGAGCACCAGCCGACCGCGTGGCCTGCCTTCTTCTTCGACTTGAGCATGATGATCTGGCTGTTCCCGGCCGGTGTTTATATGTGCTTCCGCAAGTTGACCGACGAGCAAGTGTTTATCGTCATCTACGCCGTGCTTGCTAGTTACTTTGCTGGTGTCATGGTTCGTCTCATGCTGACTTTGACACCCATTGTCTGCGTTGCCTCCGCGATGGCCTTCTCGCAGATCCTTGACACCTACCTAGATGCCAAAACACCAAAGGCTGCGCCCAAGGAAAATGGAGACTCAAAGGATGCTGCCAAAGTTGCTGCGGCCGCAGTGCTTCCAGATGGTCTTCGTTCCACTCGCCAGCCTCTTGTCGGAGTTTACTCGTACGCCTCGAAGCTCACAGTTATGGGAGCTTCGGTTGTCTACTTGCTTTTGTTTGTACTTCACTGCACTTGGGTCACTTCCAACGCCTATTCCTCGCCCTCAGTCGTGCTTGCATCCCGCCTCCCTGACGGCAGCCAGCACATCATCGATGACTACCGTGAGGCCTACTACTGGCTCCGTCAGAACACCCCTGACAACGCCAAAATCATGTCCTGGTGGGATTATGGCTACCAGATCGGTGGTATGGCTGATAGGCCGACGCTTGTTGACAACAACACGTGGAACAACACTCACATCGCCACTGTGGGTAAGGCTATGAGCTCCAGGGAAGAGGTCAGCTACCCGATCATGCGCCAACACGAGGTCGACTACGTCTTGGTCGTTTTCGGTGGTCTCCTCGGATACTCTGGTGACGATATCAACAAGTTCCTCTGGATGGTTCGCATCGCTGAAGGTATCTGGCCTGAGGAGGTCAAGGAGCGCAACTTCTTCACGCCGCGAGGCGAGTACCGCGTGGACGACGAGGCCACCCCGACCATGAAGAACAGCTTGATGCAAGTTACACAACTCCAACATTTATCTACGCATACTAACAACCAGTAGGTACAAGATGTCTTATTACAACTACCACACGCTGTTCCCGGCTGGACAGGCTACTGATCGTGTTCGTGGAGCGCGGCTCCCTGCCCAGGGCCCCGAACTCAGCACGATTGAGGAAGCCTTCACCAGCGAGAACTGGATTATCAGGATCTACAAGGTCAAGGAACCCGACAACTTTGGACGTGACCACCAAAGCGCCACGTCGTTTGACAAGGGCCATAAGAAGAAGAAGGCACCGAAGAGGAAAGGCCCGCGTGTTCTAAGGGTCGAGTGAATATTTCCCACATAAGCGTATTTTCTTAGTAGACTTCGAGCATTGTAAAAATAGGCCGGTTGGCAACCTCGACAGGCAGGCGTTGGGTGGACAATAAAAGCAGAATAGCCCCCAGTCTCACTTGACATTGGGCCGTGAAGCACATGTCAGGCAGGAGCGTGTTGTCGATGGGGTTGGGTGGGATATGAGCAGGTAAAGGAGAATCGTCGTGTCGCATCGGCAGCGGCATTAGCCGGCGTTCGAGGTAGGGGCTGAGGTAGGAATAGAGCAAAGACGTAAACAAGGTCGCTTCGAAATTTGGTCTTTCACTGCATGATCTCTCCTTGATGGTCCTCCAATGAGCTTCTTCCGCCGCTCTGACTTCTCTCTTCTCAACCCCACCGTCTACTCTTAGGCTTCGCCCCCCTCTCTCCACGTCTCTTCCTGTCGTTAACTTGTTACACCAACTTCGCCCACTCAGCATTGGGCTTCGCGCGCGGACTTCAGGCTCGTGCCTTCCAGTTGTCACCATGGCTGCCGAGGCACTCAAGGCTTATCAAGAGTACATGGGCGGCAGCGCGGGCAGCAACAATGCACAGCAGCAGCAGCAGCAAGGACCGCAAGGGCAGCAGCCCGGCGCGAACTTCCAGAACCCATATGCTGCCGGATATGGCGCGCACATGCAGCAGGTGCCGCAGGGTATCCAAAATCCGTACGCCGCCCAGCAGCAGTATCTTCAATCTAACCCTGTGTACGTACTTCAATATCATGCTCGCCTTTCTGCGCAATGGCTAACCCACTCACCAGAAGTAATCCCGATCTGTATACATACCCACTTGACCTGTCCAAGCTCAGCACCGCGCTTCTCCCGGCACGTTCCACTGATGTACAACAGTTCACCCGTGCTCACGTCCCTCCCGCTGCCCCGACTCCACCTCCTGCAGTGCCACAAGCAGCGGCCTCGAATGCTGCGCTGGCACAGCACGGCCAGCTGCAGCCTTACATACCGCAGGCCCCTGTCGGGGGACACGCCAGGCACCAGGGTTATGTAGACCTGCCAAGAGGTTATAACCCTCTACCGCAGTCTCCTGGGGCTGGCTACGCGGGTGGATGGCACTATAATCAAGCAGGACCGCCGACGAATCAGCTTGGTTACGACAACGCTCCTGCAATGGCACCGGTATGTTATCTTCTTCATGATCGATGACTTGGGCAACCTTGAAATGGGCGTGGCAAGCGTACTGACAAACACAGGTTCAGCCCGAGCCGGCATACCATTTAAGAGACTGGAGCTTCGAGAGCACGAGAGAGCGCAATCGCTCTCGCTATTCCGGACTATGGCCACCACCAGATGTAGTGAGAATACCTTCGCGCCCGCCACCTTCAAAGGAGGTCTTTCCTGTGCCCGATGTCCCTCCGCTAGCACTCTGCCATGTCTGTAGTGTGTGCGGTCAGATGCGTTCTGCGGGCTACCATCGCCATCACCCAATCATTCCTGGACAGGCTCTCACCAGCACACCCTGCCGCCGTTGTAAGAAGAGGGCAAGGAAAGCGAAAGGGAGGAGGGAGAAAGAGAGTGCGAGGCAAGAAGAGACAGAGCCTTCAGAAAATACCATCACTATCAAGATCGATGATGGTGAGCGCCGCGGTCGTGCGCGTGCACGGGTGGTGTGTCAGGTGGATAGGCATCACTCACTCAGTCCCGAACGCGTCGTTTACAGGCCTAGTGGTCGCGCCAATGTTGGACTGAGGGAGTCTACGCGCGTGGAACATCGCACAGCGCAAGATATGAGTCCAGAGAGCAGCCCGCCAGCTGTTCTGAGGCGCCGAACTAGATCTGAGGTTCGAATCTCTTCCGTGAGCCCGCCTCCGGACGGCATCCGAGTTCGTTACCGAAGGGAAGAAGAGTACGAGCGGCAGCGTAGTTCATCTCCTGATGCTAGAGCTCGGCTTGCGGCACATGGATTCCGTACATTCACACCAACTGAGGTCCCCGGTTACTACCCGGAAGAGACTCACTCTCCGGCGCCAGCACCACTCCGTGGCATCCTGAAGAATCCTTCCCAATTCCAAGAGGCGCAGCCGACCAGGCATAAGATGGAGAGAAGTCACGACAGTATGTTACCCGAAGTGGGAGGCAATCGCGTGCAGTTTGGCCGTGAGCCTAGGTCTGCGGAGCGCGTGAGGGAGTCTTATGTTCGGTGCACAACCTGCAAGGGCGATGAATGTGTCTGCGATGACGACTACGCCTATCGTAGTCGCCGACGTTATCACTATCAACGGGGGCATGTTGAAGAAATCCCTTCCCCCGAACCGCTTATCCAAAGGCTCGAAGGACTTCGTGTGCGAGAGGATATATCGCCTCGGCCCTATGTTCGAGGCCGGGCGCATGAGGGCGCTAATCACCAATTGCCGCCTGCAGTGGACGAACGCGGACGCACCCACTATCCCCACCGCGAGAACCGCCGTGAGCCATCTCCCCTCAGGAGGGCTACTTCTCAACTTCGGGACCTTGGTCAGAGAGTCTGTCGAAGGTTTTCTCGCTCCCCGACACCTCAGCCGAACCGCAAGCACGAGGATTGGGACGATGCTACGGACTCTGACAGCGAGATCAGCGGTGAGCACTATTGGGTCAGGTATCATGATGTCGATGAAAATGGAATGCCGGCTACGATCTACGAGGAGCGCGTCAAGAAAGCGTTGCCGGCTGGGGGAAGGCATGAGGCACCGGCCCTTACGAGAGGGTTTGCGCCGGTGAAGGACCGTTGATGGCCTAGCATGAGCAGGAGTCTTTGGTCAAAACTGATGCACTGGCCTTTAGAGTGCTGGATGTGCTTTTGTGGCGGCAAGGTGTTTTGCACGGTACGAGGTTTTCACTTCTTTTTTTCTATCCCTTCCCCTTTCTTACTTTCTGTCTTATTATACCCGTCTCTTCTTTTTTCGTCGGTATAAGGCGCTTCACCTTGGGAAGATCTTCCCTCTGCCTCTGGGCTCCATAATGTGGCTCGGATGGCTGCGCGATGTGCGAATCTTCTGTCTGCATTTATACCCGGTCTATTGATACGGGAGTAATTCCCTCTCCCTCGTATGTTAGAGTTAGAGGCCTTGTCTTTGATTTCCTTAGCTCATATACAAAAGTCATTCTCAGGTCATTACGGAGGTTGCCACAACATGCGCAAGAGATAGGGGTGTGTATATCAATGTGTAGTCAGGCTTTCTTGTACTGTACAGCTACGGGATCTCCGCTCGATTGTTGAAACAAGAGGAGCCACAGGTGTAGTTCACAATGCACGCCTCTCACTGCTTACGCCGTTCCTCCTCTATTAGCACTTTCAATAATTCCGAACCCCAGGCTGTGTCCCAAAACTTTGAAACTTCTCCTAACTCATTGAGCTCGGAGATCATAGAAGGCGGGGGCGAAGGAGCTCGTGGTCGTGGTGAGGGTCGAGGTTCACGAGGATCATCGGGATTGGCCGTCTGGTTCCGAGGTGAGCTTGGTGGCGGAGAGGGATCTGGCTGGGGCTGGAAGTGAGACTTAGGAGGACGCGTACGACGTGATGGCATTGTGTGATGTTGTTTAGATGGGTTTGGCTGATTGTAAATGCAGGTATTGATAGCGGTGTAATTGGATTGAGGGCTTGACGATCGATGTTGCTGTTGTGAGGAGGATGAGGAGGTGCGAGGAGGGACATATATATACGGGAGCGAGAGCATCTCTGACTCTGAAAGGGAGAACGTATGATGGCGAGGTTTGGAAAATGCTACGTGGATTCTAGTGAGGTCCGTTGTAAGACTCACTTCAAGGGTTTAGTACAGAGTGACACATAACTTGGAGTGTATTTACTCACGACGTGTCGCGATATGCTGAGAGATGGGCGAAGGGTCTGTGGTACAGATAGTTGCGTGAATAGAGTAGCACGTTGGTTTGGATGGGCGTGGGGTCCGGAAAGCGTAACGCTTGCATGGGGACGGTATTCGGGCAAATATTGGACAATTTCTCGCGTTGGTAGAGAGTACATGGTGAGCACACGAGGCTTTTGCAATTACGTTCAATGGTTACAAGCAATGTGGCGATCATCGCTGGCAGGTAGTACACAACGTTGGCTTCAGACTCGAGTCAAATTCAGGATTAAGTTCAAAAGCACTATCTTTCTCCACCTTCAAAACTCATAGTTGAAGCTTCGCCATCGCGTTGTTCCTGCCAATTCTCCAATCTATGCTACTTGCTGACACAAACGGTAGCGGCACCATAATCGGTCCGCTCGTGAGTCACTTTACGCTCAGCCTCGACTCGACCACAAAACGTCGGGACATGCTCGATCAGCGATGGAAAATGCTACAGTTCTAAGTGTTCTCCACCATGTCTATAGAAATGCATATAAATTACGATCGCACATGCATGACTTGCGCGGACGGATAATCATGGTAATGACCGGTGATCAGATGAAGTTCCTGTATCAGGATGAGGAGAGCAGGCACTCCCAATAGTCTCGCGAGTACTCGGGAGAATTTTTCTGTGAAGAAAGGAGCTTTTTTGAGGTCGAATTGGAGAGTCGAGGGGTAGGGTAGATGATCTATCACGACCTGCACTGCAGACTTATCATTGTCTTCTTTCTGCACACACGCGCGAGATCTTTGCTGATGGAAGCTCCTAAATGGGCATAAAAGATAATCTCGAGATGTTTCATTCAACATTACAGCATTATATATCGTGTATGTACGCCTAGTAAGGGAGGGTAGGCACCCTGACGGAGCCATTAGTTCGCTCGGGGTAGTGGATCGCGCCCTCGGCCTTTGCACAGTTCGTGTAGTAAGTCGCTGATGCATTTACGGGGATCGTGTTCATCTCTTGGGGCCGTCCATACACCTGTGGTTCAGTTTAGCTTCTGCGCTTCCTAGTGATGCGTATTCAGCGCTTACATATTCGTAATACCACACCTCAGAAAGGACAGTGTATCCATTGTCTGTGCTGTTCTTTCCTGCCTCGGTGGTGTTGTAGCGAGGCCCAGTGCAGCCAATGAACGGCAGTCCACCATGCTGCTCCACAAGAGGGTCGCGGATGGCCTCATACGAGTAGGTGGTGCAGTTGGACGGCGTGATGTCAACCTCCTCCAACCAGTCGAAAGTAGGGAAGCGCTTGTAGTATTGGATAGCGGTCTCGAAGAAATCAACAACTTCCTCGTGCTTGCGGTACTGCGGACCATAGCACGGGACGTTGAAGGTCGAGAAGCACGTAGCGTGCTTAGAGAACTCGTGGCCCCAGAATCCAGCGTTGTCTTGGTTCTGCGCGATCCAATAGTTATTCATGTACTCAAGCAAGTCGTACTTGCCGAATGGCTCGAGGAAAGTGCCGATGTTTGAGCCGTTGTAAGCTGGAACGGGAACACCATCGGGCTTTCCGGTGGTAGTGTCTAAAGGTAGGGGTACTAAGTCAGTGTAATGTTAAAAAATCAGGAGAATGGGTAAAGTAGGTGTTCTGGCCAGCTCGTAATGTCCGAAAACGTCAGACTTAGTGTAAGGCCTGGAGTCTTCAGGCAGCCGGCCAGCCTGAACACCAACTTTGCACCCCAAACATGACGTACTAGGCGATGGAATTGGATCATATTGGCGAGTTAGATCACAGTAGGAAGTATACAATCCTGAGCAGAAGTCTGGCCAAAGACCGTGGAGCGTCCATGTGTCTTGAGGCAATAGTTGACCAGCTTGCTCGCCCCCGGTGTATGTACTCCAGAATTGAGTGGAGAGCACAAGTCCACCAAAGGTCTCAACGCAGCATGAATCCACGAGCGAAGAATTCTGTGGCGGGCAGGAGAGCAGAGGGTTCTGAAGCTCGCAGGTATGATTGTAGGGACTCTGGTCAGGGTACAATTGCCCAGACGCAGTGCTGGCTAGCACAGCGGCTGCTGCGAAAGTGGAACGCATTTTGGTCGCTGAGTTGAACGCTTTGGCAATGCGATCGAGGAGGTATTCCAAAGAAATGGAGCGAAGTTCCCAGAGATCCAAAATCTTGGCCGCAGTCCACGACTTATGAAGTCGAAGCGCGTAAAGCTCTTTCCCGGAAAAGGAAGGTCATCCTACGAGAGTCCAATAGCAATTCCATGGCGGCGAACTGCGATGGTACCTGCAGCGTACGCTAGGGACAGGGTATGTACCTCGTGCTCTTTTCATTGGTTATCGCGTTGATAAGAGGACGGAAATGGAGGCAAGAAACGATGCTCGCTCCGAGGGAGAGGCGGTCCATCGGCAACAACGAGCGAAAGTCCCTCCCGTGGCGAGAAGCGATAGCCACAGGCAGTTAGTCCTTATTCGCATCCTGCAGATAGAACGCATCATGGTGGACCTGGTGGCTTCCCAAAACCTGGGCGCTGGAAACCCACGGTGGGTGATTCAAAGTGTGCTGGGAGTGCCCAATCAAAAGTCGAGGAAGCTGCCACGTGACACTTCGCCTGCCGCGGCCTCGGCTCCAGCCTTCTAGGAATGTTGGCATCATCGTGTGGGGACCTCACCAGCAAGCTCACCACTTCTGGATACACACCACAGTGATAGAAATCCAAAGGGTTCTATTGTCGTCTCGTCCCTGTAGCAGCTTAGTACATCTGGCCTTTACGAACGGCGCCGCGGACGAATTGTCTTGCCGAAGGGTCTTTGTGACGTCCATTTCCCCGTCTAAACTCCGTCACATACATCACCATTGCTTTCCTTCGAAATGTGTTTCCCGGAAGAGCTCTTGCGGTACCCAAAGCCTCCTCCTGCAGAAGAGCCATGTCTACAACCGTAACGCCGCTACCGTCACGCCGACCTAAGTCCTCTCAGGATCCCCCAGCCCATCATGTTGGCGCTCCGCCGACATCCTTCAGGAACCCATGGTCTTCGTATTCGCGCAGTACGTTCAACAAGTTCCTCAACATGCGGTTCAACACGCCCAAGAACTTCGTTGCTGTGCCTACCGACCGCGTAGGACTTGTTGAAGTTCGCAAGCCTGATTTCGGAGGAGAAAACAATGGGCTGAAGGCAACATGGATCGGGCATGCAAGCTTCTTGATCGAGACGACAAAAACGGAGGGCGCACAAAGAGGCATCCGGATATTACTCGACCCCGTTTGGAGCGAGCGCGTGGGGCCGTACGGCGTGGTCGGTCCTGTTCGATTTACGCCTCCGCCCTGTCCGCTCGAGGACCTTCCCGAAATTGACGCTGTTTGCATTAGCCACGACCACTACGACCACCTCGATTCGAATACGTTGAAGAATCTCAACGCGAGACACCACGGGAACTTAAAGTTCTTTTGCGGGCTAGGTGTTAAGGCAGTGTTGACTGGCTTGGGTGTGGGAATAAAAGCAGAACAAGTCACGGAACTTGACTGGTGGGACACAGTACGCATCGATAAAGAGGGCACCAGCAGTGTGGAATTAGTGAGTACGCCCGCGCAACATCGTAGTGGGAGAACACCGTGGGGGTTCGACGGCACGCTGTGGTGCAGCTGGGTTGTGAGAGAACCGTCTGAAGAGGGCAAGAGGCTCTTCTTTGCAGGCGACACTGGTTACTGTCACGTTACATCGAACGACGAGCCTTCGCACCACAACGCGCCGCATCCACCATGCCCCGCCTTCGCAGAGATTGGGGATCTTTACGGACCCTTCGATTTGGCTCTACTACCGATTGGCTGTTACCAGCCGCGATCGCTCCTCTCCCCCCAGCATGCTTCGCCGGATGACTCGATTGCTATTCATCATGATGTGAGAAGCAAAAAGAGTATTGGCATGCACTATGGCACTATCAGAGGTGGCATCAGTATGAATTACGAACCGGTCACAGAGCCAGCGCAACGTTTCCAGAAGGCCGTTGAGGCTGCAGGTTTGCGATGGGGCAAGGATGTTGGCTTATGTGACATTGGGGAAACGGTCGTCGTCTGATTTGAGCCCAATTCATGTACGAACTCTTGTATGATTGTGCAGGCCAACCAGATTATATTCAGCTACGATTTGAACGCCCGTTACAAAGCAAGTCACCCCAACATGCAAAGTCCTGTTCTTGGCTTGCCAACGCTTCGTAGCTGGAAAGCCTATAGTCGCCCTTCACCTTAAAGAGGGAGGCGAAGACTAGACGTGCGCGACAGATAACCACAAGGCAGATTTCGTGTCTCGTTCAGCTCTGTCGCAGTTCCAGGCGGCTGCACCTAGAGAGCTGCCCATTGGCTAGGCCATCTCACCACTGCTCAGCTCGATCAGGCAGAAGCCAGGCTAGGGCGTCTTCGACAATCTCGCACAAAATCAGCTATATAGGTATCTTTTGGCTTCATCTGGATGCGGGCATATCGCACGTCAGCGGACCCGTCAGCTCCCGTAGCAGCATATATGACCTCCCACATCGACCGTGAGCCTTGGGATATCATCCACCCCCTAGCAACCATGCCTCCAGCTCCATCTAATCACGTTGATGAAGATGAGCAGCAACCCGAGGCTAGCTCTAGCCAGCCCAAGGCCGAGAAGCTCGAGGTCACCATCAATACTAAGCCAGTCGAGCCGTCTTCTACTGAGGGAAAGGAGGATCCGCCGCAGCTAAAGCGCAACGACCTAAAGGACTCATGGTACAAGGACAACACAGAATTCGTCCGCCGTGGTGCCCCTCGCCCCGTCGACGTCTACGACGAGTTCGTCTCACCACCTCGTCCACCGCGCCGAACGAGGCGCGCCCCGCCGCCTCCAGATTATTGGGCGGACCCTATGCCAGAGCCTACTCAACCTCTCCTGATGTCCTCCGTTGATTTGCTACAACAACTCAACTATGACGGACTTGCTGATCTCCCAATCTTGAACGGTCAATATCATAGATCAAGCATCTACCTCTCCACATTTCCCTTCACCGACAAAGACGTGAAGCAATGGAGCTGGCTCTTCCAGCTGGGCATTGAGGGCAAATTCTTGTTCAAGCAAGGAGAATTGCCCGATGATGATGGCGATGTGGAGGACGAATGGTTATATTCAGGAGAGCGTCACGGCCGCATAGCTGTTCGTTCGACCCCTTATCATCGTGGTCGTCACGATCGCTCTCCTTGGGGCCCACCGGACAATGGAGCAGATGTCCCCTCTGTGTATCTCTCGCGTGCGCTTGATCCCGCTATTGTTCCTGAACCATCTGAGAAGGACTTTACGTTCGTCATCGTGGTGCGAAACCGCGGGCGAGCTGGTGGCGGGGCGAAGCTGCTCACCGCTGGGAGTCGCAAGGCTGCAGGTATTCTCATTTACTATGAGGGTCTCATTGGGCATTCTGTGGCATTTGTAGGTGCCGTGAAAGAAGGCTTCGAGAAGGGGAAGAAGGCTTGGAAGTATAAGCGCGTGGAGAGCGTGGAAGAGGCTGAGAAGGTGGTAGAAGAAGGCATCGTGGGCGTCGTCTGCTGAGGGAAATTTATTTTGCTATTCATAACAATATGTCTTTCGTTTACTCACGGTGTAAGGCAACGTATTAGCCTAAACTTCCCGCCCGCGGCTGCATGCCTGCAGGGGCTTCTGCATCCCAGCTCAGCCTCGTAGTACAAATGAACGCCACCCGCCGCATCTCCCGCTTTCACCACAGTCGAGCACCTCAATCCAGAACATACATACCATTGCTCGTCCGGCGTGTTTATTTAGTAGCTTGCGTCACAGGCGCAAGCGCCGTGTAGCACCGTTAAAATGGACCCTCTGGCTGGGCTTTCGTTAGCATGCAACATCATGCAGGTGATCCAATTTTCGGCCGAAACGTTGAGAGTCTTCAAACGCTTGAACGAAGGCGTCTCGCCGGACCTCTACGTGGAGACGAACAGAAAGTCGCTCATGACAGCGACGGAGAAACTCAAATCTACGCTCAGTACGCCATCGGTTCTCAAGCTGGTACCAAGAGATGCTACGCTTCTCCACGTCTGCAACGAGATCGTAACGGTATCAGACGCACTCCATAAGCAAGTACAGAAATTCTTCCCAGCCAAAGGGGACTCGAAAACGACAATCCTTCGCAAAAGTGTTGCTTACCAATTCAAGTACAAGAGCACGACTGGGAAGCTCTCGCAGCAGCTGGACAGGCTACAAAATCGCATGGAATCTGAGATTCTGATCGACTTACGACAATTTTTGATGGAAGACCAGTATGAAGTCCTTGGCCGATTTCAGAGTTTGGACAATGACCTGAGAAATTTCCATGCCAATCTGATCACGGGGCAGACGCGGTTAGAAGGCCTGGTGGACCAGCAGTCTGGCCAGATCAAGGAAGCCATCAGAGACGAATCGCAGAAAACACGAGAACGTATAGTCCAGAGTGCTCAAGAGACCAAGGATCTCATCGACACGACGGAGAGCGAACGGATCAGCGATGTTGCCTGTCAGCAGTTTCTTGAGAGCTTCCGATTTCCCGAAATGAACGCGCGGCGGAACACGATTGAGATCTCGCATCCAGATACCTTTCAATGGATCTTCCAAGAGCCTGGAAAGACTAAAGGTAGTGACGATGACGTACCGAAGTGGAGCAGTTTCTCGACATGGCTTCGTGACGGTACAGGCACGTACTGGATCAGCGGCAAAGCTGGTGCTGGGAAGAGCACTCTCATGAAATTCTTGCTGGAAGACCCGACTACAAGACAAATACTCTCAAATAACCGCTCCAACACGATGATCATCTCTGCTTTCATTTGGAGCTTAGGGGCCAGTACGCAGAAAAGCTTGGTCGGCGTGCTGTGCACTCTCCTCTACGACTTCTTCGCTCAGAATCGCGACATCTGTCGGCAGATGATGAAAGAGAGGCAAAGCGACTTCCGTCTCAAAAGAGAAAGTTCAGACTGGTCCTTGCAGGAGCTCGAGTTGCTTTTCTCTTCGGTCGTGGGCAACTGCCCTTGTTCTTTATGTATCTTCATTGACGGCTTAGATGAGATCGATCGAACCAAGTCGACGGAGGTCACGAGTCTTATGAAATGGCTAGAGAGTATACGCGCTCTCAGAACCGTGCAGCTTTGCGTGTCTAGCCGCCCGGAGCCAGTATTCGAGAATCGGCTTCGACAATATCCGCACCTGCAGGTTCAAGATCTTACAGCGAAAGACATAAAACACTACGTTTCAAGTATCGTATGCAGCCTGGACTTCGGTTTCGAAGGATCCTCACAGGATATCCAAAAGTTAGTCGAAACCATCGTTAGGCGAGCCGAGGGCGTCTTTCTATGGGCTCATTTAGTCGTTGAGCACATTCGCACAGACACAGAATACTCTTCGAACTGGAAGACACTGGTTCAGAGAGTCAACGAACTACCATCTGGATTGCACTCAATGTATAAGTTAATGTGGGAACGGCACAACAGCGACAGTGAAGTCCATCGCGCCGAGACTGCCTCTTTTCTGAATGTGTTGCTAGGTAATTCGCGGAGTACAAGTGTGCTACTCTTGTTTATGTTGCAATTTAATGTCGACATCCAAAACCTGATTTTGACGGGCGGAGAAACCGTATCAACATACTTGCTTATCAAAGAATGTTCTCGCTTCGATGCGAACGTGGTAGCGAGGTGTGGTGGACTGATCACAACAAGCGGTATACCGTCACCACGATTACTGCCCGCACTTGAAGAATGGCAAAGACGTCTTCTTGAAAAAGGTATCCTAGGCGATTCTCATGACCGTATCGGGTTCAAGATGTCCTTCGGTCACCGCAGTGCAGCTGATTTCTTGCTGAACACCTCCACAGGTCGTGACATATTGCAATATGACAGGAAAACGGCAATGGAGCATTCCATTCATCAAGCGAAAGCAGCATTTTGCTACAGCCTTCTCAAGGGAGACTACGGGGAGGGCCCACATGCTATGTCAATTTGTTCTCCTCTACGCCATGAGTTCCGGACTCCACATTTCGCTTCGGCGGTTTTCGATGTGTTCGTTAGAGCCTGTGGGAGGCGGCCTAATTGGACAGCGTCCGGGAAAGAAACACAACAGCCAGAAGCTCTTCGCCTGGGTGGTTATATCTGCGCCATCTTTATCTTCGCTGGTTTCCGCGCTCAACTTCAAGATCTTTTACAAGAGTTGCCTTCTGAGGAGCTGTATCGAGTGAAAAAGAAATTGCTGATCTGCATGTGCATTGTCAAAAGGACTATTATGATCCGCGATGCATCTGATTTTATGATTGAATTGCTACATTGTGTTCGTCCCCAGGACCTATCAAACAACACGCCTTTCCTACTCCATGGGTCATTAGTCGGGCATCTTTTCGCTTACGCAAAATCGTTATTGGAGATTTCATTGCCCCGCAGATTCCAAGTCTCTCAAAACGGCCCACGATTTATTCGTCTTTTGCTGCAAAAATGTGGCGGCATTGAAGCCCTGTCAAAGTGGCGAGTGTTAGTCATGCTTCCGCACTATGTAGCTAGGCCAACATCGAGAGAGCCGGCTACTGTACTGACGAACTTTCACGCTGTGCTCGACTTTTCTGGTGGTGGAAATAGCAGTCCGCATGCAACACTGGTAGAATCTAGTATGCTCGAGGTGTTCTTGGCTGAAGAGTCTCCTCTGCAGAAGTTCTTGATTCACACACGAGGCCTGAGCCCAGCTGGACGGACCTGCTTGCAAAAGATAGTAATGATCGTGCAATTTGTGACGAAACAAAACGACATAACTGGGGAATACTACATATCTGGCTTTGACTCGAAGCCCATCTATCACATGGACACAACACTCGACCTGGGAGAGCTGTTTATAATGAAGTACAGCTCAGGTACATATTCCAACGAAATTCTCGACGAGCCGAAACTCAATAGTGAACAAACTCTGGACTTTCTTGTTGCAAAAGGTTATTTAACACGCGATTGTGTGAACCCTGTCAACCCGCTGCGAGCCTTGCTGGACGAGGATGTTCTGGCTCCTGAAAAATCTCCCCAATTCAGTGACATCGACTGGTCGTTTGAGATAGATTGCGAACGCTTGGAGCACGCTAGTCGAGACGTAGTCGAAAAGGAACGGAAAGCAGGGAATCCAAAGGCTATTGCGCCTTGTAAAGGGGGTATGCGATTTTCGGAAGCTACCGAACAATGGCAGGACACATGGGAGTCATTGATGGAAGAGTTGCACATCGAAGACTGGGATTACGAGGGGTAATGGTCAGCTATCTTATTCCAGTCGCTGATATTCTTAACTGTCCGATTGCCGGGCACATGACGAGGTGAAGACTTGTCTGGTAAAATCATACGCTACTATAGCAGATTGGCAAATGTTCGTGTAGCGTGCGCTATTTGCGGCTTCATTACATCTATTATGCGAAGTGTTGCTTTGAAGTCCACACTGTCATATACCGTTCACCGAGCGTTGCGGCACCTGACTCCGTGGTTCGTACAGGACGCACCGAGACGAGATCAAATAATACTTGCATGAGATTGTTACCATTCAAAGGCTTAGAAGAAACCGCGATCTATACAGCAGCATACGCTCGACGCGATATAAAATGGTGTTTCCACAATGCAGATGAGGTTTCAAGGCGTGGGAGGGAGTCAACCTGCAACTGCCAGGCGCTAATGCAATGCAGACCAAGTATTGGACACTGCACTACCGCGATCATCCAAGTCCTAGCAAACCGCCTTTCTTACCAAGGCTGGCTCTTCTGGGATCCAACTCGATGTTGTGGACAACATTCCCGATCTTGGCTTTGACCACCTCAAAAGGTGTCTGTGGGGTATCAATGAACTTCGACACGTCTACATTTTGCGCAAGGGTGATCCATTCGGGATCAGGTTCCGTCAGGTTCCAAGCGATGCTGACGTGGTAGTTCTGGGTACGGTCGAAGGCTGCCTTGGCCTTCTTTGCCGTATCTTCATCATGAATGCTTTTCCTTCTCTTGCTTGAGAGGTTGGTGGAAGTATTATCTTCCATTGGCCCATCACCCTTCCCGCCCACGTAGAGCGGTGGATGTCCAGACCTCTCGGCTGCGTCATTGCAGGCATGGAGAAGCCTGTTTAGCTCATCCTGGGCCGGCCGCTCAATCCCCAGAACAAGGAACCAGCGGTTGCGTTCGTAGTTGGGAACCCACTTCAATCCTGTAAATAAGACATTGAATGGTCGCACAGCTGCTTTCCGGAGAGAAGTGGTCAGGGTTTCAAGAAAAGGTTCTCGGTCATCTGTCTTGATCTGCAGCGTTCGCGATAGCGAGATGTGAAGAGGGATTGGCGTGCCTAGCTCAGACAGAAGCGAAGGGTGGATCTCAGGGATCGGCAATTGCTTCTTCAGGCGGCTGTTGGCACCTTCCAGGGCTTCTCGAACATGCGCTATCAGGCTGTTCAACTTTTGAAATTCAGCCTGAGACGGCAACCCTCGACCACGTTAGGCTGACTGCGCCACGATTGAAGACGACACAAAAGGAAGAAACGAGACAGCTTACACTCGATGTAGACGTGGCTAGGCCAGTTCCCCTCGATATGCGGGACCGCGCGTTTGCGCCCACCGTGGAGGCTGGGGTCGTCGCTGGTGCTCGCACGGGCGTTCGTGGAGTAGAGGTCGTGGAATGCAGCCGGAAGCGGCGGCAGGCTGGTGCTTGCTTGGCCCTCGGCGCTGCGTTTGCGCTTCAGGGCATAACCGGGTATTTTGGTATCTGCATCATCGGATTCGGAGTCTGAGTACTGGACCAGAGCCAGCGACATGGTCGGCCTGCGTGGGTTGGGCTGCAGGCCGGACGATCCGCGCTGACGACGTTGATAGAAGCCGTGTGGGGAGCGCGGGCCGGCCAAAGCTCATCCCGCGTCGCGAAAACCGGCGACCAACGTGTATGACGTAGCCCGCGATTGGCCGATTGCTGCCCACACGCTGCGATCAGGCCGCTGGGCAGGAGCGAACAAGCAGCGACTAATGCGGAACGAATGACGGTGTTACGTATGTCGTTCCTGCCAAGCGAGCGCGGGTGCTGCTCCCAGCCGCAGACTGTTACAAAGGCATCCGCTGTCACCTGCTGGACCTGCATTTTCATTGTCTCACCGTTACGCGCCGCACCACAAAGCGACCCATTGTATATCCTACCAGTACTTTCCCTACGCAAAACCCTAAATCGGCTGCTCCACAATCGCAATGGGAAGCGACAAAGGTTTCGTCGAGGTAAGCGATCCCTCGCTCGTCTACCATGCCTTTCCTGACACTGACATTCCAAACATAGGCGCACCATTCGCTCATCGACCCTCTGATCGAACCAGAACCCAGTGATGATACTGGCCTGAACAGTCACTTTGGATCAACTTATGCTCCTCGACAAAACCTTCCCACTCCACCGGATTCCGCCGGCTCCAAGGAATTCCCATCCGCGACCATCCGCCAGCACAACACTGGGAGCAGTGTCGGAACCAACCCCTTCCTCCGTTCGCAGAACACTGGAAACTCTGTAGAAACCAATCCCTACCGTCGCTCCCGAGGCTCTTCTGTTTCAAAGGCCCCCGCAGTCCAATATGGAGAGACAAGTCCCCGAAAGTCTTCCAGAAACGAGTATCCTTCTCCTCCAAACTCTACCAGTCCTCGACGTCAGCACTTCCGGGATCACCGCAAAGAAGCATTTGGATCCATAAGCGAAGGACGTCCCAGGCGATCTAGCCAACCAAGCGGTAGCAGCCCGATGAAGGGCGCCGGACTCACACGTGGTGGCTCTCTGCGTGAGCGTTTCCCTGGCGACCCGAGCACCCGGCCCCTGGATACTATCCGTAAGGAGACCAAGACTGCGCATCGTGCTCCCCACCTCAGGAAGAGGAACTTCACGGGCGCTGACATCATCGATCGTCTTGACAGGACGACCATTGGAGGGGCCGCCTACCACCACGAAGGCCCTTACGATGCGACGAACATGTCGCGCAATCTAGACTACAAGCACAGCCCTGTTGCGGCCGTGGCCGACTCCAACGAGGAAGCGTTGAGAGCTACACCCAGAGAGAACATTGTCGATGCTGTACACAAGCACCGCCCCTTGGAGGGCGTTGCCATTGTCCCTCCAGGCATTCCCGACCGCATGGGTCGCACCTACGACTACAAGGAAGGTGCCGACCTCATGCGTGAGCCCGGAGCCGACTACAAGCGCTGGCCCGGCATCCCCTATCACCCGGACGATCTGAAGGGCAAGGGGGAGCCATCCTACACCATCGAGAAGGCTCTCAAAGACCATAAGACGTACGGCGACACCGGATCCGAGATGCAGAGCCGCCACCGCCGCAACGTGAGCATGGGCTCCAACGACGTCCCCGCCAACCTCCCTGCTGAGTCCCTCGACGCCGGCGCTTCTAGCGGAATCGGCCGCAGCAACACTACAGGGAACGGCATGGGTTCCGCGCTCAAGAAGCGCTTCGGCAGCATTCGCCGCAAGAAGGTCGAGGCTTAGGAACTTCGCACCCCGCGCGCTGCGCGCTTCAGAAGCAAGAGCATCGCATATTTCCCGCACACTGAGACGAGTCGCAAGATTTACTGGATTTGACCTCTGGTCAGGTCGACGGCATGAGCAACATAGGCGCACAGACGCCGAGTGTACGAGTATGAGCGAAAGGAACAAATACCGCCAGGGCTAGGCTTTTTCTTTTGTTGATGGGCTTGGCATTGTAGGATATTAATGCACGAGTATGAGTGGCATAGATTGGCATAGATATGAGCCGCTCGACGAGCGAAGCGATATGGATACTGTGTGTTATCTATTATGGTCAATGGAACTGAGAAGACCTTTCAGATTGTCTTGCAGAACGTGCCCTTCTTTGGAGTGAACTTTTTTGCAGCAGTCGCCAATGATTATCGTGTAGCAAGGGGTAGCTCGGTGTATAGATCGAGTACGCAAGCTGTATGTTTCACGTGTCGCAGGGTATCTCAACGTACAGTGCACGTACAACCTGGTTGCGACTTCTATGATCCTAAACAAATTCGGGAGTCTTCACTGACTCGGACGCCCGTTTTGCTTTGGAGATCCAACCAATACAGTCCACTTCCTCTTCCATGCATCACTGATGAGTAGTTCGTGCGCCCAAATCTGTCTTCAACGTGATATCTTGAGCAATTAGCATCTACGAAGAAAATATCATCCAGCAGCATGGCATGACCATGCCCATGCTCCAGCTTTTGCCTGACCCACACACAAACAGTATACACAAGAAAAGCTTCCCCACAGTGGCAATGCTCCCGGAACGTCCCGTGGTCCAATAGAAAAGGTCGACACCGTAGATGCTAGAAAAAGAGAGATCAAGTTATGAGTAGAAAGCGCCCTTCTGGAAACTCTCGACGCCCATGTCGCCCGCCTTGCCCTCCACAGTGGGCACCGCCGCGGCAGGCTTCGAGGTCAGGCTCGCCGTCCGACTTGCCTCTGCGCTGCTCGTCATAGTCTGCGCTCTGCTTCCCGGCTGGCTCCCTGTCGTGATCTGCGCGGGCTGCTTTCTCTGGATCGTCTCTAGATACACTCCAGGGAGGTACCCCATGCGGCCGTCCCGCGAGCGGCACCGCCACCACTCAGATGCGTTGCCCATGGGGTCAGACTTTGAAAGTACGGCGACCATATCGCCCTTCTTGACGGCGAGGTCGAGGCCCGGCTGCGCGTTCATGCTCGCGTCGGGCGCAAAGTCGTACAACGCCCTGCAGAACTCGAGCTTGTTGGGATCAAGAGGTTCGCCGCTTGCCATCGGATCGTTGGCCATGAGGCGCTTCTGCTCTGCTTCCTGGCTGCGCGCCAGGGTCCGAATGAGCTTGCCCATGAGGTAGGGCAGGCCAAAAACGGCGAGCATGAACATGATGAAGGGCTTCTTGGAGGGCTTGGCGGGGAGCGAGGAGCCATCGGGGGCACGGCCGTTGAAGGCGGCGAAGGAGGCGGGGTGAGGTCTTTAGAGGAGGCGGGGAGTGGGCGGCCCGTGAGCTTTGCGATTGCGGTTCGGATCCAGCGCATGAGGGTGAAGATGCCGAGGACGGAGCCGAGGGTTTGGCGTAGGTTACCGAATTGTTCGGCGACGGATACCATTGCTGTTGTGATGTCAGTTGCCTTGTTTTTCCAAGATGAGAGTTAATCTCAATGGTGACTTACCGAAGAATGAAGAGTGTGTCGCCATGTATGTACTCTCGAGCATCTGCGCGAACCCGCCGAATGCACCGACAATGCCTTCGATCAACTGGAAGGTCGTCTGTGTGCTCTGGCTGAAGGACTGTGTGAGGCTCATGTTGTTGGGGTCGCCGGGCATGCCCATGCCGTTGCCGTACATGCCTCCCATACCTCCCATGCCCATGCCCATCCCGCCCATGCCTCCATACATGCCGCCGTATCCACCGCCACCATACATCGATCCGTAGCCTCCCATCCGATTGTATGGCGAAGAGTAGTTGCTATATCCACCCATTCCTCCCATTCCCCCCATCGTGCTTCCGTAAGGCGATCCATATCTGTTTGCGTTCATGGTCGAGTAGTTGGATGCGTTGCGATTTGCAACGGTGCTGAGCGAGCTGGGTACTTCTGGCAACGGCGGCGGATTCGATGTCCCTGCTGTCCCTGTCGCAGTCGGTGCTGCTGCTGTGCTGCCTCCTGTCAAGCCTGACATGGTCAGTGTCTGCTGCGTGGTGTTGACGTCTGCGGACTCGGACTCACCAACCGAGGCACTGGTTGCGCCTCCACTTCGCTCCCACGGCTTAGGCGGCGACGGCGATGCCATTCTCACAGGAATCGGCGCTCACCACCCCGTCATCAGGTGTAAATGGGGCTTCTGGATCTGTCGCAGGCGATGCGCAGGTTCTGTTCTGAGCGCAGGTCGGCCGACGTCAAGAGGCTGGGCTGGGTCTGGAGAAGCGCGCCGGAGGTCGCTTGCGGGGCTGGCCGGTTCGCTAATAAAGAGATCGCGCGGGTCCGCAGACGTGCAGCACCACCCAATGCAGCGCGCTTTTGAGACAGTTGAACACGGTGAGGGTATCGCAAGAGGGTGTAAGGATGGCTGTGGGGTTGCGGAGGCGGCAAAGAACGGAGGTGAACTTTCGGGCTCGTGCTGGTCTCGTTCTGAGCAAACATCCTCGGCTCGTTTTCTTTGGCTGCGCGAGGCAATCACAAGCCTCGACCCGAGTCAGCCCCGGTACTTCTCCGCCAAAATGCGACCCTCTTCGCCACTAAAGCATGCGCGACGTCCAGCGAGGAAAGTCTTTCCGCGTTGTTCGTGATAAAGGGAGCCTTCATACAGTTGTCTTTCATGGGCAGCGCCGTCAGCTATCTTGCATGGTCCATAACACATCACGACAAATACAAGTCAACCATGGAGTACTTCTGTTAAGCCTTTGCAAGGTTCATCATCCTACGTTGGTGGATTGGTACACTCACCGCGCTGACTATCTCAAAGAGTATCCACTAAACTACATCGGGATACCAGAATGACAACCTACACAGCGTACTGCACTGCACTGCTTATGTGATCTATACACCGATTAGCAAAATGCCATGTCTTTTGTGCGATACTTATACTCATGAGGGACCTCTGATCATTCCCAACTACGGCTTCGCTTGTCGAACCTAATTTCAACTTTAACCGATACCAAAATGCTGCTAGCGAATGACCACCACCCGGATGCAAACGTAGCCGGCAAAGCTAGTAGCATTTGAGTCTGTTGAACTGATGAGGATAGGCACACACCGCTGGGAAACAAACATATACGTCCCAAGGGCCGCCATGCAAAGGCAAGCCACTGACGACTTGCGACATCTGCGACTTCAGCCCAACGCCATTTCTAAGATATAACTGAGTACATGTACAAAACGTTCTAAGGAGTGCAACTCACGTTTCCACGTAAGATACGTGCGTTCAAGCATGCTGCCATTGATTGCTCTTCTCGCAAGCTGCCTCGCTCCTGCCTTGGCCATTCCTCTCAGCTGCCATTCGCAAACCCAACCAAACCCAATCACTCAAGACTTCCCCAAAGATGTGACCGGCGTCATAAATGGAACGACAGCCATAGTTCCGATTCCGTACGCCGTTGCAAGGAGTATCATACCCTCTCAATATCCCATCTTAACAGCTGCGTATCTGGAGCTCTTCCCAACCCTAGGAAATGAGATGTATCCCGCGGTACTCGAGGCGGTCCAAGACCACGACGTCGGGCAGCCCCCCCTCAAGATCCCAGATTTTACGGTGAGTCTCGCTGACTGGATGTTTCTATGCATCAAAGGCGGCAACTGACCCAAACCCCAGCGCGTGGCACTAAAGCTCCCATTCGTGGACCGCCTCAATGACGGATACTCTGCCTTCAAATACACACCTCCCCAAGTCATCAGTGCTACCAACTTGGTTGCGCTCCTCGGCTCAGCTATCTACGGCCAGACTGTAGCAGGAACTTTCGAACCCGCCTGCAACGCGTACGCAAGTGGTGGCCAAGGGGAGACGTATATGCGCGCATATACCGTTTTGGACTCTCTTGTTCCCAATGCTAAGCCTGTCGCTGACATATCCTTTGGAGCGGCGGCGAGTATCCCATACACCCTCGAAGCGTACGTCTATCTCTTTCCTTTCCACTTGAGTCTCTGCTGACCTTCTAGTTTTATGAATGTCCTGAACCAGCCTCTTTTCGGAGACGGCGTACCGTTATGTGACAACTACATCACCCTGTTCAATACCACTGTAACGTCCGGAATGTATGCCCCGGTGCCTGTAAAGGGCACGGTTGCGGTTCGATCGCCGTTGTACCCGACTGAAGAGACATTTGAGGACGTTTATGGGTACAGGATGGCGAATGCGTTTGTAGAGAGGAACGGTGTGGATTGTGAGAGTTTAAAGGGGTATTCTGGGAGGTAAGATGGGAGATATGGCATGAGTGGCATGGATTTTCTTTTTCAAGACATATCCATTTTCTTCTGGGGATCATCGTCTCTTGCCACAATCTAGAGCAAGGTGCAATATAATTACGTATCTGCAATCAACCAGAAGCTGACTGTGCCTCCAACACACACAACCGCCCTTCTTTCGTGCCGGACCACAATTTAATTTGGAACTTTCGTACAAGCATCCTATGCGCACTTTTACTCAAGACCCCCCACACCTCAAGCACGCATCTTGTACAATTTGACCGCTTGAAATTTGTAAAATCGATGCAATGGATTCAACGAAGCTGGACACCGTTACCTTCGTGGCTGGAAGATGCCGTATACCGCGAGTAAGCATGGGGTTAGTGCTGTGATGAAGACGGCTGGCAGGTCAAAGGAGGACAAATGAATGGATATCGAGGCATGGACTGACAGACCGTAGCTCCTGGAAATGGCTGGTAAGGACTTCGAGTCGATATGATGTGTCCCGCCTGGGTGACGAGAGCTATAACGGACAGTGAGCTGGAAACAAATTTGGGGTCAAGAATTTCAGGCGAAAATTTCGAAAGAGCATGCTGACTATATGTGCACTTAAAGCTGGCGATGCATGCATTCGCTGCAGGGTAATTTGTGATCACATGTTCGCGAACTGGTGGAACATTCTTCGCATCGCGGTATGCCGATGCCAAACCTCGCGATCTTCTTTGGATGTTGAGTTTCGCTTGCAGCAACATCCTCAGCCTTACGCTCATCTACGAAACCCAACAATTACTACCACACCGGCTCTTGCGCCAACATGAGATACGGCCGTACATTATTGGGTTATAACTTCAAAGGCCTATTATAGGGCGAGTCACCCTAGGCTACACTATCAGATACTAAGCTTGCAGCCGATTGTCCGACCTCCCGACATAGGGAGCTGAGAATCTGGCACCATGAAGTTCAGTTTTCTTTGTGTCGCCCACTGTACACACACGCGACGCGAATAAAGTTTTCACATCGAAATTCGAACAAGGGCAGTTGCTCTTGCTACAGCCTTAAACTAGACCTTCACCGTCCTGGTCGTTAAAATCCCCCCGCCAGCATCAAGAGCATTGGATGAGAACATATGTCAACTCCTGCGGTAAGTCGCATCAGCTGGACAACAATAAGATCGCACTGACTCGCGGACAGTCTTCAACTTCTGCTTCCTGCCACTCATCTACCTGTCTTATCCTGAACGCGCAAATTTTCGCTCGAGCTGATCGATGACCTGTTCACAGGCGAGGGCTATGCGATGAAGCATGGATACGATTCACACGGTGCGAAGATCGAAGGTCACGGTCTTTGACGACAAAGTGCTGGCGTGATTAGCAATGTGAAGAGTACGAAGAGCCACGACACGACGGACGGGTGTGTCTTGATAGAGTAGCTTATCTGCACGTTCAAGTCGTGTCGATAGACTGGGTTTTGCGACAGGCCGACGACTTGTGGGAGTCAGAGAAGTCCGGTAGAATAGATGTCGCACTATCTTCGAGCGAGGTTGGCGGTCAGGGCAGAATGTGTTGATGGAACGGCAAGAAAGTGAGGCGAGGAAATGAGGCAAGAAAGTGAGGCAGGAAAGTGAGGCAGCCCTCGAGGAAAGCCTAGGTCAGCGGCAGCGGTCACCCACATGCAATGGAGCGACGCGACAGGTAACGTTTACGCCGGCACATTTGTAAATTATAGCGTCTTCTTCCTCAACGCGTCGCACAGCGGCAACGCAGTCAATGAAAAAGCAACAAAGTTGCGTCCAGCAAAAATTGCCCCGATCAGGCCCCCGAAGGAGACTGAAGTCGCTCCCAGCTCCGCGCTGTGCAATGCAGGCGAGAACGACTAGTGCCTGAATGCTTGAGCTCAGGTCACTTCAAGAAGGTAAGTATGAAGAATCAGAAAGAGCGCGAGGGAGAGGGGACTTATATAGGCGAGAGCTAGGCCCGTGCTGCTAGCGTGGGTGGCAGTCACGTGTCAGCTGGAGCCTAAAGCGGGACCTTTGTGGATCTAGCCACTACGCGACTGGGTCCATCACAACGCCCGGGCGTCACTGACTGCACGAGCAAACATCACATCAGCTCCCGGCTACACGCCCGCCGTTGCAATGGCAGCAACCACTGGTTCAGGACGGGCTTGCGCGGAGTCACTGAAATGTGTGTGGTACACAAGCAATCCTTCGGATGTTTGGCAGTCATCTCCTATATCTTGCCGTCTATTAGCAGCTACCAGATGAACAAATTTGCTGGGGAGTTTCAGATGGGATCCAAACTGAAGGAAATCGGGATTGGGTGGAGGCGATATCGCGTGACGTGATATTACGGAGAGCGTTCGTTACTGAACGACGATGCGCCACCGTACAGTCCATCTTAGAATTGATTATACAGTTAAAATTATGTTCACACTGCTCGCCATCCAGTGATACTGTCAAACTCTCCTTTCTATAAGGCATTATACAAAACACACCAGCGAGCGTCTATCGCTCAGGGTATCCCAAAAGCATTCGAAAACGCCTTGCCGTCCAAGCGCAGCATACAAAGAAAAACGTCGTCATGACACTCGTCGCAGCTGTGACAAAAGAGGACTCCTTCGCTCCTTCTCCCCCCCTCCATCCATGCTATGTACATTCAGATCCCGGGCACGGCTCTCAATTGCTACTCTCATCACTATTCTCCGAGCTAAAGTAACTCTGATCAATTCTCAAGATCCACTCAATCTTCTCCCTCTCGCTCCTCGCGCGGAAGACATACGTGTTACTCTTCGCAAACACAGCCCACACCATCTCCCCCACGCCACCTGCGCCCCTCGTCTCATCTGCAACACCCGTCAAAAGCCGCGCAATCTGCGGACTGTGATCCACCCGCGCGTTGGTCAAGTTGATGGCGTTGAGCTCGTCGCCCTCCGCACTGTAGATGTGCAGGTACGGTCGCCGCAGCTCGACGAAGCGTCGTACCCAGCGCGCGTTCGTCGGGTCGGGCATAAGGAGGTAGGAGGACTTGAGCAGATCTGGATTTTTGGGTACGAAGCGCACGGTGGCGACGAGGCTTGGGGCACGGGAAGGCGAGGGGTCCGGGCTGCGAGGCGCGAAGGCGGCACCGTTGGTGGGCGGCTCGAGGTTGGTGGGGTTGAGGATTACCTCTGCGGGTGCGCGGCCGTTTTTCCAGAGACCGATAACGCGCTGGAGGAGGTTTTTTTGGCGGGCGTCGAGGGTGGCCGAGGAGGTGTTGGAGGGAAAGGTGGTGAGGGCGCGGGAGGAGAGGACGGAGCGCGCGGTTTCGATCTCAGCGATGCGTTGGCGGCGTTTGTTGAGTGCGATGTAGTCCCGGACGAGAGATACGCCGCGGGGTGTCCAGCCGCTGAGGTGCTCTTCACCTTTGATGTAGTCGCCATTGGTGTTCATGCGCCAGAGGTCTGTGGCGCGCTTTACGCTGGTAGGGCGGATGGCGATGCTGAATATGCCGACTGTGGAGTGGATGACGCGCTGCTGCGCGAAAAAGTTTGAGAAAGAGAACAGGGAAACCTGGCGCATGTATGTTCTGCTACGGATCTGGAGTGCTAGATCGAGACTGAAGACCATGGGCTCAGCGAGTTTGGCCGACGTCACGTTAAACAAAAGCGAAGCCTGCACACGGTACTTGTCTGGTGTTGCGCGGTCGAGGAGCAGCGAATTATGGACTGATGAATCCCACTGACCGATGAAAGTAACATTGGCGGTGCCGTCAGCGTTAGACTTTACGACGGGCGGAGAAACCAGCTTAATGGGAACTTCGCGGACGGGGCTGCTGTCGAGGCTCGGAGAGTTGCCCTCGGTATCAACGAGGCGGAGACGGCCCACGCGCATGGAAGGTACGTCTTCCCATTGGAGGGTATCGCCACTGGTATGTGTTAAGTTGACCACGATGCGGCGCTGGAGTCCTTGGTGAAGCTGATAGACGCCAGCGTCCATGGCCCCGCTCTGAATGACGTCGACCGGTTTGTATGTGCCGTCTTCAGATATCTCTTGGACTTGTATGCGAGAGAATATGTCATGCGTGTCTTCGGTGTAGAATTCGGACTCGGGGAGGCGAGCCTTACGCCGCTTCTGTGTTGGCCGCGTTGCAGAGTCTCGCATGTCGTCCCAGCTCAGCAGCTTATCAAGGTGCATAGACGTGACTCGGGCGAAGATGGAAACGCGCAAGAACGTGGTTCGCGGGTTTGGATAAGGGATGCTCATACTATGAACGCTCTCAAATCGGACCGGTGCCTCGTCAAAGTCGGTGATCATTTGCGTGGTGGTCGCCCCGCTCTCATCGGATATGCCTGGGAGGAAAAGCTGCGCGTGGACCTGAGTTCCTTCTCTTTCCGGGAAGCCAACCATGTCGTGCATTACGACATTAAATTTAAGAGTAGTCGAAGGTGCTTCGGCGGAAGAAGGTTCAAGGGCTAAGCGTATAATGCCGACAACATTTGTTGTGTACGGCGAGATGACATCTAGACTAAAGTCCTGCACCCTCGATTCGAAAACAGCGGCAAGAGGTACGTCGGCATCGCCAATGCGCGAAAACTCCGGCATGCAAGGTTCTGAGAACGGATTCTCAAGGCTGAAGTGCTGTAGGTATTCTGGACGGTTCATGTACTGGTGCATCTGGTGCATCACCCGTACACGAAAGCGAAGCTTTTGTAACGACCAAAGATGCACTACCTCATTCTTGAAGTCAACCACCCTCACACCAACGCATGGTTTTGGTGTGTTCTCGAGATACTCATCGTCTTCTCCTGGGATGCCGTTTAGGACCAGATCGTATGAGGACGCAATGTTGTGCCCCACATCAACGATGCAGAACTGGAAGACTACATTCTTGTCCATCTGCTGGCTCATGACCTGCGCTTCTTTCAAGGTCGCTGCGTTCTGAAGGATCGTCTCCGCCATTGTGACGTACTTGCGTTTCCGCCACTGCTGGAACACGCTTTTCACCAACTCCGTATGCTGCTCATTGGGCTTCTCGATCTCCTCTCCGTCCTCCACTCCATTCTCCCCTGGCAGCTCAGGTGGAGGTTCGTGTCCAAGCTCTTTGAGTTGGCGATGGAAGGCCTCCTTCTGTGCTTTCAGCTGCTTCTGCATCTCCTCTTTTGCCGCACGAAGGTTCTCCTCCATCTGCGCTTTCTCCGCCTTGATCTCTTCGATCTCGACGTTATCCTCTTCCGACGACCGCAGCTTAGCCTGATACTCCCCCTTTTGTTTTTCAAGCTTCTCTTGCATACTTTCGCGGATCTGTCGGAAGCTTTCCTCCTCTTCGCCGGGCTGCGGCGTTGAAGGCATCGTCAAGACGGTGTCCAGAGAAAAGTTGTCGAGGGTCCCGTTGGATGCGTACTTTTCGCGAACAGGATATGAACTCACAGACTCCATATCCTCCGGATCAGAGCTCACATCGTATATCCGGCTCTCTGGCCGAGATTTTCGCGTAGCACGGAGTCTTTGCAAGTCATCAAACAGCGCATCAAACTCTTCATCAGGCATGGATGCGATCTTCTGGTCGGGACCCAAAAGCGCAGTGACTGCTTCTCTTCTCGCAAGCGACCAGTCAGAATCGCGTCCTCGCTGAAAAAATGCAGGCGATGAAGCTCGCGGGCTATCCGAGTCAACGTCCGAGGCCGCCATGCTCACTGTGCTGTAAGATCTATCGTGGCCGGGCCGTGGTGACGGAGAGTTGAGAGCGCTCGCGGTTACCGAATGGCGAAGTAAGCTTGTGCCTATTTCTGCACGCTCCGCTCGTGCCTCTTGCGGGTTGTTGAAACGGAAGATGTGAAAGTCACCCAGTATGATGCGGAAGCCACTTCGCAGTCGCTTAGGTTTATCGATGCGGATCCCGTTGACCATTACACTGGCATTGTCTTTTGGTATTACTGTTACTGCACTGTCTACGTTCTCGAATGTGCAGTGGTCGTGGAGTATTTGTGCACCGGTCAGTCGTATGTCGGCTGTCTGGTTCTCGCTGTCTACATTGCCAACGGTGGTCGTACCTGGTTTCACATTGTACACCAAACACTCTGATGTCAGCGGATCATCGCTCAGGTTGACCAAATGTGGCATCTTCTTCGGCGTTGACAAGCCAACGGAGCCCTTCTCAATGGTGATACCGAGTTCTTCCAATGCAGCCTCTCGCTCTTTCTGGATTGCCTCGGTTTTTACAAGCTTTTCTTCCCAAGTCTGATTGAGGTCCTGATAGAGTTTCTCAGACTGATTCAATTGCTCCACAATCTCAGCCTTGGACACCTTTTTAATCGATCCATCTGGTTGCGTGATGGACACGATTTGCTTCTCGAGCGGCGTGTCTGGTGCATACTGCTCTTCCATGGGCATACCAGCCGGGCCGCCGCCGCTCAGCTTTGAACGAAGTTGGGCCAGTTCCTCTTTGAGTTCTCGTATCATACGTGCGTTTGGATCCTCGTTCACGACAGCGTGGTTCTTGATGCGCTTGGCGGAGTCGGCGTATCGCAAAGTAGAAAGCGTCTCTTCAAAGTTGATATCGGCAGGAGATATGGCGGCGATCATGGCCGTCAAACTGTTACCACCCAGGGAGTCCTTCAGTAACCACGTCAAGATAGAGTCTCGATATGGAACCTGTGTCTTCTTCTTGCCGCTCGAAGCATCTGCCAGCGCTGCAATGACACGACCAAGAGTAGATAGCGACCTATTGATCTCGGCACCTTCCTTCAACCGAGCTCCCGTCGCTCCCGTAGACGTAGCTCTTTCTGAACCAGCCAAATCGACCAAACTAATCTTAGCCACCTTTTCTCCGCTCATCTTCATCTCGACGTCTTTCTGCTTTTGGGTCAAGATGAGGGTGAACACAGCGTGAGATCGCGAGGATGTCTCGTTCATGTTCGTCGCGGCAACGGTACGAGCTTTGTTTCCCTCGTCCATAAGATTCTCAATTTCTGCAAAAGAGCGCACTACCAGCTTGGCCAGATCCTCCACATACGGACCAGTCGACGGATGTTCTCGGACCTTGAGGTTTCCTTTATTGCTTGGGTTGAGCAAATCTCGCACTTTTTCGTTGTAAATTTCCAGGTACGACACCTCCACGGTGCAGGTTATGTTCTGATCTTGAATGCTCCCTATGCGCTCGAACATGTCCTGGCAGATCTTGGGGATGATGCCATACTCTTTTCCATATCCCATCATCGAGTATGATTTTCCGGAACCCGTCTGGCCGTATGCGAAAATGCAGTTGTTGTAGCCGTCGAAGGCATTCTCAAGCAGCGGCTTGCCCAGGTCTTCGTGCAGGTTCTCCTGGCCAGCATAGTTCGGAGCTGCGCGGTCAAAGGACCAGTAGGAGCGATCGAAGGCAAAGGTCTTGGGACCTTCAAGGGCGGCCTTTCCAGCGGCTTTGCCAACGGCTGGGTTATTGTTGGGCGGCGTGAGGATGGTCTGGCCGCCCTCCATGCGGACGATACATTGCGCATTGCGGTCCTTTTCTGTCGACTGTGAGTATTTGTCTAGCTAAAGATAGCTGCACAAGTCCTACCTCTGCCATTGAAAGGCCGACACCTGACCACCACCTTGATGTTTCCCCCTCCTGGCGCCATGTTGCAGGCTGCGATTTATTCCGCGCCGCAGCGCAGCAGCTTCGTATGCTTGTGTTCGGGTTTGTCTAAGGTCTAAGAGTATGCGCTCGGCCCGGGCGGCTTCATGGCACGTCGTGGATGGTTCGTGGATGTATCAGCGGGCTCAGGAGGCGTCGTATGGGGTTGTTGTTGCGAAAGCCAACTTCTCGAGATTACACGCGAATCCTTGTCCCACCCGCCGTTCTCCTGGGCCTACGAGGCATACCCCGGTCAACGCACGTGCTGGACCCTGGCCAAAATAATTCATGCGACAGCACAACCAAACGATTTACACACGAACGACAACTCAAACGCAGTTCTGATCCCATGTCGGACGATTCCAACGACATGTTCGCGCCGCCCGTCAACCGCGCCATGAAGGTGCTAGATCGCTCCTTCTTCCAGAAGACGGTCAACACGTCGGCCGCGCGCATCTTCAACCCAAAGGACATCTCACGCGTCCGCACCGACCTCGACCGCAGTCGCGACACCCTCAGAACCCGCCTCGATGGTGTACGGCCCGACATAGATGCTGCGCGCGCTACAAAAGGCGGCAAATGTCTGCTACTGAAGCCGGAAGTGGTGCATAACGGTGCGACTCATACCTACCCCACCAGCGTCTTGATGTCGGACTGAGTCTGAACTTAGGCAGATAGAAACACCTGGAGCCCGATACTGCAAGAGCTCGAACAAGCCGGCACGGTTGGCGTAGTACCCTACGAATTGAAACTCGACTATGACTACTTCACCTATTCCGAGATCACGAATGCCATCATACCTCCGCCCGAGAAGAAGAATGACGACGAGATACCGACAGGCTTTACCCTCGCGGGCCACGTTGCACATCTCAATCTACGAGAGCGATATCTACCATACAAGAGCCTCATTGCGACTGTGCTTGCAGACAAAAATCCCATCGTGACCACAGTCATCAACAAGTTGGACAATGTAGGGACGGAGAATGCATACCGGACGTTCCAGTATGAAGTCTTACATGGCAAGGACGACTTGAACGTCGAGGTTCACGAGCAGGGCTGCAAGTTCAACTTCGACTTTGCAAAGGTATACTGGAACACGCGACTTCACACCGAGCACGAGCGGCTTTGCAGTCTCTTCAAAGAAGGCGAAGCTATATGCGATGTCATGGCCGGCGTAGGGCCCTTCGCCATCCCCGCAGGCAAGAAAAAGTGCTTCGTGTGGGCCAACGACCTCAACCCCGATTCGTACAAGTACCTCGCCGAGAACGTCAAGAGCAACAAAGTCGACTCGTATGTGCGCGCATTCAATACCGATGGCGCGGCATTCATCCGGTCAAGCGCCGCTGATCTTCTAAAGGACGACCGCTCTATACCCATCTACCCCAAGGTGAAGTACTCAAGAAGCGCGCCAAAGCCCACGGAACCACCCATACCGCTCCGCACGCTCGTGCAGCCTCATATCTTCAGCCACTACGTCATGAACCTTCCTGCCTCCGCCATCACCTTTCTCCACAACTACATCGGACTGTACTCCAACATACCCGGAATGCCCGCATCAGAGATCCGCAAACTCTTATCACCGCACACAGACGTCAAGCTGCCCATGATTCACGTGCACTGCTTCAGCACTAAGAGCAAAGACCATGTAGTGGAGACGAAGGAAATCTGCGAGGAGATCAGCCGGCAATTGAATTTCGAGGTTACTTCCGAAACCCCGGAGCTAGAGGTTTTCCATGTGAGGGATGTGGCGCCCAAGAAAACTATGTTTTGTGCGAGCTTCAGGTTGCCGGAGGAGGTAGCTTTTAGGGAGACATGAAGAAGAAAGGCCACATGGGAAAGGGATGAAGGGTCGATGGTTTCTCTCTACTCTTCAAAAGCCTTTTTGCTGATACCCATAGACGTAAATGCACTTTGATGGACCAACTGAGTGATGTAAATGTAGATACCAATTGTCGAACGTCACTTTAGCAGCTTTGCAGCTTGCACCTTTCTTCCCAGCTACTACATGGGGTAATACAAGCTCAACTGTCGATTGCAGACACTGGGAGGCCATCTTTACACCTTCGTGCAATTTCGAAGTGTTTTCCATCCTCGACTTCAGAGCTGCCTTGCGAGTGTAAGCACACCTCTAATTGGTTGTGTAGCGCGATGAGGTAATCGTGGATCATGATCTCCTTGTTCCCACCGTTTCTCAACCGCTTTTACTGTGTGTACCCTTCACTCACAACATGTAATGCTTGTGTCCCTCTTCTGACCCACGCGCTTTTCGCGGAGCTCGTATAATCAGTCCGCTGCACCACCATGAACCCCGTGAACACGCGAAGCACGGGGTCTGTTTGCGGCTCTAGGAAGCGATTGTTGTAGCAGCAGCTCCAATTCAAACGCGACTGTTCTCAAAGGGGGTTTACGATTCGCGGTATGGCGATCGTTGACTGGCCCATGTGTGAAGGGGAACCGCTCTGTAATGGAGCGGTTCCTCCCTGAGGACCTAACAACAGCGATGACAAAAATTCCACTTGATGCGATTTGCGAGTTTGGTCAAAAGCCAACCCACTGGCCGTTGTTCTGTTTGCAGAGGCTTTCAACTTGGGTATATTATGTCGCTAGATGTGGCGTGAGCGAGTCTCTCTCAGGTTGTCTGAGTAACCTCTCACGATGGGCTCCGTCTCCCACGCGACCTTCATAATCTCTTTACAGTAGCACGCGCCCACCAGCGCTTTGCGATCCTGAAAATATCCTGCGATCTTTCTCTTGCCTCATTTTTATCGCGGCTGTCGCCGCCTCATTTGCAGTGGAAATGCCATCTCTGAAAGACCTCCACTGCTTCATCGAGCTTCCCGATGGCAAGACTCAACTCCACGAGTTCGGCACAGCTTACGGCGACGGCTGTGTTGAAACCTTTGTCGCCGTGCCTGGCCGGCCGCAGCCGTTCGCTATCCGCCTCTCGTCGAGCAAGTTCATCGCCCCAGGCCTAGCCATGTACGTCTTCATTGACGGCGTATATCAATGCAACCGCAACCGTCAAAATCTCAAATTGCGGAAGCCGCTGGATCGGAAATCTTTCGTAGATTTCGTAGTCCGGCAGAAGGAAGAGCGGCAAGACGACGGAACCATGATAGCTCGGGATTGGAATTTTGAGAGGCTCGATATCGGTGAGCTGCTCAGATACCCTCGCCGAGTGACTTTAGCTTACACTCCGCAGTATCTGCGAATGAGGCTCCTGAGGCTTGCTCGCCGGGAGTTCTAGAGAATCTCGGATGCATTGAAGTCGTCGTATTACGCTGCGCCGGTATGCGAAGCGCTAAATCTGCCGATAACAAAGTCAAGCCCATGAATTTGGACGGTGCAGGCGATATGCCGGATCATCATTTCAGTCTTGACGGAGCACCCAACTCACCTGAGCCGCAATACGATGATCGGGCCTATGAGTACATGCGGGGTGGGGGCAGATACGGCGCTCCTACAATGGGCCCTTCACATCTCCACAGTGGTCCGCCTCCACCACTGAGTTCAGGATCTTACGCCAGGAGGCCGAAATACACCTCGCCGGTCCGTCAGACGTCGGACCAGGTGCACGACATTCTCCGAAGCCCTGAAAACTTAGTCAGTAGCATTCAATATGGCAGCGTCCCCGTACCGCACCAATCAAGGGTTGCTTCTATGCACGCGCCGGCACCCAGTGTTCAAGGTGGTGCTGGACCGAACCTGCCATTCGACCCGCGATCACTGGACAGTGCATTGTTGAATTCGGTCAAACGGAGCTCTGATAGGTTTTACCAGACATCATCACACGGCCCCGCGATGTCCGTTGGGGACCTCAATGCGCCTCCTAGTCACGTCCCTGGTTCTTGGCCATTACCTCATGAACCGATGGTTTCTCCATTTGTAAGTACAGTCCAGCATATAGGACTAGGAACGGCACCGCCGCCCCCTCCTCTACCGGTCGGTCCTCTAGGCCCTCAATCACCTTCGCAAAATACGCATGTCAGCTGGGATCAACACCTCCCTCAGCCATCGACAGGATGGAATGACCAGAACGGTTGGGAGTCTGGAGAAGAAACCAGATCATGTTCGCGAAATACCGGAGATACATGGGACTTAAACCAGCATGAAAATAGACTGGGTGGGTGGAAACCTTCTGAGTATGAGCGCGAGCTGATACCTATGAGCTGGGGCGCCCCTGAAACCCATGCTCCATGGCCGACTGCCCGAACAACTCGTACAGGCCATTGGGCCCATCCCTCCGACCTGCTTACCTCACGGTCTCGTCCCTCAGAATCTGTATGGGAGTCAAAGATAGACGGTGATGGATGGACACACATTGAAGCAAGCTCAGAATCTAGCGGCTCATGGGCTCTACCTGTGCACCCTTCAGAAAGCATCTCGCATGTAGCGGGTCCGTCTACTATAGCGCCTGCATTGAGTCAAACGCCATCCGTCAATGAACTTTCAAGCAAATTGCTCTCTCTGAAAGAAGATGAAGGAACGCGAAGACGATCGGTAGCTACAAATCCTGCGGTGAGCTTGAATCGAACGACGCGACTGCACGGTGGTGGTTTCAGTACCTTTGAAAAGTCTGTACGCAATGCTTTTAGAAACGACAAGACCATACCGACATGGGAAGGAAACCGGGCCCCGGTCGCACCTACAGTGTGGGCAGCAGCGGAGAAGAAGACCTCACCTCAAGGCTTCTGGAACCAATCAACACCTTTTGGAAAAGGCCATGAAAAGAAGATTTACACTAGTTCCGATAAGACAGTGCATGGCAGCAAGGGCCAGAAGGAAACCTTCCAGGCCACAGGCGACAATGGCTGGGGCGTGAAGGATAGAGTTGGTTCATCAGGCGGCTGGCCTTTAGTAACGGAACAAGAATATCAGCCAGTCATGGACGACTGGACGGTTCAAAAGCTGTACGGACACACTGCAAAGGAAACATCCTGGGAACAGCCCACGAAGCCTAAAAACGTGGTAGCCAATGATGACAGCTGGCAGGCTGATGTCAACGGCTGGTCCGCTCCGCAGGAGCCAAGAACCCTGGCAAATGAACCTAACCCATGGACAAAGGATGCCGCATCGAAAGATCAGCCTTTAAAAACGCGGCTGTCGAAGTATCGACAATTGCGCTCTCCGGCAACAGAAACAGGGACCATACGGCACAGACAATTCCCACCTCCGGGGTCAGAGAGGAGCCCCAAAGCAGGTAGCAGAAAAGAATGTATGGAGGCCGAGCCGCTTTTGAAAGTCCTCCGCGAAGACGCAGCGAGAAAAGGCATCGAGCACCAGGTGCGTGCCGGCAAAGGCGCCAAGTACGGTCACGCCATTGGTCGACCAGAATACCTCGATAGCCTAGAGAAGCCTGTAAGACCATACAGGCATATTCTTCTTATATGCCTCTGGATGCTAATGCAGACACAGTACGCTGTCTTCCGCTTCAAATATCGCGACCACGGCAACCTCCGCAAACTGCTCGGTAAAAATGTCGTTCCCTCCGACGCCGCTCTCCTCACCACCAGTCCCATCGATCCGCGCACCGTCGCTCAACCTACCACACTCGCCCAGATCCACGATGTCAAGCAGCAGCTCAAGAAGGTCCCAAAAGAGGCACTGATCGATGGGTTGCTGGACCTGCAGACCAAGCTGGAGAAGAAGAAGAAGAAGATAGTTGCTCCCACTGATACGGCCGGCATGAACAGGACGAGGGATTGGGTCAAGCGGCAATCGAGGGAGGCCAGCGTGAACGGGAAGAAGACTGAGGCTCGAAGAAGTGGTGGGAGTTGGAGCTCGGATGATGGATGGCACTAGCAGGACGAGATAAGGAGAAGTATGACGGAGATTGCTAGGGAACTGAACTGGACCTGGCGTAAGTCTTTGAGCATCATCGAAGGCTTCGGTGGCACTGTTGCGAAGGTCCGAAGCTATGCGCAGACTAGATATGTGCCCAATCGTGCTTCGGGCATCAAGATTTACCAATGATTGCGTGCAGACATTCCCCATGAATATATGGTGCTCACCCCTCACAAGTGTCGAAGTCATCGCCAGGCTTCAATGCATCGCACCCAGTAAACCGGAATCCTGTATCCAGTGTCGCAGCGGCGTTCCACGTACAGGTTGAAGGCAGCTCGCCGCTTCTGGAAACTTAAACGAGGAAGCACGGGGCCCAGATGGGACTAGGTCATTATAGCCCTGCAGCCTTCTCAGCCTCACAATCACGAACCTTCGTTCCTTCGCAGCTGCAAGATTTGATAAGAGCTGACACCAATGAACGAATTCCATTGACACCTGGTAGGCCCGCAGTTCTGCCGCCTGTTCTTCCTATGGTACATGTTCTTCCTATCTACTTCTCGCATTGATACTTAGGCCTTCGTTTCCTGCGTATAGTACCGCTGCGAGCTCCTACTCAATGCCCCTTTGGTTGAACGAAAACACGATTCATTGCTGACAGCATTCCCATGTTGAGGAAAATTTGTAGAAGGAGTCGCGAGCCTCCGGAGAATTAGTCTACACATGACTCGATGCAAACGCGGCCCACGGCTGGGTTTCCGCGGCTTCTCATTCGTTGCTTAATGCTCGGATTATCCTGTCCCCGAAAGCGTGACGCCACGAGACAAATCGATGAGGGTTTCCCATACAACGCGATTCATTCCTAGTGCCCAATAATTATCTAGCTTTTGATGCGACGACTTCTAGACCCTCAATCATCCGATTTTTGCATGGCCATCTCTCCTCTTACCAAAGATCGTCTTCGCCTATCTGGATCGCCCTCTGTACCCCACAGAACCTACCGACCATGCTGACCATGGCTAACCAATATTGCCTTGAAGTGGGCATCCGTGCGAGTGTGTCGTCGATCTGGTGCTGCGCTTGTAGGGCCGGGGCAGCTGATCCAAGATCGCATCCCCTTGAAACGCGGCTCAGTCGCGGTTAGAATTCGCATACGTCTCCCTCAGTCCGCTAGCAAAGTCTAATGCCAGCGTTCTGTCAAGGTCTCAGAGCCCGAACTAGTCACTGGTCTTCCCGCTGCTCTCTTTCTTCTTGTTCAAAGCAAATGGCAGCCCCTTTCTGCTTGCGATATGGATATCTGAAAAGGCGTGACCGTCCAGGTTATTCTCGTCACGCGTTTGCCTCTTTCTTTGCGTCTCTTGGTTCCGACCGCCGTTCCCTCGCATCTTGATCGCAGCATGGACAGGGAATGGAGACCAGAGGCCGACTCCAGCCCCTGGGGCCCTTTCGTGGGCAAGGACTTTACAAATGAGGCCATAACACACACCGACATCGCCATAATATGTGTGGTATGGGCGTTGACGCTTGTCAATCTACTGATAGCTGCATGGCTAGGATACAAACAGTGTCACAGCTCACGATCGCCTTTGCGGAGCGTGTACATATGGATGATATGGCTGGAAATGGGCGCATCATTCATCATGGGACTGGAGTGTTTCCTGTTCGTCTTGAAATATATTAGACCGAGTAAGCTTCCTCTCTTCCCGTACTGCTTGCATGGCTGATTTGCATAGGTTTCTACTTCTATTCCACAGTTCGTGAGTATCCCAAAGGCTCTACGCAACCTTTCCGACAAGTCATTCTCGCGTATCTAATCCTATCTAGTGTTGATGTGGTGTATTCAAGTCCAGCTGCTACTCCAGATCATCATCAACAGAATCCGCCTTATCGTACCCGATCGCTACCGTTCACGAATGATCATGATTGCAACTGCGGGTATTGTGACTGCGATCAACATCAGCGTTTTCAACATCTGGGTTCCGGCCCGCCTCCAAGTCAATCATACGTATGTTCCTCTTCTCTGTCACGACGAAGCCTCTTCTTACAGTGATCAGGTATATACTCGTGAATGAGATCTGGGACCGCATCGAAAAGGTCATCTATCTTCTAATCGATGCCGCACTCAATTGGTATTTCTTGAAAGTAGTAAAAGCCAACCTCATCAACAACGGCCTCCAAAAGTACAACAAGCTCCTCCGCTTTAACCAGAAGATTATCGTCGTCTCCCTTCTCATGGACGTCATGATAATCGCCGCAATGTCGATTCCGAACTCCTTCATGTAAGCTTCCCTTTCGCTTCGCGAGCACACCTACTAATGCAAAGTTCAATCAGATACATTCAATTCCACCCCCTCGCCTACCTCGTAAAGCTCAACATTGAAATGACCATGGCCAATCTCATCAAGCGTATTGCCGTGTCTACATCCCGCAAAAACCAAGGTGTCCGCTCGCGCGTCGCAGAGGAGTTCGACTCCTCGAACCTGTCCACCTCGGGTCAGAAATCCAGCGCCACGCGCGGGACTCACGCACGCCGCTCATCGATCGTCGAGTTGTCTAGCTTCGGGCTCAAGTCAGCGTCTGGGCGTGAAGCCTCCGGCCGGGCAGTCAGCTTCATGCCCACGGGCGATCAGATCAAGGTCACGAAAGATATACATATTCGGAGCGAGCCTATTGAAGGGGGTGTTTTGGGGCCTGCTGGCGAGAACGTGCAGGTGAAGGGATTGAACCCGGGAGAGATGAGCGTAGTGCAGAGTAAGAGCTTGGATGATCTGACCGAGGGCGGGAGCGTGAAGAGTGATTATATGCAGGGGAAGGGAGATAGCGATGACGAGAGGGAGCTCGTGAGTCATCAGAAGAAGGGATCGTGGCATAGGTTAGGGTAGCGAGTTGGCACGGTCTGAAGCATAGAAAATCAGACGTAATAGACGAGAACATCGTTGATACCCTATACAGCTCGTGAAGCCTTTGTGACGGGGCCGCTGAGGTAGTATAAGCCGCCTTCAACCAATTAAGTTCCACTTGCTAATAAAGGTAGTAGAGGAATGTACGTCAACAAATCGAATGGTCGAATTTCCTCTTCGATCCCTTCGGGTGCACCCGCAGGAACCGTTTCACCACCATCTGGTATCTACGGAACGGCAAGTGCATTATTATCTGTTACCAAAACTCCAGCACAACGATAGCCCACTTGAGCGGACCGATGAAGCCCACCTGACGGTGATATCCGTACTGCTGAAGTATGGTTGAATGTTACAGGCACTGAATCTACGAACTTGTCAAACGAGGTCCTTGCCTTCACTCACGTGCACCTTCACCAAGTCTACAGCCGTCGCGTACACTCACCTCATGTGCGCGGAGCAACGCACGTGGCTCACGGTGCGGGCGCGCAGTTTCTCCCCTCAACTTAGTATCCGCGCAAGTTGCACGCACAAGATACTTCCACACGCTTGGGCAACCTCATTGAGAAAACGTATCCAATTTTCTTTTATATCAACCTGACTGGCCGCAAAGATGCCCACTGGAGAGCAGACACCGTGAGTTTGTCTGCGCTGCATGCAGTTCTACATAAGCTTACTGTCTCGTAGAACGTTTAATTGGCCCAGGAACGGAGAGACGTGGGATGCGAAGAACAAGTTAGCGACAATTGTATAACTCTGGCAAAGGCCTAAGCTGATCAAAGTCATACAGGCGCCATGTCTACCCCACAAGCAAGGATGTCACACGAGCAACAAACGCTGCTCAGCACTTGCTTGACGTCGAACAGCGCGTGACCGCTGTCCTGAATGCGATTGACTACAACACTGGAAACATTCACCGCATGATTGCGGAAGATTTAGCGTCGTCCGCTGCTGAGGAGGAACTTGCCCTGTTGCCGAAAACGTACGATTACGCGCACACTCGTCTCAAACATTTTTCTGGCTTGTCACGATGAAAGATATTTGGAGTTGACATATAGTGAACAGTGACTACTGCTCAGTCCAATATGCATCGGGCATCACGGAGACATGCAAGGCCATGCTCAGGGACAAGATCGAGCGGTATCAACGCCAGCACGCACATAATCTGATAAGCGAAGAGATGGTCGATGTCCTTGTCAAATGGCAATGCAGCGCGAATGGCCCGCAACCTTACCGACTGCTGCCCGAGGACGAGTTCGCTTACGTGCAAATTGCGGTACGAAACGCTGTATCTGTCACTCGATCTATCACTGATCTCATTATAGCATGACTGTCGCTACAAATATTTGGATTGGAACCTGGAGCACGCCGAAGAGAAAACTTACGATGATGGAACGAAGCCGCCGCCTGGTGCCTGTCGCAAGCCGCCTCGCGCAGATACGAGTATCCCGCCTGCACCCGCTACCCACCAGGGCGGCTTTTACACTTGTGTAATTCAAGAACTCCTACCTTTCCTCGAGAGCCTATCGGAGTTGTGGACTGCATCAATCCAAGTAGTCGTTCACCCGAAGCTTATGACCGAGGAAGAACAGAAGGAGATGGACGCCTATCACGCGGCTAGACGCCAGGCCGAAGACGCCATCAAGCTTGCAAAGGCACTGGCTAAAATCGAGAAGGAGGCGTTAGATGCCAAGGATGAAGAGCTTGGACTGAAGCGGAGGAGGCACACTTATCCTCGCCAGGATCTACTTGAGAGGGATATTCGAAATCTACTTTACCTGGACCCAGCGGGTTTTACCTCAGCTGACACTTAGCTTCCCTGTTCTGGGGAGAATTCAAGGTCGTGGCCTCCAATCGATACTCGAGCTTTCGAGATCTAGGGTATCATGTCAAATCCGACGGATGTACCCTCTTTGGTACTCTAGCTGGACATCGGGGCTAATGAAGAGTCCCTTCGACCATGGCATCTGAAGATAGTAATAGGTATTATTGTCTGCAAAGTGGAGATAATGCCCCAGTTAACATCTGATCGATATCACTATGCTTTCTTCCTCGTATTATTCGTGCCTCATCTCTGTATCCGAAAGTACCCTACGACATTTCTAGTAGCTCCGATACCTTTTACAGGACCAAAAAAGCTCATCCGCCAAAGCGTCAATGTCTCTCTCGATTGTAAGCCATTTACCTGGCTCCGGGACTTCCCATTCATATTCCGGTTTCGATGTGCTGAGCTTGCCTGTGCATGTGCCTGTGCGTCTGAAAACACCGTTTAAGCGGATGTCACTAGCTCTTTGGATCATAGACCGACACAGGTCGTCTCTGCCCTCTATATAAACCTGCTGACTCGAGTCTTAGAGACTTCATTCTTAGTTTCTCGACTCCTCGTCGCACTGGACCGGCTTATACGACGGTGCCCCGTAATCACATTCCTGGCAATTCGATGCGGAACCTCGCCCAGCCGAGTGCTGAGCGGCAGAGCATGTAAGTATCGTCGACCTCATCTGCACGGAACACGTCCATGTACTTTTTCGAACAAAAAGCAACCATTTCTAACACATATATCTAGTGTGGAGGCCAACCAGGTGAACAGTCCTCTACTTCAACTCCCAGGCGAGGTGCGCAACAGTATCTATCACTACGTTTTTGCCAACGAAGTCCTCCGCCAGACTCGTACAGGCCCAGACTGGAGAAGCCCGAACATGAAGTTCCTCCCGCCGTTGAGCTTTCATGACCGGCAAAACCCCCGACGCCCACGCGACCAGCGGAACTGGTTATCACTTGTTCTTGTCTGTCGCCAGCTCTACGTGGAAGCGCGAATATTACCGTTTCAGCAGAATGCCTTCTCCATCACTCGGCTGAGGCACATATGTCCTTTACTTAGGACGATGCACCCCGAGCAGCGCGAGAAGATTACCGAGATTCAGCTGGAGGTTGACTTCGTGGGCTTCGATTCCCAATGCAGGACGATAATGGCCGGTTACCCGGAACATGCTGTAGAAGAACTCGATCTGCAGAATTATCTGCTTAGCTTCCTGCTTCCGTCGGTCAAACGCATTGAGGTGGTCGTCATTGCGGGTCAACACTACGGGCACCATAGCCCTTCTTTCCCATCCAATTCGACTCGAGCAGCTTTGGAGAAGCTGGAGAGCACGCTTCATGAGGCCAATTTTGGCTGGACGAATGCCGAGATCGGTTTGCGGAGCGCAACACTTTCCCTTCCAGATCACTGTATGCCGCCCCACGGAACCCGCCTTCTACCGTACACTAGCTACCTAATAGCATTTTAAGCACATTGCGCTCACAAGTTACAGGCTATCAATACACTTGGCAGAGGTTCTGATAAGGAGATCACGTCTGCCGACTTCCGGTCTGCTGGCTTCTGCATCGTCACTAAATTACCATTAGTGAAACTATGGGAACGTATCACTGAATTCGGAGGTTTTACTGGCAATATCGTTGATTATTTTCTATTTGACGGAAACAACGATTTGGCAATCTTTTGGTTTGCAGCGGACAATCGAGGCGATGCTCATCTTAGAGTCGTACATGTATCATAGTATGACGAGCAGATATCTCCTCAACAAGTTCACAAGCTTTGGCGGTGGATTGGGGATGTCTCAGGTAATTTGAATTCAACACCATCTTGTCTGGACACGGATCTTACGCTTGAAGCCGTTGATTGATGTGGCAAACATTAGCGGTTGCGGTTGTTAGTATACAATTTGCAGATCCATTGAAGACTGATTGTCCCGGTCTCGAGAATATCGTCCGCATGTCATTATGGTGGGTGGAAAGCCAGATGCTAATTTGAACCGTGAAGCTCTTATCTAGCACTCTCAAATCTTAACATACGATGGCTCAGCTTAGATTCCTGTCAGTCACCGATATGCCCGCAGGTCGACGATCGTTTTGGGTTTTTGCTTCAACAGATTGGGTAACCCCGTTTGCTGTGACATCATAGCACTCTCAAGATACTAATTTAGTAATCGAAAGTATTGATCCTTTGGTATTGATCGTTGAATAGTGCGTGAGCCGTATATACCTAGCGAAGGAAGTGCCACCCGGTACTAGCGCAAACGGTTAAGTACCTGTAGTACCTTTAAACATGAAGAGAGGTAGGCCCTTCACTCAGACAATGACATTAGTCCATACAGGCGCACGTCTAACCAGAAGGGAATCTCGGAAGTGAGTGTGCCACGTGCACGTACCCGTTGTCTTACCTAGGGGCCTGTTGAGATTGGCTTGTGTGCCTGCCACTGGTTTCACCTGTCCCACCGCACCTTCGCGCACCCCATAATATCCACGTCGCCCCCTGCCGCATCTGCTTCATACGAAAGACACCCCCCAAAGAGCTCACCGTCCGCCACCAGAGCCCGCGTACGCACTCCTGTTCTAGATCTACTGCCCTCTCCTTCGTTTTGTCACTGCCACGGCTGGGCACGAATACAACCAGCCATTCCGAACACGGGCAACTCTCTAGAATTCACTATGACCAACGATTCGGCGAGCGCAGAACAGCCCACGGCGGTGCCGTCCACACCGACAGCGAGAGCGGGCGGTTCTCGAGTCGCAAAGACGTACCCGCGTGTGATATTCCTCCCCAACGGACTGTTGGACGTGGATCGCAAGAGGGGCAAGTTCTTCAAGATGTAAGTGCTGCGGCTGGGTACCCTTTTGCCTCTGGATATACTTTAAAAAATTGGACGAGGCTGGATTCGACCACGGTCATTTGCGCGGCGATTGCTGGAATCGCCCTCCTTGTGCAGTTCATAGAGTAATACATATACTACTCGTTTGTATTCACGGCATGCAAGGTCAAGGCTAATAGAAGACAGAGCGCAGGAGAACCAAGAGGTCTCACCCTTTCTACAACTTCCGCCCGAAATTAGATCCACCATCTACGAGTATACACTCGGAGACGAGACATTCAAAATTTCCCCACAAGAGCATATACTAGGGAAGACCGAGCGGAAGAAGAAGGAATACCTTGCGCTTCTTCTGGTCTCGCGCCAAGTGTACGTGGAAACCGCCTTGATACCGTTCAAGATGAATGCTTTCCAGGCAGACAATCCTCGACCTCTGAAGGCTTGGGTCGGCCTGCTCCCCATTGCTGCGCAGCAGAGCATCACCCGGATCCACTTATCGACACGTCTGTATTGGCACTCTTACGTTCAACATACCGAGCAACTGGAACCACTATCTGAACGCCTATTTCCTGTGTGGTGGAGCCAGTCTGGGAACTTCGATAACTTTCCTGCGCTCCGTCAGGTCTGCATTCTTACGACTGTCGGTCGGTGTTATTGTGACAAACCTAAACCTCTCACGGACGCTCTAACAAAGCTTGTCGGAGATTCGGAAGATGCTTGCAGTCAGTTGATCAAGGCGTCTCATCGGGGCATCGCGGGCAAGAGCATCGACGTCAATTTTCAACGCGACCTCGTGTTCGCTCCCCTGTAGGCTCCCTCCTGATCGACTGACGAGACACCTACTGACGCAATATCGCGAAGTCCGACCCCGTCCGTGATGGTTGACGTTGACTTTGACGACGATTGGTAGGCGAGATCTATTTATCGGAGAAGTAGACCTGCAGGATATTCACTATCGAGCTCCTCATCGACAACTTTCCCTTGGCCATGGCAGCCTCTACTATGATAGGTCTGAACTGCCTGATGCGAGCATACTTCTTTCATTGCTTATTCTACCGAGATCCACATCGCAACATCAGAAGTCAGGGTGGATGCGCAGTGGTCCCTTCCCCACGATTACTGGCAGCACGTGCTCACACCCTGTTTGGATGACGAACAAGCCGGACAGGAGCCTGAGGAAGCCGCACCGCATTGCCTGTAACTTAAGGACCTTCGAAATGTCGGCTGCCACATTTATTCTGGATATCCTGTCCTTTTGACAGCTTTATGGATGGCATGTTTTAGTTGGATCCTCGGTGTTTTTGTCGGAGTGGGTTGAACCGGCTCGTGGGCGCCAATGCCGATTAACATGTCAAGGCATGGAGAGATAGCTCTGGTATCAAGAAATGATGGAACATACAGGACCCGCCACGTGCTTCCATATGCCTGCCCAGGTCACTGGTCACTCAAAAAGTCTAAAATGGAGACACTTAGGCTTCACGCTACTCGCTACTTTCTGAGTCACCGCGCATCTGAAGTCTTCAGTAGATTAATGATGTCCCTGGACTCGCTGCTTGCATCCAAAACGGACCGTGAGATTCCAATTCATGTTTCTGCCGTCATACAAGAAGCTTATACGGCAGTGCTAGCTTCGTCCCTCCACCATGCCCAGTAAAGAGACTGCTACCTTATGTCACTCCCAGCTGGACAATGTAGTGCCATAACATTCTGTAGATACATTCCATTGTCGCGTCCCACTCAGCCATCCTCTCAAGGCGGATGGTATTCCTATCAGGCCGCCAACACCATGCCATAGTCACCATCCTCCCACATCTTCTCCACCTGCTCGCGAGTGACCCTCGGACGTACAGCTGCCGCCCGGTTCGCTCTATTGTACTTGCGAAGAGCGATCGCGGACTGCCGTTCATGATCAGCGTCCAACCACATCATGAATTTGAACGCTCCTGTAAGTTCAAGAGCGCATACGAAGAATCCGACTAGCATTCGGGCATCGACAAAGATCTCGTGTGCAAATGGTCCGGGCGGAGGTGAATCGAGGATCAAAGGACCGTACCAAGATGTGGAAACTGTCAACAGGAAATCGATTGCGTTGATGATGCCTCGGTTGATTGCGGACCATACAAGGCCAAGGAGTATCGAGAGAAGCAAATGGCTGAGTTGCTCAGACTGCATGAAGCGCTGTAGGTTGCCGCGGTCAGGGCGAAGAAGGATGAAGGTTGGGATGGTTCCGGCTGCGCAGATGGAGAGGTAGCACGCAGCTTGGATGCAGGCGCGGAGGGCATCTGAGAGGCTACCCGACATGAGAAACAACCCTACGAGAGCAACTGCCATCCACGCCAAACAGGTCATCGTGTCCCTTGTCATGTCGATGTCCATGTTGACGGCGTATGTGCAATTTTTCAGTCAAGGGGTACGAATATGCGCTGTTTGCCGAGTGATCGGAGGAGGTGACGGTCGTTTTCCTGAAGTCGTGGATTGTCGGTTGACTAGGTAATGTCAGCACTGTCAATCAGTCCTTGGAGTGCGGTTGATTGAAGCAGAGGCGTGTATTTCAGAACGACGGATGGGTAACGCAACAGGTCGTTGAGGGCTGGCAGTTATAAATAGATACTATTTCCATTGCTGCGTACAATGCTGGGTGAAGCACAAACAAGAATGGATTTCGCTTCACTTCACCTTTTACGCGTTCCCATTCGACGGTGAAAGACTCCACCAGCTCCTGCGTACCATTCTGCCACAAGGATCGTACATACCATTAGCAATTGTCAAGTCAACAAAACGTTTTTGCCTTATAGCTCGCCTACCCCTTCAATTGCGTCTGTATCAACACTGTTCGATTTTCCTTTTCAGGAGCCAGCATAGCGTTCTGCCTGCTTTCGACCGACTTTCGGTTGTCCAGCTGCCTGGTGGATTGCAATATACGTGTTGAAAGCAAGCGCGCACTCCTGCTTGTTCTGCTTCGCCATCGTAGTCACCTTCACGAAGATACATCGGAGATCGCGGAACTCAGAAAGGGATGGATAGAATTGGGTTTCCCACCAAGATCCTGGGTAACCGGACGCCTCGATGAGCTGCCCGAGTATCCAAAGAACCGTGTCGTGAAGAGATTGGTGGCAATTTTGGCACCACGGTATGGCACGGTCCAGAGAATGCGGAAGACTGTCGAATATCTCTAGAGGCGCAGGAGGTGTGTGTTTTCAGGTTGTGGATGTACCAAACGAGCAGATAGGTGGGGAAAACAGTCCGGGGCGCCGAGATCAAAGCATACACATCTGTCTCATAGGAGAGAGAGGCGGCGTTCGCTTGGTTATCGAGCTATCGGACCACGAACAAAGCTACCATAATAGAAGACAGGGCAGTCTCAAGAGAATCGCACAACATGTCGCAAATGGGCGCGAAATGCGTGATCGTCGTTGGTCAAAGTGATTGAGCGCCGTGGGGACTTGAATTATCAGAGTGATTGAAGATCGGATCCGAAACGAGTGATCGAAGTGACTAAGGTCGTGCATGTGGAAAGGTGAAGCGTTAAACAGCTGTGAATAGCAAGGGCTTATGAAGACTTGTGGGAGCATGGCGGCCTGAAGTAGTAATTGTAAGGGTTGTGTGTTCTGGAGAGCGGTCCGAGTGGTGCGACGTCTAAGGAGGATGGTCCTTCTTATGTATTGCCTTCTGCGTAAGTTTTGGTCGGCCGCGAACAAGGGCTCGCTCCGTTTCACTTCGTCTTTGGCACGTACTCACATCCCTCAATGAAAGCTTGAACGCCAATCTAACGATAAACCGGCACATCAGAAGTGGCCGCGCAAGCAGTATGCATCATTTGGAAACTTGGCCAATGGTCAGAGATAGCTACCGCTCGAAAATCTGTCACTGAAGCCCTTCGCCTTATTGAGCATTTCCCGCTTCTGTTTGTGCGACACCTTTGTGCCCAAAGACATGTCCTTTCCGTAGTCGAAGACGCGCTTGCTGGGGTCGTCTTCCTTTTCTTTGCCGCCCTTCGCCTGGTGCTGCTCAACCAGACTTTTCCCGCGCGAGCCATCAATCTTCTCTCTCAACTTCTGTGCCTTTTCTTCCTCTTCCCGATTTCGACGCAACTCTTTCTTGGATGTCGAAGAATTCGAGTGAGCCGATATACCCATGGCCTCGTCCTGCAACCGCTTCAACTTCTGCTCTGGCGTCTCGGTCCATACATCCATGCTGCCTCCACCGCCGCCGCCCGCACTCTTGCCTGTATTGAATTTGCGGGCTCGCATCTTTGTTGGATCCATGCGAGATAGATCGTCCTGGGTGGGTGGCATCGTCATCCACGAATCGCGCTGCACCTTCTTGTTCTCCTCGCTGTACTGCGGGTCGGTATCGAAAGCCGATTTAGTAGAACGCGTTTTTTGCTGGTCGTTGTACGAGGCTGAAGAGGCGCCAGCCGGAGGCGGGGCAGGGCCAAAGTCGTCGTCGCTGCTGTCCGAGTCGTCTGATGGCGGATTTGGCGGACGCTCATCGAGAGGAGCTGGTGGAGGCGCTGGTCCTAGCACACGTGCTGGCTTCGAAGCAGGCGGAGGTGTAGGACCTATATCGCTATCTTCGCTATCGGATCGCGACCGGGCTGGTGGAGGAGCTGGACCTAGCACTCTGCGGCGCTTTTCGCCAGACTCTGGGCTCGCAGACCGGTGGTTTTCGTCATCTTCGCGAGCGCGCTTCGTGGTGTGTGGCGGTAACGAGGGTCCGATTGGCATTGTGGTGGGTTGGAGTGTGATTGTATGCGCGGAGAAGGTTGTAATGTTTAGAAAGTGATGTTGGGAGCTTTGACGCTTGGGCCTCGGCGGTGGGATCGACGAACCGCAGGTGGGTTCGAGAGCTCCAACTCGCGCCTGCTGTATTGCTGCGAACACCAGCGAAAGTTGTCTGGCAGTCGGTCGGTCGGTCGCATGGAATCGAGAATCACAACTAAATACGCCTCCAAACGTTAGATCGTAATACCGCCTGGGCCGAGAACTAATCAGCAAACTTCCAGGCACCCACCGCGTATCGCGACCGACGAGCGCGCCAACTACCTTACAAATTGACAAGGGAAGAAAGGGCATGTGGTAGAAGAGGTGGAGCATAACAGCTTGTAGGCAGCTGGGGTTCGACTATATATGCGCGACTGAAGCGATGCTCCACGGTCGACGAGCCTCATGAGCTCAGATTCGGAAGAGAGCCAGGCGAGCGCTCACCATGACGGCGCCGACGAGGTAGACCTTGGTACATCGCCCGCAGCTCTACCACCGAGGACTGAGACTTCTGTGGGAAACAATGGACAGGCGATGTACGGCGAGGATGAGGACATGGAGGAGCTCGCATCGATCGCAAGCGGGGACAATAACATGACTTTTGCTACACGAAGAAGGAGCGAGGGCGAGACGGAAGATGACGAGTCTACCTCAGAGCTTCCAATACGGCAAGCGTTGCAGCGTCCAAAAAGCCCGGAGTCGACATCTACCCCCGATGATACACCGTCGATCCAGGGCTCGATGCTTTCCTCTCCTGGTAGCAGCGTCCCCGCGTCGTACAGCTCTCTGCGACCCCATCGTCCGACCTCTCTGCAGCCTTTCGAGCGACGTTTCTCTGCGCGTCTATCGCCCTCGCCATCAGCTTCACCACGCGCCGTGTCTAGCCCCGTTTTTCTGTCAGCGCACTCGAGACAATCCTCGTTATCGAGCAATTTCCTCTTCCAGCCGCAACAAGACGAAGCGGACACACCCCAATCACCGTGGGAGGTCGTTCGATGGACCAAGCTGAAGAAGATAACCGGGCAGGTGTTCTCCGAGGTGGGAAAGCGCAACTTTGGCCGCCCCACATGTTTGGTAGTCGCCGCTTCTCTGGTTGTTGGAACATCCAAGGGCTATATCCTCGTGTTCGACTATCAACAAGTGTTGAAGTCGATCATAGGACCAGGAACAAAAGGTATGGAGGAGTAAATTTCCTAGCTTTTCCAAGCTAACGTCCGATAGCTATTGAATGTGGTCCAGTGACAGCCTTAGCCATATCCGCCGATCATTCTACGGTAGCAGGGGGCCATGCCACGGGGCATATCTTTACTTGGGAGTTGACTAGACCTGCCAAACCGTTCTTGCACATACCCCCATTAGATCGGAATGCTCTCGACGACAGAAAGTCAGACGGCCACATCTCTGGTGTTGCCATTCTCCACATCGGCTTCCTTGGTACTCGACATACAGCGCTTGTTTCCGCCGACGATGGCGGCATGTCGTTCTCACACTTGGCGACGCGAGGTCTGGGCGCGATCGCGCGAACAGTGAAGATTACTCGTGTTCTGGGCCGGTACCCGCTATCCGATAAATCATCGGAGAGACCTCGGAAACCTAGCTCTGTTCTTGCCTTTTCTCCTCTTCCGCTGGGGAACGTAGAGCAGCCAACGGATACCATGGGGTTGACGGCGTTGTTGACTCCATATTTGTTAGTCATCGTTTCCACCACCCCCATCGCCCAAACACAGCATAAGGCGTCCAGACCCAAGGACATTGAGCCACACAGTGCGTTAAGCGGATGTTTAGCATGGTTCCCCGCAGTGAAGCTGAAGAACCCAACCAAAGATTTGGACAAAGCTGTGTCGAAGACGAAACTTGTTTATTGCTGGTCGAACATTTTGACGGTCCTGGAAGTGGATTGTATCGTGGCTGCGCCCAGCGAGAGGGAGAAGCCGACCGAACTCTCGTTCAGACCGCGAAGCAGGTGGAAAAGCGAAGAAGCGATCGTGGCCGTTCAATGGCTTAGCAGATCCGTACTTGGCGTACTTACGATCAGCCAACGCCTCGTCATCTTAGAGGATAACACACTACGGCCGACCGATACTTTTGACCTCCTACAGAAGCAGATATACCACTCAGACTTGTTCTCGCGGCAGCTTCGACCGGTCATTGAGCAGTTGGATGAAGCAGACACGTCGTTGCATGGCGTTGTTGCGGATGCTTTCTACATGAGCTTTCGTGCCTACAAGGGTCGGTTATTCCTCTTAGGCGTGAATGACATTTCCATCGGCACTTTGTCAAACTGGGCCGACAGACTTATGGCACTCATGGAAGATGGCGACTTTATCGCTGCAATTGGCCTTGCAACTTCCTATTATGTAGGTGACGCGGACAAGCTGACCGTGGGACTGCCGGATGACGATAACGCACGACACGCGTTGGTACAAGAAAAGCTACTGGAAATGATATCGGCCTCACTGAAGTATACCTTTACCCGAGAAGGTCAAAATAATGAGTCAAGCGAGAAGTCAGAAAAAGACCTCGCAGATATCTGTTTCACTGGACTGATTAGCATGAAGGAGCACGATTTCTTATTCGAGGAAGTATACGATGCTTTTGAAGATGCCTCAGCCGAGAGTGTCTTCTTCGAAACACTCGAACCGTACATTCTAGATGAAGAAATCACGGACGTACCACCGAACGTACTCAAGGATCTCATCACGTTCTATGCATCGGCTGGACGTGCAGCGCGCTTAGAAGAGATGATATGTCGATTGAGTACGGACACTATCGACATCAATCAAGTCACCACTCTTTGTCAGCAATACAATCTCTACGACGCTCTAATACACGTTTGGACGCAAGCGATCGGCGACTTCATCACACCTCTTGTCAACATCTTATCGCTCATCAAGATCATAGACTTTAGCGTGGACGAAACCGAAAACATCTACATGACTTCCGCAATGAAAATTTTCCCGTACTTGGCGTATACCTTTACTGGTCGCATCTATCCCAGCGGAGCTTTTCTTGACGACGAGCAAGCGCATAGCGCAAAGAAAGACATGTACAGGTTCCTCTTCTCTGGCAAAAATCTTGCTTGGCCACCTGGCTCAGGCGACATAGTCTGGACAAGGACAGACAAAGGCCTAGAGCCACCATTCCCCTATTTGCGGCTTGTGTTAGAATTCGATGCATCGAGCTTCATGAGCATGTTGAATGAAGCATTTGAAGACAATTTCTTGAACGGAGAGCAAGATGCGGCGAATGGAACCCAGGTCAACGGAGCTAAGCATAGTACGGCTCTCACGCCTACAAGACAGTACATCATCAACATCCTACTTGGGATTATGACTCCAGACGTTTTCGATGCCGAGGACATTGTCTACTTTTACATGTTCGTCGCTAGGAATCTACCTAAATATCCACAGCACATAATGCTACCGGGCACATCGCTACACCAGATACTACTAGGGCTGTGCGAGTACCCTACAGAAGTCATCAAGGAGGACTGCCAGCTTTCTGTCGAATACCTTCTCTCCATTTATCACCCTCCGAACCTCCAAACACTCGTGCCCCTCTTTGAAAAAGCTGGGTTCCACCGCGTGCTTAAGACTGTTTATCGTGGCTCGCAACAGTACGCGAAGCTGCTCGATACCTATCTGGACGATACTGAGGACAAGGAAGCTGTCTTCGGGTGCATAGCGGACTGCTTGCGATCAAGCAAAGGCCCTACTAAGAAGCAACTCGGTGAAGTCAAGAATGTAATCGTCTTTCGCGCCAGAGACGTTGTGAACATTGATTCCGCCCGTGCTGCCACCACGTTGAAACAGTACGCTTCAGACTTGCTTATACCAGTGCTTGAAGCGCTTAAAGACGAATCCGATTTACAGTATCAGTATCTGAAAGCTCTCATTGAGCCAACAGATCCTGCTACTGGTGAATCGCGCACCATCAGCGAAGACCTGCCATTAGGCTTCATCGAGCAGTACGTTCAGCTCATGTGCAAGTTCAACAGCGCCCACGTTGCAGATTTTGTTAGCCTGCTCAAATCGGGAGATTTGAAGCTAGACCCGGTTCTCCCCGCCCTTGAAAAGAGCGGGGTTGTGGACGCTGCGGTCGTTCTCATGGCTCGCGACGGACTCGTCAAGGACGCCATGGATCGCCTAGTTAAACATCTGGGTACCCTTGAGACCGCCTTAACGGGCTTGATCAACGCAGCTTCAGAGACCCCAGATATAGGCAACACCGAAGAAGCGGTGCATGACCTACTTGAAGACATCCAAAAATATGTCAAAGTTGGCATCTGGCTGTGTCAGGGTCAAACACGATCTACAGACCGTATGCCTTACAGTCTTGCCGACAGACGTAAGTCAGCATATGGTGAGGTCCGAGAAGAAGACCTCGCACTTGACGAGCTCCTTTGGCTCGATCTTGTTGACTCAGTCGTCAAGCTGATCAAGAACATCTCTGCCGCAACTACTGATCTCCAAGCCGCGCTAGCATCTTCATCAACCACACAAGCCGAATCCATCGACACCGCGAAGATAACAACGACCCTCCGCTCCTCCGTACAACAAACCTTCTCCGCCCTCTTAACCTCTACCACCGTGCCTGCAAAACGACAGCCCCAGCCAACATCCCGAGCACACCCAAGCCGACCACCTCTCACAACCCGTCGCTCCCAGCCTCAAACCAACCCATCTTTTCTCCGCATCCTACGCGCCTTCCTCACCCGGGCTTCTACCACCTCGCCATCATTATCACACCTCCGCTCCGTCCTCGCAGAAATATTCTCAGCCTACACCTTCGAAGAAACCATCCTCAGCCTCGCCAACCGCTTCCTCGATAAAGAAAGCTTCGAGCACGTCCGCGAGATCAACGAGCTGCGCCAGCGCGGATGGCGACCCCGCGGACAAGTATGTGAAGGCTGCCGCAAGCGGGCGTGGGGCCCTGGTACTGGGGGCGCGATTTGGGAAGCTTGGGAGAGGAGTGAGAATAATAGACTGTTAAAACGAATCGAAACTGTGGCAGAGGAACACGGGGCGAAGGGGAAGGGAAAGAGTACGAGGACGGATGTTGGGGAGGGATTGTGGGGGAAGTGGGACGCTGGTGGTGTTTGCGTGTCGACATTTGTGGCATAAAGGGTGTTTGGAGAAGGCTAGTGTGAAAGATGGGGATGCGTCCACGGCTGTGGGGACGCAGGGCAGGCTCAAGTGCCCGATTTGTGCATAGTTGTTGTATTTAGCGCCAATTTAGCATTTCTCCATTCATTTTTCACGTTTAAATCGAGTGTGTTTATTGTCATGTTGCGGTCTAGCATTGGCTCTATTTCCTCGTTCGGTCGCTAGCCTCCTGTGTTCATCCAATTGTTTTACATTGAGTTGAGCTAGATATGAGGTGTGTGTATGTGAGCTGCTTCTTCCCATCAAATGGTAGGGGATGTCGTCGATGGAAACTTCGTCATGCTCGATGAAGGACTTGGTGTGTTCAAAGACATCTGCAGATGTTGTCACAGATCGCCTCTGAGCTTCATTGGCAATAATCACGAGCCTATACTAGTGCCAGGAGCTGGTAGGCAGGTGTTTCGATGCTGGGAACATCTATAGATACTATATAGTTAAGGACTTGGTAGTATCGACGCTATCAATGGAGTTCATAGTAATCTTGCTCACGACAATTATAACCCCAAGTTAAGCAACTACCGAAATAATCAATCGACCACGAGGCGGAGGTTGAGGGGCAGCAAGGGGCAAGTTGTGGGGTGAAAATGCAAGGTCTTGAACGAGTATCTTGTGGGGTTTTGCGTAGCAACGGGCAGGAATAGATTGAGAGCTCGTTTGTAGCAGCGACACAAGACTAAGACGGGGCGAGTGGGAGTAAATAGGGGTATAAGAAAGTCATATCAGGTATGCGACAAGCCATCGGAATTGCGAAGTGTTTATTGGCCCAGATTTATTCCTGGGCACCAATGTTCAGTTTGATAGTTAATCTGACGATAATGGCTTCGAAATTAACACAGAACTATTTATCAAGCTATAGATATGAGTTCATCAAAAGCGAAATGTTGCTTCGTAGATCTAAAAGCTCTTTGACAATGTCCATTCAGAGGTCGTGCTCATGAAGGGTAAATGCTAGCCTTCGGTCCAGCCTCAGCCTGCACCATGCTTGGGACATTTGCAGTCGCGTCAAGCATATACTTGTAGTATTCCATCGCCTTGGACACCGTACCCGAGTTGCCTGCGATAGTTCCACTTGTGCCCGAGTAAGGGTTCCCAGAAGCAGCGAGGGTTGCGGTATCATCCCTTGCAACGGGGTCCTTTGTGTTCTTGAAGTATACAATCTCCGTACACATCGCCGTCTTGCCTGGTGCATAGTGACAGTAGCTCGTAACATTAGTCAAATAGTTGTTGTACAAGTGAGCATATTTGATGTTGTCAGCGGATGGGTTGCGCTGCGTAGTGTTCTGGAACCAGCTGTGGTGAAGTGTGATCTGCGCGACCACACTGTCTGTCCAGGCGATACCGAAGGCCTTGTTGTGGTGCCGGAAGATAGTGTTGGAGACTGTCAAGTAGTTTGTGTCTTTACGGCTATCGATGAGTCCGTCGGCACCGCGCTCAAAGATGCAGTGATCGATCCAAATGTTGCTCGCGGTATCCGCCTGGACGCCATCCCAGTCATGGGTCTTTCCATCTAGGTCGCCGTTGTAAGTGTTTCCAATCCTCAGATTGCGGATGATAACGTTCTTCCTTAATGTCGACGCCGGTGGTTATAACGGTACCTCAAATTCCTCAAAGGATATTATCCACCCACCGCATGTCGTCGCTATGATGAGCAAATTCCATAAGGTCCGAACAACAATATGTGCAGGTCGAAGCGCCCGCACCCATGAACATGTGTAGCTCTGGTTACGGTGGATACGGTAAAGGTAGAGGTCGTGAGTGCGTTTCTTCGCTAGACCCAAGTCAAGCACGGGCCTCGGATGAATTAGGTCGACGCTTCACTTTATTCCGATCTCTACCTGTAAAGTCTCCACAAATCGTCGCCTTTTGGAAAAGACGGTTGAGCATGTTGCTATGTTTATGTATGACGTATGCCACGTGGAGAAGGCTTGTGGGGGCTGGCTGGCCCGAACGCTTGGCGGAGGCCTAACCGGCTAAGCGGCTCCTACGGCCACTGTCCGTAGTTCCAGATTGGAACACCTGGGTCTGAAATCACTCAGTAACAATTCTCAATGCGCGATCGACTGGGAGATTTTCGAAGTCTGGCTTGAGGCTCGCATTGCAGCCTATGCGAACAGCGACAAGAGCAACTCTACATTCGTGATTGGCTGTCGCTGATCCACTTATGCCCATGACATTCAAGTCTACGACGGATCTAGTTGTTTCTGGTCGCCGACGACAATACTGAGGAGATCACAATCATGATCATGGCAGTGCCACGACCCACTTCATTTGGGAACCAGAAGGAGATGACGAAGTTGCAGTATCCCACCGCAGGGACATACCAGGTGCACCTTCGACGTGTGTATGTTGACGCCACAGCCAAGCTCGCAAGGGCCTGATTGTGGTTCGTTCCAGAAGAGTAGGCGACCAACTACGTCCGTAGCGGAAGATCTGAAACCCTGCAAAGTACCTATCTAAGCTGCCAAGTAGGTCCGCTTTGTTATTCCGATCCTACAATGCTACTACATACGTAACATGAAACCTAATGTATTCCCTCCGTACTCGACTCATGAGCCAATTAGCTGTGTCTATGAACAGGCCAAGATTATCTTCAAAGCTACAGCTCTCCGGTGGCTACGTCATAGAATGTCACTGTGTATGGTAGGCATCTCGCCAAGCACACTATAGCTAGTTTCAAGCCCCCAAAGGGTTGACCAGAAAGAGTGGGCTGAAGAGTAGGTTCATTCGATGCGAGGCGAAGTCAACCATGATGTGGACGGGAGACGCTTCCAGTCTACGTAATGGTCCGACGGTCCACAACGGCAAGAGAGATTAGGTGACATTTAAGTAGATATATATACGGATCCGTAGGACAGATTCCTGCTTCTCATCGGACGCTCGCTACCTCGTTCGCACACTCCATCCTTCTTTGATACTTTATATCTGACCCGCTCGACTACCACGGTTCTCAAAATGGTCTGGCTCTCAGCAAAGAAAAGCGTGCCCGTTGCCGCTGCTATTGGTGCGATTGCATTGGGCATATCAGGTAGTACGGCCTCACCGGTCCATGGTCTTGCAAAGAGGATCAATGTTGCCGTCTGGGGGTACAACGTTGGAGCGCTGGCCGCAGCAGTAAAGGATTACTTGCGGGACATCAATGCTTATGTGAGTGTTCCGGCTAGCTCCCTGGAGCATGTGGATGCAAATTCTATCAATTGAGATCACCTCCGCTGGACATATGCTGATTCCTACACTGTAGAACATCCAGGTCCCCGATACTTGCAAAATGACTCTTGTCACCTCCAATGGAGCTGGCTGCAAGGCCTTCTTGTGGTGCGGAGGTAGTGATACGCTCAAAGGCCAGGACGAGATTGGCCACGTCGTAAATGACGCCTGGAATGTGTGCTACAAGGATGGCGAACAGTTTATGCACGACGATGAGCTTGGTGACTTTTCTGTTACATTCACCCAGGCTGGCGGTGTTGATGGGAACACTGAAGACGGGTAAGTGTTGCTCAAGCATCCCATTAGCCTCAATAATGGATGACTGATATGTATTTTCTAGTCTCCACCATCCCGTCCTCAAAGTTGCAGGTATCAACGACTGGGAGCCTCTAGACATTCAAGCTGTCATTGATGCTCAGGGAGGCTCTATTGAAGGCAACGTTTGCAAAAAGGCAAAGAACGGCGCATATCAGTCTATCACATATACGTGTGGCATTCCTAAATTGAACGCAAACTCGCTCTTCGGCATGTCCAACTACGGCGAGGATTACGCTGGAGAAGGATATGAGCCAGGATGGTGTAAGTCTCATGCAGCAAGTGTGCCCTGTTTGGAAACCCATACTGACGCGTAAAAGGCACCGCCCATGTTTCGCAGTATCAGCGCAACGAATTTGGAAACGGCGGAAAGTACGCTTTCGATGTGGTCATCTACGATGGCGCTGGCAACCAGATCACGACGGTACAGCACCAGGAAGTCGATGACGAGGGTAACCTCAGCATCACCTCGAGGCTGCCTGTCACGCTAGAATTGCACTCTGGTGGCGATGATGCCGATTTTGTCTCCTTCGACTACGGTGACCAAGCTTGGACGTGCGACGACAACGACGGCGGAGACCATGCTTGCACTTTGGGTAACGGCAAGGAAAAGGGTACGTGTCATGACATACTAACCATACGAATGGAACCTAACTGAGCGCAGGTTACGAGAACGGATCCCGCAACGGCGATATGGGTTGGACATGCTAGAGCGATATATGTACACAAAGGGTTCCGAACTCTTGGTTGGGTTGTATTTTAGACAGGAAGTTGTCTGTACCTTGGGCAACTCCTCATGTATACTTGTTTGAGCATCCGAGAAGGATATGATGTCGGTCGACTACCAACGTTTGTTACACCAAGGATCCGGTCTTACAGTTGGTCTATGCATTTACGAATCGGATCGGCTGGGTACGGGTCACATAGCGGTCTATGACCCAAAGTAGTTCATGTATATATCTTTTCACAATATCTTTCATATTGTACAGATTTTACGCCCCGCCCCGTACCAGTCCGCTTGGTTACCACTCTGAATGTGTCTGCTCTAGTGCAGTTGATTGAGTAAGTACAGATTATTGTCATGAAACTTGTGCATCGCCTCGAGACTGTCGTCAAGGATGGGAACATCAAGATGAACTTCAGTTACATAGCGCCTTGGGTTTCGAGGATGTCCTTGAGTCAACGATGTTTTCAGAGGAAGGAAGTGAAGCGGCACCGTGATGGACAGCGCTTATGGCAAAAATGGCACGCTAGGAATATTTCGTAGGTCTGCTGGTGTTGATTTCGATCATTTCTGATGATTCAAAGGCGTGTTCAACGTCTGAAGAAGATTTGCGAGTCGAATGGAGAACTTTGTGCACCTTCAAGATTCCGTGCCTAGTCTGTAATAGCACAAAGTGTCCATTCTTTTTGGATGTATCTGGAGTGTAACTTGGAGTGCTCTCATCAAAAGAAATACATGTTCCAAAGTTTCAGTAGAGACCTAAAAGACCTTGGCCATAATCTTGTCTTTTAGTGTTGCCGGAGTCGCCTCGCGCTCGTGTTGGTAGTACTCGGTCAATGCTTCGAAAAATTGTAAGCCAGAAGTCAGATCGATGTCTTTTGCATGACGGAAGGAAGTGCGCTTGAAAATCTTCCAGCCCAATCCAATCCCACCTGCTAAAGCAATGATACCGTAGTTGAAGATGAAGGTTGCGACGTTCCAATTCCCGTTTATGAAGACGGCATAGCCCTGGACCCTAAAATGACACATGGAATTAGCTCTAAAACAAGACCTAAGTCACTGCAGGAAGGACGTACCAGAGGAAGAGAAACGCCCAGAACAACGCCCAGTAACCTGCATAGGGCTGAAATCTTGAGATACACGGCAAGAAGGACTTCCTATCGATTCCTTGCGCAGTCATAGCATTATCAAAACGAATCCAAGTGATTGCCATCACGGTCCAGTTGAACATGGTGGCCGCAGTACAGAAGTTCAGTATCCAATTCAGCACCCTTGCACTACTGGAACCCAACGCAAGGTATGCCAGGCAGGCCAATGTCATGACGACGCAAACTGCAAGGTACGGTACGCCGTTCTTGTTCAAGCGTCGCAAAACTTTGGGAGCTTGGCCCTCGATTGCTAGTGCGTGCAGGGCACGTGAAGCGTTGAACGTGTAGGCATTACCTGCAGATATGATTGTAGTGATGAGCGCCGCGTTGACGATGGACGGAAGGACTGGGACCTTGAGGCGTTGCATCGCGATCACATATGGCGAGGCACCGGCATAAGTGTCGGATCCATCCGTCAGCGTGGGGTCGTTGTATGGCACGAGAATGCCGACGCAGAGAGCGCCTCCGATAAAGAAGACCAGCAGCCGCGTGATGATTGTCCTGAACGCCCGTGGCACTGTACGCCTTGGATCTCTTGCCTCGCCTGCGATCATGGATATGTATTCTGGTCCGCCCATACAGAAGCCTGCCACGTTCACCGCATTCAGGAAGGACATCAAACGGCGCGATGAATCATCCCCGGCCCAAACTCCAGGATCTCGCCAAGTGCGAAAACCAAACCGATCGTGGAGTGGATTACCTCCAAGCATCGCGATGAATGTAAACAAGATTAGACCAGTCGCTAGGAGTATCTTGCCAAGTGCTAGCCAGAACTCAACCTCTCCAAAGAGATCGGCCCGGTAGACGTTGATGGCGAGGTAGAACGCAAGTGAGACTGTGATGAGGATCGCGGGCGATTCGTTGTAACCCCAGTATTGAACAAGTGTGTTGATCACTGTCGCCTCGAAAATGACATAGGATGTCATCGCAAAGAAGTGGTTCCAGGCAACTGCTACGCCAAGCGCTGGATCGACCATGCGCCCAGCCAACCGCATGAAGGAGCCATCTAAAGGATACAGTGTAACGATTTCGGTCTCTGAAGAGGGAGTCAGTTGAGCTGTCAACTCGAAATTGAAATCCTCCAAGGACTTACGGCATTGAGCAATGCTGAAAACAACCGAAGCCCAGAAGATGAATGCGAGCAACAGACAAAGAGGGCCCGACATGACCCCAGTTCCGATAGCGACGAAGAGAGCTGCACCGATTGATCCGGCCATTGCAGTCAATTGAATCTGTCGAGGATTCAATCTGCGGTGGTTCACCGCCTGTCTAATGGACGCTTCGAGTTCATTTGTTCCTTCAGGGACAGCTGAAGCTTCGCCGCTCAATATCTCGATCGGATCGGCCACCTACACCCAGGCACGTCAGATCGAGTACTCATAGGTTGCAATACAGAATCAGAACGAAATTGCCCAGAAAGTCAAGCGGAAACGTACCTCTACGTCCTTCTTTGGAACATCTTCAGCGCTTCCATGGGCATATCCGTATGACGATGCAGGATTTTCCATCGTTGTCTTGGCGACACCGATAATTCAGAGACAAGTTGCGAATCATGGCGTGATGCTTTCGTTCTATATATGATTCTTTGGCTTCAGCAGACTTAGCTTGTAAGTCAGTGCACTCTAGTGCACCAGCACCAGATTGTTCGCGTGGAGAACCGACGTTATGCGATCTGGAAACGGAACATTGAGCGATCACGGGAAATTGATAAGCTTTCTCCTCTTGCTCCGTTCGGTAACTTTTACAGTCCGGGACATGCTATTGGTGTAATTAGAGAGCTGATATCAGGTCCCCAGATGGTACAAAAGTGCCGGGGCATGAAGTTAAGACTGATCCTATCGCTTCGAAAGGTAATCTTTGCAGTCAGATCACGCTTTAGCGTCGAACTTGCCCTTATGGGTTAACATGCTACGATTCTTGATGCGATGACTAGCGCCGGATAGCGTTCACGATTGCCTGATCTGGTAATCAGGGCTTGGTGGCGACTATCCCACCTAATCACTGGACGCGCAATCCGTATCATATCGCCGCAAACACGGCCGAGTAATGAAGGGTCTCCACTTTTATGTTACATTCGGGGGCTGATAGGCACATGTTCCCCAGATCCTGTCCCCACATGCCGTGACTCGTCATTGCTAAGATGGAATAGCGAGATAGAGGCACTTGGACGTTGGAGACGACCAAGCGACCCGATGATATGCGCGTCTGTGCCCGTTATTTGTAGTGCTCCCCCTTCGACATCGATCAAGGCTATCGACATCTGTGCACACACCATGGCACCCTCACTTGTAACTATTGCCGCCTCTGAGCCCGTTGAGAAGATCAACGAGATCATAGAGCGCGATGGAGGAGTCATTGTCTCGGATTTCCTTTCTCCAGAGCTCTTGAAAGAATTGATGAATGCGAGTAAGTCACTGAATAAATCATAAACTCCACACGAGCTCTCCTTATCTATCACCAGTTGAACCCTTCATGGCTGGCCGTCAAACGTACGATTCCTCTGCGACGCATAGCGAACTCGGGGCCGATTTCTTCCCAGAGGGCTCTCAACGTGTCTATGGTCTCTTGGGTAAGATCCCATCTCAGATATCCCAGATCATGCGGCTCCCTGTATGGCAAGGTGTCATGGATCGCTTCCTCAGCGATGAGTACTCTTCCTACACCGGCGAGACTCTCGTACCCCAGAAGAGCGGATACATGCTTGCGTCGACTGCGGCATTGCGACTCGTACCTGGTGCCAAACCCCAGCCGCTCCACCGCGATCAGATCGCCTACCAGGTGCGACCCGACGCATCAAATCCTCTTTTCACACCCATGGTAGGATGCTTGATCGCAGGCTCCAAAAGCACATACAAGAATGGTGCTACCGCAGTGATACCAGGCTCACACCTGTGGCCGCCGTCTCGCGCGCCCAAAGTTGAAGAGTGCACATATGCTGAGATGGAACCTGGTTCTGCCCTTTTCACGCTTGGATCGACGTACCACGGCGCAGGCGAGAACAAGTGTGAGGTATCGGACCCAAATGCATTGCGGACGCTGTTTGCTGTGTTCGGTCAAAGGGACTATTTCAGACAGGACCAGGACGAGGTTTTGTCGACGCCACTGGAAATTGCGCGAGGCCTTCCAGATGATATCCTGAAGCTGGCGGGCTACTACAAAGCAGTGGGAGGTGTAGGCTATGTGGAAGACCATCAGGGTCCGATCGAATTCTTGCACAGAGGTGACAACGGTATTGGGAAGTTCGGGCCTGTAGCCAAAGTTGCGGTTTGAAGGCTTGATGGCTTGATGGCTTGATGGCTTGATGGCAGGCGAAGGTAGCATCTTATGGACAAATAATGTAATGTTCGTGAGACCAGATCTCCAACGTCTGTACATAACTCGCTTTCCTAGCATACGGTCTTGTCCATCTGATGACAGAGCTGGGGTGGTGCGCTAGCTTGCCCATATCCAGTACCGCTGGTTGTATCGCAGGCTTGGTTGAGCTTACCTAGCGAAGCAGGTCTATTCTCCAGGCAGAACAAGGCGGTTTGGGGCCACACCTGCTGCGCGAGATCCGACATGCTCACGCTTTGCAAAGAGTAGCAATGATGAGAGCTGCTGGTGTGGTTGGGGTTCTGTTTGGTGTTTCCAATGACGCAACTTTTAGCGCTTCGGCTGAATGCCTCCAAGAGGAAAAGACCATTCTCCCCGCAACTTCTTCCCCAGCCTCTCCACATTGACCATGGCCTCTTACTTTCACCTACCCAAAGGAGATTCTGACAGGTGATGACTGACCAGGGCCGACGAGTGATGGTCACAGAAACCAGTATATCCCCACTAGCGTCGTGGAGATGCAACGGCACTTGAAGGCACTTACCTCTACTTCTCAAAACGGAAATCATAGGCACCAATTTTCTCTAATTCGATGTTGTTTCGTTTGGAGTCAATCTAGCGCCTCATGGAATTACCACGTGAGGAATAGGTCGGCACTGCCTACTCTACCCCGGCATGACGACCGCTATAGAACATCAAGGATGTGGGCGCGTGAAGATTGTGGAGAAGAATAGCCGCAACATGATATATGATCACCTTGCGCCTCATTGATGGCTCAGGCATCGCCTATTCTTCTCTCGGTGCATGCTCGCTAATCGGACTCTCAATATGAGACTGTCCAACTTTGTCCTCACGGCTAGCTTGACCGCCGTCAACGCGATTCCATCATACTTCGAGAAGCGAGACGCGGCACCTGCAGCTACGATTAAGAATGGAACCCTTGAAGGCATTTCGATTCCGTCGTTCTCTCAAGAGGCGTTCTTGCGTATCCCATTCGCCGAGCCTCCAGTAGGGGACCTCCGCTTTGCTACACCGCGGTTCTTAACGCAGGGCTGGAATGGTACACTCGAGGCGAAGACGTACCCTCAAAAGTGTGTCGGCTACGGCACTGAGCAGATCGAAGATGGGGGAGCACAGGGCGAGGACTGCCTTTATTTGAACGTTGTAAGACCTGCAGGAATGGACTCAGGAAGTGCGCTACCTGTTGCAGTATGGATCCATGGTGGAGGTAAGTTACTCAGCTATTATCATAATGTGTTGTTGGAAACTGCGACTCACACCTTAGAGGTTTCTCGCAAGGCGGTACTATAAAGCCATTGTACAATATCTCGTACATGATACAGAATGGAATCGAGATTGACAGGCCTTTCATTGGTGTTACACTCCAGTATCGGCTCAACGCGTACGGCTTTCTCAACGGTGATCAGGTCAAGGCAGCGGGTGCCACCAATCTAGGCATCCGGGATCAGCGGCTTGCACTCCAGTGGGTGCAAGAGAACATCGCCGCGTTCGGTGGCAATCCGGACAAGGTAAGTCACTTCATTGCTTCCCTAGTGACAAGTGCTTACTATCATGGTCATAGGTAACCATATTCGGAGAAAGTGCAGGTGCAGCTTCCGTTGGTATTCACCTTGTCGCCTACGGTGGCCGTAACGACAAGCTCTTCCGTGGTGCCGTCATGGAAAGCGGTGGACCTTTATTATTGGGCAGCAAATACAACGCTTCGCTCGAGCAGTCAAAGTACGACATGCTCGTACAAGCGACCGGCTGCTCTAGGTTCAGTGACTCGCTGGAATGCCTCCGAGATCTAGATTACACATCTTTGAACGCAGCGCTCAATGGCACCGCCGCCAATACGTTCTTTCCCTATGAGGACGGTGACCTTATCCAGGGTTCACTCTACGATCAGCTCGAAGCAGGGAAGTTTGTTCAGGTACCAATCATCATCGGAACGAACACCGAGGAAGGAGGTTTCACAGCCTCAGGCATGAAAGTCGATACAGATGCTCAATTCCGCGACGCTGTAGCATCGTATGGCTCGAATGAGACAGTACCCTTCATCGAAGCCCTGTACCCGAACATCCCTGCCATCGGAATACCTGCTCGAATCAAGACTCCCACGGAAGCCCAAGGCAAGCAATACAAGCGTCTAGCCGCTTTCACGGGCGACTACACTTTCATCGCGCCGCGCCGTCTGACCTGCCAAAGTTGGGCTCAACACAACGTCACCGCATATTGCTACCGATTCAATGGCGACTTGCCGTCGATTTTGCCTACAGCTGGCGCCACTCACTGGGTCGAGGTTGCCTATGTCTTCTACAATCTCGATCGTGTAAGTAATGAGGGTACATGGCCGATACCGGAGGATTACAAACGTTTGGCCAAACTTGTCAGCTCAATGTGGGTGAGCTTCTTTGTTGATGGTGACCCCAACGGGCATGGACAGAAGGATGTCGCGAAGTGGCCTGCGTATGCGGATGGCGACACTGGATATGCGGAGGATTTCGCCTTTGATGTCAACGGGACGAGTAAGCCAGAGCTGGACACGTGGAGGGCGGAGGGAATCGCGTATCTGAACAGCGTGTACGGCAGTGCCTACAACAAATAGGTCATTGGGTTTACCGCAGAATTCAGGGTCTAATTGTATTTGCAAAGACTGGACTGAATGTGTTTTGACTTAAAGATTGATTTTTACTTTTTGTAAGAGTACTAATGAGTCAGGTTGATCCCCGAACCAACTACCACAGTTCGCAAGCTGGCTCCTTATTGGCGCACTTGAACGCCTCCTTGAAGCCCCTCTGGTTGGCAACCGTACCCAGGATACGGACATTGGGTGGCGAGTGTGGGTCGGAGTAAATCCTACGTACGGCCTCGGCGGGCCTCCTCTCTCCGCACCATACGCCACCGAAAGAGAGGTAGAAGAGCTGCTCACGAGTGTACTCCTCGAGGCCAGGAAGAAGTTGATTAGGCTCCGCTTCGTTCCTCTCCTGCCAAGCAGTGAAAGAAGCCGACAGACCGCCAGTGTCAGCAACGTTCTCACCCTGGGTCAGCTCTCCATTGATATGGAGCTGCTCGCCAGCGGGCGTTGTAATGCTGTACTCGGAAAATTGATCGATGAAGCACTGTGTCTTGTTTTCGAAGGCGGCAAGAGTGGCATTGTCCCACCAGTCGCGGTAGGCACCATTCTCATCGTAGTGAGAACCTGAGCTGTCGAAAGCGTGTGTAAGTTCGTGCCCAGCAACGGCTCCAAAGGCACCGTAAGAAACGTATTCCGGAAGGTCTAGGTTGAACAAAGGCTGCTGCATAATACCGGCAGGAAAAGCGATCTCGTTGGATGGCGGGTTGAAGTAAGCGTTGACTGTAGGTGCAGTCATGAACCAACGATTCTTGTCGGTGGGGTGGTTCAAGTCGCCCCAAGTACCAGCAAGCGTGAAATTGTTGTACGCGAGACCGTTCTCGAAGAAGGAGTCTGTCACGTTCAAGGTCGCGTAGAAGTCGGCCAGTGCTTTGGGATCCTGAACATTGGGAGAGATGTCGGGGTAACCAATCTTCTCGACCATGTTGAGAATTTTCTGGATGGCCAACTCTTTGACCTCATCGCTCATCCACTCATACGTCTTTAGCTTAGCCTTGAAAACGTCCTCAACATCTGTGATGATGCGTTCGCCGAAAGTCTTAGCCTCCGGACTGAAAGCTTCACGGACAAAGAATGCGCTTTCGATCCATGGCAGGTTGGTATCCACGTCGCTGAAGCATGTCCTCCAGCGCTCGGCGGTGGCCTCAGGATCTTTACCCTGCAGTTCGTTCTGAAGGCGGCGGTATGGAGCGCTAACGTTGTCTGAAAGACGTGTTGCCCAGGTCTGGATCAGTACCCAATCCAAATAAGCGTTTACGGCTTCAGTCGTGCTGTTCTTGAGGATAGACGATACGGCCGGGAAGTAGTCGGGTGTGTACACGATAACGTCGCCAACGGTGTAATTGCTCGGAGCGAACGCTTTGATCAAGCGGGAGAATGAGATCTCGGGTAGCAGGTCGTCGGCCTCAGCGATTGGTGTTGGGTTGTAGTAGTACTCCACGTCACCGGCTTGCGAAGCATCGGGGGAAGCATTGGCGAGCGCTTTCTCGAAAGTGACGATCTCATCAGCGATCTTCGCGTTCGAGTCGTGTTTATCCTCGCCGTACAAATTGTCAAACATGCCAACAATAGCAGTCGTGTAGTTGGCGATAGCCTCGTCATCAGTGTAGTATTCTTTCGCATCGAGCCCAAGCAGCCCAGTGCCTAGAGCAACTGTGGTGATGTTGGGGTTCTTGTCATCCGCCGTTGTGGTTGCCTGAACAATGCCGCTGGCACCATACCGTTGGACCCAGATGAGCTTGTCAGTGAGGTCGGTTCCATTTCCGGAAGCGAGCGTATCGAAAGCACTCAGGATGTCCTGAAGGGGCTTGGCACCGGCTTCATCGATAGCATCTGTATCCATGCACGAGTCATAGGCGGCGATCATCTTGTTGAAGTTCTGCTCATCCAGACTCGCGGCATCGCTAGTAGAATACGTGCTGTTGATTGTGGTGTTGGACGGGTAAGGAGATTCCAAGATTGTCCTCATCAGCGCAGTGTTGACATCGGACATGACAGACAGAACACCGATATCTGAAAAAGCAATCAGATACAACTCGGCCATCGCTGATTGTTTTTGCTAACGTGAACTTACTTGACTGGTCGGCTCTGAAATCATGACTTGCCCACCACCCAGCACAGGTGTAAGTGGCAAAGTCCTCACACGGATCAATATCTGTGTAATTCTCTGCACGGCCGGCAATGACCGAATCCGCAAAGGACTTGCATGCTTCGGTGTCACAAACGTCTTCATCTTGGCGGCGAACTGCACGGGAGGACGACCATGATCCCACCAACGGAGGCGGCCTTGAATAAGAGTGGGTGCTGCGCTTGTAAACAGCAGCGACTAATTGGACTATCAGCTTTGACCCTTGAAATAGTGCATTGTACATACGCGGATGTTGGCTCCCGCTGAGAGGCGAGGCGACGACGCTGCTGAGCAAAGCTACTGAAGCTACTAGGATCTTCCGGCTGGACATCGTTGACGACGATCCATTGTAGACCATCTTGGCTGGACGCACTTCAGCTGTTGTCCTTCACGTGGAGCAACAGGGGACCGGTAAAGAGAAAGAAGAGGCCGGAGGAGGTCGCTTTATACTATTTACAAGCCATGGGGACTGTCTAAGACGCATGGTTCCAGGAACCGTCCAACAAGGTTAAATGCTTAGCGTAGTCGGCTGGAAACGTAGGAGTAAGCACCAGGGCGACAAGGTGGTGGGAGGATTGTTCCTGTGTACAGTAAACATGCTGCCAAGGCAGCGCTAGTACGTGCGCGGTAGGTGCTTTGCAGATGGGAGCAACAACTTGGAAGGAGCCAAGATGCAGCCAAGGCTCATTGTCGTGCCTCGGCCATCGATCTACATAGTACATGATGATAAGCGTCTTGCCCCTGGTTGATGCAAGGGAAGGACTTCTTTTGGCCACACTTTGGTACCAGTACCGCGGACCAGTACCTTGACCGTGAAGGAAGTGATGCACGAAACGAGGCCTCTGCCCGCTATCCCGGCCTCCGGAGGCGGATCGAAAAATTGCTCTAGCCCAAGGCTGGTGAAAGGCGGGGACGAAATTACGCTGTGAGCCCTTGTCAAAGCTTACTCATGCACAAGGCACATTGTGGCTCTGGTGTTACCAAATGTCGGCTGTCTGAAACGCGGTCCCAACTCCCACGCGGGTCCAAATGACTGTGTTCGCAAATTCCGAAAGCTTCAAACAATGGTCCAATGCAGTGGAACCACTAATATTAGCGTCTTTCTTCTGACTTTGATCACACGTTTCCTATGTAGCTTCTTGCTCGTAGTACGTTTGCAGGTTCGGCACATTACACTTAGGTGTGTAAGATGTGATCTCAGCTGTCAGCTGTGGAATTCTTGCCATTTCCATCCAGTAATCACGTCCCACTAAAATGGCAACGATGTAAATGGGCAGCACCTGTGAGTCTTCCACATCTGGGCGCCAGGTTCGGTCGCAAGGCAAGCCTATGGAACGGATACGGTCCAATACTAGATGATTGTTGGCGGCCCGGGAATACGGCCGCACGCAGGTCTCCGATACGTGCTGTATAGAGTCAATAAAGGCTGCACGAAAGTGATTTTATCGCAAAAGATAATCACATCCTTTAGGGACGCGCAGCTGGCTGGGAAGAATGCTTCAAGTGCTCGTCGGGCCGCCCCTACAGCGCGGTATACCACAGTGGCACCGCCTGAGCCGAATCTTCAAGAAGCAATATACCGATACGAGCGACAGATGCTTGCCTACAGTGAGCATCAAAGGCCGCTCGAATAAGAAATGGCATCACGATTGCGATGAAAGGTGGTCGACCTTTTGGTAGCTGCTCGCTTATTCTAGCACCTTCGGCAATGTCCGGGAAGCTTCGCGCGCGTTCATTGGCCAATTCATAGAACTCGAGCGAATCAGCGATCTAGTCATGCCACCACACGTCACGAATATTCCATCAGATGAGGTCAAGTATATATAAATGTACGATTGTGCGAAGATGTCTCTTCATCAAGAAACAAATTACAAACACGATCACAAGCACGAATCTCAACAATTCGAACTTTGTCACAAACCTACCGAAGCAAAGCAATACAGAGCTTCACACAATCACCACAATGTCCGCCTTCGAAGTATATCAATTCCACGACTCGAACAACAACACAATAAAGTACCTCTTCAATCCATCTAAGCGCCTCAACAACAGCGATGAAGGCCCCGTCCTTCTCGACCAAGTCATCGAGACCTTTGATCCCGAATTCGACACCGCGCCTTCGTATACCATCCCTGAGCCAAGGCCTGGAACGAGGATGTTCGAGTACAAGGCCCGCGATGGTGCTTACGTGGGGTACCAATTCGATCCCACTGCACAAAACGGCAAGCAGTACGTTGTGGCGGTACATCGAGAACCGATGAACTGGCAAAGCCTGAGTGAAGAGGATTTGGCGGTTGAGAACGAGGAAGAGTTGAGGAGAAATTTCGAAAAGAGGGCACCTCGCAATGGACAAAAAAAAACTTCTTTTTTTGAGAGGAGAGATTCTGCGATGGAGATGGACACGGAGGAGTAAGAAGTCAGCGGAGGTGCGCTTGGTCTGTAAGAGTGCAGACTGTCTCTTTCTTGAGCTGGCACTTCAATGAGCCACAGCGTCTACAGTGGCTCACCGCTTGGGCCCGGGCTGCATGGCGTTCCGGTTGGGTATCGGTTTCAAAAGGCGCTACGACCTTGAGTGTCCAGCTAATGTCCGCTTTCCATGTGGAAACGAGGAATCTGCGCTGGGTGTTTGTGTCTTACTATGCATGGGTCTTGGTAATGCAGCCAGGGTAGTCCAGGAGCAGCATCATACTAGAAGAGGAAGCAGTCGCAACGAAGCGATACTACTCAAATAATACAATCGAAGAAATTATTATCACCATTTGTTCCTTGTACGCAATACAGTGGTCGCAACTCTAGAATTAATTATAGCTCTGCCATCTTTCGGTCAATCTCGTTTTTGGACACTCTCACTACTATTGTTTCACGACAGTAGTGCCGATACCGAAACAGCTTATTGGAGAATGCAGGTATCCCCACATTAAACAGTTTTCCCATTTAACGTTCGGTAACAACAAAGTCCATATCATCGTGGATGTAGAATCCAGAGCAAAACTCTTTGAAAGGCTCTGATAGTCTACAAGGTTGCAGGTTGAAGCGCAGTAAAGTCTATTGTTGTCAGCAGTGTTTCTAGTGGAGAATGTGTTCGCACATACCTCTATCAACGCTTTGTTAAGTTCCATGTTTGCGACCACTTTACCAAGGCAGCCGAACCGACCATAGCCGAAGACAAGAGAGAGGGTCTCATTCATTCTGAGCATGTATTTTGCTGTCTCCTCAGTGTCGTCCCGTGCAAGCCATCGTTCAGGGCGGAAAATCTCAACGTCGGGCCCAAATATCTCCTTGTTGCGCATTAGGCCCCAGCTGTTCCAAGCAATCTGAGTACCGCTAGGAGCATATTTCTCCACACCATCGACGTCGATCTTGGCTCCGCCCTTCGGCACCATCTTCGCCAAGATGCCAGTGATAGGAGGGTATACTCGCAATCCCTCCTTGATACAGGCCTGAAGGTACGGAAGCTGAAGAGCTTCGGAATTCTTGATGATTGGCCGGCTAACTTTTCCAGCTGCTATAGCCTCGTTTGCTTCCGCGAGAAGACGCTGCAGTATTGGCGGAGAGGTGGAAATGAAGTGCATGGTCATGCGCAGAGCTGAAGCTGTGCTGTCGGACCCAGCTGTAATCTGCAACATCGTTTCGCCTTCCAGCTCAAGCGGTGTCAGCCCGTTCTTGATGAAAGAGTTCAGCATATCCTGCCGCAAGATAGCTTGTTCTCCGAAGCGCTCCTGTACCCGATCGTGCGCGAAACCCATGACGCGGCCTAATCCACGTTTGTCCATCGAGCTTGGCAGTGCTGCTTTGATAAAGGGTATTCTAAGGATATTCGTGAGCTCATGATAAACGCCAAACCAGGACACGGCGGGCAAGTATTGCTTCAAATTCGCTGCATAACCAAAGGGATCGTCGTTGGCTGCTAGGAAGCCAAAAGGCTCTCCGAAGGCAACTTTAGAGATGATATCGAGCGTGAAGTAGGACGTAACCTTTGCCAGGTCCATACAGCGAAAGAGATCCTCCTCTGACTTCGTGATATACTCCTTCTGAATCAGATTGATCATCTCGAGTATGAGATCATCGATGTCTTTCTCCAAGTGTACATTCTCTTTGCCGGAGTATCCAAACGACATACGGCTGCGCATGTCGTTATGTTTGTCTTCATCGGTGTAGCAAGCGATGTTTTCACTGTCCGGGTGAAGTTTCAGGGACGTGTACCAGGGGCCTCTAGTGAACGGTGAGCGTACGGCATTCATACGTCGCACAAGTTCGGGGTCGCTTGTGATCAACATCTTCGGCGCGACGCGTGCTGTAGATCCTATAGAATCGAGGTGGGTCAGAAAATATTTCTGAATTCAGGAATCTTAATGACAATCATATGCACGTGGTCAATGATAGCTTCGTAAAAAAGAACATTCAGAGCTCACACACGGCTGCCTTGTAGCTTTACCGATTTCTTAAACTCAGTGTACGTACCATATTTATTGTTGATTTCCGTGAATATCTTGTTCATTTTACCACTATGGTGACAGCGGAGAAGCCACAGCCTGGTCCAACCGGCAGACCAGTGTCCTCCGAAGTCGCGGAGCTCCAAGTACGTCTTGACATTTCGCAAAATGTAGACGGAGATTAGGGCCACGCCTACGATCAGAGTTATCGACCACATAACTTCGATTATCGAAAGATGGTTCAAGAACCGATATATCGACGAACCCTGCGTGGTTCAAGCGACGAGAGAGAATCAAATCGATTCCGAGAAGCGAGAGAACATAAGGACGTATATAAGGCTTGGGATTCGTCGCTCCATCTCAAGTTTAGAAATAGCTTGCGTAGTTGCAGACGCCCTGCGTCAGCGAGAGGGCATTCGCGACATTCGGGTGGCTCCTCGGAGCACAGGGATGCCGGCAACTGTTGGCGCTAGCTATCAGCAACTCTCCTCCATCAATTAGACTCTGTGGCCAATACGAGCTGCAAAAGCAAGAACCACCTATCATGTACCGTAGATGACTCCAGCAAAAGCGAAGTGCGCCTATCTTAGGTACGTCGAGCACACCAGCGTGCATGACAGCAAAAGGACTGACGTAGTGCAGCCAATTCGGTCCATACATCGTGCTGTATTACTGATGATAACGATCCGTCGCTATGATTTGCGGGTATGGAGATGGTGGACATTGACGGGCGTAAGATTTCAGCCTTGCAGCGTGCCCAGCCTCGATCAGATTCGATATTACACATGTGGGCAAGGCAATACCACCTATGGTAGATTTCTGCATGCCCAATCGCAAGCTGCGCTAGCGAGCAAGCCTGCTTGTAGCATTGCTCATGAACGCAGCACCGACACCGATTATCTTGAGATCGCAATATGTTACCTATTTACCTAGGGCGGTGCTCGGTTTGCAAAGCCACGGTATGTACCTGTGGTAGTGAGCATGGCCAAGTCTTGGATGACGTAACCTGCGCTACCACACTCAAAATGTATAGGAACTATACAAGTGTTGATATTTTCATGCGCGATAATCGTACAAACATACGTGTAAAGGTAGGTTTATGAATGTGCGGGCGTTTGGGGTCCAGAAACTTGTTTGGATCTGATCTGTGCCGTGCCGTGCTTTACCATCACATCCGACCCCACATAAAGTCAACAAGATCTGACCACACATCCTTCATACTGTCACTTTTACCACCCGATCTGCGACTAGCTCCTTCCGCATGTCAAAAACGGACACATGGATTGGTGTTCAATAGCTTTTCTGCCTAGTTCTTACGATGCACCAGAATGCCAGAGACTTTTATAAGAAGCGAAGAGCTTGCGTAGGATGCCATGGTAGTAGTCTGGTAGGCATCTCGTGCGTGTGATGAACCGCCGATAACGGTAACCGGTCTGTAGAACAATAGGCCTTGCTTCGGAACATGCATGTCCATTGAGAAAGGATACATGTTGTTCCATCTCTTGTGAACGATTCTTCTCTATCCGCTGCGTCAACATGAAACCGCACATTACCTCTGTACGCCGCCTCGCCTTCATCTTCTGTGTCCCACCAAGGCTGCCGGGTTCGTCCCCCCAAGCATCGTCCTCCAATGCGAGATTGAACATCATTCCGAAGTACGCCTCCGGGCTTGGGACCCCTTTTCCAGGCTCAAGTGGTGCATATCAGTTCATTCGCGCGCGACAACCATGATCCATGAACACGCGCGCCATCGCCGCTGAAACCCGTGGGGGATGTTTCACCTGCGCCACTTGCCAAAATTGGCTCTGCGAACTATGCAGGGGTCCTGCTTTGGGTGCTCTGAAGCCGAGCAACGGAAAGGCATCGACAAGAGTTGATAGCGCTGGAATCGAAAGGCGGAACTGATGATAGACGTTGGGAAACGCGCGTACGTCATGGTCAGACACGCTTGTGGGATGTTGCCATGGTTTCAAGCTCCACATTTGACGTGACGCCTTGGGGAAACCTGTGCATCTTAACACAAGCGGCATGGTGATCGGTCGAGTTTACGCGGTTGCAAATCCGGTGTAGCGGCGCAATCTCACTTACGTAATCACAAAGCTCGCCTTTCCCACGCTCTGATTCGACACAACTTTCGAGATCTTGACAGGCACGAAGAACTTCGCGGTCGCTTTCGGTCACGTCGCAGAGCCAATTGCTAATTCTTGCGTACAGAAATATCACCTGGCATCCTAACTACGGCTTGTCGGGCGAGTCCACCACGGAGCGTCTCTCCGAGGCCGCGACTGCCACAACCGATCGCCTCGATAGCTGTACCAAAGGCGTCGAACTGGATGCACTGAACCGCCATCTCGCCCTCTTTCATACCTCCGCTAATAATCTCGACCTAGGCCTTGTGTCGGGTCTGGTATGTTATCACCTTTGTCTGATTGTATGTCTTACGGCCGTCCATATCGGCGTCTGTTTACAATTCCTGATCGCAGAGGCCCAAGAGCGCCTTCTACATAAGCATTGTAACACTTCCACCTCTGGAAACGGTCATATCAGCATTGCAGCCATGGCATGTTGGAAACCGCGTCAGCGACACAGATCCAGCAGCCCTAACGATGAGGAGCAGATGGCCACGGCTATTAACCCGGTTCCGCGGTCCCGAACATTGTCTTTGGCAAACTTACGCAGCGGCGGCAAGCCGTGCACGCCGTCCAAATCTAAGACAAGTAAGCTCACCCCTGACCCCTGCCAAAACAACAAAACCCAAAACCGTGCACTGCCAGCAGCATCCTTTACCCGGCAATCGCATGCGTTGGAGCTACGCTTTCCGCGCTTCATTCCTATCCCCTTCCACCGCTCGTTGAACCGTTTGGAGATTTTGCGTACTGATTCTTCGAAATTTCCACAGCATCGCTATTACCCAGCCTTGGTCTTGACTCGTGGGACAATGTTAACAGCTTGGGGCCGAGCAACAGCGCATTGAGTTCACCAAGCGATTCTCCTTTCGCAACGTCTGGCAATCCTGCCATGCCCGCAATCCACACACTCCCTCGCAACCCGATCGGTCCGCTGGCCATTGACTCACCCATGGCTCCCGAACCTGCACCGGCGCCCAACGGCTGGGCTCGTCCGAATGCGCACGCTGCCTCACAAGCCTCGAAAACGTCACAATACATTGATAAGATCACTTCCGAGAATGAGAAGCTGAAGAGAGAATTGAAAGCTGAGCGACTGGCACGAGAAGAGGAAGCGAAGCGCGTTTCAGCCGCACGCACAAAGGCCGAGGACTCACGCGCTGAGCACCAGCACCTACAACTACTCGTCGATACCAATGCAAGGGCTTTGGAACGAAAGGACAGGAAACTGGAAGAGATGAAGGCACAACTCGAACAGGAATCCAAGAGAAGAAAGGCTGCCGAGCAGAGGGCAGAAGAGGCCCTCAAGATGCTCGGAGACACGCGGTCCGAGACACAACGCCAACTCGCAGCGGCATACGAGCAGAAACACTTATCCGAGACGAATGCGGACACAGCCCGAGAAGGTTACAAGCGAATGACTGACGGCTACGAGAAGAAGATCAAGTACATCACCGAGCAGATGAAGGAGCTACGGCAAAAGCAGTACGACGATGCCGACAAGATCAAACGACACGCCATCATCAGCGATCAATTGCAACACGAACTTTCTCGAAGACAGCGGACAGAGACCAGAATGGTCGATATGATGGGGCAATACAAACGCGAACACCAGAAAGAGATGGAAGATTTAACACAAGAGGCTGAACGATTGCGAGTAGCCGTGCCCAGGAAGGAAGAGGAGGCGGCAAGGCTGGTACAAGAATTGCAACTCACTAAGGATAAGATGAAGTGGGTAATGGCACAGCAACAGCGGCAATCCTAGATGTCCGCACTCTTTACGACCTTTACGATCATTTTGGGATAGAAGCAGATTTGTACGATATCTCGACTGGCGTTGATTACGAGCGAGCATTTTGGTGGTCAGGCGCTATCTGGGCATTGTACTCGGCTGGGAGTGGTATATCTGAGGGTTTACTGCACCAGCTTTAGGCGTTTTGTAGGGCCAACAACCCTCTGTGGTCATTTCGGATAGTTGATGTCGACATGAAATACCATATCCAAGCGATGAACATACTCATCATGTTCGTCCTCGCTACTCTCCACTGCCTCTTCTACTCGCTGTGCATGTACGCGCCGTTGCCCTTGCGTAAACCTCGATCGTCAAGCTTGAGCAAAATTTCCGAGGCAGTTTTGCGACAAGCTCCGGCGTTCATACCATCGCTGTCTAAAACTTGGCCTGCGGCTAAGACTGGGTGTGCTGTACCTGAGCCTTTGGGATCCGCCGCAGCATCGCCCTTGTCTCATAGCAGAAACGCAGCTCTCAGGATGCTCCACTCTTTTACAATGCAGCCCTTGACATACACTTGCTGAAAGGCCAATATGCCGTTCGTTGAGACGGTTTGCAGCGCTGCGATGACTCCTCGCCCAAAGCGGTAGGCACTGCCGATCCGTATCAACCCCACAAGCATAGTCCGCGTCATTTCTTGATGCCTACCGAAGTTTTGAGTCATCGTTCGCTCTCACCGACGGTGACTGTGAAGTAGTATCTCCCTATGGTAGGAAGAACCGATAAGGGATTGATGAGCGGCTGTGATAAGGGGCGTGCTGCGTGGAGCTCCTGTGTTGGAACTGCATATGGGAAGCCACACCGGTGAACAATCAATTGGGAAGCCACACCGGTGAACAATCAATTGGGAAGCCACACCGGTGAACAACTAACCATACATATGGCTATGGTTTAGAGCATCCTGCATCGCAACTGGGAAGGTAGGTAGAACACCACGTAAGGTACCAAGCATCTCAATGAGATTGGCGTAAAGCTTAATGTCCGGGTGTGCCTCCCGCAGTTGACCGGTGCTCTATTGAGGAGTCATATGCTAACAAAGCACGCGCACGTACAGTCTTACTTGTTGGTAAGCGTCTGTAGGCACTGCACGGCCTCGCAACCCTCGCATCGTGCCATCCAACGGCAAGCGAAGTTGCAATAGCAGAACGCTATGTCTCGAACGAGATGCGACGCATGAATCATAATGATACACAGCCCATTGCTACCACACCCATCTACAGAGTCAGTCCCATCATGCAGCTAAGCGTATACGCGGATGGGCTGTATAATCTTACGTAGACATAAGATGCCTGGGTGTTGGCCTCCTAAGGCCGCATCACCTTCACTAGCCCATCAGATTCGCATACGCAACTCTTTCCAGAAGCATTACTCCTGCCAACACAGAGTACGTACTGGTTAACAGGCGGTTAACTTCAGGCATCAACAAATCGTCCAACTCTGAGAAGCTCCCGCAGCTAGGTTACGAAGGGACCGCGTGTACACCTTCAGCGAACGAAACTTCCATCTACAAATACCAATTCGGCATCAGCATCCAAAACGAACACAACGAGCTCAGCATTTCTGTCTTCCTACTTATGAAGATCTAGAGACTATATCCGAACCACCTCTTCTCCGAGCACTTGCCCCTTCCACCCAACCCACCACCAGCTATCACTCCCAATCCTTCACACCGGGAAATTTTTCGGAGAACACAATCAGATAAGGTGCCAGAACAGTTCTCCATCTCATCCCTCCGCCCTATTACCCGCGCGCCAATGAGTGGATCCAGGACATCTTCAAGCTCGGCAGGCGCTTCTAAGACCACAAAGGTCAGGGAGCCCAGGATGCAGGATCAGGGGTTCCCCATATCTACAATAGGACAGGGCCAAGGCCTACTTCTGGGACAGGCAACTCCGCAAGCTCAATCGGAGGCACGCCGATCTCAAGAGACTTCCGAAGAGTTGCTGGGTCACAAAGAGGAGAAGAAGTACGTCATTCACCACACCACCCTTCCTCCTCTTTTATTGACAGTAGATAGATCAAGCATGCGGTCCGCCCTCTCTAGCATTAAAGATAAAGCAAAGCGGTTCTCTTTCTCGTCCTCCTCGAGCAAGGACAATACTGCACTCCCAGAGTCTGAGGCAGAGGCTGAGAAGGCGAAGGCGAAGGAGGTCGAGGAAGACAAAAGGAGGACTGAATGAAGCGTTTGGGCTAGGGAAGGAGGGTTCGGGAAAGGGAACCGTGCAGATGGGTGGGTTTTCTGCTCTAATGAGGGAGGGGTAAGGAGCGATGCACGAAGGGATGGTGCTTCGACATGGAGATTGTTGAAGAGACAAGATGTTGGTGTTGAGATCATTAGTCCACCTGAACGCTGTTCAAGATTCTTCCTCGCTATCCATATGTTGACATACCTCTTTCTTACGCGCTTCTACCCTTCCAAATAACTTTGTGATTTAAGCGTTACTCTTTCGAGTCATGTGTACGACGGTCGATGACATATTAAGAACTTTGACGTTCATGACATCTGGAATTCATCTAGAGCTGGAGATGAGGAAAAACTTCATAGAAGAGACAGATAAGTATGTGGGTAGTGAGTCAGGAAATCATATTTCGAAAGGAAATGACAAAGGAAACGACTTTCATTTCAGTATATGTACAGAGTTAAACAGATCCCACACCCTTGGAGGGCCATCTCTGGTTCTCCGGGCCAGGTGCGGGGAATCGCTCCCATGGCTGCTCAGACTTGATGTTGTCGTCCCGCAGAGCCTGTAGCTTGCGCTCGTTGTCCTCGTTGGCCTCCTTCTTGAACTTTTCGATGACCTTCTCCATGTTGTTGACCTGTCCGGCAGGGACATTGAAAGGTGAACCCTGGTTCATGATCCTGCGTAACGTCAGCCAATTGCACGACTTGCGCGTTGGTTGCTCCAGTGTCTCGGCCAGCATTATGCGAGGTTTGCGCTTCTCCTCGTGAAGCGGATAGATGCGAGTACGTACTCTGGAAACCTCATGTTCACATGCTCCTGCGGCCTGGTGTTGGCAAAAAGTGCCCTGTCGGAACCCGCCCGCTCGATCATGCTGACGTGCAAGGCGTTCCTCTCCGCATATCGCTCTGTCGCCTCTGTGTACTTGTTGATGATACGAGTCAGGATCGAGGGCGCATCGGCGTCGCCTCGCGAGACGAGATAAAGGCCAGTAAAGACGGGGATCGAGCCGATGGGAATCCAGAAGCCTAGCTATACGTCCAATTGCGTCAGCATACAACCCTAAGGGCAATATATTGCATTTGGAGGGGCTTTCACGCAATCGCGAGTGAGTAGTTGGTGCGCGGGGAGGATTGACGTACGCCCATAGACTCGTTGACCGGTTCGCTGTGGGCGTGGTGGTGCTCATCGTGAGCGTATCGGCGCTGCTGGCGGGACACGGCGGTGCGGCCTTTTCGAACAGCAGACGCTGCTGTCCTGCGAAGGGCCTGCATGGTTGTGGGAGGGGGTTATTCGTGCTAGAGGTCGGATGCGATGATGGAGCTTCGCAGTTGCCAATGCTCGCGCCTTAGCCTCTTGGCGCGATTTCCCATCTGAAAGGAAGTCTCAACCACATTCCATCATACCAACGACAACCCTACAGAATTCCTATAATGACCTCGGGGAGACTCGTTGTTACCCAGAAATTTCACACATGAAAAACGATGGTTCTACCATTGACGTCGCTCTAATTATACGGCTAGCCAGCTTCCATACTGCTTACGTCGAATACAGAGACGCAACGATTGGCCAGTCCTAGGTCCTCTCTGGGAGCGTTATGGGCGGCACCTTAAAAAACTCAAGCATAACGTCGATCATTGCAAATCTCTCAAACTCTCAGGTTGCTCCCAACGTCCCTTCTAGGCATACCTCAAAGCACCGATCACCCGGTCCTCATTGGCAGTACAAGGACTCGCTCGTCAAGCATCACGCAAAGGGCTCATATCACACACGGTCAGCAAAGCCACGTATGAGTGGACGGTAGAACCATTCTACAAAATGTCAAATTTTTTATTCGTCCATCTGATCCAAGCGGTTGAGACGAGCAACCACTGAAAATGCTTCATCGACTCCGGGAATATGCAGACAACTGTCCCAGACGCTGAGAATCTAACAATCCAACACACGGATGCCCATCATGGTTGTACAATCACGCCGCAAACCGATCAAACTCGCGGGAGAGTCCCAGACTGCTCAAGACGTCAACAAACGAAAAAGCGAATCTCTCGTGCACGATCAACTCACCAGAAGAGAGGGTCTAGTTCACAGGAGTGCCGCAAGTGGGGCAACACTTGCCTGGAATCACCCATACAGTCTGACCGCGCTCAAGGCACGCCGGGCAACGGCGACCGGGAACCTTGATCATGTCAGTAACGTCTCGGAAGCACTACTGCTAGCTGGAACATACCGGCACGGTAGTGACTCCGTCCATATCGTACATGGAGGGAACGGCAATCTTATCGATGGGATGTTGCTGGCACATGACGTCTGAAGGTAAATGAAGATTGGTAAGGTTACTGTAACGAGTGACAGTACGTTTGAGATCTGAAAGCCGAGTCAGAGTACGAGTGAGATTGGTCGATACTGACTTCGTCGCGGACTTCAGGCTCACCTTTATACCACGTTGCCGCGTTGGTCGGTCCCATTACCCGGATCCTTTAGGTTCGTGTTCCTCTGCATCTGAACAGTTACGGAGTATCCATGGGTATCCCTTGTGTCCTGCTTTGATACGCAGGTGGCTCTGTGTACCGGCGAATGGAGGGTGCACGTCCCGCATCAGTCCGATCGAAAACACTACAGATAGAATTAGTGGAAATTATGTGCCACAACGCTGGATCCGTCGGTGCAGCATGCAGAATTTAGCGCGCGTGTTCGGGGCGGAAGATGACGAGCAAATATACAGTTGAGAGAACCCCTGTGCAGCAGCTAGTCATGCTGAACCTCAATCCAGAGGGCACCCAGGCGGGCGGTCGACGATACTCCTCAGGAACAAACCTGGCATGGACTCATGACAGGTACCGATTTGACCATGCAGTACCCCGCTGGCCAATTCATGCAACGAGCTTTCACATTTGTCACATGTCATCGCTTCTGTGCACAATAGTCCAATTGAGAGCGAGCGCGACAGTACTTGTCAATAATTGCGGTCAGCAGCGGCGTGTGTCGTCGAGCAATCTAGACTCCTCCCCCTCTGCGAAATAAAAGTGAGTTCTCGCGTCTGGTGCTTCGCATCTCGAGTGATCGACGCTAAGCGATCCACCACGCCATTGTGCGACGTTCTCGAAGAAGACCATTTCGACCCTTCAACTTGAGCGGTAAAAGACAGGCGGCGTCTTGATTGAAAGATTCCGATTCGCCGTTGGACTCCCGGGGATCTTTTAGCCTTTCTCTACGCACGACTGGTGATCGCTAAGCGTAACACTAAATGAACGCAGCTACCGTACGGTTGCCAGGTGCGGCACAACGACCCCGCATGGAACTGGCTACTCTTGGAGATGTTCTTGATCGATTGCTAGTATTCTCCAACATCGTTTGCTTTGGCCAACACGTCGAGAACGTAGACGAATCAATGTCCGCCAAGCCTAGGCTATACAGGCAGGCCGTGGCATGGGATCCATTTCTAGTGACCATGGTTTCTATCGACATCGCCATGTTGCTCTTACCAATTCTGAATAGTAGCATACATCACGTTTTCGACATAGCCGACACCATGATCATACGGGAGAGATACCTGTTTAACCTTTGGACGCGTGCGAAAGTATGGCCACAGGCGATCGATTCATGACTGCTGGATAGGCCAGCCCTAAGAATTGCGTTCGGAAGTCCGACCGCATGATCATGGTTGGCGACACGAGCTCCTTCCTATTGCTTGTTTCCATACCTTGCCGAGATGGGCTCGCAAGTCTATCACCCAGGCGGGTTCGGTGATTGTAGCACAAAGGTGACGAGCAAAATCAGCATCTACCACGGCTACTGGTCCGAAATTCACAATGGTGTCATTGGTCGTTCACGTCTATGATATCTCCTTACTTGCAATTCCGTCTTGAGACTGCGGTCACGGCCCTGTCCGAAGGCGCCACCAGTTGTTCGACTCTGGATTCGAGGGCCTGGCACAGGTTGCACGAATGCGGTACGAGCCGCCAATACCTATCACACGTTTACCACGTCTACAACCAAACCGAAGTGTCGGGTTCCCAACGACTCTAATGTGCCTTCAGCTGATACGTCCAGTCCGAAGTATTACGATACACGTTACCACTTGGCGATGTTCGGACCGTCACTTGCAGTCACTATCCTGGTCGCGCACACTGATCAAATTAAAGTGTCACGTAGCTCTGAAGACCACCAAGATCAGGATGGCACTGGTCTTTATGGCTTGGGAAACCCTTGAAAGCTTTCTTTTCGTCTAAGCACAGCACGCTCTCCTGTTGCCTAACGAGGCATACCTCGAGATTTACCACGCGCCGTGCCATTGCCAGAAGCGCGTCGACAATGCCTATTTCCGGCGGCTCAGACCCGAACCATGCCCCAAGTTACCCAAGTCGCCACTAGAGCGCCCGTTGGTTTTCCTGATGTTGCAGTTGCAAGCATACTTTAGCATATGCGCCCCAGTGCCGTCATCTCAACTGAACTCCGACAGTTTCTTTATTTGCGGCACAACAGTCTGCCAAAAGACGCCTTTTCAGTGGCTCGGTTTCCATGGATCTTGCGAGATTCACTGGCACGGCCATAAATTTGCTCAAGTATTAGTCCACAACGTTTAGCATTTGATTGGCGTGTAAGTCTTTGCTAGCTCATGTTCGACAAACAACATCAAGCACTTCCACAGGCCATTATTCTGCGGCGAGCACTTATCATCCAAATTCTACATGTTCCACCCCCTTGGTAGGTTTCCTGGACCCCTAGTCCAACGCCAAGCGCCCCTTGTGTCTGAGTTGCGTTGCCAGAGCACTCCACGAGATTAGTGGGACGACATTTGTCAACTCGCACGTTCTACACACATCTTTCAGCAGAAGCCAGCAGCTGTGCTCTTGGATTACTTTGACGCGACTTCTGCGAACCCGCCAAACTCATTCAGATTCGATCTACACGAAAGATCCTAGAATGAGTTATAGATTTGGAGATGCTCCGCAAGCGCCAGGTACCACCTCTGGCAACACTCCACGAAACATTAGCGAGTGTTGCAACTCAACGCCTTGTCGCGTGTCCCGTGATGGCGAAATGTGCTCTCGCATCCATCGGTGACGGCGCTGCAGAGATTTTCCAAACCCTGCGTTGTCCAAGACCATGACATCGCGCGAACGGTGTAGTCACTTCAATTTTCTCGTACTCCTACTAACTGAGCACATCACACTCGCAGCACAAGACGGATGAAACGGGGACGAAGCCGCCTCACTTCTTCCTCTATAACGCCTTCCGAGCCGCCTACAGGGAGCATGTACCTCCGCTTATCCCCACTATCTGTTCTCTCCGTTCGGTCGAGATCCGCATCCTTCCACCCTCGAGAGCTAACCCAGTAGCCCGGCTCCCGGTAGTACGTACGAAGACGCAGCCCCAGACCTAGCCAAGCCATGCGTACGACCAGACCCAAACAGTCTTACATCCGGCCGTTTTTGAGACCGTCCGCCTAGCCACATACTGTCCTACGCGCCACGCACGGCACTGTTGGTCAATGTATTCGCCAACATCAGCATACGGAATGTTCAGTCATGACTCGCTTACAGTGCCTCTCGCGCGGTCGGATAGCTGCCCCTATTATGATTCGCATGCTACTGGGGCAGATCCCAACACATGTCGTGTTAGGGAGACTTCATTGCAACGGTAAAGTCGCCGTGGGCAATGATTCGGTAAGGTGTGCGTTTACAAAGGCGTCGTGGCTCGCAATGGAATCATGTGCTTGCATTGTGGCGTTGGTGACGGATTACCAGGAGCAGTGATCCGGGCGCTCGCACAACGCCATGAGGATCCTGGAATAATTTACGATTGGTGGACAATAGCTTCGTCGTCATTGCTTTGGATAAAGGGAAACCTTTGATCTGGAAGATGCGCTTGATTGACTGGACATCGATTCCGCGGCCAAAAACATCAGTCCGACCGGTACCTCGGAAACCTCCCCCTTCCCCATTTCTACTACTGGTATTCGACGCGCAGGAGAGTGCTACTCGCGCGAATCTCTTTCTCATCCTGGGGAGCACATCACATTGGTAGGTGAACACAACGTCGACCCCTCGCCAACTCTTCGCCAACAGTCTCAGTGACGCTCCTAGACTCCGCTTCATGTGCCTTTTCCACAGTTCAGAGGAACGAGAGGTGGCACAGCGTCAGTCACGCCCCGACTCTGATGAACGTGATGTTCACAGCGATGCACGATTCGTTACCCTGCCTTCTGTGCGTCTTTCAGTAGCTCAGTGGGAGGAGCCTGGGTTTCGGCTCATGTGTTCTTATCCATCTTCACAAAAACTTGTCGGTTCATATCACCCAACATGGAACAGAGTCACCCGAATAGTTCAATAGGCAACCCCGCAATGAGTAATGTATATCACGGCACCAGCAAAATTAGTTCCACGTCGAGAGTTGCAAATAGGATATCATTTCTATGCAGGCATTGCTCGCCGTGGATGCAAAAAGGGACCGAATCACAACGCTAGTAATTGATTCAGAGTCGAGGCGCTAAGGCTTCCTAAGCCCACTGCTTCCGCTACTCCTCGAATGCTTGCTGGCGTGTCTCTGCGACGAATGACGCGCCGTATTCTTGTGCTGCTGAAGGTGATGTCCATGTCCATGTCCCAGACTGGCGCCACGATGGACTCTCAGACCGACAGGGAAGAACTGCATCCACAGATCAGTATGTATTCCCCTAGTCTGAGACAAGACAAAGGGAACGGAACGGGGACCCGGGTCACGGATCCCGGCTCGGCGCGCCAATTCAGTACGAATGGAGGTGCAGATCAGCAAGCGGAGCTAGAGCTGTCTTCACGCCTTACTAACCGTCTTCTTGATCCTGACCAGCAGCACACCCTTGGACACGACGCCATTAAAGTTGTAGAGGTGCAGCATGCGGATGCCGGGTTGCAGGCGATCAAGCCGGAAGCAAGCCCACGCCGCGAGGTCATCGCTGATGCGCTCGTCGTCCATGACTTTGAATCTGCAAGAACATATCAGCGACGATTATATATTGACCCTAGGTTAAAACCCAAAGGAAGAAAAGGCGCATCGGCACATATCAACGGGGATACGCGATAAAAGCCTAAAGGACTACGCGGGACGGAATCAAGATAAGAGAAAAGAGCAAAACATGGAAAAACGACGAGATGTCGAAGATTTGAGCAGCCGCATCCTCAAAACGGATATAGCGGGGATGAGCATGTTGAGCAGCGCTAACATGCCCGATCCCTGTGCAGTGTGACCAGCATCTCGGTAAATCGACCGGGCTTCATGCACACAACCTGCAAGGCTAACATGGCTAGAGCATACGCAGTACTTCGTTGCCTCACTGGACGTAGCGTGCAGACCTGAGGCCAGCACAACGGGAGGCATCGTATGTTGGGCACACTAAGCTCGACATAGTGTAACGGGCTGGCGGCAGCAGCGGGGAAAATGCAGAATTGAGGAAGCCACGTACCTGACGAATGTCAATTCTTCCGTCACCCTCTTGACGCCTTTGAACTCGATGATCTCTCGGCCAAAATCCGGATTCGGTGTCCGTTGACTTTTGGTCTTCTTTTTGAAATCGCCTTTGTTGCTCGCTCCGCCTCCAGGAATTGGCTCACCCATTCCTTCTTCGGGTTTCTCCACGTGCAGCTCGACCTTGACATAGGGCTTGAAGTCTTTCGGGTCGTCTTCGTCAGGAGGAAGCGGGATGTCCTGACCGGCGAGGAACTCGATGCTAAGGTCGAGATTGTGGTGCTCTATGGCATCCTTTGGCGTGGTTCCATAACCAGCACTTCGATAGCCCTGGGGTTTCAGCACCCACCCAGATGTGCCTGCGAACATAGCCTCATTTTGCATCATGCCACCATCCCAGCGTTGCCAGTTGAGAGCTACTATCTGCACACCTTGTCGCCAGAAGATGGCTGGGTTGAGGTTCGATGAGGTCACGCGAAGACCTTTGGGGTATGCGCGCATGAAGAAGTTCTTGTTGTGCTGGAAGAGCGCGGTTGGATTCGTTTCGTGAACTTCCATCAATGTCTTCTCGGAAAGCGAGAACACGTGCGTGGGAATGTTGGCCTCTGCATGTTGGTTAGTGTCTGAACCAGATCTTGGGGACATTGTATCACTTACCTGGAACATCCAAACCTTTGTAATGGTAGCCTCCGAAGTAGACACCTAGTTTTGAAAGCGCGTCAATGACCTTAGGTTTCGGTGCTGGTGGCTTTTCCGAGCCAGCGCCAGCGTCCTCAGAATCCGACGTCATGTCAGACTGCGCAGATTGGTTGCTCTGTTGAGGGGTCAATTGTGCAGGTGCTTGAAGAGTCGTAGGCTTCGCAGCTGCTTCGGTCGGTTTGTGGCTCACACGCTTCACCTTGACAAGGATCTTGTTTTCCAGGTCCTTCAACGTTGGAAGTTTGGTCTCCTCGGAGGCTTGGGATGGATCGAGCGGTAGATCCACTAGCATCCCTCCCCAATATTCCTTCATGAGCTCCACCATAATCTCTTGCTGCTCCGGGCTGGTGTGCACTTCCAAGCTGACTATCAAAGGAAGGTTTGAAGACGCGAAAGCATAGTCTCGGATGGTCTGGCATACGTCTCTGAATGTCATCTCCTTGGTCAACGTGTAGCCTGGAGGTCACTTTAGTAAGCTACCCATAGATGCAACATGAAAACGATGCAATGACGAAAGACCGTACCATGAAGAACCCTTGGCTCAGCCCGGGTCGAACTGTTCGACCGCCACGGCGCGATCCGTTGTTCGCCGGTTGGCGGTGGAGAAGCTTCTTTCGGAGTCTCTTTAGGCGGCGAAGACGGTTTTCGTCCAAAGCGCAGCTCAAGCCGTTTACGCAAGCTCTTCTTTTCTTTCTTCACTTTCTCCTTCACCCCACCCCCGGTTGTTTTCTGAGCTTCTTCGTCGGAACTTGATTCGGAATCTGACGGTGGTTCTCCATCCCAAACGTCAACTTCAACACAACGGCACCCCCTTTTGAGCACCTACGGACATTAGCGACACATACATGAAGGACAGCGTTCGGACTCACATTCTTGTAGGCATCCACGCTTGCAGCACTTGCTAGCTGGTTTCCCGTCAAGTACGTGTTGTGACTCGAGGAGATGAAGTAGTTCGATATCGGCCAGGATTCGTCTACAGGCTCCGCAGGCTTCATAACGTTTCCAGTGCCAGTGGTGAAATAGCTGGCGAAATGCGAGAACGAGCCATCCTTGAGTATCTCAGCATCTACAGCCGGTGCCTGTTGCTCATCGGCGAGCCACTGGGCTAGTCCTTCCTTGGACTCAAGCTTGTATTTCTTCTCCACCTCTTTGTAAAGCGTCTTCAGGTATGTCGATAAAGTCGAGTTCAGCGACTCTACGTTCCTTGCTTTCTGTGTCTCCGTCGCACTGCCTCCTCCAGCTTGAAGCTCTGCTTTCTCTGCTTTGGGGACACCGAGCTTGGGATCTTTCGTAGAGCGATCCGCCTTCGAGTCTTCGGTCGGAGGGGCTGCCATGTTGGTGGTGGTGCCCGGCGGTGTCGACTAGACGGGGGTTCGTTTTATGGGAGACGGAGGGGAAACGGTTAGGAGAGGATGGTTAGGCGGTCCTGTCGAATAAATAAGGTTTGAAGGAACACAGCTGCGCAGCTGATTTACAGGGAAGGCTACGAGACATCAGCTCAGCTATTTCGGACCTCACTCAGCAAACAAACATGGGTCATTGAGCGCTTGACTCAATCGGTGCAAACACCAGAAACTCACCTGACACGCACGCAAGGCCGCTCCTTGCGAAGAAAGATACTGTGATGGTGTAAGGCTATGTATGAGGGTGCGGTATACCGTTGAAGCACGGCGCTCCTTAGCAACGGCGACATGGCTGCAGGGCTGACACCAGCTCGTGTGGCTTGGCGGCCTATTCCTGTTTGATCGTCCGACTGCGGCATCGTCATGACGCCCAAAGCTTGTTCGCAGAAGCCCCGCATGTCACAGTGCCCGTCGTCGCTACACATCCTGGAACTGGACGATGTTGCGTGGCATGCTTCAGGGCGCAGTGCACCGTCTGCGTGCCTGCCAAGCGGTAGCGTTGACGTCACACAGGGTCTAGCTAGCTCGACGTTTCACAGTCCAAGCTCCACCTTACTCGACTATACTAAGTTTCATCGTCACGACCAGTACAATAACGACCAGTACAATAGGATGCCACCTCGCAAGAACGCAGAGTCGGAGGTTCGATCTTGGGGCTTCGGCCATGTCTTCACCTGGACCGATGGACCGTATGCTGTTACTCGCACTCAATAGACATGCTTTTGGCTGAAGCAGCTAACAAGTCTCCATACAGGAACGCTCATTATCCGCCACACAGACACAATGGCCTGACCACCCATCTGATTCTCGATGGCAAGTTGACTATCACCTACCCGGAAGACAAGGACCCGAAGAAGGAAACATTTGGGCCGGGTGCAAGATTAGACGTCGATGCGAGAAGACTTCACGAGGTATGGATGGGGGAAGGAGGTTGCACCTATGTTATAGGAGAATAAGCACCAGTTCTTGCTCCAAGCTCGGACCTCCTGTGTGAACATCGTACGTGATGTAGAGGCGCAAATCCTCTACGCTGAAGAATAGCTTTTCCCACCAACGCCATGGTCCGTAACGCCGCCCATGCAATAACGATCAGCGATTTTCATGCTTCGTCCATCTCAACGTCCCCGTTCTCGAGCAGTTGTTGCTCACCCTCCTCTTCTTCGCCTTCCTGACTCTCCCACCACATGCATGGCCCTAAGCCAGACTGATTCATCGATGCCTACTACACGTCAGTAATAAACATCTTGCCATGGGGCCAAGGAAACTTACAATAATTCTCCAAGGTACACCTCTTCTTTCGACAACATTCCCGTGCTCATCTTTCTGCACAATGCTGGGCTTCTGGTCGAACCATTCCTCGCGCTCCACTCTCAACAATACCGTCTCACCCTTGTCGAAGAAGAATTCTTCTCCATCAGGAGGACTCCACACCCAAGCATTCTCACCGGGGTCGTAATGAGAGGGTTCGAACAGGTTAGCGTGGGGGACGAACACTTCGTAGGTAAAGTCAAGGTCAATGACCATGCCTTGCTCATTGGCGGATTTGATACGTCCGTGGAGAATCTCGCCACGGAAGGGCCGGAGAACTACCATGCGGAACTCGACTACAGGTTCCAGTCAGCAGTCTTCACTGAGCATGGTCTCTAAGTTCGTGGAGGGTACCATTGACGTTAACAAGCCCAGTCCCGTGACCAATTAGACCCTCCGACGCCTTAAGCATATCCCACATGGTGATACAAAGGCCAACCTTGTGAATAACCTTGTTGGCATATTTGATGTTGATAGCATCCTTGATCGCTTGTGCGCTTTCTTTACTGAAATCCTGGGGTGCGATCTGTATCAGATCTTCGATCGTCGTCTGTGTAATGTGTGAGTGGCTGGAGGATAACGGTAACAGTAGAGGCCGCTTACGAGAATGAACATGGCCAAAGAGGTCTGCGTGCATGCTTCGGCGTCTCCAATTCGATTTCTGGCGTTATTTGTGTATATGCGACCGCATCTTCATGGGCTGGGTGACTAAGAAAAGTTGAAGACGCGAACTGGTGCCTCCGCCGCGGCTACGCCAGCGCTAGCGTGCCTTATCGATAACCTTAACTTTTCTGAGCTCAAGCACCGGACGAGCTCTGAACGAGGCCTGAAGATCATTTTCATGAACTTCCCCCGAAGTAAAGCATTAGAAGCCCACTCTGGATAGCCCGCACCGCCCAGAATTAGGCATCCAAAGTCAACATGGTGCCTTTCAAATTTCCGCCTCCGCCTCCACCACCGCCCTCGAAGCCAACGCACGATGTGCCGAGTACGTACGGCAGCCAGAGAGGAGGATCATCTGGCAGAGGTGACAGAGGCCGTGGAAGGGGCGGTGTACCAAGAGGACGCGGTCATCATCAAGGCAACGCGAGAGCTGGACACCAGCGCGGTGGGCATAGAGGCGGACAGCAACATCATGGAGGAAGAGGAGGGTCTCAAAACTACGGAGCGCCGAACAATTCGTATCAGCAACAGCAACAACATTCGAATACTGCAGCTCAGTCCTATCCCAACACGAACTTCGCTCCCGCATACCAGAACCCAGCGCCTCTCAATCCTCCTACAAATGGTGTTCCACCTTTAGCCCCTGGGGCTTTTGCACAAGCAATGGCATTCATGGCGACACCTGCGGGCATGCAAACGATGGCTGCTTTTGCGGCCAATATGGCAAGCGGAAGCGCGGCTCCAGCATACGGGCAAGCTGTTCCACCGCAACATCCAACACCCCAAAGCCAGTCATCCCATCCTCAACCTAGCCCCAGAAAGAGGAAGCGTAATGAACGAGTTGAGCAATGGCATGCGCAGCCGCCGCCCAACCATACACACCCGCGCACGCAGAGTGCGTCTACACAGAAACCGCCTAGAGCTAAAGCTAAGGCGCCTCCCTCTATACCAGGCTTTGGCTTCTCATTGCCTCCGGTCCCACAACCTTCAGTTACTTCAAAGCCAGGCGGCGGGCACAACCACAATCAGAAACGCATGAACCTCGGTCTAACAAGTTTGAATTACGATGAGCAGTCGAGCAGCGAAGAAGAAGGGGAAGAAGATGTGGACGAAGAGGCTGCTTTTGCAGCAAAGTGGGACGGAAAGGGATTACAATTCGAGCACAATGGGGAAACAATTTCGTTACAATCAGCGGCAGAATTTGCCGAATATATCAAAGACAGGAAGAGGAACTTCCCAACTCAGCAGAGAATCGCAGAGAAAGCCCAAAGAGCTGCAGAAAAGAGAACGAGTGAATTGGATTTTCTACGAAGAGTCAAAGGAATTTCGGGAAGGAAAGATACAGGTGCGAAATCGGGGTCAAGCAATGGACGTCAAAAGAAGGATGGAAACAAGCAGTCCAAATCAACGAAGCCCAAGCTTGAAGAGCTTCGTGAGAAAGTCAAAGCTAGTATGTCCTCGAAGCATCCTCCTCCTAGCACCACTCAACAAGCAATCGATCTTGGTCTAGGGTACGGCACCGACACCGAGTCCGACGACATTAGCTCTATCCTCTCAGCTTCATCTGTTGTATCGAGCCTTGAGTCCTCCGACGATGATGCATCGCAAGACGAAAATGAAGACAGTGATACACCGCCCGAAGCTCAAAGTTCCAAAGCTGTGCCCGCTCCCATAGTTCCCCCACCCAGAATTCCGGATCACAAGGTCGAAGATCCAAACCAAGCCAAGACGAGGGTATGCCCGCAGTGGAAGGCAACAGGCAAATGCAAGTACAAATACTGTAAATACCGGCATGCCGAAGAGGAGCTGAAACGCGTGGGTTTGTACGAAAGGATGGTCGAGCAGGAGCTGGAGAAGGCCGATTGCCTGGCACTTGAGGCGATTAAATACCTGGGTAGGAATGGGTTTTTGGGCTAGACTCTATGAGTTAGATACGCTGCGTCTCCTCTAGTTCGCGAACAGGTTATGCTGGAAATCTCGTCTTGCATAGAATATTGGTATAGACATGATGAACATGCTATTTCTATCTTCGCCAGGGAACATTGTCAAAGCAGACGAAGCCACACAGTGCTAACAATGCTGCCTATGAAAACTACACAATCCGCGGTTGCGTTTCACAAAGGGTATCTCAACGTGTGTAGATGATCCTTCAGTGCTCAAGTAGCGCGCGAAGATCCGAAGCAGACATTCTTTCCCAAGACTCAATTGGCTTCACGCCACTACACCTCGCTCTTAGGTTCCCCTCGAGACACATATCTGTTCACGTCGTTCCCCCTTCCTCCACGATATTCATAGGCCTCCATGGTGTCGTGCTGCCCCTTCACGCCGAAACCCATCGATCCAGGAAAGCATGCATGAACACAGCGGTTCCTGTCTCATGATGGGCCAGGACGCTACCTTGATGGCATTCCTATGGGTGGTTGAAATCAGCAACGCGTATGAGGAAGAGCGAGATGTGTTGGGGAACGAGTTCCTTGTTAAGATTCAAAGATGTTGGAGAGGAGTAGCTAGAATATGTAGAGGGGAAATTATTATGTGGTGTGCGGGAGACCAGTGGGAAGGTGGGAAGGTTCCCAAATCCAACGTCTACTGTTGAAATCACTCGAAAATGTAGTAGATTCTGGGATATAGACTCAACGGTGCGGTCAAACGGAACCCAAGATCGAGGTATTGTCGTTGGAATAGAATCGATGAATTGGAATTAAAGAAGTAGATTGGTATAAGCAGAGCGTGAGGGGGTATGTCGAACAAGACCAAGCGCCGAAAATGCTCACGAGAAAGAATCCACCACCTAGCTCTAACCACTTGACCCACAAAAGATGGCCCGCGATGTATCAGACAGATGGACGAAATCCCCCTATGTCCCATTCACACCTTCACTCGCACCTTCCAGCCTGCCTACCAATCTCTTGACCCCACTCCATTCGTCACCCTTTGTCTCCACCCCACCAAGCTCGCTACCGACTTCAAAAACCGTGACAACGCCGTCCATGCCCGCGACCGCGACTCTCCTGCCCTCGTTCTTCTCCCAAGCCAATTTATTCAGACTTCGCTTCATAAAGCCCATCCCACCAGACAGCGCGCCTCGCTTGTTTTCGCTCGGCGTAACTTTCTGAACAGGGACTTCGACATCAACGTTGAGATCCCAAACCTCTAGACTACCCGCACCATCGACAAGACCGAAAACTGAAGGCTTGACAGGCGACCAGCGAGCATCGTACACGAGGTCTTCACGCGCGATGTCTAGGATGGGTGTGACCTGCTGCGCTGCTCCTGGCGCAGCCGTGTTCGAGGGACCCGTCGCAGCCGGTGGACGGACCTTCCATAGCTTGACACTCCAGTCAACCGAGGAGCTCAGAACAAGGTCTCCAAGATCGATCTGTCCCTTTGCGGGGTGGAAGTCCAAACTCATTACCGGTGCCGCGTGGCCGCCGTACTTGACGCGGCCATCGACACCAGCCTTAGCTCCTGCACGATCATACCTGTGGCAAGGGTAGATAGAGCCTTCTTCTGTGCCAGCGAGGAAATATGTCGGATCGGACTGCGGGAAAGCGATACATGTGACTGCCATATCGTCGGTTTTTTGCCGGAGGCGGCGAGGTTAGCTCGAGGAACTCTTGCGGTTGTGAAAGCATATCTACAGTCCAGCCACAGACCACGCCGTCCGTCGAAGCTGAGATGATGTTGTTTGCGTTTTGTTCCTACAATGTCGATAGAGTAAACCGGATGCGTGTGTCCCGAACCAGTCAAAGGCGTCTTTTGCACGGGTGATGACTTTGCGCGAGTGTCCCATAACAGGACTTGTCCGGAGTAGGCACCACCAATGATGAGGTTTGGGTGGAACGGCGAAAACTTGGCGGTGAGAATGTCGGATTGGGCGTGGAAAATGTACTCTGGCCGGTCGTGCATGTGGAGGTTCCAGACCTGGATGAGGCCGTCTGGATCATGCGGAGCCGAGGGGTTTTTGGTGTATGAAGCGAGGACGAGCTCGGGAAATTTCGTAGAGAAGCCCAGGTCCGAGACCATCCTCTTCTTGCTCCATCTCTCGTCCCAGAACTGAGCAATCTCCTTTATGCGTCGGCCCTTCTTCCCACCGCTTGAGCCATATCCCTCGTCTTCTTCATCTACATTACCACCTCCGAGCGCATAGTCAGCTAGGATATCGTAGTCCAGCTGCTGATCCAGCGCTCGCTCTAAGACCTTTGTGCTCCTCTCTACGAAGTCGACGAAGTCGTCCGAGTTCTCCACGGCCGTCAACTCCTCATTCGAAAGGGTCTTGAATGGGTAGTTCTCGCCCAAGACCGTCTGCACCTCCCCAGCTTCTGCTGCCTTCTGTGCTGCCTTGATCTCTTCTTCAATTTCTTTTTTGAGCTGCAGCCGAATCTCTTCGTCCCTCTCCTTCTGCCGACGGCTCATTCGCTTGGGCGTGCGCGGGGAACGGGTCGGACTCTCGTCGCGCTCGGAATCACTTTCTCCGGCCCCCCGTGTTTTCCTCGGACTCCATTCGATGTCCGCCTGAACGCCCTTGCTGTATGTGATAATCTCAGTGTCTCTCTTCGGTGGTGGTCCCATATCAACGCCTTCAGATTCGTAGACTGTGGTCAGGTTGCCTATCGACAATGTCTGCATGCCCTGATCCACCATGCTTAGAGGCACCTGGTACTGTGCCACAGCCGCTGTCTGCGCTTCATTGTCGCTGCTCAGCTGGCTTGCGCTGATGACCGAGGTAGGTCGGGTCGCTCGTCCGCCGGCGGGAGAGCCTGGTTGTACTGAACTGGGTCGGCTTTCGCCTAGAATTCCATCCAAGTATGCGTCAAGATCTCGCCTCTGCTCGACGGCGTCTGTTCGTCGCGGCGTTGGTGACAGTATCTATCACGAGCTCGATCAGTGCCAATCCAGGCAACGGTGTGGGTGATTCTACCTCTCTTGCGGGGGACCCACTTAGGGATTGTCTCTGCGAGCCCTCCGCTCTGCGCAGCTCACGTTGCTTCTTGAGCTCTGCTAGCTTGGCCTTCTTCGCTAATATCTCCTCGCGCCGCTGCGCGATGGAGTCCATGATGTGGATTGAGTGGAGTTTCGCTCCCCCCTGGAAGGTATTACTGGAACAACGGGTATTCGGACTGCTCGTCAACAAGCACTTCAGCGAGTCTTCCAATTATTGTGGGGTAGCAAGACTGTTTTCCGTGGGAGTAAACATGTGTTTGGGGGGTTGCTGCCGAAAACGCGCCAAGCAGGGACGGTCGGACCTTCCTCGGGGAGACCCGTGCTTGCCTCGCGCAAGATTCTAGTCGAAGAACCTCACTCCCCAGTTGCAACCCAACCTCCCCGCCAGCCAAGCGCCCGTGACCCTCGCGACCCCAGAGACGCCATCGACACCTGTCTCTCGTTCGCTTGCTCTGCCATTGGACACGCACGACACGCACCTCCCTCCTCGACAATCCAGTAGCGACGATCACGATGTCTACTTCCGTGGGGGTTAACGTACGTCCACGCCTCGTCGCAGCTTCCAATACACTACACAAAACTGGAGGATGCTCCGATAAGCTCTCCTAATACGGAGACGGTTGCTAATCTGATGAGCGCAGGTTCTCCGATGGGGTGCCCTGGCCACCGGCGTCTTCTACGGCCTCTACAACCAGGTCTCGATATCGTCGCGTGAGCGATTGCAAGCTAAGCAAAGGGAATGGGAACACCATGAGTCTTTGATCCAGCAGGCAAAGGCTGAGTGGGCGAAGACACATCCATCAGAACAGCCCAAGGCATCTTCATCTTCCAGCGCAGGTAGGTTGCCGACGCTCCCGACCCGCGGACCTCTCATGTCGCCTTCATCCGGGGTGGTTTCGACCGAGTAGAATAACAGTACTAACGCGTAAATAGCGAAAGTAGACCCCAAGGACCCCAACGCCGATTTGAACGCTCTCCTCGGTATTACGGACGAGAAATAAGCGCGCATCCATTTTCTTTTGTCTGGCATGGCTTGGGGTACATACAGCGGCGGTTAGCGAGGACAGCAAAAGTGAAGTTGCGGAAAGTCATAATGCGAGATATCACTCTTGTATTTGTGTACTCTATGTACAGTATAGACCCGGCGGTTGTAACGTTCCAATCTACATGCTTATTTCCATTCCGTGACCCTGGAACAGTTCAAGAGCGCCTTTATCAAATTGGCCCACCTAGGGGAACTCGCAAATGCCGCTTGAGTTCCACTCCGGTAAGAGATGTCGAGTAATCGAGTGCAGTTCACGTACATTTGACAAGAGTCCGACAGATACGCTGGGAATCAAGGTCCACCAATATTGAGTGGGGTGCAACTCTGGCACAAGTTTCCATTTGCAAGCAAGCCTACACAACGCTCCTGGCCGAGCTTCAACGTTATCTTCCGTTTCTAGAATGAACGTGAGAGCTTGTTGGTCGACCCTCATGCATTAAAGTTATCGCCTGTTGGTACTCAAAAGTTCCTCAACAAGCGCACTCATCGGAGCAGCCCTATAGTCGTTGTAACCACTTGCAGAATAAGGGACGATGACTCGCAGCACTTCTTGGGACTCGATGCGCGTTGAAAATTGGGGAATGACGTTTCTGTCTGACAGAATTCAGAGCAAGCTTGAGAGGATCTAAAGGTATCGGACGTTCAGTCGTCTCAGATCTCAGGTCCACACGTTGGAAGTATCTTGATGTCGGGAATGTCGCTTTTACTGTCTGGATCGGCATCGCTTGTTGTCCGGCTATCGCGGGCGGAAGATTAATTGCTATAGCAGCGCTCATCTAGACCAAAGATGGACAGCAAAGACACGGTATCCATCGAATTCAACAGGGTCCTGTGTGTAAGTCGCAGGGTAACATTTCACAAGTGGTCTGTAGTGGATACAGTGTAATGGTTTCAGGGCGAAGAACAGCGGTCACCGCGATCGGAAGCGCATACCTCGTCCCGCCTCTTTCCGGCCTTTCAAAGGGTGCGCGTGCTGCTGTAGATGGCTGCCTTCAGCTGAATTACGATCTAGTGGATGGCGAGGGCGAGGTCATTCGCCCAAGAATGGTGGTCATCCGCATTCCCCTGATCGGTGCCTATTGCCCACCGACACAAAAAGGAAGCGTGAGGTGCTGTTGAACATGATTGTTATGCCGCTGATGACGAGCGGGGCCTACGTCTAGACAGATATGGGGTCTCCTTTATGCACCGATGTTAGACGTGAAGCAAGAGATTAAGGAGCCAGCGCAGTGTGGGGTCCCGAATTCAGTCATGGCACGTGACCGCGGAGCTAATCGCCAAACCTTGGTCGTTGGTTCGCATGACGACGAACGCATTGCACTCGCAGGAGGACTTCACACCTGCGCCCATCCGACGCGGTCACGCACGCATCTCCTCGACCCCCATCCGATAACCCATCCAGACTATTGTTTGCGCTTGCTTCCGCAGCAGAACGCTTGATTGTGGCATTTGTGCCTCTTGTTTATCTGTTTAAGCAAGCTCGGCCAAAGATCAACTTCTCGACACATCTCGCAGCGCCATGGCGTCGCTAGGTGAGGAGTTGCTCAACGTCGTCAACCGCCTTCAGGACCTCGTCTTCAATACCATCGGCAATGACTCCCTCGATTTGCCTCAGATTGTATGTTTGCCCCACCCCTGGTCGGCGCACATGGCGGAATGGAGCGCTGGAGCCGTTTTGCTTTTGCGGCTATCCGTATGCTGGACTTTCAAACTGACTTGACCAGGTCGTCGTAGGATCGCAGTCATCTGGAAAGTCGTCGGTTCTCGAGAACATTGTCGGTAGAGACTTTCTGCCTCGAGGAAGCGGCATCGTTACGCGGCGACCATTGATCTTGCAACTTATCAACCTGCCAAGCGACCGCGAGGATAAACCTGCCCATGATGAGATACATGTTCCACACACGCCCGCCAGCGTCGCAGGGCAGCAGGAATGGGGCGAGTTCCTCCATCACCCGGGGCGGAGGTTCTACGATTTCGCCGAGGTCAAGCGCGAGATCGAGGCGGAGACAGCAAGAATAGCAGGCAACAACAAGGGCATCAACCGACAACCCATCAATCTTAAGATCTATTCGCCGCACGTTCTAAGCTTGACGTTAGTCGACTTACCCGGACTGACAAAGGTATGTTGAGGAGTTGCCGGACCCTAGCCGGAGCTAACATCTGCAGGTACCGATTGGCGACCAGCCTACAGACATCGAAAAGCAAACACGCAACCTTATTACCGAATACATCGCGAAGCCCAACAGTGTCATCCTGGCCGTCTCGCCCGCAAACGTCGATCTTGTCAACTCAGAAGCCCTAAAGCTCGCCAGGCATGTAGACCCCATGGGCAAGAGGACCATTGGTGTCCTCACGAAACTCGATCTGATGGACCACGGGACCAATGCTTTGGATATTCTTTCTGGTCGCGTATATCCGCTCAAGCTCGGTTTCATTGGAATTGTCAACCGTTCGCAGCAAGACATTCAGAGCGGGAAATCACTTGCGGATGCTCTTGAGGCTGAGCGCGACTTTTTCCGGCATCATCCCGCCTACAGAAACATGGCCAACCGGTGCGGAACTCAATTCCTCGCGAAGAGTCTCAATCAGACCCTCATGTCTCACATTCGAGAGCGTCTACCGGACATCAAGGCTCGCTTAAACACGTTGATGGGCCAAACCCAACAAGAACTTGCGAGTTACGGCGACGCAGCATTCACCGGAAAGGAACACCGCGGCTCGCTTATCCTGCAACTTATGACGCGCTTCGCTTCGTCCTTCATCGCCTCGATCGACGGTACTTCTGCGGAAATCTCGACCAAAGAACTGTGTGGTGGTGCTAGGATTTACTACATCTTCAACTCGGTCTTTGGAAATTCCTTGGAACAGGTAGACCCCACGCAGAATCTCTCCGTCTTGGACATTCGAACAGCCATCCGAAACTCCACTGGCCCGCGACCCAGTCTGTTTGTTCCGGAATTAGCGTTTGACCTGCTTGTGAAGCCTCAAATCAAGCTTTTGGAGATCCCTAGTCAACGGTGCGTCGAGCTCGTCTATGAGGAGCTTATCAAGATATGCCACACTTGCGGCTCAACAGAGCTGACTAGATACCCCCGGTTACAAGGAAAGCTCATCGAAGTGGTTTCCGACCTTTTGCGAGAACGGCTCGGTCCCTGCTCATCATACGTAGGGTCTCTTATCGACATCCAGCGTGCATACATCAACACCAATCATCCCAACTTCCTTGGCGCAGCGGCTGCCATGTCATCCGTCATCAACGACAAGGAACAGCGCGAGAAGAAACTTGCTCTTGAAGCTGAGAGGAAAAAGCGGGAACGACGAAGGTTGAAGGAGCTGAACAATGGCACGAACGGCGAGATAGCTGAAGGTGATGAGGAGGGAGAGGTTGCGACCGAGAAAGTCCTTCCACTTCGGAAACACCAAAATCAAGCGAGTCGCAGCATGTCACCGGCAGTGGGACGCTTGTTAAACGGATCACATAACAGCGTATCTAGTGCTCTCAACGGCAGTCGGACACGTTCACCCCCTCCAGGATCGGCACGCGACAGCTTCCTGAACTACTTCTTCGGCAAAGATGGTGTACCGCAACCCAACCCGGCGTTGGACAGCAGACCCGGAAGCCGACACGTCAGCCAAAATATTGAGCCCAGCATCGCTCAAAGTTTCCGCCGAGGTGACACCAGGCAACCAGCCCATGTTCTGGAGATGGTGCCAGACGATGACGATGTGATGAGCCCAGTGAAGGACACCTTTGATGGTGGCTTCGTAAGTTATTACGTATCCTCTTATCTAGGTTCTATGCTAATCGATGCAGCCCGCGGATGCTGAGGCTGCGCCTGCCATGACTGAACGGGAGGCACTGGAGACTGAGCTAATCCGCCGCCTTATCTCCTCATACTTCAACATCGTCCGCGAAACTGTTGCCGACCAAGTACCCAAGGCTGTTATGCACTTGCTTGTCAACCACTCTAAAGATGTTGTCCAGAACAGACTGGTCAGCGAATTGTATAAGGAGGACCTCTTCCAGGAGCTCCTCTACGAAGATGACACCATCAAGGCCGAACGCGAGAAGTGCGAGAAGCTGCTCAAGACATACAAGGAGGCAGCGAAGATCGTGGGCGAGGTACTGTAAGCGGCACGCTCGAGGCCACTGTAACAACGACGATTGTACGGATTTCCCTGTAGGTTCAAAAGTGGTGTGTGAATAGCTAGGTCTCTGCTTCTTTTGATTTGGACTCAACAGTCTGGCGTTGGGAGGCCGCCTTGTTGATATACGCTGTTTCTGTATTGGCCTTTTGACAGCATATTTCTACTCATCTGGCACCTGGCGGTCCTTAGACGTGGGTGGCAGGGCGTTCTGCGACTCCACTTCCAGATGGAAGATAATGGTGTATCATAACCGATCAGCAAGAGACGCGTTGTATGTGTAGAATACATCTCTCTCTAACCCATCACTGCATCGTTAGCCGTACGAATTCGTGGTACTCTTTAAAGGTTGCTTCAGATGCACAATCAATGGATCTTGTCCTATTTCTCGTTTCCACGCTGACGATAAAAGGTGCTGATGCCTCTTATCGGAGTGGACGCACTTGAAACCCTGCCTGTGTCGTAGTAGCCTCCTGCACGCCACCCTCGTAAGCCTCGCGCAAGCGTGTCTCGCAACACCTCCGTATGAAACACTTGACCTCTGACCTGCCATGATTTCACACATTTTTCGCCCAAGACCAATTGCACTCTAGAAATGTTTCTTCCAGCGGGATTGGGAAGGGATGCGTCACGCCACTCTTCAAACAGTTGCGGTTTGCAACTTGGCAGCGCCTAAGCGCTGGGGGGTTTCGGCTAAGCTTTAGATGTACCGCTACTCCCGACCGCGAGCGTTCGTGACCTTCGCTGCTGTCGCTCCCGCTCTCTACACCACACGTCCTGGTGATTTTTCGATTCTGAATACCGCTTTGATAGTGGAATTTTAATATACCACCGTGTACGCGCATACGTTCTTTAGGGCAGCAGGCTGTCATTGCTACCCACATACCGCACCACATCGCATTCCATCGCGACAAGCGCACTCGCCCTTCGGCACTCCAAAAACACCTCTCAAGCCTCCAATAAACGATAAATCAAACTGGCACCCATGGCTCGCTTCGAGTTCCTCGCGCCCATCACCACGCCGGAGGCCCTGCGCAGCGTGCAGGCCGACGCGCGCCCGCTCGTCACGCTGATCCTAGCTATCATCGGCATTTCCCTCGAGATTGCCCTTTGCTGGTACATTGCGTTTGCGACAAGGGACCCGAATAAGAAGAGGGAGCCGAAGTGGCAGCAGTTCAAGGGATGGTTTAAGAAATAGAGGAGGATATTAGGGGGTTCAGGATGGGGTAGAGCGGACGGATACGTTGCGCTGTGTTGATTCTGGAGGTATAGAGGTCGGTAGGATGACGGAAGGATGTGGACGGAGCGGTAATGCGGTGGAAGGTGGCGGAGCGAAACGTTTGTCGTCATGACGAGGTCAATATATTTATAAATACTTTTCGTTTCTCTGCATGCATATCGCTCATTTTGCAATGTTTCTGGAATCAAAAAAGTAGAAGTCAAGCAAAGTGTCTACGTGTAGCTAGCCGTGTCACTGTGCGAAGAGTGGATGTTGACATGCACTCGAGGATGTTGTTGACAGTTGGGGATGATATTCGAGTCAAAGAGGTCGATACTGACGGCGAATGCCTCCGTCTCTTTTGACTCCGTAGAATCTAGGTGTCCGGAAAAGTACCGTTCAATTCCGACAATTCGAGGAAGTACTGTCCTGGAAACTTGTCTCTGTCCATTGACACCTTGCCCCATATACCCAAACCATGACATGATATCAGGATCCAACGGTGGTCTGCACTCTCACGACCTTTCCATCATGGGCTGACACCTTCGTGATGCTCACCGTGGTCACCTCTGGAGGGGGGGCATAGTAACGCGGGAATTTGATCTCGTAACCAAAGTCGACTTCTTCGTGCGCTTGCTGGAAGTAGTAGACGTGATCGAAGAGGTGCTGGCGCATGTCATCCTTTAATTCGCGGACCATGGTGTAGACGGATTCGAATGCATCAGTGACTTCTTTCCAGTCGAGAGTCTCCTAACAGATTAGAAGTGGTATCAGTACTGGGTTACTAACCAACCTCGTCTTCAGCTGCGAGTTCGACCTTCCCGAACACCATATCCCTCATGCGCTTCAGGATCTGGAAGAGATGGTCAAGCGATTCCTGCTACGTTCAGTGGCCTGTCACAGTCAAGAGAGTGCATCAACACACTCACCTCACGATCTACGATGGTATCGTACGCCTCGCTAGCGTGCTTGTACCGCTCGACCGCATCAATGAAGTCGTGAGTGTCCATGTTCTCGGGAGATCCCCGCAACAGATCTCGCAGCTCGTCGATGAAGAAGAGTCTAGTGCGATCGAGGTACCAAGGCTCCAGCATGTTCAGGATTGGGGGGAGGTCGTGGAATATATCCACCAAGAGAGATCTACACCTCTCAAGCATGTCTTCAAAGCTCATCAGTGGCTCCCTCTGGTGGTCGGTCATTGCGGCAGGCGACTTGGTAATCTATATTTCCTGTCAGTAAATGGATACAGTCATGTGAAGAGCAGACTCTAGCTATTATAGTGAGCATACAGGAGAAAGAATCCAGACACTTGCGAATAACGAGTTGTGAATGAGTGGAAAGGTGGGAAAGAGGTAGGCGAGAAAGATTATGATATGTATTGTAGGTCCTTGTGTCGGCCAATTCTCAACCTAACCAGAAGTAAAGGCAAGCTGGTGGGTGGCGGACTTGCTTCTAGCCCTTTTCTCACTTCATAGTGAGAGAATACCACAGGACTAGCTTGCTCATGAGACCGAGCATATCTATACCGCTAAAGGTACCCGAAACACCAAACACTCCAGAGTCCCTAGGAGCTGATTCCACCATCCATAGTTCAGTGCTGTAGAAACTCGCCTGCCATTCATCGACGGTCCGCTGCTAATCTCTGCGCTGTACTAAGCTTTCGTTACTGAGTAATCAGTTGCCGGCAAACACTTTAAAGCTCACCGCGGTCACCTTGGGCGGAGGCTCGTAGCCCCGCGGGAATGGGATGTCGTATCCAAAGCCGACGCCTTCATGGTCTTGCAGGAAGTGATGGACTTGATCGAAGAGCTTCTCACAAGAGTACGCCTTCCTGCGTTCAATGAATCCAAGGCCCTGCTTGAACGCATCGACGGCATACGTCACGGTGTCAACCAATCTCTAAATTGATCATTTAGCGGAAGCTTATCCAAAACTGCACCTACGATCTCACTTACGGGCAGGTCGCGTCCCTTCTGATTTCCTCCTTTTCAACCTGGGCCTGGCGTAAAATCGCTATGAAAGTGTCCTAGTGTCGTTAGTCGAGTTCAGGTTCTCCCTAAGCGCCAGCAGACGTACCTCCCAAGCAAGCAATATCTCGTATAGCCTGACCAAGCTCTCATACGCCTTGATAGCAAGATGAGCCTGTACCTCCTGAGCCACTATCTCCTTCTCTTGTCTACTTTCAGTCTTCCGTAACTGGTCCTGACCCTCTTGTAGACGTGCGATGATGGCGTCTTTGAAACGTGCAAGTCGTATCCGATTTGTCAGGTGCACCATGTAAGCGAATTCGCGGTAAAACTCCAAGGCTTTATCTCTCCATGCTGTTGTGCGCTCTTCTAAAGCTTTCACTTTGTCATCCATGATAAGTTCAGATCGCGAGGGTTTTGAGGACTGTGAAGTGACAAGGTTCGGGCCATGCAATGGAGCGTTACCTAGAGCGAGCAACGAAGCCTATGGACAGCTTGTAGCAAGGATCTGACGATGGAATACCGAAAATCGAGCGATTACTTTTGTGGGTGGAGTCACACGTGCTTGGACAGGCGTTCATTTGAGCTTCACCTTCACTCTGATGGTGAGTGTGATACCACGGGAGCCGAAGTCCCTGTTAGTGTTCCTCGTTCGTCAAGTCCTTGAGATGCGAGGCTACCAAGAGCTCATTTGCAGATGGTGCTGACTGTGCATGGGCGGCATGAGATACTTCAAACACAACACATCTCGGAGCAGAGGAGAACGAGCATAAGTTTTGTTACCTCCTTGATATGACAACATTTATTAAGCATTGTGGTTGTGGTGTTGCAGTGTCAGGTCGGAGCTGCTCCTCATAGAAAACGAGCTCCTCGTACAGTAGCAGTGTGGATTTCAGCGATGCCAGGAAACCCTGCTGCCGTTTCAATACAACTACACGCAACTTTTGCCGGTGCAAACCTTACTTACACATGGTGAAGGAAAGGATATTCGGGTCGGATCGAAGCCAGAAAAATTGATGATATCTTCATTTTCATCATTCTAAATAGTACCTAGGAGAAGTCATAAGGAGTGACATATCGTCATGAAAGAGGTTGACCTCGATAATGTACAATGGTAGTGCGAATCTCAATCAACCCGCTATCATACCAGGGCGAACTTCAACAAGGACTTTGACATCCTGTGTCAGATGACTCGTTTGAATCTCCGACGTCGCAAAGATGCATCTAGCACTCGCGAACGTACGCGCCAATGGGGCTAGGATTGTAGTCCTGGAAGTACTCCAATGACAGGCCTCCGGTGGAGCACATCTGGTAGGTAACAGTCTGACCAGCAGCGCAAGAGTCGGACACAATAGTGTACGAGTTACCAGGAGCAACGTTGTCAACGGTCTTGACGGCCGTGCAGGTGCCCTTGTTGTCCCAAGAGGTCTTCTGGCTGGCGTTGGTATCACACTTGGAGAACTCAAGGCCGCCGGAGCCGGAGACGGTGTAGCTGGAAGTCTCGAGGTCCTTTTGCTCAGGGAATAAGAACACTAGAGAGCAGCTGTGGCCAGAGTACGACTGCGGAATGTCGAAGTTGAACAGCGAGCAGACGTCGCCGTTGGCCTTGCCGTTGTAGGAAGTGCCAGGGGCGTTAGATGGCTGGGACGAGGAGACGGGTACAATCAAGTGGGGATACTGGTATTCGCCGTTTAGGTCTGCGGGGCAGCCGGTTCCATTTCCGTTACCGTTGGATGGGGGGCTAGATTGAGCAGGCTGGGAAGGAGCAGGCTTCGAGGGAGCAGACTGAGACTGAGGAGGGACTGAGTAACCAGGCTGCGATGCGACAGGCTGGGACTGAGCGGGCTTTGAGGAAGCTGGCTGAGTTGGAGCTGGCTTAGAGGCGGCGGATTGGGACTGCGGAGGAACAGAGTATCCAGGCTGGGAGGGAGCTGATTGGGATTGAGCGGGCTGGGATGGTGCGGGCTTCGAAGACGCAGGTTGGGATTGCTTAGGAGGCTGAGACTCTTTAGGGGGGACTGTGTAGCCTGGCTGCGAAGGAGCAGGTGACTGAGATTCCTTGGGAGGTTGAGAAGCGGGAGGCTGCGACTCCTTAGGCGGAACAGAATAACCGGGCTGAGAAGGAGCCGACTGCGAAGGCTTAGGGGTTTGAGACTCCATCGGCGGCTGGGACTGCTGTGGAGCAGCTGAGTATCCTGGCTGCGAAGCAGGAGGTTGAGACGCCTTTGGTGGCTGCGATTGGGCTGGCTGCGACTGGGCTGGCTGCGAAGAAGATGCAGAAGCACCTCCGCCATTGCCTCCGCCACAAGACTGGCCAGCACTCAAGGTGATCTCGACACACTTGTCCTGGCCAGGGGCAGGCTGGGTATAAACGTTGTACTCGTTGTTGTCATTGACAGGGCAGGCATAGAACTTGGAGCTCCCATTGTAGGTCACGGAGCCTCCGTTGATGGCAAAGCCGTTGGTAGGGCTAGCGCCAGAATCGCACTGGAACTGGGTGGTGGGAGGGGTGAGGATGCAGCCACGGCCATTGCTGTCCGTGAACCCACCGTTACCATCGAGGCAGTAGCAAGCAGCACTGTGACCACCACCGACGCGGTTCTGTCCATCAGATAGCTGGCCGAGGGTTCCGGAGGCACCACCTGAAGCTTGGAGCTGAACACATTGCTGGCTCTGGCCGCGGATGGCCAAGGCTGAAGAGCCTACGGCAAAAGCGAGAGGCGAGATAGCGTACTTCATCTTGAACAACTCAATGACAAGATATGTAACGAATCGAAAGGAGAGATCGGAATAGGTCTTCTGGTGTTGACCTGAGGATGTGGGATGGGATCGAGACTGATCGAGGGCGACCCATCTTATACCATGCAGACCTACGCCATGTACAAGCTAGAAAGCCCTCAATTCCCGCTCTCGTAATCATGTATGACATCGATGTGGGTTGGATGTCAATAGCTTGAGGTTTTAGACAAATCCACTTTAGGAGCCATGTTAGATTCTATTCTCGTGTCGGAGCGGATGCCTGGTTTTGAACTATTACTCGATTTTTCAAGTAACATGCTCACTCTACACTAGCTAGGCCTGCGAAATCCGTCCCAGAAATGGACGGTGATCGACCAGTAGCCAGGCACGCACCCAGTTCAACTTCCATAATAGGAGGATTGACAGGTACGCGGACAGTACGCGAACTCGTGTGGGTCTGTGGATCCCGCGCGGATGGACAGGAATGATTGACGTATAGTGCGGGATTATCAAGTGATGTGGATGAACGACTGGTGGATGTCCTCCACTCGGGGTAACGCAGGGTGCTCGCGGACACAGTCTCGACTAACGGCCGTGATGACCGAGCCATCGTGGGCTTGCAATTCGCGAATAGTATTTGAAGATCCTGAACGAATGTGAGCAGTCGATTCATAGCCTTTCAAGAAGGCATCACAAAGTAATGAGGCTCATCGAGGCAGTTCTCATTACAGACCCAACCCAGGCGTTGCTCAGCAACTCTGTTTATTTGTTCAGTTGTTGATCAGTGTCCCTCTTCAGTGGCATTCTCGGATCAGATGTCATATTGTGATCCGCGCCGTTGTCGAAGTCTGTGGGGAACGAACCAATGTGCCCGAAAACGATCGCACGGTTCCCGATATAGCCACTCGAGTCCACAATTTTCTTCGATGGTGGCCAGTAACGTCCAGAGAAGCTTTTAGCAAGGCTCTAGCCGGCCGCTATCCCGCTCTTTCTTCTTGTTGGGAAACGGCATCATGGAGAAATGTGGAGTAGGCCTTGAGCGAGTTCGTACTGCCTCCGGGGCTTCCGGGGGCAATAGAATCTAGATGCCGTGCAGGCCGAGACGACGCAGGTGTATTGCGCCAGAAAGCAGGTTTTGGAAGTGCCAGTTCATTGAAGCTTCACCAGCACTATGCAAAAATGTCTGCGGTGGTTGCAAGTTCCAAAAGTGCGTCTCGGAAAGTAGGATCGACCAATTGAGGCGTTCTGCAGATCAGCCGAGAGATGAGGCACCTATGACGAAAGCGGGTGGGGAACATCAAGACAACGGCAGGAGCACACGCGACAGCTCATGATCGCACGAAACCACCAGTCTAAACATTCAATTGTTGCTTGAGCGAAGCAGCCATTGAGTTACAGACAATTTGATCGCTCATAGTACTTCTCTTCCAATCCCAGTCGTGAACCAGTATCCAACAGCATGCGATCCTACGAGTTCTTAGCGCTGGTCGCTAGCCTAAGCGCAGCACTCGCTCTCCCTACCAAACAACCACAGCAACAGCCGCTCGGAGACGCAGCCCCGAACAGTTTCCTCAAAGTCCAAGAAGAGTACGCGTACTTGCACCCACTTCAGTCCAGAACTAACTGTCGTATCGATAGACTGAAAAAAGCGGAGATCATACCCACAGGTAACCACACAGCCTACCTTTACATCAGCGATCCACACCACGCGCTAACAGTTCGATCCAGTAATCGACGAGTTTCTGCCTTCGTTGACCCTCTCGGTGTCGTGGAAGAAGAACGACGCCGACCTCGGTAACACCATCAAGCCGAAGCGTCTACAAAACCAGCCTACCATCTCGTTATATGATGAAGCAGACCCAGAGGGCATATCATCCTCCAGCCTGAGCTATGTTGTCACTCTCACCGACCCTGACGCGCCTTCCCGCGATAACCCGGAATGGTCAGAAATGTGCCACTGGATAGCGGCCAACGTCTCCGTCTCGCAGAAGACAGTCTCTATCCTTCCTATGCCTATCTTCGGCATGGACGAGGTTGAAGAGACGAGTGCTCCGGACGATGTCATCGAGTACAAGCCACCTGGTCCGCCCAAGAAGACAGGCAAGCACCGCTATGTATTCCTGGTGTTTGCGCCAAGCAATGGGACTACGGAGCCGTTGCACTTGAGCAAGCCGAAAGACAGGCAGCACTGGGGGACAGGTGATGAGGGAGGGGGTGTGAGGGACTGGGCTAGGGAGAATGAGCTGGTGCCTGTAGCCGCGAACTTCATATATTCGCAGCATAAGAAACAGTGAATTGATTAGGCGGGGTCTCACCACTGTTAGCAGAATTTGTCGAATTGGCTAGACCATCAAAGCTATCCTGAGGGCATCCTGGGTCAAAATCCCTCATCAAACATGTCATAAACACCAAGCTTTCACTGCAGAACAACCATTAATGTTAGTGTTGCTGCTATACCGCTCGAGGAACATCTGTGACGTAGCATAACTTAGAAACAAATTTTACTACAAGGTCGATGCTGGTGCTCTACGTGGAACCGTGGAAGGGGGGATACAGTAGATTGCAGAATAACCAGCATGCTGTCGTCAACCAACAACACTCCGTATTCTCACTTCCAACGTCGCCTTGATAGGATCGTGTAATCCAGAGCATGTCTCACTATTCATGACCGTCTCTTTCTCTCTTCACACCACCGGGCTTTGTCAGAAAGTGAACGGAGTCATCAGCATTGCTGCACACGCCTGATGTACGGGATAATCTTCCAAGTGGTAGAAGAAGAAGGACCGGCACTGAACTTGATGCCAATATTGGTTTCTCTGGTCGTGTTTGTGCGGAAGCTCAACAACACTGAGGTGGCTTATCATCACTGTCACTTGGAGCCGAGGCTCCACATGACTGCTATATTGAATACCTAGAAAGATCACGGGTGGTAGGCGCACTTCTTCGATACTAGCATCACTCTGTCTTTAGGCGTACCTCACCCCTCTCTGCTCGTCCCGAACCGAATCATCCCTCTTCCCATCTCATCTACTTCTCACATGCTACATCCCGTATTTCTCCCCAGCACCCTGAACAACACCATTCCGCCCCTTCGTCCTCTCATACCATAAAAACACCCGCTGCACCCGCCAGCGCCCCTGCTAATCCAATCTTCCTATACCCCGTCGGCACCGCCTCCCCCATATACACAACTGCGGTATTCGACTCCGTCCCACTGAAATTCTCCCTCGACGTCGTCTGCGATATCGGCGTCGCTATCGTCATCCCATTTCCAGTGGGCTGCTCCAGCGATACCGTGAAGGGGGATTCGCCGGTCGAAAGCGCAGATACGCTTTCTGAGGTTGTGGAGCTGGGGACGAGGGTTTCTGTTGAGGGGGAGAAGGATGTGAGGAGGCCAAGGTTGGTTGATGCGGGGCCTGAGGGAGTGGATTGCGCGGCTGTGGGCGTGGGTTTGGAGGTGAGGCCGAGGAGGGAGAGGAGGGTTGTTTTGCGGAGGGAAGGTCGGCGCATGGTGGGTTGGCGGTTTGATTTGGCGGGAGATTCAAAGAAAGTGATGATAGTAGATTTTCGGCTTGCGTGCAAGGTGAAATGTTATGTAGGATCGTTGCAGTTTGAGGGTGTGTTGATGTTGTTCCTGGTCTCGGCCGGTACGCTGCGTTGTGCGACTTATGAGGAAGTTGCGGTGGTGTTGAGACGCAACGCTTTTCTTGAAGATTAAACAGTGTGAATTCTCGTTTCAAGTCCCTTTTCAACTCCAATGTGACATTTCGAGAAGTCAAAGGTTGCGAGACGTCTTTCTGTACACTCACCCCACCCGCTAAGATCACCGATACACCACCTTGCCGGACTCCGATTCTCCCCAAAGAATCACCATGCCATATACATCCGCCAATTAGGCATCTTTAGACTGACCCATTTTCTAATTATTCTTTCCGACAACGATGGTTGGGCGCTCATGGCGTTGGACCGGTTCGGCTCTCCACAGCTTACCGCAGCTGATGCGATGGGAGCCGAATGCAAGGCTGGCGGGCCCGCAGATCCTTGGGGAGGACGGTGGAGACTGGTCAAATGCCTAGGGCACTTGGGAGATGCAAGTGCATGCGACGAGAAAGCTGGTGAAGGTTTGGTAGTGTGAGGTCGAGATGATCAATGATTGACTTGGGAGGTACCGCGACTTTGGCTCCGGTTCTGGCTCTGAAGCAACAAGACCAATTGGAGGTTACTCCAGACAAGCGAAACCCGCGCCAATGTTTTGCTGGTTGTTCGAGACTTTTTCGTATTTGGTTCGGTGTCGTCAATAACGCGCCGCTGTGCTGTCTGAATCAATCGACATGCCACGTGCACTATGGTCTGCAGCGGCAAAATGTACTGAGTATTCGCATGCAGTACACGTTCTTCCACACAGCTCAGCGCCCAGGGCTTAAGGCTCAGGCAAAGTCAGAGATCTAGCTAAGCTCCAATACCGCCATCAAGCACGGCGAAGCACCTCCGCGCATTCCTCCCTCAGGATTCGCCACGCGGAGCCGGTCCGCTACGTTAGCTTCCTGCAACCCATCTGCAGGGACTTTCGCAGCGCATGACCTATCGCAACCTCACCTCATGCGGCCGCCCATACTCAGAGCAGCGCAAACCTGATCGCAGATGGTAGCGAAGAGCTGCATGTAGAGTACGAGCGGGGTAGAGCTAGCACCGCGTACGTGCGACGCCGGAGAACGCCTGGGGATCTGAAGTTGGTCAAACGACGAGCGGCGCGTTTCAGGACGATTTGGTAGAAAAGGCTATTGGGAGGTCATGGATAGAGACGGCGCATGATCGTTTGAAACAATCAGCTTGTGGCTGGCTAGAGAGGAAAGAAAGGATTAAAAACTGCTCATAAGGGAGAAAATGTGCAGTACAGTACGTCAGGCGCATGGAAAGAGCCGAGCGCCAGAATGCGCACAAGACAATCGGATGCTGCGCCGAGTAGGGCTTAGGGAAGGTAGCACACTGCTGTCATGCACAAGCTGTGCGTCCATGCTGTGACACGAGTAACGTTCCTCGAACTTGTGGAAGGCGGATGGATTGAAGGAAGAATTCTAGCCGCGACCTGGATGAATGCGAGTCTGGAACAGAATGCCTGGCGTTAAGTGATCCCAAAGGATTGTACGGGGTTGCTGCCTGAGAGTTTACGAGGCGCACACGAGCGACTCCCAGGAATGACAGTCACACATAGAGAGGAACAGGTTTGGTTTTAAGCGTTTTCATATTTTCGGCCCGTTATCTGCTGCCAATGTACAGAGGCCCTCGCGCTCCGCAGAGCCAAACATCCTCACAATAGCAACGCCGCATGCGTCATCAATGCAATTACAAACAAAGCAATCCTTCACATTATCCCATCCTGACCAGGAGTGATTCCCAATGCGAAGGTGATATCATAGAAAGCAAAACATAAACAGAAGTGAAGAGAAGTGAAGGAAGCTTATGCGAGGTACGCAAAAGCACCGATGGCGCCGAAGAGGGCAGCGGCGTTGACGCCGAAAGACGACGCAGCGCCGGTGTTCTCAACGGGAGGAACGATACCAGTAGCCGAGCCGGAGGACTCGGACTTGGTAGCGCTGGGAGAGCCGGTGGAGATGGTGCTGTTGGCGCCGTGGCTGGGGATGATGGAGGCAGAGGCAGAGGCGGCAGAGGTGACCACGGAGGTCTTGACGGTGGTGGAAACCCCGGTGGCGTAGGCAGACGAGGAAGCCGGGGTCTTGGAGGCAGAAGACGAGGCAGAGGCAGAAGCAGAGCTGGACTCGGCGGTGGAGTAGGCAGACGAGGAGACAGCGGAGGCAACACCACCGCTCAGGGAGAACTGGCCGGAGTAGTTGGGCTCAGCGCCGGCTTGCTGGATCTCGAAAGCGTAGTCGTCACCGTTCTCGAGGCTGGAGGGAACAGCCCACTCGAAGGAACCACCAGTGGAAGTGGCTGTGGACTGATTAGCGCATGGTTTTGTCTAAGATTGAAGGGGTGCAACATACTGGTAAGGGTCGAGAGGGTGGTCAGGTCGGTGGAAGGGCCCTTGCGGAGGATGATGGTGGTGGCAGCATCCTTGGGGGAGTAGGTCAGGGTGACGGTCTCGCCAGCCGTGACGCTGTCGGGCCACGAGTTGAACTCGACGGCGAGAGCAGCAGAGATGAGGGCAGCGCCCGAAAGAACAACCTCGAAGAAACGCATGTTGATTGTTGTGGTTGGTTTGGGGATTGGTTTGGTGGTAGCGATTGGCTGATTAAAGAATTATTATAGTGTACTAAGGGTATGTATTTGAAGCGCGTCCGTGAGAGAGTGACTGAGGTTGGAGGGAAGTGAGCGCGGTGAGGAGCACAACAACGGGGGCGCAGGCAGCCTTTTGAGAGCGCGCGGGCTGGCGGCAATACAAAGCCAGAGCAACGGGGAGGAATGCAAAATTGGCTGCTGGGCCGGATCAGGCATAGGCGGATGATGGCTAATTAGCATCCTGCAAGCGGACGGGGCCAATAGCAGACGGGCAGTTTGGCCCCGGCTACCCCTTTTGCGCTCACCTCGACCGGTCTGCCATTCACGCGGGAGCGCTTGGCAGTGCACCATGGGCGCGCCGTGCAGCCCGGCTAGCTGCAAGAGGTGTCGCCCAACGCCGCCCAATACGCGGGGAAATTCAGGGGCAGCCTGCCGTGCTCGAGGCCTGCCGGCGCGAGTCGCGTGCAGCATGAAGCCTCGCCGGGCGATCCAGGATCGGCTGCCAGCGATTGAGTGGGCGATCGCAGCGAGATCTGCCACGGTGACCACGCAAAGGGCACAGCCGGGCGTCGCGACATTCCAGTCGACTTCACCGGCCCGGCAAGAGCGCCTATCAGACCCGCCTGCCGCATTGGGTCGGCATGCGAACGGACTGCGAACGCCGCCGTGGCGTCACGCCGCGAGCTCCCTCCATCGCGACAGCCGTGCTGACTGCCACCGCTGCGCGCCCTTCTCAGCGACTATTCTCGCCCGGAGATGACTGGATGAATGCGGTCGGCGCGCGCAGGATCACCATGCACCTTGACTTTTGCAGCGGGTCCGGTCATTTTCTTCTGCGAGCTAACAAAGCTCATTTCGCTTTGCGCTGGCGCCAGGCTGAAAGCATCTTGCGCTCCCATGCTAGCGCGCTGCGCAGAGCCTCACGCGTGCCTGTAGAAGAGGAGAGCCTGCCCGGTGACGTCCATGGGCCTTTGTTCAAGACGTTTGCGCTGTTATGCCCATGCCATGCGGTGCCACCCGGACGATATGCCATGGTTGCAACTTGCCACCCGAACAACCTCACCCGAACGGCCCGCCGTAACAACGCATGACAGGTGCCAGATGCATCGTGCTACATTGTGGTGGCGGGTGAACAGCCGCTGAACGGCTCACAGATCAAGATGCTTGGTCACGAGGTGCTGGAAGCTTCTTTGGGTGTTGGTACAGGCAGCCACTGGTCAAAGAGGCCGCAAGAATGCCATTATTCTGCGCCTCGTCCTTCCGTCTGCACGTTTCGCCGCGCTGATGCCCAGGTGTAACCATGTAATAGCCGCCTCATGTCCTCTATAGCACCGAGCCTCGGCAAAACCAGTCCAAACAAGGAAGCATCATCCCGGGCATCTTCGAACGACTCAGAAAGATTCCGATCTGACTGCAGTTCTCCGCTCATACATAATTCAACGTACTCGCTGGAAGCAATTTGAATTACATAGGCAGCTCGGCAGCGAAGTAGACTCACGATGACAATCCCATTCCGATATCCGAGCCCCTACCGAATCGACGTCAGAGTGAAATATCTTGAAATACCTTCCGATATCCGAGGCCCGACCGAATCCATGTCAAGTGAACCATTTTGAAATATTGGTCGACATGGTGGCTTCCATGGGGATGTCATTACCTTTTTGGTAACGCATCCGTAGGTTGCTGGCTAGCTTATGGCGCATCCTGAGTAACACAGTATCAATTTAGCATAGACTCTCTGGTCAGCAGGTGGTGGCTTGAGCAGCGTTACAGGCAAATCATAGACCGAGACTCTCGAAGCTTCATTGATTCCTATCCGGCTATTGACCCCAACTTCAAACGCCATGAAATCATATACCAGCCTGGTATATCTCAGCCCGTATACGGGGCACCAATTATGACCGCATTGCACAGTTCTCAGATACTTTCATCCTCTAGAGTCAAAGGCCGTGAACCAATATCACAATCCATAGCCCAATCACCGAAACCAGGCAGTGTCTCGACTTGGTCCATCTTCATCCCCTAGATGAGCTCGTCCTCCAGCTCCTCCTTCTTGAGTCCGAAGTCGAGGTCGATGTCCTTGTCAAACTCCACCCCTTTCTCGAAGTCGTTGGTCGGGGGAGCCTCGGCGGCCACCTTGCCCTTCTTTCCACGGCTCTTGGGTGTAGCCTTCGGAGTAGCCTTCGGGGTACCCTTGGGCTTCTTGGGCGTGGTTGGGGGAGTTGCGCCCTCAACTGCACCGCCTGTGTACGTCAGCATTTACCAGTAGACAACCATGACTATAGCTTAGGGTACGAACTACGCTTCTTGGCCGGCGCAACAGCCTCGAACGTCTCGCCATTGTCCACGCGCGCCTTGAGCTCCTTCGCTTTCTTGGTGATGGGGCGGAACGCATGCTCAAAGGAAGACGCCGTCCTCGTGCCGTCCAGGGACGACATGATGTTGAATTGAGCTTTCGTGATGGACACGCTACCCATGGCCATGAGAAGGACAGCTACGGTGTCTTCGGACACCATCTTGCCACCACCGGAGTTGGCTTCGTCGGCTGCAACGTAGTCAATACATATGCGACTTGCTTGATGATGGATCATGTGAAGACTTACACATGGTGACGATTTAGGAAGGAAGGAGTTGGTTTGAGTGGATGTTGATGGCGCGGAAGTGCGGATAGCGAAGATGGATACGATCTGGACACGATATGTTAGATGAGGTTCTTCCCTAGGGAGCGAAAAGCAGGGGAGCGAGTGACCTTAATTTATGGACGTGGCTGGTGGACGGCGATGCAGAAAGTGCGTTCACGAAGAATTGTGTGGAGTCGTCGTGGTGAAGAGAGGAAAGAGGCAAGCTAAAGTTCATATAGTGAAACTGGCGAAGCTCGCGTTGCTGTGGTGAAGGTGAGTGGTAGACTTGCGGCAGGCTCGCGCCAGGGCAGCAGCGACAACGTGGCAGCCAGAGCAGTGAGTGAGCGAAGCTCTCACTCTAATCTACGGTTAAGCAGCTGAACTATCCATCCAAGTCTGTAAGTTTATTTCGCACGCGCACTGAGATTTGAAGCTTTTGGTGTCCAGAATGGACAGCAGGACATCGACCTGCACACGGGTTGCAGGCTAAGTCTCACCAAGATGCATTATCAGAGAGACCATTGCCCTTCACGGTGCACACAGCAAAGAGCTACCCACACATTCTTGAGTGCACATGCTTTTGCAGTGATGTCAATTCGGGCATTTTCTTCCACATCCTAATCGCATACGCACCGTTCTTATTTGCCCATCTCCGCCAACAGCTTCACTTGTCGCTGTATCGCTGCATTCATCGCATCCTTCGAACCAAATTTGCCCAGTAATTCACCCTCCACCTCTGAGAACTTCTGCTGCACACTCCTGGCAAAAGCACTATCCGGACCATGGCTCATTCTCGACGTGACGTTGATGGTATTGATCATCATAGCCGCTATGAGCGCCATGTCAGCGCCGGGGGCAAGTACCGCGCCTGCACTCGCAAGGTACTGTGCTAGCATTGCCATCTGCCATGTCTGGACGATGCGGATAGGATGATGCATCTGGGGATAAAGCTTGGGTATAACGTGACGATGGCGCTTGGCACATTCGAACCATGCGCCTTCGTAGTTGCCGACTGCGAGCATGTTGATGATGAGATCGTCCCTGAGAGCGGGAAGAGGTTGACGATGGGCGGGCCATAGTTTCGATTTGATGCATATGGCTATTGCGTCCTCGATGATGCGGATTGCTTCGGCTGGATCCGATTGGCGCTGTTCTGCCTCGTACATGTCGAAGGCTTTCGCTTGCAGTGCTGCAACTCTTCGTTCGTCAAGCGAATCTCCTACAAAGCTTGCTGGGTCCTCCTCTTGTTCATTCCGTTGAATTTCTTCATCAGCTACTTTCTGGTATTGTTGTGCAAGGGCTCCTGGCTTTATGGCCCATTCGTCTTCCTGCAATGTCGGACCCTGTCGACACTTGATGCATCTACATTCGAAGAACCAACGTTGTTGAAGTTTGCTTTGCCGTCGCAAGTAGGGCATCGTAGGGTCAATATATGAGATAAAAAGCTCCTCGTCCTTCTTGATGTCTTTGAGCGCTCGGAGCTGCATCTGCGGTCCGTCCATGACTATGTACGTATTCGGGTCGCACGAGTGGTTGAGATGGCATAATAGTGCATCGATAACAATTCCAAGAGGATCAAAAGTTGGTGTCATGAGGGTCATCGAGTTGGATAGTAGTCTCGCGTACATAGCAGCAACGAAGTCTTTGTTGAAGGTCTCTTGCGTGGCGGAAAACTGGCTGGTCCCCATGGCCATCAGCTCGATTCCTCCGTAGTTGCCATTATTCTTGAAGTCATCGATGTGAGAGTCTAGGTGACATAGTAGTTGCCAGGTTTGATCGTCTATAAGGCCATGTTTCCGTCGGACTAGGATCTCCATGCAGCCCAATACGGCTTTGGGTAGCTCTCTGTCGGCAACTGGTTTTAGGTTCTTGCACTCGTGCTTATGGCCGCGGTTCCATGCTTCTTTCTGACATGCCTAACGATGCTGTCAGTAAGTTGGTAATCCTGCGTTGGGTCGCATGATGTACTTTGCTGCAGTACCGGAAACGCTTGCATCCCGCACATGTTGAGACGGTAGTCCCTTCCTTCACATAGAGTCTCGACCCAATCGAAGAACCCTCGGTCCAAATATAACAATTTGCGCACGTGTCCTTCAGCCTTTCAGACTCTAGTGACGCCATAAGTGGACGACGTATCATGACGATAGACTCTCCACTTTTGACGTCCTTACTGCTAAAGAAACCTTTGCCTGCGGCCTGGCCACCAATTGTAGAATCTTTGATGTAGTATCCATGATCGTCTTGGGCCATAGCTTCAGCATCCAGCTGTATGTGCAGGTGCCTGTGGTGGCAGAGAAGATTTTCTGTGATGTATTGGGTCAAGACTAGAAAATTATCGTCGTAGCAGTGCGGTAAGGCCGCAGTGGTTTAGGTGCAGCAATTTGAATTGCTTGTGATGAGTACGTGTTGTTGTAACAAGATGCCGTTTCAGTGGTCGTGGTTGAAAAGAGGGTCAGGCTAGAACTAGATGAGCTAGTGCATGTGAGAAGCGACATTTTCGAACTTGACTTTGCTATTCTTTACGACATGATATACAATTTGTTATTTAGCATCACTAGCATGTTGTGGCGTCCACACTGCGGTTTCCGAGGAGTGTCTAGCTATGGTTTTCAATCGGATTTTCCGCGAAGCTGCATTCTACTAGAGTTCAATCCTATGTAGAATTTCACGACTGACGGCTACTTCGTCTGTAGGCGTTTCAATTTGAAGTGCAGTTGACAAGCAAACTCTAGCCAATTCCTCGTTTGTAATGTCGTCGTTTATGGTCATCAGTAGGTTTGACGTTGTGTCAAAACTCAGGCCTGGTGCCCAAGTACAAGCGTTGCGTTGTGCTCTAAGCTCAGCCTCGCTCTACTGGCGTGTTTGATTGCAACACTATTTCTGCATCAGGTGTCCCCAACTGTGATCATGGAGACTGCTCACCGGAGATCGCGTATGCAAAGAGCATTATTTTCATCGCTCATGATCATCTGCTGCCTTTCTATGAGAGTTTGGGTTTTGAGGACCAGGGGCCGAGCAAGTGCCTATTTGAAGGTGGCTGGTGGTATGACATGGTGAGTCTATGACGCCTACGTGTACGCTTTTCTTTCATAGACTAATGTGAATGCAGGCGATTCCCTCTGCGCTATGTGTGTTGACATGACGTGGGAGACGATGAGGTTTGGTGAAGAATTGCAGCTCGATTGAGGAAGGTATGGTAGGTTTGTAGCTTTCTGCAGGCTCGATCCGACACTGGCGCTAAAGCGACGACCACATAAAAGAGTAAACGCCGAACAGCCAAAAGGTATGCTAGACAAGAACGACTGCTAGTGAATGTCATAACCAAGCCTAAGCCGTCACTATCTGGACGTAGCCTTAGTAAAAGCCTTTCCAATCTCCCCAGATGATTTCATCCTTGTACTTCTTCATCAGCTGCCCTGTCGGGTCTGTGCCCTTTACGTGCGCCCACGCGCCGGCAAAGTGGACCAGGAAGTGGCCCTTCTTCCAAGGGCGCTCCGGTTCCTCGTAGCACGGAATCTCGTCCGGGAATGAATTGATCATCCACTGGGGAATGACAGTACTCCTCTTCTTAGAGGCCGGATCCTGCTCCATAAGTTTCGTAATCGCGTCTTGCTCGCTCAGCTGCGCTTCTGGATCCGCCTTCTTTACCGCAGCCTCGACGGCATACACATCGTCCAAGAACTTCAGTGAGCGCTCGTGAGAGCGCACGATGAACGAGCCAAGATTCAAGTTGTTGCAGTCGTTGGAGAAGAGGTAATCAAGTTCGGCCGGGGTCGTGGCGTTCTTCAACGTCTCCTCTATGATGTCTGCCACCTTAATGTCGGTGTTTGTAATCAGGGTGTCGAAATCGAGCCACCAAATCCAGTCCCATTTGTCCTTCTTGATCAGCCGCCTGATCATGTCAAACTTCCACCATACCGTGCCTTTGTCTTTTGTATGCGCTTCGTAATCGACGATGAGGTCGTAGCCGTGGCGGCGAACGTAGTCTGGCAAGTAGTCAGTTAAATTTGTCGTGGGCTCGTTCTAGCCACGTACGGTCTTTGGACTTGAGCGAGATGTGCAGGTACGACCGCTCCTCCGTCACAAATGTTACCAGAGCCACGCGAAGAGGCTTCTTTGGAGACGCTGGCGCAGGCTTCTGCTTCACTACGGCTGCCGAAGGCTTCTTTTCGACCGCTGTCGCTGGTTTGCGCTCAGCAGGCGGTGGTGGCGGTGGTCGCGGGGCTGGCGCGAGATCGGGAAGTGGCGACTGACTGAAGTGCCACCCAAGGAAGCCGGAAAAGACCAGAAGGAGAAGGAGCGTGGGCGGTATTCTCAGCGACCGCACCAGCATCTTGAGAATGAATGATCTTTCAGGCTATCACACAGCGCGGAGAGCTGAGCGAGGGCGGCCATCGCGAATGTCGCCCTGGAATGCCAAGTATGTGAGGGCTGAGAGCTATTATCGTTGGCGTCGACTCCGCGGTTCGAGACCATCAGCTGGCTCGGGAAGAGCTAAATCAGGCCGCGTCGCATTACTCGCGTGAGAAGCGACGGAGAAGAAAGACAGAGAGCGCATAGTAAGTAAAGGATCTGATCCTGATGTTAGATCCCAAGTTACGCTCCACTGTTCGTGCCAAGCTGTCTGTTCCTGATGCGCGGGAGCTGCCCCACGGTGCCGCAACTGTGGAGCGTTCGACGCTAACCCAGCCCCGACAGTGCCTCACCAACCTCCCCGCTAACGTGCCGTATCATTTGGTGATTCCCTCGATTATCGCTCTGCACTGTATCGGACGCTTTGGAATAGCGCAATGTCAAACTCTCGAGGCAGAGGAAATTACGCTCGCAGAGGCGGAGCGGGCGCATGGTACGGTGGATCCAATGCTCCTCGAGGGACCTTTCTCAATGGCGTTTGGCACTGTAGGTTGATGCGAGATACTACGTAGACTTCTTAGTTCTAACAAACGTCAAGGTGACTGTAACCCTCCACTGCCTGCAGTCCACTTCGAGGTAAAAAAGGAAGGTCCAAATCACGGCCGATGGTGTGAGTATCTGCTATCAGTGAAGTAATCACTCGTGCGTTTCTAATCACCTGCAGTCCGAACTTGTCAAAAACCACAGGGGGAGCGTTGCAAATTCTTCCTTTGGGACTCGGATGCCCATCCCCGTGAGGCCGCAGCCCTTGCGAACAACTCGCGCACTGAGCCAGGCCGTCCTGCCACAACTACACCCCGAGCTCAACGGGTTGCGTCACCCCCTCCACCATACACCTCAGAAGCTGGACCTTCGGATAACAGCAGAAAACGTGGCCGAGCGACAGCCCAGGAAGGAGAGGATGAGTTTGACTTTGGTGAAGGGAATGAGGCTTTCCAAGACGAGCTTGATCAGGTCATGGCCGCTGCGGAAACGCCGAGCAAGAGGCCCCGAATTGATGCCTTTGCAACTCCCTCTCGTCCAGCGAGGCGTAGACTTCCATGGCAGACCGATGACGATCCCCAATCAAACGCACTGCCGACCCCACAAACAGAATCACGAACCTCAAATGAGCTCTTTCCCACGCGATTCACTGCACCGGGCAGCTCCTTGCTCACTCCTTCGCGATATCGATCCTCTGAAGACACTGGGACCATGACGCCCAGCTCCTCTCCAAACGAGACACCAACCCCGGCTCGCTTCAAGAACGTGTCAGAGCAGGATCTTGTTCGGAACGCCTTCAGAGTGCTGCGTGATGCGAACGTTCAGATGAGCGAGCAGACGAGAAAGGATCTGACTGCCGTGCTCTCGAGACATGCAACCATCGCCGAAGGCGTGAAGAAGGGGCGCGACGTTGCCAGAGCCTCAATAACTGCGAAGACCGCAAAGGTCACAGAGCTAACGTATCGCGTGAGCACACTTGAAGCCGAGCTGGAGGCCGAAAAAGCAAAGGTCAGCCACTTGCAGTGGACCTTGGAGCATGGGCAGCAATCGGACTGAGGCCTGCTTCGATCTCTTTCTCACTTCCAGCGCACCGTATTGATACCATTATGACCATATGCATGATTACATGGCCTCATACAACCGTATCGCGAGAAACTCCACACGACGATACGTCTCCGTCGAAGCTATGTGCTTTCACCTTCTGGCAGACCATTGCTGCCAACCGACATGCACAGTGCCACTAGATGTTTTCGTAATGTGTATACGTCGTCTCACACACACGAGGATGGAGATAAATTCAACAGCGCGCACGTGGCTGAATGTGGGTTACATCGCCCAGCATTGATATGAAGCAGTCAATATGGGCGGGTGCTCGCAAAACAGCAAGAGGCGGAAATAAAACTGGGCCTAACGGGAGCTGGGGTGCGTTATTAGTGCGGCAACTAAGCGAGTCTGGTATGCACACGTCAGGCTTTGTTCATCAGCAAGGTGCACGCTCATCACTTCTGTAGACCGTGGCTGATACCATAGTACTGTCGCAATACCATGTTAATCAAGAGTCATCGGTGGCGGTTGAGCGAGGCGCTCCTGCCGTGGTTGGGTCGTGGGGCAAGGCAAGACAGCGTGGTTTTCGCGACAACAATGACGCCACACCAACCTCTGCGCGTTTTGTGCGGTTTCCACTAACGCGCTTTTTGTGCGGCTCACAGCCAGACTGCCAGAACATTCGCAACATGTCTATTTCTCCCCTCACTCCTGCTCACTTTTGAACCGACACAAGCTCGGTGCGGTCTGTCCTAGATTCTGCCGCTTACTCGCTTCCTTCAAATCCAGATTGAACAACCCCGGCTTTAACGTCGGTTGTTACCATCCCCACATATTAAATACCACAGACTCCCCGGGTCGGTACCACTCAGGCTATCCGGCACACGCATATTACTCTGCCTATCTGATCACTATGTCTTCCGCATATCCAAGGACCAGCCCTGGCCAACCACGGCAACAGTCAGCCCAAGATCTGGTAACGACGACACTGTTCATAACCAACTTGCACTGCCCATCATGTATAGAGGTCATCCAGGACTCCCTGAAAGGGTTTACACCAGCGCCCGAATTCATTTCTTACTCGATTGTTTCTCATTCCGTTGTCTTGCGCCACACGACATCCCTTACTGCACGGGACATCGCTGCCACTCTAGAAGCCGCCGGGTTCGAGCTACACAGCATCTTTCAGGACAACAAGACTGTGTTTGCCCCTGTTGAGGTCTACCGTTTCGACGATCGCAGCAAAGAGTGGGAGTCCAGTTTGGAGCACGCAGTGGCGAGGTGGTTCCAGAAAGGAGCCCCAAACGATTCAGGAGAAACCATGCACAAGCGGGAGAAACATGCGGAGCAGTGCGAGCAGTGCAAAGCCGAGGCAGGTGGCGTGCAGCTGAGCACCAACGATGAGGAGTTCTCATGGCCCAGCAAACCGCAAACCGTCGTAACATCGCAGGAGCTTGGCTTCGCTGCGAACAGATCCGACGGGACGACGTCTCGAAGTCTCGAAAGCATAGTCGTCGGCACCTCCTCAGTCCCTTCGACCTGCAGAGCGACAGTAGCGATATCCGGTATGACGTGCAGCTCTTGCATGAGCAGCATCACACATTCTGTGGAAGAGCTCCCATTCGTGCAGTCGGTCAATGTCAATCTCCTCACCAACAGCGGGACTATTATTTTTGAAGGAAAAGAAATGCTGAAGGAGATTGTGGAGACTATTGAAGATGCGGGGTTTGATGCCAATGTGGAGAATGTCGAAGTCCTCGATACCTGGAAAGCCACATATGCTATCGGCGGTATGACTTGTAGCGCCTGCGTTGGCAATGTGTCGCGAGCTTTGGAGATGCATAGCTGGGTACAGAAGGTCGATGTCAATCTGGTCACACATAGCGCCACCGTTGTGTTTTCCGGAAAAGACCATCTGGCACAAGTTACGGAGACGATTGAGGATGCAGGCTACGATGCTACGCTTGATAAGGCCGAGCCTCAAAACACATCGAAACCGGAGTCCAGCGACAGAACCGTGGGCATTCGCATCGAGGGCATGTTCTGCCACCACTGTCCACTCGACATAATGAGAACGCTCAGTGAGGAATACGGAGTGCAGCATGGGATGGAGTTTGAGAAGCAGACCTTCTCAGAGCACTCTCCAATACTTAACATCAAGTACAAACCTACCCCTCCTGCCTTTACCATACGAGACATCTTTAGGTCAATCGAGAGCCTAAACCCGAACTTCAAACCTAGTGTATATCACCCACCGACGATCGAAGACCGTGCGCGGGAAATGCATGCTCGGGAACGGAGACGAGTGCTATTCCGACTGCTACTCTCTGTGATCATCGCGATACCAACGTTCATCCTCGGGATTGTGTTTATGAGCCTGGTGAAAGAAACCAATCCGATCCGTCGCTACGTCATGCAGCCGATGTGGGCTGGTAACACTACCCGGCTGAGCTGGGCTCTCTTCATCTTGGCCACACCCGTGTACTTCCTCGCCGCCGACACGTTCCATCGCCGAGCAATCAAAGAGGTGAAAGCCATGTGGCGACCAGGAAGCCGCACACCATTCTTCCGTCGGTTTGTTCGATTCGGAAGCATGAACATGCTTATGTCACTAGGCACGAGCATCGCATATTTCGCGTCGGTGGTTGAGTTGGCCCTAGCTGCGACGAGAAAGACCTCAGGGTCGATGAATGACTCATACTTCGACGCCGTTGTCTTTCTAACTATGTTTATCCTGATCGGGCGATTCCTTGAAGCTTACAGTAAGGCGAAGACGGGCGACGCTGTCACATCATTGGGCAGGCTTAGACCCGAAGAGGCTATACTAGTAGACTTCGAGAAAGGAGATAAGAAAATTGCGACAGACCTTCTAGAGGTCGGTGATATAGTTCGTGTTCATCATGGAACCTCGCCACCTTTTGACGGTACGATCCTTGACGGCACCACCACGTTCGACGAATCTAGCCTTACGGGCGAGTCGCGACCTGTCAAAAAAGAATTAGGCGATACAGTCTACTCTGGTACCGTCAATAAGGGTTCTCCGGTGAGAATCAAGGTCACCACAATCGCAGGCACGTCCATGCTCGATCAGATAATCAACGCCGTTCGTGAAGGTCAGACCCACCGAGCGCCTGTAGAGCGAGTTGCGGATACCATAACAAGCCACTTCGTCCCGTTCGTTGTGCTCGTTGCATTGTCTACATGGCTCATATGGCTTATCCTCGGTACTACTGGAGGTATCCCCAAAGACTGGATGAACGAAGGCTCCGGTGGCTGGGCACTCTGGTCTCTACGCTTTGCCATCGCCGTGTTCGTTATCGCGTGCCCTTGTGGCATTGGGTTAGCAGCACCGACTGCACTCTTCGTCGGCGGAGGTCTTGCTGCGCAGCATGGCATCCTTGTCAAAGGGGGTGGAGAAGCATTCCAAGAGGCGAGCACACTCGACTGCATTGTATTCGACAAGACAGGGACGTTGACTGAAGGTGGCGATCCTGCTGTGACCGATCACAGCTTCAATGTCGAGTGCAGTGAAGGCCCCGCCGTTGTATTTGGTCTCGTCAAAGCTCTGGAAGAAAACAGCAACCACCCCATTGCAAAAGCCCTTGTGAGCTTTAGTAAGACCAGATCCGCCAATAATTTCGAAACAACTACCGTGAACGAAGTCCCTGGAAAGGGGCTTAGAGGTACCTTGATGCTAGGCAACCGAAAAATTACTGTGATCGTTGGTAACGAGTCGTTCATGGACGACCACTTGGTATCGATCCCGGATGCTCAAGCGTCAGTGTTACAGACCTGGAAAGGACGTGGAGAGTCCATTGCATTGGTCGCATTGCTTTCAGGTGCGACCAAGGACGACTCCACACCTTCGCAAGAACACTGGGATCTAGCTTGCGCCTTCGCCATCGCCGACCCATTACGACCGGAAGCTATTAGCGTCATTAGCCAGCTGAAAAAGCGAGGTATTGATGTTTGGATGCTATCCGGCGACAATCAAACCACGGCCAATGCCGTGGGCTCACAGGTCGGGATCCCAGCCTCCAACATCATCGCAGGCGTTCTGCCAGAGCAAAAGGCAGAGAAGATCACTTACCTCCAAAAGACGCTTACCAAGACTCATAAGTCTCCCCTTTCCTGCCTGTCTATCTTCAACCGTTCAATGCCAGAGCGCGCCACCGTCGCCATGGTAGGCGACGGTATCAACGATGCGCCCGCGCTCTCTACAGCTGACCTCTCTATCGCCATCGGCTCTGGCTCCGACGTCGCGCTGTCCTCTTCCTCCTTCATCCTGATCAACTCACACCTGGCATCGGTGCTTACCCTGCTCGACCTCTCACGCGTAGTTTTCCGCCGCGTTTATCTGAACTTCGGCTGGGCGCTCGTCTACAACATCATCGCCATGCCGATCGCCGCTGGCGTTCTCTACCCGATCACTACAGGCACGAAATCAATGGACATGCACCACAACGGTATTGGTATGGAGGGTGGTATGGGTATGGGAGACTCGGGCGTTAAGCATGTGAGATTGGATCCGGTGTGGGCGAGTCTGGCCATGGCGTTGAGCAGCGTGAGTGTGGTCTGTAGCAGTTTGCTGTTGAGGAGTCGCCTTCCTGGAGTCGGGTTCAGAGTGAAGGGGACGCGCGAACCTGAGCAACGTGAGGTGGCACCTAAGGAGTAGGTTTAGCTGGGTCTGAGGCTTGGGGTCGACCAGCCAATATATGTACCCAAGTAGGCTACGTAGGCAAGGTGCTTTATCCATTCATGTAGTTATACCTGATGCTAGACGCAATAGATCAAAGACAGTAGCTAACAGATACATTATGTGCCAAAAACTACCGACTATCACACATCATATTTCACACTCCCATTTCATCCTCGTGGGCAAGCGGCACACTGCGTATGGTTCGGCCTATGTGCCCTACACACCCTCCCGTCTCTAGCGACAGTTTTCGCACGCCCGCCTGCTTGTATCAATCCTCTCTTCACATAGGTCAAATCAAGTGAGGAGTGCTTACACATATGACACTGCCACCACCAGCACGGCCAGTTGGGCGCAATATCTGCACGCGGGAGTGAGTACCCGTATTCGTTGTACTTGCCGCCACGGCCCGCGCCGTTGCCTCGGCCTCCGTAGGCTTGGTTGTAGTAGTGGTAGGACATGCTTTGGTCAGTTTGTCTGTGTAGACACTATCTGGTTTTCTTAAGGCTTGTAGTTGGACTGTGAGGTTGCTTTGGGGTTTGTAGTAGAACGGTATTGTGAGAGAGTGAGGTCAAGAGGGATATGTATGCTCCGGGAGGCCTATCTATGCGTGGGAGTGTATTCACTTTTTCTGCTGGCATGGTCTTGGTGCTGGATGTGTGGTGCTACGTGGGAGTACAGCGTGGTGGTGTGTGTGGGTTGGAGGTGGATGGCGAGTGAAGATGTGGGAGACTTGAATACCTGGACATTACTTTGGACGCTTTTTGTCCCACTGAGTTGTAAAGGGCAGCTTTCCACCTTAGTAGGAGAAACCCTCGTGTGACCAATCTACTCTTCCTCTTGCGCAGGACGGAGCCTTTCAAACATGGAATCTGTATTCTGAAGAAGTGCTGGACTACTGAGGGTTGCGCATATGACTTGCACATCTGCGAAATAGGTGGGCCTAATTTGGTATGAAACAGTATCTTTCCGACATACCGAAAGTAGGTGTACGGCTACATGCTAAGGGGAAACCACCTGGGTGGAGGATTTTGGCAATGTCAAGTGCAAAAGCATGCCTATGATATACAGTTTTGCTGAAGCTGATTTGACAACCTCGATATCAAGTGCATGTTTTTATAACATGAGCGCTGCTGAACAGAGGTCAAAGACGGTGCCTGTGTTCTAACCAAAAGCGCACGTATTCACATTCATGTTCTCGAAGAACGCTCTAGCACGAGTGGCTTTCGATTCGTGCGTGGAATCAGAAATATTGTCTTGCATTACATGTGTCAGTCTCGCTAGGAAATTTCCCATATACTTGAGCTATCAATGTTTGACGGCTTCCGGACGCTCCTGACTGCCCATGGTCGATACTGGCAGGCTTTTAGTCCTCCCATCATCTCTTTTGCCTTCGGCCGAGTCTATGGTATAAAGCCCTGCGCATCTTCGAGGGGAATACATCACACCTTTGCGGGGGATTCGGATTTTAAAAGTTCGACAACCTGCAAGATATGTCCAGTTGTGCGACATGTGACTATCTTCAAAAAACATTACAAGATCCGCATGGGGAATCCGGACTTCACAAGTTCGACAACCTTCAAGACATGTCCTGTTGTGGGGCATGTGATCATGTGCTAAAACAAAAGTATTACAAGAGTCGCATTATGGGATTGCATTCAAAAAGGTCGACAAGCTCCGAGACATGTCCTGTTGTAGGACATGCGATCACTTGCTAAAAGCATTACAAAATCGCATGACGGGATGCTTCAATGTTTTAGCCTTTGGGCTATCTGGACTCGAAAAGTTTGACAATTGTCAGACATGTCTGCTGTAGGACATGTGACCACTTGCTTAAAGCAGTACAAAGTCGCATCATGGGATGCTTCGGTGTTTTCGCCTTTGGAACGCTGGACTCGACCATGGACGTCGAAGGTGGCGCAAGAGGCGGGGTTGTCTAAAACATTTGCAATGGGATTTTATGTCATGGAGGATTCTGTGAGAGGGTCTAGGGTGAGGATCGAGACAATGCACGAGCCAGGATCGGATTGCTCTTTCGGTGTTGCCTTGCGTTGTGGTGACTCGGGCTCGTCCGCGGAGGAACATTTGCGCCTGGATGTGGTTCTCTGGATAGCATCATCGCATACGTGTCAAATATTGTCCACATGTATTATGTGCATGTTATGCGCTGGATGATGGTCATCTCTAGCTATGTAGTGGCCGGATATGATCATCACTTATCGTCCAGGTTGTTTTAGGTGATGGTGAATCTCAGCCCCCATTCATTGTTTGCAATGAAGATGGGCGAAGTGTTCTGTCGGCCTGCCGCGTGCAAGGGTGCGATTGGCCAAGGTGTTTTCTAAGATGAAGGGCGTTTCGTTGCGTTTCAGCAGCGGCTCTTAGGTACCATTGGCGGGTGAGGACAAATGACGGCAAGGGCGAAACGTCAAGCAAATAGATTGCGGGCTCTGTGCTGTTTATGCGCATAGAGGTGTTCATTGCGCCTCGTTATGGAGCCATGCAGACGGCGTGGCGCAGGCTCTAGTTGGAATGCGTGTTTGCAGAGGAGAGGTTGCTTTAATGTGGATTATGCGGCAGCTCACTTGGGCGCAGGGTGTTTGGGCGGGTGACACGGTGATGGGCTGTCACCGAAGTGTTTTTGGTGGTTCATGCACTGCTGAGCACATGTTTGTACTCGACGCCGTACTCGTCACCAGGTGTTCGCAATGTTCTGCTGCAGGAAGCGAGCTACTGCGAAGTCCAGCGAGTAGAGATATCCTCATATCCTCGGCTCGCGACCAGCAGCGCAGGGCCCGGTGCTCTCTACTATACATATGTACGGTCAGCGCCAGAAATGTCCGCAACACGACGAATGGGGGCTGTGGCTGGTGAGGTGTTCTGTTCTGGGCCTGTGTTGTGTGCGCGGAGGTTCCTTCCTCCTGGATGGCCCAAGTCCGTGAGACGGCGTGTGTGGCTGATGGCGGGACTCAGTTCATTTCGCGCGAGGGCCCTTCATCAAGTCCGAAACGGCGACGCTGGAATGCTCCCACGGTTCGCGGTGCCACTGGCGGCAGGGTAGCAGAGCGCCCGTTTTGCGTTTCGCAGCGGCGGTTGACAGGTCGAAACTCTGGTGGGCAGAGCGAATGGGCGAGGCGAAGGGCCCCTGGAGCGTGCGTGCGTGGGGACGCGGCGTCCGTGCGTCCAAGCGTCGATTTGGCGTGTCGCAGCCGCGAGTTTCAGAGGCACAGCGGCCAATGGCGGCCAGACCCCGGACTCCTGGGCGCTCTTCATGCGGCTCCCGCTGCCCTGCCAGCCCGTCGTCGCTAAACCTCCGCGCGACGTCCACCAGCAAAAACAATCGCCTCGACGGTGCCACATGCTTGCGAGAGACGCGTCGCCCAACGCAGCCAGCGCAGATGCTCGCGCAGGGCAGCCGCCGGCCAGCCAGCCAGACTCTCTACGTGCCCCAGGCCCAGCCCACCGTCCCGCTCCCAGTTGCCAGTGGAGGCAGCGGCCTCGGACCAGGTCGTCAACAGGGCAAAGCGCGCGGCGGGAGGCTGCCGGAAGCCAAGCAGTTTCAAATGCACACGACGCTTCGCTGAGCTTGCTCGCTGGCCCATGGAGCCACCAGCGCTCGGCCTTTTCCAAGCCTACGACTACATGAGCCACTCCTTCCCTCCTCCCCATGCTCCTTCCCCAGAGCTCTGGCCCTACTGTCTCTCTCCGACCGCGCCTTCCTTCGTTCCCTCTTCACTCACATTCTTTTAGAGTGCTTGCCTCGCCCCCGGAAGACGTCCCTTCATTCACGTTCTTCCTCTTTTCCACACTCACTTCCTACCCTTCACCCCCCCGGGCCGCATCCTTAGTCCCGTTTGCGTGCTGGCACGTCTTGGCCGACAGCCCTTCTGCCTCAGTTTCGCCGCACCTTGACAGCTGCGTGGTTTGTAAGTCTTGGTAGTCTCACAACGTCCGGCCTTAGGCATGGTGTATCCACTATGCCTTGCACCTCCCTAGGCCTTGCCGAATACCCTCCATGGCGTCGTGTACACGTCCATCCACTGTCTCACATTGTTTCTCTTCATTCGTTGTCTTCGTCTACTCCTTCCTTAAAGCTTCCCCATGGTCCTGCCACACTGCCTTTCCCATCTCTCGCCACGAGTACCCTCGTGGTCAAACATTTGTTAACTTCTTGCAGCGCTAGTCACCCTTTTCTTCTGCCTGTGTTATTATCAAGACAGCCACACGTTCCCTTAACATCTATACTTTCGCCACACCTATCCTGCGGACCCGGTCTCTCTTTTACCTAATCCAACATGAGGACTTCTTTTGCCGTTGCCGCCCTTGCGGCCACCTACGCCAATGCCATTGCTGCTCCTGCTCCCCAGGACGTCGAGGCCCTGGCCACCCCCGAGGAGACTGTTGATGGTCTGATTGGCCTGTCCAAGAACTCTACGTGCGCTCACGACCCCAACAACTCAAAAGAGGTCATCGTCATGCTCGACAAGGACCAGGTCCCCGAGGCCAAGACTTTGCTCAACAAGCTTGGAAGGCAAGCCGATAACGATGGTGTCTTTGATGTCATGGACAACTCCCAGTGGAGTGCCATTGTCATGAACGCTACCTCCAAGTGCATCAGCTACCTCGACGACCTTGCCGAAGTGAAGATGGTGGATGAGACCGCAGAGGTCAAGTCGTTTGTTACCCAAAAGACTGGTGCACCATGGGGCCTCCAGCGCATTTCAAACGACGCCGGTGCCTCCGGTGACCCATCTGGCCAGGACTTCACCTACTCCTTCGAAGACACTAACCTCGGTGCTGGTGTTGACGTCTACGTCGTCGACACTGGTGTCCGTGTTTCCCACGCTGTCTTCGGAGGACGCGCCACCGAGGGCTTCTCCTTCACTGACACTGCTGCTGACGGTGATGGCCATGGCACTCACGTTGCTGGTTCCGCTGCTGGTGCCAAGTTTGGTGTCGCCCAGAACGCCAACATCATCGCCGTCAAGGTTCTCGGTGATGACGGCTCCGGCTCCTCCTCGAGCACCATTGCCGGCATGAATTGGGTCCTCAACAACCACGAGAAGCGCAAGACCCAGGACGGCTTCGTCGGTTCCATCATGAGCATGTCTTGGGGTCTTCAGGGCACTGCCGACTCCGTCGACCAGGCTATTCTGTCCGCCCTCGATGCCGGCATCCACGTCTCCGTTGCTGCCGGTAACGATGGTACTGATGCTTGCGGCACGACCCCTGCCCACCTTGGTGGTGCCAACTCTGACGTCGTTACTGTCGGCTCCGTTAACATCAACAACGAGGTCTCGTCCTTCTCCAACATTGGCCAGTGCGTCGACATCTACGCGCCCGGCGAGGAGATCCTCAGCGCTTGGAGCACCGGCGACAACGTCATCAACTTCCTCTCCGGTACCTCCATGGCCACACCCCAGAACTCTGGTGTCATGGCCTACCTCATGGCCCAAAACCCCACCGAATTCGGCCAGAACCCCAAGGCTCTCAAGGCTGAGCTTCTCAAGATGGGCCGACAGGACGTCATCAGCGGCTCTCTCGGTGGCAGCGCCAACCTGCTCCTCAGCAACGGTGTCAACGGTGCCGTCACTAAGAAGCGCTCCGTGACCGGCAGCCCGGCCTCGTGGGCCAAGAAGCTCGTCGACAATGACCTCAAGACCCGCTGGGTCGTCACCTCGGACGACTCAACGCTCCGGTTCTAGAGAAAGATTACGATCGGCATTGGCAGCTAGATGTTGTGCAAGGAGTTGGATTGATACCCCACATCTGTTGTACACAGTACGGCCACGTTGGCACATTCGGAGGATAACAAAAAGTTTAGACGCATTGTACATGCCCAACCATCTCATTTCATACATGTTCGATCTCGCATTACGATCTCTCTTGCTTACCCAGAGACTTCGGTTGGAATATACCACCTAATAGTGCATTTCTGGCATCTGCTTTGTCTGTTCTCCATCTCATTCTTCTTTTGCCGGTCTGGAAACTGTTGGGGACTGCGACGTGCAGTGGGAGATTAATTTTCTGTGTGGATACTTTTCTAGCTGCATTGATGTGCATAAGAGGTTGTTGAGTTTGGTCTTGGGCCACGAGGCTAGCGCATGAGCGGCGGGCGATCTTAAGGCGGTGGAGACACGACAGACGATAATGCAGTAGATGCGCAATTGCAAATCTGGATACATGACATGTGGACTATGTTACACAATGTGTTGAGTGACGTGCAAGGCGGCCTTCGTGCCCGCTGTTATGTCTTGATCTTTGCTGTCGAGAACGGCAACTTTCTCCATGGTACGCAGCCGCATGGAGAAGAACAATGTTCTATGACATCTGCCGTCTGCCGAGACGACGCGCATCCCAGCCGCCGATCTTACGCTCCCTTCTCGGCGACGACGTACGCACGACGACGACTGACGACGCGGAAATTTGTGTCGCCTTCGCTTCGCTTCGCAACGCCCGCATAAGCGTGAGTTAGCGGGCTTCTCCCTCATCGTGCAAGCTCTGTTCCTGGGACCTGCATGCCGCCCCACTCGCCCTGGACCAAAAGGACCAGGCACGTAGTGGGTCCACGTCGCTTGAAGGAACCGTACCCGAGGGCCACGCCGCTGCGTGCGCGGGTTCTGGAACATTGGACGCAGAGGTCATCGGGAGTCGGCAGAGCGCGCGTTTGGGCGTCTTCAATGGGGAAGGGGATGGCGTGAGGAGGGTTGCAGGGGATAGACGGGATTGAGGTTGAAAAATGATAATGTGGGTGAGGGAGGGAAGGGTGCGATGCAGGTCAGCGTTAGGTGAGCTGGACGAGGGGGGGGAGGAATGTCCGATGGTAGAGGTGGCTGATGGTCATACTGCGGCGCGATGAAGTGTACCGTCCGATGGAGTGGGGGCGAGGCAGAGTTACCTGATAAAGACATTCGTGAGTTTCTGGTACCGGTGGGAGAATCAGTGGGAGTGGAATGCCGTTTGTGCAGTAGGTCTACAGTAGCCTCGCGCTGATTTGAAGCGCTTTGTTCTGTTCTTACGATCCAATCGCACACCACACGTGGACTCGCGGTATCACATCACAGTGCGATTCATTGAGAATGTACAGGTTCCCTACAAGCAATCTACACATCCAACGCGCTCATGCCACGCAGAGAATGCCAAAGCGAAAGACAAACACCCCCATGCTATCTATGTCGTCCTAGCCCCAAATCTTACACAAGCGAATAGCTTACACGTCCTCGTCGCTGTCCTCACCCAACAGCTCCCCTTCGTCTTCGTCCACAACCGCATAATCTCCTCTTCCCCTGGCAAAGGAGCTGCGACTCGTGTACGTGCGTCCGCCGTAGCCGCCGAACCTGCTCGACACCGCTCTCCAAGCAGCACCCACAAGTAGGGGTATTGCAGCCACAACAGCCACCAAGCCAGAGATTGCCGCAACAGGCCACTGGACCCACGGACTATCGCTGTCAAAGGCACTTGTACCGTCGCCCAGCCTGATCCGTCCGAACTTGCCATCCCAGTTGCGCCAGACATAGTACCCAATACCACCGGCAGCCGCGAAAGGTAGAACGACAGCGAGGAAGATGACAAAGCCAGACACGCCGTGTCTGCGCTCGTACTCCTCTTCGTGACCAGGGCAGGGGTGCACCTGGCCGGTACGCGCCATCTCGTTGCCACCTTCACAGGTTGATACAGGAACCTTGCGATAGCCTGTGGGGTCCCAGTATTCTACTGCTCCCTTTTCACACACAGCCAGCGGGTTTGGTTTTTCGAGACCCTCGATCAATTTGCATTCGCCACCGGGCTTACGTTCGTAGTTGTAATCACTGCCAGGGTTAGTATCGTCGAGAAAGGAGCACATTGGAGCAGACTTACCATTCAAAGTCATGCCGGGTGCAGGAGCAGTTCCGGGCGATGTTGTGCAGATGGTCGATGCGCTCACCATTGTAGCAGTTGACACCGCGCTTCTTCCGGTGATACTGAGCTACATGTCCGAAGAGGCATGCGTCGTCATCCCCTCCCTGCATCGGGTGCTGTGGCTCCCACAGCTCATAGTCGCCTTGGGTCGGGTCGTTCTCGGATAGCTCGCACTTTTTGGAAAATAGACCGCTGAAATCCACATTGATCGCAACCAGGTTCTTTCCATCTTTACCCCAAAGCAAGAAGTTCAGCGAAGTGTCGCTCGGTACCGTACTAATGGCGTCAATCCTGTGTTTGTTGTCGGAGAATTTATGCTCCTTGAAGGGGGTCTCGCCATTGTCCAGAGAGTAGTATAGATGGTTGGTGTCTTCATTCCTGCGAACAATGACAATGACGGAACCTTGGTCGCCAAACTCCCACGCGTAGTTGCCTTTCTTGACTTCCTTCCAGGTAAGACCAGCGTCTGTGGTCAGGAAAGTGCTCGCTTCGCCAATCGTGGTGAGCTGCTCTCCAACATTTCCGACACCCATCATGATACCAACAGCGGTGGGAGAAGAATATGACTCTCGAGGGTCAGGGCGTTCCGTGTACCCATGCAGATGCAACGCGCATTTAGTAATGCCCTCCCCATTGCACTTGTATTTTTTGTCGTCTGAGTCTTTTTCAGGGGGGGTGAGTGGTTGCCAATCAGCACCATCGTTGTGCGTGATTCGTGTCTGCTTCTTCTTCTTTTCGCCTTGGTCGACCTTGTCAGCATTGACCACGATGTTGGCAACCGCGACACCCTCAATGCCCTGCATCTTCTCAAAGTCAACGTAGCCTTGTGTGTTCCTGTTCACACCGTTGAGGCTCATGACGTATGAGGTTCCATTGCTGTTGCTCTTGATGATAGAGCCGTATTCTTGGTCGAGGCGGCTGTTCACAGTGACATGAAGAAACACTGAATGCGTGGAGCTATCAAGGACAGTGTATGCGGTCTGGTGGTCAACTTCGAACTTCGGCGGGAATTTGGCCTCAGCAAAAGTCTTTGCGTCGAGACTGGCATCTAGCTTAAGAGATTTACCGTCGTCGCCCTTGGTCGCGACGATGATGAATTCGGACATCGTGGCAAATTCGACGACCGATTTGAACTTCGTTTCCTTGGTCTTGAACCAGTCTTCGCTGGAGATAAGCTCGACAGGGGCACCCATTTCTTCGTTTGTATGCTGCTCACAGAAGACCTCTTTCTTGTCAACCTTGCGACCGGCTTCACGCCAGACGAATGCGCACTTCTTCACGTAGGGCAAGAGAGTCTCCCAAGTGTCCTTTGCACCGTTCTTCTGAGACACCGAGGCCACAGTGTGGCATTCTGCGTTATTTGACTTCTCGCAGTGCTCGCCGCCGACCCAAATGAGCCAATCAGACTCGGCGGGATGGAATTGCATAATTTGAGCCTCCAAAGTCGGCATCTGTGGGGCTTCCGAAGAGTGGATGCTGTTCCTAAGACCACGATCTTTCGAGTAATAGAACTTCTTCGTTGCGGTAAGGAAGAAGACATGGTCGTTGTTGTATTGATGGGGATAGATAGCAACGATGTTGTCGTCCACTGCCTTCTTCCATTTCTTGCCATGGTCGTCCGAGATGTAAGCCTCGTTTTCATCTGTAAGCATGACGACAGTTTCATCCTTGTCCTTGCTCTCTTCACCACCCTGCGTGGGGCGTTCAAGGTAATAGTATTCCTTGAATTTGGACCCTGGGAACGTTGTGATCTCGTTCTTAATGTCTCCGCTAGCTGGAGGCTCCGAAGCGTCGTCACAGTCGCGCTCAACATCCTTCTCCCTGTCAGTAGTACCCTCGCACTGATTTCCAGGAATTTTTCTCCAGCCAGAGCTACCCTTGTACGTTTTGGTATCGCCTTGGCAAGCACCTTCGGGTAGCTTCAGAGAGCCGGCAGGGTTGCATTTCTTGTCCTTCCCTTTGCCTTCAGGCACAAAATTGTAATCACATTCGTAATCTCTGACCTCGTCGCACTTGCATGGTTTGAAGTCTGGTTTGGCTTCCTTGAAATTCTCCTTGAGGAAGCATTCAGCATCCCACTTGCGACGTTTGAAGATCTGTTTGTGACCCATAACGCACATGGCGTCACCATTCTCGTCTTTGAGAGCAGACCAGTCTTCCAAATCATCGTCTCCACATTCTCGCTCGTGCAATTCGGCGAAGTCGAGGTGGATGATGGACTGTTTCCTGCCTTCGCCCTCCTCGATTCTGGAGACGTAGAGAATGAACTTCAAGCTTGTCGAATCGGAAACAGTCGTAAGCTCTCGGGCACGGAACTTGTAATCGACCTTAATCTCCTTCCAGGTATCCTTGCGACCATGCTTGAGTGAGTACATGATCTTGTCGGTGTCGCCTTCGTCGTTAACAGCGACTAGCACGGCACCTTGGCCGCCGAATTCGTACTTGTGAGCATCTTCTAGGGCTCGCTCCCACGTAAGTCCTGCATCATCCGAGACATATAAGTCGCCATCGGTGTATTTGCCTAGATATTTGCCAGTGTTACCAACTCCCATAACGATACCCGGAGCTGGGCTGGAGAAGACGCGTCCACTGTTATGCAAGTTGGTAACCGAATGCAAGTGCAGCTTGTCGTCCTTGTCCTTGACTTTCAAGTCGTCAAAGGTTCTTCCGTCGTCAAAGCTGATTTGCGACTTGATCTTCTTGAGCGCCATTGGGTTCGTATCCTCCGCGTTGTCGACAATGTTGACGAGCACTATGCCTTGAATATTGGACACCTTTTCGAAGTCTACATAACCCATCTCGTTGCGGTTCGTGTGGTCGACATTTTTCGTAAAGTACGTTCCATTAGAATTGCTGGTGTACAGCGATCCCATGTAGGCAAATGGATTCGTCACCACATCGACCTGAATGCTGTAGTTCGTGGATTCGAGCATGGTGTAGGCGTCCTCCTCGATCTTGCCTCCTCCAAATTCTGCGTGGTGCCATGTCTTTGTATCATCAGTGACGTACATGGACAGTTCGTTGGAGTGTTCAGCCTTGGCGGCCGCGACGAAATAACCTTTCACGGCAGCCATATTGGTCATACCTTGCACAGTGCGACCAGAGGACATGACGGGTTCATCCTCGTTCTTGAAGTAGTCGTCAGATATCATGATTCTGTAATCCTTGGAACGTTGGGAATATTTCCCTGCCACTATACAAAGTATCCGGTCGTCGAGCGAGTCGTCGTCTAGGGCAAAGTTCTCGGTGCTCTTCGCCCAGAGGCACATCTTCCGGCTCTCGCGGGCAATTTTGAGCGATTCGAAGCCGTCCTTCGTAACGAAAGTCTACACATGAGTTAGTTCCGGCAGCTCTGTGAAAACAAGCTGTGGCTGACCTTTCCAAGACATGCCCCGAAAAAGGGACAATCGTCTCCACCATGGAATAGTATCTTCTTGTTGTCTGATGCGTGGAAGCTCAGGGGATTGCCCAGCGAGGGAGTTTCGTCCGTCTTAAATTTCTTCCACTTCTCGCCCTGGTCGTAGGTAATGTAATGTTCCGTCTCTCCCAGCACAACGGCGACATTCTTATCAAAAGGGTTCCTGATAATGCCGATTGTCCGCATGTCCTTGCCATCGTCTTTGACCTTCGCCCACGACTTCCCGGCATCCGTAGAGCGGAAAACCTTCTCCGAGTCGAGCTCCACAAGCATGGCGACATTGGAATCGTCAAAGTAGAAGATGTTGAGGAGCTCGCTGGCAAAGTCGGTCTTCTCGATAAGCGGCGCATCTTTCTTCGCCGCGGTGAACGGCGCGAGCGCCGCGAGGGCGGGCAGCCATATGCCCTTAAGAAGTTTCATGACGCATAGAGAGAGGGGGTGCGCAGGCGATCGAGGAGAGAGGGCGCTGTTTTAAGGACAGCTGTCTGGGTGCAAACCACAGCCTCGTATCGTATGCGTGTCTACAGTAGCTGAAGGCGGCAGCAGCGGAGCCTTGGCGCGCTCGAAACGGACAACGTGACGCGGCGGCGTGCGGCGGAATATCTTCGCAGTGGCTTCAAGCGATGGGCTACAAAGAGGTCGTCTACTAGAAAGACTGTCAACGATGAAGGCAAAAGTTGAGTCGCGTGGGAATGTCTGAGGTGAGGCGACATGTGGCAGTGGCCGTGCAACCAGGGTCGCTGCTGCCGTTTCCGTTTCCGACCAAAGTGGACCCTCACGTCGTCACCGCGGAGGTCTCCAGTTCACCAACACTCACCGAATCATGTATCACCAGCTCACTCGCTCTGCACCAGCGCAGGATCTACGATACCGGAGATAACTTGTACAAAGTACGCACTGCGAGGCAACTTAGGATGGGCTGGACGCTGTAAGACAGAATTCTATATTTAGTCAGCAGCAATAGCGAAGTACTGTGCGCTATCTACAGCAGCCACAACAACGCTGGGATACTTGCTGTGCAGCCGTTATGACAACATACAGCAATCAACAAGCCATGCTTCTCATCGCCACTACATTCCTCCATCATCTCGAGTATCGCTCTGGGGTGGAAAAAGAGTGCACTGAGGCAATTCTGCCAGTGTTGAAAATCACCTTCGGATTCTAGGAGCAGGTTTTGTACCAAAATAGAGCTCAGGGGGGCCGACCGTCGTTCTTAGGGTCCTTACATCCGCTTAATATGTTTCAAACTATTCCCACAACCCGCTTCTAGCAGCCATCCATATAGCGTGGTGGCATCCATCATGCATTGCTAATGTAGGAGGCATCAGTCTCGGTTTGATTTCTTGCCCAATGTCTGATAAATCCATTCCACCTCGACGCAGGGCATGCATTGTTTGGTAGAAGATCTTCGTTATTAGGGTAGGTAAACTGGCTACAGCATCAAGTAGAACTCGCTGTCACTTGAGAAGAAATTAAAAATGTCCCTCAGTGTCCCCCCGACGCCCCTTGGCTATTTTATGACCTTCTTCAGAACAGCATAATATTGTTCCTCGGCTTGTTCTTCTCTAACGCCTTCGCATTCATCAAAGCTGCCGCTGCTCCCCCCGCGCATCCATCGTTTCTGAACGTCCTTCTGAACCCATCAAAATACGTCACAGCGACGACATTTCGCAACGACCAATACTCTCCCTTATTGTGCTTTGCAAAAATTCCGCCCCCACCTTCAACCGTCCTAGGCATACCTTTATATAAGATTTTAGTAATCTATGTACCACAGGAGGCTGATTGTTAGCTAGATTCTATTGGACTGTTGGTTCTGGGCCTAATAGGCGTTAACATAGGGCACTGTGCTATTAAAATAGGGGTACCAAAGTAATGTAGCTAACAAGGAATCTCCTATAGTATACAGATTGCTGAATGTCTATAGAAAGGTATACCTAGAACCACAAAAGGTGGGGGCAGAACTTTGCAAAGCACCGATAAACACGCTCACTCTAAACATCTCTAATTGCCTAGCTCGATTACTGGCCTGAACTGGTTTCCGCTTTGCCATACCTGAAGCGCGCGATGACAGGCGGCGCTGCAAGAGAGGCCAACTCGAGACACGCCAGGACATCGTGAAGCGATCACACGTACTACCCTTCACCATACCTTAAAAAAACAGTGCTTGCAATCCTCTGCTTCCATCTCTACTATCGTCTCCGGTCTTCCCCTGTCTTCACTTCTCACAGTGAACCTAGCCCGTGGACAACACGGCAACCTTCCGTTCTCAAAGAAGCCTGCTCGAGTGCTCGAGTAACGCTCACATATCATGAGGGGCCGTGGACAAGGCTGGCTTCATCGCGGTTGAAGAGTGGTAGGGCGGTGGTGGAGCGGTATCTGATAGTGTAGACGCATGCGTTTGCCGAACATGATACGATATGTGAGCTGTGAGACGTGAGGCTTCGTTGCCCTGAGATGCTAGGTTACTAAGGGTTGATTAAAGGCCCGCGCTGAGTAGACGGGCGTATCCTCGTAGTTAAGTTTGATGGTTCCGTTGGGTGGCTAGGAGACGGAAACTGTGAGACTGGAACTGTTGCATAGTCCCGCGCGCGGTCCATGATAATCGTCCATTCGGAGGTCCAAAGACGTCTACGTACTTATTGCACTATTGTGGTATTACGTGGATTCTGAATGATAAACCTTTTGAGTTGGTTCGCGTGCATAGGCCAAGTGCATGTGGCCCTAAGTAAAGTCGGTAGAACGTACCAGAATTCCGCACTCAATTGAACCCAGTAAGCAGAGTAGGCTTCCGTGCGCTTGCTTGATTATAGCTGCTTGTATGGCTCGCGTTGTCTTTGGTCATGCGACGACCCCGGCAAGTCGGCTGTGCGCTTCTGGCATTCACCGGTGGGGCGCTTGCCTGTTGAATCAATAGTTATTTAACACAACCTGCTGTTGACAAGAGTTCTGTAATATTGGAGCAACAAGGATACTAGACATTTATCTTTAAAGTACTGAATATCAAATACATCCTACCCGTACAACTTAGACGATTGTCATAAACATTCGAGATTTCCGTCACGCTCCAGTACAAGCATCTTGGTTCGGGCAAATTATTTAAAGAGGCTTCCCCGCAACAGCTGTCTTATCACAGCTGTCGATTTCGCTTCTCTTGAGCACGGCGCTCTGTACAACCTGCCATACCGGATTGCCAATAATGTACTTCTCCTTTAGCGTATTCGGCATATATGCGCCATGTTCAACGAGACAAAGCGCGACAACTGCCAGCTTCTTCATGCAGCTCGGACTATTCTTCTTTAGCCACGCATCAATTAGTAATCTGTGTAGCGGTGTTTCCCCAGCGCGATCTGCTTGATTCGGATTTGCACCGAATTGGAAGAGCAGCTCTATGATTGCAAGCGCATCTGTTGCGGAGCCAGTAACCGCCAGTCGTACGCAGCGATGCAACGCCGTCAGATTACTGTCCGGTGGCGAGTAAGATACCATTGCGCCGTTGACGATGAGCAGCTTTGCGACGTCGAGGTTGCCGAAGTGGATGGCGATCATGAGTGCGGATTGTCCGTTCCAGCCTTTGAGAGCGTTGACATCAGCGCCGAAGTCAAGACAGAGCCGCGCGATCTCGAGGTGTTTCGGGGTGTCTACCGAAGGTGGCGATATGGCCAGCTTGTAGATCAGATAAGGCCAATGTTGGTTCACGTCTTCTCCATTGGTGAGACGCAGTCTGATCTCGGCTATGTCTTGGTGGTGGATGGCTTCTTCGAGGTTGGCATGGCGGAAGATGGGGTGCGTGCGGACTGCACGACGTCGGAGAGAAGATTCGATCGGGCTAGCTGGATGTCTTATTGTAGCCGTAGCGAGCTCATCATCGGGATTAAGACGGTCTGAACGTAGTAGCTTCTCTTGTTCCTTGGCGGACAATCGACGTACAAGTGTCGGGCGTCGACCCAAACGCGAGTTGTACGTTCGCACTGAGACGGAGCAGTAGATGAAAAATAGTACCACGAACCAGATGGCCCAATGCGACACTCTTGGCAAAACAATGTGTGAATGTTCATCATGCGGTCTAGAATCCGATCCATTTTGCTCAAATCGATGGTACAGCACAGTCCTCCTCTTGTCCAGTATGCCAGCCTTCACATAAGGAGGAGGCGGTAGCTGTACCTTCAGAGCCTTCAGGCATGCTTGGGTTTGTTTTCCAGCAGCCAATTCTTCCCGACACTCCTCAATATAGTCTTTCAAAGCCGTCCATTCTGCTAGCTGCAGCGACTTTTCTGACATCGTTTGTGACGTGAAAGTAGGCGACAACGCGGCTATCGTGAATATCACACTAACAAGTGCAATTGCCCATCCTAGATTGGCCGACGTTTTCTCTGATAGCGAAAGGGATGAGCGAAGGGACTGCCATGATAGGCTCGGTCGTAAAGACGGCTTGGACGAAATGTCAGTACAACCGACTGCCACAGGACTTAGCTGTTCTGAACTGGATATGGGCTGCGTTAACGGTGATTGATTAGAGGCATCAGTCGTGTTCACAGGCACTGTGGTACTCATCGTGATTTGGCCGGAATCTGTCGCAGTAGGAAAGTGAGGGGCATTTCACGGTCTTAGATTTACGAGCTGGGGCCGCGAAGGCAGCAACGCAAGGCATGTCGATCACTTTGAGGCGGGGATCATGTAGAGGGCCACGGTTGATGTCCCGTTGTTGGATGTGTGGCTGAGGGCTTAGCTACGTCATAGTCCTTCGATTCACCGCCAGAGCCGATCAGGATACTAGTACTCTAAAATTCCTCACTGCACTCACTTCCTACACGGTATTACCACTTACTGACACCAGCACGTGGCCAAAAGAGAACCTAGCAGAAGACCTATTTCCTCGCCGCTAGGAGATAAGAGAGAATCCTAGCTGTAACTACGCCGGCACTGTTTTCGTTAAACAGTATATACCGAACTCCCGTGTCTCCCAAATTTTCTCGGTTGCTTAGAATTGACGCTGCCAGATTATTACGCGATTGGAAGAGAGCTACCTACCCTCCTGAAGGCGATGACGGAGAACCGCCGTTGTGAGCGTGTATCATGATTGACAGAAAGTGCGTCGAAAGTCTAAAAGACAGATTTGCGCGACCAGAGGATGAACTCGCTGATCATGGATTGACCTGGGTGTGGAAGATGCCTAGAAAGCCTGGCTAACCTGCTGTGAGGGACGGCATTGCCCACCGGGGTCCTTGAGTTTGGCGGTGCCTCAACGGAAGAGGTTGGGATGCTATCTGTGATGAATTGGGTGCCGATATTGTTGCAACACCGTGACCATTGATACTGGCACAATGACTGAAGATATAACTTGGACTTCCTGGCAGTAGCACCTCTTCCGTGTGATCATCGATGGGACTATATTATATTACAAATCCAGGTGCTTATTGTAGAGTAAGTCACCCTGGGGTATATCATCCTTAGTATTATCAGTAACCTTCATTCTAGCAGCGTCTAGTAGTTCTGCATTTACGGTTGGGAGGCCTCGTCTTATTTGGATTTTCATCCGGGCCAGGATGCGCTTCCAGCCGTCTTCGTCGCCACAAGTGCATTCATACACCACGAAGCCCTATTGTTCCTAAGGATAAATCGGAGATATGCTATAACGTCTTTACGATTCCTTCGCATCATGGTGAGCGAATTATCGGACACTGTAATTGACGCGGTAATTACTAAATGAATTTGAACCAGGCACTTACAAATTGGGATTATTCGATATTGATCTTTCGAGCATTAGAAATAACGACGCCTATCCGCGTGGAGCGAGGACACAGTAAGACTAAAAAAGCGGGCTCCAGTACGCCACAGGAACCTAATATACCCCCCCGTGCTAGCATGCAGCCTGGCGGCGTAGCAAATTTCGCCGTAAGCTGATCGTAAGCAGACAGATCCCGCCACCATAACACTCCGACATTCGCGCAGTGAAGAGAGACATATCGTTTACTTCACCATTCCCGCACCCACAATCATATACGCACACAATATCGAGGCTGCTTGCTTTATTTGCATGCTCACAGATCATCTCTTATATCACCGATCGTAACAGCTGACGCTTCCAACCCCGCACTCGGCCTTGCATCGATATAAAGCCGGTTAGTCCCATCATCACGATAAGACTAGATTCCCAAGTGAAGTCGCAAGATAATGAGACTTCTGTTCCGCTCAGGCCCTGTTACCGCACAAGAATGCCATTGCCGGACGAAGCCCTTAGTATCCAAGGTGGCTGCAACTGCGGCGCCGTTCGTTATCGTATCTCCATCCCATGCGTATCAGATCGACCACTACATCCGATGGCTTCACCGGATCAGCCCGTGCCGTTGCCATTCCTCGTGTTGGACCACTGTAACGACTGTCGGCGCGCGACCGGTTCTCTGTTACCGGCGTGGCTATGCGCGCCTGTAGAAATGGTATCTGTGTCACTTATACAAGCCAGCACAGCAACACTTGGAGGAAATTCAGCTGAAGGGAAGGATCAGCCAGAGGAGCATCGCACTTCTTTCCTGCCAGCATCGGATGTTTTCACCCCCAAGTCGACTTACAAAGGCCATTTCCTAAGGTGGTACGAATCATCACATGAGCGTTGGCGCTGGTTCTGCTCCCGGTGTGGCACAAATCTTGCCTACACAGCCGTGTATCCTGCTGAATTCCCATCCGAATTCCCCAATATGCTAGACATTACATTGGGCTCAGTCGAACGACGCTACCTTGAGACCGAGGCGCTGGTGCCTGAACGCCACTTATGGTGGGACTGCGGCATCAACTGGATACGCGATCTCGCAACCAAAGGCTACGGCGATCTGCCAATTCATCCCAATTATCACATCGCAGAGACAGTGACTTTGGAAAAGGGCACATCCGACGTCTAGGGCATGTTCTCGCTCGGAGGGTCTAGCATGATTACAGCTCTTTGACAAAGTCTTTCGCACACTTTGAGCCTGTAATATCCATACTTTTTAGTCAACAACTGTTCTTACTCGCTATTAAAAAGCACTATACACATATAGAAAGCTTCAGCCGTATTAGGGATATGTTAAAGAACCAACGGAACATAGGTTCATCACAAATTCTCACAGGGGTAGTACATAGGAATGAAGCCATCTCGTGGTTGAGACTCACATCTAGACAGAGACAGACTGCTACATAGATCCAACTTCGAAATCCTCCGTCTGTGAATCTTGCCTATGTGTCCTCATTAATCAACCCCTCCCCATGTATCAAATATTCGCAATCTGGTCATCTTAAAGCACCTCTCTCAAGCATATGCAATGTGGACTGAGACGCACCACACTAAAATCGCATGCGATCCAAGACTACCGCGAGGTCATGCTATCGAAGCTCCGCCATTGTATGTCATTCATCGGTGATTGTCATCACAGTCACGTATCAGCGCTGGGCATGAGCCAGTGGAAAGAACTTTAAATATTAATTGGAGACTAGAGGGCTGCACGCTGCATGGCCTAGGTTCGGAAGATTGGGAAGCACGGTCCTTCGAGCTTTATTAGTCTTCCGGTATGTACAGCTCTTCTTCGGGTAAGGGCCAGTAGCTCCCTTCCTGTTCGTTCGTTTTCGGCGGCCAGTACCCATACGACCTCACTGCCCTACAGCGCTTCTCCCTTTGCGCTCTGTCAGTTTTCGAACATGTGACTTCAGCTTTTCTGTTTTCTATCCAAGGTGGAAAATAGAGGGGACCGTCATACGGTGGTGTCCAGTCACCGAGCCGAAATGTTACATCCTGAAGCTGACATCCGATATTGGCCTCCTCGATGAGCTGGAAAAGATTCTCTGCTTCATTTTCATTGAGCAGGGGCTTTTGAAATTGATCTCCACCGGTGCAGTAGTTCTTGCCGTGCTCCTCTTGGTACTTCCACATGGCATGGTCCTCAGGCTTTCCCCGTCGGCAGTCTGACTGAAGCTCTAAGTAGATCTCCAACGAGCGAAGCTTTGACAGTGAGGCTATGGCTTGGAAAAACTCAAGTGGCCAAGTGCCATTGCGCGGTATGTCAATGGTCAGATGCTCAAGATTTTGTGCCATCTCCTGAATATGGGACATATTGAAGTGATTGCAAAACGAAGGACAGATTTTCTCGTCGCATCTGAATTCTAGTTTTTCTAGTGTGGACCCTTGTCGCTCGAGAACATTGGCAAAATCGCCATGCCTCGATGGTCCAATCCAGGTAAGGTGGGTGAGCGTGTTGTTCGGCAGCGCCTCGATGAAAGACATATCCGTGGACCATAATCTGCGTAGTGAAGTAAGACGGGGCGGTAGTTTCTCGACAATGTCATCCTCATGTCTTTGACGCTTTATAGCGAGCTCTTCGATCCCAGACCAGTCCATCGCATCCAACCACAGGTCCAAATTGGTCCTTGGCTGTTCTGATGGCGGCAGGCCATAGAGTTGGACCTGAAGCCATGGCTTCCAATGCCCCTTTTTTAACCAGTCGAGTAAGCGAAGAGTCCATAACATAAGTTCACTTTTGCTTCCAAGTGACATTTGCCATGGTGCTCTTTCGAGACTACTGAAGTTATATCCATCGAGCCTCAGCTTCTTCAGCCTTGGATAAGTGTCTCCACCGTTGTAATTGAAAGGGAAGTTCCAGCGGTCAGGGGAAATGGTGCAACCAAGTAGCGCGACTCTCACGTCAAGCGACGTGATGTTGGGACAGTGTATTAGCGCATCATGTACTGCGACCATAGTGCCAAACTCGGACCCGTGGTTCGGTATCGTGACTTTGATCTCAGCCGGACATGCGCCCTTGGTCCATGTGCGGGCCTTGGCTGAGATTGAATTAACAGCAATCAGAACCGAAATGACGTGAAAAGTGCGCATGACTAAACACAAGGTGCGAAGATTATGCAAAGATTGAAGCATGAAATAGATAATGTGTGTTTGTAATTCTGTGGGGTCGAGGCAAGGAAGTTGAGGCGCCTTGTCCGTCCTCCTGGCGTGACAGAGCAAGCCAAGCAGGATATAAATAGATGTCAGATTGCCTGATCAAGATTTGCGTGAATTTTTATTTGTTGGCCATCTATTGGTGCTGGAAAGTTGAGGACAGGTAAGCCTCGGCTGGGCTACCCCACACGACCTGTACCTGTGGTAGTAATTACTTTGACGTATGTCCTTCGTCTTCATTCCAATGTTCTGTTATCTGCGAAAACAAAAAAGATCTTAGAGACAATACAATACAGAGCGCACAGACGAAATCCTTATCACCTTCTCCTCTGCATAGAGCCAAATACCGTAGGCTGGAAAGATGGGTCAACTAAGATAGCTCCTTAGAGTTCAGAGGAGGTATAGTTTCACGAGCAGAACCTAGCCATACCCGAACCATGCAATCTCCGAGCCTGGGCTGACTTTATGTTATGGGCTAAACAGATGCGGCTCAAAGATAGTGTGCGGAGATAGAGTGCGGGACTCGTCTGCGAACAGTCAGCATTTGAATAGAGACAAAAGGAAGGGCAACCCACCTTGCAACCGTCGTGGTCCGTCCACATGCTACCGTCATCAAACGAGCATCTGGGTCGCCTGGTTAACCCTACATCCATTTTCGTAAAGGGCATTTCCGTACCGTTCCCATCCCACGTCAGGGTTATAGTTGTCTTCTCATTTGGTGTCCCCATTGGGCTCTGATTCATCGCGAGCCTCGTATCCCCTAGTAATGTTTCCCTTCGTGGCAGTGTGGGAAAGGAACACGTGTTGAGAAAGTCTGGAATAGATGTTGGAATACTTGTATGACGACCGCCAGGGCCAGAGTCATGTAACAACCTGGGTATGCTGCCTGAGATGTTGACGAGCTGTAGGTGGAATTACACGAATGACCGGTGAATCCTACCTAATTCTGTTCGATATGCGAATGGTGCGTTCAACAAGGTGGTCCGAAGATGTCTTTGTTCCGTGTCCTACTTTAGTCTCATTCGAGTAGATTGGGTACACATCAAAGATGGAGCTGCGAGAGGACCACTTTAGAGATGATCCTGTGAACGCAAGAGCCGATTTTCATGGCAGATCGGGCCAGGCCACACCAAAGGTGGCAAATAGAAAGCCGAGAAGAAATTGTGCGACAAAAATCAATATTGTTTTATTGAAGGTTGAAAAGAGAGCATAATGTACACTTCCCAGCAGTTGTCTGATAGGGCGTGTGAGGCACATAGTTGAGAAGGAAGTATACATTTTGCGTGGCCTTTCCCATTGCGTTTCGTGTTAAGATCAACAATGCATCGCGTTGTATGAATCACAATGATGTAGTTCGCATGATCTCTTAGTTTATAGCAAGCTTGTTGGCCACATACGTTGTGAGTTGATCCACTGTCTGAGGCAATTTCAACCGTCGATCTTACGGCACAGCTAACAGATAATGGGTCAAGTCCATCAGAAAATACCCAGTGCTAATCGTATACAAGGAGACTGTTCATGAAGCGATTGTTCTGGTGGTGCTCATAAGCTGAGGTTTGCTTATCGGTTAGATCTTTTCCTCGAAGATCAGGGTAGACAACGTGAACCTATGGCCACTCAGAGCAGTTGTTACATACGTCAGAGGCGACGAAGTCTCGATACGCCGTATACTGGGGCACAGTGTTACGATTCTTGATACCGGACTTTTGCTGACGTTGACGCCGCCCTCACCTACACAACTCAGTACACATGCAACCAAACACCTATAAACCATCATACACCCTTTCTACATGATACGCAACAGCAGAACTAGACCGAACCAATTCATTGCTTACAGTTGCTGTCACCCACACCGACATTCCCGCGATGTGCGACATGGGCCTCCCCGGCTGAGCAGATGACCCTTTCTAGCAACTCTTGATGCGAAATGTCCCCTACTCAGTTTCTTTCAACCTCTTCGTTACCATCCACACAAGCTGCGTCGGCAACTGTGGAACAAAATATCAAGGTCGTAGAGAAAATAATAGGGCGACGCCCCTTGCTCCCCTTCTCACAATATCATTGCTTATGATGGACGTAGTATGAAAACGGTCCCATGGACCGGCCTCCTCTGTCCGCAGCCGGACGAGGAGCTATTGGGGAAGACAAGGGCTTATATGAGGCATATCAAGAAGCCCGAGCTTCCCGGCATGGATGAACGTTTGGTTACTAATTTTGCGAGCAGCTATCTAAGTCGACCATGGAATTTGGACATATCTTACAAGACATTTTTTATCTTTACGGACTGTGTGAGCGGTGAAGAGTGAGCGGATAAAACTCAGACGGAAGAGGGACTTTTAAAGACGTCATATGCTAAGGACGTGGGTTAGGCGTGTGGCTCACGGAACATTACAGTCTCGTAGCTGGCGATCGTGCGTGGTTGCGCGCTCGCCATCTAAGAGATAATCTGAGAAGTGTGGATCTGAGGTGTTCAAGGAAATTGAGATCGATTTCAAGGCGATGGGAAGGATATAGATGCGATTTTTGTGATGCTTGAGCCAATCCACAAACTGATCGACGCTCTCATGATGGAGATTGAATGACTCTGGAGCCAGAGAAAAGAAGGAAGGTGACCTATTTCTTCCCACCGCCAGCTTTCCACGCCTTGCTCCTTGATTTGCGCCCATTTGGTCCTTTCTTCGTCTTCCCACCTAGCTTCAACACGCTAGTACCTTGCTGACTACTCGCCCTATGGCCCTCAAACACGAATGACTCTGCAGTCTTAAATTTCGCAGCCTTGCTCAGCATTGCGCCAGCTCGTCCACGCTGTGACTTCTCCTCTGCGGAAATCTTGACGTTATACGCACCCTTCGGTTTTGCCTCGTCGGCTTTTGAGGGCCCAGGACCCGCAGGCTTCCTCTCTTTCTTCTTCTTCTCCGCCCTTGCCCTCGAGACACGTAACTTTCGGGGCAATAGGGGAGGGTACTTTTGGTCATTAAATTGCAGCGCTGCCTCCACCGCGTTTTCATCCTCAAATTGCACGTAAGCGAAGCCCTTGCTGACGCGGGTTTTGGCGTCGCGGGGTACGCGCACGCTCTCCACTTTGCCAGCTTTCGAGAATTGTGTCCAGAGGCCTTCTTCGACATCACCCGGGGGCTTGTTTTTTCTCTTCTTCTCTGTATCGCCTTCGGTAGGCAGTTTGCTCTCATCGTCGACGAAGCCTAAATTGCCTACAAAGACGCAGCGGCGGTGGTCGACCTTGGCGGGATGTGCGATGGAGTCTACGCGCAGATGTCGACCGAGTATGACAGTGCCATTGAGGCGTTTTGCGGCTTCTCGTGCGGCGGTTTTGGTCGTATACACAACGTATGCATTTGTGGACTTGGTGGTAGAATCCATGATTTCCTTCTTCGCGAACGCAGCTCGCTTCGGCAACGCGCCAACAAATGCGGTGGATCGAAAGCGGATGGATTCCACCTTGTGAGGCGGCTTATTGTCCGCTAGGTCTGCTATGAACGACGAGAGATGCTGCTTCAGTTGCTTCTCTGCTGATTTCGAAGTAATGGCCTCGCTGGAGACGTTCCCAAGGAAGACAGTACGAGCAGCCTTCTCAACCTCGTCGCTGTTGCCGTCCGCTCCGGCCAATGTCTCGTGCTTGGGTATCGTGAGCGGCTCTTCGTCGGACTCTGCCGCTACACCGCCCTCTTCATCTTCAACGTCTGCAGTCTTGGTTTTGCGCTTCTTCTTGCGCTCCTCTTCTTCCTTAGCCTCCTCTCGCGCGATTTTCTGCATGTATACATCCTCCACATCCTCGTCTTTGGCGCCCCGCTTTCGTTTCTTGTTCGACCGCTCTTGCGCGCCATTCACGGCCGATTCCTGTATTTGAGATAGCACAGCCTCGTTCTCAGAGTCATTCTCTCCCTCATCTGAAGATGCGTTAGCTGCCTCATCGGAGTCGTTCGAGGCTGCGTCCGCATCATCATCAGCATCGTCGATGTCTTCGCTGATGGAAGATAAAGTAGCGTCGTTATCGTCTTCCTCTTCGCTATGCTCCTCGGCCGTGTGCTGTTTGACGAGCTCCTGGTATCGCGACTTTGGTGGGAGTTTGACTGGTCCCAACTACGCAATATGTTAGTATGCCTCGACAGTGTAGGTAAGCCCTGCGGAACTTGCCGCGGGCGCGAAGACGCACACTGCTTGCGAATAGCGATGTAAGGCTTGGGTCAAACGACTTTTGGTCGGCGGCAGCAAGCGCGCCGCTGCTCTTCTTCGGTCCGCCCATGTTTCCTGAGTTGTGCTGGCAAATGGCGGTTTGTTTGCTGGCCAAAGAGCAAGCACAGCAAAAGTTTCGGTTAGCGCACGGTGCCATCCCATCCCCGCTAGTGCACTGGCACGTGATCAAGTACCGCCCGGGCGCGTGAATGGCCTGTGACTTGAGTGAGCGAGCGACAGGCCCGTTTCCACCGTTGCTCCGCCAGCTCGCAGTTGTTTCTTTCCCACGCCCTCTGACGCTGCAAAGCGATCGCCGCTTGCGCCAGCACTGGCCCACGTCTCTGAGAGCCCTACGGAGGCTGCTTTGCCCTGAATTGTCCCTGCCCGCACCTCGGCACCCGCGTCATTCCCAGCTGCAGAAGCCTTTTCGCTCGCCCACTGCGACCACCGCTATCCGCTCTCTCCAGCGAGCTTCTTGCGTCTGCGAATTCTTGTATCCGCTTCAGAACACATACACCATATTGGAGCAGAGGTAACGCAGCTTCCCGCTGGGCGCACCATGAGCGCGCACCAGCGAGCGAGGAGCAGCGCTTCCAAAACGGCTCCGGAACCCAGCACTGACGTCGCTGAAGCACAAGGTATGTCCCCCAGTCCTTAGCGGCAGGCTACATGCTGTTATCTGTCGGTCGGCTTGAGGCCTCGTCGAGCTCCCTGGCTGTTGTGCGAGCTATGGCGAAGCCGAATGCACTGCGCGAGAGCGCCTAAAAGCAGAACATGTCATGCCCGCTATATTCTCCTTAATACACTTCACCAGGATGTACAGCTGACCGAATCGTGTTACCTCGCGCAGAAACGATTCCTACCTCCAACAGCAGTCTTCGCGACCCCTCCAGTAAATCTCCCTCTCATCTCCCCGCGCAACCGCAACCCGCGCTGGACACAACTGAACGCGAGATCGATGCTGCAGCGATGCTGTCCACACTAGCCGCACCGGGGTTTGGGTCTTCGGAGCCTCAAGCGGCAGACTCGAGCAACGTCCCGTATGACAACCACGGCGATGATCGGTCTAGCAGCTTGAGCGAGCTTGGGGACGCTTCTGACGACCAGGATGAGCCTTCGCCGCGACCGGCTGCAGCTTTGGACATTGGAGAGAATGACTCGGAAGCAGAAACGGAGCGCTTGGACAACACGCCCCAGAAGACAACGCGCACAGCCGCGGATTCCGATTTCACGTACCAAAAATCACCGAGTAAGCTCGTGCATTCGAAAACGATCGATCAAAACGAAAACGCACCCTTTGACGAGACCGGTGATACGAGGCTTGGCAAACCAATCGACGGCAATGCCGCTCTCCATGCACTGTCTCTCGCAGCTTCATCGGAAGCAGCCAGCTTCACAGATGGTATGGGGAAGAAAAGAAAACGTTCGAGCGAAGAGGCCAGCACCCCAGAGGAGCAGGTCGACGAGCCTGCTAGAAAGCGAAGCGGAACTGCCAAAGACTCCGTTCAGCATGAGAGCCAAAGTGACGTAGTCGACAGCTCGGAGCAAGTAGATGCGGAGGAAGAGTTGGAAACTGCCGAAGAGCGCATCTCGCAACTGGCGCAAGAAGAAATCGAGCTTGAAGAACGCCAAGCCGATATTGCAGCGGAGGCCGTCACAGAACTAGCCACAGTCGCGAAACACACAAAACCACGGAAAGGAGGCAGGAGAGGAAAGCGAAAGCCAGAGGACATATCGCATACTCAAGACGCTTTAGCGAGCATCGAGGGTCCAGAAGGCGAAGGAGATGGTGACGACGAGGAAGACGACAGTGGAGTCGTGGATGAAGAGGGTAGATGGCTCCACCGCACCAGTTTAAAACACCGACTAACGTACGTCCAGTCGCCAAGAAGAAGCATGCGATCGAAGAGCTCGGCAGAATCCAGAAAAAATTCAAGATATTCCGCGAAAAGTGAGCGTCCTTGTACACTGATCAGCAATAATTTGCTCACTGCGACCAGGTTATGCGATGAACAAATAGCCCAATGCGAACTGGAGCTGGAGATGCTAAAGCAGCCTAATTGCGAGCACCCTGAATACATATCTATGATAAAGGCTGTTGACGACCGGCGAGCTGATAAGATCGCATACGAAAGACAACTGTTGCAATATAAGCAGAAGAACCTCGAGATCATAACGACGGCAGAACGACATCAACTGCATAGTCAATACTTCCAAACTGTCCGAGACAAGCGCGAGGACATACTTTCTCTATGCAACCAGAAAATTTACGAGCTGCAGCGAGGACGTCGACAGCTGGGAGTCGATGAAGTCGAATACACGATGAAGTTGCCCGAGAAGCGATCGGATCAAATCCGACATCAGACTGCTTACAACTTGGAAGTTTCTATCCTCTCTGGCATTGCCAAGTATGTCGGTTTCCCCGCCGCACCAGAGATCAGACCCGCACGAGCATCTGAGATTGAAGATGATTTGCGAGCCATGAAGGTAAGTCAATCAGTCGGTTACCACATACTCGTTAGCTGACAATCTCTCAGATAGTTACTCGCCCCACGGCAGTACCTGCAGTGGCCTCAGCTCCCGCATATGTGCGCCCAAGTTACGGGAGAACTTCGACCGCTGATGAGGCAGCCGCGGAAGAACAATTCATCGAACGGACGCCATGGGCGAACCCACAGCATCCAGCACATCAACAGTCGCATCAACAATCACACTACGGAGTTGCTTCTGGTGCACCAAGAATGTCCAGCTATCACACCCCTGTAGGCCAAAGACGGACGGAAGCACCAAATGGGTCAGCCTCCACGATCGAAGCACACTCAAACCCGCCCTCAAGCGGCCTCCAGAACAACCATGGCCGCATCGGACAGTCAGAGTCCCCTGTATTACAAATGAAACGACATCCCGGAGAGCATCAAATGTACGCAGAAACACCAGGATCGATACCTCGTAACATAGTCGGCTTGGGACGGGAACCTTACGGCATGTCAAGTCCTGCTGGACCGCACATGGACGCGCCGCCAGACGATCAACTATCGCGGTGGGGTGGCATGCGCCCCGGAGCATCAATACCAGGGCGGCCAGATTCAGCGAGAGTCCCGCTGACCCAGAGAAGTGCTCTTGGAGCAGTCAGCGTAGGAAGCGGAAACGGGCTCTTTGGTCGTTGACCCAGAATATTTTTAATGTGTGTTGTACGACTGGCGTTGATTTCATCGGCTTGAGCTTTGGGCCAGCAGTATCCTCATCCTCATACTATCTCTTTCTGGCGTTCTCGCAGGCGGCAAATCACCCACTACTGCATATACCCTGGCGGGATCGGGTGTCGGCTTTTTCTTTGTTCACTGGTATGTACGACAGGTTTCGGTTTCGGGTTAGCGCTGCAGCTTGCACAGGTGAAGTGACACCTCTGAGCAACTATTGTTCAGCAATGATGTTGTACAAATGCAATACTGATACGAAGACATGGATGTGATCTAACACGAGTGGAAAGTCATGTGTACTGGCTTCGGTGCGTTGGATGAATTGAAGAAAGTGCTGTTTACACGTTCTTACTTGAAACGGTCAGCATGACCTGGAGCGCGCTAGTGCACGTGATCTTGGGGAATCCCGGGGAAACGCTACGATGTCCTTTGGTATCTGCATCTATCGTACATTGTTCCTATACATAATATTTTTTCTTGGTTTCACGGAGTCCCCTCCGCGACCCACGTCGGCTGAAATGCTCAACGAACCATGTAAACAAGGGATGTCACGAAGCGAGCACGCCTCGTGTTGCTGTTCCCTTCTCCGCCTGTTACAGCCATGTTCGCATTTCCACTGCGATTACAAAGCCGACGAGTACGCCCCTACAAATTTCTGTTCTTGGCTGTATGATTAATGCTCGCAGCAAAAGCAGCTAGACGTTGGAAACCCTCGATTCCGAAGCGAGGCTTGGCATGAGAGGCCAGCAGATTCTCTTCATGTTCGCACTGGTAACTGAAGCGCTTGCAGTTGCATAGGTCGGTTGGCTCATCTAGATACCGTATCGTCTTAAGTGTTGTGCTTTATTTGCTATTAGAACCTTGTCTGACCGATTGTGCGCCGACTAGCTTGTAGCTCACCTCGTTCTTGTGGTATATCGGTGCTTTTCAAAATAATCCACCTGCTATGGCGCTAGAATTAGAGGCTCAACTAATAGTAACTATGAGGAGTAAAGTACTGGCTTATCTACTATAGTACGCTTATTTTAATAGTTTAACACCCTATTCTAGCCTCTACCAGGCCTAAAATTCTAAATTTAACAAGATCTGGCTAATACTTTACTCCTTATAGTTACTGTTAGTTGAACCTCTAATTCCAGCGCCGTGGTAGGTGGCATATTTTTTTTGGAAAATGATAATATGCCCATTACATCTAAGCCACTTTATGCCCTGCAACGTTTCGACCTCGTCTAATCGAGGATGCTGTGGACTGCCGAACAATACAATATTTCAAGACAATGACTCAGCGCTACGATCGATATAAAGTTGATTTACGGTAAATTCCTCCAGCTTTGGAGCGTTGCATCCGAGAACTGTCCTGAGGCAATCATCCTCATTTACCTCGTTCTGTGATCCGCAGTCGCAGGACGATAAATGCAGGAGACTTCTTCTGGGGAGACTTTTTCCGAGCTGTCGTTTGGAACTGGGGGTATACTTACGCTGCTCTTCGTCCTTCAGCATCGCCTAAGTTCGGATTGGCCATCCCTTGAAATAATCCTGCAACCAGAGAACGTAAATGTGGACGTCATACGTATCTCTTGGGCTAGCATTTGGTAACGGTACTGCCGAAATAGCCATGCAGGCATTAGCTGCATTCTCACTTTGCGGGAACCTGATGATCATTATGACTTTGGGTCAATATTGCTAAGGGAGATATAATCCGACGAGCCTTTAGCTAACCACCTCAAAAACCACGCCAACTGCAAACTTCCTCGCTAGAGTTACCGAGAAGAACGCAGAATAGAACCTATTGATGGTGAAGAGAATTTGAATAGTCACCAATAGCTGCCCCCAATATGCATTGGGTCTCTTCCGTCTTCCTGATCGCGGCAGCATCATGGTCGAAGACGAACTCGCACAAATTCGTGGTCTCGTTGTGCGCCTACACCCCGAGCTCTACGACAGGCTTCAATACACCAAGAACAGACTTCTTGTCGCGGAAATCTCCACTGTGTGGTCCGACAGCGCTACAGCGTCCCGGTAAATTATCCTCTTCTAGTCTTTCCCGATCCTTTGTAATGCTAACGAAGTACAAGTTTGTGCAATGATTTTTTCTCTGGTGACGGCCTTCCTGACTCCGCCCTATTATCGGGCGCGAGCGACCTCTGTTATGCTAGTCGGTCTAGTGACCACCATCGCTCTCTTTCATGTTTAATGGAGGATCTTTTGATGACGGGAACTCCGATTTGTAACGAGACAGCGTTGTCAGTAGTAACACGGACACCATATTGCGAGAAGGGCGAGGAGGTAGTGGGGGTAGGGATGAAGTACGAGATTATCGAACATGTTTGGAGTGCCAACAACGAGACCGGGAGTATCAGGATGGTGCAAAGGCGTGACGATGAGGCCACATATTGATGGTAAGGTAAAGTGGCTTTTCTCTATTTATGATCACTCAAGCTGTCAAACTAGACTACAAGTCATTGCATCGAAGATTTTAGTCTCGAAAAGAACTCAAGAGGATATACACCAACTTGGAGGCCGACTATAATTGACTACAGTGCTGGTAACATCAAATCACTCAAAAGTTCGAAAATCAGGCGAAGGTTTGTACCCAGTCCGTCCACCTGCCAAGCTGCCGCGAATTATGTGCAGACCTCGTACACAGGATCACACGGCCACTTTTGGCCTACCTCTGGCAATGTTTGTGCACTAGGCGCCGTACCGTGCTCTCTTAACTCCCAGATCCAGCGTCTCCCTTCAATCTCCTTGACCACAAAGTATCCAGCATTTGGATAGTTATTTGCCACCGTCTGGTTTCTGAGCACGCCGCCGTGGAAACCCTGGGTAGTCACCACTCCACCCCTACCCTGAGGGTCCCAGGTGTCCGGCGACGCAACGTAGTAATCACGCCATTGTTGCCACCCTGTTCCGTAGCTCTTGCCGATGGCACTACTAAAGCCTTTGTAGGTTTGCAAGAAGCCGTCGTAATTGTATCTGGTGTTGTTGAAGCCGAATCGTCCGTCGGGGTGGAATGCATTGGTGTAACCTGCTACCCAGTCTGTGTCGTCGGCGGTTTCTGTTCGGGGATAAGGATAGAATGCTATGGAGCACTATTAGCTACTGAGAGCGGAGCAATTCAACAAAGTCTGTGACAATTACCTAGTACCTGACATTCGATCCAGGCCGCAAGCTGCACCTGGCGTGACTCCGTCGCATTATCGGCTTGCTCACAAGCTGTGTCGGGATTGATGTGGAGGCGAGCAGCTGCAGCATTTTCTGGAAACGGTGAAGGGGCAACACCAGGCCGGTATGGAGTATCGGCGGATACAACCGCAAGGCCACTGGCGGCGACTAAGCAATCTATTAGCATGTCCACCTCGCGTCGTACTTCTTGACTGCTTGGCTCCTTACTGAGAGTGATGAACCAAAGCATCGTAGTGAAGGAAATTTGTAACGGATCGGCCGATGAATAGCACTGCGCGAGAAGTCGAAGATTTCACCTGCTATCAATTTATACAATCCAACGGCTGCCATACCGTGCGAGAGCACAATAGTCGGAAATTAGTCTCGTTGGTTCGATTAGTCTAGTTGTTTCGCATACTCTGTTTATACTAGCGCCCTTATACTAGCAAGGTATTCTCGTTAGCACGTGGTACTACATTGGGTAATTAGCATGGCATATACCCAAAGCAGCCGAAAGGATATGCAATAGTCGGAGTGTCCGACAAGAACTTTCAATGTTAATGGATCAAATCGAGTCAGGGCACCAGACAAATTCGCGATGACGTATGAGCTGAGGTCGTGTCTGCCTTTCGGCTAATCCAAGGTTGGTATAAATCGACGGTACAGTTCCGAGGGATACTAGAGTAGCTTTAAAAAGGTGTAAACGAACAAAATCTGAGCTAGTAGTAACTGAGTTACTCCAGAACCACTTCTCGCCTTAAGCGGTATTGCTCCACGCATCCCCTTACCGACATGTTCCCAAGCTGAACTGATCCAGTATGCAATGTGACCGTGCCGAACCGCCGACCCATCAGAGCCCGGCAAGCTCGTCCCGCCGACAGGCTCCCATGTGAAGAATGCTATGTGCAGGCGGAATGTTATCCTTCATCCGTATCTGCAACGCAGTAGTCGTGCTGCTGCTTGGGTACCGCGTGATATGGCCTTTCGTGCTCACCGAAACAATGTCGGCCGCAATGATCAAGCCATACTTCCCACCGTGAATCACAGCCTGATCATCAGAATCCGGTAGCGTGACGACAGCAAGGCCGGAAGTAAACGCGACATATCTAGTAGTACGTCAGCGGCTGGCGGGATACCATAGGTAAGTTCGAGCTGGGTGTCCATCACGTGACGTACTGAACGGCCGGAGCATTGTGTAGACCGCCGTCAAATTTTGGGGGCAGGATGGTGAAAGTGAGGTTGGTTGTGTCGCCTAGCTGCTGCGCCTTGGTCCCTGCAGTTCCGGGGTCCGCAGATATATCGAATGGCCGGGTGATCTGCCAGCATTCGATTGTCGATCTTCCGTCAGCTGCACCAATTGCCGTGATGTTCAGGTGTGTCGTGTTTTGGGCCACCGTAGTCAAGAACAAGAACTGAAAGAGGAAGACGACCACATAACAGAAGGGAGTTCGCGTCGTGCGAGCGAGGGCGACCATGTTGTCTTTGGATGCAATGTACGACAAGATCCGGGTGAGTGGTTGGTGACCAGGCTGAAGATGAATGGCACTTGGGGTCGATTTAAGGTACAAAGCTATCATTGGCGAAAGGGAAGGCCCGCTGGCAGTTGCTTGGGTGGCGCTTGCCGGGACGCTTACCCCGCACGCACACGGGCGAGCACGAGGAATGCGTTCGCTGTCCTTCACCATCGTTCGTATTGACCTCAGCTGCCAGCGAAGCTTCTCCCAAATATAGCACCATTGCTGGGGAGCGTGCAAACGAACCACTCGTGTCGTCCCGCGTTCTGCTGAACACGATATCGCAATGCCCTGGACAGCCCTTGGTGCCCCCTGTAGCACATGCCTATCGTATGGCTCTCTCTCCATGGTGCGTATGCCATGTGTGTCCGACCGTGGCTCTCCAGCTGTCAGCCCAATCTAGCCCAATTCGTTTTGTGAGGCACTAGGCAATCGAGTTACACCACAGCGGAGATCAAAACCGGTCAGCTTGCGAGTGAAGGAGTTCCCCTGGAGCGCCGCGGAATATAAGCGTTTCTTCGTCGCTTGCGCATGTCTTCCCGCCATCTTCTCCACTTCGCGTCTCCAACGGCAAGAGGTCATGGCTGTCACGCCAGCCGCTGCGCCTCCTCATGGGATAACCTCCAATTTTGATGATCCCCCTTCGAAGGCCCAGACCGTCTACGTTGTCATGAGTGTTTGTCTTGGCTTAGTCACTTTGCTAGTCGCCATTCGTATCTACACTCGGGCTCGAATCACCAAGTCACTTTGGTGGGATGACTGTGAGTCGACCTCTTGCTATATACGTCGCTTTCCTCCTACGTGCCGCTCATGTGGCTTCGACTGACCATCCTCTAGGGACAAGCTTGCTAGCTTGGGTAAGCTGAGAAGAAGTCATCGGTGTCTAAAGCTCGGCCCGGAGTAACTTCGCTAGGTATTCTTCATCGTACTACTGGGAGTTACGTTCGGCGCTGTGGAAAATGGTGGAGGTGTAGACATCTGGAACGTACCAAAGTCTGAGTACACGCACTTCATCAAGGTATGCATCATCAGGGATTAAGGTGGGCCGCTGCTAATCAGTGTGGCTAGTACTGGAACGACATTATGATCATGGCCCGCGTCGACATCACTCTAGCCAAAGTCGCCATCTTGCTACTCTACCTACGGATCTTCGTGCCTCACCAGACTGGATCTCGCCAGATGTGGTTTTGGATATGGTTCATGGTGGCCTTTAATGTCGTATACTGTCTGGTGCTCATTCTGCTCATCCAATTACAATGCGTCGGGCACAAGACTCCGCAGGCCAATGGCGGTTGCCTTGATCAGCACGTACGTCTGCGTAACCTCACAGTCGAAGCATTGCTGACCGGGTGTCTTCTCTACAGCTACTTCTTATCACGGCTTCCGCAATCAACGTAATCACTGAGTTTGCAATCCTCATAGTTGCAATTGTCGCAGTGTGGGGACTCCGAATGCCGATCGGTAAAAAGGTGGCCTGTGTAGTTGTTCTCAGTTTTGGGTCAGCGTAAGTATAGATTCAGATACAATACGTCCAAGATGCTAGCTGACGAATAAGTGGTATCGCATTCAGTCTTGCTCGACTGATCTGGCAGTCCGTCACCAAGAACACCAATCCTACCGTTTACAATATGACTGTTATTATGCTAGCGTAAGTGTTCAACGATTGTCGTAGGCATTTCAGTTGATTTTGGTTCAGTACTGCTGAGACGACCGTGGCCATCATGGCCGGCTGCATGCCCTTGCTCTCTTCATTCTATAGGTTCCACTTCCAGCGTCATGTTAGTGCCATTACCTCAAATAAGAGCTGGTCACGGAGTTCTGGAGGCAACAAACCAGGTAAGAGACCACACCACCCATTGAGTATATCAACAACGGAGCTGGTCACAAGAGACATCGGTCTGGAAGAGTTGCAAACGCAGAAAACGAAGGTTGGCCCGCAAGTGCATGTCAAATCTACTATATCTTAATTTACATCAATGCCAACTAAGCTATCGAACCGATTCCGTCTCCCGGCCGCATAAGCAGCTACCTTCTCCTCATCGCTGTCCTCCATTGAGCTGTTATTGCTTACTGTACCATATTCAGGGTTTGATTTCCTGAGGACATCTTGAATGTTCCAAGCAATCCTCTCGGCACCCACTCGGGCACCCACCAAATTAGGCGCCCCTGGACCAAGTCGGAGTCCTGCAAGCCGACCAGTGACGAACAGCGGGACACCATCAGCCCACATTAGATCGTCGTTCAGACATGGTAGACCACCAACATATTCAATCTGGTAGTCTTCTCTTATGTTTTTGAGGATGGGAAGCTGTTCGACATTAGTTTGTATGCCAGTCGCGAAGACGATGTAGTCAATCGGTGGTAGTGCAAGCGCAGGAGACGTGACAGCCAACGTCCATTGGCGCAGGTCCGTAGCCCACTTGACAGACTGCAAGGTTGTATGAGAATGAAGCGAGATTTTGCCGCTTGCGACGTGAGCATCGAGGATTTTGCGGTATCTTGGGGTCATGCTGCCACCATTTCGAGCTTCCGCCATCATCTCGAATCGCTCTGTCAGCCATTAGCATAAGGACCACTCATGGCGAACAGGAGTAATATTACTTACCCTCATCGGTATCAGCCGACCAAAAAGCTGCCTGGTTAAAGTTCCGAAACTTTCCAACCCATTCTAAATCCACATCGAAGTATTTCACTTTGACCCCACCGCGCATAAGTAACCAGACCTTGTTCACGCCTCTTTTGATTGCAAGGTCTGCAAGCTGAATGCTAGTCAATCCACCCCCAACGATCAACATGTTGGTAGGTAGGCGTTGCTCGACTCTCGCTGCGACGTGAGCTGGAGGGTATTGCTTGATTTGCATGGCATGACAACAGCCTTCGTGCGGTGTTTCTGGCGTGATTCCGGCTATCCGTGGTAAGACAGGCGCATTCCCAGGTCCAATAGCAAGAACTACAACTCGCGCGTAGCGCTCACGCTTATTGGTAGAGACACGGAAGAGTTCCTGGCCATTGCTCGAATCATCATCGGAAATGACACTGTCGTGCGCTCGTTCTTCCCATGCCGATGCGTTGCCGAATTGAACATCAACAACCGTCTCCTGCTGAATCACATCATTCCCGAGGCCATATCGAGCAGTAACCTCTTCGCAATGAGCTCGAAACAACTTGCTTGAAGGAGTGAAGTAATCTTTGCGATCTCTCTCATCCACGTCTGGGCCACTCTGCGAAATTCTTCCCCGATTCAGTTTCTTCTTCTTCCGATGTTTGCTAACCTCCTTCCCAGCGCATCCTGGTAAAGGCTGCAGCTCTTTTTCCCTGTTGTGCTCGTAGGCGTAGCCAAGAAGTGCGTCTCGATCGGCAGGGTCGACGTGAAAGAACATTGGACTTCTGAGGTATTCAATACCAAAGGTCTTGAAGAGCCGGTTCCACTTGCTCATCCAGGATGCGCCGTCGGAGTCGAGCACTAGCATATCAAGCTTCTCACTGCGTTCACCGCCTATAGACGTTGAGGAAAGAGAATCCGTATTGGTGCGGTAGTTCTTGATGTTCATCTTGCGGCCATGCTTGCGGATCCAGTGATAGCGCTGGTGCTCATCGTCAGTGAAAGTTGCCGACGGCGTGTGTTCGCGGAGCCTCGTTGCGACTGCGAGGCCACAAGGACCTGCGCCAATGATGAGGACGTCGTGGATGTGCATAGGTAAACGGGAAGCTATAGATATGGCACCGGAACTACCGTTCAATCCAAAGTCGAGTTACGACCGCACGTCAAGTCAGTATCGTTGTCAGGTTGTATGAACACTTCAACCAAGGTCGAAATGATGGTGGTCTTTGCTACTGATTAGTCAGAACATGGTTGAGTACCTATGTGTATGCCTGCGGGTACCTTGCTGGCTTCGCCATCATGGTGCCAACGCGACATCACCTGGAAGTGCGCAACCCGGAAACATCATGCTAGATACTGATGGCGGTAATTGATTGCTGACCATGTTCAGTGAGACAATATGATGATATTCAGCCCGGGGCATTGCTGTTCGTGTTTCACGCGTTCCGCCAATTCTACCATTCCTTCCCAGTAGCACAACTCCACCCTTCTAAGTCCTCTGAACATTTTTTTAAGCTGTATATTGAGAGCGTCAATTTGAATCATGCAAGGTGTGGAGAGCCGAAGACTAGCCAAGGCCTCCTGTTGAGCCACATTCAGCTTGTTGTGAAGCATTGTCAGGTCGCTGAAAGTGGTCGCGACAAAGACAGTATCGCCGCCGCAAACGAGCATGGCCGCCTCATGATACATTTGACGTGATACTTGTAGTAGTGCAACATTCGTCTTTGGCAACCGGCATTTGTTCGAAGGACTGATTCTGTATAGCCTTGGTGCGGCCATGAACGCGCGGACCTCGACCTTCAGACCAGCAAGTGCGAGTCGAAAGATGTTGTTGCGAATTTCAGGAGGAAGTCGAAGGAGCAAAGAGTGCGCATTCTGTTGGACACTGCACTCATGTTTAGCAACCTGCCTCTAAAGATTCCCCAGTAGACTCACATGTGAACAAGGTGAGCAGGTGTACGTTCCAGAGAGAGCAGACCGTTGGGAAGGATACTCGGATTCTTGAAAGGTCTCGAAACGGTCTGGCGCCGGTTAAGAGGACCTTGCGTCTCGACTTGTGTGTCAAGGATGACGCCGAAAAGGTTATTCATTGAGGATGAGGAAGGTGCTCAAATGTTCAAGTTTCACCCATGGTGACATGTCATCCTAAATTGCTGTTGACATATGGCATAGCAAGATGCCAAGACACTAAGCATGACACCAGTGTGATCATTCCACGTCTAATCGCAACAGCAAACGACGCTAGTCCTAGTTGAGGATTGACAGTGAAAGCGGGCTGGCCGAGGTGAATGCGCGAATCTCAAGGCAATAGCCCAATACACATTCCTGAAAATCGTCATCTTTGAACCGATTCATTGTTAATACATTGCGGATCATCGAAGTAACCTCAGCTACCTCCCAGAGATCAGTAACAGCAAGCCGATTATTAAACATCCTGCAGACGCGGCAAAGCGCATTGTGGCAAGCGCTAAAGTAGCAACAAATAGACCCATCTTCGCACGGCAAAGTGAATCTCGTAGCTGCTAATGCACGCTCTGCTTTTTCGCAATCACAAATACTATATACATATATCCTTGCAATGATCAGGCAGGCCCGTGCCGACGTCAACACATGCCACATCAACTTTCCCCACCCCATCCCGCATCTGCTCAAGAATATAACTCTTCGTCCCCATCGGCCGCGCTCCCAAACCCTCCCTCCGCAATATCGAGGCTGTTCTTGCTGGCGTGACTCATAGCAGGTGACTTGCCCTTGCCCTTGCCCTTTCCTTTTCCACTTGCACCGCTTCCACTACCGCTAGCAGCTGCCCCATTGATATCAATGTTTTCAGTGTGGACGACAAGACTCTCGTCATCTGGCGGTGCAGCAGCCTTCCCTTTACCCTTATGGGATGTTGTGGGGAGCGCAATACCGTTCTGTGATGGTTTGCCACTCTCATCCTTCTTGCCCGTCCCCTCAAATGCTTTCCTTACGCGCTCGTAGTGGTTAAGTTCGTCTGCGCTGACACTGGGTACCAACTCCTTGTGCGCCTCGATGAAGTCTTCTTCCATGACCATAACAGCCGTATCTTCTTCCGTTGCGAGATGATCGAAGAAATACGCTGTCGTTATGGGCGTGCCACGGGCGGTGCTGATGGCAATGACTTTTTCGTCTACGGCGCGCGCTTGTCGCGTGATTGCTTTGAGCATCGCGTCCGAGCAAAGGGCGTACATATCTGCACCTGTGTAAGTGAAAGGGAGTGTGGAGGCAACGCGGGCGAATGACAGAGCTGGGTGGAGCGTGAATCTACGACATATTGTTAGCAGACAGACAAAGCAAGAGGTGGCGGGATGGGGTAGGCTACATACTTCCTCGACAGCGCTTCGAGAATGGTCTGCTGCTTATCGTGCGTGTCGGATACACCAAGATATAACATTTTATCAAAGCGTCCAGGACGGAGCAACGCTTGATCAAGCAAGTCAGGTCTGTTCGTCGCACCGATGACGAAAACACCTTCACCACCGTCGCTCATTCCATCTAGTTCGGCGAGCAGCTGACTAACAATACGGTCCATGACACCACCGCTGTCACCTTGATTGCCACGCTTGGGCGCGACGGAATCTAGTTCGTCAAAGAAGACGACGCAAGGCCGGGCGTCTCGAGCGCGCTGGAAAACCCGCCGCACATTGGCTTCTGATTCACCAATGTACATGTTTAGCAATTCTGGACCCTTGACGCTGAAGAAGTTGAGTGAGAACTCTGTTGCGATGGCCTTGGCGAGCAGGGTCTTTCCTGTTCCTGGTGGGCCGTAGAACAAAATACCGCTGCGTTTCTTCATCCCTTTTGCGAACAGTTCCGGGCGTGCAAGAGGAAGTTGGATGGTCTCCATGACGGCGTCCTTGACGTGCGATAGACCACCAACGTCGGACCAGCTGACATTGGGGATCTTGGGTGCGCCGATGGCATCCGCGAAGTTCTTGCGGGCGGCGTCCACAGCCCCGTCCAGATCAGCTTTCGTCAGACTGTTGCTAAAATGGCCTCCCGCAAGCTCGATGTCTCTCAAAGTTACTGGAGAGCCGGCAGAGCGGTCTTTTGATGCAGACGCTGCGAGAGCTTCGATGCGATTTCGTTTTGCTACTAGCGCACGGTCGACTACGTCTACCAGATCACCCGCAACTAGAGCAGCCGTCTTGACGGCAACATTGCTAAGGTCGACGTCTGGTGATAAACGAATGCCTGCATTATCAATGATACCACGCAAAATACCTGCTCTTTCGCCCTCGTCGGGTGCCGACATCTCAATCTCGTGCGTGAACAGACCACGGATACCTTCTGGTACCTTGTCGAGTTCAGTCGTGGTCGCAACGAGCACACGTGAGTCAGCGAGGATTTCTTTGAGTGCAGTATTCATGCGATCAGCATTGAGAGCATCGATGTGCTTGACCAACAATGCCGTATATTGAGCGCCACAGGTGAGCGCCCGTTCTGCCCTTGCTTTCAAGAAGCCTTCAGACTTCACGTCACCACCGCCTGCACCTCCTTCGCTCAAAATATCGAACGCATCGATGGAGAATGTATGCAGTCCAAGATCTTCGCATGCTTTAGCCGCTACTGTGGCTTTCCCGATGCCACGCTGTGTCGAGGTGAGTAGCACGGCGATTGGTGGCAGGCCCAGATGGATCGCTCTTGGGCTAGTGGCCGCGGAAATCAGCTCTCGCAAGCGGCGTTGTAGAGATGAGACATAGGTCTTGGGCATGTCTTCAATCGTCATGATCCTTTGATTTGCGCCAGCGGGAGATCTCCTCGCGCCAAGGTAATATTGCCACGCACTGTTGATAGAAGATGGGGTTTTGCCCTGCTCACTTCCATTCATCTCCATCTTCGTGCTCGCGGCGTCCACAGCTACAACACCACCCCATGGACTTGGCTCTTCTCCATTCTTAAGCTCACTTGATGAGGCAGTGACGTTTCCAATCTTGAACCAGGCCACTACTTTGGGTTTCTGATCGTTGGCGTTCGTAGGATCCTCGTTGGAGCTTTCTTTGGACTTTGATAAAAGTTCGTCACTGCCAACGTCTTCTTCGTTCGCGCTCGCCTGGAAAATTGCACGACCTAGAGACTCATCTATGGCGACACCAATGAGATCGCCGCTTTTAACTAACCGGCGTTTTTGTTCGAAATGGTCTTTCAGAGATGCAAATAAGCTAGGTTGCAGAAGGCGTTCTGAAGAGAGTGGCGTTGAGAGTTTCAACAGTGTGACTTCTTTTGCGGATGGAGGTGAGGAGGAGCTATTTAGTCGTGGTTTTTGTATGGCGGTTCTGGGACCATGCGAAGGTTGAGGGGGCGCTAATGGAGCGATACGTAAATGAGACGGGCTGTCCATGTTCGCCAGTAGAACAGGCGAGAGGTAAGCTTGAAGTGAAGTGCTTGCTGGTGCAAAGCCTGAAAAGCTAGACCTACGGTCGAAGTCATCCGATTTGTTGACGCGGTATGGCGCAACTTTCTTGGTCATGGCCTCAGGAATTCCATAGATCCGAACGGGGCGCCAATCGGCATCGTCTTCTTGTTCACCACCAAACGCGCCTAGTCCAAACAATGGATGCTGCGAAGGCTCGGGTGCGACCTCAATCTTGACCCAGTCACCTGAGAAGCAGCCAACTTTGACCAGAGTATTGGTGTCTACAAATACACGCGCTTCTTCATCATCTTGGCTGCCAGGCTTGGGGTGCACCAGCTCATCTGGTATTGGCTGTAGCAAGCCATTCGCTTTGAAGAGCTTACTTCTAGCTGATGGTCCTCGCGCGGTGGTTGCAGTGAAGTTTGAGAACACTGAGCCAGGAGTTGCGATTCCATTCGTGTGAAGATTGACGGGCCTCGGAGTAGCCGATGAGAATGCGGACAGCACCCCAGACGACTGCGGTGGTAGCATGGGCGCATTCAACGATATGATGTCGTCGGGGTCATCCGAGAGATCTCCGACATCGGAGCCAGATAACTCGGACTCGAAATTGTCGGTCGATACTTCTGTAGGAGGGCTGTTGTTTTGAGACGGCGAACGATCTTCAGCCGCGGAGTAGAAGGTCTCGTTCGAAGTGTCTTCGGAGTCATCAAAACCGTGCTCGACAGGCGCAGGCCTTGCGGGCGCAAGAACCGGGGCAGGTTTGGAGCCACGATGCGATTGGAGAACAACAATCGTTGTGGTCGGTAGCAAGAGACCTTGTGCTACAGGCTCGCAAGCTGATATTTTTGCCGGAGGCGGTGGGACGTGTGTGATAGGGTGTGCAGGAAGTGGCAGCGGAAGGAAGTCCCCGCTGTGCACCAGAGCCGGTGACTGCAGCGCTGCTCGGACAGCGTTCCGCCACACATTCTCTTGTGCAGCATAGTCGATACCGTTCGCGTGTCTTCCAGCAATTCCATTGGCGTTCAGAAAACGATCCTTTGGCCCCTTTGCAGCGCCGTTTGCCCTTGTCCCGCCGAAACCGCCGCCAAATTTTGCATGCACATCGTCCAGCTTCCTCAGTGCCTCTGTGTCTAGGTTCACGTACACTGTATCCAGCCCCACGGGGACGACATCGTGTATTCGAATCTCTATGGGCGTGTCTCTTCTCTGGGTCTTGTTGGGCGAGATGCTGTGGAGTGCCTGAGAAAACGATTGCAGCGCAAGCGACGACGACGGAACTTGCAGGGACGAATGCGGTCGCGAGGTAGTCGTCGTCTCGCTGGAGGGGCGCCGCACAGGCAGGATGGTCCAAGGGATGGTTTGGGAAGCGGTGACGGAGCTCGGCAGCCACGGCGTGATGGCAACGTAGTGGTCACCGTCTTCGTGGGAAGCAGTCAGCAGACTAGTTAGTGTAAGGGGTAGAGCTACATACCAATGTCCTGCGCCCACGGAAAGAGGTCGTCGAACAGGTCAGCCGAGAGGATGCCCGCCTCGCCCTTCATGCGGTCGTCCAGCAGCAGCCGCGCAGAAATGGCAGGCCGGTCGAGGCGTCTTCTCCGGCGCCTCTTGCGCGGATGGACAGTGCCATTCTGCACCTCCATCTTTTACAGGCAATCAACAATGTCTCACACGAACGTGCGTCGTATCTAGACAGTCGCGCTCAGCTTCGCATCGAGTGCGGGTTGATGCCAAGACAGTCGATGGACCTCGGCAGAACGGCATGCGGTCGGGAACGATGCACATAATAGTAGTAAGTTCACTTATTGCTTATAAAGCCGTAGTTTAGATTATAAGCAAACTGTCCGGGCTGCTCAGCGAAGCTTCAATTGCCAGCTCCGATGCGGAGACCAAAGCGCATGGTCACATGCAAAGTCGAGTTCACGCGCGCCAAGCTGAGCCGGCTCCGGATCGCGTGCCTGCTCACCCACACCCTTGCCGTGCCTGGCGACCACTTGCGCCAACCACCCTGCATGCGATCGCGATGTCGCGCTCCAACACGTTCGCCTAAGAGTACCAATTCAGCCGCTTGGCGGTGGGCTGGCGATTGTGGGCCCGCGGCCTTGAAAGCGTGCAGGAGCACAATTGCCTTGGTTCTTGTGACATCATCGAAGCACCCTGCCGTATCAACAAACGGTTGATCTCTCAGCCACATAGGTAACCTTCGGAAATATCTCACTGCCCTTATCGCAGATCTCTTTTGCAGTTCAACATTTTTACGAACCTTCGCATATAGATCCATACATCTCTTTCTGGGTGTTGCAGCATTAATCCTTCAGCGTCCCCCGTTTCTCCACTTGCACATGGCGCTTCTCCACGGCACCAAGTCAACCGTCTTTACACTATAGGGTTCGTCACCGTAAACAATGGCAACCGCCACCATGGTCCGGGAACATGTCGAGCACGCGCAGAACAAGACAAAATCCAAGACGAAAGCTGCCATCGATTTCGCTCACCAGGCCGAAAGATTGGCGTACCTTGCCCCGGACCAAGAGAATGACGCTACCGGCTCAACACAAGCTGTCGAGGCAAAGTTTATCACCGCACAGGATCCCGTCATCGTGACCGCAGATGGCGGACGGTTGCCAGCAGTGCCTATTGAAGAGGCTAAGAAGCTTAATCAATTAAGGGATGAGGTCGACGAGAGGGATTCGTCTGAGAGCCCACCAGTGAAGGGCGAGGCACGTGAAGCGAAGGATGGTACGATACACGGCGCGAGTCCAGCACCCGAGGGCTCTGCTTCGCAGGCTGGCAACGACGGTCAGACCGATGCCCCGCTCCAGAGTCAGACACCGCCATCGAGGACGAACCCACTTTTTCCACCGCTGCCCATGTATGGGCCTCCCACAATGCTCCGGAAGATCCACGTTTGGTTATTTAGATGCACATCAGCCGTTCTTTCGTTGTGTTTTCTTCTGGTCATTATTCTCGGCGCCCTGTTCACAAGCATACCGGATGTCGCGAAGAGGCAGTGGATGCGCCTCACTCTCCAAGATCCTAACAAAAGCCGGCCATTTTTCCAAGAGGAGGACAAGAGGAGGAAAGCACGCCGAATAGCTGAGAAGGCATGGGAAAAGCGAAGCCATTCTCAGACAAGAGCCGATGCGCATGATGCAGACGAGTTTGTACCCCTCGAAGGTGGTCCAGATAAGATCCCTTGCGATGTCCGCTACTATGCGCGCCGCGTAGGCCTCGACTGCGAGATCTTCGACGTTCAGACCGAGGACGGCTTCATCATCGAACTTTGGCATATTTATAATCCTCGAGAATATCAACGAAGCGACCCGTCTCAACGCACACCCAATGACCCGGACGTCTTCAGCAATGATAGGTCCACCGATGATGTATCAGGCTCCCAGTACAGGCCCGGCAATAAGAAGTACCCCGTTCTCATGATCCACGGTTTATTACAATCCGCAGGCGCCTACTGCACCAACGATGACGACAGCCTCGCCTTCTTCCTCGCCAAATCTGGCTACGACGTCTGGCTAGGGAACAACAGATGTGGCTTCAAGCCCCGCCACAATCTGCTTTCCTACTCGGACCCGCGCATGTGGGCCTGGAACATCCGGCAAATGGGCGTCATGGACCTACCTGCGCTGATCTCCCGCGTGCTTTCCGAAACAGGTTTCTCGAAACTTGGACTCATCGCACATAGCCAAGGCACAACGCAAACGCTCGTTGCCCTCGCCAAGGAACAGCGACCAGAGATTGGCGAGAAGATATCGGTATTCTGCGCACTCGCTCCAGCTGCTTACGCCGGCCCACTGATAGGCAAAATGTACTTTAAGTTCATGCGCATTATCAGTCCAGGCATGTTCCGCGCTATTTTCGGTATTCATGCTTTCATCCCCTTCATGATGACCATGCATTCACTGCTCCCACCGCGGTTCTACGGGGCAATGGGCTACCGTGTCTTCAGCTTCCTGTTCAATTGGACCGACGATCGTTGGGAGCAAGATCTGAGAGATCGCATGTTCCAATTTGCGCCCGTTTATGTCAGCGCTGAGAGCATGCGCTGGTGGCTTGGAAGAGAATGCTTCGCGAAGCAGAAATGTATTCTGGCTACCAGAGAGGAGAAGAACATCGAAGATCGTGAGGACGCCCAAGAAGATGAAGAACGCGAGCGCTCTGACGATTCGTCATCGGACGATGAAGAGGACGAGCCTGGTGCTGGTGTAGATGCCACCCAATTACGAAGATGTGACGTCAATCGCGCAAAGTACGCATGGTATGGACCTCAAACACCGCCCTTCGCATTCTGGGTCTGTGGAAACGATGCCCTCGTAGACGGGCGGCGGCTCCTGCGTCGCTTCGAGCGCGGGCGCGAACCGCACGTCGATCTTGTGCACTCGAAGATTATTGAGGGGTATGAGCACCTCGATGTGATATGGGCGATGGACGCCATCGAGAAAGTCGGCAAAGAAGTACGAGAGGTCATATGGAAGACGGCAGACGAGGAGGCGAGGTATGTGTGCAGGACACCGAGAGGTTGTAGGGGCATTAAGGAAGAAGAGTACTATAGAAAAGGTAGAGACCAGGAGGTCGAGATGAGAAGAATGGATACTACCGCGGGTGAGTGGACTGCGAAGGGGAGGGAGCAGGTCGGTGGTGGTGGAGGCGAAGGAGACCGCAACCTGGACGAAGAGATCCAAGAGGGAGAAAGGGTGTAAGTTTTGCAAGTCCTGCTCTCGATGTTGGGGCATGGCGATCCCGGCTTGCATTGCGATGGCTATGGTTCTGTACACATGATATCCCCTGCGCATTGTCTGGAGCTTTCTTGATAGTTTCCTGGACCGCGTACTTATACCTAAAATGTTCCGCCTACGCAACCGAGTAAGACCTGCCTTTGGGCGAGGAGTGGTTGCATTATCGAAAATGGCTTTTGTGCACGCATGGCCCTTGGATATAGTGTCTTCCTTTGATATCTTTTTCCACATACGACCATAGGACACTGAAAACTAGGCTTCCCGTCCGCTCAGCCATATATAAGCAGTGTACCGGCGGATTAGTAGTTGCGTGGGTGACCAGCAGCGAATACCCGCTGTTGTATGTTTTTTGCACTATTTTGTGCAATGTTGTAGGGATGTGTGTGGGCCTGGCGATGAGCGGTGTGGGTGCAATGTGCCACCAATACGAACTCAAGCGAGGACAAGCTGCTACGAATCTACCCGTTGACTTTGGGGCCTTACTCTATTCGTCTACATTTTTAGAACAAACCTTTCCCGGATCCTCTCGCCGAACACGTAGAACAATACAGGCGCGGGTGCCAGCGCTAGACTCACGAATCCAAACACACTAATGCCCCAGCCATACCCTAGCTTTTCAAACAAACCTGGTGCAATGAGAGGCACTATACCTCCAACAAGCGATCGGAATACCGCACCCGCTGCAATGGCGGACGCAGCATACGATTCGAACGAGTCGATGTAGTAGTTTTGCGTAGTGTTTAGTATCATCACTTGGCCAATGCCATAGAAGAACGTCGGCACGATAGACGCAAACCAATGTACTTTCTTTTCGACTGACCACGCGAACCAGAATAGCGACACCGGGATGAAGACAGCCCCAATGTTTGCAAGTGGTAAGCGAAACTCGGGCTGCGCTTTCTCGTCGTGCTTGGCCGTAAGTTTCTTGTACACGTCGTCGATCCGTGGAACGAGAAACCATACAGCGAACAGGAATCCGCTCCCCGGTCCGAGGTACAGCAGCCCGACCTTCTCTGTAGAGAAGCCATACGTGCCGGAGTAGATATCCTGCATATTGGTGTAGATGCTATATGTCGTTCCGAATATAAGCGCCTGGTAAACGCTCATGACGGCAACGATAGGCTGCATGAAGATGCGCGGAGGACGAGAGAGCGAGTGCGCAAGTTTCTGGCGCAGCGGGCGCAAATCCTCGCCTTCAAACTGGTAATTCGTCGCGTCATCTGCGCGATTACTGTTCTCGAAATTTTGTTTTAAGCGTGCGAGTATGACAGGTGCGTAGGTTTCGCGGAGGAAGAAATAGCCTGCTAAAGTGTTGATCGAGCATACGATTGTCATGACCCAGAATATCCTAAAGGTGGGGTACCAAGTCAGTGTAATGTTCATAAACTAGAGAAGTGGGTGAAGTAGGTGTTGTAGCGAGCTACTAATGTCAGAAGGTTTCAGACTTAGAGGTAAAAGGCTTAGAATCTTAGACAATTGCCTCGCATGAACACCCACTTTGTACCCCGACATTGCTTACCACCGCCAACCGAGACGCTGCACGATGAATCCACCGAAAAGCGGGCCTAGTGTTGGGCCAAGTAGTGGCCCGAGCAAATACCAGCCAAACACTCCGGCTCTTTCACTTGGTACGAACATGTCGCTGATTGTGCCTCCACCATTCGCGATGCCAACACTACCGAAGAAGCCCGAGACGCTGCGTATGGCAATAAGGAATGCAATGTTCGGCGCGAGAGCGGCAGGTATTTGCAGAAGAGCGAAGATGGCGAAGCAGATAAGGTAAAGGTTTCTACGACCGAATGTCTCGGACAGCGGTGCGAGGAGAAGAGGACCGATGCCCAGCATGATGACGAAACCAGTAGTTGTAGCGATGACGGCAGTCGGGGATGTGTTGAGGTCTTCAGCGATCTCGACGATGCCGGGTGTGAACATAGAGCTCACGAGCGGACTGACAACTGTGTGATTGTCAGACAGTTTTAGAGACGACAAGCGCCTTCGCGATACATACTCGACATAGTGGCTATCACGCCCACGTTTGCAAGCTTCCTCCATCGCGGCCATGCCCGTGGATCCTCTTCAGGATGATCCGAGAGCTTGAGTGTCTATAAAACATCAGAAACAGCTCTCGTGCCTCACAGGAACAAGACATAAGTACCGGTCGCGTGTCTTCGTCGTCGCTCCAGCGCTGCAGAAGAGGCGTGCGTTCGTCGCGTGGCATCGTAGAGTCTAATGTTTGGTACACCTGCAAGGTAATAGCAATAGAAAGACGCGGAGGTCGAATGCAAGCAGTGTTTTCGTCATGACGACCACTAGTAGCTTCTGCTGACTGAGCTTGTGGTGAGCGTTAATGCCGTGTCATCGATCGTTGATGCTTGTTCGATCTGGTGTCGCGGGATCGATCCACAGAGTCGGGTTCGTCTAGCCAACCAATGAACTTCCGGTACACTTAGCCTAGGTCATTACTCGCCTCACATGCTAACCTGGGGTTAGCCTAATATCACTTTGTATAGGGAATTAATATTTAATAGGCTTTTTAATATCTAGACTTTAATTTTATTTTTATATTTTTTTAGAGCAAATATATTAGCTTAGGTTAAATATTAATTTAAATAGGGTCTTAGAAGAATTAGAGGTATATAGAAGTATATATTAATTAGAATAGAATTTAGAATATATTACTACCTTTTTTTTTTTTTTTTTTTTTTTTTTTTATAATAAAGCTGCTATTATAACTACCTAATAGTAAAGAAATAGCTAGTTAGTACTATATATAAACTATAAATAGCTCTTTATTATATCCTATATATAATAAGATAAGAAAAAGAGATAAGAAATAAGAAAGGTATAGTTTATAAGATTCTAGTTTACTAGCTTAATAGTTTCTCTACTACTACTAAAAGGTCTAACTAAGTTATAGCTCTATACCTCTAGAAAGCTATAATAAGTAGTATAGTACACTTCTTAGTTAGACTAATACTAAGTATAGATTTATATAGAAGTCTTATAATATTAAGATTAGTAAAAGAAAATAATAGAGAGGCTCCTACTATATCTATTAAGTACCTTAGTAGTAGTAATATCTAGTTATTAGAAAGTAACTTATAAGATAACTAAGTAGAAAAGGTATATAATACTTTAAGTAGTAATAGATATTTTATTCTATCTATAAATACTATAATAACTAGATAACTAATCCTTAGTAATAGGTATAACCTAGCCTATACTAGTAAAAGAATTTATTCTATATAATATATAATTACTAATTAATATACTCTAGAAGCTCTAGTACCTTAAATATAATCTTAGACTTTACCTCTAATAAATACTTATGCCTAGTGTAAGGATACTAAAGCTTCTAGTTCTAGAGAATAAGTTTATAGAGCTTATTAGTAAGTTAAGTATACTATTACTATAATATATTACTAACTAACTATTATATATAGGCTAAATCCCCCTAGTAGGTATAGAAGAATAAGGACTTTATTATTAACTAATAAAAGGATATTATTAGTTTTATCTATAGTAGGATAAGAGGTAAACCTACTATTATTATTACGGCTGCTACGCCGCAACAGAATTATAGGTATTACGTTAATAATAGTAGTAACTAATTAGATTATATAGGGGGAAGAATACGATTATAGGTTAGATACTAAGCATAATATAGACACGTAAGAAGTCATATAATTAGATCTATAGATCTATGGATACTAAGGATATAGAGCTATAGAGCCAGGATCTATAGATCTATAAGAATCTGCGAGTAGAGCCTACAGAGCCATTATTAGATAGTAGTATATAGAGATAACAGATTACTATAGGATAAGCCTTTATTATTAATCCATAATACTATCCTCTATATCTAGTTCCTTTATAAAAGATTACTATTAAGTCCTTAGCAATATATTCTTATAGTAGTAATTAATTAACGTTTACACTATACGTAATCTATACTGCCCTACACGCTACTCATCTCTTACCAGAACCCTAACAGGGCCACGGCTAGTAACAGAGTCCTAGAGGCCCCGTTACAATTATAGTATAGGTAATAGTATATAAGTAAGTAGGGTTATATCTATACTAGCTTATTAATATAGAGTAACTTATACTAAGGTTAAATTAAGTAAAAGGTAGCTATTAATAATAATATAGTAGATATAGTTAAAAGTACTAGAGTATATTACTTAGGCTATAAGGTATTAGTAAGTATAGATAGAAGGTATAGGAAATATTATTAGTTTACCTAGAGAGATTAAGTTATTATTAAGGTTAGTTAGCTAGAGGTAGAAGGTATATTAGTATTTAGATTACTATTAATTAGTACTATATTAGTATAGAAAAGGTATAAAAAGGAATAAAGAAAGTATAAAAAGAAATAGAAGATTCTCTCTTATTATAAGTATACTATATAGTTCTATAGGCCTAGATCTAGGTCTAGACCTAATATTACTACCTATAATTCTTATATAAAAAGAATAATCTAAACTACTAACTTATTTCTAGGTATTAAATAAAATATATATTAGTAATATTACTTTACTAAAGTATTTTTAAATTTCTATTTTACTATAATAGAACTCTTTAGAGTGCTTTTAATAGTTTAGCTATAAGGCCTAATATAGACTTAATTTAGAGTTTAATTTAGCTAATTATATTTAGAATCTAAATTAGATTTATATTAGATTTATACTATATTATATATTTATTACTAGGAGGGTTTTATAGAAATATTTAATACCTAAAGCTAAATACTATTTCTATATACTATAAACTAAAAAGGTAACTAAGAATAGTCTATATATAAACTAGACTAGAAAGAGTATTTATATAACTATTTTTTTATTTTTTTAGAGTAAAGCTACTATTATAACTACCTTTTTTTTATTTTAAAGTAAAGCTACTATTATAACTACCTAATAGTAAAGAAATAGCTAGTTAGTACTATATAAGAACTAAAAATAGCTCTTTATTATATCTTATATATAATAAAATAAGAAAAGAGATAAGAAGAGTATATTTTATAAAATACTAACTTACTAAAATAGAGTATTACTAAAGCTAACCTAAATACTAAGGCTTACTAGTGCTATAGTTTCTTTACTACTAAAAGGTCTAACTAAGTTATAGCTTAGTATACTTCTTATTTAGGCTAGTACTAAGTATACTATTATAAAGAGGCCTTATAATATTAAAATTATAAATAGAGATAAAAAAGATATTTACTAAGTACCTTAATAGTAGTAAAATCTAGTTATTAGGAAGTAACTTATAAGATAACTAAGTAGAAAAGGTATAAAATACTTTAAAAAGTAATAAATATTTTATTCTATTTACTACTATTATAAATATAAATATAGATACTAAAGATTCTAAGTAGTAGCCTATACTATATAATATCTAGAGGAACTATATATATATAAGTACTAAGGTTCTATTAGGGGTACCTAGCTAAGTAGGCTAAGTAAAATAGAAGTATAAAATAAATTTAATAGAAAAAAAAGTAAGTTTCTTAAAGTAGCTTATATACTCTCCTAAATTTTTACTAATTATAGGGTTTATATAATAAGATCTAGAACTAAGTTTCTTTATAGGGCTTTATTTATAATATATTTCCCTCCTCTATAATAAGGTATAGTATTATATAAGTTATTTATTAAGACTATTTTAGGACTTATAGGGTACCTATAGGAGCCCTTAGGTATTAGTAAGGCTAGCTAATATTAGTAGGGCCTAAGGTATTTTTATTTCTTACTTAGTATTTACTTTAATTATATATTATATAAGGGCCCTACTTTTTCTAAGTAAATACTAAAAGTTTATTTTAGCTATTACTTACTTTTATATACTCTTCTTAGTAGCCCTATATTAGTTACTTCTCTTTTTTTACTTATTCTACTATTATATAATAAGTAATTCTAAGTTCTTTTACTAGCTATTCTTTTTTCTATACTATATATAATAGGATTCTAAAATATATATTATATTATTCCTTTAAGTTACTTTTCTAACTAATAAGTTTCTTACTACTTAAATAGTATTTTATAAGATACTATTAAAGTAAGAGCCTTAGAGATAACTAAACCTCACTTAAGTAATTATAACTAAGCCTCGCTTAAGTAATTATAGAATAAAGAATAGCTAAAGTAGTATATATATAATTAATTAAATTAATTACGTAAGAATTCTTAGTATAAGTAAGGGCCTATTTTAGGTTATAAGCGCTTATATATACTACTAATCTAGTATAATCTCGTATTTAGTAATTCTAATTAATTAGCTTATTTACTAAGATTATTTTCCTTAATAGTTATAAGTCTAGCACTTTAAAAAGTAAAATAGAATACTTTTCTCTATATACTTTCTTTTAAAAATACTTAGTAAAACCACTCTACCTATCTAAAGATTAATTTAAAAATTAATTACTCTATTATAATAGTAGAAGCCTAGCTAGAGTAATACCTACTTAGGGATTATTTAACTAGCCTTACTAGTATAACTATTTTAAGATTATTACTAGTACTAAAAAATTTTAGGGTAAAATTAATCCTAATACTTCTAATATAAAACTAATTAATTAAATAAAACTAAAGTAACCTATACCTCCTCTTAATTCTAAGTTACTTATATAACTAGAGCTATTAACTATTTAGAAATAGAAGGAGTATAATTAATCTATTAAAGACTATAAAAAGTATAAAAAAACTATAAAATTAAAATTATAGAATATTAAGTAGTATTCTTAGACTAGTAGGCTAAAAGTATAAAAATTATAAATCTCTAGAACTAGGTAAATAAGACTATTTTATTTAATTTTATAGAAGTAGTAATAAATACCTTCTTTAAAATAGAGTAGCTAACGCTTTAAAGCTTAATTTAAAAGCTTAAATAGAACCTAGCTTTAATAGATATAAGTATAATAACTTTTATTAGATCTAAATATTAGAACTACTTTAAAAAAGCTTATTAGTAAAATAGTAATATTTCTAAGTAGTTTACTACTTAGTAGATTCTTTAT